TACAGAGCTGTTGTGCTTTTATATCCCTGCCATAATGACTCCTCATAACTGTTTTATGCTGGAAGTCGAAGCAACGCCTCATCTGTGATGATGAACAGAAAAGCAACACTGGCTTAAAGAAATCGAGATGATATCAAAATGATTGGAGTGGGTTCCAATGTGTTATATCAGCGATGAAAAGCATCCAAAAGAATGCACAGACAAGCAAGTTGAGATTAGTCTCTTCCGATTCGACCTAGCAGGATCGAGCGATCGACTACCCATCAACCATGCCTCTGAGCTAACTCCATGCCCAGTCGCCGAGGTTTAAAGAGCCATTCACGCTAAGACATCTATCTCCTTCCCCACCGGCATTCAAGTTAGAAGTATCAAAAAACCTTTCTCAATTCCTTCGCCCTAGGCTTTATATTGCACAGTTAAACAAGCGAAGAAGACCACACTCGGTTAACCTCAGATGCTGGTCAGATTCTAAGCGCATGAACGAGAAGATTACATTACCCCATGAGGGCTTGTGGAGGGTCAACTGAAAAACAAAGATCATATCGTGGGATTGATTCATCTGATGTGACTCCGCTGATGGATCAGCGTTCCGTGAAGTTAACAATTCCCACAATTAATCGCTACCGTACGTCCGTCATGACAGGTGCAGCACCTAGAGACTTGCTCACGGCCTCGAAAAGTCCGAAGAGGTTTTCGTCATCACCGATATCCGGACAAGAGGCTCTGATTTATCTCACGCAGGAGATAAATCAAAGCCACGGACCAATCTCTGCTGATTTTCAACAACGACCGTTTTGGACTCTGTGGACCATTGAGCGTGTCGCTTTTTCCCGAATCGTACAACCTCGTGTCATCCCACTGCAAGTCGCGTGTCAAGCTCAGTGTACCCGAATGGGGTGTAAGATATAACGTCGATACAGGTCGAACCTGTTTAATGATATGTGTGACAGACCAGCTTAGGGCGATTCTTCACCTCGGTGAGATGGGGAGTGACTTCGGTCCACACCGCCGCCAGCGTTCGCGCTGGCGAGACGGTAGAGAAAGGTCGACCCCTGATATCATGAATGAAATTAGGTCATCATAACTATACATAGCTTTTCTCAAGCAATACCTGACGAGGCTTTCTGGTCTGCGCTGTCAACAACAGAAAGACTCCTGCCAGCAATCTGAAGATCGGAAAAAACAATCTAGCCAAGACCATCTTTGGACAGCTGTACGCGGATACTCCATACCCAAAAGCCCAGAGTGCTCCCGGAATCCAATGCAAAGCTTGAGTTGATTATTATCAAATATATCGACCTACGCCCGACTCTCAGCCCTTTATATCTCCCAAAGAGGCATCCTAAGTCAAACCTTTGCTGATAAATCAAAGTCAGTCGAATAAGAGCTTGTCCAAAGAACATCCTGCACAGGTGAACTTGGTTCGGAGGGCACACTGTTCAAATTCCACAAGATGACCTTGGGCAATGCTTGGGATATTTTGGAGGGAGAAACAAAAACCGGTCGACTGATTTTGTTGAATCGGGAGACTGCTTTGATACAGACTTTGATCATATAATGCAATGATGTCCTGCAGGTGAAAAGTTTCATCAAAGGCCCATGGCGAGCTTGAAGCCTCTTTGCATAGCCTGCTGGGACTATTTCAATCCAATTGGAAGGAAGTTTACAGAGGCGACTCCCTTCTCTTGACCCTACAGGGGCCATAATCAGTTTCCTTTTCAAAGATGATGGGATTCCTGGAGTCCGTAGACCAATTTGGCGACTGCCCAAATGATCCTGAACAGCCACCGCCATCTAAAAGATCAAGACCACCGGGAAAGCAGCATTCCATGATTTAAACCCGAACGCCTTGGATCTAATCCATCAGAGAACTGGTAAAGTTGCAGAGGCTGCTTGACGGTCCTCGGATGGATGAAGACTCATGCTTGCCATTTGACCCTTAGATAAAACGACAAAGCAGTGGGAGTTCACGAATGACATCAACGCGCTACCGATTAATTTCCCGACCGGGAAAGAGTCTCTTACTGCCTTAAACTCATTCCTGCGTCATGAACACCGGATGAAACCAAACATCCCAATGCTGATCATGCACTCGCTGTCAACCATGAGCTTGTTCAGTGCCCCTATTATGTTCTCATTGCCATACCTATCCTCTGTCTTCTATCATGCCTATCCTCCAATAATACATTCTATCATACCCTGTCCCGCACGTATGTCCGCATACAGCAGCTGACGGGAGGTAGGTAAAGAGACAAGGATGAGCAAATTTTGCAAGCGAAAGAAACCCCTAACAACGAAGTGGAAGCCACTGTGTATTTGCTGAAAGCCACAGAGTGGTGACTTCCAGCTAAGATACCTGCTATCGATCGAGGCCATTTGGAGGCAGCCTAAAGAGGGTCGCGACACTGCACTCCACTGCCTCTCAACAAACGCTCATCTTGAAGTCGCCGTCTATTACAGCTTGACACTCCTGCCATGTCTGTTAAGCTTAGCAAGCGCAAATGCTGCCTTTGTTTGCTTTCTTGAAAATCAAAGGGCACCCTTCGCTGACCTTACTTCAGCTCGCCATGAATCTGTCAACGAGTGAAAGGTATTCTCAAGAAAGAATCCCACCTTGTTTATTGCAGTCTCAATCAAGGCCCATAACTAGCACCGGTTCAAGAATGCGAGAATTTCCACAGAAGATATAATTTTGTCACTCAAAGCTTCCATTGGAACCTGGTTGGGGAAATTTTCCGAGGGAATATCTAACTCTCCTATCCCTTTCATGGATGAACCGGAATCGAGCTACAGACCATAGGTCCCTCCTGTGTGTCAAATTGATGTTTGGAAACGATAACCTACCATCCTTGAACAGATTGGCTGAACCTCCAGGGAGAAAACTTACTAGCTTGATTCACTTATTCTCGTTGGAGGAGTACAATTTGAGTACCAAAACCACCCAGCTGAGAGATATTACAGCGTGCTGCGTTTCCTTGATCCTGCCTGTTCCAAATTGGTATGCTCTATCCAACATGACACAATCCATTTCAGAGCCCTGTCTGAGCTTGTTTTTGATTCATATGCACAACAAACACGTCACCACATGCTGACAGGCTCACACTATCCATTACCCGGTCAACCCTATTACTAACTGGCCAAAGTTCCTCTTCCAGTAACTATGATTTTGGTTGGCTTAGAGGCCTGGTCAAGCTATGAGTGCAGTATGAAGCCTTCGCATTCTGCCATCAGACATGTGATCCGGATATGCGCTGAATCTCGGCTTTCAATAGCTACGAAAAGAGGGAGCACGAAGTTATTTGAAAAAGTGTCGAACTCACGGACGAAACAAGCTGTCCTGGCCAGGTTGAGAAAAAGGTATCAGAGAGGATTAAAGGGAAAGCTCCTCAAGTAATTGTACTGCTGTCATGTACAATTACAGTTGCAAAGGGGGAGACTCGAATTCCAGCCTTTTCAAATTGATGAATCCATCCAGTGATTTAGCCAAACGGACCCGAATAATTTGCTTTTTCAGAAATCTACCTGTTTGTTCAAGGGAAATATGATCTCCGTATGCTACCTGAAGGCATACCATTCTAGGTATGTTTGGCGGCGTGAAAGAGCCAGTTAACAAGCCATCGACACTCTGGATACCAAAATATACAACCAGCAGGCATTCAGAGGGAGCCATTTATAAGAGCTCATATTTCCAAGCTCCTGGGGTGTTGACCATCCGCAGCTAAAACACTGGAGAAGTCTTTCTAACAGACCGGGTGTGAAACTAAATGACACCAAATGATCAATTTGCAGCTGATATATGACTTTCCACCAGACAAAGAAATACTGAAAGGCTATGAAAGGTCCCAGCCATCCTCATCAAAAGAAGCCAAACAGAAGGTTGCAGAATTTGGGTTATGGAACAATACCCCATCTCCGATGAGGAGGGCGATGATCTGGGACTTGTCACTTGATAAAGGGCTGAGAAATAGCTGCCATGCGCGATCTGATCACTCTGCGATCTATCCAAGTTCTCCCTTGACTGACTTTCCAGGGTCATCGTGAGATTTTGCTCGTTATGCAATATCACCAAATTCTACGCCATTGTTGGCAGCTCCGTGCCATTTTCTTTGTGTCCAACGTGGGGCTCCTTGCCCAAACCCAGTCAGCCTCGAGCTAAGTAACTTGCTGGGCATGTAAGACAGGAGTGCTTGAAAGCTGAGAACCAGTATATGATTGCCCTGAGTTCGTGCTACTGACTCAAAGGTGAACTTGAAGTCTCAACACCGAACATTTCTAGTCAGAAGGAAGAGTTCCAAACCCGCCAGCAGTAATGGTCTCCTTTGTGCACGATCCATCCTCTCGGCAGGCGATATCACATTAAGCTAAGGCTTTACTGGATGCTCGAATTTCAGGTAGAGATTGCAGAGCCAATGAGAGCAATAGCTCGCGGTTTTCAGATTGACTGGGTAAATTGACCGAAAAGCTGAAGCCTGAGTGTCAAAGACACTGTCTAGGCCAAGTTGCCAGGCGGCTTGCACGGTAAATTCAACTTTTTATGATGATAGTGACCAAAAAGCTCTGCCATACGCGAACCCCTCACATTCCGGCCACAACTGTTCGCTGTCAATGGTCATACCTAACGACGCCATCCTGAAATGGGCTGTCCATTCGGACTGTCAGAAGCTGAGACAAGCCCTTAACAAAGCCGAAATATCAGAAGAGCAATTGTATTTCCTCTTCAAGACAGTTCCGCAGATTGATCGAGAAAAGAGATGGTTCACAACTTTCAACGGCGGAGGCGACATCAAAACCCAGTTGCGACCTTCAAAGTTTTGTCGGCCAGACAACAACGATGACCTTTTCTACAGCATTATCTGGACAGCTTTTCAGGCCTGCTCAAGCCCCTTGAGGGCAATATCCACCAAAAGAGATTGGAATTTGGAAGCACCAAATCAATGTCATGTTCTTAGCTTCATTGGCAATTTCAGCGCCTTCACCAACCCTATCTCATGGACACAAAAATGCAAACAACCGTCCTAGCTGACTCCAATTTTGCACTCTCATTCTTCCAGCGTGCTGATATTGCCTTTGCAACTGACAAAGAGTCCACAATCGATGGCCCGGAGCGTTTATCTACGGTATATTACGGATGGGCATGCGTGAAATACGGCTGGATGACAGTGCCAGAGGACGCGGGTAAGGGAGATCTCCTCATGTTGGTAGAAGCCTTCCACGCAACACCCAGTCTACCAATGCATAGTTGACTATTAGCAGCACCGATGCACTAGTCTGTCTCTCTGCTAAAGGGGCTCCTACCCTACTACATCATGCAGTTCTTTTTGCAATTCCACAAACTTCAGATCAACACTAAGGGGGTTGAGAGACGGCCGATGGAGGAAGAGAGAGTTGAAGCTAATAAATGGCTAGTCGTCCTGTCGCCTCTTGAAAGCAGCTAGATGGTGGTTGAACAAAAACACAATTGCCTGGCCGATTTCAGTGGGAGGGGCTGCTGGGTTGATTAAAGTGGTTCCAACTTATACCCACGATATGGCTCGCCAGCTCGACTCCATCGACCCATTACGCAACATGAGCTTATACTGGCATTACACGCACGGACTCTGTCAGCCCAATAGGGGAGAGCCCGCCAAAAGTTACGAAACTTGCGCGACATAGTCCATCACTGGATTCACAGTCGAATTTATGACCACTAATCAACTTAAACTCACTATCGATGAGAATTTAGCGCTGGATGCAGCACCATGTGGTCATGCTAGAATAAGAGTTCAACATTGACGGAGGTGCCCTGATTGATAAGACTCTTATTGCGAAAATGGCACCACTCAGCAACGCACAACATAACGACATTTCGATATCGCCTTAAGGGTGGTGAAATTTGGTTGTCGAACGAGCAAGAATTCGTCACGGGAACTAAAGACGGAACCTATCGGCTTCTCAATGCTTTGGAAGAGATGCCTGACTTGAGAGAGAGAGGCATATACCTGGACTAAGCAACGATTGAGTAGATCAATCTACAACGCTGCTTATCGATAGCCCTAAGCCTTCAAATCTTCTCTCAATGGCTGACAGCGCTCGAGGCCACAAATCCCAATCTGAAACTACCAGCCAAAGCTTCATAGTGGCACATTACGTATTGCGGTCATCAACGCAGAGCGACCTTGAAAGGAGTGCAGAAATCCATAACCTAGGCTTCTGAGACTGTCCTCTGCAATTGGTCGCCAGATGCCATTCTCAACAAGAGTGTGTACCGGAGACTTACTTGCGTGTACACCGTGGCAGGCATTGGGACTATCCTAGCGCAACCGACGATAATAAGCCTTATCCCATCATCAATATTTCAGTCTACGGAAGAGATTTTTTCGCACTGTCTATGGATCAATATGGTATTCTAAGTGATAGCAGATGAACACGGTGTCCAAGGCGCCGTGGGGTGTCTTCAATGCAGGTAGGATTTTCAAATTGCAATCCCCCTTAATGTTTGCAGTATTTGCAGTATGGGCGCTGATGGATACTACCAATAAGTGTTCGGAAAATTGGAGTGCAACGAAACCAAGTACGGATATCGAATCTAGATCGAGTGCTCGGTTTGTCGCACTGCCTACGAAGACACGGTCGAAAGGCTCCATGCTTCAGTTGAAGAGAGGCTGCCATTGTGACGCCAAGCTGAGCAAAACTCTGGAATATTCAACATGCTCGGCACACAGCATGACCATGGTTTTCTCTTCTGGGAAAAAGCAATTCTCTCAATATACCTATTCTGCTTCAGCCTTATCTTGACCGGGTACAGAGTACGCTGAGGACAAGGTCCTAGGAAGGCCGTCCGCGTATCGGAATCAAGGTAGCTGCAAACAAAAAGGGGATCAGCTTAATGGTACAGATACTTGTACTCAAAGAGGAGGTTGGCATGATTGAATCAGATCAGCAAACTGGCAGGAGAAGGCAAAAAAATTTGGAATTCATCGAAAAGCCCAATTTGATCTCAAACAAAGAGCAGTTTGTACATAGGTCCAAAAGCCAAGCGTGATGTAACGCCAGAGTACCGCCTTCCTTTCCACTGAAGCCTACCAAAATAACAATCAAGGCTCAAATTTGTGGCCTTGATACATACTCCGAGGATCGATCAATATTTACCGAGAAAATCAATCAACTATAATGTCAATTTTTATTGGATCAAGGACAATACTATTGGTCAAAAGGGTTTGACTGGGAAAGAAAACCTGTTACACAGTGGGTGAATGTTGCCTTGCTGAGAAACCTGTGTGTGAAAGAAAACAGACATTGAGCACTCTCAAAATGTTCTGATGATGGGCCGTCGTGCAGAAGATGGGGTTTGATGGGAATGAGACACTAGCACGGAAAGTTGGGCTTGTGATCAAGGGGTTCACAGGACTTTGGCTTACTGTGGTTCATCAGATGGATGTGTTGCGGGCTTAGTCCTTGCCACAGTTCTAGTTCATTACCATCTGTAGCCCTTCCAGGTATTTGCACACCACTCTCTGATTGGGGATAGCTCTAGTTTATGTATTAGCCATACGGTAGACTCCCTATGAGTCGTTGCCATTACAGAATGTAACGATCATCTTTCCCTCGACGCGTATTCCATACAATAAGATGCGACAATCATTTTCTGGTCGGCGAATGATTTCCGCTCGTGGTGGACCTCCTCGATCAGGGTGATTTGGTTTTATTTAGGTGCTCACATCACGATCTGGCTTTTGGCACTCTGATCGGATATCGCCTATTCCCAATAAATATTTATCATTCAAACTAGTCTGAGACCTTCCAGGGATAGAGAGCTCCAAATGAAATAGTAGCACTGCAGTTCCACGGAAGAATACATTCGTAATTCATCCTTGTAGTAGGCATTGATTATTGCTGGCAACAGTCATAAAATGAACGACCAAAATTGCTATTTCAAGTTCTCTCTTTTGCCTTTCCTCATCCTTCTGGCTAAATTCACGGCAGCCGTCAACACAATCACCTCTGACTCTGCGGAACTCAAAGATACACCTGCTGGCAATCATCATATGTCATTTGAAGACTCGCCAAATCCTTTTTTCCACGCTCACGCAAGGAAATCAGCCCTCAGTATCGAAGTCACTGTAAGAATACCATTCCCGGCAGGCCGATATGCACCTTAAATGTACCCTCAGGAGTCAGGATTGTACCGCACTTGAAGCGACTTTCGAAACCAACTCATGTAATTCCTGTGCCACAAAGTCCGGGTTATCACGCTGAATAAAATGACCCGTGTTTGGCGCCTGCAAGGGGCCTTTACTCCGTTCCGCGTCTGTGATTTTGGCCAAGCCTTCATTGTACTTGTGCCAGTAAGGATTGAAATACGTTTGAATGATAGCCTCCGAGTTACCCATCTTAACTGACTCTGCCGCAAATGTATCAAAGTCATGACCGACAACAGTGAGGAAAGGACCATGACCACCTGGTCCCTTCAAAGCAGGACCATCACTCTCAGATAGTAGAGATCGGAAGTTCTTGCGGCTAAAACCCTCCTTATTACCAACATCGGGGTGGAAGATCTTCTTCATACCCATTCGAGTACCACGCAGAGCCTGTAAGGGAATACCAGTGGGGAGAGTACTGAGATCAAAGCCCTCGGCATCGGGGTCTGGAAAAGCGGAGACGAAGTCTGTGTTGGCGATATAGCTGTCAAGTAACAGGAGTCCAGCCACTGTTCCAGGGTACTCTTGTGCGTAAAGACGAGAAATCGCACACCCAATGGAGTTTGCCATGAAGACAAGAGGCAAACTGTTTATGTCGGGGATGTTTAGCTTGTCCTTGGCGATCTGACTGATGAGTTGGCGTAGATCTTGGATAACAGCGACGGCATCGTGTCCGTGAGAGGGATCAGCAGCGTTCGCATCATTGGGATCTCGGTCCACGGTTTGTCCTTGACCATAACGATCGTAAGTCAAGATGGCGGGGAAGCTAGCTCCCTGAAGCTCCTTGAACTTGGCAATTGCAGGGCTCCAGGCCTCTTGTGGGAGTCCCAGTCCATTGAGACAAACAAGGAGCAATGGCCGCGCTCCTTGTGCGGCTTCATGAAAGCTGTAGCTGATCTGAGCGGTGGGCTTTGTGTCAAGCGAGATGAACTTTAAGTCGGCCATGATGATTGCTGTGCTGCCAGGGACTTCAGGAAGAGACAGATGTCATGGCAACCTTGGCAATTTTCAGAGCACTGTGAGATTTCAGTGCAGGATAATCAGGTGAGATTGAGGGGCAGGTAGCATTGTGGCATTTTTTGGTCAGCCTCAATCCACCTCCAGGGCTGCTTATTTGAAGTTGGGGGCCAAATTCAGGTTAACGCGAAATTCACGGGGCCAAATGAATATTTAGGTCGCAGCATTGTTGCAGCTGATAGTAGCTGAAAGGCGTAGCTGGATATCATCACGCTGAAAATTCATCTCGTCCTTGAGTTTGCGTGGTCAGTAGATCAGTAGAGTCAGTACGGAGTACTCCATAACAGGTAGAATAAAAGATTCTTGGTTCCACCTGCCACCTCAATAGCCAATTATGGTGGACATCACGAGTGGATCCACCAAAAATTGGACTTTATATGGAGAACGGGGTCGTTAATAACTCAATAGCTTAACCTTGGAGTACTACCAGTAGCTTAATAGCGCGATAATCAAGCACTGGCAACTTCAAGTTGCGGTGTACCACATACTAGTAGCACTCCAGGGCTTGAGAGCCCTGGATGGCGAGAACTTGGAAGGTTATAAATATTTAGATTCGCCTGGTCTTCTCAGCATTCGAAACAAGATTCTAATTACATTCGAAATCAGTTTAAGTATTTCAGTACTTTCAACATGCGGCTTCTTTCTTATACTTTGATTTGCCTTTTTGGCACTACGCTGGCGATGCCAGTCCAAAGCCAAGGAGCTCAGGCGTTATCGGAACGACAAAATGAGAATTACCAATCCGGTACCAATTGGTAGCAAATGATGAAGGAATACTTGGAGATGTAGCACATATCCCGTGAGTTATGAATCTATCTTGCTAACTAATGAATAGTCCCACAGAACTAATAAAGCATAATAAATAGGAACAGCTTGAAGGAATTGCCGGCGAGACAAGACGCGGGCGCTGCAGCCGGTGCTGCTGGAGATGGAGTCGCAAGTGGTCTTCAGGCTGTAGCCAACGTCGGTAACGAGATAGCGTCGGGCGTGTAAGTCATGGATCTACCCCACTTAGCTGATGACTAGTTCAACAGGACTAATAGCGAATAATACATAGTAGGGAGAACGCATTATCGAAACGGTTATTTCGGAACCCAAAATCCGGCGATAGATCAGGAAAAGGGCGTGTTAACAACTTATTGGCAAATTTGAAAAATACCTTGTGAGTGATGGATATACCTTATCCAACTAATGACGATTTCAGTAGAACATTGAACTTACACAGGGAGGATGCTGTTTAATAGGTAGCGCTGAGCCTTCAAATGTTTGACAGATCCCATGTAAATTGTCATGGGATACGTCAAGATTATCTCAAGATCAACCTTGGAACCAACTCGGAATGATCTTGGAGGTATTCTGCTCTCATGATCTCTCTACGCCTTTTCAAGTTCATGGGGGCTTTCTGTATCCTTTAGGTTTATGAAGACTTCCAAGTGCATACTCAGATGCTCGTCATCATTCATAAAATTGAGCATGGCTCGTTACTATATACAAATATGCAAACGTTGGAAGCGTGCTTCGTAGTAACTCATCAAAAATCGTTAGACAAGACACAGCAAAAAACAAAAAAAAAAACAAATCAAAATTAAAATGGACAAGAATCAGGATCACGCCCACTGAGGATGAGGCAGCTGGCTCCGAGTAGCTACCATCGTGCTGATCATGGCAAAAGTTGCACCTCCCATAATTTCTAAAACCGCAAGATCAGCCAAAAACTCCTTTGAAGTCCAGTTACATAGCTCAACAGCCAACATTGAGTCGACTCGGTAAGTGTGCAATGGAGCATGCTCGTCAATTATTGTGTCCTCCGAGATTAAGCGATACGAATGGACTAGTTTGTCCATAAGTGCCTGATTAACAATCTCCCGTCCCTCTTGTAAGGTTGTGGTCTTCAAGAACAGGCCTCTTGGATTGATCTTGCCTGTATCTTGACTGACAGTTTCGAGACCTGCACGTTCGAGCCTGAGTCGACTGAAAAAGGGCTGTTCGATGATAGTGTTGTCTCCATGGGATCCGTCAGAGCCACTCGAGAGTCCGACGACTACCTGGGCGCAATCTGGGGTAGGCAGCGCCCGAGCAGGATTGCAGTAGAGTGACAATAAAGCCAGGAATTGTGCCCGAGTCACTGGTGCTAAAGAACCGTATTTAATAACTTGATCGAGAAAGCCATCTGTCTCAGACAAAAGTCCGTCATCAACCATCGCACCAAGATCAATGGAAACCGCCTTGCGACCGTGCGCAACATGATTTCGAGCAAAGCAATCCAAGAAGGAATTTCCCGCGGCGTAATTTGCTTGACCTTGTAGTCCATGAACTCCACTCAGCGAGGAGAGAAGAACGAAGAAATCCAGATCTGCGGGAAGGTTTTCCGCAAGGTGCTTTGACCCAAGCGCCTTGCATTCCACCGCGACGCGCCAATTTTCGTAACTCATTTCGCCAAACAGCTGATCGCGAAGGACCATTGAACCTTGGACACAACCACGAATTGGTGGCATGGTCTTGGATACTTCGTTCATCACAATTTGAACAGCAACTGCATCCATAACGTCGCAGGGAGGTGCATAGACACGCACGCCTATTGCCTCTAGCTGTTGAATAAGATCCAGGGCTTCTTGAGTTTTAGGGCCCGACCGTCCCAGTAGAACGAGGTTTCGAGCTCCCTGTGCAGCTAACCATTGGGCCGTGACTCGACCAAGTCCACCAAGACCACCAGCTAAAACATATGTCGCATCTGAGCTCAAAGTAAAGGGAACTTGAACGGCCAGCTCAGTTGGAACACTGCTCTTCAGTGTAAGATCAATTACAGGCTGTCCAATCATGTCACCATCCTGCATTGCTCGGAATGTCTCTTCGATACTGGCTGCATCCTTCACCTGGGAAATTTTACCGGGAGAAAGGTTTCCTGACTGAACAAGTGGAAAGATGTTCTGCAATGCGTATTGAACCATATCAGGTCGCTCATTCATCCAGCTCACAATCTCAAGTTGAGTGAACGATGCTTGGCAGGCCAAATCAGAGAGGATTGTTCGTGCAGCTGGGGGGTGAAAAAGCAAGATGAATCATTTGACCATAGGATGCAACACAGGTCCAAGATGCTTGTTGGAATTCTCCCTCGATGAAGTTAATAACCAGGTCTACTCCGCGACCTTTCGTCATCTTGAGGATGCCGCGTGCGAAATGAGTGCCCCGACCGTCAAAGATTCGATCTGTGGTGATTCCATATCGCTCAATCAACAGTTGTCTGCTCTCATCACTGTTTGCAGTGGAGTAAATTTCAACACCGAAATACTGAGCTAATTGAATAGCCGCTTGACCGGCTGCACCAGCACCATCATGAATGAGTATACTCTGTCCTCGACGCATGCGACCGATTTCAATCAAAGCATGCCACATGAAACCAAATGTCACGGGAATACCTGCTGCTTGAGGGAAAGGAAGATCATCTGGGAGAGGATAGAGAGTGGCTGCTTTGGTTCGGACTCGAGTTTTGAACTTTCCGGCACCAAACGTGAGAACTCGATCACCTGGAGAGAAGCCTGAATCTTGACCCGCATGAATAACATATCCTGCAGACGCAAGCCCAAGTGTAGTGCGAGGAGTTTTGCCCAAAGCGATCAATACATCAGCCCAGCTAATCGCAGCGGCCTTGTTGTCTATCAAAACCTCATCTGACAGAAGCGGAAGAGCTTTATTGTCGTCATTATCAGTCCAGTGCAGAGCTGTAAGCAATCCCGGGGAGCGAACTGCAAGCTGAACTGAAGGAAGTTCGTCTAATGGCTTTATACATGATTCATAAGGTTGGGATGCGTGGTGGAGCTCTTCTGTCAATGCAGATGCATGCTCGAGTCGCGGCACATGAAGTTGACCCTGAATTTCAACGAACTCAGGCTCATAGGTCGTTTGGAGTATGTCAAGAAGGGAGCGATCGATGATGGAAATGATGTGTTGGGCATGGTGACTCTGGAATCCATCTGCAAGATCCAGAGCCAATGTACAGATCCGTCGACTGGCCTTTTCATTTCGTAGACTTCGTGCCCAACCATCAACAAGACCATATTCGGGACGCTTCGAGCTCTCACCACCACCGGTTGTAACCCAGAGAATGGATTTGGACTCATTGGTAACTTGCTGAATCTGACAGAAAGTTTCACGGCTCATATCACTCAGGAGTGGTTTCTCAGTTTCCACCAGGAAGATCAGAGTCTCTTCTGCGATGCTTGGAAGCAAACTCAGATCCTGCAAGCTCTTGACGGACAGTGTTGACCCTGGGTATCGCAATTGAAGACCCAAGCTCACCTGCGCTATGGCACTTTGCTGCACAGGCGAGGTTTCATCGACAACGAGGCACACTGGGAATGATTGAGCTGGAGGCACGGCACTGCCTGCGGTAGCTACCATGATGTTGGCTTCCTGGCATTCATCTTCCTGGTACTCAGGAAAAGTAACGTCAACCCCACGGAAACCAGACTGTTGGAGCACGGTATCCCATTCAGAAACTGCAAGAGCTGGACTCCACAACCGCCCTTCGTCCACTCCGCTCCACCACCCTTCCATCAAACCGGCGATGAAGCCCGATCGAATGATTTCAGGCCGCGTGATCTCATACAACATGAGTTTGCCCTGTGGTTTCAGGAGTTGACAAACATTTTGCATTGTTTTCCGTAGTTCGGGAGTCGCATGGAGAGCGTTGGCCGCGACGATCAAATCATACGATGCAAGTTCGAATCCCTGACTGGCGGGATCTTGGGTAATATCCAACATTTGGAATCCCATGCGAGGGAATTGACCGAAGCGCTTTGCGGCTTTCTCAAAAAACGCAGACGAGATATCTGTGTAATCATAGCTGCCATACAAAGCATCCTTCTCAGCAAGACCTATATCTGTTGACAAAATGTGCAGCATCTGAGTAGTTGTGCCTCCTGTACCAGCACCAATTTCAAGGATTCGCATCGTTGGGTTCTTCCGACCGAGCGCTTGAAGATACCGTCCCCATGGACGAAATGAGCCGGGTCGGTTATTGAGCTCGGTGTACCATTTCACCATCTGATCTCCAGTGAAGAGGAACTGCAGCGGGTTCTGCTCGCCTCGAAGGATACTCAGGAGGTTGCGACCGGTGTGAACATAGATCGATCCCAGGTCATTGGTTTGAGCAAGTCGGTTACAGGCAGTCTCGAAGTATGTCTCGTCATTTAACAAATCGTTCCATTCTGGTCGGCTGAGTGGCAAAGACCCAGAACGAAACAGGTTTTGCTGCAGTTGAGCCCACTCTGTGTATCGATGGATATGGGGAAAGATTGAACTGGAAGTTGCCGGATCAGCAGAGAGTGATTTAAGAGCATCATCTAAAAATTTATAGGCGACAAAGTTCAGTTCACGGAAGAATTCGAGGGGTTCAGCCTCTTGAGGTAGTGCTGGTGCGCAATAAAGGGCTACCTGTGTCGCATTCATTGACTCAACGTCAGGAACATGCTGGATATGGTAAGTGGGAAGAATAAAATTGCTCTCTTGTGTTGCTGAATCGCTTTGATCTGCCACATTGGTGGATTGAAGACCATTTAATTGGACCAAAACACGCTCTTCTTGCTCATCAGTGGCACCGATGTCAAACTCATGGCCGCGAGAGTGCATCGTCTTCATGCTTGCTGAAGCCCGAATTTTCAATGCTGAAGGACCACTTAGACCCTCCCGTGCAATCCACAGACGTCGAATTCCAGTTGGTACCGCAGTCGTCATCTTCGAATCGTTTCCTCCAGTCAAAGCAGCGGCACTAAAATGCAGGATTCCATCAAGGGTCGTCGGGTGGATGATGTGAGGTTGCGGGTATTGACTAGCAGGCCACTGAAACACCTTGATGCCCGCTGTCGCCTGCTGTCCGTTGCACCTCCCTTTCAATACTGTCTGAAAAGCTGGACCGAATTCGTATCCATTGCGATGGAGAGTCGAGTATAGAGTCTCAGGGACCAGATCAGTGGTGCATGCACTGGCGATCTGATTCTTTGCCTCTAACCAATCCTCGAGGATCGAATCGACAGGTTCATCATAGTCCACCTTGATGCGACCGTGACAATTCTCATGCCATTCATCGTTCTCATATGAGCAAAGTCGAAATTCCATCCATGGCTGTGGGCGGCCGTTCTCAGTCAGTGTGCGTAAAAGGAAATTGGTTTCAACTCCTTCGCTATCTCGGGGAATGGTGAGAGCACGTTGGAACGCCACGTCTTGAATCTCAAAGCCCGAGATACGACGAGTACGATCAACAGCCACTTCGTGAGCAGCTTCAATAGCCATGACAATCATGCCAGCAGCGGGATATATGAGTCTCCCTTTGACCACATGGTCGTCCACCCAGGGCATCTCTGTCAATCGAATATGGTGTCTCCATCTAGCTTCCAGGGGATTCCAGTCTGCAGTTTGCTTACCAAGAAGATCAAGACGACCGTTTCCGAGGCGGATTCGCTTGCTCACTCGTCCCTCTCGCCAGTACGGAGTCGAGTGGTTGAAGGGATATGATGGAAGGTTAACAAGGAGTCGTTGATGTTTTTGAACTGGGTCGCTGAGTCGGTTCAAATTTTTCATATTGACCGAAACGCCCAAACAATAGAGACGCCCGATGGTATCCAGGAATGTATGCTGTGCATGCTCTTCTCGACGAAGAACTGTGCAGTACTTGATATCTTGGCCCCAAGTCAGAGTGTCCAGGGTGTCACGGATGGGTCCTTGGAGCGCCGAGTGAGGCCCAATTTCAACCAAAGTGTTAATTCCTGGTTGACCTCGGTGACTGCAGTCCAGCTTCTTGCGGATCCTCCTCCCGGGCTCGGTACATACTCCCAGAATCGCCTTGGTGAACTGGACCGGGGATACAAGGTTGGCAACCCAGTAGTCAGGGCTGGCTAACTGTGATGCTTGGACTGCGTGGCCTGTTACCGAGGAGACCATCATAATGCCTTTGGATGACTTGACCGGGGTTTGTTGTTTGAGACCTGTCAAATTCGCCCGATATGAGTCTGCAATTTGGTTCATCTGAGCCGAGTGATATGCCACTGGGACTCGCAGTTTGCGTGCAAAGACCTTATCTGCCTCAATAATACTCTGCAGCTGATCTACCTGATCTGACTCTCCCGAGACTGTGACACTCTTTGGACTATTGACACATGCGATGCCAAGTATACATGTTCTACCGTCATCCTTCATGTTGCTGATCAAGATACGGTCAATATATGCTTGTGCCTGCTCTGCGGAAAGTCCTATCGCAAGCATTGCACCGGAAACTTGGCTGATTTGTGCTAGCTCTCCCGCACATACCCCACGGAAATATGCAATTCGCATCGACTCCGACAAGGAAATAGCCTGAGTTGCGTATGCAGCCGCAATCTCGCCTGATGAATGTCCAATTACAGCTGCAGGTCGAACGCCAATTTCGTGGAGTAGGTCCACCAAAGCAATTTGCATAGCAGTATTTGCTGGCTGCGCTAGCTCTGGGTCATTAATTCGACTGCTGGTCCTAGGACGAAGAAGCTCGGTTACCAAGGACCACGAACAGCCGAATGAATCTAATGCTTGCTGGCATCTTTCAATGCTGTTACGGTAACCTCGATATTGCAACAGCTCTCGACCCATTTCAGCCCATTGAGCGCCTTGACCTGTGAATACAAACCCTAGAACAGGAGAATCTTGCGTGGTTTGGGCTGGATATATTTTTTGTTCCACATTGCATAGATCTTCGAGACTTGAAGCAACCCAGAAACTCTTATGTGTCATTTCGCTCCGGCGTGCATTCAATGTGTGAGCCAGGCTATCCATGAAATTTGGCAAATCTCCGTCTGAAATGGGGAGGCCTTTGAAATACGATCTGTAACCTTTGACTAAATCCTTCATACCTGCCTTGCTCGATGCAGAGATTGTGAGGAGTTTTGGAACAGATACAGGAAGACAGTCCATAGACAATGAAGGGCTTGGTGAGGAATCCAGAGATGGTGTTTGGACTGTGCAATGATTGCCGTCTAGTCCATGATCAAGGAGAAAATTAAAAGCATCATCCAAAACCACATGAGCATTGGAACCTCCCAGGCCGAAGGAATTAACGGAGGCTCTTCGGAGACCGGGCGATGGCCATGGCATAGCTTCAAGCGGGAGTCGGAGATTGAGTAACTCCAAATCAATGCGAGGATTCGGCTTCTCAAAGTTTGTATTTGGTGGGATAATTCCCTTCTCCAGTACCATTATAGTCTTAATAACCGCAGCTATACCACTTGCACCTTCGAGATGCCCAATATTTGATTTAAGAGCACCGACAATGAGTGGATCGGCGGTGCTTCGAACGCCTCGAAAGGCTTCTCCAATGGCATCACATTCAATAGGGTCACCCACTGGAGTTCCTGTTCCATGCGCCTCAAAGAAGCGAGTGGGCTCGAGGCTTAATCCTGCCTTTTCGTATGTATGGCGGATGAGTTGGGTCTGAGCAGCAGGACTAGGCTGCATGATACCTGATACTGTCAACCCATCTTGATTAGATCCCGTTGATCTCACCACGGCACGGATAGTATCGCCATCACGGAGAGCATCATTAAGACGTTTGAGCACCAGGGTACCAGTTCCTTCACCCCGACAAAAGCCATTGGCACGATGATCAAAACTGTAGCTTCGAGAGTCCGGCGATAACATATTCACGTTTGACTCGATTTGCATAATATCGGGAGATAGGATGAGGTTGGTTCCGGAAACAATACCCATCTCAGCTTCACCATTTAACAGACCTTGACAAGCCAGATCCATGGCTACTAGACTGCTTGAACAAGCTGTGTCGATATTCATACTTGTCCCTCGCCAGTCAAAGAACCAGCTCAGACGGTTGGCATTCATACACATATTCACACCAACGGTGTCATAATCGGCAGTCATCTCGATATCCTTCAGGCACATAAGTCGGTAATCACTCCCAAAACAGCCCACATGGACTGAGGTCTGGGAACCGGCCATTTTTTCCATTGGTATTCCCGCTGACGGTCATTTCATCAGCTTCGACTCTATTATATCTGAGGATGACTAGTCACGTACCGTTTTCCAATGCTGCATATGTGACTTCAAGTAAATGGCGTTGTTGCGGGTCCAGAGCCGCGGCCTCATCACTGGAAAGGGAAAAGAAAGCCGCATCGAATAATGAAACATCTTCTTTTAAAAAACAGCCACCTCGTGCTGTAAATTGACCTCGCCTCCTCTTGTCTGGATGACACCATCCAGATACATTGATCCGATTAGAAGGAAACTCTGTCATGGCACATCGTTTGTCTATGAGCATCTGCCAGAAGTCGCCATCGTTGACAGCTTCTCCAGGGAATCGGTATGAATAACCCACTACAGCAATAGGCTCCAGCTTGCATGAACTAAACGTACATGCAGGACCGCTGGCTTGTTCTGCAAGTACATCAGGGTCTTCGTACATAAGTGGAGCCATTGTGGGATATATGAAATAAGAAATAAGAAAAGCCGGAGATGAAACAAAATCACATTATTTTGAGATTCAAGCCACCCAAGTGCCAGGTAGCTATGTGGGCTATGTATATACTACCTATGAAAAGCCGTCTGATCGCTGTCTACGCGGAATACCAATCTCAGGAATTGGATTCGAAAGTCGCTCATGCCAGGTGGAAAGACTCGCCCCCATAATAACGTGGAAACCAACCTATCCGGCTCCTTGGCTTCCAAACCCTCAAGCCCTTTGCCAGTTATCTGGATACCGGCGCCACAAGGTCCACTATGAAGTCTTTCCCGTTTAATCGAATCCACTGTATTGGAAGTTGAAAGACCCATAAGACCGGTGAAGAATTGACACTTCATCAGGAAACCCGAAAGTATGGCTCCGATGCCAAAAGATGTGCATTATGAAGAGATCATGATACCCGTTACGCGGCTTCATATCAATATTCAACTAACTTAATTAATACCAGTTATTCCGAAGGGCTTTGTACTAGTCCATACAGAACCTTGGAAGGCACAGGATTTGCTTATATTTTCCCGTGTCAGATGAGCGCTAGATTGACATCTGCATCATAGTGGAGTCAAGCCAAGCGGCTAGAAGGTCTTTTTTGACCAGACAAGGTAACTGTCCCGACTTGGGTGGCATCTTGCCGTCTGTGCTCTTAACAATGTATTTTGAATAGGTGGCTTTTTGTCTGACCGATATTTAGTCTATAATAGCGGGAGAACTTGAATTGATACTCATACTAAGAAATCTCCACTTACTACTGTACTCCGTACATACCCCTAGTGGGCCTACTGCAAGAACGTTGATACCTATTTGACCCGCAGTTTTGCGGCCGAGAACGTGAGGGGAAAGATGTGCAATCCATCTAGCTGATGAACATTATAATCGACAGAATTTAAAGAACTTATTCTATGATTATGGGTTAAGCTGACATTGGTAATGACTGACTAGTACATGAACAACGCACCCGTGGACACGATGAATTCATAAGTTGAAGTTTCTTAGGCCCGCGCCGCTTTGTCCCGCGCTGATAGAATATTTGAACCTTGAAATCCACTGTTAACCACGAAGCGAGGGTTTAATTCTACGCTTATGCATTGGTAAGTTCTCCAGAATTCGTGGATCGAATCAAGCACTTGATTATTCAAGTTGTAAGTCATTCATTGATGTATATATGACTTTCCCATCCGTTAACTGGTTTTTTTGTGCCCTAGAGTGACTTGAAACATTGAATGTCAAATTGATATAAAACCCGCCCCTCAACCGATCAAAACAATATTACAAAGTGCCCAAATGGCTTGAATTATGCATGATTTGTCTGGCTCCGGAATCATCATCCAAGCATTCAAGTTCCAAGACTGTTCCAAGGTTACTATGGCGCTAATAGTACCAGTAGGATGGAATTTAACCTAGCGGCCCCCGTTTTATTATTCTGAATTTCTGACATGCATTGACTCTCAACCTTGGAAGGTCAAATTGGCCACTGGCATGTAGCGAGTACGCATTACGAGTTCGCATTTACATTAATTATGTAGTTATCGCTGAAAATCGGTACCTGGGATGATAGCGCAACCATGTCCACGTTAGTTGTTTCTGAATACTGGACTAAAATGTTCACTACTATTCCTATTTACTAGTAGTACGTACTCACAAGACCAAGTATCTGCTTCCGAGCTTGGCGCCATGAAATTAAAGGGGTAGAGGACCATTTCCATGAAATTAAAATCATAGTTGCCTTGAACTTGTCTTTTGAAAAAAAGAAAAGACCATAATGCCCAGGTGAAAGAAGAAAAACAAACAGATTGAGTGCTTATTGAACATCCACATAAAGTCTTGCACCGATCATCACCTGGGCATATTTACCTCGGGATCGACATCGCACGTTGGAGTGCATACTTTATGTAAGATCCACCTGGGAGTTGGAGATGTCTCAAAAAATTGGGGCCTCTTGGTTAGCGCTGAGTCTAGTGCTTACAAGACCCATTACTCTTCACGAACAAAAGATCATCCCATAGTCTCATGTTCAATACATATCTGCCCATTCGAAACCGAATTAAAACTGAACGTAAGACTAATAATAGTCGTATGTATGCATGTGCCCTATACCCAATAACACAACCTTGCAATTTCTACTGTGGACCTTAACCAACCCACACTTCCAGCTGGGAATTCCGAGTCTGCAGATCCATTAACTGATTCATTTCTATTCAAATTTTACACAGAAATCACAACTTGAATGACACGGCACGGTGCGTAACCTAATTTTACCCCACCAGTACCGCTCTTCCCACTGTTCTGCGGATCGCCCGAACACTGTTCAATAAGGCGTCCTTTGCCCGTGCTCCTGGGACCGCATGCCCCTCGTCGTGCAGAAAGATAGTTTGCTCTTCCGGGTCACAGACTGAAGATAGCCTCTCACTCCGATATCCCCATAATGTATCATTTCGCCCCCAAATATGAGCCGTCGGCAATCCCGAAAGGAAGGGTCTACCGGGCACTGGATCGAGAAGAGAAACTTCACCCCGCGCCAAAGCATTTGGGTCTAAAGGTGCCCCGCCACATAGAAAGATTGCGCATTTGAATGAGAGGGGTTTGTCAGGATTTGTTATCCGTTCCCGAATGAGATACGTGGCTGAAAGTGCAGCCCCAATGGAGAAGGCAATGATTCCATCATAGGGACCTTCAAGTGCGATAAATTGACTTAAGTCATCAAGGGCTTTATTCACACTCTCTGCAGACTCATGGGAAAAGTAATCATAGTATGCGCCCTCAAGAGGGAAGATGCCCACTAGTTCTAAGGGAATCATATTGATTAATCTAATTTCCACTAAAGCGGGGGTTTGGGGGTTTAAGTAAATAACCTACCGGGGGCGAGGGAAGCAGGAAGGATTCCTTCAACAAAATCATAGGTATGACTATCTCCTAATTCATGTCGGAGAGCGGCCAGCTGGGTCTCCAAGATTTGGTTGTTGGTCCCACGGCCATGGAAACAGAGGAACCGCATGGCGATCAGGGATGCATAAAAAAGAGATGCGAAGTACCGAGTACGGAGTGCCGAGTACAAACTTAACAAGTTCCAAGCCTGCAAGAACTAATGAAGAAAAAGGAGCATGCTTTTATGGGGCAACTATGGAGGCCTATTGGTGCAATCGTTTATCATTTCCCCAATCCCTTATTAAGATGCATATCACCAATGTTACTTTATTTCCCTAGTACTCCCCATTCTTTGGCCCCCATTATAGCGCAGGATTCACCTGCAGAATATCATTGATTTGCTTTTTGCCCACTGATTTTGGCCCCCATTCCTAATTCCTCACGGACACTTCCCGTTGCATGTGTTACACTACATGGTAGTCGACATGGCCCCAAGCGAGATACTAACTATAGCATCGTTGGTTATGTCTCTTCCCATTTCAAATCTCCTCCTTGTTGCTGTCGTGTTGTGATTTCTTTCCTTTGTCTTTTTTACTTTCAAGCATTCATCATGGTGGCAAGCGAGGAGTATTCACAGGCGTACCTACACGAGAGCCGCCAGTCAATCGTGGCTGGTGTAGCGATTTTCTACATCGTCATCCAGACTATCACTCTCGCCTTGCGACAACTTTCCAAATACGTTGGAGGACTTCGCCTAGGATGGGATGACTTTTTGATTGCTTTGGGATTTGTTCTCTGCGTTACAGTGGCTGCTTGCTCTTTAGGTATGTTGGTCCTCTCGTTCTCCTCAATCGACTATGGGTGTCAGACTGACTCAGGAGAATGATAGATGATGTATACAAAGGCGGTGTTGGTCTTCATGAGGTTCGAGTGGAGCAGATTGACCCTGGAATGCTGGTTGTTTGGGGCCACTGGATTATCATCATCCCCCTCATCTACTTTTCGGCAGTAGTTCCAGCCAAACTCGCGATCATCCACCTCTACCTCCACATCTTCACAGACAAAAAGCTTCGCATAACATGTTGGGTTGTTGCAGCAATCATCATGGGTAACTGGTTTGGAACAACCATTGCCGGGTTCCTTGCCTGTCACCCACTGAGTTATTTCTGGACACAGAAGGGAAAATGCTTCAACATCAACGCTTTCTTCCGCTGGAGTGGACTGGGAAATATCCTCACAGATACCATCATGCTTGTACTTCCAATCCCTATGGTATGGAATCTTCATGCCTCTATACGCTTGAAGCTGGGTATCGCGTTCACTTTCTTCCTGGGGAGTATCGGATTGATCTCTTCCATTCTCCGATTTTACGAGTTCTATGTGACCAACGCTGAGGTCGATGGAACCTGGAATGGAGCCCAGTTTGTTTTGTGGTGCGTGATTGAGTCTGGTACCTATCAAGTCGCTGCTTGTTTCCCATTATATCGCCCGCTGGTCAGGTTGATTGGACGTAAAATGAACTTGACCTCACGGGGAGATAGCCGAGGTGATTCGGTTAACGATACAAAGTCCTCTGAATCACGATTCCAACGGACACCAAATGAGCGCAAACATGGTGGACGTTTTCAGTCACTAAAAGGAGATTCTCTCTCTATTGATGAAGAGGATGGAGTCGGACTTGTCCCAATTGCTAGTGCGCATCATCACTCGGAGGTTGCTCCGGGCCAGGGTAACATCTACAATGTATAGCATCATTTTTGGGGTAATGAGGACCACCCAGTATTGTCACATATATGTATACGAAGAATTTATATGATAATAATTTTATACACTACATGGAATTATGAATTTAGAAAAAAAAATATATTCAAATTAGTCACTTAATGTATGAAAGCCAGCTGCGAGACTAGAACAACAACAAGTACTATCATCGGATTCCCGGATAGATGCTAACCCGACTCAATTTTGAACATTTGGCCCCCATCTTTCTGGCTGTGATTCAGCAGCACTTGTCTTTTTGAGTCTTGTAACTGTGGGACATTTTAACAGCCCTAGAATTTTTCAAGAAATATTTTTTCAAGAAATGTATTGGAGCATAGCCATGCGCCCGTAGGATCCCGGTTTAAATTGCAAGTTTCTTTGTCTCGTTATGATCCCTGTTCCCACTGATAGTCCCCCTCTCTATTATTTCACATAAAGGGCCCCCCCTCTTGAAAAGAAGAGCGCAGTTTTTCTTTCTTTATTTTTCCTTGTGCTGATTCAAAATATTTCTTTATCCTTATCCTTCTGATTCTTTGAATCAAACACATTATGGCTACCTTTGACCCATCGGACTTCGATCCCCGGGCTCAACTAATCCCTAATCTAGTTGATCACTATGCGGCCTCTAAGCCTGATGCTCTTTATGCTGAATACCCCACCAATCCTATGAGTTACGATGATGGATATAGAAAGATCTCTTACAAGATCTTTGCCAATGCCATCAATGGTCTCGCATATTGGTTAACAGAGACATTGGGTCCGGGTAATGGCGAAGTGCTTTGCTACGTGGGTCCAAACGACCTCCGGTATCCCGCTTTGGTTCTGGGTGCCGTGAAGGCTGGTTATTGCGTACGAATTACCCCTCAAAAATGGTCTTCCAGAATACGTGGCAGCTAACAATTGTACTATGGTAGATGTTTTTTACATCTCCACGTAACAGCACTGCAGCTCATAAGTATCTGTTGGAAAAACTCGACTGCACCACCTTCTTGACTCCTGTGCCGAGGCCCCCTTTCGTGGGGCCTATCTTAGAAGGATGTTCAGTCAATCCTATAGATATTCCAAGCCTGGAAATACTACTTACAACAGAGTATCCGCACTTTGAATTCAACAAGACATACCCTGAAGCTGGATCAGAACCTCTTGTCTTCCTACATACATCCGGGTCGACAGGTATTCCTAAGCCCATTAAATGGACTCACGAGTCTGCCGCGACGCACATGCGTATGAACCGAATGGAAATTCCCGAGGGATGTGAGGGACAAGACCGAAAGTCCTTTGGGAAGAGAATGTATATGACAATGCCTCCGTTCCATGTAAGTTGATAAGCAGATGAGCCAATGTCAAAAATGAATACTAATGCCCTATCAGGCTGCTGGAATTGGCTTTATTGTTTTCATCACAATGCCGGTAATGACTACTCTTATTATGCCCACATCGGCTGGTCTGCCTACTGCCGCTGGCCTTGTAGCGGCGCGGAAGCAAACTCCGTTCGACAATGCCCTAGTCGTGCCATCTATTGTACTGGAGTTGGCACAAGACCCCGAGCTTCTAGACTACTGTTCCACTCATCTAGATCACATTGTTTACTGTGGCGGTGATCTACCACAGGCTATTGGAAATACAGTCGCAGCCAAGATCCCTCTAATGAATGGATATGGCGCGTCAGAGCTGGGAATTCTGAATGTGATCCACGCACCTGACCGTGATCCACTGCAAGACTGGCGGTATCTCCAGTTCAACCCAGAGCTGGGAGTGGAGCATCGCCATGTTTCCGGGGAAGAGTATGAAGCGGTTGTGGTCCGTACCCCGTCCCGTCAAGCCTACCAGTTCCCATTCACCATCTTCCCGGATCAGCAAGAATATCATACCAATGATCTTATGGTCCGCCACCCTACCAAGCCTAATCTCTGGCGTCCTTCTGCTCGTGTGGATGATGTTATTGTCTTCCTCAATGGAGAGAAAACAAATCCTGTCACATTTGAGCACCAAATTGTGTCCGCAAACCCAGAGGTCACTGGATGTCTCGTGGTTGGCGCTCAACGATTCCAAGCTTCACTTATGATCGAACTTGCCGGTGGTAAGGCCCTGAGCGTGAATGACCGCGCAGAAATGATCGAGAAACTCTGGCCCAGCATCGAGGAAGCCAATTTCCCCACTCCTGCCCATGCTCGCATCGCCAAGAGCCATATTATCTTCACCTCGCCTGAGAAGCCGATACCTCGTACAGGCAAGGGAACCGTCCAGCGCGCTGGAACACTCATGCTTTATGCACAGGAAATTGAAAATCTTTATGCTGATGCAGATAAGTTAGCTGAGCTCGATGCGAATCACCAAGATGGGCCTGGTGGGGTCGATGATACCGCCCAGGTGGCCGAGTATATCAAGACATCAATCTTAGCCATCACAGGCTGGAACCTAGAGAGTTTTACTAGTGAGGAGAACTGGTTCAACCTTGGCCTGGATTCTCTTCAGGCCATTACAGCTACCCGTGTGCTTAAGCGAGGCCTCAACCTCCAAAGTCTCACCCCGAACGTGATTTATCTGAATCCAACCGTGGTCGGACTTACCCACGCGCTCCAGAATCTTCACCAGACTAGTGAAGAATCTACTGAGGCTAAGAATCAAGCGTTGATTCTAGAGCGGGATCAGTTGCTGAAGGACCTGATCGGACAGATCAAGATTACCGAGACACAGAAGCCTGAAGAACCCCCAGCCACCCACTCGGTCATCCTGACAGGATCCACAGGCCAACTGGGTACACACCTGCTCAACACTCTGACGAATAGTTCCCAGGTTGAGCACGTTTACTGTCTCGACCGAGATGACCGTGCCCGCGATCGCCAGCTGGAACGCGCAGCAGCCTATGGGCTTGCCCCGGCCGACGAGGCTCGCGTCAGCTTCTGGAAAGCTGATCTCAGCCAAGCTGACTTTGGGTTACAGCAAGAGCAGCTTCAGAAGTTACAAGAGCAAGCAACACTTGTCTTTCACAATGCTTGGCCCGTTAACTTCAACCTCTCCCTGGCTTCATTCAAGCCAAATTTGACAGGTGTGGTTAATCTCATCAACTTTAGCAGTCAGGCTGTTCGCTCTCCACGCCTGCTCTTTGTTTCCTCAATCAGCTCGACTCTGGGTCACCAGACAGAGACCGGGCTTATCCCTGAAACTATTATCACGACTACGACTCCGGCTCCGAACGGCTACGCTAATAGCAAGTACATCTCCGAGCATCTCCTTGGATATGCAGCACAACAAGGCCTTCCCCACCCTGCATTTGCGCGTGTTGGTCAAGTCGCCGGTCCTATCCGTTATCCTGGATTGTGGAACAAATCAGAGTGGTTCCCGAGCGTGGTTTTGAGCTCATTGCACCTTGAAGCTCTTCCAGATTCCCTTAGTCTGGACCGTATCGACTGGGTGCCTATTGATCTACTTGCTGAGATCCTAGTTGATGTGGCTCTTCTCAATAATTCCAGCTTAAGTGTCTATCACCCTGTCAACCTGAACCCCAAGTCCTGGAAGGAAATTCAACCCTTTGTTGTGGATGCTCTTCACAAGATTGCTGGAAAAACTGTGGAGACTATTCCTCTGCGCGATTGGGTAATACGTGTCCGAAAGGACGTGGAGGCTGCCAGCCAGGGTGACAAGGTTTTGAAGGAGGCGGAACTACAGGCTCATCTTGCCAAGAATCCAGCTGCTAAGCTACTTGAGTTTTTCGAGGGTTTGGTGGCCCACACGACCCCTGAAAGTGCGTTGGATACACAGAATACTGCTCAGGCTAGTGATAAATTACGTGAAGTCGATGCGGTAAAGTCAGAGTGGATTGAGAAATGGGTTGGGGAGTGGCTGCAATAGATCTAGATGTCTTGGATCTGTGCATTTGAAACTGTTATGTATTCCAAGTATATAACGTTTCTCACGAGTAAATGAATGGAATATTTTGCATCAGTCGATCACACTTATGTTTGAGAGAATTGGCTCTACAACATAACTTCGAGTCTCGCTGAGACTAGAATCGAAGTCTGGCACCGTACGACTTGATGAAACATGAACGCTGCCCAGATGTGCAAGGCCTGGAAGGATAAATCTGATCCTATAGGATTCACCACCCTTTACCTCAATTGATGAGTCCCAGATCCCTGCCCCATGCACATGTGTGGTTTTGTCGACGGGATCTGTTCTTGAATCTTAAGCTGCATATGTGCTTGTTCATCTACGCAGTCATCTGCTTGGCGTGCTATCTTTGAATCAAAAGATCACATACCGTCATGATTGATCTTCCGTCAGCTTTCGATTGGGATTCTGGGTGATGTCTCTTGGGTATTAGTCCGAGTCGCGGTTATATGCCAGTGTCGCCATATCTGAGCTTGGTTTAGGTCGTCAGTTCCTTGTCGGACTCAACTTGGACATTGATATCAACATGCAGCACTTGAGCGCTTTTACATTTAAACAAGGGGAAGATTCGGATATCCGGCTTGTTCATTCGTCATCCCTTCTTACTGTTTTATGTGACCAGCGGTGATGTGTGAGTGACGGCAATCTGACTGAGCTCCGGATACACCTACTTCAAGTTACCAGAACCAGGATAAGAAGGTCGTATCATGATCAAGGAATCGAGTAGTATCTTTCCAGAAGAGATAAGCACACGCAGAATATTTTCCTTGAAAACTTGAACCGGGCTTCATATATCCCTCACGGCGGCTAGGAACCATTAGTATGAAGCAAGGGGCTCGAATCTCTGTGTGGAATGAAGACAAATCCAGTTAAGCAGAAACAACCAAACGGATTTACAGATACGCAACTTCTAATTGATGGAAACTAGTAAGAAATATTTTGGTTCGATGACTTCATGATCGAAGATGTCATTTCCGTCCGGAACCTTGGTATCTCTCATCTTCCTCACATGGTTGTACAGCCTAGATCGGGACATGCATATCACATAATCGGATATTCCACCCTCGTCATCCTAGCGAGACGTTCAATCTCTCTACGATCTCGGAGATAAGCGGCTTTTGGAATCTGGTCGGAGAGCTCAACGTCCCGAGGCCGAACACGAGTCGTTTCTAGTTGGAGGATCATAATACTTGACGTAATACTATGCATTGTACTAGCATGACTGCCTTGACCGGGGAGAAGACCATATAGTTATACCTGTTTCAAGTTATCTTCAGTGTCAGCATTATTCCTTCCTGATGCTGCATATTCCTTTTTACAAATTCTAGTTGACGATCTCCAGGTTCAAGAAGAATAAGTACATCAGTCAACTCATAATTCAGCTCCCGAGATCTGCCATCATCATGGCTCAGCAAACAGATCCGGAAAATTCACCCAGTACTGAAGACACACTTATTCGAAATTCTGAGAAGAAATCCGATCCTCCAAGTATCAGTGACTCTTCTGAATCAGATCAACTAGAGGATTCACCAATCAGTGGCACGGGTTCGTCGAAATCCGAAACACCCCAGGATGATGCCGAATTGCAAGAGGTTGCTCTTTCACGCACGCTTTCTCAACGGAAAAGCTATGCATCCGGTCATGAGGGGAAAGAATGGGAGCAAATCGAAAGATTAATCTCACGGATGTTCGGTAATGAGCGGCAGGCCAACTCGGAAGAGGAGAAAACGCGACATGCTGGAGTGGTTTGGAAAGGTCTCACTGTGAAAGGTGTAGGACTTGGAGCAGCACTTCAGCCTACTAATGGAGATATCTTCCTTGGTATTCCACGGCTTATCAAAAGACTGTTGACGAGAGGCAGAAAAGGTACTGGGGCTGGAAGACCTGAACTGCGGACGATTTTGGATGATTTCACTGTATGATTCCCAGGTTTGAGTATTATTAGATGAATGCTAAAAATTAAAACCTCAGGGCTGTGTACGACCAGGGGAGATGCTACTTGTACTCGGCCGACCGGGGTCAGGATGCTCAACATTTCTCAAGGTTATTGGAAACCAAAGATACGGTTATGAAAGCATCGAGGGTGATGTTGAATATGGAGCGACAGATTCGGAGACGATGGCAAAGAGTTATCGGTCTGAGGGTAAGTCAAAAAAAATGAAAACCTATTGGTTTTGATACTGAGATTGGTATGATAGTCTCTTACAACCCCGAGGATGATTTGCACTATGCCACCTTGACCGTGCGAGAAACCTTGCTCTTTGCTCTGAAGACTCGTACTCCAGATCAATCATCTCGTATCCCCGGAGAAAGCCGTAAAGACTACCAGCAAACATTTCTCTCTGCGATTGCCAAACTATTTTGGATCGAACATGCAATGGGCACGAAGATTGGTAACGAACTTATTCGAGGAATTTCGGGAGGGTAAGTGATCTTCTAAAATTGATACTACATAGACTAACATGTCTGGTGACTATCAAGCGAGAAGAAGCGAGTTTCAATTGGAGAAGCTATGGTAACCAAAGCTAGTACTCAGTGTTGGGATAATTCAACAAGAGGACTAGATGCGAGCACCGCACTCGAATATGTGCAAAGTCTACGTAGCTTAACCAACACTGCCCATGTCTCGACCTTGGTCGCTCTATACCAAGCATCAGAAAATCTCTTCAACCTATTCGATAAAGTGATTCTCATTGAGGATGGGAAATGTGCATTCTTCGGTCGCTCAGAAGACGCGAAGGCTCATTTCGAGGGACTGGGATTCGAGTGCCCACCACGATGGACCACGCCGGATTTCCTCACATCTGTTAGCGATCCGAATGCAAGAAAAATCAAGCCTGGGTGGGAAAATCGCATTCCTCGCACGGCAGATGAGTTCCAAGCTGCATATCGCCAGAGCGATGTATACAAAGCCACACTTGCGGATATTGATGACTTTGAAAATGAAATGAAATCTCAAGAACACGACAGAGAACTCGCCAGGCAGAATTTGACTACCAAAAATTATACAGTGCCATTTTGGAAACAGGTCATGATTCTCACACATCGTCAATTCTTGGTGATGTTTGGCGACAGAGCCGCTCTGGCTGGTAAATGGGGAGTTATCGTTTTTCAGGCTTTAATTGTGGGAAGTTTGTTCTATGATTTACCAAATACCAGGTAAATGGCGATTATGATTATTTGAATTTGTCCCATCACTGATCCCTTTTTGACAGCTCTGGAATATTTACTCGAGGAGGTGTGATGTTCTTCATTCTTCTGTTCAACGCCCTCCTCGCGCTTGCGGAGCTCACAGCTGCATTCCAAAGCAGACCAATCTTAATGAAACACAAGAGCTTGTAAGTATCAATTTGGGAATCGTGTGCCACGCATGACTGATGCTTCATAGTTCATTCTATCGTCCAGCCGCCTATGCTCTCGCCCAGGTTGTTGTTGATGTACCCTTAGTTTTTATCCAAGTTGTGCTGTTCGACTTGATCGTTTACTTGTGAGCAGTTTCCATCTGATAGAATCATCCAAGCTAATTCCTTTTCAGCATGGCCAATCTTGCACGAACAGCATCTCAATTCTTCATCAATTTGTTGTTCATATTTATGCTAACCATGACGATGTACTCTTTCTTCCGTTCGCTCGGTGCGCTTTGTGCATCATTGGATGTTGGTGAGTACTCTGTTTCCCTTGATCCAACTATTTCAAGTGACTTACACATTTCAGCTACTCGCATCACTGGAGTCGCCATCCAAGCTTTGATCGTATATACAGGTAATGCCGCCCCGTTCGAAGATTCTTCGTCGCGTACAAGACTGATATATTCTATGCAGGCTATTTGATCCCACCTTGGAAAATGCATCCCTGGCTCAAATGGCTAATCTGGATCAACCCAGTTCAGTATGCCTTTGAAGCATTAATGGCGAATGAGTTTTATGATCTTGCAATCAAGTGTGAAACGCCATACGTTGTCCCCGCGGGCTCTGGCGCACAGTCTGGTCACCAAAGCTGCGCAATCCAAGGCAGTACTCCCAATCAGCTGACGGTCCAAGGGGCCGATTACATTAAGGCTGCGTATACATATTCGAGAAGCCATCTTTGGCGGAATTTTGGTATCATCGTTGCTTGGTTTATTTTCTTCGTCGTTTTGACAATGATCGGAATGGAGATTCAAAAGCCCAACAAGGGAGGAAGCTCAGTTACGATCTTCAAGCGAGGAGAGGCTCCCAAAGAGGTTGAAGATGCTATCCAGCATACTGGACCCCCTGTGGATATCGAGTCTGCTGAAGAAAAACCTATACCGTCGAGAATGACGGATCAAAGCTCGGAACATACTGTGCAGGAAATCGCCAGAAATACATCAATTTTCACATGGCAGAATGTCAGCTATACGATTCCTTACAAAGGTGGTCAGAGAAAGCTATTGCAGAATGTCAGTGGATATGTGAAGCCCGGTCGACTTACAGCTTTGATGGGTGCATCTGGGGCAGGGTGAGTCAATTTGATCATTCCAGCCATAGGGCGATGTCTAATTTGGATACAGAAAAACAACGCTGCTTAACTCCTTGGCTCAGCGCATCAACTACGGTGTGATCACTGGAGACTTTTTAGTGGATGGCAAGTAAGTAGACCCAGTATCACTACTCAAAATCTTCTGTCATACCTGACTTTATAAAGCCCTCTTCCAAAGAGCTTTCAACGTGCAACCGGTTTTGCTGAGCAGATGGACATACATGAGCCGACAGCAACGGTCCGCGAATCATTACGATTTTCAGCTCTTCTCAGACAGCCAAAGGAAGTCCCACTGCAAGAGAAGTACGATTACTGCGAAAAGGTGATTGATCTTCTGGAGATGCGATCGATAGCAGGCGCTACAGTGGGCTCTGCTGGCTCGGGCTTGAACCAAGAGCAGCGTAAAAGACTCACTATTGCTGTGGAATTGGCCAGCAAGCCTGAGCTACTGCTTTTTCTGGATGAACCAACATCAGGACTGGATTCCTTGGCTGCGTTCAATATTGTTCGTTTCCTTCGCAAACTTGCCGATGCAGGGCAGGCTATTCTTTGCACAATCCATCAACCTTCTGCTGTCTTGTTTGAGCAATTCGATGAGTTACTTCTGCTCCAAAGTGGTGGACAGGTGGTTTACAATGGACCTCTGGGGTCCGACTCTCATAACATGATCCAGTACTTTCAGAACAATGGAGGCAAGCAGTGCTCACCACATGCCAATCCGGCCGAGGTAAGTCCCATGATCCCTTTTTAAAAAGGGTCTTCTAATAACTCCAAATTTCAGTACATGCTAGAAGTCATCGGAGCTGGGAATCCAGACTATGATGGACAGGATTGGGGAGAAGTTTGGGCCAAATCAACAGAGTCCAAGAATCTTTCCATGGAGTTGAATGACATTATTAGCTCGCGCCGCGGCATGAGGACTGATGGAGCCGCCGAAGACGATCGCGAATACGCCATGCCTCTGTATGTTCAGATCATGGCAGTAACGAGAAGAACCTTCGTCGCCTACTGGAGACTTCCTGATTACATTCTTGTATGTCAACTTTAGGATTATTGATGTGACTCTTGAGCTGACTGTCACAGGGAAAATTCATGCTACATATCTTCACCGGTCTTTTCAACACATTCACATTCTGGCATCTGGGCAACAGCTATATCGATATGCAATCAAGACTCTTCTCCATCTTCATGACGTTAACCATCTCACCGCCCCTAATTCAACAGCTACAACCACGATACTTGCATAGTCGAGGATTGTATGAGTCCCGTGAGTCTAACTCCAAGATTTATTCCTGGAGCGCCTTTGTAGTGAGCACTATTTTACCTGAGCTTCCCTACTCCATTGTCGCGGGATCGATATATTTCAACTGCTGGTAAGTGATCAAACGGGTCAACAAATAACAAGGCTGGTTTCTTATTACTCATAGGTACTGGGGAGTGTGGTTTCCACGAGATTCTTTTAGTTCTGGCTATACGTGGATGATGTTGATGCTATTCGAGTGCTACTATGTTGGCTTTGGACAGTTTATTGCAGCTCTCGCACCAAATGAGCTCTTCGCATCGATTCTCGTTCCTGCCTTCTTCATGTTTGTTGTGTCATTCTGTGGTGTGGTTGTTCCTTATGCCGCATTGCCTTATTTCTGGCAGTCGTGGATGTACTGGCTCACCCCTTTCCATTATCTCCTTGAAGGTCTCATGGGGGTTCTGACTCACAACATTCCCGTTCGCTGTGTTGAAAGGGAAGAAGCTCACTTCAGTCCACCTTCGGGTATGACATGCCAGCAATATGCGGGGACTTATGCCCGGGAGGCCGGTGGCTATGTCCGTGATGCCGCAAATGGGATGTGTGCGTATTGTCAATATTCGTCGGGCGATGAATTTGTGAGTATTCCAGCTTGTCTAATTTTGGAACTGCTTGTTTCAACATTTCCTTTATCTCTTCTTTCCAGTGCTAATTCCTGGTCTTAGGCTGCCGGGTTCAATGTCTTCTATGCACACAAATGGCGAGACTATGTGAGTTTTCTCGTATTCCCGTATTAGATGGTCTCATTACGAATCTGACACTCGTTTTTAGGGAATCTTCTGGGCATATGTGGTCTTCAATTTTATGGCTGTCTTTGCCTTTTCTTGGCTGTATCTGCATGGGGTCCGAGATGTGAAACGGTGGTTTAGTACCCGCAAGACAAAAAAGATGGCGCATTCTGGCGAGACATAGTATAAGTACAGAGTACTGGAATAGGTGATGTGTGTGATAAGTGATCGAGACAGTGACTTTAATGTTTTAATCTCAAGCAAAGTGTTTTATTAAATGTCAAAGTGGAAACACATGCATGATCAACATGAACATGTAGAGTAAAATGATGATATGATGAATCTCAATCTATAAAAAGGGAATCTGGGATAAGAAAAAAGCTTGGCGGCTCTTAACTCTTTGCTGCAGTCTTGCACCTCCTCATCTTTTCCCAAGTTCCTCCGCCCCCAAATTCCCTTTCCCCAGCTCCTCTGGCGCGCTGATCGCTCGTGCCCGGAAAACCCAAGAAAAATTATTCCATGAATCTATATAAAAAAAATACCTCTCACGTCCCGATTATGTTCTTCATTTAGTTTTTAATCATCCTGATTGACCACTCCTTACGACGCTACTCCCCCACTCCCCGACCCGCTTTGCCGACCATGAAGGACGAAACCCCAGGACAAACGCCTGAAGATTCACGCGTCGATGATCAGAAATCTGGAGCCAATCAGACGGGCAAGGATCGGAAATGCCAGTACTGTGGCCAAGCATTCACATCATCATCATTGGGTCGCCATCTTGACCAGTTCCTGTTTAAGAAGAAGCCTGATGGTGTTCACGATGTAGAGGAAATCCGTCGCATTCGCAGTGGGATCACACGACGACAGGCTCGCACCGGCTCAAGCAAGCGCGACGATAGCCCTGATAATCTTCAGAAAAAGCCCTCGGTCGATCCTTACACAACGGGAGATTCCGCCTCCAAATCACGCGATGTTCCTCCACGCATGATGTTCAACACACCGACTTGGCATGCCACCGGCGTCATCAATGATATTCCCAACCCGAGTCGCGTGCTGGACGGACCTCGACCCATACAACCTCAATCACGATCAGGATCCCTACAGCTACCCGATTATGCAAGCCGAGGTGCCGTCCCTAATAATCCGGATACCATTAAGGCGCTCGAGCTGGCGCTACATGAGGTGCTTGACAATATTAAAGCTGCTACGTAAGTGCCCATGGATCCATTTTTTTCTATAATTTCTTCTGTCTCCGCCATTGTGTACTGGTGACCTTTACAATATGAATCGCTGTATACTGATGATACTCCGTTTGTTAGTTCTCGTTTCCGACCTCGGCTATCTCCCTTTGATTTCGATATCCAAACCCAGAGCTTCCCCTCTCTTTGCCTCCAACTCCTTCCTCCTCCTCCGACACTGTTCGGAACCCAGCCCTTCGCCTCGTCAAACAGCTTTCCTCTCCAACCGCCTGGTCATGAGCACCTTGATAACGTTCGCCAAGCACTCTCTCGTAAGATTGGGCAATGGATGTCCGATCAGCTTTCTGCGGACCCGAAATCCCATACAAAACATGTGGGAACTACACCGGATCAAAAAATGATCTGCCAAACAGCCCAACAGCATGAAGAAATTGCCGTGCGACATCTGGAGCTAGCTTTCAGTCATTGGATCTCACTCAATTTCGAAACCCGTCGCGAGCAGTGGCAGCTAGAAACAGCTCGCGCGTTTGTCCGCGAAGTCGATTCCCGCAAGTCCGTGGATGAGCAATTGGCCCGAGTTCAGCAGGAAGCAAATCAGTTACGAGCGCAAGTGGAACGCCTCGGCTCATGTCAGTGGCCCCGGGAATTCACACTCTTCCCTCCAGACATTCTCCCGATTTCCAGGGACGTGGCTCGAGAATTGGATGCAAAGGAAAGTCAGATTAGTCCTGGTTCTGCACGATGGGACTACGACAACGTGGTCGCGAAATGGAAACGCGTTGTTATGCATGATAAAGGCATAGGTCGGAGTGGAGTAACTTATGCTCCTAGCAATTCGATACTTGACTCGGACCCCAGCCATCCTGACGCGCGACCTCCAAGACCAGGTGAAGACACCTCATCTCACCCAAATCGTCTCCGGCCTTTACAATCGGCCATGGCGATGAGCCCAGATGGAGGTGCCTCAACGCCGGCGTCCTCGGCAAATTATGCGTCTCCATACTCCCATGCAGATCCCCGCAGTCCACCAGCTGGAAACATTGGACCCCCACAGTCTAAGCGTCCCCGCTTGATAAATGGGTCAGACGGCCCAACTGCACCTACTTCCGACTCAGCTCCTTCCTCGGCTAAGCCTGTGGGTCCTTGGCCGCCTTCTTCCTCCACACCTATACTCTCTAACCTGGCTGCGCCTTCGGGCCAAACACCACCTCCATCTACCAGGGGATGAATACGCACAATGCCCTTCCGCACATAGATATGTTTACATTGCCTTGATTGCCCTTGTCATATATTTCTTTGCAATGCTTGGATGATCTGGTCATATACATCAATACCCTTTGTACACTTGGAGTCATAAATTGAACGTGATTTGTTATATGTAATAAGAGCTGGGTTTGGATTGTTCAATTAAACTATTAAAAGATTTCACTCTGTCCCAATGATCTCCGCGAAGATAATCTGAAAATTAGGAAAATCGTCGATCTAATCCAGAGGTTGAACTATGGATTCTTCAAGTGCTGTTTGCCACCTCCCGAGCAACCTCCCCTCCGATATACTCAGCAAGTGTCAATATCTTCTCTTCTTGCAGCCGTCTTCCCACCAGCTGAATACCCACCGGGGCACCGTCATATGTCTCAGCGTCATCTATGGCTATTAGCTCAAAGTCACGGAAGAAAGGTCAAATATGCACTCACAATCCCACTCAACATGGTCCAGTTCAGTGTCTGATACATTCTCTGGACGGACGTCGATGGATTTATCAACGAAAGTCACAGGAATGGACACACTGGTATAGTCCAGCACATTCACAAAGGTTGTGTAGCCAACGTTGCCATACTGGCCAGGGATGACCGCAGCATGAGGAGCCAAAGGACAAAGTAATCCATCGACTGGACGACCTGTTCCTGTAAGATCTGCGGTACTATTCCAGTAATCCATGTACTGTTTCTGGTATTCGCGCTTTGCAATATTCAGCGCAGCAATAGCTGATGCAGCTATCTCGGGGCCATTCTCAGTGAGAATAACCTGTTCTGCTTTCGTCTCACCAGATAGTCCAAAATGATACCTGATATCTGCACCGCCGTCCATATCAAATATTTCGCCCTATTACGTGTCAGCATATCAAATCGAAACTAATATCGACTCATATGGGTAACATACACCCAGCTCATGGGCTATCATATGAGATGGTGGATCCCAAGTAATGACTCTATGTCCCAGTCGTTTCAAAGTCTGCTCAACGATATTCAAACCCCTTGCAATGGGAGGATGAACCTTGGCCACAACATTATATCGCATCAACCCAAAAGCAAGAGTCGATTCTCCACGTCCAGCTCTCTGAATCAAATCTCTTGTCTGAAGAACGACATCATCCCGCCACGGCAACTCCAACGCAAGGGGATCATGCAACCAAGGTTGTTGACTCAAAACCGCCTTAAAAAGCAATGCCAATGAGCGAGCCGTTAGTGCAAGTGGTCCAATAACAGATAAAATAGAATTCTGTCCATCCATCGAATTCGCAACACCCTGATACGGTATCCGCCCCGCAGATGGCCTCAGCCCATATAAAGAATTAAAACCCGCAGGGATTCGCACACTCCCACCGATATCTGTCCCAAATCCAGCAGGAGAGCCACGCAGTGCAATTAATGCGCCCTCGCCACCGGAGCTGCCACCGCTTGATAGGAATCTGTTCTTAGGGTTCCAGGTATAGCCGATGATATTGTTGACTGTTTCTCCAGACATGAGAGTTGCAGGAACGCTAGTCTTGCAGTAGAGTACTGCGCCCAGGTTGCGGAGTTCTCTTGTTAGTTCGCTTTCTGTTACAGTGCGCCGGGGGTCGTTGGATTTCCCTTCGAATGTATTGATCCAGCCTACATATCCCATTGTGGTTTCTACCCCTTTGACATGGAATTGATCTTTCAGACTAATTGGTAGGCCATGTAATGGGCCGATAGGAGCTTTGTGTTGGGCGAAGTAGGCGTCAAGCTGTTTTGCGTCTTCTATGGCTGCATCGAAGAATATTTCGTGTAGACAGCTTACCTGTGCAGTAATTAGATTGGTTTGTAGTATCTTTTTGAAGTGTCAACTTACGAACTGATGTGCCAGTGCTGCTCGGTGACAAAACGCCTCGGTGACTTCCAAAGCAGTCCAGCGACCTGAAGTGGTTTCCGCGACGATATCGACAGCATCTGATTCTGTGATGTCGATCTCACGTTCGCTCAGATACTGTTGGATATAATGACCTGTAAAATCACGGACCTCAGTCGCTGGAGGTATGGGATGTTCAAGTCGCCATTTTGCGGGGATTGCATCAAGAATGGCCTGTCGCTTTGTGGCACCCTTGACAAGATACTCTGTTCCAGCAGTGTTCGCCATGATGCTCAGTTGCTTGACTCAAGCTGAAATGAGTGGATATTGAAAAGATACCAGCATACATCTTATTTGTAAGATTCTGAGCGTATGAGGTGGCCGATCAGCTTATTATAAGGAGCGGGGGTGTTGGGGTCATTTGGGGTTGGTGGTGCTCAACATGCATCAACACGAGGACCTCGGAATTTTCCTGGATAAAAGTCCCATTGGACGAGTAGTTGGTAGTTCAGCTTCTTATCTGCCTATTCACGTGCTGGATTCTTGTTCGTTTTGTCGTATATTCGTCGCATACCGAGTCATTATCTGATCACGAGTCATTATCTGATCACAGTATATGCCGCTTCGGTGTATGCTCCAACCTTGGAACACATCATTATTACGCGTGATAGTCTCAAACTTAACTGTATTAGACATTTTCAAATAGCCAGTTAAATCTAATTATCTCTTAAGATTAAAACTATTCAAACCATCATAACACTTGCAATGTTACAGCTTTGTCGGACGAAATACTAGTATACAAAAATTGTAGATTTACTTCAGTTTTTGGGATACAATTATAACCACCTGGGCATGATATCTCTCTATACAATATATAGATGCTTCATTGGTAGTCGAACTGTAAAATAGTTTTTTGGACTTTTTATCCAAAGATATTGGAAAGATTGAAGCTATTTTGACTTGTGGTCCTATGAAAATTCCCACCAAATGTCATATGCACATATTGAAGTTAGGGGGGGAACGGACAAAAGTGTCAAATTTTGTAATCTTCCAAGTCATTTTCTCGCAAATTAGCTACATATACTCAAATTCGAATTGATTAGACTTAATGGACTTTGTGAAATAAAAAGGCTTCAGACACTATACATCCATAGATGTAAGATGAATGACTGACCGCCTTTGACGCGGGGAGTGTTTACTTGTTTTTCTCCCCACTTTATCACTTGGGAGAAAAAGACCCTCAGACCACAATTAACGACACAATTTACGTTTTACGTATTCAACGACACAAATTCAATAACTACCTAATTCGAGGGCCAGACGACACAATTATCCGAGGCGTGAGTCAATCCAGGGCCTAAATACTCCCTAATCCTCCTTACATCTCTCGCCTGCTACATTTTCCACCTTCCCGCACTTTTTCCGTTCATTCATCCTCTACCACACTTGTTTGGACTTGCATCCGCTCTTATTCCTTCTTAGTTCGCTTTTGCTGAACAGGTCCGGACCCAGTATTCTATCAAACATCAATTCCAGCATGGAAAACTACCAGAAGATCGAGAAGATCGGTGAAGGTACGTGTTGTTGACTTGACGCGTCCTGGTGGTCTCCTTATCCCCTTGCTCACATATCAATGTCTTTTCTCAGGTACCTATGGTGTCGTTTACAAGGCTCGGGAGCTCAATCACCCCAACCGAATCGTTGCCCTGAAGAAAATTCGTCTCGAGGCCGAAGATGAAGGTGTCCCCAGTACCGCCATCCGCGAGATTTCTCTCCTGAAGGAGATGAAAGACCCTAACATCGTTCAATTGTTCAACATTGTCCACGCCGATGGTCACAAACTGTACCTTGTTTTCGAGTTCCTCGATCTTGACCTGAAGAAATACATGGAAGCTTTGCCTGTTAGCGAGGGTGGTCGTGGAAAGGCTTTGCCTGATGGATCCATGATGAGCCCCAACTTGGGCCTGGGTGACGCTATGGTGAAGAAGTTCATGGCTCAGCTTGTTGAGGGTGTCCGATACTGCCACAGTCACCGCATTCTGCACCGTGATCTGAAGCCCCAGAACTTGCTGATTGACCGCGAGGGTAATCTTAAGCTCGCTGATTTTGGTCTTGCTCGCGCTTTCGGTGTTCCCCTGCGTACCTATACTCATGAGGTGAGTAGTCTCTATCGCTTGAAAGCGCTTCCGAGAATCCAATTACTGACTCTGTTGTTTTCTAGGTCGTCACATTGTGGTACCGATCCCCAGAGATTCTGCTCGGTGGTCGCCAATACTCTACTGGAGTCGACATGTGGTCCGTTGGAGCCATCTTCGCCGAGATGTGCACTCGCAAACCTCTTTTCCCCGGTGACTCCGAGATTGACGAGATCTTCAAGATCTTCCGGTTAGTTATCTCAACTCCTGATGGATTTAAAGCGGTGCGCTAACTTTACTTATAGTGTTCTCGGTACTCCCGACGAGCAAGAATGGCCCGGTGTTACTTCTTTCCCCGACTACAAGGCAACCTTCCCCAAGTGGAAGCGTCCTGATGTTGCTCTTGTCGATGGACTGGAGGAAGCCGGTTTGGAGCTCCTTGATGCACTCCTTGAATATGACCCCGTTCGCCGACTTTCCGCTAAGCAAGCTTGCATGCACCCCTATTTCCGCAACGGAAGCTCCCACTACTCAGGCCGCACCAAGACCAATGGCCTTTTCCAGTGAGCGAGTTAACTCGACCATTCGGGCATTTTTCACGTTTTTCTAAGTTCTTACGGTGAGCTTCATCGCTTTGGGTGGTAACCCATAAGCTTCCAGGGCAATGCGTCTCATTGCTCCATTTCCTATTATTTCCGACATTTGTTTATTTTCTATCTGGCGTTGATTGGGGAGTGACCAGGGTGGGCTTTCTCTTATGTTATTTTCGTCAATACAAGGCGCACATACCCATTTCAGGCAACAAAGACAGTTGACATTCCCCATTTCATGTTGACATGGGACTTTGGAGGTCGATGCTATCATGGCATCGGGATGTTCAGCCCTGTCAGCCTCAAATTTTAGGTGCAAATTTCTGTATCCTGCGCACCCAGGCATGAAATGAAGTTACGTTGCATCAAAAATTCATTATGATTCATTTTTCAGCTACGGCAATTCTACCAATTAGAATTAAAAATTCCCTATCTTTTTATTTTTCAGAACTGTGGGAAGTAACTCCCAAGCACAGTACTAGTGCATTGTCCACTAAACCCAGTACGAATCCCTTCTTGATGTCAGAGCTGAACCAGGTGCCCCACTAGTACTGCAGTAGACCAGGAACCAATATCTATTGTTGGAAACACCACAACCCTGCCCGGTTCCTGCAAGTTAGAAAAAGAAATACCACGAAGAAAACAAATATAGGGGGGCCGAATTCTTTTTGATCCTGGCAAGTGTACACTTTGATAGGTTGAACCTGGAAACGAGACCAGAGGGAAACGGCTGAATTTGGGGGCCATGAGCACTCGGCTTGGCTTGCATGGATGTTCATTCGTGGACTCAATCTAGTCTAACGCACGCTCCTGCAGCCTTACGAGAGCGTGGAATTGGTTGGATCCCGTGCTTATGGGCGTTACTCTCGGCGATGACCGTGGCGGAGGCCGTGCAAAGTAGTGCTATTCGTGGGGTTCCAAGGTCACGCCCTAACATGGCTATCGTCCCGTATCTGGGGCATTGTTAAGGATATTAGTTTATTTAAGGACTTTGGAATCTGCACTGCCTGGTTCTTGTTTAAATCTTTATGAGATCGTCGCAGGTCAAGTGATTGATATCAACACGCTAAATAAGACAAGACCCGCCTTTTCAAACTTGTTTATACACATTCCTCCTCACTGATCTTAATATCAAAAAAGGAAAGATCATAGAGACTGCGCCTTGTTTCTTAGTTGAGAGTTCCACAAAACTTCATCATGGAGTTCGAAGACGAAATGTACTGTGGTACTTCCTCACGCTCTAACAGCCGTCCTCCGCCTCGGGCGCGCTCCCAAGCCCCGCAGGAGTCCGTGAAACAATTCTGGGAACAATTTAACACAAAGTACCCTGGAAAAGTGTACACGGTACTACCTGACAATCCCTATGCGCGCACTCGCGCGAAGCGAGTACCTAACGGTGTGGTTCAGGGCCATGAGGCCGTGAAATCATTTGAACAGGCGAAGAAGGAGTGTCAGAAGTCTGTGGCTCGACTTGTTAAGGAGTGTGAGCGGGTGAATCAAAAGTATACAGATCCTCATTTTGATATTGAGTTGGATTTGAAATCGGGGAGAAAGAATTATCTCTATGGGTTGGATAAGACGAATGAGGAGATGAGGCCACGAGGTGTTAAGCGAGTTACGGTGAGTGGTTGAATTTGTTTCTTGAATTCCTAGGCATGAACTAATTCCATGATTAGGAAATCTTTGAGAAACCCCATTTTTTTGTGAATGGACCGACTGCGTCGGATGTTCGTCAGGGATATGATGGTGATTGCTGGTTGATGGCAGCATTGTGTACTATGGGGAACAAAACAGAATTAATTGATAAGATCTGTGTTTCCCGGGATGAGAAGGTTGGAATTTATGGATTTGTCTTCTATCGCGGTAAGTGGACCAGGTTCTCTTTATTGTGTTTGTGAGGATAGGACTGATGGTTGTATACAGACGGCGAATGGCAACAGTGCATTGTTGATGACAAGCTGTATCTTCGTGCAGCAGACTATGATGAATCGGTTGATGAGCGTCCTCTCTGGGATGATATCAATGGTACAGACGCAGAAGAAGAATACCGCCGAGTCTGGCAGACAGGCTCGCGTGCCCTCTATTTTGCACAGTGTGTGGATCCAAATGAAACCTGGTTGCCTCTTCTGGAGAAAGCATTTGCCAAAGCCCACGGTGACTACTCTGCAATTGAAGGAGGCTTTGTTGGTGAAGGAATCGAGGACTTGACTGGCGGTGTCACTTCAGAGATTCTATCAAGTGATATTCTGGATAAAGACCGTTTCTGGAACGAGGAGCTGATGAAGGTCAACGAGGAATTCTTGTTTGGATGTGGTACTGGATTGTTCTCAAACTGGCTGGATCCGAAGTATAAGGGTCCTCCACGCGATCGAAAAGGTATCTCAGAGAATCACTCGTACTCGATTATGGAGGCACGAGAGATCAAGGGATATCGACTGTTACGTCTCCGGTAAGCCAAGTCATACTAAAATATAGGAGGAACTGCTTACTGACTTATTCAGAAACCCATGGGGCAAAAAGGAATGGCATGGCGATTGGGGTGATGGGTCTGCGCAGTGGACAGCAGAGTGGATGCAGCTCCTTGGCCATAAATTCGGCAACGATGGAGTATGCATAACCCAAAAACAAAGGACTATGAGCAGTATGCTAACATCTGGCTAGTTCTTCTGGATCTCATACAAAGATCTTCTGCGAAAATACCAGCATTTTGACCGTACCCGTCTTTTTGGACCCGAATGGACAATTACCCAGCAGTGGACAACGCTGAATGTTCCCTGGTCTGCGGATTACCACAGCACCAAGTTTATGATGAACGTCACACAGGCTGGTCCTGTCGTTATTGTTCTATCTCAGGTTTGTCATCTCTAATTCTTGTCTAGCCTGTGCAAGACTAACAGCTATAAAGCTTGATACTCGATACTTCATGGGTCTTCAGGGCGAATACAGCTTCGTTCTGAAATTCCGCGTGCAGAAGGAAGGTGAAGAGGAGTATACGGTGCGTAGTCACAGCAGCCACTTCATGCGTCGATCCGTCAACGCGGAAATCAACCTTGAACCGGGTCGGTACCATGTTCTCATGAAGATTACCGCATTCCGAAACGAGGAGGTTGAGTCGACCGAAGAGATTGTCCGTCGCCTTGCATCAGTTCGGAGGGAGAAGCTTGTCCAGGTTGGACTCTCGTATGATTTAGCCAACGCGAAGGGTCTCGTTGCAGAGACAGAACAAGAAAAAGCCGAGAAGCAGCGTCGAAAGGCCTGGGAACGCAAGAAGTTGCGAGATGAAACGAAGAGAAAACTACAGAAGGATTTCATTCGTGAAAAGAAACGGTCCGCTCGGAGCCAGCGCATGGACGCCATCTTTTCCAATCCTGCTCCGAATGGCTTATCGAATGGTACACAGATCCTGGGTGGGAAGCCTACTGCATCGCCTACAGAGAGCATCTCCAGTGATGGCAGTGGCCGGCGACAAACTTTGAATGGCTCGGTCCCGAAGATTCAGTTTCATGACACTAACGGTCTGCATACTCGTGATGCTTCGACTGCTTCTCGTATGCGTCGAAATGAGTCACCTCGGCCGAGTCTTAACACTCGTCTAGCAACAGACAACTTGGAGATGAGTGACTTGGAATTGCTGGATGGCTTCGAGTTTGACAGTGATCTCGATATGCCGCAGGAAGCGGAGACAAAGCCTCCTAGCTTGATGCCTGAGCTCGAGGGACCTGCTCCCGATCCGTGGAATGCTGTTTGTGTGGTTGGACTACGGGTCTACTCGAAGGACCCGAAACTCAGCCTGCAGGTGATGCAGCCGGTGGCTGATGACGATACGGAGGCTCCTCTTGATATGGATGACCCAGCTGCATCTGCCACTATTGAGAAGTCATTTTGGGGAAACGCATGATGATCAATTTGGGGGACTGGAGCCCTGGAGTGTTGATCCTTTAAACATTGAACTTGAACTTGAACTTGAACTTGAACTTGGTCACGGTGATCAGTACCGTGACTCGGACTACTATTGTGCATTGTATATACGGTGGAGTATTTGTTGAATATGTCGATAGTATGTAGTATGCAATCTTCAAAACTGGAAATTCTGACATTTTCAAATGCCGATTCTCTAGCGTAAAATTCAAATATTTTTGACGGCAGTAGAGTGCTCATTCAAGATCAATATTGTTGTTTGTAAAGTTCAAAAATGTAAAATCTGGTTTCCCCTTGAAGAGCAATCAATTTAGCCTATTTTGGACGTCACGTGGATTTCGCGCGTATCTTCATCTCCTTTCATCGCGCGAAGTAAACAGTCTCCACTAAAAGGCGCTATGCGCCCTCCGATTTTCAGTTCCCAGCTGGGATTCTGTCTACTAAGACAACCCAATTTCAAAGCGCGTAAATTGGTCACCGGAATCCGGTTTTTATCCACCCATCATGACGAAACATTCTTGCTTTCAATTGGGAACAGCGGGACTGTGTCATTAAGGTAGCAACTTCAAGTCTCAGATATAGAAAACTTATCTGACTGATTCATACAGTGTGACAAGACCAACTGCAGCAAAAGATGCGGATTTGTCAAGATCAAAAGTGATTCTGTATCTGCCACCAGGTCCCCTATTCAAGGGATTGGACAGCGACGACGATGTAATCCAAAACAAACTCAATTCTCATAGTTGGCCAGACTCCAGCACCAGCCTTGAGTCTAAGAAACTCTCAAATTCTGCGTGTCCATCTCCACAACATGCTCTGGCTAGCATGACATCTGCAACAGTGGTAACACTGAACTACCGTCTCGGGCCCTCAAAAACGGAGACCGCGTCATCCGCAGCAACAGAGACTACATCAGCAAGTCCCGAACCAGTCAAATTCCATCAATATCCAACTCCAGTCCACGACACGTTAGCAGGATTCGACTGGATCCAATCCAAATTCCAACCAGAAAAACTCGGAGTCTTCGGCTCGCACATCGGAGGCTCGTTAGCACTTATGCTAGCTCTCACAGAAGCTAAATCCGTACATGCCGCCGCCGCAGTACAACCAATATGTGACTGGCCAGGTCTTGATGAGTATTGTAATCTAGATGACGAAACGGATATCTTTGGTAAATCAAGATCAAGACAAAGGAAATCCGCGCGACGAAAAGGTTCCGCACCACCGGACCTGGTCCCCCTTCTCCAAGCGCGAGAACAATATTTCTCGTCATTTGAGCGTTGCTTCGATGCCTTCGCTTCTCCCATTCTCTTCCTCCGCTCTCCCGGACGTGATGTCCCGAAATCCTTCCCTACATACCTCACTGGTCCGGAGTATCCGGTGCCTGTACTAAGGAGTCCTCGAATTCTCACAGCGGCCGAACGTCAAGCTGCATCGCAAGGATCCCTATGGGATAGGGATGTGTATCCTGGTTCCGAAGCCGATGAAGATATGGATTTGGATCCCGTGGGACCTGTTCGTCGGCGGAAGGCGCTGTCTCGATGGCCGCCTTATGGTTTGGATTATAGATCAAGTGGACAAACCTGGTCTGGTCCGGATCAAGGTATTGGCAGACTGAAGATGACTTTGCCGTGGGTGCGGGTCTTTGTGCAGGATTCCAAGGGAGAATCATCGGACGATGGCTTGTCAGGCAAGTCGCAGGCTAACAAGGATGCTCCTGCGAGAGATACGGTGCTTGCTCAGCAGGGTGAGGAGATGGTTTCTGTTATGCGGAGGGCTTGTTTCTGGGGTCGGGAGAAGGGCTTTGGCGAGCGCAGGGTGTCTCTTGCAAGTGTTGATGAGTCTTTGGGAAAGCAGGTGGGAAGCTACTTTGAACATGTTTTCAAGGATCCGGAGTTGAATGAAGATTGACAGACGCCTCGGGGCATGCTGGCACTACAATTCTCTCCTTCGGCATACATAGTTACACAGTGAATTAGGCAGATCTCCCTAAGCATGCATGGGCAAATTTAAAGGCATATACGCAGAGAAAATAGTATAATGTGAGAAGAAACCGATACATTAAGATTCGCGTGGCTCAGAACCGAGGCTCTAAGATACACGGGGCTGGGAGTCATAGAAGATGATCATTTAACGCGCAAGGCAAGAAAAGAGACATCACCATGGGGAATGGGAGATGATCATTTAACACAACACGCAACGTAAGAAAAGAGACATTATGATGGGGAAGGGGAGATGATCATTCAAAACAATACGCAAGGCAAGAAGAAAAAGAGAGACAACATGATGGTGAATAGACTGAACTTTGGAAAACAGAGAGTGTTGACGAATCCCTCAGAGTATATGATACTGGTGACAGAGTTGAATCTGACCACGCGGATCAAAGCCATCAGCCCCATCATTGAAATCGAGGATCTCGCCGATCAAGGTTATCCAACTTCATTCATCATAAGAATCCGGAACACCCCTGACTAGCGTAACCACATAGACAATCCCTTATGGAAACACCTCCTTGCAAAAACATCAACAACATGCATACTAGTTTCTTCAGGGAATCTGCAAATTAGTACCGATTAAGGGGAAGGTGAAGGAATCGGTTTAAAATGCAGGAATGTGTGGAGCCAGAGGGGTGAGAAGGAAAGAAAAGAAGAGGAGGAGAAAAAAGAAAGAAAGTATTTGTAGTGAGAGAGACGCGAAGGCTCCCACTGTCAATCACTGCCCAGGTGTCATCGCCAAATTAGGAAATCCTCAACAAAGACGGTCACCTGATTCTATTTGTTTGCTTTCAAGGTTGACACGATCCTATTCAAAGCGATTCACACACTGAAGCCTGTGCTTCCAGGCAACAAGCCTGTTGTTGATCCCCCGTTCTTTGCTCAAAATGAGCTCGTTAAGCTTGATTTTTTATCTTTCCATGCCTGATACCATAGAATGGTCTAGTCTAGACAAAGAATAGCCATCTGCCTTAAGGATAGATCGGATTATAAAGATTATCATATAGTTAGGGTGACTATTTCTACACGTAGAAATAAATAATACTACTGCAAATGTTGAAACTTGGGTTAGTAGGTAATGACTATACCAGCATTAGCAACTGTATGATATTGATCAATTTGCAAATCTAGCTCAAATCATTATAGGTCCCTCCTAATTCAGGGTTCCCGTTAGGCGAAGCCCACCAACCCTCCGTATCACCTAGATCTGGCAGCATGATTGGATCATCAAGAAATTGTGGTGTTGGTATATTGCCCAAAGCATTCGGATCTGAGCCTGAGCCTGAGCCTGAGCCTGGACCTTGAGTCCTAGCTAAGATATTCAGATCCGCTGTTTGCATCCAATCGAAATCGCTAGGCTGTTGTGTGCCAAAGGACTGAGAGTATGGGTTTTGAAGCTGATTCTGTTGAGACGCGATAGATTGAGCTTGGGAAGAGTGGAATGGTTGTGTAGGAAAAGGTGCTGCATTTGCAGTGGATGAGGCGGCATGGTTTCGGTTCGAGGCATGGGAATTGTAATCCATACTTGCGAGCCGGGACTTTTTGCGCGAAGCATCTGATGCTGATGTTCCCAGCGAGGTATGTGCTGTATGTGTGGCAGTTGAAGGAGTACTAATAGAAGCTCTTTGTCGTGAAGAGCTAGATGCCAAATTGGTGTTACTGATCTGTCGCTTGACGCGCGGGCCGGACCGACGCATGTGGGTTTGCCAGCGTCTCTGAAGTGTAACGAGGTAGTCGCGGGTACGCTTTGCATTCTCAAATGATTGGCCCAGTTCATCGAGGGCACGGAAGCAAAGGTTGAGGTATGCGACCATTTCGGCGTTGCGAGGATGGGGCTGAGCGATTTCGCCAGGTTTGGAAGGCATAAGAGGAGAGCTGGAGACTGTAACAAATAGAAGCATTAGGGCGGCACTGAATATTATGGCAACGGCCAGATTATTCATTCGCCTAAAGGTGTAGTGCTTCTCATAAATTTGCAAGAGACGAGCTATCGCTGTGGCAGACTCGATACACATTCGTCGGGCATGGTGATAACCCGGTCCCTGGCGTGGGCTGCGAGGCTGAATGTAACTCTTGGATACCCATGGTCGATGGAAGAAAATGATGATTTGATGGTATTGCATGCTAGATAATTGTCAGAGCTTGAATTGCTTCCCAGTGTACGAATAATCCTGGCGGGTCTACTCACTGCAGAATGAGAAGTTGGGGCAGAACAGGCGTGGTCTCGTCATCCAAATTAATATCGAGGGCTGAAGGGAGATTTGCTTTCCAGGCGAACAAATCTTCTGTGACTTGGAAGCAAATTCGTTGTAGATCGTGACGTGATATATCAGAGCACCCGTATCTATGTCTGTTAGTTCTTTTCTATGGACAAGTGGTTGGCTGGATGGTACATACAAAATGTGACCAACAGGAGAGATCATCTCCCAGAGAACCACAAACTGTCTACATATTAGCTCTATCGGATTCTTCAAGCCACCTTCAAATTGCTTTTCTTTAAGTCCGTAAGGCTTCCAAATGCCCTCCCTCTCGGGATCAAGACTCGACGCTGGCTTCGGAACACTAATGTCACCTGCACTCATACGAAATGGACGGCCAAGATAGAACCCCCAAAAACTGATCAAGTCAGAATCTAATCGAGAATGGCCAATTGAGAAAACTTACTGATCTGCGACATAGCTTCCCCAGAATACAGCGCGCCGCACATCCGCTTCCTGAGGGCTTATATCTCCTTGCTTGACATATTGCGTCATATCAAGATGTAACCCAAGGTCAAAAGCCAGACGCATAGACATGCCTATATTTGCTATTAGTAGGAATGAACTTCATCCTGATACCTAGAAACCACCTACCGCTATAAAGCCAGCCACGCGCATCACGGTTGGAGGCCCCCTCGTGGCAACTCATAAGCACCAGTGCCTGCACAGTCGCAACACATGGGGAGTCAAGCTCAATTTCCAAGAGTGCCTTGGCGCGGTCTGCGAAAAACTCGGCAAGTGATTTGGGAAATGTAATAAATGTAGGATGATAGCGTGCTTCGAACGCGCTTCCAATTGCACACCTATAGAAAGTCAATATGCATATCGGATAAACGTTAGCAAGAAAGGAAAGACCGACATTGCATTGGTGAGAACCTCAGAATAGAATGGCGTATCGTCATATTCATTCCGCCACTTAGACCTCGCGGTCATATACATCTCTTTGTCAACCACGTAGATGCTAGGGTTCTGCCAAGTAAAGTACAGTTCCACCAGATGGTCTTCCAGGGCTTGATCCACTGGCTGACCAACTCGGAGATGGTTAAGAATATCTTGACCGTCATGGCGAACGGTACGAGCATCTGGTCTTTGACGTTGCTGCGTTGCGCAAACATCTACTAGATTGAGGTTGGACGTGGCACCATAAAAGCGTAAATGCCCATCTCCCGCAATTTTAAGTGTTCCAATGCGGTGGGATAATTGCTCGATAACATCATTTTCAGCTTCATTCTCCTCTTCGCTATCAGAGTCTTGGTGTTGATCCACGGGTAGCTGGCTCAGTAGGACCCCAGGTTGTTGAGCCATATCCATTCCGAGCTGGAAACTATCCGGACTCAGACCTGTACTGACATTCATCCCTGGTCTCCCGTTGAGATTGGCATATATTGTGTCTAGACTTTCAGCGGTTGGAAGTGTGAAGCCCCAATGTACGAAGTTCTGATTTTCAGGGGCCCCTTGCACGATACCGAACGGATTCCAGGATTCTCCAGGTGATTGACGCTGTTGATTAGCCAAGAAGCTCTGAGATGCAGCTGAGTCTGGAGTTGTTGAATCCGGTGCTGGCTGTGTCTGTCCATTTGAAGCCGTGGCTGGTAGACTTTCCACTGGGGATTTACTCATTGTTGGCTTTGTCTCTATTTCAGCGTTTGTATTATCTCCTTGGATATTCTTTTGAGCAACACCACGAGTGATCTGGAGGGTATCTAGTACCCTGTTCATACCAGCTTCATCTTCCGGGTCCATGGGTGGAGGCTCTAGCCCTTGGTCGTAGATGAATTGATAGAGTTGATCAATTCTAGCCGAAAATAGCTCAGTGGCAGCTCGCAGAGATACTCTATTCTTAATGTCAGTCCCCATACATAATTTCTTGTCCTTCCTCAGTCATTATCGAATATCTGCCCCGCAGCGGTGACAGACACCCCGTATATAGGAATAATGAATTGCATCAGGCACTGTGAGGCCAGTACGTAGTACATATGAGTAAACTCACTTTCGCTTATCATCACCGTGCTGATACTTGCAGACCTTGTCCTTACGTTGGCAGTTTTGACAATGAGGCATCGACCCGTCACACTGTACTGCACATTAGATACTGTTGATATAGAGAGGTGAAAGGAACAAGGAAACAATAAGGACCATACCCTGATCTTACTCTCTCGACATGGCACACAGGCCGTCGTGACATGTTTTCTCAGCGCCTTTTTCGGCTTCTCAGAATCGGGCGACATGGTGAAGATTTTCTCGGTTTGCTCCAGATTTCGGGATCCCGCCGACTCTCAACCAAGTGTGGGGGTGGCAACGCAAAGTTCAGATCAGATAGGAGTAAAGGAACGTCAACTCCACCATCACGGTGTGGCCATGATTAGAGTGATCTCCATGGCCTTCATATATATATATATATATATCGTGATTTGAATGTGGGTAAGATTTTCGGGAGTAAAATTCTGGGCCAGGGCAAAAGTGATCTGGGTCAGTCACCGGTCTGGGGGGCGGGGGAAGGGTCCACTTGGGCCTATAATACGACTGGTGATACCATATGTGTAAGCTGGAGCCCCATTTTTGAACATTTTGAATAGAACATTTGAATAAGAAGGGATTGGAATTTCCACCGGCACTACTTTTTTACGTATTTCCAAAGTATTTCAAGTCATCAACTATTTACACCAGCATCCTAATTTGAAGGAATTAATAGCTCGGGGATTTTTCATGTTTCATCCCGAGTCTACATTTACCAGTTAGCACTGGGCTTGAACCGCTCGTTCTGGATCACCTCTACCCAGTACTGATCGGGATCGAGCAGGAATGCCACATTGTGCATGCGACCGTCGGTCAGGCGCTTCTTCCAGGGAATACCAAGAGACTCAAATCTCTCACAGGCCGCTTCGAGATCATCCACAGAAATACCTAGAAGTGGAAAAAAAAGAAATCACAATGTTAGATTTGGGCTGAACGATGAGCAGGTGTCACGGTGAAACTTACAAATGTGGCCGAATCCCTGGGGTTCGGCGTTTCCGTTATGGTAAACAGGGCCCTCCTGCTTCTCTGTGCCATAATTCCAGGTCAACTCGAGCAGACCCTCCCACTCAGCCACGGCATTCTTAACACCATCCTTGACTGGAGGGTTGGAAGCCGGATAACCCAAAAAGTAAAGGTTGAACTTGTTATCGGGGTTCTCAACGGTGCGGACCAGGGTCATTCCCAGGGACTCCTGGTAGTACTTCAGACTGGCCTCGGCATCCTTGACACGGAGCATAGTGTGGTTAAGGCGGTAGCTCGAGGGATCGGTGGTGGGGGACTGATCCTCATCGCTACGACGAATGATCTCAACCCAATATCCATCGGGGTCCTTGGCAAAAGCAATGTGGCGCATGCGACCCTCGGTCAGCTTCTTCTGGAATGGGTAACCAGCATCCTCAATGCGCTTGCAGGCAGCCTCGATGTTGTCAACCGAAATGCAAAGGTGACCAAAGCCCCGGTATGGCTCGGTGTTACCATTCACGACACTGTAGTTGGGGTCATCTTCGGTGCCGTAGTTGTGGGTGAGCTCGATGTTTGCATTGCGATCGGTAAAGTGGGTTTCGCCTTGGAGTGACTTGGGACCGTCATAGGTCAGGAAGTAGTTGGTGAACTTCCATTCGGGGAAATCCATCTTCTTGATCAAGCTCATGCCAAGAAACTTATAGAACTCCAATGATCGTTTCGGGTCCTTGACCCGGATCATGGTATCTTAAGCCCATAATTAGTTTTGGCTTCGAGGATGGAGGGGTTGAGACGTCACGAACGGTTCAACTTATAGGTGGAGGGATTGGTAGCCATGGTGTAAGATCGGGACACTAATAAGCGATGAGTGATTGGTTCTAATAAAATTTGTGGATATTTTGTTTGTACCTGGGACTCGATTGAGGACCACTGGAGAGATTCGTCGTAAGAACATAAAGCAATTGATCGAGGATCTGGACCTCGGAGAAGAGTTGCAGATTGTTTTGTCAGCGTGAGGGGAAAGTGGGGCTTAGATGAGAGACCAGTTTGAGATCACTAATACAAATTCACTTATAACTAATAATATAAAATCTATATTCTATAAAAATTCATATAAAATATTCTTTATTACATGAATCTATCATACATAATAACTTTTATCTCTATTAATTCCATAATTAAACTCTAACGTGCATAATGTTCACAATAGGATTTTTGTTGCTTAATAGCGGCCCCCGCGGTAACCCTTACGCCCGTTAATCCTCTCAGCTCTTACTCACCTCTCTCCTCTCTCCCCACTCGCTCTCTCCTCTCAACTCTCCAACCACAAACCTCCAATCATCTTCAATTAACCCCCCCTAGGTTGCCTATCCACCCGGGCAACATATTCACTCAGGCCAGGTACGTGGGTTCTGGAATCCTACTCCCTGCACTCCACATCATTCCCCCCGGGGAAGATCGACCATCAGTTACGATTGGCTTGTGACCCCCCCAAGCTTGACTCAAATCCTCGTGTCCATCTTCTTAACCCCCCAACATATTGCTTTTTGTGGAATATTTGATCAATTGCTTTTTTTTCTTCTTTTACCGCGATTACCACACTTGCATATGTTGTCTGATCCCTTCTTCCTCCTTTCGATCCAATCATATCTCTATATCTGCCCACGTTCTCTTCTATCCTTGCTCCGCATCATGAGGCGTCTCGCGCCCTAGGCGGAGCCTCGCGGTATCGCATGACTGCAGTCCTACCCTGGCATCATATATAAATTCCGTGCTTTCCTCCGAGCTTGGCTTTGTGCCACCGGGCACGGCGGGAATTATCGTGACTTGCTATTTGGACTAGCTCTGAGTCAACTTGAACTGAACAAGGAAAGAAGAGAGAAAGAAAAATAAGCCCAAAGAGTTTCGCGGAAAGAGAGAGAGAGGTAGAGAGAGCCGCTTACTACGGTCTTTCCTTCATCTTCTTCCCCGCATTCCTAGCTATGAACACACTGCCCTTTCTGGTCTTGCTCGAATCTTGTTGGAAGGATAGAGACGATCTCTTAGATCTTGGCGCTTGCGCATATCTATTTGGCCATGGGTCTGAAGATGGCTGAATTCGAACCACTCCCAGTCCCCTCCGATTCTTTTGTGAATCCCAATCTCAAGCCCCACGACGCCCCTTTCCTTCCGTATTGGGCTCGCTGTCGCGTGCAGTGTGCTCAGAACCTCCTCCCCGCATCCGACGAACCTATCGAGTACGATCACGACGACGAAGACTATTCAGATAATTGTTTCTTCTTCCCCGAGGATTGTTCTTACACCCCACCGAAGGACTGGGTCGTGGAAGCGCACTATCAACCTTTGAAGGAAATCGCAGATCGTCACCCTGAGGATATCCCGACTGCCCAGGACGCCAACGACAACATGCTCCCCGACCTTCCTGATATCAAGATGCTGGACTCGGAGGCACTGGGTGACCTTCTAGAAGATAACCTGTCCCCGCCAGAAATCACAACTATGATGTATGCTGCCCCCACACGTAACTCAGTCGTCTTCCAAGCTGCAAGGTACATCATGGAAGCTACATCGTTCAAGGCTAACATGACACATAGTGTGTTCGCGACTAACGGTGCTGTTTTCGCCTACGCCTCCTCCCTTTCATCACGCCAACTCCGAAACCTCAGCGCGACCTACGGCGCCGCCTACACATGCTACGCTAAGACAGCCTCAAGTGGCAATCTCACAGGCGTGAACCCCGCCAGTCATCCCTCATCATACGTCACAGCACAATCAATGTCACTCGGTGACGTGGGCTCCATCGTATTCGAGCTCGATGACTCCGTCGCAGTGGTGACTCGTATCGCCGACAAAGTTCTCCTGGCCGCCATCGGACCTAATAAAATCGATCAGAGCATGCCCAATGGCGCTGATAGCGAATATCTAACCAGCGACGGTGGGGTAGATTCATCTACCGGGAATGGGGCCACGTCAGATGCGCTGGGAGGCGATGCGCAACGCGCTCCATCTTCGAACCCGCCTACCCGAAATGGAGCCCTCGATGCCCAACATGAGATCGACCGCAGTGCTGATCTTGCACGTTTGGCTAGTTTGAATCTCTCAGCTTCGCCTTCTGTACTTCTGGCACTGGAGTCGAAATGTGCTGCACTTGGTCGATTCCTTGGAGAAAAGTTGGATGACTTGGAGAGTCCAGAGGATTTTTGACCCTGGAAACATGAGAAAGTGAAGCTTTGGAACGTATCTGGAGATTGTGGCAGGGTTGAAACTTGGAATTTACTGCGGGGTACATTTGATCTGCAGTCCTTGCGATCCCTTCCAGATGTATTACATATCAGTACATGACCTTACGACAAATTTGGTGTTCCTAGCAATATTAGCGTTGTCTCATAGGACCAGCAATCCAGAAATTTTGATCTTCTAGTACTAGTACTAAGCTCTGCCAGTGGAGATGAAGTGGCGAATTCATGTACTACATACTAGTACTACAAAGCACTATTACATACTATGATCCTCGGAGCTTTTCCAAGCTTCAATCGTGGAACTTGAAAAAACTCGAACTTGAATCCAACACTCGTCGAGATCGTAGTATTTGTGGGTCATTAAGACGATATATATCTCCAAGATCATGAAAAAAAAATTGTATACACCCACAGGTCATCAAAACCCAGCTGATAAACTCAGGGCGCGCTCAAATAGGAGCAAAGATGATTCCAAAACAACATTTGAAGACAAGAAAAGAAGAAAATGATTTAGAAGGCAAATGGTGAAGAAAGGAGTATCCTGGTTCTGGATATCATACTTAGGATTTCTCACCTGCAGCAGAACCACCAGGTCCAGTAAAGTAGCTTCCAGAGCTAGCAGTACGGCTCAGTGGCTTCACGTCTGCAGTGCCGGTCGTAGGCGAGGCAGATTTCTCAGCAGAGTATGTTGGTGGCTGGTTCTCCTTCTTACCTGAGACACTACTAGCAGGGCTAGTAGATGTAGCAGGAGAGACGGGGGAGGTCAGGGTAGAAGGTGCTGTGGAAGTAACAGTGGAAAGAGGAGCAGCAGCCGCAGCAGCAGAAGCAGCACCAGCACTAGTAGACTCCTTGATAACAGACCACCACTTCTCGGCACTACTAGCAGTCGAAGCCTTGAAGCTAAGTTCCGTGGTAGTGTGGAAGGCGTTACCGACCTTACCGTTGGAAACGTCTTTGCCCTTAACGTTGAACTTGACGCCGTCGATAGCACCGACGATACAGTCCGGTAGGTACAAGGAAAGCTCTGGGGTGGGATCCTTGCGGAAGTCGTCGTCGTCTTTGAATTCGTGCAGGTAGCGCGCAGACGTGATGACATAGTAGCCTGAGCTGAAGCCCTTGATCATAGCACGAGAGCGACGTTCCAGAGAGCCCTCGAGGAGAGGCTTTGTGGAGCGGTGATCTTGGTTGGGGAAGGAGATGTTGGCGAATTCGCGGGGTGGAGAGTCTGGGTTCACGAGCTTGGCGTCGTTGCTGACGCAGAAGTTGATCCATTCGAAGTCTGGTGGGATGCGCTGCGATGTGCCGAGGATATCGGCGTACATGGCGCGCTGGCGGTCCAGCTGGCTGCCCATGATCTGGTGGAATTGTTCTAGTGCGGTTTGCACGGTTTGCAGGATGTGGGCCTCGAATTGCTGGAAGGAGTTCTGGACTGTGAGGATGTCGTTGCGGTGGTTGTTCTCCTCAGTGATCTGCTTGTTGAGTCGGTGGTTGATCTGACGCTTCAGGATGTAAGGATCATGGTGTTGCTCCAGCTTGGTACTCATGGCTGAGTCGTGAGAGGCGGAGTGTTGGCCGAGAAGCTCGATGTGCTTCTGGGTCAATTGACGAGCCTTCTCGACGGCCTTGGCTCCCTTGGCTGCACCAGACTTGAGTTCCTGCGCCTTGTTCTTGACTTCTTTGTGGAGACGCTCGAGGGTAGGGAGGACGCTGCCTTTCAGGTTTTGTTCGGTCTCAAGGTACATGTTTACCATTCCCTAGAAGCATATTTTGTTAGGCGGGAATATTATCGGATTCATAGGGTTGATCAATTCATACCTGGGAGTTGGTACGCATGTTCTGGAAGAGTCCAGCCATACCTCCCTCACTGCCACTGAAATGGTGAGCCTCCTTCAATGGCTCACTAACCGTCTGTTATGAAATCCAGCCGTCAGTATCCGGGCTTTTAGTCTGCTGGCAGTCAATAAAACAAACCTTCAGGATCTTCTCATAATCCTTTGACTGAGACTTGGAAATTCTGGCAGTAGTCGAGACATAGTCCTCTAGATTTCCACACAAATGTTTCCAAGCCCGAAGACGCTCGATCAGGAGGTTGCTGGTCTGTCACGAAACCAAAATGTCAGCCATTTCTGCTTCTGAGCATTTCCGCAGAGTTTCAAGATGGCTCCAGGACACAGTATAGGAGAAATTTGAGTGGAAATCTTCACCGGAGAGATCATTGTAGACATACCTCGCTGCTATCGGTATCCGGAATGGCCTCATCGTCACTGACGGAAGTACGACGAGTCATATTGCTAGCCATGGTGGCCGACCGTTGGGGAAGCTTAGGCACGGGCTCCATGGTGTTGTTTTATGTGATAACAAGGGAGAAAAGATCACAATGAACAAGATCAATTGTTGAAGCTGCTCCCCTGAGTAAAATGCGGGATGCGGGATCGGTGTGGCTAATGACCTTGGAACCGGGAGAGCCGTAACAACTTTGGAAGCGCTAGTCTATAGCTGGACTAGTTCGTGGAACCCACTGGCAGATATAAACGAGTACGATCTGGATACTTGTGGGGCTATATGAAGAGTTCAAGAATATACGAAGTAAAGGTAGAAAGATTATATCAATTTCCAGTTCAAATATTGCAAGGTCGATCTATTTAAAATGAAGTGGGATGCGACCACATTCCTAACCCTGCCGATCGGTGAATCGATACCGATGAAGTCATTGCCCGCACTGTGGCGCTCATGTAACAGACCACCTGTTGGTCAGTTTATAAATCTAACTTCAAAGGCTGGACTACATCAGTGGTACAGAGTACATCGACGTGATTTGAATTTATCTTTTTTTGCTATTGACCAGTACTTACTTAGTACATATTCCAGATACTTTGACGCCACACCCCTGCAGAGCTTGGTCCGCATCCTTGGACCTTGGAACCATCTTCTTGGGGCCGTAAGCCACAGGTGGATCCGTCAGGTACGAGCGAATGCGGACTGTAGTATCTGGAGATTTAACGTGAAATTTGGAAGTTCTACCGTTGTGAGGTTGCATTTCAATATTTGGGAACAATCCCATTATTCCCATTGAGATGACCGAGTGCAGTAATATGATCTACGGTGTATATTACTAGATCGGGTGGAGGGGTTATTGCTACTACTACTGTAGTAGTAAAAAAGACCGAGATGAATCATAGCAAATGGTTAATTGGATCATGCTTGGTATTAAATACATGCAACTGGATAATAATAAATCAGTCTCAATGCGTAAGTCGTGCTGACGGAGACTGGTACTCCCGTTCAGCTAGGGCTCGTAAAGGAAATAAAAAGGGTAAATGATCATAAAAGCCGTCTATGAGATACTCCCATAATGTCTAATATCCGAACGCCGAGACTGGGTATGGGTATGGGGGATCATATGAAAGAGAAAAAAAGAGAAAAAAATAAAGCTCGCCATATTTCTGTCGCATGCGAGAAGAGAGGTGTGATTCGCGGCCTCAATTCGGGTGGTGAGAGATTAGAAAATATAGTGTCCAGCACTGGGGAAATCACTTTTTTGTCGGGAGGCAAGAGAAGAGAATTTGGAGGTGGCGGAGGTGGCGGAGGTAAGGAGATGAGGAGATGAGGAGATTGAGAGATGAGGTAAGTGCGAACTCGAATGTCGTCGGCCTCTTACGCTCTAGCGCGGGCTTGTACTAATCGGAGTCTGCGTTCGGCGTCATCAGCATTGACGCCGTTTGAATTGAAGTAGCCGGGTCGATTCACCTCTAATGGTGTAGAGACCCCGCTAGCCCGGCCACTGTTACGTCCGCTTCTTAGGTAGGCTTGCTGCGGCGATTGCAGCAAGGGGGTGACCGGCAGGCTATCCGCAATGACGGCATTGTAATCAGGAAGATGAGAGTCGTATGATCCCACGGTAGCGCGAACGGCAGTCGAATAACTAGGGACTCGGCTCAGAGTCTCAACCTCGGCATATTGTGGGTGGAAAGGAGTCGCCATTCCTGATGGGATAGCGTCATGTTCCACCTCGTCAGAAGCCCGACGAGAGAGTTCAGGACTGCCAGGACTGTGTGAGTTAGAGCCAGAGGAAGGTCCGAAGTAGTCATTAAAGTGAACGTTCAGCTGTCGTGAGTTAGGATGGCTTTCCGTGGGAGAATCGTGGCTCTCGTTTGGTGAAAGGTGACCAATGCGGGCATTGTGTAGGCTCGAAAGACGACTGTGCAGCGCCACGGCCGAGATGTCGGTGTTGGTCAATGCGTTCATGGAGGCAAGGTTGTCTGCCGACATATTGCGACTCAGAGCACCGAAGGGCGTTTGAGATCCGCTGCCGGGGCCTGGTGTGCGGTACCCGTTGGGATCGACACCACTGTACAACTGATCGAACCGATGCTCTCCATAGAGCGGGGGTGCTTGCTGGGAAGCGAACTCGTCTGCGGCACGACGCTGAGCGGACTGAATGCTTTCGTGATCACGGATGGTGTTGTTCTCGTCGATGGCAATGTTGGGGGAGATGAAGATCGAGACTGGAAGAGTGGCGCGCAGCTTTGTTTGAAGGTCAGCCAAGGTCAAACCGAAAATATCCCTCATATACTGTTAAAACTTACCTCGCTAATGTGTCCATCTGGGTTATGAAGTTGAATGCGGAACTTCAACTTGTGGCGGATCTTGATACCCTTGGTGTCTGTATCCTGCAGACAACGAGACAATGAAGACGGCATATCCAGGTAACGCGTGAATTGGTATCCCTCGGCCGCCTCGTCAATGACCTCAATATTATCCTGATCCACATCGAATTCATCGGTCAAGATGGTGCGGGTAATTTTGTAGGTATTGCGAATGGAATCGGGATCTTCCGGGTTGAGGGTCAGGTCGTGGCTTTCCATGAGCTGTGAGGTTGTTTGTCCGATACGGAGCCCTTTCAACAAAGGAATCAACTTGAAATCGACTCGAATGGATGTTCCGAAAATAACCGCCTTAGTCGGGGTACTGATAGAGTATTCGATCTTGTTCGGCCAAATGTTGTCCACGGACTATGCACGTCATTGTTAGTGCCCCGCTACACCCCACCATGAAAAAAATAGGGGAAGACCAGAACGAAAAAGATCGAACTTACCATAGCGTGCGATAGTTCCAATGCGCTAGGGTCGAGTGTTCGGATAATACGCAGAGGTTTGCGAGCCACAATGTCTTTGGCGTACTTCCGTCCGATTTCGGCCTTGAACCGGTACATGACCCAGGTCTCCGATAGACCCTCGACACTCTCGGGCATTGAGCCTTCCAAGACGACGTTGAAAGGATACTCGTAATTTCCGGCAGGGAGAATCTCCGTCTTTCCTTTGCCTGGATCGCGGAATCGCCATGTCTTGTCCCAGAAAACTCGTTCCCTCCATGACTTGCGGCCGCCAGCAGTGGAGCTGGATGGCAAGTGCCAGCTATGACGCAGTTAGTCCTTGTTCTGGGGCCAACTCTGAAAATGACTCAACATACCATACTCGAGACATGCCAGTCAGTTCCAATCGGATATGCTTGATAGCCAGCGGCTCCGACAGACAGAGGACTAGTGTGCCCTGAAGGTTGACGCTTGCGGCTTCATGTTCGCCGCCGCGGAAGACGACATAGTCATCATTCAAACTAAACCCCAGGTCAGAAGTCAGCCCTCATATTCGAAGCAACGAGATGGTTTGTATGTCAACTCCACTCACCGAATGTCAAAGTACTTGGCATTGCTTGAGCTTCCGCCACCACTAAAGAAGCTGAGAGCCATTTTGAGTTCACTTCAGGCTACCACCGCTATCGGGGAGCCGTTTCAGTTTAGAGCAAGAGCAGAGTGGGGGTTGGTAAGTGAAGATGAGAAAAGACCGTCAGCAAAGAAAAGCAGGAGACGAGTCTGAAATAAGTTGGAAAGGGAAAAAAATAAACCACGAGGGTATGACACAGTTTTTCTCTGGCGAAAACCCTCTATGATCTACCGGACAATGTCCAGAATCGCAGGCCGGTCCGACCAAACGGGTCCCACAGTACAGTGGAGTCAGTACCGTTTCCGGTTGTAAGGTAGGGTGGCGATAGAAACGGAGATGATGCGAGGTGACTAAGCCCGAGATATGATAAGGAGAAGAAGATATTGAAGATTCAAGAAAAAAGAGAGTAGAGAGATGAAGAGACAGAGAGAAAAAAGAGAGTTCAAGTCAAGAGGGCCACGTTGAACCTGATATTCCTTTTTTTAGTCAGCGATGGAATCATTCATATGTAAGAAGATCACTCTCTCTTTCTCACACACACATTTAATTCAATTGCCACCATAGGAAATGACTATTTACCGTTATCCACTTCGGTATTTTATTTTAATTTTTTTATCTTGAATTTTTTTTATTTTCTATTTTTTGTCAGTCCCATCCTGATAACGCCATCTCCTTCTTAACCCGAAACTCGGGTAGAGAGGGCCCTTCGTTTATCCAGAAACTCCATCACGCCATTACCTCGGGATCGCCCTTCCCGCACTTGCGATCGATCCTCTTTTGGGACGATCGTGCCTGAGATGCATATCATGCATGTTACACTGCATTCTTTTGTCTGCACTCCACCTATGCATGTTAGTTCTGCAGAAGGAGATTAAAATCGTGAAACATTGGACACCATTGATGTTGTCTGTGCACGGGTGTGTACCAAGTATCACAAGGCAACGCCATTGTGACTACCCCTGGGGTTCGAGACCTTGTTGATCCCTCATGATAGGTGCCACAACTATTACTTGAATAGGTATTGGTGCATGATGGTGGCCAGTCGGAGGGGAAAGGTGCCTATGACAAGTATGATCTCCCCCTCTTCTGGATGTGATCAAAGCCTGGGATAGGCTATAAACCACGGAGAATTCCTATGGAGGTGTGGTACCCTCCTGCTTACTGGGTTAGCTATCACTATCACGTCTGAAGAAAGCCATGTGGACATGCCATGCACGCAGACCCCTGTAATTTTAGTCTACACTGAAATGCAGGCAGGTCTAAAAGCAGAGGGGTAATTCATTTCACGACTAGCCTGTGCTATCTATCACTTAAGCTTCCCCCTCAGTTCACTTGCAGGAGATTTCTTTGTCTCGATATTTTCGGGCCAAACCGACTCTCTTTTTTTGTCCTTAAATGGCCCCGAGCGCGGTTTCAGTGGTAACTTGATCTATGTATAGAGTGATGATTGTTTCCACCAATGAGACCCACTTAGCAAGTGTCAAACAGCTCACCGGCCATATCAACCCAACTTTGATATTCCTTGGATACAAATGATGAGAACATTTGGGGGTCTGACGTGTGTATCTTTCCTTGGCTCGAAGCCACCTACGAACCATGAGAGCAAAAAATCGGGATTCTTTGGACGATAAGAGATTCCGCCCCATTTTGGACCCTCATCTACTATACAGAGTGGTTGGCCTTGGTGGCGCATCCACGCTTACAAGTCTAGACGGCTCTGCAGTGGTGGTGGTCATTGACTATGAAAAGACAAGCGGTTTTTTTTGTCTAATCAATGAAAGTCGGTGTGATCTCAGGTAAAATCAACCAAGCCAAATGATGGTCTCGGCCTGGTCGGCCACGGGCGCTGTCGGGATCCCTTCACATTGACTCGGGCGTTCCCGCTTGATTTCGGAATCCCGATTATCTCCCGAGTTTCTGCCCGACAACACGCGGGCAATCCATTGCGCGTCCGTGTCGCCATCGGACTCCTGACGATCAAGAATAAAAACGGTGCTGTTTCAAGCCATATTCTAGAATGGGGCTGTGTGAGGTATTTTTTGACCCTCAATTTGAAATTGATAAAATAATCATATTCGTAATAGATCGTATCGCTGTGACACTATAGACCTCCAGGGTTGGAATAAGTCACGACCTACTATCTACTCATATGGTAAGTCAGGCTCTTTTTCCTAATGTGGATATGAAAATTTAGACATAGTTCCAAGGTCCTCAAGGGTTTTTTTTTCTCTCAACGGGACCCACCTAGTAGATCATCAACACATTCAAGTCTTTGGCAGAGATCGGAGTTTGTCCTGGTGTTGCGTACCCGCTGGATCCAGAATTCGGTGAAACTGGGTTCCAGAACATTAAGATCCTGTTTCTATGTATGTGAGTGGGTATTCTGTTTTATCATACCATCTAGGCTAATCTATTGAATATGAATGATGCGATTCAACTTTGTTTATCTGTTCCAAGGAAGTTTTGTTACGAATGATGTCTTCATCTGATAATCCTCATTGTCAGAAATGACGCTTTTATTCGATTCTAATATGCATGAGATACTATCTGCCAGTATGATGCAACAACCACACACAGAACAATCAATTGATACTAGTAGCGTCTTGAATATGAGTCAACATGTGCTCCACAGCTGGGCACCAAGCTGAAAGGTTCAGCTGCGGGCAATACTAGTATGGACCCAGTTAGAATTTTAATTTTAGTCCACAGCCCTGGATAGGAGCTCCAAGCTTAATTCACATGTACATGTACTCATGTCATTGCACGTCAAGACGAGCCATGATCACGTCGATGGCTATTGAAAAAAGCCATCACACTCAGCACATCATGGATGACTCTAAGCCTAAGATATGAAAAGAATCCATATAACGACCAAGTACTATTTCATAGATACTTTCACCTGGCACGATCAAAATTCTCAGCTTGGCGTAAACAGCCTTATCAGTCTCGGCTGCTTGATTCCGAAACCTATCAAGAGATAGGAGATGGCGCAGATGGAAAATCCGTGTGGGTCAATTAAAGAGACTTCTTACCAATTGACGCACAGAGATACAGCACGCACTCCGTATGATAAAATGCCAAAAATCTTCAACTTTTTTTTGAAAAATCAAAAAATAAGAAACGGGAAACCCCCCTTAAACCCTCAGTGGATACAATAGCTAGAGCTATTGCCCCACCGCACCTATTGAAAGTTTTGTTTAACGGGTTAGAATCGGAGTGCGAAAATCGGCCATTAAGGGCGAACGCGGCAACAATAAAAAAAGGGAAGAGAGGTACATGTATGGAGAAAATTTCCCATTGGACAAAACATACCAGGTTGAATCGGAGGAGACGGAGTACTCCGTTGACAGACCCCTGAAGTGACGACCTTGTCTGCAATTATGGCCCGATCGTCGTCCACATAACGAGGTACATACATGGATAACTACCGTGTACTTCGTAGTCCTCGGTAACAGCTATGCCGATAGCAACCTGGGAATTCCATTTTGCCATCACGGGCATTGCACGGAGCATCCGTATCAAGTACTTTTGCTGCTTCATTGAATGTTTTCGGGGCTCCGGTGATCGACACCTATCTTTGATGTCGGGAGGCAACAGCCGAACTGAACGGGAACTAAGCTTAGGGCCAGCTCTGGGCTCTAGGCTCTCTTTGCCAAGATTGTAAAGGGGTAAGTCTTCTCGCGCTTCGAAGATGCCAATCGTGCCATGTTATTGTGGCACATGTCAATGGTTTGTTCAAGTTTGGAAATGTAGACTCGGATGCGCCGAAGCATCTACACTGCAATGATATGCTCTGTCTAGGATCAATTGTACTAGTAATCAAAGAAGAAATGATTCACATCGCACTTATATTTTTGCAAAGCTTTTCAAATGTTAGTTGTGGTCAACTGGTGCTTTGGGATGCTCCAGGGCTTCTAGTACGTGCAGTAGTACCAGTGTGACTCGGAGATAGAATGATGATCAATTCATATCATCCAACTTACTAGCCCATTCTTAGTATCTAAATGTGATGCCCGGAAGATCAATAACTCGATTTTCCTCCTCGCACATGTGCATACCCTATTGCACATACCATGTAGTATGTGCGTCTGGATCAAACTGCATAGTAATTGCCACTGGGTTCAACTGGATTCGCATATGCAATTGCCGCATGGTGATCGGCGCCTCGATACTAACCACATATGTGCATTTCCTGGGGGCCAATGCTTTGTGAGAGAATCAGAAACAATTATCCGACGGTAGTTGTGATACTACACAGACCGGCGGCAAAGAGTATCTTATTCCTCAAGATCAACTAGCCCCTGGCAATAGCCTATGCTGGCCTAGACTCGGCATTGGGCATCTGGGCGGAGGTCGCCTAAATTTTGGAAATTTGAGTAAGCTCAAAGCATGGTGGCAGTAATTATGTTCAATATTGATATTAATAACACAGAATCAGAAAAGAAAGAAAAAACACCCCGGAAACCCATATGCAAGGACAACTGTTTTTGCACCAGAATTAAAAATTCCGCTCGCGTTGCTGTTTACAAATCATTAACGCATCAATCTAGGGATTGAAAAGTCTAGGTCAGTGGGCTGCTACTCATTGTATGATGAGCAACCCCTGGAACTCTCGGCCCCCCAATAAAGAGGGTAGGCAAAAGAGGCATTCATCGCAAGTGAAAGTCGGCGATACCAGTATCAAGATATGATAAATTGGAACCGCAGAAAGGAAGGACAAGTGGTGGAGGATGTGAGCTGTCGGGTATGGACAAAGAACGGATCTTGTACCAGCAAGAGCATCCTCGGTCATGGCGTCGGTATAGTAGAGGAAGGCGATGAGGCACGGGAGACGTATGGTTGGCGATATGAGGTAGGAGAGCGAGCGTTTAAAATATCCAACCCAAAATAATATACACCAGGACACCTGCCGCAATAACCATTCCAGCAATCTTGAGCACCGCAACGGTGTCGCCTTGTTTCGCCATCCTTGTCAGCCGGGAGGCGCTGCCCTTCAGGTTCGTTGAAAATGATGAGAACACCTCGTTCTAAGCATGACCGCATGTGTTAGCCATTTAACTGAGTATATTTCTTCGACTCCTCTACTCTATGTCACTGCCATATCTCTTCGGGGAACGTACCGAGTGATCGATCGAGTCTTGATCTCGGGCGTTGTCGTGAATGTCGATGGTCACATGTCGAAGAGCGGAGACTTTGGAGGAGAGGGAGTTAAGGAGCGCATTATTTTGCCTGGTTGATATCCATGTCAGCGACTTGCTCTGTCATAATGTGGCGACCGAAAAGGATGACGATGATGATGGGTGGGTAGCTCTGGTAAGCAACTTAGAATGGACCACATACTGCTCGCGTTCGTAGGCGTCGCTCATCTTGATCGCTAGTAAATATGACAAGGGAGATGCTCTGTGTGGTTTGATGAAGTGAGAGAACGTAGATGTGATTGATGGGCAGTAGAATGGTATAATAGGGATGGAGTGGCTCGTCCGGGGAAATGAGCGGAGGCAATCCGGTGACAGGTCATGTGATTTTATCTCGATCTATACCAGCCAAATACGGTGTAATTAGTGTCCTGATATATTTTCTAGAATAATAAAAGATAATTTAGATCTAAGTAGCGCTGATTATTAGGGGCTCCAGAGTTGTATCATGGTCATGGGGTGACCATTGTGTCATGAATCATATACAAAAGCTGAGAGTATCCAGCCATCCAGTGGGTCCCTACCTCATCCAACAAACCAGCAACCTCCAATATTATGCGCTGCGCATGTCGGGCACCAGGTTCATATCTCTTTCCATCAATCAATATCGGCCCGCCAAATCGGACGAATCTCACCGCCGCGTCCTCCAACTTTACTTGGGGTTGTAACTCAATATCTGAGGATTCAAGATTTGACAATCCCTGATCGCCAATAACTGTCCACTCGATATCCGAGTTGGCCAAATCAAAATCAGTCCAAGTGGGACGTTGCAAGCAGGCAGTTTCTGGCATAGCTAAAAGATAAAAGGCGAGAACAAGGGCAGCCATGAACAAAGTTCGAACAGACTGGAACGCAGTGCCATCGGCTGGTTTTCGATGCGAGAGGATCCGAATGGACTGTGCTGCGTGAAGACATGCTCTACGCGCAGCAGGGGTGTATGCCCATGAAATGAGGGCTTGACGAGCATCAAGCATGCACTCAGCTCCATTGCGACCAGCCGCACTAGAAAGCACATTCATATCAGCTGTTAGAAGCATACAGACACTATGCCATATGACGATGCAGTTGGGATTGGCCTGTCGAAGAGTTCCTTCAAATGTATGTATCACGCTTGAAAGAAGGGGCGCAACGATATTGGCACGCTTATCGAGTCGAAAGACATTCCACGGAATATACTGGTGTTCTTCGGCTGGAACCAGGTCTGAGCTGGTAATCAATCTATGCGTATCTGCGAAAACGCGCAGAAGGATAGAGCAAAGTATGCCATACATTGAAAGTGCGTGTCGGTGACCTTGTAAGTTGGGTAGGTGGAAGTGATGTGATGATAGTTCAAATGTCTCATTCGAGCAGGAAGCATCGTCAAGTAATTGTGACCATTCGCTGGACGTTAAAGCCTTGTAGAGGCTGATTTCCATGGGTAGACAGACCACCAAGGCATCAGTTGCGATGATTGGGCTAATTGAGAAGAGATCTGAGAGCCAAGAGTCATGCAGAACCAATCCTATTATCAGACTGTTGCGATAATTAGTTCGAATTTTACTTCATTGGAGGATAATAGGATGTACTTCTTCGTCGATTCCGCTCGGCTCCAGGCAATCCATCGTGCACTCTCGTCAATTTGTGGTGATAGCAAAAGGTCATGGATCTGATCGAATCTGGAACAAAAGTATCCGTGTTGCTGGGCAATCTGGCGAACACAAAAAAAATCAGATGAAATCACCACGGGAGATATTCAAGTAACACTCACAGTGATTGTTTGAAGATAAAGGTCTCGAGACCGGTCAGGACAGAGATGGCCCTAAGGACGTGTTAGATCAAAACAGCAGAGGAAGGTAAGAGTAACGGACTCCGGTTGAAATGAAGAGAAAGAGAGTATGATGCGCCAGTACAAGACTGCCTAGAATGTTGGCCGGTGTTTCGCAGGTTGTTGTAGCAAGGACGAGTTCAGTATAGACCTCTTTCAAGATACTCTTCACTAAATGGTTAGCTTCAACCAGGAATCATAGTGTATCAGGCAATCTAGACTTACCGGGTAGAATTTCCGAATAAAGCTTACAGCATCATCCGTCTTGAAGAATGAGATGCCAATCATACACATGACGAAAAGAAGCAAGTCGGAGGTTTTGTCGGCGTCGAAAGTGGCAGGGTGGAGGACAGGATAGAAAGGCTGATACTTGCGCGAGTAAAGATAAAAGCCCTGCTCAAAAACCTCCGTAGTGTTGATGCACTGATACTCATATCCACATCCCCAATCATCGGAAAAGCCAGTACACCCACACACTAAGTATTTCCCCTTCAATATTCTAAGGCGTGCCTTGGAGCTGTCAGTGAGGCTGATCTCGGACCTGCCCGAATCCCCATCAATTTGATATCCCGGTGGCAAATTAGGACTTGAAAAGATGTTTTCCTTTGCTCCAAATGCAATATCCTGCCAGAATCGTGGGGAGGCTTTCGATGCTGCGGATTGTGAAGTTCCCATCCAGCTTGTTTGGATTTTGTTTGCCATTCCCTCGCTTCCACCTCGATTTGATATTGAACCATTTGGACTGATATCAACGGGAGTCTGAAAGACATCATTCACACTGGCAAGATTTGTGTTCAAGCCGGGTGGAATATTTGATGCTGTGATTGGGTGCAGAGGCTGTTGGAAAGGTGAATTGAACAACAAATCTAACAATTCCGCACTCGTTCCATTTCTTATATTGTTGTTGTATTCCTGATTCATCCCATTTCCAGATAGCTGTTGCCTCGGTGCAGTTGGAGGCTCGGTTGTGGATATGGAATTATCTGCTTCGCCCGTTGGATCTGTTATACTAATAGGAACGAGAAGATCCTGATCATGGTCATCAATTGCAGGGTCAGATGCAGGGTCGTACGCAACGAGATGTTCAAATGGATCAATCGGGCATCCCTACAGGGGTTGGTCAAGTCTAGACCTCTCAATTGGGCTGCTGCCACTCACATGAATTTTTGCTGCATCTTCTATCCTATGGTTTCGACGATGCCGTAAAAGAACATCTCTACTTAATTAGCAAGCGGTCCAAACCCATCAGTCTCGTAAATAAATTACCTCCTTGCAAACTGCTTGGTACAAATAGAGCATTTGTATGGTTTCTCGCCAGTGTCTGTTCAAGATGTTAGCGGATCACCTTTTACCCGGCCGTTACACCATGATGGCAGACTTTGGGGACATCGTACGAGCTAGTTGATGGCGGTTGAGGTGCTCTGCTTTAGAGAATGTCTTGTCGCATTGCGTACAGGATATCCTGTGCTGCCTGGTCTTGTGTTTTTGTCCCATTGTGACCAAAGAAACGCAAGAAGAAAAAGACTTGGGAGGTTCAGAAGCCGAAAAGATTTGTAGACCCGCTTCTCCATGGGTAATTTGCGGGGTAAGAAGAAAATCCCCTGATCCCTGCCTCGTTTACAAGGCATCGATCAAGATACTAACTATCTTCCATTAACGAGATTGGAAATCGCAAAAATTATGGGAAGTTGTGAAAAGAACTGATGTTGGGCATTTGTATGATTCATGTTTGGATGGTTGCGGTAGAGCTTCAAGTTGCAGGTCTTTTCTTAGTTGATGCACATGTGTACTGAATTACACTGAACTGGACAAGGCAGAGGTCCACTGGTGTAATATTAATCTCCATTGGGAAGTGACTTTCCTCAAAGAATATATCGCACTGGGGCAGTTTCCACATGCGCAAGGTTTGAAGCCAAGTCCCACTTTTGATCAAGGCATAATCCAAGTACCCGTCATATCGTGATCGTGTTGTACATTAATGTAGTTTGAATTTAGGGCTGTGGGAAAATTGTGGGGGAGACTTTGGATCCCCCACATTCTCAGTATTAAAGATGCGGGGAAGTACCATTGGCTAAAACTATGTTGTTTATGGGGATGTGGCAGGGTATGTGGCATTTAGTGTGGCCTTAATCTTGCAGCTAAATGGAAGACCGTATAAATATGCCCAGAAGATGGCACATACGTAAAATACTTGGTTTCATCCTATCTGTTCAACATACACGATGGCAGTTTTTCAAGTTGTGAACCACCCACTCCTTTTCTTCCTGGGAAGTGTTCTACTGTACTTGATCACACATATCGCCTATCAACGTTTCTTCCATCCTCTTGCCAAATACCCAGGGCCTTTCCTCGCCTCTCTCACCGACCTATGGCAGGTCTATCAGTACATCACTCTGAAGCAGCCTTATAATCTCACAAAGCTACACGAGAAATACGGCTCCATCGTCAGATATGGACCGGATAAGCTCAGCATTACCGACGAGGATTCAATCAAGTCAATATATCAATCCGGTGCCCGATATATGCCAAAAACCGAGTTCTATGATGCGTACGGAGCAGCTCATCCCAATGTCTTCGGTATGCGTGATGAAGCGGTACGTCCTTCCAAGGTTATACTATACATTTTAGAGCTGGGACTAAAATATAGATACAAATTTGCAGGTTCATTCCATCCGGCGCCGCCACATGTCCCACAGTTTTTCAATCAGTTATGTGAAAGAAATGGAGGAGTATTTGGACGCCAATATCAAGATTCTCCGTCAGAGAATATCCTCATACGCTTACAGTCAACAGGAGTTTGATCTCAAAAAGGCTTTGCACTTTTATGTTATCGATACTTTAGGCGAGCTAGCATTCAGTCAGACATTTGATGTCCAGATTTCCGACGATGAGACACGCGTCCCACCAGTCGTTGAGCATAGTTTGTTGGCTGCAGTGACAGGCGCTTGGCCAATGATGACGGCACGTTTGAAGAGATGGCTTCCACTCATCCCCCATAGTGGCCTGCAAGCACTATTTCAAGGTCGCAAAGCATGTGCTGATCTTGCGTCACGATGCGTGGACATTCGACTGAATGCCATTAGATCAAAAGATGGATCAAGCGATTCGTCATCTGAAAGGAAGGATATTCTTACTAATTTAATTCTGGCGAAGCATCCTGATACGGGCGAAAGCCTAAGTCAGACAGATCTTGAAACTGAAGCGTTCGGATTCATGTGAGTCTCTCGTTTCTATATTCAATTTCTTACTTCTTCATCTGCTAAAACGAGGTATCTGGTTAGTATTGCAGGTACTCATACGACCAGTGCCACCACCACATTACTATTTTACCACCTTCTGCATCATCCGGATCTGATGGCGAAATGCGTTGCAGAGATCGACGCTAATCTGCCTGTTTTACAATCCCATGAGAGCGCATATTCTGTCACTGTTGCCGAACAGTCACTACCATATCTTCGAAACTGCATGAAAGAAAACTTCCGTATCACTCCCGTGTTTACAATGCCTCTCGCGAGACGTGTGATGGCACCGGGAGGTACAACTATTGCTGGACATCATATCCCATTTAAGGTTAGTACTGGAATTGATTGAGCCCCTCTGGATCTGAGTCACTCAGGCTCAGGCTGGCACTACTAGTAGTACTCCAGGCTGGCGCTTCAACTTGAAGTTGACCTCATCATGCTGAACTCCGACTCGGAGTCGACTCCTACTGGCACTCTCAGGCTACTATGATATACTTCTAACAGCCGATGATTGACTCTTTGCAGACCTCGATAGCTGTTTGTAACCATGCCTTTCACCACAATCCTGAAGTCTGGGGATTAGACCACAACGTATTTGATCCATCACGATGGAATACTCCTGAGTTTGCAACTAAATCCAGACTGTTGATGCACTTTGGAATGGGCGGGCGCCAATGTATAGGCAAGACGGTAGCCATGACCAACATCTACAAACTGATGAGTACTTTGCTCAGCGAATTCCAATTCGAGCTGGCTGATGATATAGAGGCCAAAAAGGCCTTGGAAAATGAATTTCGTGGGGAAATTCCCGAGTTGATAAGTGTCGGAATCAGTGATTTGGCTGCTCCCTTGATGGTCCAGGCTCGGCGACGTGATAGAACTACGTGAGAGCATTTAATGAGTCGATTCGAGCGTTTCAAATAGTATCCAACTTAAATTCGCCAGTTTCTATCTACTATTTACTCCGAATCTGAACATTACTTTTTTATAAATCGAATCCCTCAAGCTTGCCTGAATAGTATTGAAAGGGATGGCATCGGCGCCCCATCTTTATCATCCGGGCCCCACTTGATTCCGAGTCCGAGTCTCCACGCATTTTTCTCAACCTAGATACTTCGGAGTCCCTCATACACATTCCGGGAGGGCTGCATAATCATGAATAGGCGTTAAATCTACAGAGTTTGATAGCATATTGACGGCTGGATTACTTTTGAGCCCCCTTCATCACCCTGGGAATGGGCACATCCCATACAACATGGCCTCTATGGAAGACGAGCGGCCAACGAAACGCGCTCGCCAGGCTTGTGAACCTTGTCGGTATGTCTAGTCAACTTCAATCTGTGATATTCGATCTGATCATCATCCAGACGGAAAAAATCCCGGTGTCCGGGGAGAAGCCAACGTGCTCTTTTTGCGAGCGTTTAGGCCAGAGATGCTTCTATTCTGGCGACGTGGTTGAAGACGGACTGGAGTTAGCCAGGAGAAAGGACATGGTAAGGAGTGTCCTTTCGCCGCATTTAGATGAAACTGACAATCTATCACTAGGATGATCGAGTTTCTCGTATTGAGAGCACACTTGAGCAATTAGTATCATACATTACGTCCAACGGGTACGTCCTCCAGGGTTACAGATGAACTTTTTCTTGAGATCGTATTCTGACTCTCAAATAAAAGCCAACAAGCTCAAACTGCTACTACTATTCATTCTTCTGAGAACAGCCAATGTACGCCAAATCAGGTATCCGCCCGAGAATTACCACCTATGAACATTATCAGCCCGTAAGCATGAATCATTGTCCAGCGGTGATAATTACCTAACCTCGTCTACAGGGAACGCTCTCATAGCGGCGGAGCTATCCAGAAATATTTCACTTTTTGCCACGCTCAACCCTTAAGGTTATTTCCTCAGACAGCATCTGAAAGTGTGGACAAGCGAGACCCAGAATTGGTGCTAGCGATGGAGGCTCTGGGCTTGAGATTTCACTTGCATGGCCTGGAAGAAAGACTTTCAGACCTTGAAATCAGATCAAGGGTAAAGAAGGCGGGCCAGATGGTAATGATGCGCATCGCAGAGGGTAATGTCGAGCTATCAACAATACAAACCATGTGTCTTCTCAGCATGTTGGAATTTACAGGTATGCGAGCAAAATTCCACTATCTGCACATTTTTACTGACGCTTCCCATAAAGCTGGACACTCGGTTAGAGCTGGGTTCTATACAAGGATGGCAAACTATTTCATGCAGAGCATCCGACCCACCAATCTTGAATTTTTAAAAGACCTTGAAACAGAGACAGATGAACGGAACTTATGTCATGCAAGTGTCATGATGCTCCAAAATATCCAAGGACCACATCAGCAATGGCCATTTCGAGCTCATGCAGATCAACTAGCTCACCCGGATATCGCTAGACCTATCTTCGACGCATTAACATCCAAAATCGATCTACGACGAGGTGACAGTGATTATAAGCTTGATGTTGGCATCAGCACTGCCACATTGCACTCCAGTGAAATTTGGTCTCTAGCCTGCAGTTATGCGATGGATCATAGCAGAGATGGCACTAGTCCCCCTTGGCACCCGCAGTCAGACTATGCGATGATTACATATTGGCACATCGAACATGAGAGTTATATGCCCTTACGATTCCGACTTCACGCCAGTCGGTTCCCAGACTATTCTCCTGAGGAGCTGCATGCGCATCGGCATTACTGGGGGCCTTGGTTGTTCTTCCAAATTGTTTGGCATGCGGTTCCGTGTATACTGAACCACCCATTCCTTCTTTCTATGCGACTGAGAAAGTTTAGACGCACTATGCCCCAGTCGTTTTTGCGCAACTCTTTCGAACAACTCACTTTACACTCAGGTTGGATCGTTCACTTTATTGAATTGGTTGAAGCCAAAAGCTTCGAAGTATCGGATCCAACGCTGGGCCATTGTGTCGCGATCGTTGCCACGATTTACCTTCAGCATAGCTTTGCTGACGACCGTAGCTTCAGCAAAAAGGCGCAAGCAGGGTTTGATAAATGTTTTCGTTTCCTACGCGCAATGGGTCGCCGCTGGCCACACATAGATCGACAGGTAGGTCTCCACTGCCCAGTTGATAATTCCAAGTTGTTGATATTAAGCTTCACACAGGTCCAACAGCTAGAGCAACTCCGAGACAGCATTTCTCCAGGGGGTTTTATATCAGACACCAGTACCCCTGGGAACTCACAACAAAAGTGGTCAGTGAACCTACAGTTACTGTGGAGAATCCTGGTGTACTCTCATGCGAGTAAAGATCCAAATCCGGCAGGCGATATCTTCGGTCCTAGCCTCGCCAAGGAAAGCTCAAAGGACATGGGAATATCATCAGCCGGTGTGATTGCAGAGCAGGATTTTGCATTGATTGGATCAGCTGGTATTTCAGGGCACAAGACTGTCGCATCAGAATGCGTCACATATCCTCCCGAGCAGGCCGAGCATCTAGAAGCGGGTACCGAGTCATCCACCATGGATCCCTCGGAACTTGCCAGAGGTTCCAATTTGAATTTTGCGGGCGAGGAAACACTCATGCTACAGCTCCAGGATTATGATAAAGCATTTGAGGATTGGCTGAGCTTGAACCCGCCGTGAAGAAGGATAGGCAATAATCTACATACTCACGGAGACCCGGCCCGCTTCCGTGTTCTCCGGGTGCCAAGAACCCGGCCCAGTTCCGGGTTTGCTCATATCTCCCAAGGTTCCCTCCACTTATTATTATAAAATTAAACTCTCAGATCATTACAACACTATTTCCCCGCTTAAATTCCTACCAGTGGTGAATATGGCTCCCTCTAAAAATGGTTCTATTGTGATTGTGGGTGCAGGTGTCTTCGGCTTGTCCACTGCGCTTGAATTGAAACAGCGCGGATACACCGATATCACAGTCTTGGATCGGTACACACCTCCGGCAGTAGACGGAAGTAGTGTGGATATCTCACGCATTATTCGAATCGACTATGCTGATCCGGTTTACTGTAAGATGGCCCGTGAGGCTTACCAGGGCTGGACAACCGAGTACAAGCAACAGTACTTTGAGTCCGGATTCGCTTTGCTATCTGAGACTCCTCGGAACGACTGGATCGAGAAATCGAAGGCCACTGTTCTGGCAAATGGTGGCACCGTGGAGACTTTGAAAGATGCTACCCAGCTCCTGCAGTCTTACCCTAATATCCAGGCTAAACTCTCTGGTATGAACGGTTATCTGAACCGCATTGGCGGCTGGGCCGACGCTGCAGGCAGCATCCAGAAGTTGGCCTCCCGATGCAGCGTTGAGGGTATTTCAATTATCTCCGGTCCCCGCGGAACTGTTACCTCTCTTCGCAAGGAAGGCTCCCGAGTTGTAGGAGTGAACCTTCTCAGTGGAGGATCGCTGCTCGCATCCCAGGTCATTGTGAGCACTGGAGCATGGACTAACCGCCTCCTCGATGTCGCACACGCTGCTTCATCCTCGGGTCAGCCAGTCGGATTTATTCAATTGACCGAAGAAGAGGCTCGGTCGTTGGACAACACCCCCGTTATGATCAACATGAGCTCTGGTGTGTTCGTCTTCCCACCTTCACCAGGTAGCAACATTCTCAAGCTCGCCCGTCACGGATACGGCTACGCAAACGAGGTGACAGTCAACTCTGACGGAACTACTCGTACTATCTCATCGCCCAAATTCGAATCAAGCAACGCGCAAACCGGATACCTGCCCGAGGACGCCGACCGAGATCTGCGTGCAGGTCTCCGTCAGTTCTTCCCCAAGTTTGCCGATCGGCCTTGGATGAACCGCCGACTTTGCTGGTACACTGATACCCCCAAGGGTGATTTCATCATTGACCAACACCCAACACTGGACGGTCTCTTCGTAGCTACTGGTGGGGCTGGACAGTAAGTTTAATTCTCACACGACGTTCTCTTTGGATGTTGTAATCTGTGCGAATGATCGACTAACGTGCTTTAGTGGATTCAAATTCCTCCCTGTCCTGGGCAAGTATATTGCAGACTGCTTTGAGAACAAGGCTCCTCAAGAACTGCGCGAAAAGTGGAGATTAGCGCCGTCAGAGGGTAACTCTGCAGGATATTCTATGAAGGGTGACGGAAGTCGGGCTGGACCTCCACTGCGCGAGCTTACTCGTGTGGAGAAGGCAAAGCTGTAGATACGTTACTATGATTAGTCGTACACATGCATGTGGAAATTGAATGCTCCTTGATTTGTGGAATTTTCTATACTGAAGTGCAGCCGCTTTCTTCTCTCGAGAGCCACATTATGTGGGGACTAGTGGTATATTCTGATAATGCGGGGGTAATTGATCTAATACCTCCGCTTTTTGACGATCTTATCCAAAGTGCCAATCTTCGTTGGGTTAATCAGTCCTAGTGAGAGAGAACCCTGGGACAAGATTTTAAGCATCTTTAATGTTCTAGTTTTCGTGGCAATGTATGTACATGAAGGTATCATTTGAAGTATGAATCAATGTTCTACTCCTTCATAGATTTCTATTCTATATTGAAATATCAACATCAAATCATCGATATCTGCACAAAAACTGCTTCAACCAGGTCTAGACACAAAGCTTAAACCCTCAGACTTCACCCGCCTTCCGTTTCGAACTCTTGGTGCCCGAATTCTTGTTCGACGCGGTCCCATCCGCAAAACTGCCATTCTCACAAACAGGCCACTCCTCTGGTCTCAACCAATATTCATCATGTGAAGGTTGCCCTTTCCTCATACCAGCCAAGTCGAACGGATCAATCACAGTCTCCCACATCGACCGACGGTCCATCCAACCAGGTCCGGAACGCTCCGTGGATCTATCCATATCCAAAAACCTCTTCTTCTCCCTTGGCAAAAACCGACCAGGATGCAAGAGATTCAGCCAATAAGTAAAAATCATCATGGGACCCAGCTCAAAGGCGTACAGATACCACTCATTACTCAAGACCGGTCCACAATTCTCACTACAGCCGACTTTTCCAATTGTCTCGAATGCTTCCACAGCACGGAAGACACAGCGCAGGAGGACAAAAGTCGAGGTGCCGTACAGAGTGTAGCAGACTGTTTTCACATTTCGTGGAGTCGCACCAGCGCGAGATACACGACGATGAAATGTAACAACGATCGTAACGACCAGACATTCTACCACAGACTGAAGAACCAGACCAGCGGCAATGAGGATCCCGCCCGATTTATACTGGTTGAGATCCGAGCCTGCGGCGGCGGTTCTCGCTGCACCTGCGACTGTGATGCTCTCGACTGCCGCGCCGACATAGACGAAGAATATCAGGACTCGATTGGGATTCAGGACGGCGTGCATGGGGGCGTAGTTCATTAATCGTCCGACTAGGTTGTATGCGGCCGCAGAATAGACTGGTGGGGCGAGGTAGATGAAGACGGATTGCGCGATATAGAGGTTCATATTTCCGGGGTGATGGCTGGATATACAGCGTAGGATCCAGCCGGTTGTGAAGAGGGCTCCTCCCCATGAGACGAAGAAGGTTATTCGCCAGAATCTATAGTAACTGCAAGTGGGGTTTGTCAGTACACGTTGATGAATATGAATTGAGATTGAACTCAGGATAGGTCATACAAGTTCTGGAATATATGCAGAAGCATGGAAATTCCCACTAATACAGCGAAGACTGCGGGTAGCACATGGCTCGGTTTGTATAGATAGTAGCTGACCTGGTCGTCCGTGGAACCCATTTTGTTATAAAGAAGCTTGAATTAAACCAAAGAAGATGCGAGGAATGAATAGGCTCAATTCTGGACGGATATCTTCGACTTAAATATGAATTTCTCCGGGCTGTTTCCATCGTTGAATGCTAAACACATCATAGGTCCAGCGCTACATCAAGCCAGGATAAGTAAAGATCAGCCTTAGATCTTACACTTATTCAGGCTGAGCACACAGCCACGAATAACAAGGATATCTGAAGGAGGTAAATGGGTCTTTGGATATTTACTCCCTCAATCTAAACCAATAAAAACTGTGTGTCGGTAGGGGCTCAGCGGCACATGTGGCCCGATACGGTTAGCCTGAGCTTATAGTTTAATTTCTGGGCATAATCTGCTTTTATGTCCATACGAGCTGTGTCCATACGAGCATGTTTATGGAGGCATGAAAGTAAATGAGCCTCTTTTCAAAAACTTGGTATGATCTAAATTCATGATGTCGACTTCAACTTGAAGTTGTCATCTCAGGCTGTGATTTCTCACCAAGGATTCCAGAGCGACCTGCAGAAAAGCGCTTTAGATTCTATTAACATTCGCCTGAATATTTGAAAAAGGCTTTAAAATCAATCTTTCAACGGCTCATCCTCCCAGAAAACCAAACACCTGAATTCAATACTCTCCCTCGGTTCTTCATCTATGGCATCGGGGGTGCTCAAAAGAAGCATGCACCGCCACACGCCCTTTATCCATACCCCCCCACTATATCGGAATCAAAAATCTTCATTAAGAGCACATCCTCGATACCCATATCAGACAAATAGTATCACTTTTGTCCCATATTGTATTTGGCCATCGCGATCTCCCACCCAACCGTCGTCTTTAATCCCTTCTCACCTCCCAGTGCTTTTGCACGTTCATTGGTTGAATAATCCATCTGAATGGGCAATAGATCACCAGGTTTTAATATACTCCCACCACAGACAGCAAGTGGATCCCGTTTCATGCTTTTTAGCAGGCGTCAGACATTAATAATTGCCCATCGTGTCTGACTTAGCCGGGATGCATCCTCTTGCGGAAGTTTCTCGTACAGATAGCGTGTTGCACCTGAGCGAGTATGGTCCACGTGTGTCGTTCTTGCAGGACCAGGCTTTCCTGTATACTCGCTATTGAAGTCGGAGAGAAAGGACCGGATTGTGTTGGAGGCTACTTTTACGTAGCTTGGTTTGAGAGTAAGACTTTTGGTGTTATCAATAACACTACCGCAATCAATCCGGGAGACGTTGCAAACTTACCTGTTTTTCAATAAATCCACTAATTCAGCGTCCAAGTCAGTTCAAGTTTTAATCCTTGCTCGGTCTAATAGTTGGATATATGCGCTCGTATGGGTGATATATTGGAAGCCGGATTTTGATAAAGTCAACTCATCTTCCCGTCCACGGGCGTGGATTTTACCGCTTGCTTGTCGCTTGCATATCCATACCTAGAAGTCGGCAGTGCCATTCAAACTCCTGACAGGTAGGTCAGCAAGTACGAAGTCGAGGGTTGTCTGCCAGTGGTCATTTTTTGACATCTTGAAGGTTCACGTCTTGAACAACTGGTAGGCTAGGTGAGAGGGAAGAAACCATGAATTACTACTAGTATCAATAAACCGTCACTGGGAGCTACTATATGGAGTTAATTTGGCCAAGAAAACAAGGTTAAATCAGATTAAAAATGTCATGTTGTCAGATGCAAGGCCGTGCGTGTTGTGATGATCTACGCCCCGCTCGCTAATCCCACATAAGTATTTAGCTTCCAATATATCTTCATCATGCATGAACTATGGTATCTGTGGTGAATAACACTTTCGAATCAAATTCACCGGTCAAGGTGTTGTATGTGTGCGGGACTCCGGAGGCTGGCTGACATCTGCAGACTCGACTGGCTGAGCTTGGGTCAACTTTTCTGATAGAGTGATAGTAACACAAGGTAGATATGATAGATCCACAATGTTTATCTCATATGTGAAGGTTGTCAAGATCTAAATTGTAGATCTTTCTGCAGAAATCCTATTCATTTTTATGACTTCTTTTTCTATAACAGGGGTTTTATGTATGATTGGGTGAGTTACGAACTTTGATGTTGCTAGTTGCCCAGGTGGAGTCTCCTTCAAGCGCTTTTCAGCTCAATATGAGTGATTTAAGGTCCTCAAAAAATAAATCATCGAATCAAAAGCTAGAACGCACATCTTCTGATTGAGCAATGTAAAATTAACGTTGTGAGTAGCGTCTATTGCATGAACGTTAGATGCTGATCTCGTGGACTCTGCTAAAAGCGAGGTCTAAACTATAGGCTTCAGAGAAATAGTGTGAACTATCTTCATACCTATGGGTGGGATCAGCTTAAGACTTCATCTAAGGTTATACGTGATAAACAATATTTCAGCTCATCCCTTTCTTTTATCTGAAGAATCCCCAAGGTTGCTCTCATTTAAAAGCTCTTGCACCCCACCCAGTCTCTTCCTTCAATCCCAAAGTCTCACAACAAGCACACACACACACACACACACACACACACACACACACACACACACACACAATGACTCGCAAAAGTGACGCGAACCCCAGTAAGTTCACCATATTGGTGGACCTAGGAGGCATTTTCATGCATCCGCCCGTGGGGTATACACTAAAATCCGGCGAATCCAGCGTCAAGCTAGGTCGAATTCTCTCATCCTCAATCTGGATGGATTACGAGATCGGCAGGATCACCGAGCAAGAGTGCTTTGCACAGGTCGCAATCCTTTTTGATTGTGAGCTGGAAGAATTGAAAGCCTTAGTGTCAAATCTCCGCGAGACTTTGACCTATGACAAGGAGGTTCTTTCTATCTTCACAGAAGTCAAACGCGCCCCAGGGGTTACGATTGTGCTTGTCTCGAATATCGCTGAGCCGGATTATCAGGCGCTTCGCCGTCGATGGGAGGACTCCTTCTGGGACACATTTGACGAGATATTTACCTCGGCAATGCTGGGTATGCGAAAACCCAGTCTTGGCTTCTATGAGCATGTTCTACGAGTAATACGTGCTGCACCACGACAAACTCTCTTTATCGATGACCAGGCGGAGAATGTGCTTGCGGCGATGTCACTCGGGATGCGTGGTATTATCGGTACTGTTGATCTATCACGTAAACTCAAGAACTTCACTGGTGACCCTATTGAGCGCGGGCTTGCATTTCTGCGACGCAATGCCGGGGCGCATTACTCGATTCCCGTTGGTGGCGAACCGATTGATGAGAACTATGCGCAACTTCTTATTCTGGAGGCCACGAATGATGAGTAAGTTAATCCAAGCCTCTTTTTGTATCCTCCCTCGCTGATTGTTTACCAGGACTCTTGTCGAATTGAGACGCCCGCCCTGTCTGTGGAATTTCTTTTCGGGGAAGCCAAAGTATACAAGCCAGGTGTACCCGGACGATATGGATACCACAGCTCTCGCTCTCGTGGTACTAGATTATGAGCCCGAGCTTGCGCACTCCATTCTTGATGAAATGCTCAATTATGTAAATGAGGACGGACTCGTACAGGTAAATAATGCGTCCCATACCGTCTCCCAACTGTATCATCTTCAATTTACTAGCCTTCTCTAGGTATACACCGACAAGTTCAGACCCAGGGTGGATGCAGTCATCGCATTGAACGTTCTTGTCGCGTTCTATAAGTATGAACGAGGCTACGAGCTTCCCCGAACACTAGATTGGATTCAGAAATTTCTGCTGAATAGAGCATACATCTACGGAACTCGGTACTATCAGAGTCCCGAATGGTTCCTCTTCTATGCATCTCGGCTCTTGGTCTATTCAAAGGATCTAAGTCTCAGAGAGAGGCTTGAGGGCCCTCTCAGAACACGTCTTCTTGAGCGAATCGGCGTCAATGGTGATGCCTTTTGTCTGGGAATGCGTTTGATGGCTTGTAGCTCTTTGGGTATTGAGAATCATACCGATAGAGAAGAACTTGCGAGCATGCAGCAGGAAGATGGAGGATGGAAGCCATGCGCGATGTACCTCTTTCCAACGGAGAAAAAGGAGATTGGGAATCGGGGCACTACGACCGCATTTGCGGTCAAAGCTCTTCAAGATGTATTATGAACGCTTGGAATTCTCTTCGCTGTATTCAAAGAAATTCGAAGACTGAGCGCATTTTCTCACCAAGTTTCGCGTATGGTAGCAACGTGGGGAGTCGTGAATTTCTTGCTGGGCTGCACGCCGGTCAACCACTCAATATGTGTTGGGCAGTGCTTCCAACATTTGAATGAGACTAGCAATACGTTCACAAGGTTGTCGAACTAAAAGCGTTGTGAACTCGTAAAGATAGCGATATTGAAGCAGTTTTATCAGGTTAAATTTATCTTGACTGCTCTCGTTATCTCTGAGTACGAGTCATCCGAGTTGGAATCATAATAATATGCACAGATTCATTTGAGTGGAATTCTGACGGCACTCATGTATTCAATTCACTCAGATATTCAATTGATCATGATGTTTTGTTTTACTAGTACTTTTTACTTTTTTCTGTTTAGTGATATTGAGAAGTTGAATTGTATAAGAGCATTCGAACAAATCCTTGGAATCCTTGGAAACTACCAATAAGTAGAATTGAATGTTTCCAAGGTTTTACATTCTGATCCTTCACAAGTTGTTGAAACTTTGAAGTAGATAAAAGCACCAAGACAGTTTCTGGTCTTCAACTCCGGAAGCTTGAACTCAGGCTGATGAAGTACTCAGGCGACTTCCAAACATCCGAAGGACATCATTCTGAAACAGAAGTAATGCTGGCCATTCCGAGTCTTGTGTTTCTAGACCCCAATTTAGATATTTTCAAGCAGCGGCAATTATATCCAAAAGGTCCTTGGCATCTGAGCCCTGAACACTTTTGACTGGACCAGCACCATCTTTGTATAACTTGTAGCTTGGAAGTACCATCATATCAACACCCGCCTTTTCTGAAATATCTGGTGTCTGATTGATGATGACCTGGTAGAATTTCAACGTAGAATTCTTGCCCGACATTTCATCAAACGAAGGGTTTATAGATTCACAAAAGTCATTTTGGGGGTTCATGGAGCCCTCCCCTCCAACGTGAACGAAATCAGGACTTTCTCCTTAGTTTCAATGGCGGCAGCAAACTCTGCTAGACTATAATATTTGAGATCTCAATATTGGTAGAACAAGGTTCTCAAACTTTTGTGCATACTCATGTCGTGATCTTGGTGACAGTCATTTTGAAAGGTTCTTTCAGAGTTGCAGATGTGAGCGAAATGCAGTGGGTAGAATAACAGAGAATTAAATGATATTATAGAGGATCTGACTTTGTGAAGACCTCGGGACTAGCTCTGAGAGGAGATGAACTTGCTTGCTCCAAGTCATTTCAACGTATGGCAGCAGCTCCAATTTATAAGTCATTCTTGATCTACTCACCTGACCTCGTGTGGCAATAGAGCATCATAGTACACCGCATCTTCAACTGATGTATGACAGGATATGCCACATAATGATCGATTCCAAATTTATATGGAGCTCTTTGCATATCTACTCGTGCTGTTCGTATATGCATGATCATGCCTACTAGATGTACTAGGTAGGCAGTATGTGTCAGTGGGGTTAAGGTACTCTGTGTAACAGTAACACACATGTGCATACCGCCTCTTACAAACTGCTATAACTTATAAGCCATCAATTTAGCCCATGGAGAAACTGAAATTATCCAATGCTAAAGATTATGAAGATTTTTCAACGGAGCTAAAACAATAAACTTGAACCATTAGAAAATTAGAGAATTGGTACTTCCCAGGGTTGAAATCTGAAGGAAGAGTCCAATTATAGCCGCCAAGGACCTAGTGGGACCCTGAGTCTGAGTCTAAGCACTTCGAACTATATGCTACATACAGATTATCATCCAGCTAGCCACTTCTTACAATCTTGGAAGTTACAGCTCACTGATGCTTGGTGACAATATGTGCATAACAACCCCTCTTCTTATCTGCACCCCACATATCTTACAGTAGTGTTACCTGATCAACATGCCCAGAGTCCTCACGAGACGAGCATGCGACGAATATCGCAAACAGAAGAAAGAACTCCACTCCCAATAGAACAACGGACGCAATCCAAGTCTAACGCCTTGGTCATTCAGGGTTCTGTCTGTTTCCCTCATGCTATTATCGCATCACATCAAACTACTTCCAAGGTTTTACCTAACCATGCACCTCAGTACTCAGTGTGACGAAAAACAACCCGCCTGCGCACGCTGCATTCGTTTGAAGCTAAAATGTGTAGGATCAGAGCAAAAGTGCTTCAGGTTCCAAGAATCAACACACTTCGCTGTCCTCACATGGACTGCACACCCAAAAATGAAAGCTGCATTCCAGGAAACAGGAATCTGAATCGCAGAAACTTCAACTCGAAGTTATCACAAATGTCTCGGGAAATATTTCCGCACATGCAGCCACTTGGCATTACACACACCAAGCCCAACTTCAAGTTGAACATTTGAACTCAACGAAGATCAACCTCCTACCCGGATCAATCCAATCACTACTAAAAAGTCAATTCATATTGACGTGACAATTCACCACCCAACAGATCTCCGGTATAGCCTCTTGTGGACATTCGGTGACTTTTTAGAAGATGCACCATCTCGATTAGGCACAAATGAAGCGCTCGATCGATCAATCGATGCTCTACTAGTAACAGCTGCTCATGCGGGCTTTTGTGGCGCCTCTAGAGGTGGAGCAACATTGACGAATTGGATGTCAGCGTTCTTGCGCAATCGGACTCGGAGTGGACGGCTGAGCATTTACGGATATACTTTTGGATTGAGTGGTAGAAAAGTGAAATATAATAGTTCGAAGCAGGATACAGAAATGGTCCAACTTGTATGGACACTTGAGCCAATGGAGAAAACAGCAGATGAAGGAAAGGAAACACAAACCCCATACGCTATGCGAAGAGAGAAATCAGACTATGAAAGCGTGTCAACAGAGTATATGGCAGTGCGCAAGTCAGTACCAGTAGACACTAACGCAGGGAATCAGAAATGGAGGAACCATAGAGTGCGGGTTGTTGGTTCTTCGCTTGATATGTGCGTAAGAATACGGGCCTGGGATGTCTGAATCGACTGGGCCGTAGAACTATGGAAGTGTAGAGAAAAGGGAAAAGAGGAAAGGTAGATGCGCAAAGGATGATGGGGGTTGAAGGAAATGAGGCTTAATGTGTACAGGCTTCTAGGAACAACCAGGACTGACAAACGCATGGATGGGTATTTCCGTGGGCTGTAGAAAATGAGAAAGCAGAAAAGTAGTGGCAAAGGAGTCCCAGAAAGAAAACAAAAAGACAAAAACAGAAAGACGCCAGAGCTTGTTTCACCACATATCATCGTCATCGTCATCATCCAGTTGAACATCATCTCCAAAGGACGAATGATCATACTGGTAATGGCCCGAGTCGTAAGAATGGCCGTTCTCGTAACCATGCTTACTATGTCCGTGGGCCTGGTAGCGATCGCGTGGATCATCATCGTAATCATACATAGACCCGTCATCATAACCACTGTCTCCATAGTGTTGTTGTTGTTGTTGTTGCTGCTCTTGTGCCTGGAAGGAAATTGAAAACCACCCGTCAGTAACTCGAATCAATCGCATGAACATAGTCTCCACTTACTTCTTGGTATCGCTGATATTGAAGGTACTCATCTGGTTGTTGTTGCTGTTGTTCCCGTTCTCGAGACCTGGATGATCTCTGGGACCCTGAGGCAACAACCATCTGAGGATGCATCTGTTGCACTTTTTCCAGATATGAGTACATGAAGTTACTCAGCAATACCTGAGAGTAGAGAGCCCGCCGAGGGTTTGCCAGCTTGATATGAGCCATCCGATAAATCGCTCGCTCTTCCAGAATGGAGAAACGAGTCCAAGGATAGTCCACATCAGCCCGCAGCTCCCGCACTGGCGGGTCAGGAGACAGGTTTCGAGACGAGTTCTTTCTATGATGGTGACTCTCTCCACCATGCTTCTTTCTCCCACCGCCAAATATCGATGAGAAAATTCCATCCTTTTCTTTCTTATCTCCCGATGCCCTTCGAACGCCATCCTTGCGTCGTTCCTCCTCGAGTTTCGGATCAAGACGGTCCAGAATAAGACTTTCTCGGCCTTTGGGAGTGCTATCCAGAGATGATTGTTGAGCGGGTGCTTCTGGGCGCGAGTTGCTGCTATGAACCTTCTCTGAGATCTTCGACTTGGCTCTCCTTGAATCACTGTCTTTCTCCTTCCTTTTCTCCTTCTCCTCGCTTCCCAATAACCAATGCCAGCTGGACTTCCGGCCGCCATCATCTTTCTTTGATTTCTTCCCCTCCGTCTTGCGGTCATCGGATCTGCGTTCTTCGGGGATGGTTGGAATAAAAGACAGGCTATCTGTGCGAGTGCTGTTTCCGGGTATCATTTGCGGGTTGTTGGCGAAATCATTCAGGGTCGGCGTCGTCTCTCTACCTTGACGACTCGGCCCCATCAAGGATCGCTTGCTTGGCGTCGTGTCACCTGGCGAGGTTGTCTTGGAGGAATGTGAGGAAGTGGCATCACGATCTGATACACGTTCTGATGACCGACTTGTTTGTGAAGATGCGTTAGATGGCGTGCGAGTTGGATCACTGATTTGTTGTTCAGCAACAACGGGAACTGTTTGCTCAGCTAGGGGTACGGTGGTCGTCGATCGGCCGTTGGAGTTCGTGCGTGATTGCCATTGTCGGGCGTAAGTGGCAGCACTTGCCTGTGCCTCCACGTCTGATTGATTGAATGCAGCGTCCTGTTGCGTCTGCGATGCTTCCTGCTCAGCTTCCGGTTGGTCAATAATCGAGTCGAATGTTGAACTGGTCGTTGATCCCGGAGTGTAAGCCGTACTCCGAGAGGAGGCCGATCCAGCCCGTGCTGCTCGGGTTTTTGGAGCTGAATCCGATGGAGCACGGGTAGAGCCAAGAATTGGTGCGTCATTGGGCGAGGGGAGGATCGATGGTGCGGAATCTGCCGATTCCGAGAGACCCCTGCCTATTCGTTTGGAGTAGGGAGGCTTCTCGCCCTTTTTCAAACTTCCCTTCCGATACTGTGTGCGTGTCGATCGCCGCAAACTATGCCCTGGAGGCGCTGGTGGCAGAATTGGCTTATCTTCGCTTGCGGCAATGCTTGCCTTTTGCATTCCTTGGATCAGAGTATCTTTGGACGTGGCCGAAGAGTCATCTACCAAGGTTTCCAGTTGTTGCAGGTTGGGACTCAACATTCCATCTCGTTTACCAGCCTGTGAGCGCTGATGCTCCAACCTGTCAGCGCCATCTGTATAACCTGCAGAGTTATCGATCTGCTTCGACAGCATTGACCGTTTCCGACGAAGACTGCTTTGCGATCCTTGACGTTCCGGCCCAAGAGCAGAATAATCGCCCGATTTCCGCTTAATCAAATCGGCCTTACTCTCAAGGAATGACTTGAATTCCTTGGGTGCCAACTCGGGATGTAAACTCGCGGGAACCCAAAATAACCGTGATGTATCATTTTCGTCGGCGGAGGGAGAAGGAGGGAGAGACGGAATAGAGAAATTGCTATTAAAGGATGGAAGATCCGGATCACCAGCCGCGGCGACGTCCATTGACATTCGCCGGATCGCAGCTAGGTTGTTCAGTTCCTGGACGACGGCGGCGGGGTCTGATTCGTAGTTAATATCGTTCAGAGGGAAGGAGGATGTCGCGGTTTCCGAGGGTGATCGAGTTAACTCGCTGGAGCCGGGATCACTGTCCCGATCATAGGACCGGTGAGTAGCCAGTGGTGGGCGCAGATGTCCATTTGTCTGTTTGTGCTGACCCTCGATCGGTGAACTCGGCTGAGATGTGTGTAAAGAGTTGGGGCTTGCGGGACCTCGCGGGATGGTTGTGATGGATTCGGCGTGAGGAGATGATATATAGCTCAGGCGCCTGATATCATTACGGTCGTAGTCATCGTCGTACATATGCCCGATCGCCTCGGTCACATGGTGGCTTGGATCGCTAATCGACAGATGGGGTACATGTCTCCGCGTCGCGTGTCCTCCGCCAGCCTCAGGGGCAGTCGTGGAAGCCTAGATATGACAGGACGATGGTCAGTATAGGTCGAATCAGGTCAGTTCCTAGACCGGGGATCCTAATCAATCAACCCCCCATATTGAAGTACGAGGATGGCGGGATAGGACATTGGAGGGGTCCCCGGTGTGCGTCGAGAGAGGGGGGGAGGGGGAGCAATCAGGCAATAATTTCCAGTCTTTTGCCAGCCCCTTTGTGCAAGGAGTTCGAGAACATGAAAGAGTAAAGAGAAAAAAGAGTGCGCCAAACAGTACATACCTGCATGGGAACCAGCTCTACAGGAACCAAGAAAAGCCCACCGATAACCCAGAAGATGGGGCTCTCTTAGAGAGGGGAGGGGGACAAAAGGGTCAATGTACCACGAGAAGGAGAAGGCTCATCGAAGCGGGAGAAACGGAACAGAAGGAAAGGATGGTACTAGACCAACCGTCATTTGAAGAAAGGAAGTGGGAAGGTCTTCCGGGTCAAAGAATGGGAAGAATGGAGAAGTTGGGGATGATAATTTAGCGGGCGGAGTTCAAGGTCGCGAGAAGCACCTGACTATCTTTTTTTTTATTAAAGAGAAGTTGTTCTTCCCTCCTACACGGGAAAGACAATGTCACTTCTTTGTCTACTTTTTCAACTTCTTATTTTATTTTATTTTTCATTCTTTCCCAAATGACTCTGATTAGAAAACAGGGATCATTCAACCTTTCCATAAATACAATCTGACTTGAGAGTATCCACTTTCTGGAAGGGCAGAACCGGGCGATTGAGCCTGGCCAAGGACGATCATTGACCCGATTTTTTACTATATACGGAGGTAAGAGAGTGAGTCAATACTATGGGACCAAATGGTATACTATTGTGTGTACTAGTAACCAGGCAGTCCTTCAAAAATACTACTATTCACCTGATATTGGAGATATTTGGTCATATGAACAACCAAGTTGAAATGACCCCCTGTCTCGGTTGATATTTACTCGTAGTAGTACTACTTAATGATGTTCAATTTATAGTACTATAGAACACACATTTAACATGAAATACCTATGATCTAATTCGATGACAGATTAAATCACTTTTATATCTTAATCTGATGAGTCTCAGCTTCTATACTAGACTGATGATTCACTTTTTGGTTCTAATTCTAACCTTCAAGTTTTCGGAGCAATCGATATGTGAGTCAAGTACTACCTACTACCCATCCATCGAGTATGTACCTGTACCAAGATGTACCTTCGTGTCCACGGATTATGTAGTTTTCAAAGCTGAGCACTGAGTCATCTGAGTTATAAGGTTCCAAGGTTCCTGTGGCACAGTCCATATGTTCTCACACGGCTAGCCAGGTGTCCTAGTAACGAGGTCTGACCCTGATGTTTACACCTGAGCCAGCACTTGATGTGTGTCCTATGTGTAGGTGCCCAGGTGTAGGTGTTATGCATCTACTACTGGTGGAGATGCCAGTGGATTCAAATCTACCCCACATGTGTTGCAGTGTTCATCCATCCCCCAAGGTCCTTTAATGGTATCCATGTCCTTCTCCTCAGATAACGTGAACGTACCCCCGGGGTAGCACTGACGCCAACAACCCATCTTGCAGCCGTGGCAATAATGCAGTACAAGGGTCTAGGGCTCAGGGGCTGCATCTAGTGTCTCTATACCTCAATCATGCGATAGAAAAGTGAAGATTTTGTGTTACTCTACTCCCGGACGCCCGAGTAGACAAAAAGCCTGATGGTACAGACGTGTTGTGCAAGTCTTGGTGTAAGCCTATTCAAATATTGTCGAGCCAAGTGGCCACATATCACAATCATGGAGGCAATATTCCAACTGGAACTAAAAGTCAAGGTTCATGTTATTTGCACGTAATGATAGCAGTTGAGGTAGATGAAAGAAGAGCGGAACGAGGAATCTAGGCACGTGCAGTCTGAACGGAAGGGTCCACGTGAAATAAAAAGATCACGTATTGATCCGGGTTGACCCCGGATCAGTAGGAAACGAAACTTGAAGGAGAATAAGAAACTCCAGCGCTCGAGTCGTGTGGATAAAAATGAAGAACATGAGAACATGAGAACATGAAGCGTTGAACAAGGTGGGAATTTGAAAAAAAGGAGCAGAGAAAACACAAATCCAAATAGTACGCCCAAGCTATATATCCACTTATCCCCAGTTCCCTACATGGTATCTGTCATCATGATCATCATGCCTCTGGTGTACCATGACCTAGGTACGTCTGCATGCAACGGGAATTTAAGAGGTTTCAACGTAGTTGCTGGGCATTATAGTTAGCTTGACTAGATCTTCGAGAAGGATAAAGAAAAGTGTGCCATACCTGGGGAAGATACCAACTCGATCACCGATCCGCCCTGTCCACCAATCCTCTGCCTTCTCAGTTCGCTTGATGATGGTGATAATTTCACCCTTCTTGAATCCCAGATCCCCTTCTTGATCAGCATCAAACGTGTAACGCGCGACCACCTGGTCCTGCCGAAGTGCCGCACCTGCACCCGTTTTCTGCCCAAAGACCGGCTTGGGCGCTGCAGGGCGGGTTGGTCGACGGTCAGAGTATGAGTAGTCATCGTTATCGTATGTGTTGCTCCGGCTGCGTCCATAGCCATTGTCATAGCTGGGCGGGGCATCTCGGGAGGCGGTTGTCGATGAACGACCCAGTCCTCCTGGTTGGCGATCATAGACATCATCGGCCCAAGTATTCGCGCGACGTGGCCTATCGCGGTATTCATATTCATTTTGGGTAGTATTGGACCGTTCTCGAGTCACGCCTTGCCCATAGGCATCTCCTCTGCGGCCTTCCCAGACTACATCGTCATGGCTATCGTCGTAGACCGGCACATCGTTATACATGGTATCTCCGTTCACCCGGCTGTTGTTGCCTTGGAATATACGGGAGTTGAGAACACGCAACAATGCATCGGTAGAAGGTGGAGGTCGCACGGTGCCAGTGAGAAGCTGGCTAGCCGAGACACGGCTCTGATACATCTTTTCATTGGCATCCTTGCGCTCCACCAACATACTACCCTCCAAACTGACACCAGCGAATAGACCCTTCGTCTTCGAGTATGAGAAGATGGCCGCAACGCCCTTTGTACTGGCCGCACCGGCAGCCTCCGCATTTCGTCCGACCGGTCCTGCGGCCAGCGAGACGTTACCACCCAGAGTGAGAGTACCGAATTGAGAGAATGTGCGGACGGCGGACGCGTCGTTCAGGATAAAAACAAAGTCGGTGAGTTCGAATCCAATCTGGCCTCCGACACCCGCGCCAGCGGTCGCAATGGCGGAGGGAGCCGACCATGAGCCATCAGCAAGACGGGCGACGACAACACCAGAGCCAAATCGACCAGAGCCAATGAAGCCAGCTTTCAGAACCGTGAGAATCGCCAAGCCCTGTGAGCACATGACAATATTAGTACCGAATACAAGCAACCCCTCAACCCCGCGATAAAACGTATGGTTTTTGGGGGACACGTAGATATTCTCACCTTTGCGCCAGCTAGAATGTCTGGTGGGATGACCTTATCTGGACCAAATGCCTGTTTAGGGTCCACAAAGGAAGTCAGGATCTTTGCCGCCTTCTTGCATTCACCTAATCATCAGATAGTGGTCAGCCGAGACGTCCCGCGAACAATTGCGGGGAAGCGGGCATAGCAAGTCGGGGAGATACATACTGGCCAAAGACGACGGCAGGGGGTTATGGATACCGAGAGGCATCCTGAAGGCAGTCGGCGAAGGGAAATGAGTGAAGACTTAGGAAGAGAGAAGGTCTGACAGAGCAAAGATGTCGGGGCCGACTCCAAAGGGTCAGGTTACTAAGATGGGGCTGCAAGGTGGGCCCAATGACGGTAGCCGCGGGACAAATGGTTCGTTGTCGGGGGTTTGTTAGTGTGCATCTACAATGCACAGTAAATGAACTCGATATAGTCCAGATTAGACCTTTCGATTTTCAAGGTTAAAGTCAAAGTTTAGGAGGATTCTTTGTAAATTGAGGCTTTTGCCACGGGGTCCTCGCACTTATATTCCTTCTCAGTTGCTGACTTTTGTGGCGCAGCCTCGCTTCGAGCCGCATCAATGAAGGTACACTACGTAATAGAATATTGATACTATATGAGCTTTTGGATGTACTGAAAGTACTATGTTACATGTAACTTCTATGAAAGTAACGAGTGCAGACTCCCATATCAGACATTTTCAATTTAGTGTTTTATCTGTAGCATAGAATGCCTATAAATATGAGGCTTGAGTAGATAGTACTAGTCTAAAAAAGGACTCCGAGTCGGATATAGAATCACTTCCATCATGATGCCGAGGAAATTTTAAGAGCCAAAGTAACAATATCATGATATTAGGAGTTAAGTTTTCTTTATTGGAGTCATGGAAAAACAATATGTTGAAGAATACGGTAATGGCCAGGTGGTGGATGTGATGCTCCGAAGAGAATTGATAGTGTAGATAAAACGAAGGAGTAAATATCAACCTTGGAATCTAGCAGGAAAGATAAGACCTCGGGATGGATCCATGGTATCAGTGACTGCAGATGAGCCGTATGTGAGTAAAAGAGTTGGTTTAATTCAACACACATTCTGTTGATTGATGATATAAATGGTATGTTTGGGAAGATTTGAGTATCACGGTGTACCTCTTATATAATGCCATCATATAAAAGATACCTGGCAAAGCATGAAATCAGTATGAATGACAATCACTGGCAGTCGTGTCACTGATAGACTTCAAAGCGGTCTGGTTATTGCCGCGCGACGTAACTCCGCCTTAGACATCCTTTGTCTTGAATCCCCGGATTGTTGTTGATGACGAAAGAATGCTGAGATTTTAAGTCGTCGTCAAGATGGCTACAGGTATAATGCCTTTACTAGTAAAAAGCTAGTCTGACGCGTTGCTGACTATGCCTAGTTCGAATTGCTGTCTGTGGAGATGAGGGTACGGGCAAGTCTAGCTTGATCACCTCGCTGGTCAAAGGGGTCTTCGTCACCAATAAGATTCAGCCCGTCCTGCCTCAGATCACCATCCCTCCCACGATCGGAACTCCCGAAAATGTAACCACGACGACGGTCGTCGACACCTCAGCTCTGCCGCAAGAGCGAAACAACTTGGCGCGCGAGATCCGGAAATCAAACGTAATTCTATTGGTGTATTCCGATCACTATAGCTATGAGCGAGTCGCATTATTCTGGCTACCGTATTTTCGATCGCTTGGAGTTAATGTGCCCGTCGTTCTGTGTGCCAACAAGTCAGACCTGGCAGTGGGCCACAATGAGGCACAAGTCATTGAGGAGGAAATGCTACCTTTGATGTCGGAATTCAAGGAGATTGATTCTTGCATTCGAACCAGTGCCCGGGAACATCGCAACGTCAATGAAGCCTTCTTCGTCTGCCAAAAGGCTGTTACACATCCTATCGCGCCGTTATTTGATTCCAAGGAGTCCGCCCTGAAGCCTGCAGCGGTGGCAGCACTACAACGCATTTTCTACTTAAGCGACCAGGATCGTGATGGATATCTATCAGACAAGGAAATTAAGGATTTTCAAACTCGATGCTTTGGGAAGCCCTTGAATGAAGAAGATCTGGACCATATCAAAGAGACTATTCAAAAGAGCTACCCCGAATCAGTCACCGAGTGCGGCATTGATTGTCCCGGTTTTATCCACCTGAATAAGTTGTATGCGGAGAAGGGACGCCACGAGACGGTTTGGATTATCCTGAGAGCATTCCAATATACCGATAACCTCTCATTGCAAGAAAATTTCTTGCATCCTCGATTTGAAGTACCGCCCTTTGCTTCTGCTGAACTATCACCTGAAGGATACCGTTTCTTTGTCAACTTGTTCCTTCTATCAGACAAGGACAATGATGGAGGTCTCAATGATTATGAACTCGCATCTTTGTTTGCACCCACCCCGGGTCTGCCCGCATCCTGGGATGACGGTTCATTCCCTTCTTCCACAGTCCGTAATGAGGCCGGGCATGTGACCCTTCAGGGCTGGTTAGCCCAATGGAGCATGACGACTTTCATGTCTCCCAAGACTACTTTAGAATACCTGGCTTACTTGGGATTTGAATCCTCAGACCGAAGTAATCCTTCGATTACAGCTGCATTAAAGATGACAAAACCGCGCAAGCGGCGCCGACGGCCTGGCCGAGTTGGTCGAAATGTGGTACAGTGTCATGTCCTGGGACCTCCTGGATCAGGGAAATCCGCTTTGCTGGATGGTCTCCTCTCGCGTGGGTTCAGTACAACATATCATCCCACGATCCAGCCGCGTACTGCTGTGAACACGGTAGAACTGCCTGGTGGTAAACAATGCTATCTCATAATGGATGAGTTAGGCGAGTTGGAGCCCGCGATTCTTGAGAATCAGGCGAAATTACTCGACCAGTGCGATGTGGTCGCGTATACATACGACTCCTCGGACCCGGATTCATTTTCTTATATCCCCGCGTTACGCGCAAAGTACCCTCATCTAGAAGAGCTTCCTAGTGTTTTCATTGCCCTGAAAGCCGACTTGGATCGGACCACTCAGCGGGCGGAGCACCAACCTCACGAGTACACGGCCATGTTGAACATGCCGAGTCCTCCATTGCATGTCAGTGTCACTTGGAATTCCATTCAAGAAGTCTTTGTGCACATTGCCGAAGCTGCGATGGAACCAAGCACAGCATTCCCTCGTAGTGAAGAGGATGTCGAAGGCAAATGGATGTCGTGGGGTATTGCGCTTGGGGCAGTGGTCTGTGCCGGTGCGGCCGCAGTAATGATATGGCGCCGCGTCAGCGGTAGTGGTAACTGAGCCAAATGCAGGTTTTATCTGCTCATTCTTGTACTATAATACCCCCATGGCAATGATTTTTGTATCTAAATTATATTCTCCAGTAGTTTTATATGACTCCTAACAACTTTTCATAGAATTTACTCCCATTTGAACCCTGAAAATTATTCGGCTGGCTCGGAGTTAACCCGGCGCCCCGCCAGGCACGAGACTTCTCCGCTCGCCTCTTTACCCCGGACATCTCGCTGATCTGTTCCTTCTCCTCCTCAAATATCACATCTCTTTCAACCACCTTGCCTTTTCATTCCATAGGTTACTAAGGGAAAATTTTACATTGCGCATTTATTTTGCATTGGTGCAACCTCAAGACCTTCGCCACTCTCCCCGGGAAACCACTTGTTCAGACTGAAATTACGCATAACCAGTTGGAGTTAAGCCTATACTGTCGCATCTAAGAATATTTCGGACTCCGAGGAATACAAAGTTATTCCGGTTCTTGCTTGTCACTGCAGTGATAACCAGAGAGCCCATTGTCGAATCATAATCCATTTCCCCTGTGGATACAGCCAGCCTGCAAGTCAGCCTAGGTTGCACCGGTTAGGTTGATTGGCGTTGAGACTATAGCACAAATAACCCAATCGCGATGTTGTAAGTTAACCCTGTCCATTATGTACTTTCTTCGTCCTATGTCGTATTCCGGAGGTAGTCTATCACCGCCGATGCTATCTCCAGATATAATGAGACGTTATATTACAGTTCCGCCCCAAGGTTGAACTGATATGCTAAACCACGTCATAATCGACGCGAACATAAATGTTTATGCTTCTCATTACATGAGAATTAAGATCGCTTCACCTTTTGGTTTCACTAACTGACTCAACAGTGTTCTACCACCTCCACCTCCCCGCTATACTATCCCTGTCGCATATGCGGCGGGGGCAGCAAATGGTATGGCGGTCCCAGTTGTTGAGACGAATAATACAATCAGTCACCCGGAGGGTGGCTGTCCCTTACAGGTCGGAGAAGGTGCGTACAGATGCGGTTTCGTGACCATATGGGGTGTCAAATCAGGGTCTCCCCTTTATTGTACCCCAAGATTGACCAACTTGCTAATCACCGGGAGTTTCACGTACAGGTACCTACACACTTAAAGATGACCTTCTCTTGGCAACACCACCCCCTCATCCTTCCGAAGCCCCGATCATCAATCCGAACCCTCTTGCGACCGTTCCAAACCCGCCAACATGCGGTGTAAAGTTGTCGCTTGTCAGCCTCGATCCCCGAAAGAAACCCCCCAGTCTTCCTTAAGGCCGCTGTCTCCGCTCCTCAGTTTGGCGATGGGAACTCCGCGCTTGCACCGCCAGCAGCACCACCCGCGAAAGATGCGCTCAAGAGACGGAAGCCAAAGAACAATATCATCAAAAGCAGTTCCTCGTTTGTCTCTCGGGTGATCACTCACGAAACTTCCGCTAAGCGCTTGAATGAACGCGACCCAAATGGCGTTTTCGCATTTGCCAACATCAATCGTGCATTCCAATGGCTCGATATCACCTCCGCTTCCAAAGAGGACCATCTTACCAAAGTTCTATTCACAAAAGCTCATATGCTATGCCATGATATCAATGATTTAACCAAGACCTCATCACATTTGGATATTGTGATGGGTTCATCTGCTGGAGACATCATTTGGTATGAGCCTATGTCTCAAAAGTACGCCCGGATTAACAAGAATGGCGTTATTAACAATTCTCCTGTGACCCACATCAAATGGCTCCCTGGATCTGAAAATCTCTTTATGGCCTCACATGCTAATGGTGTTTTGGTAGTGTATGACAAAGAGAAGGAGGATGCTTTGTTCACACCAGAGAATACGGGAATTCCGGAAAAAGAAATCCCGTTAGAAATTTTGAAATCAGTCAACTCACGAAACCAGAAGACGAATCCTGTCTCATCGTGGAAGTTGGCCAGCCAGAGAATTTCTAACTTCGCCTTCTCGCCGGACCAGCGCCATTTGGCTGTCGTTCTGGAGGATGGTTCTTTGCGACTCATGGACTACTTAAAGGAAGAGTAAATTAAATCACCCTTTCTCTGTTGATAACTATACTGATAAAACCCATTCAGGGTTCTGGATATTTTCCGCAGTTACTATGGTGGATTGATCTGTGTTTGCTGGTCACCTGATGGTAAATACATCGTGACAGGCGGCCAGGATGATCTCGTTACGATCTGGTCATTCCCCGAGCGCAGAATTGTTGCCAGATGCCAGGGCCACAACTCCTGGGTTTCGGCTGTGGCTTTTGACCCGTGGCGCTGTGACCAGAAAACCTATCGCTTTGGTAGTGTTGGTGACGACGGTAGATTACTTCTTTGGGATTTCAGCGTTGGAATGCTCCATCGCCCGCGTGCTGTTCGTTTCCCTCTTCTCATATTTTGTTGAGTTTGTCTAATTTGTCTCAACAGCATCATCAGAACTCGACCCGACAGCGCACCAGTCTCGTCGCACCTAATTCCCAGTCTGCACCTCGAACTCGTGCTAATAGTGGCGCAAACCGAATGCGCTCTGACTCGGAACGAACTGAGAACTTCTACAGTGAATTTGAGCCAGTAACCAGCCACCCCATCGAGCCTCGATCTCGAACCGCTATGCTGCCTCCAATCATGGTACGTCGCATTGTACAGTGCTAATTAAATTCCGAATCATCATCTAACTATTTCACCAGTCTAAGATTGTTGGTACGGATCCAATCTGCTGGGTCGGATTTCAAAATGATTGCATCATGACATCCTCCTTGGAAGGTAAGACTTTGTTGCTGATATTACACTCCACACTCATACTAACTTGTTTACAAGGCCACATTCGCACTTGGGATCGACCAAGCGACAGTGTGATCAATAGTGCAACCAGTCTGTGAACAAGAATATCGGGCTCGATGCATTTGAACATGCACAGTTTGGCTTAATAGTTTCCCCTTTGGCGAATTCAGCGTTCCGGAGTAGGATGTTTTAGTTTGAATTTCAGATACCCATTTCACCCAGAGTCCATCAGAAAATGTCCATTTTCCTGTAATTTTCATACTGAATTCCATCAAGCAACTGCGTCTGCTTGGATGGTCAACCCAATCACAGCTTCAACCTCCCTGCATCCTCAACATCGAATTCCGTCGTACACAATAAAAATGTATCCTTCAGCGCCTGTAGATATAGAATAAGCATTGCATATCAAGTTGTCATGAACCATCAAATCCTCCAGGCGAACTCACCGATAATCGATATTTCTCATTAATCTTCTGATAATCCTCACCAGCAAGCATATCACAAAAATGTCGAATAGAAGGGTAATGCACAATAGAAATCTCATTCCACCATTCACTCTGCAATCGATCCCTCGATCCCCTTGAGTCACCAGCTCCATCCCCAAAGCCTGGAGGAACTACGTTCCCAACCAACTTTGCATTCCCGCCTCTTTTCCCTGCAACAGGTACAAAAGCCTGCCCATACTCATAATAACTCTTCTTCCCGTCTGGATGATGGAAATGGAGTAAATTAAGCATCGTTACTGGCCCAGAATGTATTTTTAAGAGTTGGTTCATGAAATCTAGAAGTTCAGGAGAAACTTCCAGATTTTGAGATGTGGATTTGGTGTCGGATCCTTTTAGGAGCTTGTCTAGTGAGTCGATGAGTGGCATTGATTCGGAGCTTGTTTTCAGGACTGCATCTCGAGTTGGATAGCTGCTTAATAGCTTTGATGGGATTCCTGTCGTTATTTTGTATTCGGCTTTTATGAACCGACGCAGCGTGCTTGGGATTGGATCTGCGGTTGCGGGTTCTGAAGAATCGGATCTGCTGCTTTTTTGTAGAAGGACAAGGAGATCCCATTGGGTTTTTGATAATGTGTCCTTGTCTAGTAGTGATGGTTGGATCACTATGTGTTGAGGGCGAGATGCGACGATGACATTGATATCTGGAGATTGTTTGAGTTGATGGATGAATGATTGCGTGTTGATGGAAGGTTCGAAGGCGAGGAGATGTAGAGTTAAGACAGGCATTTTGATTTATTTTCCAATAACTGGAATTGAGACTGAGTGATAGAATTTCAATATTGGAAGTTGGTTAAATCAACAATAGAAGAAAAGAGCGGTATGTAGTCTCGAGACGATGATTTCACTGCGGGGACTCGGGGAGAATCCTCATGCAAGTACAACCGAGGTTCATATCGGCAATCTTAATTGGCTGAGAAAGCAATTTATGAACGTGAATAACATTGCAATTTGCATTAATTGATTAATATCAAGGACATAAGTCCACAAGTCATAAAACACAACATTGAAACATTAGATCCAATCTCAGACAATTAAGCCTCATATCAAACTATACTTCCCCATTATTCCTGCACACAGTATGTTGAAACGAAAACATCATAGACACCAAGTAGTACGCTCGCATCATATATTTTAATCTTGCTCAAAGAAAAATTGAACATATCATTCCAAAGAACGAAGCAGATACTTAGAGTGCCAGAGCAAAGAGGCCCAGAAGCAAGCTGCCGGCCTGGTTCGGGGGCATGAGGTAGCCAGCTGCATTCGAGGTCGTAGCCGATGCGGTCTCAGTGGACGACGAGGTTTTCGTGTGCTTGGTGGTAGTGGACGTGGTCATGGAAGTCATGGTAGAAGTAGCTAGAAGATCCAAGTTAGCATCCAATCGAACTCTCGTAGCTTAGTGGTCAAAATTCAAGTAAAACTGGAAACCAATACATGGCACCATTCACTCACCACTCATAGTGGAGCTAACGGTGCTTGTAGAAGATGGAGTGCGAGACATAGATGAGGAGGACATAGATGAAGATGGGGAAGATGTAGACAGGGAAGAGGATGACGAGATAGTGCTTGAACTTGAAGGGGTTGAAGTCCACGAACTGGAAGATAGAGAGGTGGACGCACTGGTAGATAGGCTCGTCATAGAAGATGATGTAAAGGCAGAAGTAGAAGTAGGTGAAGTAGTAGATGAAGGAGAAGTGGTATGGGTAGACGCACTGGTGGAGGAGTGAGTAGCGCTCGAAGAAGTAGAAGAAGCTGTCGCAGAAGAAGTATGAGAAGCAGAAGTCGAACTCATAGTCGAGGACGCAGAAGTAGAAGGCATAGAAGTCGACTCAGATGCAGAAGTAGACAAACTTTCACTAGCAGTACTGGTTTCCTTACCAGAGCTAGAGGCTGCCTCAGCCTTGGATGGAGTCACTTTGAACTGCTGTGACTGAGCCAAAATGCCACCATCACTCGGAGAAACAAAGTTGACCTGGTAGCCACCACTGTATGATAAGTCTTGGTGTTAATATCTGTCATATCCAGTCTAGAAAAGGGGCGTCCTCAGCAACTCTCGCATACCCAGTGTCAACATCGCCAACATCCTTGGCCTTGATCGAATATTTTCCCAAACTGGTGTCGACATTTGAAGCTACCAACTCCTGTGTGTTTGGGTACACATTCTGATTGACTAGATAAATGTCCATGGTCGGGGGATCGGTCCTAGTGAATAGCATGTTGAGTATTGCCAGAGCTGGATATTATCGTTGAATATTCAAGTCACTCACGACACAGCTTGCCACCTGACCGTGATAGAGTCATCCTGGGGGACTTTCTGATTGATAGCAGGGGTCAAGATACGGAGACCTAATATTGACATTGTTAGATCAAATCGTTTCAAAAAGGCCTCGACTGTTGTACCTGCAGCTGTAGCGGCAAAGGCCACCAGGGAGGAAGAGAAGGCAATGCGCATTGTGATTGACTAGTCAAGATCAGCAGCAATGTTGAGCAAGAAAATACTAGTACTAGGAGTACTCCGTGTTCCTGGTATAAAACGGAAATTATAGTAGAGACCAGAACATTGCAGGATGGAAAGAGAACCGAGGAAAAGGCCGAGAGGACAATATCTTATATGATTTCTGGAAACTTGAAGAAAAGGGCTCTCCTGATTCCAAACCAATCTTTATTTTTGGACTGTGTTGATGTTCCCATGCGTCATGTCTCATGCGTCCATATTAGAGGAGTACAAAGGCTTGAAGGCAGGGGCTATGTCCTTCGTCCCCAACTACATGTATACCAGCTTACTCTGAAGAGGTCAAGACCCTTATCATGCACCCACTTGTGATGTACTGGTTCTTCGTCCAAACTTGAATCTTGGACCGGCGAGTTCATGCCACACAACCTCTCTAATTTAAACCGGCCGCGCGTCATAGTCCCTGCACATGTGTGCAGTACCTGTCTGTTTTGCAAGCGAGAAGGTTTCGCCGCATCTTGACTGTTATTTGATCCTTATTATTGGTCAAGATATAACCCCTGGGGTCACCGCTGCAGCCCGTTTAACATAAGTACATATTAGGTACTGATCACTGGACACTCTACTTGATAACAGTGTGGTTACTCAGTCGCTGACAAAAAAAGGTGGATATTATTTAAAAATAATGTGAAAATACTAAGTTGATTTGCTAGTTTACATACCTATTTGGAGCTGAGTTCAAATGTTCTTCTAATATCTACTAGCTAACACACTGTACATCCATACATCCATACAAAGTGTACCATGATTAATTCCTAGAACCCAATCATGATGGCAGCATTATTCTTCAATGCCCCAACAATTACCTCGCCAAGAATGAACCCGATGGCCCCAGCACATCGGAAAAGCTGGACTTTGTTTGTACAGGGTCTCGGAAAGCGACCATGGATCTATGTATGACAAGGACAAGGGCCGAGCTCGTTAATGTTTGCAACCCGACGCCTACACGCTACACGGGGATGCTAATAATTAATGTATGGCGAGCTCCAAAATAGTCCTTAGATGCTGACCTTTGAATGAATGATTGTCATATTGCTATTGAAAGTTCAATGTTAGTCATCTGCTTTGAATTACTAGTAACCAAACATGGCTGCCTTCAGGTTAGTTTTCCACAACAACCAACAGTACTCGTACAGCATGAGGACATTATCGGAAGAGTCTTGATTGGGCAGCAACTGGTAGAAACTAAAATACTTCAATCTTCGGCTATTGTTGCACCTCAAATCCCTGTTATGGTTGTGGAAAATGACCCTGGGCCTGACGCGTATTTGTCCTCTCCGACGCCTCCATACTTGTCGGAGGTACTTGCACATTCCCCCAGACTTCTTATTCTCTCTATTTTGATAGCGACATGAATAGGTATGCAGTAAAGAATCTTGGAAGCTGCCAGTGTTGGCGTACATCATGATCTGAAACTATTCAAATGTTTGTGGCAATTTCCACATGCGCATATGTAATTCACTAGCAGATGTCTCGTTTAGGATTGACGTCAACCTATTGAAATATTGCGGCAGTAGATAGGTGCTGAGTTTATTAGATTCACGCAGCCTTCAAATGTTGAATTACCCAAGTTCCAGTGCTATAGCATAAGCTACAAGTCACTTGTGCTCTCAAGATTCCCGATTTCGAACATTGGAAATCTTCTTTCCATACCTTCACACAGAAAATTTGAATCATACTGGTACATTGAATCCTATCTGAGCGATATTAACAACATTTGAAGATATGTTAGAGCCCGTGGTCTGCGTACATAAGGCCACATGCCTGCCCAGTGTAGAACCTCCACTTCTCATGCCTCTCCACATACACCGTTCTTCCTCTTCATCGGATCATTCTCAACAAGATCTAAGCCTTATTCCGGGGTCCTAGTGATAGCCTCACTGAGCAATGATGCTCCGACCTCCATCCACGGTGATTCTGTTACGAATCTGCAGATGGACAAAGTTCGCTCCAAGCTTGACAACTCGGTGGTCCTCACTAAGAAGGCTCTCCAACTCCAAGTCGTCACTGCTAGCCGAACCATAGTCTTCGTAATAAAGTGGTGGCCAGTCTCGCTTCGCCGCCTCACCCGAGTCACCCCACCACTCACTCACTTGGTTTTTACCCCCTTCCTTCCAATTCTTCCCTCCTTCAGCCACGCGGTCTCCAGTTTCCTTCGTCACGAACATACCGGTAGGGCAGAATAGAAGGGCCTGGCCGGTTTTCAGGTTCACGATGCGGCGGAACAGGTCATTTTCGAAAGCTTGGGCGTCTGTGACTTTATCGCCACTGGCGCCAGCGAGGTGAGATCTGATGGCTTGAAACCATGCAGGCGAATTGAACCGGTGAATCAAGGTAAAGTTGCAAAGATCGAGGAACTGGGGAGAAACGGTCGGTTCCTGGGTGGCAATAATTACCCGGGTGGCCAGATGGCGCTGCTGGCGTACGATCGAAAGGAGGGTATCGTTCAGTTCAGCTGCTTCGGAAGATTTGGCTCCAAGGAACTTGGCATGCTATATCAGCTTCGAAACTTCAAATCCGGTCAGCTAGAACAAATAACTAACCTTGTGGGCTTCGTCAAGAGCGAAAATCCGGCCTGCATTCTGGCGTTCCTTCAAAAACAGAGAGATGGCGATGTTGAACAATGCACACGCATCATCCGGGTCCACAAAAGGACAGCTGAGATCAATTATGGTGAGAGTGCCTTTCTCGAACTTCCACATCTTCTCGACAGGCATGGCACCCTTCTTGGGACTATCCTTCTCAAGGAACGACTCAAGAACGGCCAATCGCATCGAAAGCGGAACTGCCTGTCCCTTTATGAAATCCTGCTTGCCGAGCAATTTCTTGAATTGCTGATAATCGAAAGTCGTACGGCCTTGGTTCGTAATCGCCATTTCTCGCAGGATTTTCATCACAACCTGGAAGATAAAAGTGAGAAACTTGATTCGAGTACGTCTTATCCTTGTCTTGAACTTACATCCATGTAAAGCGGCTGGCTCGTTTTATCATTCATGCCCATCAGGGTCTTCATCATGGCGATGTTCAAATCTTTCTTGGGCAGGTACATGGGCTCGACTGTCACTTTGGTCTTGCCTCGAACGCCAGGCATTTTGAGGTACATCTCCTTCATTGCCATGAAGTTGGTTGGGGAGACTAGTACTCTGACTGGGATTCCGGCGGAGCACAGATATGCGGCCTCACACAACTGAGTGCTAGCGAACGAGGTGAACTTGTCGTAATGCAAGACAAGCCCTGCGAGGGGAGAGGATAACTTTCCAGCTGGGGAAGACTTGATCAACGCGTTCTCAAGGATGCAAGACAAACTATGGCTTTTGCCGCTTCCCTGACTGCCACAGATGAAGCCTGACCACGGGGCTGAAATGTTGGTGTAAATCAGACCGGCCTGGCTAGCTCTTTCGGTGCGGCCCTTCAGTTGACTGCCCAACACACCATACTGAGGGAAAATAGGATGGTTGCTATTGGTTTTGTTGTTCTTGTTATCAGTTCTTGCGGTGGCACTCAGTGAAAGATGGGCAGAGAGAGAGAAGATAGGTGCGGTTGTGACTTCCTCTGCCGAGTAACCAGTTGAAGCTGTATGCTGCTTCGAGTTCTCTTGACTGTCAAAGATTTGAAGGTGCTTTAGGCTTTCAGCCGTGAGATCCCATGGGGCGGACATCATGACTGTTGCTGTGTTGCACAACAGGGGGGTTGATGGAATAAGAGGGACAGTGGGGAGAGAAAGGAAGGAGAAAAGAAAGATGTGAGGCAGAAGGATTTTAAACCCCCCCACGCCGAGAACAAACAACAGCCTGAGAAAAAAAAGCGACAAAAACGACAAATGATTGATGGGCGCCGGCGATGATAGTTTCAAGTTGCTGGAACACGTTGTTACGCACGTTGTGACGTTTTCAGGCTGATACTATATTGTCCATTGGCATACGATCATATTCTTCAATTTTAGGAATGCTTTGCAATTCGATGCTGACTCGTTATCTAGATTGATCAATCTAATATCTGCATGTGTTGGCATATACATCAACTTCAAATTGGAGAGGCAACGAATCAACTTGGAGAGGCAACGATTTAAACTCGGAGCTACTGGTAAAAGGAAAGAAAACATTTTGAAGGACTCGTGTACATGTGCCAGTGCAATCTTACAATCTTATGCACATGTGGACTACTACTAATACTAGTATCTGAACATTTGGAACCCACCTGGGCACATATACATGCAAGTATTTATATACAACTCCGAGTCATGAACTTATGTACCCATTATGTAGTATGTAGCACTTGAGGTTGAAACTGAACATTTGAATATGCTCAGCTTGAACTTTGAAGTTCAAATGTTACATACATCACGATTGATGTGGTCATAATGTGATAGCCAGGAATACCACTGGCAATATACAAAGAATATCTTCCCCCATTTGAACATAAAAGACATCCATTTGAGTTCTTATTTTTTGTTAAATTTTACCCATTTCACGTTTTGAACCTCAGAACTAGTCTTCAAAAGAAAAAGAAAGTCTGCTATTAGGGTTAAGACTAGAATCTACTACGTACATATGTAGTAAATAGAGATCCACTTGAGGATTGACTTGACGTTAAGATGGGGCGGTGGGATATTTGTCAGGCAGAAAACTGTTTTTGTTGACGTGGTTTATCACCTGCTTGAGTTCACCCCGCTCTTGAACAATCGGTTCTTTCACTCTCTCCAACTTACCGCTTTCTCTATCACACTGACCGCCTTCATCAATTCTATCAGAGTTATCAGTCTCCAGGGCTCTTGTTCACAACCAGCAAGAATATTCTGTAAGGAGGCTCATCGTGTCTGGCCTAGTTGCCTTGACCGCCTGTCTGCCCAGGTCATCCAACTATGCAGGAACCTAAGCATTCGCTCGCTGTAAGTAATATACAGCACAGAAATGCACCAGTGTCTTGACTCCTTGAATTAACACAGATGGACCTTTCAGGAGCTACAACGGAAATACTGCCCACCAATAGATGATGCTCTCTTTGCTGCCATAGCTTCTGACTATGACTTGTCACAGCCAGACAGTGAAGCTGAACTTCGTGCATGCTTGGAAACCCTGAAAGAGTCAGCGATTGAACAAGAGAATCTTCCGTTTGATCCTTCTGGAACAGCAAATAACTCTGGTGATTTTTCCGAAGAATGGGGCATTAATTCTGATCATGGCACTTCCATGCATGACCGTTCAACCCTAAGAACTGCAACTGAAAGCACTAGCATTTCGGATGACAGTCAGACCAGGCCCAGTTCTGGTCCTCCTAAGTCTCGCGCTGCATACACAGTAGCAGCTGATGGATCTCTTAAGCTGTCGGGTGCGAGTAGTGATGATAAAGTGGCTAGTCTTTCGGAGATGTTTCCCACCCTGAGCACGCTGCGTATCACCCACACCCTGAAGAAAACGGATCAAGATCTGGATAAGGCCATGGATGAACTGCTGAATCATTCATTTTTTGGCGAGACCCAATTAGATGATGAGTCCCAGATCTTAGTTCCAAAGGGAATTGAAGGTTTCAACACCGATTGGACTAATGTCGGTCAAAAAAGTGGACGCAAGCAGAAGAAGCAAAGGCAGAAGCAGAAGCAAAAGGCATATTCTGCCCCAACTTCACCTGCAGACGGCCCACCCATCAATAAATGGGAAGCTGCGAAGGAAGACATTGATTTCATTTGCTCCAGAGCAATTGGCCTCTCTGTAGAGAAGGTCAAGTCGGCGTACCATGCAAATGGCGCGTCAGTACCACTCACGATCCGAGCCTTGGCCTTTGCAGCAGCCCCTAAAGACAGTCGTGAGATTGATGAAGATGCTGTCATGTTGAGCCAAGTCGCTGAACTGGCACATGAGCATCTTACCATCCCAAAGACTGCCTTAATAGGGCTTCTTAGGATTACCCGTAGTATGATTTCTGCAACCAACGAGTTGGCTGCAGTTATGGTCCAACAACCAGAATCCCCGGCCCACGAGGTAATCAAATTCAAGGCTGAGCCTTTGAATCTGGAGGATGAGGATGAGAACATTCCCTACTCCCGGGGCTATAGTGAAGGAGGATCATACAGCGCATTGGGTTATGAGCAAGCTCGAGCTGCAGCAAATGAGCACTTTGCTGCGGGATCCGCCGCCTATCGACAAGCAGTAGAAGCAAGTCGTCGTGCCAGGTCTCATCATTTGTATGCTGGGGCGGCTGCAGTCTACCGTGAGCGAGGGCAAGAACACCGGGAACTCGGTATGCAGCGACTGGCAACAGCCTCGGACAGACTTGTCGATCGTCAATCAAGTGGTTGCCAGCTTGATTTGCATGGTGTTACGGTGCTTAATGCCATCAGAATTACCCGTGAACGAGTCGAGGCCTGGTGGGACGGTTTGGGAGATACCAAATACGTCCGTGGTGGCGGAAAGCATGCTCATGATGGCTTCAAGATTGTTACTGGTGTTGGAAACCATAGCCACGATGGCACCGCTCGCTTGGGGCCTGCAGTTAGCAAGATGCTCCTGAAGGAGGGCTGGAGTGTGGAGATCGAGCGTGGTTTCCTGATCGTCACGGGTAAATCTCGAGGCGCAGCGCAGCGCAGATAATTGTTCGAGTCTGGTTTGTTTTAAGCATCAAATACCCACATAGCATTGAGCGACGGCGTTTGAAGAGTATGAGTGGGTTATTTCAATTTTACTTCAAACTCATTTTTACTTCAAATTTGCCTGATAAAAAAAATATGCGATATTATTGTAATACTAGTAGTATCCATCTCTCCGCCTTTTTATATGTCTGCCACTGGCAGGTGAACAGGGATGGATGGATGTACACATTGTGTACTCCGTATACTCCAGCAATCACCGAACCTTTGGAACCATTGGAAGCTCCCCGCAGTGATGACGTAAAAATGGCTGGACCCTTCAGTCCACATGAACTTCTTCAAGATTCCACAGCAAAAACAACTTCAAATTTATCCTCATGCGATCCCAAACTGTACGTCTTTTGATTTCATCTATCAGGCAGCGGGCCCTCTCCTCATCTGTTCCTCCTCTCCGACCTTTCTATACCTCTGCCCGCACCACCAAGCGTCAAACACCAGGGTCCAAGGCACTCCGAGCAGCTCCGACAATCCCGTTCTTTAGTGCTTTCTTCAGCTCCAACAAACCAGAAGAATCTACCGAAAGCATGTCGTACCCTGATGAGCGAAGCGAGGACCAGTGGCGAGCGGTTTTGAATCCCGGTGAGTGCCTACACAGGTGATAGGAAATCAATAAGTTCGATTTGCTCATACAGGAGTGTTTCTTAGAACAATTTCGCATTCTCCGTGAGAAGGGCACTGAGCGTGCTGGTACTGGCGAATATGACTCCCATTATCCATCCACGGGTACTTACAATTGCGCTGGCTGCGATGCGCCCCTATACACGGCCAATCATAAGTTCAAGTCCGGCTGTGGCTGGCCTGCCTATTTCGATTCGATCCCAGGTGCTGTGAAGAGACATGTTGATAACACCTTTGGCATGAAGCGCACGGAAATCGTCTGCAGCAACTGTGGAGGTCATCTCGGTCATGTCTTCGAGGGTGAAGGGTACCAAACGCCGACCGATGAGCGGCACTGTGTTAACAGTGTCAGTCTGCGGTTTACGGAAGATGGATCTGCTAAAGGACCTGCTGAGAAATCAAAGGCATAGGGTCAATGGTATCAAATTAAATAATATTTCAAATGTGACATTCTTTTTTTTTCTTTTTTTTGAGGAGTTGATACTAGTAGTCGTAGTAAACAAGTTCCAACTTCAACTTGAGTCGTTGGCATATATATGGAGACATGGGGAGGACCTTGGTAGCCCCAAAATTGACAGAACTGAACCAACCAGAACAGTGATATATGACTACCATATTATTCCATAGGGTCAAAAGCAAAAGATGAAATTTCCTCATGCAAGTCACTTCTTTATGACAAAGATCTTCACTTTATATGTAACTGCGGGAGTGGCAGTCCCGATCCACCGTATATTTGCCTGCAAGCCAAGGTTAGGCCGCATTGTTCGGCTCCCAGTTCCCCTTCAAGTTCCCGCCACCTGCGCTGAACTCCTTTCACTCAACTTCTCCCCGCGATTGTTATAGACCATGTCTCGACGCGCGACACCGGGCCAGGCTGCCCAAAACCAGCAGACCATTAAGGCTCTGTTGAAATTAGAGACCAACAAGATCTGTGCTGACTGCAAGCGCAACAAGCGTTAGTGTCCTAACCCCTCCAATAGGCTGCTCACGCGCTCCTATGTGATATCTGTTATTTGTACTTAAAGAGAAGAGAATTGCTAACCGTCTCCGTCCAATTTAGACCCTCGATGGGCATCATGGAATCTGGGTATCTTTATTTGTATTCGGTGCTCGGGAATCCACCGTGGAATGGGTACACACATTAGTCGAGTCAAGTCTGTGGACCTCGACGCCTGGACCGACGAACAACTTCAGAGTGTGATTAAATGGGGCAATAGCAAAGCCAATAAGTCAGTTTGAACTCAATTGACTGGGCGAGTAAGCTGCTAATGTGTCTTATAGGTATTGGGAAGCTAAGCTAGCACCTGGCCATGTGCCATCTGATGCGTGAGTTATTTATCTGGACTTGAATTTGAGATAGCAATGACTGACAGCGCATGAACAGTAAGATCGAAAACTTCATTCGCACCAAGTATGAGTCTAAGCGCTGGGTGATGGATGGTCCTATGCCGGATCCCTCAACTCTCGGAGATGATGACGATGTCGTGAGTGCCCAGGGAATCCCGATATTGATGGAACAACATAAACTGACAATATCAGCCACTTGCTGTCGTACAGGAAAAAGCGAAGATTGAACGCTCTGCCTCCCAAAGAGCCGCCCCTAGTCAGTCTCCCGTCCGGCGACCACAGCCTTCGATTGACCTATTCGGCGATGATATCTCTCCTCCTGTGCGCCCTAGTACCACCGAGCCTGCTAGTCGCGCGCCGCCAAAGCCCTCCCAGCTTATTCAACAACCCAAGGCACAGAAGCCAGGTGATTCTTTACTTGGTCTCGATTTCTTTGGCAGCACCCAGCCAACTGCCGCAAGTCGCCCGGCGAGCACTTCTTCCACACCTGCCGCTCCCAGTGGCATGTCCCGTCCAGATCTGAAACAGTCGATCTTATCCCTCTACTCGAAGCCCCAGCCTGCCCCAGTGCAGCATGAGCGCAATAATTCTTTTGGAGACATGGCTGCTCCGGCAGTCCACTCTGCATCTTCGAACATGGGTGGTTTGACAGACGCTTTCAGCGGACTGAGCTTCCCCACCACTACTTCCCCTCCCCTGCCCAAGCCGGCTGAGAAGCCGTCTCCTTTCGCCAATCTCACCAGTTTCTCGACCACCAAGTCAACTCCTGCGGCTCCCAAGGTGACTTCGCCGTCGGGTTCAGCTAGTGGCGGCTTTTTTGATAGCCTGACCTCCCCCCACTTTGTCCGCACCCAAACCCCAGTCACGAAATACTTCTTTCTCGAACTCCCAAGACTTCGGTTTCGGTGGATTTACTTCTCCGCCGCCACCCAAGCCTTCAAAGCCCAACCCCCCGTCGTCAGCTTTCTCTAACGATCTCTTCGACCTCTCTTCCCCATCTATGACCTCGGCCGCACCCCCGAAGCCCAGAGTCACCTCTCCGCAACAAGACATGAGCTCTGCATTTAATCTCTCCAGCCCATCTTTCCAGTCTCACGCACCTCCAAAGCCCCAGGCGCCCGCTGCCACCATTGCTGCCGCCGGTATTATGGATCCCTGGGGTGGAAATGCCTGGAGCACTCCTGATCCCGCCCCAGCACATGTCCCAGCTCCCGCCACTCCTGCCGCTTCCATGATGAAGGTCCCCGATACCTTGACCGCTAATGACTTCGGAGGCGGCTGGAGTGCTCCCAGTGCGGCATCCAAGCCAGCCCCTGCTGTGGCTGAGGATGAAGACTTTGGAGGCTGGACAAGTGCTGCGCCCGTTTCTTCCGGACCTACTATTACCTCGAACAACTCAACCAAGCCGGCAGGCGGGTTTGGTGGATCTGACGACCTATTCTCCAATGTGTGGGAGTAAAAAAAAGGGATTTCATTTGATAGGAAATGAAATAAAACCTATACCTCACGTTTTATCTTGCATTATAGTGGTAGCACCTCTGCGTTTTGCACATAACTGGCGTTCGCGTCAAGACTCGTTCTACATCTCATCCTGTCCTGTTCACAACCTTCTCCTCCTTAAGACCTCTTAGCATTGGATTGCGGGCATATCCCGGATGCAAATGGGCTGGTCTCATCTTTTACATTCGTTGCTTCTGGCGTGTACACTGGCTTTATTGTCCTAATCCTTTTACTTTACATTGTGGCTAGTATGTGATGAATGCATCATGAATTACACATGGCTGATGTTGATGTTGATGTTGCCCAGTTTGGATTTCTGTTTTCTGAGCCCTAGTTTCAATAGACATTCAATTTTTATTAAATATTTTCCATTTCAGAGAAATTGTACTACTAGTTGTATGACTCGGATTCGTATTGTGATCGAGTACTGAGAAGTACTACCATGCACATGTATTCTTCTAAACTCGACTGTGTCGCCTATACTGCGACGGGTATATCAAATGTCCAACAAAGCCAATCCAACAATAATCCTCCCAACATGAAATAAAATAAGAAAACCACCCATAGAAGTTATATGCAACAAAAAAAAGAAAATGACACAGGAAGGTCGAGAAGAAGAAAGGAAAAGGTAATTCGTGGTGACGAGAAAAAAAAGTGTCTGGTATAAGAAAAGTTGAGGTATCAATGAGAAAGGTGAAAGAAAAGGGTAGAGAATGAAGAAAAGATAGGTGAAGAGGTGAGTGAGGTGAAGAAGTGAGGTGAAGAAGTGGAGAAGTGAAGAGAAAGAAAAGAAAATATAAATCATAAAGAAGGAAGTCAAAGATCAAGATCAGAAACTATCTTGTCGCTTCGACACTAGATTTTTCGTACTGCCAGCATCATCTTGGACAGCGGGTGTGGAAATCGACTCCTGCGTAACAAAAGTCGTAACCTTGATTCCCACAAAGCCGTTCTTGAGATCATGTTCCTTGGTGAAACTATCATGGGATGGTGACAAGTTCTCCATGTCGTAAAGAGGATCATCGAGCTCGCGACCTCCAATGACAGATGCGTGTACGTTTGTGTGATTGTTTGTGTGTGCAGTACCGGTAAGTGCACTCCGACCCATACGTGAGGGACGTGTTGTCTTGCTGCGGTAACCGTTGCTTCGAGTAGAGAAGATATGAGGGAGGAGTTTGGAGAGGAAAGCGCGTGTGCTTGGGAGGGCGGCGCAGATTAGAGCGACATTGCATTCGATTGCGGACCATTCAGCGGCACCGACGTTGTCATCTAAAGATTCATGTTAGTTGGGTTTCAATAGTATGATAGATTCAATTGTAAACTTACGAGTTGGGTCCTTTGAGTGAGAAATAACGAGAAGACTCTTCAAACGAAGAATACTAGTGATGACCACGCTGTAAGGGAGATTGGTTAGTAAGGTTCTAGAAGCGCATGTATGGGTACAAGGAACATACAATCCACCAAGAGCAAAGACTCCCATCAAAGCGTACTTCTGTTTTCGCGGAAGCTGCAAGGATCGAATGACAGGCATAGGGTAGATCAAGATCATGAGATCAGTCAAGATGTGGATACCCGAGTTCGAGAACCAGAGAGCTTCTTTGTTAAAGCAGAATCCATTGGCAGTGGGATCCCAGAACTTGCGAACTGGGACACAATTGGCCCAAGCACTGATAATAGTCCAGGTACCATACAAGGCCAGGAATCCGATGAGTAAGTTGCAGGCTAGACGCATGCGGGGTGTGGTGGAGAAGACTCGACGGTATTGAAGGAGAATAGACATCTTTGTGCTAATCAAACTGGTTTGATAGATTGGGACTGATGCCCAGAAGCATACCATTTGCGTGACGTAGATTCCGTGGGGAATACTCGTGTAGTGAGCACCCATTCCGTGGTAAACCTCTGGATGAGTATTAGAAGCATGATATAGACATAGGTGAACCTGATGGACTCGAATTTTACATACCACCCACGAATAATCCGAAGAATCCCCATGAGAAAGCCTGAATGAAATGATTAGTCTTCGTTCTAGGATATCCTTGAATCTGATAATCTCATACCAATCCAATTAGAATAGCATAGTCATCAGCACCCATTTGTTTCACCATCACAGCCCTGGTATAAATCCGAATAGCCACAAATAAAGTGGCCAAAGTGGTGAAGACCGTGCTGATCACCAGGGCATCATGGCCTCGAGGTGTGGAGAGGGTTGGCATTGTAGATGCAATGTAAAAGACTGGTCTTTCTTTCTTCCCAAGAACCCACTGTAGATCCGATGGATAGAGCAAAGAGACAAAGAAGTCCAAGAAAGAAGATCAGACCTGGGACCACTTTATTTAATACTTGATTCCACTTTTGAAAATGATCGTGGGGGTTTGAGCAGGACCCTCTTTTTACCTAAAGAGGTAAGATGATGAGATCCAGTGGAATTGAAGCACGGTTGCTAATGATTCGGCTTTTTTGTAGTTAAAAATCCACCAAAAAAGCCACGATGGGACTAGAGGATATAAGCTTAGGGGGAAAATAGAAGACTATTGGATTCCAGGAAGAATCTATTGTTATAATGATACCTGGAACCCTGGTGCGTTACCAATGCGCTACCAAATTTTGGCCTCAGTAACTGAAAATAATTCCAAAAAATCGTACGGAGTTCGCGGAGTATTTGTGGCAAATATTATTAAATAGGAATAGATCGACCATTCCATAGTAAGGCAAAGCTCCTTGACAGGGTTTAACTGTTGGAGTCGATGCACATGTACCCAGTGCCCGGAGAGCAAGGCTATTGGGAGTCCGAATTACATACGGAAAACTGTGGGACACTCTTCTAGTCCGTTGATGTGACATTTCTTTGTTTTTCAGGGGGATCCTCGAGGGCAATGTGGAGCCTGAATGTCTAGACACATCATGAACCATGAACATGAAGAAGCTAGGCTGTATATCCACATGGTCTGTACTGCGTAAAGCGGAGCTGATTTTTGAACGTGGGATCCATATCAGAGTTGGAGTTGGAGTCTGGTGCAATGTTTTTATTTCCCCTCGGCTTTCGTGGTGTCAAATTTGATATGCCGTGTTCGATCCATGGAACTTGATCGCCATAGAAATGTTAAAAATGAATTTCTGGTGAAATCATTGGCAAACATGGATATTATCAAGTGGAGACTTCAAGTCTGGCCAAACAGCTACAATGGTTATAAAAAGCCATGTTTCTGTTTTGTTTTCTTTGTTCTTTCTCTCGGATTTCCATGCAGCAGACTTCTCGGAGTACGAAGCCGATCATAATTCTAAACTTGAAGTCCTCGAGGATCAATTACCAAGGGTGTGCATCACAGTGCATGTATACTAGTTTAGCGGGGTTCCGGGATCGGGGTATTACGCAAAAGCAATAAATCTGATCATGAACACCATAGCTCGGGGTCGATTTCCTTGGTAAAGACAAGAATCCGTTCTACCGGGGACCCAAACCAAGGTTAGTGTCCTGTCAACTCAACCCAGGAACACCCCGGGCCAAGAAATCGTGGCGGGCGATAGCTTCAATAGTGCGCAGGTTATCGGTACCGAGGCGGGATATGAAAGAAAAAGAATTTCTCCTTTAAGTCACTTGCAGATTTCACAATATCTTCTGCTCTGCCGGGGATCCGGGTCACAAAAATCAGTCAAAGACTCTTGCCTTCCAAGGTTATCAGACAGGGTTTGTATTAATTAAATAAATCCAGGGCCACATCTCGATCATCAGGGGTTCGTCTGTTTGTTGTATCCGTCCAACCGAGGGTCATCGTTAAACGCGCACGGTTCGCGCCTGGTTCCTGATTCGTCCCTGGTGGAGTCAGGTCTCTTGCGCGCGAGAATCGTGATTTTCAATGATCATTAGGGGGGGGCATTGACGTCTCCACTTCACTTGATTTGAGAGTATTGCTCCGTGGTGCTAGTCCTGTTGAGTGAGGATCTTCATGAACTGTGATCCACTGCTCTGCACTGCACTGGCATATTATCCTTCACGCTATGATGAGTGCGAGCTGCTAAATCAGAAACAGGGATAGTGCTGAGTGGTGGATAGGAGAAAAAGTGATAGTCAAACCTTGGAATGTAGTCGAATGCGGAGATATCAGCCACAACCTACTATATTAACTGAAATGTCTACGGAGCCGCTGTGCTGTGACGCAACACCTGGCATGGGCATGTTGGTCATTATTGTCCTCGTGATAGTCAAAATATAGTCCAAATATAGTCTTTATTGATTGTGTACCTCATGTTTGCACATTATTGAAACTCCGAGTCCACATGTTCATCAGATAAACTCAAGCATGGAGTGTTGGGTCATCAGATGAGAAACCCCTAATGTTGATATGCGATATCAAAGAGGATAAAAATGACAGTTTGAGATTTCAATGTTGCGATTGATGCAATTTTGAATGTTTTTACATAATTTTGATCCAGAATTAACTACTAGTATTTCTGAGTTGATTCAAGTTGTGAGCTAGTATGCACGATCTTATTGTAGAAGGCTACGGAGTATCCTCCACAGTATCATCAGTACTTACTTCTCGAGTCCCCTCCTCCACCCTTTAAAAGACAGGTGTTCAACCCTTGGAATGTTTACTATCAAGTGTATAACTTTAAGATGATATACCTTTAGTTGGACATTTTTAGGGGTGGGAGGCAAATAAAATAAGGATATGAATCCAATCAGAGCTGTGCTCGCGTGTGAGGGAAATATTAGTGAATTCAGAGACTTCATGATTTCCGAAGAAGTACTGTTCAAACTCTACTAAGCTATACAAGCTTAATAAAATGATTTGTGGTCTTTTGAAATCATATGTCAGGCAGGCTTTTCAGAATAATAAAAATAGCAAAATGCGAGGTAATGCAAAAAGTGATGCTCACATCCGGATTTGAACCGGAGACTTCACGATTACTAGTCGTGCGCTCTACCAACTGAGCTATGCGAGCCAGTTGATGCAGACCGGCGGACTTTGTGACATTATATGCCTGACAGCCTTCTAAGAAGGCAAAAAGAATGCCGAGATGAACCTGGAGACTTCACGATTTCCAAAACGTACTAGTTGTACACTCTACCAACTGAGCTATACGATGATCTGGATGACTCGGACCTACTGTACATGTAAGCACTATCGTTTTGGGGTAAGATGGATGGATAAATCAATCAATTGATTTTTTATCATCTTCAAGTTTGATTCCAACTTGAACCTTGGAAGGTTTTGTTTTCGGGATATAACATTCCAAGATTTGAATACACGGGTCCAATGGCACCACTGGCAGCTACTGGTAACACTGGAACTAGCATATATATGGATATACTACATCGATAGTATGTACAGTACCACTATATAGCCCCGGAGGAGTACTAGCAGGTACCTACTACATGCACATGTGTAGTATGCTACTCTACTACTACTAAGGGGTTGTAACTTGAACTTGAACGCCTTCTCAGTGTTGGGTCATCTCGAAGCACCCGATTCACCAAATGTGCATGATGATCTCCGGACTCCCGCTCATTGAACTACCCGTGCTTCCTATGAAACCAGCCTATATGGATACTAGTTAGGTCCTTAGTACCTCTTTAAATTCTACTGTGGATGCTTTGAGATGGATTTGAACGTGCGCATCTATAGCACATTATCTTCAAGCATTGCAAGGCTATCGTGTAATTCGATGCGAGCTTCAGGGGCTGCTTTCATCAGATCTCCAGTGATAACTTGCAACTTTTCGCGTGCACAGCCAGGGCCACTTCCCTTGGCAATGATCGAGAGTATTTCCTCATAAGCCCAAAGAGTCTGTAGCGACCCGTGCATCGAATAGCGCGTTCAAATGTTCGCAGGGACTTTTTCAGCATTACGTTCAAAAAATATCCTCATTTCTGGTGAGAGCCATTCCCACGTGTACATAGCCTACAGTTCCGCTGATATCTTCGAATCAGTATAGGATTTTCCTCCGCGTTTAAGACGATATTTGAGGGCTTGCTATCAAGGTGAGTTCGTCCTTTCTGGTATAATGACTCTTATGCTCTTCCCACCTGTATAGCCCATCGCATCCGTAAAGAATCACTTGGGACTACACCCTTGGTGGTGATTTGCTCCAGCGACACTCCCGGTTAGTATTCAAGTAAGAATCCTGTGATAACTATTGATATCTCATTTGATGGGTTGGTTTTGTATGGGTTTTCTGAAACAACCACGCCCAACAGTTGAGCAATATCTGAATGTCCACGGAGCTGTGAGAGGGCATCAATCTCATACAATATGTTTTGTGTGTCTCCAGGCTCGTAAACGGAGGGGTCAATTGTTTTGTACGCAAATTTTTGTTGCTCAAATGTGACAGTAGACACAGTAGGAGCAACGAACTTAGTTTTTTGCAGGCAACTTGCATCAAAAGTTCGTAAATCTTGAACATGCAAGTGACGTTGATCGATAGTCAGGGAGATAACTCTCCCTGGGTCTTCCATGATATTGCAGTGCATTTTATGGGCAACAGCAACGTAAAAGTTCTCGGAGAGTTGAAATTTATCTCGAATTGGAACCGAACTTTGAATAGGTCAAAACAAGGCTTGACGAAGTATGTATTATCCAAAAGTTGCAATCGAGTAAAATTGATTGCTTCAATAAATTTCCGAAATGTCGACCCGCGCTTTAAATATTCCAGTTCCGTGATTGATTCTGGCAGAGGCCCTTTCATAATGACTTTAACCCACCATGCACAGCCATTGTTGTGAAATACCAATATGTATGATGGCCAGCTGCCATTCTAATCATGATAAGATTTCAAATCCAGTCTGCAAGGAAAATAGCCAATAATTCCTAGCATTGTGGTTGATCAAAAACGTGCTTCAGCCAGCAATATAAAGCATCTGCGCGTTGAAGGGAGGCTAGGTACGTGATACATGATAGTGTATTGGGGGCTAAACTAAAAGGGGAATGTGCTAACTATAACAGGCAATTAACAGCTCTATAGATTACAAATATTACATAGACCATGTATTATTTCATACTCCATACAAGTCAGATCAACTCTTAAGCCGTGTTTCAGGCTCCACACTTGGGCCATCTCGGATTCTCGGATTCTCGGATTCTCGGATTCCCAGCCACCTTGTAAAAAAAGCACATGGCTGGGAAGGATTTATCTGCTTTTATAACATTCCCCAGTCGCTGCATTCCAGAATATTTTATCCATCTGTTTCTAAGAATCTTCTTCCATATTCACATTCTTGGAATATTGTCAATTTTTATTTTCTCAGCGCCGAGATCGTCTAGTACGGGGTACATTCACGACCCGTGGACTCTATATACTTCCGACGACTAAGCCAACGACTCAGCATCAAACCAGGCTCCGATTCAATTTCAATTTCATCCAGAATTCTTTCTATCTCTGCTACACAATCTCCTCTATCTCCGCGTGACTTTTCAAATCAAGCCACCATCAAGACTTGAGCTCAAAAGTTATCAAAACCCTACTCCATTTTAGCTTCCAGCTACACGAAGCTCCAGACCTCCACAATTATCCACCACGACCCACCAGGGTCCAGGTCGACAAGATGGTGAAGCGCAACATCACTATTGCTATTATCATCATTGTGCTCTTCCTGCTCCTTGCAATTGCAGGATTTGCCATCTGGGCTGCCCAGAACCGTGTCGCTTTCTTCTCCAAGAAGAAGGAAGGAGACGAGGAGGAAGGTGAGGGAGGAGGGTGACTCTGGCACCCATGGACCTACACCTAAAGACGAAGTTTGAAAGCTTCTACCCTTTTGGTGTTATCTCCATTTTTTGTCCACGTCTTCCTGCCTTGATTTATGCCTCGCCTTGATTTATGCCTCGCCTTGGTTTCTACTTCGCCTTGGTTTCTGCCTCGCCTTGATTTATGCCTCGATCCGTTACCTCGATTTGTTGCCTCGAAACTCAGACCAAAACACCGTACGATACCCCATCTCGCCAATTCTGACTCTGTTTGCCTCTTTCCGTTTTTATCTTATGAGCCGATATGACTCAAGTGCTACGACCTTTGACCTCTTTATGCCACATCCACGATTCTTGTACAACCTACCCAATTACGCCTTTCCAGGTGTATACTTCGATGTTGATTATTCTAAGGAGTTGATATGGTGAATCCTGGAATGTTTATGATTATTCTTTTGTTCGGGTTTTCCATTTATGTTTTCTTTCCGCATCCTGTCACGATATCTTTATGTTCTTCATATTACGATATGCGATGATCAATCCAAATAGCATTTACTTATGACAACATCGAACTCCTTCCGATAAATAGTAATAATCTACATCAATCCAATATTGATGTCCTCCGAGTCCGTATATGTAAACAAACTTCAAGTTGAATGCGAAGATGAGAGAAATGCAGGTAGTATGGAAGTATGCTGCTCATTCCCCGAAAAATCAAATTCATCCCGCCGATGGTATATCCGCTTCTCACTTCCTTCCTAATCATCAATGCATGCAACGTACCCAGAAGAACCATGATGTAGGTACAAAAAGAGAAACAATATGAGAAAAGGACAAGAAAGAAAAGAAAACGCAAATTCGACTCAAATCCCAGAACGCCGTCGCCAATCCTTGATATGACCATGATATTGTGCCTTAGAAGACATAACTGAGGAGCTCTTGTGCTCGAAGTGCAGTCGCGATGTGCCAGGGTAAGGTATTCTCTTGTACACTGCGCATACCTCTTGCTCGCGCCAAAGATGAGAGATCCCGGTACATCCCTAGAATGTCCTTGAGGACTGCTTCGTGGGCGGACGCAGGCCGCTGAGAGTGAATTAGATTGGCGGTCATCGTGAATACACCATCGTTGTCGGAAATGCCTTTGCGGCGAAGAAGATACCCGCTAGCCAGCGCGGGGCGGAATTCGGTAACATGAGGAGAACTGTTGAGACGATGGGAGAGGACAACAGCCCATGATTCATCCATAATGTCAGTGAGCACGACATCGGAGTCTGGCTCAAAGGAGGGATCGGTAGGTGTGGGGGCATTGTAGGTTGCGCTGGGGGTGAGAGAATTGCCGGATTGCTCAGGTGAAGCGACGCTGACGCTTGGGTTGGGAGTTGAGATGGGGGTAGATGAAAAGTTGAGCACGTTGGTGGTCATTTGCGATGGGGTTGCTTCGAGTACCAACTCGGGGATAGTGCTAACAGTCATCACTGTCAGATCTATAAAGCCTGGTCGCAATTTATTCTGTTGGTCAACAAGAGTACTCCAAGCTGTGAGAGAGATTAGCAAACTGCCTGGCCTAATACGACTTGTGATGATATCTTTCTTACCTTCCACTTCCTCGGGGTCGATAGGCTCGCAATTGACCAAGATCATCTTCCACCGAGCTTGGAACTTGTCCATAATATGCCGAGTGGTTGCCCATATCTCGTTTCGGATTTCTGCGAAAGCCCTGGTCGTGCCTCGGTTACGATAACGGAGACAGTAGGACATGCTAGTCTGAATGGATCCAGTTCCATCTGTCCATGAGACAGAAACCCATCGTTGATCAGAACTCTTGGAACACGCGATATGAAGACTGCGTCCATCTTGAAGAGGGGAAGCTTTGTCGGGCGCGAGTCGGAAGTTGATAGCTTTGGGCAAGGGATCGGCCAGGAGAACAGCCGGGGCACATAATAGAGGGCTTACGCTTGATTCCTTCGGTCGACAGCGACTATAAACTTCGAAAGATAGGTTCATATACTCTGACTGTGTGGGGACGACCATGGAATCCTGGGACATGATGAAACTCAGTGGGATAATCTGCAACACGACCTCGTTGATAGGCTGTCCTTGTTGACGATCGGTGTCCGCGGCTATTTGTTGAAAAAGATGCCAAAAAGCCGCGCAGATATCAGCTAATGCTGCAGCGTGCGGAAATGGATTGACAATGTATACAACGCAATTGTCCGCGCTAGGTGAGTACTGCGATAGATCGGTCCCTATCGAAATGCGTGTAAGTAAGGTCAATGGTAGAAAGGAGTGATTTATCTAACTTACCCAGTTCTTCGCATATACTCTTCAAGGACTGCATCATGGAGGCATAGCTGGAAGTTTCAGAATCCCACGATTTTAGCCCATTCTCAAATGCCATTGATTTGTCGCCTCTGGAATGACTGCCTAGATTACAGCTCTGGTAATGAAGACCAAAGAGGCTTAAGAACGCATCGGCCGCTTTTGTTGCGGCATAGGGATGGATGCAATAAGCAGAGATATCCTTTGCCCCATGGGCAGGCTCAAGACCAAATGTTTCCCAAAAAGAAATAGAGGGCGGAAGTGCTTCCAAGTACTCCTTGCCTCTGCGCATTCGGACGTGCGGAGCCGGTATCTTCGCAATCAAGCCCTTAGGTATCTCTTTAGACGCCGGTTGAGAAGGCGCTACTTGTAGATCATCTCGTAATGATATGTAGCTTTTGAGATCGAGTTTTGAAGCCTCACCCAGAGAGCTTGAATCTTCCAGATAAGTACGCCAACTCAAGTTTTCGCATTCAAGGCCAAAAAGGTCGATGCAGCCGCCAAGCGAATGATTCAGGGATGACTGCGTGACTTGGTCTATCAGAAGTTGAACGATTGAAATCTGGTCTTCCTTTCGCACAATGACAGGGAGTTGCTGAGCAGGAAAGGAAGAAAAATACCCAGTGAAAGTCCAATCCGAGAAATTCGCAAGGAAGTTTCCCAAGAACGCAGAGTTTTCGACTTTAAAATTTCCAGTTGGATCTGGGGCACCTGCAGACTTAGCTGGCGACATTGCAGACTGAATATCGGATTCAGATGGCACTCTCTTTCTTTTCAAAGACAAGAGCGTTGGTGGGCTTGGGGCACTCTCAGAGGACATGTCATCACTGTCATAGCTTGTTTCGCTATCAGACGAGTCCGATTGCGCCTGATTGCTGTTCGCCAATGTATTAGGCGTGGCACCCTTGCCTGCGAGCTTTCCCTGGGTGGTATTAGACCCGACTCGGCCACGGTGCGGGATTCCAATGGTGGGAATAGCATTCGAAAGTTGATCTGAGGCATCAGGCGCATTTCCAGAAAAGAACCAAAATTTACCGGCAGATCCATACTTCTGATCCCAGTCTCCAAGTTTCTTCTCAAAGGCAACAGGTTGGTAGTGACCTTGTTGAGTACGACTGTGATCAGAGCGTCCGGGATCTTGTTTCTGCGCCCCCGAAAAGAGAATCTTTTTAACTTCCACAGGACTCAAGGGTGGACTAATTATAGTCGGACCCTCTGAGGGTGGTGACGGTGCAGGCGAAGGTGATTTCATAGGCTCATCAACTGGTTCTGGCTCATTCCGGGCCTCTTCCGTGGTGTTTACTTCCTTCACTACCGTTCCAGCGACATCCGGAGCCGCTGGAGTGACAGCAGTAGTTGTGGCAGTATCATCTACCGAAATCTCCTCGGGTTTATTCTCCTCTTTCAAGACAGGCTGCTCAGCCTCCTCCGGCTGAGCATTAGGTGCATCAGTATCCATGTCCTCGAATTCCGGATCATCGAAAAAGCTGAAATCCGCATCCGTGATTCCCTTCGAGCCAAAATCCCGGTCTTTCATCTCTCCGAAAAGATCTTCGTCATCGCTAGCATCATAGTGTCCTGTTCCGACATCCATATCGGGAGACAGCTCAGCATTAGGAATACTTTTCGGGTTCTGTGCCATGGCCGGGGAGAGATTATTCGAATATGTATCATCGGGAAATAGGTCGTTCTGAGCCGTGTTACTATTGATTCCAACCACGGCTGCCCCGTCCGGCGGAGTGGGATACACGAGGTTGGCAGCCGGGAGGTCAGGATATTGAGCCATTCGAGCAAGACTCTCAAACCCATCTAAACTGTCTGCTTTGGGCGATGTCATGTTTTCGTCTTTGGATGGCGGTTCCTCTATTATAGGAACGGGTTGTTTTTGGTGATTTGCTAAAATAGAGTCGACCTGCGATGGCCATCGCTCAGCGAAGTCAAGCGGGTCATCTGTGGACCCTAGAGGCCATGAATTGCGGATGCTGGGACTTTGCACTTGAGAACTGACTCGTCTAAAGCAGAATCGAGCTGGCCACAACATGCGTTTCAATGGGAGAGGGGATTGAGCTTCATCATTTTGCCGTCGCGTCTCTCCAGATAATCTTGCGAAAAATGGCTCCCATACTTCGATTTCAACCCACGGCTCCTCTTCGTTCGTGTCAACATGCAAGCCAAAATTCAGTAGCCATTGAGCCACATCTGATTTCCACTGTGCTTTTCTTGGAGCCCAAGTTACAGAAGCCGGCACACCAGGCGAGACGGCAGTTGGGGATTCGACGTTAGCAGTGACCAGCCTTGCAACGGTTCCATTTGGAGAAAGCCAGAGATCTGTACCCTGTTGAAGTTGAGCTAGATCTGCCATATCATATTGGGGACTGTGGAGGCGCTGGATGCCATCTTGAGCGATTGTTTGCGTGGAAATTGTTAATGTGCCCGTAGCGTTCAGCTGGACATACAATGTTGTTAGACAAGCTCGAGCAAAGGAGCTCTCATTATCAACACGTGGACTTTCATACCCCACAGCTTCGACGGCCGTAAAAAGGGTGCGAGATCCGAGCGGTAGAGCGCCATGAGAGCGAATAAATTGAAGACTGATTGCCCCGGTAACGGCAGATATAAAAGAGGCATATATAGCTGCAGAGCTACTATAGCCATCCGGTCGTCTAGCTGCAGGCTGACCTTGTTGGGGTCTTTGCTGCCCAGTTTGGACTTCGGATGAAAGGCTTCTAACCAAGTCGTGTGACGTGATGCTGCCCGATGCGGAGACTAGTTTACTTTTTATTAGTACTTATCAATATGTAAATGTTGGGCTCTTATCATTCAATGACCATACCTTTGAGTATAGTCGTGTCAACTGATATCCGTTTGGATACTTCTGTTCCTTCGGTGATATACAAGGTGTTCAAGCTTTCGAAGTCTGGAGTGGGGGAGAAAACCCACAGCCCGAGTCGCCTCGGACATGAAGCTAAACAGTTCAGATTTCGTAATTTACCCTCTAGGTCTTTCAGGCGACCAAGATGCTTTAAAATAGTATAGCCATTGGCAGGACCTTCCGGTTGATTCGCAATGCCTGGCTCTTCTGTGTAGATTCTCCAAAAGATCGTGGAGAAGCCATCCTAAGAGGGTCTCCAGGTCAGTTATGACTCCCGAGAGTTTGGCGATTACACTTACAATAAGATGAACGTTGGTGCTTGCACCTCCGGGAAAGTCCATGATTTAGCGGTCGCGGACAACCCCGGGAGCCTTGTCAAATAGAGATATGGATCGTGGTCGGATCTGGGAGTCATTTCCAGGATTGAAGGGCACTTTGTTCAGAACCACACGCGCGCATCGCTAGATATAATAAGCGCACACCCATCAGAAGGGTCGAGTCATCCTTGAATCAAACAGTGACGCGCTCATCTAGATTGTCGCAAATGCAAAACACCGAGTTGCTGCGCAATTCCGGGGGAAGTTGAAACGGAGAACGCTCGGACCAATCAGCGAGATCCGCAGCGGTACATCACGTGGGCCCTATCGCTATCATTTTCTTTTTTTTTTTAATCTTCGCGATAACTCGTTAACGACGACAAGGTCGACATTTCTCAACCATGAAGTTGTCAAATCAGTCAGAGGTGCCCGTGTACACCATCTCGGGCTCTAACACTGCTCGTCCACTCCCAGAATGGCTTGCGAAACGCAGAAAGCGCAGCTTGAAAGATGATCCCGAGTATGCGAACCGAGTGGAGTTGCTACAGGATTTCGAGTTCGAAGAAGCTAGCCAGTGTGTACGAGTCAGTGAAGATGGTGAATGGGTGATGAGTACAGGTAAGCACTTGAAAATATGGAAACTACTACTAGTAGTAGAGCGCAGCTCCCATATCCTTGAAGATGTATATTAACGAATCCTTCTCAGGAACCTACAAACCACAAATCCATACCCATTATCTCCCTCAACTCTCTCTATCCTGGGCTCGTCATACAGTGGCCCTTAACACAACTTTCCTCCTTCTATCTTCCGACTACTCCAAATCCCTCCACCTCCAATCCGACCGATCCCTCGAATTCCACACTCCATCCGGATGCCACTACACAACCCGCTTGCCGCGATACGGCCGTGATCTAGTATTTGACCGACAATCGACCGAGGCGCTCATTCCTTCCGTCGGTGTTAACCAAGATGGTATGGGTGAAGTTTTCAGGCTCAACCTGGAGATGGGAAGGTACATGCGCAGTTTTGAGGTAGATGTTGGTGGAGACGATTTTACTTCCGCTGGAGGCGGTACCCTGCAGGGTGGTATTAACACCGGATCAATTAACACTGGTGCTATTGCTGAGGAGAGTCACAATTTGCTTGCTTTTGGTACATCTATTGGAACGGTGGAGTTGTGGGATCCTAGAGCCAAGGGCCGGGCTGGTGTTCTTTTGCCACCTACTACACAATTCAGCACCGATGAAGGACGAGCTGAGATTACTGCTTTGGAGTTCCACCGTTCAGGATTGACTCTTGGAACTGGTTCCTCAAACGGTCTCATCCATCTTTATGATCTGCGATCTCCAATGCCTCTTCTCAAGAAGGACCAAGGATACGGTTTCCCCATCCACACACTCAAGTTCCTCCAGCCCTCGACTGCGACCCGTGAGGCAACTCTCGACCCCAAAATTATGTCCGCCGATAAGCGTATTATCAAGATCTGGGATCCTCGCGATGGTACCCCATGGACCTCTGTGGAGCCGGCGGTGGATATCAACTCGGTTGCTTGGTGCAAGGACAGTGGAATGCTCCTCACAGCCAACGAGGGCCGACAACAGCACTCATTCTTCATTCCCCAGCTGGGACCTGCTCCAAAGTGGTGTTCTTTCCTGGACAACTTGGTGGAAGAGATGGCGGAGGACCCCAACGACCCCAACGCTTTCACCAGCTCCCAGGCTGGTGCTGTCTACGACAACTTCAAGTTCTTGACGGTTCCTCAGCTCCGTACCTTGAACCTGGAGCACCTTATCGGTCGCACCAACCTTTTGCGACCATACATGCACGGTTACTTCGTGGCACAGAGATTGTACGAGGAGGCGAGATTAATCACCAACCCGTACATCTGGGAGGAGGAGCGTGCCAAGCGCGTGAAGGAGAAGATCGACAAGGAGCGCGAGAGCCGTATCCGTGGCAAGAAGAAGGCTGCTGTGAAGGTGAACAAGAGACTCGCAGAGAAATTGATGGACGCCGAGGAGAAGGCTGAGCGCAAGAGAGCCCAGCGTGTTCTGGAGCGTGGTGGAGATGCCGACATGGTCGACGCTCCCGCAACTACATCCGAATCCAAGACTGCCCTTGGTGACAGCCGTTTCGCCAAGCTGTTCGAAGATGAAGACTTCGCCATTGATGAGACATCCCATGAATTCAAGCTCATCAACCCTAGCACCAAACCCCAACCCGAAAGAAAAGAACGTGGCCTTACAGCTGTCGAACAAGAAGCTGTCGATGAGGTCCCCGGATCCAGCGATGATGATTCCGGTTCCGAAGCCGAGCCAACAAGACATACCAAGGAGGGAGCTACTAAGAAGATTTCCTCCGCCGATTACAAGCGTACAAAGCGAGCTCCACCTCGTATGCAGGTTTCTTCTTCAGCACGCACTACTTCTACACGCGATCGTTCATTCGGCTCTCGTGCTCAGAACATGAAGGCTAGACACCGCCCCTCACGCTCTGGTGGTGCTGTCGGCGAGCGGGAAGTTAGCTTCATGCCTGCTTCCAAGTCCAAGAAGGATAAGCCCGAAGTGCAATATGATAAGACCGCTTCCTCGTTCCGCTCTAAGGACCGTCGCAGTGCTTCGAATAATGCCTTCCGGGGTATGTGAGCTGGTAATTAGTGCTGGTGCCCACGGTGCCATGTCATTAAATTCTCACATTCCAGTATGGAACTGATCCGGTCTGAGATTATGAGCTAGGTTGGAACCAACCTCAACCCAGTCAGGATGCACTTATCAAAGTTTGTACAAAGCTGAGGGCTAAGATTCAAGCTGATTGTTGAAACTTCCCATCCTGATAGGAAAGACCGTTGCTTAGTCCTTTCCAGGGTTTTCATCTTCTAGCATGTCAGCTGGATATGTATTCTTATCATGCATACGTTCAATGATGGTCTTTTTTGCATCTAGAGCCTAATTCGTTAGATACCTTTTGCTCGAGTTTGGAGAAATAAAAGTTTGCCGTTTCAATACAACTCATATCTACTCGAGATTCAACTTGAAGTTCACTTGGATTTTCAATTTTGTGTAAAATTTAACTTCAGTTCTAAGTAAATCAAGCCGCCTAAAACGCAAGTATATCATGGCAAAAGAACAATTGAAAAGGGAACTGGAAACAAAACATCCAAAACACAGACCGTGTTATCATGAAGAATGACCCAAGCTAGAAACAAATTTAAGAGCAAAGCGCCAGGGAAACATAACTTCGTATCGATCATGCAGACTGTAGCAAATAATCTCCCTATACCCAGGGATGAGATGAAATGAAAATAACACGAAAATTTGACGAAATGAAGAAACCCAAAGTTGAAAGTAGAAGTAACCAGAAATTCTATTCACATATGAATCATTTTGAAAAAAAGAAGAAAAAAAAACGCAAGTGTAGCTGGGGTATTCGAAAACTCACGGTTGGGCGATAGACCCCTGAAAACAACCCTGGATGGAACCAGGGGAACAAGAAAGCAAAGCAAAGAAAAAGAGGAAGGAAAAGAAGAAAAGAAAAACTAAAGATGAGAGAGCATGGTAGAAGTTAGTTCCAGCTGGAACTCCAGCTCCACGTCTACCACCTGGCTCGTCGAGCGCTACCAGTGGAGCCACCGCCGTGATTGCTCAGACGATTTTCCTCCACGCTGCGGCGAGGGCCCCCGAAATCGCTCATTGCAAAGAGCAGGGGCTCATCATCCTCATACTGGGATGGAGGAGGGTGGCGGCTAGGTCGACGGGAAGCAAGCCGCATCTCCATCGAGATCCCGCTATTGCTACCGCTGGCATTTCCATCCCGCTCTGCATCTCGTTCAGTGAGATGAGGCGGGATGGTAGCTCCGCGGGCAAGGCTGCTCGATGCAGAGCTGAGGGATTGAGGACCATCGCAGGATCCTCGACCAGGTGCAGAGAAACGGGGCTGGTACAGATGCGGCACATTGGATGATGTGGATGCCGCAGCTGGTACCGAGACAGTCTGCTCTCGCAGGACTGTAGCCTCTCGACTTCGTGTAGATGTAGCTGGGCCTCCACGTGCAGTTCTGGCACTGGGGTCCTCTGCCCATAAAGCTGGACCGGCTCCAGGTTGAGCGGCGTCTACGTCGCCACCATCACTCTCGCGCCGATAGGCTCCCCCAAGACTGACGCTTCGAATGCCATACGTGAAAATCTCGTCATCATCAGGGACGGTAGTTCGTCCGCGCTGGGCGGCGGAACTAGAGCGACGATAGGCTGGTGCGAAGGGTTGTGGGGAGGTCGGGATATCGATCGCAGCTGCAGTAGCTGGGTCACGTTGCGTTGTCTCCCTGCTGGGATTCTCTTCTAAAGGAGATTCTGGCTCAATTCGAGGAAGTCGGTGACCCAATTCACCTTGAATATCATCTGCCACACTGTTCGAGCTCAGGCGTGATCTGATAGCAGGTGTATGTGGGGTATGGGGAGAGATGGGTTTGCCAGGAGAAGAGGCCGAGGATATCGAAGTACCAGCAACCATGGGAGGTACCCCGGAAAGCTGTTTGCTCGAGGATGGCGATGAACGTTGCAAGTGAGTGGATGCCATCATCGAATCTGCCAATGTAGCAAATGATGCACGCATACGTTGATAAGGTCCGAGATTAATTATGCGAGGTCCCTGGGAGCTGGCCCCGTGGGTGGAAGAGCCAGGTCGATCGAACAGATCTTTCTGGGAGTCGAGAAGTTTCAGGAACTCACGAATGTTTTCGTCTTCCGCGTGAATGGATTCTGCACTTGTCCCAGTGGCGTCTACCAGTGAGCCAGAACCAGGCTGGACATTAGATGACGCAGCACTCGCCTTGCCGCTGGAATTGTCATCGTCGATCTTTGGCACTCCACCGGAAGATGGACGGCCACGACGGTGGCTGAAGGAACTACTAAATCGGGAGATTGGAGCCGGCTTTGGAGAGGCGGAATTGGAGGAGGAAATGGCTTGCTCTGCAACAATAGAGGAGGGTCGACGTGCTGAGGCAGCAGTAGAAGGAGGGGGCATGAACCGGGAGTTCACAGATGTTCCTGTAGAGCCTCCTCGTGGTGCAGAAGCGGTTCGGGGAGAAACGCCCAGAGGTGTGTCGGCCAAAGCGGGAGAGGCAGAGAGGGGAGGTGCTTTAAAAGGTTGGAATGAAATGGATGGGCGACGAGCAGATCTTGCACTTGCACCCTCACTTGCAAGTTGAGCAGTCCGACCTCCTACAGCCCCGATATTTGCAGGAGGCAGCAGCTTCTTATTAAACGATGAATCCGTGGGCGAGGGGGAATTTGGACCAATATCTCTTACAGCACGCAACGCTGAAATTGGACTTGTGCCAGTTCCTGGACCTCCGTGGTGGTATGTTGACATGCTCCCATACGCACGCGAAATATCTGGATCCTCTACCGCTCTTCTCCCAACAGGAACCGATCCAACTTCAGGGTTGGCACCGACATTAGGCATAAGCTCTCTAGGCAAGGAGGGCCGAAAGAGATCCTCAGTATCCCCCATGAAGCGGGAACTCAAGAGCGCCTCTGAATCCTCGACTCGGAAATCACAATTCGTCCGATACAAGACCTCAGCGGAGAAACGACCGACAGGGCAGTCTGCCACTCCAAAGTTGTATTTATCGACCACATCATCCTGCCCATTATACAACGGAACTGTTAAGCTGTCAAACTCTGGTTCTTGTCGAGATCTTTCCACAATCCGATATTGAATCTGCAAAGCGGGACTGGTTTGCATCTTTGCGTTGCGCTTTGAGAACCTATATGCGGGCAAGAACTTGGAATAAGTGAACAAGGATCGGAATATCACGATGCTCTTCTTGTATACATTCGGCAGGTTGGATCCCATGTCAGCAGAAGGACTGCCTGACGAAGGCGTCAACTCCATTTTCCATCGTTCCAGGATGATCTCGTCTGATTTTGGCTGGCTTTGCTTGGAACCCTTGCCTTTCAAGTTCGCAAGGGATTCACGAACATCCCATCGCTTTCCAAAATCGTCCAGAATGGCGAGACATTGATTATCCGCAAGAGCTTCGGTAGTTATGTATGTTTCGATGATGAGGGGCGGTGGTCGATCGGTCATGAGATCGCAAGTTCGCCATATCGTCAACGGATCTCGCAGGACATCGGTATCATCTATCTCGACATTGAACTGGTATCATAAAAATATGAAGTAGTTAGCAATTTCCATTTAATTTTGGCAAAACCAAAGCGAAGACCAATTAGGATTTCCAACAAGACATACCCAGCGGTTGATTCTCGGTTCCGGATCATCCCCTCTGTAGGAGAGGGGAAGATCTACACGAGAACTAATAATTATCAAAGCTGATTTTGCGAAGTAGCTCTGGGGAGAAAAAAAGAAGAAAATTAGCATAGAACCAGGATGGTGTGGGACCTTCTGGGGGCATACCGATACAATCTGGCTCAGCTTGACCATAGCTTCACGTGGAGGAGCGAGCCCTCTTGTTTGTCCAGAATGACTTGTCCCAGGACCGATGCCTAATCCACGAGTCTGGTATGTTCTTAAGTCAACGGTGGGGGAAGGTGGCGCCGAGTCTGAGTCTCTGGGGTCATTGCGAACCGTGCCCAGAGTGCTTGGGATGTTTGGATTGGAGGGGAACCTAGGCGCCGGCACCGACGAGGGGCCTCGGTTTTGATGCATGATTGGGAATCTCTTTTGAGAAGAGAATCAGTGGGATACGTATGCGGATGAGATTTGGGATTGCACACGAGCTTACCCCAATAAATGGAAGCTGGGGGGAGCGTGTGCTATCAGTAGGGGAATTCCGTTATCAGGAGTGCGATGCGAGAGAGATGGAGTCGGTAAAGACGGCCATGCTAAAGAAAAAATGGACGAAGGAGGAGAGATGGACAATCTAAAGTCACACCGTAAGAGAAAAAAGAGTGATAAATCGTGGGATCAAACAATGAGAGAAGTTAAGCACATCGTTGAAACCGGAGCCTAAGGGACCTTCAGTACAAGCTTCTCCGCATAAATGAACCCTGGCAAATCAGTGTAGCGAGAGACGCTTCACAGCGCGGAGAATCCGTTGTGAAACCTTATGGGTAAAAGACCATGAAAGCCATGATGTGGGGGGGTTTATAATGTTATTAATGAGGAACTGGGGGACAGTGAGTTTTGGGGAGAAGGAGAAGGCGGAGATTGTCTGTGACGCACACCCGGTGACTCGGTCTCGAGCAAGACTACGCCACTCCACAGCTGATCACAACCGTTTACATGATTTCTTCTTTTTCTTTTTTCTTTTTTTTTTATTATATTGATGCTTGTTATTTCTATAGAGAAAAGCAATATGAAGACAAAGTTATTATCGGTGGTTTTATAAACAGGGTCTTGTTTTATAAAGAACTAAGGGTTCTTTATGGTCAAAGATAAGGGGATAAGAGCGGATGATCACGAAATCCACCTGATCGACACGAGTTCGTGAATGAGATGCTATGATAAGCTCTAGAAAGGGTTTAAAAAAAAGATAATATGTGAATGACTCACATACTAAGACAATATAAGAATGACCAATGAACAGAAAAAAGAAAAGAAAAGACTTCTAGGGCTGACATCTCCCATTATCCTCCAGGGCTTAGATGGTCGAGCCCCCTTTCAAATGCGGCGCAGAGCCGCGGAGAGATGACGCAAGTGAGCACGAAATAAGAATTATTAAAGCTAATTTATAAAATGAAGAAGATATCTAGAGGCTCTAGAGGAGAAATTAGATATGATTATATTAGGATAAACATTATAAACAAAAGTATGTACTATAAAGTAATAAATATGATTCAAATCACCTCAGTGCTTATCGAGAACATTGAATCTGAAAATGATCTGAAATTGATTGTCCCCGGTCCTTCCCGTTCCCCACAGTAGATCCTCTACCAGGATTTTATAGTTAATCCAGCCCTGCAGAGATAGGGGATACAGAGAGAACAAGATAAGGAAGAGTCTGGTTAGATTCTACCAAGATACCACATCCAGTAACAGTTCAAGATCATTCTCAAGATTGGAATCACTCGTTCCCAGAATGTCTAGAACCTCAATGATCTTCACCAGGATAGGTTCAAGTTCAACCCCCCAAGGCAATTGGGTTGAGGATACTGGTTAACTCACTATTGCTGGAGCAACCAGTCGTAGTGTTGCCTGCAAAGGCAGACTGAATAAAGCTAACCGCAGCGGGCAGACCAATAAGCTCGGTTGTGGCATGACCACCATTCCCGTACGTGGTGAAACTAACATCCGCGCCATAGCCACACCATGCATCATATAAGGCTGAAGCGTTCGCGTACGGAATAATCTCATCCTGGGAAGCATGATACATGAAGACGGGCGCGGTCGGGGTCTCATCCTCGTTCACACCCATCGTATTCTGCTTTAGGACAGACTGGATAGTCGCGTTATAAATAAGACCTTCACCCAGAGTGTTGATAGTGGTGGAAAGGATAGACTGCTCAGCAAAATCAAGGATATCTCCAACAGCACAGGTGCTCCGAGCGGCATCGAGAACAGAACGGCCCTTTGTTGTCAGGACACTGTCCAAAATAGGATTCATTTCAGCACCATAAGCAGTGGAGGAAGATAGTCCAACCACGCCAGGGGAAGAAATCCGCTAAACAGGGTGTCCTCAATGAACATGAAAGTACCAGTAAGATTTGCTGGAGTACCACCATGGGCCCAACCCTTTATGTCAAGGTCGGGGGCATAGTTAGGATGGAGGGAAGCAGCCCATCCAGTTGCAATGGCACCGCCGGAATAGCCAGTGCCAACAATCATAGGTGTACTGCTAGAGAGGCCCAGAGTATCAAAGTTGCTCACTGCACGCATACCATCCAAAACACCCATTCCAGCTAGACGACCCGGCCCGAACGCTGCTTCTGGCCCTTCATAGTCAGGAGAAACAACAATGTAGCCGAGAAGCAGGTAGGCCTGAAGGAGCAACTGTTCAGCAGAAGATATGATATCTGTCTGAGCCGCTCCAAGCTGATAATTATAGCTGGGGTCACAGATTGTCGCCGAACTATCGTAGGCCGTCTGGAAGGAAACAAATCGATCCGTCTTGGGATTCGTGGGCTTGAAAATTGTGGTCACGGTAGCAATTGCGGAGCCGTTAATGGCGGTGGTGCGGTATAAAAGCTGGTAAGCTTCCACTGGATCTGGAATGAGGCCTAGGAAAGCGACAGTGATGGTGCGCTGACGCAAGATAGTTCCGGGTTCTTCGGATTCATAGCCTGCTGGAGGTTGATAAAAAGGATCCTCACTCGGGACTTCGGGTGTCGAACGAGACGGATGATGTGGGACTGTTGGAAGAGCAGATGCAAGCCCTAGGAGGAATGTAATCAAGGCTACCAGGGCCAACCGTACCGAAGAGCTGGAGACCATATTGGAATGAGATATCACTTGAAGCTTGAGGTCAAGACTTCAAGTGAGTCTCTCTCCGATGGGAGTTGGTTATATAATGGCTCCAGAGGTATGATGAATGTGATTGAATCGACCAACCGAGGCAGCATAATATTGACGTCCGCGGGTCACGGTTGATCCCATGGCCCCTGAGGATATAATTCCTCTCTAAGCTAGACCGAAAAAAATGGCACACCGCCCAAGCAGTGGATGCTTCGGATGAATCACATCAATATATCACATATTTATTAGTATTCTGTGATTTTTCAATAGATATCACCCGGTTTTCTTCAGGGATAACCTGGTAATCATAATGTGCCTGAACCAGCGGGTTCTCATCGCTCGTTCCTTGGGTCATTGTCGGGCAAACTTTAGGATAAGCGACTCCAATGATCTGCTTAACCCCGCACCCCGGACGTCTCCCCAGGGCTATGATCGACAGGAAACACATCCTTTGCCCTACCGGAGCGGATACTCGGAGCCAAGCTATGGTCTGATGCGACCCTCCATGAAGAATATTCGCGATGACGCATGTGCCTGAATCCTGCCGAATGACTGACAGGGACCCCTCGCATGTAAGCGACCAGGTCAGCAACGTTAAAATCAGGGATTGGACTCTTAGCCAGAGGGGTCCAAATCTTGGGAGCAGATACCGAGGAAGGACATCTAAGTTGCAGGAAAATTAGTCACTTATAGGGTTCATTCAAGGAATGTTAGCTTTATAGTCTCACCGAACTGATGGTCCCACTAGTATTCACATATATTAATGTTGCCCCACGGTATCCGAATCCATAGTAGCAAGTTTCATCTCATCTGAGCTAGAATATGGACAAACAATGATTTCGAAAAGAGAAAATCTCTTGAAGAATCTGATAAACAAATCTATATTATTTACTAGGCGGTGAGATGGGTGCACGACATAGATTTTAGACGATCCTTGCTAGACTTGAATGTACTAGTAACCCAAATATGGGGTTAGGGTCCATAAACTATATGACTACATAGTTATACGATATCTAACGGGGCAGGCTGGAGTCTAAATGCGCGACTTGAACAATCGGACGAAGTCTAAATCTATTCATTTCTTCTCTTCACGTGTAAAACTCTATGGTCTGAGCTCGGATGCAAACTCTATAATGTCCATGATTTAATTTAGCAAAGACCTGAAGTTGGGAAGACGCGGAGAAGAAAAATGAAATGAAAAGGAATATGCCCAGGTGGCTGACCGTTAACCTTTTTGCCAGCCCTGAAGCACGAGGATGATGGTTATGTAATTAGTATTCAAGTTCCAAGATTCTATTTGGCCCATATTAAAAGTATTGATGCAAATTGAGCCAGGTTCAGACATCAGGAGCACTGGTAGACCTTTTCAACCAGCATATTTGACAAAAAACTCAGCCGCATCATTATGCAACATGGGATGATAGCGTGCCATCAAAATCAAAAACAAACTAATAGACACCCCTATTTCTAATCCCAGGGTTATCGCAAGGGATTTGTAAAATTGAATGCAATTTGATCGGGAAAATGTGGTCCATGCATTCCAAATGCTCAACGGGGTGTTCACGGGGGCCTTGGAATCGCCTCGAGACTGGGATGGTAGTATGGACGCGGCCACACGAATGAAGATACCATAACAAGGCACCGCAATCCCAAAGTAGAGGACCAACATGAGTGCAAAGACGATAAAGATTTCAGTCCTTCCATAAGGACTCACATTTCCATCTCTGAAGCTCAGTTGTCGATTAAAATGTACGGGGTAATAAAAGCATATGCTTGAAGTTACGCTGTGTAGTAGCGTAGCTGGAAGAATTTTGACCCATATGTTTGAGTTGAATATACGCTCATAATATGACCCTTTGAGAGATCGGTTGAGGATCATATGGATATTGAACACTTTGAGCGTCGAGAAGAGAATCTCTGCCGTTATGTTCAGATAGAAGCAACTCTTGAGATTAGAGCCTCTTGCGGCGAATCTTGAGAGAAAGAAGACTTTTGCTAGTCGATGAATGATAATTGGTATTAGACCTCGGAGCTGTTCTCTGAAGAGTAATGGCCTTTTGCTGGCGGGTTGAGAAGTTGCGATGAGCGTTGCATGAAAATTCCCTTTCACATATACGAACTGTTTGAATTGGTAAGTTTAAGTTGTTCATTTCCTTTTCACGAGTATCATGTTGTCTGATATCTTACCAGAATGAGACCAATAGTAAACACGGCTAGTAAAAGCTCAAGCATGCCATCATGACTTGGCGCTTCCAGTCCTCGGCTAGCATGGACCGACGCCGTATCAAGATCAAAAGCCATATCTGCCCGAAGTACTCCGTAAGGCTCGGTGTGATGACTTTAGTTCAAATTGATTCTGACTGGATACTGCGGGGAGGTTGAAAAGGAGGAGGGATTCCGGGCCGAGAACAAGCTAAGCTTCAGGGGTCTGCCCCTATTCGCCATCTTGACAATTACCACGCTCAGCCTCATTAAAATTGATTTTTTTTGTTGAAGATCATGAAATTTAAAAAGGACCGACCCATTCTTGATTGCGAATGACGCTAAATTCACATTTGATTCATCCAGTCTGATATCGCTTATTGAGAATTAGACTCTAAGCAAACTGATTCCTACATCAATTCCATTTAATCATACATCTTCGCCTTTAAACCAGGAATGATATCAAGATCCCCTTTCCCGTAAGTGAATTTTCCAGTCTCGGAAATTTTGATATCCTTATTGCGTCGTTGCTGTTGAGACTGTCGAACCTTAACCCACTGTTCAGTAGTAAGATGCTGACCAAGTTCTGTGAAAGCATTCTGCGTGAGACCCAAGCGAGTCAGCACCGGGCTGTTGTCGATGGGATCGAGAACCACATGGTTGTTGGGTCTTTTCAAAAGTTAGCTGAATTCACCTCAGTTCATCTTGGAATGACCTTACCGAGCAAAGTAAAGAACTCCCAAACGGTCAACGTGAGCCTGATCCGCAGGTGGGGTGTGAACTCGATGAATACTTGACTTGATATACCCTCCAGTCAATGCAGTAAGAGCATCACAGGTGTTAATGGTGATCGTTCCATCTTGAGGACGCACCCACTTCCACTCTCCTGCAGAATTAAGGATTTGCAGTGCTGCCACTGGCTGTCGGAACAGCAGAGTAATGGATCCGAGATCTGTGTGGCCGGCACTGTAAAGACTGCCGACCTTCTTATTTTCCTCTACCGAGCGTGCTGCGTAGTGCATGTAGCGTAGGTGGTCTTCGCCCTTCACATCGTACTGGTGATCGCGGACCAGTTGGTCTTCACTTGGCAGCTCGAGAAGAATGGCAAACAGGCGAAGCAACTTCTCCACTACCTCGGTGTGGCATTTCTAGATTTTATCAGCGGCTGAATCAGTAAATGAGGAAAGATTCTGCTTACCCTGCTGAAAGCTTCGATCTCTTCAATTCTATCGGCGATGACAGGGGGCTGTTGTCGTTGGTGGAATCCATCAAATTTCGGGATGTTGTAAACCTGGACGTTGTCTTTCACACCATTACCCATGCTAAGAACAAGTCAGTAGATGACTCAGTTGCTAATACTTAGTGCATGTCTTACATGCGGTGGCCAGCGGGCCTGTAGCCGTTATACTCTCCATTAACAAGATCGTTGGTATTGTGGTACTTGAGCTTCTCCTCTAGGGGAAGGGCATAGAATTCACGTCCAAGAGCGAACTGACGATCGACTTCTTCTTGGCTGATATTGAATCTTTTCACATAGAAGAATCCTATTAGTCGATATTAGTTTAGTCATGTTTAGATGAATTATTACTCCGATCCGATGGTTTGATTCTTACCAACATGCTGCACGGCATGTTTCAGTTGCTTAACAAGCTGCTCCTTGCCACCTGGTTGCTCATAAAGGCTTAAGTCAAGAGTGACCAGCTCAGCCCAGTCCACTAAAACTGTCAGTCTCGTAATATGGCAATCAAATTCAATACACTAACGCTCTTCCTTCGTGACAGGGACATGATCATATTTGTCGATGATTTTGCCAGGCATATTGGCTCGTGGATTTGGATTGAGTTCAGCTTGAAATTTTGAGAGTAAGTTTTCTTCAACTGCCAAGGTTGGAGTTTCAAGTTCTGCAGTTGAGCAATATGAGATCAATATGGGCAATCCGGAATATGCAGGGCATATAAAGTCCAAGGCCTCATCTAGACCAAATTAAACCCCGCACTTCCTGACATCTCATATTTGATATTCATAATACAAGCACGTCATTGATGTACTCAAGTAGAATCAATGAGATAGCGGCTAATTTTCGGTATTGAGTGAGGGGATCGAGGGCTCGGGCACGCCATCGTTCCGCCGTATGTCGCAGTTGTCAGCTTTGACAAACAAGTATTTAGTACCTATGAACATTTCATAGGCCATATTCATCTCGATGATAGGCAGGCCTCATACTGAGACAAACCTTAATGGAGCTTTAACAGGGAAATGTCCTTCAGTATTCCTCCGATGCAGATGATCGCGACAGGGAGTGGAGAAATGGCATCGCAGTTAGCTATACACTCGGACCATTTTTATCTGATGTGATTTGTGCGGTTCTTTATTCAAATGTTATAAAGATGCCGATAAATTGGCTCCTTTATGACTGATAATGCGATACTGGTAGTAGCATTGTTTTGTCTGTCTGAGCGTGCATACATTCAGGGAAGTTGAATGTTTTGATCGACATGTCTGCCAGTGGACAGAAGTCGATAGCTACCCGGCCGGGATTTTGCGCGTTTTTGAAGGAGGTATTCAATTGGTATCCATCTTCGTACCCAGCTGAAGAAAGAAAGTATGTTTTTAAACCTTGAAGAACCAGTTGTGGTGACAATAGCTCATTTTTCATCCTCTAGATTGTTGTTCAAGCTCGATGTTTCAATCCTTGTATTCGCTTGCCTATGTTGTGAGTCTTATACATTATTATGAGCCAAGTTCAAATATAAGCTAATAATCGCAGTCTTCGTGAAATATCTCGGTAGGATGAATCATTTCAACGTCAGATGTTAAAGACTAACAAGAATACTTCAGATCAAACCAACATCAGCAATGCTTATACGAGTGGTCTTAAGGAAGACTTTGGTCTATACGGCAACCAGCTTAATTACTTCAATGTTTGCTACTATACCGCATACGTCGTATTCCAGGTTCCTGGACTACTTCTGATGTCACGTCCAAAATTGTGAGTTTAGACCAATAAATTAAACCCATAACACAATGCTGATCCGATCGCCCAGGGCTCGATGGCTGCTTCCTGGACTTGAAGTTTTGTGGGGAATTTGCACATTTGCCCAAAGCCGAGTGACAAATGTCGAACAGTTGTATGCATTGAGGTTCCTCGTTGGAATGCTGGAAGCTCCTGTATTCGCTGGAACACATTTCATTCTTGGTAAGTCTCTTTAAAAGTTGGTTTCTAAAAGTTGGTTTCATCCTGGCAGACCGATACTGACAATTTTTATTTCAGGCTCCTGGTATTCAGGCCCCGAACTTTTCAAGCGAGCAGGTACCTGGTTTATCTGTAACCCGCTTGGAAGCATGGTTAGTGGATACCTTCAATCCGCTGCTTATACCAATCTCTCCGGAGTTGGAGGTATGCCTGGTTGGAGATGGCTGTTCATCATTGATGGAATCTTCACTATTCCAGTGGCATTGATAGGCTTTATCATTTTCCCGGGGATTCCAGATTCGTCTCGCCCATTCTACCTGACAGAGAGTGATATCTCTTTGGCCAAGGAACGAATACGTAGAGCAGAGATTCGTCGCCCTGGGAAGTTGAGTCTTGATGTGTTCAAGCGATCTCTGAAACGGTGGCATATCTGGGTCTTCATTACTAGTTATGCGTGAGTAGACTGATCAGTGTTAATGGACTTGTGACTAATGAGCTGTTATAGATGCATGATCATTTCATCATACCCTGGATCATATATGAACCTTTGGCTTAAAGCAGAAGGATATTCAGTGACCCAAATCAATAAACTACCTACAGTGATCTATGCCATCCAGATTGTTGCATCCTGGCTGGGGACAGCTGTTGCTGCGATCTACCCGTCTTGGATCATATACACAATTGCCACGCTTGGGTGTCTCTTCTCAACACTATGCATGATTATCTGGAATATCCCGACAGGATTGAAGTACGTCTCAGTGTCTTTCCAAATGTACAACCTCGGCTAGGTGATTGAATTACTGACCATACATATGGAGTACTATAGGTTTGCTGCGTGGTACATGCTCGGTCTTTCGGGCTGCCTTAGTCCGATCCTCTATTCAACTGTCAATACTATCGTGAAGGACGACTCTGAAGAGCGAGCATTGATTTTGGTAAGAATGAAATCTAAACATTGCGAGAACTCCGCTAATTAAACGAATGATTTAAATAGGGATCAATGATGACATTTGGATACTCTTTCCAGATCTGGGTTCCCCTTCTTGTCTTTCCAACTTCAGGTCACTATGGTGCACCGCAATGGATCAAAGGGTGGCCGGTGGCATTTACATTCTATACCTTACTCTGGGCTGGATTTATTACTGCTCTTGTCCTGTATCGAAGGTAAGATATGCCTTTTGCTGCATAATAGGTGATATACTAACAATGTATGATTTAGGGATCAGAGGAAAGGCACCACTTTTATTGCCTCGGAGAGCAGCGAGGATGTCGAAACTATAATCGTGGACCAAGAACCGGATGTGAAAAGTGTGCCGAGTTAAACATAATCTGAGGGTAGTAATTGTACCTAGGAGATCCCAACAAAACATGATGTACTTTCTATACTATACGTGAACAGTGAACCTCGGAAGAATAGGTAGTATCATACTCCGTACTGTAGAACTTGATAGAAATGTTGAATGCGGGGGTTACAAGCCACGAGCAGATCAACTGACATTAAATAGAATCAAATGAATTGTCTTCCTATCACTTCCCCACGGGCTCTAGATCACCGAAATGACCCGCACCTTTCATCCGGGCCCATGGAGGGACGTGCGCTTTGTCATTGGTCAATACAAAGGTTCCACGATCCATGGAAGATGACGGAGCATCGATAAAAAAGAGATTCAACCTTTTGACGCAAGCAACTCAAGTCCTTGAATCTCTGCGGTTTTTGTATATCGTCGACTTGCATCCGAACTTGTCCGCGACACCATCTTTCCGGTTCATTCCCTTTAACAGCCCTAATCTAAGCTCCGGTCATCGCCACCGCGCCGCGACCCCTCTCCGAATCCCACAATACCTAAATTTTGTATCACCGCGCGTTTTGGCTCTCCTCGGTGAACATATCATTGATATTTGACGCGTCGATTCATCGGGACTCGACCCATCCTCCCCTTCGAACCAGAATCTTCTTATCACCCAGCTATCTCGTCGCAGTCAGCCCCCGGGTGACCGCGACGCTCCGGCTCGGGATTGATAAGAGATTCGGTGATACAACTACTTCGGGCACATGAGTAGCAAGCTTTGGGAGTTTTTCATTCAAGATGATGTGGAGAGCTTTCAGCGGTTTCTCGCGAACGCAACGTTTGCGGGGCCGCGAGCTGCAGGGGGCCCCGGAGGTGTCGCCGTAGCTGCAGCGACCAACCTGTCATCTAAGACTGGAAGCCCCGGGTCGATAATCGCCTCATCACCCAACCCCCCCGAAACATAAGAAGAGCATTGGCACTTCACCCGGAACATCGACGCCCGAGAGACCGAGCTTTCAACGCGGCGGTCCGGCTTTATCGCGCGCGGATGTTAATGCCCGTGATCACTATGGCAGGACCTTACTCCATCACATTGCTTCATCGCCGAATACCACCGCTATCAAATTCGCCACCGCCCTCCTCGAAATTCCCTTCCTCGATATCTACGCACAAGACTGGGAGAGTGGATGGACAGCGCTGCACCGTGCCCTCTATGCAGGAAATGCCACGATTGCGCTCGCTTTGATGGCGCGAGATACTCGCGATGCGACGGATTTCAGTAAAGTGGGACAATCGGCTCAGAGTGGAACCTTGATCAAAATCAAGGATCGTGAGGGTTACAGTCCATTTGATGTGTATGGAGCGACCATTACGTCCCGTGATATTAAGCAAATGGTCTCATTGAGGCCGTGGAACGAGGCCATAAATGCCGATACAGCGGGAAGTGATGTGGCCTCAAACTCAGGGTCTACTGGTGCAGCAGATATGGATGGTGATGTCTATGTTGCTCGGGCCGCACTCAAGTCTAGAACGGATTTCGCTGCCGATGAGGTGTTTACACTGGGCAGCAACAAGAATCTGACTCTTGGACTTGGAGATCAAGACGATCGTCAATTTCCCGAGCGAGTGACATTGAAACGCCCCCAACATCTGTTGGATCGATTTTACCTTGAATACCAAGAGGAAATGGAGCGGCTGGGCTTTGGGCAGAGTGTAGAACATGCCAACTCAAATGATCTACCAACTATTGTCAAGAACAAGCCGATGAAGATTCAAAATGTTTTTATGTCTAAGCTTCACACTGCAATCGTTACAGATGACCCAGAAGCCAATCTGTACATCTGTGGTTTTGGACCCGGCGGTCGTTTGGGCACTGGCGATGAGGCCACACGGTTCACTTTTGCTTGCATAGAAACTGGTGGCCTTGCAGGAAAGAAGGTTATGTCCGTTGCTCTGGGTCAAGACCACACTCTTGCCATCACAGAGTTTGGCGAAATCTTCAGCTGGGGGAGTAATAAATTTGGACAACTCGGATATGGTCTTCCCCGGACGAGCAATAAGAACGACGTCCCTATCCAGACCACACCTCGACAGATCTTCAATCCATTCAAGAAAGAGATGATTATCGGCGCGGCAGCGTCTCCCATCCATTCGGTCGTCTTTAGTAATTCTGGCCTTTACACATTTGGCAAGAATGAAGGTCAACTAGGCTTGGTTGACTCTGACGCCCGATCTCTTGAGGTCCAGACTACTCCTCGCAGGTGGGAGCCTCGCTCTTTGCCTGTCCGATTCAGATGGTCTCTGCCATTGATAGAGCCACTGCGGTTCTTCTCCAAAGTCATGAGGTCTGGGTCTTCTCGCAATATGGCTACTCGAAGCTTTCATTTCCGCTTGAAGCCACCTCTAGATTTATCCGTGACAGCTTTATGGCAACGAGATATGAAGCCTCGGCTAACCGGATCGTCAAGATTACATGCGGTGGAAACACGATCTGTGCTTTGGCTAGCTCTGGTGATGTCTTCACGGTTGAAGCTAACAAGCCTGAGAGCCCCTCAGTCTTAACATCCACCACAAACCCAGCCAAAATTCGTAACTCTTTAGCTTCTCCAGTCAGAGCTTGGTCTGTCAAGAAGTCATACATGGCTGCAAGTGATGTTGATGTGGGTCAAGACGGATCCATTATTATCTGCACTACATCAGGCTCGGCCTGGAGAAAGGAGAAGCGGACAAAGAAGAAAGAAGGAGCTTCGAAAGACTACAAATTTGCTCGTATACCAGGCCTGTCACGGGCGGTGGCTGTACGCAGCAACGCCTTCGGAGCTTATTCCGTAGCTCAACGTGACTGCAATGTGACAAAAGAGCAAATCCATGTCAATGAAAGCACTCTTTGGGCTGATATCTTGCCTCTCTCGCCATTCCTGCTTCCTGCTTTTGATGACGTGGACACGATTCTTGCGGATGCTTCGGATGAACCCGTTGTATTATCCTCTGCGGCGGCTATCAAAAAAGCCATATTATTGTCTTCAGATATGGAAAGTCAATTCCTTGCATTTCGTACTGAGGGAACTATTTGGCTTACTACATCCTTGTCCGATGCTCGCATCCCAGTGCACGAGTTTCTGCTGAGTGGTCGCAGCCCAGTCCTTCGGAAGGCGCTGCAGGAGTTCCGTGCGTCATACTTCTCCTCAGTGCCTGACGTTCTGGATGTTGAATATAACAAGGAAGGTCATATACAAATCAAGCTACATGGACTCGATTTTCTTACTGTTATGAACATTGCATTCTTCCTCTACACCGACAGCATTCTTGATGTTTGGCATAAAGGAAGAACATCGTCCAAAAATGCCAATCGCTACCGACAGGTCCGTACGGAGGTCATGCGGATTGCTCTTCAGCTTGGTCTGACAACTCTCGAACGTGCCGCAAGATTGATGGTGGAACCCCAGCCAAGCCTGAAGTATGACATGGCTCTCGCTATCAATCATTCCTCGTTCTTTGACGATGCTGATGTTGTGGTTGAATTGGACGGGGACGCTGTGAAAGTTCATAGCTACGTGGTGTGCCAGCGATGTCCATTTTTTGATGTCCTCTTCAATGGCCAATCTGGTGGTGGGTGGCTTGCCGGGCGACGAGCAAACGGATCTGATGCTATTTCTGTTGATCTGAAGCACATTAACCCAGTCATCTTCAATTTCGTGCTACGATACTTGTATGCGGACACAGAAGAGCAGTTGTTTGATGAAGTGCGGGCTAAATCTCTTGATGATTTTGTCGACTTCGTTATCGACCTTATGTACGTCGCGGACGAGTTGATGATTGACAGACTTTCGCAAATCTGTCAAAAAATGCTGGGTCGCTTTGGTGAGTTTCCCAGCATGTTTTTCGTCTGCAAATATCTTCTAATAAACCGCAGTCAATATCCGGAATATCACATATCTTCTCAACTCCGTTTCGCCCATCTACAAGAAAGAGTTCAAAGAGGCTGCGTTGGAGTACATTTGTCTCGACCTCGAATCCATGCTCACGAACAGGTATTATATTATGTCCCCTCAAATACAATGGCCCCGCTAATATTTTCAATCAGGTATCTCGACGGTCTCGATGATGATCTCCTTTCTGAACTCAACAAGGTCTGTCATGAAAACCAGCTTGCATGCTACCCTATTTCGCGTGGACGCAACACGGAAGCCTACATATTTGAGAAGTACCCCGAGATTATCAGCTCTGTTGCATCTGATAAACGCCGGCGAATTGATGCAATGACATTGCAATCTCGCCTCAGCCAAGTCGAGTCGTACGATTTCCGACCTCGAGCCTCAGTACCTGAGAAATCGACTACTTCCCCGTCGGTTCGCAAAGGAAAACCCAGCATTTCCAAGGATGTGACCAGTCCAACACCCAGCCCAATGCTGAAACCAAGACAATCCACTGGTGACTTAATGTTCCAGATGGACGATGAAGCTCTTTTGTCTCCACCGGAAGGCAAGAGCAGAGTCATGCGTGGGCCGCGCTTCTGTGAAAGCGAGAACTCATCATATCCCGATTCTCCTATCTTGGGAGCAAGCATCTCGGAAGCCGATTCGCTTGGAAATCGAAGTTTCCTGGATCAACAAATGTCTTCCCCGCGTGATCCATTGCTCGCACAGTCCCCAACTGAATCCAGAGCGCTCGCTATGCATCAGAAACGTGGCTTGCCCTCCTCCGCCGAGTCATCTTCAGCGCCATGGTCTTCGCCTGTTGCATCTGACAACAAGAAGGATCTCCGAGATATCATGGAGGAGATGCCCCAGTCTCGAGTCTCAAATCTTACCCTAGGAATGGCGGGAAAGCGGGAACCCAGCGGCAACTTCACACCAAAGATCTCTCAAAAAGAAAGGAGGAAGATGCAGCAACAACAGATGCAAGAAAAGCTTGCCGAAGAGGAAAAAGCTAAGGCCGCTCGAGAGAATCCATGGCAAATGCCATCCCCAGCTCAACCGAGTACATTCGGCAAGGTCGACCCTTTGCCAAGTCAAGCTGGGCCCAGCTCACGACCTTCTGAGCTTCTCAAAACACCTCAGAAGCACTCCATGACCATGCGACAAACTGTAGCTGGCACACCTCCACCTCGATCACGACCAGCGGCTAGCCCAGTTCAAATACAGGGCCGCCGTGGCTCAGCCAACATGCAACAGCCTTCTTTCTCAAAGGCTTCACCTTCACCTTCCTCTACACCCCAATCCCCATTCCAACAAACTACACCCAAACCTGCACCTCAGCCCAGTATCCATTCCATCCGCCACATTCCTCGCCCAGACTCGTCCCGTTCCCCATCATACGGTTCCCTATCTTTAGCTGCGATCCTAGAGCAACAGCAGATAGAAAAGGACGAGATTCACGAAGCCGCCACAGCGAAGCACAATCTGCAGGATATCCAAGTAGAGCAAGAATTCCAGCAATGGTGGGATCAAGAAAGCAAGCGTGTCCAAGGTCTTCTTGAACCCGAGCCTCAACAGCGCGGAGGCAAGGCTGGTCGTGGCGGCAAGGCTTCTGGTGGATCTGGTGGTCCCCGTAAACCACGTGGGAATAAAAATGCCAACCCTGATGGTCCTGCGCCTCAAAGCCAGAAACAGGCATTATCTTCTGCGGGTCGTTCTACACCTAAAAAGAATGTAAATGGTCCTGCCTCAGCGCCATCACAGCCAAATACCAATGGGAAACAAGTTCCTTCTGGTGGACAAGGCAAGAATTCTCGTCGTGGAGGGACTGCACAGAGAGGTAAAGGAAGGGACCGTGAGTAGGTCTGAATCTCTCTGCCTTCAATAATTCTCAGTTCACATTCTCTATTTCCTCCGATGAAGCCTTCAACAAGGTTCTCCAATTCTCTTTCATCTCTGTTTGACCTTTCATGTGGTCTTTTGGCGTTTTAGAATCTTGTTAGATACATCGGCGTTGATCTATGATTCCATTCTTGAAGACATTTAATAGACTCCCAAGTTGAGACTCGGATATAAAATCGAAGTTCCAAGAATTTAATTTCTTTGTACTAAGACCCAGTTCAAGCTTTCTTCAAGTTCCTGTCACTGGCCCCTGAATTGATACATGGCCTACTAACATTGGAATAGAGCCAATACTAGTACAACCTTGGATGACTTGAGCAATACTCCTTGGCTGAAGTTCTCTTTGAAACCCTGTTGCGACCTCACTTCGCTAACGGTTGCCTTCTTCGACGTACGTTCGTCTACGGTAAGTGATGAGGAAGTGGTAAATGGGGTCAAGCTCATTTGTTCAAATATCTGAATCTGAAAGGGCAAATATTTAAGAGTCGAATGCACTTCTTTGCTCGAGATGAGACGAATAGTTTATGCTATTCTCGAGTGGAAAGTGATCACAATATCGACTTGAGAGACTTGGTCCACGGATCACTGAAGATAGATCGAGTCGTTTATTTCATCCATCCACTATTCAATATGCTTCCTCTCCTCGTCTCATCTACTCATGTTTCGTCTACTCATCCCTACTTCCAAGGTTGCTACTAGTACACCTGCTTTACCTCCTGCACCGCCACCTGTGGTACCACGACACTCCCTGCTTCCCACTCACCAGCGACTAATAAATTATACACCCAGTGCGCCAATCCTTCCTGCTGCCAATCACCCGGCGGATATCACTCGGCCTGACCTTATACTGGCGTTACACGCAAGAAGTTTGAAAAGCCCAATGAGGCAGATTAGCGAGAACATGCAAAAGTTCCGTGAAACAGCTGGATTGATTCGCGTATGGATTCACGCGACCTCAGGGAGTGGTGAATGACGAAGCCAGAGGAATGGTACGCATTGTGGATATAAATCGATATGATACCCACGATCCATCCCGATAGCGTACCGATGCGGGCACGTCACGGTTTACGTGAAGAAATCCGGGTTTACGAGCGGATTACGCGCGCCCTTGCCTGAGACAGATGCTTCATTTATGATCATCTTTGGTCGGTCCTCAACGCACCATCCTATACAAATCCCCAGTATGATGTTTGCTACCCGTTGCGCTGCAGCCATAGCACACTAATGAGCGTGCGGCGAGTGCGACTGCCGACCATAAGAACCTGGTCACGGTCCGTGGCAAGGTACGACAGCGCAATTCATTCGAGATCCATCCGGCACATCTTGTGATCCTTCAACCACTCCCAACCACTCCTCGTGATTCCATGGATGATTATAAGGATCACGGTGGTATCAAACCAAGAGTGGACCTGATGCTCGCTCTCACAGTCCCTTTCCTGAGCCGGTATCAGAAACTTACCTCCTACGAATGGTGAAGAGCCTTGCTGGCAAGGGCACACGAAGAAGGATTCGGGAATGGCTCGAGCGATTTATACAGCCGAAATGAACTTGTGGAAGGAAGATGAATTATTGCGTGCTGAAAAGAGTCACATGGTGAAGCAACAGCAAAACCTCAAGCTCAGTCAGATGGCATGAAGAGAAGACTTGTGGATTGTAAAGCGCAATCTAGGCGTCAACGTGAAATACTAACGGTAGACCATTTCTGGCAAACGCTCCTCAATCCAACTCTTATATCCTGACAAAATAGTATTCAAAATTCCAATTTGAGTAGCACATCTGCATAAGCACAGCCCTTTTTTCAACGTTCACAACAACCCAGAGTATAAGACTATAAAATTCCAAAAAGTAAAATCATTCGATATTCCCGTGCCCAGAAACTCCAAGGTTCAGATTCCTGAACTACTCATGTCGACGTTGCCATCGGACAGTCGAGGGCTGCATAGGCCTCGAAAACAGAGACTATAGATACTCGTTAGCACCCATTCGATGGAGTTAAAACAGATAAATAAACTTGAACATACCGAGTAATCCGTCTCCGGAACCCCAACCCTATCCTCAGGGTTAGAAAACCGAAACTCCCTCACAAGCGTGGCAACAATAACCGCAAGATTCAAATACGCAAACTTCTCTCCAATGCAACGATGTCTTCCCGCTCCAAAAGGCAAGTACGGACTCTTCGTCCCCTTGGAAACGGCACCGTATCCATAGTCCACTGTATCTGTCTCATCATCTTCGGCTTCGATGCAAGATTCCCATCGATGCGGGTCCCAGACCATCGCATTCTTGAAATACCGCTCATCGCGCGCTGTCACACCCGGTGAAGAGAGGAGAGTATGCGTTGTTGGGATAACATAAATTGTTCCGGGGATAGGTAAAGGATTCTTCACCTTCCTCATAAGCGTATGAATAGATGAGTGAATACGGAGAGTTTCCTTGATAGTATTCGACAAAAGAGGCATATTCTCCATGTCACGGTACTGTAGCGGTCGAAGAGAATTCTCATCACAGTCCAGAGCTTTCAGTTGTTCTTGGTATAACTTCTCTGCCATCTCGGGTTGGGATGCTAGTCTTAGCATGATCCAACAGCTAATCGCAGATGAGGAGTGCTGACCCGCCATCAATAGCGTGATCATCATGTGTGCGATTTCTTTATCTGGAATTGGGTTTCCGTCGCGGTATACGCAGTTCATGAGGTTGCCGATCATGTCTTTCGCCTGAGGTCCCTTTTCACCATCAAAGGCCTGTTGACGGCGGGTTTTGATAATTCCTAGGTAGATTTCACGCATGCGCGCGTGAGCAATGTCGCGTTTGCGATTGTGAGGGAGAGGGGCCCAGGGTAGCATGAAATTTATGGGTGAGAACCCGAGGTCAAGGTCGTGGAATAAGTCCGCAAATTCAGAGGTTAGCTTTGCGCGGACTTCGTCGCCTTGTAGTGCTCGGCCTGCTGTGAAGATGGTTATCTCGGCCATTGAGGCTGCAAGGTCAATTGTTCCTGATGGGCCTTTGAATTTTCCAGATGTCTTGATGTATTGTTCGACTTCTTGTTCGATCAGGGGGACGTATGACTCTAGGGCTTCTTGGCTAAGGCCGAACTTGACGAACTAGGGAGGGAGAGTGATTGTTAGTATTTGAACTTTGGGGTTTTGTCAAAGAACTGAGAGAGATATAGAGCATACCTTCTTCTGCTCCATTAACTTGGAGTTTGGGCAATCGTAAACCACGTCCGATCCAAAGACTGGCGTCGTCAATTTGCCGTAGATTTCTTCCGCATTCACATCCTTAAGCTTTCCATTAAGAATGAATTCATTTCCTTCTGTTCCAAGGTAGACGGTCGTTTTCTTGCCTAACAGGATAAATGTGAAGATGTCACCGTACTGGGTCTGCATCAGCATTTGGACTAATCACAGGTAGTGATCATTCGAGCGCAAAACATACCTGTTCCCGAGAGGCGAAGAAGAATTTGTAAGGGTCCATGCCGTATCTGACTGTGCTTCCAAGAAAGGGAAACCAATGGAACACAACTGGAGGCTCATTGCGTCGATAAAAGAACTGTTGGTTGACTATATTGGCAAAAACTGCTAAAAAGGTGATACCAACCACATAGCAACCGATGCGCAAGATCTGGCCAAAGACCAATTGAACGAGGAGTTCCATGGCTCAAGTAATCAGTGATGAATGAACTTGAAGATAAATCAGTGTGAAGTATATACTAATTTATCAACAGCAGGGGTCAAATCAGGAGGATGCGAATACTCATTAATCATCATTAGGGCAGTGGTGTCACGCCATGGAAGATCCCCCGGAAGATGGGGCAGCCGAATTCAAGGGAGTCCAATAATAAGAATTGGATTATTAGCATTCAAGTTTTTTTTTCTATTAATAAATTTGAAATATTTGGAAATTGAAACTTGTAATTTTCCCACAATGTACACAAAAGTATGAGCAGTTGGATCTCAAAGTAGTAATGTCAAGGTTTGAAACCTTCAATTTGAAAGATAAACCGCAAAAAGGATAAACAAAGCCACCATATGCCACCGTGCGCCGGGAATTTGCAAATCTTGGAAAAAGCAACAGTTCATCAACGTAAAATTATGCAGCCAATGTTCAATAATTAACTCGACGAGGCCACCTCTCGGCTTTCCCACATACGCCGGATCATCAAGTCGGTTTCATTAACATGTGGGAATCCTTCGGCGTCGGGATCGCCAGGGAGATTATGTATCGGTATAGCTTCCTCCGAACTAGAGAGGAGTTTCTGAGAAGGGTTCGTAACCTTGATTCCCTGTGTGGTGTCGGTGGATCCTTCGCCATGACTCGCGTGGTCTTCGCATGCCGAGGACTGGGGATCAGGCAACTGTGATTTTGACTCGGAGCTTGAGCCAAGTCGGCTAGGCTGTGTGTCGTGCTGAAGAAGGGCCAATGAAGGGGCTGATTTGACTGGTTTGCCTAGAGCTGATCGGTCCACCTTCGCAAGTGCCTGGGAAGCCCGAGCCACGGCACGAAGTCGGTTGAAACTATCACCAGTTGGTGACTGGAACCTCCGCACGACAGTCAACTCAAGAGATGATTTCTCATAGGCCTTCCGAATATGACGTGCCTCGGTATCATGGCCTGGGATACCAACACGAACACCTCCATTCAAGGCCCTATTGGGGTCATACGGACCAATTCCGGGTCGCGTGTGGGTGACCGCCATAAAGTTGGGATCAATGTTGGAGGGAGCAACAGTGGGAGAGACGCCATGGGAATCGGGCGGGGAATTTTTCAATGTTGCTGTACGTTGAAGCCATAGCTTCTGTTGTGTTCGCGACAGATCAGCACCTCTGTTAGGTGCCGGTGAGGCGGTGGATTTCCCCGACGCACGTTTAGGAGATGGAGGTGTTTGCGGATGATAGTGGGGAAGGAAGGAGGATGGGGTATTTGGGTCTGAGTCAGTCCTTGATGAGGCATGAAAGCCAGATCGGTTGCTGGGTATAAATCGAGAGACACCACCTTCCATGGAAGACGATGTTGCTTGCGTGTGGTTGCCGGGGGTGTTACCGAGTCCCATATTGGAGCTAGAGAAGGTGCGTCGGGCACCATCTTGGGCACCTGCGAGACTAATGGATGACGCACTACGTGACGCCGAGTCTGTGGGCTTGGCTATCGCAGAGATAGAAGACATAGCAGGAGGAGCTCTCGCGGAGTGGGATGGACTTAGAAGGCGGTTTGCGATGTCACCCTGTTCAGTGGACCCTTCCTCTCCTTCAGGAGTGGTATTGTTGTCTTCGTCTTCCCCTTCCTGACGTTCCGCCTCCTCGTCCTCTTGCTCTCGTAGATATCGGTTGGTTATTGAATCTGGAAGACTAGTCGCTCGAGGAACTTGCGGATATGGGCGCTTCACAAAGGTAAGGGGATCAACTAGGACTTGGGCATTCTCTGCGCTGTGGTTGGATGGTACGACGGAGTTGCGCCTCGTACTTTCCGGCGATTGCGTGGTGTCCTCCCATTCAGCGTCGTCGTTGTCATCATCTCCCAGCTCAAATCCGACCGTCTTCTTCTTCCCTGCACTCGACTGAGGTCGGTCTGAAACCAAAGCTTTCTTGCCAAAACCCGAGTTATTTCGCCGTAGCACCGGTGTGGAATTATTTCTTTTCATTGAAGTGGTCTTAGGATGGTCATCCACAACTCCGTCCCAGCGTACGTGAGCTTGGCCCTTGGGACTAGCAATAGGAGTCGCAGGAGCGGATTTCTTTCGTTGATGATGACGACCGGTTGTTTCGGGAGCAAGCTGAAGGCGCGAAAGCTTGTTTATGTTCTTCCCGAGAGAGGGGTTCCGGTGATGATGGCGACCACCACCGACGACATGGGGTCGATGGGCCTTATGAATGGTACTCTTGGAGGACTGCGACTGTGACAGCTCATTATTGGAGTTGGTCCGCGTGACGACTGCATGCGAGGAGACGGCGCGACGGCCGAGGCCGGGGCGCTTAACTGGGGAGGACGTGCTGGTGGGCATGGCGGTAAAAAGAAAGCACCAGAGAGGCGGGTAATCAGCTGCGTACACGGGGCATCGAAGGGGATTGGCCGAGGCAATGGGCTGGTATCACGGCAGATGGGCGTGCAGAGAAAAAAAGCAACGAGGCTGGGAGCAGTCGAAATTTACTCTACACCGCTGCGCTCGAGCCCATGAAAATTGGAAGAGGCTTATTAAATACAGAGGTGAAAGAGGTGTGAAGAGGGGAAGCTATCGAGGGAAAGACGGAACTGAAGTCGTCGCTGTCTTCGGCGATGGGCCGGGTAATATTACCGTATGAGTTACCATACGGGGTTGAAGACTCTCCAGCCTGGAAGTCCCGGGGTCTTCCAAGTTGAAAGCATCTGAGAGAAATATCAAGACATAAATAGATCATAGTGAAGTTCAAGTTCATTATATAGCTTACAAAATGAGTTCTCACCATCACTAGAAAGCCATTTTTAGAGATACACATTGGAGATTTCGAAATTCTCAAAATAAAGAAAAGCCGGGAGAAATACATCAAAACGAGACTTTAGGTATCATCTGGTATAGACTTAAAAAAATATCGCCAAAATAACCAAAAGAAGAAAGGGTTGAAAACAAAGCTCAAATACGCTATAACTCAATCAGACTCTCTTCCACCACTGGCTTGGAGGGCTGATTCGATACGGGCAGTTGCGGGTGTCCGGCTACCGGATATGTTCCCGGTTGGCCAGTGACCATCGGCGGGTATTCAGAAGGCACCGGATGTTGCTGCTGCTGCGGTTGATAATAATAGGACTGGGGTGGGGGCCCGATGGGTTGCTGATGCATCACAGGCGCCATAGTGGAGTATGTGGGTGATTGCATCTGCTCCGGTGAATGCGGCTCTGGTGCACTGGGTATCGGAGCCTCCGGGGGTGCACTAGGTTGGTACTGGGAGTCTCGTCGCAGGATAGGCGATGACTGATAGGGTATCTCGGAGAATTGTGTTTGGACCACGTCTTGATCCGGTGGTGCTGCATAATAGGCGGACGGTCCAGTTGGCACGGGGGCAGCGTGATTGCTCGTCACAGTGCCGCTAGGAGGTGGAGGCGACCCTAAAGATGGATAGGGATTCTGACTCCAGCTAGGGTTGTGCGACTCGTTCCCCGGGGGTCCACGCTGAGCCTGTGTTGGGTACACAGGACTTGTGATACCACTGGGAGGTGCTTCATAAGCTCCGTTATTCATTGGCGGCGGCGCATACCCAGTCGTTGAGGGGTGTGAGGGCTCCGCCGCATTTCCATAATAGAAGTTTTCGACACCAGGTTTGCCTTCATGCGTGGGCGGGGGGAACCCAGTCATGGTGGAATATTGAGGCATCCCAGGTACACGATAGCCAAAGTTCTGTTGTGAATAAGCACTGGATAGTCTTTCTTCCAGCATTCGATCGTAGTAGCGAACAACGGTTGACAGCTTAGCATGAAGGTCAAGGAGAGTGTCTAAAGAAAGTTAGTCTGGGAGATGTCTTTTAAGGAAGGCAGTATTTGCGAAACGTTCGACTTACCATGTTTACTCATCGTCTCTCCGTAGCTGCGCGCCAATTTCGGTCGAAGTGTGCCTATGCTTTCATAAAGCTCTTGAATCTGGGGCTCGCGGAGGATGGTTCCTGGTGGCTGGTGCTGTAGTCGATCGACCAACGTAGAAAAAAGATGAATATTTTCAGCTTCGACGGGGCTGAGCTCATAAGGATTCTTCGGCAGAGGAGTCTGGCTGTTTGATGAATCCTGAAATGTATCACTTTGCGGAATATTATTCTTCAGAGCGGCAGCGTGCTGCTGCTTATGCGTCTCCATATCTCGCAGTGATGCTTCAATAGCCGCTTTGAGATCTGCATCTTCCTCTTCTACATTGGTGGGCCCGGGAGTGGCCGTCACTGGCTCGGGAACGTTGCCGGTCTGGGGTACGAATCCAGATGGACCTCGGCCTTCCGCCTCCTCCAAACTCATTTGCAGTGCACGACGAAGGTCATCATCAAAGCTGGTGTCCGCCTTAGCGCCACGGGGCTCCATGGAAGCAGACTTGGTTATGGAGTTGTTCTTGAACGCAGATCGATCTGATAAGCCTGCCGCCGGAGTGAAAGCTTTGGAGGTCAGTTTTGTGTAGCAACCGTCATCGACACGAACAGGTTGGAGTATTCCGAGATGCGGCAAGGGAAGTGTCTTGCTGGAGCATTGCGCATCGAAAACATTGCCACAATTGCGACAGTGGTGCTTGCGGTTCATAAAGCTGAAGGCGGTTCGACACCGCATACAAACGTCCGAGTCTATCCACTCTGGTGGCTGTTCATGAAAATTTTAGCTTCCATATTTCTCAACAGAATAGTAATGTATAGACTCACGGCATTACTTTCTAACATTGTACCGCTCATTTCTGTTTTCGGGGGGAATTGGAATCCCTCGGTCTGCAGTTTGCGATATGTCTCCCCAAGGTACATCAGATCCATGCGGCCCTGCGCTGCCATAGCCCAGTTTTGAATCAACTCCAGAATTTTCTGTTCAACGTCGTGGTTTAGAGGTGCCCCTTCCGCTTTGAGCAGGGACACTAGATTATCCATAAATTCACGGGAGGCGATTTCGGCGAGGAAGTGAGTCCCTCCGTTCTTGACACATGTATCGGTCAACTAAGGCGAAGCAAATTGATGGTTAGCCAAGTTTGATACAATCGTTTGTATATGAGCATAAATGTTTACCTTCAATGTTGCTAGTTGAATGTTTGGGTTCCGATTCTCCAGGCGGCGCTTTAAAGACCTCATCGCATCTTTGGGTTGGACACTTTTCGATCGGACCATGTCAGAGATCTCTAGGTTCAGAGAGATATCTTCCCTAATTATGAATCAGCAACAAAGCTTTCCAAGACCATATATATTCCAAGTAGAGTAGGTGATTCAAGCAATGTTAGGCAGAAGTTCGGGGGATGGCCACATACAGTGACGAACCGGTCGCCCGCTCGATCTGCTCATCAAGCGGGGACGAAGAAGAGAACCAGCCAGCCATGATTGAAGACTGATCAGATATAACACGAAATCTGTCTGCAATCTATGTAAAAGGGTGGAAGGGTTGGAGAATGCAGGATAAGACGAAGCTCCCAGGTCCCAGGCAGCCCGCCATTTGACTAAGCTTCTCCTGGCGTCATAGGCGGGGGCGGTGAATCGTATTGTCACCCCAGACCCGCTCTGCGTTCCTGAGATGGAACTGGACTTCTACCTAATTATCTGGCCTTTCTATTACTGTCTTTTTCTTTGTGATCCTTAAAATCTCCCGAATCCCTCGAGATTGTTGTTGCCTAGCCAATCATTTGATCCTGAACAATGCGCTAAATCTCTCACTTCATCGCTGCCTCGACCATGCCCCCCAATGCAGCGGCGCTACCATCTCCACCAGATATACCACCGTGGAAGGACAGGCGTCCTTACTCGGTGGGGGGTAACATGTATTCCAACAGCCCAGTCGCCGGACTGAACTCTTATCAAAACGATTCTATACCGAGACGACCCCGATACCCTAACATAAAAGACCTTCAAGACCAGGCCATTTTATCGGACGTAAATGAGAATACCTCGGTCAGTATTGTATTCCCCCAAGGTTGTCGCGGAGCGGACTGCTCATGTAGACACAGCTCGATAATCTCCTTCAGACTGCCTCTGAGGCTATCGAGCGAGCCAAACGCCTTGCAGACGATGAGAAGTCGGACAAGGCCTATGTACAATTCCTCCGAGCTTCGGAGATCACCATCAACGTCATCCCCCACCACCCGGACTACAAGGCGACGATCACCCAGAGACCTGGGTGGTACAAGGAGTTTGCAGCTTTGATTATGGTATGTGTTCATGGTTTTAATGCGAAAGCCGCCCCTAATCCATTCGGACCAAAAAATATTATTGTCGAAGTCATGGTCGGGTAAATCAAGCTTACCGAATACTCGATGTTAGGCCGTGCGAATGAAACAAGGAACTATGGACTCTATCAAGCAGGCTATCATCGAAGACAATCTCCAAAGTAACATACAGCCAATGGGTACATATGCGCCAGCGTCTCCTGAACATGACTCTCTTGCGCCCCGAGGTCGTGAGAATCGCGAGTCGCCAACCGCCGCGGCCATGAGGATGCCGAGTCCAACGCAGTTTCAGCGAGTACCAGATCTAAACGCGAACCCCAAGCGATACTCTAGTCCGGCCGATGACATATTGGCGCAACGTTTTGCAAAGCTCAAGTTTTCTCCACCGCGTGATACCAATCCGACCACCCGGCCTTATTCCACGAGCCCTGCAGGACAGGCTTCCACATATACATCTAACACGGCACAAACCAATAACGGAACTTCTTACACTTCACCCCCTAGGCGCCCATTGGGGCCTCGTACTATGGGATCAGCATCCTCGGTTCCCACTCTCCCTCCCAAGCTACCTTTAACGACATCTCTTCCCCGTGCTCCCGATCCGGCGTACAGTCCAATATACACAGTGCCCACGCAAACTCCACCGAATCCCCCAAGAACATCCGCCGAGAGTGCGCGACCTATCACTCAAAGGTATTCTCACTTCACAAATTCGCCCCGCGGCAGCCCGAGTCGTGGCCCCAATGACAACCCTTACCGGTCACTTACCCCGAATGGTGGCATTTCTGCGCGAGAGACCCGGAGTAGCTCGCCTGAACTACCTTACGAATCTGCGATCTCAGCCCAGAACCTTCTTGACTATTTGCGACGATTTAACATACTTCTGGTGGATGTTCGTTCTCGGGACCAGTATGACATTGGCCACATCTATGCAAAGTCGATCATCTGTATCGAACCGGTGGCTTTGAAAGAGAATGTGTCCGCAGAGGAACTTGAAGAGCGGCTTGTCGTGTCTCCTGAACATGAGCAAGCTCTATTTGAGCGGCGAAACGAGTTCGACCTTATTGTTTATTATGACCAAAGTACATCGTCGGTCAGCTATCTCGCGGGCTCGCCTGTAGGGACATCAGCGCCTCATTTGAGAGCACTCCATGATACTCTTTATGAATTCAATGAGTATAAACCGCTGAAGGGAGGACGTCCGCCTGCACTACTCCTTGGTGGATTGGATGCATGGGTTGATTTAATTGGACAACAGTCTCTCGCAACATCATCTACTGCAGCTGTTATGAGCTCTCTCCAGACCAGGAAGCCTGTGCCCAAACCGGGCCGCCCATTAGGCCGGGTGCCTACCATAGCCAGTGCTAATTCGAGTTTGGAGGTGCGCAAGCGGCGACTTCGAGGGTTCACTCCTCTCAATTCCGAGGAACTGAAGGCGTGGTTAGAAAAGTCCAAGAATGAAGAGATTGATACTAGCACATATCTGGAGGGTGAGGAATTTACTGAGGAACCCCAAGAGGACCTGGAGCAACCCACGTCCCCCTTTGTTCATAATTATGAAGACTTCCTCCGCCGCTTCCCTGAGCCGCACCATGTTCAGCAATCCATGATACATGCAGAGTCGCGACCGGTCATCTCGCCTGTTCCCAACTATGCAGCCGCTGCGCCCATTCCTGTCGCTCCATTACGGCCCCCTCCAGCTGTCCCTCGACCTATTTACAGCGGCGTCTCGGATGGACGGCACATCCAACCCCATCTAGAACGGCAAAACTCCGCCACTAGGACGGCATTATACATGTCCAGCTCGATCAATCGACTAAAGCTTCCGCGAACTGGGTTGACTAATTTCGGCGTCACCTGTTACATGAATTCCACCCTCCAGTGTCTCAGTGCCACGGTAATGATGAGCAAGTTCTTCATTGACGATCGGTTCCGTTACTATGTACAAAAGAATTGGAAAGGGTCTCAAGGGGTGATGCCTGGGCTCTTTGCCAATCTCATCCGATCTCTGTGGAAGAATGATGTAGAGGTGATCATGCCATCCTCATTCCGGAACTTCTGCGGTCGATTGAACCGAGAATGGGCGATTGATCGACAGCAAGATGCAAAGGAGTTCTTTGACTTTCTGGTGGATTGCCTCCATGAAGACTTGAATATCAACTGGCAGCGCAATCCACTCCGACCACTGACCTTTTCTGAGGAAATGCAGCGGGAGCGGATGCCTGTCCCTAAAGTATCCAAGATTGAGTGGGATCGCTATTGTCATCGGGAAGAGTCATTCATTTCGTCACTTTTTGCTGGACAACATGCCAGTCGTCTTCGTTGCACGACTTGTCACCAGACCTCCACCACCTACGAAGCTTTCTACAGCATCAGTGTGGAGATCCCTCCAACTGGGACCGGTGATATTTATCAATGTCTTCGGAGTTACTGTAAGGAAGAAATGCTTAGTGGAGATGAAGTTTGGAAGTGCCCGCATTGCAAATGTAAGCGCATGGCTACCAAACAGATCATCATGACCCGGGCGCCACAAATCTTAGTGGTACACTTCAAGCGCTTCTCTGCATCGAAGACCCAAAGTGCGCGGAAGATCCACACCCCAATCGAATTTCCTCTTCACGGTTTACGGATGGACGACTTTGTGATCTCTTATCCGAATCCCTCTCAGACACCGGATGTTTCGGCGGTGCCGAACACCGGTGCTACTGTGCCGCCATTTACTTATGACGCCTTTGCTGTGCTTCGGCATATTGGTTCCTCCATGGGTAGTGGACATTACATTTCACTTGTTCGTGATGCTGAACGACAATGCTGGCGACGATTTGACGATGAGCGAGCGAGTGATTTCAACCCCCGTGACCTTCGAGGTCGTGATCGGTTACAGAATGAGCAGGCCTACATTGTGTTTTACGAGCGAGTTCCAGCGAAATGAGCGTTCTTTTTCTTTCTGCTTTTTCATACTTTTTTCTAGCCCTTTTTTCTGTTCTGGTTCATTTTCATGAATTGGGACATGGTCTTTTGCATTTCACGACTAACCATGATTATGTATAGAGGCGTGTATGAGTTCATGGGTATTATGTTCAAATTTTCATAAGGCCTAGTGTGGTATACCCAGGGCATCGAATGAGATTCCAATTGTACACTGAATATAGCTCAGTATATTCATGGATGTCTAGATAATACCTACTAATAGTACTAGGTAGTACCTATGTTAGTAGTAGTATGGAACTCTTCCGTAGCGGAAAGCCGGGGCCGCACTTCACAAGTGGAACAACCGAGGATAACGGTTATGCTGATTATGCAGGCAGTTAGACACGGATACTAGGTAGTAATGCCCAAACTTGAACATGAACATTCAAACATTTGAATGTTTGTACTTTAAGTTGGGATTGTAATCTTGGAATATACCTTGTTCAATAGTATAGTTTCATATTAATAAATCTCTTGCATTGCATAATTGACTCATGATTCTCGCATTATTAAAATAACAAATAATAACAAATAATAATACATAGTAAACTGGCCAGATCATCTCACACCGAGGCTCTAATAAGCAACCGCTGATTCGCCCATTACCTATCGGATCATCTACAATCCAAAGACGCAGTGAGGTATCATATGATATGATGTACACTTAGGAGTATACACGCTCACTAAGATTCTTGTGAAACTAACTACAATTTCCATATTCCACTTAACTATGGAACCTTGGAACCGGACCCCCTCTTTTATCGTGGCAAGTCGGGATTTCTCAACGGCATCGTCCCTGTACATCAAAGGCCCACACCGTGGAGAGACCGCCCTAGCGCCCGTACTCCATCTCCCCGATCTTCTCCTCTTTCCTCCTTGTATCTTCTGGTTTGAACTTGCACATACTTTCTTCCTCATCTTTCTAATCCTCTGTGAGTGTTCTCCCTTAACCTTTTTCTCTCGTGGCGAATTCCCTGTTCCTATCACTTTGTTTGGTTCCCCGAACGGAGATCGGAAACGAGAGAAAAATAAATCAAAAAATAAAAAAAATTACGAATCCTCGCCTCTCCCCTTGCATCCCACTCTCACCACTTCGATTCTGGAAGATACAGCTAGACTGACCTCGTCTAATTATCCTCTTCTAGCCATACTCTATTCATCATGTCTGCCTCCAAGGAATTCACCCTCAAGGAGATTGAGGAGCACAACACCAAGAAGGATCTTTACATGGTCATTCACGATAAGGTCTACGACTGCTCCAGCTTCGTCGATGAGCACCCGTACGTGTCCTATTACCCTATACCTCCAGTCCCTTCATAAATCTTCACGCTATTTTCCCTATCTACGTCGGGTTGCGAGAATGACTCCCGTACCCCTATCGCACCTTGTCGGCCCACCCGAATTCCCCACCTTCTCTGCGCGATCCATACAAACATAAAAAAAAATAAATCAAACGCTAATACAAAATCTATAGTGGCGGTGAGGAGGTTCTTCTGGATGTCGGTGGCCAAGATGGTACCGAGGCTTTCGAGGATGTAGGCCACTCCGATGAGGCCCGTGAGATCCTCGAGGGTCTGCTCGTTGGTACCGTTAAGCGCATGGTACGTTCTCGCAAATTTCCAGTTTCCGCGAAATTTTTGTTACTCTTATCTCCTATTTGCTCATACTAACTCATTGCTTTTAGCCCGGTGACCCCCAACCCAAGGCCCAAGCTGCTGCCTCCTCCTCTTCTTCCTCTTCCTCCGGCAGTGCTGGCTTCGGTGTCGGTCTCTACGGTATCATCCTGATTGGTGGTGCTATTGCCTACGGTGTCTACAACTATCTTGAGGCCCAGAAGCAGCAACAGTAAATGGGGAGAGGGGAAGGTTTCTTGATTTGAAGTGGGGAATTTCTAGAATCCAAGAGAGTTCAACCTTGGAAGATAATGTAGTTGGAGAAGGATTCGTGAGGGGTGATAGATGGATCCAGTTGGACTAAAAGAGAAATACTCGGATGCATATGCGTCTACGTGTGCATCTTGGAGCGCACGATATCATTGAGGGGTTTTGAGGGGTATTATGATTTATTTCGTTCAGATTTCCTTTTTTTTTCTTGTTTTCCACATTTGCAAGTTGCTATGATATGAATCTACGGGTTCTTTTGGAAGATTCCCGAATGTTGATCTCGGGGCTTTTTTCCTCTTTTCGGTGAGTGTTTCCCCTCATATCGTGGGGGGTAATATTCACCGATATCGTTATATTAATAGATTTGATATTGATTTACTCTTTACTATAAGAGGACAGTAATCCGGATATTCTTACTCAATTGAGTCAACTTTGATTTGATTCTTAGATATTTAAACACTGGCACTGATCCCATTTTGAAAAAGCTCTATACCCAAACTCCATACAATACATGATATCAAGACATATTAGTTAACCCATCCCTTAGGACCAGCCCAGTTACCCTTAACCATATGAGTGTAGTAAACCCATGGGAAGAAGTCCTTCTTCAAATGGTAGAAAGATCTCCGTGGCTCACCCTGGTCAATACCAAACCAGTTACCGAATGTCTCCTTAGGCTCAGGTCCATACTTGAACTCAGCCAACAAAACCTTGCCATACTCAGTCAACAACGGACAAGAAGTGTATCCATCGTAAGCCGCATCCAATGGCTTTCCTTCCATAGACTGCAACAAGTTTCGAACAACAACAGGAGCTTGAGATGTAACCGCGGCGGCAGTCTTAGAAGTAGGGAGACTGGACGCATCACCAGCAGACCAGACATTGGCAAACTTGCGGTGACGAGTAGTCGCATCATCGACATCAACGAAACCAGCCTCGTTCGCCAGAACAGAGTTCTTAATAAATGCAGGTGAACCCATCTTTGGCGCAACATGAAGAAGATCGAACTCCTTAGTAACGGGATCCGCACCATCGGGACGAGCGAAAACTGCCTTGTTACCCTCAACTGCGATAAGATCGTGCTGGAAAAGACCGTTCACACCACGCTCTTGCTGCATCTTAGTGAGAATGGCGTTGTACTTTGGTACACCGAACATCACTGGTAATCCGGTAGCGAAGTTAATGTTGATAGCGGAGTTACTGGGGTTACTTGGGTCGTAGAGACCGGCGCGCTTCCAGTAATCCAGCGCAAGCCACATAATCTTCTGTGGAGCACCGGCACACTTAATTGCGCCAGCGGGCTGGGTGAAGATGGCGGTACCCTTTTCGAGTTTCTTGATTGAAGGGAAAACCTTGCTAACGGTATCGTAGGTATAGATAGAGGAAACGGGGGCATCGGGGTTGGCAAGAGCTTCGGGGAGACCCTTGATTTTTGCGGGGGTAACGGCTAAACCTGGTGCGACGACGAGCTGGTCATATCCGATTTTGTCGCCGTTACCAAGTGTGACGAAGTTGTTCTCTGGTGCGAAGGTTGCGACGCTGTCGTTGTACAGCTTCAGCTTGGGGTCGAGTAAGCTCTTCAGTGGGCGTCGGAGCTCTTCCTTGGTCTTGAGTCCACCACCGACGAGGGTCCAGCCGGGCTGGTAGTGGTGCCATTCGGCGGGGTCGACAATCGCGATGTCATCTGCGCTGAATTGACCGCTGTGAAGGAGTTGGTGGCTGATAGAGACACCGGCGGACCCGCCGCCTACTACGACGACCTTGTGGTTGCGGGTGGCCGAGACCGGAGCGGCAGTTGCGAAGCCTCGCACGGCCTGCGTGCGGGAGACCGCGCGGGCAGCGGTTGAGATGTGGTGTTTGAACATATTAGGAGGGATTGAAGGGATAGAAGAGGATTAGAGGAAAAGGAGAGATTGAATTGCTCCTTTGTAAGGAAGAAATAGGATCGGAATGAACCTTGAAATGTCTCGGCCGATGTAAATGATGTGATCGGTAACTTTACGGTATATTACAACCCCGGTTTCGTCACTGCACCACCTATACATCCATTTATACTTCAACGAACTTTGAACTTGACATAGATCAACTTGAGAATAAAAAGGCTTAGAACATTGGGGAGCCTTCTTGTAAAATCAGCTACACTTTTTGTTATCTGATTGAAGCTCTCATATCTAGGAAGTATTTCAAGTTGCGAGTGTGTGAAATCGGCTCTTCTACCATGGTATAGTCCTCTGGGACTCCAGATGTCCGAAGTACGAAATTGCCCAGGTGTAGCCCTCGAGATTCAAGCATGAAATAGCGCAGATGAGGATCCCAAATTTTTCTTTCAAATGCAATCTTTGGGCTCTTCAAATCACCAATATCACTGGCAACGCAACTTTGTGCGATTTGGGCCAAAAGCCCATCGACAGAACTAAACGCCGAGGGAGAATAATCGAAGCGGTTGTGCGAATGTGCTCTGTCCAATCAGCACTACATAATTCAATGAGAATGACTACTCAGACACAGGGCGGCGATTGATAATTGAAAACTTGAACTTGAAGTCTCATATCTTGCAATCAACTTGAATCGACCTGAACGGCTGAAACCTGTAAAAGAAGTGCTTTCACATACGCCGCTGACACTATCGCGGCATAGCCTTGCCAATGTTCATTGATATGCGTGTCAGCATAGTCAGCAATACCTCGAATCCTTAAGCATGGGAAATCATCGCTGAGCCCGGCGGTCCCCATCTCCATGCAAAGTGCTATATTTTCAGAAAGTCGATCTCGCACCCTCGCATCTTTGACCACTCGATTGATGACAGCAATCGATTCAAGGTGTATCCATGGCTCATAACTATCTCGCGAAGGCCGTGAAACCAGCTTGGACCTATCGCAACTGAGACATGTATCGAATTCTCCATTATGCTGATATTCTGCCTCGTATAGCCAGTCACTTATTAGGCTTGGTCTTTGGGACAATTCAGCTGCTCGAGAAGCTGGCTCCATGATGAGAAATTTTGTGATGGGACTACCCTCAACTTGAATAAATTCTCGGGTTTGAATTGCAGAGATGGCAGCTGACACATCGATCGGTAAGCGCTGAAGCTGTGGCCTCTGAGGATGGTCGTTGAGTGATGATGTTTTACCCAGGCCATATTCTCTCGCACCATTATGACCATGACCAGGTTCGCTCACCACAATGTCTCCAAGTCTAACATCATGTTCTTTGCTTGGTACTCCTGAACCTATTCCAGCTATTATGCAAAACTGTATCGAATGAAATCTGAACTTCAGCCACGCAGGCAACGGTGACGGTGTTTCAGGGTCATAGTCGCCAATCGGTACAGACACAATCACAACACTATGCTCTCCGATAGTCCCAAGAATGCATTCATACTCATCTGTCGACTGGAGAGGTAAAATTTGGTGCACTTCATCCAACATAAACTTTGCCGCATCCAGCTATATAGGTAGAGCACATATCCATGCTATATGATAGTCGCCATGAGTCCGAGACGTCTGCAAATCTGTATCACCTGTCGTTCGCATCTCATGATTGATAAAGGATCCCTCACGCTGCAGGTGTTCATCCAGTCAGTCTCTAACACACCGAGGCAAAACAGTCAAGCATCGTCAACGCACCTCAACATGAGAATCTATATCATACATAAACGGTTCCTCTCCGAAGTTTGCAACAGTATGAATGGGAGCCTTCTTTGATCCTGCCATTGGATATAATTCCATGTGTTGTACCGTGAGATCCTGGAAGGCATTTCCTAATTGAAATCACTGGCAGTCATACGTACCAAGCCATCCATGGTTACTGGGGAGCTCAAATACTGAGAAAAACTCCATTTTTGGTGAAAAAGACGGACCTCGATTCAAATTGTGTTCCACAGCCTACTGTATCGCCCCTCCCGAACTGAGGACCGTAAGGTCGACCTTGACCCTGCATTTCACCTAAGAATGACTTGCCATCATCACTGTGGTATCCATAGGATTCCGCTTCCCACCCAGGGAGTCTTTCGACAGATGCCTTTGTACTTGCGAACCCGATTGCAAGCATTCTAAAATAGTTAATATATCAATTCACACCTGGGTATCATCTTTCTTGAATAATATGAGTCAAAATGACAAGATAAAAGACAGAATGACCCTCCACTGTCAACGGAAATTATTCGAACCTCGAAGTAGTAAATCGCACATTGTGGCGACATAGGTTTATCCGCACGAACAGCTGATGCCTCATGGTCATGTTTACTGATTAAACCGGTATACTTAACTTCCAATCCCTCGTCGGTCAGTTCTAATCCCTCCCCTTTATCGTCGTCATTCCATCGCGATGGGAGAGGTAAAAGATCTTGATCGTCAATTTGATCTATCCTATCTCGTGTCATTCCACGGTAGGCAGCATTCAAGCGGGACATATATGAAGACTCTCTTAGGTATGATGGGGTAGGAAAAGGAAGATGAAAGTTCTTTGTCTCTTCGGTACTGTCAAGATCGGCCTCCTGCTGGCTGAATGATTTTGAGCTCCTTTCCAGTGCCTCGATTGAGTCTTGTGCAGACTCAAGATCGAAATAGGCGTTATTTTCAAAATGAACGTTCAAATGATTCTCCGGTGATACCTCGAAGTTATCATACTCCGATAGCTGAAGTTTGCTCGTCTCTTCCGGTTTCAGGTCTGCCAACCATCGCGATATACCCTCATATTCGGCCAATTCCAGGTTATACGTGCGAACGCATCTGGACTTGTCTGAAGAACGTCCAGCCCAAGGAAGGGACCGTAGCGAGAAGTCATGCATACACTGTAAAACATGCTTGATAAATTCAGGATCCGATTCAGGTCCAGTGGAGTCGCAAAGGGGACAGTTGGGAACACCAATGGTGACGACGCTCAAATGAGACATAACGGCCATCATGAGACTTTCAGATGCCGCTTCGGCATGTTCGACTTGAACGTCCTCCAGTAAAGCTTCCATACTCAGGAATATAGTGCTGCTATCCTGGCAGAAAGGGCACAGTCGTCGAGGCGGATGCTTGTCTTTGACATGTTTCTCCCAATCACGTTCGGTAGCATATGTGGCGAATGGAGTTGAGCAGTCCTCAAGAAGACAAGTATAGGGATTGATGTCCTCGAAGATGTGCTTCCTAGCAAAATTCATTAGCTATGTAAGCCGACTAGGAAATAGTTGTGGGCATTGGATACTTCCACCGCGTCTCTTCTATTGCAATATCCACGGGTAATGTTTGGCAGCAGCAGGGGCACTTGAACATTCTCGCCTCTTCTTGCAATTTCGGAGGCTTGGGATACCGTGCTGCGGCCGTTAGAGTGGTGATTGTCGTCATCGCCACTTGTGACGATTGTCTTTTCGCAGTTTGAACATTTACTAGTAACTTGCTCTCTGTTATGGAAGCCGATGTCCCAGAAATAGTTGGTTCGATTCAGAATAACCGATTCAATTCCGAACATCCAATTCCGGAACCCGGAATGAAACACATAGTGTCTGGCAAGTTGAAACCTTGGACCCAACTTCGGGAACCTTAGATTATAATCGGCCGAGCTAAATTAGGCCTAGTTCAAAATTTGCGGTCTCTTTCCCAGGATATAGTTACTTTCAATGTTGTGGAACTTCACACATTGCAGCACCAGCCCAACTTGAACTAGACTACGAAGCTTTAGTCCTGACCAAGGCCCCTAACCCGCCTATTCCTGTTGTGCAGGAGCCCTGCCAACCTTGAAAGCCTATACCATTCCCTCTTTGCGCCATAGCCATCCCCTCAGCTCCCCCTGTTTTGTTCACCCTTAATTTCCCCAGCTCCATCAGTAGCGCCGTCTAGCATTATTACGGTGAATCAAGATTCAAGTCCCTGCCACTGCCCGCTACATAACACCTTCAACAATTTTCACCATGGCATCGACTAAGATTGACCATAATGAACAAGATTCGCTAGAGAAACTCCCAGAAACCAACCAGGATGACCTTGTTGTCTTGAAGAAGCGGAAAATTTCCCTCGATCGCGATATCGACCAGGCGAGGGCTTTGTGGAGACCATCTGGCTTATTTGACTCCGCATATTGGGAAAAGGCAGCAGAAATTGAGAATTTTGCAATCCAGCGAGCCTGCACAGAGAGGCAAATATCACACGAGAGTTTTTCCGGAAAGGAAGTTGACTGGGAAGCTACAGAGGAGGCAAAGGGTATTCTCGAGAGTCTGAATGCCCACAAGCAAGCCGAGAGATTTTGTTCCGGCCGGGCAGAGCGCCTGCAGGAGAAGAACCCCGAAAGAACGCTCAGGGCTTCGTTTATGCGGCTGTTTACTACGTCTAGAATGGGCATCAATATCAACTGGACCGGATCTGGAGAGAGGAAAAGGAGCGACCAGATTGAATGGCGAAATGCGATGATCAAAGCTTATAATGCAAAACATTCTATTCAAACCAGCTTTGGTGTCCGATTGTACATGCATATAGATCAAGAGATGTTGTGGTTGCTGCTCATCTATTTGGCTATATGCACGGAGAAGCCACTATGAATGCGATCTTTGGCCAGGATTCGCATATTTTTGACCCTAGAAATGGCCTGTTGGTCAGTAAGGAGTTTGAGCGATTCTTTGATGCCGGCAAGTTGGCTATTGTGCCCGATATTGCTGAAAATAATGGGGCTACAGAAATGATAAGTTGGCTGTTTGGATCCAAGCCAAGGGGATTCAAAATCAAAATTCTAGACTGGACTTTGGGATCAACTGGAGCTCGAGATTAGTGATAATTCGAAACTACGCTTCAAAGACCTGCATAACAGACCATTGGCATTCCAGTCTGAGTTCCGACCTTGCACTCGCTACCTTTACTTTCATTACTGCATCCAGGTGCTTAGGCATACATGGCAGCTTTCCGGATCTGGAGAGGCCAATAACAAAGAGGTAGCAGCGCTTGCACTGAGAAATGAGAGCGGAAAGTTTTGCTGGGCAACCCCAGGTCCGTATATCCCCAAAAATATGCTACTTGCTTTGGTAGAAGAGCTAGGACACAACTATGAAGACATTTTGGCCAGAGCATCATCCAGTACATCAGCAGATGATGATATTTTGTTGGGTGTCGCGGCCAATCAGATAAAATCGAGGCGGTTCCGTCTGTCTGATACCATGTTTGATGTTCCTGGATCTAGTGATGACAATCCTGAAGACAGTCATGCGGATTATGAGAACGATGATGAATTTTGTACGCCAAATTACTATTAAGACGAGTACTTGGGTTGCTTTTCGCTACTTTGTATTTTGACCTGTCTCTTTTATTCTCTTTTTTTCATTGACATCGCCTGCGGGCTATTATCAATCTTCAGAGCTTTCCAAGTAAATCTATCAGCATAGGTATTACGGGTGAGTAGTCTCTTCCCGGATTTTCCTGAACAGGGTTAAATAGCCACTGGAGAGCGGCAATATTAGGGGTACCCCCGCCCAGTGTGTGTTTAGTCAGTCAGCAGCTGGCCCTTACGAAGAAGTTTCTTTTAGGCTTGCGAAGTCAGTCTCGTTGCTCCCAGTGTCCGGGTGGTACGAGGAACAGAGGCAGGTCGCGGTGGCATCCAACCAGATTACTTCTCAAGCAGGGCCTCGAGCAGAGTGAAAGTATCATGTCTTTTGATGTTATTGTTTCATCTGACCCGATCGACGTGTAGCAGGATATTGGATTAAGAATACCCCTGTAATGCCTTCCCCCAGCTAGCCTCTGAAGAAAAGATACCTGCTGATTTGATTTCAGGGTGACAAAACGAGCCCTACGATTCGCCGATGAAAATTCTTCTCCGTCACTTAAGCAGCATAAGCCCGAGACAGCGGATTTCTGTCTTCTTCTGATTAATACGACTTCTGCTCGTATCTGCTTTGACTTGGAAGATGGGCATTTTGTACGGTTGCAAGACGGCTTTGCTCTTCAGCAGCGACCCTTTCCAGGAATCGGCATGCCGCTTTCTGCTGTTTTGCAGCAACATGCTCTTGAAGTGAAAGATAAGGTTTCTCTGGCCTATGTATTAGCTTCATCATTCTGGTAGTTCTACGACACACACATATTACAACACGAGTGGACAAGCGATTCTATCTCTTTTATGCCGGAAGAAGTCGGCCAGAGACAGCGGCTTCCGAACAAGGCATATGTCTCGATTCATTTTGAAGCCGAGAGGGAACAGACTGCTGAGTACTTAGATATGGACTTTCTTGTGCACCGGTTTCCACAAATCCTCTCTTTTGCATAATATTATTGGAGATCGGCCTCGGCAGGTCGCTTCAGCTGCAACAGTTTGATAGCCCTGTCACTCGATTCAACTCACATTTCGAAGTCGCAAGTCAAGCTCTGGTCGAGCTCCGCGAAATGACCTCGCCTAACTTTGCCAACAAGGATACATATACAACAGCTTTCGAGAATTGTCTACAGAGTGGGCATTATAGAAACCAGCAGGCAGTGGGCGCTCCAACTAATACTACAACCTTTAGCCGGTTGGATTCCCATTCTCGAATGTCTGTAGAGATTGACCAGTGTCGGAAGGTATTCTACCAAAAGGTAGTGTGGTCTCTCGAGCGTTTGGCAGAAACCGGATTCCAGAGCAGTTCCAACAAGGTTAACTTCCTTTCTGAGAGAACAACACCAGTTCCTCCGGCCTTATCATCTCCGTCACCAAACAACTAGACGTCGAGATCCACCCCTTCATTCCATGCAGGCACTAGGATAGATCCGCACTGTTGGCTCGATCACTTGAAGCAAATCAACCAAAAAATCCACAGTACCCTCCGCAAGCGGCCCGTTGGCAGCAAAGGTGTTCGCGTTGCAATATTGGATACAGGTTACGATCCATCAGCTCCAATTCTCCAGGACCGAGCACGGTCGAGTCGAGTAAAAGAGTGGAAGGATTTTGTATCGGCGTCAGAGACACCTATTGACACTTTTGGACATGGCACATTTATGGCGACATTGGTGATAGAGTCAGCGCCCGTTGCTGAATTATGTATCGCCAGGGTCGCAGAAAGCACTGAGAAGTTCATACATAGCTCATCAAATATTGCAAATGTATGGTTTCCCCTTCCTTAAATTCTTTGAACCTGAGATGTTTGGCTATCATTTTGTATCGATGCTGATAAATATATGTGCATGCTATCCGATGGGCTGCTATCGAGCAAAAGGCAGACGTCATCTCAATGTCGTTTGGATTTCCAGAGACAATCGAGGAGATCGCCAAAGCCATCTTTCTTGCCAATGCTGGTAACTTCGGGCCGTACCAAGATGACGCCTTTCCCGCGAGTCATTCGGCTGTAATTGGATTCCGTGCGACTACATCGTTGGGGACTTTTCTAGACACCAATCCGATGAATGGAAATGATGATTCGCCTGTATTTGGGACATATGTAGACGATATCCCTCGACGACTTCGCGAGTATAAACCCCAAATCTGCCAATCTGGTAGTTCAGCAGCTACAGCAATAGTGGGAGGGATGACAGCTATGATACTCGCCTACGTCACAATTCTCCCAACACTAATGCCATTGGAGGACAAAGCAGGATTGCTCTTGAGAGCATGGACGGCAGAAGGGATGCAAAAAATCTTCAATCGAATGTCAGGCGACATGGGTAATCGGAAACGATTCTTGAACCCGGTCAAGTTCTTTTTAGACAAGCCGACAGAGTTAGCCAAATATTGTGCTATTTTTGATAGCCTACAGGGAAAATAATTTAATATAAACAAACATGATATGAATTAGCCATCGATCAATCTGTACCTGAATCTCCTCCTGGCATAATTCATCCATACTCAGAAATATGGATATTTCCATTGTTATAATGAAATCAAGTGTCATCAGCTGCATATCCTATACAGATTGATTCATCAACGAAAACATGAAGTTTAGGCATCCAACAGACACGCACACATCGGTCTCCCCAACTTTGTGCTCAATAAACTGCAAAGGGTCCTCATCCTCATCCTGGACATCCTGCAATACTGAAAGATCCACTTCAGCAACCTCCACTTCCATACTTTGTTCAGTTCCTCCTGTCATGAATGCCGTTCTATGCGAGAAGAGTGCCGATTCCAAATTTCCACTCTGCCTTTGTCGAATAATATTCAACCGATAGGCAAAAACGATCCTCGGAGCTGTTTCATATGAGTCCGTCTTGTCTTGCCTTCTCTCACCATGTATCCCAGCTCCAACCACAACTGGCACTCCGCCAGCTGGTACCGGGACCGAGCCTTCGATTCCCCCGCCTCGAGATTTACTCTGGCCCATGGTCACACTCATCCCCATCTTCGTGATCCTCAGTCCTGATACAATATACACAGGTCGCTTGACCCAGAGGCCTGAATCCATGTACTTTCGCACGGCGGGCTGTGCCACAATATTCGCCAGTGTATCCATCGTGAAAGGCCGTGAAAATGATTGCACCTCGTGGTCCACGACCCCATACTGGACTTCCTTCATCCACTTGGTATCTAGTTTCAGGGATGCTGACGCCATCTGAACAAAGTTCCCCCAGATCTCGCCGCCTATGGTGTTACTTCGGCTGTCCACATGACTATGGTTGTTCTCTACCAGGGCTTGGACCGGTGGTAGGCAGATCGGGGGTGTTGCTATGGACAGCTCCTCGGGCTGCAGGAGAACTCGAGTGGGGTGATGAGGGTGGGGTATCACCGTTCCTAGTTGGATGAGACCGTTCTCAAGGAACGTAAAATCGGGAGGGAGAAACCACGTCTTCGGAGACATACTATTTTGGGAGATTACAAGTTCTGATAATCGTTATGGATATATGTATAGGTATGTGACTGTCTATGCAGGACTCGCAGTGCGCACATGAGGGGAACCTTGCCCAGGTGATGGAATTTATTACGGCATATACGCTTAGAAAACGATAGGATGAGAAGGCCGATACGATTTAGATGAGAACTTCAAGTTGCATTTCAGATTAGTATTTACGAGACCAATCCTAGACAAATAACTTGAGGTCTCCGATTCAAATGGTATTATCGAATACAACTAGCACTTCACCAAAGTAAATACTCTCGGAGACATTTCTCAATCGGCGACCAGGTGGCGATCGGCGACCATCAAGCCCGAGCCGCATTCTACGCCCGGGCGGTTTCTACCTATTTTAAAGACCACTCAATTTCCAAACCCCTTGGCTTTTTGTACATTTGACAAAAGTGATTTCCATTTTTAGACCAGAAATGGCCGCTCTTCGATCGCCAGCCACTTGGGATGCCCTATCAACAGGTGCCCGGCGTGGGTTATCATCAACCATTATCCCTTCCGTCAGCCATCGGGTTCGAGTTCCGGATCTCAATCCCTCGAGTCAGCAGAGGAGAAGGGTTTCCAATTCATCTAGAGAGTATAACCAAAAACACCATCTCTATTCGCCTGGATTACCTCACAGAATTATCTCCCATCGACAAATACCAACGCAACGGAGCTTCTTGAACAACCAAGCGTTCTTCAGCACGAAAATTGCCACTGCTCCTACTGTCCACAATGTATTTGAACCTGTTACTGGCACATGGCAGTACATTGTGTCAGATGAATCATCCCGTGTTGCAGTCATCATAGATCCAGTCCTGGACTATGATCCTACCACCCAAAGCATCACCACTCACTCCGCCGACTTCTTACTTTCTTTAATCAAAGAAAAGGGCTACAAAGTGGAAAGAATTCTCGAAACCCATGCACACGCAGATCACTTGACAGCAGCATCTTATCTTCAAAAGCAGCTCATGCAGCTTCAAGGCTTTCAGCCATCTATCGGTATTGGCAAACGTATTGAGAAGGTACAAAAGTTATTCGGACAACGCTACGGACTTCCTAGTGAAGAATATGAAACTGTCTTCGATAAGCTTTTCGAAGACGATGAGGTATTCAATATTGGTTCTTTAAGTGCTAAGGCTATTCATCTTCCTGGCCATACACCAGATCACCTGGGATATCAAATTGGAGGTATGTTCATGCATCTATCCAGTTGCACCGATCCATGACTAATGATACTACAGATAATGTCTTCTGTGGTGACTCACTCTTCCATACCGATATCGGTACAGCACGCTGTGATTTCCCAGGTGGTGATGCAAGAGATCTATATAGATCAAGTCGCAAGCTCCTAGCTCTGGGAGAACATGTCAAGATATGGCCGGGTCACGATTACCCGCCAGATGGACGAGACTCGCCTATAGCATGGACGAGTGTGGCGGATCACAAGAAACAGAATAAACATGTTGCAGAGAATGTATCAGAGAAGGAGTTTGTGGCGATGCGGACGGAACGAGATGCGAAGTTGAATGCACCCAGGCTGCTTCATCCGTCTTTACAGGTTAATATTCGGGCTGGGCGGCTTCCCCAGCCGCTGGACTCAGGGCATAGGATGCTTCATCTTCCATTGAAATTGAATGGGTTGGAGTGGTGAATATTAGGAATACTAGTATTGGATTTCTTCCATGAATGTACCATGCACTCCTCTTGGTATGTCTACTAGTACCAGCTCCATACAAAAAGTCCTTCAAATATTAGTTAAGTGACAATATTGATCCTTATCTTAATTATTTCTTTAGTTTCATCAGTTCTATTTTCTGAAATATTGACTGTAAAGGGTCGATATATGTAGGTGCTGGTAATACCCATACAATTAAAATGATGCAATCGTCTCTCGCCCGAGTGAAACGTTTTCTCGCCCGAGCTTAGGCTTCTCGTCCGAAATGGACATTATAGGTACGAGATGGTCGGCGAATGTCTTCAAGACAAGAATTTTCCTACATGAGAAGTAAATTGAGAAACGATCAAAAATTTTAGGTTGTAGAATAATTATTTTGGTATGAAAATGGCATCAACTTCGCTGCCCAGGGAATGAATCCGACCTTCGGGAATGACGCAGACTTGCAGGTCCGCTCCAGGGCTGTGACCACTGACCAGTTGGGAATGGGTTCATCAGACCTTTCTCATACATATCATCGGATTCATCGCTACTAACAAAAACACCAAGATACTATGAGAAGAAATTACATGACAAGACATGGAAACGCATGGAAACGGAATAGAACCTTGAATATCTGTTAACTCAACGCTATGCAAGGCCCAACCTCAGTTCCAACCCCAACCTTCATTATGCAGTGCAACTGCAGCGAGGGCAACGTGGGCTGAGCCTGAAACACTGTCAGATCTTCGAAGGTTGGAGATATTATAACTAAAGTCTCTGGCAAAGGCCCGCTTACCAATATTGCACATGCCAATCATGATTCATGGAATGAGGATCAGAAACATGCTTCAAATTTTCGATCTCCGAGGTTTTCCAGTGTTGAATGCTGTTCAGATCATGAATACTCCGAATCAACTCCATCCAGGTCGGAATCTAATTCGAAATTATCTGTACTTCGAGAGGTGTCCAAAAGAGGGTCATGCTCACGAAACTTGTGTGCATGAGTCCAATGCCTTATTTTTCTCAAGAACTGGGACAGGAAATCCTTGATCAGACGTCGGGATATTGTAGCTGGTGTATGCCGGTTTAAGCAGACAAGGCTTTCGGCACTAGCAGGAGTGGCGGAATGCTCCAAGCCTAGAGCTTCAGGTTCTTGTAGTAGCCGCTGATGCACGACCTGGGCCTCTTCTTATTTTCCCTGGTCTTCAAGCAGTCCAGTGAGAAGTCTAGCAATATCGAGTGTGGCAGGATGCGTTGGCCCTGGATCTTTCATCAAGCCTTCTAGTGCCTGTCGGTATATAGCCTCAGCCTCTGTTAGCTTGCCTTGTTTCTCAACCACCAAGCCAAGGATACCGAGACTAGCGAGTGTGCCAGGATTCTCTGGCCCTAGAGCTTTCTTGCAGCCTTCGGGATGTTTTTCGGTGCATAGCCTCAGTCTCTGCATACTTGCCCTGGCTCTCAAGTACTTTACAAAGATTATTGGTAGTAATAAGAGTATAGCGATGCTCTGACCCTAGGGCTGTCTCATAGCCTTTTAATGCCTGTCGGTACATAGCCTCGGCCTCCATATACTTGTCCTGTTCCACAAGCACTAAGCCAAGATGATTCATACTAGACCAGTTCAAGGGATGTTCTGGCCCCATAGCCACTCCATCGTATTCTAGCACTTTCCGGTCCATGATCTCAGCTTCTTTATAATTACCCTGCTTTTCAAGCACAGAACCAATATAACTGATAATCTTCATCGTGTCAGGATGCTTTGGCCCTAGAGTCTTTGTAAACCCCTCTAGTGTTTTTCGGTACATAGCCTCAGCCTCAACATACTTGCTCTGTTTCTCAAGCACTCCGCCAAGACATGCAAGGCTAGAGAGTGTGTCTGTATGCTCTACCCCTAGAGCTTTTGTATAACCTGCTAGTATTTTTCGGCACATAAGCTCAGCCTCTGTGCACTTTCCCTGGCCCTCAAGCACTAAGCTAAGGTGATTCATGCTAGAGAGTGTCTTAAGGTCTTCTGGCCCTAAAGCCTCAATATGTCCTTTCAACGCCTGTCGGTGCAAGGCCTCAGCCTGTGAAAACTTGCCCTGTCGCCCAAGGACTAAGCCAAGATGATTCATACTAGAGAGTGTCTTAAGGTTCTTTGGCCCTAGAACTTTCTCTCTGCCCTTTAGTGCTTGTCGCTGCATATTCTCAGCCTCTGCATTCATCAAATACAGGGCGTGAGACAGGTAGTCTCTCCACAATCCCGCATTGCTGTAGTCCGGATTAAAGAAGATTTCATCTAACTGCTGTACAGTCCGGTGCACCCAGTGCTCAATAACCTTTGTTTTTCTCATCCAATTCCGCATAGCCAGATGCACAAGTTGATGAAGGTTGAAAAGGCCATTATAGGGATGCTCAATAATGAAAGAATATGCCTTTAAAATGTCCAATGCATCCGATCTCTTCTTCGCTGAAGGTGCAGGTGGAAGAATTGCCTGGGGTATGTCTCTTGGGTTGATGCAAGCTATGAACGATAGATAGTCTGCTGCCAGTCCATCAAGTTGCTGGATTTGCTAGAAAGAGATCAACCAAGTGGTAATCACTGGATTCTGAATTTCGGCGTATCGAGCATCATCCTCAAATTCCTCACTTAAAAGCTCGGCCGCGCTTGACGCTTCTTGTTTCAATAATGACAGATACTTAGATAATGAGATGTCCTTTTCATTGATGTATACCGCGGCTTGAGTGATTGCAAGGGGAAGAAAGCCAAGCTGTTCAAGGAGATTATTGGCTGTGGTTGTTGTCATGCAACAGGTCTTTCTGGATGACTGATTTTTGGAATATATTAATGGCAGTGCTTTGATCCACATCGGGAACAGATAGGACATTAGGCGCCGCCAACTTGACTGCTAGCCTCCGATTACGAGAAGTGAAGAGAATATGACCATTCCCACTACGAGGCAGAATATTCTTGAGTGGTGGCGTAGTGGCGCTTCCATCAATCCACATTCCCGAGTCATCTGCGTTGTCAAAAATGAGAAGCCACTTTGCAACGCTCCCTTGACTAAGGTAGGCCTTCACTTGTTCCTTTACTTTGGCTGGCTCTGTTGTCGATATGCCAAGGGCTGCGGCGATATTCAGGTAAGTCTGTTCCACGCTCTCGTAGCTGACGCATGGGATCCAGAATACAGAGCATCCAGTACTCGACTCTCGTATGCGATAAGCAAGCTCTAGTGCGATCTGTGTCTTCCCAATCCCTCCAAGCCCATGTATAGCAATCTTGGTCGGACCGGATGTGTGAGAAATCAAGTGTTCAAGCCGGTCAATCTCTTGTTGACGACCAGCAAATCGAGAATTTTGAGCAAATGGGACCATCCAGTGATGGGCTTCTTTCAAGTTTCGGTGAACATTCGGGCCATAGTCATATCGAGGCACCACCTCTAGAAGAGTCTTGGTATATGCAGCGGCAGTAAGAGCAGCGTATGCCTGCCATTGCTTATGCTTGTGCGAGTCACAGTAGTCGCAAACTCCTCGAATCACCAGGCATGGCAACTGATCCATCAACCCAGCTGCTTCCATTTCAAAGCAGAGAATCTTTAGCTCCTGGGCAATAATGTCTCGTGTCTTGGCATTTTTCATGACTTGATTCCCAGACGCAATCAAGCCATAATGAATAGTGGTCATGTTAGAATCCCGTTTTTCGCGAGTAACAAGTTGACTTTAATCACACTCTGAGCATTCGACATTCTTGAATTGATGCTCGTAGTTCGCCCGGAATAGCCAGTCCTCGTCGGGCCGTGAAAAACGCTTAAGGAGATTAGAATGTCTTTGAAGTGCCTCTGAAGCGCTCTGATCCATCGATTTATTTTCGCCCACGGGCTACTGCGCATTTGAGATACTGCAGTCAGCAAATATTGCGGTGGTTTGTTGAGGGACCCAGTGCGCTCAAAGCGCCCGTCACGCATTGTCTTTCCATAGTCATACTGGACCACGCCTCCAGAGGTTGCAGTTGGCATGCTGACGACCACATCGCCGAGACGGATATCGACATCCTTGCTCGGTACACCACCCCCGATACCCACCATCAACCCAAATCGAAGAGATGGAAAAGTTTCGAGCATATGAGCAAGTACGAGCGCTGCAGTGGTGGTTCCATAAACACCGGATGGGAGGCAGGCTACCACAACATTGTGTCCACTGATGCTGCCGAGTGTGTAGGCGTTGTGATCGGAATTTGGCTGAGAGAGACGAGGGTGGACTTCATCCAGCATCATCTTGGCCGCTGTCATCTCCAGCGGCAACGCACAGATCCACGCGACCGTGTAGTCATGGTGTTGAAATGCCATTTTTCAACGTTTGCTACCACCGGCATCAGCAATATACTCACTTGTAAAAGGAAATAGTCTCATGGATTACCTTGATGTATTAAATCGACATTTTGGAGCATACTAGTAGATTGCATTCTCACATTGCTCGAAGGCTGAGGTTGAAAAGGAGGGGTAGTTGGGCAAGGTTCAGCCTCTCAGCTTCTCAGACGCCTCGCCAGCCAATACCTCACCTTGAAATCAGCAAAAGTGAAAAAAGGAACTAGACAGAAATTGGAACTAATAAAATTATCCCCCATCATAATATGTCAAATTATGTAAGAGAGACTAATACAATGAATGGCCTTGGAATGTTTGATACATACTAACTTGTGCCCAGCACACGGGTGCTATGAATAACTCCCAATGAACAAGACATCATAGGTACATCCAGGGCTCACTTAATCTCCTCGGTCATCAAATCCTCGGGCCATCGAGCTTCATCGTGTCCATTACCCCGAGTCCCAATGTCATAGCCCAAATTGATTGCATTCCCATGAAAGTCGATTACAGGCTTGACCATTTTGATATCGACACCCAGCGCCTTTCCCGAGTCTCGAAGAACGAGGGGTTGAATAGAATGCTGCCTCTTTCTTTCAACATCGAGGCCAGTACCTTGCCTGTCGTGACCGATGGATTCTCAAAAGAACTATTTAAATAACAGTCAACTTGAATTCTCCGATGATATCTGATAGAAGGTTCACCTACCGGAATATTTGCTTGCCATGGCGCTCCCACAATGATTGCCATACGTGCTCTGGATATTCCCCAACGCAATCGACCAGCCACTGGTTATAATAATTCAAGGCCACATCGACCAAGTAGCTACCGCCATGCTCACCCCTTCTCATAAGGGCAAGTAGTGTAGCGCAGACACCGGAAACACCACACATGTAATCACTATTCGAAAAAATCGCCGTTACACTCTCTCCATCTGTATGTCCCATAGCCTTTCCGAAGCCATGGGAGATTCCAACACACGAATCGCTGATCTGTTGCCATCCAGCACGATCTGACCAAGGCCCATACCAGCCGTAACAGTTCTCCCGAAGTACAACAATCCCTCCCTCTCGGTCCTTGGTCATACGTAAGATATCCTGTGGACCAAATCCATATTTTTCCAGCGAATGAGGCCGATAGCCTTGCACGACCACATCCGCTTCCCAGATCAGATCACGCAGTGCTTGCTTCCCAGTATCCGTCTTGAGATCCACACTGCAGCTCCACTTACCCCAATTCAAGTCGATGTGGAGTACATGCATGTCTGGAAGATGCGGCGATGTCACTCGCATCACCGAGGCCCCCAGTTCAGCTAGGCCCCGCGAGACAGCAGGTGCGGCAATAATGCGAGACATGTCCACGACCTTCAGTCCAGCAAGTGGCCTTGATGAAGAATCCTGGGTAGTTCCATTTGACCACCATGTTGGTCCCTGCTTTGATGAGGGATAGTCGTGAATCTCGAATAGTGAGACATGGGAATTTGCTTTCGCATGCTTCGTTTCCCGGAAGGACGCAGCAGATTGGCATATCACACCAGATTGCTTGTGCACATCCGCAGCCAGGTATTGCAATTCTTCACTCGAGATACGAGAGATGCGCTCGATGAAAGGAGCAACTGCTTCTTCCCTGTTAGCCACAGGAAGGTCATGCAGAAGGCCCAGCATATCTAGAGTGACATCCGGATTCAAGCCCCCATGTAGGTTAAAATAACGATTGAAGTTTTATAAATACTTGTTAACATGTTGCGATACATGCTCGAATCCCTTCCACCGAAGTTGTAGTTTGGGATTAATTTGTCCAATGATTTTTGGGGTTTTTGGTTAGGGAAATCGGATGTTCAGACCCCGGGTTGATTTCCCAGAGAAAACATGACATGAGAAAGAGCTGAGCATGGACGGTATCAATAGTCGCCCCTTGAAAGGGTAGATTGCATTTTCGCTTCATTAAAGCAGCGATCAAAGTTGCTTCAAAAGCCTTGAGGGCAGCTGCGGACTCGGCAAACCGCCAGTTGACTGGAATACTGGGCTCTGCGTCTCCAGAGAAGGTGATTTGACTCGCAAAGTCCAGCACTTCAAGCGGCAGGTATTTATTGATATTCGCATTCTCGAGGATGCCTTGCTGGAATACTCGCCGGGCACTGTAGGGGACAGAGTAGTAGGATGGGGAATTCGAGTCGGGCGCCATCTTGCACAAGTTTGTATTCAAATGGTATTATTTCCTTTCTTCAAAGAGTCATATTTACACTTAAGCAAGCACTGGCATCAAATGAAAAGCACTGCAAATCATATATTCGAGAGTTAGTGTATGTCGTTTCTGGCCTTCTAAATCACGTCAAGTGGATCTACCCCTCAAACACTAGCTTCAAGCTTAACCAGTAACAACGTCACGGTTCATGCTAATGTTTGGAGTTCCGAGCATCGCGAGATGCCAAGCCCCTGCAGCCAAGCTATTATTTTATGACTGTGATAGTTGCAGGTTTGGTGAAAACAGGAAACGTATGTATAGACCCAGCTTTATACTAGTATACACCATACAGTATACTTCATTCTTATTGAATCCGCGAGACCCACCGCCACGTGCAAACACCCTAAAACACCCGATCGTTTTTATCCGAACATTGAATCTCGATTCCATCACATCATCATTACCATTGAGATCAATTAAACCACGGACTAGGACTTCACTGTCACTATTCCGAGTCAACCGGGGCTGATGTCTTTCCTCCGTCGTGTCATCCCCGCGCGAGTCGCAAACAATGGCTCTCAACAACGCGACCACCACGCCAACGAGCGTACTTTCCTCTCATGGACGCGTGCAGGTCTCGGATTCGCCGCTATGGCCCTTGCACTAGATCGTCTTGACGCGATTGATAAAGTTTTATGCTCGAAATTTGGTCTAGGGCCCCTTGGACCCTCTATTCAAGATCAGAACTTGAACCAAATTCAGATTCAGAATCAGAACCAAAGCCAGGATAATGCGGATCGTGATTCTTCCACTCTGGCGAACGCTATACCCTCTGTACAGACTCTGCCGGGTCCTTTGGCACATGCTTTTCCGGCTTCTAGACTTTGTCAAGTCTTGGGTGTTTGGTGCTTGGGATATGGATTCTTTCGGTACTGGTCTATGAGACGATATCTTCTTGTAGGACAGTTTGTGCCTGCATTTTGGGGACCGGTGTTTATGACTTGTGGTAGCTTTGGGGCGTTTATGGCTTTGGGATTACAGGTTGATCGGAAGGCTTTCCTGGTGAATATTTGAGATCTTCTACTTCATTATGGCTGTGCTTTTTGATTCTTTTTCTTTGTGTTTGGCAACTTTGGACTCGGACTCGGATTCGGATTGTATGATTATGGGTGCGATATAAACTCGATAGATAGACCTTTAGATATAGATTTCATCAATAGAATAGATTATAAATGACACAATTTGCACATGTGATTAAAGATACAGGTAAACCATCAAACATTCAAATCAATCAGCCGCCTGGGCGTCTGCCATTGAAGTGCGATACCCTCACCAAGATGACTTCCACTGCCCAGCATCCTCCACCCCCTTCCCAACTCTCTTCGCTCCATCCTCAACTCCACTTCCTACATTGCTTAGCCCATCACCAAGGGGCTTACCCGCGCTCCCTGTAGCGCTGGTAATAGTATCGCCGACACCACGCGTCGCAGCACCAGTAACGCCACCAACGGTACGGCTGACTCCTCCGACGAGGTTTCCAACGGTGGAAGTTGCAAATTTGGCAGCACCTGTGACACCGCTGTCTTGAGAGTTACCAATAGGCATTGTGTTTGTGTTGATAGATAGATTGGATGGATGAGATCGATAGAGGTATGGCTCAGACTTGGGAAGTATGGTCTTGTGGTAGGTATTTTGTTTGATAAGTAGTGCAATTTGATATGCAACTTTAGTTTATGGATGGAATGAGGATTAGAGTCCTCTTTAATAGATCTATTACTTGTTGATCCGATGCGTAATAGTAAGACAATGAGAGAGTGATACCTGATAATATCGCCTATGATGTCATTGATTACATGCGTGATGATGTGCGAGTGGCGATGGCTGTCAAAGAAGAATACCACTGGCTATAAATGCACAAATGAGGAGAGCTTATATGAGCCACATGCAGTGGCGTATTCTTTAATCTATCTTAATTTATTTGTGGGGATCAAAGCGGCATTGAAGCCTGGAACCCCTGGCAGCACTAGGGGTATGTAAGACACTGGAATTTACAGAGAAAAATTGAACAGCACATGAGTAATATGAGAAGAGAATCATTCTTTTAAAATAAAATGAAATAAACTTTAAGATCATGCCAAATGTGAAAAGAAGTAAAAGCAAATAGAAACAAGAATGCCCTGCTCTCTCATAGGAGAGAATGGTAGTATATATGCTTAGTGCAATATGTTCTTTCCGCCACCTTCGCCTTTAAAAAAGAAAGAAATGAAAAAAAAAAACTGCAAGAAATTCAAGAAGATGATTAACGGGTCTGGCCGTTGAGACCGTTCTGCACAGCCTCCAAGATCATGTCCTTGGCTTCCTCCAGACCAGCCGAGTTGCCACGGATCTCAATAGCCTCACCGCGCGCTTGGTCCTTAGGAACGTTGATGCGGCAGCCTGTCTTCTTACGGATAGCATTGATCTGGCTACCACCCTGACCAACAACAAAGCGGTAGGTCTTGGGGTCGGGAAGAATCAGGTATCCAGTAGCAGACTGCTGCGAGGCAGAAGCAATGGCCTTCTCAATCGCAGCGCGAGCCTTAGCAACGTTCTCGGGGGAACCGCTCAGAACCCAAGGGAAGGGGGTGAAATCGGCATCAGCATCGGTGCTGCTGTCAACAACGTTCCAAGAGTGGACATCAGTGGCCTGGTTGGGCTCGTCGGTGATCAGGGGAAGGGCATTGCCGTTGGTAGCACTGCGGGTCGCCTCAGGAGCGCGGGCACTAGGCACAGACTTGCCGGCGTGGTCAACGGTGACCTTGTGGTCATTGCGCAGTCGGCGGAAGAAAGCACCATTGTCAGAGATGGCGTGGTGCAAGTGGGTAGGGACAAAGGCAGTCTCGGCGTGCTGCTCCTTCAGCATAGCCTGAACATGTTCCTTAGCCTCAGCGACAGCACCGCTAGGACCCCGCAGCTTGACATCGGTACGACCGGAACCCTGCTTGGGGATGTCCAGAGTGACGTTGAACTTGGACTCAATACCGCGACGAGTGTCACCACCACGACCAATCAGAAGACGGTGCTGGGCAGTGGGAACGTCGAGAGTCTCAGTGACCTGATCTTGGCGCTCCTTGACAAACTCCTCGATGGCGGCAATAATGCTGTCAACAATCTTTCCATTGCCCTCAAGGCGAATGGTGGACTCTGTGCTGTCAGGCTTGGGGAATCGAACCATGCGGGCAGCGCTGCCGTCGTTGGGACCACCGGCATCAACAATGATCTTGCGAATGTTGGCACCTATGTAAATTATTAGCAAATTGAATACTAGAATGAAAAAAACCGATAGGGAAAGTACGTACCACCACCACCAATAAGAGCCTTGTGGTACTTCTTGTCAACCTCGATGGACTTGGTGACAGTAGCATCAAACTCAGTGGCGCGTTGCTGCAAGAACTTCTTGGCCTCAGCCACTTGCTGCTTAGTACCCTTGACACGGATCTGGACACGACCAGAAGCATCCGGCGCGTCGTTAGCGCCGGGGACATCAATCTGAGCACCAGTGTCCGCACGGAGCTTGTCCATCTCACGACCACGCTGGCCAATCAAGGAGGCGACCTGGCTCTGGGCGACAGAAATGGTAGCGCTGAACGAGTGGTCAACAACCCACTGCAGCAGACTGAGAATCTCATCGCGAGCGGAGTCAGCGCCCTTGCTGGGACCCTTGACGAGAACCTCATCGGCAGCCTGTTGAGGACGGTTACGAGTGGCACCGGCATCGCTGGCAGTCTCAGTAACGGACTGGTCGTCGGCAGGGACGGCGGCCGCACGAGGGAACTGAACGCGGACATTGTAGCGGTCCTGAAGACGGTTCACTTGGTTACCACGTTGTCCGATCAGCTCACGGTGGTACTGCGCAGGGATCTTGAGAACATGGGTAGTCTCATCCTCCCACTTCTTGCCCATGCTGAGGATACGCATGCGAGTAGCATCAGCCTTGGCCTTGGGACCCTTGACCTCAACCTTGCCGTTCTCAACCTTGATGTCAACATCAAACTCCTCACGCAGCTTGTTGATGTTCTCACCGCGCTTGCCAATCAGGAAATTGGCAAACTTCTGGGGGAAATCAAAGGTGTTGGTATAGCCACGCTCCAAGTCATCCTGCTCCTGCTCAACCACAAAGGCGTCCAGCTTGGCGGCAAGCTCGGTAACCAAGTTAGAGGGACCACGCAGCGCGATCTCGCACTTGGCACCCTTAGGCTCACCAAAGATGGCACGCACGGGGATACTGTCCTCACCCTTGCTATCCTGCTCACGGATAACGAACTTGCGTGCCTTCTCCTGGTACTTGGCAGGAATGGAAGCCTGCTGGGCAACGATATCATTCTGGTCGCCCAGAGTGCTCAACAGGAACTCCTGGGCCGCTTGCAGGGTCTTCTCAAACTCAGCAAGCTCTGCGGGGGAGGGTCGTTGACGGGGAACTTCAAAGTTCGAGGCAGTAGCATTGGGACCCTCGTAGACAAGCACAACTTCTGGGCTGTTGATGTCCTCAGGCACGAGCATGTGAACACCGTAGTCACCTTGCAGCTTGCTTGCGCTGCGAGTACGAAGGTAAGAGTGGAAGTAAGGGTCAACTGGGACATGGCAGAGACGAGAGGGAGGGTAGGCCTGAACAAGGTTCATGATGTCGGAGCGAGCGCGGATAGTGTTCTTGCCATCACGGGAGTAGACCTCCCAGGAGACAGGACTCTCAAAGCTGGGGGGGCAAAGCGATGCGAGCATCGTATGCTGACTCAAGCTGCTTAATGATCTCGCGGCGCTGGAGGTAACGGGTCAGAGCACGGGCGTGAACGTGAGGACCAGCAGGAGCAGTGGGGTGTTGGCGAGACAGGTCAATGCTGGCCATCTGCATGCTAGTAGCAAGGTCCATCGCATGGTTGATACCAGCCTCAATCTGATCCGCAGGACCGGTGATGGTGAGGAACTCGCTGTCATCTGTGGAAGGAGGCAGAACAATGGCACAGCCAGTCTGAGCAACAAACTGATGCAAAGCATCAGCCTCATTGCCAAGAATGAATTGGTGCTGTCCACGGTTAATTGCCAATTGGCGGAGAGTCAGCTTTCGCTGCAAGTCAGCAGCCAATCGCTCAATCTCGGCACGCGCTTCTTGGGCAGCAGCGCGCTCTCCTGAAATGATGATATGCTTGTCTGCAACGGGAACAAACTGAACCTGACCGGGGTGAGCCTCTTGAGGAGGAGGCTGAGAAGTCCAAGTGTCGTAGCGAGGGACGTTGATCTGGGCCTTGGTGCGTTCCTCAATTTCACGCAGCGCCGCATCGTGAGCACCGGCAATGAATGGGAAGAACTCAGGTGGGATTGTCTTCAACCGCAGGTTCATGCTTGAGCCGCGCTCCTTCACAATAGCCTCAATCTCTCGGCGGGCCATCTCGGCGGCCACCGCATTACCCTCAATCAGAACATCAATGGTGTCACAGTCATCATCATCGGCGGGGGCAGCGTTGTCGTCGGCGCGGGGAACCTGAACGCGAGCACCAGTGCGGGTCTGGATATCCTGAACAACCGCACCTTGGCGGCCAATGATATGGGCTCGGGCGGATGTTGGGATCGGAACGCGGACGGATTGCTAAAGAAATCAGAATATTAGACAAGTCACACGTGAATGGGAAAACGATAGGCATACCTTGGATCCAACCTGCAGTGCGACCTCCTTCAAAGCCTGACGAACGGATTCCACAGATCCCTTACCCTCAAAGATGATTGAACCGCCGGGGCCACCGCGCATATCCACAGTAGCTTTAGATCCGCGCGAAATGTCACGGAGGATATCCCGGAGAGGCTTCTTCAGCTGTCCGCGGGGAAGCATCTGCGAGGGGGCAAGGCGAAGCTGCTCCATGTGCTTGCCAGGGAGGGACATGATTCGGGGGGATTTCTATTCACAAAACATACACCATTAAAGACATGTCAATGCAATCTCGGATTAGAATGTTAACTTACCCATTGACTTCGCGGGTTGACCATGGGCAACAGCCGCAGCTGCGGAGGGCTTCTTTGCACCCCACGTGGCTGCAGCAGGTGCAGCAGGCTTGGGACCACTTCCCAGAGCTGGGAAGAGCTCATCTGACTGAACGTCAAACGCGGGGGCCTTCTTCACCACAGGCTTAGAAACGGGGGGTGGGGTGGTCGACTCCGCCGGTGTGGTGGATTCAGACACCGCAGTAAGGACAGGAGCCAGAGGTTGATCGTTCACGATAGAAGATGGGGCGATGTGCTTGAGATCCTCCTCATCAACGGTTTCCTCAACGGTGGCGTGATGGTTCTCAGCATGCTGTTCCTCCAACATGGCGGCAAGAGACTTAGAGGCACCACCATTGATGGTGGTAGACGCTTCAGCAGCCATCATGGATATTCGCAATTGAGAGAAGTATGGGAGAAGAAAGGAGGAGAAATGGCGAGAGGACCGAGAAAATGTAACCTGCAATCAAAACTAGACCGAATCAGTATTGCGACGAGGCGTCACGAGGCCGTCAAAAACATGGAGGGATTTGAGACGATTATGAGTGAACGATGGATTGCGAAGGGGAAAAACCAAAGGATTGAACTCACAAGTGACGGATACTCTTTTGAATTGAGGTCTCAAACCCGTTACAATGCCCAGTAGATTCGGCAGTGGGCAAATTCCCCGGAGAATGGACCGGAAGGGGATAAGAAGATGATGATCTGGACCAAGCACCCAGAAAAGAAAAAACCAATGTACAGAATGCCCGAAGGCTGTACCCCCAAAAGAAAAAGAAGAGTGGGTGGGGGAGAAGAAAAGGAGGAGTGGGTTGGAGAGGAGGAAAGGTGATGATGGTTCGAGAACCCCGGAAGTACACAAAGTGACAGAAAAGGCCAGCTCGAGGCTCCGGGGAAGTTTTCTCCGAATCCGAGTCCACCAACGGTATCAACCAGATGTCAACACAGTGAATGGATATGACAATTGAATGAGTGAGAAAGTGAGATAGAAAATTTTCAGTTTGGTGCTTCATCAATTACTAGTAATACCACATATCCATCTGAATTTGGTGTTCATGTTGGTGCTACTGCTTATGCCTTGTCCAGGGGGTGCTTATCTGTATGCTGTATCCTCAGACCTCGAGCATCACTCGTTCACCTCTCAGTCCCATGCTCCAATGGCCATGAATCCAGTCATACTTGAAGATGGCATTGTGAACCATGACTCATTAGTCATGATTGTCTTGGGATGGACACTTGGTCGCCATATGAGCGCCAGAGATAGCTATTTGACGAACAGGTCCAAGGTGATGAACAAGCATTTATAAGGTAATTCGCAAGCCAAATACTCCACGGAGTGAGGAGTACACATGGGCCGATCCGAGCCTTTATTAAGGAGCGCACGAGCAAGTCTTTTGTTGTCCATTGTCCATGCGCCAATTCCAGAAGCCTATAAAGATTGTCGATCAACGGTAAAACGCCACACCCCCGATTCAGTGTATATGAGGCCCTAAGCCCCTGACCAAAGATGACTTATAGGAGTATAGAATATCTACTCCGTAGAAAACAAAATTGACTCAGCATATCTGAAAATCGTTACTATTCTGATATGTGATTATTAAAGTCTACCTATGGTACGGTACATGCGCATTGCTTCTACCCCATATTGAGTATTGGTTGTCAATAAACCTTGAGATTCGGTACCAACTCTTACTAGGTGGGGCTGTGTGTCTGAGCTCAATAGAGAAAAGTAACTTTTCTTTTCTTTTTCTTCTTTAATCCAATATTGAAGCTTAACCGGGCTTGATCTCAATAGTCTGTCGCGAATTCGAACATGTCAAAATCCAAGAAGTACGGAGTAGTATACGAACTATGGACACCGTAATAACGGGTCTTACTCGGAGTACTCCGTAATAACTCGGTAGGCTGTGCATAATTGAGATCATCTTGAGATGCTCTATATTCGTACATTCCAAGTTACACGGCAGACGCTCGAGCCCATACCAAGTTCTTGGAGTGAACATCCCACCAAGACTGAATTTGTCAACCACAAATGTGATCTAAACTTGAAGATACTGGAATATCATTCGCTCTGAAGAATACGCTAGTGCATGAGAAGACCTTTTCATCACTCAAAATGTTCTTAGACCCTTCGCTTCTTTAAGTTCTTTAAGCTCAATAGTATTACTTGCTTGTTATGACTGTCCAGCTGTATAATATTCTTGTACGGAGTACAGAAAAGTTCCTATACGGAGTCGATTCACTTTATTGACTCGGATATGAGACTTGGTACCCGCTGAATTCGTTAGCCTGAGAATTATCTTGAAGATTTTCATTTATCAGACAGATTCGATAATTCTGAGCCCAACAACTCTCACAATCCAAAAAATGTGTCGTCGTGTTTATGATGGCTGCCTACTCCTCAAATAGTAATGGAGATAGTCAATACGAACGAACTCCATTCTGATATCCAAATGTTCCAAAAGTCCCGCAAACACGAAATGCATGTCAGCCCTCACACAGAATTAGGCATCTGCAAAGATTTGAAGCGATTATTTTGTATCGTGACTCCGTACTCCGTACAGAGTTATGGAAATTCACCTGCGGCGTATAAGGTTAATTTTGATGAGATACAGTTGACTGTAGATCATCCGAGTTAAAAATCCAAAGAATCAATAATTGTACTTCTCCAATCAAGCTTCTTCCAGTCTATACTCTTAGTCTTCTGACCATAAGTGCATCGGTATTGAACTCTCACTCTTCATTTTCGACTGGGTATTTCAGGCCCGCCCATCTAGATGTCCCGGGTACTTCACATCACACCATTTTACGCGTTGGCAGGATAACCCCTGTGACGTTCATATAAGCTCCGCTGAAAAAGCGGCCTTTTCATGTCGAACGGGTCTCTTCTATTGAAGATCAGGTACGCGAATATTATTGCAAGGATGATGGATCAGCGAGCATTACGAATGCGCTGAGTATTGCTTTTTGTCGGGTTATCTACCCCTGACGGTGATGATGATCAGGATCTACAGAATAGTCTACTCGTCAGCTGCCACTGATAGAAGTGGGTGAATGACAACTGACGCAACATTCAAAGAGCTGCACCCTGTATTATAGACGCAGTGTGGATGGAAAATCACCTCATTCGTAGTCCCCAGTCTTTATGGGACGATCACGCGGGCAATGTTGAATATGGTATAGATTTAACTTAATTAAACTACCCCACATAAAAAGACAATGAGTACGTAGAATGACGTGATTAACGAAGTTTTTGTATTGACTAGACTGATTCCTTATTTAACAGGATCAGAAACGGGTGACTGTGCAAGCAGTAAATGCGAGGCATTCATGCTGACGATTAAAATTAAAGTCAATCAGGTTCTGTCCGACACAAATTGCCATGATCGCAAATTTGAATGATCACACATGGGTATCCAGTATAAAACGAGTGCGCAACTCAAACAAAGTATGACCCAACTCGACAGAAAAGAAATAGAAAATCACAACTAGCCGACCCCACCAGGCAAGCCGAGAGCCGACCCATACAAAAAAAAGATCAATATGTATAGAAATATACTTCAGCAGGATACTATATCTCCGCTGTGGTGGTAGTATTGTGTAAATGACGTGATATATGCGGGTGTGGGGAAAGGCCTAAGTAGCCTTGACGACAGGCCAGCCAGTCTCCCAGCTCAGCTCGTTCCATCCGTATCGATATCCTGCGTTACCGTCACCACCAGCCTCTTTCTCAGAGTAAAGATAGAAGTGGTAAAAAAGTACGGGACCGAGATCGCTGTCTTGGATGATACCCCTGTGATTTTATTGGTTAGAAATTACGCCTTGTGGAGTGCAGATTCGATCAATAACTCACTCTCCACCAGGTCCATAAACTTGGTTGTGACTAGCCAATACCATTGTACCTCCCGAGTTCGTACAGGCGGTGCCGTCTTGATCCACCTGCAGATCATAGACCCCGTTAGTTATGACGCGTTTTTGAAAGGTACCCAAAGCACCTTATTTGCGGATGATCAAGTAAACAAGGCAAATGGCAAACAAAGGGTAAACACCTACGAAGTCACCGGTTCCGGTGCTGGAACGACACACACGAATACTGTACTCTAGTCCTTGAGCAGGGTAGGTAGCGGTGTATGAACCTGCAATGCCAGAGCTGAAGAAAAGATAGTAGTAATCGTTGTATTCGAAAAGGAAAGATCCTTCCGAACGGTGGTTAAGGGAAGCGTTGTATGCAATCTGGTATGGGGTGTTGGATCCGACCTCCAGAGCACTCTCAAGCTTGACTTGGAAAATATCCTGCCAGTAAGAACCAAACTGAAGGTATTGTGTGCCGCCGATGTTGATCCAGTTGGGATCAATACGATTGTAATCGGTATTGGCGGGAAGTCCAATGATGCCGTGGTCAGTCCAAGAGCCAGGCTCCATAGTTGTGGAGGTAGCTACGCCGATCTCAGAGTTCTGGGTTCCAAGCTCAGAAAGCACATAGTACATGTAGTACTTGCCATCTGAGTAGTGAACATCCGGAGCCTACGAAAGTATTAGCTATCTCTTACAAGATCTAAGTCAGTTTGGTTTATACATACCCAAATATCAGTACTGTTCACTCCAGTAAGAGAGATCTTGGATCCATCAGGTAGAGCTGCTCCAACATTGGTCCAAGGTCCCTTGAGGGACGACGAAGTCATCGTATTGACTCCAGTACCTGTGGAGAATCGGAAGTATGTGCCATCCGACTCACGCTGAATCATAGAAGGATCGTGTGTCCAGCAATCGCCTGTGCATGGCCCCCGAGCAGGGTAAGCCGCAGCCAACGCTACGAAGAATGAGAAAAGGCCAAGCATGATGTCGGATGGAACAAGCTGGGATGTCGACAAGGGGAGAAGGTTGGTCGAGAATGAGATGCGAGGAAAGTGAAAAGAGCGGCGATACTTCCCGTATTTATATTGAAATATTCCGTGTATTCGAATTGGGGGCCCGCTGATGGAGGGTCATGCAGATGTCGTCTTTCAGAGTGGATTTCTCGCCTTGATGGAAGGTCTTGGGACCAGTGGAGTCCAATCACAACTTTCTTCACACTGCATCATGGTCCTATGAATGTAAGGCACATGTCAGTAGTAGGCCCGGCCCCGACGTGGCTCAACGCCACAATAGGGATAGCATTAAACGAGAAGAGGGGAGTATGTGCCCAGAATTCGAGTACAGTGGATCATGGACCGTCTGGGTAATTTGCAAACAGACCCGCTTTGAGAGATCAGAAATGTAGTTACTTGGCTATCCCTTATGTGATGTCTCGCATCTGTATGGAGTAATGCACGAAGCCTGGATTACAACTCGATCCCCACAGGCCCACAGGGAGAAAGGGATCCACATCTGTCCGACTGAATTAGAAAAACAAATATGATTATTTTTGGATTTTTCGATTTATCCTATAGACTCTTTTTTTGGTCAACAGGGGCGTAGTCGTGCATGAATCGCAATCTGGCAGTGCAGGCGCATGGACCCATTGACCCCTGCGGGAATCGGGGGCCTGGCGTGGGAAGGCAAGGGGATCACCCGGCTTTGTTAGACTATTGATTTGCGGGTTTTTCCCCCATGTCTGTTTCCTTCTTTTCTTGTTATCATGGTGGACCATCTATGAAGCCTGCATATTGGGTCAATTTGTTGCTATGCCAGTAGAATAATCAAGAAATCACGCAACCCGTCAGCCGGATGGACCCTCGGATGATTTTTAGTTCAGATGTTTGGTGATGGCGCTGTACAAGAGTCCGGGGAGGCTAATGATCGACATCCCATGTGGGACCCGGTATTCTCATATCACCAATAACCTTCATGGAAGAGGCTCACCAGATTCCTGAAAGCTCCCGTCTTTTTGCCAAGGCGCAGATGTTCTCCCCGGATCTACTGGTGGTAGATCGGCTACAGTGGAGACCTGAGAGAATTGTAGTGAGCGAAAAATGAACTAGCTTGCGAATGTTGCAAGGCACAAAGATCAAAGGGGAAGAGGGACGACAATAATGACTGTAATTTGGACCCAGAGCAGGGAGTAAATCGGAGGATCATGATGTTAGCACTGAGCAGGGGAGTGGAACAGCCTTGGAGTGGACCCTTTGCTTCCTTGGGAAGCGAAAGCCGAGGCCCGACCCAATACATAGCTCGTACTTAGTGGCAGGCCTTACAACTCGTTAATCGCTCTTAGAGGCTAAGAATACTCCGTAAAGCCCCTAAGCAGCCAAGCTGCACAGAGTGCGAGCCTACACCGACTCATATCCAGGAGCCTAAAAATACGACCTTAAACCTAGAGTCTTCGGTATTCGTCGGTATTGAGCCCCGCCATCTTGGCTCTCGTCATGAAGCGTGGGGTCGGGCTCTACTGGATCACCATAGACCCCTCATGACAACAATCAGAACCCTGCAGTCAGGTGTCGAGGTACCGATATGACATGGTTTTCTGATGCAATGACGAAAGAGCGTAGAACACATGGCACACCTCTCTTGGAAGCGGGATCGACTTTATCCAAAGGTGCATGAAGGTTGCTCAAATCTGGGGGTTATTTTAACCTAGTTTATGCTAGGGCTGACATGAAGTCGCTGCTCCTACCATTCAAGGTTCGCTTCTCAAGTGACCCTTGACCATGACAACGCTCAAAGGTCCGACCGGTTCGAAATATGACACCTCTGTACTCCGTGAACATCCATGCCAATAATGTAAATCGTATAGAGAATTCCTGCCCGATCGGATCTGTCTGAATCGGGCGATGTGGCCGTCGGGATAATTCCGAGTACATGGTGGCTGGCAGTTTTAGGCGGACATTTTTTTGAGGTGGATTTGAAATCATGCAGCTGTACATGTGGACGCCCCCTTTCGTGTCAAATGCATAGAAACTGCATGTATTCCCACGTTGCGGGCTCTGTGTAAGCTGGAACATGCAGTTGGATTTGGTGGCTGAGATGTGATGAGATGTAATGCGGAAGCGGCGCTCTCTTGAAGCTTGGCTTTGCGATAAACCAATAGACCGACTTTTCTTATGCATTTTTGTCTTATCACCTCGGGATTATATCTCTACAGTGGACGGCCCCGGCCACTATTCCAGGTGTCTAGATTGTAGTATAGGGCAGAATATACCGATTGGAGAGATAAAGCGACGAGGCATCATTAAACACGTAGCTCGGAATCAGACTAGTATCGGTGGATATATTACTATGTACTATTAACAGTTTGTGATTCATCCAGATGTCGTATCCACGTATCGCTTGTCCAAATGTACATTTTGACCTGTTCAGTTCTCAAGGGCTTTGTTTTCTTGTGGCGTTTTCCTGCATTAGCGATGGCTCGTGTTGTCACTGATATCGTATTGCTTTATTTCGCCCCGCTTAGTTCTTCCAAAGTATGCTCCGGAGAGTGCTGTTCAGCTGGGCGCGATAGATCTTGTTCTCGTTAAGAATATACATATGTCCATTCTTGCCGAACGAGAAGTTCGATGTTCCGCTCTTGATCAAGATTTTGCCCAGCAAAACGCCACCAGAAGACCAGACGTTGACACCATCACCGCAACCAGCATACACGTCACCATACTGGTCAACCTTTAGTCCATCAGGAATACCATCGCTAGGCATAGCGAAAACACGACGGTTGGTCAGGAACGGTTGGCCACTGATAGTTGATAAGTCAAATGCATAGCTACAAAAATAGATTAGATTAGCTTCCAAGTCTCCTGCATGGAAAAAACTCCGTCTTTTCGCCCCAACATGATGGCAGCACGCCTAATGCGTTCAACGACTCGGAGTTTAGAACACTGGCAGGCGCCACTTACATAGTTGCAGGCTTCAACACATCCTTCGACCCATCGCCGTTTGTCTCCGCAGTGTCGGTAATATATACCGTCTTCTCATCAGGAGAAAAGGAGATTCCATTAGGCCGACCAAATCCATCCGCAACCACACGCACTGCCTTAGTATCAGGATCGTAGCGATAAACCTGATTCGGTAGCTTCGGCTTTGGTCGAATACCCTGACGCCATCCATAAATGGGATCGGTAAACCAGAACGAGCCATCACTGGCAACGGTCACATCGTTGAGTGAGTTGAATTGGCGACCGTAGAAACCACCAACAATGAACTCAGCCTTATTAGGCTCTTCTACGGACATCTGCCAAAGACCACCGGTTGTGTTCATGGTTCCCTGGCCGGTCCAGAGAATACCACCATTGTGATTCACGCCGCCGTTGGGGAGCGGGATGGTCGCGTTGACGATTTCAGCTGTCACGGGTGTGCGGTCACGTTGACCTTGGAGATTTTGATGGTCGACTGGTTGGTTATGGGGTCGGTGAAGATGTTGCTGGACATGAATAGCTGGTCCGTTGTGGGGACGTAGACGCTTGCCTCGTGGGCGAAGGGGAAGTCATCGTTCTCTAGGATCACCTCGAGCTACGGGGCAGATCCGAGGATGTTGTAGAAACTATTGTCGTGCACGCTGAAAGCAGACGAAATTGAGGTGTTGGCCGGGAAGGCGGCAGATGAGAAAGTGGTAGTCATTTTGTCGAGCAGCTCTTTCAATAGCACTCGTGTGCTGTGTATACTGATCAAGGTACTCCGTACACGTAGTTTCGTCAGGGGTAGCCCTGCAAGTTTGTTGAATTATTTTGTCTCAATTGAGCCAAGCTTTTGTTTCTTTTTTGGACGAGTCAAATGATGTCAGGAAATTCACTTCATTTAGGTGAACAAACCAGATCGTGGTGGAGTTCTATAATTCCCTGGCGCTGAGCCCAAAATCGATTAGATCGGCAGCCGATCCGAGATCCAGACCTGAAGATTTCCCGAGGTTTTGCCTTGAAGATTGGATTTTCGCTTGGTTCAAATGTTTGTTCTGAATTTTAAGGTTGCAGGGGTTTTAAATGAAGTTTGGAGGAGACAGAGAGATGTGTGACAGGAATTTCTTGTATGGTGTGACTTAAGATGATGCCCTTTTTGCGGGGTATCACTCAACCCTGGAAGTGTAGAGACCTCGGGATGTGCAAAGTACGGAGTATGTCCTATGGGTTAACCCACCCATTCCATAGCAACCCATGGGTTAGGGGGGTTAACCCATCCCAGTATGGATAACGGGTTGGGTGGGTTCTGCACATGTCTACTTAAGTGAGAAACGGCACTGCAGCGGACTTTAGCCTTGATTCGGTATAGATTCACATTCAACATGATACATAATCGGAGAAGCTCCGAATTTGTACTCGTTCAAATTCTGAAGAGTCCAGAGGCACAAGCGAATACAGTGAGTCGATCAACAGGTACGAAGTACAGCCCTGTAGATTTGGATACTAAGAACATTCTTTACATCGCTGGAATGTAGATCTTCAATCACTTCGAGATGAACTATAAACGTACCAACCCGGGAGCTATCACTCAATCATTTCAATTGAATACATTCCATTCCTCACCTGGGCATTTTTATTGACTGTAACGTGCAACTGTCGACAGTTTTGTCCAAGACCGCAACTTGTGTTTTGCACCAGAGAAGTCACCTGTTCAAGCAACAAGTTGCAACTTCAAGTTGTGCCAGTAGTAACATGCATGTGTAGAAGTAGGACCAAGACCTGTTTGTGATCATATTACATATACAGCGTTGTATCTTGATTCTGGCTGTTCAAATCGGCAAGCCTGGACCATAATCGAAACATTTATGGACAAATTTCATAACCTTTCATCCAATGGGCAGCTCAGCTGAAGCCCATTGGATAAATCAGATGGAACGACATTTGAATTACTCAATTAGAATTCTATTTTCAACTTTATGCTACTATACTCCATATATAGTACTAGGTACTAAGTGTATATGCAGAGCAGATAAATTATACAACTTGAATGAAAACTAGTACTAGTAAAAAAATGCATAAAGTAACATTTCGAATGTCAAAAACTTGATGCCAGTATATGAGACAAGTACACAATTATGTAGGTAGACATATTGCACTCAAGTACTTTGCCTGAACCAGAATCGCATGAATCGATCGGCCGTACAGGTAGATCAAAACTATCGGTGTCAACACATCCTTACTGGATTTTGTTCGGCCTGATAATGATTGCAAATGAAGAGTGCCTAGTGCGACAGTAGCTTGAAGCACATGTAATGCAACATGTTGGGAGAATATTTTGAAAAGTGAGGGTCGTCTTTTCGACGAAGAATTCCAAACTTCATCGTTGGATTGCAGATGGGACTGTAGGGGCTGGCCCATTGACTTTGGGTGTTGACAACCCTAGCATTCTCGACCCGCTTTGCACATCTGACCGCGAAGTACTAAAGGATTACTAAAGGATTCGATAAGAATCCTTTAAGCATGAACATGAGAAACGGAAGGGGTCAAACTTTAAGAATAGAGATTGATTTTATCATAATTTATTCTTACAGCCCTAGAATGATTGTCAGGGGGATTTGACTTCTCCACGCTAAGTACTCAGCAAGGGATAGAGCCTTGGACTTGGTTGTCAATCCGTGTGCACATTGAGTTTACTAGCTGGAGCTCTAGGCATCTGGGCAGGTGTTCTTTTGGCTAAGTAATTTGACTCAATTTGAAAGTTATTTGTCGGGACTATAATAACAACTGAAGGATCATAAATTCACGTGCAGCGTAGAAATTTGAACCCATGCCAATCGGTCGTGTTTAATCCCATGGTGTAAGCTCAAAATTATCATAAAATCATGAGCACTTGGGTGTTCTACATAGTATCATCGTTGACTAGTACAGATAATCCAACCCTTCCCGGGTTCTCATGACTCTATTACCGATATCATATTGAAGAGTCAATAATAAGCTCCGAAGTGATCAAAGAACTTGGAAGATGTCCCTCAGTATGGTATTATCCGACCGCATGAGAGACTATATGGTAATTCTCAGTGATAAAAGTACCAATTCTTCAAAGAGTAAAAAGAAACCGGTCATTTTCAAATGTTACTGGTGGAGGAACTACTCGCTGCTGTCGAAGAGCACTACACTGGCACAGCCACACCCGAGCGAAAGATAAGGATTCCAAAGTCTACTGGTGGTGATTGAAGCACAATTCTTTTGACAAGACTCAAAGTTCTATATTGACCTCCATAATTATTTTCAACGACTTGAATCATGACAACCTAAGGTTAGGGAAGTGAAGATGTAGACATCTGGATGCAAGTGGCGGTAAAAGAAAAAACAATCAATGCCTGCATTTTCAGGCAGACAGCATTTGATTGCTTAATGACTCTCACCAGTATAACCTAACCGATATTCGCAAACAAATAGGCATTTATTCGTTTTCTCATTTGTCAATTAAAAGACACTTGATTAAAAAAAAAGCGTCGGAGATATCACTTGCTTACGTTGCCCCTCTGCCCCACATCCAACTTTCCGATAGCAGAGCGGGACAGTGCGGTGCACTTGGAACCTGTGCTGTGAGTCAGATATCTATCAACATCCAGGTGAAAAAGCCAGAGACGGATATTTGTCTTTTTTTGGGGTTTGATAGCTGTTGGCAATTGAACCAACAAGATGGCGCCCTTGGTGACACTGGCGACTTGTGCGCTCAACCAGTGGAGTCTGGACTTTGAAGGAAATCTGAGACGCATCAAGCAGAGTATCATCAAAGCTAAGGAAGCCGGTGCGACTCTGCGCGTTGGCCCTGAATTAGAAATCCCTGGTTATGGTAAGTCTTCCAGCATAAACAACCATCATAAGCTCAACTGCGCATCAATGACCTATGATGCTAATACTTTGCGATAGGCTGCTTGGATCACTTCTTGGAGACAGAAGTCTATGAGCACTCATGGGACTCACTCTACTCCATCCTGACTGATGAAACTTTGCATGGGATCATGATTGATGTAGGATTGCCTCTGCTCCATCGGAATTGCAGATACAATGCCCGCGCCATCATCCTCGATGGGAAGATCCTATGTCTTCGCCCAAAGTTGTACCTTGCCAATGATGGAAACTTCCGCGAGATGCGTTTCTTCACACCATGGAATCGACCTCGCCATGTGGAGCAGTACTATCTCCCACCGAAAATTCAGAAGCATCAGGGATGTCGACATGTCCCGATCGGTGATGTTGTTCTCTCGACAATTGACACGTGCCTGGCAGCGGAGACCTGCGAGGAGCTATTCACGCCTAATAGTCCCCACATCAATATGTAAGATGACCTCATTATGGCTGACAGTGCGCATTAGGGCTAATTTTATGAATTAGGGGTCTGAATGGTGTTGAAATCTTCACCAACAGTAGTGGAAGTCACCACTCTCTTCGCAAGCTAGATGAACGAATTGCTCTCATTCAAGAAGCTACTCGTAAGAATGGTGGCGTCTACTTGTACTCCAACCAACTGGGATGTGATGGAGATCGGCTGTACTATGATGGATGTGCTATGATCTTCGTGAATGGCGATATCGTCGGCCAATCGAGCCAATTCTCTCTAAATGAGGTTGAGGTCATTGTTGCAACTGTTGACTTGGAGAAAGTCCGGGCTTATCGATTTGCCCCTTCGCGTGGAATGCAGGCAGTGGCAGCGCCGGAATACCAGCGTATTGAGGTTGACTTCTCCCTCTCCCACGAGAATCTTGATCTCGGTCTTGGACCTACTGCTGCCCGACCAGCCCGCTACCATCTCCCGGAGGAGGAAATTGCTCTTGGACCTGCCTGTTGGCTTTGGGATTACCTCCGTCGCTCGAAGGCCGCTGGATTCTTTGTCCCACTGTCTGGCGGAATTGATAGTTGTGCTACCGCTACAATCGTCTACTCCATGTGTCGCCTGGTCATTGCCGCAATCAAAGATGGTAATGAAGAGGTGATCGCCGATGTCAAACGTATTGCAGCGTACTCGGAAAAGTTGCCTGAGACAGCCGAGGAGTTGTGTAACCAAATTTTCTGCACCTGTTACATGGGAATGGAGAACCAGAGCAGCAAGGAAACACGGGACCGCTCGAAGGCACTCTCTGAGCGTATCGGTTCGTATCATACTGATGTCAATATTGATGATATGTTCCACTCTACAAAGAACATTCTCACCCAGGCTACGGGCTTTACGCCAAAGTTCAAGGGTAAGTCTGCAGCTTGAAGCTCAGCTGGTAAATCTGGATCATAGGGTGAATCACGCTAATCTGTCTCCTGATAGTCCATGGTGGCTCTCAAACATCCAATCTTGCTCTGCAGAATATTCAGGCACGATCGCGCATGGTTCTTGCTTACTATTTTGCTCAGGAATTGTGTGAAGTTCGAGGACGGCCCAAAGGCGGCTCTTTGCTGGTGCTTGGAAGTTCCAATGTTGATGAATGTCTTCGTGGATGTGAGTCTTTCTTCGATATCGGTATTCAAAGTCATATGCTAATCCCCATGACTTTATAATAGATCTGACCAAATACGACTGTATGTGACTTCTTCTTGGGGGCGATTTAATGTGCTTACAGATCTAGACTGCTGACATCTTTCCCGTACTAGGCTCTTCCGCTGACATCAACCCCATTGGTTCGATCAGTAAGGTCGATTTGAAAAGATTTATTGGTTGGGCCTCGAAGGATTTCGATATGCCAATCCTGGTCGATTTCCTAGACGCCATCCCGACGGCAGAACTGGAGCCTATTACGGCGAACTACGTGCAAAGCGACGAGGTGGACATGCAGATGACCTACGCAGAACTTTCTCGCTTTGGATACCTGCGCAAAGTGGATCATCTTGGACCATATGGAATGTTCCTCCGTCTCCTGGATGAGTGGGGTGGTGAGGGAGAAGGGAAACTTAGCCCGGCCGAGATTGCTCGGAAAGTGAAATTATTCTTTCACTTCTATCAGATTAACCGTCATAAGCAGACCGTTGCCACCCCTGCCTACCACGCGGAAAGTTACAGCCCGGATGATCATCGATTTGATCTGAGACCGTTTGTCTACCCTCCTGGATTTGAGAGTTGGTCATTTAAGAAAATCGATGTGCGGGTGGAGGCCTTAGCACAGAGACAGAAGCAAAGACAGGGATCCACGTGACCGGTCACTGGGAGCTTTCGCGGATCCATAGTTTCATGTATGAGATAGATTGATGGTCATAGATGTCTAGACTCCCTATCAGCGGCTCGCTTTGAATTGACTTTCATTTCTCTTTGACCCTTTTTTTCTCATTTTCTCATTTCCCGCATGCCACAGTGGAGACCGAGGCTTAGTGGAGGGCCTGCCAAGACAACACAGTGCATGGTTTCTGCCCGAGTCAAATCACCTTTGCATGGAATATTTTTGTAGAATGAACTACTCCCAAGTGTTAGATGTTATGTTTCGGATAGTTCAAGGCTGACGGCGCGTAACCGAAACCCCGTCAGACGTTGAGCCGCTAATGACAGATCCATATTAGATTGATCGACCATGGATTTTACCAAGTAAGATGACGAATTTGTTGGGGCTAACTACCCGAACAGGGCGGGATGAACCTGCTGAAGGGATGAAGGAGAAAAAAAAAGAATTGAAATATAATAAAAAAGAAAATATCAATAATTATAGGAGAGAACATTTGTACATTGGGTGAAGAGATATAGGGGGAAGAGCGCTTCAAGTCCAATTGATTAGCGCAATGTCAACTCCGTAGTATACTGTACACTCTTCTACCCCGTAGACTCGGGCACTATCAAACAAACATTTGAACATGAAAAGATGGGAAAAAACGGGGGAAATCAGATAGAACAATTCAATCACCTTTTAGCGTCCTTTTAAAGTACCCTGATAGAGATAATATATACGGGTCCCCGCGTCATCCGTTGGAAAACCCAGCCACTCGACTCCTTTTCCCTTCCCTCTCCACGTGTGATTTGCTCTTCATTGGCTGTTAATACCTTCCCCCCCTTCTCTGTCTCTCACGGACCTTGTTTCTCTTGATCATCCCATTTGATTCTCCTTTTTACAAGAAAGACTTCAATATCATACGAACCAAAGTTATACTCGAAAGTTGTACCCGGGTTCCCAATTTCTAAAAAGAGGAGACCCACAAGTCAGAGAGAGAGAGAGAGAGAGGGGGGAGAGACAGAGAGAACGACATTGCTGATCCTCCCGTGGTACATCCTCGGGCGCCAAATTCTCTGCGAATTGGCTGGTTGGAAAATTCTCCTGACCCCTCGGCCCAATTCCAATCCGTGTCTCGTGGAGAGAGACACACTCTTTTGCCCATCATGAGTGAAAGGTTATCATTGAAATTCCGTCGACCATCGAGCAAACTGCAGAAGGATCCCCCTAGCTTCAGTTCGCGCATTCTTCGGAGTCATCAAAGCGCAACTTCCCTCAAACGTCATCCCTCCGCCCCCGTCTATCCACGCACCTCTCCTAACGGTACTCACGAGCACACCCGCTCACGATCCAACGCCGCTGCCGTCTACGGCTCCTCTACTTCGTCACCGGATCAGCATAGCGACAGTCAGTCGTCCGGTCATACCGATCCCTCATATTTCCCCAACTACAGTTCTCGATCACGCCAAAATCGATTCTCCTATGACCAGCACAGCCCGGATGAATTAAATACTACGGGTAGTACTCCCTACGAGACGCGGGGCATGCTGAGTGCCTTGGATGAGAATACTGAAACAGACGCCTCATCGCCATCCCATCAACCCCCACCAATACGGTCCCAGCACTCTAGTCCAGATACCCGCCATCGTTCAATTCTCAGACAATCCGCCAGTTTCACCACTTTACCCTCTCGAATGGATTCCTTCGCACACCGGGATACCGAGCGGGCCCAGACCTCTAAGCGGTATTCGGATGAGGCAGGTGCGAGCAATGGAAGCAATATTCCCACCCGTGGGAGGAGTAAGAAGGCCAGCTTCTCCAGCTTCGTCAATAGTATGCTGGGTTCCCCTCGCAATATCAAGATCTCCGCCCCGGAGAACCCTGTTCATGTCACCCACGTCGGCTATGACAACCAGACCGGCCAGTTCACAGGCTTGCCTAAGGAATGGCAGCGACTATTGCAGGAGAATGGTATTTCGAAGAAGGAACAGGAGGAGCACCCGCAGACCATGATGGATATCATGCGATTTTACGAGAAAAATACCCGTGGCGATGACGATGAAGTGTGGCACAAGTTTGACAACGCATATGCCAGCAAGAACAACGAACCAGCGTCCTCTCCGCCCGGAAGTCCACGCTTTCCCCAGAATCACGAAGGTAGTTTTGAGAATCCTCGGTCACCCCCACCCGTCCCTCGTGGACCTCCTAGCGCACCTTCACCAGCTCCCATGGCTACCGTGCCCATGTCTCCGCCCTTGGGAAGCCTGGTACCGCATCGCGCACCTCCCAAGCCTCCCAGCATGATTCCAGCAAGGCCACCACCGCAGCCTCCCATATCGCAGGGAATCGCCTCCCAGCGATCGCCAGATACCTATGGACCCGGCACCCCGCCAATCCCCGAGACTCAACCGTTATCCACGGACCAGCGTACACCTATCAGCTCTCGCAATGGCACACCGACCCCGAAGTCAGCGACTGTTGCCAATCCGACCCAGTATCAACGACAGCAGGAACAGATTATGGCTGCGGCCCAGCAAGCGATCGCATCTAAACAACTAGACCGGAGCCGTCAGCAGCAGCAGCAGCAGCAGCAACAACAACAACAGCAACAGCTGCAACAACAACAATTGCAGCAACAACTGCACGAACAAGAGTTACAGGCCCAAGCTCATCGGCAACAGCTCCAGGCTCAACAGCAACAACAGCAGCTCCAAGCCCAGCAGCACCCTCAAGTGGCCCCGATTGCGACGAATATTCCTCCAATCTCAGCCGAGGCATCAGTAGCCCGGGCACCCCCTGCCGCTCGACCTCGTCAGCCTAAGCGCCAAAGCAACCTCATGGACGTACGACAGCGCTTGTTGAGTATATGTCACCCGGGCGATCCCACCCAGATATATTACAACCTCAACAAGATCGGTCAAGGTGCTTCCGGTGGTGTTTTTACCGCCTATGAAAATGGGACCAACAACTGTGTGGCCATCAAGCAGATGAACTTGGACCTTCAACCTAAGAAAGACTTGATCATCAACGAGATTCTGGTTATGAAGGACAGTAAGCACAGGAATATTGTCAATTTCCTAGAGAGTTTCCTTCACGGTCTCGATTTATGGGTTGTCATGGAGTATATGGAGGGAGGCAGTCTTACAGACGTGGTCACATTTAACATCATGAGTGAGGGTCAAATTGCAGCCGTTTGCCGAGAGGTAAGTTCTTTTATACTATCTTACCGATGCAGTCTCATCCTGTTTCTTTGTTTTCAAATGCTGACATGCTTAAAATAGACACTCGGCGGACTTCAGCACTTGCACTCCAAGGGTGTTATTCATCGTGATATCAAATCTGATAACATCCTTCTCTCATTGGATGGTAACATTAAGCTGAGTGAGTGTCCCTTGAGCTGTCTCTTTTTTCCAAATTCTACTTCTTCCGATGTCCCAAATTAAAGCACAAAACTAACCATTTTGCAGCCGATTTCGGTTTCTGTGCCCAAATCAACGACTCTCAAAATAAGCGCAACACCATGGTCGGAACACCATACTGGATGGCCCCTGAAGTTGTCACCCGCAAGGAATACGGTCGCAAGGTTGATATCTGGAGTCTGGGTATTATGGCTATTGAGATGATCGATGGCGAGCCACCATACTTGACGGAGTCGCCGCTTCGCGCTCTATACTTAATCGCCACAAATGGTACCCCCACCATCAAAGATGAGCATAACTTGTCATCAACGTTCCGGGACTTCCTACACCTTGCCCTCAAGGTGGACCCGGAGAAGCGAGCTTCTGCTCACGACCTCCTTAAGGTATGTAATTTTACTTCCCCAGTCCATTATTTACAGCGATTAACCTCCTTCTAGCACCCATTCATGTCTATCTGCTCACCATTGTCGCACCTCGCCCCTCTGGTCAAGGCAGCTCGCCATAGCCGTGCCCAGGAGAAGGCACAGAAGACTAGCCCTTAAGATATTTATATCTTAGTCCCCCGCTGGTTCAGTTCTTCCCACTTCTTTTCTTGATCCCTTTTTCTTGATCACTATTTCCGTCTCGTTCAGATACCCCTCACATCACTCGATGCTTCTTCTAGATCCCATACCGACCCGCCTATCGTGTCGTAGTCCCGTTCCTATACCGATTTTGTTTAACCTTTTATTTCTTGATGAACATCCCTTTGTGATGAAAATGATCTGATCTCGCAAGCCTTTTTTGGACTCCGACCTTATTTCCCCCCTCTCCTCCCTGGTGTATTTCCTTTGGATCTTAGTTTATGCAAAGGCACGTGCGTGTCCCGTGTCTTACCACTGCTTTCCAACATTTGAACTCCATCCCTTATAGTATCTCAATCTGGTCTTATGTGGTATTTTGGGCGCGACTCCCAGTTTTCCTCTCACTGTCTTATATTTGTTTTTCAGCCTCGTGGGTTTTTAAAATTATACCTAGGTACCGCCATATGACATTTGCCAGTGGTTTTGTATTCAAGCCATACCTAGGATTTTATTGAAGGCGTATATTGAAGATTCTGCTACATAGCCTTTTCAATTTGCGTTTAAGTCAAGTACTTGGAGCTGGAAGCGTTGTATTTGATTTATCTCATGTGTCACTTTGAAGCTCTTCAAGTGTTGCTGGAACTACTGCTGAGTTCATTCAATATCATGTATTTCTCAGTACATGTGTACTAGCACTTAAGTAATGCCAAATATCACAAAATTATTCAAATATTCAAGCTCCGAGTCTTTGACGCTTATGTGTATCTAAGGACCCGTGGACTCGAATAATCAACCTTGGAATTGATGAAGCCACCTGGGCATCTTGGAATTTGTGCTACTGTGTAATAGCAGGTGGCAGCGTCCACGGGTTTTGAATTAACATAGGACCCTAGTATTCCTGGCCCTTAATCATTTCTAATTTTCAAGGTTTGTTGGTGTGATATCAAGCAATGCCCAGGTGGCTCCTACTATATACTACTAGTAGTATCCATGTACTTCAAAGTGTTCGCACATACGCATTTTTTGGGACGGAGTAGTGGGGGTATATATACTCAGCCACAAGTCAACAGGCAAATCAGAAGTGTAAAAAAGCCGGAGCCTGCCAGGTGCCACTGCTAGTGGTACTCCATGCTATGTATTAGCAACAAATGCAGATTTCAAATTTTCATTGCACCTACTGCACATGCACTACTAGATCTATTTTTCTGTAAAATCTTAAAATAATCATCCCTACTACAGGGCTATTTTGTCTGAGCTCCACACCTGGAGCTCTCCACCTGCCAGTGCCCGGGCACCATCGTCATTGCTGACTCAGGAACCACTACCGCCTCCAGGACACAACATTGGCAACCTAGAGGCCATTTCTACTCAACTCACCAGTCCAGAACCTGAACTTGGAAGAGATATTGGAAATAGCAAACATCTAGTTATTCCGAATCCCCTCCTCACTTCCCAACTCTGTTCTCTTCACGTCAACCCGACTCGCAGTTAATTCGCAAGTTAACACAAACCAACTCCCCGCATCGAGCGCTCGACCAGCCATTCGCAGGACCCGCGGAACACTATTTGCACGTTCCACATCACCTGCACCGAAACTTCAAGCTGCATTCGTTCTGCGCAGATACGATACACGTATTCCTTGGCCCTCTAGGTGCAACCCCTGACAGCAGTTCGACCCAAGGCCCAGAACCGGTGCCCAACTTCCCTCCTTCTCGTTACGGCTTGCCCTTTTCCGGGCTAGGATAGTAGCGATGTTTCGCGCACAGCAGAATGCTTTCGATGATGCGGTCGGTACGTTTATATCCTCATTACAACCTTACTTCGCTTTTCTTTTACCTGGGTGGTCTATGAGGACCGTGAAGACATGATAATAGGAGTATGGGGTTGCGGGAATGCACACCAGTGAGGATAGATTACTGACATGAACTTCATTATTTAGCCAAGGCGACGGACGAGAACTTGACCTCCGAGAACTGGGAATACATTCTGGTGCGTGGTTTCAATATCGCGCCGAGTGCGACTCAGCGAGCATGGGACATACGAAGCTGATGATGATCTTTTGCGATTTAGGATGTCTGTGATAAAGTTGGTGCTGAGGAATCAGGGTACGTGAATAATTGTGTTGGAAGTGAGAACTGCCTGAGTGAGGAGGCCGTATGCTAATTTTCTTGTCCGATGAATAGCGCAAAGGAGGCGGTTGCTGCCATGATTAAGAGACTGGCGCATAGAAATGCCAATGTGCAACTTTATACTCTTGAGGTGCGCAAAATGCATATACTTGCCTTTGACAAACTTCGTGGTTTGGTGTGTTATACTGACTTGAATATTTCAGCTGGGTAATGCCCTCTCTCAGAATTGTGGCCCTAAAATCCATCGCGAGTTGGCATCGAGGAGCTTTACAGATGCGCTTTTGCGCCTGACAAATGACCGAGTAAGACATTTTCGATGTCATGGGGGTGTGGTATACTTTGCTAATCTTGGGGGTGTCGGTAGAACACGCATCAACAAGTCAAGTCTAAGATCTTGGAGCGCATGGAGGAGTGGACTGAGATGTTCTCATCGAACCCTGATTTTGGGATCATGGAACAAGCGTATATGAAGCTGAAGTCTCAGAGTAAGACATGAAATTGATCGAGACTACGTCGAACCCAGCTAACTCTTTTGTAGACCCTAATCTGCAGCCCCCATCTAAGCCTGTCAAAAGTGCGATCACGGACATCGACCGGCAGAAGGAGGAAGAAGAATTGCAGATGGCTCTGGCTCTCTCTGTTAAGGATAAAGCTCCCCCCAATTCCTACAGCCCAGGCTGGGCCATCTGCGGCGGCTGCAGCCGCGGCCGTGGCCGCAGCGCCTAGACCTGAAACGAGCACCCCTGCAGCTGAGCTTCAGGCTGCGGCCTCTGGCCCTGTCCCATCAGGTACCTCAGCCGCTACTGTATCGCGCGTCCGAGCTCTCTTCGACTTCCAACCTTCCGAGCCTGGCGAGCTTCAATTCCGCAAGGGTGATATCATCGCTGTCCTGGAATCCGTCTATAAAGATTGGTGGAAGGGTTCCTTGAGAGGGCAAACCGGAATCTTCCCTCTTAACTATGTTGAGAAACTATCGGATCCAACAGTTGAGGAGTTGCAGCGTGAAGCCCAAATGGAAGGCGACGTCTTTGGCCAGATTAAAAACGTTGAGAAACTTTTGACATTGCTAAGCACCCGAAGCTCCGACCTTAATGTCCAGGAGAATGAAGAGATTACAACTCTTTATCATTCCACCCTTGCTATCCGGCCAAAGCTCATTGAATTGATTGGAAAGTACTCACAGAAGAAAGGTCAGTATATTCCTGGGTTGAGTTCAAAATTTGTACTGATGCTCATTCTTTTCACCTCTTTTCAGATGAATTCACCCAGCTCAACGAAAAGTTTATTAAGGCCCGCCGCGACTACGAGTCACTGCTGGAGGCTTCTATGACACAGCCGGCACAGCCTTATGGAAGACCTGGCCAGCCGCAGTATGGTTATCCAGGTGCTGCCCCCGGTGGCCCGGCTGCATACCCTGCACAGCCAGATCAGCGATACCTTAGCCCTCGGCCTCAAGGTTAGTTGGATTCCATAGCTTACTACTATCATGACTGAAGTATTTTAACCAATATGAATAGATTCTCAGCCCCAACAATCGCAGCCAAATGCCTACTACGGTGCCGCTGGTGCGGAGCAGACCATGCCGTATCGCCCTGCATCTCATTCTCCCGATGCTCGAGCCCAGTTTGCCGGAGGAGTGCCACCTCAGCAACAACCGACACCGCAACAGGCACCACAGTCTGACCCTTACCAACCCGTGCACCACCGTCCTCAATCTACATACGATCACCCACAGGAGCTAGGAACTTCTGTATACGACTCGCCCGTGGAGCACCCGACCGGACAGCGTCCTGGCTACCCTCCTAACGGCCAGGTACCTCCAGCTAGTCACCAGCAATATCCACAGGCGCAGCAATCGCAAGGACAGGAATACTCCCCATCGGTCTACGAAGACTCAGCTCAACAGGTGCCACCTGCATCTCAATACCCACCCCAGCAACAAACCCAGCATCCCCCCTACCCCAATTCTCCAGCTCCTCATCAACCCCCATCAGCACAGCCCCCTGCCCAGTACACTGCCTTTAATCCCACGACTTCTGCACCCGCTGCTGGAGAGTACCAGCCATACCAGGCTCCCCAAGGCGGCGTGTCTACATCGAATCCTGCTTCTTTCTACAGATGATCTTAGTTTTTGGGTTGCTTGAACGGGGGTTGATAAATCAGTGGACTGATTGATATTCCTTGCATGCTTTGGATGCTTGTTGTTTCCTCCTTGCTAGGCCGTTCCCTGTTGACTACATTTAACCGCTCATTTACCCTTGGTCCATGTTGTATGTTTTCAGTAAATAGTCTCTTATACCTCAATCCATTCTCAATGCGATGAATTCACTGAAATATTTATTCACTTACAAACTTTGTACTGGTAATTCTAGGTGTCCTTCAAGTGAAACCCAGTATGTAGACTTAAGGCTTTCAGGTTAAAATTTGATAGAGCAACTTTTGTTACCTTCCTACTTCAACACTAAAACACACGCTCTCAGATCTCATTTCCACGCGAAGGGACAAAGCGGTCAAACGTGCCAGTTAAGGTTTACATCAATCGCCACGTGACCTGACACCTCAGGCTAAAATAAGTAGTCATGTGACCATCAACGGCTTCACAAAGTCACAACGTTATCATCAATCACCACGTGACAAGCTCGACACCTCAGTCCTCGAACCCTACAGCACCATACCCGTGGACGACAACAAGCTTGCTGTTGTTCCCGATTGCGGAGGTGTCATCTCTGAGCTGGAGTTAACATCAGACGCAACCCTTCACACAACCACGTGGTGTTGAATCTACACTCTTTCGATCACGATAACCTCAGATCATACTACCGAATATCATCCCGAATCTGCTGCCCAATAGATTGATTCCCCGCAATCGCGTCCTCCCCTCGCAGGCGATGCCCGGCCCTGCCGCATTGCCACAAGGGTGAAGGGCATATCTGCTGAATTAATCAAAGAAAAAAACAACAATTTCAACGGCAGTTTCTAAATTTGGTATCATCTGGACGCTTGCCCGGCTTTAGGCCGTCATCATGGAAGCAGATTGGGATGAGCTGTCGCGTATCCCCATGCCGCCGCCGAGCGCGCATGGGATGCCCACAAATGCGACTGCTGTTGCATTTGACGATGTAATGGAGCTCTTATGGACGGGAAATGAATATGTGAGTACAAATATGTGCCTTTGAATTCAATGTTTGGTTTGAATTTACTTTTGAGAAAGAGCACTGGGCTGATTGTGTTTTTTTTCTTCTTTTCTAAATTAGGGCCGTGTCACTTCTTTCTATGGTCCCGAACTCCAGCGATACACCTCAGTGCGTGCGCATCCTGTCGCTGAAGGTATGGTTCGGCAAATTATCTTTCACGACCGTGGTGTGATCTCCTTGTCTTCGAAGAGCGTGCATATGATTACTCGACGCGGTTTGACGCAGTGGCACATCTCGCATGATGAGATGGTTGATCTTCGCTGCATGAGTTTCACGGCACAGACGAATCGAATTCTTGTTGCAGGATGCCAGCGAGTCATGTTCACCATTGACATTGACAAGGGAGTTATCGTCGACAAGTTGCCGACTGAACATGACTACACGATTATGAAGAAGAGTCGGTATCTCTGTGCCGCTACAGATTCGGGATCCGTAAACGCCCTTAGCCTTGCGGACTTTAGTGTTGTCAAATCATGGAAGGCCCATGGCACTGCCATTAATGACATGGACGCGCGGAACGATTTACTGGTAACCTGTGGCTTTTCCGTCCGACAACTTGGCTCTCCGATTGTTGACCCATTGGCAAATGTCTATGATCTCAAAACATTGTCCCCATTACCTCCCATTCCTTTTCATGCTGGGGCCGCCTATGTGCGGATGCACCCAAAGTTGCACACAACAAGTTTTGTGGCATCACAAACTGGGCAGCTCCAAGTTGTGGATCTTATGAATCCCAATGCCGTCAATTTGCGACAGGCTAATGTTTCTCTGATGCTTGGTCTCGAGCTTTCGCCATCAGGAGAAGCCTTGGCCATCAACGATGCAGAGTGTTCCATTCACCTCTGGGGGTCACCGTCAAAGATCCACTTCAACGAGCTAAGCAAAGAGCCTGAGTTTGCAGATGTACCCACACGACCACCACCGATTGACTGGTCGCCTGAAACCCCGTTGAATATGGTTGGAATGCCCTATTATCATGACCGCCTTTTCTCCGCATGGCCTAGCCATCTCATGTTCGAGGTTGGCAGCCCCCCTGCACTTCTGGACCAATCCTTGCTTCCATATCTTCGCCCGGCAGAAGTAGGTCACCACGCCCCCAATCCTCGGAAGACGCGTCGATACCAGGTTGAGAATACTCGCGCTCTGACTACAGCGGAACCGGCTCTCATTGCCCCTAAATTCTTGAGTGAAAAGGCCCGCGATCACAGCAAATCCAAGTCTGAGAGCTCTATCACCGATGCAGCTGAGGCACTCGCCGGTGCCAAGATCAATGGTGAAAGTGACGACGATCCTCTCCTGAAATACAGCAATGTCGAAATCAAGTACAGTCGGTTTGGTGTTGACGACTTTGACTTCCGGTAAGAATATTCTTTTATAATCTTTGTTATACAGAATTTCAATTTGCTGACAATAAATTAGCTTCTACAATAAGACCCAATTTTCTGGCCTCGAAACTCACATCTCCAACTCCTTCACCAACTCCCTCCTTCAACTATTCAAGTTCATCCCTCTTTTCCGAAACCTTGCCCTTCAACATGCGGCCGGATCCTGCATCTTCGAGAACTGTTTGCTATGTGAACTTGGATACCTTTTCGACATGCTGGAGAAAGCCAACGGCCAGAACTGCCAGGCGACCAATCTGCTGAAAACATTCAGTAGCTTTCGCGAGGCTTCAAATCTCGGACTTCTCGAAGAGAACCTTACCAACAAGTCTTTGTCTACCGCGATCCAAGCCGTGAATCGGTTCTTCTTGACACAGATAGCACATGATTTCCGCACGATACAGCCTAGCTCAGAGGAGCTGGAGCAGCGGCTTGCGACGATTGCTTCTGAATCCATTCGATGCATGTTCTGTCAAAATGAGACAGTACGACCAGGGAACTCTCTGGCCAATGAACTTTTGTACCCGAACATGGATCCTAATCCTAATGTGAAGAACTCTCGACGCAATCCGGCCTTCCGATTCTCAAATATCTTGCGGGCAAGCATTGAACGCGAAACAACAAACCGAGGATGGTGTAATTACTGCCGTCGCTACCAGCAGGTCATTATCCGGAAAACAATCCGCAGAATGCCTCTTGTGTTGATGTTGAACGCCGCAGTTGCAAACAATGCACCCTGTCGTCGTCTCTGGTCTACCCCTGGGTGGCTACCCGACTCAATTGGTATTGTCATTGACAATGGCCAAGTGATGTGCTTTGAAGGTGAAGATCTCCGACTCCGCATTCAGAACAATACCCCCGGTTTGATCATTTATGATCTCGTTGGACTTGTTTCGGAGATCGATGTCCCCGAGCACCAAAAGCCGCATTTAGTGTCTTTTGTTAATGTATCGATTTCGGACCGAGAGCAACAAGAACAGAGCAAATGGCACCTCTTCAATGACTTCTTGGTCACAGAAGTGGATCGCGATGAGGCATTGCGATTTACACAGCCGTGGAAGCTGCCATGTGTGCTGGCTTTCCAGGTACGCGATGCTCGCCACGCCGTCGATGACTCATGGAAGAAGAACCTGGATACCACTTTGCTTTTCCGCGAGTGGTCTCTGAATGGTGGCCATCAAGTTGAGTCTTGTCAAGCTCTGGCTGAGGACGAGAAGCCGCAAACTGGAACCCCCGTGGCATTGGATACTGAATTTGTCGATCTCGAGAAAGCGGAGATCGATGTGAAAGCCGACGGATCACAGGAAATGGTTCGACCTAACAAAAGTGGTCTTGCTCGAGTTTCCGTACTGCGTGGTTCGGGTATCAAGGAAGGTGTCCCTTTCATCGATGACTACATCACCATCCGGGAGCCGATCGTCGACTATGTCACCCAGTACTCTGGTATCAAGCCAGGCGACCTGGACCCAAGAACAAGTGAGCACAACCTCGTACCACTCAAAGCCGCTTACAAGAAGCTGTGGCTACTTCTTAACCTTGGCTGTGTGTTCGTGGGTCATGGTCTGGCCTCGGATTTCCGGAAAATCAACATCCAGGTACCGAAGTCTCAGACCGTCGATACACAGTATCTCTTTTTCCATCCTAGCAAAAACCGCCGTCTTAGCTTGCGTTATCTCGCCTGGGCCGTGTTCAAGGAGTACATCCAAGAAGAACCAAACCCAGATACCGTGCAAGGCCACGATTCAATCGAGGATGCACGCATGGCCATGCGTCTCTGGAAAAAATTCCAAGAATTCGAAGACGCAGGTGTTGCTGCCCAAATGCTGGAAGAAATCTTCCGCGAAGGTTCCAAGCATGGATTCCGCCCACCACCCAAGAATGGCGGCTCTGTAGCCACTGTTCTCTCCCGCCCCGGCACTGCTGTTACCATGCAGAATAACAGCGGCCGCAATACCCCCTCTACTCCCGATGCTGGTGCATCCACACCAGCTGTTGCTACAACAAATACTAGCACAGCCAATACCGCACCTCCAAGCGCCCCAACTACCCCACGCCAGGCTTTCCGTCGATCGATCGCTCTCACACCAAGTAATACTAGCTTCTCCGGACCTGGTGCGGCGGATTTCTTCGGTGGGAGTCCCTTGCGCTAGGTTGTTCTTTGCTTTTGATTACGATGTCTGCATGATGTCAGATTAAGCCTTTCCTTCTCTCCATAGCATGGAAATACATTTAACTTGAAACATCAATGTTCTCCAAAAGAATTCGTCGTGTAGTCTAATTATGGGTACATTTCGTGCCTGAGTAGCAGTAACCAATGCCAGTGGCATGCGCAGTAGCGATGAATAAGAAATAGCAAAGAAGGAGGGGGAGAGTCAAAAAAAGAGCCACACACTTTTGTTTTTGATTTGCTCTGATGCATGTGTATTCACATATTCAGAGTGCAGGAAGATGGCCGATGAATGTTCTACATTAAAGGATTTGCATGATATTTCAGGCGGATTCCGTCTCATATGTACTATCTGCACGTGCACATCTTGACCTAATTACTTACTTGCGACGTATTATTCGTCCGTAGTTACTATATAAATTTAGCACTTGTATAGCGTCTCACATTTACGCAGCAATTCACCAAATTGAATACGCCATGCATACCCCAAAGCGTCTCAATACGGTATACCTTGGAGCTCACTCTGAGAAGGCAGCGGTCAACTGGTATTTCCGCACATAGTGGGGAATGACGTGGATCCCTGATTCCCGCCAACACGACTTTCGTCTTTTCTGAACATCTCTCTATTTTCTCCATTCACGATTCTTTTTGTCCCCTTCTGTCTTTCAGGGATCTGGAAATAGATTTCCTGATTCAAGCCTGTCGTCCTTTTTCTTTCAACCACGGACGAAACGAAAACACCCTCCTTTGACCTCCCCTAGTACCTACCCCGCCGTCCCCACCACAATCTCAAATACCACCGATCCAACACCGATCCAATGTCTAAGAACCGCGTGAAGAACGTTGGTTATGAAGACGATGACTTCTATGATGACGATGGCTACGATTCGCCTGATCCCGAAGAGCAGGAGCACCTGAAGCGGTGCACACATGAGGTTTCGTCGCATCTTCGGACGGGACAACCATCTGTGACTGCCTCGAAAGAGGAGATCCAAGAGGCGTTATGGCATTACTACAACGACGTGGAAAAGACCGTCAACTACTTAAGAGGTAATTGGAAAACTTCCTGAGCTCCCTACACGACTTTTTGAGTCATGTTGCGCTGCCAAACAAGAATTACTCACTGACCGCTGCCTAAATATAAAGGCAAAAAAGAGAAGGAAGCTCAGAAGGAACAAGCAACAGCTTCTGCATTAAAGACTAAGGTGCAAGGTAAGCTCTAAAATCATTGGAATATCCTGGTTTTCTCGGTGGTGTTGTGGCTGGGCTCGGAAGAACAAGTGGCTTGTCAGCTTCAGAGTCGGATGTGGATATTATTATATGATCAATGTATCAAAGAGGGTGGGTTATAGTCTGCTCCTAAGTTTTGTTCTAAAAGTTTGATTTGAATTGCTCAGAGCTTGGCAACTAACTCATCGAAGTGTGGGAAAATATTCTAACAGGTCTCCCAGTGCCGGTATATCCAGCGACTGCGCCTCGTCCAACCTCCCATTTCTCGGCGGCTGAATTCTTCCGCGATTGTCCCTGGCTCAATGTCCCTGCCCACCGCAAAGCCGAGATCCTAGTGGAACCACTTTATCCTCGACTTGGGCTTTTGGGTGGTGCACCGGAAGCCAAGAAGGGCTCTAAACTTGCTGCGTTGGCTGCTGCACGAAAAGCGAAAGCGAGCGGACAGAGCACCCCTGCATCGGAGTCGTCGGCTTCGCAACCTGAAACTGCACCTGCAGATAAGCCAAAGCTTTCGTTACAAGAGAGGCTTGCGGCGAGTAGCAGATCTCCTAAGCCCACTGAAGGCCTCGCAGGCTTACGGCGACTGGGAAAGCCATCGCCTGCAGTATCTTCAGCTCCCTCCCCAGCCCCTTCAGAGTCACCTGCGCCTGCACGGGTTGAGGAGACGACTATCAAACAAGTCGACCTGGGGCCTCCGCCAAAGGCTGATCTACGAGCGCCATGTTCTGTCTTCGCCACGGCTCTTATTGGCAAAGAAACCAGACCAAAAATCACCGAGCCAAACCAAGGACGACCGATGATTGTGAACTTTGATGAAATTTATGGACACCATACTGAACATTTTGACTTTTCAGGCCCTAGCCCCGACGATGTCATACTCAAAGCTCAAAGCGCATCTCAAGGTTTGGCGCTCCGCAAAAAGGAATAAAACAAATTTCCTAATACAATGCAGGGATGAAGTCGAAGTCGAAGGCCGGTGCCGCGAAGGATGCCAGCAAGAAAGGCCAAGCTGATCTTGCCGGTGGGATGAACAAGCTCTCAGTCGAGGAGAAAGTTACTGTCAAAAGCAAGAACTTGGATGTCCTTGCTGAATACAACAAGTCTAAACGGAAGCGATCTGCGAATTTTGTGGTGATTGGTGAGTTATCTGCTATACCTCCTGCGAGAGATTACCTCGAAACTTTGTCAAATTGAATACATTGTCTAACTAGTTTACAGGGCATGTCGATGCCGGAAAGAGTACATTAATGGGTCGGTTGTTGGCAGATCAAGGTGCGATCGACCAGCGAACATTGGACCGATATCGCAAAGAGGCGGAGAAGATTGGAAAGGGATCATTTGCCCTGGCATGGGTATTGGATCAGGGTTTTGAGGAGCGTGCACGGGGAGTGACGATTGATATTGCGACAAACAAGTTCGAAACCGAGAATACTGCTTTTACGATTGTTGACGCACCGGGTCATCGTGACTTTGTGCCTAACATGATTGCTGGTGCTAGCCAGGCAGACTTTGCAGTCTTGGTAATTGATTCTAGCGTTGGAAAGTTCGAGTCGGGACTCAAGGGCCAGACTAAAGAGCATGCTTTGCTTGTTCGCAGCATGGGAGTTCAGAAGATCGTGGTGGCTGTCAACAAGATGGATACTGTTCAGTGGGACAAGGACCGCTTCGAAGAGATCGAACAACAAATTTCAGCTTTCCTGACCACGGCAGGCTTTCAATCCAAAAATATCTCTTTCGTGCCATGTTCAGGTGTCCTGGGAGACAACATCAGCCGACGCAGTGAAGGCGCCCATGGTTCATGGTACACTGGACGAACTCTGATTGAAGAGCTGGAAACCTCGGAGCCTTACACTCACGCACTCGATAAGCCCTTGCGAATGACTATTGGTGATGTTTTCCGTGGTGGTGTTCAAAGTCCGATTTCAATCTCGGGTCGTCTGGATGCAGGCAGTTTACAAGTTGGCGACCAAATCCTGACCATGCCCAGTGGTGAGTCGGCATTAATTCGCAGTATCGAGGTTGATGGAGAACCGAATGATTGGGCTGTAGCGGGTCAGAATGTGGTACTGAATCTGGCGAATATTGATCCTATTCACTTGCGCTCCGGTGATGTCGTCTGTCGCTCATCGTCGCCAATTCCTACGATTACTACATTTACCGCTAAGGTCCTGGCATTTGAGCACCTTATGCCTATGCTTGTGGATGTGCACCGTGGTCGTCTTCATGTACCCGCCCGGATTAGCAAGCTGGTTGCTTCTCTGGATAAAGCCTCAGGTGCAACTATCAAGAAACGACCGAAGATTGTGTCTCCGGGTACGGTGGTACGCGTGGTTGTTGAGATGGATACAGCTGTCCCACTCGAGGCACCTACTCGGGTTGTGTTGCGCACTGGGGGATCGACTGTGGCTGCCGGGTTATTGGAATAGATAGCGGTCAACCATGAAAGCAAGGAGCAAACAAGAATAATACCCAATATCACCCTATCAATCATCTACATTGTATTTTTTTTTTTCCAGAGCTATCTCTATATTACTGTCAACAATATGGAGTTTAGTACATATACTACTTCATCATGATAATACTAGTAGAGTCGGGCATAATATGGTGAATTGTCCTTAGAGTGTCCTTAGTAAGTGACCCTGCGGCTCCGGTGATCCTGGTTTAGTTCGAGAGCCCCAACATTTGAATGTATATGTGTTCATTTAGGTATTTCCAGTTCCAATTACTCATAAATCCTATGATATAATGACCCAAGTTGCCACCTAAGCCAATTCTATAAGTATTAGTTATTCTTGTATACGTGTCCAGCTCCATTATATCCTTGTGGATCTCCAGTTTTAATAGTTTCGGTCATTTTCTTCTAGTAATTTCGATTGGTTTGACTGGTTAATAGACCCACTTTTATAACATTATCCACCAATGATCATGCGAGAAGTCACCTGAACCCCGTGCACTGAAAAGGACAGCATGGCGCTATTCGAACCCTTAATACAAGTAACCCTTCACCTCGCTCATTCCCTTCTTTCTCCATCCTCCCCAGTCGACAAACCCAACCCACTTTTTAAAGGGTCTTGAGTACAACACTTTAACTTGTGTTGAACTCATTGAAGCTTTGGATTGCACCAGCTTCTTTTTTTTTTCCCATTGGGGTATTTTGGAGTGAAAGATCTTTTTTGAATTTCATACACACATCGCAATGGCCCGACTCACGAGCCGCGATGGTGCCTCCAAGGCTTTCTCTTGGACCACTGTCTTTTACCTTCTTTTGGTTCTGATTGCGCCTATGGCCTTGTTCAGCTCCACTGCTCACGCCGAGGAGAACGCCACCGATGAATATGGCACTGTTATTGGTATTGATCTGGGAACCACCTACTCGTAAGGCTTCCTTTATCTTGGGCTACTATCTCATTCAATTGAGGTCAAATGACACGTTGCTAACTACTTCCTACAGTTGTGTTGGTGTTATGCAGAATGGCAAGGTCGAGATTCTCGTTAACGACCAAGGAAACCGTATCACTCCCTCTTACGTGGCCTTTACCGATGAGGAGCGTCTTGTCGGTGACGCCGCTAAGAACCAATACGCCGCCAACCCCACCAACACTGTCTTCGATATCAAGTGAGTAGCGAGAGGACAACATCATCTTAGGGAATATGTGAAAACTAATGTACCAATAGGCGATTGATTGGTCGCAAGTTCGATGACCGTGATACCCAGAAGGACGCCAAGCACTTCCCCTTCAAGGTTGTCAACAAGGATGGCAAGCCCAACGTCAAGGTTGAGGTCAACAACTCCCCTAAGGTCTTCACCCCCGAGGAGGTCTCCGCCATGATTCTCGGCAAAATGAAGGACATCGCCGAGAGCTACCTGGGCAAGACTGTTACCCACGCCGTCGTTACCGTTCCCGCCTACTTCAACGATGCTCAGCGTCAAGCCACCAAGGATGCTGGTACCATTGCCGGCCTGAACGTCCTCCGTGTTGTCAACGAGCCTACCGCTGCCGCTATCGCCTACGGTCTGGACAAGACCGGTGATGAGCGCCAGGTCATCGTCTACGATCTCGGTGGTGGTACCTTCGATGTTTCCCTTCTGTCTATCGATAACGGTGTTTTTGAGGTTCTGGCTACCGCTGGTGACACCCACCTTGGTGGTGAGGACTTTGACCACCGTGTCATGGATTACTTCGTTAAGCTCTACAACAAGAAGAACGACGCCGATGTCGCTAAGGACCTTAAGGCTATGGGTAAGCTGAAGCGTGAGGTTGAGAAGGCCAAGCGTACTCTGTCTTCCCAGATGTCTACCCGTATCGAAATCGAGGCTTTCCACAACGGCGATGACTTCTCCGAGACTCTGACCCGCGCTAAGTTCGAGGAATTGAACATTGATCTGTTCAAGAAGACCCTGAAGCCTGTTGAGCAGGTTCTCAAGGACGCTAAGGTCAAGAAGTCTGAGGTTGATGATATTGTTCTTGTTGGTGGTTCTACTCGTATTCCCAAGGTCCAGGCTCTTCTCGAGGAGTTCTTCGGTGGCAAGAAGGCCAGCAAGGGTATTAACCCTGATGAGGCTGTTGCTTTCGGTGCTGCCGTCCAGGGTGGTGTCCTGAGCGGTGACGAGGCCACTGTTGATGTCGTTCTTATGGATGTTAACCCTCTTACTCTCGGTATTGAGACCACTGGCGGTGTGATGACCAAGCTCATCCCCCGTAACACTGTCATTCCTACTCGCAAGTCGCAGATCTTCTCCACTGCGGCTGACAACCAGCCCACCGTGTTGATCCAGGTGTTCGAGGGTGAGCGCTCGATGACCAAGGACAACAACCAGCTCGGCAAGTTTGAGCTGACTGGCATTCCTCCTGCTCCTCGTGGTGTTCCTCAGATCGAGGTCGCCTTTGACCTGGATGCCAACGGTATTCTCAAGGTTAGCGCCAGTGACAAGGGCACTGGTAAGGCCGAGTCCATCACTATCACCAACGACAAGGGTCGCCTCACCCCCGAGGAGATCGAGCGTATGGTCCAGGAAGCTGAGGAATTCGCCGAGGAGGACAAGGCGATCAAGGCCAAGATTGAGGCCCGTAACGGACTGGAGAACTACGCCTTCAGCCTGAAGAACCAGGTCCAGGACGATGAGGGTCTTGGTGGCCAGATCGATGAGGACGACAAGCAGACCATTCTGGACGCTGTCAAGGAGGCTGTTGACTGGTTGGAGGACAACGCCGCCACTGCCACCGCCGAGGACTTCGAGGAGCAGAAGGAGCAGCTCTCTAGTGTCGCTTACCCCATCACTAGCAAGCTGTACGGCTCTGCTCCTCCTCCTGAGGATGATGAGCCCTTGGACCATGACGAACTGTAAAATTATCTTTTGAGGCATATTACCCATGGAGTTTAGTACTTGATTTTCTTTTTTGTTCCCGAATCTGTGAGGTGGTATCCCTCACTTGAGTCAATCGACTCTTTCAATACCATGATACCTATACATTGAATGCAACTGTTCTCATCTATACTTATCTCCTTGTACCTTTGATAGAGATGAATTTCTAGCTATTCATAATTTTTTATGTAAATGAACAAATACTCCGTACAACGCGGCATAGTTAAAGGAAATCTATATCTCAAGTCTAATCCAACCTTTAGTTACCCTGGGCAATAACCTCTTTAATAGTATCAGCCACAACCTGATGATCATCCTCTTGCTTCAACCCACTAACAACAACAACCGCAACAACCCCATCGACCCCACGAACTCGAATAGGGTATCCACCACCATGAATAGCATACTCATCCGCAACAGCACCGCCATTGGCACTAGCGAGCGCAAACTTCTTCACAAAGGCACTCTCAACCTCATTCGCAGAAGCCGAAGCCCCGAGTCCAGAGATAACCTTCTGTCGCATCGCCCAGCTCGAAACACCCCATCGAAGAACTGTATTCCGCTTGCGACGAACCCAGTTCTCGTTATCGGGGATTGTCCCGCTCTCTGTCACAGCTTGGAATACCACGTGTAGTGGGGTTCCGCCACTTGTGGCGGTTGCGAGCGCGATGGAGATTAAGGCGGGCTTGCGGGTTCCTTCTGGCAAAGAGAGGATCCGGGTTCGCAGAGCTGTGCCGAGTGTCCAGGCTGTGCTTGCGGTGAAGGATTGGAAGGTTTGTTCGGGGCTTGTTTCTTGGGCGATCAGGACTTGGGGCTGTGGGGGATTAGTTGAGTATTGATGTTTTGTAGCTTGGGGAATGGGTAATTGACTTACGTCCGTGCTGGGGGCAGCGAGGGCCATGGTGAGTAAATGGAGTTGGAGTGTAGTAGATGTAGAAGAGAAGGCGGGGTGGTCCGGGGATATGTGGCGGAGAGAATAGAAGATTATGTAGTAGAGCCGGGGTAGGGTGGAGTATAAGGGACTGATGAGAAGATATGTGAAAATGCCAGTAAATTCAAGACATCAATTGACCGGATAGAACCATCTAGTCATATTTATAATCTTCACGAGTCACGAGTCCAAAGGTCCACCTGTATAGGTTGGAAGGTCCAGTCGAGAAGTGGATCGGTCAATGCCCGATTTATCTCCGTCGTATGGACCAAGCCCCGCAATCATCTCCGCATAGTTTCTAGACTTCAAGTTCAATTTCCAGCTTGAAGATTGTCTTATGGCACTCTTACCTCATGCCCCCAAAACGAGCTTGCGATCCTTGTATCTCACGAAAAGTCAAATGCAGTGGCTCTTGGCCCTGCGACACCTGTCGTGATGCTGTTAAGCGTGTGGCTTGTACTTATTTGAAACCCGCGCGAAAGAGAGGTCCCAAGACTCGAAGAGGGTCCAGGGTCCAACATTTGGATCATGACGATGATAGAGAAATCCCTCCTGATGGATTGAGTGCAGAGCAGAATGGAGAGAATAGGAGAGTGAATCACATTGAGCAACTGCCCACAGGGCCCTTGACAGAGTCCCATACTCCGCATCGAATATCCAAGGCCGTGCTAGCACCAATAGTCCGCCTTTACCAGCAATATTCGTATAGCGTGTGGCCCGTTGTTAATGCAGACGTGCTTTTGGAGCGATTAGACGATGTGGTTCCAGAACATACAAGCCATGACGACGAAAACATTGCATGTCTTGTCATGGCACTCTGCGCGGCGACCATGGCGCAGTTGCATCTTGCGCCGGTGATGGATGGAACACATACAGTGGATAGCACGGCTATGGCGCAAGCCTGTCTGGGAATAAGAGCCCGCTGTGAGAGTCATCGGGAACATCTCGATATAAGCAGTCTCCTGGTCGCGTTCTTTTTGCATGTTTATCATGCGAAGGTAAATCAGCGTACATCAGCCATGATGTATATCCAAGAAGCTATCTCCGGAGCTCGGATATTACGCCTGGATGAAGCGAGATTATCGGGAGATGTGACTGGGTCTAAGGCTGATGATGACCTGATAGCAAATAAGGAACTTGTGTTTCCTTTGCTGTGGGTTTCAGAGAGGTTAGTCACTTGTACTGAAATTGTCCGTGGACATAACTAACCGAGTGTGTAGAGGGTACGCAATGCATCTTGGATTATCACCATCATACGTTGATCCACCTCCATTGGATGGCCTTGAAAATAGTCCCGATGCCGATATTCACGCTCAAGGTCTTTTGGATTTGATCAAGCTTTTTGTGGCTTTCAATCGCATCTCTGTTCGCCGGAAGTCCCAGGTCGGACTAAGTCTGATGTCAGATTTGGCTGATACTGAGACAAAGCTGTCTACCCTGCATTTGAGGCTCGCAGATAATATTTCGACCAGAACAGCAGATTGTCACATCACTCGAGAATGGATGAGAACTATCCTTTGGCAAGAGGCTCTTTCCTCTGGCCTACTCTCTTCATCGTCAGGTACCTCTTTTATGACCTTTGCTTTCCCGACACAAGTCGGTCGTGACTTGCTTCACTCGTTAAGATGCTTCTCAGAGGCGGATTTGTTGCCTTTGGGACGAGACCAGGTAAGTATATTCTTACTAAGTATACGAGACTAGTAGACCTAACCTTGCATCAGCTTTTGAAATGCTTTGAAGTTGCAAATTCGTTGGCAGATACCGTACTTCTCACCTCTGCTGGCTCACACCCAGGATTCGAGTTAACCCCTCAAGACTTTTTGCATGCCCTCTATCAGAAATTGCTGCCTTTTCTTGAGCAGGACCCAATTCTCAAATCGATTCTTCGAAACAAAACGGCGGAGGTCCTAGTCACGGCACCCGCACGACTCTTAACAAGGAAAATCGATGATCATAACTTGAATTGGAATGTCCTTCAACAGGCCTTGGATGAAAACCAGAACCAGTCGACTCTGCAAATGACTGATCCAATATTTGAAATCATAAATGAAGATTTGGCATTGGGTACAGATGATTAGATCACACTCTTTGAATTAGGCCTCCATATCATGCTCCTCCATCCCGATCATTTATTCAGTGAGTTGGACCACAATCCGACCAGCAATATCACCCTTCTCCATCTCCTCATAAATCTGAGGCAGATCTTTGAACGGGCGGACCTTGACCACAGGCTTCACAACACCTCGTCGAACCAAGTCGACTGCCTCCATACATTCCTTCAAGGACCCAACCAGATTACCAGTGATCCTCAGACCCTTGATCACAATTGTACAAATTGGCGTTTCGAGGGCGGGGCTTCCAGGTGGTATTCCAACACAGCTGAGAGTACCACCAACTCGCAACATCTCGCACGCATGAGCAAATGCCTTGGCGTTCCCCGCAGTCACGACTACTGCATGAGCTCCCAGACCAGTAATCTCGTGCACTCTCTTGATGGGATCCTCCTTTGCAAAATCGATAAATTCTTGGGCTCCAATACCCCGGACGAAGTCTGCTTTTCCTGCACCAGTGTCTACACCAATTACCAAAGCTCCCTGAGCTCGAGCATATTGAACTACATGACTTATTAACAGCTTGTCGGTATCAACCACTTGGGTAATTCTCACCTGCCAAATGCCCAAGACCTCCACCTGCGCCAACAACGACAAGCCAGTTTCCAGGTCGTACGTTTGCATTCAATACCGCCTGTCCCACAGTCAACAACCATTCTCAAAAAAAATGATCCATCTGGTAACACATACCTTATAAGCTGTCAAACCCGCACACAAAACCGGTCCCATAACCTTAGGATCAACATCATCCGGCAAGACAGTCAAGTAATCCGCATCCAAGGCAATGTATTGTTGAAAGCTACCATCTTCATGGTGCAGATGGTTCGTAGAGCTAGTGCAGTGCTGCTCTACACCAGCAAGGCAGAATTCGCAGCGTCGACAAATACGACTCGAGAACCGGATCCCAACTAGTCCACCGATCTTGATTCCTGCAGTGTGCGTGATACCTGGACCTAGGGCAACGATCTGACCGATTCCTTCGTGGCCGCCAACGTGGGGCAGTTTAATATTTGTGATTGGGGTTCCGTCTGAACCGGCTGCTGTGCCAGCCTTGGTATGGAGGTCTTTCAGAGGTTAGTAAATGCATAGTCACCTGAAAGGGCTTTTGGTTAGTATTAACCACTTTGGCAGACACCACTGTAAAGCACCTTTGCGAGAACTTCGTTGGGACCGGGAGATGGAACGGGATAGTCGGTTTTGAACTCGACTTCTCCACCGAGACTGCGCACAAGGGCGACGGTTTGTGTTTGGGGGATATCGATTGAACCCATGTTTAAGTGAGGAGTGAATTGAAAATGAACAGTCTAGAAGAATCTTGTTGAAGGGAATTAATACTTGCATCCAAGAGGAAGTGCCCTTAATTTATATCTATTCTATCACAACATTGAGTCCTTGGACTCGAGCAGACATAGTAGAAAATCAATTTGTCAAGAACTCATATGACCTCCTCACAGACCAGTCTGGTTCGCATCATCACGAACATCGACGCGGGGGTTCCTCGAGTGGCGCGTGGGATGTCACAATAACACAGAGCTTTGCATCCCTTCTCCAATTCCAATACCAACCAAAACAAATATCGCGATCCTACTTAGACCCACACAGGATCATCTGCAATGTTAGGTGCGGGGGTACGAGCTAGAGAGGTCAAGTGCATACCCGGTGGCAATATTGAAGCTGGGACGAAATCTCTCGGAGTATTATCGTATTTCTCCAGATGCTTTTCCGATTTTAGTAGGTTAGCAGAAGCTCATGTGGGGGTCATCGAGATTATGGCTCGACTGGAGAAATTAACCATCACCTAAGCTGGCGGCGATATGGGTCTATTTCTCCGAGTCATTTCTCCGTGAGTACGGAGTAGATGCAGCTCTGAAAAGTTGATTTCTCGGCATGAATGTGGGGAGGATCTGCAAGAGCTACATACATTTATGCTTTTAGATTGGTTTGAGTCGCCTATCGGCTACTACTTGTAGCACTTGAGTACCAGCTCAAGTTCAAGTTTCAAATAATATCGAGATCAGAGGAATAGATGGCAACATTTGAACCTTTTGTCATAACTCTTTCAAGTTGTCGCTAATTCTTTGTTTCGCATTCTTCTCATACTATTGAACATACCCATGGACATTTCCAAAAACTACAAATCTTGGCATCGTCATCTCATTTGGATTCAAATCGGACAAATATTGCTGACAGGCGAATTACCATCAATCCACCGGAATTGAGGTATAGTAGACCTCTTTTACTACTTGGGTTCCTGCACTTTTATTCACCGCCTGTCTTGATACCTGAGGATAGCCTACAGCTTATCTCTATACCCGTTGCCTATATCCAACAATATAACAGCTAGCTTTCTTTCCAGATAAACCTCCAGCTAACCCTGTAGGTAACCGTGTAGGTACATACATACAAAGAGGGGTCGGTCATCAGTCACATGTAGATGCTACTGACTCGGACTGAGCCATGTACTTAAGTATGTGAACACACCTGGCCAATCACTTGAGTGCTGGGGACATATCTTTCCCAATTTCAAATGCTCGCTGCTATGTACACTGGCAGTGCCGCGCGAAGCGCGGCGTGAGGACTTGTGGAGTACTACGGAGTATACAATGAGGCGTCTTTAAGATCTATCAACCAACTTGGGTATTTAAAAACACCTCTGGCATCATGGAGCAATGGATCAATAGTACCACCAGCAGTGGGCCTACATTTTAACAAAGTATACTTGAAGCTATTGCCTCCGAGTCACAATGGAGAATGGGCGTGGAACAAAATGACACCATATATATCAGGCAGCAATTACGATGTCAGCCAGTTCAGTGTCGTGTCTCCACACGGCAGAACTGAGCCAATCATAATCCCACTGGAACAGAGCACGCTGATTGGTAGAACCAGAATGGTCACATGACCAATCACGTGTCTTGAGTCCGGCAGATGTTTATGTGCGATAGTGATAGGATGAGAGAAAATCAGACTTGTATTACATGCCATCTAGACCGCCTACTACGTACAGAAAGAGTCTGTTATACGAGCCTCTTACTCAGCATATCCACCTGGGAATGTTTGCAATGAAAGCAAACAAACATGCGTCTTTGTTGAAGGCATCTGGTTTACTCTGTCCAGATCAGTCAGCTTATTAGTGGGGTCCAGATTCGATCTTCATGAAACACATCAACTTTCATGATCAACCCGAGGATCATCTACTCACTACACTCTTGGCATCAAACGGCCAATATTTGCCAACGTCATAGTCGACATGGCCTCTTTAAATGCCTTCTGGGGTCCCCAAACCTCTTATCTTAAGTAAGTTCAAACCAGGACCATATCATCCCTGCAATTAATTTGATCTAACGACTTTCAGTTTTTGTGAAGAGGTATGCTATAATTCTAGGGTTATACCTATTGTCTACCCAGTCTAACTCAGGTCACCGAGTAGGACTATGTCATCACTCGGTACGTGGCTGAGTTCATCAACACATTCAGCAGCCTTGTGTACAGTAAGTTCACATTTTGTGTGACTTAGATCACTGAAATACAAATGACGATGCATTAATGCTGATACATTGTCTGGATAGTGTTATTTGGAGTCTATGGCTTGATTCAAGTCCGCCGAAAGCCGAACGCTGGTATGCGCCGCGTTTCTTACTGCGGACTGATCGGAGTCGGCTTATGCTCAGCGGGATACCATATGACTCTCAAATATCACACTCAGATGTGTATGTTTTCCTGTCACCTTTGATATTTCTGTCCAGGTTTATGCTTACATTGAACCTCTAGCGGACGAATTGTCCATGCATCTCCTCACAACTCCACTTTTGTATCGAATTCTCACATTCCAGGCTACACCAGAACGCACCAGACTCATTGGCGCGATTCTGCTGACCATGTTCACAATTGTCATGGTTGTCCATATGGTTATGGATGAGTTTATTGTTCATGCCGTCAGTTTTGGACTGGCAGTTTGGTTGATCGCAAACCGTACTATCCGAATGATCCCTAATCAGATTCCTGATCTCTGGTTCCGGAAGAAGATCCAACGTCTTTCATTCTTTGGCTGCTGTATGTCCCCAGAACCAACCACGTAATTCATCATTGCTAACTTATTCAGTCTGCTTTCTCTTTGGCTACTTCGTATGGCTCATTGACGAGTTCGCATGTGCATCTCTCACGAAGATTCGACACGCAACCGGGTTACCCTTGGCATTTCTCTTCGAGTTCCATGGATGGTAAGTCATTTCAATCCAATAAATTGATACGTTATCTAATGAATATAGGTGGCATATTTTTACCGCCATCGGTGGTTATATCGCAGTTGTAACGGTGGACCTCATCACCTCGGGCGAAGTGCATGAAGATTCCACCGGTCGCTTGGCCTGGCCTGTTCCATTGATGGCCAAACTCGTTGAGCCAAGCCGCGAGGAAAAGAAACACGGTTGAACAGATGATTGGAGGCTTTTCTTCGCCTGGTTCGCTATGAAGACAATTTATTGCACCGTGCAGAGATCCACATCCTGTCATCCGAACTCCGACAAGACCGAGGCCAAACCCGAACAACTGGATATGCCCAACCCCTTTCACCTAGACTTTGTACATATTCTGAATTACCGCATATAGAGAAGTTGATCGTACTGTTTTATCGCTGCTCATTTCCAAATACTTGATGCTACTAGTAGTTGTAAGATTGGTGAGTATGGTTACTGTCAGTGTAGTCAGTCCAATCTATGCTCAAGCCTATGCACATGTGTATGCAAGTTATGCATGTCTTGAAACCACCGGCGGAGCCTAGATAATTAATCCCGCTCGGATCTGATAACATCGCTCATAATCCCGAGCCGAGCTCCGAGTGTTTGATCGGCAAACAGATGACAGTATGAAGAGTGAGGTATAAAGCGAACCCAAATTCTTCAAAATAACACAGACAGCACTCAAAAAACCACCTTAGCCTTGCAAGAGCCTTCTCAGCAATCCGATTCCACAAAAATCCAAGTCTGCTCACTCAAACCACCACCAAGATGTCTCTTAAGTACATCGAAGCCAGAGCAGAGCTCGAATCCCACATCGAAGCCCACATCCTCCACTCCGAACCAGCACACACACACGCCTACGAAAACAGTATCAAGAAGGACCTTCCCATAATAGCCGTTTCTCCAGTCCAGGGAAAATTCACCTCGTTACTCGTTGCCCTCCGCGGTGCACGTAATGTCCTTGAAATCGGTACATTGGGCGGATACTCCGGTATCTGGCTTGCTCGAGGACTACAAGGAAAAGGCAAACTCACAAGCATTGAAGTTGATCCCCATCATCGTGATGTTGCGATTGAGAATCTTCACTATGCAGGTTTGAAAGTCCCCGGAGATGTCGAGGTCCTTCTTGGTGCTGGACTTGATATTCTCCCGAAACTGGAGGAAGAGATCGTGCAGGGTAAACGGGAGAAGTTCGATTTTGTTTTCATTGATGCGGACTGGAAGAATCAGTGGAATTACTTTGACTGGGCGGTTAAATTGTCGAAGGGTCCTGGGTCTGCTATTTATGTTGATAATGCCGTGAAACAAATTTTGGAGAGTGGGATTGTCGGAGATCAAGAACGTGTGGATGATGCGACGGATTTGGTTGCTAAGGTCGGTGCTGATTCTCGTGTTGAGGCTACTATGTTGCAGACTGTTGGTGCAAAGAGCTATGATGGATTCTTGCTCGCTGTGGTGAAATAGAGACGGAGTTAGAGACGTGTTTACTTCCAAGGTTCGGAGGCTACGTAAAAGGTGGTTCTATTTTACATGGTCCCTACTTTGAGCTTTTCATCTACAGCATGTCCAGTATTTAGGTGAGCGTTGGATTCTCAGCAAATGCCCAATAAAATCATTGGAAGTCCTTGAAATGTCTCAAAAATAGTAGAAAATGGTAGAAAATGGTAAGAGATGCGGGTATTGATAGAAAATCACTCCTTGATGGTCGCCTCATGTGTGGATCGCGCCGGCTCAGGAGTTCCCTGGATGCCTGCGTGCTCATAGAGCTCCACATCATCAACATGCTTGGCAAAGGTCTTTTGCCCACCGAAGACCTCTTGCATTTCCTCAAGTGAGTGTTGAGATGTCTATTAAGTAATGATCAGCAATTAAGAACTAGAAAGTCACAGATAGGTGACTTGAACATACCTCTTTGATAACGAGCCAGGCATACCCCACGATTGCGTAATTGAAGATAGCAAACATCAAAAACATTCGCCACTTGATATTAGTAACTGCATGTGGGGTGACCTGAGACATCATGAAGTTGAACAGCCACTGCGAGGCTGCACCAACTGTAAGACCAACTTCTCGAGTGCGACTGGAGAAAATCTCTCCAACGTAAAGCCAAGGCAGCGGACCCCACGACATATTGTAGCTGAAGGCTTCAGCATAAGTCATGATAATACAAGCAATGCCAGCCGCCGTAGGACCCGAGGAAGTACTGTTGGAGTTGGCTGGATGAGTAGCCAGAATACATGCTATGATCAGCATGAAAGATCCCATAGCAAGTGCCCCGGCCATGAATGGGATCCGACGACCAACACGGTCCAGAACAAAGAGCTGGAATGTGCTGACACCGATTACCTTGACTAAACCAAAGAATCCGGTAACGAGTTTTGCGGAACTGCCGGCACCAACTGCTGCAAAGATTTGCGTGGCGTAGTATGCGAGGGAGGTGTTACCAGTAAGCTGTGCACAAAGTTGAATGGTGACTGCAATGAAAAGTCGGTATCGGTTCTAGAATGAAATTGTTAGCCCCCATCGTTCTTCGCCGTGTTATCGAACTTGATACTTACAGCAGGGAGGAATAGTTCCTTGAATGTAAGGTTCTCCTTGATTCGAGCTTCCTCCTCAAGACCAGCCAGAATTTCCTGGAACTCTTGATCTAGCTCCTCAGTCTCCTCACCACCACGAACCCACTTCAAAGACTCGCGTGCCTTTTCCAGTCTACCTTTCGAGGCAAGCCAACGTGCACTTTCTTGCACTGTACACATACCAACGAGAAGCAGCGTTGAACCCAAAAGTTGTAGTCCAAGAGCAGTCTGCCACTGATTTGTACCGACCTTCTGATCCTTACTAACAGCATATGTAGTCCAGTAAGCGATCATAACACCGATTGCAAAGAACAGCTGGAAGCAAGCACCCAAACGACCACGAAATTCCTTGGGAGACATCTCGGCCGCGAACATCGGAATAAGAACAGTGGCCGCACCAATCCCGAGCCCGGCAATCACGCGTCCAGCATAGAAAGTTCCAAGAGTGTGCGAATTGATGATCTGTAAGATTGTGCCCAATGTGAAAACCAGAGAACTGATGATAAGGCTAGTGCGACGACCATGATATTTTGCGATGGGAGAGATCAGGAAACATCCAAAGAAGGCACCACCTTGAAGGATGGAGACGGCATTCGAGTTAACAGTTGTTTTCTGTGAGCTGGTGTAGTGACTGTATCCAAAATCCTTCTGAAATGAGCTCAACGAAAGAACCCCACCTGGAACATAAACGGATCTAATTAGTGACTTCAACGAGAACTAGCAGAATTAAATTACACCGTCAAAAACCTACTGATGACACCAGTGTCGAATGCAAATGCAAAAGAGCCCATACAGCTGGCCGAAACCAGGTATGCGGCTCGAAGAAGACCAAGCCTGCGGCCCATGATGACGAGTTGTTGTCACTGCTGGAACACGGAGGTTGAAAATCCAGGTCCAAAGGGAAAGAGTGAGAAGGGTCTTAGATCATAAGATATTGGCTGGCAAGCTTTTAGCAGCAGGGCGTCTGTTGAAGCAAAGAGGTGGAAAATCCGGGGTTGATAAAGATGTGGAGAGTGGAGGTGGGGAGCGGAGAGTGGAGAAATACGAAAGAAGAGATCAAATGGTCTGAAAGCTTTAATCCAAGCTGCTGCTACCTCACAGACCTCTCATTGCATTGATCGTCGTCTCGACTGGGTAAACTACCCGAGCACCACGCGAGAGCCGAACGGCTCGGAACCCGAGGATGATCTATGGCCCATGAAAGGCCTTATTGGTCCCCGGGAAATAGCTATCGATTCAGAGACTGGGCATGCAGCTAGGATTGACCGCTGATTTGTGGATAGCTCAGCCGTGTACTTGAAGTACCGCAAGGGGCGGATTTCATATGAAATTAGTCGGGTTATCCCTGAGAGCTCATCGAAAGAGTCTAGAATTCCGCATGGATATCGTTGAGTTAAACAGTTTAGATCGAGATATAGTATAAATATCATGCGATGGACCCTTCTTATGGCGTGCTCAGTCCCTGCGTGCTGTCAAGACTCATAAATTTCATTCTGATTGGTGTGGCTTGGATGTTGATAACTTTCTATTGGTACAGGGTGACCCCACAACCCCGGATTTGGATTATGCGGGGGAACATGGCGTCACGCTCTATCTCTTACTTTATCTCTTGCACTTTAGACCGCTTAAGTGCTCGGACACGTCTTATACCTATTGATGGTGACTATCTTCCCGTACTTCACAAAACACCCTTCGCATCGTATTGTCGTCCAACATCAACTTCGGAAGCGGTATAATGAGGCCATTTTAAGTGAACAACGCACTGAAATCGCACCATGCACCTAAATAGCCGATAGTTCGCTCTGAATACCGGCTTTTGCCAGCATTCTGGTGGCTAATATAAGATAGTAGCTAGGCGTACAGCAATATTCGAAAAAGAACAAGAGCCAGACACACAGGCATCCATGAATGTGAACATTTGAATCTTAAAATGATTTAAAACATTTGAAAACTTGAACCATCCGAGCTATGGAAGAAGAATAACGACCTATCGGCAAATTGAAGCCACCTCATTGCATCCTCTTTTATTCATAAGCGCCAGCAAATTTCGAGGTGTCAAGCGTATCGTCAGCCTGCACAAGTGAACATCAAGGAACCATTCTGCAGGTTCCAAGGTTCTGATCTTATTGGAAGCCCATTCAACACCACAAATATGCGCCACATCCGAGGTCAAGCGACACAGCCCACTCTTTACGGCTTCGGCCTCCGAGTCCGTTTATGGCGTCGGCCTTGTGGAAATCTGCCAAGACTGTCAGCTCCTAGAATTCAACTCTGGGCGGATGAACTTGCTTGGGGCTGTAAAGACTCTACCGGAAGACCGTCGGTCCCCAGTCGTGAAGGCTATTGCTTCAAATATGCCTCGACACGTGAACCAACATTCCTTGATCGGATACTATTTTGCAACACCGCTTAGTATATAGATCCATTTCAACTTCAACCTTGGAAGAGCTTGACTTTATAGAATGACTTTATAGAATGACGCTGGCAAGGCATGTCTATCCAAAGTTCCGGAGGGTTTACACAAGAAGCAATGATTGAATGCGATCATGTTCATTGAGTCGCTCGGCTGAATGGTTTTAAATTTCTATCTTCAGCCATTCAGTGGCGATGATACTCAAGGTCTAGGTTTCATCGATTCTCGCTGTTGTTGACTTTTTAAAACCAAGAACTAGTCCTTGCCTTACCAAGAAAATGTTCATTACCAACACTCTCGTCATCCTCTTAACTTGACCTAGGTGTATTCCTCGTTGAACTATCATAATTCCCTTTCAAATTTCTAAAATTTTGAAGATTTGACCAGAAGCGTTGGAAACAATGACCCATTGGCGGCATACTGCTAGTATTGCATTTCTACTTTCACTGAGGGCCACGGCCTGGCCATACTCAAGCTTCAAGTCAACCGGCTTTCAGCCTCCCAAACTCGAAATCGCTCACACTGGTCCTACTGATCCCGGGTTCATTTTCCTCGGGCCTCGTGGGGCTATACAACCCTCCGGCCAGGCGGCTCTCATCTACGATAATAATGGAAATCTAGTTTATGAAGGACCTCAGGAATCCGTATCTAATTTCCAGGTACAGCAACTGAATGGTAATGATGTGATTACATTTTGGTCTGGAGATGCAGTCTCTATTGGATATGGATATGGATCTGTTCATATCCTTGACAATACTTATCAGGAGATCCACACGGTCACCTTGACTGGGAACTTTGTTACTCCAGATGGCTCGCAGAAGAATTCATACATTGATCTGCATGAGAGCTATATCACTCCAAGCAATACTCTTCTGGTGACAGTCTACAATGTCACGCAGCATGATTTGACTTCTATCGGCGGCAATTCGTCGGAATGGATACTGGACGGCCAGTTTTACGAGATTGATATTGCCTCAAATCAGATTATTAAATCCTGGAGCGCGTTAGATCACCAAGACTCCATTCCTTTGAATTCTTCACACCAAAGGCTGTCTCGAAGTGCGGGTACACAGGCAAACCCATACGATGCCTACCATGTCAACGCCGTCTCTACTACCAATCATGGGTACATGATTTCCCTTCGCCATATGTGGTCTGGATATTATCTTTCTTCGGATGGATCAGTATTGTGGCAGGTCAGCGGTGACAATGGGGCAGATTTCCGTCCAGTGGGCCAAACTAATTTTGCCTGGCAACATGATCTCCGCGTCTCGAATGAAACAGATGATAGCATGGTCTTAACTCTTTTCAACAACGCCAATACCCCAACATGGAGTGAGGGCCCTTCCACCGGAGTTAGCCTGGCTATTGATCTTACTGAGAAAACCGTCACAAGCCTTCGCTCTCTAAATGATCCGAGCGATCCTATTCGCTCTGTCAGTCAGGGTAGCTACCAGGCTCTACCAGACTCGAACGGCCATGTCTTTATAAATTATGGCTCTATTTCTAAGGTCAAAGAATTTGACGGTGATGGGAATGTCGTCTTCAGCGCTGCATTTGGTACAAGTAACACCGTTTCCTCGTACCGTGGCTTCCGATATCAGTGGAGTGCTACTCCCTTCTGGAAGCCTTCGCTGAATGTCACTCGGACCTCTTCCGGGATAGTTGTGTATATGAGTTGGAATGGTGCCACGGATTATGATAGCTGGGCAGTGTACTCTGCCTCCTCCGCAAACTCTACCAACAATCAGCAGATCAGTTCTGCCAAGCGTACAGGCTTTGAGACTTCTGTTACTTTGAATAATGTGACCACGGCCTATATTCAGGTAGCCGCTTTACAGGGGAGCAATGTTCTTGGTACCTCTGATATCGTCGCTTTCTAGAGAAGGTTTTCAACTTGTGGGAATGTGTTGGATCAAGATGTCGGTGATTTAGAAGTCATTTCTTGCTTACTTATGAGATCTACTCCCGCCTGTCTCACCAAATGGACCAGATTCGTGTAACAATGTCATGGTGTAACCAAGGCGCTTGAATATGAACCGACTACTCACCACTTTTCCCACGTTATTGCATGAAGGCTTCTAATAAAACGTTTCCTGGTTGCATAGTATATTTGTTCCTGCAAAGGAAGCTCTAAAAATCATTATTTTATCTCAGCCTGACATCCTTGACTGAGCATTCAAATGTTCAAGTTGTTCAGCGATCTCACATTCAAATAACAAATCATATAACAATGCCTGTATAATTATGCAAATCTTCTTGGGCGAATTTTTCAAATGTTCATCCACTGGCAGTCCAGCACTACCTAGGCAATTTTCAAGATTTAATCGGGGTGTTATAAGCCGACGAACCGTGATGTTGGGGGTAGTAACATTCCTCCTATGCAAGGCATGGCAGTGTGCTACCAGGGACGACTAACCACGCTTGCTCTCTGTGTATTGGTGAATTTTCCTATTGGACATTTAATTCTGGAAACTTTAAGTTCTAGGCCTTGTGCATCCAGATGTCGGGATGTCAATTGTAATATTATCACCTATCACCTATGGCCTATCGACTGCCCGAACCGTCATTCGATATAAGCTGTTTAGCCAATGCTAGTACCTGCCATTCTAAAAAAAAAGAAAGGTTGAAGGAAAAGAAACATGCAAAAGTGTAGAATGGAACTGACTTGCTTTTTCATTGATTCGGATTAAATGGGCAGATTGTGGCTGACCTCGAGAATTCCTGCTGCTCCTCCTACTCGGCATATTCGAAGCTATCCTCTCCATGCCGCATGCCGTCGTCAAATACGCGGTTAATTATCCGACGAAGGAAGGATCTCATTCTGCCCACTAGTGAAGGACTCTGAGCTGTCATTCGGGACTTTATTTTCGATCTTCCCCACAAAGTTGCATGGCTTCCGCCTCGCTAGATGTAACATTCTCATCGGCTTCTCCATGAGGGAATTGGGTTGTCGGTCTGGATTGTGACCTTGTATGACTATTGACCCCTTCATTGCCCTCCATCCAAGGGCGTTGATGTTATTCATTGCTGATGCTTTCCTTGTCTAGTAAATTCACGCGGATGTCCAGTAAGATGGTTCAGAATGTTGCGTCTTACTCTGGATGAATTGATCTGATATCGGCAATCGTAGTACAAAATATTCCTAGATACATTCCTAGAGTGTAAAATAGACAATAACACTACTCAGTACCATTGAGCTCTACATCGGCATTTATATAAACCTCTAATTTACTGACGGACTTGCCCTTCGTTCTCGGAGTGTGCTGCAATCATTTAACATCGAGTTTTATTGACACATTGGAAACTTGAATTTTCCGGACTCTACCCTCACAATGAAGATCTCTATTATCTTGTCTATACTCCCTCTTGCTACACTAGCAGCCTGCTTCCCTGCAACTCAAACCGAAAACGACCAGGCAGATGAGATTCCCTACGGTGCTTTCCCAGACCCCAGCGAATCCTTCGTACTCTACCCGACACCGACGCCGGGGGTTACACCCGATAATACGATTAGCCTCGCACAGGTCGGCCATGCTGTTGTTATAAATCATTGCAAATTCCCAGTCTACATCTGGTCCGTCGGCAGCTCCATTAAGCCAGTGGTAACGACACCATCGCAAGGGCGCTATTCGGAGACATTCCACCGGGATGTTGGGAGTGGCGGCATCGCGATCAAAATTAGTACCAAGCACGATGGACTACTTACCAGCTCGCCCTTGACGATTTTTGCATACAACCTTGCGGCAAATGAGCGGGTGTGGTATGACCTATCTGATGTCTTCGGTGATCCATTCAAGGGCTATCGTGTTGCTCTGTCGCCAGCCTCACCAGAAATTACCTGGACGGATGGAATTCCCCGCTCTGGGAGTGCAATTCGAGTTCGTAGCGCTGCCAGTGATTTGGTTCTGACGTTGTGTTAAATTTGGACTCATTAATTTGTCTGATACTATGTTCCGGTGGATGAGATTCATGTGGGGAATCAACTCGGCGATCTCTGCCAGCCTGAGTGCCAGTACGTGCTGTGCAAGTTGGGATCACAAATACGAGCAATCGGCTGAGTGGAAAATATATGAAGTTAGCAGAACCTGAGCTATCAATTATATCATGTTTCTTGTCCTTTTCTCTTCACTGGTTTTACCCTCCGAGATCTCCAATTTGGAGCATAAGTTTTATATGGAGAACTGATGTCATGGCCCGAGTACCTCGGCTGTTGGACCAGTCTAACAAAGTATCAAATCTTGGAGAGAAATGAAAAGGTGGAATTTAATTGATCAAACCAAATAAGGTGGAATCCACTAAATCTCCAAAGAAGTAGCCCCAAATTTGAGATCTTAGATTCATAATATGCAGTAGTTCTCGGCCAGAAGACCGAAGTTGCGGATTTGCATTTCCCCCGCATTTACTCTTCTCCAACTTCCGCTCCCACATTCTTAACTTAAACCTCTCCTTGCACCCCTTTTAATTCACACAATCATATACTATCATATATACAAAGCAAACCAATAATGGTGCCAGCAATTCGAGTGGCCCCAACAGCGGCCAACCGCGCGCTGAATCTACTGCGTACCGTGCAGTACACTCACCCTCCTAGCTGTCCCTGCCATTCCAATCCCAATCACCACCACCATCACAAGACCCCCGCGATGATGAACAATGTCCGCCGTCATTTAGCCACTCCGGTGGATCCGTCACGCGAAAAGGAATATGCATTCGAAATGGCAGCATCGAGTATCCGATTTGGCCCTGGTGCAACCAAGGAGGTCGGCATGGATTTTAAGAACATGGGAGCTAAGCGCGTGTGCATTGTGACCGATTCAAATGTTCTCAAGCTTGATGCGATGAAGCAGGCTGTTGAGGGACTTACTCGTGAGGGTATTCAATTTACCGTTTTCGATAAAGTCCGCGTAGAGCCCAAGGATAGCTCGTAAGTGGTACCCCCTTGGAAGAAACCCGAGGTATTGCTCATGATACTGAACTTCTTGATAGTGTTAAAGAAGCTATTGCATTTGCCAAACCTTATAACCCTGATGCTTTCTTAGCCGTCGGTATGTATCACAGCATTAAGATTCCGATGTACTTCTAACACATGTACAGGTGGTGGATCCGTCATCGATACGGCCAAACTCATGAATCTTTATACTGCATACCCAGAGGCCGACTTTTTGGACTTTGTAAATGCACCATTGGGCAAGGGTCTTCCAGTTGACAAGCCACTCCGACCTCTCGTCGCCGTACCCACAACTGCAGGAACAGGTTCCGAAACAACCGGAACAGCCATCTTCGATCTAGTCGACAAGAAAGCCAAGACAGGCATTGCCCACCGAAACCTCAAGCCCACACTGGGAATCTGCGATCCTCTCAACACCCGTACCATGCCTTCAGCCGTGCATGCTTCATCCGGTCTAGACGTGTTGTGCCACTCTCTCGAATCATGGACTGCAATTCCTTACAACGAGCGCACTCCTCGTCCAACAAACCCCATTAACCGTCCCGCCTATCAAGGCGCGAACCCCATCTCAGATATCTTTTCTCTCCAGGCGCTGCGCAGCACCGTCAAATATCTTCCTCGCGCTGTACGGGATCCTGATGACCACGAGGCTCAGTCTAACATGCTCCTCGCCGCAACGCTCGCTGGTGTTGGATTCGGAAATGCAGGTGTTCACCTTTGTCACGGCATGAGTTATCCGATTTCTAGCCAGAATCCAGGATACAAGCATGCTGGGTATGATGTCGCTTACCCCATCATTCCGCATGGTGTCTCTGTCGCGGTTACGGCTCCTGCTGTTTTCCGATTCACGGCTGCTTCGAACCCGGATCGTCACTTGGCTGCGGCGGAGGCCTTCGGTGTTGATATTTCCAATGTGAAGCGTGAGAGTGCGGGCGAGGTGCTTGGAGCGGCGATTGCGGAGTTCTTGGTTAAGCTGGGGGATCAGCCACGTGGTCTTAAGCATTTGGGATTCAAGCCTTCTGATGTGGATGGTTTGGTTGAGGGTACTATTCCACAGAAGCGGGTGTTGATGTTGGCGCCGAACTTGAGTGAGGAGCTTCAGGCTGAGAAGGGTGAGCTACGACGTTTATTGGAGGAGTCTATGGATTATTAAGCATTTTTTTGGACAAGGAATTGATATTTCTCATGAAAGTTGGGGTCACGGTTGTACATATATGTCGATGCTGGGCTATGTCGAATAAAATTGGATATCAAAACTTGAAAATATGCAAGGGGAATCGTGGTCATGCAAGTAGAAATCAATTCAGATGTCATAGTCTAGGCGAAGATGAAGAAAACATCGTATGGGTTCGCATGTTCAAGTTGCTCAGGATCGCCACTGGCAGTTGATATAGCCCTGGAGGACCATCCTAGTTGCTGTCCTCTGCCACAGACTCAAAAGGTGTTTCCCTCTCTGGAATCAGTTTTGTCCCCAGTACACCCATCGATGAAGCAACGCGATCCAACCAAATCACCGCGCGAGGATCATTCTGATCAGATGTTTGCGAAGGGCCTCGACCAAGTTCAGAATATATGCGAAAGGGTAATGTCATGGTTCCTGGACTGACAGGTGGCGTAGGCGTATACACACTGTCATCGCTCAAAGTGCCCAGTCCAGAATCAGAATGATCCTCGATAACCTGACATCGTAATCGATCTTCAAGACGGTGACACAACTGGCGGAGAGTGCCTTGAATGTTTTCCGCTCCACGCAAAAGCAAAGATGGTCCAGTCTCAGGAAAAATCTCCGGCACAGGGCCAACGAAGGTTCCAGGACGTCTAATAATACCCTGCTGCCGCTGATTGTGTGCACTGATGCAAGATCGAAGCTCAGAGCACAGATCATACAAGCGACGCGAAGTATCCTGGATACGTTGCATAAGCGCCTCGGCATCGGCTTGGATGGACTCCGCTGAGCTGGAAAGGAGATCTCGGCTTTCACTGATGTATCGTGGACATTTGGCTATTTCCATAAATGCTTTGTCAGAGATCACGGCGTATGCAGCCCATTCCCCAGGTTTCTGAGCATCTTCAGCCATGATCTGAGTGGCGTAGTCCTGCCACTCTTCCCGATCGAGAAAACATGGCTTTCCCTGGTAAACAGACGTTGCGACATGAAAACCTCGAAATGCAATCCAGCAAGACCTCCCAAATCCGGTTTCGTGCTTCTGAGTCCCGCGACTCATCATAAGTCTTCTCACTGCATCCGAGTGAACCACCCAAGCATCGGGACTTGTTTGGGCATACATCTCATAAACACTCAGCATCATCGCTGTGCAGAGCATATTATCTGACAATGCATCATACGAGTCACCCTTTGAAACTGCACGAATCATCTCTCCCAAAGAAACCCCATACATTCTTCGACTAGTACGAAGAAGTACCGGGTCCTGCGTCAAATGAGCCAGGTAAACCGAGCTCAAGCAGCAAATCGCCGAATCCAAATACGCATCCTGTCCGAAATTCATGATAATATACTCCGCAAACCCCGGGTCATTCCCCGCACGAAACCGATTATGAAAATACAGTGTCGGGAACGACGCGCTGATAAAATCCAAGAATAGTTGTGGCTGCGCCGCTTTGAAAGTCTTCCGTACTAAAGACGGCGAGACATTCTCATCTAGCGTCATGGTTGCCGAATGTCGGCGCATTAATGCGATGGCATTCTGACGGACTACCCTCGCGGCGCCAGCACTGTCGGGGTTCTCCACAGGCCCGAGCGCCTCGATCTGCCGCGTAGCTGCGGCTGCAGGTACAGGAACAGACGCTGAAGTCGACGCGACCGAAGCTGAACCCGAGGAGAGACGTCGTCCTCGTTTCCGTGGAACAGAACGGTGTCGTCGCGCGAGACTGGGTCCTTCATCTTGGAATCGGAAGGTGCGACGATATCCAGGACAGGCACGGCCATATCTTTGGCATTGCGTGCATTCAGGGACTGCTTCGTCGCACTATTGTCCCATTATCTTAGCATGACGCGAGTTTACACTTGAAAGGGTTCTGATTCTCACCTTAATGTGTCTTTCACGACAGAGAGCACAGCCAGTACTGTGTGGTACCCCCACCATGATCGGGTATCAGGAACTCAATGTCAATCCGAGGTCAGCATGACGCTGAGGGGTCGCATCGCAATCCGCCAGTGAATTGTTAGAGGATGAGCAACAACAGTCTAGAATATGAAAATTGAAACTGAAAGTGAAAGAAGATCAAAAAAAAACAAGAAACTTCGAGAGGCTGAAGAACGGAGTGTATCCGATATTGACTCGTTAAGTGGAGAAAGTCCCTAAAGCTGCCAAGGATTGGCGTTGCGTCCCACTATTGCATTCTGGGCCGTTGGTACGTTGGGGCCAGCTGTTGATTTGCGGTTAGCTGCATCTGATGCATCTTGCCTTGAGAAGGCAACAGATGATTTCAAGTTTCGATGATGTTGTTATGTTCAAGATAATTGACAACACATCAGGTATGAATTACTCTATGCGAATCAGGATAATCAGAATTCTTAAGCTGCATCTCTGATTTGAAATTTCATCCCAACGTCAAGATTTCAGGAACTTATTCATAGCTGAGTGGGTTACAAGGTTATTCCCCTGATTGGAACGTGTGTTTTCTCATCTCCACCATACAGAGAGTGCGTAATCCCCATTTCTAATTCCACCAAACAGATTCTCGAGTAGATCCCGGGAATTGATCGGTGGGCCTGTTTAGATCTACAGAAACAGATCAATCGTACCATGGACTGACTCCGACTGAGTACTGAATGTTTTTCAATGAGTGTCAATGCATATGCAAAGCTCTGTGAACACCTGTCGAGGAAGTTATTGAATGTTTAGAGATCCTAAGTGATTATAGAATGTATAAAACTCACAATTTGGCATCCTTCTGCATAAAACATCATTTGAATTCATTGAGAGTTTAGCAAAATTTTCCTTGTGGCTTTGGTTCATCCTTGGTTCTGTCATTTGCTGAGATCCGCTCCACTTATGGTGGGTATACATACACCCGGATCTTGCACAATTCAACTATGAATAAGTAGGTATATAATTGTCTGTGCTCCAGTATAAGTAAACCCTTGTTTAATCACTGGTGTTTGTTCAATATTCAACCTGAATGGAGCAATAAACATGGGTGGAGATCTCGATCTCGAATCATGCCAGGTGCTAGTACTAGTACTAGTGCCAGTATAGATCGAGCAGATCGACGCGGATGAACTATTTGATGCCAGTGATTAGTTCTCCTTATTTCCACCACTTGAGTATAGAAATTTGAAACATTTCAATGGATTTGTTATCATTTAAACCATGAATAAAAAGAATGACAGCACCAAATGACCGAGATCGTATCTGTGACGACATGTCATTTACCCCGCGTTTGTGTAGCGTGAAGGATGTCACTCTCCATTGATTGGCTTCACCCTGCATCCCCCAGGAATTTGATCATATATTGGGTATCGAGATCTCGAATTGAGATTGAAATAACTTGAAAGACGTTCATTGAAAAGGGAGTGGGCAATGAAAACACTCTAATGATCGGTATATGAGCAAAGTTATCCTTGAATTGGAGAAATCATAGTCACCAGAATAATCAAGATCATAGCACAACTTGAATGGGAAAACACAATTGTAGTCAATCTGGGTTGCTCCTTCCCCTTGACCAACCTGGACTAATGGGCGCGCCTGCCGCGAACAAGGTACACACTCGGACTTTGCACCTTCCAATTATAAGTCCCAAAGGTTATAACTCGAGTACTTTGCCTACTTTCACCTTCCACCTTCAAGTTCAATCCTTCTACTCCTGACAATACTACTCAATCATACGATTAATATCTGGCATCTCCTGCTCTAAGTGAGAAATGCCATCCCTCACACACAGCCGGCCCAAGGTCCTCGTACCTGAGAAGCTATCACCAGATGGCCTGGCTTTACTGCGCACCACTCTCGATGTTCACGAACGCAAGGGCCTAACTCCGGATGAGCTTCTCGAGATAATCCCAAGTTACGATGCTTTACTTGTCCGATCGGAGACCAAAATCACAGCGACTGTATTGCAGGCTGCAAAGCAATTGAAGGTGGTTGCTCGAGCGGGCGTGGGAGTTGACAATGTTGGTAAGTAATTTCCAGAGAAATTCTGAGTTAGATAGTATAGCTTCTAATTCTTTCATCTCCCTCACTGTCAGATGTCGGAGCAGCTACCAAGCTTGGCATTGTCGTTGTCAACTCACCCTCTGGAAACATTGGTGCGGCTGCCGAGCATACCATAGCCTTGATGATGTCAATGGCTAGAAAAATCCCCGAAGCATGCTCCAGCCTGAAAGATGGGAAATGGGAACGCAGTAAATTCGTTGGAGTAGAGGTCAAGGGCAAAATCCTTGGAATCATCGGTCTCGGAAAAGGTGATTCTTGATCGAGTTCGAAAGGCTTGATGTGCACTATGCTAATTCTTTCATGTATAGTTGGATTGACAGTAGCTCGTATTGCCAAGGGTCTCGGTATGACTGTCAATGCTCTAGATCCATATGCATCGCCAGCGGCAGCAGCCTCAGTTCCCGTGACCCTGGTATCGTCGCTCCCTGAACTCCTCGCATCCGCAGACTTTCTTACAATCCATACTCCCCTTATCGCCTCTACTCGTGGAATGATCAGTGATGCCGAATTGGCACTCATGAAACCGGGCGCTCGGATACTCAACGTAGCTCGTGGCGGGACTATCGATGAAGCTGCATTGCTGGCAGCACTCGATTCAGGTCATTTGGCGGGCGCAGCGATAGATGTGTTTACCTCTGAGCCACCTGAGCAGGATTCCATTGCCACCAAGCTGATCGCACACCCTCGGGCAGTGGTGACACCACATCTGGGCGCGTCCACAGTGGAAGCTCAAGAAAACGTTTCAGTCGATGTTTGTGAGCAGGTGCTGGAAATTCTCAAGGGTTCACTGCCTCGTAGCGCTGTGAATGCGCCGATCATTCTACCGGAGGAGTATCAAAAGCTCCAACCATTTGTTCAGCTGGTGGAAAAGATTGGTACTCTGTATACTCAGCACTATGCTTCCCTTCCCGGTGGCTCAATGGCACGAAACACATTCGATCTTGTTTATCATGGTGAGGTGGCTAGTATCGGCAATACAAAGCCGCTCTTTGCTGCATTGATCAAGGGCTTGCTTGCACCAATCAGTGGCGAGGAAGGGTTCAACATTAACATTGTCAACGCTGAACTTGTGGCCCGTGAGCGTGGAATTTTCGTGTCCGAGCAGCACTCTCGAGACCCTCAAGAGGATTCCTCGTATTCATCTCTGATTACTCTCATTGCACGACCACCATCCCGTGCATCCTCTCGGGCACCTGATGCATCGGATCCATCAAATAATGCTCCTCAACTTCAACACCAGAGAATCATCTCAGGGACTTGCCGGGGTGGGCAACCGTTAATAACTCGGTTGGGACGCTTTGAAGCTACCTTCGAACCGGAGGGCACATTGCTCATCTGTGAGAACTATGATTCACCTGGAAAGATTGGTGTTGTTGGCAGTATCCTTGGCAGAGAAGGAGTGAACATCAACTTCATGACTGTCGCCCCCATCTCCTCGAAATTGACCACAAGTGAGGCAAAATTGACCAAGAGTGACAGGGGTGTAGTACTCTCAGATGATTCGGTTCTTGGAAAGAAGGAGGCACTCATGATTTTGGGGGTTGATCGGGTCATCCCGCTGCAGACCACGACTGACCTGGTCAAGGAGGGAGGCGTTCTGAGTGCTTGTGCGGTGACTCTATAAGCTAGGCAGCGGGGCACCAGTATAGAAGCAGCTTGCTTTTTCCTGTTTGCTTTTAACGACTAGCTGCGAGTTCTTCACTCTGTTTTTAGTTTCCTTTATAGCTAAATCACCCCAGAGTTATCGATATGTGGTTCAACCCACCTTTTACTATTATACTATAATCGGCTCGGTCTTCCTCAAGAGAAAAGAAAAAAGGTCTTTTCAGAGAGACGCTCCACATGCCACAGTCCTTCTTCACGGGCATTCCAGTTACTCCTAGTCGCCTTGTTATGTACCTTCGTCGGGCCGGCCCGGCCACGGGAAAGGACCGAGGCACGTCAATACAAACTCTGATGAATTCCAGTTGAAAGTCCTGGAACGCGATCATTCCAAGTTCCATGACGTTTTGCCATCTAAGCGACATGTTCAGTCTAGACTCTAATAGTGCCGACCGTTTTGACAACGGGAACATTAAGGACAGATCTCAACCAATCGCTTCTCCGCCCCCACTCGGCGTTTTTCAGCTTGTCTCAGGATGCTACACATGCTACACATGCTAAACTGTACACATCTTGGATAAACTTTGGCAGAGTCATGCTGAAGAGAGAACTTGAACTAGGACTCGGAGGAACTGGAATCCGCCACTAACGCCACTAAGAATGTCATGAAACTTCCTATTATCAATCTCTCCCCCGGCAGGGTTGACATACATAACTTATCAGTTGGTCCTGACTCCTCCCGTCATCCACACCTCGTATCTAGCGGATTCTCGAGTACGGCGGTGTAGCTCCGCTAGGAAGTTCAATTGAGGTGGCTGGCTGCGCAAAAAACCTCCAAGGTTAACCTTTTGAATTGCTCCGTATCTGATTGGATCTGATTGGATGAAATGGAACTTGTAACGTGCATATGCATATGCACGCCTAAAAAGAGAAGAGGGGAAATGTTACTTAGACTCGTGTCGTTCCTCGCTCGTGCGACGTTGAAGATTTAATCCCTACAACCATGTCGCTACCCTTGTTCGTGGCCTCAGGTCTTACCGGTGTAGGCATACATGTCCTACTCTTTCGTCATGGAGAGTGGGACGTGAAGGCCCCAACAATCGTAGTTAACTACATTATCTTGGGTGCTATTTTGCTGAGTCTGGAGTATCTTGATATTCTGGAGAAGTTGGAAATTTATCATGTTTCTGCTACTAATTGGTCTCTCAAAGTACTTGGATACCATCTCGTGGGGTTGTACAGTAGCATGCTTCTTTACCGAGGATTATTGCACCGATTAAACAAATTCCCAGGACCTGTTTTGGCCCGACTTTCAAACTTTTACATCACCTACTTATCAGCAAAGAAGCATCACCTTTATGCTGAGACTCAAAAACTTCACAAGAAATATGGTGATTATGTACGTGTGGGTAAGTGGATTCTCCTCCCTGCTGCGTTTTACATTAGCGTATGGAACTAATTTCCGTATTAACCAGGCCCCACGGAGCTATCTATAACCGATCCAGCTGCTGTGAAGCTCATCTACAGTTCCCAAGCAAGAACTCGCAAGGGACCCTGGTATAATTGTATTGAACCTCGTGTTTCACTTCAGACCGATCGGGATAAGGCATCTCACGCGCGACGGAGAAAAGTCTGGGATCAGGGATTTAGCACTTCAGGTATAACCAAACCGCCTACGCAAGCTTATTGATTCTTAACTGATCTTTTCATAGCACTTCGCGATTATGAACCACGTGTGGCCTTTTACACAGCACAGCTTGTTAAGGCTATTGAGAATGGACTGGGCAAGCCCATGAACATGACCAAATGGTTTAATTACTATGCGATCGATGTGATGGGAGATCTTTCCTTCGGTCGATCATTTGATATGGTTGCTGATGGAGAGGATAAGTACTTCTATACCCAACTGCATGCCGATATGGGAATGATTGGATTATTCAGTCATCTTCTTTGGCTTTTCCCTTTCTTCAAGCGCATTCCGGGAATCAATGCCGATTATGTCAAGTTTTGGGGTTGGCTTGATGCGCAAGTTCAGTATCGCAAGGATGTAAGTTGGTATCACGCATTGAGATGACTAGTACTGATTTCTTGATTTAGAACCCACCCAGTCGTCCGGATGTTTTCTCTTGGCTTCTAGGTGCCTTCGAACAAGGTCCTAAGACTGAGCAGGATCATCTCAATCTTCATGGTGATACTTATCTCATCAGTGTGGCTGGAAGGTACGAATCATCCAGTCCAAAATGCATTGAAATATGATCGAAATTAATTTGAATAGTGATACTACTGCTGCAACTTTAACAAATGTCTTCTTCCACCTAGCCAAGGATCAGAATCTCCAAAAAGCGCTTCAAGTAGACCTTGACGGACTCTCAGAGCTATCCACAGAAAACCTACAAGGATTGAAGTTCCTCGAAGCTATCATCAACGAAACCATCCGCTTTCATCCTGTGGTTCCTTCCGGTCTTCAGCGTATGACTCCACCTGAGGGTCTCCAGATTGGAGAGATTTATATCCCCGGTGATGTTATGGTTCAGATGCCTATGCATGCAATGTTCCGAGGTGCGTATTTCACCATATTATCATTGATAATAATAGATACTAATCATTCGTATAGATGAGCGCGTCTTTGCAAACCCAGATGACTTTATTCCTGAGAGATGGTCTACAAGACCTGAACTTATCAAGGAACCTGCTTCGTATATTCCTTTTGGAGGAGGCATGTATTCCTAGTTCCAACTCACTTGAATCTCCGCTAATTCTTCCTAGGCCCGTATGCTTGTGTTGGAAAACAACTCGCTTTGATGGAAATTCGTCGTGTCACTGCTGAGATCTTGACGCGGTACGATGTCTCCTTTGCTGCAGAGGTTAGCGAGGATGCTTTTTGGAATGGGAAGGTTGATGCGTTTACCTTGGTGGCTGCTCCTATGGAGTTGAAATTTACGAGCAGGAAATAGAGGATGGTCAGGTTTGAACATACTAGTGTGTTGTGAGGGTTGCACTTCAACTTCCTACTTGCCCCTATCAGCCATGCCAGTGGTTATACGAGACAATTATGCAAGCCATGTTGATATGTTAGCATGATCAAAAATGATAGTTGAGCGATGAAGATTTGAGGTGTATAATTGGTCATCAATTGTCATGATCAAGACTATCGTCCAGGATCAAGACGCAATCCATTCAATACTTTGATAGATGCTTTTCTAAGTCATAAACGTGAAGCTGAAATGCAAAGAATCCAAATGCCCCGAAAATGCTAAACGTGCGATAGAAGGGAATCAAAGAAAGAAAAAAAAAGTGAAAATGAAAAACAAAAACAAAAAGAAATTGGGGTATCGCTGGAAAACTGAGACGAATGATCAAAACATCGAACTCCGCTTTTTATCAAGTTTCTTCGGACTACTCCCTTCTTCCTTACGTCGAAATCCAAAGAAACTACTCTTCTTCGGCTGCAATACTTGTGGACGAGCTTGTTGTGGACCCGGTTGACCTGGCTGCAAAGCTCCACTACTCGTAGGGATTTGATAGAAAGATTGTGGTCGAGGCTGTACAGGTCGGACCGGTGCAAAGTTGGTAGTAGATTGAATGCGCGGGTCGGGTCGACCGTATGATTGAGTGTATGGACCATTTTCGGGGATAGGTGCAGGTGTAGGTCGAGGTTGGGGATAATATGATTGTGGTCGCGATTGGCGCGGAGGTTGCTGTGGTGCTTGAGAAGGGAGGTAGGAGTATGACTGGGAGTATTGGTGCGAGTTGTATGGTTTTGAAGGTCCACTGGGACGAGCAGGAAGATTTGGTCTGGAGCTTGAGGAAGGCGAAGGTCGTTGCATCCGAGCTTGTGCTTCTTCTTGTCCGTAGATCTGTTGTAACCGCATCGTTTCGCTGTCCACCTCAGCCGCTTTGCGTCGTCGGGCTTTTTCCTGTTCGCGTTTCTCTGTGGCGAGGAGCTCTTGGGTTCGACGTTCCTCTTCATCTGCAAGTTGATCTTGTCGCTGGCGTAGTTCTGGAGCAGGGGATTGGGCGTTTGGAATAGAAAGCCGTGTGGCTGGTAGCCTGCGAGGGGGCACAGCGCCCATGGCCTGGGCTTTTGGGCTCTTCCGACCTGGGACAACTGCCTGCGCCTTGCCGTTGACTGCTGTGGCACCACCAGCGACGATGTGAAAGGCTTCTTTAGCAGGACCGAAGAAGATATCCCGGATGGCAACTGCAGCAAGTAACAAAACAACTTCCAATCCCTTGAAATCCTCCATCTCAACACGGTAAAGGTTCGGTTCGTACATTGTGAGTTCCTTCAATCCCTGGAAGATCGCCACAGTAATATCCGGCTCGCGACTCTTGTTCTTCGTATCGGCAATGGTGGTGGTTTTCCCATGAAGCAGACATGAAAGGTCCTTCGAGAGTTTCCCATCTTTGCGCCAACTGAAACGTAACCTTGGTGTAATATCCGCAGCGGCTGGGTCACTCTGTACGCGATCTAGTGTTGACGATGACGGCACCCGGAATGACCGCTGGGGCATCTCGAACTCCCATCGCGCTGGTTTGTTCCACGTTTTGGCTTGGTGACGGATCACGATTTGCTGGTCGGGGTTATACAGTTGAATAGAGAACTCAGTAGGTAAGATCGGTTCTGGAGGTGGCGCATTCCCGCCATTATTGCGGATTTGGTCTGCTGACAAGCTGGGTTGTGACCATTCTGGGGTCACAGCAACTTCGCCATATACAATTTCCGGGACGTAGGGGTCATAGAGGGCAACGCCGTAACGGTTCTGCGAGGTAGGGGGCGGCGGGGTCAAGGTATTTGAGTGTATATGCTGGTTCGGGGTCATCTCCATTCTGGCGATAGTAAATGGTACTCTGCTGAGGAGTCTGTGAGTTGTTCTTCAAGAAGAACGCTTTAAGTGGAGTCAGTTATGGGAATGTCAATGTCAATGACGTCGAGGTCAGGGGAAACAAAACAAGTGCACCCTGGGACCAAAAACCACGGATACATAAGGATTAATATCTTACTGGGCAGGTTTTCATCAAGCATCTTTGCCCACTGGATTGGAGAGGAGAGCAGAGAGGCGGGACTTAATAGGTGCCGCAGTGCAGAATGAGGAGTTTGCGGGATGCAGATCGGCATTCACAGCTAAAAATAGAGCCCGATGGGCGTTGAGGCATCAAGATTCCGGGCTCCACTTCACGGCTATGCTATTGTCAAATGGGCTATGTATATGCACTGAATGTTTTGCAGATTGAAACTTAGCTGCCTATCTGTATAGAATTCTATTTTACTCATGGTCCCATTCTCTAATTCCATGCAGGATCACCATGACCGCGCAAGAGTAAGCTCAGGCTATACGGGATTCAAATCCGACCAAGCAAGGAGTCCCCTATGATCAACAGTCCTAAAAGCAATTTCTCCGAGTCAGCTCTTCGTTCTAGAAAATGAAATAACAGATAACTTGTCAGCCTGGAAACATACCGTTGTTTGGGGGTTCCTAAGCCACCATCCTCCACTGGCACTAGGTGATCGGCGCCTCCACCACTTGATACATAGCCATCGGACCCTTCGACTTGAAGAGGTAATTAACGCGATGGTCCCATTTTTTGGAAGCCTAGGTAGAAGGTTTAGCAGGTCAAACCAAAGTTCGAATCACTTACCTCGCTTTTTATACTCTGAAGGGCAAAATCTAAGAACCTTGTATGCATTAGCCTGCAGAATTCGGGGGCAAACTTACTTTCTTTCGCAAATACTTCCATATCCAGAGCAACAATATCAATACTAAGATGTCCTGTTAGCCTTTAGATATATGGAGAAACTTACAGGTTCAAATGTTCCATCGTTGGAGGGAATCGATATCTTGAAGTCCGGTAGCTGGGAATCCACTATTACAGCTTGAAAGTCATACCTATTGGAGTAAAAAAGTGGCCATTTTCAAATGATACTTTTGAAAGAAGTCAGTTATATGTGGACATCCTAGGATAAAAGAAAAACTAATAGTTGGGACTGGAAAGGTATGTAAAGAAAGTACTTGGCCATTGTTCAAATGCTCATTTCGAGGTCACGAGGACATGGTTATCCTAGTAAATATCAGTTTAAAAAATATCTTACTCTTCCTATAGAATATGCACATATGTCCTTATAAGAATTGAGGTCATCTGTCTATTCAAATGTTATTAGTGAAATGTTCTGCGACATCAGGAAAATTGGCAGTTCTTTGAACTTAGCCAAATCCATATCCTGAGTTATGTCCTCTACTACAACCACCTGGGCAGGTGAAATCTCCTTTGTTCGTTCGGTCGTTCCTATATTCTGATGTTAGTCAAAAATTTGGCATTGAGATGGATCCTACCTCATTGAAATTGATTAAGATAGTCGTATCCATTGCCAGGAATATTTCCTATATTAAAAGTTAGCCCATGGTGATCAATCAAGTCTTGGAAAGAAACATTTGAACTCAGCCATAAGTGTATGATGAATGCTGCTAGTACGACTAGTACTGCATGCCCAGATGGACAGAGGGGAATAATGAGACTACTGGATATCCTAGTCGATAGCGTTAGTTCATCAGTCCTTCCACAGGGGTAAAAAGGTGATTGAAGAAAATAAACTTAGTCGTATCTCTATGCTGGTGATATCAGCATGCAATTGGGTCGAAATCTGGAAGAGGATCAAGCACTTGAGTCTATATTTCGAGGTTAGTATCTGCAATCTTGGCATATGTTTGTTTGAGAAGGATTCTGTGTGAACTCAGCCTGGCACTTGAACAACGTTGAAGATTGTTCTTGTGTTTGCTTGTCTGAACAATGATGTTGTGGAACTTGAACTGATGGCTTCAACTCTCGGAATCGAGCCTCATTATATAGACATTGAGAGACTCCGAATCCAACAATAGCTCACTTCTCGAATGCCATTATCGAATCAATGGCAGCTTTGTTCATGGTTTGGAGGCTGAATGGGAAAATCATTGCCATTGATCATTAACAAGGAAAACGAATACATTATGAAACTAAACCATAGAGAGCCTTTGTTATGCATGCTATTAAAAAGCAACAGGAATTAATCACAAGGCGAACAAAGGCAAGCGACGTATGATGTTTCAAGTTGTATAAAGAGATGAATGCTGAAAAATCACGATTGAATGGTTTTTTGTTCTATTTGCATCACATGTGCATGCTCTATCATTTCTATCTTGAGCATCTTTGTTCATGTCCCCATATTTCCGTTTAGATGTTTCAAATGTTCATCCAGATGTCCAAAATAACAATCCAATCATACTCGAACCCCATTGATCTCCTCACCCTCCGGCACCTTAGCCGCATCCCGCTCCTCCTGGCTCTGGAATAGACCTTGGTCATCCCAACCTTGAGTACCCTTCTTGTAAAGCGTCTTCTGCTCCTCTCGACCCGGCGTAGGGCCCTCCTTTCCACGGCGTTCCCGTGACTCAACAGTCTCGATGAGTGTGAAGTTCTCTCCATCCAGCGCCTTTCCATCCAGATCATCACCGTGGCTCTCATCAGAGAAAGTGTATGATCGCCATTCAGTGTTCAACCATCCTGTACCCTGGTATGTGCTGCTATCTTCCCAGTCTTCGGTGAGGTAATGCAGGAATCCACCATGAGTAACGACAACGATCTCCTTCTCCGGACGGGCTTTCAACCATCGGCGGGCGGCGCGGGCTCGTTCCTTTAGGGCTGCGTTGGTTGGGGCGTAACGACCAGCCTAGATTCACCATAAGTTAACAAGGCTATCACAAGACTAGTGATATCAAAGGTGTAAAACATACCTTGTTGTTCCAATCCTCGTGAACCATTTCCAGGTCTACGCTCTTGTCTGCGAACTCCTCTCGCAGGACCTGAGGGTCGCTGCCGGTATCACAGGGCACATCCGAAGTCTCCTGTACATCCGGAAGAGCAAGAAGCTTCATTTCTGGGTGCATGGAGAAGACAGGCTCGAAGCTCTCCAATGCCGTGTAGATGGTGCGACGCAGCGGCGAAGCAGTCATAAGGTCGATCTTGTCATGGAAAGGGAAGGAATCGCGCAGCTTAGCGCATTGTTCATGGCCGAGGTCTGTAAGGGGGGGGATCGCGGATAACATGGTTGGCAGTACAGAGATTGTGTATACCCTTTGTGAAGACATTTGTCAGATCAATTGGTTAACAGCTAAGTCCGAAGCTCCCAGTTGCAAGGGAGGCCGGATTGCATGCCGATGAGCGGGGTGGCATGGACGTACCTGGGCGTGGCGAACACAGTGGACTGTTGGTGCCATGATCAAAAAAGAGGATCAATTAATATGATTCCGTGGTCTAAACAGTCTGTTAATTCCTGTTCCTGTCTAATATTGAGATAAAAGAGTTGTGGAAAAGCTCGCGGACCCTGCCGATGACTCTTATCGGAAAACGTGGGGGAGCGGGGACACGGCTTGCAGGATTGTGACTTGGGGCAGACTAGGACTCACAGAGAAATGAAGTTAAGGGAAGTCAAAGAGATGACAATATGTACAACGAATGTATCTAATAACTTGAAGCTCGAACTTCAAATCTTGGTAGGTGAGTCAGACCGGACTTCAGGAGTCCGCCTTGGAAGAAATTGATCGCCACTCTTGGGATCTTCAAGTTATGAACGAACCACGCCACAGTTTCAGAGCTGATGGGGATACTCTCTAGTTCTGATTCGTTCTTATTTTACTCCAGGATTTATAGAAATATTTAACCCCACATGGTTAGACACCCATGCATGAACTATATATGATGCTAGAGTATTCCAAGGTTACAATCCAAGTTCTATACACAAGTGCAAGAAAATATTTAAAACTTCCAGGTTTTGGAAAAAAGAATGGTGCAATGCTGGGTTCCAAATGTGTTCACCGAAATAAAGATGGGTATGTATAAATCCGAATAAATAACTATGCAACGCCGAATCCTTGTGCATTTTCAAGAGCTTTGTCGAGCTTCTCTGCCAGAGTCTCCTTAGAAGTATACTCGGGCAGTAAGAGTCGACCGAAACATGTGAGACTTGTCGGGAGACGCTGATTATATGAGTCAGTATATTGATCAATGGTATGGGAATATGGAAGATTTGAAGGGGAAAAAAACCTACCTCATCTCCAACGCCGTTCTTCTGGATCACAAACATGATGCTTGAGATACCATTGACGGGAACTCGATCACTAGCAGTGACAAATTCCAGAAGGCGCGCTTTTTTCTCTTCCGAGTAAGCTTGAGTTACACTCCAGAAGTCTCGAATGATACGATGTTCCGGTCCGAAACCACCTTCATATCGGGCATGGGTCTCCAATTCCTTCATGTCAATCGTTTGAAGACCTTCTACCACAGCCTTGAGTGCTTCAGGGGTGAAGATCGAAAGAGCAGATCGATCAAGGCAGGTGTAAAAGCCTCGAACGAAAGCGTCGAACTGAGGTCGAATAGACTTGTTGGTTAACCAGAAGATGTAATCGCTCACAAATTGTTGCCGATTCTGGTTGGTCACCATGGGAGCTTCGTCAGATGGAGGCGCGGTGGATGATAGCGGTGAGGATTCTGACACGGACGGAGCAGGGAGGTTGTCTCCCTCCGCTGTGAGAGACTCAGATGCACTTCTACTTGGCGGGTCAAAAGAAACAGAGACATCGGATGTTGTAGAATCTCCAACAGGACCTGCTGCAGGAGCTTTGTTCGGAGCTGGCCAAACCGCATCTCTGTCAACTTTCTGCATGTCAATGCTTTCAATGCCATCGAATGTTTCAAAACTGAACTCGTATGTACGCATGAAAATATCCCCAACGTCACCGTCAGACCATGACAGAAGCATCTCAAGACCTTGACTGAGCTCGGGCCACCCGTCCCGAATATGATCCAAGTGCTTCACCTTCAGTCCTAGAAGCTTGCGGTAAAATGCAACCGGAAAATTGACAGGTAATGTTAAGCCATTGTACACCGCGATAGACATCAAAAGACCGAGAAGCTCGAATTTGTAAAGAGGCTCTAAAGAGCACGGCCGGAACCAGGAAATTCGATGTCGGCTATCCATGGTAAACATGCCATATGATGTATTCAGGGCTTCTGCCATCAAAACTCGGAAGAATTCTTGTTGAACACCACCATGGTCGAGACCTTCTTCGCCTTCATCCATGCCCATCTGAACTTTAAGTGGTCGCATCAGCTCTCGTTTTTCTCGTCGCCAGAGCTGATTCAGAGCATCGGTAAGAACTCTGTCTCGTCGAACATTCAGCACGAAATAGGTCGACATAGAAACCTTCATCCGTTGCAATAGCGACTCATCACGAATGGTGATTGCATTACTGTATGCAGTCTGGGTAACATGTCTGGTGGTGGTCATGGCAGCTTCGTAGTATTTGGACATAGCGGAGTAGTTCAGTGCTCGGAAATAAATGACGAGGAAGGATGGTGGGAAAAGGAAGGAATAGGACATGAGGTGGATCGTGCGGTTGTTTGGCAGGCTACCCACCCATGCCACAGGCATCTCCAGAGGGTCCAGCCGCTCTGCGAGAAGGGGTGTATGGAAGTCTTCTGGGAATAGGCCCAGCCTATTTCGCTCTTTGTACATCATAGCCAATAATTGCACTGCACCTCCTGCGGCACTACTGCGGGCCATCTCAGGGTTGCCATCCCACTCACGCAGCAAAAGCGTTCGTAACCATTCCACAATTACAGGTGCGGGGCCAGTCGGCTGGTGCGATGGGCCATCATCTGCAGACTGTTGGATAATGTGATGCTCGCTGAGGTGGTCTACTATGCGATCCAGAACACTAATCTTGTGCTGTTTCGGAAGATCTAACGTGTAGACCTGGCGTGCCTTGGATATTTCATGATATGCAAGGCGGGCGCTCAGAGCGCGGACAAGCCGATTGACCAAGCGAAGACCAAGTTCATGTTCAAGTTTGTCAGTGGCTTCAACGGCCTGTTGAGCTTCATCCGAAGAGAACTTGCGCATAACAGTGGATGACGCAACGCCACCCGCAGCCCGCATTTGAAGGATTTGACGCCATGTTCGGACATCGATATCCGGAATCGAGCTGACTAAAGCGAATAGCGCAACCGTAGCAACATATGCAGCATCCACGTCGGATAAATGTTCATCATTTGCACCCTCGGAGATACGCCGAACTGCCGCCGGGGCTGTAGTAGGGCCAGTCATGGTCGAGCTGCGAGAAGAACGACGGGAGTGTCGGGCAGAAGATGAAAAATCCTGCGGGGGCACAAATAGCTTGTCCAGTGCACTCCAGAGGCTGTGCAAGGCGATATCCCAAGGACAAACAGTAAAGAGACGTCTCAACGAGCCTTGAAGGTGCGGCACATTAAGGCGATTGTCAATCCCTTCACGTGTAAGCGCAGAAAGGGCCACCGAATCCACTCCGAAGGAGCGTAGAATATGTGTTGTGTTACTAAACACAAAGTATACACTTTGTGAGATAAATGGGAATACCTGGCGTTGACGTGGCGTAGCAAACCGCCACTCAGGATTATCAAAACTTCCTGTCGATTGAATGCGCTCCAACTCGTCCTTCCAGGTTTCTTCCTCCTCTGCAGATTCCATCATGATTTGACCCAGCCCATCTATGATGTCCGACGTGAAATGAGTTACTGTCTGGGCCATTGGGATGGTGTCTGGTGAATGATGACGAGCACCAGCTTTAGCTTTGCGGTTGCTTGGGGTTTCGATTTCAATGTCACTTTGTGGGGGTAGAAAATTTAGATTCGCGGGGCCTTGTCCCAAAGATGGCTGGTTGATAACTTTTTGACTATCCCAAGACACGCGGCGTTCATTCTTGGAACGTTCTTTTGGTCGAGCATTCTCAAATTCGCCAATTCTACCCCGGTGTTTCTGTGGTCGATGCTTCAGTGCTGGCGGGGATGGCATGCTCGCGAAATCGTTTGTACCAAGATGTGAGTTAACGGAGACTTTGCGCGTCTTGTATTCAGGCCGCTTTTTATCATCCAAACTTGACCGAGGGGATTGCCGCCATTGATCAACCTCTGTCAATGAAACTCGCTTGACATGCTGATTTTGAATCTTGAGCTCGACTGCCGAAGTTGCGTTTCCTGAAGATCGGGATGAAGGGGTACGTGGATGGGAATTCTGCGAATGTGTCGAAGCTGTTGTCTCCACATGTGGCTTCGATTTCCCTGATTCTTTATCCTGTGATGCATGTCCTTGCTCCGGACGGGGCCCTTCGTTTCTCGGCTGCGACGATTCTTGCTTGAAATTGAGTGGAAAAAAGTCTGCAGTGCGACGTAGCGGAAGCCATTCAACCATTCGGAGGGAGAGGGTATCGAAGAGGTTTTGTGTGAATGACTTTGGGTCCTTTAATGGCTGTTCCGCAGCGTAGTCGAGGTCCTGAAAGTAATAAGCGCTGGGGTGACCATTCGGAGTCGGGGAACCCATCGCATCAATTCCCTTTGAAGGACCTGATATCCGTGATTGGTTCATCCTATTCCGAAATGCATTGCCACTTTGGCGATCTTGGCGGCGAAGATAACTGCTTTGGCCCTCCGATGCGGTTGCAGCGACTGTCACTTGTGCTTGGGAAGTATGTGGCCGTTGTGAGGGGATACGGTGGTAGTCCTGAGCCATTAAGTTGGAAGAGTCTTTGGGGTTATTGCAGCACAGGCCGCTCTCTGCGTCATCCAAACTGGCGAGGTAACAAGCAAGGGTTCGGGCGCTAAGCTCGGTGTATCGACGATACGGTCCCTCGCTGAGCCGGCGGCGACGGCTGGCACATGTCGGAGTCGGACAGCCCGGGTCATCGCAGCCGTGAAGGAGCTGATTCTTATATCTAAGCCCATGAGATCCGTTAGAGTAGTTCAGTTATAGTTGTTCCAGGCCGAGGCTCTTGCACCACTGGGTTGCGACTTTACCTTCGAACTAAGACGTTGAACCGCCGCCTACGCTCATCCCGATACCATGGAAGAACCTGTGATGAGTTTGAAACTTCGATGGTGTTCTGGATTATGACCTCCGGCGCGTTTGGGGGCACTTTGGATCGACAGTACTGTCGGTCGCCGCCGCCAGGCTGGGCGTTAGGGGAATCGAGGGAAGCTCCTCGGAGCCTGGTCATTGTAGAAAAGTGAGTCGCATAACCAGGTCAAAAGTTTTAGGAAAAGAATCCAGTAGCTTCTTCGGGCCCAGCGGATATGTGTTGACGGTGAGATGTGAGTAAGGGAATCACCAGCGTTTCGCTGACTGATATCATTGCCCCAGAACCCCGTGTCTTGATGCCTGGGGCGCTTACTAGTATCGGAATATCGGATAAACTGTTCATACGTGACCCACCAATATCCACACTAACTTGAAGTTGGAACTACATAGATTAAAACTTCAAGTTGGAAGACATTAGGATTACTACGTATACATGGAGTACTGAACATGTATATATCATTTTTTTTCAGATATTCTAGTTCGTTATTCTTTCTACTACTACCTAGTGTGCATGTAGCTTGAAATACTGATATCGGCACCTATGTACGGGCATTTATATCATACAATCATGATATCTACAAGTAGGGATTTGATGGAAAGAACCTTGGAACATTGATTTGACGAGTAGGACATTCTCAGTCAGGAATCTCTAGGCGCTAATAAGAAGCATAATAAACTGGCATGTCATGGCAAAATGTGCAAGATGACAACTGAACCAACATTTTGAATAAAACATGACAAATGACAATATAAGAAGTATAACACATGAACTTGAAACGCTGAAACAGACGAACCACAGGCTGGTCGCATAAAACATATTCGCATGTACAGGAGAAGAAGAAAGAAAGAACAAAAAAAGACATCCGCGTTGGTTACATGCGCTAAACGGGATAATCACACGCTCAGAGGGTTGTAATCAGAGGATGCTCATGGCATTTCGAGGAACTTTGAGTTTGAGAAGAGGAATGTCTCGAAGCGAAGGCTCAGGAGATGGTGGTTTTGAGGGACACAGAAGATAGAAGACGGCCTTTTCTTTTCTTTTTTTTTTTAGGTTTGGTCCTCTGGGAGGGTGTTTTGGCCTGCTCTCCTTGTTCTCGATGGTTGCGGATATTCTTGAGAGTAGTGGAGAGTTGAATGGACCGTATCGAGAGGAGGCTATTCTTGTATCTTCGTGACAATTGTGGAATGGAGAAGCGGCTATATTTTTTGCTTCTCCCCTTTTTTTTCCTTCTTTTTTTCTGTTTCTTTTTTTTCGTTTCTTTTTTGTTTTTTGTTTTTTCTTTTTTGTTTTTGTTTTTTGTTTTCTGATTCTCGGCCCATCAGTGTTGATGGATTGAAGGATTTGATGGGCCATGAGAAGATGGATTGTGGGGAAATGCCCCGGTGCAGAGTATCTCTGCAGTGTTGTATGTGGGTTGATTCTCGACTCTCGGCCCATCATGATGATTGTATAAATTGATAGGATGGGCCAAGAGGAGGTAGATGATGGGGATGGCCCCGGTGCAGGGTGCTTGCACTGCTGTGTGTTCTCGACCCTTGGTCCATCAATGTGATTATTGATGGGAGGGACCAAGAGGAGGCAGGTGAATTGTGGGGATGGCCCGTGTAGAGTGCGCGCGCTGCTGTATGTGGTTCTCGACTCTTGGCCCATCGATGCGTGTGGATTTATAGGATGGGCCCAGAGGAGGGTAGATCGTGCCTCGGTGCAGAGTGTCTGCATTTTTTAGATGTGATTCTCGACTCTTGGCCCATCATTATGATTGTATAGATTGATAGGATGGGCCAAGAGGAGGTAGATGATGGGGATGGCCCCGGTGCAGGATGCCTGCACTGTCTTGTGTAGTTCTCGACTCTCGGCCCATCAATACATGTGGATCGAAGATGGGATGGGCCGAGAGGAGGTAGGTCGTAGAAGAGTGCCCCCTGTGCGGAAGTATGTGCACAGGGGGCAGTGGCTTTTCCCCTCGGCCCATCATTTTTTGTATGTAGAGGATTGGATGGGCCGAGGAGGGAAGTTGTTGAATATAATTTTGTGTCTGCCCATGAGAGAAAGAATTTGGGCATCGTGGAGGATATGTTGAGTTTGAAATAAGTATAGTGGTGTTGTTTAAGCTTTTCGGCCATGTAAGCAATCATCGCATTCGAATAAAGAAGATGTGTGCATGGGGATGCCCATCGGACCAGCCATTTGGTTAATTTGAATTCATGGCAAGTATTGAGGTTTGTGCCAATAATTTAATGCTGAAGGAGAGGCTGGTCCTCCCCAACGACGCCATCTGCAGGCTTGGAGTTTTGCCCGCGCTTCTTGCGACGACGTCTTTTCTTCGTATTCGAATTGGAGCTCGCAGGATCGATGAAATAATTCTGTGGATCGACCATGCCGTTTTTGATACGTGGAGAAGAACCACGAGTGTGAGAAGGAGATGATTTGCCCTCGTCCTCAGATGAGCTTGTGCCATTGGTATGAAGCACAACTTTGCGAATGCCATTGACATCCACAATTTGCTCAGTGATGCTTCCGCTTCGAGTAGGTCCACGGTGGTGATAAATAAGATCTGAACGGGATTCCGTGGACTCCAGGCTGTCAGTTCGACTGCTGGCTTTGCGAGATGAAGCGGGGTGAGGCTGTTGGTCTTCATGTTCTTCATTGACCGCCTCTGGGATAGAAACTTGGGGGAGCTCTTTGTATTGCTGAGAGCTCGTACTTTTGCTGACGGTGTCATTGCAAGTGATGGAACCATAGCCGATTTTTAGAGCATGGGCACCATCCTTCGCATCTGATCCGGGATTGACCAGACCTGCACCAATGCCCCCTTGAAAGCCAATGGAAGAGGGTTGGCGTTGAGAGTCAGAGGTGCTTTGTGCAGACTCCAGGTCAGTCTGCGTTGAACGGGAAGGTGAGTTACCGCTGCGTTTGATTTTGACAGCATGGTAACGAGTTTGTCGAGGTCGACTCGCGAGGTTTGAAGGACCAAGGTGTTTTAGGTGTTCCCGGATTTCATCAGTGGCACCTCTTTGGGTAATCCACACATCTGGTGCGTTTGCATCACTGTCAGCATGTCTGCGTAGTTGGAAACGAGGAGGTGGAGCTTCAACGGAGCTGCGACGACGAAGGAGGTCTGACGGGTATGGAGCAGAAGTGGATATATTATCATCTCCGTCGAGCAGCTCACCCTCCGTGATTGAAGGCGCCATTGGTGGCTCTTCAACGATCTTTCCTTTGGGTACGCGAGACTTGGGTGCAGGGGCCATGCGCCGAATGGCCTTATGCACGTCAATAAAGACGTCAGACTCATCGATTATTTCTTCGCCAATGAGTTCTTCGATGACATCTTCAAGAGTAACTACTCCGAGAGCACCCCGATCTTCACTGGGGTATTCCGAAACCAAAACCATATGAGATTTGCCTTCTTGGAAAAAGTTGACAATATCCAGACAGGAGGTTTCAGGTCGGGTCTCGGGTAGAGTGGCGAGAGCAAAATCGCGAACGCGTTTGCAATCTTCAGGGTCATAGGTGATAAGCATCTTGACTAGGAGCATGCCGACAAAGTTCAAAGGGTTGTCAGGTGCATGAATGGGGATTCGAGAATATCCTTGAGAGAGAATGAGATCCATGGTGCGTTCATCGAGCACAGTATCAGCGGACATGGTAAAGACATCCTCCATCGGGGTCATGATGCTTCCAACAGATTTTTCTTTTAAATCTAAAACAGCACTGATGATTGTCACTTCGTCAGAGGTGAGTTGTTCTCCAGCTTCACCTAGGGTTCTGTGAAGGGTGACGAGGGTTTTCAGTCCAGCCTTTTTGTAAATGGTACCATGATCCTCGCCGAGAAGTTTGTCCAGCAATTTAGCGACTGGCCAAGCAACGGGAGACATGATATACATCAGAACGAGGACACAAGGTGCCATCCAAGCTCCGATAGGCAGACCATAACGGACACAGATCGATTGAGGGACGATCTCGCCGAAGATAACAATCAAAGCAGTGCTTCCAAGGACCGCCGGCCAACCGCCGCCGAGGGTCCGATCCAGGACAATAGGTAGTGTTTCATTGGTGATAACGTTACTGAGCAGGAGGGTCACAAGAACCCAATGTTTTCCACGCTGTAGCAGGCTCAGAACACTGGCGGCGTTTTTCTTTTCAGATGCCTCTCCAGATGTTTGGATCACTTGCAGATACACTTCGTCTTGTCCCATTAATGCAATTGTAAGTCCCGCAAAGGCTCCGCCACTTAGGACAAGAGCCGCTGAGATTCCCAGGTATAGCCATAAGCTTGGATCATCCGGTTCTTTCGGAGGTTCGACATCGTGAGAGGTAAGGGAGGTCGAGAGCAATGGCGCAGCCGAGGTAAGAGGGAGGTAGGAAAAGGTGAGAAATAGACATTTTGCCAAGCCCAGTATCAAGGACCGAGCGGCGAAAAGAGAGGTAGTCGAACGATTCATCACCACACGTCGAAATAGAGGTAAGGTTTTAACAACAGTCCCAGGTCAACAGTCAACAGTCAACGGTAAGATAAGGTCAGGGTGACAGACAGGTCACAGGTCAACAGGTCAACAAGTCAACAGATAATTGCAAAAGCGCTAGAAGTGAAAAAAAGGGAGATAAAAAAGACAAGAGAGGCGGTAACTCTGTCAACTTCAACGCTGCTCCAGTCAACACATCGCAATGAGAGGGGGGAGGGGGGGGGGGGGTAAGGAATGCAGAAAGAAGCCAAGGTAGGTATAACCGGAAGTACAATGAAGACGTCTAAAGGGGATGTGGCGAAAGGGATGCGATTATGAGAGCACGAGATACACGAACAAAAAGTCCTTTGGGCGAGACCTTGACGTGATCCGACTCGATGGTAGGGGCGTTTTTTCTTGGGGTCTGTAAATGGAATTGGGTTTCGAAGCAGAAAGCGGAACGGATCATGGTCGGGGCAAAACCTCAACCGGGAATGATCAACGCACTGACTGCGGTTTGACGGGCTCCACAAATTCCGACTCCCAGAACACCGATACAGGTCGCAAACTCCATGTCGACTCTAACAATCCTCCAATTTCCTGGTCGTTGGACTAAATCCTCTCGTGGAGCCGAATCTGTCGAGTCGTTCAACTGAATCATTTTGAGAGTTGCTTTTTCAAGCTTGCGATCTCCGATTCTAGTTCTTCAATCTCCGATACTAGCTCATCGATCTCGGATTTTCGTCGTTGGTACTTGGATGACCACTGCTTACATACTTCTTTGGCTTCGTTGTACATTTCTTCGACTTCTTGGTATCCTTCGGCCCATTGCTTGACCGTCTCCTCATAGGCGGCTACACTCTCTTGCGAGAGACGCAGTTCCTCTCGGAGTTTGGCCTCTGTCTGTTGCACTGGGTCTTGAGCCTGAAGTCCGGTACGTATGCCGCGCGCAAGTTGGTCATCCCGGCTATCCTCCTTAACTGCCCGACGGCTCTCGGAGCCAAGCTGCGCGAGTGCAGCTTCTTGGTTGTCGAGGGCGCTCTTGAGCCGATTCATGGCCGTGTAATATCCCTGCAGGTGCGATTCGGGGAACTTCAATTGGGCAATTTCCTTCGCCACGTTGTACAGTTCCCGGACGGCCTCGCTTTCCTTCGGGGAGCCAGACACTGAGTCAACCTCCACCTCAGCCTTGCAGGGGACCGGAGCAGTACCCTCAATTCCCTCCATGGAAGAAACCTGAGCAAACACGGATGACTCCGTGGGATACTCAACCCCGTCCATGTGAGGAACTTCAGGAGAGTCCTCAATCCCCTCCATGACCTCGATATTGGTCTGTTGGTACTCTGTCGATGTCGGCTTCTTCTTTTGGTCCATTTCATCGGTGCCGATCTGCGGAATATTTCGATTGATCAGTGGGACTGGGGCAGCAATAGCCTCGTCCTGGCGGCTGATCAGACTGGCAGCTCGGTTTTCAACCAAACGGTCAAAAGCCTCGCCAAAACAGTTGAGAATATCCGGAAAGGCATTGCCGACAGCTTCGTCATACTCCTCCTTGCTCAATGCTCGGAAAAACATCAAATGTTGCCAATATAATTCCTGGTTGGCGCGAAGGGTATTCTGGTACTCCGTATTCTGAACCTTTTCACTTGCCAATGACTCTTCCAGGCGGGCCATGGTTTGTTGAAGGTTCGCGACGTGTTCGTTCTGAACCTGTTCACGTGCCAATGACTCTTCCAGGCGGGTCACGGTTTGTTCAAGGTTCGCGACTAGGGCGTCGTGGTTTGCGTTGGCAGGAGTCTGAGGAACGGGTAGGGGACCGTTCACCTGTTGGGCAACACGAGCCTCACGGCGAACATCAGCCTGTTGGCGAGCTCTAGCCAGAGAGGCCTGTGATTCCTGCAGGTCAAACTTCAACCGCCAGTTGACGATATCGAGATCTGTGTTCTCGGCGCAAACCTTGTCGCATACGGACTTGTAATCGTTCAGTTGACCTTCCAACTGGAGTACTCTGGTGGCCAAGAGTTGCTCGTTGGTCGGTCCTGAAGCTGTCGAGTCGGGCAGGGCTTCTTCCTGCTGGCCGCACTCATTAAGAGAGTGAGCAGGTCGGGGCGGGGGCTGCGAACGGCGAGCGCGTACGTTGCGGCCGTGCAAGACGGCAGCGACCAACAACGCACACACAGAGACCAAAACGCAGCTGAGAATCATCTTGTTCATGGTGACCAATGAAACAAGACGAGGAGATTTGCGATGCGCAAGTTTTTCTTTGTGCTGGAATGCACGAGTCGTCGAAAGCGAAAGAGAAAAGATGGTGTTGCACGTGTTTGGGACGTGCAAAGCGCAGGCAAAATGGTGGTGGGGGTTGTTGAAGAAGAGAAGTTGTGAGAGTGCAGGAAAAATTATTTATGTTGGGGTGCGACGCGACGGTGAGGGCTGCCTGACAGCGTTCTCTCACTTTTCTCCCTTCAATGGCTGGCGACCCCAGCTTAACTACGCGCTGAAGTGAATTAAGGGTCAATTCTGCCTAATCGCCAAACAATTTTGCTATTAACAGTGAATTTCCTTCGCCTAGTGATGCCCTTTTCCATATTTATGTCTCTCATTCACTGTCCAGATTTTTATCTTCTATTTTGGCCTCCCACTAGATCAGGTTTCCAGGTACATCTCTGTCCTATGGCCTCGAATGCCGTCCTTAAGCAATCCGCGCATATTCTCTACTCCGTACAGCTTCCACTTCTTCTATTATTTTTAGTAGCTTTTCAAATATCTCGTTATATTCTCCCCATCTACTATAATTGCCAAACCAGAGTCAATGTATCAAAGATTTGCAAAGCAATGCCATCCCGATACTACTACTGCGTAGGTTTTGGGTATTCCGAATACACTATTCTATTATTCCTCTTTTCATACGCCGTAAATAATCTCAGCATCAAGGGATTGGATTTGACCCTGTATGGATTTTATCAATTTATGTCTTTGAAATCGATATGCCAAAGGCCCAAGATGCGATATAAGATAAAGGTTGTCACATTTAAGCTTCGCGGGCCGCGTGGGGCTTGGTCCCTGCGGCTGCGGGATACCGAAGTCTTCCCGATGTACCCTCGTAAATGCCGAAGAATTCTTGGCATCTCCATGACGGCAATTATGACCCAGCCGAATCTTTTCATTTGAGAGCCTGGACGTGGGGATTCCCTGTTTCATATAAGACTGTCCTTTCCATAGAGGTTCAACTGTTGAATGATAGATGAAATCTGAGGTTTCCTTCGAGGGACATTGGACAATTCACGAGATGAAGATATTCTCAAAGTCGAGACATCTCCCTGCAGGAACCGGAAGAACACACTCATCAGGGCCTTGATAGCTAATCTGAGCCTCTCCATCTAGTGAAGAATATTTGAACCTGAGCGCTATCACGGACCCTTTAGATCTTTCCATTTGAAAGTAAGTGGTTCGTGTCGTCGAGTAAAGTGACTTCGAAAGGCAGAGGTTTCAAAGATCATCATGATAAACCAGATGTTCTGTCATATGTAGAATGAGGTATGGACCGAGGATATTTGAGCTAATAGACCGTCAACAAAGCAGGTCCTGCGCCTCACTCGGAGCCTGGTCAGTGATTTCCGAGTCAGGTCGTAACTGGCTCGTATGTGGGTTCTTTTTTGAATAGTAGACTGGCAATAATAGAAGGCAGGTCAGACTCTGTGAAGGTCTCAGTATAGAACCGCGCTGTGAAGTTGCAGCGCTCTTGAGTCCCAGCCTTTCAAGAGCGTGTTAAAGTACCCAAGTGATCGGGGACTCAGGATGAAGATCGTGAAATCGGTGTTTCAAGATTATGATGTGTCTCTTTATCATCCACAGACATATAGTGCCAGTGCTCAGGAGACTTATTAACTTGAATCGTGCCCATCCGAGATATTTGTCTTGCGAAGTCGGACGACAGACTGTAGTCACAGTGACAACCTGGGAGATCAGTCAGTCAGTTAGACTTGGGATATGCCCAGTCGAACTTGGGACATTGTATGACTTCCAAAGTGCAGCTTACCGGGGCTAGACGTACACTGTGGCCGCTCGGCTGGAGATCCCAAATGGTATGTACAAGGTCGTCGTCTGACGAATCTCAGGCTTGAGCCCTTTGAATGAGCCAGAGGAAGAATTCGTGCAACCTCGGAAGCGTTCGTCACTAGACGCCGCAAGGCTAACCCAGAAATAAACAAATCTTTTACCCAGGCCTCTTTATATGAATTTCCTCATATGTAAGTAGCTCCGGATTACACAACGCACGTTCAGATTAACTCTTGACTGAGATTGACGAATGTTGGCCGCATCACATTTGTGGACCTCTGCAACGGCGCCAGAATAATGAGAGCCTAATAGTAGCATACAAGGGCTCATGCAGGCGTTGGATCATAAAAGGGCTTTAAAGACGTCGGGCATGCTCAGGCGATGATTTCGCCACGCGTGGGCGCGTATTCATATGGATGTGTGAGTCACGACATCGGGGACCACGTACAGGCCTGCTCACGCCTGCATATGAGCCCAGGTCGGTGGATGAGCAGATGCCACCGGGCTCGGGCTAGTAGATGAATACTCAAATACTCACAATACCGTGACGCGTCAAAAATGTCCAAACCTCTCTAGGCAGCTTCAAGTTGAATTATCCATAATTAGTGCGGCAATCATTGGCGATATTAACATTCCAGATATCGAGTATTGAAACTTGAAATTTGACATCTGGAATATTCCAATAGATCATTTCCGAGTCCCTAGATTATAGGAGTGGAATCAGGCTGCGAATTAGTACGTAGGGAAAATTAGTATCATATGCAGGTATATATTCAAATTTTTATCTAGTGCCAGTGTTCCAAGGTTCCCTGCCACTTGAGAGAATGGTTAGACTGTAAGGCTATCCGAGTCGGACGTTTAAATGATCCATGCATGCGTCGGCCGCTCATATATCTCAAATACCGTGTGGAATACTGTAAAAAGATGATACTCTTTGATAATAGTATTTATTTGGGTATTCCATCGACTACGGTGTTTGGTGAAATACAGTATTCGAAAAATGTTTACCTCGGGGCAAAGTTTTGACGCGTTATGCGACAATATCCATACTACCTAGGTACGGAGTACATCAGACATCTGGACTCTTATCGATATTAATGGGATTGAAAAGATTAAATCGACTAAATAGCCTAGGGGTAAACACAACAATAAATAAATCTCCAAGTCCACTGGTTCAATTCCTGAGTAAAGCACTTAACAATTCAGAGTAAACATTGATGTAGAATACTATGGGACGCGTAAAGTAAACATATAAACAGATCCACATGCATAGGTAGATGTGTAAAATATAAACAAGAAGTACTAGCACCTCAAAAAAAGGCAAATAATTCTTTTAATATAAAAAATCAACTTCAAACACCGTTAAACTACCGTCGTGGGGAGGGTATTTCAAACATATAGGTTGCCGCCCGGCATAGATCAATGATTGATGCCAGTGGTACTCAAGTGCTAGTACCATCTTGCCTGGGGTACTTGATTCTGGAGTAGCTGCCCACTGGCACTACTTGAACCTTCTGATGTCAGTTGAAACTTGAAGTTAAACTGCCAGTGGCCTTCAAGGATCAAGGTGACTCGGAACTGGTACCTAGGTACATAGTATCTACATAGGTGCATAATGTATTAGGTCCACGGGTACTAGTAGTACCGTCAGGTGATATTTTCAGTTACCTATTATCTCCAGAGCTCCACATGCAGGGCTAGGTATGTACTATGTAGTGCAGGTATTGACATCTAGATGATGTAGTAGGTAGTAGATAGGTACCTTGTCATATGTACTTTTATGTACATACTAGTAATGGCATCATTCAAGTTTAACCTGCTAGTGGGAACTCTTCAAACATTCCAAGGTTTGAATGTTCAAGTTCCGAGTTGCCGGCGAACGTGAAAATATATCTCATCCTTCTACGTAGGCACTCAGACACCACACTGGCAGTACTACTATTCAAATGTTCAAGTTCAACTTGAAGTTCACCTGCCAGTGCTAATGGGGATTATCCACAGTACATGCTAGGTTTGAAGCGAAAGTAGACCAAGGACACACCTGAGTACACCTCATTAAAAAATCCAAGGTCTGAGGTCCGGTAGCACTTCAAATGTTGAGGTGATGTCCTTATCAGGACTCTTATCGGCCGGTGTCGGCGCCAAGAAGCGTGACTCCCCCGTCCCGCACCAAAAGCCTTTTCTCTCCCAATGACTCAATCCCTCCTTCAATCCATTGTCTCCTCCAACTTTTCCATTTTCTCCTATTCGACTCTTCAATTCATTAATCATGTCTAAGGGAAAGGTATGTTACCTCAATTGACGTGACAGTCGTGGCAGCTGCCATATTCATATCCACTATCCCTCCTTCAGACCGCCACTTTATCCCACCTTCCATCCTTCGATCGCTCTAAGTGGGCTCTCACTGACTTGTCTTGCTTGCACAGGTTTGCTTGGCCTACTCCGGTGGCCTCGATACTAGCTGCATCCGTACGATCTCACCCAGAGCTGTGTTGTTTACAATCGCTCATGCTGACCCGCAATTCCAGTCAAGTACCTTATTGAGGAGGGCTATGAGGTCGTCTGTTTCAGTAAGTTCTCGTGCTACAAGAATCATTAGACGTAAGGTTAAATACTAACGTCGCATAACAGTGGCCGATGTTGGTCAGGAAGGTACAGTTTCATAGGTTCTCATATGTTGTGACAGTGCAGTACTAAACAATACCAACAGAGGACTTCGAGGCTGCCCGCGAGAAGGCCGTGAAGATCGGTGCTCTCAAGTGCGAGATTGTTGATCTCCGCCGTGAGTTCATCGAGGAGCTTTGCTTCCCCGCTATTGCTTGCAATGCCGTCTACGAGAACGTTTACCTGCTCGGTATGCTATCCCCCCCCCGTCCTGAGTCATTGATCGAATGAGGCACTAATAATGGTTTGTCTTTCTTAGGTACCTCCCTGGCCCGCCCTGTGATCGCTCGTGCTCAGATTGCTGTTGCTGAGGTAGGTGATATCAATATACTTTCCAATCGACCAAGGAATTCGAATTGACTCTTTTGCTTTCTTAGGCCGAGGGTTGTTTCGCCGTCTCCCACGGCTGCACCGGTAAGGGTAACGACCAGGTCCGCTTCGAGCTTGCCTTCTATGCCCTCCAGCCCAAGATCAAGGTTATTGCCCCTTGGCGCGACCCTGTCTTCTACGAGCGCTTCGCTGGCCGTAACGACCTCCTTGCCTACGCCGCCGAGAAGGGCATTCCCGTCACCTCCACCAAGTCTAAGCCCTGGAGCATGGACGAGAACCTGGCTCACTGCTCATACGAGGCTGGTATCTTGGAGGACCCTGACACCACTCCTCCTGCCGACATGTGGAAGCTGACCCAGGACCCCCTGTCTGCTCCCGATCAACCCGAGGACTTCACTCTCCACTTCGAGAAGGGTGTCCCCGTCAAGCTCGAGTTCACTGAGAATGGCCAGAAGAAGGCTGTCACCGACTCCGTCGACGTCTTCCTGACTGCCAACACCATTGCCCGTCGCCACGGCGTTGGCCGCATTGATATCGTAAGCAAAGTCCGATGCTGAGATTTCCATGGAAACAGTAACTAAATTCTTAATCAGGTTGAGAACCGCTTCATCGGTATCAAGTCTCGCGGTTGCTACGAGACCCCTGGTCTTACCTGCCTGCGCACTGCTCACATGTAAGACTCCTTCACACAGGAATCAATGTACCACGTACTAATCTCTCTATTGCAGTGACCTGGAGGGTCTTGTCATGGACCGTGAGGTTCGTGCCCTGCGTGACCAGTTCGTCACCTTCAACTACTCCAAGGTTTGTTTTCTTTTTCTCCACATCGGCTTGACTCTTGAGCTAATTGAGTTTTAGCTCCTTTACAACGGTCTTTACTTCTCCCCCGAGCGCGAGTTCCTCGAGTCTTCCATTGTTGCCTCCCAGAAGAGCGTCAACGGTCAGGTTCGCTGCCGTGCCTACAAGGGCAGCGTTTCCGTCCTGGGTCGCTCCTCCGAGACTGAGAAGCTCTACGACATGACCGAGTCCAGCATGGACGAGATTGGTGACTTCTCCCCGCCGAGACCACTGGTTTCATCACCGTGTCTGCCATCCGCCTCAAGAAGTACGGCCAGATGAAGACCGCCGCCGGCGAGAAGATGTAAATTTTCCCTCAGAAATTCTGAGATTTATTCACCCGGGTTGGGGAATTGCAAAATGGGGTAACCATATGTTGATCATCACTGGTTCTTTTTTATCCGAAACGATATGCCGGATCTTGGTTGCACATGTGTTTCTTGACTACCATTTCTGATGTATTTGGGATGGTTTTCTCATTTCTATGATTGTATGATGAAAAGTTGAAATTGCGGCAATAGCACAAAATATTTCGTGTATCAAGCGTAATTTCTATCGTAGATGTGACATATGTACAACTTCAAATAATGATATTTACCAATGGGATCATGATGTCTATCGAAGATCCAGTCTTCTGACACATCCTTATATAATTCTTCAGTTGAGACAATAACCTGCAAGGTTGAAGTAGCTGATTGCTACTACAGGCTAGCGTTGACCTTGACCTCATTTGTTGCTGCTTCTAACCGGTAATGTTAGCCTTGAATTTCACAATAACAACCTTGGAACTTTTCTTTTTGTGTGGGCACATACTTTTCCAATCATCCAAAGCTGCTTTCTCCGCATCCCAGCCCCATAGGAATTTCTGAGTTTCACGATCGGTCCATTTATCGGGGTTGGAGCCGCTCGCCGCTGCTCGGAATTGTTTATCACGCGCAATCTGCTCAGGTCCATCTGGGAGGTGCAATGTAACGCGGTTGTCGGAGCCCGATTGTTGCACAGTTTCCGCGCGCTGTTTTCGTGACTTCTCATACACCTGTAACGCGCTTGGGATTTCATGACGGGAAGTGATATTCGACAACAGGATCCCTAGGGCTGCCGCATCCTCAACTGCTTGTGCCGCGCCTTGGGCCACGTAGGGACTGGAGATTGGTTAGCGTCGCACAGCCAAGAGCACACGGAAATTCACACACAGCATTGGGTGACAAGCATCACCAATTAGAGCCACAGATCCTCGAATCCAGGTCTTAAGGGGGCGGTGCAGACACAGTTTCCACTCGAGAACCTCGTCATCGTCCACCAAGTCAATCAGCTTCGTTACTGTCTTTTCCCATCCCTGGTAGTTGTCTACCATGGCCTTCTTGGAACCCTTGGTGGTCCAAGACTCCTCAACCTCTTGGTTATCTGGATGCAAAAGAACGACATTGTACAGCTCATGATTGCGAACAGGATAAGAAATAATATGGCGTCCAGGACCTACCCATCGAATTGCTTGTGGCTCGTCAATGAGCTCTTTCAATTCGGGATCTTTCTCCATGACACTGCGAGGGATGAGGATTCTGTATGCTGCGTCTCCAGTGGGAATGGCCTTGATCGAATTGTCATTAAGTAGCTGACCTCGTATGGCAGACTTGATACCGTCAGCGCCAATGACAATGTCACCACGGACTACTGTGCCATTGGCCAGTGTGACTGATGCGGGACTGAATTCGACATCAGTTACCATCGAATTCACTCGTAACTCGACATTCTCCAATGCCAATGCCTTCTCAATTAAGGCATTATGCAAATCTGCTCGATGAATGACCACTTGCTGACCAAAGGTCTTGTTCACTGGCATAGTGGCGAGAAGAGAGCCGTCTTGCCATCTTCGAACATGGATATGCTCTAAAGCAACATCCTGACTATGGATCAAGTCTGAAACACCCCATCCTGATGTGGGTCAGCAATCATCCCACTACGAAACTGGAAAATTGACTCACGATCAAATAGACGCAGCATATTTGGAGATCCTTGAATTCCAGCACCAACTTCCATCAACTATACAAACAGTCAGCAAAATTTTCTTTGAGATGGAATTGTTTGAGGGCTATTCGGAACATGCCTTTGGTGCAGCCTCCAAAATCACCACGCGATGGCCTCGCAACCCCAAAGTTAGGGCAGCAGACATACCCCCAATGCCTAGATAAGAGTCAATAAGAACATTCAGGTCCATGATTATTATGCTTCAGAAGATTGTACCGGCCCTGATATGCAATGTTAGCAAGCAGACTCTATACCATGAACGACAGCAAATCAGCATACCCGACAATGATCACGTCCAAGGGCAAATTTGCCTGTGGAATATCCATGTTGAAAAATTTGAACAATTCGAATGAATGATATACAAAAAGAAGAAGAAGTTCGCTGAATTACTAGCAATTGCACAACAGAAAAAAATGATGCCACGAACACCTGTGAAGAATTCGTGTTGCAGGCTTTGAATAAATGCAACCGGCAGCTATTTCAGAAAATTACTTCCGAGCTTAGTTGTCCGAAGGTCTGCCGTCCCACCCGTGCCACAGGTACGCTATTATCCGAGAAGCCAGACTTATCATCTATTGAATTTTTTTTACAAATGATAATCTTGCCCCTTGGGGGATGTGGCACATTGATCGGCCATTCGAGAGCGGCCCCCTATCTTTCTCCACAAACCCGGGGACGCATAACGGATTGAGTGTACATGAGCCTGCAGTTCTTTAGGTCTAAAGTACCGCTATCGTCATATTTGGGCTGGTGGCCGTTCAGTGGCCAAAGCGAGGCGGTACTTGGCGGCTCTCTTGCGGGGCTAAACGGGCCATGCGAGCACCGGGGATATTCCGATCCGTTCAACATTTAACACTCAGATTGTCTATATAACTCCTCTCAATATGTTCGGTATCATGCAACTGCCGTAGATGAGGGGTTCATGAATTGATTTTCCATCCTTTTTCCTGATTTTGGGGCGTGCATCCGGAAGCCCGAAATGAGTTCTTTCGCTCGGTAACAAAGCGATCGGAGCGCGGGCTCCACATCTATTGGCCACTGCACATTTTTTTCTGGAGATTTCATATAAGTTGTCCGGCTTTTCTTCCATCATTCATCTGCCGAACCATCGCCCAGTATAGCAACTAAGCCCGTCTCCGCAATACACTCTAATACATAGCCCGCTACCTAATATCTCGTGCCTTCATATCGGGGTTTGCAGACCCACGCCTCGTCGCAGCCATCCTGGTCACTTCACCCCGGGTTTGATCTTGTGATATGTGTGTCTCAATCTAGATTTACTTTTACGGCAGATTATAGCTTCAATCATTGCCGAGTCGCTGTTGCACATTCTCTGCGGCTCTATTCGAAATTGATGTTTGAATGAGCTTCGTATAACTTGGAATCTCAAGAATCTATATACAAGTGTCTTTCTAGACTGCATCTAACCTGTGGTCATTATTTCCAATGCTTGGTTTTTAAGTTCGATTCTCAATTCCAAGATCTTGATTCTGTTTAGAGCTTTGACTCAAAGATAAGTTAAGAAAACATCTGGGATCAATGCTGTGTACGCAAGGGTCTTAATCTGGAGAGGGGTGATGTGATCTACCGCAAGGTATGCCCGCATCAGCACAGTCTAGACTCCACATTATACTTGCCTCCACAATGCAAGATCCTCCTATGAGCATCCCTGTTCGGCTGATACTGGCTACTTCCCTGCCGGACTATATACGTGTCTGACGGTTTTCCCTCTTCTCAATGGCGATTCTTTCAAAGGAAGTCCTCGTGACAGTGCCTCGGGACCGGAGATTGCATAAACCTCTTTCATGCAGTGACTGTAAATGGAAGAACGGGCATCTGAATCCATCATAGTTTCTCCGTGGCGTAATATGTGCTCATCCGGTACTTTGTCTCACCGTCATATTGAGATAAGTCTTGCAAGGCTTGCTGGCCTTCTCGTTCAATAGTTGCACGGATCTCCAAGTTTCGAGGAGTGATTCGGCATTTGAATGGATTAGGCCTCATGTTGAGGCCATTCCTATCCGACACGGGACAGTCCCGACGATCAGTTCACCGGAATACTTTCAAGGTTCAAGGTGAAACAAAGAGAGTGCAAGTACTTACGTGAAATCGAAAATGTCCACACCGACTTCCTTCCCCCGCTCATCCACGGCTTTCTCTATCTTGAATCCCCAAAGCAAACGTGCAATGGTGATAAATGTTCCCTGCTCCGCCAAGCCTTGTCCACTACATACTCGTCGGCCCCATCCAAAAGTCATATATCCCTTCTCACCAGGAAAAGGGCGAGATTCCGCACTCCCTTTTGTATACCGATCGGGATTGAATCGATCTGGTTCAGGAAACTCGCGTTCATGATGATGAATGGCCCACACGTTCCCCTGGACCCAAGTATTCCGTGGAATGAACCAACCCTAGAAAACCACGATGCATCTCATCAGTATATCCACTCGAGAAAAGCAAAGAAACCGCTTTTAGCAACACGGAGATTAGATTGAATATACCTTATAACGATCGTCTTTGATCGGCGCATGCGGCTGTCCTCCGATAATGGCGACGGATCTCCACCGGAAAACCTCTTTCACAAACGCTTTCACATATGGCAAGTCCGGTTCATCCTGGAATGTTGGACTCCGGTGTGGTCCCACCACCCTATCGAGCTCACCCCAAGCCTTCATCATTGTCTCTGGAAAGGCACAGCATGCGAGTACAAAAGTGACCAATGTCGAGCTGGAGGTATCGCTACCAGCCCCAAACAGGTTTCCCGAAAGTGAAGAAATTTCCATTTTCGAGAGTTTGTGCTTCGGTGCTTCATCGAAGATTTTCTTCGCATAGCACTGTTGTGAACTTGCGCTTGTCGCGGCTTCTTCGGCCAAAGCGTAGAAAAATGGTCTACCGCGTCCTTTTTGTCCAAGACCATGTTTCCAGGGTGCCATCCAGTTTGGAAAGTTGGCAAGAACTGACTTTATGTCAGCTTAAACTTCTCTCTATTACTAGATGAGGTGAAAAGGAATAGTGACTGTCATGTTTCACAGGATCTCGATTTGGTTATTCTCCGAAACTTACATGGAAAAGATTCCATCAGCATCGGAAAGGTTTTCCCTGGTACGTTTAACTCGGCTGCACGCTGCATAACGGCGATGACTTCCGTGATTATCGGGTCCATGAATGAAGAGACTCTTCTCCCAAATCCAATGATCGAAACGACGCTCGTCGCATAGCGTTCGAAATGCTTGACATATTCCTCGGGATTGTGTATCAGATCAAGTGCAACTACTTTGCTTTCGTCATTTTGGAAATCACGGTAATTTCTAACTTGTTGCAGACCGACTCCCATATGAGTCATTTTTCTATGCAGACGCCATCGATCTCCGTAATACATGTTGACTTGATTGGATTGACCAGCACCGAGTTCACTGAACACCACCATGCGTGGCCTTGAAGCGTAAATCGCAGCTCGTTTGTCGAGGAGCTCGTGAGCTGTCCATGCGTCACATATCCATATTGTTGGTCGACGACCAGTCCAGAATGTTATCATCGGTGTACTGTATTCTCTCGCCAATTCCTCGAAGTAAATCCATGGTTTTTGGGCGGGGAGGAGATGGGTATTTCCAATCAGAGGAAGTGGGAATGGACCTGGAGGCTAGCTGGACTGTTAGAGAGATCATCACCCGAGCTGTGATTTACTAACCATCCTGTAGTGTAGGTAAATCATGTAGCCATAGTCTAATGTGAGTATTGACACGAATATAATCACTATAAGAGAGACCGCCGCTATCGGGTCCACGTCGTGCTCTTTGATAGAACTGAGGATTCGCTGGACAGAAGTGAGAGACACAAGGCCCTCTATTTTTTTCGAGAATCATCTGTGATTTCTCAAAATATGAAAGATCTTACCTAGTAGTTTTCAGATGTTTTGAGCCCGTGTTAGCTCGGTATTAGAGAGTTGTGTTTCAAAGTCACTGGATGTTTGGGCAGTGGGCACATATAAGCTTGGTTATTCGAGAAGTGAGATCTACTCCAATCGCAGGAATTCTATTACAACTTCAGGTTCTTTCTAGCCTGAATTATAGTGGAAACCCCGCCTTTGAGGTGCCGAAAATGCGGGATGGTCCTTCGTGGGGCAATATCATTGAGGATCAGTGGCAGCTGAGGAGATCTAGTCCCGCAATCAGAAATCAAGTTGATAGATTCAGCTTGTCTTGAAAAGCAGACCCACATTTTCAATAAACTTCAAGCTCGGTCTGATCCTCATTTGACACCCTCATGGTAAAAGTCAAGTGGGTATTACCTGGGTATTCACATAGACTTTCAGCTTAGTAGAAGAAAACAAAAGAGCTTGCTTCAAGTTGAAGATCTTTCCAGAGGTCTTTCTAGAGACGATTCAATCTCTCAATACTATTACTAATTACTTGTGTGTACATGAAACTGAACCTTGGAATAGTACATACTCGGTGGGGCTGCCCGGACTTTATTGTCAAGGGTGCATAGTGCATGCGGGGTTTTGTGGGGATGAAGACCCTTGTCTATTACTACTACCTAGCTATAGGATAAAATGCTCTCTTGATCTCAGTATAGTATTGCCAAATTTGATTTAATTATTCAATGTCATCGAACGTACTAGCTTATACCGTCTGAACATAGACTACCTAGGTATAGACAAGTGTGCCAAACGAGGTTGCAAAACTACCCGGAAATGATATCATAGATGTCAAGGACCAAAGAGGATTCGGATGGAGTTAAGGTCATTAGGAAAGATCATAGTAAAATCAAGCATTGATCAAAACGTATTCCAATTAATGCTGCAAATTCAACCTCTATTATTCAGGGAGTCTCCTCCTAAACAACCATAACCTGCCAGATGGATAGGTACCTTAGATTTGATAGTCAAATTAATCGAGAATCAATCATTGAGAAGAATTTGTCCGATGTTGGAGGTCTGGAATGCCGCCCAGGTCCATCTATAGATTGAACAAAACCTTTCGGGATCAGTCCCTATAGTCAAAGGTTCAAGTTGGAGCGGAAACCAACTGACTGATGTATCAATTTGAGTCAATTTGAAGGCATATTGGCAACTTGAACTTGGACGGAGCTTGTGATGAGTGGCGCACTATTATTCGATATGTGGCATAGCCAATACTACTAGTTTGCTCCCAGGTTTGACCTCAATGTCACACTCATTCAAAATCACATAGTAATGATTCATGTCTACCTTCACATTCCCAATGGTTGACTTTCCTTCGCAATGAATCGGTTGAATAATCATCAAATTAGTGCTGTTTGGTGTTCTTCCAGGTAAAAATATCAACCCTCCTCTCCTACAGCGCGTTATCTTGTTGGGCCGACCCGGAAACCGTTCTACGTTCTATATGAGACATCATCAGAGACACCATAAATGTCTATAAGATAGACGTGACTCGGACTCACCTTTTCGTAATCCAGTATCAACCCTCGAAAAACAGCGTTACATGCACTGGGGTTTGTGGATGGGGGGGGGGGGAACACATCAGCGTTTAATCTCCTTTTAGACCCGTTGTTGGCAATAGCTTCTGCGTCTTTTTCAACTTCCTCCCATGCCTCTATTTGATTCAAAGGAACAACGGTTGGTAGAGATAAGACAACGGAGGGGAGGATGTCATTAGCCATTGCGAATGTTGATCATGCGGGGTAGAAAGCAATTAAGTATCTATTGCCTGCGTGAAACGTCATTATCGTCGCAAGCAGCGCTGGACGCTCCCGGGCGAGAATTGAACAGACTGACCCTTTATTGTGATGACTCCTACTCTTTCGAATTCAAAGGGTGATCTAGTACTACTACTAGTAGTAGGGTCAATAGTAGTACAGTTTGGAGGGGACTGAGGGGTTGTCTGGGATGATTAGCAACTTTGATCCTGTCACCTGACTTGCGCTTGGGCCATTATTGCTCAAAATCTACAATCTTGTGACACTCGTGCCTACCTAGGTAGGTATGATAGCATGATTCTCGTAGTATGACTCACTTCTAATTGAAGATTTGAAGTTGTCGGGAACTGATAGGTGGCCGTGGTATTGCCACTGTTTAGGTGAAATGTACTACTCCGAACCTGATGCCTAAACATATGACCTTCCAGGATGAAAAATGATCACGACTTGAACTGTGTTTGCTTGCTCCACCAAGTCAATTATATTAGTGGCCTGGATGAAACATAAGTGTGGAGCCAGAGGGCTGGTTTAGTATGAAAAGGAGATAATTCATGCATTTGACGTTATTGACACACAGCGAAAAAAAGACCAGGGACTCCGACCAATGCGTTGAATAGGACAAAGATGACAAGAAGAGAATGTGCGCATATGAAAAGACCTCATTGGAGCGTATGCATGCATTGGTAAATTGTTGAATATGAATGAGAATAGGATGGTCGTTCTGATGCTGGTTTGTGATGATGTCTGTCATGATGTATGTACAATATGCAAAAATGGGGCCATCTGAGCTGGCGATCGAATATGATGAGAATAAAGGGGCATTGAAGCGTATAAATCATGTCGGAGAAAATGTTGATGCTTTTAAGCGGTAAACATCAGGCGCAGCCGACTGGGACCTTTCTTCTTTTTCTCCTTCTCTCTCGGTCGTCTATCTCTTCTATCTCTTCTCTCTCTTTCGGAGACGTGGCTCTCAGCCTTTGAAGGTGCTTTGCTTGGGGCTTTGCTGGGGGCTCTGCTAGAAGATCTGCTAGGTGCTCGGCTTGGTGCTTTACTCGGTGCTCGACTACGTTCTCGACTAGGAGCCCGACTGTGCGATCTGCTCGGTGTTCGGCTCGGTGCTCGGCTCGGTGCACGACTGGAGGGCCTTGGTGGCTCCTTGGCAGATCTGGAGAAAAAGCTCAATGAGCTCTTAGGCGGTGCCTGGGATTCTCGGTTGGAGTGGACAGTCGATGGTGCATGGGTCCGCGATCTGGACGCCCGCGAGCGACGAGAACGACGAGATGAGGCGACCGAATCCTCATCGTGGAACTTGAATCGCGGATCTCTTTCCAGCTTGGCGGTGGTGACATCAATACCAGACAATGCAGCGGCACGATGGGTAATGAATTCTCCATCTACTGACGTCCCGAGGCTGAGAGCTTCCATATCCGCCACACCACGTCTCCACATCTCGACTCGGTCCAGTGGCACATTAAGCTCCATCAGTTCCTCCATTTCCTCCTCTTCTGGTTCTTGGATTTCGACGTTATCCTGGGCGACTTCATTCTCGTTGGCACCTGACTTGTTGACACCCGATGAGATTCTCTGGATGATCTTATATCCACCAAACATCACTACTGTCGCTCCTAGGCCAACTCCTGCGGCGATGAGGAATTGCGGACTAGCGAGCAAGGCCCAAATAGCAGGGGCGGCGGCCTTGAATGCAGTCAAGGCCGTGGGACCCATTTTCGTAGCAATGTTGCTGATTTCCGCCAGAGTGAGAGCGACCGCGGCCATGGCATCGGGGTTCTTTTGCAAGTGGTCGATCGTGGCATTTGCACTATGTTGAAGACAATGGGCCTCTTCCAGTAGCCACTGGGCGCGATTTACAAGACCGTCTAGTTGCTTTTGATCGTCGGGGTTCTCCTCCGGAGGGCTATACTTTGCCAGGGTGACGGGGTGAGCCTCTCCGTATGCGAGATCCATGTCGATATGAGCATCTGATTTAGAGCGCACGGCTACAGGTCGAGGAGCAGATTCCTGAACGATGAGCTCATGGTGAGTATGTCGACGAGGGAGTTCCATTGGGGGATCATAGACAGATTCGTGTCGTAGCGCGGATGTGTGTAAGTCCTGGTCATATTGAGACTGCTCATATGGAAGTTCCTCGTATGGAGGCTGCTCATATTGAAGTTGTTCATATTGAAGCTGTTCATATTGAGACTGGCCATATTGAGACGGAGGGCGATGATCATGATGACTGCGAGCAGAATGATGTCGTGATCTCGAGGCCCGACTTCGTCGTGATGGTGCTACCGAGGGCGCCTCTTCGATAGTATAAGTGGCGAGCGCTTGAAGCGCCTGCTGCTCTGCGATTTTGGCATTGCGCTCCGAACTCACTTGCGCTTTACGCTCTTTGTAGGCGGCTTTGGCGTGACTGAAGACACCGAAAAGTTGTTTACTCTAGGATGGTGTCAGCATAGAACTTGGAATAAACTTATTGGCTATTTGAATCCGGGCCAGCTTACCGTACTAACGACCTTGCCGGACTTGTCAATCACAGCAATCGTCTGGCCGAATGGTGCCATCGGGGATATTGACAACGGCTGGTACAAGTCACCTCATGCGAACAATTCTGAACTGGTTCTTGTTTTATTGGGCCGATGATGGGTAGTGGTGACAAAGCTGACAGAGCGCTAGTAGTTCCGAATTTCCCCAGATACCAATGAAGGAGAGAATAATAAGAAGTAGAAGCCCGAAGTATAAGTACGGACTCGGATGTAAAATTAGACGATGTCAAAAGCCCCAAGATTGGTTCGTCTTTTTTCTTTCTTTTAATAAAATCGGAAACGTGCTAAAAAAACCCACCAGTTCCGACCAGGGTCATAGATAGTTTATGACTGGGGCAGGCGAAAACAGGGGAGGCTGGGGTGATGGCATCAGCCTGCATGGAACCAGTTGGGCAGAGTAGTAGCTGCAGGAGCTCGTTTACTCCATATCAGCCCGAAGAACCAGTTGGGTTTCCAGTGATGCGAAGAAGGCAGCAATTTCTCATTGGCAGCTCCTATCACATTAGAGAATCGGGCGCGAAGACCACTTAGAGCGGTGGAGTCAAGTGTTGTTCGTTTATGATTGATCGGAAAGTCGGGGGCTCTTAGCGATCCTGAATTCTGGATATTCTGGAGGATATGGATGCTCCGGATGCTTTGAATACCCATGGGCGGCTCGGAATCACATTTGAGATTAATAATAGTAACATCCTTCTGATCCAGACATGCAAAGAAGCGGTGACTTGTTGTTTCTTATTGGGTTAGATGAATGTGACAAGAGTCACCGCCACTGTGGCTGGTGTATTACTTAGTCATGATTCGAGATAACAGCCACAATATGTGGCGGTGCATTTCAACGGATTCCTCGGGCCTCCGCGTCCTCCAATAACCAAATTAATTGAAAAGGAGACGGTGACGACGAATGGCGCGATTTCTGTGAAACTTGCAGCATCAAAGCTCGGGCGGAATCTTGAAACTATCTTACAAGGTCAGGATGGCTGTAATTAAAGATGACTTTTGTTCCTATGTACGGACTCCGGACTCGGAGTACTGGTATGATAGGCAGCTACACATGACAGACCCAGCGCCTGAAACTAAATACAGCCCTTTGACCAGCTGGCCAGTTCAGCCTTACAAGGAAACCTTGACAGGGGCAAAATTGACCTAGGTCTGTTGAAAGCCAAAGACTTTGTTGAAGATTTTCTGCAATAACCGCCAGTGACTCAACAGCCTTGGAAGTGGCCCATCTTACTAAGGGAAGCTTCCTATGCAGCGTTCCATCCCTTCGATGACCCAAATTATAGTATGCTAACTCTAGATTACTCTAATAAAGTGACATGTACTTTCTGAATAGCAACCACTAGTACTATCATGATTTTCTATAGAATTCATCCCAACATTGACCTTTACTAGTACATATAGAGCCGCATTACCACACTCTAAGGAACTAGGACCTGATTTTGATCATTTAGCATATTAACCCCTTTTGTCCTCGAAATGTTTTGTCTATTATACTACTGATGCCAAACGCAAGTCTTTCCCGAGGTCATTTATCGAATTACCTTGGCTGGTGCACGCAAAATACAGCCCACTGTACCGCTTTACCTAATTAGGTCATAGTATACTGTATCCTACTTTCATGGAGAAAGTCCCAAGGTAACAAACTTAAGTTTCCGCATACAATTTATGGTGTTACGTACTGTATAACTTACTAGCGCTAAAAGTGGCGTGGTCAAATTATACATTCTCAAGGGAGAAACGTTGACCTTGTATACATGCACTTTACTAACTCTTGTATAGGTTATACATGGTGCTAACTTAAAGACTTTTGAAGTCAAATTCTGGACAAAATCTAGAGCGGATATGAATTTATTCTATTTTGACCCACCTGTGTCCGATAATAGGTAACAATGGGCGGTTTAGTGACAGCTTTGAGGATCTACCCAGTAGCTAGTTGAAACCACAGCAATGAATTGAACAATAGAACTTGAATCAGGGGCTTACAGAGGGATATACTCGAGTTTACCATTCTGAAACCTTTCAAATGTTATTCCATTCCGTATTTACATACACACTTGACCGTTTGTGTACTAATAGCACTTGAATGCTGGCCAATTGCTACTTTGTTGTACTCCGGAGTACGTGTATCTCCCCCTTATCTGCATGACCATCTTGCGGTGTGTCCGTTTCACCTTTCTTTTCGAATTCCTCTGTGCATTTTTCTTTTTTTTATCAATTCTCTTGGACTCAAAAATGGCGGTGCTTGAATATTATCAGCCTCCACTAGCTCGACTACAATGGGAGCCAAAGTGAGTACTACTACTATCATTCCTCTACTCCAATTGTCTGTACCTCGTACTATGATGTCAACTGGTTCCATGCTCGGTGATAGATTATCTGCGACCGTATGCAATAGAAAACCTTTTGAGCTGCACTGGTCACTCAGAATACTATGATGGCTGACTGTTAAATTGCCCCTTTTTTGACAGGCCTGCATGTTGTTGGAATCATAAATCATATTCAAGGGGTGGTGAGTCGAATACTTTATCGATGGTGTCATATTCAATGTTGAGAGTTGAGAATTGAGTGATTGGGAGGAACTGGACCTTGCGCACCCCTATTTTATTCCCATTCTATTCCCCTTTTCCTTCTTATTTTATAATGCCTATACTATTTTATTCTATCCCAAATCATTGAACTTGGGAACTTGAATAAATACTGCCTTTCAGCTCGTTCCAAGGATCGTGTTCCGGGTGGATCCCCATCAGTCGGCGCGGGGAGATCCTCCACACAACTTTCACCCTTGAATTAATCAAAACGCATCATCGGCTAACTGGAGACCACGACATGGATATAGTGGATTCAGGAAGTACCTCTGAAGTGGAGGACCAATCTAAGACCTGGGGTTCCGATGCACAATCTCTGGGGAACGATGCGACCAACACCCATCCCGCCAGTGATTGCGGGATCGGACATCGCGTGATGGCCAGTCGCTCCGTCCTCGCATTGGTCATTGATGAGGAATGTGTTTTTGCCGGTCTCCAAGGAGGTGACATTGTGGTAAGTTACCAGATTGCGCCCCAATCTACCCCAAATCTCTATTATTCTCAATCGTTGTCCTTGCGAATCGCGATGAATTCGCAGGGCGGGACATTGGCCGAGTTCGGATCTGACTCATATTCAGGCTTGGTCGCTGGAAACCTACGAACTGGTTCTATCCGTCCATGCTCACAAGGAAAGTGTACTAGGACTGTACCTGTCTAATGATAAAAGTCTGCTCTTTTCTACTGGCGGAGACTCTATGATCAATGTAAGTGGTTTTGGCAATTTCTTCTCCAATATGATCAAATTCTAGAAATACTAAAAATTGCACTGCAGGTTTGGTCAACAAGAACATTTGAAAGACTCTATCAGATATACCCTCACCATGATGTTGGTGATATTTTCACTGTGGTTTATTCCGCCAGTAATCGCACTATCTACTGCGGTGCACAAAACACCAGCATCCAGTGGTGCGATCTATCTGAAGAGAGTTTGGCGTTGAGTCAACCATCAACAGCCACAGCCCATCCATCTAAGCGAACACATCGCTTTTTCGATTCCCGAGGTCCAGATGGAACGCGGGCTCCACGTTCCTCGGATGGTGCTCATGCCGTTCCTGAGGGTGGTCGAGTGCTTACCTTTAAGCGGGACCATCACAAGTTATTCGCCCATCATGGCTACGTGTATTCGATGCTTCTGGTGAAGGGTCTCATTGAGTCTGCCCCTTCGGAAGAGGCTTTGTTGACGGGATCGGGTGACGGGGCTGTAAAGCTGTGGCGCCTTGGCCAAGAACCTGGAGCAACTCCCATTCAAATCGCAAAGCTTCAGAACGGAGATTCGGTTCTCTCCATCGCTGTCGAGGGCTCGTTGCTCTACTGTGGTCTTGCAGGTGGTGCTTTGAACATCTGGAACTTGGATTCTCAGCAACTGGTGAAGCGAATTGTTCGTCATACTGGTGATTTGTGGGCTGTGCATGTGATTCAAGGCGTTGCAATCTGTGGTGATGCCACAGGAACGGTCAAGGTAGGTTTTATGCACAGTTTGTAATTTTCTCTCAAAGGAGAATGTCGCTGACTTTGACAGAAATTCAACTCCCGTTTCGAGGAAGTTGGTGGATGGGTTGCTCATGAAGGGACCATGCTTGCATCGGCGGCTGGTCGAGTCAAAGACCGACACATTTATGCTACCGGCGGAAACGACAACTCTGTTGGTATTTGGGACCTCACAGAGTTTTTCCTCACCCAGGAGGAGCTTCCTCCTATCAGCAACGGTATATTTTTGATCTTCCAGGAATATCAAGAGACTGCAGCTAACTCTGCCTAGATGAAATGGTGAACGCACTCGCCAAGTTTGTCTCATTCAAGACAATTTCCGCCAGCCCAAAGTTTAAAGGCGAATGCAACCAAGGAGCTGCTTTCCTTCGTCGCCACTGCAACTACCTTGGTGCAAAGACGAAGTTGCTGACAACAGGCAAGGATACTAACCCTGTCGTGTATGCTCGATTCAACGCCACTTCCACAGATAACGTCGACAAGACGATTCTCTTCTATGGTCACTATGATGTCGTTGGTGCCGATACGAATCGGCCCAAGTGGAAGTCTGACCCATACCAGCTTACATCGATCAATGGGTTTCTATACGGTCGCGGTGTCTCTGATAACAAGGGTCCTATTCTCGCTTCTCTCTATGCTGCTGCTGATCTCGCTCGAACTAAATCACTACGTTGCAATGTCGTGTTCCTCATCGAAGGTGAAGAAGAATCGGGATCACAAGGTTTCCATCAAACTGTACGAGAGCATGCAGCCCAGATCGGGACGGTGGATTGGATCCTTCTAGCCAACAGTTATTGGCTGGATGACTACAACCCGTGTCTGACTTATGGCCTTCGAGGCGTGGTACATGCCAATTTGGTCGTATCTAGCGAACACCCCGATCTTCACAGTGGTATCGACGGTAGTGCTCTCTTGGATGAACCTGTGAAGGATCTCTCTGTATTGGTCTCAACTTTGGTAGGACGAAAGGGACGCATCAATTTACCCGGATTCCACGACCCCGTTCGTCCTATCACGGACGCTGAGCAGAAGAGATTTGAGGCCATCGCAGATATCCTGCTTCCTCAGCATCCAGAGATCCAAGACCGTCAGGCCCTGATCAAATCGCTCATGTACCGCTGGCGCGAACCATCAATGACAATCCACTCGATGGAAGTTCCGGGAAGCAAGAATGCCACTACCACTATTGCACGACGGGCCAAGGCTAGCCTTTCGATCCGTATTGTTCCCGACCAGCAGGCGGATGAAGTCGCTGCAAACCTCACTGCTTATGCACAGGAGCAATTCGCGCTACTGGAGTCTGAAAACGACCTCACTGTTGAGATCACTGGAAAATCGGATGCTTGGCTCGGAGATCCAGACAATGAGATATTTGCGACCCTCTCCGAAGCGATCACCGCTGCATGGACTCCCAGTCAACAAGAGTCGAAATACCAATACCCGCCTATCTCCCCTCTCAAAACTGAACGCGAATCCTCAACCCCTAAAGCACTGTCTTCAGGTCCGAGCCTTCTGCGCAAAGACTCCTCCGATAGTCTTGCATCGCGCGTTGACCGAGTCATCACTTCAACAACTACGTCCTCCGCCCGCAAGGCCGCTGATCGTAAACGCTCTTTGCAATCCGCTACGGTTCCGACGTCCTCCACCCTCACTCAACCACCAGCAACTCCCGATGACTTCTCCCTGCCAATTCGAACCAAGTCAGAATCTCAGGCTGAGAAGTCTGATTTCAATGATGAAGCTCTCACTCCATCTACCTCTCCAAAGCCAGTGAAGCCCATCTTTATTCGTGAAGGTGGATCCATCCCGACAATTCGTTTCTTGGAGAAGGTTTTCTCAGCCCCTGCAGCCAACCTGCCTTGCGGACAAGCCAGTGACAATGCGCATTTGGACAACGAGCGCATGCGGGTGGAGAACCTCTATAAAAGTCGAGAGATCTTCCGATATGTGTTTGCTCATCTTGTTGACAAAGAGTAAATGGCGCTTAGGTTTCTCTGAGCTGCTTGCGCTATCTGCCAGTGTAAAATTATGCATACTATTTACAGGAAATTTTTGGACTTTTCTGAAAAATCTACAGTTTCTTACTACTCATGTTCGCACGTTTACTCCTCTTTAGTTCATTTAATCATGCCTAATCCGGGAACCTCATAGCTGGGTTAATCAAACGTCCGTCTAAATAATGCATCCCATATGCTCCACTTTCATCATCAGAAATCGGTACAGGCTGAGGCTCATTTGGGAGACGGCTGAAACCAAGCCACAAAATCCCCCCCAGCAATCCTTCAAATGTTGCGACTAAGCTAATTAAGGGAATTTTAGTGTAATATCTACTACCCCTCTATCAGGTGACCCATCTCTGAGCAACCACATCATCCAAGCACCGCCTCACTTATCCTATAGTCCTCTTGTCACAAATCTGGACTAACTCATAGGAATAAAAATCCGAAATATGGACAAAGGAAAGTCCTATTGCAATGATATTGCTTGCGAAAAACCGTGTTGGGAAGAAGCCTCCCAGAGGCTGCGTACGGAACATCCTCAATTATTCGCCCAATTAGAGGAGGTACAGCCTTCATGCGGTAGAGATTTATCAGGCCAAATAGCGAAGTCCATATTGGAAAGCAAAAGTCGAATTCAGGAAAGAGACCTTCCTTTCCCTTGGAAGCATCGTGATGAGAGCGAGAAAGCGAAATTACGGAAAGCCATGGATGGTATACTCAAGGCTGTGTCTGTGTTTAAGAATTTGGGCAATGCTATCGCCAATGTCGACCCGTCCCATATGGGAGTCGCTTGGGTGGGCGTCAATATGATTTTGCAGGTATCGATTTCACATATCCAAGTGAATTTTTGTTAGAGATAAATGACTAAAACGTGCTTACAGCTGATACTGAGTGGCGCCGAACAGAATGCTGCCGCGCTTCAAGGGTTGGCTCAAATCTCCCCTATTATCACGAGATATGCAAAGGTTGAGGAGATCTATATTGAGCAAAGACAGAGAAGTCAGGCTATAGATCTCAACAAAGACTTCAGAACGCAGGTCGTCAATCTCTACACCACTATTTTGGTATACCAGGGGACAATCATATCGCACAGTAAACGCAATCGCTTAGGTGAGTCTACTATTTCCCTTCAACCAATGCCGACTTTGGTTATACAATGCTGAATTTACCGTCTTGTAGTGCAGTATGCGAGAGCAATTCCAAAAGTCGACGACTGGAACACACTATTGCAAGATATTGTCAACCTGGATGCAGAGTGCAGAAAGTTTACTCAGATTTTCGACTCCGAAGGTATACTATTGACAAGCTCTCACATTAAACCGGCGGATAGACTAATGATTGTGAATATCTAGAACAAACGGATCGATACTGGGAGCTAAAGGATATCTTGGAACAACAGGATCAACAGATGGAGCAAGTGTCTTTTGACTTGAGTCATATAAAGGACCAAAATGAGGCACTGATCAATGATAATGATCGGCGTGGTACGTATCAGGCTCAGAAGCATGCACAGATAACTTGAACTAATTATTGCCCAGAACATAAAGAAATCCTTGATTGGGTCTCAACTAACATGCCTCACAATGATCATATCCGAATCCTGGAGCATGGAAAGCTGAACAGCGACTACGCACAGTCAGGAAAATGGCTCTTTTGTCGGTCGGAATTTGAGTCGTGGCGGAATACCAGTGATGAGAGCCAGTCTGTCCTCTGGTTGCCCGGACCAGGTGAGCGAAATTCACTTTTCAGGTTGCATTCAATCGCTAAGCTGGTACCTGACATCTAGTTGGCACCGGAAAAAGCTCTTTAGTGTAAGCCAGCCTCTTATTGATGTGAATTTTGAATCTAACCAGAGAAATTTCCAGTTGTCTTGTTGTGGAACAATTTTTGAATCAATCAAGACCTATTGGCGAAGAACCCGATCGAATGGCATTCTTTTATTGCTCGAGAAAACAGGGAACAAACGAGGCAAATAGTCCAAAAGCCGTTCTTCGAAGTATTCTTCGTCAACTAGCGTGGTCAAAAACCAATCTCTCAGTTGCACCCATTGTGAAAGAGAGTTACCGACAATGGCAGCAAGATCAGGGTTATGGTGGCCGTGAGCTACTAGCAGATGACTGCATTAAGCTGTTAAATCAACTTATCGCGTCCAACAATCACACTACAATCATCATTGATGCTTTGGACGAATGCTCCGACTTTGACGAGCTCCTGTCTAATCTAGAGGAAATAATGGTTGCAGGTCAAGGGAGAGTCAGATTTCTACTTTCGAGTCGAATGCATGTCCCCGTTCAGGATGTATTTCCAGACAATGTCAGGATAGAAGTCGGTCTCGATAACAAAGATGACATCGAACTTTTCATCAAAACCAAGATTGAGCAGAATCAACGACGTCTGGATCAATGCAAATCATCGGCGCTCAAGCATCGAATCATTAAGACCCTCAGCGACCGGGCTCAAGGAATGTGAGTAAAGAGTTTTAGCCCCTAATGTTTATTATATTTCACTAATTAATGGAGGATATAGGTTTCGATGGGTTGAACTGCAGCTGGATATTTTCTTTAGCTCCAAGTCTAAAATCAGGCGACCAGATGTGTTCAGGAAAAAGCTTGAAACACTTGAATCAGGATCTGGGATTCCAGAGCTGGAGGAGGTGTACGACGAGATTTACGATATGAACGTGTCGACAGATGAGGACCGCAGTGCTGCAGAACGAACATTGAAATGGATAATGTGTTCCCGAGGACCTTTGAGCATCGAAATCCTCGTGAAAGCGGTGTCTCTTGGTTCAAATGGCGACCCCGATGAGGCAGTGGATGAAGACTATATTCTGGCAATCTGCAGTAACTTCATCATCATTGATCATAACCAAATGGTTCAGTTTGCGCATCTCTCAGTTCGAGAATATTTGGTCAGCGGCTTAAAGCATCGCTATACCACCGCCAATGCAAATACTCAGGTAGCGAGAACCTCACTCTTACATTTGCTTAATGGATGTTCTCAGGGAGATGCGGACGCGACGGAAAGGGATGGGTTCCTTCAGTATACAGCGTTGTACTGGCCATTCCATTATTCACAAGCATTGGTGGACGATGAAAAAGGACAACCCCTTGAGAACCTTGTCAGCAAGCTCCTATCCCCTGGAGAGCCAAGCGATGGTTTCACCACATGCTTGCAAATCTGGGCAGATGTTTTAGAGGAGGTCGATACCCGTGAGTTGTATCCGAGGATCAAGGCTAGCTTGAATCCAACCAAGTCTCCAGTATTTACGGCATGTGCCTGGGGCTTCTATGGCGTGTTACAGAAGGCATTATCTGCTGCTTTCAATCTGGATGAGCGTAATGATGATGGTGATACTGCTTTGGCTGTGGCAACATCTTTCAACCATATTGAAATAATGACCCTGCTACTGGAAAACGGGGCAGACGCTAATGCAATTGGGAGTAAAGGGGGGGTATACGCCTTTGCACTACGGGTCAGCCCCTTACCGCCAAAAACAGTCACTTGAGGCTGTCAAACTTTTGATCCATCATGGGGCGGATGTCACAAAGGCAATTAAAGGCCCCATAAATGACAAGTGGACACCGTTACATCTAGCGACATGCCGTGAGTTTGAGGATATCGCTCTTCTCCTACTGGAAAAAGGAGCTAGTATCAATGCAAAGACCAAGAGTGGCTCAACACCTCTACATTTAACCATTCATGGACGCACTGCAGTTGCACAACTGCTTCTGGAACACGGCGCAGACCCCAAGATAGAAGACAAAAACGGCCAAACGCCTTTGCAAAAAGCAGCAGCAAATGGTGATGAGGATATGTTAAAGCTCCTTTTGAGATACCAAGGTCTTGAGTCCGAAGCAAAGAAGTGGACTCAGCAAGCGCAATTTTACAATGCAGTTCGTGAAGGGGATGAAGCTACTGTTGGGCTGCTACTAGAAGATGGTGTAGATATGATGACGAGAAGTGTTCGGGGAGAATATCCACTGCACTGGGCTATGCACCGCGGGCACCGAGGGGTTGCGTCTCTGCTTCTGCAGAAAGGCGCAGATATTGACGCAAAAGATAAATTTGGCGAGACTCCACTGTTGTTGGCTTGCAGGGAGAGAAATGAGGAAATGATGCTGTTCTTGCTGGACAAAGGGGCAGACATCAATATCAAGAATGAAGAAAGAGCAGGTGGATTCACGGCACTATCTTTAGCGACTTTCTTTGGGGAACAGCAGATTGTGGAAATGCTGTTAAGACGGGGAGCGAGCCCATCAAGTGTGGATCTCGATTCATTGGAAGCCGCAGAGGAATATGATCTATCTGACACGTCTGGAACTTGAAGGACACTTGAAATTTTCTTCTTCAGCTCTGAGTTAATATTTACCATGCCCAGGTGGAAATGAGGGATAAAATAATTAATGTCACCACCAGCATCTTGTACCTATCATATGGTAAAAGATTGGTTGGTATGACGATGCATCCAAGATCTAAATTGCCTGGAAGTTGGAACTTCAATGGAAGATTCTTCTATTAGGGAACCTAATACCCAATCAAGAACACCTTCATATGTCCTGTTGATACTGTTTACTATCGGATACCTCAATTTTGAGGGCATCGCATCATTCACCGACATCTCAACCGTTCAGCCAGTACCATATTTTCCCGTACCATGTGGTGGGCACCGACACATCCCAGTGCTCATTCTCGATTTCAGCACGCCCAGTATCTAAATCAGCCTGAAGAGGAGACACCAGGCTATCCCTGAAGACAATCTTATGCCCAATCCACAACACAGCGAAAAGAATCAAGCTCACATATGCGACGAAGAAACTTTCCACGCTAAATGAAGGGATCCACGCTGTAAAACCCTGAGTGAACAAAATGAGAATGTTGAAAAAGAGCCCATAGTAAGCGAGGAATGGTTGAAATGGAGCCTTATAAGGAAGAAAATCTCGCGATATTCTTCGAGCTTTCAACGCACGCATAAATGAAATATGGCAGGCATTTAACGAAGCCCATAAAATGAATCCCGCAACTGTAGAGATATTCAACAGCCAATTGAACACTGTGGTTCCGGAGGTTGAAAGATTCATAAAACCAAGCAGTCCAAAGGCAGCGGTAAGCACGACACCGAAGTATGGCACGCCGCTCCTACTCGTCTTTGCAAAGAATGAGGGCGCATACCCGTCATTTGCTAAACCGATCAACATGCGACTCCCGGAGTAGACATTTGAATTCGCAGCAGAGAGCACTACAGTCAATAGAACCGCATTAATGAGGCCGGGAAGGACTTTAATACCGGCCAGTTTAGCTGCAATGACGAATGGCGATGCTGATGCGTTTGATGAGCCTGAAAGAAGATCTTTATTATCAGATGGGACGAGAAGACCGATGAAAAAGACCGAGAATATATAGAAAAGCAGGATTCGGAGAAATGTTGCTTTGATTGCCTTTGGTACTGTTTGTCGTGGGTTCTCGCTTTCACCGGCTGCAAGGCCGACTAGCTCAGTGCCTTGACATGAGAATCCGGCCTGGATAAGCACGGCCCAGAAACCGACGAACTTTGCGGTCGGTCCGGGGGTGACAAGGTAGTCGACGAATGGTCCTGGATGGACCCAGTTATGAAAGCCGAGGTACCCTTGGTCTCCGGCACCGGCATCGATACAGATGCCGAAGATAATAAATCCCAGCACAGTAAGCACCTGTTTAGAATTGTTAGAGAGAATGGTCCTCATTTTGGAATTTCAGCGGTTGGGAATTACCTTAATTGTTGACAGCCAGAATTCTAACTCGCCATAGAAGTTAACGGGCAGTAGATTCAGAAGCGATATGACAACCCAGAAGATGGCGATGAAAATAGAGATGTTGATAGTGGAATCCCAGTACTGAATAATGAGACCCGTAGCAGTCAACTCAAGTGCGTATGTAATAGCCCATGAGAACCAGTAAATCCAGCCCATGGCAAATCCAAGACTTGGATCAATCAGTCTTGTCGCATAAGATGTAAAAGCGCCTGGAATGGGCAGATACGTGGCAATTTCGCCCAAAGATGTCATAACTGAGAACACAATGCTACCGATGAATATGTAGGCGATCAAGGCACCAACAGGACCAGCGTGTGCCAGGGCTTCGCCACTGGAGATGAAAAGACCAGTTCCAATTGTTCCGCCTGCATTGAGAAGAGTGAGTTGGATAGTCTGAGAAAGAAGTTCGTTGGGACGTACCGATAGCGATCATCTGAAGATGCCTACTTTTCAATTTCCGCTTCAAAGCTGGTGCCCGTGGCCGCTCCGAAGCCGCTGCCTCTTCACATCCATTGTCACGATTCTGGGTCTGGACGCCTGTCGCAGTGGGCTCTTCCTTGGTCCATTCGTTCAGGGACGTTGCTTTGGGTGGAGATGTCATCTCGATCTACGGGGTAAAGGGGATCGACTGAGAATTTGGTGGTCTGGCTCAAGAAACGGGGAATTTGACGATGACTCGCTCTAGCTGTATGACACGAGCTGTAGTTTCGAGGCCAGGACGCTGTTTTTGAGCAGGGCCGGGTCATAAAATTGAAAATCTAGCAGAATGGTACTATTTCCATTGACATGAAGGTTGGGAGAGCTCAATGATTTCCGCGTGTATTCATTCCCCAGGCTGAAAGTGGGTTCTGTTTCTTATTTCAAAGACAGTTGGCGTATAAGAGTCTTTTCGTATGATTTTGTACTCAATTCGCCTTGGTGCTAGCTGCTTCTATGAAATTGAACGGGTTGTAGCATGCAAAAATGGGACCTCATAGGAGTCAGAATATTTGCACATTTGAAGCAGACGAGAGTTTCGAAATCACCTGAGTCTTTTCAGATTCAGAGTTTCATCGTTCCTTCTGGGCAGAATGGTACTACCTGTATACAGCTAGTTAGTTCCTTGTCTTGATCCTATTCGCCGTGAGCCTCTCTTAGTACCCCATATACCCCGCATACAATCTCTAATCTCCAATTTGTCCTCGGTCTGATTGAGCGGTCCATTTCCCCGTTGACCCCGAGAGCACTTAGCATCAAAAGAATATACGAAAGGGCACATAGTCGACTCCCAAGGGTTGACAAGGAAACTCAAGTTCCGGACACTGCCCATGTGCTTTTTGCTCTTGGTATGAGTATCGCGCAAAAATGGGGAAGCCCGGGAGAGAAAGGGGGTGTGGGAATGGCCGGCCAGACCCAAACAGTTAAACGTAGTGATTTCTGGTGCCATTTAGTCACTGCGGAGGTGAAACCTCAATTTCTCAAATAAAGCTCGCATTGCGATATCCAAGTTTCGGACTCTTTAGTGTTGTATGGATTGTGGCTATTTCATCCGTAACCCAGCCACCGGGGACCAGAAGTTGTGGTTGAAGTCATTCCTCTCGGATTCCAGGGGTGGTATGACGGCTCACCCCTACTGAGGTATAGCAGTCTGCTCAGCTGGGAAAACTGGGAAAATTCAAGTTAGAAAGCTGCGCAGAATCGTTGAGCTCAATTTTAAGCTGACATTTGTCACAATAACGCATGCGGCATAACCACTTGGGCTGGGCAGGTGGATATGGCCCATATGGAGCTCCCGGTAGCGGTTACACCGATTCCCCGCACCGCTTATCTCTTCGCTAACACCTTCCTCTTTATTGGACCAGATAGGGATTTTGGGATAACTCAGAAGGGCAAAAGACCCACTGGACAAATTGGTGTTTGAACGCCGAATGTTGTTGAAAGGTGCTGTTCGGTTGGACGTGCCGACTGCTTTAAATTGAGCTAAGAGCGCCATTGTTGGAGAAATAACCCCCCCTGTTTAGTCAAGAATCCAACCTCATCTGGCAACATGAGCAACTTGAAAGTATTCGATGCTGCTGAAGGTAAAACCAACAATACTCTGCTAACCTTTCATCTCACTGCTTTCAAGTTCAAATCACTGACTCCGAGTCCCTTATTATAGTCGCTCAGCACAACAGCAACAAGAGTTGTTGGGTCATCCTTTATGGCAAGGTTTACGATGTAAGAGCATGGAGCCAGGATACTTCCCCTACAATCCGTGACGTGTCCGTCGGTCTCATACAAAATCTTAGGTGACCGACTTTGTAGCCAATCACCCGGGAGGCGCAAAGGTGATTCTCAGGCTTGCTGGTAAAGATGCGACTGAGGAGTTCGACCCAGTTCACCCAGAGGGGACTCTGGAAGAAAGTCTCAAGCCAGAGGCTTTGCTAGGCACTGTAGACCCTACAACCGTTCCTAAGGAAGCGGACAAGCCAGCAACTTCACAGACAGCCCAAGAACATCCTCCTATTGAGTCCCTTCTCAATCTCGATGAGATCGAACAGCTCGGAACAGCAAAGATCAACAAGAAAGCTTGGGCATACTACTACTCAGCCGCGGACGACAAACTCTCTAAGCGCTGGAACACGGAGGCCTATCGCTCTATTCTCCTGCGTCCTCGAGTCTTTATTGATTGTCAGGAGTGTAGCCTCGAGACAAAATTGCTAGGCAATCAGGTGTCTATGCCCATTTACGTGTCTCCTGCGGCACAAGCCCGTTTAGGACATCCAACTGGCGAGGCGGGTATCGCGGAGGCTTGCCGCAGCTTTGGAACTCTACAGATTATCTCAAATAGTGCCTCTATGACACCGGAACAGATCGTGGAGCACGCTTCCCCAGACCAAGTATTTGGATGGCAGCTCTATGTGCAGGACGACCGAAGCAGGAGCGAAAAGATGATCGCTCGGGTTAACAAACTGAAAATGATTAAATTCATAGTGCTCACGCTTGATTCCCCGGTCATGGGCAAGAGAGAAGATGATCTGCGTGGTGGTAATGTCCTCGATGAGTTGACAGAAGAGCACGACAAGGACTTTTCGAACAAGTCTCAAGACAAGCAAGTATTTTTCGGACTTGATCCTACTTTGACCTGGACGGAGACCCTTGGATGGTTGAGCAAGCATACAAGTCTTCCAGTTATTATCAAGGGCGTTCAGACTCACGAGGATACCTATATCGCATCTTTGCATCTACCTCAAGTGAAGGGCGTGATTCTTTCTAACCACGGCGGCAGATCTATGGATACAGCCCCTCCAGCTTTGCATACTCTACTTGAGATCAGGAAATACTGTCCAGAGGTCTTTGACAAGATTGAAGTCTGGGTTGACGGTGGAGTCAAGAGAGGAACTGATGTTGTCAAAGCTCTTTGCTTAGGTGCAAAGGGTGTTGGCATTGGGCGGCCCCCCTTGTTTGGTTTAGCTGCTGGCGGCCCAGATGGTGTCAAGAAAGTTTTGCAACGTAAGTGAATGGCGACGTCATCGACATGACAGTCTGTTTACTAATGAATCTATAGTCCTCGCGGACGAGACCAAGACTTGCATGCGATTGCTTGGCGTTCAAAGAGTCGACCAGCTTGGAATGCAGCATGTAAGTAGTTTCAACGCAATTACATGTCAACTACCCACTATTTGAGTCGAATGCTAATAGCAAAACTTAGGTTAGTATTCGAATGCTGGAAAAGCAAATCTTCGATGGACCTTCTGGTCTGGAGGCGTGCCGCGCTGCCCATTTGACTAAACTCTAGACTAGACTTTGTTAGAATTGATCAATCCGTCTCAAATATCAGGTTACACTTCCTCTTGGCCAATATTCAGTGGAAATCTCAGATGTATGCGAGCATGCTATGAAGCAATTTCATTAAGCTAGCACCAGTTGACTGGAAGACTGCCTGCAAGTCGACAAGGATCTCTCCAAGTTCTGTGGACCACATGATAAAGTCCAAGATCCTTGATTGGCATTACGACATCGTCTTCAGTTCGGATCATAGTTATGAAGCAAGGGCCAATTAGTAATGTTCGCATTGGCGATGAAATGTTCTCCCTTCTTCGGAGTATTTCTCTCGAACACCCTCGCGGAGGAAGCAAATAGACCGAGACCCTTGCATATCGGGTACAGTAATGATCTGCAAGCTGAGAAAAATTGACTTCCGAGTTTTTTTAGATTCCATGCAGTTCATGATTCATTCGCTGGTCGCTTATGTCTATGAATAAATATTCTAGTTTTGACTACCATATGGGTCAGCAAGGAGCACTCAGGCTTCATCCCGTGCGGCATTTCCCAGCATCTTCCAATGATATTCCAGTTTGGAGATGCTCAATACCATCCTCCCCTTGAGCAAACATCTGTGAGGACCCACTCAAGACATATGATGTATCTCATTTCGATATTTTTACGAGCTGCCAGGCTTCCACGATTATACCGCCAGCATCGGTTGCATATAAAACCTCCGATTACCCCGGGTCAATCACGTCCATCACGACTCTCACCTTGAATCTTCTGATCGAATCTTCTCTATTTATCTTCCAAAATGCCTTCACTACAAAAATTCCTCATCCCGGCCGTCATGTCCTTTGCCGTGGCTGCAAATGCGCGCTTCAACCTGGTAATACCACACAGCCTTACTCCATCTCACACCCACCCCACTAACTTTTCACCGCAACAATCCAGGGCGGAGATATTTTTGGCAAGCGTTTGGTTACAAACTGTCCAACTGACTGGACTCCAATTAACTACAACGGTGACGGACGCTGCTGCCACGGCTCCCTGACAGTCGAGGACAACAATGATCCTTACTGCTGTGTAATGGACTACGATCAGTACCGCGACACCGCAGATGACGTTCACTCAGCCCTCTCCGGCTGTTTCCCCTTCTGCAGTGGAACCAACTATGACGGCCCCACATCGACCTGGAGCAATGAGGCCAACTGCATCACCCGGGTTGCCTTCACCGCAAATGATTACTCCAGTATCGTGTCTGCCGCTGTCTCGTCAGGTCATACCACTGGCACTACTACTACTACCGGCACCAGCACTACCACTACTGATGGCTCTGCTTACACCACTGCGAGCGCTACCTCTACCTACACCGATTCTAACGGAAACCCCACTTCGACGGGCTACACTACGGGTGACTCGACACGAAATGCGGCACCTGCCGTTACAGCGGGTGCCGTTCTGGGTGGAGCCGCAGTTGCGGCAGTTTTGTTTGCTCTGTAAACAATTCCAGTTCGAATTGACTTTGCACGGCTTATTGTGGATATATTTGATGATCCCGAGGGGCCGCTGTTCCCCACTGGATAATGATTTTCGGTTGATATGGTCAATGTTTTATGAAGGATTGATGTAATCTGTCAGTGCCAGTGTGAGCCAAGCGTGAATTCAAAGATAGATTTCAATGGCATGATCTTCAAGTTCAGTATACCGAGTACTAGCACTCTTCAAACCTTGGAAGAAATTGAAATATGCAGCTAAATGTTGCTAATTACAGACCGAAAACTTTTGTCCTCCTTCCACCTAGACACCGTGAGTCGTCATCACTGTCGCCACCATGGTTGATATCACCTGATATTCCACTAGGAACTACTAACATTTCACCTCTTATCACGTCTCTCTCAGTCCTCATCCATTATCCCCATCTAGATTGATAATTTGCTCAAGTGCTGTATGTGTCACAGAATTCGCTGAATCCAGGCCTTAATTTGCTCTTCGACGATCATACATCACGCCAAACTGTTCAACTTGAACTTGTAGTAGTTGATATTTGAACACCTAATATAACATTTGAATCAAATATTAGTAAGGTAATTACCTAAATTTGACACTAAACTTGACACCAAATCCAATATATTCAATATCAAATTAGGCCTAATAGAGATACTAACTTGAATTTAACATACCAGATTCATCAGTTAATTGCGCTGCTAATGATTCACAGCTTCCCTCACGTTCGCAGCAATCTATCTGGGCTTTCGTCCCAATACTAGTGTTTTTGTTGGTCTCATCTGCCTGTTAAGATGGGCGTCCAGACCGCGGACTATCGACTAACATTGCATCGGAAATATTTAGTGGAAGCTGGGTAGGGTCGAAACGACTATCTATTGCACGATGCCATATCGCATCACCAGTGCGATGTGGGATCGAAAGAATCGTCTCAATTTGTTTGGTTGTATAGCCTACGGCCTTAAGGGCAATCACAGCTGCCCGCCGCGCAGTATCGGTTCTCATTAGGGCGTACAGGGTGAGCGGAGAGAGGGTAGAAAGGAAATTAAATTGAATGAGTGTGTGTGCGTGGCCGAATTAGCTAATTTAGCCTAGTGATACAGCTAATGATACAGCTTACAGCAGGCCATACGCCCTATATACAATAGTAATTTATTGAAAAAAAGCAATTATAAAATATAGACAGAACTTTTGAAATCGATGTGTAAGTAGAGCTCCAGGGCTGTTTATAGCTCACCAAATATGGTTAGTGTCATTCCGATTGCGTGCTCAATGACGTCATACCACGATAATGGAGTAAAGCTGGGGAAAGAACTTCCAAAGTTGGGAAGCTTCTCAAGCAATCTTCCAATTAACAATGGCTTCTATGGTCGCTCCTCAGATGGCCTTCCGTGCCTTTCGTACTGTTCCCCGAGCAGTCCCTTGGGCAAAGCTCTCAGCCCAGCTCCCCCGATCTCAGCCGGCTTTCCGCCGCTTCTTTGCAACCCGGGCTCAAGAACAGCCGCGTCTGCGCCTTGGATCAACCGGTATGTGAATATGAAGATCTGATTTCAACCAAAACTCCGTTTGACATAGGATAGCCCCCAACTTCAAGGCTCTGACCACCAAGGGTGAAATCGATTTCCATGAGTTCATTGGCGATAGCTGGACTATCCTCTTCTCCCACCCTGCCGACTTCACGCCCGTCTGTACCACCGAGCTAGGTGCATTTGCTAAGTTGAAGAATGAATTCGAGAAGCGCGGTGTGAAGATGATTGGACTGGTGAGTATCAAAGCATGTCAATATACTACAGCTACGTAACTAATACGCATCTGTTAGAGTGCCAACGACATTGGTTCTCACGGCGAGTGGATCAAGGACATCAACGAAGTCGCCTCGACCGATGTGCAATTCCCCATCATTGCCGACGCAGACCGAAAAGTCGCTTTCCTTTATGACATGATCGACCAGCAGGACCTGGATAACATTGACAAGAAGGGTATCGCATTCACCATCCGCTCTGTCTTCATTATCGACCCTAGCAAGAAGATTCGCCTGACTATGATGTACCCCGCTTCGACTGGTCGCAACTCTGCGGAAGTACTTCGTGTGATTGATTCACTCCAGACTGGTGATAAGAAGGGCATCACTACTCCAATTGACTGGCAAGTTGGTGACGATGTGATCGTTCCTCCTTCTGTGACCACCCCTGATGCGAAGAAGAAATTCGGGGAGGTTCGGGAGGTTAAGCCTTACCTGCGCTATACCAAGATCTAGAGATAAAAAGCGCGTACTTTGTCGTTGGAGGCAAATTTGAAATCAAAATAGTTTTTACTCCGCACGGAGAATTCAAGTCTTGCGAAATCAAATGTTTGATTAATGCATGAATTTTGCAGATCACGATCACGCAAAAAGTAGGTTGACGTGGGCGGTTTAACTTGATGGAGTAATTCTTTCATCGGATTAATCTCGGCTCAATAGTCCCCCTCGGCGACGATTGTTGTCGATTCCTAGTTCTCAATGCTGTTAGCCCCTGATGGGTTTGTTTTCGGAAGTGATAATCCGGGGGGTTGCGGGATCGGCATTGATAGTCTGGTTCAGGAACGACTTGTTTAGTTCAAATGACATGCGCCAGGAAGATTTCCACCTATAGATTGTCAGACTAAGGCAGGACTATCACCTCGGCTATGCAAGCGACCTAGGCAGTTCACCCCAACTCTTCAAGGTTGCATACCGTGACGATCCATTGCTCCGTGTCAGGATCGTCGATAACTTGTTTATTCAGAATGGCACGTGGATCTAATTCTTGTGGCCCTGTTGCGGGGAGAATCGAATTACATATCAAGCTGGGACCGAACCTTGTGCTACCTCCTTAACTGTTCGTACAGTGGTCCAGGACGGGTCATCGAGTCTGGTCTGCTGTTATCCGAACAAGCAAACAACTCACTGTGCACCATGACTCGTTTGTTTTGTTTGGCACTCGTGCCTCTTTTGTCCCATCTGTCTGTCGCAACACCTGTTTCTAGCCCAGAATCTGACACCGCGCGACTGGCTCCACGCTATGAAGTGGGATACGAATCGCCGCCCTTTTATCCAACCCCGCACGGTGGTTGGGTATCTGACTGGGAAGATGCTTATCAGAAAGCATACCAGATAGTCAGCAACATGACGCTGGCGGAAAAGGTTAACTTGACTACTGGAACAGGCTACTGGATGGGACCCTGCGTCGGTCAAACCGGAAGCGCACCACGATTCGGAATTCCGAACCTATGCCTACAGGATTCACCTTTGGGAGTCCGAGACACAGATCATAATACGGCATTCCCGGCGGGTATCACCGTCGGCGCGACGTTCAATAAGGGATTGCTGTATGCGCGCGGTGTCGCACTCGGCCAAGAAGCTCGAGGTAAAGGTGTCAATGTCCAGCTGGGTCCTGTTGTGGCACCACTCGGGCGCAAGCCGCGTGGTGGTCGGATTTGGGAAGGATTTGGAGTAGATCCAACTCTTCAGGCCATTGGGGGCGCTTATACAATCAAAGGAATGCAAAGTACCGGTGTCATTGCGGCTCTCAAACACTTCATCGGATACGAGCAGGAGATGTATCGCATGAGCAGCGTTATCACCACAGGTTACTCGTCAAATATTGATGATCGAACCCTACACGAGCTGTACCTCTGGCCTTTTGCAGAGGGCGTTAGAGCAGGCGTCGGCTCGATTATGACTGCATATAACGACGTAAGTTCTCTCAAGCAACTGGATTGGAGTGTGAAATTAATTATTTGGATTTGTATTATAGGTCAATACTTCTGCCTGCAGCCAAAACAGCAAACTTCTCAATGACATCCTGAAAAATGAACTGGGATTCCAAGGATTCGTCATGACGGATTGGCTGGGTCAGTATAGCGGCGTGGCCTCTGCGCTTGCTGGTCTTGATATGGCCATGCCTGGAGATGGCGCTATACCACTGCTTGGAGATAGCTACTGGGCCTCCGAGCTCTCCCGATCTATTCTGAACGGGAGTGTCCCGGTCGGACGACTCAACGACATGGTAAGTTTACCTTAGTAATTCTTCCCTGGGCTATTTCTGACATGTCATCTAGGTTACTAGAATCGTGGCTACATGGTACAAGATGGGGCAGGATGAGGACTACCCGCTGCCTAATTTCTCATCCAATACCGAAGACAGAATAGGAGAGCTTTATCCCGCTGCTCTGTTCTCTCCCACTGGTGTTGTCAATGAATACGTCAATGTCGAGGGCAACCATAACATTACTGCGCGGGCTGTTGCACGCGAGGCAATTACACTGCTTAAAAACGAGGATAATATCCTTCCTCTGTCCCGGAACGACTCACTGAAAGTCTTTGGCACAGATGCTGGAGCCAATTCTGGCGGATTAAATTCTTGTACGGATCAAGGCTGTGACGATGGTGTCTTGACCATGGGATGGGGCAGTGGAACAGCAAACCTGCCGTATCTTATCACACCCCAAGAAGCCATTGGCAACATTACCGACAGTGTGGAATTTTATATCACAGATACTTTCCCATCTGACGTTACCGCCAGCACCAATGATACCGCTATTGTTTTCATCAATGCTGACTCTGGTGAGAACTATATCACTGTTGACGGCAATCCCGGTGACCGACTCGATGCTGGTCTTAATGCCTGGCATGACGGTGATGACCTGGTCAAAGCAGCAGCCGACGTATTTTCCAATGTCGTTGTCGTAATTCACACTGTGGGTCCAATCCTCATGGAGGAATGGATTGAGTTGGATTCTGTGAAGGCGGTGCTTGTAGCCCATCTCCCGGGTCAAGAGGCAGGCTACTCACTCACTGATGTGCTCTTTGGTGATTACAGCCCAAGCGGTCATATGCCATATACCATTCCTAAGAGCGAGTCAGATTATCCAGACAGCGTGAGTCTTATCGATCAACCTTTCGGTCAAATCCAAGATACATTCACCGAAGGCCTCTACATCGACTACCGCTATTTCATCAAAGCCAATATCACACCAAGATACCCCTTTGGCCACGGACTTTCATACACTACATTCAACTTTTCAAATCCTACCATCTCAGTAGTGACGGCACTGAACACCACCTATCCGCCTACAAGGCCCTCGCAAGGATCTACACCACAGTACAACGATTCAATCCCCGATCCGTCGGAAGTTTCGTGGTCCACAGTAACTTTTACTCAAATTTGGCGCTACCTTTACCCATACCTTGATGACCCTGAGTCAATCACGGCGTCGGATATTTATCCCTACCCTGATGGTTACTCTACAACGCCTCTACCTGAAGCTCGTGCGGGTGGTGGCCAAGGCGGGAACCCTGCTATCTATGATGTTGCATTCAGTGCTCAGGTTGATGTCACAAATACAGGAAGCCGATCAGGAAAGGCTGTTGCACAGCTTTATGTTGAGCTGCCTTCCAGCCTGGGTCTTGACACCCCATCTCTACAACTACGTCAATTTGAAAAGACTAGAGAACTGGCGCCTGGACAGAGTCAGACGTTAACCCCTCGATATCACACGCAAAGACTTAAGTGTGTGGGATGTGGTGGTACAGGACTGGATGGCCCCTGTCGAAGGCGAGGGTGTGAAGGTGTGGATTGGTCATAGTGTTGCTGATTTACCTGTCCTTTGCTCAGTTGGTGAAGGCTGCTCCAGCTCCTAATTTTCTCCCTCTCAGCCTTTTTCCCCTTTCGCTTCTATTCTTTCTCTCTCATTCTTGTTTAATCATCTATTACCATCCTCGGATATCTTTCATATTGATGTCTACTAGGTCGACCATGGCACTTTCGCTGTACATATATGTTCATTCCCTTGTTATTATTTTCTTAATTCACATATATACAACTCATCATCCTGATAGCATCCTTCCAAGGTTCTTTTCCCTCCTTATGTACTAGCAGTCTCAGGCTCAGGCTGTACATCTTCAATAACCGGCTGTTTCTCACTTTTCAACCCCGTGACGGTCTCCACGTGCTCCTTATTGAGACGAGTCTTCAAAATGAATGCAGAGACGATGACACCCAGAACAGATGCAACGGTATACATGATCCATAGGTTCCTCATACTCCAAGCGAAAGCTTCCCTCACGGCAAGTCGCTGAGTAGGATCCTCGATATCCTTGATATACTCGATGTTAGCCGCAGCGGATGCACCAGTCATTTTATCAGCCAGGCTTTCCGATACACCAGCAGCCAGAAGCTTTCCCTTCATCTTGCCCATACTGTTCTGGAAAACGACACCTCCAAGGACAATAGAGCAAGCAGTAGCCATATTACGGATAAAGCCGAGGGTACCTGTTGCAGTCGCGGTATCTTCTTGAGAGACCATAGCCTGAATGGCAATGATTGGTGTTTGGAATAGGAATCCAGCTCCGAAACCACTCAGGAATAGATATCCGACAATTTCGCTGATAGAGGAAGAAACACCCAGGCGAATGAATAATCCGTTGCCGATAGCCATCAAGGCCATACCAATCCAGATAAGCTCGAGGTATCTTCCTGTGCGGTGGATTATCATACCGGTGAGCATTCCAGCGAAAGCTTCAGCGAGGACGAGTGGAAGAATCAGAACACCGGATCGCATTGGGGATGCTTCTTTCGCTGATTGCAGGTACAGGGGAACATAGTATTCTCCCGCGATAAAGACCTATTACCACTGTTAGCCTCCTGTCTGTAGGGTGGTATACTGTTCAAGAATGACTTACGAAACCATGGGCAAAGCCTACTGCAAGCGCGGCGATGTTCGAAACACGCGAGAAGATGTTGAGTGGCATGAGGGGGTACTTGGCCAGTCGCTTCTCACTGTAAACGAAGAGGAGAGAACAGAGGGATCCAAAGACAATCAAGCAGATCACTTGCGATGAGCTCCAGGCAAATGTCTCGCCACCAAAGTCGAGTCCCAGAAGAAGCATAAGGGTGAGGCCCAGAACTGACAGACTGCCGAACCAATCGATCGCCTTAATGCCGTCACTCATCTTGGTCTTGGGATTGTGCACATCCAGACAAAAGAGGAGAATGACAAATGCAATTCCAGCAACTGGAAGATTGACCCAGAAACACCATCTCCAACTGACGTATTCTGAGAAAGCACCACCAATAAGCGGACCAATACCACCGGCCAACGCCCACATAACCTCCATCAATCCAAGATAGAGAGTCCGGTGTCTGCCAAGCAATCAGAAAATGAAGATACAAAAGTGACCTTTGACTGAACATACCGAACACTGAAAAGATCAGAAATGATAATCGTCACAAGCTGAAGTAATCCACCAGCAGCAACACCCTGCATAGCTCGACCCGCAATTACCATCTGCATGTTAACAGCAACAGCGCAAATAATCGAGGCGATGAAGAACCAAGCAACGGCAATCAGCAAGATGACCTTGCGACCCCAAATATCAGAGAGCTGAGGCCAAATGCAAGACCCAGCAGCATTGGCAAGAAGATATGCACCACCGATCCAAGTATATCCAGCCGCAGAATTCAATTTCGCTGCGATAGTGGGAATAGCAGTCGCCATGATAGTCTGATCAAGTGCAGCGACAAACATGGACAGCTAGAGTAATTTTATTAGCATATTTCTCTGTCAAAAAAGTGATAATCCATCTTACAGAGAGGGCGAACATGATCGCCACAATGCGAAGTTTTCCTCTGTGAGACGGAGCCTCAATTATCTCCATGTCGGATGCCATCTTATCCCTTATTTTCTTCTCAATGAACAAGAACTGACGTTGAAACTGTGATAAAATCAAACACGGCTGATTTGGAAAATATTTTTTTCTCTTAAATAGACACCCCGCCCCGTGGCGTCCTATCAGTTTTGCGGTTGGACCCGCTGACAGCCTAAATCCGGTAAGACTTGTCAGAGTACGGGGTACACATACGGCAACGCTTGGACAACATGAGTCACTTTAATCCTTCTTGGCAATGGCTCGGGGTTTGATATTATAAGAATTGAATTGAGCGATATTGAAAGGATCTCTATCATGATTTGTCAAGTATTTACATTGGTGTTCAACAAATGTTCATTGAAGTCCAAACGTTGATCTTGGACTTGCACAGAGACTGGGCATACATGCATCCAGCGAATGGATTGTGAAAGAAGTGAAAGAATGAAAGAACCCTGGAACTTGAAGAAAGTGACTCATTCATTTCGAGCGCATCGTAGCAATTCTCTCCATTTCAGCCCCCTCCTCGGTTAGGGAAATTGGCTCCTGGCCAATAGGCTGAGATGTTTTCTCCTGAACTGAATTCTCTCTCATCCTCTGCATATGCTGATCCGACTCGGCAGAATACTTGCAGCGTTGACGAATGGCAGCCCCGTACTTATAGAACAGAAATGGAAACGGCATGCAAAGCAAGGACAAGAACGCCGGTATCGACGGCGCCCAGTGAATACCAATCCCGTCATACATGTATGTTGCAATGATTGGAAAAACAGCTCCAAAGATCGATCTCAGAACGGTATTAGCCGCTAACACAGATGCAGCATAGATGGTATACGAGTCGATCAGATAGTTCATGATACCCAGGTATATCAAAATCACGCCGAATCCGAACGGGGCTGTGCCGATAATGCTGACGGACCAATGGATGGAGGGATAATCTGTCCATGCGAACCAGAATTGACTGATGGGGATAGCCAATGCACCAGGCATACACTGGATAAGCCTTATTTCTGGGGGAGCGTATCCATTGTGAAGGTCTTGGACTTTCATATAATGGAAGTTCGCGGGGATGGTACATATTATCCCAATGATCATACCAATCATAACTCCAAGGAATGCTAGGCCTCCCACACCAGGGTTCCAGCCACGGATCTCCTCAAATACAATAGGGAAAGCGGCAAAGAGCATATACAGAGTTCCATACACGATCGCCACATACAGCGCAGAGAGCATAACAATCGGTTCTCTCAATAAAAGGACCAGCGGTCTGGACAAGGATCTCTTCAGAAGAGCACTCAGTGAGCTTCGTCCTTTCTGGAGATCAATTTTGCTGATATAAACCTTCCCTGTTATCTGAGAGAGACGTTCAGCACGTCGAATTAAAAGCACGGGCGCATACGTCTCCGGAATCAACAAGGTAGTCAATACCCAAACGAAAGCAGAAGTCGCAGCAAGAAACCCTTCCACCCATCTCCACCCTGCCTTCATACCAAGAAACCCACCAATAATAGGACCTAGCGATGGACCGAGGAATGGAGCCGCAGCATATAAACTCAAAGCAAGACCTCGCTGTCTCGCCGAGAAGCAATCGGAAATAGTTCCACCGGCATTACTCAATGGCGCCGATCCAAACGAGCCCGCAAAGAAACGGAGAATACAAAGTGACCAAATATTTGGTGCAGCGGCAGAACCAGCTAAGAACGCTGCCATGCCAATCAAGCTGATAAGGAACGAGATCTGCCGACCACAGACTTCACTAAACGGGGCCCAGAATAGTGGACCAACTGCAAAACCAACAACATATAGCGATAACCCCAGCGTGGCGACCTCAGTCGATATATGGAAATCGGCGATAATCTCATCCAGCGATCCACTGTACGCGGACGATGCTAACGAGACGATCAAAGTTGACGACGCCGCAACGAGCGTGATGCATATTTTCCTCGAAAAGCTAAAACGTTGTGGATCGCGACTGTCATTCGGGATCCAGGTCACAGCGAAAGGATCATCCTCAGTACCTGAACCTTGATATTCGTAATTGAGAACATCTTGCGTGATTGCGCCATGATCGACGAGCATGCGCCAAGCTGGGATCTTCACGGGATGAGCTAGTGGATTGCCATCTCTACCTGCCATTTTGGTTTACGAGGGAGGTGAGGGAAGAGATATTGAAAATCCGGCCATGATTTTCAATGAAAAATTTCAAGTTGTCCATGTAATCTGGTATACCCTAGTAATCGTGGACCATTTCATGCAGCCCGTGTGCACGTTTTGAGTGCATTGGGGCCACACGGTCCACACCGATACTCGGAGTTCGGCACCCGTGGAGTTGGTGGATTCTAAGGTTCTTACCGTCATTTACAATGCATCTACCCAGATGGAAACTTGATTTCTAGCATGAAGGATCAGTACTTTTGATAATGTATCATATTCATGAAGATACTATTACGAGGCAGACAGGCAATAATTACTATTTGAGCATATGGCATGCACATCAATATGCAGTTATTTGACAGATTTTCAATCAATCTAATCTTTCTAAATCGTGCTACGTATGCTTATCTGCGCCGAGCTAGACCGACATCTTGAGGTACTGGTACCTATACGGACTATACTCGAACTGATCAGCATTTGAGAGCATAGAGTTTGATACATAGGATGAATAATCATTAAAGTTGAAATAGATCTGGGAGTGAATTATTATGCCCGTATTCCCCTTGAAAAATGAAGCATTTTAACCCGTATAGAGCTGTTAAACGGTTAAACTATTTGAATGAGATATAATGAGCGTTGAACTGAAGAATATCCTCAAGTGTTAGAGCTCAGACTCTTCTCTAAAACAAGTCGGCTTATAATAGTCTGAGAAGACTCGAAATTACTCTAGATTTATATCCCATTTATTGGTAAGAACAGTCGCAGATGTTACTACGTAGTAGTTATGCCAGTGGAATAGAGAGCGCTGAAAAGTAAAGACAAAACATTTGAACAAACTAATTGGGAGTCAATAACGCTAGTATATTGTGGATCAGACAAAAGCTTGAATATAAGTCACGAATCTTGAAGTTGGAGCACTGCATGTGGAGTGTCATATAATAATTCCTCGCGGTGATTGCAAATGACTATGACATTCACATATAAGCTTGGGCCGGATTGAAGTTACTCAAGCGCTGGCGCGCAAGATCAGGTAGCCTCAATTTTATCAATTGATCAAACTTGAAGTCAACATCAGAAAGTCCTTAAATTATATGAGATGACGTCGTACAATCTCCAGGGCTTGATGGACTAACTTGAAGTAACACGACCCTTACCTTAATGTCTCATTCAACAAATAAGCTTATCTACACTTTGATCTCGGAGGTTTGCCCGAAGCTTGCAAGCAAGGTTCACGCAGATTGACGTCATGCATTTTAAGCTCACGATCCAGGGTTCATGAGTATATAAACCTGAATTCATGCAGTCTTGATTCTTAATCATTTCAACCCTGTTTCGATCCTTTCTACGTCCCAGCGTCTACATATACTTACTTTGTCAACTTGAAGCCATCAGGACTCAAGCCTCTTGCAAATCAACTCAACATCTACAACATTTGAATCACCATGTCTCCCAAAAATATAGTCGTGCTTTACTGGCATCGCACTGATCTCCGCCTCCACGACTCTCCAGCTCTCCACGCCGCACTCTCCCTTAACCCCTCAATCTTCATCCCTGTCTGGACCTGGGATCCGCACTACGTATACCACTCCCGTGTAGGAGCCAATCGCTGGCGATTCCTACTAGAATGCCAAACCTCACTATCAAACTCATACAAATCCCTGAATCCAAATCAACAGCTCTGGGTTGTACGCGAAGGACCAACGAGTGTTCTTCCGAAATTATGGAAAATATGGGGCGTGACACATCTAGTCTTCGAGAAGGATACAGACTCGTATGCAAGATCGCGAGATGAGGAGGTTCAGCGACTAGCGAAAGAAGCCGGAGTGGAGGTTGTTATTCGCATGGGACGTAATCTCTTTGATCCGGATGACCTAGTTCGAAAGAATGGAGGCAAAGCGACGATGAGTATTTCTCAAGTGGAGAAAGCAGCTGAGAAAATCAATGGTGGCAAACCCGATAAACCGGTTGCGGGTCCGAAGGAGATCCCTGATGCATGGGGAATGGAGAAGATGAAAGAGGTAGAAGGGATTAAGACGGAGGAGATCGATGCAACTCCCGATCTGAATGCGGAGGTTCGAGGCGGTGTGGAGAATCAGTATGAACGGATAACAGGACCGAAGGGGGATTTCGGCGTCCCGACGTTAAAGGAGATCGGGATCTCGGAATCATCGGTGACTACGCCGCATCGGGGTGGAGAGGAAGTGGCGTTGAAGATATTGAAAGAGTGCGTGGAGGATGAGGAGTATGTTGGACGGTTTGAGAAGCCGAATACCTCCCCCGCGGACTTTGAGCCACAATCTACCACGCTACTCTCACCGCATCTCCACTTTGGGTCTCTGTCTGTGCGGAAATTCTGGTGGGATGTGCAGCATGTATTGGAAAAGCGCAAGGGCGCAAAAAAGCCTACGTCGTCTGTGCCTACTAATTTACCGGGCCAGCTTCTATTTCGCGATATGTACTTTGCGGCGCAGGCAGCAGTGGGTCCGGCATTTGCGACGACCCATGGAAATCCTGTTGTGAGGTTAATTGATTGGCATTTACAGTCGAAAAATCTGGAGAAAAAAGGTACAGATGACAAGAAGGGTGATGGCACACGCGAATACACTATCGATTCCCCCCAAGCAGAGGAATGGTTCACACGTTGGAAAGAAGGTCGAACGGGCTTCCCGTGGATCGACGCTCTCATGCGGCAGTTAAAGCAAGAAGGGTGGATCCACCATCTCGGTAGACACAGTGTTGCCTGCTTCTTGACGCGTGGCGGGTGCTACGTCAGCTGGGAGCGGGGCGCCGAAGTATTTGAGGAACTGTTGATCGATCGTGAGTACTATACATAGATTCAGTCCACATTCTGCATGATTACGGAGCACATCCACTTGCCAAGAATTTTGAAGTTTGGGGAACAGGGCTGATCCATTGGATAGATGAAACCGCTTGTAATGTGGGTAACTGGATGTGGCTGTCATGTACAGCCTTCTTTGCGCAGTTCTACCGTTGTTACTCGCCAATTGCTTTTGGCAAGAAGTGGGATCCGCAGGGAGACTTGATTCGGAAATATGTCCCCGAATTAGCGGACTTTGATAAGAAGTACATCTACGAGCCTTGGAAAGCACCGATTGCAGATCAGAAGAAATGGGGATGCCGGGTTACGGGAGACGGAAGTAATTCGAAGTCGGAGGATGGTCAAACCTATCCAAAACCGATGTTTGATTTCGATCAACGGAGGCAGATCTGCCTCGATAGTATGAAGAGCGCCTATGACGTCGGTCTGCATGGAGCTGATGAAGACGTGATGAATGGATCATGGGAAAAGAAGTTCCACATGGATGAAGGGAATGAAAAGTCCAACAAACGCCAAAAAACAGAAAAATGAATGGTAGATCGGGGGGAAAATGTGTGTAGAGATGAAAGATGAGAAGAAAAACAAACACCAGATGAACACGAATGCAGACTCCGCATATCCGAGTCCCAGGTTGTACAGATGATAACCGCCTGTCAAAAACAAAGAACATGAACGTCCGACCTGGAGTAAATGACCTGAATTCGTGTATCGTAACTTGAACTCCGCATGCCATATGTGATATACATTAATACATTAAAAGAGATCACCAGAAGAATGAGTAAACAAAAATCAGGATCGTGGCCACCGTGGAGACGGTGTACTGGAGCTCAAACCACGCAGCCTGGCCACCAAAAGCAATCTTCTTACTCTTGGTGGTTGGGTGGGCGACTCCGGTCTTGGGATCACGGGCCAAGAGGTCCTCACGCTCTGGCATTGAAGGAGGGTCGATCGCGTAGGAGACCGGGGTCCACAGAGATGTGCATATAAAGAGGAAGGTCAATGGAGGCCAGAATGCATGAGTGATCAGGCACTTAACCACATCCTTGAAGCCATGGGCAACATAGAAACAGCGGTAAGAGGAGATCACTACTGCGACCAGCGTGACGTAGACGAACGCAAAGTGGAAGAGAGCCATAAAGTTAAATAGAATGACTCGAAGACGCACGAAAATGTTCTTTCGGGTCTTGGGGTCTCGCTCATTCAGAGCGGAGCCGAGGGAACCTGTGGGCTTGAAAGCCTGGGTCTGACCACCAAGCCACTTGGGCAGCATGAAAGAGCGAACAATGCACAAGGCGATGTAGGGAGACATCCACAGCTGATAGCGAGATCCTCGCTGACCGGTATTGTAGCCGGCGGGGATAAACAGGGCAAATTCGCAGACACGGTTGGACAGCGTGGCGGCAAAACAAGCCCAGATCAGCCAGTGAAGCTCAGTCTCGTTGGCGTAGGCGACAAGTTGCTTGCCCCAGAGCAGAATGATGGGGATGGCGAACAGGGAGGCCGTGAGCAGAAGGGTGTATAAGCTCAGAGTGGCATAGAGGAATCCAGAAAAGCGCTGAGCAATGGTCATCCGACGAACGGCATCACCCCAGATACAGAACTTCAGCTTGAATGCGGTATCGACAGTTCCGATGGCCCATCGAGTTCGCTGCTTCAAATGACCACCATAATCCTCGGGCACGGTACCGAATTGAAGCGGTTCGTGAATATAAGCAGTCTTCCATCCTTTACCCAGCATGAGCGTTGATGTCGCAACATCCTCTGCCAAGGAGCCAAGAGGGAAATTGCCAATCTCATCTAGCGCAACGCGACGAACCACATAGCCGGAGCCCGTGCACCAAGCAACGCCAAGGGCATCTTTGATAGGTTCAATAACATGCACGAAAAAGTCCAAACTCTGAGCCAAGGGATCCGATGCAGGGGTGTTATAGAAAAGTTGCGGAGGACAAGCAAGGGCCATTTTGGGGTCCACCAACAAGTGGGGAACCACTGCACGAAGCCAATCTTGTTCAGGAATCTAAAAAAACACAGGTGAGATATTAGCACAAGGCTCGCGATGGTAGTATGGCATCATCAGCGGGTAAGTGGGGGAATCATGACTCGCAAGATCATAGACTCTCGATCCTGCCGAAGGGTAAGAACAACTTCATGACTTACCATATCAGCATCCAATGCGGCCATAAATTCACCAGCACCTCCAGGAAGTTTGTGAACCTCATCCAGACCGTAGTTGAGGTTACCGGCCTTGAAATGGTGGGGCTTTCCGGGAATCTTCTCACGAGCCATGTAGAAAGCGTTGGGATGAGCGGGCTTCAGTTGGTTAATCATGTCTTCGAGAATAGCCGATTGACCATCATCTAGCACAATAACCCGGAATCGGTCGCTCGGGTAATCTTGGTTCAGAGCGCCTCGCACGGTATCGAGGACCAATTCATCCTCTTCACCGCAGCAGGTCACAAACACATCCACAGTCGGACAATCGTCTCCAGTTAATCGAAGCTTGGGGCGACCACGCTTCTTCAATGCAAGCATTGTCCAGCAGTTATGCATGAGGGAGGGGATAGCAACGGCGATCTCAATTGCGACGAAAACCCAGGCTCCGGCGTAGGTGACATCCGCCTCTCTCTGAGCCATGATGATACAGTAGATTCGCAAACCCAAGTAAAACAAATAGATACCGGTATTAGCGAACGTGAGGAACGGAGTGAAGAAGAAGACCCAGCGCTTCCATCCTTTCCAGGTGTCTGCATCATCTCGATCACTGATCCGGGCAATTGATGCGGAACCAGCTTGAACCCATTCCTTGGCGTATCCGGGAGAGGCAGGTGTATTGACGAGAGGTGCTACCAGACTCTGGAGACTTTGCTGCACGGGAGTATTTTGATACTAATCGATCCCGGTCGGCGTCAGATGTTAGTTTTTGTTTGCTTTTTTTTCCTCCGCGGGGGAATCATCAGGTCGAGACTGGGAAAAACACCTACAAGAGTTGGCGATGTCGAACGAGACTCATACGGTGAGTTCATCCATGTTTCAGGGACATCAGAGGTTCGATTTGGATGTAGCCAACCTGGAGAACCATATTCGGGCGGACTGTTACGGGTTCCCGGGCCTGGGCTTTGTGTATGGCCAGGTCGAAATGGCACGACAGGTCTTGGGGAGGGAATATCATGGAACTCAAAGTCAAAGTTGCTAGGGCTGGTCGGAGGATTCTGAACTCCATGATAACCATTCAAAGTGGTCAATTCCTCTTCCTCTTGGGAATAATAACGAGGGTCCCGTTGCCCATTCATAGTGAATTAAGGCGAGCCGCACGCCAGGGTTAGGAACAAAGAATGCGCTAATGGGATCGAAAGGGAGATAAGATCGAATATGCGGGACTTGGCAAAGTAAACGAGAGATTTGACACAAACGAGTGTTGTTCAAACTGAGAGAAAGAGAAGTCAAGTTAAAAGAGGAAAAAGAATTGGGGGGGAAAAGAGAAGTGAATCCTTGACCACACACAAGTGATGGGGCTTATCACGCCGATCAGAGAACCTGGGCCTTTAGTTACAGGTACCAATGCTAGGTAACCAGTAAAAGGAGAATTTTATGGATCAAATTTGAATTTTCTTTTTTTTTTGGAATTTTTCTTTTTTAATTAATTTATATTTAATAATATTTTTTTGTCTCTAATTTACCAGTGAAAACCCGTTTAGACGTTTTTAATGATATTTAATCGGGTATAAATAGAACGTTACCCTGGTTCCATTGCGTCCCTCCCATCCGCTTTCGTCATGATTGTCCGGTCTATCGAATCATTCGTTCCCTAAGAGAACTGAATTTTCAGATTTCATATTTATTGAATAAAATAAAATAAATAGTAAAACCCCCGAATTCATCATTGCCTTAATCCTTTTGCCTGAATCACTTTATGTGGATTTGTGTGTTTTATTCTATTTATTTCTATTTTTATATCCCGGTTAACCCGATCCATGGTAGATTTCCCTGCATTTCATTTGCATTTATTATATCTGTTAATATAAAATGAGAAACTCTTGAAATTTACGTTTGAGATAAAGCAATAAAAGCATCAGCTTTGACTCGAGAGCTTGGTATCTAACCAATCTAACTGGTCGGATGATCCTATCATGTACAATGCATCATAACCGCTTTCGGGTGGTACTACGCAGGGGGGCGAAGCACTTCAGTGCGTTCAAAGTGCGTGGCGCGGGATCCACTTAGTCCAATCGACCATCGGGCTAGTTCCTTGTTATCCCACACGGCATCTCCCCTAAGGGTTCTTAATCAAGGGTAACCAGGGTAATCAGGGTAATGTGAACGGAGAAAGTCTTGGATTCCCGCTTTAGTACCTGCCGCTAAACCACAACCAGATTTCCGTTTTTTCTTTTCGCGTCAGACAACCTGAATTCTCCTTTCTGTTATCAGTGAACACTTTTTTTTGAATACAACAAGAGAGAACAATCAACATAAAAGAATTCACATCTCAACAATACCCCCCCATCCACCTTTGGCTGATCACATCCAGTCATGGCGCTTTCTTTACTGGTCAATGCTGTCCTACTGGCTATCCCGCTAGGAGGATCCGTGGGGACTCTCGTCGGTATCGATGCCCACCTAGCAGCCACCGGTCAAAAACCACTTTTTCACAGTGATGGCGGCGACTCTAGCTCAGGGGGAAGTGATGGAAGTGGAAGTTCAGGAGGAAGTACGGGCGGAGGCTCAGGAGGAAATGGCAGCACCACAAATGACGGCGTTACTGTGACTCGATACTGTGAATCATCATATGGTATCTCACCACCATCATCGGGTGAATTATTCACATGTAAGTAGATCCTGGAGATCATGATCCTCCGATCGAGGTGTTCGTCCACATCCTGGACGATCACTGATCGCTCTCTGAATTATCCGCTGATCATCCTACAGTCAATCCCAACCAGTGGGGTGTCACAGCCTCAACCACAGGCGGTTTGTGTATGAATGTAAGGGCCCTTGTTTCACACCCATTTCATTTTCGACTTGTTCATCTCTAACTTGACCCTAACTAGGTCACAACATTCAATAACGAGACCTACCCCACCAAGACAACCGCTCCCGAGTGGTCAGTCACCTGGCAGTACGACGTTGGTCCAGAGACACAGCCCGTTCACGCGTACCCCAATATTCAAGTTGACGATGTCCTTCCTCTGGAGCTGGAGAATATGGATGAGATCGAGTTTGCGCTTCACTGGACCTATGGAGTAGGCACGACAGCTGCATCAACCACAGACGAGACAAGCCTCAACACTGAATCACTCCAATGCAACGTTGCCATCGATATGTTCTTTGACAGTGACAAGACTACCGCACAGAACAGTACTTCCGCTGAATTCGAGGTCATGGTGTGGTTTGCGCGGTTCGGTGCCTCGTCAGATCCCATTGGGTATTCTGAAGGTGTGGTAACCACCCACACGGTGAACGGCACAACCTTGTAAGTGACTAAAGCACATCTGAGATATAATATTTTATTCTAACACTCTCTCTCTAGTGATCTCTACAGCGGAACAAATTCAAACAGTCAGAACGTGTTGACTTGGATTGCTGCCAATACCACAGAGGAGTTCAGTGGTGATATCTATCCTCTCATCACCGATCTCTACTCTCTGTCTGGCAGCAACTATCCGGCCAAGACAGACTACATGGGCATTTTCCAATTCGGAACCGAAGCATTCTCAGCGGACACGAATGTCACCTTCTCAGTGTCGTCGCTGTCGATCGATATTAAGAAGTCATAAACTGACTGAACCTGTACATAATACTGCATTTAATTTTGTGCAATACTCACGAATACTATGTTTACACTGGCGATTTCGGCTCATCCAAATTTGAACATTTATTACATCAAAATACGTAATAAATTTGGGGATAGAATTCTATCAAACTTGAAGTAAGAGATGCCTTATCATAAACAGGAGTCTAAAGCACCAACTCAGCTTAGGTCGGGGATAATGAACTTTTTTTTTGTTATTTTATGTGTACTATCGGACTCGTTCTGTCTAGTCATTTTCTCACATCCCCAAAATAACACGGAATGAAGGAGATCTAGATGGCGATGCGGTATGGGGTAGGTAGTTGTAGGTCAACTGTCATCCGATGTATCAAGTGAAGCCATTCGTAGGATCTTACCTCTCCTCCTCCATGCACCCTGCCTAAAATTGTCCTGGTTTTCAAAATCAGAGACTCCCAGGTTTGTTCCGCTCCGGTACTCTTTTTTGACATCTACTTAGTGAGATTGAAGTATATCCCGCTTTGAATATAACTCCACCAGCTCCACATATTAAGGATATCACAAGGCTGGGACTTGGCTTCAACATTAATCCCCGCACTAAAACCATAGCCTTGTCTCTAATTCTCTTCTTATTTTGCACTTTCAAGTTCCTACAATCCTCTTCCCAGGGCTACAATATGGAGCACATCAAAACTTACAACCTAACCGTCTTCCCATCCCCCTCTGACCCCGAAAATGGCGGAAACCCAACCACCATCTTCCTAGCTGATACACTCACCGCATCAGAAATGCAATCCCTCGCTCCGAAACACAAGCATGAATGTGGCTTTATTCTCCCCGCTCCAGAAAACGACGCATCATGCCACTACACAATGCGCTACTGGGTCCCGAACCACGAGATGAAGATGTGCGGTCATGCCATCGTTGGCGCAGTCTGGGTGCTACGAAATCTACAGCTCTTACCTGACGCGCCGAGTATTCGGATTTCTACATTATCAGGAGTAGTGGAGGTGCGCGTAGTACCCACTGGCAATCCTGACTCAACCTCGGAGACTGCACCGTCCTCACATTCTATACTTGTCTCCCAGCCTACAGGTATAGTCGAAGATATAGACCCAGAGCACATCCTCGAGATCCTGAACAGTCTCGATCTCAAAGAAACGGACCTGGTCCCCGGACTAAAAGTACAGAATGCTCGGACGGAGAGTCCAATTGTTGTGAGGCAAGGATGGTTGATGGGGAAACCGTCGGAGATTCGGGTTTGGTTTAGGCGGGAGTGCGGGGTGCTTGTGGGGTGTTGGATTTCTGGGGAGGTTCGGTGGGTGAAAGAGTAATCTTTTACTTCAAATTTGTAGTATATAGTAGAGGGATTATCAAGTTGGAGAAGGACCTGTAAATAAAGGTAAAACTTGAACTTGAAGCGGTCGGGTTTCCAAACCGATGGGATCTACTAGTAGTATGTCAGTGGTCAGTTATATGATATATCCATCATGATGTCGCTTATGACTTCCAGTGCCAGTGACTCGGAGCAACAGAGAGCACAGTTACATTCTGGCAAATTCGTGCTAGATATGCAAAATCAGTTGATACTACCATGCTGGTAAGGTAGCAAGATGTTGAAGCGGAGAATTCGGGTAATTGATAACATGTTGCTGTCAATCAATTGTCGACCTCATTATCTTGAGGACATCGTGGAGACGAACCGGACTACCGACGGACAACTAGATTAGCCTACACACTATACGAGAAACCGAAGCCGCCGGGATTTACTATGCAGAAATCAATATTTTAACTCCCCGGTACTTCATTCGGTCCATTCAGGGGTATTAGTGGCTGCATCAGCCGATGCTTGTTTTCTTTGCCGAGCACTTTCACTCAACATCGCTACAGCGCCTATCGTAACCCGTTAAGGCACAAGACTCTTAGTACTAGACCGAATTCATCTCCCCAACCCCAGCCATTTAACTAATTGCCGCATTGCCGAAGGAATCAATTCTGCACTTATCGCTATGTGGAGTCTTTCTTTAACCCCGCTTCCTAGTAACGAGATAGTATTGGAGGAAAAGTGTAGATAATTTCCGATGTATTACTCACATTGTCCGACTTTTGATAAGCTCATGCGATCCAGAATGAAATATTTAAAGTGTTAAAGTCCCGAATGGGGGGAGTTGGTCACTTGATAGTCTGGGTTAATTCATCGCTGCTGCCGTCACGATGTTGTTGCGTCCATTGGTCAAGGGCCTTGCGGCTTGTTCGATTATTCTTGCTGTCGATGCAAAGCGACCTCAGGGTAGCTTGAAGAGAGCGAGTGCCTCTGACTCTGGGGAACTTCATGATTTCCAGGTCGCTCCGCCTGTTCTGACTCCATCAGCGAATGGGAAAGGCAAAAATGAATATGGATGTGTCGTTACGCAGACGTTGATGGATTTTGACTTTGCCAATAGCTATGGCACACCATATGTTGGTATGTGCTTTGTTCACTGATACAATGAAAGGTGGAATGCTAATTGAGTATTCTACAGGATTCTATACACCTCCAGACTGTGACTTCAACCGAGTTACAATTGAGTTTACATTGACATCCAAGGGCAGGTAAGACTAAATTTGAATCGGAGATCTCCATTAATGTCAAGAGCGATAACTAAGAACTTGAATTTCAGACAATATGATCGCTTGGCTCTTTTATACTTCAACTCCACCGAAATTTGGAGAACCTCCACAGCAGAGCCAACCACGGATGGAATCTACTACTCCTACACAAAGGAAATGCACCAATACCTCCCTCTCTGGAAGGAACCTCAAAAGATTATTTTCGACCTTGGAAACATTGTCAACTCCGAGTACACTGGAATCTTGAACACAACTTTGACAGCTACCTTCTTCACTGTCCCCGATACCCCCGCTGCAGCCGATCAGATCTTACCTATTTCCCGCCTTCTCGGATCTAGCAATGAGAGCAGTGTGGCTGTCTTGCCTAGCGAGAAGACTGCTGTCTCTTACACTTTGCCCCAGAATCTCAAGCGCGCTGTGATTAGTGTTTCGGCTTGTGGACAGGCTGATGAGGAATTTTGGTACCAGAATGTCTTCTCCTCTGATACCGAGACATTCGTGAATGAGTCTAGTATTCTGTATGGTGATGGACCCTGGAGAGAAGTTCAGGTCTTGATTGATGGGATGCTGGCTGGTGTCTCATGGCCATTCCCAGTTGTCTTCACCGGAGGTATGTGCACTGATCTTTGGACCGATCTCAAAGACTAACAACGGGTAGGAATCGTACCTGGATTCTGGAAGCCAATTGTCGGTATTGATGCATTTGACTTGCGTGAGCATGAGATTGACATTACTCGTAAGTGACGGAGTATTAATTTCTTTCTGGAAGAATTCGTTCGCTGAAACCTCTTGGAACAGCATTTATCCCCTACCTCTCCGATGGAAAGCCTCACACATTTGATCTCCGTGTTATGGGCATCAATGATAATGGTGGCGAATACGCTACCATGTCCAATACCACAACCGACTCTTGGTATGTGACTGGCAAGATCTTCTTGTTCGAGGACGAAAAGGGTCATGTCACCACCGGTACCATGCCAGTTATCAAGGACCCTGCTCCATCGCTTCATATCACACGCTCACTTGCACTCAACGCCACCGGCTACAACGACACTCTCACAGAGACTACCACGGCTAAGAGGTCGCTATCTATCAGCAGCACAATCAAGACCTCCAGTGGAAAAGAAGAGGTTTCTTGGAGTCAGGACATCACATACGAGAACTGGAACCAGCTTTCAGACTACGGCTGGTTCCAAAGCACCGTGCAAAAGACCACAGGAACTGATAAAACGGGCTCAGGCATCGGGTACTCTGTTTCATACGATTATCCAATCAACTGTGACTGGTGGTGGATTGAGTCAGGCGAGGACCTCGGTCTTTGGGGAAATATTTCCCGCGCGCTCACCTTTGATGTTGGCGGACCAGCGGTTTTCCCCAACGGAGTTCAATCATCGGTACTTGATACTTCAGCTATGAAGGCCCAGTCTGAGTTCTCTACTGTTGAGAAGACCTTTGCCAATTCTGGTTATGGCTCAAACTTGTACACTTATCAGTCTGCGACTGGAACTTACTTCAGTGATGATTTGAGTACCACCAGCCCAACCGAGAACTTTGGAAGCTTGAATCAGACTATGACATTGAAGGGCGTGGCATATGATGGTTCTGTTGAGAGCTATTCTCGGAATGTTGCAACTGTCAATAACACAATTACCCATGATAACCAAGTCTTTGAGTTGGGAAAGAAGTCGACTTGAGATGTTTGTGGTTTGACTCGAAGGAGATCTAGAATTAGAAGGGCAATTGATGTACTTTTCATGGTTGTTTCATTTTCGAGGACTTGCTATATGCTTAGTGTACATCCTCAAATAGATAAAGCACTTCTTCCATGGATATCCATTGTTCTTGATATATGAATAGCCTTGAAACATTTGGAGGCATTGTGTTCCAAAGTTATACTATTCTCGCTTGAGTCAGACGACTCGTCATCCATTGTTTTTGCGGCTTGTCAATCGAGCATCAATGAAGTGATTGCTTTGTCCTGGTGTCTAAATAGAGACTCAAGCTCACTTAAAATATTTTTTCCAATATTCTTTGTGGTGATTGACCTCGACTAATGAATTCTCCTGAACAATTGATGGCTCCCTTTCAGAGTATTATTAAACTCCTTTGTGAAGTTGCTCATTCAGCTAATTATATTCTAGTGTGAAAGACTTGTACCCAATGAACAACTTTATTTTGAGCATCCAGACCGGTTACAATATTGAAGTGAGTTGCTTAAATAGAGCCATGTTGTCCTACAATCTTGTGGTTCTTCAAGCCATTCAAACTACCAATTGACCAAATCAACATCATTCAGCTCCATCTGATCTACAAAAAGAACTTTTGTGAAAACAAATCTCTTCATATACAAACCTTTACACTTATCTATACCAATAACAACACTAGTCCATCATGCCTTCTACAAGAAAGCGTACGCGTGCTGCAGGGCAACCCGCTGGTGACCCGGCACGAAAGAAGGCTAAATTAGCTGATGGTGAACTTACCAATGGTCACGGTGAACACATTGTTCAGCCTGACTCTATATATGAGCCTTCATCTGAGGACGCTGAGGCTGGACCCGCCTTTCCATTCGATGGAGTTGGACCCGCCCCTCCTACAGGAGATAACTTCTGGATTTCCTATGGTGCTATAGGGAATATCCCTCTCGGTATTCATAATAAGCAGGTTGCTTCATGTGATATTGAGTTCTTACAGGTTGACCCCAGTGCATGGCCATGAGTTCAACCACTCCATCATGCGGCTAACCTATGTACACCCACAGGCCCAGGATACAGCTCATGCACCCGCAGGCACTCAAGGTGTTATCCTTGATTGGGATGTCCATAATGGAACTGACGGTTTTTCAGTTCCAGCTCATATGCGCGTTCAAAACTTTAGCTATGCCCCTCCCCCATAGACTGGCTAACTTTGTTCAGGCAATTCCACTTGTTCCAGGTAGAGGACGACGTAACCGTCATAAAACTGTCGGTGATTTTCTTCGTGTTCTTGCGCAATCTGACCTCCTTCCGTCTGCGTTTACTAATTGGCAGAACGTTGCTGCCGTCGGATGTAGGGATTGTTCGTCAGTCTCCCCCTTTCATATGTATGATATTCTCCCTCCAAGTTTCTTTTTTGCTTTCGCCTGATGGTATGACTACCTGATTCTCTTTGAAATCTTTCAAACTAACGCTTTTTAAATTACAGGTCCCAATATCTAACCCTTCTCAACGATGCGAATGTCGTCGATATCGACATCGGAGGTGCAACCTTAGACTACAAATTCTTCCACTTTGTACACTGAAGAGGGAGCGTTCCCCGATGGAGTTTATCGCGCTCGTTTCACCAACAACTATGTGCGTGCGGCTATTCCTGAGATCAATTACGATGGAGACAGTAAGTTTTCTATTCATTTACCTTGTAACATCAACTTCGATTTGCTAGTCAATGAATCTGCTAACTTGAATTCTTCTTATAACAGTTGCTACATGGGACCCGACTACTTTTGCAGCATTCGATGAAGAGGCTGCAGAATATAATTCGATGTTGGCCCGTACTATGCCCTAGACTAATACCTAACCATCGGACAGGCCGGACCAGTTTGGCTACTAGTAGTCGCCATTCCGCTCCTCGACCTGCCTTCAGTATAAAGCAGCACTTCCAACATTTGAAGATTAATCTGTTATTATTTCCAAGGTTTCTTTAACCTATTCTTGCAGTTATTTGGTACATCGGAGGGAGAGAAGGGATTAATAGATATCATGACTCGGACTTTTTAGCATCGGATTGTTTATTATCTGTGCATGAGTGGAGTTACTATTTGGAGCATCTATATGGCTGGGAGGCTCGAGCAGACTAGAGTCTTTTGAGTTTATAAATATTTGAATTGACGATGCATTTTCAAACACATCATACTATTGATCACTTTCCACATGTGCACGTACGTAGTACCTTCTATATAGCAGTATTCAAAGCAGCCAGATCATGTGCCAGTGGCAGAAAGGACAATTGCCTTCCAAATTCATGATAGAATTAATACTATATTTCAATCCTAACTTGAACCTGCTCCCTGCGCAAGCTCTAGACTCACCGAATGCATGTTCTGGTGGGGCTATCCTCGTCCAAGGTTCCGCCATAGATTAGCGATTCGGAGACTTATAGCATCAAAGCCTCAGATGGGATATGGTCAGTTTTGTGAAATTTTGGGATTCCTTTGTGATTTAATTTGGAAAGCACTTATCCCTCAAGTTGATCAGATTCTCTACGGACTGGTATTAGGGATTCGTTCGGGATATATGATGTAAGGAGGCCACAACTTCAAGTTTGGAAAAAGTTCATAGCGCCGGATTTTCAAGTTGGTCTTTTACTCCCAACCTTGGAACTCGAATGATCTATTTCAAATTCATTATACATATTTCAAATTTTCTACAACATAATAAAGTTACTCTAGTGCATACAAAGAGGGTGACAGTCAATCGTAGGATCTCCACCTAGGTATTGATTCACTCATGATGACCAAGTCTTTGAGTTGGGAAAGAACCTTGGAAGTCGACTTGAGCTATTTACCGTTTGACTTGAAAGAAATCTACAAGAAAGGCAATGAATGTGATGTCTCATGGTCGTTTCATCTTTGAAAATTTTCTCTGATCAGTGTATATCTTCAATTAGATGACGCACTCCTTCCAAGATTGAAAGCTATACTATTCCCGAGGTCTTACTCCAGTCAGATGACTGGTCATTCATTCTAAGTTGTTTTTGCGGCTTATACGGAGTAAATTGGGCACCAATTGAGGAATTTCAAGCTTTTTCTCCTGGTTGAGTCTAAATAAAGACTCAAGCCCACTTAGAATAAGTTTTTTTACAGCGTTATTTGTGCAGATTGACTTCAAGTTCGAATTCGAGTAATGAATCCTCCAGAGCGATCGATTACTCTCTTTCAGGGCATTATTTAATCCCTTCATATAATTGTTTACGCAGCTATCTATATTTGAGTTTCAAAGACTTGAGCATTCAAGTTGTTTACACCATTGAAGTGAATTACTTAAATAGAGCCATCATGTCGTCCTACAGTCTCATGGTTCTTCAAGCCATTAAAACAACCTTGGAGCAAGTTAACAAAATTAATCCCATTCAGCTTTATCTCATCTATCGAAAACAATTTCGAGAAAAGAATTTTTCTGTATATAATTGTTTACACTTCTCTATACCAATAACCTCGGAGCGACGCTAGTTTAAGTTCATCATGCCCGTTACAGGAAAGCGTATGCGTACTGCAGGGAACCATGCTGGTAACCCAGCACGGAAGAAGGCTAAAGTGTCTGCCGCTGGACTTATCACTGGAGCTGCTGCTGGAGCTGCCGCTGCAGCCGATCTTTCATCTGGGCTTTCATCCGCACGTTCATCTGTGGAGGACCCTGAGGCTGATGAGCCCGGTACTGCTGCACCAGCCCCTGCACCCGCCGCTGCAATCGTGGTAGGAGAAAATGTCACCGCTGGAGGAAGTAAATATTGGATTTTCACTTCTATGCGGGATGTCCCCGTGGGTGTTCTGAATAAGCAAGTTGCTTCGTGTTATATAGAGTTCTTGATGGTAGATGGAGGGGAAGTGGCAGAGGGAGAGAAACCGCCTAAATTCAACCACTCCATTATGCGGCTGAACTATATACACCCACAGGCCCAGGATAAAGCTCATGCACCCGCGGGTACTCGGGGCGTTGTCATTGATTGGGCTATCCATAATGGGACTGATGGTACTACAGTTCCATCCCATGTGCAAATTAAAAACTTCAGCTATGCCCCTCCCCATAGCCGGGCTAGTTATGAACAGGCAATTCCAGTTATGATAGGGAGAGGACGTAGCTACCGTCATAAAACAGTCGGTGATTTTCTTCGCGTTCTTGCGCAATCTAGCATCCTTCCGTGTGCCTTCACTAATTACGAGAACGGTACTGCTGCGGTCGGATGTAGGGATATTATGTGAGTCTCCCCTTTCAACCTTGGAAGTTTCATTTTATATTCCCCTTCTTAGTTTTCTTTCCCTTTCTCATGACTTAAGGATTACCTGATTCTCTATGGAATCTCTCAAACTTGAACTAACTCTTCTAAAATGATAGGTCCCAGTGGCTATGCCATCTTAACACAGCGAACGTCGTCAAGATAGCCATTGGAGGTGAGACCTTAGACTATGATTTCTTTAACTATATCCATATTAAAGATGATGCAACGATAATTTACCCCAAGGAGGTTAATCGCGCTCAGTTCACCGAAGACTATGTGCGTGTGCCTATCCCTGAAATGGATTACACGGCTGATGATAGTAAGTTTTCTATTCGTTTTTCTTGTAATATTAACTTCGATTTGCTACATACCTAGTGAATGCATCTGCTACCTTGAATTCCTCCCATAAAAGTTATTGTATACAACCCGCTCACTTTTGTACCGGACCACGATTGGGATGACCAATATGACGCGATGGTGCCTGCTCTTCCCGAAGAATAAACATCAGGCTGGCTGCCAGTGGAACAGTTTGCCCAGCAGCCACTGCCAGTGGCATTATGCTACCCGACCTGTTTGTATTACCTACCAGTAGGTAGACAGCACTACTTCCATTGTTCGTCCATTATTGTTTTCTTTAATCTGTTACTGTAGTAGTTATTTGGTATATGTATATGAGCGAGAGAAAGGATAAATATCATACGTTTTAGGCATTAGATTCATTTATAATAGGATCATTGCCTTCCAAATTTGTAGAAGTTATACTATATTTCAATCCTAACTTGAACTTGAACCTGCTCCCAGTGTAAGCTCTAGACTCAGTAGGACCGGATTGATGTTCTGGTGGGGTTACCCTCGTCCAAGGTTCCACCAAAGACTAAAGAAGGTCCACTTGGAAATCAGTGTCTGACCGCGGAGAAGCCACAGACTAGCGATTCGGAGACTTATAGCATCAAAGCTTCAGATGGGGATATGGTCAATGTTGTGAAATTTTGGAATTCCTTTGTGATTCAAGTTGGACCTCGGGAACCTTGGAAAGGACTTGCCCCCGGGCCTCAAGTTGATTAGATCCTCAGATATTGAATACATACGAACTGGTACTAGGGATTGCCAGTGGTTCTCGATATATCAATGATGTAAGGAGGCCACAACTTTGGAAAAGTCCATAGCGCCAGATTTTCAAGTTGGTCTTTTACTCCCAACCTTGGAACTCGAATGATCTATTTCAAATTCCTTAAAAGATAATAAAGTTACTCCGAGTCTAGTGCATACGAAGAGGGTGATCATCAATCATAGGATCCCTATTGATTCCTCGGAAATGAAGACTAATGGATCTAGTGTCTTAGTGCATGGAATTCCGCATACCCCCCACACGTGCAATTGAATTTCACTCGTGGAGGAGATTAACCATGGTGACACTGCTATGAATATCTGTTGATCTTCTCCTTATTACGGACGTCTCTGTCCCAGTTTTCAGGAAACTATTTTGTTCCGCGGTAGATGATCGTCTTGGCGTCATCGATCCGATCGATCGGGACCATATGTCTGGCAATCCCTGACGGATATCATTTCCTTCATCTTAATGGCTGCCTTTTGGATGCCTTTTGGCATTGGTTTAACATTTATCTTCTCCTGGATCTCTTCTCCTCCGTTTCCTCCACGTGTTTTCCCTCACTTGTTCATACCCACTATTGTCACTCCTTTACCTACCCCCCAATATGGCATCCAGCATGGCCGACATTACGGTCTATAACATGCCGACTTCGCCACCGAATTATGACAAAGTGGGCGTCTTCTATATCGCATTTTGCGTTACCTGGACCACCCTCCTGATCGCGGGTATGGTCTTCTGCTGGTTCAACCGACGTATCCCTATTCTACGAGTCCGAGGTATATCGCTTTCATTTGCTGCAATCGCTCTGCTTCACGTATACTGGATCCTGGGACAACTGGTTTATCCCATCGGGGCGACCATGCCGACCGTTCTCGCCTATGATATCCAGTATTTCGGCATGGGCGTCTATTTCCCGCTTGGAATCGCATTATTTCAAGCTTCCAACCTTCGTTTTCTGCATGTTGCCAAGATGCAGAAGCAATTCATTCACCCTGAACTCCGAGCCGAAAGACGATGCAATGGTGGAAATAGCTCATGGCTATGCCGTTTGCGAAACATGGACTATATGAAGAGGACTATGATTTTCATCGGCATTGGAATGGTAGTGCAGGTATGAATTCTTTTTTTCCAAGTCTGTTAACCAAAAACTAACAATTTGAACTTCATTAGTTTATAATCACGGTCGCAATGTGGCTCGCTTGTAAGAAATACCATCCGACATATGGTATTCCAGGTACAGAGATCAAAGGTGCTACTGTTGTAGAACAAGTGGTCTACCTCGGTCGCGGATGGGAATGGTGGCAGTCGGTGCTTTGGCAAGTCATCTGGACATGGATTGTAAGTGAAATGGCTGCAACTTGCAAGGGAAGAAATAGAGAGAGTTGCTTACCCGTGTTGCCACTTAGGCCGCTCCGATCCTCATTTGGAAAGCTTGGGGTATTCGCGATACCATGGGATGGCGTACCCAAACAATTGCATGCTGTGTTTCTGGGTAAGTTAGCTCTAACGAGCAGCTTCAACGACTCATAACTGATAAAGCTCTATCAGTCTCCATGCGACCCCGATGTTCATGGCTGCGACATACGCGCCTGCCTTTGCGAAAATCAATGCTTACTTCTCTCAGAGTCAATGGTGAGTCAAACATAATATCAATGGATATTGATCGTCAATATATATTGAACTATTAGGTCCTAATCAACTCACAGGATTGACGTGTCGATCATGATGTGGGAGATCTTCACTGTCTTCGTTCCCGTCTTCCAAGTTATCAGACTATGGGCTCTAAACAAGAACATAAAGAATTCAATTACCAAGCGCTCGTCTTCCTCGATGTCAACATTTATCAATGAGCCTCCTTTGCCAGATTGGAAGAGTACATCCACATCTACACTTGCTGAAAAGGGTCAATCTGTCGAGTCCATCCATGGATTTATGGGTGACCGTCTATATACTCTGGAGGCTCTTGAACACGTTCTCAGCAAGAACCCAGGGGAACTGCAAGAATTTGCCGCTCTAAGCGATTTTTCAGGAGAGAATATTGCCTTCCTCAACGAGGTAGCATCATTACGATCACGCTGGCCCGCAATTCTCGACGAGCACAACAAGAACGATGCATTTAATCAAGCACTCCGTATCTATGCGGACTTTGTCAGCCCCCACGATGCCGAATTTCCCTTGAACATTTCCTCTCAGAGTCTCAAACAACTACAGGCTGTTTTCGAGAAACCCGCCCGTATCCTCTTCGGAGAAAAGGCCGAGTCGAATCCCATCGCACCATTTATTTCCGAGACGTTCACACCCGCATCTCAAGAGTTTGCTGGCGTCCAATATACTGGAGATGTTCCGAGTGGCTTTGATATCACTATCTTTAACAATGTGGAAGAACATATTAAGGACCTGGTCTTGACGAATACATGGGCTAAGTTTGTGGACTCAATGCGTCGCCGCTCAACGGATACAGACCGCAGTGATTTTACAGCTGTCTCGGACAACTCGATTCGAAGTTGGTTATCAGATACACAATTGAAGCTTAGATCATTCCTTTGAGATGTTATTGATGTTTTTTACATGTATCGGATTGCACCCGTGAATATTCACTTACTCTTAAGCACATGACGTCATTTCTTTCTTTTATGAGCACTTTGATGCTCTCTTACTTCTTGCTTTATATCTAGATGCTGTATTGAAATTTTGAAAATCAATCTCACCCCTAGATAAAGCACTTGAGGTCCATCTTTAAGTTCAAATGTTGACACTACTTAAAGTGCGTAAGTGTAGGCGTAGGCACCCCCAGGGCCTAGAGCCGACGGGTCCGCTGCCCACCTGGACAGGTGACAGATAGGGTGTGCCTAGATCTCCCATTCCTCCAATTTCACTCATGACACGATGGGCGCACTCGATTGGCACACAGTCTTTTCCCCCACAAAAATGGCCCGAGGATGATCTCGGAATTGAATTTAGCTGATAGTCATTCGGTCTGATTCCGGCTTTGGTTTCAACGTTCGGTGAGGTTCCAAGGTTGTATGCTGAACAAAGAAAAAGAGGCGCCATGCGACCGCCATTTCCAACTCAAATCCTTGCAGGAGCTGGTGTATATGAAGTCTCATATTCAAATTGCCATTGAGAAAACCGTTTTTTCAAAAGCTTCCTACGTCAGAAATAAAGGGTGACCTTATATGATGAATTCAACATTTCGGACATAGCATCCTCCGGAAAGGTGGATCAAGTCCCCACGCCATTTTTGCCCTCTGAAATCTGACCACTTACAGGACCCAAATGCAGGAACATAAGATCAGACAAGCGTATCCCCACACTCTGCGGGGATATCTTCGTCCGTTTACCCCAGTTTTATGGGGTCCCCAGGCCAAGGCCAGGAGCATGCATAGGGGAAAGATTCACGCACCACGAAATCGTACGACAGGGAATAATTTTCTATAAAGATCAGCTCGCACTGCCATGATCATGGAATCTTTTCAAGAATCTCTCAATTGGATTCCTCATTATAATTTCTTTTTAAATAATTCACCCTGGGGTCCTTCATGATGGGATTGCCTCAGAACGCTCTTGGTTTGCAAGGGAGAGCTCTCCGTCTGGCTCAAATCAGCCTCATCGTCGCTCCATGTTTTATTATCTTTGGTTACAACCAAGCCGGTGTTGGTCCTCTCGCATCTCTTGAAAGCTGGGTTCACACCTTCCCGGAAATCGATACAGTCAACACCTCAGGCTCTGTGGAGGCAAACAACTCAACAAAAAAGGGAGCCGTTATTGCCTCTTTTCAACTAGGTGCTCTTCTGGGTGCCCTCTCTTGTACACTGCTCTCCGATCGATATGGACGTAGGAAGACAGTCTTCCTTGGCTCGATTCTTACAATCATTGGCCAAGTGCTCCAAGTCTCGTCTTATTCTATCCCACAATTTGTCGTCGGCCGTGTCATCTTGGGTTTTGGTACCGGCCAGTTTAGTGTTGCTGTACCTGTTTGGCAATCGGAGTGCTCATCTGCCAGAAATAGGGGTCAACATGTCATTGCCACTGGTATCTTTATGTGTCTTGGTTATGCTCTCTGCAACTGGATTGATTTTGCATTCACCGCACTTCCTGATACAAGCACTGGCCAATGGCGTGGACCCCTTGCTATTTCATTATTCTTTTCTCTTATTGTTTTGGTATCTGTCTTCCTTCTCCCAGAGTCTCCACGCTGGCTTGTGCGCGTCAACAGGGTTGAAGAGGCCTCTCAAAACCTAGCGGCATTCAAAGGTCTATCTCCTGAAGACGAGACAATCAAGTCTGAAATAGCAGGTATCGAGCTATCCTTAGAGGCTACATCCCAATCAAAGGGGGCTATCAGAGAGATGTTCTCGAAGAACGACAAGGAGCGTCTCTTATACCGCTTCTGTCTTTGTATTGTGCTACAATTCTTCCAGCAGATGTGTGGTGGAAATCTCATTTCTGTTTATGCGTCGGAGATTTTCAAAGAGAACTTGAACATGAGTTCGAGTCTTTCGTCTATATTGGCTGCCTGCGCACTTACCTGGAAGTTCCTCTGCTGTTTCATTGCATTCTTCGCCATCGATCGACTTGGTCGACGTGTGGTTTTCATGATCAGTGGAGCGGGAATGGCGGTTTGTATGGCTGCAATGGCCATCACCACCAGTTCCGGTTCGGACAATAAGCACGCATCGATCGCGTCTGCCTTTTTCATCTTCTTGTTTAATTTCTTCTACCCCATTGGGTTCTTGGGTGGAAACTTCTTGTATTGCACAGAAGTTGCACCTGTCCGTCTGCGAGTCGCCATGGCTTCCATCTCAACTGCGAACCACTGGCTGTGGAATTTCGTGGTAGTCATGATCACGCCGGTAGCTCTTGATACCATTGGATATCGGTACTATATCATGTACGCGATTTTGTCAGCTTGTATCCCTGTCGTGGTATACTTCTTTTTCCCGGAGACTATGAACCGGAACTTGGAGATGCTGAATCATGTATTCCGGGATGCATCTTCTCCATGGGAGATTGTTTCAATGGCACGTCATTTGCCACAAGGCGAGCCTAATACGATGGACCTTATTGCTCACAACAAAGAGAAGGATGACTGCTCTGTTGAAATGGAGGAGAATGTGTAAGATGAGTGTTTCAAATGTTTGAGCATTCAATCAAGGGATGCATTTTTGTATATAGCCAAGCATCGCCAGCATAGTGCTCCGAATTGTGTCGATGAGATCTCAGAATATAAGTTCATGACCACAAACAAAATTTGTACTTCCCATGTATGCTGTAAATGAGACAAAAGTCATGAGGAATCTCTCAAGTTCACGGGTGTGTTCATGCAATATGAGGTAAGTATCCCAACATTGGATATGAGTCCATAATAACAAAATGTTGGAACTTGATTCTCTGCTTGAATTTTCACATTCACATGCTACCACCAAAGAAAAAAAAACCTGACTTGAAACACTCGGCATCATCCGTCGGCGAAACCGGAATTTTGCCACGGACACGGGATGACAGGGCTCAAGTTGAAGCATATATCGGAATGCCGATGCGGAGGAAGACAAGACCGGGAATAGATTTCTTCCGCAAATCAAAGTTTCTAGATATGTCATTAGTCCTCAGAACCGACTTTAATCAAGCACCGACATTGAAAAAAGTGGTTCTCAGCCTAACTATGGTCCGAAGCGTCAAGAAGAACCAATGGATAGTAAAATTCTACTAAATATTCCTCCGATTTTCGCTACTTTTACCCCGGAGTTGACCAGCCCCATCAGACCCAAAGGGCAGAGCCGAGACACGAGCCTCTTTCACCACGTTTATAGGCGGAGGATGCCATGTCCGCGTCGCCCGGGTCGTGAGCGCGGGACTTTCGGCGACAAGAGACGCCGCTATTGGTTATGATGGGCCCCCGATGGGCCCCATATCCACCGGATTTCCGATGGCGGGTACCGAAGGAGTTGTATCTCGGTTCATGTATGGAGTAGCTGTTCACAGAACACCATTATCTTAATTCAATCATATCTAATTATCACTCGTCGGGCATATTGGAAGCCGAATCATTATCCGTTTCAACGTGGATTACTTACGGAACAAGTCGGACTGATGATGTTTTTATGACAAGGAAATGGGTCTAGGATTGGTCTGGATCTATACTTATAGATCGAATTTTCTTCAGAGATTTTCTTTGATAGTAGCATAAATTTCACTTAATTCTCTCTGAATAGTCAAATTTGAAAGAAAAAAATATCATTCCACATTCAAATCATCCTTTTGACAGATATCCATTTCATCATGGCTCCTTCTATCAACGACGCTCCTATCAGCCAAGCAAGCTCCCCTTCGGATTGCAAGGTCGGCATTAACGGCTTTGGTCGTATCGGTAAGCATTTCATGAAGCCATACTATCATGGATATCAACTAAGAGTAAACCTGTAATAGGCCGCAATGTCCTCCGCGCCGCTTTAGTTCGATCTGATATCCAGGTTGTCGCTATCAACCACACATGTGTCACTGTTGAAGATCTGATCTACCTTATTCGTTATGACTCTTCCATGGGTAACCTGGATGAGCGAGTGGAGATCCACGCCGTCTCTGACAACCTTATTACCATCGATGGAGCCGAGATTGCCCTTACCTCGGAGAGAGACTTGAAGAAACTTAACTGGGCTGCGTTGGGAGTCGACTATGTTCTTGAATGCACGGGCAAGTTCACAAAGAGAGACCTTGCATTGGATCACATTACATATGGAAACGCCAAGCGTGTTCTCATCTCTGCACCCAGCTCCGACTCACCTACATTCGTCTACGGCGTCAACTCAGATGACTACTCCCCCAGTGAAGAGTGCCGCGTTGTCTCCAACGCAAGCTGCACAACCAACTGTGTCACACCTGTCTTGAAGGTTCTTCAAGAGTCCTTCGGCATTACCCAGGGTTTCCTCACCACAATCCACGCTGCTACTCGCTCTCAACAAGTTTTGGATGGATACAGCAAGAAGAATGCTCGATTGGGTAAGTTAATACTGAATATCTTCATAATATCTTATCTAACTTTCTTTCTTCCAGGTCGTGGCGTCTTCAACAACATTATTCCCACAACCACTGGTGCTGCCAAGGCTGTCGCTTCTGTGCTCCCTGAGCTGAAGGGCAAGGTCACTGGTGTTTCCATTCGTGTTCCCACGTAAGTCTATAACCATCAGGACTTTTTGAATTCCATGACTAACACACTCTAGACCCAACGTCTCTATGATCGACCTCACAGTCAGCACCGAAAAGCCTACCTCCCTCGCCGAGATCATGTCCGCATTCCGTCTTGCCTCTAAATCCACAATGGCCGGTGTTCTTCGAGTGACGGATGAGCAGCTTGTTAGCAGCGACTACAACGGTAGCCCTTACAGTGCTATTATTGATGCTCCTGCCTGTGCGGAGCTCAACCCTCAGGTAAGCTATTTGCTTTATCACGTTTTATACTGTGCATCCTTGCTAATTAATCCGCAGTTCTTCAAGATTATGGCTTGGTACGACAACGAATGGGGATACTCTAACCGACTCCTCGATTTAACGACTTTGGTTCACTCTCAGGAGGCTTAATTATACCCATCATATATATAGACATTAGCGGTGTTTGGGGTGTTTGGTGTTCGAAAATTACAAATATAATCTTAGATCTATCACTTCAACTTTGAAATCGCCCATAGTTCAGTGCCTTGCCACTCCGAGCCCTGGAGGTTCTACTGAGCATCTTGTCATCATCAAATTGATCCACCGTGGACCTGGGCATCCATCCACCTGGCATGCACAGGTACGTAGGTGGCAAGCCCAAGTCGGATCATGTTTTGTGATTATTTATGTCATTTCCATAGATTCAAACCTTGGAAGTGCGACCCCAAACTAGAACACCCGAAATAACTCCGAGTACCATGTGGGCGATTCAACTATCAATATCCGAAAAATATTGTAAGTAGCAGTGTAGCACCAACCAACATTTGAAGTATTTTTTTCACTAAAGATTCAAGGGAGCGAGTGGTTCATTCAATCAATTTCTTTCTTTTTCATAAGGGCCACCCGGTGCTTCAAAAACGCCTTATACGCCGATTTTGGGTAGTGTCATATCTTCGCACGCGACTTCCCAAATTTGAATTCAACACATCAAGTTCCTACTGTGCTTTATTTTCTGCTTTGATTAAACGGAATTCATGCAGTCCATAAAATTTGAAGTGGCGTCCGGAATTTTCGCATGAGGTAGGCGACTATCGTTCGTGAACGAGAAATTTCAACTTGAAGATTACAACAACATGATTAAAGGAAGAAGAGCTCATGGCCATGCAATATTTTAGATGTGGGGAAATGATTGAGGGACGATGTCTGATTGGTTCTGAGAAGCCCAAGAACATTTGAAGTAAGATTGCAATATATGTCGCGAGTATGGCAGGGGGCTATTAACATGGCTTATTTAGATCTTTTTCTTATCCAATTTGGCCAGAAGTTCACTATTTGAGACTTCCTCATCCCACTTTTTGCGTGGTCGTTCAAATGTCGATCCGATACGACCATACGAGACACCACCAAGTTGTGCAACCGGTCGTAGCTTCTCCAAGTCGATATGGCTATAATCTGAATTGGCTGTGCCTTCCTTGACCCAGAAACGAGTGGCCTTTATCAGGACTGTCGCAGCAATACTCATTCCCGGTTTTTGATGATCATGGAATTCTTTAATATCAATCACCTTACCTTCAATATTGAAGACAGACTCTGCAACGCGCGGAGGTTTCACAGTTGTTGAAGGGGCTTCGTGGAGACCAGAGATCTCCCACTCCGATACACCATAGGGTGCATCGATCGAAGTGGCATTGACAGCTTCGATCATATTCTCGGAGACAGTGTTGATGACACATTCCCCAGTTTCTTTCAAGTTGCGGTATGTATCCTTAACACGTCCAGGGCGAGATGAGAACCCAACAATAAACATCGGTGGATCATGGTCAATGACCTGGAAGTAACTAAAAGGCGAGAGATTCTTCTGCCCTTGCTTGTTGACAGTACTCAAAAAGCCGACTGGTCGGGGAGCGATGCCAGAGACCAGTAGGCGATAGTTGTTGATCATTGGTCGATCGGGATGGTATGGATCGATTTCATGATGCTTTTGAACAAGACTTGCTCCATTATCTGGTACACCTTCACCATATTTCCATTCAGAGTAAGGTGATTTCGTGATTTCAATAGGCCTGTCATGATCGAATTCTTGGCGTTGGGCTTCAGTCTCCGCAAAATTGGTAATATCTTGGACAATCTTGTAACTTTTCTCGGCTGCTACTGTGTCACATTGCTCCGTATTGATGGCAGCAGATGCGGAACAGATCATTCGAAAATATTTCCATGGTTCATTTTGAATCTCATAGCCCCAAATAAGATTCCGAGATCTAGTAAACAATCAGCCTTCTCGAAGATTGGTTGTAAAGGAACATCTGGAGCTTTCTATTACCTTAATGGGAGACGTCCAATCGACTTTGTGAATAGCATGACTTCGGAGTTCAGGTTTCGATTGAGCTTTAAGTTGGGCCAATTTCAAGGCCGGTTTGAGATATGGATATCAGAACTTGAATGTATCGGATGGCTCACCCGGTAGTCGGGCGTGGAAGCCGGTGTTCGGGAACTTACCAGAGGTAGAAACCGGGCCGGTCCAGGGTCAAGCTTGCCGGTAACTCCATACTGATATTACCGTATTGTATTTTTGCGATAGCGAGTTATCTCGAACCTTGGAAACCTCAGCCATCCATCAATTCTTGATGGAATCTTTTGAGATAATTGATTCTAGCTGACAAGTGTTTCTTGATCTCTGTAAAATCTTTAGTCAATATCAAATCTCTACATGGCGTGGTAGGGTCTTTAAGAAGCGTTGACAGAGTACGTAATTCATCGCCAATCCCGAGGTCCGAATAAACTTCCAGATGCCCAGGTGTCAAGTTCAAGCCTGCATCTGTGCTGCTCAGGTTGTTACCCGAATAGTATATACCTTTTTGAATGTTCAAATGTTTCGAATGTTTACTATGTGACTACGAATTCAAGTTGCATATCTACTAGTACAGCTTTCAAATGTTGACGACTCGGAGTAACATGTGCATTCAAACTTGAAGGTTATAGCATTTCAAGTTGAATTCGAACAATATCCAATTTTGCCAAGTTTAAATATCTACCAATAGATTGTACTCAATTTATGCAGTGCCAGTGTCTTACAAGCACTTGAGTTTGAATCTCATCAGAATCCGAGTCGCGATGAGAGGCTAATTCTGTCGAATACCTATGCGATTATCTGTCAGCACGTAGTAGACCCAATATTTGAACATGTCTACGAACGGGATTTGACAGCGTTGCGAAAATCAGCCATAACATCCTCAATTCTCGTTCTCTTGCTAGTCCCCCGAGCAAGTTCTGCCATTTTCCGCTTCCCCCAGGCAGGCAGAATGGATTGCGCTACGCCGACAAAGCAGATAACATGATTCGAATCAGTCTCCATGCCTGTCGCAATAGCGTTAAGGCGTGCGATATCCCATTCAGTAAGCCATTTTAACACGTCGACGCCCCTGGAAGGTGGAACCATTTGAATTCGCCGCCACTTCAGCATTGATTCGATAGAACTAACCCCCGTGTGATCGAAGCGACCGCTGAGGTAGGTGAGTTTGCCGTATGGTTCAAAGCTACTATTATCAGGGTCTTTAAGTTCGTCGCTCATTTGAACAAGAAGCCTAATGTCCAGGTGCTGCGTGATATAAATATTCACTGCCATGATGCCTATATGCTGGTCCTCCCACTCTCTGTATCGAGCCTTGTAAACCCTAAATTTGCTCTTCCAGATGACATACTTGAAGTCTATGTTAACTTCATCGCCTGAAAGTGGTTCTGGGGGTGTAGGCTTCTGAATGAGTTTTTCTGCCACTTCATGCTCAGTTTTGAAGGGGTCGACGAGGTGCCAGACGTCGCAAATTTGAGCTGTCGATTTGACCTGCGCTAGCCACTTCTTCCAATGACACGGGTCCCACGCATCCAAGGTACGCAGTACAATGCCCCCGTAGATATTAAGGCCTTGGTAGGCAAGTACCACGTTCTCATTCGTAGAAATGTTGAGAAATTCAGGAAACATGTTGTGATGCAATTCAGGGGATCAAAGCGTAAAAGTAGTTGTTCTGCACATGTGTGTGCGCCAACGACTTGTATAAGACTGAATAGTGGCCTATTTTAGCAAGATATGAGGGAATTCGGGCTCATGACTGTCGAATATACAGTTATTCGTCAGCACGTAGCACCAATTTGAACGAGGCTTCATATGTGTCCACGGCGGGTGGTAAAATTCTGCTATCTCTGCCAGGTGGCGTGTAATTGGAGTACAGTGCGGGCTTGTATAAGCCGGCGGCGCCCGCCCAGGCGTGCTCCCGAGGTCCACTTGGTAGATGCGACAAGTTCCTCCAGATGCATGTGTCTGTCGTAGTCCTTACATATGAAAATACCAGTGTAGCTAGTAATATGTAGTTGAAGGCATTTTGGGAGGCTGGGGAAGACGTTGTTAATGTGATTTCTATCGTAGTCATCAGTACCCTTAGAAAGATAAAAGATTGAGACAGTGCTCAGGACTCCGAGTCCGACTCCCAACAAGTATTCTTACCCTCCAGTGTCAATTATCTCGAACTTGAATTACATTCAATGTATCAACATTGAACTGTGCTACAGGACCACAGTGCAATTAGACTGCATCATCTGGGGTAGTGAGCTGCTTTCATCTCATTGTTCGAATTGACAATTTGAACCTTATTATATACTTCCTGTAGTTTGATTGGCGTTCGTGTCGACACTAAGCTTACTTAGGACTAGATTTAAGTGAAATTCGTGGTCTCGGTATGTAGTACTAGTAAATTCACACAGTAGTTCAGGTCCTTTAAATGTTTGATTGATTTCTTCTATCGTGATGGGACAGTACACATGTGACCTTGAAGAACGCCTGCATTAAATTAAGCGAGTCACTTTCAGTTATGGTTTCTACATTGCATCAGGCTGCCCTTTCCACCGTGGACCTTGTAGTTCAATGGGCAAATCTGAATTCATTCACTGGCATCAGACCATAACCTATTGATCGAATCGGAGGAAACAATGACGTGTAAGTGTCTGAATCACAGACAAGCCACTTAACGCTCTGATATAGATTTAAGTGGGTCTCTAGACTCGGATTTCTTGACGGAGCCGCCGGCGTAGTCTTCTACATACGGGGCAACCGGATTTACGCGTATCAGGCTCCACTCATGATGCAATGATACCACTGTCCATCTTATCACAATCAATCTGAATTCATATCCGCATAAACTGGATTGACGTATCCTGTCAGGGACTGCAAGAGAACTAACTCCGATCCCCCATCAGTATGATCGTGCCACCTCTCTACCTACGTCATAGGGTCAGGGTGGGGTTACTTATACTCGCATTTCTGAAGCCGTAGTCGACTCCATTGAACACACAGTCGAACAAAATCCCCGTTTGAATCACCGATTCACCTTTCATATTCATAATGTCTGGCATTTTACACAAGGCTGAAGATGCTTTGCATCTGCACCACCACGATCAAAACAAGTCTGCTGAGCCCGCGAGGGATGCTAAGCAGTCTGAGGTTCCTACAGGTACGTTCAACCAATGATAAACTCTGACTTTTTTTCAAACTTTATTATATTAAGTGTCTAAAATCTAAAGTTGAGTAGACAAGCACTCCCACGGACACCATCATGGTGACAACCATCATCTTAGCCAAGAAGAGAGAGATCGGGCAGATTTTAATGCGGCTCGGCACTACGACCATGCCACGAAGAGTAGTCATGGCCCTGGGGTTGGATTTGAGGAGTAATTGAGGCCTCGATGGTTATGTACGCCGCGGTCTTATGATATGACGTTTATTTGGGATTTTACCCTCTCATGTTTTACGAAATTGGCAATGCATCACTGCAAACTCATGTGTATACATGTAGAGGCGCAACCTTGGAATATAAGATAAGCTTCCAAGGTTATGATAGTACTATCCACGAGGTTAAATTCTTAGCATATACTACTGCCAAATTATTCGTAGCCCTAGAGCTATCTACTACTCCTACTAGTAGCACTTGAGACCACGACATTATGTGCATGTACTACTAGGACTTGAGTAGTACCTATTAGTACCTTGCATTTGAGTGCCGTAGCACTACCACCTGGGCAGTTGACTTGTCTCGTTTAACCCCTCGTGTACTCAAGTGCTAGTAGAATTATGGATCGAAAAGTAAGAATTTCTGAACATACTAACATGTTCAATTGCTTTTGTATTGACAGCATGGCTCAAGCCATTTTCACTAGGTAGCCGCCAAAATATTTCATCAAAATGACATGCAACATGGAATAAACATAAAACATAAGAATCTATTTTTGTATACATCAAAGCAGGACTCCACGGGTATCTGTGTTCCTCGACGAAATCATTTAATCCTCATCCATGGACTCCCATCCATCAGGACCCATGTTGGCGCCCTCAGCACCAGGCTCAACACCTTCATCCTCGGACTCTTCGTCGTCATCCCGGTTCAAACCGGTGATACGCTCCTTCACCTCACCCTCAAAGTCAGGCAGACGAGAAACGAAAGCGCGGCGGACAGCACCGTTGGTAGAGGCATCCCAGATCTGAACGTTACCCTTGCTACCAGCAACAGCAAGACGGAAGCTGACCTCGGCATCAGGAGCAAAGCCAGTGGAGAAGACCTTTCCGACATCCAGCTTTCGAGACACAACCATGCTAGGCTTGTCGTTCTCGACGTTCCACAACTTGACCTCCTTGTCTGTGGATCCAGTGACCAAGAAGCCGGGAATAGTGCGGTTGATATCGAATGAAGAAACGGAGGAGTCGTGGGCCTGCAGGGTCCAGACGGGCTTGGACTCGGCGGGAGTGGCGGGAACATTCCGAACATCGTAGCGGTAGACTTGACCGCCGTCAGTGGTAACGTAGAAGAAGTTGGGGTCGTGAGGGTCCCAGCGGACGTTTTCGACGTCTGAGTCGACGCCCCAGCGGGCCTTGGCATCGGGGGCACGCATATCAGCAGCCACAACAGTGCGGTCGTAACTACCGCTCAGCAAGATGGTAGACTCCTTAGGGTGCCAGTCCAATGAGCAGACCTTGTCAGTGTGGTGGGAGTAGGACTTGGCGCAGGAGGTGGTGTTGAGATCCCAGAGCTTGACGGTGCGATCGGCAGAGGCAGAAGCAAGCAAGTTGCGGTGTTGACGGTTAGCAGCAAGAGCCAGAATGGAGTCAATGTGGTACTCGTCGTTGGCCTTGGGCTTCTTCTTCTTAGACTTCTTGCGGTCCTCGTCCTGGCCACCTTGACCCAGGATGGCGTTGGGGTACATAGAGTCCACAACGTCGAGATCCCAGATCTCAATATCAGGCTCCATAGTTCCAACAGCAACAAAGTTACCCTGTGTACGTCCCTCGGTGTTCTTGCCAACGGGCATGTCGAGCCATTCCAGGCACAGAGGAATGCCTGGCAGCATGATGTCGTGGTGCACGTAGAGGTTATCGGCGCGGTCCTCGTAAACGTAGACCTCCAAATGTGCGACTTCGTCTTCAACCTTTCCAGCCAAGAGGAGGTTATCGGTAGGCATAATCTGGAGCTCCTCGCGGTCCTCATCTTCCTCGTCCTCGGGAATAACGAGGTAAGGATCCTCCTCGTTGGGCTGGTGGTAAGCCAAAGACTGAACATTGCCGAACATAGTAATCTTCTCGCCATCTTCATCGATCTCATCGCTGTCGTAGTGGTCGAGATCGAACTCCTTGAGAACATCGTCATCATCCCTAAAAAAAGAAACGATCCTAATTAGTCGAATGCCTCCCAACTATAAGATGAAAACGTAGTTCATACTCGGTTGTCTTCGCATCAGAGCCCTCCTTGGCGGTCTCATCCTTCGAGTCATCTTCCATAGCATCCTCATTCTTATCCTCATCCATAGCGGTATCTTCCTCCTCGGCCTTTGCAGCACTCAAATCCTCTTGGGCATCCTCAAGCTGCATGCGAGCAAGCTTGGATATCCGGTCCATTTCCTTCTCGTCAATTTCATACTTGGTAGGAAACTGGGCTGCGACACCACGCCGCACCCAGGCCGTAGTAGTGATCATAGAAGACATTGTGAATAATCAAAATCACAGCAACCTCCAATGATCAGTTTTTTATCGGCGATATTTTTTTTTATCGGTGTGGTGAGGGGTCTTCCGCCCGGCAGAACTGGACGATCTCCTCACCGCCTGGGATTTTGCGATTGGCTGGTTTCAATGCATTTGGGACTCCGATTTAACATAAGAACTTACGATCTTACCAGTAGACACTACTAGCTGGTCACTACCGTCATCATGCATTCTCATCTTCATACCCCCTACAATATCAGTATGTTTGTCAAGAAAGCATTGCTCAAGTCTGTTCAATCCAATCTCAAAATACTAATCAATTCGTACCTCCAGACTGCGAGGAAATCATGACTGCCCTCGATGAATGCCACGCCCGTGGATTCCTTTACAAGGCCCTTGGAAACTGCAATGATATTAAGCGCGATGTGAACAAATGCCTCGCTGCAGAGCGTTTCGACCGGGCCAAGCGGAACCGAGACGAAGCGCGCTCTAACCGTCGGCGGATCGAGGATATCTGGGCCAAGGAACGCGCAAAGGATGCCAGTGCGGTTTCTATGACTGTGGATACTGGCGCTGAGAACAATGGCGCTTCCAAGCAATGAGCTGATTGTTGGAGTTGAGCTTGTATTATGATATGTGCGCTTTGATTGGTGTTTGGAGTTTGGGTTGATTACTTTATGGAGACGATTCTCTCTTCTCTGTTTCCATTGCAGGCATGTTCTTTTAAGAACAAAGAGACTAGCAGTGGATATGTTGTACGATACTAGAGGTGGATGTACATATACAATGGACACCTACATGCAATCAAGTGTTCATTAAAAGGTCTAAGGGCCGAGTCTTTAATCCGTTTCTTCGAATCCGTTACTAGTATAAATGATGGAACAATAAATGATGGAAAGTAGGCAATACGTGAAAAGAATGTACATTGAAAATCATGTACAATTGGACTTTTGAAGTAAGAAATATCCCAATCCGAACGCCATGCCTTGGACAATAAGTATCATGCAATGTCAACCTATATAAGTAGACCCAATCAGGCCTCCACCTCCATAGCTTGACTAGCCTCCACAGGCGCATCAAAATCCGCACCAGCATCATCACCACCGGCATAGGGACCACTCTTATTGTGACGACGTCTGCGCTTCGGCTTAGAAGCACCAGACTGCTCACCCTCGGGGCCATCAGCCTCAACTTCAGCCTCCTGGTCACCCTCGCCCGATGGCTTATCCTTCTTGGAAGCAGCCGCATTCTCGGTTCGCTTCTTAGGCTTCTTCATACTCAACGGATTCGCTCCCTTGGCCTTCTTAAGCCCAGGAATCTTCTTCCGCTCACCACCTTCAGGACCCTCGCCATCGTGCTTCCTCTTCTCCCCAATACCAGGCTCGTCCAATCCAGCACGGAACTTGCCCCTCTCAACTCCATCCCGCACATTCTCGGACTGCGTACTCAGAGGCTCGAGAACCATGACGGACCGCTTAACGTAGATAATTGGCACACCGGGAATGGATCGGGCTCCAGCACGCAGAGCACGGGAGCGGCGCAGTGCGCGCTCTTCTTCGCGCTCCTCGTCGCGCTTGCGCTTGCGCTGTGCTGGGTTATCGGCCTTATCGGCCTTCTTCGCAGCTGGCGGGTCGGCAGTTGCGAGGATGTAGTGCTCTTTGTTCTTCTTGGCATCTAGGCTTGGGGACAAGAGAGAGAGAAGACATTCTACCTCATCGATGGGAGTAGAATCTGGGTTGTGGGAACAGTGGCGGAGAGGGAGCTCTGTTGGTGGGGGGAGATGGCGTGGTCGATAGGGTGTATTTGTCTTAGGATTGATGGGCTGCGCGGCCAAAATAGCGGCAAGAGAGCATTTTGTGAGAACTGTAATGAGTCTTCATGTTAGTCTAATTCTATGAGGCTTGAAGTTTTTTCTTCTCCGAGTTGGAGAATACAATATCGTCGGACAAGCTGGGATGGCTGCGGGGGCACTAACGTGGCTTTGGCTTTCCCTGGAGAGTTCGCTCAAGAGCAGGGAGCAGGTCCATCTTGAATTGATCGGTCGCATGCAGGAAGTTTGAGTCGACTGTTCAGGTTAGCATATTTCTTTGGGTGATAGCTTTGGATGATCATCTTACCGAGCACCTGGTATGGCTCACGGAAGCCAAAGGTCGTCTCATATTGGTGCATAAGCTTGCGGTATTTCTTAGAACGTTTGGCCCTCATTTTGGATGGTTGAGGTCAAAGAATTGAACGAGGTTGCAAAGAATCGGCGGATCGAGGTGATGCGCGGACGAAACTTTTTTCATTTTGCCGGGCGGCGGGCGAGGCGGTGTGGTCCGTGCGAAGTATAGACCAGACCAGAATCCAGATACATACTACAGCGACTTTAAAGGTTTAATAGTACGATTTGGTAGTGATGTTTTTGAATATCTCATTCGAATTATGAGGTTTATTATTGACTATGAGAAGACGAAAAGCTAAGGATATAAAGGAAAAGAGATCTGCTGGCTGAAGCGCATGCAATGCAGTCATTAAAGGGTTATTCCACCCGAATTGCGATAGTTTCATTAAGAGGGCGAATGAATTGAATGGAAGTGCCTGGTCCCGAAAAATAGGTGTAGTAGTCGTAAATTCATTAGACAGTTTTCGTCCTGAAAGTAGGTATGCTGGCTCAGGTCTCAAGGCCTGCCCAGAAGCGAATGGCGACGAGCCTAAGGAATCCCGTATCGGCATGAATACGGGGAAATGCAGCCTTGAACGTGGCCCTGTGAAGCCAGGAGGTGTTCTTCGATGGCATGTGATTGTAGTGATTCATCGCACTCGCGATGTCTAGCCCACTGGAGGTAATGCCCCCCCAGTCACCAGTATGAGATAAGAGTATCGATAGCTTTGCGCTGATCACCCTGGTCGTTTCTGACAAGACGCAACCACAACAGAGATGTCGTCCATTTTTCCTGTATCAAGTTAATATCACTTCTATTAACAAATGGAAATAGGATCAAGTGTAAACATACCTCCCTCAATCGCAAGACCTTCATCGATAGCCTTCTCCATGTATGGGCTCTCGGTAAAGGGATCTTGGGCGACAGCCAGCGCGGCATTCAGCAACTCGCGAGCGACATAGACCATGCGATCGTTTGAAAGGTCTGGAGGAGTTTCAAATTCCCCTTTGTTAGGGACTCCCTGGTCCCATTTCTTGAGGCTATCGAGAATAATCTGCAAGACTTCATGCTCCCACAGATTATCCATGACACCATCCGACACAGCTAAGACAATATCGTCTTCTTTCAGAGCAACCTTGCTCATCACTGCATCTTTGCGAGGAGTGTCGACACTATTGGTACCCAACTGCATGGGACAGTCAAACCAGTGCCACTGTTCCTTTGTGCGGAAGAGAACTGTCTCTTCGCTGGGCCGGATCACCAGGATCTTACAGTCGCCCAGATTAGTCACATAGAGCATGGGTGTTTGAGTACCATCGGGTCCCTTTGTCCAATGTAGTAGCGCAGTAGCCGATGTGGTGGTTCCCATCCATTCTGTTGGTTGGGTCGTAGCGCGTACAGTTTCCTCATAGGCGGACTGTAGATATTCAACTGGGTCGACGGTGGTAGCTGTGGCGCAGAGACGACGTTCAATTTCAAGAGCCCAGAAGTGTAACAGGAGTCTAGACCAAAGCCTATTTAATGTGGATGACAAAAGTTAGTTTCATTGATGTCTACTAAAAGGGTAGAGCGGGAGCCATGAAGAATGAGGCTCTGAGATAAAAGGAAATTAAACTCACGCTGCATGGCCATTGGGCCTTGTAGCCCAAGCGCCTACGCCATCATCGACGCCAAGGAAGTTCTCAGAGACTAGAATAGCATCATCTCCGTTATTCAAGCCACGAATCGGCTCTCCTTGAACGGATAATCTCTTATCCTGACTCAGGGAGTGAGTAGTCAAGGGGTCGGAAAAGGAAGACGAAGGCGGAGACAAAAAGGGTGGGGGGAACGGGCGGGAAGGCCGTTTGGCACATAGGGCGTAGCCCGTCTCAAAACGAAATGGCGAATGGGCGAGGCTCTTGTGGTGGCCAGGAACGGGCGTAGTGATACCATATGAGGGCCACACAGCCGCATGGTTGTATTGTCGGCAGGACGCCCCTAGTTGCAAGCGGCCCGCTAAAGGAACCTGGACCGGGGTGATCGATCTAAAACATGATGCGATCCACCGTGAAAAAGATAATGGTAATGAAACCTTTGCTGTGGTCACCATGCCTTGACTTGGTTTCAGAAAACCGAGTGATGGAAGGAGGTCAGAGCAATGAAGTCATGGGGCAAAGCAAGATTTTTGAAGGATTGGAGCTCAATAAAAGAATTTGAGAAAAAAGAGACACCAGGTAGTTTTTTTTTCAATTTAGATAGATGATAAGAGAAGAGAAAGAAGACGACAGAGATTTTTCTTGAATAACCAAGAGGGTCTATTCGGTGAAGGTGAGGGATGTTGTATTTTAGGGAATTCGCGACTGTTCACTGGCTTGTTGCGCCGACCGTACTCTTCTCTACGGAGTAGGGCGTGTCATATGAAAAAAGCACCACGGCCCCCTCCGTTCACCGTCATTCAACCCCCCTTATCGAAGGTGGATCAGGCTCTTTATTGAGTTTGGCTTCTTTATTTTTACTTTAATTTGAGCGTTTAATGAGGGGATTCGTGAATCATGAAGTTGAAAGCACCGAGAATGCCCGAAGCAAATCTTTATCTGTGGATTCCCACATTAAATTCGAAGGTGAATCCAGCTTAACCTCTCGAGATAGACTGTAGTAGTACCTCCTATTCCATGTAGCTCATTCCATGGTTTGCATGATCACATCTACAGCATTTGATTGAAATTATTTATAGATTTATTGACATAAAAATCAGATCCACATGACTTACTTATCTTTACACTATGTGCAGTAGTTTATGGCGATCAGCTGGTAAGCCACGTGACTATGTTATTATGTAATCTGGTTGAGCCCTGAACTTGAAGGCTTCATACTATTCATATTTTATTGGTTGCTGAACTAATTAGTAATTTCAGAGTAAATAACATTGGAACCCTTAAAACTCTCACTTTTCAAGTTCTATTAGTAACCTTTGAACCTTGAAATATGACTTTGGAAGCTGTACTAAGTCCGAGTTCAAGAAGTTGACTGCAAGGATGAGGCTTGGCCCAATATCCTGCAATATATTACCCACTTGGCGCAATCTTGATAGCTTGAGATCGACAGATAGTCCGGGGTCCCGGTCTAGATCCTTAGCGTGCAAGAAGATGACCAGAACATAATGAATAAAAACCAGAGGCTATGCTGGATTATAAGTGGATCCAAACTCACTGGTAAACGCTTGATGGTAGCTCGAGCTATGCTCAGGTGTCGGCCATAGCGAACATGGATATGGCATCAAGATGCGTACCTATAAGAGATGCCTGGTTATTATTCAACAGCTCTGGAGGCTGCAATATACCATTAGATATGGGATTAGTAGTAAAATGGGGAATTCACTGGGGTATCATTGACTATCCGAACGCCTTGATCATAACAGTCATGTATCGTGGTCATTCATCATATTCATCATCACTCATCGCGGACATTCATCGCAGACATTCGTCGCGGATATTCACCTGAAACTTTCATCATCACGTTCATTCATAAAAACCATTTTGATATCTCCCCAACCCCTTTAAACGCCATCCATAAGGATAATAGCACTGAGTAGAGCTCCAGCTGATTAGAGCCCCACAAACTCAACTTCAGGGCCAATAGTTCGGTCGCGACGAACCTCAATCTCAATGATTCCAAGGGCCCATTCCAGCTCAAGCGCGACAATCGAGTCATCATTCTCTCGCTTGAGACCACCCAATCCTTGAAAACCGCTGAGGGCGACAGCGTCAATGCGTTCCAGGTAGGTGCCGCGGCCGATACACTTGCGGTCAATGCAATGGTACGTACGTAACTGTCGCTGGGCACAGGGGCAGCTGCGCTCCACGTTGAAAGAACACTCCTCAGCACAGAAGCAGGTCTCTTTGCAGATGCAGGAGCGGAGTCGAGCAGTTCTCACCATCTCAGCAGAGTTATAGTCGCGACGACGCAACTCTCCGAGAGTGAGTCCTTCCAAGCGGGCCTCTGCAGCTTCACGATGGTACTGGATCATCTCACACTCTACCCACTCCTGTGGATACGCTTCATAATCCTCCGACGGAGTTGGATCCACATCGAATCTGATAAAAGAGAACGGTTCGTAGTCGCGTGCAGGCACGTCCTTGGGATACATGGTGAAGAATTTCTCGGCGAGCATCGTTACGACTTCGGCAGGGATCTCAGAGAAGCCCGGGATAATCTGGTTCCATTTCTGGCTAAAGGCGGACTCGGGGTTGGAGACAACACTGCGCGCGTTGCGGCGGAACCCTAAGATGTCATCGGCGATAAAATGTCCCAACTCTTTCTGCATGTCGGTGAGTACGCGCACATACGCCCGCTGGAAGTGGGTGACCATAGTTTCGTCACGATGGGCGGAAAACTCCGGATAATCGAGAATATCTTTGCACGCGAGGAGGATGCGATAGAGGTGGCTCGCTTCAGGGAGGCAGAAGGTTCCGTTGCAAATGAACCCAGAGCGATCCTCTGATCTGAATGCTGCACATAGCTCAATCGCGGCAATGTCAAGCGTAAGTCGGGCATAGCAGGCATAGTAAAGGTTTTCGGTCCACTTGATGAGAAGGCACAGTGAGCGGGTTCGAATCTTTCGTTGCGCGCAGGCGATCCAGTACATCAGGCCTGTTCCGACGGTCATGTCCAGCTATCATGGTGAGTTAGTCTAATCATGCCTAGTGATTAAGTTTTCATTTCTGGTGCATACCTCAACGCCGTATCCCATGAACGCGACCTCCAGGATCTTAGCGATGGCGTAGACCTTGACGAAGATTCCGACCACAACATCCAAGTGCAATTTCAGATCATCCTCCTCCAGATAACTGACATCCTTTGGCTCAAGCGATGGGCTGGGAAGAGGCGAGGCAGGGTTCATAGTGTTGACTTCAACCCACTCATCGCTGCCGATCGTGTAAGGGCGCGGGTTTCGAGGCACCACAGACCACTGCTTAACAAGTGAGCTTGAGATCCATTCTTCGAGTAAACTCACCACCGTGATTGAAAATTAGTAGAGAGGAGATACTCACCTTGGGGGAAGGCTCGGAGGAATCATCGCTGATTGCCAATCCAATTTTCTCTGGATGGTCACTGTAGACCGAGGCCGAATAACGGTTGGCCTCCTCCTTTGGGTCCTCCATGATGTCAGACCAAGGCTCCGTGATGGGGGATTTCCAGATATCAGTGGTAGCAATTGAGGCTACTTCAATATCAGGACTTTTGGGGGGAAGAATCAGACGGATCACTGGTCGCGGCTTGGGTTTGCGATGGCGATGGAAGAGGGCAGAGTGAAGGATGCGAGGGAGCCGAATTAAAACCATAGTGAATGTGGGGACGCGATGCGCCGAGAAAAAGAGTGAATGTGACGGTGGGGTGGATGAGTCGCCGCGGCGATGAGTGTTGTCGCGATGATTCGATACCCTGAGAAGTGAGAGCTGCAGTTGAAAATGCTTCAAAATGCTTCAAAATGCACCAAAAAATCAGGAAAAGAGAGAGCATGAACACGAAAATGAGAATGAAAAAGAACGATGCATTTATAAATGAGATCTCATTAATTTAGCCAGGTATCGACTATACACATGAGGCAGCGGCATCTCAGTTCTTGCTATTTTCAATATAGAGCAGTTTAGTAGGCATCGTAGCTTGAAACTGCAGGCCACGATCACAGGAAAAAAGGGTCAGGGCAGTACGAACATTGAAGCTATGGGTTATAATGTTTGGGAAGGTTGAAAGAATTTCTACTAAGCATGTGGAAAGAAAAGTAGGATCAAAATACTTTGCTGGTTCATAAAAACGCTCGCCTCCTGATGATATCAACATACAAAGCAATAAGCATCTAGCTTTGCACACGGAATGTCCGACCACTAGCTGTCTTCCGCTCACGCTCTTCATTCTCGGGCCTGGCTCGGTTAAGAACTATTTCCAATTAGTGATCAACATAGTAGAAAAGAGGCACGGTCAGCTGTGAACATACCTTGCAGGAAGTCTGCTGTGCGCTTACGCATTCGGGTGTGAATATAAGCCTGTCGTGTGAAATCAGTCAATGGGTTCTACATTAGATTATAGGATTATGAAATACCTTTGAGGCCTTGATGTGGTAGTGGAAGTAGTCACGGAAGGTCTGGATATGGGAGATGTTGTCGTAACGGCGCTGGGGAGTCAAGTGTCGAGGGAACAGAACTATTAACACATTAGTCGGCGAGGCACATTCAGAGATATATCAATCTTACCAAATGTAACATAGCTAATCTCACCCTCGCCTGCATTCAGCAGACCAGGGACACCCTCCAATTCAAGTGGGGGGTCGTTGCGGAATAGCACTTGAGGGGCATTTTGAAGAGTCACAACACGACGTCTGGCATCCACAAATTCCTGCATGGTGTTAGAATGAGATCTAAACGGACAATAATCCAGCATATAAGACTGACCTGCAAGAAGACCTTGCCAAAGATGCGATCTGTCTCCTCCCGGAACACAGTACTGAAGATCACGGTCACACGATCGTAGCTAGCCTTGATATAAATGGCCTCTTCCTCACGGTAGTGGATAGCCATCACCTCTCCACCCTCTTTCACACCCTGTGGCGCTGACTCTGAGGTGTACCGTGAAGCTTCCTCCGCAAGCTTGTTGAACTCATCGAATGCCCTCTCAAAGGGAGCTGCCATGGCATTGCGCTTCAACAGAGCAAGCTTCATGATCAACTCATCACGGGCCTCCTGCTCAGCAGGCAAGTCCTCAAGATCCACCTGTACTGAGAAATCATAGCCAGGCTCGGGTGTCACGATGTAGGGGCCGTATTCCCGTTCAAGCACCTCCTGGGCACCATACTGGACGAGCTCCTTAAAGCATTTAACATGAATAGAGAGAAGAATCTTAGTTTTGGACTCGGGGGTAGAGACGTGGAAGGTGACACCGTCAAAGTCAGAAGCCACTTGATCAATGGAGACCGGGGGAGCACTGCGGACAACCGGTTAGTTTGGGGGCCTAGCGGTTGGTGGTTGAGTGTATACAATGCGGGGGCGAGGGAGATGTATAGGTGCTCAGGGGTGGAGTGAAGTCATACCCAGAGAACCGCTCAGTGAGCAGCGATTGAATCAAAACATTTTGATAATCCAAGAGCAACATGACGGGCAAATTGGGGGGTAGAATGTCAACAGGTTGGCAAGTTGGAGGATGGCTTAACCCGCGATCGTCATCTCTGGGCGGTGGGGGGAGGCCAGACAGGTCGCTCTCACCGCCCGTATTAATTTTTGTGCTATCGATAGCAAGAGTCTCCGATACTCCAAAAATTTTCCCATCCCCATTACACGATGGTGAAATCCTACTAGTATGTGTCAATTTCTTACGTGGGAGAATATCTAGGTTGCTAATCTTTGTACCAGCAAATTCGAGCACTCGAATACGTTCGGGCTCGTTGCCTCAGCGTCGTCCAATGCCATCTGGGCTAAGGATGAGCAGATTGCAGGTGCGGCCCGTCAGACAGGTGCCGGTCGCGCAATTGTCGGAGCTAGCGAGGAAGTTCTTTGCTGGGATGTGAAGAAGGGAGAGTTATTGGGCCGGTGGCGCGACTCAGTATGCAAAGTTCCAGTCACTGTTGTCACCCAGAGCAAGGTTGATGAAGATATCTTTGCCGTTGGGTAGGGCTCCCAAATTTTCTACAATGCGCAAGCATTTTGTTTCGGTCGCTAACAATAATTCTTCTCTCTATATAGTTATGAAGATGGCAGTATTCGCGTCTGGGATTCTCGTACCAGCACCGTCATTATTTCCTTCAACGGTCACAAATCCGCCATCACTCAATTAGTCTTCGATAATGCTGGAGTGCGACTTGCCAGTGGTTCCAAGGACACCGACATCATCATCTGGGATTTGATCTCCGAAGTAGGCCTTTTCAAGCTACGCGGCCACACCGACCAAATTACCTCCCTCCACTTCCTTTTCCCTTCACCGGAATTACTACAGTCCTCCGGACTTGGTGATCACGCTGGTTTCTTGTTGACAACCGGCAAGGATGCCTTGATCAAGGTATGGGATTTGGCATCTCAGCACTGCATTGAGACACATGTAGCACAGACAAATGGTGAGTGCTGGAGCTTGGGCTTGTCGCCTGACCAGGGCGGCTGTATCACTGCAGGAAACGATGGAGAGCTGAAGGTCTGGTCAATTGACGAGAGCGCCATGGTCGAGATTTCGAAGGAAAAGGTGGGCGCAGAGGGTCAAAGAATTCTCACAGACCGAGGAACATTCTACCGCCATGGTAAAGACCGCACAATTGGCATTCGATTCCACCCTCGCTTGGACTACATTGGTGTCCACGGGTCAGAAAGGTCAGTCGAGATTTGGCGCATTCGTTCCGACACGGAAGTGCAGAAGAGTTTGGCGCGAAAGCGCAAGCGCAGAAAGGAGAAGGAGGCTCAGCGCGAGGGTGAAGAAGAGAAGGCCTCCACAGTTGATGCAGACAAGCCTGAGGATGTTTCTTCGGCTCCTATCACAGAGGTCTTTGTCTCGCATGTCATTGTTCGAACCGGTGGAAAGGTCCGTTCCTTCGATTGGATGACAAACAAATCAAGCAGTCTGAACATTCTTGCTGCGACTACAAATAATCAGTTGGAGTCTTACAGCGTTGTTCCGGCAAACAAGAAGAAGGACGAGGATGACTCCGATTACACCCGCAACTTGGCCGTGGATATTCCCGGTCATCGCACAGATATTCGGTCCATTGCTCTGAGCTCTGATGACCGCATGCTCGCCTCCGCATCTAATGGCAGTCTCAAGATCTGGAACACCCGCACAGAAACCTGCCTACGTACTCTGGAGTGTGGTTATGCGCTCTGTTCCGCCTTCCTTCCTGGTGACAAAATCGTGGTTGTTGGTAACAAGAACGGAGAACTCGAAGTTTTTGACATCGCTTCCTCAACATTACTGGATACGATTAAGGCTCACGATGGCCCACTCTGGTCAATTCACGTGCACCCGGATGGCAAGTCTATTGTCAGTGGTAGTGCCGACAAGACAGCGAAGTTCTGGGAGTTCAAGGTTGTCCAAGAGGAAATTCCCGGTACCAAGCGTACTACTCCTCGCCTCAAGTTGGTTCACACAAGAACCCTGAAGGTCAATGATGATATCCTCAGTCTCCGATTCTCCCCAGATGCGCGATTGCTCGCTGTGTCTCTTCTCGACAACACTGTGAAGGTCTTCTTCGTCGACTCGCTCAAGCTTTTCCTTAACCTCTACGGCCACAAGCTTCCCGTTCTGAGCATGGATATCTCTTACGATAGCAAATTGATTGTCACCTGCTCAGCTGATAAGACTGTCCGATTGTGGGGTCTGGACTTTGGTGATTGCCACAAATCTCTACTGGCCCACGAGGACAGTGTGATGTCTGTCGCATTTATCCCCACCAACAAGGACCAAAACGGACACAACTTCTTCAGCGCGAGTAAAGACAAGGTTATCAAGTACTGGGACGGCGATAAATTTGAGCAGATCCAAAGACTTACCGGTCACCACGGAGAGATTTGGGCTCTGACTATCAGCCACACTGGTGGCTTCCTTGTCAGTGCCAGTCACGACAAGAGCATTCGTATTTGGAAGGAAACCGATGAGCCACTGTTCCTGGAGGAAGAGCGGGAGAAGGAGATGGAGGAGGCCTACGACAACACTCTTACCGCATCTTTGGAGCAAGACGAGGACGGTGAAGATGGTGAGAAGGCCGAGGCCGTTGATGCTGGTAAGCAGACTACAGGCACACTTATGGCCGGAGAAAAGATCATGGAAGCCCTAGACCTTGGCATGGAGGATCTTGAACTGGTTCGCGAGTGGCGCGAGACCAACCCAGGCGGCAACCCCCCCTAACCGCAACCCACTTTACCTTGCCTTTGGCAACATCTCCGCCGAGCGACATGTCCTGAACACCGTTCAAAAGGTCCCTGCTGCTGCTTTGCAAGATGCTCTTCTGGTTTTGCCTTTCTCAAAGCTTCCTGCTCTCTTCACATTCCTCAACATCTGGGCCGAGCGTGAATGGAACGTGCCTCTTACCTGCCGTGTCCTCTTCTTTATGCTGAAGACTCACCACCGCCAGATCGTCGTAAGTAAGATGATGCGTCCCATGTTGGATAGTATTCGAGCGGCATTGCGTCGGGTCCTCACCCGCCAGAAGGACGAGATGGGCTTCAATCTCTCTGCGCTGCAGTTCATTGGCAACCAGATCCGTGAAAATAGCACGAAGAATTACATTGATGAGGAGAAATGGACAGAGCCTCAAGCTCAGAAGGGAACAGGCAAGAAGCGGCAATTTGTGAGCGTGGCATGAGGATAGTGTTCTTCTGGACGAGCATGTTCACGGGCGTTGACCTTGATTTGATTTGGTTTATGTTATGGTTCTACAAAAGTTGCGATATCCTTGGGAGTTTCAGAGAGCCAAGATCAAGGGATGTATTATACTACATCTGTTGTTAAATGATCACTTGCATCGTATATACAATGTTTCACGAGTATCTTCCGATTATTCTGTCCTAGTAATGAGCCCAGGTCAAGGAGGACTCGGTGAGTGTCCGTGTAGTAGTACTAGTAGTAGGTTCAAATAATCAACTTCAAGTTCATCTCATCTGCTGCCAGTAGATCACCACTAGAAGAGTAGGTAGGTCACTCTGCCTAGTATTCCCCGTCTCTTTTCTGAGATGGCGCCGCTTTTACGACGGCGCTCAGACTCAGAGAGCTGACCAGATTCATGTAAATACTTCTCCCCGCTCATGCAAACCTGTCACGACTTCATGAACGTATATGCCCATGAGGTATTGTGGTTTAAAGTCACCAACTCCTTAACTACCCGGTGGAGATTCGCTCTGATATCAAAATCATCAAACGCTGTATCTTCATACACAGTGATCGCGCAGATTGTTATGGCAACAACGAAAGAGGACTTGGTATGCTACCTTTAGGAGTATGGCGAACAGGACTGATCTGATTCCGCACTGTGATAGGAATCGCGATGGGAATCTCTCTCCTCGGACGACGACCGGCTGGAAGGCCTCAACAGATATGTGTCCCTTCAGTACATTAAACCCGCGCGATACGATCGACAGCTCCTTTGCCGAAATTGCAACGAGGTCGTTTTCTTCTATGCCGGTGATGAGATTTGGAGCATTACGGATTGTAATGGCCTGATTATACTCCCACAGGGCACCTCCGTGACAATATATAAAGGGTATTCAAGCTTACTCCGAGTCTCAGTCCAACTTCAAGTTGAACTTGAACTTGAAGTCACGGTGATATACGACTAGTAGCTACTAGTTGTGTCGTACGAGTAGCTTATTCGAAGCTTTACTAGTGCTTCCACCTGAGGTTGACAAAACCTCTTCACACTTATGTACAAAATCTGTCGTATCAAAACGTCCATTTCTTTCAATAATACTATCACCAAAGACCTCCCTAATTTGGGCTATTCCGATGCCCGACCCAGAGCCGCAGAGCAACAAGTAAGTCTACTACACAGGTTTAAGATCCAACCAATTGATCGCCATCGCCATCGCGACCCCTAGGAAACCTTGATCGCACACATCTGTTATATTCGGATCATCTATGAGCGAGGGATGTATCGGACGGGTTCTATAACTGTTCCAAGGTTATTGGGAACACCTTCTCGATGTTTGTCCATCTCGCTGCAGGAAATTCGTCCTTTGTATCTAAGCCGGCTATTCACTAAACTGAAATTCCTTCGAATCATCACCTAGCCATATTCTAATTTCTTCCAAAGCACTGAGATCATTCTCAATATTTGACTGCTTTTGAGCTTCGTCAAACCACTCATAGGTGCGACCAACATCTTCTAAATCTTCCCCAATTCTCCGGCAAGAGTCGAAATCAATGATAACAGCCTTTTCATAATCAAGCATGATGTTTCTAGGGTTGATTTCGTTATGGACAAGCCCTAAAGAATGAAGATGTCTAAGACTACTCTTAATCCCAGCTATCACATCACTATAATCCTTTACGCTCTGACGTGAGCGTCTCGACTGTCGTTTCATCAGATTTTCAGGATTGACCTCCTGCATCAGCATATATCGATATTTAGCGAAGCAGAGACCGGTGATTCTGCCACCGGAAACCTGGCATCCCAAGTAAGTTGCAATATTTGGATGAGGGTAATTTTTCAAGATCTCGCAAATTTCTCCTTCCATTAGGACAGACTTGGCAATCAAGTCCGGTTCAGGGCCATCGCGAATTCTATCATAAGAGATAAGCGGCGCCTTTTTCACATAGCAATTCACCAGCAATGGCTCAGGTGTCAGCGTAAATTCCAATGGAAACTCAGGGCAGTAGGCAGGGATTGGAATTTGGATATCGTTTTTGAAAGCCCAGCGTGGATGGCGGAAGAAGTGTAGCGGCCCTCCAAGACCGCATGGTGCAATCCATTTTCGGCTTTGTAGACAATGAGTGTTCCTGCAAACTTGAATTCCCCGTCTGTTTCTTCAAAAGACTCATTTATCTCCAGCACATGGTGTTGCTGGATTGGTAAGTGAGGCACTGATGAAGGCATTTTTACTCTGTTTGTGTGCAATCAGCAAATGATATTCACCAGGAGGGATACTTCGTTACTTAGACTCGAATTTGAAGCCAATGAAATTTTGAATCTTTATTACTGCAGGGGAGCTTCTAGTTATTTGCGTCGGTCTAGTAGAAACTTGAAGGATCAAGACCACATGCCTGGGGGATAAAAAGATAAATAACAGCAAAGTTTTGTTGCTCCAGTGCCGCTCGAAGCGCGGGCTGAGGACTTGTGATAAGTACTTGCATGTGCAAGGGGAGTCCAGATAAATGCATACGATTTGAAAGAATAATTAATCAAATTGAATAAAGAAATCATTGCACATGTGGATTCCACGGTTTAAAGGAGGTAATGGATTCTTCTAATCATCTAACACTTGCTGGCTCAATTCCAGTACAATCCAACAACCACTATGCACTCCTCATCGTGTTGCAATTAACGAATAAAAAAAATCATAATCCTAGTAGATACAGTCAGTAATGTATCAACAAAAGACAAAAGTTCCCACATCGTCAAAAGACAGCAAGAAAAAGTCTCGAAACACTCCTTCAGCAGAACCATTATAAGCATCGACGACAGCCAGTATCCTCTTTGGGTATACCAGTCTGCCATACCTCTTCCGGCTCTTCCTAATAATTCCGGTTCTAATGCAATGTCTCATCATATAAGAGTGTTTCGGACTTCCGTTCTTCACAGCGACGTTTTCGTTGTGCTGTTCCTTCGACGATGTGGTGTACAATACAATTGATAGAACGTACCATTAAGAGATTGAACCAGTGTGAACGAGGTATACAGGTCATTTTGGGAACCTGTTCACACTGGTTTGGTGAAATAGGTGGTGTGTGAGAAGGAAGGAAAAGCTCGAGCTCGCGAAAATAAAATCGTTTGGTTTGAGTGGAGCTTATGATTAGTCATCTAGCACGTGACCTCATATCTAGATATGCTAATTATCCAGTTGACACTTTCAATTCGGAGGAGCTAATATTACTATGACATTTGAATATCATTACCTCTTGGATATCTATACATTGCATAACATGTTCACATAAAGTCATTTCCAAGCCAGGCGGATCCAGTAGATCAAGAGGATGCTTTCATCGATCCACATGCAGAGCATGTCCACCATTGGGTTTCCATAAAGGCACCACATGAACAAACCCATCCCAATGGCCGTTTATTGACATCTCGGTCCAAGTCTGCCAGTGTATCCAATGCTCGATTTCTATTCTGAAATGCAAAGGTATCTCGCGCAGGAAGGTCTTCTCTGTCCTGAACATTCGTCTTAGACAATGTGCGCTTCTTTTGCCTTCCAGGTCCGGCGCTATTATTTTGAGTTGACGCTGTTCTTGCAGAGGTCTCGGAAGACTTGATAATGGATGGAGTGGGCCTTTCCGAGGCACAAACATCGCAGCATAGAAAGTTAGGCGGGTTTTCCAACGTGCATGTTGTACATGTCCATGCAGAATCATAGGAACTATTGTTAGCATTGGGTGTGGAAACAGATGAAGTCGCGGGAGCTTCTTTATCTTTATCCGTAACATTCTTTGGAAGAGAAGCAATTTCCTCGATATCTGAGTGGGACTCTGATTCCTGCGCTCGTGGCCCTGCCGGGTTCTCCTGGCTGGGAGGCACGTAAGAGGATCCGTATTTCTCCCGTTCCTCCTCCTGGATCAATTCAATAAAAGCTTGGAGAATCGCCTCCTCATTCGCATCATCTTCTTCTGCCTTTGTTCGGAACCCATTTCGAGATTCTTCCTCTAGGAGCTCGACTTCTCGGTCTGTTCCAGAAGCACACCCATTCGTCACCTCGATGCGCCGTTGGGCGGCATCCGCTCGAACCTTCCGCATGTCTGTTCCTCGAAGCACAGGCGCACCACCAAGTCTTGTCCCCGCATTTTTGGTGCGAATTCGCCGCTTCTCAGCAGCAGCACGCGCTTGGCGACGTGCTTCGTCGATGGGTATTCTAGCTCCACCAAGACGTTTACCCTGGGAAAGAAAGCCTTCTCCAGTGTATCCCTTGATAACAAGTTCCTCATGTTCATCACGAAGCTGGTTCCACAACGCATGAAAATCACGATTATGTGGTCCGTGGACAATATGGCATAGTCTTCGAGTGATCAGTCAGGTCAGTTTTTTCATAGGAGACTTGCAGGATAAAAAGAAATGATAACCTACTCATGCAGCATCGTGTCCACTACCTGCTCAAAAGGAAGAAATTGTCGTTGATCGGAAGCATACCGCAGTCTCAGGCATATCTTCTGTCCACCGTTCACATTAATACCAAGTAGATTCCCTTGTTTCGGGTAAAACTCGCACAAGGCTCCTACTCTCCAGGCGCGCTGGCGCATAATCGGCTTGACTATGGAAGCCACTTTGCGCAATATGAAAAGGGCCTCTGATTCGCGTGGTCGCTTTTTCTCATGTCGGTATTCTGATATAAGGGCATCTAGTTCAGGCATATTGGCGATGGTTCTCGTAGTCCAGTTGAATGCAAGGATAGAGAATCATTAATCTATGAGGCTGGGCCTCCTCCTGACGTCATTCTTTAAATTCGATGTCAAATTAGGCGCTTTTGCTGACATTAATGTTCGAATTTCGAAGAATGATAAAGAAGCACAAACGAGCGGCATTCGTAAGAGAAAGAACTGGAAGGCATCGATGCAGGATAATCAATATTTGGCCTGATATACAAGGTATCAAATATCACGTGCTTAACCAAGTTTGGAGTGAACAGTGCTTGATATTTCAAGTTGTGTATATTATATCATCCCAACTGGCTTGCGGCATGACCGGACTTTGGGCTATAGTTGTAATAATTTTAGTGGACTGCTACTGAAATTCATGGTCGTTGTTGTACTACCTACGGCTGCAATATAGAACATCCGAGTAGAGCATGGAGTCCTCTCCGCCACCTGGGCAGGATATAGTAGCATGTGCATATTTGGAAGGATTCAGTGAAGCCAACAATTAGCTTGAATTAACTACTATAATTTTTTGATTTAACATCAAATAAACCCACAAACATGTCCACAAGTGCTTGTGGTGGATGTTCTTTCATTGGAGCTCATGTGACTGATAAGAGGAGACGACTTGATCAATACAATCTTATCATTTTGCGCTTTTCTCCATCCAAGTTTTATCAACTCAGGCAAGATGACCAGCGACGACCAGTTTTTCTTCGATTATGTATGCTTTGAACCCAAATATAACAGCTGCGATTATCCCATGTGCTAATAACATTTCTTCGGACAGCTCGCGTCGATACCCCATGACGTAAGGCGGTACTCTGTTCAAGTCGCCGACTCGATCGACCAACATGTCGACCACGCTGCAACCGCCATCCGGAATACCTTGTCTGAGCAGTCATGGCTGCCACGATCTGTGCGCCCATCTATGCGTGGTGCGCCCAAGCGCTCGGCATCCACTGCCTTGACAGACCGGGTCTATGACTGGATGAATCGAAACCGGGCATGGACCGCGGCTTTGCTTGCATTTGTCGGAACGGGTTTCATCTTGCTGTATGGAAATAAGAAACTGAATGGAAGACGGAGGAAAGCCAGAAAGGCTGGTAATGGTGCGCGGAAGGAGATTGTGGGTGAGTTGCCAGCCAAAATTTCAGCCGGTCATTCTGAGCTTGCGCTAAGACTAGGATTGCAGTTATTGCTGGGTCGCCACATGAACCTATGACTAGGGCTATCGCAGCAGACTTGGAACGTCGGGGATATATCGTCTATGTGACAGTCTCATCTGCAGACGAGGAACATATTGTTCAGTCTGAGAAGCGCGCTGATATCAAACCGCTCTGGCTGGATCTTACTACTGTGAGTATTTTGGGCATCTCTGTATCCGATAGTATCTAACGATTTTACTCTTATAGGCATCCTCAACCCCTTCGGATCTCCATCCGGCATTGCAAGAGCTGCACAATCTGATCACCCAGCCGCAGTCTCCTCATCCACGAGTACCTCCGCATACTTGCCAACTAAGTGGCCTCATTATTATACCCTCCGCCAACTTCGCCTCCGGGCCGGTCGTCACTATCCCACAATCCTCATGGGCAGACACCGTCAACACCCGCATCCTCTCTCCAATTCTCACCGCACAGGCCTTCCTCCCTCTCTTGACTCTCCGCAACAACACTAGCACTATCGTCTTCGCATGCCCGTCCGTCTCATCCTCCTTATCTGCACCCTTCGCCGGTCCAGAAGTCGCCGCAACCCGTGCGATCTCCGGATTCGCAACCTCTCTCCGACAGGAGCTTCGTTTCGTAGGACGTAAGAACGTCGACGTTGTGGAGCTCCGACTGGGCCACATCGATCTAGGCCCGACGTACCGTGACTCTCAAAGTCAGGTCGCTGGAACCGAGGTCCTCGCATGGAGCGTACAGCAGCGATCTCTTTACGCCTCTCAGTACCTGTCCAGCGTTGAGCAGCGACCCGTCGCCTCTGCTGGACCCAAGACCGTGCGAGGTACCTCGGCACGATTCCTTCACCACGCCGTGATGGACGCCCTCGAACCCGCATCACTGAATATATTTGGACAGAAGAGATCCAAGAAACATATCATGTACGCGGGTCGGGGCGCACGATCGTATAACGTGATTGGGACCTGGATCCCAAGTGGACTCGTCGGCCTGATGATGGGATATCGAAGTGGATATTCCATGGGCTCTGATAGTCCCAGCTCAGGCAGCGAAACCAGCTGGGAGCGCGTTTAAGCTATAATCCTTATTGATCTAACCCAGCATCAAAACAAACCCCTTCTCCACTTTTCTTTAAAGCTTAATTTGAGATCTGTTGTATATAGTTCTTACGAAAATCTGACCTCTTCGCTCTTGATGGCGCCAAATATTTGGGCTTTTGATTAACATTATTGCTGTCACTATCACGTAGACACGTTAGGCGTAAGACTATGTTCAATGAGATACTCAGATATCCTCCCGTACGCATCACTCATATCCATAATGCATACAATGGATCTTCCACATTCTCATCCTCATGAAACTCATCTCATCTCAAACTTGAACCCCGTCTTTAGTCTCCTTCATCTGGCCCTCACTATCAACGTCCCCAAGTGAGAATTCGTTAACCTCGGTCCCAGAGTCATGCTTTGATTGCTTAATCTTATCACCAGTCAAACGTTTCCGCAACCAAATGAAGAACCAGGAGATAGCGAAGATGACCAGAATAGCAGCCAGGATCCCGAAACAGTATCCTGCAACAGTCCCACTCTTCTTGCCGTGTTCAGTGTCGAGGAAGCTGTAGGAGTACCAGCCCTGTGTGTAGTAGGTGATGTATGCGACACAGAGGTAGAAGAGTAGCCCAAGGATCAGAGCAGGGATAGCAACGAGCGGGTGTGGGGCTGTGGCTGGAAGGAAGATTTCTAGTAAGGCGTAGAAGGAGTTTAAGCCATGTTGAGAGATCTATTGTACGTTAGTATTAGGTTATTGGGCTTGATTAATGGTATGATAGGGATCTGTGGAATGTAGGGGTGCTGGGATGTAGTATAGGGCGTAGGGCGTAAGGCGGAAAGTGCAAGGTGTTGAAGGCGGGGAAAGGTAAGGGTGGATGCATGTGAGACATGGAGATCAAGTAATATGAAGTAATAATCCTTGTACAGTTGTACAGATCAAAGAAACAAAAAGAAAATAACTTACATTGGACCAGCCTGGGAAAGTAGTCTTGTAAAAGGGTGGTGTGAATAAAATGCCCCAGAACACAATCGTAACCAGAAACGGGTATGTGGTGATACTGGCATAGAGAATAGCATGGAGTGTTCGAAACACACGGGGACAGCGATCAAACAAGACGGAGCGACCTGTCCGTGCGTAAAGTGCCGTGTGGATCGCTGAGACCAAGAAGTAGAAGAACAGACCCCAGTAGGTTAACCAGGTAAAGTAGCTGAAGGATTCACCAATCTCCACACGCTCATTATGGGTGCCATACCAAACCCAAATCACGATAATTGTGGTGATAATGTAGAGGGCAATGAGACCACGCAGACAAGCCAGAATGGTGGGGGATATGAGCCATGAGGTTTCGAAGCGGTGGAGGTTGTCTTGGATGGGATCGCCGAGCAGTGTTGCGCGCGAGATGTGACAACTGCGACGCATGATGGTAGACAGTGCTTTTACGCACTAGGAACGAATTTCGAAGCCAGTAGATTGATGATCAAGTTGTCGAGATGAAGTTGAAGTTAATTTAGGCGGTGATATACTACCTCTGGTAGTAGATGCTGCGAACCTTGGCAGGCCTCCCAGGTTGTGTGCTCAGAACTTCAAGTTGAACGCCTGATCCTCCAAGCTGATGCTATAGTTACCTGGTAACCTAGTAAGCACCAGGATCCAAGGATAGAGTTGAGAACTTGAACTTGAAGAATTATGTGAATATTCTCCGGATTAAGAAATTTAGGTATCATGGGACTACGACCTTACATATACGCAAAGTTTTTTTTTCATCGGTGGACATTCCCTAAACAGAAGTCCAGGAACATACGTCCACTATGGCCCGCATCACAGCTCTAAAGCCTTAGCCGAAGTTATGGTTTTAACTATACCTAGTCAGGGAGACTAAGGCCTAAAAAGATCTGGATTCCGCAGTGAACAACTGTGGAATTGGAGAGTACTAGCGAATGACCGGATTGGGTGCATGTTAAACCAATCTCGATTAGGGATTGGGCCGAGATGCTACTGCGAGTCTAATTGCCGAGTTGAATAGAATCAAAATATTGGATTGGTGGAATAAAGAACTTGAATTTGAAGTTTACTTAGTTCCAGTGGATGGTCATTAGGACTCGGAGTGAGTAGGTATAGGGAATATTGGATGTTATATAGACATAGATCTTATACTAGTGTAGTATAATGATATAGCATCCATGTTACAGGTTAACCCAACCCCTGAAACCAATTTCTGCAGGTAATAAAAAAAGAAAAAAAGAACAAACAGGAAGGATGCCGAGATCCATCAACTATTATAATCTATCTATTGGTTAAAGCATGTTGAAGACTCCACTTAACCACGTTATCATTGGAGAACCACCTTAGGAGCATGAAACAACCCGTGTGGGGAGAGAGAACTCATTCTTCTAGAAGATCAGGAAAATGTGAACAAGAATAGAAACAGAACGCCTAAACAAAATCCACCTTAGTCCACCTCAGCGCCTATAAGGGTTGATCGTGGACTAGCCTATGATGGCGTCAATAGATGGGGATATGGGAATATGACGCTTGGCAACCCCTGAGCTTCATTAAAATATGACAAGGGTACTTGATTGATGGAGAAAACATAACAGAATAGAATAGCTACAATAGCTAATATTATTTGTTTAATCCCAACTACTTCATTACTATATACAAAGGAGTAACTGAGTACAAAGTGCCCCCTATTTCCCCCCCCCAGATAGTGCACGGGGCGCTTGTTATGTTGCATTGTGATCGTCAGGGCCTCGCCCGTTTTTCTCCTTTCTACCTCTGATCTCTGACGCACTTCTTTTCCCCTCCTACCTTATTACCTTACCAGGGCTGTCATTCCTTTAGCCTCATCCGCCCTTCTTCCTCATGTCCTCATATCGAGTTTCATAATCTGGAAGACCCCCCCGTGATCTTGAATCCCGTGATATTCGACCCCGTGATCTTTGAAACCCCCCTCCGACCCCCAAAAAGATTGGGTGAGAAAACACGACAAAATCAAACGATGAATCCTTCGCGAGGTAAATTGAGCGACTGTCGCTCCAACTCTCACGATACGCTACGAGGCGGTATGCCCTCCCCGCGGGTTTCACATTTCGATGGGGAGATTCCTCCGGCTCTGTCTCCTCTCGATGCCTTTGCCGCCCAGGGTCGATTCTTGGCCCGCCAGTTGGATGAATCGCGACTAGGAGAGCGACGAATGAGTCGTCTTCCGCCCTCTAGTGTCGCCCGATCGCTATCTCGACCCCGACCGGGCTATTTTCGTTCCCCGAAGAGCGACTCCAATACCCAGGAATTGACCCGCCGTCCGACACAGAAAGGACAACCAGAGGTGGAAGAGCCGAAATACCGCCCAGTCTCCGAACACCCTCGATTCAGCTCTGTCTCGCATGCCAGTAGTAACTATGGCAGTATCTACTATGACGACGATGACGATGATAATGAGACGACCCCCAGGACAACTATGATCCAGGAAGAGCCTGGCGAGTATGGTATTCCGCGGGCGCAATCCCCTGATGCAGAATCTATGTACGCAGATGATACAGAGGGTATCTCTGTGGGCCAGGCCTTTACAGGTCCCTCGCGACAGTCCTCGACCGACTCTAGGCTACATATCCCGCGAACACTGGCTCCGCCCGTTTCGCCGCATTCGCGGCCATCGAGTAGTGCACGGGTGAATCAATTGGAGAGCTCTGATGATGATTACAGTAGCTCTAATGCAGGTTCGACCTTCTCCAAGCCGCGGAAACTATCGTCGGGAAGTGCTGTTTCGCTTCCGTACTCACCTATGTCGACCTTTCCAGCTCGAACCCATCCTCGTTCACCTTCCATGAGCTCTGAAACCTCCACGGGAACCGGTTACCTCGCGAGACCTTCTTTCAATTTCTCCCGCCCTCTGAGTCGGTCCAGTACCAGTCTCTCTGCGCCGGGAGCATCAGAGTCAGCAGCTCCAACCCCTCAGCTGCAGACCAGCCTACCGCATCAGTCTAGCCACATGCATCGGCCGAGCAAGCCTGCTCCGATCCTTCTACCTTTGGCTACTGAAGAGGCAGCTGCAACTCGACCAGTTGACGGCGAACCTTCCTCAGCCGTGTCATCATTTGTGTATGCCAAATATGCGCTACCGCGTGGTCGTGAGCTTGGCCGTGACTCCGTAGTATTTGCGGGATTGCAAACTCCGCACTTTGAGTGGCAGGAGCCTTTGTTTGAAAATTCGCCGCCACGCCGTTCAGAGGATATCCCTCGTTCAGCTCGAACTCCACCACCCCCTACCACATTTCCCCAAGTAGATCATTCACCCAAGCCCCATTCGATGCATGAAGTTCCAGCACCGGAACCACAGCCAGCACAGCCAGCACAGCCAGCACAACCAACACTACCAACCACGCCTGAGCCCAAACGGACTACTCTCGTTCCTGAAGTGTCGCCAAGGCCACCTTCTGCACAAACACTCACAACACCCGAGAAACCCGAGAAACCCTCGCGCCCATCCACGGAATCAACTCGTCGCCAGGCAAGCGAGAAGGCGGAGACGGTATCATCTGCTGACTCTGCCAGTACCCTGCGGCCACAGACTGCCACAACACAAGTACCATCAACGGCCGATGATCATGTTACTAAGGGCATTGAATTGCACGAGAAGGGATCTTTGAATGAGTCTACATATCATTTTAGAATTGCCGCGAAGCAAAACCATCCTACTGGAATGTTGATGTATGCGCTTGCCTGTCGTTCTGGCTGGGGAATGCGGCCAAACCAGCAGGAAGGTGTGCGATGGCTTCGAAAAGCTGTGGATTCCGTTGGGTTGGAAATGCTAGAGAACCCTGACGCACTCGGTGCGTCGAAAGCGAAAGAGTTGCAAAAAGCATATCGTGCCCAGTTTGCACTCAGCATTTACGAACTCGGTGTTAGTCATTTGAATGGTTGGGGTATTGATCAGGACAAGTCCTTAGCTCTACGTTGCTTTGAGATTGCTGGACAATGGGGCGATGTGGACGCCATGGCCGAAGCAGGTTTCTGCTATGCCGAAGGAGTTGGATGCAAAAAGGACATGAAAAAGGCTGCACGGTTCTACCGTCAGGCCGAGTCTAATGGCATGAGCATGGTTGGCAACAGCTGGTAAGCATCCCAACATCACCCGGTGCATCTCAACCATAGCATACTAACGTTTTCTCAATAGGATCTACAAAGACAAGTATATGGGTGAAGAACCCGGCAAAGAATCTAAGGAGGGTCGCTCCCGCGGACGAACTGTCAGTGGTGATAAAAAGAACCCGCGCAATAAGTCGCGCACGCGCAGCATCTTCCAGCGGAAGAAGTCTGTCCCCGAGTAATAGCAGTACCTATGAACACAGTCTCGTCTGTTACTCCGGGGCATTGTCAAATTACAATTGCATTGCAAAGCAACGCATTTTTGGAGCGTTCCAAGCCGAAATTATGTGGTCTGGCTGTTCATCCTTACCGCAGGCCGTTGAGAGTCATACTTTTCCCTTCGTTTATTTATTTTCTTCTTGTTTTTTTTTCTTCTTATTATTTCTTCTCTTCTTTCTCGTCTTATTATTTGCTCTATTCCCTTCAAGCACATCCAACCTTTACCTGAGCCGCCTGGGAAGCTGTTTCGAGCATTTGGACGTGAACTCGCCTTCCATCCACCTGCCTCGCGGGCATAATACTTCAGTTCTTTGTGGATACCCTCTTCTTTGTCTGACTTATTTATTTTTTTCTTTCGCTTCTCAAATCTTTCCATTCGCTGTGGCCTTTTTTCACATCATTTCTTTTTCTTTTTCTTTTCTTTTTCTTGAATTCCCATTTGTTTTTTTGGCCATGGCCGAGGGCTGCTCCCTCCTTCGCTTCTCTGAACATTTCTTGCCATTATGATATCTATTTGCTCTCAATTGGCAGCTGCTCGGTATGAATCGTTCTTATCGATTTGCCTTGAGCTTGTGACAGAATCGAGGCCGTGTTCGTGGACATTTTTCTGCCTGTGATTGCATATTACCATATTTATTTCCCTGCATGGCGAGATAGTCATCTAATTGATCAATTGATACTTGGCTGCTTGGCCAGAATCATCATCGAACTTTGAACCTGCATAAAACACACTACCCTAAGTTTACATATAAACATACTCACTTTTCTCATAGAATAGTACTAGGGAACCAACCGTGAATAAGGATCAAGCATATAGACTTGAAATCCCAATCGGATTTACTGCACAGATTTCAAGCTGACATTAGGATTGGCGAAAAATGTCATCCTTCAAATGTTGTGGTTTCCATACTGCTACACATTCTTTCTCTCACTGCAAACTTTCTTTATCAACCACGCCATCTCATTTGGTTCGGTCTCTCCTTCCTCACCGCAACCTTCCAGGTTCACTCTTCTTCCTAACTCCATTCTATCGTATCATTGTCGCAAAGTCTCATTCCAACGAAATGGATAACTTAAATGATCTCGATGATCCCGACTCGGAGACTGAGCCCATCAAGCTTGATGAGCTTATCGAGCCAAATCATCTTGAATGACACATCCTCAATATTCTCAAGCAGATTCCTCAATGGGACCCAAGACCACGCATACCGGCATTGGTGACAGAACTGAACAACCTGTTCCCCCTAGGCAGCAGAAAACACAAGGACATTATCAGCAAAGAGGCTTGGCAATTTGTTAAGACCGTGGAGAGAATGTTTTTCTGGATAGTCCGACAGATCCCACCCCAACATTTCAGCATATATCTGATGGCCCTTTTTCTTGAAGAACTCACCTTGACATGGTGGGGAGGGCTTTGGATGAACCTGGTGAGTCTGGTTCCATGAATTCTGCATTTGCATTTCAACCCGCTAACACACCGGTAGGATGGGCATGGGGTTTGCACCTGTGAGTTAGAGAAGGAGGAGGAGGAACATTATCATACGCCCATCTTCAAATTGAGCATATGGCGTCATTTGAAAAGTAGACACTCACTCATCTCTGAAAATTTCCAAGGTTGTGAGAACTGATCCCTATTGCTTTCCTTAGTACGTCCGCTTTCGGAATACAATGAGTCGGATGAGGATTGGTCGGACCTCTACTATCCACGATGGGAGAAATGAAACTTGAGTACCCAATCCTTCTTGGCCACGCTGATGGACATTGATCTTGTCATCAGTCTTGACTTGGCGGCTGAAGTGTTCCACGCAGCAGTAGAGCCCCAATACCCAAAGTTCAAGTATCACCTTGTCACTGTCATGGGTGAATGGCTTTTTCAAGTTGGGCCGATCATTTTTGAGGCCACAAAGAATGATTATGATGACTGGTTGCCCGGACCAAGACGCTTTTCTCATAAGATGTCACTGAGAGGACGTACGCGATGGGATTTCTGGAAGTACAGGCTTTACAAGATGAAACCTTTCGTCTCCAAGAGGACGAAAGAGGTCATACAATGCGATTGTCTGGAGTGGATGAAGGAGATTGAGAGTATGGTGGACTCGGAGTAGATTGTGAGGGTTCCAGAAGATCAAAACTACTTCAGTTCGATGACTCGGAGAGTGTGAGAGTTTCAAGCTCAAGTCGTGTGAATGAAATATATTTAGGTATTGCACCACTTGACGGCTACTAGTGCTATAAGTGATGACTTATAGCACTAGTAGGTCTCACACTTAAACAATAGTAGAAAAGGGGTTCACACCCCCGAGAATACTATCAATAACACTCTGTGTACAAGCTGTATCAATCTTTTCCGCTGGAAACAACACAGAGGCATCTCGCATTCTCATTTCCGCAAAGATATTGACCTCATCCCCATCAGCAGAACTCTTCCAACCCAATTTCTCCACACCTTTCGCCCCATCCCTCGCAAATGCCAACCACAGATCCTGCATAGTATCACTAACCTCAGTCTCAAACACAGTAGGTGGTCCGCGATAATCCCCATAAGTACCAAAAAGTAAGGGTAACTCAGATCCATGGAATGCCCCGAACCAGAAATATGGTGAGATATTGCTAAAATTCCCCCGATACTGATACCGGAAGGTATCTAGTCCCAGTCCCGTTCTATATCCTGCTGTCAGCATCGCAGGACACAAAAATGCCTGTGCAGTAAACGCATTTGCTACTGTCGAATTCGGAGATGTTGTCTTCGGATCGTCTGGCCACGTCGCGACCTCATATCCCTCGCGTAGATTTGTACCGAAGATAGCAGGTCGATTAGATATAGCACCTATAGCGTATCGGTCCGTGTAGTTTTCGAAAATAGAGATATTATCCACGAATGGTACGAATTTCAGTGGATTGTTGCCTGCTTCTGAGTAATCCTGGATCACGGTCTCGATTCGGGAGTAGTTCACTTTTTGCATACACGCTAACTCGGAGTCGGCGTCTCCTGAACAGTTCACTTGGCCAGCGACATAACTGAAATTCGAGAACAGAGGATCGGATTTCTGATTATTCAGAAAGACAGAACCGGAGTCAGAGATAAATCCACTAACGATGGGATCATCTGGGTATGCGAAGTTGAGTAAATCAGAACTTCCAGCTCCGGAACTCTGGCCCCAGATAACGATTCTTTCTGGGTCTCCGCCAAAGGCTTCAATATTCTGTTGTACCCATTCGATGACCATCCGCTGATCTAAAAGACCGGGATTCTGGTATTTCAAAGCAGCTGCTCCAGGGTACCCGAATATATTTACACGGGTATTTGCTGAGATCACGATCTGAGATTGTGTTCGTTGGACCCATTGGGCAGGGATTTGATAGGGGACTTCTATCCCGCCGGTGGTATATCCACCTCCGAAAAGGAAGATGAGCACCGGGACTAACTCTTTCTTGCGGTATAGGGGAGCCCAAATAGCGAGACTGAGACAGTCTTCTGCGGTGGGGCCGTTGAAATCGAGTTGTGTGACCACTTCAGTATCGATTGAGGCGCCTGTACTTGGGATCTGCGGACAGGCTGGTCCTAGAGCAGTGGAGACGATTGTTTCATTGCGTTGGTTTAGAGGCTCGGGTGGGAGGAAGCGGAGTTCGTCTAGTGGTGGTTTGGCATATGGGACGTTGAGGAATTGACGGACGCTGGGTGTGGTTCCGTTGATCAGTCCGACGACTTGGGGTTTTTGTTAGTCTGGATTCACCTGAGGAATGGATTTTAACTGCCTCACTTTTGCCACTGGAAGTACTAACTTCCAGCTCGATACCATTCCCATGATCTGTGCTTCTGACATGCCTGGATGGTGCAGCATTTACTTTGCCGAGTGCCGCGGCTAATACCGCAATTGAAGTGAGTAACTTCATCTAATTGATGAAAGTGTGCTATACCCGAGTCTGAGTTCCTTGAAAAACGTGCACTGAAAGCTTGAACGGGCATAGTGAAAGGATAAATGGGAGTATATAACCCCATCTACAGTTCCGGCTAAATATTTTCTAGCGAAACCTTGACAATATTCCTTCGAGAACTATATCCCCGCAACCCCGCATTACTTTGCTACCCTGGGACCCCTTTTGGATTAATTTGGACACAATATGGTGCCATAAACGTCCAGGATTAGCGGTGTTAGCCCGAATGAGTCGAATCAGTTCGGAGTTCATGTCCATGTGGGGATTAGTGTATGTGGGGGGGCATCGGAAATTCTGGAATCTGGAGAAGATTAATCAATTCAAATGTTTTGGCTCTTTTGCATATGGGATAGAAGAGTGAGTTTAGTGTACTATATACTCTTAGGCTTGGAAAAAATGCGTCATTGCAACTTGTAGATGACAGCCCTCAAGTGCCAGTGCTGGAGTATCAAAGTTCCAAGTTCAAGTTGCTAGGTCAACTACTCTATCTTGGAACTAATCAGTACGAGTACTGGCACAAGTAGTAATATGATCCATTTGAATACCTTGAAAGGAATTGATTGAGGTGAATAACCTCAGGAATTTGTATTCCATGAGAAATGTCCAAATCTTTATAGACAGGCTTCCGCTACGACGAACCCGACCTCAGGAGGGTGATGCTATAGCCTGCTCGTTGACATAAGGACCAATTCGTGACCACAATAGCCTGTCAACTTCAAAGTAAGGCCTCTCCACGGCATATGACAATGGTGTCCGTCCCTTATTATCTTTTCCCTCCACGTCAACTTACACTCTGTCAAGCAGCAATTGCACCACTGTCTCACCCTTACGATGAAATAGACAAGCCGCTGCATAGGATAGGGGTGTTCGTCCATTTTTGCCTTTAGAGTTGATGTCAACCACTTGCTTCTTAAGCAGCTGGTAAACCACAGTGGCCCGTCCCCTTGCCGCTGCGTACGAAAGGGGTGTTCGTCCCTTGTCATCCTTGGAGTCGACATCGATACCGTCGATATTGAGCAGCTGCTGGATGACTGAACTATGTCCCATTTCCGCTGCATGTGACAGGAGCGTTCGTTGCTGCCCGTCCTTCGATATTAAGTCGACCCCATGTTTCTTAAGCAGCACCAGCACCACAGCCTTCTGTCTTCCTGCCTTCTGCAACAGAGACAGTAATCCGCCGCGATTTGATTCCGGATCAGCTCACCTCTGAATCAATATTCTGACGACCGCCTCATGTCCATTTGAGACCGCCCGCAGCAGTGGCGTGCGGCCACTGCTGTCAGCTGTATCGGACTTCGAGTCTGGATGAACACCTCTGTCTAGCAGCAGCTTGACTACTTTCTCATGGTCATTCTCAGCTGCAAAGGTCAGTGGCATTCGTCCGTCCATATCTTTGGTAATGGCCTCCAAATATGGATCAGCTCCATTCTCGAGCAATATCTTGACGACAGACTCATGCCATCTTTCGGCAGCGTGCGAGAGTGGCGTCTGCAAGAAACGATCCTTCGAGTTTGTATCGACCATCCCAGTCTCTAGCAGAAGCTTGACGATGCTCGCTAGCCCAACTTCGGCTGCAACCGATAGAGCTGTCCGATTGCTCATGGGGTCATGACGGTCCCCGCTATTCTCATGTTTTGCGTCTGGATTAACTGCCTCCTTGAGCAAGCACCTGGCGATCGTCTCGTGTCCTCGTTGGACCGCAATGAACAGTGGCGTCCTTCCAAACCTATCTGCACAGTCTGGATCAACATTTCTCATGTCAAGAAGCTGCTGCACTACTGCTTCGTATCCTTTCATGGAAGCCCAAAAAAGTGGCGTTTGTCTGTTCTCATCTTTCGGGTCCGTAAAGACTCCAGCTGTTGAAAACACATCAACTACCGAGGCGTGCCCCTCCGCCGCGGCATATGTTACTGGAGTTAGTCCTTTGCAGTCCGTCGCATTTCCATCGTGTCCATGTTCGAGGAGTATATGGGGTAGGCTTTTCAAACCGAAGTAAGCTGTCAGATGAAGTGCTGTCATTTGCCGAGAAATTTGCGTATAATAAGCTCGCGCTGGTATATAGCTTCTAGGAGGAATCACCGCTTGGCTGGAGGAGGATACATAAGACTGACTTTCGAGGAATCTCAAAATCAAATCCCTCGGCTGCTCCAAAGCCTCTCGAGCATGACTTCCCCAGTTTTTTGAAGCATATTCGTAAAGGGCATTTGAGTGCAATCGATCTTGGAACTCCTCTTGCGTTGAAAGAAAGCCAGATTCGAAACAATTGAAGGATAAGTACTTCACACACGTAGCTGTGATGTCTTCATGGGCATGAGGGAACCAGGTACGTCCGCTCCATTCAAAATACTCCTGTGTTGTAAAGTGTACCAAGCGGATATCGCCACTCTCTTTGTTGACAGTGATCAGACCAGCGCATACTGAAAATATGAGCTCGATATCGGGGAGATTCTCTAGGTCTAGATCTGATTCGCCGACCTCCACAGCAAGGGCATGCCGAAGCTCCAGAGTGGTTAGAGGCCTTTTCGAATAAGTGACCCACGAAAGAGTACGCTTAACGAGGATCGCAAACCCTTCTCTTTGTTGACTGATCTTCTCCATCGCCTGGTAATATGCTTGAGACAATACTTGATTTCATTCCTCTTGATTCGATTCCTGATTATGCATCCGAAGTTTCTCCAATGCACGTCGCATCTCTTTCTGTGTAGTCTTATCATCGAGTGAATTGAGATAGATCTGAGCTAAAAGAAACCTGAAGGATAATTAGTGTAAGAACTTCTATACTTCAAGAGGAGACTTACATTCCATCAACAGCCTTGCTGATTTTGGTCTTGATCTCATGTTGCAGCTGTTGATTTCGATGAACAAAAGATGGTAGCTGCTTCAAGTGGCCTTCGATATAGCTCTCTACGTCTTTTTCTCTCGCTCTTATTTCCAACGATGGACTGTATCCGAAGTAATGGAAAATTTCCGGGATTGATCTCGAAGTAACCAAGATATTGGTTTTCTCCGCCCTTTGAATGTTGAAAAGCTTAGACAAAAGATCATACCGGGAATCTTGGGATAATTCATCAAGCGCATCGACAACGATGAAGACGCGCGAAAAAAAAGCCTACTGCTGACTGGAGAGCCTCGTAGATATCCTCCAATGATGGGTCTGTCTGCTTTGCTTTGTTTCGAGAATAGAGCTCTTTCAAAACTTCCATTGAAGAAATCTGTTTCTCGGCCAATTGCTTCAGAAGGCTCGCCAAAAGGTCCTCGGTCTTCTGTTCAGTTTTGAGCTGAAAGTTGCAGTAGACATAAGCAATTCCCACAGTTGCGTCATCATGGTACTTATCTAAAAGATCGTTCACCACAATTGATGCTAGGATTGTCTTTTCTGCTCCTGGGATGCCTGGACAAAAGAGTGCTTATTTCTCGGAGTTGAGCCAAATCTGGTAATATTTCGAGTCCAGGAACCATTGGCCAGTGCTGGGTTGTCGCCTTCTAAAAGAATCCCTCTGCTTGGGACCGAAGTCATTCTTGGAGATCCAATCGAGGATCTTTTGATTTTCATCACTCTGTTGCTGTAAGTAAATTTCGGTGACATCATTGGATATTTCTTTCAAGTGAAGATCAATTTCTAGCGCAGAGAATAATATTATTTCATATTCTCGCTATAAGATTGGTTGAAACTAACCAGATAACTTGTCACTGATCCCCTCTTCCGTTGCAACTCTGTTTGGCGAGGCCCATTTCAGAAGGTCCTTCGCGTACGCAGCTGCCACCATTGCTGCATATTCTTGCCACTCTTTGTTCTTACGTGAGTCTGCGTAGTCGCATATGCCGCGAATCACGAGGCATGGAAAATGGTTCATAAGCCCGGCCGCTTCCATCTCAAAGCAAAGAACATCCTTTTCCGTAGAAAGTCTGTCTCGTGCCAAGGCATCTTTCATCAGTCGGTTGGAGGAAGCAATTAAGCCATAATGAACCGTAGGATTATCCTCATCGTCTTGACGTTCTTGTCGTAATACTAAATGCGAGGAACTATCTCCACAGACTACCACACAGCTTGCTTCATTATCAAGAGGGTGTGTGAAGTCGCTCTGATATAGCCTATCGCTGGTAGGGGGTGGCCGCCTGTACCTCTTCTGTAGTCTTGGCTTTTTCTCTAGGATACTGTTAATAAACTCCTCAATCTGATGCCCCTCACTCTCGTAATCACTCTTCAATGCGTTGAGTGCCGTTCGCAAGGATGTTGGTGCCTGATTTAGGATTCCTGTTGGTTGAAAGCTTTGATTTTGTATAGCTTTACCAAAGTCGTACTGAAAAACGCCACCATTACCATCTCGAGAGGCGCTGACCACTATATCGCCAAGGCAAATATCGTGCTTTGAGCTTGGGACGCCGCCACCGATGCCGACCATTAGCCCAACCTTGATGTTTGGAAAGCTATGCAGCATGTCCCTTGCCACGCTTGCTGCAGACTATATACCGTATTCGCCGTCGGGTAGGACTGCAATAACGACCTTATGCTTTCCGATCCTGCCCACGGTATAAGCATTGTTGTCAGCCGGGGATAAAGGCTCTGGAGGTGGATGCGTCTCATCAAGAAAGGCCTTTGCAGCAGTGTACTCCGTACTGATGGCGCAAATCCAGCCGACGCTGTATTCCTTACGGTCCGACATGAGTGACTTGAGGAACGACCTTCGAAATTATAGGCTTGAATGGAAGAATGAATTTTGGGGGAAGAAAGAAAGTTGCCTCGGTGGAAGTAAGTAGGGATATTGACGGCTGGGAAACACTTAGCGCTGCCAGTGCGATAAAGACGCAGAAGTGGGGGTGCGATTTACTTACTGCGGAGCCTCCTACCGGTAATCGATAGGTGCTTGAGCCAGAGTGGCTGAGCGATGCATTTCCTGTGGCTGTAAAGTGCCTCGTGCAATCCACTTACTAGGGGATCGGGAATGCTCACTTGCACTCGAAGAGCTGCCCTACGCAAGCGAGTTATCTGCAAATTCGTGGTGAGATGACGTGGCAGAACCGCCGCTGCTCTCTGCAGCCTGAGTGGCTTCCGGCGTGACGACCCCGCTTTTGAATCATTAAAGTGCAACTTGAAGGCAGTATGAAGTACATTCTGATCGACCTCATAATAATTACAGCTCAGATGAATGCTCATCTACTGGAACTGTCTGCTCGCTGTGCCGTCGTGGAGCACGTTTGCTGGATACACTCGACTTATTCCAGGGCAGATCTAGCAAGTATCATCTGACTTTTTGAACAGTCAATACTATGACCAAGGCTCCGTTCAATCTTCGCGGTGATCTCAGCTATTGGGATGTGAGTGCGCAGAAGCTATCCTTAGTGGCAACTTGCAAGTATACCTGGAGCTACCTAGCTCCCGCGACCTGCCCAGGTGTGGATGGCTGGTGGTATCATGATCCAAGGAAGCCTCTTCATTTCTTCTATGTTTGTATATTCCTTCAAGATGTTCTAGAATTTTCTTCCCTGCGCATTCTTTCTGATACCTCAATATTCCTTTTCAGTACAACAAATGCATCATGTCTTAATAGAATGAAATTATTACTAAATAACAAAGTTACAAGTATGGGATCCACCTGGGCAAGGTTGATTGCTATGTATTTGACAGAACAAACCAGAAAGTTCCATGTATGTCAAAAATCCGCTCAAAAATTGTAATGAGCCCGGGGAATGTTGTCATAATATGGGACAACAACAGCATCAGGCGAATCAGTGAGTCCAACCATCAGAGTTGTAATAGGATGCACAGGCTTGCGATCCACAATCAAGTTGATACAACTAGGACCCTTTTGTTCCTGAAACCTGGTAACAGTAGGGTAAATTTCGGAGATCTGTGACACTTTCGCCGAAGCATTTTGCAAGCCCTTTGCCACAACATCATATTCAGTTCCTGCATCTAAAGAACTGATCGGTCGTGCTGGAGTGGCGCTCCCATAGACTATGTCTTGACCATTGATGCTCATTCCCCAAGTCGAATTGTTCACGATGACTGTCATCACATTAAGCTCGAACCTCTTATACGTATCGAGTTCCATCAAGTGGAATCCAGCAGATCCATCGCCTTGGATATTCACGATTTTCCGATCAGGGGCCGCGATTGCACATCCTAGGGTATATCCAAATCCAGTACCCAGGAATCCGAGGTATCCTGTAGATGTCATAACCGTACTGGGATTGCTGTACCGGGCAAGATCAGCTGCCCAAGCCCCAGCCTCTCCACCATCCAGGATGATTATGCTTCCTGGCTGAACTGCGGAGAAAACGTGTCTCAAAGCGTGGTATGGATGGAGACAACCTGATGGTAACTCTTGGGCATCATTCTCAAATGGAGATTTTGCAGATGACAAGCCGAGCATAGACTGTACCCATGCTTTATCAACGGATCCTTGAGAGTAGGCTGTCTCAAGTTTGTTGTTCAAAGCTGATGCAAAAACTTCAATATCAGAAACGATTCCAAGTTCGACTGGCAATGAGCGTCCGATCTCGCCACCGTCGCAGTCAACTTGAATGAGGGCACAGTCTTTATCAGGAATAATGGCCCCGTTCCTGCCACCAAGGAACATGCCTGTTCTTGCACCAAGAAGTAGGATCAGGTCTGGTCGGGCGAGATTTGCATGCGCCAATCTTCCAAGCACTCCAGCTGTCCCTTCGGAGAGCATCGGCGACTCTGGGCTGAACGATGCATATTTCGAGCTGTTGAATACTGGGACATCACATTTTTCGGCCAGTTTGAATATGCTATTTCGGGCCTAACATTTGTTAATAGGGTAACTAGACTAATTAATAGAAGCGCAATTGTACCTCAACACTTCTTGCGCCGGTTCCTGTAATGATGACTGGCCGCTTGGCGTTACGAATCAGTTCAGCTGCCGCTTCGATAGCCTTCCTATGAGGACCCGGTGGATATGTCGGAGAAGATGTAATTGAACCCCAAGAGATGAGCTTCGGATGGATTGGAGAAAAAAAGAACGTCTATCGGGAAGTCGAGAAGAACAGGACCTTATGCGCACCTATTAGCTTGAAGAGATCTGGAAGTACTCAAAGCCCTAGAGAAAATACCTGGTGGACTTGCTTGGGCAACTCTCAAAGCATGGGATACAATTCTGGGACATTCTTCCGGAATGACAACCCGATGGGCAAATTTCGTGATTGGACGTGCCGCAACAACTTGGTCGACTAATCCCTGAAGAGAATTGTTCTCCGTATCCCGAGTTGGGGGCGATGAAGTAATGCACAGAATCGGACTTCGGTCGCCATACGCAGTGGCTAGACCAGCAAGGCCATTTGAGAAACTAATATGCTCTTAAGCAAAGTATTCATGGTCAGAAGAGATGATTTGCTTCACCCACCCACTGTTGGCCGTCACGAAGCATACTGCGGGCTTCGTGCTAATTCGACTATATCCTTCGGCGGCTTGAACCGCTACAGTTTCATGTCTCGTGTCGACCAGACGGATTCCGATCATTTCACAACCGACCAGAAATGCGTCTAAGTGGCCGCCATGAAGTCCAAAAGCCACTTCAACACCAAGTTGTTTCAATGATTGCGCAAGTAGATCTCCACAGGTCAACTCCCGAGAAGGTGGATTCTGAAGTGAAAAGCAGGACATCTTGAGATCTGTAAATCACCTTGAAGTTCAGAGTGTCTGTAGAGGATAGTCAGAGAATAAAATAACTCGAAACTCTTTGACTTAAATATCTTTCAAGAGATAATACCGAGGCGCATATAATATTACGGGGTAGCTCGGTTGAGGTAGAATCCAAGATGTGGAGAAAGAGGGGAAAGATGCACGATGACTGCATTGTGTACCTTTGGCTTGCCTTACCTTTTCAATTTGATCATTAGGCTCTACTAATACTACACTCTATAGGTACTCTTTATTGGATGGATTGATATTGCGTTGATGAAAGAATCTTGCGAGTACTCATTTCAATCTCAATCTATGTTTTGCGGCCATAACTCAAAACACTTCATAACTTTGATGCGAACTCATCATCCTTTCTAAATAGTATTTGAAGAGCCTTTTCCAAGAGGCCATTCTTCCCCATATTGATCTCTTGATATATGCCATCTTTGCTGTAAAGAACATTACCGCACCGGCTCTGGTCCACAAATAATAACACAACGCTTCGTGCAACAACCTCCGGGGTCTGTGTTTTCATCTTATAATATGCCCGCGCAGCAAGAGAGATCAGTTTTGTATCAGTCCACGAAGGAGCAACTGCATTCAAGCGAATTCCTTTCTCTTTGAGTGAGTCCGTAAGACCACGAACCATTCCTAGAACCCCGTGCTTAGAGATTATATAGTCGGACCCCTTCATTTGCCTGAATGCAGCTTCGGAGGAGGCGAGCACGATACTGCCTGTTCCTGTTGTCTTTTCAGGTGCAAGCTCTGTCATATAAGCATTTGCCAGGTGGATTGTATAGATAGTTCCGGTGAAGTTTAGGTCAAGAGTTGAAAAGGGAGGTGGTTCTAGTTTGCCGGCCTCGTCTAGCTTGACATCAAGGAAACTGGGCGTTGTGGGAATTCCAGCATTGGCGTAGACGTGATCAATTCGTCCAAACCATTCAACTGTTTTGGCAAACATTTCCCGTAGACTTTCCCATTTAGCTGCGTTGATCGCCAGGAATTTTAAGTTCTCATCGTTCTCAAATGGTGAACTTGGTGGATTGAGGTCACCGATGACGACCTTCGCGCCGAGATTCAAGCATAATTGAGCGGTAGCTCTTCCGATTCCAGATGATCCGCCTATGTATCTGTTAGTCGATATCATGGTACAATATCTGGGAGATGATCTTGCCAGTAATCACAATGACCTTATTTTCAAGGCCTTCCAAGTCATCGTCACTGATAAGCACTCTCGACATGGTCTAAGAAGGTGTTCTAATGTGTTGAAATGCCACTGCAATATCCTTCCAGGTTTTTGTTTGATTATATAGAGCAAGAGGCAATCTGAGAGTAATTGACCGTGTGCAACAAGCAATAAGTGACAACAAGAGGGGCCCTTGCATGAGGTTTTACACGACTTGTTCGTATAGTATTCTAGTAGTGGTGTGCTAGTGTGGACCGGCCGAAAGCACTCGAAGACATCCCGTGTCTGATTAAGAAAAAGATAACTGAATCTCCGTAACCGATGGTCCAATCTAGTACTGGTACGGGCTCAGATTAAGAGTAGGCTGATGCCCAGGCGTTACTCAATGTTTGCAGTACCATCTATACTAGTAGAGCGGGGTCTGGTAACCTTCAAGTTGGAACATTGAATATTCCAACATTATTAGATCACCATGCTTCCTCTTGCCTCCTCCACTTGACCTCCCACATCAAGATCCCAAATCCACTTCATTCGCTCTTCCAAGGTCTCCTTTAACTTCTCTCCATCATCTCCCACCCCGTCCAGGCACAAACAAAGAAGATATGCGCCTTCCTTGCTACTAGTGACGACTCGTTGACTACGTGGCCTCCTTATTGCATCATACGCCTTAAATGCTGACACGATATCGCGAGTAGATTGGACCCGTGAGTCTGCAAGTAACTCAGCCAGAACGTGTGCGTCTTCGATTGCTTGTCCAGCGCCTGCACCTTGATGTGGGGTTGAAGCATGAGCGGCATCGCCGAGAATGGCTACGCGGGATCGACAGAATGTGGATAGATGAGGATGTTCGAAAAGCGCCCACTGAGATGAGTCTGGCATGTACTATTTTCAATAATTCAAAAGGATTAGTGTTTGAATATTTCTTGAAGAATGTGATACTACTCACCTCAACAAGAGTCTCCCAGTACCGACCCATCTTACTAGCATCACGTCGTAGATCCTCCTTCAGAGTAGGTCGAATCCATGTATCCCAATCCCAATTCTCTTGTAGAACATAAAGACCCACATTAACCTTCTTAGCTCGCATAATTGGATACGAAATTCCATACATCCCTTCACCAAGATATACAGTCGAGACCCTTGCTCTCTGATCTCCGACCGCTTTAACCATATCATCCATGTCTAGCACAGCTCGGTAGCAATACATCCCACTATATTGCGGCTGCTTGAGTTTCGATTCTTCAACAAGCATGGATTCTTTCACCTTGGATTTAATCCCATCACAACCTACCACCACATCAGCGCGCACTTCATCTCCATCCTCAAATTTCAACAAGATCCCTCCTAATCCATTCTGATCTTCGCCCTCTTCGATTAAACTCTCCATTCTTTTCCCGAAATGCACAATATCTTGAGGGATAAGAGTGATGAGTGCATCAAGAAAATCAGCTCGTCGCACAGTCGTCTGTCCGGATGGTAATGCTTTTAAATCCATCAAAATATCTCCTTCGGATGGTCCGCACCCCCAAACAATCTCGAACCAGGTTTGTCGGAATGCTTCATAACCAGGACTATCGGCGTGTGTTGTTACAAGGGAATCATAGATATCTCGAAGTTCGGGAGCGATTAGTCGTAATGCGCGATGTGCTGCTGGACCGATGGATAGACCGAGACCAATTTCTTTGAATTCGGTTGCAGCTTCGTAGATTTGTACACGGACGTGTCGTCGGATGAGTCCGGCTGCGAGAATTAGGCCACCTATTCCCCGCCAATTATTGTTATGGTGAAGTCTTTGGAGGAGGTGGGAATATCCTGAGGGAGAGAGGTTGACATTTTGTACAATCAACCTTGGAGGTGACATAGATTGAAGATGGTATAGTAGATGATGAGAATGGAAGAAAGTCCAGATGGGCGTATTCATCAGCGTAGCACTGTCTATATTCAAGTTGGATTCCCCTTTTCATATAGTCCGAGTCTGAGCGTATCAGGATTGCGGGGTTCAAGTCGCCCGGGGCCACATCAACCGGTAACCAAGTTTATTAGCAAGGAACTGATAAACTTATAGCCCGTGAGTTTTGACCTTAGGCATAATGCTCCAAGCTTGATAATGGAATGTTATATAAGATGGGAACAAATGCTCATGATCAACTGAATGAGAATGATATAAATTCAAATCTAGCTCTGGGTATCGGGATACTTTGCAAAAATAATCTCAAACCAGTATCAACAACGCGATCCGGTCGCGGAAATGACAAGACATCTCCAAGAAAAGATAATCCCGGTTGAACCAAGCATCTCCAATGCGATGAAGTGCTGTAAAGTCGAGATTGTGTAAAGAGGGTCCATTAATATGACCGAGGTACATCGTGTACCTGCGTGAAGTGAATGTTAAAGTTGTGGTTCCACTAGCAAATATGGAGACCATGTCTGATTTTTAGGCTGTCGGCACTCAGATCATTGGGCTCGGAACAGCTCGAGGTCCATTGACTTGATCCCATTTATGAGGCCCAATCGGGTCATCGGGTCCCCAGTTGGAATCGCCATCATACCCTGCATGTGCCCTCTCCCTCTCCCTCTCCCTCTCAGTTGGGTTAGGCGAGGAGCAGTCCGAGTCGTCCAATGCGCGGCGGAATCGGAGGAACTCTTGGGAGTCCACATTGTGAATGGGGTACATAGTACCCATCTCCATTGATTGGAGCGCTGCTCGCTGGAGTTGACGCAGGTCGTCGCGAAGGCCGGAAACTTGACTTTCAAGATTTCGTCGTGCAGTTTGTTCTCGGCGAAGGAGTGTCACAAGAGTACTGTACTGCTCAATGGAGACGCCGCTGAACTCGGATAACGAAGTCGTGGATGGCGCTGGGCGAATCATTCGTGAGCTCATAGTATCTGGTCGAATGGTGCTAGTGCTAGGTGGACGCACTGCAGAGAAGGTAGTAAGAGGGGTGGGAGATTCATCTCTTTCGCGCTCCCGCTCCCGCTCCCGTTCGCGATCAGCTGAGCTCAGATATCCAGTCGAGTACTTGCTGCGCGAGTGTGGAGAGTATGGTTCTGTTGTAGGGGTATATCTCTGTCGTGACGAGCGCTCTGTGTAATTTGGATCAACCGGGCTAGATTGCATTCGGGCAATGGCGAATTCGAGATCAATCATCTTCACCTCCAGTGTGTTTAGCCGTTGCTCCACCGTAAGCCCATCACCTTGTTGCATGGTATGTACCAGACTGCGGACATTTGGAGGCAGACTCATCCGGTCCGCTCGCCCCTCTGATTCAGAAGCTGATGGGGCCACTGATTCGCGAGTGAGACTGGTCACGGTAGTACCGGTTGATGGCCTAGCGGAATGATCGCTAGCAGAGCTTACTTCAAGAGCAGCCGATTTGGAGTCCGGGACAGGTGTGGGAATCGATGTAGAGCGGGCCGGCCAGGACGAGGGAGTTTGTTCCACTACTGGCTGTTCGTGTGCAAGCTCCTGTAGCGCATCTGCGCTCCTCGATATTCGGCGGTCTTGAAGCATACTGTGTCTACGGTGTGTATCTTGGGTGCGAGGTCGGTCTTCCTGCGGGTCGGAAATTGCACTAATTGCACTGGATGCAACTGCAAACCGTGATTCGTCGTCGGAGAATATCACGCTGGGAAGGGTCGCTCTCCTTCGTCGACGTGGAATACCCGGAGACGGCAATGAGCCTCCTGTTGCGCAAGTTGGTGATAGGTGTGCTTCTGCAAATTGAAGCTGCAGGTTCTCCTCTGATAATGGGCTGCTGCGCTTCGATTCAGAAGGCGCAGGGATCGCCAAGAAGGTTTTACCCTCCGCTGGACTCGATTGTTTCGCTAGGACTGATGGATAAAACGCTTCGTTTGGATTCTCTTCCAGGCCGTCTGCTTGACTCTGTCGTTTCCTGTTGAAAATCTTTCGCATAACAGTTTTGAGTGTACTTCCTGTGCGTCGATGGGCGATGGTGTTTTGTGATGGACTAAATTGAATTGGCGGCAGGGCAGTATCATAGTGGTTCGGCTCTAGGGAAAATGATGCCGGGTTTGAAGCTGAACGTTCAACACGCGCGGACAAGGTTCGCTGCTGAACACTCTGGACCGACTCACTCCCAGCACTAGCAATAGAGCGTGTGTAATTTTTGGACATTTCTGAATGGAAATTAAACCCGAAAAATCAGGGTGAAGTTTCAAAGCAGATCCCCTGAGGATTCCACGTTGATCATTAAAGATATTCGTCGCGGAACATGGGGTATCTCGTTACGAAATAAAGAGAAAAGGCGCGGTAAAGAAAGGTGAAAGGTCTAGGATCGAAGTTCACCGACCAAAACGAATGTCGAGAAAAGGAAGAATCGGATTCGGGGGTATAAACCGCGGAGGATAGGCCGCTCAGCGGAATGTGATTTCAAGTCGAGAGCTTCAATGGAATCGATGGACTATGAAGGACTAACAAACGCAAGTTAGTGTCTGAACTGATGAAAACACACAAAATCCCCAACATCTTCATCATGACGTACAAAATCAGGTTGAATCAGGTTCATTATTGCAATTCAATGTTCCGACGGATAAGCCGTTTGCTAGATTCGAGGTTCCACAATTGATATGTTGATAGGAGAAAAAGAAAAGAAAGGGGGAAGAAAAAAAACGAGAATTTCAAATCAGGATTCAATAATGAAAAGAAATCAATTCTCAAAAAAAAAAAAAAAAAAGCAAGCAAGGCCCAAAAAAAACGAGTGTAGGGGAAGTTCAAAAAAAGAAGTGAGAGATGAGAAAAGGAGAAAGTTAAGGAGAGAGAAAGAGCTTCTTCTCTTCTCCTCTTCTCCTCTTCTCTCTTTCCCCCCACAATTGGAACTTGCTTCACGCCACAACCGAAGCTGTTACCAGAACTTGGACCAGATCACAATTCCAATGATTCACACCATACTTTTGGACCGAGCGCAAGGTTCTATACATTGGCGCAAGGCGGATCATCTACTATTTTTTTTTTATTTGAATTAACCCCAAGTCCAGGTCTAAAACCGGACTGGAGTGCAAAAAAGGAACGCTAGATAAGCTAGCATGGACTAGTCTGGCAACAGGACCTCTTGAAATCAACCCTAAAATGCTAAACGGAAAACAAGAACCCAGGAGGGCTAATCAGCGAACGGTGCTCCGGTGCTCCATGTTAAACCAATGCCGCGCTGGATCCACGAGCCGAGACTAAGTGGATCTCAAAGAGGAACCGCCGTTTTGGACTGCTTCCAGGTGCGTCCAGAATGTCTCAATCCCTCGAAAATGGGTCCTTACACAATGTACTCAATGTACTCCGTTAGGCTCAAGGTTGGGTCTACGACTTTCCTGCTAGGGGGATCCCCGTACATGATGATGAAGGAAGATGAAAGAAACGATTCGATTCGCAACTTTATGCATAGTCTGAAACACCACATGGCAGATGATCTCATGGGAAATGGAATTCCTCAAACGCCGCACGGGCCGCTTGCGCGAGGATTCACGGCAGAGCTCATCCATAGACGTCAGGTTTCGTACTCCAGAAAGCGGGAACATATCAAGCGAGATCCTTTTTTAAAAGCTTCCAAAGGTTCTAGACGTTAGGCCGCTATGCTGACATGGTGTGTTGTTGATGAACCAATGAGACCGAGGTTATCGAGTGCCAGGGATGAGGTCGATCAACAGCCCCTCACGCTTGTCCTACTTCTAGTAACCTATCTCCGGCATGATCATGATCATCCCACATGTGAGAGCTGCGTTGTCTTGAAACATGCCCCGCCCTAGCTGTTCCGTTCCATCGCTCCAAGACACGGCTGGCTACTCCCCGTGTACGTGGTCTCGGGAAGTTGAAGTCTTGGGCTATTCGTACCCCATACTATGTAGACTTTCATCTACAAGAGACACAAAACCAAGACAGGGTCACCAGTGCCCGGGCTTATGCTGTGCTACGATCCTACAAGCCAAGGATTAGACTCTTACAGATCTCACCTAAAGATCGGCATTCTTTTTGATCTCTTTTTTTGATCGAGATTGGAAACTCGTATCCTGTTCTTTTGTCCGCTTTTCGTGACTCCACACTAGAGTAAGTCGCCGGCATCGGGGTATCGTAGATCGGCATTTTCCTCCAAGTAATCCATCCAATGTTTCAAAAATGTACTACCACTATAGCGATTTCGGTCAGAATTAATCAATGTAAAATGGTGTGAGCGGGAACATACCGACTGATGGTATCTGAGTCTCCACAAATACAGAGATGTCGCTTGGGTCGAGTCATAGCCACTAGAGAAAAAGTTAGTTTGTGCATAATCATTCATTGATGCATAAATCCTTACCATTCAGACGTCGTTTCTCGCCCAAAAATCCCACTTCATGCTTGTCATTGCTACGAACAAGACTGACAACTACAGCCTCCTTTTCACGACCCTGAAAGCCATCCACACTTCCCAATTCTAGGCCAGGATATTTTTCTCGGAGCATGTGAGACAAGACTGCTAGCTGACCGTTGTAAGGAGTGATAACGGCAATACTTTCAGGCTTGACGCCTGCATCCACCAGATTGCCAACGTGTCTAGCAACAACCAGAGCTTCCATCTCATTGCTTTTGCTCTCACCCATGAGTGCTTCCTTTTTGCCAATGTCGTCGTCTTCCGCCTTTTCGGGGAAATCGCCGCCTTGCGTATCCCAGAAAACAAGGGGCTCTTGAGTATCGTCTGTGCCTTCCACTTCATATGGCAAATCAGCCAATAGACGCTCTTTGACAGAGTCGGCTGCTATCAACTTTGACTCGTAGAGTTGGACTGAAGGGAAACGCATGATTTTCTCATGCATACGATATTGCGTGGTTAACATGCGTTTGATGTCGGGTCCATGCAATGCTAGTAGGCGGTCAAACAATGTCCGTTCGAGGGATAGTCCCTTCGATATCTCCTTTGGTGGCGCATCGCTCTTTGCATTTGAAGTCTTGGACTTTTGATTGGATGATTTGACCGTAGGCGGCAGTTGAAGATGGTCACCAGCTAGAACCACTTTATTGGCTGACAGCAGTGATATCCAGCATTGAGCTTCGAGTGCTTGACTTGCTTCATCAATGATCACCACATCAAATTTCTGATTCTTCAATTGATGACCACCGGCACCGTGCAGGGTTGCTAAGACAACACTGCTCTCGCGAACCAAATTATCCACACACTTGGACTCGCGCTCTCGAAACTCCTTTCGAAGATGTTTGAGGTCGTCGTAGATCGCTCTTCTTTCTCTCCCGCTCTTAGTTTTGCGAATGCTAGCCTGCTTTTCGTCCATTTCCTTCCGCACATCTTTCACTATACTAGCTGCGTCGGAAGTTTGGGTAAGAACTTCGAGGGAATGTTCTAGTACCGATGGAAGTAGACGTGCTGGATGTCCGATACGAACAACTGGCACCTTTTTGGGTGCCAATCGCTCCACTATGTTATCGACCGACACGTTTGACGGACCACAGACAAGAATCCGTTTCTTCCGCTGTACAAATTGCAAGATAAGCTCGATCAATGTATGCGTCTTTCCAGTACCAGGTGGGCCGTGAATAAGCGCAATGTCTTTCGAAGCTAGCGCAAAGCGAATAGCATCCTTTTGAGAATCATTCAATGTAGGATCAAGGAACTCAATCGCTCCTGCGGAGTCATAGTCTGGCTGTAGAGGAGTTGTGTGCCCAAAAGCGACGCGCATAAAATGCGAATGATCCGTCTCTGTTAACTTAGCCATCTTCTCCATCGTTTGTTTCATTCTAAGTCAAGTTAGTCTAACTTAACTCATACATGGTAGTGGTATTTAAATCCTTACCGTCTGTACGTAACATCATTCGCCAGTTTAATGCTATAGAGCCCGTCAGCGATATCCTATATTCATCCAAACCTGGACCGTGAACATACCACCAAAGCTTCTTGCCCCATAACTCCTCAATCGCCTCATCATCTTCTTTTGATCTGGCTCCTCCACCTTGCTGTCCAAATGCGATCCAAATTCCCTTATCATTGACCCTGGTCACAACGCCCTCAGGACCACCTTTCGCACCATCCTTACCCTTCTCTTTCTCCTTCTCCTTCCCGACCTTCTTCGCTGCCCCAGCCACATCATTCACACGAACCACATCCCCAACCCGAATCCCATGAGATCCAAGACGTGGTTGTCCATCTGCGGACTCTGTAGACGCAATGGCTGGGTCTGGTGCGAATTCACCAACTACGCGCCCACCTAGACCTGTACGGCATTGTGATAGGATTAGACCCGTGAGCGCGTATCCGGTTGCTTGTAGAGTTCGGCGCGTAGATGGGGATACGGATGCGGCAGTTGTTGCGAGTGATGAGGAGGAGACTTCGGCTTCGTGTTCTTGTAGGAGGAGCTGGAGCTGTGTTTCGGCGAAGAGTGGGATGGAGATTGGGTCGGGAGACATTGTGAGGATCGAGTTGAGGTGTTCGTGTGTTTTATGTAGGGCTGTCTCTGGTCATGACAGTTCCGAAGTCCCTTGATCGATATACTGGGTAATGGTTCGGTCTGTCGATATGTGGGAGCTGTTCACGTTGAAGTTGGAGCTTCGATGCTCGATTCATGCCCCGCATGTTAGTCATCTTATACATTGCAGCCCAGGAGTCCTGCCAGGTGGTCCATGAGGTACAAAGGTTTCATGCCTATCTCTCTCATTAATATTCTTTGTTTCCATAAACAGATTTCAAATTTTATGGTTTAAACTTATTTGCAATTGCTTCTAATACAAGAAGCGCGCATCCCTAGTCCTACACATCCATCATATCGTCCCGAACTACATCCAACTCGAATAATCGCTAACTTCAAATAGTGTACAAATTCATTAGTCTAAATCTTCTTCTAGATCATACACTCTCAATCTTGATCTTCGGCTCATCCTCCACCTTAGCAAGATCCACCTTGATGCGATTCCCACTCGCCAATCCCTTGATCTCACTCTTACAGAGCTTCGTCCCAGCAAGATAGCACTCATCACACCGTCTCTTAACAGGCCCACAAGCGGTCTGCCCCAATCCAACAAGCAACTTATTAATCTCATGCCACTTATCCCTGGGTAACCAAGACTGCAACGCCATCCGCGTTTCCTCCGGATTCTTCGTCTTATGCCATCCCCACAGATTCGTAATCCGATGAACATGCACATCAACACCAATGCCCTCATGTTTGCCCCATGCCGCACTCATACACAGATACGCCATTTTAGGTCCGACACCCGGTAGAGCCATGAGTTCTTCTGGTGTAGGCGGGATATCACCACCATGCTGATCTCGCAGAATCAAAGCCGCAGCCTTGATATATTTCGTCTTATTATTGTGGAAACCAACCGTGCGAATCAGTTCATTCAGTTTCTCCGGTGAAACAGCGAGGATATTCTCCAGTTTCAACGTGCTGTCCTTTTCAAGTTCGGTTTTCACATCCTTGCTATCCTCGTCTTCCATCTTGATTCGTACCATGTCGCTTTCTTCCTCGCTTTGTCCAAGTTCAGTATGTAGACGTTGCATCGCGACGGCTGTGACTGTATCTTTCGTTTGTGATGAAAGCATTAGAGCAATGAGCGTCTGGAAACGTCGGTCTTTTGGTGCCGAGGCACGCCAGTATAGCTCTGCACAACCCATCGTGTCAACTGGTGCGGTCGGGTTATCCTCGCGCATCTTCTTCACGGTATTGTACATTGTTTCCCAGTTGGATGGTGGTTCCACAATTGTAGCGCCATCTGCGTCGCGGGTCTTGCGTGCGGGCATTCGACGAGCCTTTGGAGGTGGTTTGGTTTTCTGCTCTGGTTCATCTTTCACGAGGGGTTCTTTGGATTCCTCGGGGTTCTCGGGGTGCGATTCGAGGTGGTTAGCACAGGGGCACGGGTATTGCGTTTTTGTCGTTTAGACGATGGTTCAAGGAGATCCTCGATATCGGTTGTACTAGCAGATGATAGAGAGGACTCATCGTCATCTCTAATTGATGGTATACTGGCGATGGTAGGGATCAGTTCATTTTTGATTGTCGAGTCGCCAGTATACGCAAAACTGCGCAGGGCGCTTGTATTCAGAGACGTGTTGCGAGTTGAGCGGCGCACAGGGGGTGAAAGCGCTTGCAGGACTTTAGCAGTCTCCTTTGAAGTCCTTGAAGTACGCATGATGATTGAATTCAATGATCTTCAGGGTTAAAAAGAAGGGAGGAAAATTGAAGTGGAGACGGGAATTTCACATGGGTCTGAAGATCGGATCCATGGTTATGGGGCATAATGAGTGTTTCCCCAGCCTCGGTCTTTCTGCTCCAACTTCCCGACTTTGCGCTTCTCTCATTCCTCCCCCCCCCCATACATTCCACAATGGCTGCCCCGACAAGTCAAACGACACAGCGTCTATTGCGCGAGCTGAAAGAATATGCCAAGTCTCCAAATGAGGTTCTGCTGCATCTCGGTCCTGTCGAGGATGATGACTTGTTGCGCTGGGAGGCAGTCTTGAGGGGTGTCAAGGGTTCTCCCTACGAAGGTATGGACTTATTCACTCTCTCGATGCATCGTTATTCTTGATCCTAGCGATGCGTTTATCATCTCCATATCTGTTGGCTCAACCCCCATACTTACGCGACCTAGGCGGCCTCTGGCATCTCCGTATTGTCATCCCACCCAATTACCCTCTCGCGCCGCCGACCATCACCTTCAACACTCGTATATCGCATCCGAATATCTCCTTTACAACCGGCGAGATCTGTCTGACTCTGTTGACAACCGAGCACTGGAGTCCTGTATATACTCTTTCGTCCACTCTCACTGCTATTCACCAATTGCTTACCGACCCTCAACCGGACTCGCCGCTCAATGTGGACGTTGCGGCACTATTGCGCGACGGAGATCTTCCTGCCTGGGAGAGTGTAGTCCGGTATTGGACAAGTGAGGAGCGGTGGCAAGGAGGTGGTAATTTGGCAGCTTGATATTAACATGCTGATACTTCGACTGTTCCATACTGACCCTGGAATCTGTGAGTTTACGATGCCCAGATGGTCACTCTTGGAAGTCTAAGAGCAGGAGATGTGATGGTTCTATTTCTTATTTGGCGCGCATTCCGGTCGCACTTGTGGCCCCATACATACCCCGCTGCTACATTCCGATGATATACTTTGATTTGACACATGCGATGATGATATATTTTACTACGAAGTACATTTTGTACAGTTGATTTGAAACTTGGCTGCTTTTGGCGGCAATCCGCGAAATATTATTCAATTTTGTCTTCCATGAAGATCTAATCACATACCAATATGGTGATAAAAGCACGCTCAAAATGGTTCCCGTTCTAACCCATTACTAAAAACAATAAAGTCCAAACCAAATAGCACATTTGGAAACGCCGGGGTGGGATATGAAGGAGAGACATCAGTGGGAGGTCGTAAGGATCGTAAGGTGATAATGACAAGTGCTATGCAAAATAATTGATGCGGGCTGAAGAACTTGCAATGAAATGCAAACTGAGCAGACCATGGGCTAGGGCCAATTGAAACTGAGCCTCTCCGTTTAGAGCGCCATTGCGACAATAACAGCTCCACCGAGCATGGCGACGACCTCACGGGTAAGACCCGCAGTGGTCAAGGCAGCCGCACCGGTTTGCAGACCAGCACTAGCGTGGCTAGTGGTAGTCGCGGCAGTCGCAGTTGGAGTGATGTGCACGACAGTGATTGAGGTAATGGTACTCAAGCTACCATTAGGCAAAGTACTGGTGGTCTTGTATGTTGAGGTAGAGAGGGTAGCAGCCGAAGTAGTTGTGTGGGAGGTAGTCGAAGTAGACGTGGAGGAAGTGGAGGTCGAAGAGGAGCTTGTCGTGGTGGACAGAGTGGTAGGTACCGAGGTTGTGGTGGAGGTGGAACTAGAAGTTTGACTAGTCGAGGTTGGAGTAGTCGTTGTCTCGGTGGTAGTCGCCTCGGTAGAAGAGGGGATTGGGGTAGTGGTAGTAGATGTCGAGCTGGAGGTAGTTGTAGAGCTGGAGCTGGTTGGAGTAGAAGTGGTGCTCGGCTCGGTGGAGGTAGTAGTTTCAGTAGTTGTCTCGGAAGTGGTGGTAGCTGCCTCAGTGGTGGTAGAATCGGAGCTTGACAAAGAAGTTGAAGCAGGCTCGGAGGAGACGGTGGAATTGCCATCCCGCTTCATGACTTTGAGGAAGCTGGCAACCTTCTCATCTTCGGCTTGCAAGGCTTCGGCGGCACTGATGTCAGTGGGAAAAATGCCGTCTTTGAATTTTTTGGACAAAGCATGCAGCGCATCGTGAATGTTGTTCACGTTGAGATCGGCCAGCATGTCCTGGAAAGACTCACGGTGGACAGTGTTCTCCTCGGAGGGCTGGTTTGAAGCAAAGACCCCAGACATTAGGAGCAGTGCCATGAAGAGCACCTGGAGCAGATTGACACGCAGCATGATGACGAAGATCAAGTTTGATCAGGGATTGAAGTGGAGGAAGGTGGAGGGGTGAGGTGGAGAGAAAGATGGAGTAGAGGAAGAGAAAGAGTGAAGTTGAAGTGAGGAGTAAACTAAGCCTGCAGGAGATAAGACCAGAAGCTAGAAGAAAAAAACAACAAACTTGGATAGCAAAAGCACCAATTCCTCAGATATCAGGGATTTAAATGTAAATGTTTTTCTATTTCCCAGTTTCTATCTGACGCTAATCCCCACTAGTGGAAGAGATGGAATAGTTCAAGAAGCTTGGGTCACTAAAAGAATTTTTTTAATTTTTTTTTATATTTATAGCATACATACTACACTGCCACCTTAACAACGTTGTTTTTTTTAGCTCTAATTCTACCACGTACGATCAGATCATTTCCCCTGAATTGAATCTCTTGTGTAATTATACCTCAAAACAATTTCATATATACTCCCCGAGAAAACAACATTGAACGTATGTTAAAGATTTTCGTTCCCGAAGATTGAAGCAACGAGGCTGCCTATAGCGGGTCATGGTGATTGGCTCGGTCTCAGTGCTGAAAATAGGACCGACGCAACCTCTCGGCAAAGCACTTGAGTCGTGTTGTCATACTTGTCATACGAAGCAAATATTAGGGGGAATTTGGAGAGAATTGAGGGGCAATTTTCATATGAAAAGAAAGGGGTCCCCAATGTCAGGAACCATGGGTCAACCTAAGACAATTTCTGGTTTTCGACTATAAAATCCAGTTGAGAGTATGAGTACGAAGTCCATATCATGATTCGGACTGAAAGCAAAAGCACAAATAAGTGTTAGTGGCCGCCTAAAGGCTATACGATCGGGAATCACGGCAGTTCGTCCCAGTATGGTATGATCGACATTGATCTTCTAAGCCACCACCGGATATACAAATAGCTTAGTGTTTAGATGGTGCTATGTAGGAGCCCACTGTGGAGTATTACTATCTCCGGCTACGCCGTAAATTTTGTGAGCAAAACCCGAGAGTTTGAAACATTGAAGACTCTTTCAGTCATTCCCAACTTTGAATGTCTTTGTCCATAAAAAAGAAATCTGATATCTCACCAAAAACAGTCAATTGTCTCACCGGAGCACATGATTAGGATGATGAGGTAATCGTAAATTAAGGTTCCGTGGTTCTGTTTGGATGCCTCAGGCTACCTAACTAGAAAATAAACAGACACGCCTCAGGATGAAGATGGTACGAAATGAACTGGAAATGAACTTGAAATGAGTTGAAATAACGGAGATAAAGACCTTGGCAGTATCAGAGGACTAGATCAACTTCATCCCCGCTATGCCCCGCTATGAACATTAAAACTACCCTTCAAGTCAGCTTCCAAAATTAAGGCGGCCTGCATATCATTCATCCTGACATCTGGATGTATGCAAGTGCTGATTCGCCTAGTATCTCCTTGGCATTAATGTATGCACTACACTTGCCAGTGGGCATCGCCCAATTGTTGACTTTTTCACCTGGCACTCGGAAAAAACTAAAATATCCTGCGCAGTCGTCATAGACCTAGACAAACTGCTGCTATTTTCCATTCGGCACTAGTATATGAAAGGAATTCCGTTATGTGAGTGGAATACAGTTCCCTAACCATAAGCCAAATGTTCAATATGGGCGATGGGTAGTTCAGGTGAAAATAATGAAGTTCTTTACAGACTCGGACAGCTACTAGGACTGAAAAGTTTGGATAACAACTTGAACTGAATTTCATAGTCTATGAGTACATTACTAGTAAGAATTAAAGATGGTGGACATGTAGTAGAAAATGATGAAACAAGGATATAACGCGCTACCAAGGAAAAAACCAACCAAATATAGAAGACTTGAACTTGGCCTAGATCCATTCCCGTTCATACACACCAATCCATTCTCCCCATCCAATGACCTTGCCCTCGATCTCACTTGCTACCTCTTCGATAGTAGGGAACTCGCTAAGCTTGGTGATGTCAATCGGCTCACTAAGCGCGACAATCGTATAGAAATAGCGATGCGGCCCATGTCCCAGCAGGGGCTTGCAGGGAATATACACGGTACTCCGTCGGTTCTTGCCATATCGGAATCCACTCTTCAGCACCCCAGTCTCTGCCGTCTGGGCTAAGTCATCTTCACTGACACTCGTCACCGTGGGTGGGATTCCCATATAAATGCCATGGACGATAGGCTTTGGTAGAGGCGCGTCGGGATCCTCACTGACAAGAAGGAACTGCTTGGTCTCTGGAGATGCGGCTGGCCAGCTCAGCGTTGGGAATCGTCCCGCGCCGTCTGCGGAGTGGTCCTTGTGTAGTTGGGATCCTGATGGGCCAACCTCAGGACACTCAAGCTCTATAGTGGGCTTTGGGAAGTCCGCGAATGCAGCGTTCTTGGAAAATAGACCTGCATCACGCCCTTTAGCGCTGTAGAATAGCTTGCTTAGACCGTATTCAATATATTTTGACTGTGCCGGGATCCATGTCAGCATGAGATTTGAGTGTAGTGGGGTTGCGCTGCAAGATCTGGATCCACAACTTACCATATTGTATGTGAGATTATTATTTGCAGACTGAATGGAATAGATGAGTGCTTAAACTTTTTTGCTTGTTCTGTGTTTATGGATCCTGCTCATCGTCGCTGCTCTCTGCTCTTTAATACTCAGCCTGATCCGTTTCCGGGCCGTTTTCGGGCCGGCCACGAGCCCGAACACCGCATCGATGCCGTTTATTCGCCGAGAAAGAGTCCGGCCATCATGGCGCCTTTACTTGTAGCTTAAAAGTAAGGTGATGATATCCAGAGTATTGGCTGATCAATTCTTAACGCCAGGAAATTCACATGGGACCAAGATCTTGCCGAGATCCACTGTTGGCAATGGTGTTGGTGGATCGATTGTGGGGGACGCGGGAAAAGACTGCTGGATGAACCGAGGCTCGTATCAAGACCCTGCTGAACAAAATAGCGTGAACTTACAACTCTCACGGACTCGATCTTGCGGGGAAGTCATTTCTATCATACCCCAGATTCTACGAGTATGGAGACCTTGACAGATTACAGTGGCCAGTTGCTACCAATGGCTGAAGCATTTTGGGCAGACATTGTAGAGTCTTACTCACCACAGAGAATCGAGTTTGTGGGCACTCTGCTGGTTCAGGTGCTGTCATTCTGGTTTCCTTCGATATTGTGCCTAGTCTTAGATGTTACTGCGCCGGCATTCTCTCAGAAACACAAAATCCAACCCGCGCCAAAACAACCTACACGACGCGACATCCTACAATGCTTCCTTGTGGTGACGCGAAATCAGATACTCTCATCTGTGCTACATCTCGCTCTCCTCACTTTATCTAGCAAAGCGGGATCCCAATCCGCATACCGCGTTGAAGCATCTCTCCCTGGTGTGGGAGAGTTTATCCGCGACTTTTTGATCAGTATACTTTTGCGCGAGGCCATGTTCTACTACAGTCATCGATTGCTCCATGTGCCGTATCTATATCGTCGAATTCACAAAAAACATCACAAATTTACAGCACCTATTGCCCTTGCTGCTCAATTTGCGCATCCTATCGAGCAGATTTTTGCGAACGCATTACCGATCTCCCTGCCACCTCAATTATTGCGGAGCCATGTTTTGACCTTTTGGGTTTTTCTTGCATGGGAACTGTTTAACACGGCTACGGTACATAGTGGCTACGACTTTTTCCATAACAAAGCGAAGATGCACGACCTGCATCATGAGAAGTTCAATCTGAATTATGGGTCGATTGGACTCTTCGATTGGCTTCATGGGACAGATAAATTGGGGAAGAGACATTCTGAGTGAAATATGAGTCTTTGTTGTAGTTACTTCAGAGCCCTGGAGATCCACTGCATGAGAATCGTTCGACTTTCGAAATGCCCATACATACTAGTATGTCTATAATACACTTGGAGGAGATACCCTCAAGTGCTCAATCGAGAGAGCCTTGAAAGAATGTAATGTGTGGTCAAGTGGTACAATGTAGTACCTACGGGTACTGGCAGCCATGGAGACCTCGCACGATCCCAGTTTCTGATCTAAGAATAGACCGATCACCATTTATAGCGCAGATCGATGTACTTATTCATGGATGCAAGGTGTTTGAACTCCGAGTCCCAAGCATTTACACTTGAACGTATTCATGATTGATCTCAAGGGGTGATTGTGTACACAAATGCTGTTTAAAAAGTTCATTCAAGCTCAAATGTTGGGCTCCGAATCAGACTCGGAGTCACCTGCCACATGTATATCCTTTCCACATGTTAAACTCTGCGACCCATTAGAATGGGTGAGACATGAAACAGAGAATTGGAGTTTGAACTTGCTGCCTACTTCCAAGGTTGCGATCGACAACTATTCTCCACCCTTGTGGCCAGAACCCGCGTCACCAGTTGGCGCCAAGCCAATACTATGCATCCCTTGTCTATCTCTCAGTGCCAACTTTGCAAGCTTCGAGCAAGTCAATAGCAAGATCATCAATAGAAGCCTGTCTGCTATGAGAATTGACTTGAGACGGACTTGGATACTGGGTAGAAGTTGTATTGTTAAGGAAGTGAATAGTAATTAAGTGTTTCTTGTATGGTAGTCTGGAAGTACCATGGAGCGAGACATTGGCCACTCAGACAAGTCTCACCGTAAACAAGAAGATCGCAAATGAGCATAGCCATTGCCCAGATGTCAATCATCCCATTTATTCGAAAATCCCCGTCCTTAAATTCAGGGTCAGGGTCCTCGACCCCACAATGCCCAGCCTGCCCAGAGTCCCTGCCGCAGAAGCCCCTTGCAGAGTGATCAACCATTCGGAGGATATCTCCTTCAGGAGAATTGTGGTGACACTGTGCGAGTGGTCCAATGATTGTTTGTTATTTCATCAGTGTCTGGTTTATCCTTACTGTGGTCAGTCACTGTATGGCGGCAGTGTGGATCAGATCCTAATTAAGATGGTAAAAGGGCGCTTGTTATGATATATGAGTGCAACATAGAGACCTGAAAAGTACATAATAAGTATTGGCAACTACCCATAGGTGAAAACTCCTGGTCGTCCTTTCTTCATCCCTACGTTCTTTACAGTCCTTCGTTCTTCCTTTTGTAACGCCTATCATTCACACGTCACTCGTTCTCATTCCAGAATCCAGCTCTTGTTTACCCTTTCACCCTCCCCCTCTCAAACATACTCCAACCTACAGATATTTCGACGTCCAAAATCATGAAGGTCAATATCGCTTCTCTTGCGGTAGCTTTTACGCTCAGCACTTCCACCGTGTTGGGTGCCGCGACAACAAAAACAACCGAGAAACGCGGCAGTATCACCCCCATCACAGTGAAAGGCAACGCCTTCTTCCAGGGTGATAACCGCTTCTACATTCGCGGTGTCGACTATCAGCCCGGTGGATCATCCAAGCTCGCAGACCCTATTGCCGATGCCGATGGTTGCAAGCGCGATATCCAGAAATTCAAAGATCTGGGCTTGAATACCGTCCGTGTGTACTCCGTCGATAACTCCCAGGATCATGATGAGTGTATGAATGCGTTAGCCGATGCTGGAATCTACCTGGTACTTGATGTCAACACCCCGAAATACGCTATCAACCGCGCCGATCCCTCGAAGTCGTACAATGATGTCTATCTCCAGTACATCTTCGCCACTGTTGAGATGTTTGCCAAGTATGACAACACCCTGGCGTTCTTTTCAGGCAACGAAGTCATCAACGATGGACCTTCATCCAAGGCCGCTCCCTACGTTAAAGCCGTTACTCGCGATCTCCGCTCATACCTGCGATCTCGTGACCTCCGTCATGTTCCAGTCGGATACTCTGCAGTAGGTATATCCTGTTTTGCCTTTCCATGCATTGCGCTAACTTAAAATAGGCCGACATTGACACAAACCGACTCGAGATGGCCCAATACATGAACTGTGGTACCGATGATGAGCGTAGTGACTTCTTTGCTTTCAACGACTACTCTTGGTGCGACCCATCCTCGTTCCAGATCTCTGGCTGGGACCAAAAGGTGAAGAACTTCACAGGCTATGGTCTTCCACTCTTCCTTTCCGAATACGGCTGCAACACCAACACCCGAAAGTTTGAGGAGGTCAGCTCTCTGTACTCCACTGATATGACTGGTGTCTACTCCGGTGGCCTGGTGTACGAGTATTCCCAAGAGTCAAGCAAGTACGGCCTTGTGGAGATCAGTGGAGATTCAGTCAAGGAGCTTCCCGACTATGATTCCTTGAAGACAGCCTTCTCGAAGACCTCCAACCCCAAGGGTGATGGCGACTACAACAGCACCGGTGGCGCCGATGCCTGTCCTACAAAGAATGCACCCAACTGGGATGTCGACAGTGACTCCCTGCCTGCCATGCCGGCACCCGCCAAGAAGTATCTGACAGCTGGTGCTGGACAGGGCAAGGGATTCAGTGGTGGAGGCAGCATGGATGCAGGCACCGAATCCACCACAACTGCCACAGCAGGATCCGGCGCTGTCGCTACTGCTACATCTTCCACTTCCAGCACCAGTTCCAAGGGTGCTGCCGCAGGTCTTCAGCCACCTCGCTTTGCGATGGCTCCCATTGCGGTTGGCTTTGTGACTGTTTTGTCCACTCTTCTCGGCGCTAGCCTCATTCTTCTGTAAAATTTCCATCGATTCCCAACCATTTTGAAGCTGTCAACTCTGCCTGTTCATGGGAATGAATTTGTATTTTAGTTTTTTGAAGCCTTGCTCTCAGCTTATCTGGATTTACTGATTAGCAATTGGCTCTTTATGTCTCAGTGGGCCTAAGTGTCCAGTAAATCATCAAACATCATAGGCTTCAACGAAATACACACTTGCAGCCTCGATCAAACTGATAATATATATTTAAACACTTTCAAAGCTAGTTTATCTCATAGTTCTGAACCTTGAGAGGTTGCCGAGTACCACGTAAGCCCCTCAGTTGTTTGTAGTATTTGTTTGTTTTACTGCCTATGATCATAATTAAGCTAACTCATCTCAATACTTACATATGCAATATTTTGAAGATGACTAGGTAGTACTAGGACCTCTGTCATTGATCACTACGCACTATGATATTTTTTCAATTTCCATTTGATGGTTTATGAGACAAAAATCATTAACAGTTGAGGTTGTTCAGTATCATCTTCACATTGAAGATTCAAGTTCAACCTTGGAAGCACTTGAGTTGTCTGAGTTGTCTGAGTTGTCTTGGTTGTTATTTTAAGCTACATAATAATATGATACTATTATTACTCTATCTACTAGTCAAAGGACAACATTTCAAAGCCTACCCCCTGAGTTTGTATACAAGATATTTTGAAATACTATCGGGGACCTTTGATTACCCAACCATCCGCACATTGAAGGGAAGTTCTCTAGCCATTCAAGTTCTTCAACCTTAAGTGTATGCACTGGCAGCGCCTGATCATATGCGAATCTAGTATTATTAATAGGTCTCTATCAAAATAAAACTTGAAACACGCCGAGAACAAGGATTTCTATAACAAAGAGTAATCTGAAGGACTACAAAGCCCGTACTTCAGTCAAATAGGAGTCCACTGGCATTCAATGAAAAAAATGAAGATATTGGATCAAAGCATCATGCTGTCCGAAATTAGAAATTACCACTCCTCTAGGGATGAATGTGCAGTGGTGACCTTTCAACGTTAGAAAGTCTTCAAAAGGAATCTTAGAACCATTCCAACCTTGTATGCCCAGATGTGAGCATATAAAAATATCTCTGTCATGATACAGGACTCGTACTCCCTTTATCAAAGGTTATGTATAGCAACTTGAAGCTACTACCAGTAACTCAAGCTTGAAGTGACCTTGGAATCAAAGTAACCTGAAACTCCCGAATCCAGATTCCGGTCAATGGCGCTTGGTGTAAAGACTTGACCTCAAGAGGGCTGAAGAATTTCAAAGAACTGATATTTAGTATCGAACTCAACATAAATACTTCAAATGTTCTATGGATCCCTGGAGTTTTAGAGACATACACATGCGATTTCCAAGGTTCAATATCAACTGTCATTGAGACTCGAAACTCGAACAACTAGCACGATCGACTGTGACATTTGAACTCGGATCATATCAGTTGATTCCAGCATTTATCCCTTCTCAAATCGTCAAAGTTACGCTTGAATTTACGTCACAGTACTAGTACTAAACATGGCGGCGAAATGGATTACCCCAAACAGGGGAGTAATTCCATTCAAATCGTTTTGGACGCAGCTGGGGTTAACACATCCCAGCAATGCTGATAATCGAGATACTGTGATCAGAGTTATGGAGGAAATCGAGGAAGCAGAAGGATACGTTGAGCACAAAAGCCTACCCAATCAAGACGCATTTAGAAATGCGATTATGGCTCGAAAAGGTGATTTACCTGGTGCTTTATTAGGTAGAATGACGTATGATAGCAAACCTATGAGAGACCTACTCAGACTTTGGACCCAATATCACAGAGTACGAAAAATTGCGCTAGAAGGACAGTTTGACCTGGAAAGGCAAGATATGGCAGATATAAAACAAACACCGGAATGGACATTGCTGAGGCAGATGATTCTATTGAGTCCCGCACAGAAAGCAGAAAAGAAAGCAGAACTAGAAGCGGCAGCAGCAGGAAGAGCAGCGGCAGGAGGAGCAGCGGTACCAGGATCAGCACCGGCACCAGGATCAGCACCAGCACCGGCACCTGGTCCGGCTCCCTTAGTTGCGCCCGGAGACGGGGGGAAGTTTAGCCATAACAGTGAGAATGTGCTTTTTAATGCACCTGTGGTGGTTGCAGTTATGTGGGAGAACCCTCTATATCTCGCGCTGAGTCTAAGCGACTTTCTGCCTCGCCCAGTACCGGACCATGGAGCGCCCGCCGGTGCAGTATATGCTCCAGCTCCAGAGGTGGATGCAGCATACAAGAGCTTTGATGAGATGTGGCTCAATAGCGAAGGGCTCCAACTCGATTGGATGAGACAATTTTGCATTGATCAAGGATATTTGACTTCAGAAGGAAGTATATGGTGGAGCCATGTACCTGTGCATACACTTGATATGGGGGTCGAGGATCATAAAGTCCCTATTGAAAACAATGCCGATTTCCCTATTGTTGTCCGCCATAGCTATGACACACACTACCCATGGTTTTTTGGTCCTCGAAATGATCAGCGGGGTGTGATACCAGGCATCCGGCCTAACTTCACTATGATCATCAGGCCAAATGACCGCGGTGAGCATACCTAATGAAGAGTTTTCGAATTTTAAGTTGCTAACAGATGATTATAGGTTGGCTTCCAGAGAATACAGCACCAGAGGATGAACTGCAATGGGATGAGTGGCTAGCAGAGGAAGATGAGGGAGAGGAGAGAGCACATTCCCGTGACTCGAGTGAGGAGAGGAGTCCTAAGAGGCGTAGGGCCCCTGGAGAAGACCCGCTAAATGTCCCAGTAGAGAGCTATAAAAAGGGTCCGGCAGAGCATATTGAGAGCGTATCGAGTATCTTCCAAAAGATCAAAATCCACAGTTTCAGTAGTCAAGGAAAGGGAGGCTCTAAGAAGTCTAAGAAGGGCTCAAAGAAAAGCAAATCCTCAAAGGGTAAGGGTGTTGTAAAGCGACGAAAACATAAGCACCGGACCAAGGAGAAGGTTGGTTCAGATTGATAATAGCCATTCTGAGCTATTATCATCAAAGAGCTGTCAGAATGTGATACTACACAAGGTGTTGCAAGAGGAATATGGCGGGATGTAATAATTCCTTGGAGTTTGAAGTTGTTTCAACCATCAACTTGAACCGTGGAACATACATCGGCCCCGACTCGGTGGACGGAGATGATAGATTTCTTTTCATACCTGATTTCAAATGTTTGTTTTTATTCAAATTATTGTATTGTAATTCATAAATTCTGCACCCTGCGCGCTCAACAGACACTCAAACTTCAAGTTGAAATTGTAAATATTGCTCCTATAGTAGTACTACTATTAGGTAGTACCTCAGGCTAGAAGTCGCTAGGTAGTTAGTCAAAGTAGTACGGGTAATTCTGTAGCCGCTGCCAGTTCAGAGTAAAGTTGATAGGGGCTCTTATGTATCATTAAAACAATCTATGGAAAACTGCCACGCCACCTGTGCGCATATGCACTCAAGTGCTGTATGCATGTACTTTTCGAGGTTAGGGATAACATGGATGACCTGAAGTGGGGTCGGCAAAATCAGAGACTGTGCCAAACATCACCAACTCTGAAGGGCGGATTATTATATCACTTCTTCGCGACTTCACATTAGCTTTCACCTTCAAGTTAAGATTAATGAAACATTTTTATGGCAGTCTATCTCCTGAAGTCCGAGTCCCTTCGAGTCGTCATTTGAGTGCCCGGATTGAGCATATGTAATATCCAGACATCACGGTGTATAGCTGGTGTGAGTGTTCAAGCCAACGCCCTCAGCAAATAAAGGAATCATTTCCTTGTTTTAAGGACCTGGTGGTAAGCAAAAATCGAGAAACTTAGCAGATAGGATGGTATCAATCATGTCTCTTCAAAGGCGTTCTCGAGTGCGATATCATATCTCTTTTTGTCTTGGATTTTAGTAGCCAAGAATTTCCCAACATCCCTTGTCCAATAGAAAGGCATGAATTCATTGATTTCATCTGAGCGATGCTTTGATAAGAAGGGCTGTATGCGCTTGTAGAAAATTGTAAAAGACCGAGTGGACTGGACAGGGCCAAGGTAAACCAAAAGGTACCAGTATCCCATGCGTCTTCCATTACGCTCGACAGCTGGGGAAGATTTGAGAGGTGATCTTGTGGCGCATTTTTAGACTTTGCGGCCTCAACTTTCCGTAACGCGGTCATCAGCTCTGTTTGATATATGCTGACTTCTTCGACATCAACCATATCGACGGCTTTGTTTGTTAACCAGTATGGAAGTTCGATCATTTGCATCGGCTGGGAGCAAGCCCATTCCAGATCGAGTAGACACCGTTATATGCCAATCTTGACCAACCAAATTGTTACTTTGGTGAAGGTCGGTGAGCGTGAAGACGAAAGGACCTCGACGTTGATCCTGGTCGTAAAACAACGGAGCAATCGCCCGCATTGCGGTCAGTGCTGACATTTGATTACTACAGTCCCCAATATTATTCACTGCGTTTGGCTGATTTTGTAATCGACTGTCGTGAGTACTCAATAGATCCGTTATGTAGGAGTCAACGGTAGAATAAGTATATTCCTGGGGTAGACTTGCTGGAATGTTCTCATTCTCCAATATCTGAAGCTGCATTGTGAGCGGTCGATTGTTCAAGGCCAAGTCACCACTTCTGTCGATAGTAAAATACCCATTGCAAGGCAGAGGGATACTACTCATTTTCAGGAGAATACGAGCAAGATCTCTCATGAAGTTGGTTCTGAGCCTCATGTCATTTCGGCAATCATTCCAGCTGGTTGAAAGCATTGCACCTCGACTTTGTTCAATATATTCAATCAGTAGATATCCGACATCAGCACTCTTCTCCGAGTAATCATCCATTTGAATGAAAAGTGTAATTCGATGGCAATGGGAAAGAAAAATGGCGCAAAAAAACACGTCGTATAGATTGAAAGACGCGACTCAGGAAAGGTAAATTATCGCATCGCGTGTACTAATTTTCAATTAGCCTTGCTTTTGTCATGAAGAGACTCGGAATTTGGCATCATACAGCCTCCCCGGTGGCTAGGCCGAATCCATATAAGTGGGGAATTGGAATATCGGAACAGTTTTGCTGAAGCCAAGCGTAGGCACCCGCCTCACATTTTAGCTTCTCATCTCCATTTCCAGGATAAGTCTTTTCACCGATGCGGTATGGAAGCGGAAAACGAAGAATCACTCGAGAGCCAGTCTGTGATCGATTTGTCCAATTTTGAATTGTCACAGGGATACAAAAGTTAAAGCTACCACGAAACCAATCTTCTAATTCAGCAATTTGGCATGATTGTGTTGATTTAAGCCCAAGATGATGAGCAATCACACCCTTCATCCACTCTTTCCTAGCCGATAAATGGGAAAGGAATGTTTGTTGTTGGTCATAATATTCAAGTTGATGGAGTATATTGAACTCTCGGTCCCTTGCTTGTGAGTGTGTGATTTCTTCTTTAAGAAGATGTCGCGTAGGCGCCATGGCTGGAATGTGACCAGTTTTAATAAAGACGCATAGACACTTCCAATGTTGTACTCTCTAATCTTGAAAAGAAACAATTGAAAAGAAACAACTTGAAGCTGAATATGCAAGTGAGTTACATGAGATACATGACCCCTGAGCTGGACCTGTGCCGGCACATAATATTTCCGGTCCGAAGAAGACTAATACATGTATATTCCGCATGTAGAGCATCTATGTGTACGGCATAGTATAGAATTTATTCAAGGTTTCCATATTCCTAGTCATATTCATTTAACAGATCTGGGCCTGATATATCAATTGATTCAGTTGACGCTCCTGGTTCAGGGCCTCTCCTTTGCGATCCGAAGATCCCTGACATTCAGGGATCTCGACCAGTGAATGGGTTGGACAATTCATTTTCTGCAAATGAATTTTTGGAGCCATGACAATTCTGGAGGGTGGCTGATGCTCGCGCCCAGGCTCCGTTTCTTGCGGTGGATACGTCTTCAGCACATCTCGCATGGTTGAGTTCCAGTCGCTCATCTGCACCAAGAATTTGATATTCACATGAGTGCCTGTCCGTAATCTTTGCTTGGACATGAACAGGCCGCTTCGGATCGCTTATGTGTGCAAATGCTTCGTAACCTCAGCACGCTTGACTTTTAGGAGCTCGTGTTTTCTATCGCCAAAAAGCCTTGGTTTGGCCATCACGAATATACTCGACATAGGCTTCACCAAAAGACAGCACCATGACGTGGAACTGGCGAGTGTTCGAATGTTGTTCTGCTTGAGGAACGCTGCAAATTCTGCCGTTTATTGTCGGCACACTGTTGGATTGCTGTGAATGTTCATTTTGGCAAGACAGTACTTCTCCCAATTCTAAATCATGGTAACACCCACCCATTCGGTAGTACCTCAGATTCTCCACCACATAATGTGGAAAAGTTGAACGGGGTCATGATAAAGCCATCATGTGCTCGTGATTGATCGTCCAGTCCGCTCAAGTTTGGAATGAGCTTGCATAAGACTGGAAATGCTGAAGGTTCTCGTTCCAATCCTTGTATAACTATCTACAGCTAGATGTGACATGGATATATTGGTATCAGGGGTAAATGAGAGATATCTTGGATGTTGCTGCTATGAATCCATCTTTTAGCCTATAATGCTTGTTGAAGCCGGGAGTCTTAAGAGAGAAAGATAAAATGCGTACCTGTGAGACTTGTCGCAACCCAGAAGTATATACTCGGCTTTTGAGATGTCAGCTTTTATCCGGACTTGATGACTTGAGAATGAGTTTAAAGCAGTAAGAAATTCATGTCAGTCAATTAATCGGACAGTAGTGCGTTGATGCCATCTGAGAACGCCCATTGTTTTGTCTTGTTGATATGGTCTCGAAGATGATTTGTTTTTGTCCTGTAATTCTGTTGTCCGGGCTTCTTTAAGCTCACGCTTTGTCGAAATTCTCAACAAATTTGAGTTACCAAATGTCAAAGAGAGGTTCGAGGTGACTCTGCTCTCAATTCAAGTTACCAATGATTCTTGATGTCCTCTGAGTGGGTGCAGATGTCGTAACTTTTGAGAGATCACGTTTCAGTTATTGTATGTCCTCGGGAGGTAAGATGGTTGGGCTCAAGTTCAAGTTCAAGTTAATGTCGAGTTCAGTGGTTCACTGAACTCAACATTTGAACGCATAAGGAAAGATGAGATATGATAACTTCAAGTTGAACTTTGATGTTTGAAGAGTGACGTTGACAATGGTTATTTGTGCTGAAGCAAAGAGATACTGAGGAGTCGATCACATTATCCTTAAAGACTCCATGTACTAGTCACGCCATGAAAACCCACTATCCAATCATCTCTGAGATGTAGAATTTGGTTGTCAGATCTCAGACCTGGAAGATCTTCCAAGGTTAGTATAGCAAGGGTATCGTCGTGCGGTTTCAGTTTTCCAGTTGACTATATTATGCAGCGCCACATGCCCCACTAAGCTATTTCTAGCGAAGGCTGGGAGCTATGTCATGTTTGAAGGAAAGAAGAAATAAAGGTCATTGTTTCATAATATAAACAGATATATCAATTATAGTTTTAGTCACTCAGTTCACAGTGTTATGACAGTGGGTGACAGAGCCGAATCAAAGAACTTGAATTCAAGAGCAATCTTGAACGGGTTCCCGGTGGACCTCATTCTCTGTTACCCCTCGCTACCTACATCAACGGCCTTCCCGTTAGCTTGATTCGGCCGATCAAAACTTCCTGGTCCAACTAGGCTGGACTGCACATTCCGATAATCATGGCAAATGATCTTAAAGCTCTTTTGTCGCCATACGGCCGCCCTTCTCTATGCGACTCGGTCCTTCCAGCACTCCTAGAGGGCATCTCCGGCATCGCAAAGGCGCTCAACCAGTCACAAAATATCAGTCTTGCTGGGACCAACAACGCATTTGGTGATGGCCAACTGAACGTCGACGTCTCTTCAGAGAATCTCATTAGAGAAGCGCTCGCAAAATGTCCCTCTGTCATCACAGCAAGCAGTGAAGAGGATCCTGTGGAACGACTCAACCAAGCTCAGAGTGGCGCTCTCGGATCTGAAAGATACACCGTCGCCTTTGACCCTCTAGATGGGAGCTCGATCATAGCTCCCAACTGGACTGTGGGGACTATCATTGGGATCTGGGAAGGCGACTCTGCGCTAAATCAGCCAGTGGATAAACAAATCGCCGCAATCTTGGGTGTTTACGGCCCACGCACCACAGCCATTGTCGCAGTGAGAGTTCCTGGAAGCGAACCATGCTGTCTTGAAATTGGAATCGGACAGGAGCCATATAGCTATGAGATCGTACGAACGAACGTGCGACTCGCCGAAGCCCCATTCAAGACACGATATTTCGCCCCTGCGAATCTTCGTGCTGCTGCAGAGAGTGAGGCTTACATGCGCCTTGTCACGCACTACATAGAGCAAAAGTACACCTTGCGCTATAGTGGTGGATTGGTCCCGGATGTAGTCCATGCGCTAGTTAAGGGACACGGGATTTATGTTTCACCTGTCACGGGCGCGAGCAAGGCAAAGCTGCGCCGGCTGTATGAGCTTCTCCCTATTGCATTGATCGTCGAGTGTGCTGGAGGGAAGGCTGTCGATCCTTCGAGCGGAGAAGATATTCTGAGTCGGCCATTGGACAATTGTAATGAGAGAGCGGGCCTAGTCTGTGGAACAATGGAGGAAGTGGATTTTGTGAAGAGGACATTGCTTAACGCATAATGAGCTACAACAAAAACGACAACATCAGTTGTTTTCAATTCCTCAATTCTACAAATTCATTCAAGTTGATCTTGACAAGGTCTGTCAGCTCGGCAAAGAAATACCGGAGAAAGTAAAACAATTTTCCAAGAATATGGCGATTCAGCTTCTCAAAGTCATGGCTAAGCGAACAATGGCCCCCACTGCATCGACATGGGAATTAACCATCTTCCGTATAGTCTGATGCACCCGTACGCCACTTGACAGTACAATAATTCATTATCCACTTAAATGTGAAGAATTTGAAGGTCTGTGACATGTAGTGAAAGTTAGATGGACCTTGAGGTAACAAGTCCTTCCCCTCTTATCAATGAAAAAGTTTTGTTCCTGAATTCAATGCTTTAAACTGATATAGCTCAATTCATCTCGAGTTTTTTATTCAAACATTGGAAATTACAAACAGCAGACAGTAAAATAATCAATAATCACCAAGGCTGCATTTTGCCCTCCGTGACGTTTTGAGTCTCTCGTTGAAGTCCAACAATTGTCCTATCTTTCTGCTAGAACGAAATGCCGTCAGCAACTTCAATTATCGGCCTCCTCATAGCCCTGGCGGCTCTATTCCGTGTCTTGAAGATTGGTAGCCGCCCGAAAAATTACCCTCCTGGCCCTCCAACGCTGCCGATCATTGGAAATATCCATCAGGTGTGTTCCATCGAAAACATTCTACTCTGATATTCATTTATCCTAGCTAATACCTGTATCAAGATGCCAACTCGAGATGCTCATTTACAGTTCCAGAGGTGGGCAGAGGAGTATGGACCCATTTACAGCTTAATTCTGGGCACAAAGACGCTGGTCGTACTGTCAACTGACGAGGCTGTGAAAGACCTCCTTGACAAGCGGAGTAACATCTACTCTCATCGACAAGACATGTACATTGGGCAGGAATTGTGCAGTGGTGGTCTCAGGCTACTCATGATGGTAATCCCATGATCTCTCTTCTTGAATGAAATGCAAAGTACTAATAGTTCGATGTAGGGATATGGTCCAAGATGGCGAAAGGTATCCTCTATTCTTCACATTAAATATTTAACCATTGATGGCTTATTCTGCAATAGTTTCGGAAAATGATACATGGTTTGTTGAACGTGGTGATCTCAAAAAAGTATCTGCCATATCAGATACTCGAAAATCAGCAGATGCTGTATGAGTTTTTGACCGAGCCGAATGACTTCCTTCAACACATCCAGCGCTACTCTAACGCACTCACTACAACAATTGTCTATGGCTGGCGCACACCTACCCATAGCGACCCAAAGCTTTTGCAACTATTCGAAGGTGTTGCGGAATTTACAATCATGGCTCAAACTGGAACGGCCGCCATTATTGATTCCTTCCCTTTCCTGCGCTTTCTTCCCGAGTTCCTAATACCAGCCCAGAGGAAGGCGAAGGAGCACCATAAGCGTGAAAAGAAACTCTATCTGGGTCATTGGTTAAATGCCAAACAAGGAAAAGATGAAGGCACTATCGGGTCGTGCTTCTGTACAGGAATGTATGATGCGCAGTTGAATGATGACTTTTCCGATGACCAGGCAGCCTATATCGCAGGAACCTTGCTTGAGGCCGGCTCGGAAACCACATCGAGTACTTTGTACGCGTTTGTACAGGCCATGCTACTATTTCCCGACGTGCAGAAAAGAGCCCAACGCGAGATTGACTCTGTCGTCAGCTCGGAGAGACTACCGACCATGGATGATCTACCTGATTTGCAGTATATCCGAGGTTGCATGAAAGAAACACTTCGCTGGATGCCAACAGCTATTGCTGGTGGGGTCCCCCCATGCTGTCACACAAGATGATTATTATAAGGGATTCATCATTCCCAAGGGTGCAGGAGTTCTGAACAACGTATGGGCCATCCATATGGATCCACAGCGACACCCATCACCCCGAACATTCGATCCCGATCGGTACAAAGATGATTATCAAAGTCTCAGCGACGCGGCCGCAAATAACGATGCTGCCAAAAGGGATGCATTTACCTTTGGAGCTGGTCGTCGAATTTGCCCCGGAATCCATGTTGCAGAGCGCAGTCTCTTTCTTGCGATGTCTCGCATTCTATGGGCTTTCAATATTGAGCCGGTACTTGATGATAATGGCAAGCCTGTTCTACCTGATCCAGATCTCTTGACTCAAGGGTTTGTCTGTATGCCGGAGGAGTTTCCTGCCAAAATTACCCCTAGATCTCAGGAAAGAGCGGATCTCGTCACTAAAGAATGGAAAGAGGCGGAGAAACAAAATCTTGATCCGGAGACTAAGCAGTGGCTTGGGTCGCCGATCGATAATTAGGATGGTTTGGCGCCTGTTTGTCGCTTCCAAATTTTGCGATTGGTGTAGCCTTTTGTTAGACTCGGACAGATCCAAAACTGAAGAGTTGCCGCTTCCTGTTCTTGGTACTTTTATTGTATTGCGACAAATCTGAGGCTAAATCGAAGATTGTGCGATGCATGTAGCTCCAGAAAAGATGATAGGGTACTGCCAGCTTTGTTAGGAAGGGTTCCACAATAAAACTGCTTGGGCCATACTCGATTTAGTAGCAATATGCGCTTGCACATGTAGCTTATACAAAAGAAAATGGCGCGTAGCAGGCTCATTATTCCATAATCATTCCAGCGTTGTCATGGATCGTCTTATCCACAGACGCGTTTCAGACCTCACAGATACCATATTGAATTGGCAATCTTCAGCAGTCCGGATCAAGTCATGAGTTTTATTATTCCTCGGTTGGACTTCATGGGAAAATTGGTGTAAACACAAGGGGTTCTTTGAAAAGGTCTTATTCTGCCGTCGTCTTTCTCACTGTACAATATAAAATGATGGAAGCTGGAAACGAACCGGGGACCTTGAAATCAGGTGTGCATCAGAGGGAGTAGTGAGATGCTGTGAATAGCCTCACTTGATACACCCAGAACCACCACAACACCCTCGATATCTTACTCATTCTTGGTTATTTCTGATTTCTTGAAAAATGAATGGAAATGGCGAGTCTGAAAGTAGTATAGATAAAAATATCAAAAATTTGCAAAATAGATTGTCGCCTGCCGTAGCAGGATTCCCGCCCACCCTCTGGTGTTAACTCAGCTATTGACCAGGGCCAGACCTTCCTGATCAATGCCTCTGTCCTCCCACCCGCCAAGGTAATCCAGAGACCGCTGACAAATAGGCCAGCTGGGCTGAGTTTTCTGACTTTCTCCCCCTAAACTAAACTATGAGGGATCTCTCATTTCCCTTCACCGCGTTTACGCGACTACCTTCCAAACCTTGGAACTGTTACACCAGGTCCACAACATGCCTGGCTCTATGAATATGCCCAATTCTCTTTTTAATCATTCTCCGGTACATGATCATCAAAACCCTCTTATAGCATCCTTCACCTGGGCAGGAACTTACTCGTAGCCTTGCAAAAAAAGACTCTCATAATATCTTGGGATTAGTTATCTTCAAACTTGAATGTTAGCTTCAAGTTGGCAATATATAGTAGTAGTACTACACTTTTTTATTTCCCGGGCTACTAGGATATCCAGAATTTCTTTCTTTGCCTCGAAATGCTTAACCTGAATACTATTCAACCTCAACTTCAAGTTCCAAGGTTGAAGTACTACCACATGCATGTGCGAACTCCGAGGTCAGATATAAAAATTTGAAGTTCATCCAGTTTTATGTATGCAGATGTCTCTTCAAATGTTGCGAGTAGGAACATCATGATGCTTTCATCCAGATGTCCCAATAGTATGTATCAACTTGAACCTATTTGGAGCAGTTGAGGTCTGACAAATTTTCATAACAGATCAGACGAATAATACTATTGTGCATCTCATGGAATGAGGAATTTCCCATGTCAATGGCGTGTGCAGACTAGAGAGAACACGGGCTTCCAGGGCTTAACTTGAAATTTACCATTTAGATTAGCTCGATTTGGTATCTTCTATGTGTTTGGGCAGGCTTTGAGACGTTTCCAAGGTTGAGGACGATACATTACCTAGATGCAAGTGTTTGGTAGCTCGGGATATTTCATCTGGATATTTCTACGCTGTTGAGACCCGTAGACAGCATCACAGAAGCACCTATAAAAATTATTTGCCATGATCTTCTGCTTCAATTGATTAGACCGCTTGTTTTGATATAAGTTTCTCAGACAATTCCCGTCCCTCAGACCCTCGAGCCGTTCAAAGACATTTCACACTGGGAACTTCAAAGGCCGAGTACTCCGCCTACGGTCCTTATCTCTGCGGCAGAGAACAACCGTGCTTTCGGACAGGGGCCAAGTTATTAGCAAAGAGCGAATTTTGGTGACCAGCCAGATATCCCAACAGTTTGCCTATCTATGCAAGCCTTCACGCTGTTGAGCAATATAACTGGACCAAATAGAATGGCCGGCTGGTTTGGTGAGACCATTACACAGAACGGAGGCTTCAGGTTGACCGTCACACATACGAGGTTTAAATAGTCGTTGACCCCCGTCCGTCTCTGGTGGAATTTTCCAGCTTGAGATTTCGATCCAAGGCCAGTTGACAAGATCCGAGTCTTTTACGAGGGAGGGGGCATTCTTTGTCCGAATTCTTTGTCTGAAGCCACGACTTATTCTTCGTTTCTGGTTTCTGGTTCTTCAGCCCAGTCCTCGACACCTATCAGGATGCTCCGTAGCGTCTGAACACAGGGAAAAGTTTCAGGCAGCGGATTCCTAGAGGACTCGAAAGTGTTCTTTCAACTAGGATCGCCGGTATTGGGTGAACCCTGTTCAAAGAATAACTCTGAGTCGTCACACTGATCTTGCGGTGGCAAGGACTCGGACTTTCCTAGAGTTGTGGGGAGGGGCGGGATGAAAAGAAAACAGAAAAAAGGAAGACCAAACTATGACTATCAGCTGCAAGGCCAACTGTACTTGCATCTCCACCGGAATCCATTGATGCAAAAAGTTGTAGGATTGAAGCGGAAGGACAAGTTCAGGTTCCCCGAGCCGTGCTGGCTTTCCCCTCTCTTGTACGTATCAGTTCTAATGAATTGGGGTTCAGCTGCTTAGCTGTCCACAGAAAAAGTACAGCAAAGCAAGTGGGATGTCGTATTTGGGGATGATACGGTGTAGGAGTGGGAATTTTCATTTCGGTTGAAAAATGGTGAGCGGCACGAACAATTGGAAAAGAAAAATGCCTCAGGTATATACAAAATAACGCATACTGGAGCCGTGTGGGGATGCAAATTACAGTACCTTGGATTTTTTTTTTTTGGAAAGCTCTCTTTGTGATTTTATTGGTGAGTTGAGTAGCTTAAATTTCCTTAATTCAGCCTATATTTTCTATTTTTTTTTTTAATTTTTATCTCGAGTAATTCAGTGTGTTTGATATTTTCTATGTGGTCTTTGTAGTGGTTTAGATACTATGAACTCCAAGACTGAGGCTGACGTGCATCTACATGTGCATAGGAGAATCTCAAACTTGATCAAATTGATCGACGCAAATCCTTAGTAGTAAAATATTGCATGTGCAGATAATATTAATATGACATATTGTTACTAGTGAATATCGGTGAAACAAGTTGAAAAATGAAAATTAGATAAAAAAAATAAAAAAACCCCAAGGCTACTGCGCCTGTCAAGAAAATTCTTATTCCTCCAGTGCAACGCCACTTAAGCGAATTAAGACAGCACAGCCACCTCCAGTAAAAGACAAACCGATCATGCTGACCGGGGTCTATGCAAAACAACTCATCACTGTTGGTCTCCTGAAAATCAAGCTAAAAGGTGGGGATCACTCCCCCTAATGCATTCACCAGCCCCATTGTGAACCGAGCGGCCGTTTCTTCTGCCGAGCTAAAGAACCATTTTGGCGGTTAGTAACATTGAAAGTAGTTCTAGTTATAGTACATAGTACATAGTACTAGTACTAGTAGGCGGATAAAGGACTTTGAACCGGAAGCCGGTACTACGTAGAACCATTCCGAATATGTATGAGGCATTTGTAGTTAAGATCTAGCACCGATCTGGCAGCCCGGGAGAGTATCAAATGTGAACACGTACCGGGGAGGGAAATTTCTCCTCCCGCGCCATTTTTATTTTACTAGACTACTAGTAGTACATTATGGAGTACTTGGTCTCTTCCCGTGGGAACAATCTAGTGGAAATTTCTGGTACTTTTCCCAGGCAACCAAAGTAGAATTGAAAAGAAATCCCTCATGCTTATCTTTACTAGTAGAATGAAAATTTCCTTTCTCAAGTACTTCTAAGCCCTAGAGATACAACTTGAACTTTTAAAATGCTCTCGAATATCAATTTTTTCCCAAGCTTTACCTTCAAATTGGAATATTTAAAAAACATATACTAAATCAGGTACATGTACCCTACTAGCCACCTGGTGCTCCGTGCTCCACCTAAAGACCCACGTCTCTAAGATCACTAGTAGATTATGCGCGTGCAAAAAGTGCCGCATGAAAAACAACCGGTTATAGTAGAGTATCTTAGGTCCAAGCTCTTATGGTAAGATCAAAAAAAGCAAAAAAAATATATCAAAAAGTACGGAACCCTCCGAAATGCACGCGCCAGTCCCACCCATGGTCGATCCTGTGGCTGTGGAATCGAATCAAAGATGCAGGATAGTTTCCCACGACACACAGAAACATCGGTATCATGCCCTACATGTATCAGAACTTGAAGGAATTATGGATCTCAAGGGGAATTTTTTTGTGTCATCATATGTCATAGCTCCATGGCCCCTCTCAGTCGGAGTCAGTCCTACCTGAAATAGTAGTAGAAACATTATGGTAAAAAAATTAAAAAAAAGTAATTATGAAATTAAAATTAAAAAAAACAAACCTGAATGGGTCTGAGACGATCAATGGGGTCAACTAAAAAAGCGAAAACCAAAAAGCAATATATAAGCTCTCCTCACCTGGCATTGCTATACCTATTATTTTCATCTTACCGAGGGATGCTTATCGACGGTCATAAGTGGGCTTGTGAAGCTTGCATACGAGGTCACCGTGTGACTAGTTGCAAACATCATGGTATAGAACTCTTCAATTCAATTTTTCTCTTTGCTTTTTTATTTCGAATTAAAGTTATCAAGTCAAAATTGAATCACTAACCACAATTAGATCGACCGTTGATTCGTATCAAACGCAAAGGACGTCCATTTGCAACTTGTTCCGTCTGTAACTCAACACCTTGTGAATCACCAACAGAACATGCGCGACAGAAGCGCGAGGCAGAGCTGAAACATCCTTCAAAAGTAACGCAAACACACACATCGCACAACATGCCATTCCTCCCACCAGGAAGGCAAGATCGTCTCGAGAATCAAGAGAGACGCAGACGGCATGGTGCTGATGCTTTTTGGTTTTAGAAAGCAACGCACGCTAGACTCTATCCGCGCCACCATAATCCGAACGGTTTCCTTCCTATCGCCCCTCGTCCATCGGGCTCTAAAAAGGACGCCCCCAATTCTTCGCAGGTCTCAAGATCCGGTTCTACTTCCGCTTCCGCTTCCGATTCTTATACTCCCGGTTCTCGTGCTCGCGACGAGCGTCTCCCTTCTTCGGCTTCGCTTCGTCGTGACTCGTCTCTTACTGCGGAGTACTGGTCTGGTTCTGAGGGATCGGGTAATGAACTGGATCAGGCTCGTTCGAATGTAATGCTCGGCGAGGCTTCTGATAGTAAGCAGAGTCTTGCACGTTCTGCGCCAGATACTGAGATGATGGATACGACGGTCACGGAGAACATCTTTGATCCACTGTACTCCCTATTGCCTTCGTCGTCTGTCTCTACAGCTCAGTTTACGCAAACTGCGCCTATGATTAGTCCTCTTGAAGGTGCTAATCCGTTTGACTTCCCGTTGGATCCGGCGTTGGGAATGGATGCGGGCACTTTGAGTTATTTGGAGGATATGGATGTCGATGTTACTGAGGGATTGACGGAGGATCTGTTTCATGTGGAGGATTGGTCGAGGTATATGTGGTCGCCGGAGACTGGGTTTGAGCATTTAGATATGGGATACCCCCCAGTGACACGATGACAATTAAGTGTCCCTGTAGGGAATTAAAATGTCATGACTGATGATGATGATTATGAATGATGAGAGGATACTTTTTGGCTAGGATAATCCGAGTCAGTGTTGGAGGTGTTAATAGTGCAAGCAATCATGGTATACGAATTGCACTATAGTACCGCTATTCAACAATGCCAATTCCAGTGGTTGAATGCGAACTTTCAAACTAGATTTCATGAGAATGAATTTCTAAATGCAATCAATTGAGAATGGAAACTGGAGCAAACACAACCGCAAACGCTCCTCTGCTGATGCAAATGCTGAGAGGGCAAAAAATAAACGCCAAACTTGAATGATAGAACAACGCAGAACGCACACAGAAATGGACCACATCACTCTGCTACTATGCCGAGGGTAATCTATACAGATATTCACTTCCAGGGTCTCCTATCTCACACTTGCTGGATATAGTTCGCTGGAACACTCTTGGTAACCCCACCGCGCTCCACATCTGCCCAACCATCGCCACCATCGCGGCTAATCAGAACAAATCGATCGCCCTCCGCCATACTCCACTCCATATCGCTTCGAGCTTCATATTCATACAAAGCCTCGACGTACTGTAATTTCTTCGCGCCCCTTCGCGGTGCCACCGCTGGACCCACCCGCTTTGGTGCCGCGGAGCCAGCCAGCGAGGCTGATGAGTTTGAGTAGGTGGAGCCCGGTCGTTCGTGGAGACCTGGACTAGCTGATGGTGCTGGAGTCGATACTAGATCCACGTATGATGCGGGGACAAGGCCGTCTTGTCGTCCTATGCTAACACGCATCCAACCGGATCCGTCTAGAAATGATTAGCAACTTTAGCTTCCATGGTAATCGTGTTGGTCAAACTTACCATCAGACTCAACGATTATCACATCATCTCCCTCTTGTACTGTTATCTCATCTGGGCCAGCCGCCTCGTATGGATACATCATCTTGCCCTTTGCTTTGGAGGATGCGCTAGACTCCATTGGAGGTGGCGCACTCACATATGCAGCTGGGGGTGGGGCCATCACCCGGTGTCTTCTGCCTGCGGTTGGCTTCGTCTCGGCTATAGGGGCTGGGGCGTCATCTGCCGCATCCTCGGGGGTGGGATGAGTAGCCACATTTGAGACTGAGCGCGCCCCGCTAGCAGCGTAGCCTGAACTTAGAGAGTTCATGGTATTCTGGCGAGTAAGGGATGGCGCGGCTGTTGAGGTGGTAGACGATTCAAGGTCGATCGCAGGCGCAGCTCCAGCTTGTTCTTGTCGAACAACCTTGAGCTTTTTCTTCTCCTCCTTGGACTGTTCACCCGGGCACTCTGCTGGAACCTTCATCTGACATTTACTGTGGCATGTATAACCACAGTCTTGACAGTCGAAGCCCTTGGCAGAGAGACCCCAGATGCGATCGCCACAGTAATCGCAGTTTGTGGGGATCTTGAACGTTTGCGATCGGAAGTTATGGTTCTGAGCTCCAAGAGACAGGTCGCCAGCGACCGCAATAATAGTAGCCGTTTCAACCTCAGCGGTGAGCCATTTGCGATCCACTTCGTGCAAGCTCTCTTGCCACTGGAAGATGTTTCGCACAATCTCAATTTCACTGCGTTTGTCCTTGCCCTGGCGGATGTTCTCCCTGATCTTTCTACTTCCCTCCACTTCGCGTCTTTTTGAGTCCGCCTCCACCCGGAGTTCACGAACCTGTACTTTACTCTTTCCAAGCACATTGCGCAAGAAGATCTTGGCTGCATCATCGACTATGATGGCATCGTCGTCATGCCAAATTGAGCTTGGCTCAAAGCCCATGTTGGCGGGCTCTTGCGACTGAATGGCATTGTGTTGGAGGAACATCATGGAGTCAAGTCGAGGATCATTACGAGGGATCTCGGTCAGAAGATGCGAAGCATGGTTGACACAGTTTGTTAATGCGTTCTTTTCCAGTTGTATGGCCAGGGTCCATATAGCGTTCAACCTTGCCACACGAGTCTCATTGAGGTCTTGCAAACCCTGGATATTATGAGTAAACCATTGCGAGCAATAATGACAGGCTAATCAGACATCATCACTTACATCAATAATCTCCGGGACATACTCATGAAAAAATTTCTCCTTCTGTTTGTTGGTCACATTGATGCTGATCAGGTACAGATTCTATTGAATTTGTTAGATCAAAACCCGACCTTAGACCATTTAGGCCCTACCTTGTAATTGTTCATCTCCAGGATCTGTTGCTGAAATGCGCTCTGTGCCTTGGTTTTACCATGATCAAACGAAGACTCCATCTTCTTTCGGCGTGACTCGACCTCCTGACAAGCACCGTCGTATTTGCCCTTGGCCTTTTTCAATTCTCCGTATGATGCATCCCGCTCTCTTTCTAATTTGCCATGATAATCAGAGTGGCACTTGCGGATCTCCTCATATTGTAACGACGCTTGTTTCAATGGTTCGGCAACATGAGTGACTAACTCCGTGCCAAATTTGTCGCGCTCTGCTGCAAGTGCTTCGACTGTAGTCAATTGTGTTGTCCATGTTGTCAGAGAAGCACTTTCGAGAGACCCTGGAGTCATAGTTGGAGTGTCACCGACACTAAGCGGGCCAATCTTCTTGGCTTTGCGATCATGGTATTTCTTGCAGAGGGCTGACAGTTTAGCAGCATACTCCTTTTCAATCACACTGCGCTCCCGGTAGAAGCTTTGAATCTCGTCCAGCCATGTTATGCCATTTGATACCTGTGCAACGTGGTTGCATTAGCGCCGCCTCGGAAACGTGGTAAGATGACGCGCTGCCGGTGCGGGGGAATGGAAAGGGGAGTCGGTAATGGGAACATACCCAAGCGTTGACAGGCTTGAACGAGTCCTATATGAAGTAGAAATCAATTAGATATGAAAATGCGAAGACTTTAAACGTTCCTGGGGAGGGTATACCTTTAGCTCCGCTCCAAACTGGGGAGCCACGTCTGTTGCCGCCATGGCTGTATGGAGAGCAAGATCAGATCACGCATGAGCTGGGGAGAAATTTCGGGATGAAAAAACGAGTGAACACCAGAGAGACTTCCTTGAATTGTATCTCCTATGGCATAGAATAATCATGCACAATATGCCAGAGACTCACAAAGGCTAAATTGGGGCAGCGAGGCCGATGATCGTAAAGGCGGGGAGCATTGCCTAGTGGTTCCTGTGACAATACAGTATGGCGAATGGAGCTCCATTTTAGGCAGAACAAAGCCATTAAATACTGTTATTACCAAGTGGATACGTTGCCTATCCCTGACCTAATTAGGACTAGCGCAGTTAATTCCGTCATGGCTCGTGGGTTGCTCCTTCCATTTAGATCTTCTTATTCTCACTCTTGCCAATTCCTTCTGCTTCACTGTCAGATTCACTGAACGTGTGTCACAGGCGGGATCGGTCCAATATCTCTTCTGTCCTTCTCGTGAACTTTTCTCTCTCTCGTTCTTCACCGCGCGTGCTTCATTTTTACGGCCATCTTTAGCTACCCCGCGACAGTATCTCTTACATCCCGCGCGACCTACCCAATTCCCTCGAATTTATCAACAGCTACCATGTCTGACTCTGCTACTACTGGTGGTTTACTGGCCGACCGTATTACCAACCCTACCCCCGAGGCTCCTGCAGCTGCTCCTGGTAAGACCAAAAAGCGCAATCGCAAAAAAGAAAAAAACAGACTTGCATACCCCAAACAAGCTACATACAGCAGGAAATGATCTCAAGTATTCATCAATGACTAACGATCTTATTTACTACTAGTCGATGCCCCGAACGCCGAGAACGAAGAGGATGGTGCAGGAGACGCATGCGGAGGTTCTTCGCTCCAGGAGCCTGACTACTCCGTCGAAGTCAAGCTGAGCGACCTGCAGCAGGACCCGGATAACCCCCTCTTCTCAGTGAAGTCTTTCCAGCAGCTTGGCTTGTGAGTATTCTCAGATCAACATTCTGATTTATGGTTCTTGCTGTTTGAAACTGACAAATCTGTGCGCTTCTAGGGATCCACTTATCTTGAAGGGTCTGTCCGTCATGAACTTCCGCAAGCCCTCCAAGGTCCAGGAACGTGCCTTGCCTCTCTTGATGAGCAACCCTCCGAAGAACCTTGTTGGTCAGTCCCAGTCTGGTACCGGAAAGACTGCGGCCTTCACCCTGAACATTTTGAACCGACTGGACCTCTCTACCGAAGAAGCGCAGCTCACTCCCCAGGCTCTGATTTTGGCTCCGACCCGTGAGCTGGCGCGTCAGATCGTTGGTGTGATCCAGATGATGGGCCAGTTCCTCGAGGGTCTGGTCATCGGTACTGCTGTGCCTACCGACGCCGCCAACCGTCCTACCCGCATGCAATGCTCTGTCGTTGTTGGTACTCCCGGTACTGTCCAAGATATGATCAAGAAGCGTATCATGAACCCCACTCAGCTCCGGGTTCTTGTGCTGGATGAGGCCGACAACATGCTTGACCAGCAAGGAATGGGTGACCAGTGTATCCGTGTCAAGGCGTAAGTTTATGGCGTCCACTCCAAACCTCGCAAGTCTAACTGACGGTACCCAACAGTATGCTCCCGCGCACCATCCAAGTCGTTCTCTTCTCTGCCACTTTCCCCGCGCACGTCCACCAATATGCAGGCAAATTCGCTCCTGGTGCCAACGAGATCACGCTGAAGCATGACGAGTTGACCGTTGAGGGCATCAAGCAGCTTTACATGGACTGTGATGATGACGAGCAGAAGTACAACAACCTGGTTCATCTCTACGGCTTGCTGACCGTCGGCTCCTCTATTATTTTCGTCAAGGCGAGTAACTATCTATTACTCTCAGATCTTCCACGCTGACAACCATTCCAGACTCGTAGTTCCGCTGCGGAGATCGAACGTCGCATGCTTGCCGAGGGTCACACCGTTGCCTCGCTTACCGGTGGCATCGAGGGAACCCAGCGAGATGCGGTTATTGACTCTTTCCGTTCCGGAGAGGCTAAGGTCCTTATCACCACCAACGTTCTTGCTCGTGGTATTGATGTCTCAACCGTTTCCCTGGTTGTTAACTACGTGAGTTTCCCCTGGTGACGGGAATTCTGATTTCTTTAATCATATTAACCTTTTTTCCTTTATAGGATATCCCCCAGGCCTTCGAAAACAACAGCCGCACGAATGAGCCCGACTACCAGACTTACTTGCACCGTATTGGCCGAACTGGTCGCTTTGGCCGTATTGGCGTTGCTATCACCTTCGTTGCGAACCGCCAGGAGTGGGAGATGCTTCGTATGATCCAGACCCACTTCTTGTGCCAGATCGACCGCATCGACACTGGTGACTGGGACGGCGTCGAGGAGATGATCAAGAAGACGATCAAGAACTCGCGTGCTCAGGCCAAGTTTGCCCAGTAATAGGAGGCACCTCGTCGGGTTGGTTGATCCCAATGATCGCCCACTCATGTATGAAGATTTACGAATCCCCCATCTTTTCTTTGCTTCTCGGCAATCTGTATGGATAGCTGCAAGAACAATTAGATACCAAGTTACCTTTTTTCTTCTTCTCCAATACCTACTAGTAACATATTCATTACCGACTGGGTATATCTCAAATAATACTCATAAAATGAAGATTAGAAGTTCCATGTCACTGCCACACTGGCACAGATTCAGCTGAACCTTGGAAGTGGGGTAGTGACCCCCAGCCGATCACCATCAGTGGCCGCCGCCCAGAACTAAAAAACAATGTTATGTGGGTCAGATCCAATGTCAACCATATCTATAGATTAAAATCATCCAGATTGCGCAAGATTAGAGAAACCCAAATCTCAGCGATGTTGGTTTACTTCTTATTGGAATCAAAACAATGACGTGGAAGATAAAGTAAACCGATAGCAGTGCGGGGGAGGTCACATGGCCGACACTGCAATCAAACCGGCTTTGTCCTGCATCTTTCTTTTCCCCTTTCTTCATCCCTCTTTTCATCATGATAGACCCTGAACCTACTCCTGAAATGCCTGAACCTACCCCTTCAATCCCCGACTTCCCCGAGGTCGCGGTACAGCAAACATATCATCGTAGGGACATGTCTGAACTTGTACTGACACACCGACAAAGAGGAAATGCTGACAAACGTTATCTACAGCTAACAACATACCCCGGTCAAAGTGGAATTGACCCCGTACCCTTGGAATGGGGTGCATCGGATTCAAAAGCTCGCGGCCCGATTGTCGTCTCCCGTAGCGGTAACTTGGTGAAACGCCGCAACGCTATCGGCGCCCATGGAGGCAGTTATAGTATTTACAACGCCTTAGCTATTGCCTCCGGTGATTTAGATGCAGACTTCAAGCCTGATCTACGGAATAGTCAGCCTGTCTTCAACTTTCCCTGGCAACCTGCCTGGGCCGATAAGGCGAAGATAGTATCGATGGACCCTTATGGCCATGATATCGTGAACCAATATAAGGCGGAGTTGGAGGCTGGTTGGGATATTCGACCTACTATGGCAGTTACCAGAGCAAACATGAAACTTGCTGAGATTGCTGATGCAGTACGTGACGGTCAGCTTGAGGTTGATGGTACAATTGTCGTGGACTCCTCTGGTGAAGTTCGGGTGACGAAGGTTGCTGTTGAGCCGGTATGGTATTTACCTGGCGTAGCAGCAAGATTCGGAGTTGATGAGGGGACTCTACGTCGAACTCTGTTTGAACATACTGGTGGTAGCTATCCCGAGCTGATCACCCGGCCGGACCTGAAGGTATTCCTCCCACCGATTGGAGGTCTTACCGTTTATATCTTTGGACCACCGGAACGAATCTCGGATGAGAATGTCAAGCTTGCGCTACGAATCCATGATGAGTGCAATGGCAGCGACGTCTTTCAGTCGGATATCTGTACCTGTCGACCTTATCTCGCCTTCGGTATTCGAGAAGCAATTCGCGAGGCTCAGAATGGTGGAAGCGGCGTGGTGATTTATTTCCGCAAAGAAGGCCGTGCTTTGGGTGAAGTGATTAAGTACTTGGTTTACAATGCGCGCAAACGTGGTGGAGACACTGCGGATAAGTATTTCACCCGAACAGAAAACATTGCTGGAGTTCGAGATGTAAGTAAACAATTCCCTGTCACTCCATGATGGTGTTCTGTCGACTTAACGGAGACTTTTCATATATAGATGCGATTCCAAGCCCTGATGCCGGACATTCTTCATTGGCTTGGCATTAAGAAGATTGATTACATGCTATCAATGTCTAACATGAAGCATGACGCCATCGTGGACAGTGGGATCAAGATTCTTGAACGAATTCCTATCCCTGAAGATATGATTCCTGATGATTCTCGCGTGGAGATTGATGCGAAGATCAATGCGGGCTACTTCACAACAGGAAAGCAATTTACGATGGATGAATTAGCTCAGGTTCGTGGGCGTGGCTGGGAGAAATGGGAGGATATTACAGTAAGTACTAGCTCCCGAAGCAACTCCGCTGTCCACCTGGCAGTGGGTACATACTAACATCTTTGCAGCACTAAACACGGTATGACATCACGAGAATTTGATGATAGAGGAGCGGAGAAGGGAGTCGTATTTCGGGATATTTTTTTCTAGGATTTACATGAGTTCATACTTGAGCATTACACTTGGGATTGGAATCAAAATCACATTTTTTCTTCACTTGAGAAACATCGTAGGGACTGTATATGGATATGTAGTAGTCCATAGAATGAAGCTATCCTAAATTGAGAAGGTCCTTGCTACTTTTAAACTCAATAAGTCCTCATTACTGCCATCAGACATGAGCGGATAAGATCTGTTCCCGCTGCCTAGTATAGTTTTCACATATTACATGAAAGTTAGCGAGTCAGTTCTTCATGGATCGAAGGAATGGCTGTGACGGCAATTGGCGTGGCAGACGACGCTTGAAAAAGGCGGGATTGCCTCCGTCGAATATGCGGTGGCGGTGTATTGCGCCCTACTCCATCCATTGAATCCAATAAATTGGATAGCTGGCCACGCACCATATGAGGTTAGCAGGAGGTTGAAACCCTTTCGTATCGTCAATACATAAATGATAAGGGAAGACAAGTTAGATGGACAGCAGATAGCAACACAATCCATGATTCAAGGCGAGCTATGGACCTTGTTTTGAGTCCCAATTCCACTCAATGCGCAGAGTAGCATTTACACGAATTGAGTAATGGAGCTAGTCGGGCCAATGACGCAAAGTTTGTCAGTCCGAAGAGCGTTGGGCTCCATTTTCGAGGCTTCTTGAACCGTAGCCCCCTTGCGAGAGAGGGGCATTTTTGCTCTTTTCTTTAAAAAAAAACAAAACCCCCCGACACCGGATGTTTGACCCACATGTCGCTCTAGCCCTGCCTGATGCTCTCTCATTCGTCCTTGTCACCGTCACTCAAGTTCCGGGGGCAACCGGTGCGGTGAAGTGGAGACGCTACAAGATCTGATAAGATCAGACCGCGCACTCATTCTTTCACCCGCGCGCCACCCAGTGGGGTGCCAAGGCTGATGATCCTGGGTTTTGCGCAAATTTTGAGACGGTAAGAAAAACTCTGACTGCGTGAAAAGACATTTTGAACACATGAGAAGATGATAATAAGTGCTGTGGGAAGGATTATGGTGTTTTGTTAAGAACAAAGAGAGTCACGATCACATGTCAATGGCTGAGTCATCAAGAAAAGGGGTGTATCAAAGGCCACCAATGAAAATCAATATAGATTACGACGTCAATACGGTATTGGGACGGCCAAATTCCGCCCCTGGGGCTGTGTTCCACACAGTAAATCAAAATTACTGTTAAAATACATTTCTCCGTGACTGCCGAGGAGCCGGAAGTGCAGCGAGCCGCGATCATACGACTAGAAAGGCTAAAAATGGCAAACTGCTACGCTCCTTTATGCTGGCAGAAGACAGTAACAACAACACTTGTTCAATGACCATTAAGAATACCGATTTAACTATTGATACTTGAATTGACCGATTCTGTGTAGCGCTTCCTGCACCCTGGTCCACAATTCACACCATTTGGCGATGATCGGCTTCGTGGAAGATTGAATTGGAGAATCCACTCACCCCATTTCCAAAGGGCCCGCCGGCGCTACTTACGCTACTGCAAAGTGTGGGTATCTCTCTGCCTAGCTGCTCCTAATGCGCTCATGACTCTAACTGTTTCCCCCTCTCTCAAGTTTTCTTACCTTTCCCTACATGCTGTTCAACATCGCTAGCTAGTACTACTCGGATTTATACTACGTCCTCAAATCCAGCCATCGAGTTCAGTAAGTTTTGCTCACTGGCAGCATTTGATATCTCAAGATTATCCGCCAATGGCCGAAGCTTGCGTCTAGCAAGGCTAGTCCCTTGAAGCTTCTGCTAACCATTCATGTCGCATTCATAGCTAACATATGATCTAGCCTGGAACACCGTACGGGTTGCCCTTTTCCATATCTAACTTCACATTTGTAGCGTGGACCGAAGCTCCTCGCTACGGATGATCAGCCTTTGCCACCATGTCAGCCCCCGGCATGGAAAGTGACTTCCAGCTCTTCTCTCCACGCCGCCAGTCCGGAGGGGATTCTCGTGGGATGTATCAGAACCAAACCATGGATAATCATAATCAAGATTGGACCCAGTGGATGCGATGGGATGAACCCGCCTTTACCGAGAATGGTCAGACGCATATCGATTCCTCTGTCGACCACTCATTCATTTCCCCACATACGACTATGAACTCCTCCCCCAATCAGTGTCAAAATCAGGACTTCTCCCCACAGCTTCCACTCGGACTCATGGAAATTCCATCCGACAATAACTTCCAGAGAGGTTCAATCGTCTCCAACTTCCCGGGTCAGTCCGGTCTTGTTTCTCCAATCTCTAGCGTGGGGGTCAGCAGAAAGCGGAAAACTGGAAGTGATGACGATGCTACAACTGTAACTGGACCTATCCAATCGGGACCGGCCAAGAAGATGCCGGCGAAGAAGCGTGCCCATAATGTGATTGAAAAACGATACCGAGCCAACTTAAACGAGAAAATCGCCGAATTGCGTGACAGCGTGCCGAGTTTACGAACAACAAAGAACGCCAATGGTGACTCCAATGAAGATGACGATGATGGGGAGGGAACACAATCTGCGAGCAAGTTGAATAAAGCTTCCATCTTGTCCAAGGCTACCGAATACATCAAACACCTCGAGATCCGAAATAAGAGACTGGAAGACGAGAATACCGCTCTCAAGAATCGCCTTCGCCAAGTTGACAAAGCAGCTGACCAGGCTGTTACATCCGCTGCCTCCGTTTCATCGCCTAGTAACTACACTGCTTCCAGTGAATCCTGCGCCGGAACATCACCAAGCGTCTTCTCTCAGCCTGAAGAAGCTACGAGCGATAGTTCCCCAACAGCTTCCCATCCTCCCGAGGGAATGATCAAGGTACCTGATGCATTCAGGCGGATGCGTGAGGAGGGCAAGAAAGGCATCTTTGGCGAATCATACATCACATCCACGCCCAGGAATGGTGACTCCAACTTGGGCCACGAAAATGGGTCTCGACGTCGCTCAAAGTTGCCCAACAAATACATGCTGGGAGCTCTTGCCGGTCTCATGGTACTTGAGGGCTTTGGCTCAGAAGAGTCTGAGTCTGAGGCGAAAGGCCTGTTCGCTCTCCCTCTGAACCTACTCCATCGCTTGCGGTCCCCCATTCTCGCTCACGGGGAGTTCTACTTGAAGAATTTCTGGTATTCGTGGCATGCTCGGGCAATCTCTCATTTCTTACTACTTATGACTTTGGTAGTTGGAAGTGCATTCATTGTATTTGTTTATCTCTTCAACGCTCAACCCGTCACAGGACATCCCCCTCCAAAGGCAGTCAGCGAGGGCAAAAATGCACAACCCACCTCCAGTGATTTCCGACGACAGGCATGGCTTACTAGTATGCAACGAGTTGGTGTTCCACGTCATCGCTTCTTCCGCGAATGGTATGTGGTGACCTCGCGATGCTTCGAGTATGTTCTGCGATGTTTCATGGGCTGGAAACTCTATTCTTGGGCGACAGGAATCACAGAAGAAGATGAGAAGGGCCGTGTGAAAACATGGGATATTGCTATCGATGCTCAGCTCACTGGAGGTGATGCTGAGATTAGCAAGAGCCGTCTGGTCCTGACCATCTTTGCTGCAGGAACACTTCCCAGCAGCCCCATGCGAATGATTCTCAAGGCGTTACATGTACGCATTCTTCTTTATAGAGTCGGGGAGTATGGCTCTTGGTCTTTCCGTGTCTCCAATGATATTGCTCGCGCTCTTGCGAACTACCAGTGGGGCGTTGCGAGAGAAATCCACAATGCTCTCCCTGAGGGCCACCCCGACCAACTTCCTCCTCACTTGGCAGAACTTATCAAACTCGACTGCGACGATGTGATGATTGATTCTATTATCCAGCGAGCTGTGAATTTGACTTGGAATCGTCCAACTCAAGAAGGCGCTGGAGATGATGCCGTCCTGCTTGACGTGGTTGAAGAGGACCCAGCTATTCAATGCTCCGTGGATGCTCTTGCAGCTTGGTGGTCAAGTCATCTTCTCCAGAGTGCCATTCTGAAGTATCTGGAAGCTAGCGCGGGCGGTCCTGTATCCAAAGCGAGCCGTGACACCTTCAAGGAAAAGATCTGCATGGCTCTTGATGTTGCTCCTCGACTTTCTGCAGCTTACAGTCGCGCTTTGGTTATGAAGGCGGTCTTCTTTGATCAGGACCGCATCAAGAATGTCGGCGCTGTACTTTCTGCTCTTCCCAAGCCCAAGGACAAGCGCAAGGGTGAATGGAACCAGGCAGCGAACTTTCTTGACTCATCACTTCCAGTATCGGTCCGTGATGAGATCTCTATTGCTGTCCGCTGTGCCATGATTGCCGCCATTGTTACAGCTCGATCCAATGGCGACACTACTCTCCCAGCCTCCTTCACTATTCAAAAGGCCATAAATTGGTTCAACCAATTGCCAATCGACCCTGTTGAGCTGAGCCTGATTGGCTTCTCTTCAGTCTACCACTTGCTACATCTATTGGCCTCGGATGTTGATTACATCGCTTCTTCTGATTCATCTGCACCATCTTCTCAAGTCTCAGACCCTGGATCATCCGCCGACGACGAAGCCGAAGAAAAGCCACGCATCTCTCGCAAATTCGCTCTCTGCCCACGCGACATCCCCAATCTCGGACGTGTCGCTGCTGAGCTCATCTACTGGTCTCGAAATGCGTACAACCCAGCATTCTATGGCTTCTCGTCTAGTCTCGTTGAAATAATCGTCAAGTCCTGCACTTCCCTTTGCAAAGATGCCGGGATCAATGTCGATGACTTTTTGAACACGCCACCAGAGCCAATCCCCTCTCGGAAGCGGAAATCTCGACGTCGCCGAGGTGGCTCGGAGCAGTGCTTCCAGAGTGATGCGGATCAAGACTTGATCGAGACACGCATTGCTAAGCCCCTGGGTCGAGAACGCTCTGCTAGTAATGATACAGGATATGGAAGTCTTAGCCTCGAAGAGGATGTTCCGACTATTCCCCTGTTCCTGAGCAGGTTTAAGACATCAAGTTGCAAATGTTCTTCCTTGGATGGATTTCTTATAGCGATGGCGTTTTTGTTCTTTGTTTAAATGGTTATGTTTGATAAAAACAGCCACCTCGCAATTTGCGATGGTTTTGGGAGAAAAATATGGATTGGGAATGCGGACTCGGCGCACAGAGGCGTTTGGGCTTCATCTCAACTGGTACATTACTTGTATGTAGAACTACTAGTATGAATTAATTGTACCCTATTCTGGGAATGATCTTGGCTCACTAGTAGTACATATCTTTCACTGTCCCTTTTTGCATCGATTCTAAATACAGTTGCCAGTGCTTACTTGAGCTGCTTGATACTATAGTACTAGTACCTGGACACCTCACCCTTGGAAGGTCTTTTTAGAGTCATCATATTCGCCCTACTATACCCATGGACCGTTGGAAGTTGAATTGCCTGGGGTCTCGACTCGCTTCGCTGCTGGTGCATACATTTACGCCCTCGACTGTATCAAACACCTATGCCAAACCAGACTGCTCATGACGCAAGACTACAAAATCTACACACTTGAGCGATTAAAATGCTTACTCTTTGTCATTCACTTTGTTCCTTCAGGTTGCTAATTTACTACTCATGTATGTGAATGGCTCGTCTTCTGTGGTCTAGTAACGCCAGCTTCCTCAAAAGAGAATCAGTGTACCCCATGCACTTCATAGGATCCTCCACATTCACAAAAGCGGACAAATGAGAATCAATGCGAGGAGGGCCTACGCAGTCTAGATCCTATGATCGAGAAAATGCACATGTGGGCTTTCGATCACTGTCGGAAGTGGGATTCGGAAGTGTACAAGGAGCTGAGAACTTCGGCAGTTGTGTCATAGTTTCTAGTAGTCAGCTTCCGAGATTATAAGAGCCCTATGAACATCACTGGCAGTTTTCTCCATGTTCATGCCCCAACTATTCCTCTCTTAGAAGGTGCTGTGGGGAAGGAATTGCGTAGCATGGTGTCAACGGGTGCATGTTTCTGCCATGCTACCTTGTCTCCACAATGATCGAGCTGCTCTATTGTTAAAATGTAGTGTTACAGTTGCGTTCCAAAGAATTAAGTTCTTTTTCAGGCTATTTCCCCGGGGAGACCGAGATCCGAGTCGATGTATAGTACATTATGACGTCGGAACGCCTTCAAGCCACTCCGGCTATCATGAATCATGGTGAAGCCTTTCGGGCCAAAAGAGATATATAGGATGAAAGTATTAGGACACACAGTCTCAATACATAGTTTCCGATGCAATTGTGTCAGAATAATTAAGTTTTTAGAGGCTGAATGTCATATTCGGTCAAGGGGCAAGTGTTAAGGGTACCGCACACGGGGAAGGGGAGAAAGCTCGGACCATCTATATAACATTCCGTTTTCAGAACTTCACTTGAATTGAATGATCGGCGTCTAAGCCGGTATGTTCGCCTGTCATCCCTTGAACCTGTTTGTGAAGGCCCAAGTTGTGTAGGATCTTGTTATTCGTCACCGGCAGATGTCATAGGGCACATCCTAGTCCGCAAGTGATTGGTTTATGCACATCAACCATGGAGTTTATGCACCACGCACACACGAGAGGGCCTTCCATTCAGGTCTCTCCTTGATTGATCCTTGGTTCCAAGATCTAAGATCTAGACTTTAAACTTTTAGCATGCTCGGGCCACTTACCGTGCGCATAAAGCCGAATAAGCTTATGATAGTCTCCATCAGTTCCTTCGATTTAACTCCCCCCCAATTCGGCTGGTTACACTCACGCTTGCGTGGGCCTAGGAATGACGATATTTTCAATTCGGCAGGAATCAATAGCCAGGGCCCAGCCGTTCAGGGGTCCATGACGGCATCCATGAACGGATGCACCCAATGCCACTCAATCATGGACTCGGATGAGATTGACTTTCATTTTCTCCACGCGAAAACCATTCATTCTTATTTATTCTTTTCTTCTTTTAATACGTCCTCTTAATCTTCAAGAATCGCGCCTCTCCTTTCTTCCCGGTCTATGCGTCCGAGGAGTTGTTGGACATCCACGCTTGTGGGACGGTTGATAACGGCATATTATTCGACGCTTTCCTTCCTCCCCCGATCTATATACTACGGCTCTCCATATACATGACAGGATGGGTGTTCAACTCAAAGGAAATGGCCATGGAGAGCCGCCCATGAATCCAGAGGTTGCGGTTCCTCTCTTTGTTCTCGGGGGAATTGTCGTTATCATGTTCCTATATCGAAGTGTGATTCGGATTCGCCATCGCCGACGCTCAAAAACAGCCTTGCAGGTGGATGATCAGACTCAAATTTCCCAAACAAATGGCCTCAATGCAAACTTGAAAAAGCATATTCTGTATGCGCCGCTTTGGGGATCCCGCCACAGTCGAGAGTTTCGGTTTCTTCGCCTGCATATGGGTTCACTGCCCTTGCGGCTAGAACTGATTCTCTTGATTGTTTATATCTGTCTCAATATCGTGTTTGTCATCGTGACAGTGGACTGGTGGGAGGAATTTTCCATGAAGATGTTTCAATTGAAGTATGCTGCAGGTCACCTGGCTGTAATGAACACGCCAGGTCTCGTCTTAAGTGCAGGACGCAACAATCCGTTGGTGGCTATGCTTGGACTCTCTTTTGACACCTTCAATTTCATGCATCGTTGGGTTGGACGCATCATTGCAGCAAATGCTATCATTCATATGAGCGCTGTGTTGGCGAACCAGGCTTACGTCAGTAGGTGCTATCCAGATTCACAGGTCGATGATCAAATCAAAGCTAACAATGCGATTTTAGATGGGGTGGATTACATTCTCTATACCATTTGGCAGCAATCGTTCTATATCTTCGGTCTTGTGGTATGACTTCATTCACAACACAATTGATATTGTAGGATGACAATTCTGACAATCCTGTTTCATATAGGCGCTCCTGGGATTCGTTTTCATCGTCCTACAATCTCTATCACCACTCCGTCATTCCTTTTACGAGCTATTCCTTCATTTACATATTGCTCTGGCTATCATGTCCTTCGTGGCTCTATGGTATCATCTCAAAAATCTGACGCAACAGCGAGTGCTTCTGGGAACCCTGATCTTGTGGGGTCTAGATAGAGCTGGTCGACTTGCAATCCTTATTTGGAGAAATTGTGGCAAGCGCCGCACAACCGCTACCATTGAAGCTCTTCCAGGCTCAGTTGCAAAGGTTGATGTGGAGGTCTCACGTGCTTGGAATTTCCGCCCTGGTCAGTATATGTATCTCTATATGCCTTGTTTAGGGCTGTGGACATCACATCCATTTACCGTTGCTTGGTCATACACAAGAGAGTCGTCGCTGGATCTGAGCGAGAAGCGTAGCTCAAGTGATTCCTTTGCTGCACTTATTGGTGGTAATCAGACGACTACTATGTCAGTTTTGATCAAGGGTCAAGATGGGTTTACTAAGAAGCTGCTTCAAAAAGCGGAAAACTCGCCCGATGGAAGAATTCAGGCAATGGCGTTGGCAGAGGGTCCTTTCGGTACGTATATTAACCCGAGCTACGATGTCTCATCCAAGGAACTTAAGCTAATATCTTAATAGGCGGTATTCATTCATTGGCATCTTATGGAACTCTGCTACTGGTAGCTGGAGGCATCGGCGTTACACATGCAATGTCCTACTTGCATGAGGTTGTCACCAATTTCACATCTCGGAAAACGGCAACACGAAAAGTTCATCTAGTTTGGATGATCCGAAGTCTTGGTAAGACTTATCCCTTGACATCGGAAGATAGATTTACTAACATCTCTTAGATCACTTGACATGGATTCAAACATGGATGCTTGACATTCTTGGACACGACGCGCTTAACACGTCCATCGATCCTCAGGGAGACACGTATTTCCAGTTCCCTGGTCTCATGCTGTCTATTAAAATCCATATTACTGGTCATAAGGAGAGTGTTGAGGAGTATCTTCCAGCAGCCGAGACTCCGTGGACGGAGTGCGCACCTTCCAACGTGCCTGTGGCCGTTGAATATGGCAAGCCATGCTTCAAGAAATTATTGGAGAATGAAAAAGCAGAGCAGGTTGGTGCTTTGGCAGTCAGTGTCTGTGGCCCTGGTGGTCTTGGTGACAGTGTTCGTGAAGCCGTTCGTAATGTACAGGGCGAGAAGACAGTGGATCTTTTTGAAGAAGCCTTCTCGTGGTGATTATAACGGATTAAAACCAGGCTGGTCTGGCGTTGGAGTTATCGTAAATATGTTGAATGTTTTAGCTGAGATGAATGCTAGTATATTATGAACAATCTATATCTATTGAAATTATGATGATATCAACTTGAACTGGTAGTGGTCAACTGGAAATGGCTCGGAAGTATGTACGTGGTAGGCTCCAGGGAGAACCAGACACTGCCAGGTGCCCAGGTGGCAGATGCGATTACTAGGACTGCACATGTGTGGCGTGAATGGATGGAATTTCAGGATACTCGTCAGCCGATCTGCTCAGAGTCTGGTATTCAATTTCACACGGAGCGATGATCTATTCCAGATATCATTATTTATGACAAAGGCTTCACACTCTCGGCTCTCCTCGGTATCCCATACCCAACCAGCAACATCGCACAGACCATTAAGAGGTTATTATTTTGTAAGATTACCCCACGCTCAACCCCACAAGAAACAGGAACTGGCAATTTCCTGGCTTTAGACGACGATAGTGGCTGAAGCCATGCCGTATAGTGGATCCCGAAGCGGTATTTGCCGCTGTTGCGCCCTGAGCGGCAAGTTGAGTCTGTAGGCTCAATCAAATCATTCAACCTATTGGGATCCAATATGGAATCAATATCGTCTTCTTCTCATCCGCTGCCAATCCCCTGGGAACTCGATTTGTTGCTACAGTCAGTCTTCTTTTCGATGTTTAATAGGCCAGCAGAGTCATGATTCAATGTGACGGGCATGTCGTTCATCTTCTCCCCTGGAGACTAACCAAGGAAAGCAAAGAAAGCAAATTCTGCGATGCTGATCTTAATTCAAGTTGTTCGGTTTCTCTTGTTTTATTATGACACACGACCACCCGCCGCCATGGGGTCAGTCTAAGTGGATCTACGAATTGGAGACCTAAGAATATGAAAGGAATTGGACTCAGTGACCACATGGCATATTTCCCTTTGGTAGCCTGAGCGACTTCCAAATTCAATACTTGCGCTAATTGCACAGAAATCATGACAACCACCTTCTCTTCTTTACCAATTGTCGATGTTGGGCCTCTTGGAGCTCCCGGTGGAGCATCTGAGGAGGAATTGACGGCTCTCAGCGAGCGTCTTTACGATGTTTTCGCGACAACAGGTTTTGCATATCTTGTGAATGTCCTTCTCAGCTACAACCATGAGACAGTGTTCAATATTTCGCGAGAATTCTTCGCACTTCCAGAAGAGGAGAAAATGAAGCTTGCCAAATGGTCCTTTCGACTTGACCAACACAACACTTACCGAGGGTCAATACCATTTTGCTATATTTCAAGAGAAGACCGATACCGATGAAAATAAATGGTAGATATTTTCCCACGCAACCAGAGTTAGCGAACGACAATCTGAAAGAACGCTTTGAGATGGGCCCCATGCAACCAATCCGCACGCGATCTACATCGCCTTCCTCCAAATTCAACTTGACTGAACCGAATATCTGGCCCGATACGACTATCTTCCATAGGCGCTCTCAACTAGAGGCTCTCTACGCCGAACTACAAGCCCTCACTTCTAACCTGCTGTCCCTCCTGGCGACCTCGTTGGGCAAACCAGCAGATTATTTCGCACCCTATCTGGAAGATTCCCTAAGCACCCTGCGACTTCTACATTACCCGCCTGTAGCATCTACTGCCTCTGTTTCTGGATCCACCAATTCAGATGAGGTCAAGCTCAGTAGTACACCACATACCGATAGCGGCATCTTGACTCTGTTGCACCAGGATTCAACTGGTGGGTTGGAGGTGCGCAATTCCACCGGTGAGTGGATTGCGGCTCCGTATATCCCGGAATCTCTCGTAGTCAATATCGGGGATCTAATGGCCAAGGTCTCCGGTGGACGCTTCGTCGCTACCATGCATCGGGTTCGCGCCCCTGCGCTGAATGCATCCGCTTCAGCAATAGGACGACAGAATGGTGAGGCTGGAGCCAAAGCTCTTGGACGTATCAGTGTTCCTTTTTTGAGCTTGGTGAAAATTGTTTGGTAAAGTCTGTGGATGGTGATGAGGGATTCGTTTTGTATGGTGAGCATGTTCGTGCGAAGATGAAGACTTGGGTGGAATTTCAGGATGAAGATAACTAAACTTTTTGAACTCGTTTAAAGACTGGAAGTATAGTTATAGAAAGTCCATTCATTGCTTTGTACTGTTGAAAGTACAGTTACATGGGATCAATTCTAGTCAACCTGTAAATGCCCGCTATTAAACGCTGTCACCTTGAATGTTTCTATCGCAACAACCGAACCATACCATGTAGATAATCCTCCAGCTTTCCAATATTTCTCTCTCCAGTTTATCAAATCAGTTCTAATATAACACCACGTACTTGGACTCGCCACCACTGAACGCCTGTTTGATTTAGGACGCCTGATCTATAGCCCAGTTGAACAACTCCCCAATCGCACTGCTCACAACCGATGTGCGAGGAATTTCATGACCGCCTCCATGGTTGAATACTCGACGGTTTTCAGGATTGCAAGCGCCAGATAACTGCAGCCCAGCGAGAAATCGAGGATCTTTAGATCCATAGACATGCACAGTTGGAATCGAAATCTGAACAGGACCCTTGATCTCATCTCTTATTTCTTCCTCCGTGAGACCTTTCTCACTGAAATCACCCTTCCATCTCTTCCCACCTCCTTGTAAAATTGCCTCCGAGCTAGCCATTACACCCAGTGCCATTCGTGATTGTTCATCGCGCTCCCGAATTGCGGGGGTAATGATAAACCCAAGTTCCGTCATAAAGGGTAATGAGAGGCCGCCGCAGTGAAAGATAGCTGCCTTGAAGGGAAGTGGGAGATGAGGCGTTTCCAGCTCGTGTAAAAGAAGGTATGAAGAAGCGAGGACATTTCCCTGAGAAAATCCCATCACTACATCATATGGACCATTTTGATCGATGTAGTTTCGTAGCCAGTTAATGCCCGCGTATGTATCTGCGGGCGTGGTATTGTCCATAAATGAGTAATAAGGAGGAGGATAGAATAGATCGATCCCTGGTGCGGCGTTTGAATCTAAGGGTCCATCTACCCAATCGAATTCGATGTCTTTTCTGGATATTTGCGACCGAAACGATGCTAGGCGGGGTTAGGTGTCGGTGGCTTTTTTGGAGGGGATCATCCTTCCTTACACGTCTGCGATTTGAAGATCGAACCGCTGGTGCCTTTTCCATGAAGACAGAGAACTCTCATATTTATTTTGAAGATGGCGCTTGGATGGTTGAATTGGTGTAGGAGGAAAGTTCTCTTGAGTGAAATATTGCGAATATTTCAAGTTTGCTGACGGTGGATACACACAAGGATTCCAAGGTTATTTTGGGGGCCATAATAAGCAAATCTGACTCGGATTATTCTCATCGAAATTCAAAGGAAATTGTGAAATCAATAATCTAGAGCATTCTCTCGGTGATTTCGGACTGATTCAAGTAAGGGACTAAATATTATGCAGACCGACATTTACATTTGTACCTCGTGGAATTCGGGATAAGTGGGGGTTTATGACATGGCATCAGCTCAGCGTTAAAGTAGCGATACTCGGAGTATCCAGATGTCTGCATACTATAATAAAACTATTGGTGATCGAGTAACACTAGTAGTGATTCAGAGTAAAGAAATTATTCAGCTGAGCATCAGAATGTTCTAGACCATGGATCCTGGACTCCGTACTCCGTTCATCCTCTACTCGTACTTCATGTATACTCCGTACTCCGTACTAGCATTGACTTCAGACGCCATGTGTCTTATCATCCCTCCCATGTGACCTCTAAGATATGGAGAATTGATCCTTCCGGTTTATATACATGCATTAGTTTGAATCGAGGGTCCGTGTCCCGAAATAGATGGTCCCAGTCCAAGCGTGTACGCTCTTGGGCATTCGTGAGAGTAAACATATACAAGTCGTAGTCCCTAGTCTCGGTTAGCTTTAATTTACATTTCGACAATTACCTATATTTCGCTAGGAAGAAGTATTAGAACACATACCTCGATTCTCGCTCCAAAAGATAATGGGCTTCTCCGAATCCAGGGATGACCCGGTCATTGAGAATGATCTTAGCACCCGGTTTTAATGCAGGAATTAGCGCTTTGAGAATCTTGCGTGCATATGTATTCGACCAATCATGGAGCACATGTCGTAACAAATAAATATCTGCATCCTTCACCGGTTGCTCTTGAAAGAAGTCATGCGCTTGGAACCGAACCCGACTTTCGAGTTCTGTGGGGAGCATTTGTTTTCCCTGTGCCACATATTCAGGAAGATCTTGGACAATGCATTTCACGCTGGGGTTGTGAGATGCTAGTGCCTGGGAAATATGACCAATGCCACCACCTATATCAACGACTGTGGTCTCACCATCATTGAATGGGAAATGATCGATAAGATATTTTGGTGAGAAGCCAGGTAAACGGTTATGCCATGCCATCGCTTTGGAGAATATGGCTGCTCGCTCTGGCGTGTTGGCCACAGCTGAAAATACCGGTAGATCTGTTGAATTATTAAAACTCCAAGCCTATTTCATGTCATTAGTCACTGTATACGTGTGCATGCTTAAGACGTACACTATCTTTCGGCTCTTCTGAATATCCATTTTCTAGTAAAAGTTCAGGGATCTAGGGAAAGACTTCATTAGTAGTGAATAGATGGGATATTGGAAGTGTTGAATAAAACATACTCGAAAAGCAGCTGGCATCGTCTCTCCCAGCCCGAACAAGCACCAATTCTGCATCCCCTCATTTTCCGCAAGCAACTGTGAGCTCGCAGTATGTATAAAGTAGTCAGGCCTGGACTGGAAGAAGACATGGTAAGTGGCGGCATGCGACATAAGTCGACGGACAATATTCTCGTCCATCTTGATCTTTTTCGCCAAATCGGGCACAGAAATTCCCTCCTCTGGTACATGGTCATGAATCTTCAGTCGGACGATTGGGAAAATACTCAAAGATGGATTTCGCTGTAATGATCAGCATGTTGAACAACTCGAGCGACTTGGTTCACCTACAGTCTCTGGACTGAGATGCTTGCTAGGTTCGGTGAGAAGGTCGCGAAATTCATCCAACAAGCAGGTCAACTTCAGACACATAGACATCGCAGCAGTATCCGCTTCCTCCAAATCACTTCTAAGAGCAGGCGGTAACCCATGTTCAAAGGTCGGCTCTGGTTGATTGTGTTTCGCGAGTTTATCTGCTAGAAACCGAGCAGCCTCACTGATTTCTTCAGCTCGACTGATAAGATTGGACCGATCCATCTTGGAATTATGGTCGGATTGTCGTCCAGTATCAGATGTGACAGTCATGGTAGAAAGTGACGTGGTCTCGCAGGTTCTTGCCCTCGCAGATTTATGGGGAAATAGTTGTTTCCTTATATTGGCATACTCACCTGCAAGGGTTGTTGATCTAAATCTGATACATCACCACATGTCCAGGTGAGCATCGGGCAAGTACCGCCACTGACCAATAAAGTCTTCTGAACTTGGTAGATCGATTAGTCTTACATTCGTCTATTTTAGGTTGTACGTCGTACATTTCCCAGATTTTCTCTTTGGATCGACTCCTCATCCGCATTTTACCAACATCAACCCACATCCTCAATCTCCCACTCCCTGGTCAATAATATCGGAACCTTTGCATTAACATAAATTGCAAACATAAAGGACTGATCATTTTATACATTGTGATTTTTCTTCAGCTTGTCATTTATATTCCTGCTCTACCAACCTCGTACTTACCGGGTACTGGTATCAAGCATGACTACCCAAAAGGCGATCGTAGTCACCCAACCCGGGACGGTATCTCTGGTTACTGATCGACCGATCCCCGCTTTGCGCGATGACATGATCCTTGTCAAAACCGTTGCTGTGAGCCTGAACCCGGCCGATTGGAAAAGTATCGAAGATTTTGCTCCGCCAGGCGCATTGGTGGGAAATGACTTCTCTGGCACCGTTGAAGCCGTCGGTCCTGGTGTCAAAAAGGCATGGAAGAAAGGCGATCGTATCTGTGGAACATCTCATGGCTCCAATATTGTTCAGCACGAAGATGGAACTTTTGCAGAGTACATTGTGACCAGAGGAGATATTGCAATAATGGTGCCTGACAACTTGAGCTTTCAAGAGGCTACCACTGCTGGAGTTGGCATCATCACTATTGGTCAAGCTGCGGCCAATCTGAACCTCGCTTCACCCACAGAGCCCATCACGGATGCGACGCCTATCCTTATATATGGTGGTTCTACCGCGACCGGAACTCTGGCAATTCAATATGCGAAGTTGTCGGGTTACACTGTCATCACTACGTGCTCCCCGCACAACTTTGATCTAGTGCGAAGTCTCGGGGCAGATAGTTTCTTCGATTACAATGAACCAGGCTGTGCGGCTGCGATTCGCAGACTTACAAAGGATAACCTGAAGCTTGTCCTTGACTGTATTTCATTGCAACCGAGTGCGAACTTTTGTGATGATGCTATCTCTACCTCGGGCGGGGAATACTTGGCTCTCTTGCCGGTAAAGATCGAGCGGGAAAATGTGAATGATCGCGGAATTCTGGGGTATACCAGTCTCGGCGCAGCCTTCAAATTTGGAGACATTGACTTCCCAGCTTTTCCCGAACACAGGGCACATGCAGAGAAGTTTGTTCTTCTGGCGGAGGATCTTATCCGAGGAGGTAAAATGAAGCTTCATCCGCATTTGGTTGGCGAGGGTGGCTTACAGGGTGTTTTGGAGGGACTCAAACTTCTCAAAGAAGGCAAGGTCAGCGGAAAGAAACTGGTATACAACGTTGAGGAAACTCCTCAAGTGCTTGAATGTAGTATGCATTTATGTGTATCATCATCTTCAGTACTTGTCCAAGCATGAAATGAATAATGAAGCCTATACTCCGTACAAGTCTATGCAACCTTGGTATCTGCTCCTCTGAAACCAGTAATGATTCAACATAATTTTAAGTTTATTTTTCATAAAACTGTTGTTTTTTTCTTAATGCTCCTTATTTTTCCCACGTTGCATCCACCCTTTTCACTGTAACTATGACCCACGGGCCACATGTACATGCGCTTCTACTCAAATCCACTCGGAAGAATATTCATGCTGGTTCAAGTTATCAAGCTCGCGTCGATCAAGTACCGAGGCGAGATTTGCTTTGATATCAGGCACCATGATTATAAATTTCCCAAATTTTACTGGCTTGGAAAGAATCTTCCAACCGATTGATCCACTATAGTTCCCTGGACCCTGTGCGCATTACCGTTTGTAGTTTAACCTCCATCGATGTGGCGTCGAGAATGCAAACTGATGCAAACTTCTGAGCTGGCAGAAATATTGTCAACTAATAGAATCATGATATACTTACACCGCTATCGTCGAATCCGGTTTAGTCTCCGCAGCTTCAGCATCAAAGCCGCTTAGCTCAGCATGTACTCTTGGGGAATGACATTTACCATTGAAAAGTGTGGAATGCTGATGGGTATATAAAATGGATGCCATGTGTCTCACAGATGAGAAAAGAATCATTCTATCATCTTCCCTCTTCACTTCATCCATATATTGATTTCTTGAATTCTCAATATGCCATTCCAATACAAGAAGGTCTTAGTTATCGGTGCCACATCTGGCATTGGCAAGGAGCTGGCCAACAAGTTTGTGGAGAATGGAACCCCATTGATTATTGCCGGCCGAAGAAAGGAGAATCTCGATGTTTTTGTGCAGCAACACGGTGCCGAGAAGGTCAAGTCCAAGGTCTTCGATGTTATGCAACTGGACCAGGTGTGTACTCCATGATCTTGAATGCATCACTTTTTCTGGAATCTAATCGTTTGGAAACAGATCACTCAGTTCGCTTCGGAAGTTATTGCTGAGAATCCGGATCTGGATTGTATCTTCGTCAACTCTGGCATCCAGCGGCCCTTCGATTTCTCCAAGCCGGAGACCGTCGACCTGGATATCTTCGACCAAGAACTCATCACCAACTATACCGCGGCTGTTCGTATTTCGAAGGCCTTCATTCCTCATCTACAGAAGCAACAGACCCAGACTGCTCTTGCTTTCACCACTTCCCAAATGGCTCTCGTCCCCATGATGCGCTGTCCCAATTATGGTGCATCCAAAGCTGCCCTTCACCATTTCATCCTTGCCCTCCGAACTCAGCTGAACGATGGGCCTGGCAACGTTAAAGTGTTGGAGATTTACCCGCCTGCCGTCCAAACGGAGCTACACGATGCTAAGCACCAGCCCGATCTCAAGGATGGCCACTTGATCGGCATGCCGCTGCAGGAGTTCATTGATGAGGTCTGGACTCGTCTGTCCAATGGAGAGGATCAGATCGCCGTCGGTTCTGCCAATGACATCTACGAGGCTTTTGAGGTCAAGCGACAGGAGCTGTACCATCAAATGACGGAAATGCTGTCAGGTTTGATCAAGCAGTTCCTGCGGTAAACATGCCAAATCACTGAATTTTGAATTTGCTTTACATGTTCGCATAGACCGATTTGATATAGACATACCCTAGATGAAGGCTTTGCATTTCATATACATCACATCATTTGCATCAAATAATCACAATTATCTTTCATATCCACAGTATATGCATATAGACTCAAATGGTATATGGCTTTGGTGGAGGAAATGGTATCGAGGAAACCCTCTTCCCTTTGCATGCAGCTAGAATCAACGCGCCAAACGGGGGGACATTATGGAAACAACCGCTCTCCAAAGCATCAGAGTACCCATGTAAAGAAATCATGGAGTCCTCCGCATTCGGTGCGTCAGTCGCCCACGTCTCATCCGAGTCATCATCCCAAAGGTTGGTCCGTACATCGAAAGGTAGTGCATCCACAAAAGGTGTACGGACGGAGTAATTTCGCGTATCAAGAGAATATGTACTCTTCAGTATCAAGCTTACAATAATAGTTCGTCGAACACTCTCTGCTAAAAGCCAGGCATGTCGGCGGCTCAATGTCGGTGGTAGCTGAACAGGTGCCTGCTGCCATAATCGTCCTGCAATTCCGTCGAGCATGATACTGATATTCTCCGAGTACTGATCAGGATCACCACCTTTATTCAAAGCCAGAATACACTGCGCCAGAAGCAAAGCTTGAGAACAGCCCAATAACTCCTCAAATGACAGGGACTGATTAAAGCGACGATGCAGCTCAGCAGATCTTTGATGAAGAAGGGGAAGAAGATTACCAGGTGAATCTCCCTGTTCGGCTTGGATATGCAGTTTACAAAGTGCTTGCATGTCGCGGATTGAGGCAGGAAGACCAGAAGTATAGAGGTCCGGGTGGACGAACATTGTCTTGCAGCTTGTCGCAAAAGTGATCGGGAACGTGCGCAAGCCATTCACCAGGAATCGAATGGCTGCTGGGTCATATTCCTTGGGGATCTCCAGCCGGAGAGGGATATGTATCGTAGGGGACGGAGTGCTTGAGGTCCGGCTATGAGGGCTTGCTCGCTTTCTTGACGGTATTCCAGCACTATTCGTGACTGCCAGTGGTGCATTGATATACTCGCAACCTATACCTCTCATCTCGCATCGAGAACACCGTGGCGACCGCTGATCACATCTCCTCTTACCCCTGGCACATGCTTGGCATGATCTGCGTAGTGTAACGGCTTTCAGGCTAGTAGCGGGCATTTTGAAATGTGGAGAGGGTTTGCACTAGTAAATGAAGGTAATGCATAGGCTCAAGAATGCTCATGTGGATTTCAGGATTGGTCAGATTGATCATTCAAGCGGACAGTGCTGCCGCGCGTCAAGAGCTCACGCCATCGAGTCACGTGCATTCGCTGACGTATTATAAACATTTCAGTATGATTTGGTTGTCTGAAAAACATGTATTCCTTGTACAAGAGGTTGATGTGAAATCGAATTATTTTCGAATCTATAGAATCGCATCATTTACAGAGCTACTTAAGCTTATCATGTCGGCAATCGGCAGCTGAAATGCCCAATTATTGTGGGTCCTAGCTTATTTCATACGTAGTCGACCTCCAGGGCTTGACGTATACATCTTGGCAAGTATTATAAAAGTGCCTAAAATGGCTATGTATGTACGGAGTGCTCCATACTGCTATGGTATATGCGCAGACTTTTAACTCCCTATGGCTATCCACATGATACTCCAGGGCTATCCAGCCTGAGATTGATGTCAGATCTCAACATGTAGTGCTCCTATGTACTACTATTGAGGTTTTTGGAATCCCATACATATGTATGAACCGTTAAAAAGGTGAATAGACAAAAAATAACTCATCAAGACATAATCTTTCTAATTCGTTTAATCTCCACCTATTGCAGTTTACACAGAGAACTCCAAACTTGTTGCTCTTTTATAACAATAGGCGGTGACAGAGCGGCAGAATCTGTGGCAGCCAATCACTGCCCCACTCTGTTATTGGTCAAAAATCTCACTTTGAGCTTCATCTTGAACTTGGTCTCTCTACACTTCGTTTCACCTCCCCACTCTTGTTAATACGGACTCGATACCACAATGGCTGCGCCTATTGCATCAATCTCAAATGCATTCCGGGCCGATGGCTCTGCATCTTACAAGTGTCCCATCACAGGCTACCGCGTGCTCGCCGCTGTGAACGCTCCCGTTGAGCTGCCTGCTCGCAAGGGTGCTCTCAAACCCCAAGAAGCTACCGTTGAAGTTTCTATCAGACCTGGAAAGCTTTCTCCATCAGTTGTAGAGAAGTCGGCTGAGTCAATTCTGCGTCGTATGCTGAGCAGTGTGATCCTTCGTCGCCAAGCGGGCTACCCTCGTCGCGGTGTGGTTATCACACTGGCAGTGGTGGAAGGTGAGCCGGTAGGACGAACTGGCACTGTGAGTTTTCCATGGCCCAGCCAAGAGCAATGATTTTCGAGGCACTAACAGACACAGTATCTCCCTCTCATGCCAGCACTGCTTCATTCTTCTTTGCTCGCTTTACTTTCCGCTGCCGTTCCTCTGTCATGTACCTTCCTTACTCTCTTTTTCGCCGTGACTCGTTCGGGTGAAATTGTTCGCGATCCATCCCCAGCGACCACAAAAGATGCGGAGTCTCTTCATGTTATCAGTTTCTCCTCCACAGGGCGCACTCTGATGGACCTAGTCGAGGGGCCTTGCGATCTGGAAATTTGGGCAACGATTCGGCAACAAGCCAAGGATATTTACCAGGGAGCTGCGGTACCTGGTCCCGACGGCGATATTTCTATGGATGAAGAGTCGAGCAATGCTCCCGGTGGAATCATTCGTGAAACCGTGGAGGACCGTCTGCGCCGTGACTATCGCTGGGAGTTTGAGACATTATGAGGATAGTTCAATTCATACGACAAGGCAGTACATTTCAGGACCAGCGCAAATCGGTGATTATTGAAGGGGTCTCTCTAGCCAACAGCTTCAGATGACACAATTTCCGAGAGAGCAGGCCGTTCACCAACAATCATCTCTATCTCGGTCACGGTCCCTTCATCTAATCTCACCATACGAGGGCGGAGTGTGACGAGCATTGTGGCTTCGTCGCACAAACTATCACCTGACCGCCACCAAATTTACGAAGCACATTTCTTACCTGCTCTCCTCTGGGTCAATCGCTGTGACCCCTCGGCCATGAATGGATACACTTTCCTGGACTTGAGCATGCTCCCCCGGTTTTGCAAAACCTCGAATCGCCTTCAAGTGATGTCCACTTTCTCGCGAGCCAGCAGACAAAGGACTGAGCGGAGTTAATTGCACTGGATCGGATTCAACAGACTTACGATCTTAACCCCGGTGATTACCCAGAACAATAACGGTAGACATAAAGTGTGCTCCAATAATAGATAGAAGCTATTCCTATCTTAAAAAAGAAAAGTACTCTAGGGCTCCTAGCCTGCTTATCATCTTTGTTCATTGGTTGTAGTAGTTTCCCCTCTTTTAAGCCATAGCTTGCATCGTCTTATTTTTTAAGATTTGGCATAATTTCCCACTCCTTCGAGTCGATAATAATAGCTCACCGAAAAGGTAACATTTGATGATAACATGTATTTCCAATCATCAATATAATCTGTGTGCAAGATGCAAGACGCAAAATTTTGGATGTAGACGTCACTTCGCTTAGATTGGATGCCGCATCGCCGGTTAAGGGAAAGGAAGAATGGACCAAAGTACTACTAGTAAGGATTGATAATTAAATAATTTGAAAATTACCGAATAATAAATAGAGCCTACTAGGTAGAATGTGGTCTTCCTTGCTCTGGGTACATTCTTGATGAAATCACATCAGAGTTGCGGTCTGATTTCTCACCAGGGTAATATAGCAGCATACCCTCTACTAATATTCTACATATCATCCACATCAACTGCATATCTCACCGCAAATCTCACACAATATCCCTGTTCTTTTTCCCTCAGGCCAAGCTCACAAGTACCCTTGAAAGCCCCCACCGATCGGGGCGGCCCCCTAGGAGTTGATCCGAGCGCCGATATCCCTGGTCGCAGATCCACGGGGTTAGAAGACGGTAGAATCAAAGAAGCAAAAGCAAGTCCAAAATCATCTTATTTGGAAAGGCCCCGAAACAAGGCGCCTCACGCATTGATCTCTTCAATTTCCTGGGAAGAGAAATAAGGGCGTCCCAAAAGTTCCCCTTGTTACATCCGAACCCCGGCTTTCGCGGCTTTCGCATAATTCGCGACACACTGGGTCTCTTTTTTTTGGTCTTTTACTATCCCTCTGGAATCCTGCCGAGGACCAATCTAACTCATGGCGTCGCCCGGCAATAATTCACCCCGATCTGACAACTTACCCTCGACATCCGCGTCATTGCGCTCACATTTATCTCCGTCCCCAACTGCCAGCGCCCCACCTCCCCCGTCCACATCAACCGTCGGCGCGGCGCTCCTCCGCGATTATGCCCTCCACATAGAGCCCTCCCAGACACACGATATCCCCCCAACGAGAATCTACCCCACGAGACCCTGGCAGCGGCGCGCTGCCTTCCGACAAGATAGACTCGACACAGGAGGAGGCCGCTTGGTCGCTGCCCTCCTCGACTTTGCGCCGATTTCGTCAGAAATCCATCTCTGGACCTCGCCCGCAAAAGGCAAAGGCGCTATCCACCGACTGCATCCCACGACAGACCATCATGAAAGCCCTTGCCTCAAGAACATCTCTGTCCAATACCAGTCTCGGTTCCGGCTCGAACAACTCTTCGACCTCGACAAGTTCCTGGTCTGAGCTGGTCGCCAACAAAAACAATAGTGCCAACCAGAGCCCGCCCTCATCAGACGAACGGGAACGTCGGTGTAGCAATGCGTCATCTCAGCGATTATCTGCCGCGCTTTCCAACTTGCAACTCAATAGCTACCCTGCCACAGCTCGAATGGTGATGCAATCGCCATGTTATTTCCATCAGCGCTTTGACGATGCGGTTAACATTAAGAAAGTACTCGAGGAAATCGCCGATGATGAGTGGTTGTCGCATTCGCGACTGGTGCAAACTGCCACGGGGGTTCGAGAGGTATCAAAACAATTACAGCGACGGCCAATCAAACGCGCAGTTCGTAATGTCATGATCGTTACTAAGGCACGCGACAATAGTTTGGTCCTCTTAACAAGGCAGCTCGCAGAGTGGCTGCTTTCAACCCCGCGTTATGGAAGTGACCTTGGGGTGAACGTGTATGTTGATGCTAAGTTACGGAACTCCAAACGGTTCGACGCGCCGGGCCTCCTGCAAAAGGAACCACGGTTCACTCAGATGCTGCACTTCTGGACCCCTGATCTATGTTGGACGTCACCGGATAAATTTGATTTGGTTCTGACACTCGGAGGAGATGGAACGGTGCTGTTTACTTCATGGTTGTTCCAACGTGTTGTGCCGCCGGTCTTCTGTTTCTCTCTCGGAAGTCTGGGATTCCTCACCAATTTCGAATTTTCGGAATACAGGTCACATCTTAATGCTATCATGGGCGATGTTGGTATGCGTGTCAACTTGCGCATGCGGTTCACTTGTACAGTGTTTCGAAAGGATCGGAGTAAAGGAGCGGAGGTCGGGGCAGTTGAGGAGGGTGAACAGTTTGAAGTATTGAATGAAGTTGTAATCGACCGAGGGCCATCTCCTTATGTGTCGAATCTGGAATTATATGCCGATAATGAGCTGTTGACTGTGGTCCAAGCGGATGGCTGTATATTCTCCACGCCCACAGGTTTGTTCTGATCCTGATTGCATCCATCCTACTTCTCAAATCTAACAATTCATTTAGGCTCAACTGCTTATTCTTTGTCCGCTGGCGGCTCCCTTATGCATCCCTCTATCCCTGGAATTCTTCTCACTCCCATCTGTCCTCACACTCTCTCCTTCCGTCCGATGGTCCTCTCCGACTCCCACCTCCTTCGCATTGCAGTTCCAAATACTTCGCGATCGACCGCTTACTGTTCCTTCGATGGTAAAGGTCGTGTCGAGCTTCGTCAAGGTGATTATGTCACCGTTGAAGCTAGTCAATATCCTTTCCCCACAGTTGTCTCCGACAGCGGCGAGTGGTTCACCAGTGTTCAGCGCGCTCTTCGTTGGAACACTCGAGGTGCCGTTCAAAAAGGTTGGGATGGTGCTGCAGATGGTGATCCCGATCTTAACGGCGAGGAAGAAGAGCAATGGGATATCGACACTGACACTGGGCCTACCGGTACTGATAGTGGTATCGGTGCTAGTGAAGATGGCGATGCTTTTTCACCAAATCCCATGCGACGACAAATGAGCTTGCTCAATATGTGACCACTCCCCAACCATCCATAACCTCCTTCATATCTTTTTCCTCTTCTTGTTTTGTCATGACCATATATACCTTCCCATCGTTTTGTCACTGGCGTTTCTGCGATATACTCCGCATGTGGCTTGCATCCATCAAGACCATTTCACGGATAGATTCATGATTTCTTTTCCCCCCCTGTGTTGTTATGATGAGTTTAGATGCTTGAGCGGTCACTACATTACTTTCCCCTCGTGTCTTTCGGTGGACATGTACCTGTCAGGTTATATCGCATGGTTGTTCATACTAGACAGTCTCTACCTCTAATTACAGCGAGGCTTGCTTGTTTCGGGCATTGAACACTAGTACTGTCGTCCAGAGTTTCCTTCAGCCCTCTGAATAGTACATTCTTGTCTTTCGATCCCGAAAATATCCATGAATACCAATTATCCATCCCTCGCGATACCACGAAGATCAGCTATGACAAACTTAATAATAGTCGATGGCATACTGGTACCAGAGGACAAATTTCATTCAAGGACCGAAATTATATTCTAACTTGAATACTTAGGTTACTTCACATGTTGAGGTTCCATCCATGGAAGTCTTCATGTAACCTCGTCTACAATTCGATTGAGTTTTGCAGATCGGCATCTACACTGAAACGTGACAATCTTGGAATGTTTCGCTTTGATTAAGGGTCCAAATGAACTCTTCATCTACAAATATAAGAGTATTCCACATCCATCTCCAGGGCTTTATTCCAGTTCCATCACATCAGCAAAGCAACCCCTCCAGAACATCAAAATGAAACCCCCATCCCGTTTCTTCCAATCAGCCATCCTGGCCTCCATCTTCCAAGCCTCAGAAGCCCTAGTCGGTCTATCATGGAGTATATCCAATACCCCCTCAACAGGTCTCCAAGACATAACCTTCCCAATCTCCATGCCCAACGCACCCCATGTTTCAGGCTTCTACTTCGCAGAACAATTCAATTTCAAAGACCAATCGGATGTAGGATATACCGGTCTCCAACCTCGCGAGGATACCGAGTCCTCATCAGTCATCCACGCCGTATTCTCCAGTTTCATCAACGGAACCACATCCAGTGATAGTAACTGCAGTGATGGAGCAGATGGTGGTGCTGGGGTTAGTTGTTCTGTTGATGTCGATGCAAGCTATGCACATGGTTATCGACTACAAATTAAGAATACGGGTGGAACTACTTGGTCTGGAACTTTGATTGATGTCGTTACCAATGATGAAACGCATATTGGGGCTTATACGCTTCCTGAGGATTCTGGTGGCATTTTGGGAAGCCAGGTTGGCTTTGTTGAGTATTATCCCTGGAATTCCCAGGCTGAACATTCTTGTGCTGCTTTGCCCATGACTGAGGTTACCTTTGGGATTCCTACTACTGAGACTGGGGAGCTGGGGAGCTTGGATAAGCCTTATGAGTACGGGGATTGTGTCGGGGAGGCTGGATTTCAGACTGTGGAGACTGATGATGGGTATACCGTTTTTGTTGGGTTTTGATATGTCCAACTTCAAGTTGGATAGTCCTCGTTTGTTGATCTCGATTGTCTTTCTCTTGCAGTCCCAAAATTCGAATGTTCATATACGCAAGGTGAAGCTATGTACTCGGCTGACTAGTATTATTACTATGTTCAAGTTTCTTTACGGCATATCAATATCTACATAGTATGGGTGTCTTTCCTTATGGGTACACAGTGCAGACCAGTATCATAATCTCATATAGCATCTTGCTGGATACCACACCGACGAATATCGCACTTAAAAGATCGCAGCTTCATGCCTCGATCTAAGATCTTGAAAGTTCATGTTTGAAACACTCCACACGCTCGGACGCGCCGTATCACTTAGCACGGTCCTGGTCCCTGGTCCCTGCGTTAATTCCCCGCAACGCCGATCTTCAAGCTATGATCTACAGAGATTGAGTATAGGTCTTGCTATAATGTGCATACATGCTACAAGCGATACAAAAGAGAGTGGTCTCAAGATACTATTATTCACAAATAAATACTAGTAGCACGCTATCTTGTACATCAACTCCAATGAAGAATTGCAGAGATGAGCATATTTATGAAAAATTTCATGTATACTCATCGTCGAAATCCTGCATTATACACATCTTAATCATATTACCCGTAACACATAAGAAAGAAAAGAGAAAAGGTTTTTGGTATCACGAAGCATCTGTCAACAAATTGCAATTACCAATCACAGCTCTCAGCCAGGATCTCAGCCAGCTGCTCCAGGTATTTCTTATCGACCTCATCAAACCCAGAAGGGAGGGTACAATCGATATCAATAATAGCGACGGTCTAAAAGAGAAACACATTAGTACATTCACCTTCGCACACATCTCATTGAATGACTTACCTCGCCTCGAACAAGAATAGGAACCACAATCTCACTACGACTATCCGCATCGCATGCAATGTGGCCCGGGAACTCATGAACATCCGGTACGACAACAGTCTGCTGACTAGCAGCCGCTGTGCCGCAGACACCCTTTCCGAAACTAATCTGCTGACAAGCTGGTTTTCCGTGGAAGGGACCCAGAAGCAGGACTTGGTTCTCGGGAGAGGCGTATGTGGTGGAAATGGTTACACCGGGGATACCATCGCTGCCTGGCAATGGTGGGGAGGAGACTGGGGAGGCAAGAGCGGGGAATTTATCATCACGGATGTAGAAGCCGGCCCAGTTGACGGCGGAGGAAGGGGAGGGGAGGGCGGCATAGGCGTGCCAGAGGAGGGAGGAGACGTTGGAGAGGTTGCTATTTTTGTGGTTAGTTTTGGATATTCAGGTAGATTTTGCAGCTGCATAGGTGTAGCTGGTTAGGACTAGAGTGTGATTATAGTCCGGTATGTCTTACCTGACCTGTTTAGAAGAAATTCATCGTTAGCTGGTTCTGACGCGGGGTTGCGATCTTGACTGTTGGGATCGCGGCGCGGAGCTACTTACCCAATTGCGTTGTCCGTCAAGGAGACCCTTTGCTTGTGATAAGACCTGCTCGTAGATGTCGGCCTTGGAAGAACCAGGGAAAAAGTAGGAGGAGTCGGCGTGAGGCTAATTTTTTGTTAGCGGAGTTCTGATGTGATGGACGCTGGCGCCAATGTTCAATTGAATGCGCCAAGGGAAGGAGAGTCCGCGACACAAGAGTAACATACCATGATGACAGCAAGACAAGCAGATATTTGAAAGAGTAGAGGATAGAGAGTAGAGGATAGAGAGTAGAGTCGAGGGAGAGTTGAGAATTAGAAATCGAGATTCAATGTGGAGACTCGGATCAGCTCCGCCCAAGGGACCGTGCTTTAGCTCCGGGTTTTTCTTTGTTGGAATCCCGGTCAATTTGAGCGATTTTCCCTATGTCCCCATTGAAATGGGGGCGTGGTTAATTTCGATCTTGATTATCTCCGGGCGATATGTTCCCGAAAATTTCTCTGGGAAAACCTCATGAAGTCGATCTTTTTCTTGATAAGGGGTCATTGTAATCATTCATTCGTTAAGGAGAGCATGCCCATTGGGCACTTTGTGGCTCCGGATCATGACTCAGATGCAGGGGTGTAGATCTCCGAGCGCCTATCGGGTATTTGAGGTATTTGACGAGCGACATTGTGATAGCCGTCTTCTAGTTCGCTTTCGTCCGAGGGATCAACCCGCGGTTCATGCATTCCCAGGGGGATTAACGGCTGGATGCGTGCATTGAACAGCCGGTGTACCTGGTGTTTTTGAGCCAGACGACGAATGATCTGGCGAACCTCCATTTGGAGAATTGATCGCATTCGGGAGATCGATCGTGGCCGGATTGGAGAGGCTCGGCCTGAATCCAAAGCCTTGGAGCCTTTGATCCATCCATCGGCGTAGTTGGTGTTGTGGAATTGTTCTTGGACATGGATCTCGTCGGGGGTTATACGCACCACCGGTCCTATGTATAGTTAGTACTCAGTGAAGCATTTAGATGGACATGAGCTCGATTCCTACCATATTTTAGGTGCATTCGATCGATCTTATCTTCGAATGATTCAGTTCCCCATGCAGTAAAGTACATTTCGTATAGACCGGTGACAGATGCCAGCCATGGTCCCGGGAATTTGCTGAGGGGATGGATGTGGAGTCGGTAGATGGCCATCACCAAGCCATAGGCCACCACACTGCCTAAAAAGAAGCAAGCGATCATGATGTGTTTGATTCTATACACTGTAAGTATAGTTTCAAAAATGAGAATAATTTCTCTGAATCTGATCTCTCACGTACCAGTTGACCTTTATCTGGTTAATCTTCAACCCCGCGGTGGATGTTTCCGTTTGAAGAGTGTGGTGATACAGCATTAACATCCAAGCGTAAGTTATCAAAGCACACTCTTGTGTACAAATACGCAAGTAAATAAAAGGTAAAAAAGAGGAAGGGAAAAAAAGGATATTTGCACTCTTCTTTACACTATCTCGGACACGGGCCATTACTCCTAGGGCTGTCCCACATACAGAATCCGGAGTACAAGCATCGTGGCATGACCCCTATAAGCCAGGCTTATTGGTGGACCTCCTCCTCATACCGCCTCTCTCATCGACGCTTATGCATGGTGTGTCTGATTTTTTTGCTTCGTTTGGATTCCAGCCCCTTCATCCTTTGGAGATGGGGTCAATGGGTCCTAAAGAGGATCCACTCCTAGTGATCGAGGCCCCTCTAATGGCCCATCAGCCGGAGACCGCCAGGTTAGACCGCTAGTTGGCAGTGTCTATCTTTTACCGACTCCAGTCATTTTGTGTGATCCATCACTTCCAAGGTTTTTTAGTCAGAATCATGCACACAATTCAAAACTATCTTCCGTGATTCCACATTAGGGAAGTTGTGGCTCGGGAATTTCTGGCCCTCGTTTATTGCCCCATATTCAAGATGTGGTATGGTCAGATCTTGGAATTTCTATTTCTGTTCATAAGTATTTAAATAGAAGTATCAAGTAGGTACATTAGTGGCCGTACTATGTAACGACTTTATAGCAGCACATGTGTGTACTTACGTGTCAGCACTGAGTGGTAGCCTTTGGTTGAAACCTTACTAGGGCGTCCACACTAGGTACTACTATAAAATGTGCCCAGGTGGCAATGTTGAACTGTTTTCCATTTACCCGATGGAGATTCTCCATGCTGGGCCAAATAGGGTCAAGTTTCACTATACTCCCTACATCATGATGCACATATGCACATGTGGATGGCAAATTTAATATTTTATGAGATCAGAATAATAAAAGTAGAGAGTAGATTAGATCAAAGCTATATCATGGTTGGTGCCATAGTAGGTATCTATATGTATAACTCTATACAACAGGGATCTTTCTTTACCGCGAGGAGAATCGTGCACCTTGACACCACCACCATGGAAAGAACAAATCATGATCCTCTAGTCTGGGGATGATAAGATTGGCAGTTAACTACCTAGGTATAGTTCATGCAGTTCATGCAGTTCATGCAGCTCTGTTGTCATTGTGTTGTACCTAAGTCTTGGCCTGGTGCACTGATCCTTATGCATACACTTTTTTTTGTAACTTCAAATGAAGGTGGTACACTACCTCCCCTTGGTATAAGCACTTGGTGTTATTGGTAACCTAGGATGTATAATCATGAAGCAGAATTCATATGACAGACGCCGAAAAAAAAACATTGCTGATGTCGCGAGTTGGAGCCGACAACCATCTTCCAGGAGGGTATTCGTGTGCATTTTCATGCATGGCTCTACTCCACAACCTATATCTGAAGTCGTAGAGGAGAGCATATTGCACAATAATCATATAGATTATTTCAAGTTAGAGAAATCAATGTGCACCACCCTCCGCCCCTGGTTACTATGTACTAATGACGTCATAACCTCAGGCTAATACCATTTTGAACCTTTACTGCACATGTGCCCAGGCTGTAACATGGTATCCATTAAATATCACTCTATCTCAGGCTGCTAAAATTAAATATGAAGCGCTAAATCAGCACTAGCAGCTTTGTTAAGGATCTCAAAATCAGGATGCCACTGAAGGCTACACACACCTGAGGCATGTCACATGTGGGCCGAATCTCTAGGAGGCACATTCAGACCGTGGATATTGTTGTAGCTATGGTTCCAGGTGGAGGAGAATGTGTGTATACCCTGTGGTTTTATTGTCTGCGAGTGAGTTGTGGCGGATACATGGAGAGTGTATGAATCTGCGAGGGGTCAGTATGTCTTTTCGATGAACTCTCTCCAGAAGGCCTTCGACTTCCACTTATCAACCTGGCAATGGCTTGACCACTTCCCCCAGACTTGGTTCTGAAGAAAATGTTTCAACAATCTGAGTCGGCGAGTGAAAGCCGCATATTGTCACACAATTGTTGCCAGATGGGGTCTATTTGGACCTCTCAAGTCCTCGTCCCACCCAGCAGAGCCTCAGACATTGTCTGCGGGAACATAGACTCCTTGATATACTAACCTGTAACGCGGTAGGTTGTCTCGGATATTTGGCCGAGGATGTGTTGCACATACAGAGGTAGAATTGTGGGCCGATACTCCTCATCGGCGATCGAGTTTGCGGGGAAGATCTCTCCTCGGTGCTTTCTGCTCTTTATTTTCGAACATTCAATCGCGCCGATATTGCTGCGGCTGACCGTTAATCTTGACATTCTGCAGTCTTTCTGAGTGCTCAAGCTTCCCAGGACTTGATGTGCTTTGTGAGTAGAACCGCACTGAGAAGGAGGAGGAGGAGGAGAAGTAGAGGGGTGATAAATCAGAGATCAGGCTCAGATGAACAGCTTGAGTGGTTTTCAAATCGTACTCAACATCTCAATACAAAATTTCACCTTACTCTCAGATCAGAGTAGAGTTCATTCACAATCTCCTTAACAGGCTAGTCAACAGTATGGCGAAAAGAATCGCTAGAGTCGAATTCCTCATCAGGCTGCTGTCGCATGTTGGTCACTGTTTCTTCTAAGGTAGGAACAGAAGAAGTTGGTAAGAATTTGTCTATCACCTTGGAATTTTCCACAGGTTGATTCGGTGTAATAATACAGATATTCATCTATCCACTACCTAGACCGTCGCAGAAATCAATCACTACTTGTACATACAACCCACCGTCCCTAGTGCTTCTTCTCTTGAATCACATCGACTGGTTGTGTTCCCTCCTTGGACACATCATTTTGTCCTTTCAGAAAGCTCACAGCCCCAGGACCAGTAAAATTCTTTCGGCCCGTAGTAATCCATGTCACAAGACTGATGAGAGCAATGACACCAATCGCGGCACTGGTATAATTCATCGACTCTTTGTTGACAGGGTATGTGCTGGGGAAATTAAAAGTGATGGATGCGAAAAGGAGGAAGAGGAGGCCGATAAAATTCAATGAAATCGATACTGGGGTTGAGAAGGCGTAGGGACCATCCATCTTGATAACATGGCCAGAGAAATATCCGAGTAATCTGCTGCCAAGTGCCATGGCATAGGAAAGATCTAGAATATTATTAGACTTGACCCTATCAAACGTATCGTTTTGATGCTTTTGAGACTTACAAAATCCTTCTGTTGAAATTGAAATGACAGTTTCAAAACCAGTTGTAGTGCCAAATTCAATAGCATCAAGAGCCAATTGTACCACAAGCGTGAGCAAGACAGCATTTACTGGTACTTGGGTCTTGGGATTGACCTTGCTGAAAACCTTGGAGAAAGGTAATCCGTTATCGCGAGCAAAGGCGTACACAGAGCGGGATCCTTCGGCTAGAATGTTGTTTCCGGCGACAATGACGATCACTGTGATCAAGGTGGTCAAGATGCAAGTTGCAGCCTTGCTTCCGGTCGAGTCATAGATAATCTGAATAACAGGGACACCGGTACTGGAGTTAGCGGTCGCTGCGATATCACCGATGCAGAAGCAAAGAGTGAGAAGGAAGACAAAGCCTGTCACTGCTCCAAGAATGACTGCGAGGACAATGGCCTTGGGCGCCTCTTTCGAGGCGGACTTCATTTCCTCTGTCATATGCGATGGCGCATCGTAGCAGCACATTCCAAAACAGGCTTGTAAGATACCGATTATCGCGGCCATTCCCGTACCCCAGCCAGTTGAGTTTTCGAATTCCGAGAAGACAAAACTAGCGGACTGTTTGTGATCGTTTGTTGCAAGAAGTGTTATCGTGATGACGATGAAGGAGCCAACGTTCCAGATGAGGATAAATTTCGAGATCTTATGAAGCAGATGGGATCCCCAAAGATTCACAGCAGCCGAGAGAAAAGCAACAAGGTAAGCTACTAAAACGGTTTGCCACCTTTCAATCGTATATTCTGGGAACACCAGGTTTGCCATCCCCAGTAGGAAGTTGGAGGCAATTGAGTTATTCGTGGCACCCATAGCCAGAAGACCTAAATATGACTCAATTTAGTATATTAATCAAGATGGTTTGCAGAGATATTATGATTGCCATACCGATAAGCATAAACCATCCAGCAACGTATGATAGCCCTCTAGCAATCTTTGGTGGCGCCAATGCAGCAACCCATGAGTACTGCCCACCTGCAACGGGGTACATGGAACACATTTCTGCCATGGGAATGGCGACCGCTAGAGTTACAAGACTCACACCGATGAAACTGTATATCATCACTGGCGGGCCACCCGAGGTGACACCGACAATGAACACGCCGCTAAGAGCTGTCCATCTGATAGTAATCAATTAGCCTCGACTATGTCTTGTTGTTACCGCGAACCATAGCAGGTGTAGTATACTCACGAGGTGACAACACTGAAACTAAATCCAATCATACTGAGCAGTCCAAATGAACGCTTGAGCTCTATAATGTATGATGTTAGTTAATCGCACAGAATCCCCGCCAATTGCCATCTGAAGTTGACTCACCTTGCTCATAACCCAGATCCTCCAGGCGAACATCTTCGCTAATTGTGCCCTTAAAGACATGTGATTCGTCGTCTTTAGACATGATGAATTGATGGCAGGAATTCGCCTTCTACTATGTAGCAGACAGGTTCCCACTTTTCAAGGGCGACAGACTTCTTAAGAATATTCCCAGCATCGGAGTACCTCCCCTACATCCCCCATGCTTGCCCAGGACCCCATGGAGAAGGCGAGAGGCGATAAGATAGATAGTCATGCCCGACTTCCTTATTGAGAAGGTCTGCGCGACGGTGGTGGAGCCAGTTTGACCAATGCCGAGCGAGCAAGTGAGTTTGTTCACTCACTTTGCGGGGACGCTTCCAGCCCGGTCGCTGAACCGATAAGCTGCGCAACTAACAGAGACTACCATTTGTCTAGAAAAATTGGTGGACCGTTGGCTGATACCGAATTCGTGGGGTATATGTCGTGGAAATTGAGTAATCAGATAGTCACGCGGCTGGAGTGAGTCTTCGTATCTCCTAGGATTGCCTTTGTTGTTTTAGCTTCCCTACATAGGGAGGCGTCAAGGAAGAACATTGGATGATTGTGGAGTTTTTCATAATTCAAATGTTGATAACAGAGGTTCCTATCTTTACATTTTGCATCAATCCCAGGGTCATGTCTATTCAAATGTTTTCGTATCTACTCCGCAGTCATACCGAGCAACGATAAACCCGGAACGAGGCTGGTCCGAACATTTGAACATTTGACATTGCGGCTTCCTGATTTGGCTATAGGGCTTAGGGCACCGGGAAGTCCATCCTCCGAATTAAGGTGACCAAAAGACCTCCAATGGATGCACCTAGCTAATGTATTACGCAGCATTAAAGCTGGGATATGTACTCTATACTCTATACTTCCATCAAGTTCAAAAATCAATCAATTAAATAATACAACAACTCAAAGAATCTGGACTTATTCAGACTCAACACAGAAAAAACTGTTTATTCTGCCAACGAGCAATCAATGCCATAATAATTTCAAACTAACATTCTAGTTTCAACCTCCATGACAAACCAGTATAAATCTCCCCCCTCAGCAAATGCAGTCCCCAAAAGTGGTCTGATACTCGGTTCGTTGAGAGACATGACTCGACAACCTCTGGACCGAGAAGCCTATGTGGCGCTATAATCAACAGTAAGGGGCCCCAGTTCCCCGGAGTACGGATACGAGGCCTTCCGCCGTCATCAGGCTTCCAACACCTGGCACTATAAAAGGCCCGCACATGAACGACAAAGATTTCAGAATCAAAACGCAATCAAAAACCCATTGTCGAAAACCAGAACATCCTAGCTCCTTTTATCATGACAGACCAATCTCTTGCTGGCAAGACCTGTCTTGTTACCGGTGGGGCTAGTGGCCTCGGCAAAGCCATCGCAACCAAGTACGTCGAAGCCGGAGCCAACGTGGTGATCTGTGATATCAACGAGGAGCGTCTGCAAGAGACTTCAATTGAGCTCTCGTCGAAGGGATCTTTCAAGGCAATCAAGGCGGATATCAGCAAAGAAACTGAAGTGGAGAGTCTATTCGAGCAGCTGATTCAAGAATTCGGCAAGATCGATGTCCTTGTGAACAATGCTGGTATTATGGATAAATTCGATCCTGTTGGAGACCTTGATCCCGAATTTTGGAATCGCGTCATCGCTATCAACCTTACAGCTCCATTCCTGTTGAGCAAACTCGCTGTTCGAAATATGCTGGCGCAGCCGACGCCTGATGGTCGGATCATCAATATTGTTTCTGTAGCTGGGCAGGCTGGATGGGCATCTGGTATGTTGAGTCTTACTCTCGCTATTGTGCTTCATGTTTGAGGAGAAAATATCTAACCGAGTTCCCCGCTCTAGGTGCTGCTTACACTGCTAGCAAGCATGGTCTTGTCGGATTGACCAAGAACACTGCTTCTTTCTACGGTACCAAGGGTATTCACTGCAACGCATTGATGATGGGTGGTATGCATACCAATATCTTCGAGTCAATGCAAACTGGGTTGAATTCGGAAGGATTTCAAAAGGCCAATGCCGTTCGGGAAGCTCTGAATCTTCCCCTATGTGAGGTGGATACTGCGGCTGACCTGTGCTTGAACTTGACTATTGGCAAGGGATTTGGTATCGTCAACGGAGCTTGTATTGCTGCTGACAATGGCTGGTCCTCTTTTGTCGGTTAGGCATCCAAACTTAATTGGGTTATGTATATCAGCGTTTTGGTGGAAAGACCAGTTTCAAGGTTTACTCGGGTGGAAACTTGAAATTTAATTCAAATTCACAAAATTTACACAACTGCGAAATTTTCTTTTATATCACAATGAAGGAAAACCCTTACTACACAACTTCAAGCTCACTTTATGGGCGCTCCAAGGGATTCGCGAAAGGCGGCGCCTCTTCCCACTGTTCCACCCCTTCAGGAATCTTAATAACCGCATGCTTAGTCCAGATATGGACAATACTCTTCATCATTTCCTGATCCAGTCCTTCAAGACATCCACCCTTCACATTAGTAGTCGAGGTTGGCTTTGACTGTTCACCAGGCGCAGGCATCGCATCACGAAAGCGATGTAGTATTCGAGCACCACAGTTTTTACAGAAAAGGCATTCCATAGGCCTTCCCTTCAAAGTAACGCGAGTATAACTCCCCACTAGATCAGAGGTGGATTCCGGAAGCTCGAAGTATGGGAAGACGGCTGTTATGCCGAACGCGGAGGAGCTTTGATGACGACATTCGGTGCAGTGGCAAGCATAAAGTGCTAGAGGTTTATCTGCTGATGTTGTGAACTCGATTTTGGAACATTGACAGCGTGCTTTCATGCCCATTTTTGAGAGGCCTGAGATCAAAATTTTGATACTGGGTCTGGGTGCTAGTGGGTTCAAATGTTGTGGAGGGGGAGGTGGGGGTCAACGGGAGAAGGCTTGGTCCTCTTGGAGTCTTGGATACGAGCGATACGATCTCCATTTGATGCAAAAATAGCTGCGATGTCATCTCACATGACAAAGAATAGGAAAATTCTTTTCATTAATGAAATATTTATTGATATGCAGACTCGCTCTACCAATTCTTCAAAGTCTACTATACCTTGCCGAATGATCTGGTGAAGTACACTCATGCGCAAACCCATGCATTCCCGCCTTGCAGCTCAGTGCACATGTGGCTGAGACCGATTTCAAAATTGTTTATCAATCATGGCGGAGTATTTTATAGGTTACAGGCCGCAAACTTGAACTGCGATGTCGCCCCCGGGGCCAGAACTGTGAAATGCACAGGGGAACGACTCGGAACATTTTGAATTCTCATTTCATAATGAAGAACCCGTACATCAGGCTGTACACTCGGAGTATTTACTGAGCTCTGGTAGGTGCTGGATGTACTGAGTTCCTATTTTGGAATCCGTCACAAGGCAGTTTAGGGCTCATCCCAAGGCTGAAGCACACCTGGGTAAATCAACCGCGTCATCCGACTTGAAAAGAAATAACTAGTATTAGGATCAGTGAGTTCCAAGGTTGATACCGGGTTGAACAAAAGTCGGATTAACCCCGGTATGCAGGGGTATGGGAATCAGGTTGCACCGATCTTGTCTACATTAAGCCACGTCTTTACCCAGATGAGAAGTATTGGACTCTATTCCGAGACTGTTCCTTTTTAAATGTATACAGACACCCACATCAATCCATAAAAGTGAGTCAGGTCTAGACAACATTCTTTCAATAGTGTACTGGGATCATCTGCAGGTATCCATATATAGAATTCCTAGAAAATCGCGCACCTGGGCACCCTGGAGAGACACTGATTATGACTCAAGACCTGGAATGGGTAAAGTATGTTATACTCAAGTGCTGGTAACCCTTTCATGATATAGCTCCAACTTCTGCACTAGACTAGATTTGACTTCGATGAACTTCTGCAGACTCTTGATGGTGGGCAAAAAGCAGGGACACCCGATCGGACCCAACGGCCAGGATGAGCTTACTGCAACCCAAAAGTCAAAAGAAGCATGAAGAATCAAGGCAACTTGAGAGCTATCATCTTCTGACTCACACAGTCTGGGAGGTGTGGGTGGAGAGAGAGGTGCATCAGTCACTCTTCCGAGACACCCGCACCTCCCCCCAAAACCAGAAGCAGGTGTGCGGACAAGAGAGGCGCAATAATAGTGACAGTCGTCATGGATCATGACCAATCAATCTTAATGGTTTCCTCCCTCCTCGCACGTTGATAGGTGTCGGCTGATCGAGGGGAACGTTGACAGAGAGAGAAACTCTAAGTGGATGGGAAACGATCTGGTTGATGTGCATGAAAGCATGGATCTAAACGATTGCTGAATGGTCACTGCTCTCCTAAGTTATACAGTAGTGTCCGGAACGCCAAAAGGAGTGCATCATGGCAAGTGCTCCATTCCGGGTCTGAACACGAATCACAGGATGACTTATTTCCCATCTGGTCGTATCGGGTCGCCGCCTACGCATGACCCGAGGGGGGCGATCAACCGCGCAGGGCTTGGGGAAGATCCTCCATTACTTTGAGCTCAGCCACTTCTACTGAATTAGGAATTGTGGATGATCTTGATCCAGGATCATAATTTGATTCCAAGACCCTTATCACTCAGAGGAAATATTGGTTTTTCCTTGGAACGAACAAGTAGGGTCACCAGGCATTACCGCGTGGAGAAAATGTACCTGGGAAGAGAGTGGTTTCACAGGTGCCTGGCCGCGCGGAGAGCTGATAGATTATTTTATTATTTTTATTGTATAAGAAGAGGCTTTTTATTCCTTTGGAAAATTCCCTCTGGTTTTCTTCTTCTCCTTTCTCTTTTCTGTTGTTTTACTTTCTATTATATGCTCAAATGCTGGTATCCGTTTTGAATCCGTCTACATCACTTTCATTTACTCTACCTTTTCTACCCGCGGTGGATCATTGACAATCATTTACAATCATTTACACTCGGCCCAACAGATCCGGAGGATTACACGGCATATGCTGTGCAGCAACGAATCAGTTGGAGGAATCGGAAATTCGGTGGATCCTATCGGGCTGTGAGGTTATCCTCTCCCATTTTCCCAGTGTAAGTTCTTTCAATGTTCTAGTCTTAAGACGTCAGGAACCAACGCCATCCGAGATATGAGCCATGGAATATCAATGTGGGGACCCGGGTAGGAAGGCACTATGAATGATAGACTCTGATCTAAGGGGAGATTGAAGAGGGTCTACGAATTATTCTCTCTCAAAACCACAAAATTAGATCCCAAATGACGACATGCTCTAGCATGATTGGAGTCATTGGACTTGGCCCCTCAATGAAGTGGAGACTATCCCCCGCAACAAGAGCAAGGAACAGGAGATGAAAAAAAAATTAGAAGGAAAAAAGACCAAGGAAAAAAAAGAAAATGAACTAATAAATTGAGAATAGATGCGCAGGAAACATTTAAAATCGTCCTATTCCTCCGAGTCATCTTATTACCCCTCCTCGCTTAACAGTTCATACTCGGGTAAGTCAATAATGGAATTCCCCAATCATCACTATACACATTCCACCCCAACAGAGAGACACGTGTGTACATTCCGTAATCAGCATTCCATTTCTGATCGCCTGCATTATACTTGTCAGGTCTCTCATCCACTCAATCACGCTCTCTATCACCTCGGGGTCATCTTGAAACTTTGATCTCCAGACACGGTTACCCCACTCCTGTCTCCCTGTCTTCCTTGCGGGATTTGACGGCCACTACTTCAACTTATAATCCCCCTTCCCCTCGACCGAGACGTTACCGTTCGGATTCTCCGCCGACTGACGCTTTTGACTCCCTCTCTCTATCCGCAACAACTCGTCCTATTCCAATCCCCAGACGAGCCGTACAAGTCTACGACGACGATCTCCCAGTCACCCCTCTTACAGGGAGATTTGATAAAGACGACTATTTTGACGATTGGGAACGTGCTTCCTTATCAGCCAAGTCCAGGCACATTTTGCCTCCTTCATCCGGCCGCCACGGCCGTCACTCAAGCATGCGCTCTGATAATTCTCCCTTCTACTCGCCGGTTGCTTCGCCTACAATGTCTCCCAGACAACCCAGCTCTCCGCAACCCTCGCGCTCTTCGCGAACCCAAGCACCAGCAAAGTCCGTGCCGGGCTTCCATCTCGGAACTTTGCCCCGCTTTCACCCCGCAGTCTATCAACCTGCTACTTCATCTCATACAACACAGGGTCAACCCCCTTCGCCACGCCAATCTCGCCAACACACGTACCGCACAGCATCGGGCTCTGCTCGAGATGTGAAGTGGCAGTATCGTGATCTACTCGATGGTTCTAGCCAGAGTCCCTCTGCACCGCGACTGGATCCACTGCGTAGTCCTGGACCAGTGACTCCCTTGGCTCTGGAATCTGGGGACTATTTGGCTGCTGGCTATGTTGGCGCAGAGCGCGTCCCGCGAGACAGTTCCAGCGAACATGCGGGCCCACCGCCAGATTTGGTGGAAAAGTTGATCGCGCGAGAAAATGAAAAAGCGCGACAGCTGAGCCGCAAATCTGCCAAGGGCCGATGACGGGGTGGCTTACGCCAATTCTTGAGCACGGACACCTGATGTAGCTACTGCTACTGCATCTAGACCGTGGACTTTTTCATTTGTTTCATTGTTTCCTTGTGTTCTTCCTTTCTTCTTGGTCCTCTTTTTTCTATTTTCTCGAGAATGTTGCATGTTCTTTTCACTGGTGTTTCGGTATGAAAACAAGAGGGTCTTGAGAACTACAGCATCAGGCCGCGCATGGGGTTCTGCGTTATATTCTTTCCTGCCTTTAGGCATCTATCAGATTGATAGTATCTCTTTGCATTGCGTTATCATGTATCTATACCCCTTTAGTCTATATAAGCATTTTCCTTCAAGAGTATTCAGTATCAATACTTCCCGAGTCCAGACCGTTGATCCAGTATATACTTTAGACTGTAGCAGTGCTACCTACTATTGCTAGTCCTGTCATCCAGATGTGAGCATTGCTAAATACATAGGATTGATGTAGGTAGTAAACTATTAATTCTCATTTCTTGATGGATATACTACCAGAACATGGATCGTGATGTGGATATCGGCAGCCCGCCGGCGGGCAATATTGAATAGCACTGAATCACCCTACTATGATATAGTGGATATCATGATGCCAATCTGCGGTTTCGAATCTCAAGTGCTTCAAGTTGTACTATACTAGGTCTCTTATAAAACTTAAGTTTCACTCATACTAGTTGCCTTGCCTGCGCTCGTTGTGCATCCTAAGGTCCTCCTTGTTTTCATAGTCAGAGTACCTCCGCGTCCTAATTTGAAAGAGGCGCGTGTGGCCGCGCTGGAACAGTCCACGGGTGTATGTACACATTTCCAAATAGGAAATAACGACCAAGTGAGGGAAAGAACCCAAACATCGTGCCTGCCTACTTTCCCTTTTTCATTCGTACTTTCCTTTACTCGTACTTCACTCAGTTCCCTTCAAAATATTTATTCCTCTTCTCACTTCTCTTGCTTTTTCTTTCTTCCATTCCCCATCCTGCTCCCCATCACCCATCTCCCTCCATTTTCCATCTTCCATCATCTCCTTCTGTCTCCTATCACTTCGACATCTCAGACGCCATCCTGTTTCATTTCACCCCTCTCCTTAATCCTTCTTTTCTATCTCCGAACTTCTCTCCCTCATCTCTCTCATCGCCCCTCCTCGCCCCTCATCACTCCTTATCACTTCTCATCTTCCCTTATAAGTTCTCATCATCCTTCATTATCCTTTATCATTCTTCATCACTCTCAGGTCTATCCCATCACACAACGCCCTCAGTCCTTCTTCATCGTCTTATACTTCACCTTGGCCGTGGCCTTCATCCCGTGATCACAGCACATCTCACAGGCTAGTCATCAAATGAGGGACACGTATCAACTCACCTTGTTTTCCTTAGGACTCTCGACATGACTGACATCTTCTTAACTGCTGTGTCTTGGAATTAACTGGAATTTACACTTCCGAGCTCTGATACTAACTTTCGATCAGATAACACAAAGGACAAAACGACAAAACGACAACACTTTCTCGACGCTTGCAAAGTCTCGCTCAGGTATGGGATGACTGTTCACTCTCTCCTAAAAAGGGTCTAACCCAATGGACCGGGAGTGATAAGGGGCTGCCAAGAGGACGACTTGGCTGTAGCGTAGACAGCCTCACAAGCGTTCAGTGGAAGCTACGACTTGTCTCTAGTGTTGAGCTGAACCGCAGTCATCTCGCCACTCAGAGACAACTTGCCTGTCTGATGGATCGTGCAGGTGGGACGAGGGCTTCACAGTGGGCAGTGGGAATAGTGGGCAATCTGGGGGATCATTTCGAGTATCGAATTCCAATACCGAACGTCGGCGAATCTACAGAGGGACATAAAGTGGGCAATCTGGTTGGCTCGGACGATGTGAAAACCAGGAGACAGGCATTTGTAAGGGTGCGCGCCCATGTAAATGGTGAGTTTTCAATTTTCCTTTTTCTCTTTCTAGTTCCAGGACACAGCATTGAAGATGTCATTGCGCCCATACTATCGCCAATACTCTCGACAATACTGACGATGATACTGAGAATACTCTCGATAATACTTTGTCCCATACTTTTGCTTATACTTTCAGTTTTGAACATGCATTAAGGTCCTGCACATCTATCTATGTTGATTGGTTGATAGATTCTTGGCACATGGGGGAGAGTTTCTAAGTGGAGTTAAAATTATTTAGATTATCTAGATCCCGAGGTCCCGGAGTTAGGTCAAGGCTCCCCGAAGGAAATCAATTGATGCGGGGCCTTCATCATTCAAGAGTTCTCCCCTCCTTCACCTTCTCTTCGTTTGTTGATACAAACTTGTCGCGGTCATCTACGCGACTCCTCTACGCGACTCTTTTCCCACTCCAAGAACAACACAAAACGCGGTTGAAATTTTCGATTTTACCTTCACTCTTACTTACCCGCGGACCAGCTTCCCTTCTCCGAAAAACTTTGAGCGCTCCAATCTTGATCTCCAATCTTGATCTCTTCCTCTGCTTCATCACATCGGCGCAGGCGCCAAGATTAACTAGGCGCCAATATTAACTCTCTCCGCAATCAAAATGGCTTCACACGATTCTTTACGAAGCGCCCCTGGCAGCCATAACAATGCTGCGGTCCCTGCGCCTGCATCTGCAGTATCCGCACCTACTCCGCCAAGTACGAAAGACTACAAAGGTTTTGTGGGTGGCATCTTTTCAGGTATTGCGAAATTAAGTGGTATGTTTCTCTTTTACGACGCGACCGCGACGCGTCTTTATGATGGCACTATGCATGACCGTTTGCTTACAATCTTATTTTTTTTTTCTTAGTTGGCCATCCGTATGTCTTTTCCGCGTCTCAATATCCACTTGCTGTTTCTATCATACTAACCCCAATCCCACGACACAGCTTTGATACTATTAAAGTCCGCCTTCAAACGAGCAAAGATGGACATTTTAAGGGCCCAATGGATTGTACTATGCAGACACTCCAAAAGGAAGGTGTGCGCGGTTTGTACAAAGGCGCATCTCCACCGCTGGTCGGGTGGATGATGATGGACTCTGTGTATGTGCCTCTGCCGATCGCATGTATAACCAATGACTAACAATATTTCTGTGAGGCAGCATGCTAGGTTCATTAACATTCTACCGACGACTTCTGCAAGAGAACGTCTTCTCCCAGCCACACTTACGATCCTACATCCCTTTCACACGCTGCCAACCTGACTTGACGATACTCCCAACATTTGGTCATGGAATTGCTGGTGTCATGGCTGGAACTACAGTCAGTATGATTGCTGCACCTGTTGAGCATATCAAGGCCCGTCTTCAAATACAATATGCTGCCGACAAGAGCAAACGCATGTACAGTGGTCCGATAGACTGTACTCGCAAAATTGTGGGTTCCTATACTGTGCGGTGACCATTATATGAAGATTTACTAACTGAGCTCTATAGCTTAACGCACACGGCATCAGAGGCTTGTACCGCGGACTATGCGCCACTATGTTCTTCCGATCCTTTTTCTTCTTCTGGTGGGGCTCATACGACCTGATTACTCGCTACATGAAACAAAACACCAATCTTTCAGCCCCGGCGGTCAACTTCTGGGCGGGTGGGATCTCAGCTCAGATCTTCTGGATGACCTCCTACCCGTCAGACGTGGTGAAACAGCGCCTGATGACCGACCCGATGGGCGGTGCCCTGAAAGATGGGCAGAGGCAGTTCCGCAGCTGGAAGGACGCAGCTGTGGCCATTGGCCGAGAACGTGGGTGGAGAGGGTACTGGCGGGGCTTCCTGCCCTGCTTCCTCAGGGCGTTCCCGGCGAACGCAATGGCCCTGGTTGCGTTCGAGGGGGTCATGCGGACTTTACCATAAACAAGTCAACATAAATAAGTGTTAGCTTGTTTATGGTAAAGTCCGGCATGACATGTATTTATAGTGTATTTATAGTATGAATGTATGAAATATGATCATACCACAGATCCTTACCTAGGTACCTGGATTTCTTTACGAAGGAATCTTTTCTACTAGTAGTCCCTGTAGTCCCTATGTACTCGAGTTCCATTCCAACTTCGGCACGATTGTCCGAGTTCAGGAATGTTCCTGACCATAACACATAGATAGCCGCATTCAGTAGAGTCGGCAAACTGCTTTTGGGATCCCGAGATAATCGGAGAATCAATCCCGAATACGCCATGCGAGCTGTCATTGGGTCTATGCTGGTCGAGGCTGATATCCTCGGGCCTATAGGGGGGAGTTAATGTGGTACAGAACTATAGTGACAGGGCAAGCCACAACGTGATCTCTATTTCCGGACACAAAACACATCAGCAAATACTTTTTTTCTTTCCTCCCATCATTTCTCCCCTTCTAGATCACTCATTTCCTCTTAAATACCCTCTTAAATAGTGAGAAAATCACTATTATCTTTATCTCTTGTGAAAGAGAGGAAGCTTGACCTTTTTTAGGCTAAAGTGATCGGACCCCTATGCTGGCCTGAGGCATCAGGGCGATCGCCGTTTCAGATCGAGCGCCCGGCCACTTTCCAACCACCTATACATCTCCAACTAGGACATTTTGGTCGCAACGGCCATGGCCGTCGCACGCTCAATGCGACGTACAAGTCCTATCAGCCTTGTGCTGGCAGCTTTGCTGGCATTCGGCTTCATTTGCTTTATGTTATCGCCCTCCACACCTTCCGCGGCGACTGCGGTTACATCTCAGCTACGACAACAAGACGCAGCTGAGCATCCTCTCTCCCCCACCGACCAAGCCTTTCCTCAAATCCCAGCCCGTTCGAAGTGATGGCTACAAAGCCGCCCCTCCCGTCGTCCACTACGACCTGAACAACCTTACTAGCACAAGCAACTCTGCTATGAACGGCGAGCGCATCCTCATCCTCACCCCACTAGCTCGCTTTTACCAAGAATACTGGGATAACCTTGAGAAATTGAGCTACCCGCACGAATTGATCTCTCTCGGCTTTATCGCACCGAAAACAAAGGACGGGAACACCGCTGTTTCCGCTCTGGAGAAATCCATCTCTCGTACGCAATCCGGTCCCATCGATAATCGCTTCGCTAGTATCTCCATCCTACGTCAAGATTTCGATCCACCACTCCAATCGCAAGATGAGAAGATCCGCCATAAATTATCCTCGCAGAAAGAACGCCGCGAGTCCATGAGTCGCGCTCGGAACAGTCTGGTCTTCACTACTCTCGGACCAAGTACCTCATGGGTTCTCTGGTTGGACGCTGATATTGTCGAGACGCCCGCGACTCTAATCCAGGATCTGACCCGACACAATCAGCCAGTGATCGTACCGAACTGCTTCCAGCGTTACTATGATTCCAGTGAGCGGAAATGGGATATTCGTCCTTACGACTATAATTCCTGGGTAGATAGTGAAGAGGCGCAGAGACTAGCGACTGAGATGGGTCCGGATGATATCCTGTTGGAGGGTTATGCGGAACTTCCAACATATCGGACGCTTATGGCCTATTTACCGGAGTTCTCGGCTTTGGATCCGCATCGAATGGTTGCCCTTGATGGTGTGGGGGGTACGGCTTTGATGGTTAAGGCGGATGTTCATCGTGATGGTGCTATGTTCCCTGCTTTTCCATTTTACCATCTTCTAGAAACAGAGGGATTCGCTAAGATGGCCCGACGTCTTGGATATGCGGTCTTTGGGCTACCGGATTATTTCGTATGTGTGCTGTCTGTCTTCATTAACGCTACTTTATACTAACATTCGCATCCCAGGTTTATCACTATAACGAATGATCGGAAAACCTTGTTTCTTGTTCTTTGAAAACAGATTAACCTCATGCATAGAGATCGTGCGCTGTGCGCCGATCATATCTCCCGCTTTCTGTCAGGGAGACTCGCAAATCTTCATGCAACATCGCTCGGCGTCTTTCTTTTCGGTTGGATCTTTGTATTTTTGTTGGGTTGAGCCGATGACCCCATATTTATCTCTGTTTTTGCATTTCTTGTCTCGGTATCAACTGAAATTGAGATCCATCTTTCTGTATGATGAAAATGACTGGTCTATATGATTGGGTCAGGGATTGGGAGTTTTCGTGAGGCGTTACTATATTTGAGGACTACATTCGAACTCTTGAAATATGGAACGGTTGTTCTTATTCCATTATGATTTCCTAGGTTTTCATAAGTTACGCTCGGAATGCACTATACAACATTCGAGTTTGAATACCTAAGTGCCCAGGCTGCTCCAATGTTTACGCCCGTCGCTGGTGGAAACGATATGGTGATTTGTATATGACTAGTAGAAATATAGGGGGTCCTAGTACTACCTAGGTAGTGTGATGCCTGGTCACCTCCAGTATTTGCTTTTTGGTTTAGTCCATGATGAACAACCGTACAAGATGTCATGTTTACCCTGCAGTTTTTTCAAGCTGATGCTCAATCCCAAGAGATTCTGTGATATTCGTTAGTAACCGAGAGACAAATCAAGCAGGGAGGCATATACTCACGCAAGCATAATTCCTGCTCCAAGGGCAACAGCAAGGAACTGTGTAATGGTCTTGCGCACCTCAACAGCCTTATCCTTGCCGGTCTCTAGCAGTTCAGGGATAACAGCCACTGTGCCGACATACAAGAAAGTACCAGCGGTGAAAGGAAGTAGCATATCACCCCATGTAAGACTAGTTCCCCAAATACCAGGTGCAGGTGAATCGTCCAACATCACGCCATTCCCGCCAAACTCCTGCACTGCAATTCCAATGAACGTACCCAGGAACGCACCAACAGCTGTCACAAACTGAGCGCCCATAGCCTTACGCTTAGAAAAGCCAGACTGGATGAGAAGTGCAAAGTCACCGACCTCATGCGGGATTTCATGGAAGAAAACAGCAACGGTAGTGGTTGCGCCAATGGTGGGCGAAGCGTAGAAAGATGATGAAAGGGCTAATCCATCGGTGATGTTGTGTGTAAAGTCCGCAATTAGGTTGAGGTACCCTCCCAGCTTGACACTGGGGTTGATTTCCTTATCCTCGATCTCAGTAGGGGTAGAATCAGTAGATCCGGTTGCCGACTTGCGCTGCTTGAGGTTTCCGGTACGCTTATCACTTGTCTCGGCGCTAGTTGTCAGTGCGGTGGAGGTCTCTGCGTGTGCGTGTCCGTGGGAATGATCATGTCCCTCGCCGCCTGTCACGATGCGGAGTGTCTTGTCCATAGCCACGAAGGTGAAGAAACCAACCATGATTCCTAGACCGAGAAGGAGGTTCTTGTTTGGTTCAACCATTACGAAGCTGACGTGGTCTGGGGAATCTTCACCGAGGAAGATTTCAGGGAGGAGGTGGAAGAGCGTATCGCCGAGAAGACCTCCTACGGCGAATGCAACCATGACGGATAGGGAGGAGGGGTCGATGTTTGGTGGGCATAGTGCAAGGAGGAAGTCTAGAAGATGTAAGATTCAACGCCATTCAACAATCGGGTGATTTCGCAGGACATACTGGGCGGTCCGGAGATATATAGAGTTGCGAGCAGAGAGTTCACTGCTGGGCTGCCTGGGAAGAGAACGGCGAAGATCTTCGAGGTCAAACTAGCAGTTTCAGGAGCAGTGGCTCGTTTGTGCTCATTGAGTGCTTCAACGAGCGGGCAATTCTAATGCGTTCAGTTAGGTAAATAGGAGGAAATGCATGAAAGAACTCGAAAATACCTGGAGCTGCTCCTCGATCTGGCTAATAGAGAGCTCTTCAGGACGAACATTGGCTGCAGCCAATGTTGCAAATAAGAGACATCCTGCAGCTAGAGCTAAGCCCGTACGACGGGAAGAAAAGAACCGTGAAGCCATTGGGATGTATAAGCGACAAGTATTTCCCTGAGTAAAGGGTCAGGGTGTCGGGAACTTAAACAAACATGCATTCGTGGGGGCCTCTTATCGTCCCGGCCTCGGATACGGAATCTTATAGTGGTCACAGCTCACATGCCTATTTGGGAATTAAAAAAATGATTATTACCCGAATTACTATTATAATGATCTGCCACCGCTTCCAAAATAGGTAGGCGGAGGCTCGGTCAGCTGATTTTGAACCGGGCAGAAATAGTGACTGCTTGCTCGAAGTGTTTAGATTTAGTTATTTTGGAATAGCAGATAGTAAAAAGGAGCAGATGTTATTAGCTAAGTAAGAAATTCATAACTGTCTCCCCCGGATTTTCCCAGTCTTACTTTTTTTTGTAGCGTTTTTTATGTTTTCCTCTTTTTTTTGGTGTTTGGGCTTTTCGCGTGTTTATTCTCAAACATCAGTATACTGTTGCCAAGGTTCCAAAGTCCATGTTGTTCAGCAAGCCATTAGCCTCGTTGCCAGTGGAATTTTCTTAATTATCTGGAACCCCTCTTGAGGCCTCCATGTTTCCTCGTCAGGAATATCGTTGAGCCACCTGGGCAATGTGGTATGTCTGAATAATCATATTGTCACCTTATAGCCATACTTCGCCACATGTATGTATACCTCTTTGTCGGTTGGCTCTCTTAACATCGTGTAATGTTCATAAACAGAGGATCGCTCCGGCCCTGCATTTTGATGCCATTCAACCCGTTGCTGCCGGTTTTGATTCGTGTCTCCATTGAAAAACAGAATACGCGGGGCTGTAGACTTTTGTAGCTTCTTCATTGGGCAGCCGTCTTCGACGACTTTCTTTATAACGGTATATCCACGTGTGAAGAAACACTCCAAAATTTCCTCCACCGCTTTTGCGTCCAATTTGTCCCTTGGAATAACATACACTAACCTGTATGTCTTAGGATGAACAGTCCAGGCGATGAACAAGTTGTGATTCTTGCAACACTGTGCAAGTCTTTGAATGTCCAATTAATAGAATCCCAATAGGTCAGGCTGACCTTTAAGTTCCGGTACATCGATGATATGCATGGCGAATTTGCTTACTTAACAGTCCAAAAAATTTTCACATTCAAATGTTGAACTTAAAGCTTCAATAACCTGGACTTGAGCATTATATATATACTATAGGTGGATCCCTGTTCCACCGCCTTGAATATTGTCTGCTAGCCATCTTCAGCTTGCCTTCTTAGGACGTGTAGTGTGACTCGCTGCTTTCATTAACTTGAATTTGCTTCCAAGGTTTCATCAATTTGCTTTGAAGCACTTGAGTCGCTCCAGGCTGCCAGTAAACCACACCAAAGACATCTGGACTCTTTTAATAATATTTTCCTCCCATATATAGCCCAGGTGCTTCCAGGGTTTAACTATGGCTGTCCATTGGATAGGCAGTTCACTATCCATGCCTGCAACATTTTGAAGGAGATTAGCTCAAATGTATTTCTATCCCAAAAATACGAGTCTTAAGTCTCAACATTTTATAGGCAATGTTATAGAAGTAAACTTCAAATGCTCGAGTCCAAAATGTTCTGAATTTCTCCGTTGAATTCTCATTCAACTGGTCAATGAATTGCCTGACATAACTTGAAACAGACAAAAACAAATGCCCATAGAATGGGGTCGACACATAAAGACCGTAGTTCTTTACTAGACAGATCACAAATCCCTCTTGAATGAATCCGGAATACACATTTGAGAGTTTCAAGTTGTTAAATATTACCTAGTAAGGTCTGTTTCTTGGTCTCTGATTCCGTACTCGGACCACTCAAGTGCTTTATCGCGGGCCCTGAAACAAACATGACAAACAGACCAAACTCGGTACAAACTCCAAAAAAAAAGTTTCGATAACGATAATTGCGCAGTTCATCGAATTTCAAGTCAACTATATCAACCTACACTACACACAAAATGGGAAAGATTTTGCAGAAGAGAAAGAACCGCTCGGGCTTGTCTAAGGCTCGGGCTAAGAACAACCGCCTTAAGAGCGGTAACAAGAAGATCAATGTGTTGGGTAACGCCATCATTGCTGAGAACTGGTATGTATCCAAAGGAAAATCTCCGACATGAATTACGCTTACAAAAATCTCAAATCAGGAACAAGGAACTCACCTTGACCCAAAACTACAAGAACCTCGGTCTTTTGCACAAACTCAACGCCCCCGCCGGTGGTCGCGAACGTCTACCCGGAACCGAAGACGACGCTAAGGCATCCCACTCGCTACAAATCAGAGGCAGCGCTAAGGCCGACGCCCAGATCGAACTCGGCGAGATCCAAGTCGAGCGTGATCCGGAGACTGGAAAGATTCTACGTGTTATTCGGGAGGAAGAGCAAATTGAAGTCGCAGGTCGCAAGCTGCGCGCTGATAACCCGCTGAATGACGCTTTGAATGATCTTGAGGCTAAGGAGGCTGAGCTCCACGCCCGTGCGCCGGGCACAAGCATTGTTCAGCAATTAGAGCGTCAGGCGGATCTGGAAGGTGTGGCTGGTAAGGCTAAGAAGCCTCGTCATCAGAGCTCGCGCGAGGGAGAGTGGATTTCCAAACTGGTCGCCAAGCACGGCGATGATCTTAATGCTATGTTCAGAGATCGTAAGCTCAACCCTATGCAACAGAGTGTGGGTGATCTGCGCCGGAGAATCAACAAGTGGAAGAAGATTCAAGAGTGATTTTTGGATTTTCTCTCTCCTGCATTTGGTTACGGCGATACGGGCGTTCTTATTTTTCTCAGGGAATCTGTTGTTTCAGAAAGAAAAAGTGTTCACGAGTGTCTAAGTTTTTTTTAAGTTACGCATATCCATGACAGATAGCCTTTGGACAGTGTATAGTGGGCTCGAAATGGAGCAAAATATCATGTTGAGTTTAATATCGTGACTCGTGCATTAATGATTCAGTGTAGAGTATGTGACTGTGGTAGTTCCAGTTGGTGGGACATTCATCCGCTGTACAATTCGCACCCATCGACGTCGACGCCATTCTCCTACTTCGTAAGCAGTGGCTCCTTCTTCCCAATCTCGGCTGGTGTATTTGCCACTATCCTTTGATGACTTAGGCTCATGCTTGCTCTCTGCTTGCAAATCTCCGTAGGCCATTGTGGGTATTTCGTCCTCCTCGTGAGAAGGTGAATCGGCAGGGAGATCCCATACCCACCCTCCTATTTCATCGATAATAGCTTTGCCTTCAGAAGTGGCACCGGGAACCTCAAAGCCCACACCTGTAATCATACGTTCCACTACCCACTCCCGACAGTCCAGATCAAGTTCCCACTTCTTGGTCTTCCACTTCCAACCGGATGGCGCACGAACGTCATCGAAGAATCGACATCCACGAGGCCGGTCACCTGCGATCCGTGATGGAGATAGTGGGTCGTATGGAAGAGGACTGAACAGATAATTATCCCAACCTGACTCTGAAGTGCCCGGTGCGCGGTATTGAAGTTCAAAAATCTCCACTTCACGTTCCTCCGGGTCCGTGTCCAACGATATATCCGCGAACTTCTCCAGGGCAGACACGGCCGCAGCTGGCGTTTGGGGAATCGGCTGTCCAAACAACTCACGTTCCTTTTCCTCTCCCAGAGGGGAGTCTAAGTCCGATAAGCCTCCCACATCCTCGAGGAGGCCCTGGAAGAACTGTCTTATTTTAGGATTGTTTGACAAGATGGCTGCATTGCCGCCAATTAATAGAAACAGTCGGATTGGCAGAAGATGCGCTGTCAAGAAAAGTAGTACAGTAGCCACACTGCCGCCCAAGAAAAGGGCCGAGGAGAGTTTCTCATTAGAGAAATTGGTTAGTGGCGCAACTAACGATACAACCGCATCATGACCGTCAGAGAAATCCGCCATGACGTTCTGTAGATCGCGCATGTTACGGAAGAAATCCTTTGAAGTTTCAGGTGCCGGTTTGATAGTTTTTGCCGGGGCTAATGCCGGGCCATCGTATGAGTAGTATGGTGTCGTACTAGAGGTCGACGTAGATGGTGGTGGTGGATGGCGAGTCAAAAAGGCTGGCACCATGATGAAGAGAAGAAATATCACAAGTGGCAGTACCAGTAAGAGGTGTGGTTCCAAGCAAATAAATGAATAGACGAAGAGGAAAGACACTGTATGAGTCGGTGTTTCCCAGCAGAACAGTTCCTCTGCTTGGGCTTGAAAGAGAAATACGACACCGATTCTGTATGCGCATGAGCTAAAGATACTGCCTGATTGAGCTGCAAGTTCGCTCCTTACCTTCCATTAAATCGGCGGAAGTTGTTAGTCATTGCTGGCAAGCTGAATGGTGGTTTCTGCGGGGAATTCGCCATGGTTTTGTCCCCATTATGGGTTTCCTCATCGTCATCAGTAGGAATGACTTGTTGGAGAAGCCTAGAAATTTATATTAAAAATCTATCCATCTCACATGCAAAAAACAAAACGACAAAAAATATATTAGGCAGACACTTACTTGGTAAATAGTCGATCTTGAATGGAGTTCTTCGACTGGGAAGAAGAGCGCGAGTGCGCGCTGTCGGGCGAACCTTGCCTTTGTCGTTTGGCCTTCAACATAGCTAGAGCCGAAACGGGTTCCTGGCGAGTTGCCCGAGTTTCTGGAATATGATCATCCATTTTGAACTAATTTTGGCATGATATTCCCTTCCCAAATAATGAGGAGAAATGTAGATACAAAGAAAAGCAACAAGGAAGTCTGCCGAGGACGAAGCTTGTTCTATGGAAAGCACATGCTCGTTACGTTATGGCTGTTGATGCCAGTTACACAAGGCATACATAAATTTGCGCCTGATTAATGAGGCACCAACAAGGCATCAAGCTGAATCTTGAAGCTTTCACCTGTATTATCAATACATTGTTACCACCGTTGATCGGCAGGTTCACCCCCGCTTTAATACGGTAGCTCCTCCTAACTAGTGGCCCTCGGAGTAAATAACGTATGGCGTTGTACCATACAATTCACAATCAGGGGAAGTTCCCCTACACTATCAATGTGTATTGCGACTTTCCTCCTTTTGTCTATGTTTCCATGTTTTTTTTTCTCCTCTTCTCGTCTCTTCTATTTCCCCCTAACAGAGGATTCTTTGAGATTTCATCTGTTCTTGGTCCACCTTTGTGGGTGCTTTGTTGGTGGATCCCTGATATCCTTTTTGCGACCGCCCTAGCACTTGCCCCAGCAACACGGTCCAAAGCTACGCCAAAATTATTTCTTGGTGATTGGAAACCCTTCCACCTGGTATGATCTCCCCCCTCCAAATCTCCACTTGGGTTTGGGTTATCGCATACACCTGTTCCTTTCATTCCATCTCGATATGGACCGGTAGCCGCCATTCGACGAGTCGCGCGACTGTGCTCAGGACTCTTTGAAGTGGGCATTCGAAACCCACTTCTCCTGAATGCCATTGCAAGTCAGTTTATAACCTTTCTCGGGTTGGTTGACAAAACCGGTTGTTGACTTGAGGGTTGTCGCCGTTTGCTGCAGCTGTGATTGGGAACAATGCCTGTTCAACCATCCCAAGCTCCGGGGAGGGGTCATGCCGGTTCCGTGCAATCTGCTTCATCTAACACATCCAGAAATGATGACTCGGGTTCTGGTGGTAAGATTGACACCATTAATAAAAATTTTGTGTTCAGGAGACAACAAGCTAATGCGCTTTATAACAGCTGAAACTCCCGCTCGCCGGCGCCTTCAAAAAGCCGCATCAACCAATTTCCATATAAACTCTACAAACAATCTTGATTCTCAGTTCTCTAGGGGGGTCGCAAGTCCCCGCGTCGAAGAAAAGAGTCGCAGGCGGTTATCCATTCGAGGCCATGCGCCTCAGGGGCCTCGTCCCCAAGACGCTTCGCGTTGGAGGTAAGGGTTATTACCATCGCCCCCCCTCCTATTTCTCAGCTGGCTCAGTTCAGCGGATAAAATCATCATTATCATCATTTCAAGAATTACGATAACTGACTACTACTTTAAATAGCAAACCATCTGGCGGCTACTTCCACTCCGAAACTTCATCAATCGAATCCAATGATCCCAAAGGTTACAATCTCCGATCCACAAGCGTGGGTAATTTGGCGAAGCATGATCCAAGCCAAATTGCCCCGGATAACATGGACTTCTTGGCGCCGATCAACTTCGATGACTTCCACAACAGCATTATGGCGGAACCCAGCCTAAATCATTTCCCCATGCCTGGAAACGGAGGTACCGGGTCTGAGAATAGAGACTCCGGACTTTCAACCACCAGCTCCTGGACCAACCATAGTTACGAGAGCAATATTTCGGATCGTACGAGAGCCGCCGCTGCTCGTCGGAAAAGCGAAGTATCGCGCCTCAACGGCCAACATCCCACAGTGCCGGGTTTATCAGCAACCTCTGCCAACACCAGATCGCGCCGCCAAAGTCTTGCACAACCCTCGACTAATAATGCTCATGCGGTGACTGCTGCGACGCGGAGCTCCCGCAAGTCAATCAGCTCTGGCGCGTTCGCTCCCACCAGCGCCTCTGCAAGACGCGCCAGCTTAAGTGCCCGCAAGGTTAGCGCCGCCGATCCAACACGAGCGGATGCGAGTGTTTTTTCTCCGGCCACGTGGTGTGCAGCCAGACTCAGGTCGAGAAGAGCCCAAAGTTCCCTCCTCGGTTCGAAATCTCAAGGCAAAATCATTCCAGCCTGTTCCTCGCGAACCGCGGGGGACTTATTTGACGGCGACGGGCTCTGGCTCCGTTGATCATACTCGTTCTTCGTCTACGAATGCTGTTCGTACGCCAGTCAAGAGTGCATCCGGAAATCTTGCAACAGTTGCCACAACACCTTCATCCTCCTCATCTAATTCCAAGCGTATGTCTGTTATGCCGCATGCAACTGGCTTAGGCGCCCGCACTATCAGCCCGACGGATGCCCGGCGCATGAAGCGGATGTCAATTGCTCCTCCTGCACCTCCTATGCCACATACCCCACCCACACAAACAGAGCCCCTTCCCATTCGACCTTTATCGTCGACCCAATCCCCATCTTTCCTCCCAAGAAAAAGCGTCACTCCATCCTCTAACCGGACCACGCCAGATCCGAACCGCAAATCATACAGCTCTGGACTATCCCTGTCATCCAACACCAGCTACAACTCCGTGCGCAACTCCAGTAGCTCACTACAACCCCGTCTTTCCCAAAATCTCTCCTCGTCTCGATTGCCCACCCCGAAGCCACGAACAGAGCAGTCGGCATCCAACACGGACGAAGAAGTACCCCCTGTTCCCGCAATTCCCAAGGCCTATGAATCCCCGAAGGCTGAACTCGATGCACCTATCTTTCCTGCGCCAAGAAAGTCCAGTCTACCGGTGGATATTAGCCAATTGCATATTGCGCGGGATTCCCACACAGAAACCCATGGCCAACTCAGTACAACGGGTGATGATAACGACTTTACGAATGGGCGAATAACGAAAACACCTGAGTCGCGGACGCGAACCTCAACAGTCTTGGGTCGCAAGGGCTTACAGCCTTTGAAGCTACCGCCTTTGAACCTTCTTCCACTTGGAACTCCAATGACAACCAAGATCGAGGCACTGAAAGACCGAGAAGCAGAAGAGCGGAAATCACACACGCCTTCTAACCAGGTCACCTCCAAGACTCCAAGCACGCCAATGACTGCATCAAAGGCGTCAGCTAATTTCTGGAATTACCATGATGACGAGGATAGAGCGCCTGCCACTCAAGTTCGCAGCAGCACTTCTCATTTCGCAATAAGCTCAAGCTCTACGGCGGCGGCCTTACGAGCAGCTAGCAGCACAAGTGCCTTTGAGTCCCTCGATACTACTCCTAGTGCCAACCGAAACATCTCCCCTTACGCGTCATACACATTACCTAAGAGTAGTAGCGAGTTTAATGCTCTCCGCCACCAGGCCAGTGGGGATTATTCCAATAACCGAGCATCGCATTCCTACAAGTTGACCGGTCCACGCCCTCAGACGCAAAGTGCGATCTTCACTCCTGCTACCGAGCGATTGAGTCAAATTTCGACGCCCTCTGAGCCTGAAAGTACTGGCACGCGTACCTCTCTTCGAGACCGACTCAATGTGGTTCGGGTTCGCAGCAATTCCAAGGCGGCGCAACCGTCTGACTTGGACACTGATTCTGCCAAATATGACCATATGCCGCCACCCAAACTCCCGGCCTCCGCGACATGGAACAATCTCTCGTCTGTAACTTCCACTAGTCCCAGCATCAAAACGTCTTCTTCTTATCTCAAGCCGCGCCGTCAATCTTCCATCTCCAGCATCACGAAACAGCCTGCCGGGCGCAAGCCAAGTGTCAGCAGCGAGAAAAGCATCCCCTTGGAGCCAACTCGGTCCAATGATTCCGCGGCGAGTGGTGACCCATTACAAGCTCGTTCGAGCAGTGCATACATGTCCCCGGTCCATAAACTCATCAACTCGGCTCGTTCCAGCACTGCTGCATCCTCTCGCTCCGTTGATTCCAATCTTGATGCAGATGTTGTGGTGGCTGATGAGGAAATGCGCAGGCTAGGAGCCAAGCGTAAGGATTTTGAGACTGCAGCCAAATTCTTGGATGAATTGCGTCGTAAAGCAGGACCTAAAGACCGTGTCAATCCCGCCTCAGCTCTCAAGATGGCTAACTTGAACATTTTCGAACGCGGCGAGATCATTGACTATCGGGACATCTATTTCTGCGGTACACAGAATGCCAAGAAACATGTCGGTGACCTTCACTCGGGTGCTGCGAACTTCGGATATGACGATGACCGCGGTGATTATAACATTGTGACAGGCGACCACCTGGCATATCGTTATGAAGTTGTGGACGTCCTTGGTAAGGGAAGTTTTGGACAAGTTGTACGTTGTGTCGATCATAAGACTGGCGACTTGGTCGCTGTGAAGATCATTCGCAACAAAAAGCGATTCCACCAGCAGGCACTGATCGAGGTCAATCTTCTCCGCAAGTTGAAGGACTGGGATCCTGATCGCTGTCATAGTGTGGTGAACTTTGTGGAAAACTTTTATTTCCGTGGTCATCTCTGTATCTCAACTGAACTCCTGGGGATCAATCTTTATGAGTTCATCAAGGCGCATGACTTTAAGGGATTCTCACTGAAGCTGATTCGACGTTTCACCAAGCAAATGCTTGGCAGTCTTACTCTTCTGCACGCCAAAAAGGTCATTCATTGTGATTTGAAGCCTGAGAACATCCTCCTTGTCCACCCGATGAACTCCGAGATTCGAGTCATTGACTTTGGATCTAGTTGTTTCGAAAACGAGAAGGTCTACACATATATTCAGAGTCGTTTCTATCGTTCACCAGAGGTCATCCTGGGCATGTCCTATGGTATGCCCATTGATATGTGGAGTGTTGGATGTATCTTGGCTGAATTGTTCACTGGTTATCCTATCTTCCCGGGTGAAAATGAACAAGAACAACTGGCCTGTATCATGGAAATCTTCGGTCCTCCTGAAAAGCACTTGATTGAGAAGAGCACACGAAAGAAGTTATTCTTTGACTCTATGGGCAAGCCACGTCTGACAGTCTCATCCAAAGGACGCCGACGCCGCCCGAGTTCCAAAGAACTGCGTCAAGCTCTCAAGTGCGACGATGAAGCTTTCTTGGATTTCATTAGTCGATGCCTACGCTGGGATCCGACTCGCCGGATGTCGCCTCACGATGCACTCAAGCACGAGTTTGTCACAGGTATCAAGTCTACCAGTCGTTCGAGGATGTATGCTCAAACCAACTCCCCTGCTAAGCGCGGCACCACTTCAAGCGGGCGACCTTTGCCTGAGCCTCCCAGTTCAACTCTGAAGACAGGCAGCTTCCTGCGTAACCGTGATGCATCTGGTACCTCTCCGGTTAAGGGCTCGGGGAAGCGACATTCCACCGTCAGCGGTCTTCCACCATCCAGCCCAGCCAAGCGAGCTTCCAATAATTCCACAAGCAGCACTGCGCTACCTCGTGCGTCAGTACGAAGTATCAGTGGAAAGCCCGATCTTGCTACCGCGGCAGCAGCGACCAGCTTAGTGAGTTAAGATGGAGCCAGTGGTCGGAAACCGCATGCCAAGAAGGACAATCCCAAGCTGACCAGCCAACAGAGGACCAAATAACTCGGCACCTCTTCCTCCTCTCTCATGCCCTGTAATCATAATTGTTTATTCTTCTGTCTTTCTTTTCTGCTTTGATTACTTTGCTATTTTTCTGTTTATTCTTGTCTCATGTCTTATGCATCAGGTGGTTTGTCATGTGAGCATTTGTTGATCCGGTTTGGTAAAGCCACAGTGATGAACAGGACGACATCCATCGTATACCCGTTATGTTCGTTGACAGCATTTGCATCTGGGCCTTGATATGATTCATGCAATGGGGTTTCATTTTATGTCTTTGGTTTTTGTTGCTTATCCCCTGTTCATCATGATGACCCATACTTTACCCCTTCCATCAGGGCCCTCCATTTCGGTCCTACACTGTACAGTTTGACGTTGTTTTTTTTTTACCTTCTTGCATCTCTCCGAGAGAGCTTCACAACCAAGTGAGCTCTCATGTAGAGCATTTGGATTTGTAGTTAATGCATCACTAGAAAAGAGACTACTTGGAGGGTAAGTCTAAATCGACACATTTTATCCAAAACGACCTGGGCCAGGTTTTGACGAACTGAGTACTAGCGTATAAACTGTCTACTAGTTCTAATTCACACCATACCCTTCAAATTTGGGAACTGGCTAAATCGATAGGTCTGGTAGGCGTTGGCGAAGTCTGTTGACCCTAAAGTCTAGGTATTCTCTAGTGGATTCCAAACAGAGCCCCGTGCTTTGGCCACTTGCTCCATGAGACTGACAACTGCCTGCATAGTAATACCACACACTTGAAAATTCCTTCTAATCCAATTTTCAACAGCTGTTTGGACTACGTGCCAAGCTCGATCAGTCTCCGCAGTTCGCTGTCGAGAGCAAAGCTCTAGAAGCACAATAGCAGCGGCTAGCCATTGTGGATACCCCTCAAAAAACCATGACCATTTCATCGTCTGTGAGTCTGTCTCAAGCAGATGTGCAAATTCAACTACTTCTAGAGCTGTTGCAAAGAGTTGGTCTCTATCGAGATCTTTTTGAACAACCTCAATAGACAATACCAGGTCTGTCGCTGGCTCATTCGAGAAGTTAGCTGTAAGCCATAATCGAGCTAGCGCCAGGCGTATGATGGTGGCCGTGACCCATTGTATAGGGATTGACAAATCACAGAATCGAAGGTAGTGGTCTTGTAAGTAGCAGTGAAGCTCTTCCAACTCTTGGAGGCGCTTATCAATGAAATCTGGATTCCTTCTAGTGTCTGAGTTGTCAATTTTTCTGTAACCAACCAAGGCGGAGCGTCGGTAATGGACGATCATTTCGATTCGGAGTAAACAAAAAGTCATTCCTGTAAAGCCGACTCGAGAGTGTGGTATCTCGGTGGAATCGGAAGATATGTCAGAGTCGTCGATATTGAGAGGTTTTTCAGTGTCAAACTCGCCCTCAATTATCTGCGTGTTAATGCTATGAAGTTCTGATGACTGTGAGTCCAGCAGATATACGTGCCACCATAACCGGCGACGCATTTCGATCTCGAAAGGACTGAGTCCTCCAAAGGTTTTCTCCCGATTAAGCCCCATAGCTTGTGCCATTCGATGAATCGCAGCTACCATGGTCAAGACAAAGTCTGCGTCTTCGCGGGACCGAAGGCAGGTGAGGAAGAGAACAGAGGCCTGAAGTACTTCCAGACTCCGCGACCGAAGAAAACCTGCCCGCGCAAGCGCTTGCCGAGTCGCAAATTTGTAATATTCGCGGAGTGATGAATGATCATGGGACATTGTTTCTGAACACTGTTTCTCACTCATGCTGTTCACTGCAGCAAAATAGACCGCGAAGGCTATAGCTTCGGAGGCATGATCTAAAGAGCTAGTGTTGGCAGCGGATTTATAAATCAATTTGAGGAGTGTAGGTTTGTGGAAAATCATCAACACTGGAGCGACATTCTCTTGGTAAATGTTCCAAAGTTTCTGACACTGTGGCACGCTGGGATGGAATGCCTCAAGGGAAAGTGCCTGTGACGAAAAACCGAATAGGAATTGGTCTCCTCTTTGCAATGTATCATGGATACTGTGTAGATTCAACTTGAGACCACTAATCTCTTGTGGTGACTCCGTGAGACTTTGCGGCTCTTCAATCTTTTGGTAATAGTCTTGGGTCAGCAATTCCTCATCAACTACAAAGAAGATCAGCACTTGAGAGGTTCGATCTGACCTGGTTTTCGGGATTCGTGGATATACCATGAACGAGATATTGATTTGAGGGCCCTTCCTCTGAGAATCCTCGTGGAGTATGTTCCGTATCAGATAGATCCTCCACTCTTTCAAGTTCATGTACAGCGTTACCCCGGACAGGTGCACCCTTGGAAACCAGCTCTTTGCTCCCACTATCTGAGTGTCGGAGTTCTTGCTCAAAGTTCCGTACTCGCGCTATGAGTTCGGCCTTTAGAGCTCCTTTTCTGCGGCGGGGCGCGCGACCTGGCCCTGGAAATGTACATACGGACCTGGACCTCACGCAGCTGTCGCATGGCTGAGTCTTGCTGCATCGAATTTTCTTTTGATTGCATCGATAGCTGCTACGTGAAGGTAGCGAATGACCAGGATTTGCAGCGTCGGCCATCATAATCGAGCTTCATCGTGTTGTACTAGGAGTTGGACGTCATGACAAAACTAGTCCGTCATCTCGGGCTTAAAATAGAGGCCGAGACTAGCAGGTTTAGTCATCTACGCCGCATCCACATGGATGAAGCTAGAAAAGTGGGACCATCTGTATAATTCTCCAACAGCACCGATTCTGTAATTTCAAAATTGGTTATTAAATGTTTAGTCAATTATTCAGCATGGCTCGGATCTGCTCGAAAGTCTCGGTCTCATCCCCGGTAATATCCCGACATTAATCATCACTTTATTCAACCTTATAAAACCCCTTGTCTCTTTGTTTCTCACCTCAAAAAAGCCCAACCTCTCACTCCAAATATTACACATTCTTTTCTAACCCACTCGGTATGGCTGCTGTTCTAATAACTGGAGCAACAGGCAAACAAGGAGGCTCGCTCATTAGGAGTCTCGTCTCCCGAAATGCCCCCTTCGAGATTTTGGCTGTCACACGCAATCCAACATCTGCATCCGCTCAGAAACTGAAGAGTCTATCCTCCAAAATCAAACTTGTCGAGGGCGATTTGGACAGTCCGGCCGACATATTCCAGAAGGCGCAGAGTCTGACTTCAGTTGAAATCTGGGGTGTGTACAGTGTTCAGGTAAGTAAAAGCTTGCTCTTGGTTTTTGGATTTGCTTTTGTTCACTCTGCTCAGAAAAAAATGGCTAACTCAATGTCATAGGCAGCTATCGGTAATAGCGGCGAGGAGTCTCAAGACAAAGCTCTAGTCGACGAGGCGATCAAACAAAATGTCAAGTTCTTCGTGTATAGCTCCGTTGACCGTGGTGGGGATGAGCGTTCATACAAGAATCCAACCAAGATTCCACATTTTGTGAAGAAACACAACATCGAAAAACACCTCCTCGAAGATTTGAAGAACAGCGGAATGGACTGAGCCATCCTGAGGCCTACGGCATTCTACGAAAATCTTACTCCAGACTTCTTCGGCAAGGTCTTTGCCACATGCTTCAAAATGTCCTTGAAAGGCAAACCTCTTCAGCTTGTTGTTATTAGTGACATTGGCTATTTCGGAGCTGATGCGTTCTTGAATCCCGACCAGTATAGAGGCAAGAGAATTTCTCTGGCGGGTGATGAACTGACCTTCGATCAAATGGAGGAAATCTTCTCCCGTCAATTAGGGAAAGATTTGCCTCTGACCTTCAGACCAATCTGCTCTTTCTTCATGGCTGCCATGAAGGATATGGGTTATATGTTCAAATTGTTCCACGATGAGGGCTACGGGGCTGATATCAAAAGACTGCGCGAGGTCAATCCCTCGATGAAAAACTTTCAGACTTGGCTTAGAGAAGAAAGCGCATTTTTGAAGTAATAGCGCATAATATGAAGACTCACACATGGGCATGTGTACAGCCAATATTCCAGAGATTATCTTGAGAATTTTGATACTATCGCATTATTTAATAAGAACTTGTAACTATTCAAATGTTGGAATCTCAACTCTTTTATCCGCCATATAGCTCCAAGTGCAAAGAAGTAGCAAGTACATGTGAACGGTCACCTTTCGCTTCTTCAACTTTGCTTCTATAGCAATTGGATAGTGGAACACTGTCATCATCTACAAATGTACCGTTCTAAAGATGAGGATGGACCTAGTATTTGTAGCTATAGCTCTCAGCTATCTGCGTATGTGAACGTGGATTTCAAAGCATCGTGAACGAGGCGATACATTTCTCACACCTGGACAGGTAGAACGTTGTATGGAAACCTCAAGTGCTGCATCTCATTCTCATCCACCGCAATTTGAACATTTTACCTCTTTTCCGTGGGAATCTTAATATCGCCATTAGACAAGGCCTCGGGGTTCAGTCTCAATCTTAGTTCCTTTGAAAACGTCTAGTTCCGAAATTGTAATTTGTAGTGTGGACCCGGGACTATTATAACGCCCGAGATGAAGACCATTCTAAGCATTCCAATCCCTGGAAACGTGTGGGTCCGGGGCTATTAGAACGCCCGAGGTGATTAAGCTTAATCTCTATTCATAATCATGCTGGGGCCGGATTATAGATACATGGTCAAACTATGAGACCGATTAAGAATTGCAGTATTTATAAAGTCTCAGATCCTTTTAGATTCATCTTAACCTCACTACAAGTTTCTTTTCTTTGTCTACTCCGCTTCCTTTTCGATTCATCTATCAACCATGGCCATCACTGTTGGTATTGCCGGGTTCACTGGCAAGTTCGCCAAGCGACTTGTATCTCATCTACTTAAACGGCACAACGTTTCCATTCGTGGATACTGCCGTGATCCCAGCAAGGCACCGGAGACAATTTCCTCCTCGGCGCAAGTCACACTCTTCGAAGGTGATGCGTTCAACAAAGATGCGCTCACTGTATTTGCCAAGGGTTGCGATGTGATCGTGTGTTGCTATCTGGGAGATGATAAACTCATGGTGGATGGACAAAAGATGTTGATCGACGTTTGTGACGAGTGCGAAGTTCCTCGTTACATTGCCAGTGATTGGGCGTTGGACTACACCAAGCTTAAGCTAGGCGAGCTGTTCCCTAAAGACCCAATGATCCATGTTAAGGCGTATGCCGGAACAAAGAAGGTTCAGGGAGTTCACATTCTCATTGGAGGATTCATGAAGCCCATCTTTAGCCCATTCTTCAACATCTACGACCCTCAATCCCAGGCTCTACGCTTTTGGAGCTCAGGCGATGAGATAATGGAAGGAACTACCTACAATAATGCTGCGGAGTTCACTGCGGCTGTTGCCGTTGATCAGAAGGCGACAGGTATTTTGAAATGTAACTTTTTTCAATATCCCGAAGTTTTCGCTTCTCGTTGCTAACTTAAGATTCTGATAGTCCTCGGTGGCCGAACTACCATCAAAGAACTCGCCTCTTCTTTTCGAAAAGGTCTACGGAATCAAGCCCACTCTGGAAAGCAACGGATCTCTTGATGACTTGTACAAGCTCATGCACGTCAAGCGGGAAAAGATTCCCGAGGATATTTACAGTTACATATCGCTGTATGTGGAAGATCTCACCTTTTGTCTTGAAAAAAACTTACACCATGGATCAATTTAGCTTCTTCTACTACTACTGGATCAACGGTCAGACTCTTCTAGGCAAAGACCTGCACAACGATCGATATGCGGAAGTTAAACCTGTCAGCTGGGCGAATTTCATGACTCAATGGCCCCTGAAAGCGTTGCCCACTTCATTTTTCGCGCTGAATGCTTAGAGGAGGCAGAAGGGACATCTGGATAAGGTGGAAGTCCATTTCAACTCGTGTTAGACTATATCAATCCTCAACGACAGCTTATTTTGCCGGAACATATCTGCCCCAGATACATACATAATTGTCTACGCTGTAAATGCATGGCTCGAAGAAGAAAATTAGTATATAAGATGGGCATGATGGCTTGAACAATGACCTGTCCCCGGGAGCTGCGCAATGAATTGATCAGACCCTCATTATTATTAACAGAAATTCTATACACATGCACATGTGCATCTCTCTGTTCTCGGAACTTGGAGGCCGACGCATCTATGCCAGTGCCTCGTGATACAAGTACTGTCGAAGGAATGGGGAATCTCACATGGCTTCACATTTTCACAAATTCAAATGTTTAAGGGAAAGCGATAAATCCCTGCTTTTGGGGGGTATTTTTGATATATTGGTACTAAAAGGCTGCAGATCTCAAAAATGCCAACGACTGTGAACTGGCAGGTCGTACAACCAGAAAAGTATTTAGTTTGTTCAATTTGGAATAAAATTATTCTATTTGGCTAGCCAGCCTTGTAACCGTGTAACCAACACCGTGTGACAGGCATAGCCACCAGTTGATCATCTGGGACTGAGCCCCACAATGCATGTTAGACTGCGAGCCTCGATGTCCCAATCAAACACAAAAAAGGCAATATTGATCTGATCTACATTGATCTTCCTCTGCATCATGCATTATACATAATTATCATTGGCACACCCTCCTCCAAGAAACAAACATTTGATTATCGCAAACCCTCGGGAAAATCTTCCACAGTCGTGGACTCGTGGTAGAAGCAGGTTATGTGTTTACTTGCATAATCACACATTCCATCCCTCCTGGATTGTCTCAATAATGGTGGAGCTAGCAGTGTGGAGTTTGTAATCTTGATGATCATACATACTACGGTCTAGGAAATTCAAGGACACCGATGCCACTCAGGTAGCTTGTGTGCACTAATCAGCTTTGATCAGGGCACGCGGTACAAGTCATCTGGAAATGTTAGACTCGGGACCATTGGTCCACTGTCGTTGTTGATATCACCTCACACCTCACCTTCTTCTCCTCCCTCCCTAAGCGCACTTTCTCCATTCTCAACCGGAGATAACGGCATCTGGTTGTCCGCATTCAAGTCAGATTCTGATCAGTCACATGCAATATTATGCAACTTGAAGATATCCACTTATAACTTGAACTTCTATCTGAAAGTCCAGTATCCAGGGCCTGTATCAGGTCACACAAACTTCAAGCGAATTAATCTTGGAAGGATAGACCGAAAAAAGAGAAAGGCGACAGCAGCGGTGAGATTGAAGGTGGAACTTGGAAGCTTCAAAGTATGCCAAGCCAGTACATGACAACAATTTTTACAAAAATCAGAAATTTTGAATGACAGATTGAAAACGAGATGAAAGGAAACTGAAACTTACACAATTTCAACAGGTTATATTTTTACATTGGTCTGATTAAAAGAACCCATTTCATCCTTCGTGTTATCTCATTTTATAAATTCTATACTAATTCTTCAAATGCCAGTGCCCACTTGAATCGGGGAATGCATATATGTACCATAGCACTTGAGAATATTGATCTTTCAAGAGATATTTTCTATGGTCAGAGTCTTCAAACTTAGTGATCCGATTTTCAGGACTTCGATGTTCGCAGCTTCAAGTTGCATCAGGCTGTCACCACAGTGTTCAAAGTGTAACCCTGCAAGGCCTCCTCTTTCAGAAAGACCCTTGTTTATGTAGATCACCTAGGCATGGTTGGCAATCTTGTCAAGAAAGAGTTTAGCAAGGAATGCAAGTGTCTATAAGTGGTAATGTCGAGATTTCCCAGTAAGCACTGGGAGCCTCAGGTGGCACCTAGTAATTAGGACGCCTGATATCATATATTAGGAGGCCTCATCTTTGCATCAATAGGGACAAATTGCCATTGCTAGTCCCAGTTTCTGACATTTTCGGAGCGCCCTATACAAAAAGGATTTCAACTCATCAAAGATGGAGACTAGACGAACCGGATTTCAAACTCAGACTGAGCCGCATCCAACTGAATTGGTTGAAGGAGGTGTATGTTTGCTAAATTCAGCTTCCCAGTTGTCGAGTTTCATTAGGCTAACAATTATTATTGATTAGTCCATTGACAAGGAAGTGAGCATTCAACAAATTCGCAATGCAATCCCGAATTATTGCTTCCAACCATCTCTATTTTGGTCTACTTTCTATCTCGTCAGAGATTTGATATACTCGGGGATTCTTCTCGGTGTCCTCCATTACTCTCTCCAAGCCCAATTTGTTCAAAGTTCTCCCATCGCATACTATGCAGTGGTCAATACCTATGGATTCTGCCAGGGCATAGTATGGACTGGGTTGTGGGTCATTGCGCACGACTGTGGCCATAGTTCATTCTCGAAATGGGGAGTCTTGAATGATATTGTTGGCTTTACTCTTCACTCTAGCTTATTGGCACCTTACTTTTCTTGGAAGTCCACACATCGGCGTCATCATATTTATGCGAATCATATGGATAAGGATCTCAACTACGTACCACCGCGTCGCGGCGAGTATGCCGAAAAGATTGGACTGGCAGTGGAGTTACTACATGAAGCAGGTCAAGATTCTCCCTTAGTTTTGTTGACTCGGATCTTGATCCAACAAATCTTTGGGTGGAACTGGTATCTGCTATCTAACATTACCTGTCCTCCTTCGGCGGTGCTCAAGCAAGGAATGTCAGCCTGGCGTCACACTCACTTCGATCCATGGGGTGCCTTATTCCGCGATTCTGAAAAATTGGCAATTCTGATGTCTGATATTGGCTGTCTCACTACACTTGCGGCTCTCTATCAGTTTTATCAAAGGATTGGATCTTTTGGAATCGTATTTTGGGTATACGTTGTTCCTTGGATGTGGTTGAATCACTGGATTGGTATGATGCCCATTGCCCAGGTGCTGATCAGAAGGCCAGCTGGCATATTGAACTTGAATAGTATACTAATTCATTTTCTATCAAGTCATGATCACTTATCTTCACCATACGCATCCATCTGTGCCAAAATATACAGCCAAATCATGGACTTTTCTACGTGGAGCAACGGCAACTGTCGATCGTGATTTTGGGATTATTGGAACTCACTTCTTCCACCATATTTCCACAGATCATGTCACCCACCATCTCTTCTCACGCATTCCACATTATTATTGTGAAAGTGCAAGTCAAGCCCTTATTCCTTTATTGGGAAAACACTACCACGAACGACAGAAATTCCGATATGAAGATCTCAAAATCTCATTCAGAGAATGTCAGTGGGTCGAAGAGAGCACCAGTCAAGATAGAATGTTTGGACTGCGCAGAGAGGGTGAGATTACAGGTCCTTCTAACGAGGCACTTTGGTACCGTGGTGGAAAGAGCCCAGCGCCAGAGTTTAAGATGAGAGGATCTTCTGTGTTTTGGTCCAACAATTAACTCGTCGCTATGTAGTAGGAGAGGTTCAAGTTTGCTACCTACATAGAACTATGGATGACAATGATGTTCCCGATTTCAACACTACCTAGACTGAAATCCATTCCTATGTTCAGGACAAAATATAGAGAATGAAGCAATTCAGTGAACATCTTTTATACTCTTACTTTCTATGAATTTATATATTGGGAACTTGTAAATGGTTAAAAAAAGAAATGGATAGACAATATTGAAGTGTACAACGTAGGTTCTGTACCTGTACTGAGGCTGTACCTGGCTTGAGTGGGTCACTGCAAATCGGACTACTTGGCCTCATCGCCTTATCTGACCCGTACTCCACCTTTCTTCTTCTCGACCTTCAATGCCGCCGCTCTCTATTCCGCAATGAATGGCTTTGAATCCAAGGGCCTCGATGAGGATGCCTTTGGGGAAAAGAGCAATCTATCAGGACTGAAAACTTTTGACGCTTTCCGTGAGTTGCTTCCACTCCCCGCACGTATACATAACACGCGATCCTCTAATCGCCGTCTACCCCAATTCAACAACCTTGAAAATGTTTATTGATCCAGTGATCTAACTAACCCCTCCTCTGTAGCTAAAACAAAAGCCTCCTATACAACTCCAACTCGTCGTGGTGGCCAATGGACCGTCCTGATCCTCATCATCTGCACAGTCTTCAGCCTCTCGGAACTCAAAACATGGTGGCGCGGTACAGAAAAGCACCACTTCAGTGTGGAGAAGGGCGTTTCCCATGAACTCCACCTTAACCTTGACATTGTGGTCAACATGCCCTGCGATACTCTTCGTGTAAACATCCAGGATGCCGCTGGCGACCGCATTGTTGCGGGGGATTTGCTTAAGCGCGAAGAAACGAGCTGGAGCCTGTGGATGCAGAAGCGGAACAAGGATAAACATCAATACCAAACGTTGTCCCATGAGGAAGAGGATCGGTTGTCTCAGCAGGAGGCAGATGCGCATGCGCATCATGTCCTGGGTGAAGTGCGGAGGAACCCTCGTCGGAAGTTTGCGAGGGGTCCATCTTTGCGTTGGGGCGATACTGTGGACTCTTGTCGCATCTACGGAAGCTTGGAGGGCAATAAGGTCCAGGGTGATTTCCATATTACGGCCAGAGGCCATGGTTACAGGGAGTTTGCGCCTCATTTGGACCACAATAGTATGTTGCTTTCTTTCCTCTGAACTTCAGCTCTGTGAACTAATTTGGATAACAGCCTTCAACTTTTCCCATATGATCACGGAACTCTCCTTCGGTCCTCACTTCCCAACCCTCATGAACCCTCTGGATAAGACCATTGCGGAGACAGACGCTCATTATTATAAGTACCAGTACTTCCTCTCTGTTGTGCCCACTCTTTACACGAAGGGCCGAAGTGCTTTGGATGCGTATAATCGGGCTCCGGCATCTGCTACCGCCCGCGCTAATCGCAACGCTATCTTCACAAATCAGTACGCGGCGACTAGCCAGTCTGACGAGATTCCCGAGACCCCAGTTCTTGTTCCGGGTATCTTCTTCAAGTACAACATTGAGCCGATCTTGTTGCTTGTCAGCGAAGAGCGCGGGGGTTTCCTGGCGCTTGTGATCCGATTGATCAACACCGTTAGTGGCGTTCTTGTTACTGGTGGTTGGCTTTATCAGATCTACGGCTGGGCTGGAGACATTGCTGGTAGGAGGAAGAGACAGCAGTCCGAGGGCTACTTAACGGGCAACCTGAAGCCTTATTCAGATTGATCTCTGGGAATCATTGGTTATAAAGTTATCAATTCATCGTTTGCATTTACTTCTTTTTTTTATACATCTATCTATCTTGACAGAATTAGGAGACTACGGCGTATTTCCCCCTTTATTCAAGTTCAAATGTTTCCTGATATGTGTGAGATCTTCTGACGTCCGGGTCTTTGTAAACTGACTCAATTTCAGCGTACTGATACATAGTAGATTCAAGTTGATTTCATTGGCCTTTGTTATGTACTCTCAATTGGTAGCATCCACATATGCATGGTCTCTATTATGTATAGAGTCAATATTGTTTTGATTTTCCCTGCGAGCAGCTTGAAGGTTGGGCCAACTGGTCATTCTCTACCGATGATCATCATGATAGTATACCTAACACTAGAAGATTGGATGAATAGTATTATCCAAACGACATCTAGAAGTAACTAGTATCTACATCACTCCTTCCTTATATATATCCCCTTGAAGTACCACATGCCTCTTCCAACCTTGGTGATCATTCGAGGGTTCCAAGGAGCTACCAGGGGAAGGTACTATTATCTTCAAGTTCATCTCGCATGTTATACATCACATTTTCTCAATCAATCTCAATTATTTTGCTCTCAACTCTATGTTTCCTCTATTCAACCAGTTTCAGTCGATGCCAAATTGTCTGATCTCGCTATGCTACAAATTATAATCTGGTTTCTTTTGCTGAGAACCGTCACCGCATGTTCTCTACCTGGGAATGCGTCGTACATTGCTGCGCCGGGGTTCCCAACTTCTGCCTTCGTGTATGTTTGATTGCTCTATACCAAATCCTTTCTAGTCGCTAAGTCATGCTCTCACAGATCATACTATGACTCGCCAGCTCTGCCAACTAAGGAGCCTCAGCCCATCATTCATGACCCGGTTCTGAACTACACGTTCCCGTTAGAGCTCACAACCCCTGATCCCATTCCTCAAAACATGGATGAGCCATTATTCCCTCCTAGTCAGGGGACCATGCTACCGGATGAGAAAAATGCTTTCATTGCGGCTATATCAGCCAATGTGACCGGCATCATTAATGGTAACAGCTCGGAAAACTCATGTGATAGATGCAAAAAGGCCCTTGTTGCGGCAAAACCTGCAGCACTTTTGGCTCCAACCATGGTCCCCGATACTATGGTCAGTCTTTGCAAGGCTTTTAATTTTGCGCCTAGCGGAAGCTGTGAAGAACAACATTCTACACACACATTTGGTGCAACCTGGACGCAAGTTCTTGCCTGTGCAGACGTGCAAGGCCTCGATGGCCAGTACATCTGCAATCACCTGAGCAAAAGCTTCTGCCCCCAGCCCCATACTCGCCCACTGAACAATTCAGTCCTGTTTTCCAAGCCTAAGCCTCTCAACGCCTATGCTCCGAAGGCAAGTGGTGAGCGGATCAAGGTGCTTCACATGTCAGACCTGCATCTAGATGCCCGATATGCAGTCAACTCTGAAGCAAATTGCACATCAAATCTCTGCTGCCGAAGCAACAATCACAATGAGCACTCAGAAGATAAGGTTCTCTGGCCTGCGTCGCCATATGGATATTTCAAATGCGACACACCATACAACCTTGCTTTGGCTGCTTTGCAAGCTGTGGGACCTCTGACGGGTACAGGACAAGGTCGTTGTGCGGAATCCCTAGCGTGGACTTTGTATACTGGAGACTTGCAAGCTCATGATCCAGAGCAACAAAACTCCCAGGAGTATCTGGAGTACACTGAGACAAGTGTGTTTGAGATGTTCAAGAAATACCTCACAGGACCTGTATTCGTTACTCTGGGAAATCATGACTCGGCGCCATCCAATATCGACTCTCCCCACTTTCTTCCAGGTCGCCTTGGTGAGCAGTCGAGTTGGAACTACAAGCATGTGGCTGGTCTCTGGCAGCACGAAGGGTGGATCAGCAAAGAGGAGGCAGAGCAAGCAGCAACGCACTATGCTGGTTATTCCATCAAAACGCATCATGGGTTGCGAATTATCTCATTCAATACCGGTGTGTCCACCCTCAGAGATTGCCCATATATAGTAGTAACCCTGCACGTATTGGAGGTTGATCAATATACTAACACTACATGTCTGCAGATTTCTGGTATCGGGCCAATATCCTCAACTTTATCAACACTGAAAATCCGGATAACTCAGGCATGCTCGGCTGGATGATCGATGAGCTGCAAAAGGCTGAAGATGCAGGCGAGCGTGTATGGATTATTGGGCATGTTCTCAGCGGCTGGGATGGCTATAACCCACTCCCCGATCCGACCAATCTCTTCTATCAAATCGTGGACCGGTACTCTCCTCATGTCATCGCCAACACTTTCTGGGGTCACAATCACGAGGACCAATTTATGATATACTATGCAAACAATGGGACTATCAAAAATTCTGACACTGCTCTTTCTACTGGCTGGGTTGTGCCTAGTGTGACGCCTTTGACGGATCTAAACAGCGGGTTCCGACTTTACGAGGTTGACACGGGTGATTTCAACATCTATGAAGCCTATACCTTTTTCAGCAATGTGTCTGAATATTCTAGTCTGCATGAAACAGGTCCGACTTTTCAATTTGAATACTCTACTCGTGATACCTATGGTCCAGCAGCTGGATGGGATAAGCGTTCGCCTCTCAACGCCACCTTTTGGCACCAGGTAACTGAAGCAATGGAGAAGAATATGAGCCTCGTAACCTTGCAAAATTCCTTGCAGGGTAAGCTGAGTGTCAAGAGTCCCGTCTGTGATACGCCAGCTTGTCAGCAAGCCAAGATCTGCTACATGCGTAGTGGCAGTGCTGGACTGGGATATCTTTGTCCTCAAGGGTATGTTCAACATGCTATTTAGATCTGTCGCGGGTCGTCTCAGGCTGCTAACTGGTCTTCATCTAGATATGGATCCGTGCAGAGTCCCTTCACTGCAAAATAGGGGACCTCTTGCGATTCTCGGGATTATAAATCCTGCCCAGCGTCATTTTGTCTCGAGACTTTTTTCCCTTCACCTCCTATTTTTTTTTGCTTTTTGCTTTTTGCTTTTTATTTCCTTTTCCTATTTTATATCTTTAATTGATACTAATACTAATTAGCTGTTAGACTGCGACGCAACTAACGGATGTGGCGTTTCCAAGGTTCTTGCTCGGTTCCAAACCCCTGTCTTAACAACACAGCGGTGGATCAAAGAATCTATACCTTGTTCGGCGAGGCGCATTTCAGAATTAGCTCCTTCCAATCATATGAGAATTACTACTCCGGCCTCAGAGAATATCACGTCACAGCTCTTTCATTTGGGCATTAAAGAACTTGAAACTGTTCAGCTCCAGATGTCTCCAGGTGCTCTTTATCTAAGAAACTGGTTTCAAGTTCCCAGGTTTAGACCAGGTAATAGCACTTGAAAGGAATTGTTTCCAAAATTGAACTCAGGCATTGGCATCTAATTATATAATTTCAGATTTCCCAAATACAAGTCAAACTTTCAAGGTTGAAGATTGACCTAGTAGGTACTAGGCCATGGTGTATCTCAACTTGAAGTACTATATGTACTACTATCAAGTACTCCTGAATAGTATTAACTCGAAGCCTTTATTCTGTTTCAATTTGCTTTGTACAGTCCGAGACCACTAGGTGCTAAATGACAAAGGGATACCATTTGAAAAATTCAGCCTTGGAGATATTGTAGTCCCTTAGTAGTAGCAAGGGGTGGAGCTCGGCTATTCAAGGTTCAAGACTTCAAGTACAAGATACAACATGCAGTGGAATGTTGAGAATCGATTGAATTTTCCCCACAAACCCCTCTTTATTACTTAGTCAATGACACCTGCGCAGAGACTTCCAAAGATTTTCACTTCCCCTCTATACTACATACATCTCAGTGCCGCCATCTCCCGGGCGCGTCGATGCATGACGTAGTGAGTTTCAAGCTTAGGTTTTCTATATCGTCATCAACCTTCTCCCGGCTGATCCGCGCTTTATTAACTTGAACTTGATCTCTTTTCAAGTTCCTGCATTCTAAAGTTTCCTTGTACGACTTTTTAACCTTGTCACCTAGATCCTCGATCTACGTGATAAATATACTATTATTCGACCTTTTTTCTCCTTGGAAATCAGCCATCATGAGTTTGCGGGGTGTGCAGCTGGGTCTACGTGTGTGGGAGGTATGACAAACGCGCCGAGAAAAAAAAGATTCCCCTCCAAACTACACAGTTATACTAACATGGAACTACGAATAGTTCGTATGGACTCTCCTCATTATGTCCCTGGTCGGTAACATGATCAACGAGGCCTTCGCCGGTAATCCTAGCTCCGTGAACTATACAATGTTCCTGTCGGCATTCTCCATGCTTTCCCTCATCTACTTGGTCCCCGCGTCGTTTAACCTGGACTGGGCTCTCCACCCAATTATCATGCTCGGAGTTGATGTGCTCAACACCATTTTCTTCTTCTGCGCTGCGATCGCGCTCGCTGCGAAGTTGGGAGCGCACTCTTGTGGTAACTCGGTACGTGAGATTCACAAATTTTCGGTGGCTTAGAAAAAACCCAGGAATAAAAAAAGAATTGAAGATTTAGCGAGGTCAATACTAATCTTATCATATAGTCCTACACTAGCAGCAACGAAATTACCAACGGCTCTCACAACCCCTCGAAGCGCTGTAAGGAGGCTCAAGCGGTGACTGCCTTCCTATGGTTCGGCTGGGCTGGATATATGGCCTCGACTGTTGTTTCGGTGCTCCTGTCTCGCTCATCGACTGTGAACATGCGCGGCCGCAGCGGAAGTGCCCGTCGCCCTGCTCGTCCCAGCATGTCCCAGGTTTAAGTCTGGTCACCCTGATGAGCTGAAGACGTTTTTGGATCTACGAATGGATATATATCATCCTAAATAGATCTCTGTGGCGGACTCTCGGATAGGGTACTACACCAATTTTCCGCTCTGTTTGATATGATTATGATGACCATGAACTGATGGACATGGTATGGGTGGATATGGCGTTGGTTCAGGAGACTTTGAGAGTTCATGAATTGTCTCTCTTTGATCCCTGCCACTTTGGAAAACTGAAACACGGATACTGGTCGGATGTTGGGTATTGGATCTGTTTTGTCTTAATCGGCGTAACTTGGGGGAGTGTTTCTATGTCATTAATAATACCTGGTACTGGGATTTAATTTTGAAATTTATTATATTTAATGCACTGGCAATATCATGGAATTCAAAATGGAATTTCCATTTAATCAAAACTACTTCATCATTACTAGTAAAAGTTGAATATCAGAGCTTGAACATAGTAACCAACTGGCTGACGTAGTACTTCTGTACCTGTTGTATACTGGAGGTTGACTCATGCCCGAACCGTGCGCCGACCCCAATATCTATTATCAGTCTTTAAAAACCATTCTCTTCTAACATAATCAGTTCTATCTTATCTCTCTACTTCTTCATCTCTCCCATCTCTCAACTGCTCAAATTCCTCTATTTAGGGCTCGGCGGGGCTATCATCTCAGACTCCACCAGTGAATAATTTGTCCAGAGCTCGGATCCGCCACGGGTTTCAACCCCCCTTCTCCATCCCTTTCCCTTCTCTCTCAACAACCCCACCATCATGCCTATCAGGTCAGTTCCATGAGCTTTCTATGGGCCAATCGATTTATCGCTAATGTTGATGTTCTAGCTACCTGATTCTTCTGTCCCGCCAGGGCAAAGTGGTATGTGCCCTCGTGGCCCACCCTTATTCCGGGACCCTCACCACTGACTTTTTTTTTCTTTTTGATTTCTAGCGTCTGGCTAAGTGGTTCACCACTCTCTCCTAAGGAGAAGGCCAAGATCATTAAAGATGTGACCCAGCTGGTTCTGTCGCGTCGCACCCGCATGTGCAATTTCCTCGAATACAAAGGTGGCGTCTACTTCCCCGAGCTTCCCCCTCTCTCTCGATGAATACCCCCGAACTAATCAAGGAGAATCTCTTTAGACTCCAAAGTTGTCTACCGTCGCTATGCCTCCCTTTTCTTCATTGCGGGCTGCTCCTCTACCGATAACGAATTGATCACCCTGGAGGTGGTGCACCGCTACGTGGAACAGATGGACAAATACTATGGAAATGTGTGTGAGCTGGATATCATCTTTAATTTCCAGAAGGCCTACTTCATCTTGGATGAACTGCTACTGGCTGGAGAGATGCAAGAGAGCAGCAAGAAGAATGTACTTCGTTGCATCAGTCAACAAGACAGTCTTGAAGATATGGAGGTGAGTTCCCTGATGATTCCTTGATACCTTGATACCCTGAATCTTTTGGATCTACTTGATTCCCCTGGTCTTTATCTTTGCATGATGCTTGGATTTAGATATTCTCCCATTCCCCTTTTGATTCATTCCCATTATCGTGTACTACCTACACAAATTACTCCATTCCCTTGCGCAGTCGGGCTAATGCGCATTTGCCCCAGGTTGAGGAAGATGTGGTCACCAAGATCATGTAGTATAGGGTGTTCTCGTCTTCTTTGTTTTCTTTTCTTTTTTTTTTAATTTGATTATTCTTAGCGATTTGTTTGATACTGATAATACCACAATGCCGATTCAGGACTCAGAAGATGTGGCCCGCAACTTGGCCCGAGTTGGATTGTGATTAGAGGATGAACCATGGGTTTAGCCTACACCGTGAGGTCAGTGCGGGTTCTCACTGGTTGGGGTCTCCACGTGATCCCGCATCACTGACCCCCAAGTCACTGTGACTGTGAGAGACGAAGAAGAGGAGGAGAGTTCATTGAAGAAAGGATCAACTTCCCACCCCTCCCCGTTCTCTTTTCTACCTAATCTTCACCCCCTTCGTCAGTTTCGCCTTCTTTCACACTCTTGTGTGGTTATCGTGAAATCCCCCCCATACCCGTCATATCGTCTCCGTCTTCGGCGCGCGCCTTATCTTCCCTGTTCAACTATCAATCCGTCAACCACCTCTCCAATTTATCCAGTTCCTCATCGGATTCTGGGTTTACTGCTTGAAAGTGCTGGATATTTCATATAACTCGCAGTTATGAAGGTTGGTGGTTGCCTCCTTCCCCCCCTAGTGTGGTGGTGCGGTGACGGATATCGGTCGGGGAGTCATAGGATCCGACCGATTCTCCATCTTGCTTTCTACATGCGGTGATGTTAACGGCTTGATTTTTTTAGTTCCTTCCTTTACCAGAGTTGGAGGATGTTACGGGCTCTTTGAACTTCGACACCGCCGATTGCCATATCGTGGGAGCCTGCGATCTGTACACGACCAAGGCTGCCCGATCCGACCGCAAGTTGTACAACCACATCGAACAGTCGCTCGAAGCGCAATATGAGTCAATCCTGCGGTTGTCTGCCTCTTTGTCCCCTCCCAATGCTCACGATGCTGCTGAAGCCTTGAATCTTTCCCGATCCAGTCCGTTTGGGCCCCTGAGTGAGCATTCGAGTCGTCGTACGTTCGCCTACTTAATTGCAACACTGAACGCCAGTCATCCCGACTATGATTTCTCAAATGTTCTCCGACCTACCGATTTCCGTCGTGAGAGATACCTCAAGCGAGTCATGAATACAGTCAACTCTACGTTGTACAATCTTCGACCTCGCGAATCAATCGATCTATCTCCCTCCTCCCCGGCAACCCTGTCCGGGTCATACAATACAGGAACTGGATCCTGGGGCCCCAGAATGTGGCGCACCATGGATGAGCACATGTCCTTGAAGGAATGTTCGGTCTACTCGTATTCTCCTGAGGAGGATCCCTCGGACGCGGATGATGGAGCGATCTGGAGCTTGCACTATTTCTTCTTCAACCCATTGCGCAAGCGGGTCTGTTATCTCTATCTTCGAGCTATCCCCATCCTCAGCCATACTCCTCCGGACGAGGGCGTTGCTACCCCAACTGGAAAGCGCACCTTCGACGATGGCTACCTCACCCCGGATCTGAGTTCCAGCAAGCGCACCCGCTACTGGCTTGGCAGTCGGGCGGAGTCGTCTCTTCGTCATGCTGATAGTGATGATGAGCTTGACCCAGGTCAACCCTCTCGGATTCTGGATGATGAGGATCAGTTTATGCTGAGCGATGAGGAGATGCGCTCGCGCTCTGGTAGTAAGGGCATGGTCCGTGCCATGAGTGAGGAGATGATGGATACTATGGAGGTCTAACTTAACCTTGAGTATATTTACTCGGAATCTCTTCTTTAATTCTTCTTCCGTTGACCGGCAGTTATATTTATGTTTTATTCTTTTCTTTCTGTTTTGTTTTTTTATGCAAGCTGGAGGCGTTCGGATGGTATTATGGACCCGTGGCGCAATTCAACCTGCATATCTCTTATCCACACGAGGCGTTCAAGGCAAGAATGATATGAAATACGCCTCGTTATTGAGTTTTTTTTGTTCTTCAATTCGTGTTAACACACTTAATGATATATCTGATATTTGAATTTCAAATTTGACTCTGAGTCTGCCTTTGGTCTGATGTTATACGTGTAGAGATCCGTTGAAAGAGGGCCAAACATTAGATCATTGTTCATCATCCGAGTACCCAAATCTCAGACTCGAGTCCAGCTCGAAGCCTTTGATGTACTTGAACTTGACAGTGCAAGACAATACTCGATAGTACTCCCTACATCGTACCTGTATAACTCTTGGTGGCGCCGACCCGTGTAGATTGTATGTGGTCCGTGCGCCAAATGGGGAAAGCTGTCCATTCTCCCTGTGCACTTCATTTCTTCCCCACTACTTACTCCATTGCATTCCGCTTGATCAATATTCGTCATGGCTGATGAGGAGGAGCGCATCAAGGCTGAGAAGCTGGCCGCTGCTAAAAAAAGAGTGCGTTTGCCCATCTCTGACTTGTCATTCAGCTCTAATATACTAATGTTTTGCAGGTGGCCCAGCTCCAAAAACAAAAGAAAAAGGCCAACAAGAAGGCCACTCCCGCCACCGATACAGCAAAGGAAGCCGACTCATCCAAGGAGTCCGATCAGGTAGAGGAAGCTGAGGCTGCAGCGTCCACAGCAGACCAACCTCCAGCAGATGACCCCGCCGAGGACAAGTCGCAGGAAGATACAGCCGCAGAGACTAGTACAGAGACACCAGCCGAACCGGAGCCAGAATCAGAATCTCAGCCTGCTCAGTCACCAGAGCAACAAGATGAATCTACAGAATCACCCGTTGAACCCATGCCCCCCCGCGCCTACCTCTCCAGACCCTGAGGCCGACCCGCAACCTGCTCGTTTAGATACCCCTCGCGCAGGCCATGGACGCCAACCCTCGCTATCAATCCAGTCGAAGATGCGCTCTTCATCCTTCCGCAAAACCTCCGTATCCCAGGGCAGCCACTCGCCCTCTCCAGCATCCCTCAAATCGCCCCCGCAGTCACTACCACCCCTGACTGGAGACGGGGACTCAGTGCACGAAGTGTTCCGTAAGCAGTCGACACGGATTGAGGAACTGGAAAAGGAGAATAAGCGCATTGAGAAGGAGCTCGGTGATGCGACGACGCGCTGGAAGAAAACAGAGGATCAATTGGAGGATCTCCGAGAGGCGAGCGTTGATGGAGCGGAATTAAGGGAGAAGCTAAAGGCAGCGGAGGAGAAGGCGGCGAGTATCGAGTCATTGGTATGTGCTTGTGATGAATTCTGGAGTAACTTATCACAAAAGAAATCCTGGACTAATTGTATATTCTTCTCCTACAGAAAGAGGAAATCGCCTCACTACAACGACAAAACTCACAGCTTCAATCCCGGTCACACCGTAATAATGCCAGTGTTTCTATCCCACCTCCATCAGACTCTCCACCGGCTGATCTTGTGCGCCAGCTCGAGTCAAAATCGGCTACTATTGAGGCTATGGAATTAGAAATTTCTAATCTGCGGGCTCAAATCAACTCCCACTCTTCTTCCGATAGTGCGCACGAGACTCAGCTCGCTGCGTTGGAAGGGAAGGTCTCTCAAAGTCAGGGTGCTCTGGAGAAGTCCGAGCGTGAGCTGGCTGATACGAAGCAAGCGCTGACACGGGCATCCGAGAAGGCTGTCAAAGAAGGAGTGGATAAGACCTCTACAGAGACTCTGATCAAGAGTCTCCAGCGGGAGGTCGAGGATCTTAAGAACGAGAAAACAGAGTCAGACAAGAAGATTGACACGCTGGAGAAGAAACTCCAGGCGATGGGTAATCTACACAAAGAATCCGAGGCTCGTCACCAAACCCGTCTCCGTGAGACCGAGAAGTCGGATAAGGAGACTGCTGTTCTTCGGAAGAAATTAGCCAGCATTGAGAACGAAAATCTCCGACTCCGTGAAGAACGTGACCGCATCCGCAAGCGAGATGCCGGCGGAGCAGATGACGAAGCCCTGGACGAGCTCGAAGATGAGGAACGTCAGCGTCTTGAACGTCGCATCCGGGAGCTGGAAGGAGAAGTCTTCGATTTACGCCGTGGTGTCTGGCAAGAGAAGCGTCAAGAACTTGCAGGCCAGCCATTTTCAGAAGAGAACCTGGACTACTCCGCCGGAGACGCCGCAGCTAATGCCTTTGACGACGTTGATCTCGTTGGAGGTCGTCCAGACCACGCTCGTCGTCGTAGTATGGCTCAACAGCAACACCATTCTTCCTTCTCGACTGTTCTATCTAGTGGATTTGCTGCGTTCACTGGTGGTAACAATAACAACTCTAATCGCGCCCGAGCTGGCTCTTCTAACCCACTTCATCATGCCCCTGCAACACGTGGTAGTCTTGAACTCCTCTCCGAAGAGAATCTGGAAGATGATTTCGATGAGGCGGAGTTCAGTCGTGCCCAGGCTGAGGAGGAGGCCCGGAAACGGGTGGAATGGGTCCGTGATACCAAGCGGAAACTGCGCGACTGGAATGGATGGCGACTGGATCTGGTTGATAGTCGTGCTGGTGCTGAGGGAGCCGGTGTGGGAATGGGTGAGATTTTTGAAGTTTAACGTTTCTTTGCACTTTGTGGGAATTCTGGGGAATTCTTGTGTCGTTTCAAGTTCTTGGGCATGTGGTGGAAGCGGCGCTTTTTGAATGTTATATACCAATCTTGTCTACGATATTGTGGAATGAGTAACTTGAATGAAGTTGCATATTGTCATTTCTGGAAATTTACAACGTTTTAACTGGTTTAAATCAATATACTACCTACTCTGATCAGTTATTAGTAACTGCCTAGGCACATTGTGCTCCTCGGCTACCACCTCTCCCCGCATTATGTCAAAGCTAAACGCCCATACTAGTATATAAGGGATTATGAAGAAATGAACAAGACGCAGTACATACCTGAAAGCTCAAATCAGTCAATCTATGATCCCATCACAAAATGTCTTCTATCGATAAAGAGTCAATCTTGAACTTCCCAAACCTCCCTCCATTCCCTACGGACGTCCCAACTGCACCTCTCCTCCAACTTTCACTCGGGAAATTATTATCAGGAGACCCCACCGAGTTCGACCGACTTTTCTCAAAGCATCAGTTGATATCGGATTCTTCTATCTCGATTTCCGGGACTCAGAGCTTGGAGCATCTCTGCTACGAGATACAGATGAGCTATTTAATGTTGGGAAGACACTCTTCGAGTTAAGTCTGGAGGAGAAAAAGAAGCATGACTTCAGTGCTCAGAACTCCTACTTTGGGTATAAGGGACAGGGAGTTGCGGTGATTGATACAGATGGGAATTTGGATCGAAATGAATTCTATAATGTAAGTCTTTATTATGATCCGCATCAATCTTGTGAATTTACTGGCATCGCTATTATCAATACTAAATCAAGTTGTAATTATAGGCATCAAAAGATGATATCTTGGGCATATCGAATCAACTCCCTGCACCAAATATCCTCCAACAGGAAGAAACCCGTCCCCTCCTCAAATCCTTCATGTTAAACTCTCACAAAATCGTTACTCTCATCCTTAAAATCCTAAATGATAAATTGGGTCTTCAACCAAACATACTCCCGAATCTCCATCGTCAAACCTCTCCAAGTGGTGATCAAGTCCGCTGGGTTAAAGCACCCCCACAACCTCTCTCTGATAGAAGGGTAGCGTTGGGTCAACATACAGATTTTGGTTCAATAACAGTTCTGATGAATCGACTTGGTGGTTTACAGGTTCAATTACCTGCAAATGGAAGTGAAGGTGAATGGGTATATGTTCGTCCGATGCCAGGATTTGCGGTGATTAATCTTGGTGATGCCATGGTCAAATTTACTAATGGATTATTGAGATCCAATATTCATCGTGTTAATGCCCCTCCTGGTGCTCAGGCGGATTACATGAGGTATAGTTTGGTTTATTTTGCTAGGCCTGAGGATCAGGTTCTTTTACGCAGATTGGATGGAAGTAATATTCCGGAGTTACAGGTTGCAGAGCAGGAGGTTTGTAGTAAGGAGTGGACTATTAGGAGGGCACTTGGGAGGAGAGTGGATCTGGGGAAAGAGATTGATTTTGAGAAGGCGGCTGGGACTGAGGAGATTAGTCGACGGAGGAACTTGAATTAGAGATGTGAGTGCCAGTGATTGATAGTGTTCAAGTCTCTTTAAGTTGGCAAAATGGCATTTGGGATGATCTCTGTCGTTCTGTATGCACCAGGCTGGGCATCGAAATATAGGGTAAACACATGTATTTCATGGCACCGCGATGGTCAGGGTATGGCTGTATAGTAGACTTGCCGGGATTTGACTTGAAGATATTGATGTCATTTCTGTCTTTGGAAATTCAGTATAGCTGGAAAAGTTAGATTGAGGTCTGGTCTTGGACTAGAGTAATTGGAACGAGGAGTCTATGACGCAAAGGGCCCACTTCAAGTTAAGCCTCCTGGTAGAAGAGAGGAACTTTGCGGACCAGAGGAATTCTTGTATTATTATTTAAAGTCCAGATTGGAGATCTATGTACGCCCCGAAAATCTGTGATACATGCTTGTACCTTTTTAGAACACTGAAGTGTTGTTTCATCCACGTCCAACAACTCGAACCGCTTGACGAACCCAACATCCAACATGCCCGTTCACCCTTCCCTAGAAGGGTCCACATTCGATGCCGACCTGCGTGACCGACACCTGATTTATGACTATGCGGCACAGGACGAGAATGGCAAGCCGGAGACATGGCGATATGAGATGTGGTTCGAAAATGAAGATCGCATCAACTATGCTATCCACGGAGGTCCAATGGCAGGTCGAATCAATTTCCAAACCGCCGACTACCAATGCATTCGACCTGGAGAATTGTGGCAATGTAACTGGCTGGAAGAGACGGGAACTATCTGTTCACTGGTGTATGATATCGCAAGCCGGAAAATCACTACACTGCTTGGTTTCTCCAAAGGGCATTGGGAAAAGGCAGCGGATGCTCACGGGGATAAGCGGAATCCGGAGGATTTTGAAAGATGGCGCGGTCTTGCGAGACTGGGTATCCAGACGGATCGACATATGTTGAGTGAACAGGCTGATATTCTGGAGGATTTCCGAGGTGCCGGGGATTTGAAGCCTGTTGATAATAGCTGGCCCACTTTGTAGCGCTCTCCATGAGTGTGCTTGGTCGAGTGTTGGCTTCATCGGTGACTTCGCATCATCGATGGAGTGACTCCGTATAGCTGATATGCAGCTAACACACAGCTGGGGTGATGGCATGTAAAGAGGATCAGTTGAGGACCAGCTTGTCATACTGTCTTGGAGAAGGAATAAGGCCGTGGCATCTGCCGAGAGAATAAGAAACAAGGGCTATCGAAATAGAAGTGCCCTGACAATATCAATCTCAATCATTGTCCTTTGATCCGGATGGCCCCTGTGGTGCTTGTAGACAGACTAGCTCGATTTGAATCTCATTAGGCGTAAGCGGGGGTTGATCACCAAAGCTAGGGGCACGACTAGCGATCCCCACGGCGACCTGCGAGGCTTGTTGGATGTCCGTCATCTGATCGATATACCAAACCTGCCAAGGATGATATCCCGCGCCTGCCTTCATTATGGTAACCTCTTGCGAAGGGACCTGCTCATATGCAAAATCTAGATGATAGTTCAGTTAGCTTCAGACAACATATCGATGGTTACTGAGAAACCCACCCTGCACAGGGATGGCAGCAACATCGAAGACAGATGCTCCGCAGGAAGGCAACTCAGGCTGGTTGACGATGAATTGGTCCAATGCTGTTGCTAAAGGTTGAGTATAATAATCACCCGATGTAGCGATTTTGAAGATGATGGTCTGTAGAGCAGTTTGGATATCCTGGGAACAATGGGGACCCCAAATACCATCGCATCCGTTATTTGGTCCCGATGGAGTGCCTGTTAGATTCCCCACGCGTAGAGCAATCTCCGAAGTACGGTTCATATCAACGGCGTATGGGTTGATGTTGTTATCTTTATATCCGAGCCAAAATGCTGTCTTTGTCATAGGCCCTTCGCCTTTCCCGTGTAAGCTGGAGTCGAAAGCATAGTATAGGGTGAGAGGATCGGCGAATAGAGGTTCGAATTGAAAGGATACAGCAGCCTGGGCGAGAGGGTCGATGCATCCACTATTCCAGAAAGAGCAGAATTGTGCTGAGCCGCATTGTACCAGTCCCAACGCGACCAAAATTATCCAGAGCTGGGTAAGGCACCCAAGGCCTGGATATAGGGTCATAATTCACGATCGAAAGCAACAAGGGGTGTTAATTATGACCGCCAGAGCGACCGTGTCAGGTCCTCAGTTTAACTGGAACGACGCGCGCAGTGACTGGTCAGCACGACGGTTTCCAGGTTCATCGTCTTCAACGGATCATAGCAGTAGAGCAAGTCGGTATAGGAAGGTTGGAGTGGACCAGGAGGGAAATCTTTAAACAATTATGACAAAACGGCCGACGCTGATAATTATAGCCCACTTATGGCGACCCGAATGCAGGGAAACAGTCCCCGCAGCACTAAGGAACTCAAGTTGACCCTGTCCTAATCGACTGGGTCCGCTTAGCAACCAGTCAAGTCAATGGAATTCACTAGTCGGTGGAGTCTACAACCAAGAGACGAGAAGCAAAGAAGAAAAAAAGGGTCCTGGGAGTGGATTAGAGGGAAATGAAAAGAACCAGTCCCAGTTGTGCAAGGAATGGATGTTCCGGGGAGAAGGTCAAAAACCAGGGAGGAGCCTCGTTTTCGGTGCAGCCACGGCGTTCAACATGCAGGAAATGATCCTAAAAGGGTTGGAAATAATTGAAATAATCCGGAAAATTAAAATAAATAGATTAAAAGGGATTCTCTCTTCCGAGCATTCCCATCAATGGCCGGTGAAACAGGGAGATAAACACGACAGAGTACGAAGTGTACCTCGGGATACCTTCGTTTCTCAGAGTGTGATACTCCAAGAAATGTCGCCTGGATTTTTATTTTTCCCCCCCTTCTTCTTCTCTCAGCATTGTTCATGACTGGAATCTCTCGCATTTTCTTCTTTTCTTTCGCCGAGAACGCGCTAATTGCTCAGTCCCCGCATTATCGCCACTAAAACAGGCAAATCTAGGCGGCGATCCAAGTCAGGGTTGCAGAGCTCAGCAGGGACCAGCCACTCAGATGGCTTTGAAGGCTCGGATTAAGAGGGTCCAAAGGTGCAGCATGCGATCCATTATCCATAGTCTCAGGCCCTATTTGGTCTTGGGTAGGACCCTTGTTGTGGCCCCATTCCCCCTTCCTGTTGGTGGCGCTATTGAACCCTGCCAATTTCGTGTATCTCAGCCTAGAAAAAAGCTGGGCTGGCACAACCTTGAACCTATTAAATCTGTTAATTTTGTTAGACCAAGATCATTGTCAGATTTAAGTTCCCACTAGAAGAGAAAAATAAGGGTTCAAAAAGAGATAACGAGGGGGGCGGAAAATGGTACAAGCGCTGATTTTGATGAGCTCGGGTAGAGAGAAAAAAAAATTCAACCAAACCTTGGATTCACTCAAATTATCTTTTTTTTTCTGGCGCTTATTACGGAAGTATGGAGTATACCCAAATGAATTTCTTGAGTATTCCATACGGAGAGAGACCGCTATGCTTGGCAAGTAGAGACACAGTCTTGGTCACACCGGGCTTTGCGATGCAGATTGTTACTGCATTTACTGCTTTGTGTATCTGCAATAGGCCGTCGATAGTTCCGGCCCTTATTGCTGCATAGCGAATATCACTGCGGTATCAGATCTGAGACGATGATCAGTCCGGGTATTCTCCTGTCAATCACCAGGAACCTCAAATGAATTGCCTGTAAATCCCTGTGACGTAATAGGTTGATCCAATCAACCCACTCGGCGCATTCCGACAGGAGCCCTTACACATATCGCCCTGCGTCATAGATTGGGCTGAGATGAAACATGCTGGTTCTTATTGGTGAGATCACACGGTCTTAGGGATTCCGTGGATATGTCAACTTGAGTGTATTTGCCAATCCAGGTTGGGTCTTGTTGGTACATGAGGGTCTGATCTTGGCGGTTGACTTTTTGGTTGACTTTTTGATGAGAACTTCTCGTACTCGTACAAATTCTAGATAACACTGTCAGCGAATACGAAGACATCCAAATACAAGGCCCATTTCATAAAACAATATTAAGACAGATTGAAATCTGAGCATGATTAAATGCCAGAAGAAAGTTCGTTGGATTCGTTTGCATCATAAAATCATATCTTCCTGTCCTTCACCTCGGGAAAAATAACATGGGGGAAATCAAGAGCTAAATCAAGATCAAAACAAAGCGGAATAGCCGGCTAAGTAGAACAGCAGAAAAAAAGTAAACATAAAGAGATCTTGCTACTTCTTCAGACTCTTGAGGCGTTCTCTAATCACTGTCTGTGACTCCTGGATGCAGCGGGCTAATTGACGCACACGCTCCCTTTCCCGTGTCACGTTCTCTTCAGCGGTGGCAGTAATGAGTTGGAGTGTTTGGATCTCCACAACTTCCTGGTCGGTAAATCTTGAGTGTGGGTCGTAGACTTCGAGATGGGCTTGAGCACTGAGGAGTTTGGTGATAGCCTTCACTAATGGCAGGATATCGGGGATGTTGTTGGAGAGCCATGCAGCATTCTCGGGCAATGCGACTTGACAGCCCCAGATAATGTTCATGGCCATGGCGCGCTGGGAGAAGGTCTTTGAACTTGCTGCCTTCACAGGTAAGCGGTTTGCCTCCCAGTTGATGTGTGGCAGCGAGAACGTGTTTTGTTTCCATTCGTTGTACTGGATCAATTCCATGTCGGTCATCCGTTCCTTGGCGAAGTCTTCGGCATTGTGTCTTTGTGGAGTGGATACCGATCCATTCGTCAATGTCAAGCTGCCACCATTGCGAATAGCAATAGCTAGGCCATCGAGCTTCCTTGCCGTGGATTCTAGAGTATCCTCCGATTTAGGAATCGGCAACATGAACGGGAACGCTTGAAAAGTGAGACGAGCTTGCTGGTCCGGATACATTGTGGCGCCTTCACCACTGCCCTGTTGTGGTGTTATGTTATCCATATTCCGGAGGCCTATGTCTCGGCAATCCGAGTCCATGTAGCCTGAGGGTAGTTGACAGGGATCATGTGTATTTCCTGAAATAGGTTAGCGTGATATTCTCCAAAATATAGGTGAGGCAATATATGCTCACCAAAGTAGGATGGAAAGTGCTGATTTTCTTCAGTGGTCAGTGGTGTTGGTTGAGAAGTGGTGGAGTGTCAAAGTGAGCAAAGTGTTGATGTGATCAGTATAAACTCCAGTGATAGATGTCGGTGCCTTCCACTTCTTTGGGACGTGTCTCCTCACGCGGATGCCCGAGGCATAAACTTGAAATCAGGTGACTACCCCAGATTCAGTACTCACGTATAGATCTACTATGCAAATGAGGTTCAAATTAATATTGAGATTGCAATGAGAAATGCAAAATGAAAAGAAAAAGAAGTCCATGCTGATAAGTTAATACATATTGTACAGATAATTTCATAACTTGGCTCATTCCCAAGTGCGTCCTATGATACAACAATAGAGCAAATGCTTCAGATATGCAAGACCAACAGTGAGTGTTTGTCGTTTTCGAATTCAGAAATCAAACCATCAAAAATATTTGTCGTGGGAGAGTGTCCGTTGATGCCCATGACTCCATAACTCCGCGCTGAAAAGGAAATGTGAAAGAATAGCCTAAAGATGGGTGAGAAGATGCGTTTCGCAATGAGCGAGAACGTTATACCCGGGGGGCCTAATTGTGATCATTGTCGCAATAGGCGTGGTCCTGAAGGGTATTCCCATACACCATTTACATGCGCTTGAGATGTAGGTCCAGCCCCAATGCCTCACGGTCTCGTCGCATGCCTTCCAGGACGCCGACAATTCCACCACTGCGTAGACGTTCGAGCACCACGTTCATTCCGTCCTTGCTCTTCAGCACGGCATCCCGGGTGCGGCTGACTCCAATCAACTCGATGGTTCGCTGGATACCAGCAGTAGACAGCGACGAGAAGAAACCCTTCTTGGGAGCGTCTTCATCTCCATCATGATCCGCCTTCTTCCATCCTAGCAATTTACCCTGGCCGAGTCGAGATTTGAAAGTGACGGTAGTGCGCACGGTGGTTTTTTCCTTGTGTTCCATAGAGAGTCCATCAAGGGCACGAACCTCGTCATCTAAGTGAATGCGCTGGTATCGTTGCTTTTCCACCACACTGAGAATACCGGTCCATTCCATGTTACGCGATTCAGTCTCCATCCAGCCTTCTTTCGGGTCGACGATGGTGGTTTCGAGGATATAACTCTGGCCGGAACTGTCGGAGCCACCCATTCCTTTGGGAAGTAACTTCAAGATACCGGATGGAACCTTAGATTTCTTCAGATGGAGTCGCGTGGTATGGAGACGTTGGGTAGTAGGATCGACGTAGCGATCAATCACATCCGTGGTCAAGACATGACGGGAGTAGGGGTTTGGGTAACGGAGGAAGTAAGCGAGAGAGACAGCAGGGAAAGAATAATCGTAGGTGAACTTGTTTTCGAAGAACTTCATGATGGCGGATTCATGTAGGCGAGGAAAGATGATGCATTAGGGGGTCGTCTGATCGTGACATTTTACTCTTAACGGCGAAGAGAAGATGCTCCGGGTGGGACCGGATGAAATAGTCGGGCCGAAAATGATCACGCGCCTATCAACGATGTGGAATAGTTAATGGTGATGTAAAGAGAAAGATATCACAAGATCCTATTAGTTGGTGGTATTATACTCGGTTTAGTCTTATTATAGGTGTATATTAGACTGAATTAATTGTCATTGATTTAATATGTTGCATCATAATATTATCTCGGCAATCATGTTATAGGCTTAGCCGCTTAGTATTATCCAGTCAACTGGTAAGATTCAAACAATTAGTAGATCTCTACTACTACTACTTGTACTATTTTTACGCGAGTTCAAGTTTGAATTGAAAAAAAAACATTCAATAACATTCATTTGGAGAGGGATATAAGTTTTGCACCCTTAGACCTCATGATGTGATTCGGCCTCGGATGGCATCAGTTCTAGGCCCCGCAAGAAAACTAACCTGTACTTTTGCCGATGACCAGCATAACTTGAAGTTTCTATGTTTTGTTGCTGATACCAGTTGACCTGAGGTCTAAGCCAAGATCTATTGACTTGTGTATGGACTGCAATATCCCTATTTAGCCCTTTTGGGTATCGCCTCCATGGGCCGTGCTCAACGTCCCCCATGCTTCCAATGCCGGTGCCGCAAAGTACGCGATATTAGTTGACATCTACCAATACTAGTATTTGATACATCAGCATAGTACTAATTCAATACTAGGTTCGATGTGATCGCCGATTAGATCAATGTGGAAATTGTGAACGTCTTTCCTTCAACTGCTCCTTTCAAAAAGTGTCGGACAGAGACTCTGTCGTGCGCGCAGACTCCAGAGTCCAGACTGACCACCCTGGCCGACGTCGAGGAATCCAGGCGTGCACAGAATGTCATCGTCAGAAAGCACGATGTTCAGGAGAATTCCCTGAATGTACCAATTGTCAGCGACGACGAAGGCCATGTCGATACCCGGGCTCATCAAGCCGGCTTGGCCACAAGGCACAGCATCACTCGTCACCAGACCAGGACAACGTTGGTCAGGATGGGAATGAAGAGATGTCAGTGTAATTTTGAATTTCACTGTCTAGTTATTCGATACTATCTACTAACAGTGACATAGATCTGGGCAGGCTATCCATCGCAAGGAATTAGAGGAGAGGGTCGATGACTATTTCAAATATCTTTACCCTATTCCTCTATACGCCTTTTTACATGAGCCATCCATCCGACAACACTGTACTGAGGGTACACTGAATCAAAATTTAGCCTGCTCGATTGCTGCTGTGGTCAAAGAGGTCCTGTCACCGAACCCAGGCTACTCGGATGAGTGTCAGCTTCGGATAGCGCAGGTGGAAACACACATCTGGAAGCAACTAGAGAGACCCGACATAATTTGTCTTCAATGTTTACTACTCGTGATTCATTACTTTATCCAAGTTGGGCGATTTTCACGAGCTTACATGCTTGCTGGGCTGGCCGCTAGAGGAGCCACTGCCCTGCGACTCAACCACGAACGGCCCGAGCTGAGTTTCATCGCCCAAGAGACCCGACGAAGAGTCCTATGGGCTTTGAGTTCTATCGATGGCTCGTTCTCCGTCGGACTACCCGAATACGAAACCATCCCCCATGCAGTTATCTACCAGCGACTTCCTTGTTCAGAAGCAGCATTCCGCGACGGCCGGCTTACACTTACGCCGGGTACCAACTGGTTCTGGCGGGGTAACAATGACTCCGCAGAAGGCTGCAGCCTATTTGCGGCGTGCATTCGTGTTGCCAAAATCTCGAAGGATATTATGCGGCTTACGCGGCAGCTTGCTCTTTCGGAACAACCACTCACACAGTTGAGTGGACTCATCCAGGAAATCCAGAACGACCTGTGGAGACTCCAGACAGATGTCGAGCTTTCTTTCCAATACCGGGTTTCATCGCCGGCCCAAGTAGCCCAGATGAGAAGCTCGCGCTGGTTTGTGCGCTATCTTCAGATTTCCATCACCTGGAACCAGGCACATTGTGACTTGTACCGCTTATTCCTACCAGATTACAACGGAGCTGCCCCAAAAATAATCACAGATTCTATCGACCATGATCTCAAAACTCAGGCTCTGGAAAAATGTCAAGAACATGTCCTGAATATTAATTGTATTATTCGTGGAATTCTAGACTTTTCCCCGCTCCCAGTGTTACTTCCACCCTACGTCGCTGTGTGCGCATACCACGCGACCCGCTTGACACTCTTTCTGCCTTGTGCACCAGATCTGAATAGACAGAATAATTGGTCTAGTGCAACCGAGACCGCTGATGTCGCGCTATCCGTTCTAAGGCGATTTTTCGCCAAGTCGGCTGCTGCGGAGAAGATGATTTTGGATATGGAAAATCTGGTGAACTTGTCAAAAATGGGACCTGAATCCGTTTACCAGGAACTTCGATATCCATTGCCACCATTTGATCAGGGTCTTCATCGCCACAGCCACCTGGCTGTTCATAGCCTGATCCGACAGTCTAATTTTATCGATGGAGGGTATGAAATTTATGATGGTTGATTCTGATACGTTGGTCATCTGTTCCTGTACCCGCTCAACCAAACTTCGGCTCTGCTCTGATTTCCACGAGAGTCTAGACTTTCAACCTTAGAAGTTGAAATTTCTCGAATCAATATAGAAGGAGAATGAATTGTGCCTGATCTAGAACATCTTGGATGTTTCAGAGTTCTTGGCTGACGTTCGATTTCTTTAAGAAAATTTGGATTTTATGACTATACAGAGTGGAAACACTTGAATCTGAAACCCAATAGTGCTTCTATGTAGAAGCAGATGCAAGATCCCTTCTACTACTATTATGTGCTCAGTCTATGAGCTCCTCCAGGGCTTGTATCTAATATAGACGCTGGGAGATTGATCTAATATGGAATAATTCATTCAATCAACCTTTCAAATTTCAGCTAAACTAAAAACACACCTCCATTAGTAGCGATGGTAGCACCCGTCACAAAATGATCCTTCATAAGATACAAGTATGCCTCGGCTGCATCTTCTGGATACCCAATATCCTTCGTCAACGACTGCTTCATAGATTTCTCAATCAATCCATTTCTCATCTCCTCTGGCAATCTATCAATCAAACCTGTCAAGACAAACCCTGGCGAAACGACATTCACACGGATAGGTGATAAAGTAACAGCCAACCCTTTCATTAGACCCTCAATTGCCCCACAAATAGCAGGTGGTAACCAAGCAGTCGGCTTTTGACTTTGTGAACCCGATGTCAAGGTGATTGATGAGGATTTGCTGGGGTTCATATATCGAGGTGCGTATTTAGCTACAGCCATTGCACCGAAGAAGCGAACCGTCAAGAAAGCTTCAACATCGTCGAAGGAGGCTTCTGGGAGAGACACAAGTGGAGGAACGTTCCCAGCTGTGAACACAACATGATCGATTGGGGAGATCTCGGCGCTGAATTTCAGGAGAGACTCGATTGTGTTTTCGAGATTCTCTCGAATAGAGAGATCGGTCACCTGGCTCCGGATTGATGATGCGCGAGCTGGATTGCTGGCTTGGAGATCTTGAACCGCTTGGGATACTCTCTCCTTGGAGGAGGAACTGATTGTTATGTTTGCACCAGATGCGAGTGCTTGTTTGGCAACGGCGAACCCAATGCCTGATGTTCCGCCGATCAAGAGGATGTTCTTGTTGGTGAGTCTGTTGACTGTCATTGTGATATTATCATTCCAGAGTTTATATGAAAGATGATTCTGATTGCTTGAGTCTTTCATTCTCTATTAGTATCCAAAACCCTTTTATACTTCAAGCTATACTGTGAAATTCCTATTGTTCGGACGAATTCGTCCGAGTCCGTTCGAGTCCTTATATTTCACCCGAGTTGACTGTGAATTCGGGTTTCTTACAAACCCCCTCAGCTCTTTTACTAAGACTGCGAAGCTTCGATCTTCTTCTATTGAGATTATGACTGTATGTTCAAATTATTGGATGGCATGGATCACCTGGGCACTGCCAGGTGACATTACTAATATAGAGAAGGCGAATATTTCAACAAAGGAATCCAGAAATGATTCTAGATCATTCTATAGTGCTCAAGTATGCTGCCATAGACGTTCCGCTCCCGAATGAGTCTTGCCATTCAAGTTATCCTTAAGGAGTAACCTCCAGAGGTTGATTGCCACGGCTAAACGTGTACTCTCATTTGCTCAATATGGAAGGTAGCAGTGACGTCTATTCCACTACCGATACAAATTCCGGTCAATGGATCAGGCCAGGGGATTCTGGAGAAATCTAGACTCATGATCAATCATGTTTGCCTGTTTCTTTGATCTCCCGAGGTCAGAATCCGGTAAAAGTTGACTGTTCTCATTTTTGTCTGGTTCCGACTAACGAGAGGCGAATTCTACTCGGCAAAGGATTCGGGGGAACAGGAACAGCTTATGTCAAGAATGTGGACGAACAAGAGCTCGTACCATTGAGTGATAAAGAATGGATATGGATAAAAAAAAAGGAAAAATGGAAAAAAAAATCTAGAACTTTGGAAAAAAGTCTGATCCTACGCGTACAATGAATGAAATGTTCTCGAACACTTCGAACTACGAATGTGGATCCACTCCAGATAACCTTATTGATCTGTCTTCATCCGATCTGCATCCGATTTTCTCTATTTTCTTTATCCCCACGCGGAACCATGACGAAGGGGGTGTCCAGTTCCCATCGTTCCCATCGGGAGTCGACCGTTGTTCGCCTCCACCTGAAAGGATAAATAGGAACAGATTCGCACCTCCAAGATGTTTCTTCTTTCCTCAACCAGTCCAGTCTTTTACCTTCACTCTCTTGTTCTTTTCTTTTTCGTGTCTTTAGACACTTACATTCTCTTGTCTGTTGAACAGACGTCCTTCTTTTGGTCTCAAGTCAATCACTATACTAGCTAGTCTTTTGACACATTCCAATCTCTTATAACCAATCTTTTTTTTGATATACATATCATTTTTCAAGATGATCTTCACCAACGTCTTCATCACCAGCATCATTGCTGCCACCGCTGCGGCTCTCCCTCATATTAACGCTGTTCGCCGGGATGCCACCGCCACTACTACTAGCACCAGTGCTAGCTCCACCTCTACTTCTGGCGGTAGTCTGGAGATCGTGAACAACATGGACTCCACTGTTTACATGTGGGACACCTCCGCCGAGTCTGGCTCCATGCAGACTATCGATTCTAATGGTGGTACCCACACCGAGTCCTCTTGGGAGACCAACCCCGATGGTGGCGGTATCTCCATCAAGTTCTCCACCTCCGAGAACGAGGACAGTGTCCTTCAATTCGAGTACACTATGGAAGGTGACACCCTTTACTGGGATCTCTCCTCTATCAACCTCGACTCTGATTCGGATTTCATTACTTCTGGTTTCTCTGTTACCATCAACGATGATAGCTGTACCTCTGCTTCTTGCTCTGCTGGTGACACCAATTGCTTGGAATCTTACCAGCAGCCTGATGATGTTGATACCAACTCTTGCTCTACTAGCGCCAAGTACACCTTGACTTTGGGCTCTAGCTAGAGTATTTGTGCTTTTTTTTGCTTTGATGACAGATGATTTTAAAATGTTCTGGTTTATTTCCTGCTTGGCTCAGGATTCCCTTCTTTACAATGAGACTGGATTGATTCTTATCACATTTTTCCTTTCTTTTTCTTCTTGATTTTTGATCCCGTGAACTTTTGCGGATTTGTTTTTCTTTCTTGTTCCTGTTGCGTGCTGGTCATGCTTCGTGGATTATAAGATTGTTATGCATATGATTATAGATATAGACTACATAGAAACGAAGCCATGTTCAAAATCACATTATTTTCCAGTAATATTATTTTAAGTTTAAGAAAGATTTGGTTTAATCCACTCGTGGCGAGAGTCAATGCCGGGTTCGTCATTCAACCGCCACAAGTCCTTAAAAAAACAGCCATCCGAACAATCCGAGAGATGAACGGGATTTTATTTAGCCTCTTCATTTCTGGAACTATCGAGAATTGTGATGGCAAGATCTCAGATCGAGAAGATGATATCATATTTGCCCTATCCGTCGTCTCTATCCATGCAATCCAGAATGTTAGCTAATAGGATCATTCCATTAGTAACGTTTTTGCTAGAGGCGAAGACTAACGTCTCTCATTACATACATACCCTAGGTTTAGGACATTCTTCAATGTTCCAATTGACATTTGGTTAGACCCGGGGCACTGTTGGGAACGTATGCAATTGGGATAGCCCTTTGAATATCAGAATAGGTGGCGTATGAAAGCTTTGGAGTCGTGTCGACGATCATACTAATAGATGATGCATTCAAAGTCTCGGTGCTATTGAATGTAGTATGAGAAATGAAAAATACTACCTATAGCTTCGAGAGTGGAAGTACTTGCACATGTGAATGTGCGCAGTCTCGGTCTACAGGTGACTTGGACTCGGAAGACTCGAAGTCATGGTAGGTTCAGCCCTGGGGATGTCTTTGAGATTAGGGCCCATCTTACGACTCAGGGTCACTGACATGGCTCCACATGTTTAAAGGTACGACTACTCAACATTGAACTCTACTCAGAACATCTGGACTGATTGATTGCAACTCAAGCAAGTTTATATTCAAAACAATTATATAGACAAAAGGAGACGATGATATTTAGGGGTATTGGGGGTATTCAAATTCTAACAACAGCATAATCGGGCGTCCCTTGTACAATCTCCCGTTTCCATCAACATACAGACCCGAGAAAAAGTATTAATATTATACAAGAGCTGCTAGCCACTCTCCACAAGAAATCGATATGTTCAGAAAACCAAAGAATGACGGGGACATATATCCAAGTAGGTTCAGGAGGTGGACCAGTCACAGCACCTGCGCGTCAATGCGAAAGTATGTATATTTCTTTTGTTTTCGAGGTTTGAGGGCGAAGTGTGAAAGCGCAAGCACTTTTACTCCTGTGAAAGAGTCTTCTCACCCTCAGAAGAGGCAGCAGGAGGAAGAACCAAAGGCTCGTGGATCTCCTTCTTCATAGCCTCCATGCGGGGGCTAGTACGCTCAAAGTACTTGTGCATGTCACCAGACAGGATGGTCTCATCAATGTCGAAGATCTCATCGGCGCTGCCCTCGGACTCGGTGGCGCGAGAGGCCATGGCGGCTTCCCACTCACCACGGAACTCCTCAACCTTCATCTTGTAGTCAAGAGCAGCATCGTAGTGCTTGCCCTTGCCGGTCCAGCGCTCGTACAGAGACAAGTGCTTGGCGTGGACGGCAGGACCGTGGTAGTCGTGCTCACGGCCGGTACGGATGTAGTGCCAGCGGCGCTCCTGCTCACGGAGATCCAGACCGGTGGTATCGGGCAGGAAGACGTAGGTGACGAAAGCACCCATGAGACCGAACCAGGGGACAATGTAGAAGTGCTGCTGGGTGGTGGTGTAGGAACCGGCGATGGCAATGATCAGAGCACCAAGCTTACCGCAGGCGGCGGAGATACCGTGAGCAGTACCACGGATGGGGGTAGGGAAGACCTCGGCGGCGACCAGGAAGGTGATACAGTTGGGGCCGAACTGGTTGAAGAAGGAGGACAGGAAGTACATAGCCTGGAAGGAGTGGATGTTCTCGGGCTTCTGGTAGTACTCGTACTTGAAGCAAGGGACGACGAAGAGAATGAAACACATCATGAAACCGATGATCTGACCCCACTTACGGCCGTAGAGCTTGTTGTCAACGGTCCACATGGCACCATAGTAACCAGCGATCTCGACGAAGACGTTGGCAAGGGTCCAGAGCCAGCTGGTCATGACGGTGTCGTTGTGGGGGCTGATGACCTTGATGAAGCTGCTCTGGAAGAGCTTGTTACCGTAGAAGAAGATATCGTTGGCGAACCAACCACCGGCGGTAGCGATAAGACGAGGGGTGAAGTGCTTGAAGGTAAGAGCAAGGGACTCGCTATCGTAACCAGTGACGGAGGACTTCTTCTTCTGGGCATCGAGCTGCTTGCTGGCAGCACGCATGTGGTAGGTACGGTAGTAGACGAGCCAGAGGGTACCAGCAGCGGGGATGGCGAAAGAGACACGGTAGACCCACTGGGTAGTGACCTTGGAGAAACCAGTAGAGTGACCGCCGTTGAAGATCAGCAGAGTCAGAATGAGGATAAGCAGGTTGGCAACCTGACCCCAACCTTGCATAGTGAAAGCACCGACGACGGAACGACCACGGTGAAGACGATCGTGGGAGGTAGTGACCTTTCCGGAACCGTATCCGTTCTCCATACCAATGGTGGCAGTCATGGGGTATTCACCACCGACACCAATGGAGTAGAAGAAAAGGGACCAAGCGTAACAGATAACCCAACCGTTGTCAGTAAGACCCCAAGCAGCAGTAAGCATAATAAGACCGATAAACATGATAGTGGCGTCCTGAATCAGACCCCAACGACGACCGATACTAATCAATTGAGGCGGTTAGTTATGAGTTCCACTTTTCTTGATAGGAGTTGAGATATTCTTACGCATCACCCAGATAACCGACGAGAACTTGACCGACCATGATACCAGCGACCTCGAGGTAGTTGACAGCGGCGACCCAGTTGGGGTTGCAAGTGACGCCGGACTTCCAGCAGTCCTTGAAGGAAACATCGAACAGACTGGAAACGTTACTGATGGAGAAGAGAACGTAACTGTGTAGAAAATCAAAATGTTAGTGGGTGTTCAACTTTAACGGGTTTCTGATATATCCAATTGCGGGATGTACATACCCCTCCAGACCCAGACCCGCACCAGGCAGGACAAAGTTGCGGAAGTAGTAGCTAATGGGAGACAGAGGATCTTCCTTGATCATGTTCCAGAGCCACTGGCGTTCCTTCTTCATCTCCTCACGATCCTGCTTCATACAGAATCCGATACGCTCACCAACGGGAAGATCAGCCCAGTAACGACCATCGGGGGGTGTAACTGTCGGCGGGACGAATGATCTCATCGAAGGCAACCTTCTCGTTGACCTCCATCTCCTCGAAGTGGTACAAGATCTCCTTAGGGGCCTCCATTGTGGAATGATCTTAAAAACCCGATGGGTTTTTTAGATGAGGCTAAAGTAGGGTTGATTGGAAGGGGGTTGGTTGGAAGAGGGAGAGAGCGACGAAGAAAAAAGAAGGAAAGGAGCAGATCAAGACATATTTATCTCGGAGGGTGGAATTTCTTCCAAGGATTATGGGTACAATGTACGAGAGAGAGACACGCGGGAACCTAAGCTGGTCCCGCCCATTCAACCACGAGTTTTGGAAAGTAAAAAAAAGTCAAGAAGAGAAGGGACCTATCGTATGCATGCATGAGAGCACGATTCTCGATTGAAGTGGAGCCGGGCAATCTCCCTTTTTAGTACATTTTAGTACCATTTTGGGGCGTTTTATGTTATTTCTTTTTTTTTTTTGTATTATTATATTATTATTTTTATTATTTTATTATATTATTATAATATAGATTATTTTCATTGTTACTAGTATTATATTATTTACAAGGATATGCTGGTGATTGCTTATTTAATTGGATGAATTGAACTTGGGGCGAGAAATGAGTCGGGTTTTCTATCTAGGATTGGGAAAGTGCCACCCAGCTGAGAGTGTTCATGCCCAGGTGCCTTCCTTCTTGCCACATTCGATCCCTTCTAGAACAACCGCAACACACGCATAGAATCTGATTTCGAGTTTGGCCCCGGTTTCATTCTTACATATACGGGAGAAGTAGGAGTTTGAGTCAAAAGTGATCAATTGATCAGGATCACATTACTCAACTACTCTTAACATTGAACATTAAGACGTTTCCGGATAACACAATTTTCTATGTCCAAGCCGGAAGGCGCCAACTTGGCGACCTTGGAAGAGGCTTGATCTGGCTTGGTCTTCTTAACTTATTGCTTAGATATTGCTTGAATTTTCTATATATTTGATTTAGGTACTTAGGTACTTCTTACACACATTTGATGGTTTGGATGGTTTGAATGGTTTGATCATGGTCGTTGGGGGTTGATATAACCGGGGGAACCCATTATCCAATCATTAGTGATCATTCCACCCCGTGCTCAATTCAAGGATGATCAAAGGTCACGGGATCCCCACTTGGTCTAGAAGCTAAATCTTATTTGACCAATAATCTCTCTTCTTACTCTTCTGTTCTCCTCCTCCCCCATCTCCACTTTTTTCCCCGACTCACATCGCTTCTTTGACGCACATGGTCAACTACACTATCCAATTGACAAACCATCATCCACCATCCTAAACCGGGCGTAATTCATAACTTACATCCGTACCTTCCATTCTCAGCTCCACCTATATTGGCCCATGTCATGCTAGTCCCCGCTATATGCGTCTGCAATACTACCCACTCTATCCAACATCGAGTAAGAAACCCGATCGCTTAGACTGATTTAATCAAGAGAGATGAAGCAAGCACAAGACACACCACCAATTTGATCTCCACCCATGGAACCATCACATTGCACACGACCTCGGGACCTCCCAAGTACACAACGTGGGCATCTGGGGATGCCGGAGTACCCGTCACCGCGGTTATCAGAATTTCCACTGAGGGTCTGGTCTGGGTCTGGGAAGTTAAGAATGTGCCCCCAATACGAGCCACACACGACCACTGACCGTTTTAACTATGGAGACCTATCCTCCGTGCACGCATCAGCGGCATCACATATACCGATCATCTAATTGGTTCCAATTTTATTATGGTGATGAAGCCTTGTCGGGCGTACCTAGGTCCTAGATACACACTAGGCGTTCTAGGCATACGCAGCCCAGGAGTACTAATATCAACTTCGCTAAATCCGAGATGCGAGAACCTCGCGTCGGATCGCTTAGATCCTGCATCAAATGCAAGGTTTTCACTAGTTCAGCCCTCGACGCGTGAAACCTCGAACGGACAACGCCGTGCCAAATTTACTCTCAGAAGCTCACGAGGAACTAAAAAAAAAAATTCTTGGTTCATGGTTTCCCCCCACCGTGTCATGCAGGAACGTGCTCCCAGATCGCCGTGTCGACTGGTCGATCCTTCTCAAATACTCACTCCAAGTCTCTCAAGTCTGTCGCACTTGAACTAACCGGGTTGGACTCGCTATTATGGCGTTCCCTCGGGTCATGCCGATTGGTTATTCTTACAGGGGGCCGTTGCGTGATTAGTCCTGGTGCAGCTATCCGACTTGATTCGATCGGGAGACCCTGCAGCCCGACGGCCAATTCCTTTGTTCTTTTCCTTCTTCCTTGCTTCTTTCGCCACAGATCGAGAGATCCACTGCACAGCGGATACTCCGTTCATTACAAGTTCGCTGAACTCCGTAATGATAGACGCTAACTGCCGGTTACCCTATAGTCTGCCGGGCGTTACTATGGAGCACCCGTATGGGTTATGCGGACTGACTGGTCTAGATTCCCATTACGTTCAGGTTCAGAGCTTGCTTCGTACTACCCAGTTAACATAGTTAAAATATCATGCCATGATCTTTCCGAATCAGGAATATGGAAGTATCCTCATCACGCGATTACCATCCTACTTGAGTTACCCAACTTGAACTCAAGCAATTCCAAGCAATTCGAGAAAGTTCACCCGTCAACTCACCCCATCACTACCATAGGTACCATGAACCTTGGGAAGATTTCAGGTTCAAGCTATGCTATTAGCCCCATAGGTTTAATAACGCCAATGGACCACTCGGGTGATCTGTAAAAAGCCCCATATCCCAGTTTCAGATCATATGGAACCGCATTACCCACTATACCACGCACATGTGCTGTGCAGGTGGGATGATTTGAAAACCCCTTCTCCACTTCTAACGACGCACGGCGGTTGTTTCCGAGACAGTCGCTATATCCCTATGAACTGAGTCCACGTGCGCTAATTGAGTCAACAATGGATTATACTAAGGGATCTCATTTTATATGCCATAGCTCTAGCTGTATACTAATAGACATTTACATTTACAGTAGCCTAATGGCAGGTGTAATCTAATTTATTTTGAATTCATATAGGATCCGTGCACAGACATGCCCACGGGTGCTATGTACAGGGTATTCATTTAACCAAAATGGTAAAGCGTCTGTTTTCCCTTCTTCTTCTTTCCCTTCTTCCCCGAACTTCCTTCCTCGTCAAATCCCGAATCCGCCGGTTCGGCCGGTGATGCCAACCCCGATGAAGGGTTCGAGCCCCATGCACTCGGTGCCGGTCCCCGACGATCATCCCAGCGAACATATCCGCGTGTCTTACCTGCCATCATCACATTCGGTTTCACCGCAGCTGGGAGAGCTGGGAATGCATCCGCACCAGTACTGCTACTGGCACTGGCACTGGCACTGACAGGTGAGGGGCGAATAGATATGGAAGGGGTGGATGATGAAGAACGGCTGGGACCGGGGAAGGTTGGTCGAACAAGAGGAGGGGTACTAGATGCGGCCCAGGGCGTAGATGCTGTGGCTTGAGATCGTCGTGCAGATGAGGGTCCTGTTGCAGCGGAGAGAGGAGGGAAAGGATTGGAGGATCCTGATGGCAGGGCACCGCTGCGCCCGACGGCTGAGCGCGAGGATTGCGCGGTAGACGATTTCAGACGCAGAACGCGCTTGCCGCCTGTATTCACGGTGCCCGGTGACATTCCCGGTAAAAGTCCGCCAGGTCCGGGTAGAGCGGGATAATCTTCGTTGATGGCGCGCCAGTCATTCCAGGCTTGGAGAAGGCCGGTGCGCTTGAATTCATCTTCGTAGATATCTGCGAGCTCCTTGATTAACTTGCCGAGTTCAGTGCTAGACGTATCGAATAGAGAAAAGAATGCGTCGATAAGTCCAGTGGCGGAGATTGCAGAGGTTCGGTAGCTGGATACTCGAGTGCGGAATTCTGTAAGCTTTGTGGCATCGTTGTGGAGGAGATTTGAGGCTCGCTCTACTACGGCTGTATGGCGGAGCTTTCGCGCTTGGTCTTGCGGACCCAATGACTCTGGGTGGGCCGCAAGATTGAGACGTTCAAGCTCCTCGGCGGGAGGGGCCTGAGGACGTGAGTTGGATGATACCGGCGTAGCACCCGCAGATCGGGCTGGTGCTTGTACGGGTTGCGTTTCCGGTCTAGTGAGTTGACCACCAAAGCTACGAGTCGAGACCGACTGCGCGCTTTGGATGGCCATCTGCCGCTGGTAAGCAAGTTCGGCTCTTGATAATGGCTGTGCACTTGAGGCGGGTATTGGCTCCGCATTAGGGTCGCGACCACGACCAGCACCCCGTCGTCCACCGCGCTGTGGTTGATAAGAACTGCGGATATTATCGAACTCGGACAGATCGACCAGTCGTGCATCGCGGCGAATGTCCTTTGACACACCATCAGGGTGCTCCTCAAGCTGATGACCCTTGAGATCCATCTGAGATTCAAATACCACGAATTTCTTCTCCAAGCATTCCTGGTCGAGACATATGAAATGATCGCGTCGGAAGTGGTCTTCGAGGGCATTGTAGTTCACGTAGTATTGCTGTTGTCGGTTGGAATTTCGTCTGTCGCAGATATGGCATCGCTCATGGCGGTCTCGACAGTGAGTGTACAGTTCATCATCCCCGTAGAATCGCTGGTGGCAGAATCCACACTCTGGGTGACCTTTGAATCCACTCTGGTTGACGGTACCAGGCTTATCATCTCCATGCTTTTCATGTTTGCGCAGTTCCTCTCGAGTGAAAAGGGTGTGTTCGTGAGTAAAGACTTTCTTGTTTCGTGTGCAAAGGTCACTACAATGTTATCCTCCAGTTAGTACCAGTGATCCTCTGAACATTTCCTGTTTAGAAAACCTACCACATAACCTTGCCATGCTTGCTCTTCACATGGCGATGTAGATCCGGCCAGCCCAGACAGGCCTCATCACAGCCCTCATCCGGACAGTTATACCGCAGCAAGAGGACCGTATCTTCAAAAATTTCATCATTTTCATATTGAATCCCCAGGTTCTCGTCGGTCCGCGCGAAGTCCTTCTTCTGGAAATCTTCAAATCGTCGGTTTGGGTCGTCGGTAAAGATGACAAAGCTCGATTCACTCTAAATATTAATAGGTCAGATTTGTAGCTTTTTCTCAGCGTCGCTGACGAAAGGATAAAAAGGACACCTCTTACCCGACAATGTGCGCAGCCTTTATTCTTGTATAATGCGCGGAGTCGCAAGGCGCAGATATGGCAGGTTCGGTGATTGCATGGAGATACGGATGTATGCTCAACCTTGGACGCACAAATGAAGCAAACCTCCCCATCGTCGGCGTCATCAGTAGCAGCGGGGAGGATCTTGGATCCGACCGTCGCAGTAGTCGTAGTAGAGGCCGGCGCAGTCGGAGTACTGGTATCTTGAGCGCCATCTAGGCCCTCTTTAGCACGACCTCCAGATCCCTTGCCTCCTCGGCCTCGAGACCTGGCTCCTCTGGTAGCCTCTCCTGCAGAATGTTGTCCATTAGGCTGGCCGGAGGGGGCAGCCCCTCCGCGGCCGCGGCGGCGACCACCACGACCCCGGCTTGACGACTCTGGGGTGGCGGACACGTTATCAGCCATCGGAGAAAACAGTAAACAAGAAGAACTTTTTTGATCAATGAGTCAATGGCAATATTCTAGAACAAAAGAGCTGAGGAGCTAGAGAGCTCGGGGCTAGAGTGGGGGATGGGAAAAAAAAGTTGTGTCGTGGCTGACTGATCCGTTCCGCGACGACATAGCCACAAGCGTCGACTGGAACAAAGAGCCCTGTCGCTAGTGGCGGTTTGCAAAATCCATATACAGCGAGGAGTTCTTGTTAACAGTCAGCTCCTAGGCTTCCTCGATTGTTCTATTCAGGCATTACTACTAGTAGTGGTAGTAGTATGACGCTACAGCTTGGAAGTTCTACTCAACTTGAACTTGAACTTGAACTTGAAGTGCCACGGGTATATATACATACTAGTAGTAGTATCTAGATACAGTAGTTTTCATTTGCCCAGATGATGACATACGTGTAACTTGAAGTACTGCTTGTACTATAGTCACATTCAGACATAATTAATGCTAGCTAGTAGCTAAAAAGGCTCTGAATTTTTGAATTTATAACATTAAGGTTCAAATGTTACTACTGACATTTGGAACCTTGGAAACCGTGCATGTGGACTCTGTTGATGATGTCTGGAAGCTGAATGGAAAGTAGTATGAAAATGTATCCTTTGAGGCCTGCTAGTAGTGTTAATATAGAAAAATGAATCAAATTTTTAATAAAAATTTAACATCTGAAGTGCTATTGATTTTGCTTGATAAGAGTTTCAAGTTTGGAGTATGCACACAGTGAGTATCTATCTATCTCCTGGGTTATTAGCGATAGATTGATAGTCACTATGTATCTGGTAGTTCAACTTGCAGAAAATAGTAGCCTTAATCAGGTTAAATTAATATCCATATAAATCAATATAATACCATACTATATTAGCGGCTATTACCATATAAGGAAGAGCCGCAGCCGCGTCCACTTGTTGCGGGCGGGTTGGGTTCATGCGGAATAACAGAAAGGGATTTTGGGCTGATTCGTGATCTTAGCTAAAAGTGTACAATTGTAACTATTTAAATGGGTATTCCCTGCACAATATACTAATGATTCCTATCTACTTTTAACATTGAAACTTTCAAGGTTACTATCAAGTTGTGTACTATCCAACCCCACATACCATATCCATCATGTCCGAATCACCAGTCGTCAATGGCAATTTCTGCCATTACAACAACACATACACCGGAGAAAACAGTGTGTTGAAGATGTTCTCATTAAAAGGAAAGACTGCAATCGTCACCGGAGGAGGTGCTGGTATTGGTCTGAGTGTCGCTCATGGCCTCGCGGAGGCTGGTGCAAATGTTGCTATTTGGTACAACTCCAACAAGAAGGCAATTGAACAAGCATCAAACATTGAGAAGACCTATGCTGTTCAGTGTATGTTCTCAATATTCCCACGCATGAATATCGTGGTGGTGACTAACTATGATTGCTTACGACTTAGGCCGAGCATACCAAGTCAACACCAAGGACTATGTGATCGTGGAAAAAGCCGTGGAATTATGTGTCCAAGAATTTAATGGCCGACTGGACATCTTCATTGCTAATGCTGGCATTCCTTGGACTAAAGGTGCGATGGTGGATGCTCCTATCTCCCATTACTCGGATGTGGTCCAGACAGACTTGGATGGAACTTTCTTCTGTGCGAGAGCTGCTGCCACGCACTGGAAGCGACAAAAGACTGAAAAGACCGATGTTTTTGGTAAGCCACTGGAAGGATTCACCTACGGTAGCTTTGTTGCTACTGCTTCTATGAGTGGTCATATTGTCAATGTTCCTCAGCTCCAGGCTGCGTATAACGCTGCCAAGGCTGGTGTTATTCATCTTTGTAAGTCCCTGATACACTACTGATGCATTTAATGGAGCTTTTCAAGGAGGAAGTAAGTGTACATTATACTGACTGCACATAGGCAAGTCTCTCGCGGTGGAATGGGTAAGATTTGCTCGCGCAAATTCAGTTTCCCCGGGTTATATTGAGACAGAGATCTCTACATTTATTCCCGACGAGACGAAGACGATTTGGAAGGGCAAGATTCCAATGGGCAGAGAAGGTCTGCCACAGGAGCTTAAGGGAGCTTTTCTGTATCTTGCTTCTGATGCCTCTAGCTACACAACTGGTGCGGATTTGGTCGTTGATGGAGGCTATACCTTGCCATAAATCAGACAAAAGTTGAACTGTGATTGGGATGGATATCATTGAGCTTCCCAACTGATACTTTATGTACCTAGAACCACCTTATAGATTCTCCAGTCAAGGAGTTCAAGGAACTCAAAGAAGAAATTTTAAAAGAATTTGAAATATCTCTCCCATAAGTTCCAGTCATCATAATCATTCATGCAGATCCCTGGTTCATCGAACCGAAAATTCCAGAGTCGAGATCGAAGTTGTCAAATATGCCTAATGTCGACATGGAATCAAAGAATCCTGTTTCGAATGGCTGGTATGGTGTTTGGAAAGGCTCTGTTTCCGCTTGTTGATTACTTTGCATTGCAGAATTTCCTATACAGAATGAAGATTTAATGTAAAGAAAAACCAGTAAAAAACACAGGAATCTTACCAGGGAGCGAATTATCAATATTCATTCTAGTGAGGAGATTAGGCCCATCATTCCGTTCTGGCATTCCATCTCCACCTGCTGCTGTCTGACCATCTCTTCTGTCAATGAGGTATTCACCCAGATCGGCCATGAGCGAGGCCGAGTAGAAGACCTTCCCAAGCTCTTTGAGAATTTGACAGTTCAAAACGAGCTGCTTCCGTGCCCTTGCTTGGAAGATCTGCGCTTTGCTCTGTTGCAAAGTTTGATATGATACCCGTAAGGATAGAGCGACTGCATAGGGAACAATCGGGAACAAGCGCAACTCATTGTGGATCTCCTCGCCCACTATAGAGGTCACCCTAGATGCTGAGAAGCTTTGGCGCAACTTGGACTCTGAGGTTGGAGAAACACCATCTGGACTTGCTGAGCGACAGGATATAATGGCAGCTGCATGGTATAGAACTTCAATCGTGGCTATTATTTCTGTTAGAGCTTCACCCTATCATTTAGACGATATGAATGGTATTACCTATAAAATGTAGTGGAATGTCAGATGCACCAACTTGCTGCAATAAATCCTCAAATGATGGAAACTCCTCTTTCCATGTCGAGTTCACAGCAGGCTGGTAGAGCTCAATTACCCGCTCCATAAGATGAATGGTATATAGGAATAGCTGAAAACAGCTATCCTGTGCCGCTATACATAATTTCATGTCACGGTTGGTATCCCGTCGATGAAATTGCATAGGTCTCCCTAGAAATGCCGCAGTGAGCACATCCAGTGCATAGAGACAGCAGAATATTCGGGTCGAGATTCGCTCTCGATGCATTGATGAAGGACAATGATGGTGTATGCCAAGGGTATATGTATGGCATATGGCACGAGATAAAAGCTCTGCTGACTCTTGTCGATTCCCTGAGAATTGAGTAAAGAGTGAAGCTAATGACAAGGCTTGAATCAAAATGAATTTATCCCTCACTAGACCCAGTGCGATTGAAGTATTCATCGCGTCTAAAAGAGTTCGAGAAAAATCGCTGTCGGGACTACTAACAGTTGGTAGACGGAGGTATTCCTTTGCACCCCGATCTATACTCGTCGCAATACAAATTGACTGGGATAAGAGGATCTTTTCGGGAGATGTGTCAGAGAGGATTTGGTAGGATTCATAATCCAAGACTGGAAACATAGGCTGTACGTTTTCAAGATAAATCTTGAGAAGCTCCTTCATATCGTTGGGAGCTGGAAGTGCCCCCAAACATTGATGCTCCAAGTAAGGCAGAAAGACTGAAGATAGCAAAGGATCCAGACAAGACATCAGACTGGACCTGGGCTTCTTGACTGCAAGCTGAGAATATGCGTTCCTTGCGGATAACCAAACGCCAACATCACCATGTCGCCGCATTGACCTAGAGCTTGAAGATGGACTCGCTGCAACTAGGAATGCACCTTCTGGATCTAAATCACCCACAAACCAGGATTCGCCGTCAATACATGCCCCTTGGGGAGGGGCTTGAGCATTCTGATGCTCATTCACTTCAGAACTACCCGGAATATTGGTGGGTTCTTCTTCTTCGTTCACTGGTGGAGACAAGATAACTCGCGTTTGAGTATCTCCGGATACCTGGGGTCGTTGTGATCCATGAGTACAGCGTCGTTTCCGTTTGCGACAGTTCATGCATGCACGTTGAGCTTTCTTGCGATTCTGAGGAAGCCCATTGACATCACTGGCCACAAATTGAAAGGATCGATGTCGGAACGGCATATTGAAGCCCTGGTACTCACGGCGTAAAGAGATAAGGCCACTTGGATGACTCCACCCCGCATATGAAGCGGAATCTCCATTCTCGGAGTTGCCCCTCTTGTTACTAAGACAGTTCTCCACTCTTCCTGCATAAGCACCTGTTGATGATCAGCGCCAGGTCAGATCTAGATAGCATTGGATAAAAGATGTATTGCCAAGAATGAGGTGAGTGCCTAGAACTTTCTATAACAGGTCAATGTCAATCTACTGTAATCACCAATCTATGGAAGTCTTAAAGACAGATGCAATTGCTAATAATAATCACCACTGGAGGGCTGCACCAACTCCCGCTGGAGGGCAGAAGACAAATCTTCGAATCAAGTATAACAGAACAAAGCCTCGAAGGGCCGAAAGATTGAAAAAGTCACGCCAGCATCCCCATGCATCGCAGAGAAAAAAGCCCAATAGTTTAATAATTAAAAAGAAGAATCGTTAGATCAGATGATGGACCAATCTGATACTTTATCGCGAACCAAGGTCATCCAAGACCAAGGGGCTATTCATCGGGGTTATACAAGTTTTGGTTGAGAATCTTTGTCATAGTGAACATATGTACGCGGTCCTGTTTGAACACCGCGCGCATCGGTTCATCGCAACGGATCTGGCGTCGGTCACTCGGGTCCTGTAGATCATTTTCGCGAATATATTGCCAAACTTTCTTGACAGTTTGAGGTCGCGAAAGCTACCAGTTGTGTTAGCAGGAGGTCGGGGGTCTCAACTTAATACAGTCTTGTGGGATAGAACTTACTGTGACCTCTCCGAGGAGTGAAGACAATGCAGGTGATAGGTTGAGAGGTTTCTAGTCGCCTGTGAGCAAAAGAAAAGCTTGATGTCACAAAAATATCAAGTCGGGTCTTACATGGAATCCACCTGTTCGATTCACCTCCTTCTTGGTGTCTGAACCTGACCCAACATCCGAGTCATCTTCTGCCTTGACTCTCTTGGACGTCTTGGCTTTGCTCTTTTTCTTCGAAGGAGCTGACCGGCGGCTATTGCCTCCTCGTGTTGGTCGCGCGCGCATGTTTTCTTCCGCCTGGAGCTTGGCCGCGAACAGCGCATCGGCATCGACATCGGCATCGGCGTCTGGCTTGTGTTTTTTAGGTGGCGGGGAGGAGGCGCTCGGATCAGATGCTTCTTCACTATCAGCCTGGCGTTTGACAGGCGAGGACGACGGGGGTGGAGAGGGTGCCACAAAGGCGGATTCATCATCCTTGTGACCGTTGCTGACGGGTTCCTCGGGAGACTCGCCTACTCCGTTTTTCTCCGCGTAAATATCGAAGCGTTGCATGATGAGTTCCTTGAGCGCACTCTAGACATTTTTATATCAGTTATTGCTTCCCTCGATTGATTGATTGTGTTCGTAGGTTTGGCTGTCCGATCTCGGGCGAAAAACTGACCTTTTGTTTAGTGAGGTCATAGCCGACTTCCTCTTGCAGACCCTTGCGAATGCGCTTCTCGGAGATGGTATTAAGGTCACTTTTGGCCAAGATCGAGTCTATAATTTCGGTAAACCGATCGCGCATGTCGGTTGTAACTATAACAACAGATTAGGGATCACAGAATGCCAGCTGAAGAGAACCCGACAACGGCCCCGGGACAACGCCGAGGTAACCTACGCGACATCTTGCAGGTCAATCGAGTAAATCGCCGGTGGAATTGTGTAAAGATGACCGCGGTATATTGATTGTGAATATGACGGGGAGCTCCAGAGCTTTCTATCGGAGTGATGTCGATTGCGCAATGGGGGGTATAGGTACTTGGAGGTTGATGGTGTCAGGTGGGTATAGTCGCACTGGCGCTTAGCGGCGGTGGGGGTGGAAGAAGAAGGTACGGGAGACCCCGACAGGGTAACCAAAGAATAAAGGATTGACTTTCTATTAAGTCAAATACACAAAGAAACCAGTTCTTTTTGTCCAAATAGAGACATTAATAACTGACGGACATGATAGATGAGAGAAAGGTATGAAAAAAGATGTTTTTAAACTTCGAGAAAAGGGAGTTTCCGGCAGCAGGGATTGTTGAATAGATCATATGTACCAGTTGATAGATGCATCTCTGGCACCTGCGCACCGGTGACAGGATGACATAATCCTAGATCACGGGATCTGGGAAATCTGACTCAGCAGAGATAAAGTCACATGACTTGATCTTAGTCAGCCCGCACAAAGCAGCATTTGTGGATTTGTGGATTTGTGTTTCTGGCCGAAAAATCTCCCTTTGAAGTTCCCAAAAGCCATTCTTGCTGCCCGGCTGTCGCATATCGATCTACCCAGCATGGCGCCCAGTTTCGACACTTTATCCGAGCAGGACCTCCACGAGGAGGAGGAGGAGGAGATTGACTTCTCCGGTGCGTGTGCAGAAAACTTTTCCCCGAAAAAGCCCCTCCTCTCTAATAATGATCGCCTTTAGATCTCAAGGAGCAGCTCGATGTCAAACTCGATGAGGGCCTTGATACCTTCGTCGTCATTGACGGTCTCCCCATCGTTCCCGAAGAATCTCGCCAGAAGCTTGTCAAGTTCTTGTTGAGGAAATTGACCAGCGTTGGCAACACCTCCGAAGATGCCGTTTTTATGCCAGTGACCGACAAGGGCTCAACTGAAGGGTGCGTATCCCGAGACACAGAAGATGGCCTATTTGAGAGGTGGATGCGAATGATAAGGTGGAATATTCTGACTGGAAACGTTGGTTTTTTTTAATAGATTCGCCTTTGTCGAGTACGAGACCCCCGAGCAGGCTATCGCCGCCGTTAAGCAGCTGCACGGCGTTCCCCTCGACAAGAAGCACACCCTTTCCGTGAACAAGTTGATGGATATCGAGCGCTATGGTCGTGAAGGTCGCATTGAGGAGGAGTACGTCGCTCCCGAATTGGAGCCATTCAAGGAGAAGGAGCACCTGCGCTCCTGGATGGGAGATTCCAACGCCCGTGATCAGTTCGCCCTGTACCGAAATGATAAGGTTGGTGTGTTCTGGAACAACAAGTCCAACCCATCAGAGAACGTCGTCGACCGCGCACACTGGACACAACTTTTCGTTCAATGGTCCCCCAAGGGTACCTTCCTCGCCTCCGTCCACCCTCAAGGTGTCCAACTCTGGGGTGGAGCCTCATTCTCCAAACAGAAACAGTTCCCTCACCCCTTCGTCCAACTCATCGAATTCTCTCCCCTTGAGGGTTACCTGACCACATGGTCTGCCCGTCCTATCCAGGTCGAGGAAGGCCAACCTATCTTGACTTACGAGGAGGACGGCAAGAACATTATTGTTTGGGATATTGAGACCGGAAAGCCCCTCCGTTCTTTCGTGTCTCACGATCTGGCTGCTGGTCCTGCCGATGAGGGTGAGGTTCAGCCTAAGAAGAAGGTGCAGTGGCCCGCTTTCAAGTGGTCTGCTGATGAGAAGTACGTTGGTCGTATGCTCCAGGGCCAGTCCCTCTCTATCTACGAGCTGCCCAACATGAACCTTCTGGGCAAGACTTCAGTTAAGATTGAGGGTGTGAACGACTTTGAGTGGTCCCCGGCTACTGTTACCCGGGAGGGTGTTAAGGTGTACGAGCAATTGCTCTGCTTCTGGACCCCCGAGATTGGCAGCAACCCTGCCCGTGTCGGCATGATGAGCGTTCCCTCCAAGGAGATTGTCCGTACCCGTAACCTGTTCAATGTTTCAGATGTCAAGCTGCACTGGCAATCACAGGGTGCCTACGTTTGTGTTAAGGTCGACCGTCACTCCAAGTCCAAGAAGTCTATGGCTACCAACCTGGAGATTTTCCGCGTTCGTGAGAAGGGTGTGCCTGTTGAGGTTGTTGACAGTCTGAAGGACACTGTTATCAACTTCGCTTGGGAGCCTAATGGATCTCGCTTCGTTCTTATCACCACTGGCGAGAACCCCGTTGGTGCTGCCGTTCCCCCCCAAGTCTTCCGTTTCTTTCTTCGCTCCTGAGAAGAAGGGTAACACCGCTGGTAACTTCAAGCTCGTTCGCACAGTTGAGAAGAAGACCAGCAACGGAATCTACTGGTCCCCCAAGGGTCGTTTCGTCGTTGTGGCTACCGTTCACTCCCAGTCTAACTTCGATATTGACTTCTGGGATATGGACTTTGAGGGTGAGAAGATTGAGGGCGAGAAGGATCTTGCTGCCAACTTGCAGTTGATGAAGACCAACGAGCACTATGGTGTCACAGATATTGAGTGGGACCCCACAGGTCGTTTCGTGGTCAGCAGTGCTAGTGTCTGGACTCACTCGGTAAGATTATGAGAACTGTCTTTTTTGATTATCTATATTACAAAAGCTAACTAAATCCTGCAGATGGAGAACGGATGGAACCTGCACACTTTCGCCGGTCAGACTCTCTCCGAAAACCCTACCGAGAAGTTCAAGCAGTTCATCTGGCGACCACGCCCCCCCTACTTTCCTCAGCAAGGAGGAGCAGAAGCAAGTCCGCAAGAACCTGCGCGAGTACTCGAAGGAGTTCGACGAGGAGGACCGCTACGCCGTGGATATCGCCAACACCGCCGTCGTGGAGAAGCGCAAGCGTGTTCTCAACGAATGGCTCGCCTGGATGCGTCGGGAGAAGGAGATGTCAAGCGAGGAGAAGGAGGCCTTCGGTTACCCCGAGGATGTCGATTCCCCCAAGTTGGCCAAGGATGCTCCCGTCAACGTGGACGACCAAAGCGATGCCGTGGTGGAGGAAATTGTGGAGGAGATCATCGAGGAGACCGAGGAGGTCATTGCCTGAACGAACCCTTTCTTCTTTTTTTTCTTCGCATATAATGTGTTTCAATTTCTCTTTTCCTTTTTTTTCTCCGGTGTTCTCTGCGCTTGAGGCCCGGGCTTCTGCCCCCCGTGTGTTTTGGTCCTGTCTTTTTGTAGCAAGGATCGGGGCGTCCCAAAAATCTTTAGATTGAGCTATCTGCGTCCGAAGCTCATTTGATGTGCAATGCGGATAAGCATGAGAAATGCCTACGAAACAACTCGTTCTCGTCATTTCCAGTTTCTTTTTTTTCTTCTCTTAAAATTTTCATTGGTATATGCCTATTCCGATCCCTATAATAATGAGGGATAGTAACATGGTTCGTATCCTTCCCATGTTAGGTTGTATACTGGCACAACCATTACTTGCATCAGTCATCGATGCAGACGCAGATCCAGTGGTACTGCTGGTAGATGTATTCGATCCTGTCGAGTTAAACGAACTACTCGGCAGTACATTCTTCTTGAAATAGGCGTCATGATCTCCAACCACATTTCCCACTGGCGTGTATTCACAAACCACATACCAGCCCTGAGCCCGAGACTCACTGCCCGTAGATCTTGGAGCTAGGACATCTCGTTTGGAGGTACTGGAATCATCTGGATATCCACAGTTCACTGCTGCGCATCCAACCTGTATCGTAGACTTCCAGATCAGCTGTGTGAAATGTCCTGTTTCTTCAGTATATCCAGTCGGCTTAGAGAAATTGTATAGTTCTCCTTCGTCGCCCCAAGCCTTGACAGCAGCAGAGGCATTCGCGAATCCGAATGCGATGTTTTCTCCATATGGTCCATCCTGTAGATTGAAATGTCAGCTTTGCTGTGCCAGTGTAATATGACTTGTTGAGTACTTACTGAATGCTTCCAAATACACCCTTCAGCCCATTTGCGAGCAAATTCCGTCAACGTCTCATTCCAGACTAATGCCTCTGCATCGTGATCATCTCGATATTCGTTGCTGACTTTTAGTACCGTGTCCTCGAAGTCTGTGAGTGAGGTGTATGATGCTGGACTGGGAACGGTAAGGGATGCTTTCACAGTCGTGACTTCGATAGTGGTTACAAAGGTAGTAACAACAACGACTTCTTGGGCGATGATAGCAGTCGTATAGATGCCGATCCACATGAAAATTATTGATAACAACATTTTGAATAGTCGATGAGTTGAGCAGGGTTTATGATGCTGGTGACTCGTAGAATAACACTCTCTTCTACTTTATAAAAAAGAAAATACCGACTCAAAGAGACTAGGCACCGATTGGTCTGCAGATCCACATGATTCAAGTAGGGTATGGTCATTCACTTGTTTAATCTGATCTTTATGGTTTCAGGTCTGTTAGAGAATGAAAGAACAATGAATATGAGAACAAAGGTGTGTCAGAGTCTCATCTCCAGAGCATATTTATAGGACTAAATGACTTTGAGGATTTTCTTCAGATGCAACAAAAATAGTTCTGGAACCATTTATCAGCCTTCAAGCTGCTAAGACTGTTAAGATGGACCCGCATCTTGAAGTAGATCTACGCGTCATATCCAATCGTGCCAGGAACATGGGTGGGTTCTGAGCTTAGTCTCCGTGCAGAAGTTAAGCATTTCAGCGAATAGATTTCTAGATTTGAGATCTTGTTTTGATTTAGACTGCAAATGCACACAGGTGATTGATCCTTCAGAAACATTGAGGGTTTGGATCTTGTTTCAGCCCAAGTGTGTTGTTCCATTAGCCGCCGTTGACGTCACGAGGAAGAGTGGGAACAATGAGATGGAGATGAATTAGAGAAGAGATCTGAATTCGTCTAATGGGAAAAAGCATTATATAATTGAAATATTCTAAATGACCGAGTATTTTGTTATGTAAAAAGTGACTTCGTAGCTACAGCACTCGTGCTATGTACATCGTGATAGTCTCATAGACCCATACAAACCTCGAGGACTCGCTTTTCTATACAACCAATACGCTATGCAATTCTCGGGGTATCTGTTGTTTACATCACGCTGCATCCAATACCATACATGGCTCGTTCAACATCGCGTTTCACCTGGTACCAATCGGCCCGGCGTTCCGCAAATTCGTATACTTCTTCCACACGCCAGATCCCCTGGAAGCGGTCGGCATCGGCGATGAGTGTCGCTAGCTCCTTAGCATCAGACGGGTCGATTAGATAGATCTGAGCGAGTTCGCGGAATGCCTTAAAGTACAGAAGAAGCTCGTTATTCTTCAGGGTCTGGACGAACTTGAAGTAGTGGTTCATGTCACTAAAATCAGTTAGCGCTACTCGTGGCCCAAAGAATCGAAATAGATTGATGCCTTACCTGATCAGTTTCAAGGATCCTTCGACACTGATCCGTTGACGCTTGAGATGTTTGCACAGTGCGGTGAAAAGACGTAGCCCGACCTCCTGGTTGAATACATCCAGAGTGCTCTTGTCAGTACTCCCCACCAGCATCTGCGTGTGCGACGAAACCACATCAACAACTGCCGCGGCAGCTTCGCTAAGGCCGACATCCATGATTTGTCGATGAGGGTCTGCCGAGACTTCAGGATTAAAGTCGGTGGCCAGCTGCCGCGTAGCGAGAATGTAGTCCACTTCTTCCATGAGTACGTCAATACCCTTGTTGAGTCCGGCTGCAACTTGCTCGTCCAGCATCTGCTCGAACTTCTTCTTTTCCTTCACGGCTGGATCTAAGAAATCGCTCCGGTCGGTCAGGCGAGTACTGATCAATTCTTGCTCATAAAATACATCCACCATTTGCAGAATCAGGTCTCCGACGTTGACCAACTCCAAAAATGTTACCAGAGGCTCAACACCTGACTGATCGCGTTCGTCTTGCTCTCGGGGCCGGTAATTCGAAAGATGATCAACGGCCTTATTGAAACCAATGATAACGTGTCGATGGCCCAAGATGCCTAGGAGAGAGACAAAAATGGCTTCACATTGTTGTTTGGCTGCTTTTCCATATTCGCCACCCAATCTTACAAATTGTGCGGCTCTTTCAAGACTGGATTTAGCGGAATGTACCAGGCTGAGAGCAATCTCAATACTGAACAAGGATCGAATGCCTTCCATCTTCGATTTCATTAACAAAGCCTTGGCTGCCAGTTCCGTCTTGGGCGCCTCTTCGATGGGCAATGGAGCTGGCGAGGAGATCGTTGAGAAACGATGGAGGTTTTTGGGAGTGTTGGTTCCATTTGTGTCTGAATCAGACTTGGCGTCCTCGTTGTTCTTTGTGCTTGAAAAACTGGGGAGAATGTTGACTGGCATCATGATCACTTTCTTGAAAGATGTCAAGAAATCTCGTTTGTCGGCTTGGCGATTGACATTGGACATCAAAAAGGACTCTGTCGAGGCAGCTTGCTCCGAGAGCTGGCGATCCCAGTCATCAATTGTCCCCTCAGAGGTCCTGCGGAAGAAGTCAAGTTCTTCCGCCAAGTAAAGCTCAATATGAGGTTCGTAAATTTTGGTCACAACAGTATCCAGATACTGGTCGAAGTTGTTGCTAGAATCTCGGATTGGCAGTAAAGTCTCGGATAGATTCATACATTGAATGAATGTGACGGAAACCGCAGTGAGGTAGGATTCCTTGTTGGTACGATGCAGCTCGTCAAATATAGCTGTCACAAATGGAAAGAGAACGTCCTGTCGAACTTTCTCCATGAATGGCAATGCCACTTCTAGTTCAGAAGGGAATGCACGATTCATGATCGTAACCTCCTCGTTGTAGGCGACACTGAACCGGGTGAAAAAGGCTTGGGTATGTTGGACTTTCACTTGCCCAGCCACACCATCAATGCAATCTGCCAATGTGCCCAGTTCGGACTTTCGAGTCATTAGATGGTTGTGATGGATGAACAGCTCCAAGGCGGATTGTCCACCGTTAAGACTGTACAGAATATGAGCGTATTTACGCATCAGTCCATCGATGTCATCCGTCTCGTAACCCTGTCGAAACTCGTTTAACGCTGCTGTTTCAAACATGGAAATTGCACTTTCCAGGCGATGGACCCGCCATTGCCATCCCGTAGTCATATCACTGTTTGAGAACGCTTGTAATTGAAAAAGCATTTGTGCTTGGATTTGAGGGTCTTTATACTTGGTGAACACCAGATTCTCAGTAGAGGGCCCGGATTTCGCAATGTCGTCGTACAAGGGGCTCAATGCGGCGTGAATCTTTCCATATTCCTGACGGGCCTCGCCTCGTATTGAACTGACCTGCTTCAACACAAACAGATCGGGATCGTTTGCTTCATTTCCCAAAGGTTCAAGTTGAGCGGCTGCTTTGCCAAGTTCGATCTTGTCGAAGCCGTCGGATATAGCATCAACCCCAGAACTGGGGACGCCTTCAACTGCAATTTTCGGAATGACACCATTTGCTTCATCCAAAATATCCTGTTCCTCGACGGCATCGAATTCGGCAACTGTCCCATAAACCTTCTCCGAATGCTTTCGTGCGTTGGACTCATCCCAGCATCCAATTCGTTTCAGCAATTGTACCCATCGAGTGTCGTCATATGCCATTTCGTGTAGCAGCTTGCACGAACGTGCCGCTCGAATAAGATCTACCGGACCAAGATAATCGAGAATCGACGAAACGATCTCTGTAAAGGGTCAGTACCTTCCTTATCAGCCACTCATTCTCGAAGCGTACCTGCAGGTAACGAGGCTCTAGAGATCTCCTCGAGCGATGCCATACGCAGCGAAGCCAGCACATCCCTGCGCGGCTTGGCCGGAACCGTCCCTTTCTTCCCGTTCGGCATATCTGTTGTTCGGAATCTTCATCGGGGCCCGGCCAGAATGTTCGCGGGGTGTGTGTTTCTGGGGGCGGAGATAGTAGTTTTGATCCCACAGCCACCCCAAACCCCAAAGTGAAGCCTTTTTGTGATATCAACGAACGTGGGAAAAGCCTTGTCGGATACAGAAACTCAATCCAGAAAAAAAAAAGAATTCCTCAACGTATCGGAAGCACGAGGATCAACGCCAAGTTAGGCGTCGATCAGTTCGGCAGGGTCCATGTCACCGCCTTGTATTACTGCCAGCTCTACTACACCGCTAACATCATTCATATTAGTGTCAATGACAGGGGAAGTTCTATACCACATACCTGCCATTCTATATGAGGAATATTCTAACCTTGGAAATCTCATATAATCCTTAACCTCATGGGGCTATCTAATCTATGACATGGAAGTTTAGGAAAATGGTCGCAGCACCTGGGCAACAGCTAATAAGAGGTGATATTCATGCAGTAAACTGCGCTGTTGTAAGAAATATGAAGCGAAAGCGATTTGAAAATTTGAACCCCGAAAGCAACTACCAATAATGGCGGGCCATGTCACGGCAGTTCTGTGCAGTAAAGAAGAATGTCGGGTTCTTCTCATACAGAGCCACAAATGGTAATATAAGTGGTGCGCCCACAACGGCATTCTCGTTAATTGTGATCTCCGAGTCCTGTGCACAGTATGGCTGTTGGGAAACGGCGGGCTGTCTGACGAGATGTTAAGAATTTGCTGCGAAAGCGTGGCAATGTAGGGAAGGTTCAAGGGAACCGGGCTCCTGCTGGCCCTGGACGCGGGTTTGGTTGCTCATACCAAACTTCAATCTCAGCCCAGTAAGTTGGCGTCTTTCTGGTATTGATGGCAATGATCAGTTTGGTGTGGTGCACATTCCCTGACTCCGAATTGGCGTACCACCATCGTATATCATGGTGGAGTTGGGGCCAGTTGCCATAGTTCAATCTCGATCATAGAGCGCCCGAAACTGATCGATCACCATTACCATGCGTCGTTCACCATCGGACATAGCAAGCCACTGTCGTGCATCAAGCCACTGGTTCTTTGACGTTCCATTGGAAAGAACATACTGGATTTTTTGCATAGCTGAGTGTAAATGTGGATTCGAAGGAAGGTGTCAGCTAATGTAGCCATTAGGGAGGCATGAGATAAACTCAGATGGAGGATATGGTAGACAGCAGGTCATTCTGGGTATTGGCTGACATAGAGAGTTAGGAACAAGAGCTATTGTAAGTATTGTTATATACGTCAATAGAAAAGACAAATAATTATAAGGAGGCTGTGTTAGAGTACCTGTAGTAAGATATTAAGGTAAGTAAGAGATAAGTGAGAGACAAATGAGAGATAATTAAGAGGTAAGTAAGAGATAGCCTTAGAAGTAAAAGGTTAAGGTAAAGTGAGAGGTTAAGGTGAATAGATACTAACAGTACTTAAAATAAGATTAAGGTCAAGAGGTAGCTAAAGTAATATAATACTTATATACTAGAATAACTACCAGTGATTATTTTATTCACCGTCTGAATAACGGGCTACAGGAAGGATTTTAAAGGAGATATCTTAAGGTTTAATATTTTATACCTACTACTTACTCGTTTTGTTAGAACTCAAATTAGCAAATTAAACAAATATTTGAAAATGGCTATATAGAATACCCAACAGAGCTCAGTGTCGTGGATGAACAGGTTCATCGCCAATTTCCTCCATTTTTTGCTCAAGCAGATGTGTCATCTGTTTCACCACATCGCTATACTTCGACTCATGATAGCAGTTGAATAGCTCTAATGGGTCCTCATCAAGGTCAAATAATTCCCACTCCTTCTCTTCTCCACCCAGCCGAGCTCCCTCAATACCGAAGCTCTCATTGTACCAATAAATCAACTTATACCGCGTATCCCGTACAGCATAGTGGGCATGGGCATCATGGATAATATCCCGATGCATCCAGTACCGATGATAGGCAAGTTGTTGCCAGTCGGCAGGAGTCTTCTGCTGCAATAGCGCACGGAAACTCACACCCTGCATATAGGTGGGCAGACGTAGTTTGGCAAAATCTAGCCAGGTTGGCGCGAAGTCCACATTGCAGATGATATCGTTGCAGACGCTTCCAGCAGCAATCTCCCGTGGATACTTAATCAAGAAGGGCATGTTGAAACTGTTTTCGTAGACAAGTCGCTTGTCAAACCACCCGTGCTCTCCGAGGAAGAATCCTTGGTCGGATGTATAGATCACGATGGTATTCTCGGATAACCCTTCTGCATCAAGGTAATCCAACACGCGACCCACGTTGTCGTCAACACTTTGGATTGTGCGCAGGTAGCGCTGCATATACCGCTGGAACTTGAACTCGGCGAGCTCCTTGCTTGTCTTGAAGGTGAACACTGTGCCGTCCTCTTTATCGATCAACTTCATCTTGGTAACGTCTTCCGGATTGGGAATCTTTCGTTCGTAGAAATCCCATGTATCCAGCATTTTTTCTCCAACGATGTGGGCTGGTCCATCTGGTTGTGCCAGTCCCAGATCCATGTATGTCAAATCGTCTGCAACACGCATCTTGGAAGCGGCGGCAGACTTGGCACGGTTTTTGTAGTCATCTGTGAATGTGTCTGGCACTTTGATCGGGTCTTTATACAAGTCCTTGTGTTTGGAATCACATTCCCAGCTGCGGTGAGGTGCCTTGTGATGACACATAAGGAAAAAAGGCTTGGTTGTGTCTCGCTCTTTTATCCAATTGAGACTCTTGTCTGTAATGATGTCTGTTGCATAGCCTCTTTCCCGCACGATCCCACTCGGTCCGATAAATTGTGGGTCGTGGTATTCGCCTTGCCCCGGAACTACCTCCCAGTAATCGAAGCCTGTGGGCTCGTGGTCCTCTCCCTCGCCCAAATGCCATTTGCCGACCATTGCGGTTTGGTAGCCGCCAACACGGAGGTGCTTTGCTACATTTGGTAAGTGCTTGTTGATCTTGGAGTCGAGGGTCATGACACCGTTCACATGGTTGTGGGTTCCGGTGAGAATCGCGGCTCGGGAAGGTGTGCAGATACTATTGGTGACATAGCAGTGATTGAATTTCATTCCTTCGTTGGCTATCCGGTCGAGGTTGGGAGTGTTGTTGATACCCGCTCCATAGCAGGAAATCGCTTTGGAGGCATGGTCATCAGCCATGATGAATAGGATGTTTGGACATGGGTCAGTCATGATGCTAAACGGTAAAAGAACAGATCAAATTCAAAAATGATTCACAGAGAGTAACTGGGAAATCTTGCAATTTAAAATAGGAGGGGAGCTATGAGGGCGAAGGCATGATTTTAAAGCTGGGTTGCGCCATTGGAGTGAGTTGGATCTTATTGCAGTGTCATTTGCGACACTTTTCTTGAGAACCCCGCAGCCTGCTTTCTTGCAGGAAATTGAATGGCGGAGAAAGATCAAATCGTGTGAGCATGCAATGCTTCTGGATCCACTACTCCACATTATACTCGGTCGTCGGCGGCAGTCGGTATTTGCTCTTTCTTATTGGTGAAAGGTATTCTATGCCCCACAATCCTTAAATCAGTAGCATTTCAACGGAAAGAAAATGAAGTACTAGTATTGGTGTATTTGGTGAGAGGATATTGGAATATACAAACAGAGTAGAATAAGCATGACATGTCAAGGTTAATGGTAGTTGACAGTACTCCGGTGTTTCAATCCACAGTCCATGCTTCTTGCCTATAATAACAATGATGATTAGGTAGACATGCAAAACTTGAAAATAATCAGCTAAGGCCAAACTTGAACTTGAGCGAGTGTCTCCTCTCTCCCCACCTTTGAATAAGCATATAGAAGCTGATAGTAAATATCCCTGCAAAGATTTTAAAGTCATGCTATTGACTGTCACCCTCATAATTGATTAATCTGAGTCGGTCTCCTGGCTGTCAGTATCGGAGTCAGTGTTCGAATCGTTTTTAATAGGATCCGAATCGATTACAATCGGACTCGAGGCAGAATTATGTTGATGGAATGATCTCTCCTCTTCTTGCATCTCATCTTCTTGCATCGAATCATCTTGTTTAGGCTCAGACAACAATGACAGTCCTCGAGATTGGGGTGGCTGCACAGACTCGCTACCGGTTTCAACAATTTGTGGAAAATCCTGATCAATACGAGCCATTTGAGCTGGAAATTCATCTTGAAGCTTCTTTAGCCAACGTCGAAGAGAGTCATCATCCATTATACCCTCACGAGCGATAACAAGCTGTTCACGAAGAGAGAGTAGCAGCTTTCTTTTTCGAGCGATGCAGATAGCACGCGATGGACTGTTTCGACGCTGACTAATTTCATCAAGAGCCTCTGAGACCGTGGTAGCGACATCGAGGATGGCAGGTGGAAGATCAACCAATTTGGCGAGTGCAATGCCGTATCGACGGTCTGGAACAGGACCCTCCGCTATGCGATACAGCATACTCATTTTGGCTGCATCGGGAGTAATATCAGCAGCCAGATGTAGATTGACAATACCACTCCGCTCGGAAAATATTCGGGCTAGATCATGGAAATGCGTCGCAAACCATACAAATGCATTACTGGCAAGTAAGGCTTCAGCCAGCGCAACGGCAATAGCGAGTCCATCATTTGTGCTTGTTCCTCTCCCAAGCTCATCAACGAGGACCATGCCTTGGGCCTGAATGTTACGCAGAATAAAGGCCATTTCACGCATCTCTGCAGCGAATGTTGAGACGTTGGCGTCGAGATCATCGGCTGTTGCTATACGGGCAAAAAGCTGATGAACAATCGGAAAGGATGCATACTGAGCCGGTACGAAGCACCCAATCTGCGCCATGACCGTCATCAAGGCCAGCGATCGGATGTAAGTAGACTTGCCACTCATATTGCAGCCGGTGATAATCTGAAAACGGGTCTGGGGTGTCGCATAAGCGTCGTTCGGAATGAATGGTCGTGCATGGATTTGCTCCCGAATAGGGTGGCGCCCAGCCTTGATGGCCAGGGTATTCGTCAGCTCTGGGCGAATATAATCATTATTCATTGCTAGTTGAGTAAATGCTGCCAACATGTCAATCATGCCAATCCCTTCACTGATTCGGAAGAGCCCTGAAATCTCTGAGCAGACATCATGGAGAAGCTTTTGAATTGTCTCGTCGCTAAGCCCAATCACTTCGTTATGAGCATCTGTGATTTTTTGATTGATTTTCAACAGGTCAAGAGTTTGGCATTCGAGGTGATTTTTTTTCCGATACACATTGATGAAAATCTCAGGGATCTCCGTATCGTTGCAAGGAAGCGAAATGTAATACTGGCGGGCAGAGTCGTATTTGAGATCCAGTTCGATGTCACATGTTTCTTCAAATACTTGCATCAGCAACGGGATGGGATAAATGATATTGGTATATCAATAGCTACCTGCTAGCTTTGCGACAAGCTCCGCGGCATCAGCATTTGCCTCCTTGTAAGTCTGCCTTGCCACGTCGAGAAGACTATTCACACCAGCCTACCCAAATCTGTTAGCAAGGGTTAATTGGAAGGGAAATGAGTATTAAGCTTTACTCTAACGCAGTATATTCTTTGATTCCGAAGATCAAGAGGTTTGCTTTGGTAGGTGATGTGCTCATTCAACACACTATTGATGAGCTCCTCGACAGCGCGATGGCCCGCAGGACGGCATAACTAAATTGTCAGCCTGGGTACCCGACTGAGGAAAACCAACATACTTCGCGAATACTCATGAGAAGCTCGCTATCGGCTGCACCGAGCGCCTGATATATCTTGTTGATGGCCGATACGTATGTTTTGAGCATTATTACGTTGTTGACAGACTGTTCGACATACTGGATGGTCTGTTTAGTAGGGACCTGAACGACCTAAGTATACAGGGTCAGAAAAGTTTAATCTTGAGAATGGTTGATACCTACCAAGCTGAGGACTTTATCGGCATCAATGAACCCCTTTAAGGCCTCTCGAACAGACACAAACATATCTTCCTTGGTTGACAGATCCTCCACCGCATTATACCTGGCCGTCAATTTGACCCTCTGAACGGAAGGCTGAAGAATGGTCGCTCGGAGTAGCCTTGCTCCCATGGGTGTGAGTGTTTCATTAAGCAAGCCATAAAGGCTATCTCGGGACTTGGCATTGTTCAGGTTTTGAATCAACTCAAGGGAAACGATGGTTTGTAGGTCAATTGTCATGGACCCTTCGGATGGCTCGAACTTGATTCGTAAGGAGTGAGACACGAATGTACGTTGAAGCTCCGATTCAACATACTTCAATACCTGTGAACAATAGTGGGGTGGTTAGATGAATGCATCGTCTGAAAGATACGATAACGTACCGCAGCAAAACAGCAGGCGGCAAAGTAGTTTCCACACAAAGCTAGTTTCAGTGAGTCGGCATCGTCTGGGAATGACAGTCGATTTAAGTATTCCAACCCTGTTTTGTCTGACCAGTATCTGCGATCCAAGAAAGTGAATATGGGATCTGACAAATTTTCTTGGATCATCCGGCGCAGCTTGGAATCATTGGCGGTGTTCATGAATAGGATCTCACTTGGCTCAAACACGGCAATCTTGGTGACGGCTTTCACGTAGGTTGGGCTATCGCAAAACTGACATAGAACAACCTCGGCTGTGACGAGATTGACAAAAGCCAGACCAACTGTGGATGAGATTCCTCGTGATTCACTCACAGCGCAGACAATCTCTTGAGCCGCGACACTTGTTGCTGTAGTGGTCGGTCTGGCAGTTCCCAGGCGTCTACTTGAAGACGGTCTTGAATTCAATGGAATGAATGAATCTACTGAATATTGCCGGATAGAGAAGGACATTTTGTCGAATGAAATGAAATTGGGAATTTGGTGAGAAAGAGAGAGAAGTTCAGACGAGACTACTTTCTCGTCCTGAACATGTGACATCCCACCACATATGAAGTATACTAATTAGGAAAGTGCTAGTATTCAGAATTTATACTCATTAATATGAATTGCACATCAAGAGTAGAATATATTACTACTATATAATAGCATAGAAATTCCTATAGTATAGAAATGTGGATCCTTTGATCCTATAAACCAATTATATGCTCCTATTTTATTTTCATCCAATCATATCAGGCGAAGAAAATGCGGAACCCAAGTTGAAGTTTCTCAGTAATTTATGATCTTTTTCTCTTGACTTGAGATGATGCGTTAAGGGAATTCTTTTTGACAGGATAATCTTACAACATACAGTATGTCTTCTCATCGCCCACTCCCCATGTCTGGGGTATGGGAGAGTCCTGATGCCTACATTAAGGCCCTCCTCTCCTTCTCAACTACATCGCTACTCTTCCTGAATTTGTGTGGTGGCGTACATATGGTCGACTTTTTGACCCGCCAACCTGATATGTATACAACACTACTGCCGGAAGAATGGAGAGTTTTCTTTGAATACCATGATGTTCAAGATATTATCCATCTCTTGCTACGAGAGGATATTGAACAATTACAACATGCTGTCGACCCTAGTTGTCGCACTTGGAAGGGAGGGGCATTCCCTCCCCAGAGTCTTTTAGACTACATTTCCAATGTTCGCCAACTGACACTTCAACGAGAAAATTGTACCTCAACTCTGGAAAAGGTCGACTTGCCAAAGCAGGTAGCCATGCGCATGAACAAAAAGAAAGTTCACGAGGTCGAATGCCTTTCGCGATATGTTGCATCCCTATCAGACACTGTTCATGAGTCTCGAGGTGAACCAGTCTCTCATATTGTGGATTTTGGCTCTGGGCAGAATTATCTTGGACGAACACTGGCCAGCTCGCCGTATCATAAACATGTTATCGCAATTGAGCGTAAACATCAATACATCAGCGGGGCGAGAGACATGGATATTCGAGCCAAGTTGGCCAAGGATCCAAAGGCTGTATATTCGAATAATGATAAAGACTTGAAGTCAGAGGATGGGTCAAAAGCTTCTGTGGAAGTGATTATTCCTAAAAGCCTTGATAGTCATCAGCTTACAAATGATATCTCGATCAACAAGGATACAGCTGTGACACAGATGCTGGACGAAATCAGCCTTGAGCCAGACGAGTTACTCGGATCTCTCACCAAAAATCCCTCAAGAACAAAGACGGTGAAGCCAGAGATGGATCATCGAGGTACTCTCAGCTATATCGAACATGAAATTCAGGATGGCTACTTGGAGCCTATCATTGACCATGTCGTTAATCCACCCACCGACTCTACTGAGATTTCAGATGCAGGAGACGGTGCACATAATGATGCCCAAATAATGGTTGTTTCCCTTCACTCTTGCGGAAACCTTGTTCATCACGGCTTGCGATCTCTGATTCTGAATCCCTCGATTGTGGCCGTCGCTATGATCGGCTGCTGTTACAATTTGTTGACTGAACGCCTCGGTCCAGCCACTCATAATCTCCCTATCCTTCAATCTTTACATCCTCGACTCGATGAAACTGGCAAATCATATGATCCGCACGGGTTCCCTATGTCGAAATACTACGAGGATTATCAAAGTCCCGGTGCAACCACGGGCATGAAGCTTAATATCACAGCACGTGCCTTGGCCGTGCAAGCTCCATACAACTGGGGCTCTGAAGATAGTGAGATGTCTTTTACTCGGCATTACTTTCGTGCTCTTCTCGAGCGTATTCTCGTTGATCGAAATGTTCTTGCGAAGCCCCATGTGTCGGACAACACCTCTGAGGGATCCCACTCGGCCCAGCGTTCCATTATCATTGGATCGGTTTCCAAGGCGGCTTACAAGTCATTCAATTCATATCTTCGTGCCGCTACGGTTAAAATGAGTCAAGATCCAATATATGGTGCTCGGGTGCAGGAGCATATCGCTACCATGACTGATGAGGAAATCCACCAGTATGAAACCCGCTACTTTCATGCGAAAAAGCATATCAGTGTTATGTGGAGCTTGATGGGATTCAGTGCTCAGCTTGTTGAGGCTATCATTGTGGTGGATCGATGGCAATTCTTACGGGAGCAGGACTCTGTTAAAGAATGCTGGGTTGAACCTGTTTTTGATTATAGTGCCAGTCCACGCAACTTGGCAGTCATTGGTCTGAAAAAGTGATAAATGATAGGATGAGTCAGTTTCCTGTAAATAGGACTCGAATTTGAATTTATTGAATTATTTCTGCAATTTAGTCTGTGTTGCCAGTGGCTTGGTTGAGTAAAGCTCTGTTGACGATGGAGAATGATTGTGTGATAATGTAGTATGTTGAATCTTAGAATTTCTCCTATCATAGTAAATGGGGGAAACCACCAGCATAATAAGAAAACCTCTGGAATACTAAATTCTAGACTGATCTTAAGATAAATTATCAATCTCATGTAGATCTAAGATAGATGTCTCATAGATCTGATCCCGCTTATCCCGATAAGATAAGGCGATAAATTTTCTTCCTTTTTCAACTCCCGCAACGTTAAGAAAAGAAGAACAAAATGGCGACTCTCTTGCCCCCTCCTAGCAAGCGCCAGAAGCTCGCTCAGGCCGAAAAGGCCCGGGAGCAACAGGAGATTGAAAATATCCCTACTGATCTCGGCAGTGTCCGTGTGCAATTCTACGACCAGGCCACTGGCAATGCCACCGGTCCCGCAGTCTCGGTCCCCGTCGCCGATGCGAACGTTAAGAACCTCGAGACTTTGTTGAATACATTGCAAGGAAATGTATGTATTGTGTTATTGGAATCAATTCCTTCCTTGGCGCAACCTCTGTCACCTTGATTTTTGGTACCTTTCTAACAAATAATTATTGAACAGGATGATGATGGACGAGTTCCCTACCGATTCACCCACCAGTCCGACAAGGAAGGACAAACCATTGACATTCTTCGCGATGTGTACCACTCGCTCCTTCAACCCGGAATCAAGACAACCGAAGACACAATCTCTCTTTACTTTACCCCGCAAGCCGTCTTCCGAGTCAAGGCAGTCTCCCGCTGTGCTGCCTCCATCGCCGGTCATGGCGAGGCTATTCTCGCAACCTCTTTCTCTCCCGTTTCCTCCTCAACCATGGTCTCCGGAAGTGGCGACTCGACCGCTCGAATCTGGGACTGCGATACAGGAACCCCGTTGCACACATTAAAGGGTCATACCAGCTGGGTCTTGGCCGTTGCTTACTCGCCTAACGGAGCCATGATCGCAACTGGTAGTATGGATAACTCAGTGCGACTGTGGGATGCGAAGAAGGGCCAGGCGCTTGGTGGACCTTTGAAGGGACATGCGAAGTGGATCACTAGTTTGGCTTGGGAGCCATACCACTTGCAAGAATCTGGACGACCTCTTCTGGCGTCGGCGTCTAAGGACTCGACTATTCGTGTGTGGGATGTTGTGTCGAAACGCATTGAGACTGTTTTGACTGGACATAAGAGCTCTGTTACTTGTGTGAGATGGGGTGGTACTGGAAACGTCTATTCTGCGTCCCATGATAAGACTATCAAGATCTGGAACCCGAAGGATGGCACACTTATTCAGACTCTGGTGGCGCATGCTCACCGTGTGAACCATCTCGCTCTTTCTACCGATTTCGCTTTGCGTGTTTCTTACCACGATCATACTGGCAAGGTTCCTGCGACAGAAGCTGAGAGGGTTGCTGCGGCCAAGAAACGCTTTGAAGAGGCTGCGACGGTGAATAATAAGATTGTTGAGCGATTGGTCTCTGCTAGTGATGATTTCACTATGTACTTGTGGGAGCCAACTAGCTCGAACAAGCCGGTTGCCCGACTACTGGGTCACCAGAAGGAGGTTAATCATGTTACTTTCTCGCCGGATATGGCTTATATCGCTTCTGCTGGTTTTGATAACCATGTCAAGTTGTGGAATGGACGAGATGGAAAGTAGGTTTATGTTGAACATTCATGATATTTTGCTCGTCCCAGTTGCTAACGGTTCCTCTTAGGTTTATCACCACTTTCCGTGGTCACGTTGGTGCCGTTTATCAGTGCTGTTTCTCTGCAGATTCACGTCTTCTGGTTTCATCTTCTAAGGACACAACGCTCAAGGTGTGGGATGTCCGCACCGGCAAGCTGTCTGTGGATCTTCCTGGTCATAAAGACGAGGTCTTTGCTGTGGATTGGAGTCCCGATGGTCAAAAGGTTGGCAGTGGAGGTAAGGACAAGGCGATTCGGATTTGGCGCAACTAGACAAAAGTATAGAATGACAGATACCCTTTCCTGATATACATCAATCAAAAGAATTGTTTATATAAAATCGATCAATGTGTGCACTGGTAGTGAGCTACAGATGATTCAAGTTGAATCAAGTCTTAATAAATCATGAATTGGAGATAGTTGGAATTATGTACAAAGCTATGCAACGTATTCAACAAATAAAGCAATACTATGAACGCCAGAAATGAAAACACTTGCCAAGACACTCAGGTTCTATGACGCTTAGATATACTGCCAGGCAGGAACACCGCCTGTGTATGTCAAGGCCAAAGCTGAGAAGCCAAGGCAGTCAGCCACATCGCCAGAGGGAACAGTAGCGTTCTGCATGGCGGCAAACACCTGCCAACGGTTGTCGCTAGTTGGGCAAGCCATGAATCCCGTAGCACCCCAGCCATTGAAAGTGTAGTGATTCCAGGGCGAGCCAGCCTCATAAGACAGACCACCGACAGCTGATCCGGCCGGGATAGAGGCGGAGTGAGCCTGAGTGAAGCTCAGGGCACCAGTAGGGTCAACATAGACCTGCTGACCACCAGGAACTTCGACGTCCTGTTGATTTCATATTAGTCTCTCTATATTCACATTTTCTGTCCCATGCTATCTGGAATTGGAGGGTTGTGCCAATCACGTACCATAGCGTTGCCACCTGAAGCAAAAATGGTCTGGTTACCAGGAGGGCAAACAATACCATCCACGTCGGGGCAGTATGAAGAGGTACTACCACCGAGCCAGAACTTCTGACCGTCTGCATTCATCTGTGTGTAGTGGATGGGGGAGCCGGAGCGAACGGCCATCACACCGAAGGATGGGGGAGTGGAGGGGGCGACACAGGCAGCTGGAGCAGCAGCAGCCAAGAGAGGGAGAGCGATAGAAGCGATGACGGTCTTCATTTTGGCAGTTGAATAGAAGAATGGAAGGTGAGATGTAATAGATTGTTCAAGTTCTTTGTCGGGTTGATTGTTTCTCAGATTTCGAGCTGCATGCTCCCCCTCTTTATATAGCCAGGGATGGAGCTTGCATATCCCTCATAAGGAATGCAATCACCCCGCGTCCAAAAATAAAATAAGGGTCCATCGTGGTATGTCCCAAGGAACCAAAGTCGATGACAAGGACAGAGCTCTTCAGGGTCGGCCATACCCGATCAGCGGGGATTTCGAGTGGCGATTACGATTGGCCATGAGTGAGACAAGATGATTTTAGGCTCGTTGTGATGTGACACCGACCCTCTTGAAGAGATCGCTGGTGGCGCCGAGCTACCAATGTCTCTCTTCACAATCCAGAGATGGTATAGTGCAGTGTCAATTATGGCCGTGCTTGAGTGAAACAAGCGGTATAGTAAACAAGGAAAAAGGGTCTAATGGACGGACGTTGGCGGGTCCGTGTCGTATCCGTGGTTGAACTTCAACAGGGTCATCACAGCCACTTCAATTCAATGAGTACGGAGTACATTTGAGTATGTTCAAGCTCACCTGTGTATGCCAGTGGTTGTTCCAAGGTTTTTTTGCCATGTTCCAGGATGATCTGGTTCGCTTATCGAGCAACCCGTTTATAACCGATTCTATAACATTTGGAATGTGACTTTTCAGTATCATCGAGGATTCGAGATCCTTCGTACTAAATGATAGTAGAGAATTTTCTCGAAAGTGAATATCCGGTCTCCACATAGAAACTTGAATTGATGAAATTATTCCAGGCTAGGATAACAATTGACTGGGGAGATGTGGAGTAGGTACCGAGGTATGCTCCATGTCTCACTCTATTCTTGTATTATGTATGGAGCTTATGCTGATGGGTTCGCCAAGATGATATGATCCAGAAAAATACGAGAAAATGTCATTCAAAGTTAAAAGAATAATATGCACAGGATGTCACATCCACTGTCATCTCAAGGTAACCCTTGTCGAATCTCACTGTGTTCATTCAACCCCCACGCCATACTACTCCCGTCATGAACTGTAGCCCGTCGCATATCACGTCGATACTTCCCCTCAAAACTTCCCCCAACAGCTCGATGCATAACACTCGTATTATCCCAAAGAACTAAATCGCCTGCATCTTTCCACTCAACCCGAAGTACATATCGCGGTTGCGTCGCATGCGTGAATAACTGCTCGAATAGTGTCTTAGACTCTATCTCGTCTAGTCCTTCGATGTGATGGATATGCGCTGCCAGATACATGGTTTCCCGACCGGAAGATTCATGGCATTGTAAGAGTCTATGTCGACTCATTGGGTAATCTTCTGGGTTCATGTCTGCGAATGTAGCCGGCGCTGCGACTTTACGAGAATGCCAGAGTGAGTGTGCGGCGATGTAGTCTTTCTCTCGTAATTCGCGCTGGATACTAGCAGGAAGCTCGGCAAATGCAGTGCGCACATCGGCGAAATCGGTTTCGCCGCCCATATTTGATGGTGGGAGTTCATGTGCTCGGAGGAGTGAGTAACCAGCTCGCCGAGGGTTGAAGCTTGAGTCCACGTGGAATAGTCCATTTCCCTATTATCTATTAGATCCTGGAATTGAACCTTGGAATACAAAGACAAAATTTGAATCCGATAAGGAACTATGTTAAGAACATCTTACCTTATTCCATTCTCGTCGCACATTGTCTAATGGAAATACCATTCCATCTAGATCAATGTTACTAACATCGAATAAACGCTCATCGGAAAGTCGGTGTGCCCGTCCACCGGCTATGTAAGGTGTAACATCGTCCAGCTCGCCAAACTGAGATGCAAACTGGACGTGATGAGCGTCGTCGAGACCCGTTTTTCGAAATACACATACGCCGTACTAGATACCCATATGGTTTAGTGCATACTATTGTTATTACTGGAGAAGTACATACCTTGCTGATGGCATTTAGAATCTCTTGGAAAATATCGTCTTCCACTGGGCGTGAGAAGTCTACACCACTAATCTCGGCGCCGAAGCTAGGATGTAGTTCTGTGATAGTGAGGTGGTTGAATAGTGTAGGCTGTGTGAGGCCGGGCATGATGGGATTAAAAGATATTAGATGAGGCTATTTATAGCTGGTTCAACTGGTATAGTAGTTATAACAAAATACCTAGGTAAAGTCATGCGTCCTTAAGTCTTGAGACCATACTTATACTGAGGAATCCGAGATATAAGCTTTGTTCTGTGTTGACATCGGCTCGAAGAGCGTGGTGTGCGGGGAAGACTCGGACTTCTGGCCAGATGATAACATGACTTTGATAGTGACTTCTATATACAGTTTAGTTTCATCTTATAAGGGAATGGAATATTAGTGGAGAAATATTCCATGTATAATACTCAGGTAGTAAGTACCTTAAAAGTCAGACGTCATCGTGCATATACCTGCATGTAAGAAAGAGGCATGCATCTGGTCTTGTTACTTAGATAGCCAAGATCCAACTATGAGATAAAATAATTGAGAAGTGGAGTTCCTACTGATGTAGTATCTTTGCCGAGTCTCTATTAGATAAGAGATGCCCTTGAAGCAAAACCCATTGAAGCATTGGTATTTGAGTAACTGACAGCAATATACATGTTTAGTAAATGGTACTCCTGCAAGGCCACCCAATAAGAAAAGCAATAAGTAAACATTGATCTCAAACTGATAAGCGCACAGATCCACCTGCATGTGGCTCTCCTGGTGATCTCTTATCTCTCATTCTTCACTTCGCCTCCTGGCCTCGTCAGATGTAACCAGAAACGGCATATCGCGTTTACGACAACACGAACACCAAGCCGTACAATGTGAAGTAGACAACGGTACAATTATCGGGGATTCACCATTTAGAGTGGATCGAGGCTTCATGCAACACCCACAATCAAAGGTGCAACACCCTCGATATTGTCGACACTGATGCTCATCTCTGTGATGTTGTTCCCGTTTCGTCTTCCTCATATCCTCCCTGATCCACGCTCCTTTCGGTTGCCGAAATGGTAACTCCTTATACCTTATCCATAGATCCCGAGCCTCGCCCACAATCTGTTGAAGCTTCTCTTGGGAGTTGACTGAATGCCTTCTTTCCGGGATACGTTGATATTGAGGTAGGTTTTCCTCTACAACTTGAACGCTCTCGCCTTGCTCTACCATGTATATCTCTTGTTGCTGGAGCTCACATAGTCGACTAAGGATATTCTCCTTTTCAGTGAGGAATCCAAGTTGGATCTGTCGACTTTCTAACGACGTATTTTGTTTGGCAATATTGTTGATCATTATCAATGGCCATCGATATGCCCATCCCGCTCGACACATACGTGTCTCGAGTACTTCGAAGATGTCGATTTCGCTCCCCTGGAACTTGGATACGATCAATAATGTGCACTGGTAGGCGATCATCCCGAGTAAACTGAGAGCCATCATTGCGACCACCAGACAATTGATAATATACCAGAGACCCATCAGGGCCCCGTATCTGCAATGCTCCATGTTTGCTTAACTTGCAATCTTTGTGGTGACGGTGGGATTGGGTACTAGAGCTACTGGGGATGAGCAAGAAAATTTGATGAGAAATCCATTCGCACGATACAAATGGTGTGATGTCAACATTCGAATGCCCTGCTGCCTCCGATCCCAGAATGGATCGAATGATTAGTATGACAACTTCAAGCTCAACCTTGGAAGTTCCAGGGTTCGGAGTTCCATTTCTGGGGTTTCTCGAACTCATCAGTCTAATGACATCTTCAATCTTGAAGTGATCGGATGATACTCTTAATACCGCTGAAGACCCAAGTTGACCAAATAAAATATGTATTTATACGACAGTCAAGTCGCCTTCCGAGGTATATGAACATGACCGAGGCCAACATAGAAATAATTAAGAAAAAGAAAAGAATAAAAGCCAAAGACACTCCCCTCCTGGCACCGAACCGTGTAGCAATAGAAAAGACCCCAAAGAAGAAATATAAGGGGAAGAAAGAATCAGGAAGAATAAAAGAGGCCGCCGAAAACACCGTTAAAGCCACCACGCCCCCTCCTTTTAGTTTCCCCACGTCTTAATCCGCCCAAGCAATAGAAAGAATAACCCAGATCCCATCCATCTTCGCGAGAAGAAAATGTCCCAGGGAGGGGACTCGTTTCGTATCGGAGCATGGTTCCCTGCTCCCATCTAGAAGATCACTTTTTATGCTCTTTCTAATCGTATCCCTCGTCATCATCGTCACCATCACCACCTCGGCCGCGAGGTCCCTTCACTCCATCCTTTCGGATGGGAATCTTGATTCCTTGCAGCGCGAAGCATTTGCTCAATTGCGTGCTCTCAATGACACCCGGGAACTTCTTCGCGGAGAATACTTGGAATGGTTCACTGAAGACTGATGCCAGAACGGGTGCAGTGCCGTGGTTGATCACGGGTGCCCCATTACTGGCCTCTGCAGACTGAGTTCCGACGTTGACAAAGCTCATTTTTAGTCTGTTATTCGTTAGTAAAGAGCTCTCAAAGGTGCTAAAATGAGTCATGAGATGGAATCACATACCTAAAAGTACCCTCCGTGCGTACGCTCAAATCTTGTAAAATGAACCATACGCCAATCTTGTTATCGGGATCCGTCAGTCGGAAAGCACTGGCGCTCAAGCTTCCAATCAAATTGCGCGTGAACATTCCTCCCGGACCACCCCCGACAGGTGCGGGTGACATGGTCGGTGGAATCTGGGCGCCGGGTGGGTAGCCATATTGGGGATAACCCACTGTCTGGCCGTACGCGTTCTGATATTGCATCTGTTGTTGGCCGTAATAGTTGTTGACGGGTGGGTATGCGACGGGCTGGCCGTATGCGTTTTGGGTGTAGGATGGGTAAGCGGAAGACATGCTCTGCTGAGGAGGAGGTGGGTAGGAGGATGACATGGCGGTTGAGATTGAGGGGGAGGTGGCAGAGTGCTTCACGAGGTTGACCTCATTGTTGCCGTCGGCGTTCCATAGGTCGACGGTGAGAACGTAAAATGAAGTATCGATTTCACTGAGGAGGGTTAGACGGGTAAAAAAGACGAATGGCAGCTTTCAGATGAGCAGCTTACTTGATATCGATCTCTTTGTTTGTTTGCGCATCTCGGACGATGAGCCGAATACACGGTGGTGGAGTAATTGGTCTTCGATCCTATAAGAGATATGTTAGATGAGATAAAAAAGAGGCCATGGGTGGTAGGGAGATGCGGATAACAGTCCAGTGGTTCTAGTGCATTGCATGAGGAGTAATGAAAAAAAAATCGCATACCTTGTCGCCAAAGCCACACATGCGAGCTCGGATAGGTTGTTGGACGACTTCCAAAGACCACAGTCGGCCATCATGCATCGTCGTTACAGGAGCTAAATGATCGGCGGTCCTTAGTGGTGCCGAGCCTGGGGTAGGGTAGGCGCCAGCCGGGCCAGAGATGCGGTCCATTGAGAGAGGAGGAGGTGGCGGCGGCACCGGATGGGCCCTTTCCTGCTCGACGGCGTACATGGTTCGTGCAGGCAATGAACCGAGGGCCACGCTCGCGATCGAAAGAACGGGTCCCTTGTTTTATTTATCTCTGGGGAACGGGATATGGTGGACCCCCAAAAAGGTGTAGAATAGAGGCGGGGAGACAAGTGGCATGCGACCCCGCTAGAAATCCACACGTCAGAGTTGAAGCATCGACTTCCCGGGGTTGGGGCGGTCGCGCAGCGCGGGAGAGGAAGAAGGGAGGGGAGGGAAGAGGGGAAAAGAAGTCCTAATATTTTTTCTCCTTTGTCTTTTTTCTCCTTGTCTTTTTCTTTCTTCCAAAAAGGAGAAGGATGAAAGAGGGAAAGAAAAAAAGAGAAGGAAAAAGAGAGAAAGGAGTGACGTTCTCGAAGCAGACCTTGGTTGCAGTCTCGCCGTGCAAGATCCGCGCAGGAACCTAGAACTGTGAACGATTGCGGCCATTAGCTAAGCGGGGTTGGACCGGCAGAATCCGAGTTACATTTGATACCTGAAGGTAGTAGAGTGCGTGAGAGAGATATTTAATAAAAGTTGAGGAATGAAGAGGAATATTATTAAATAAATACATCTTGAATATAAAGGACAACAATCACTGGTAGAATAGATAATTCAAGTCTTAATGCATGGTATCCCTGGATGCTTTGATCAAAGGGCTTTCTAGATCTATGGTATTCTTAAAGTGAGATCCGAGGAATGATAGGTCTTCCTAAATCAGGTGACATGATCGAGATATGCAAATATTTGAGATAAAATTGAAACTTGAGAAATATTCAATTTCAACCAATATTCCAATATATTCCAATTCAATGTTCCAATACTAGATGTTCAATTAATAGAGTATAGATCATATATAGACCGGCGGAGAGGAGGGCGGTCAACCCTTTGTCACCAATTGGTCTGCCACCATCACCCAAAACCCAAACCCTCGGGTTTCCTTCACAACCCCGGTCTTGACGAATCAGATTCACCTATTTACTCTACTTGCTCCATGTAACCCGCGATCTTGCAGGTTTCACCTTTGTTTAAAATGATTCGAGAAATTAATCATTACAAAGAAGAAGAAGAAAGACTCTTTTCTCACTCGAGACTTCCTGTCATTACCGCAAACGGAAATCTCCGTCCCACTCAGCGGGTCCCTTTCACCGGACCACCACGGCTAAGACCAAGAAAAAATTAAACTTGACCGGAAGAGGTTTGGTTCAGTCATTCATTTACTATTTTTTTTTAAACAGTTCGCATTGGCTGCCACTCGGCTGATTCTCGGGGCCGTGCACGCTACTCGGAGATTACGGGGGAGATGAATGTCCCGCAGGCACCTGAAGCTTTGGTGGTACAAAACGAAGTTGATGGTGTAGGCTGAGATTGAAATGTCTCTCTCTCGACGTTGAGATGCACAATACCCTGATCCATTGTTTCTAATCTGAGCTGGAGACAGGTCCCGAGCTTGTCCCTCGGAACTATACCTCAGCGGCCCATGTTTTTCTGCACGCCTCCTGTTCCAAGAACACTCGATCCTCATCCGCTTGTCCTGTGGTACGATCTGTCAGGGGTGGTAGATGCGGGGATATCACGTCCGTGGATGATGAGAAACAGAGCCTCATAACCATACTATGTAGTACATAATATATAACAGTTGCAATTATTACTGATCTGTGCGATATCATGCATATCGCCGTCATTGAGAGAACTAGTAGACTGATACAACACACCAGTTGACCCTAACGTTCAAATGTTGGTACGCCGTCTCCGGGGCCTCAAGTGCATATGCTCAAGTGCTGTTACATCCTAACTTGGCAGTAGGCTGAGATGGATTTACTACTTTGCCCAGGTGGGTATATTGATCATGCACATGTGGACGCACGATCTGCTACCTGGACTAGGTACTATTTACTAGTAGCAGACAAGCATACGTAGAAAATGGAAAGTGCCTGGCACTTCAGGGCTGACACTGGTAGTCTTCCAAGGTTGGTTCCTCTTTCCTCATTCAAATGTTAGGATATCTAAGCACTTGAGATTGACGCCAAAGTCAAACTACCTAGCATGTCTATCTGTTTCACGGAAGGCGATAGTTACAGATTACTGGGATGCCGCCTCGAATATGATAATTCGAAAAAGGCCCATAATCCCATTGGATGCCACTTAAACCTTCAAATTTTACGAGAGCCGCATGCCAACTTGAACATTTGGAGTTGAATCGGTGTTCTCACTACCTAGGTAGTACACTTTCAAATGTTATGATTGTCTTAGCAGCATTTGAACTTGAATGCACATAGTACATATGTTATGTGCATGAGATCAGATCGTAGGCTTGAAGACATCTGGATTGGGTGGTATACCGTGACCTCGGTGAACCCAGCAGATCATGTCTACTGACAGCTGTCCAGTTTAACAAATAGTATCCGAGCTCAACTTGAAGTTCTCCCGACAGGCGTAGTCCTTGTCAAGTCTTCAACTATGTGTATAAATTTCCAAGGTCGATTACCTAGGTAAGAACAGTCAGCAGTTCTAAGTTGCCAGTACTATACATGCATGCTGTTGTAACTTTTCACAAGGCAACGGTTCATCATGAATGTGAATTGAATTGCTTACAAGATCGAAGTCGAGAGTTGAAAATAGTGTTATTGAGAGACAGCATTGTCAGTGGAGATAGCTGTTGAACTTCAACTTCAAATATTGGTCCACGGGTCCTGGAGTGAACTGAGTGATACTCGAACCAGTAACCTTGGAACCAGATGAGTCCTGGAGAGTCTAAATTGAATTTTGCTGTAGAATGTCGCAGTCACATTCGCGGATGCAGAAGCTCAAGTACCTAGATGATCTAGATTCGAGTCACTCATTCGGTCAAGCGCCCATCCGAAGTACGAAAAACTGATTGATAAGATTGAACCACCTGGGCAATGATGGGACTAAACCAAAATGAACCATTCAAATATTTGACGGTGTTCTTCAATGTGAGGTATATTTTATTTCCTCATCTATACATATCACTCCTGGATCACACCATAGGCTGCGTGTTTTGTCGGCTGTGTAAAACAAGATATCTACGGAGTAAGAAGTAGAAATCGCGGTGTTAATTTCCTAGATCGGCCTCAATAAATAAATTCAGGGGGTGGAAAGTGGAATCCCGCATAAACAGATCATCTAGACTCAGGTCTAGCAGATCCCCGTTGAATTGTAAATATGATTCATCTCCACAGCAGCACCTTTTAATTTCCTTCGTCATCAATGAGGTGTCTTATCGTCGCAAGTCGATATACCACGCATTTGCGAACAACTTCCTAGGCATCTAAAATCGACTCCTCGTGAACTCTTCTCCCGGTCGGAAACAAATCGATCGATATCTCGGGGTTGGTTTGAGCAGCCGAAACCGAACTTCCGCATAAGGGCCCTAAATTCAGGGGAAAACAATCAAAGGAACGGCCCCTTGCAGATGTATCGCCCAGTTATCCTTAAATGAAGAGCCCAGTTTCTTGGTAACGTCTGGGGAGTTACCACGCGTCGAGGTCGATGAGTGGTGATTGAGGCCAAAGTCGTCGTCAGCTGTCGTCAGCTGATCTGCATGCCCCTGATTATCCATGCAGGCTTGAAATTAACATAGAGCAAATATTGAGAGCCCACTGTCGTACCAAAGATCTGGGGCTGTGTGCGATAAGAGGATTTCTGTTGTATACAGGGAAGAAGATATCTCAAGACTCGGAATTTGGGTTTCCCCTCTCTTCCAGCTCTGCTGATCAATAACGGGAGACTCGCATACCATACCGCTAAAAACAACACCACAGGGCGGGGAAATGGGTTTCACATGGGGCCAAGACTTCTTTGTATCTTCTGTTCTTTTCTGTTCCCTCGGTTGGGGCAAGGGCCGAGTTTATTTGGATGGTGAGCAAGGAATAGATCATATTCAAGAGCGGTGACGCGATGCTTTCATGCAGCCCGTTTCATTGAGTCATACGACGAGAGACACATGGCCATGCACTTTCATATTCGGCACAAAGGCCCGATATAAGCGAAGGTTGTGATAGATGCCTGATGACCAAATGGCCCCAAGGGTCGTGCACTTAGATCGCAGGATCCGGGAAAAGAAAAGTAGCCTCATCAATGAGATGATTGGCGTGTCGAATCGGGATTGATATCTGTAGGCTGTAGGTACCCCCGCACAGGGCACCGGATGTCTTACGGAGCATCACGGCCATAACTGTAGTGGTAGCGGTGAAAGAGAGTCGAATTAAACGTGTGGATAAGTGGAGAGAAAAAGAATATTCCGCTTATGGAGAAGGGAATACTTTGAGTACTCCGTACATACTCTGTACATTAATTCAATTTTTGCAAGGACTCTGCAGATCCACTGGGAATGATATGGCGCATGCCACGCCCGAATTGGTGTGATGCCTCCATATCCACATGCACATCCGACTATTGACTATTGACAATTGAGTCTTCGTTCCGAGTGGAAATTCGTGAGTACGACTTTCTTTTGTTTTTTACAAGCTTTTTATCTTTGTGAAAGATAAAGGTGGAGCCTTATTTCCACCCCAGGACCCCATGCCCTTAGCGGTTCTTTTAGAGATTCCATACATTCCACTTGTCAAGTTCCAAGCCACTTCTCTATCCCTTGTCTAGTCTATGCTATTTCCAGCTCATTTGGGAACTTAGGCAACCAGCTAGCTCAAATGTTTGTTCCTGTCGCTTCATTTCCAAGGTTATAAGTTTTTTAGCTGTAAGATGAGCTGGCAAGGCGCCCCACTAAACAAAATTTGAAGTTCTCTGGAGTACAAAGTATTGTAGACAGTAAATCAAATAGCTTCATGTGAATCCTCATGACGCGATTCTGCTAAGAGTTTGCGAGTAATTTATATCTGCTCGGCTCTCGCCTCTCGACTATGACAACATTTAGAGTGGTCGATCATCCATCACTTCATATTAATGGGTGGCTCACCATGGATCCGTTAGATGGCGTGCTTAGCGTCGACTAGCTCCAATCTAACTAGATCGAACTATACAAACTTGGTCAGCACAGAAATCCAGATGTCACATCATTGGGAGTAAAAAAAAAAAAAAAAAAGATATTTCCCCACCTTCTTTGCCCGTGCTGATGTGCATTAGGGCTTTTCTCGCGCAAGGAGCACTTGACATGTTGTGATCGGGCTGATCACCGCAACCATGCGAGATTGGATACTGTATTCTCGCGTGGAGTCCCCCGTTCAGGTATTTGAAGCCGTAGAATTCCCCCGTTTCCGGGGATAGTATTCTAGCTTGGACTGAGCGTGTGAAGAGTTAGGTTCCTGGTGCATTATCTGATTCAGGTTCCTCTATCCCTAGTTCTGGGTTGAACCTGATATTCCTTTGTTTTTCCCACCTTATTCCCGAGATACTTATACAAGGAGCCTGTTGAGATCATTGGAAGCTTCAGACCAAAAGGTCAATCCTATCTTTGCTCATCATCATGATGTTCACTCGAGCCCTTGGGGCAATTGCCTTAGCAGGATCTTGTTTGATATCACCTAGTTCTGGGATTACTTATGACCCATTAAAACCTCCATCATATCCCCTGGCAGTGCGAAGTCCATACTTATCAGGTAAGCGCTGATCTTCCCCCTTTTTTAGTCTGGTGTTGACTATTCCCCGGAAAATCATCTCAAACTCGCTGATCCGGCTAACACAAATCGATATAGCGTGGATTCCTGGCAACGATGTTGCATCTCTGCCTAATAGCAATGCCCAATTCTGGGCTGGAAATGCCCTGGTTTGGACAGTGATTGCTCGTGTAGATGGCACAACATACAACTTGTTTGGTGTCGCTAGTCCCAACGACGACACCGAAACAGGAACTGTCACCGCGGCCACGTACACGTCAACGCATTCCACGTTCACAGTGACGGCCGGAGCTCGGAGCTTCACATTGGACTTTTTCTCTCCAGTTTCACCTAAAAACTATCTGCGTCAGTCTTTGCCCTTCTCATACTTGACGGTGACAGTCGCTGCAGGCGACTCGACCTCTGTCCAGATCTACTCCGATATTAGTGGAAGTTGGACGGGCCAGTCCACCGATTCCACTTGGAGTCATTCCACTAGTGGATCAACAAGCATCTTTCAGATCGAAGCGGTCGGCCAGGCGATCTATTCGCAAAACAGCTATGGTCAGGCTCTGTGGGGCAGTGCCGTCTACGCCACCCGCCCGTCCAGTACTAGCACTCTCTCCACTCAGGCGGGCCCGCGCGTCGCTGTACGGGCGCAATTCGTGGATGATGGAACTCTCACGGGTGACTACGCGGACTGGACCCCTGGTGCAGTAACAGGATTTGCTCATGATCTGGGCACTACTGCGGATGAATCTGCTGTCACTTTTGCTATTGGTCACGTGCGACAGGATTCCATCAACTTTCTCGGCACCACGCAGACTGGTTATTACCGTGCAACCTACGCGGATAACATCGATGCTGTTACCTACTTCCTCGACGACTATGACGATGCGAACTCCGAGTCTACTGAGCTGGATGACTTGATCTCGGATGCAGGCTCAGATACTTTTGGAGATAAATACTCTGATATTCTGGCCCTCTCTGTGCGTCAAGTTTACGGCGGTACTGAAGTGACTATTCCGAACGACTCTTTGGATACCAGTGATGTCCGTGCTTTCATCAAGGAAATCTCCAGCGATGGTAACATTAACACGGTCGATGTTATCTATGCCACCTTCCCAATCTTCTATATCCTGAGCCCTGAATTTATTAAATTGCTCATCACCCCAGTGTTTGAGTACATGGCCACGGATGCGTACTCGGAGAATTACGCGGTACACGACATCGGATCGAACTATCCCAATGCGACCGGTCATGAATCTTCTGGCGAGAGTATGCCTATTGAGGAGAGTGGCAATGTCCTCTTCCTCACTTATGCGTACCAGGTTGCCAGTGGAGACACCGACCTATACGATACCTACTCCTCCCAGCTCGAGACCTACGCGACCTACCTATACAATAACGGACTATACCCTGTCGCGCAACTCTCTCTGAACGACGCTCTCGGTGCCCTGGCCAACCAGACGAACTTGGCAGTCAAGGCTGCTGTCGGATTAGCAGTCTATGGAAAGTTGGCCGATGACACCTCATACCTTACTACTGGCCGAGACTGGGGTGACAAGATTTGGACAAACCACCTGGGCACAGATGCAGACGGAACTCGCTTCTTGATCCAGTATGGTATCACCCCCTGGTTCCTTGTCTACAACCACTACCCGGACGTGTTGTTCGGTCTGGACGTTTTCCCAGAAGATGCTTATAATGCTACCTCGGACTTCTACCCGACCGTCCGAGAAGATGCCGGTGTTCCCTTGGATGGCTCCCTAGCCTGGGGCCAGACTAACTGGCAAGGATTCGCGGCCGCAACTGTTAGCGGTGACGCCCGCGATATTTTCATTGATGATATTTGGACGTATATCTCCAATGGCCTGAATACTGCTCCTTTCTCAGATAAGTATTTTGTTACGGCTAGTGGTGATTACGCCGCTGGTGAGTCGGATTCGTTCCGTGCGCGTCCAACCCTCGGCAGTCACTTCGCGTTGGCGGCTTTGTCTAATGTTAATACCTGGTCCTCGTCCTCGTAATAAGTTCTTTCCTCTCTTCTCATTTTGCTCTTTTTCTTTCTTCTTTTTGCATAATATTTATCATGAGGAAGTAACGACTTCTCGTCGCCATTCCTTGTGGGATACCCATTGAACCGTGACCTTGTCTTGGCCTATACAGAGCATGACTCGTCAAGCCGGTCACTACTGTTTATAATAAATACACATATTTTATTCTTGCATCACTCAAAAGTATTGACTGAGTAGTAAGACTCATGGACTCATGATTTTTGCATCTGTTTGAGGACATGGAGGTGGAAAATCAAAGATACGAAGAAACACTCAAAACTTATGCATAAACCGACTCAGTGTGCTCAACATCCACCTCCTCCAGCAGTGTGAAAGCTTCCTTGCATTAAATACTGTTCTTATCATTACGTTCCTTCTCCAGCTCCTTCTCTCGCGCACGAACTCGTTTACTATGTTCCTTGGAAATGCGTTTCCGTGCCTTTTCATCGGATTGGGATTCTTCGCTCTTCGTGATTTGGATAGTATTTGTTGACCCTTTGCCTTTGACCCAGTCGAACATCTTGTAGGTTGTAGAGATAGCTTCAGCACTTGGAGCGGGGCAATACTAGTAGAAACTGTGGGGCTTGAGAATCAAGGCGATGGGCTAGCTCAGATAGTTAGCATATATCTGCATGTGAGCAGGTGTGTGTACAGTAGGAAAGACATATCTGGGTACTTTTATGTTGAATTTTGATGCGTGGTGACATAAAGGAGACTCGATGGATGTCGAAGTGGGAGGAACTTGGAGTTATGTAGAAGTGGTGGGGATTTAGCCTGTTCAAAAACAATGAAACATCTTGAACCGCCCCCGGGGCCAGGTGTCTAGGAATTTACGTCATGAAATACATTGATATTAACAAGGCTGAATTCATGGATGTTTATATTCGAGAAAAAGGACTGTTTTATGATTGAAACATCTTGAAGACGGCGAGGCTCTGCCTCGTCAGCGCGGACTCAGCGGCAAAGGGCAAAGAGCATATTCGTGACATGAGAGTGTCTTCCTGCGAAAGCTAGGTTGACTGAACTGGGGCTGACTCGGACTTGGCGCCTCTCTCATGCAATAGTTCTACTACTTCCCGATGATCTTTGTGTGCAGCTAGTAATAGTGGCGTCTGACCCCGTCTCTCATCCTTAGCCTCGATATCAGCACCATTCTCAAGCAATAGCCTTGCTGTCGCTCGACACCCTACTTCTGCAGCCCATAGGAGTGGTGTTCGACCAAATGGGCAATCTTTAGCCTCAATATATGCACAATTTTCAAGCAAGATCTTCACCATAGCCTCATTCCCCTCTGCCGCAGCCACTGAGAGCAGTATTTTACCAAGCTCCCGATCTTCAACCTCAATATTGGCACCCCTCTCAAGCAATAGTCTGACTACTGCCTGATGTCCTTTTTTGTAGCCAATAAGAGAGGTGTCCGATCTCTCTCATCCTTCGACTCAACATTAGCACCTCTCTCAAGCAACAGCTTCACCATACCCTCATAACCTCCTTCTGCAGCCCATGAGAGAGGTGGTTGACCCATGACAATTTTCCACTCAATATTGACACGTTGTCAAGTAAAATATTTGCCACAGTCCCCTGACCATGTTCTATAGCCCATATGAGTAGTTCCAGACCATCATGATCCGCGAAGTTGGATTCCAAAACTTTGGTGACAAGTGAACTGACAATCGCCTTATGTCCATTTTCCGTCGCCCACAGTAGCAAAGTCTGTATATCAAAATCTTCTATGTCTATTTTGGCACCTTTTCCGAGCAGCATTTTCATTGTCGCCTCATGCCATCCTTCTACGGCCCACCATAGAGATGTGCGGCCATCCGCATCTTTCGACTCTAACTGAGCACCGTTTCTAAGTAGATGTTCAACTACTGCAGTATGTCCATTTTGTGCAGCTCGTGAGAGAGGTGTCTGTTGAAATAAAGTGTCCTCTGCCTCAATATTCTGTTCCCTCGGTAGGATAGTAAGGAACGACACAACATCCTCATGTCCGTTACTTGCAGCCAGCCAGAGTGGTGTGCATTGTGATTTTGATGCAGCGTGCATTTTCGTCAGCTTTACTTTTAAAAGCAGCTTGCAGGGTTCAATATGACCTTTGCTTGCTGCATGATGCAAGGCAGTATATCCTTCTAGGTCAGGCATGTTTACTTTGCAGAAACCTAGGAGAATCTCAACTATGTCTTTATACCCAAGCTTTGCCGCGACATGAAGGGCAGGGAGGCTTTCACCAATTAGTGGAAGGTCGCAAATATGTTAGAAGTCAGGCCCTGCACCCTGTGCAACGGACAGGAGAGGTTTATGTTGTTCCTTTACCGCCCATCCGAAGAGACTGTGAAGATGAGAGGAAAACGAACGGCCACCAGGGGTCCAAGGGTGGAAATTCCAAGTCTCATTGAAACACATTGCGAGTTGTTCGAACTTATACCAGGATGATGATTTAAGACGTATCTTTTTGGTCTGCAAAGCCCAATTTGTAACTGCGTAAGCAAGGAACTTGTACTGCATCCGATTTGGCTTTGATGAGGTGCGTATTTCACGGAATTGGACGGAGATGGAAGGCTTCTGATTCCGAGGCCATTGCGAGAATTTTCTGGTGAGAAGTCTAGGGAGGGTCTGTTGCGCAAGTAAAATTGGAGGCGAAACAGCGACTGCGGCTTTCTCGTTCCTTTGCATGCTTAGTTGAAGACTAAAGTCCGAGAAGGAGAGATAAGTGAGACAGAACTCCCCACACTCTAACACACCCTGTGCTGTCGTTGGATACCATGGCATAATTTTCCTTTCTCGGCCCTTCTCAAGGTACTGTTCTACCGAAGAGTGTGCAAAGCGCACATGGTAATCAGTCGCATCCACAACGACAAGGTTTGCACAACAGCCGATAACAAATTCCTGGCGTGGAACCTTCTCTGCATTCCATGCTAGGTCTTCTGAGCCAAAGGCAACCGCCTCTCGCAATTCTTCGATGTGAAGTGGTCTTGTGGCAAAGCTAACCCATTTGAGTACTTTGAGAGCCCGGTTGTCCTTTTGATTTATCCTCTCGATACAACAGCTATATGTCTCTTCAAGGCCTCTTGGTAGCGCAGATAATGCTGACCGTATTGCTGCATCTGTGTGGCATGTGTCCCAGAGGATCTCCAGCTGGAGATATACCCATAGAAACCTACATCAGTCAGCGTATAGTCCACCGTGACAGATAGAGTGTGAGGTTTATCATACATTCCAGACGACTCTATTAGAAGCCTTTGCTGAATCTTCTGGATCAGGAGAAGGTCATCTGTAATTTTTCCGCACATGGTCTTATCAGCGATACTGGATTCGATATAAGTGCCGATATCCTTCATGATATTGGCTGACGTCGAGATCTGACGAATCCCAGGGATGAAGGTGCTTATGTTTATGTACCCTGAAACTTGGTCCCTACTTAGTGGCAAAATGCGCGATCCTTGTTGAGACCAAGAGTGGTGAAATAGGGACCTGAAGAGGCCCAAAAGAATTTGGTATGTTCCTGATCCAAAGCATCAAGTCTATCAACGACATACACTGTGTCTGGCACGCAGCGGAAACAGAGAGTGAAAATATCCTTCAGGTCGTCAAGATCTGCCTGGACCCGCTTGTGTCCAAAAAACTTCCCTAATATCTCTTGAGAGATCCCTTGGATAAGGTCGAGACGTCCGCCGCATGAATTCACAGACTTGTCTGATAAAACTGGAGAGAATAGATGAGGCAGAAATTTCTGTATGATACTCAGTTTCGCAATAGAAAAACATAATGGGAAATCCGAGTTCATATTTCGCTGCGTCTATCACTGCGGTTCTATTGATTGTTAGATCATATCATATCCAAAGGAAGAGTACAGTGAGACAAACGCTATGATTGTTTTCCCGGAGCCAACTAACGAACAGTAAAACATCAGTGTTAAATTCGAAGTATCTCTATGAAAAGAAGACTTATTCTTTCCTGAACACCATAAACTTGAAATTGTCTTCTCAGTGAGCCAGGCTTTGAAATCAGGATGATCAGTGAACCAGTGGGTGGTGCCAGTGAGTCGTTTTCGAGCCAATCTTTGGTGGATCCTCTCGTAGTCATAACTTGAAATCCTCTCAAGTATTTCATCGTCTATTTGGGTATCTACAATTCATCAGTTAGCACTTCATGAAGACTATTAAAACACTCACCGGCTCGAATTATTTCGCCCCTAGGGAGCCGGGCCATGCACAATGGGCCTTCTCGGTAGTATGATACTAGGGTTGGTTAGTTAAAAGTGACTTTGTGGTCATTGTTGGAGCTGGGGAGACAACATACCGTCGGAAATTGAGCCGGCTGGCAGGGTGTCCACCACATGGCTTGCATGAACCGCGGAGAGAAGTTCTTTGCCATAAGCAGCTGCTGTGAGTGCTCCGTATTCTTGCCACTGCTTGTTTTTGTGCGAGTCACAGTAGTCGCAGATCCCTCGAATCACAAGGCAAGGGAAGTTGTCCATCAAGCCGGCTGCCTCCATTTCAAAACAGAGGATGTCAAGTTCTTGGGCTAGCTAATCCCTGCTGCGGCCATGCTTCACCACCTGGTTGCCAGATGCAATCAGACCATAATGGATTACCGGATTATGACTAGGCCGGGCAACTTGTGTCACACGTCTTCCTGCATCGCAGTTGTCGCAAGTACTATTTCCCAAGTCAGGGTGATCGTATTCAGAACCAAACAATATATCCTGATTTTCACCACGATATGTGAACTTCTTCCTCATCTCAGGGTTCTTAGCCACTGCCTCTAAAAGAAGACTGGGAATTTTGCTTGGCTTCAGTCTATGCTCTGCCTGTAGTCTTGAGACCGCTGTTAAGAGCACGGGTGGTGGTTTATTCAACACACCAGTGCGTTCAAAGCGGCCACCAGCCACTGTTTTCCCATAGTCATACTGGATGACTCCTCCCAAGTTTGTTGTCGGCTTGCTAACCACCACATCACCCAGCCGAATATCAGCGCTTCCGCTTGGAACCCCTCCTCCGATGCCTACCATGAGGCCAAAACGTATCGATTTGAAAGTGGACTGCATCTGTATAGCCACTGCTGCGGCGGACGTTGTACCGTAAACACCCGATGGAAGACATGCAATAGCCACGTTGTGACCAAATATCCGACCTAAGATGTATGTGTTACTGTCGTTCGGTCTGGCAGGTAAATCATTATGTCTCTCGTCCAGCATGGCCACGGCCGCGGCCATCTCCAAGGGAAGGGCACAGATCCACGCGACCGTGTAGTCCTGATGGCGAAACTTTCCAGGTGCAGTCGTCAACTTGATTTATGCTGATCAGAGCCTCACCTCAGCGGCAATCACAGGTGTGACGGATAGTAAGATTTCACAACCTTCCAGGCGTACGAAAAAAAAGAAAATAACAAGAGACGCGGCAATAAAGCACATATCTCACATAAAGGAGGTGCGATGGCGAGTCAGCTATAAGTTTTTTCAGCTAGGGATTTTAAGATGAGCTTTTCTGGCGGTATAGAGAGGGGTATTTAGGCGCCAGGCGCGGGGCTGAGAACGGCTGAGAATAATGTGATCCAAGTCGATACTTGCATGAAGCGCTGCCACATATGCAACAGGGGCAGCATGTATTCTGTACCTATTCTCAAGTGCCTATTGTCGAAACTGATTTTCATTCCTGAACTTCATACTTGAATTTGAGTTCTCAAGCTTTATTCTTTGCAGCTATACCTAGAAATTCATTGATCTATACAATCGTTTCACCAAGGGCTTGTAGTGCAACCCCATGCGACCGTCAAGGGCCACGCCTCAGTTTTCACGGCTCACTACCTAGTCATCAAAAATCAAAGTCAACACCAGCCCCAACAGAGCTGTGCATCAAAGGGAGTCTTTTTTAAAACCAGAAGAAATCACCCAGGTTGTTTACCCGATATGCCCAGCCTCCCTTTCCTTAGTTCGCTCCTCTAGCTCAGAAATCAAATGAACGGGGGACCTAAGGACTCAATAAAAGCCAAATAGGGGACTGAATGAAGGTTGGTTGAGTTGCAGAGCATGAAGAGGGAAAGAGTGACCGGTACATACAGTATGAAAGGCACTGGCAGCCCTAGTAGAAATAACTTCCAAGCTTGAAGCTGGAGGCTGATTCTGATATCATGCCCGACCGTGGGCAACTTAAAATTCTTCCAATTTCAACAATAAAAGTAGTAAAATGGGCTTAGATTATCAATGGTTCATCATTGGATATGCAGCACGCATCCATTAGATATGACCGTAGGTCCGAGCACTGGCGTCTATTAGCCCACAAGCCATATACTATACCTACTACCTAGTAGTACTCTTACTAGTACCCGAGTCATAAATAGGGCCAGCTACACTGCACATGTTTACTAGACTAAATGAAAATCAAAACGATAACTTAAAGTTGAATGTGAACGGTTGAAAGTTCCTCTATGCACTTCTATTCGTGGTATATAGTAAAAAAATAATCCATAACTCGTTCAGTGATAAATCCACTGGTTTGTTCATCTGCCGAAAATACATGTTCGGTCTAGATCCAGATCCAGATCCAGATGTCCCAATAGTTCTTGGTTTTGACCAATTTTTTGCTGTTTTTGTGGCTTTGATTTTTTTTGTTTTGCTTCCGAGTTTCCTTTTCTACTCAATAGCAGATGTAGAGTTACCGTGCATAACAGGGTTGATCTTGTGCTCCCACTTGAACTTGAAGTCATCACCAATCTCCTTGCGAATAGCAGTTTGAACAGCCTCCTTCACGTTCTTGAACACACCAAAGTTGGCAGGGTTCTCCTCATCGTTCTCACCACCCTGGAAAACACCAGTGCGAACAAGGCAGGTGTTCCAGCCGTACATGTTACCACCGACGATATCAGAGGCAGGGTTGTCACCGACCATGTAGATGTTCTGGGGAAGCTTCTTCTCGCCGTGCAGATCCTCCATCCAGTCCTGCATAACCTCATCGGCGTAGATGTAGGTAGCACGCTCGGGCTTACCGTACAGAACACGCTCGAGGTCGTTACCAGAGGTAGCCTTGTACATAGCCTCAACAGCCAGACGGAAAGCACCCAGGTGGAGACGTGGGGGACCCTTGTGCTCAGTGGGGCAGAGCAGATCACCTTGGGAGAAGTAGATGGGGATGTGCTTGTGCTCCTTGGGGTTCTTGGTGCGGGTGAGGAGAACACCGTTCTCGGACATGAGCAGATCGTTGATGATCTGGAACTCGGTCATTTGGTCCCAGGATTCGGCGAAGCAGAGAATAGCGTCGAACTTGACCTTGGAGAAATCGCGGGGCTTGGCGTGCTTCTTGTCCTCCTCGCTGAATCGTCCCCAGGGAGAGATCGTGGGGTCCCAGGCGACAATGTCCTTGGGGTGAATCACGTTCTTGAAACCATAGCTCTCGGCAACTTCGCGGACCTTGTAGCCCTCGCCACCGCAGACCAGCACGGTGTCGTAGTACTCGGCAAGAGCCTGCATGGGAGTGTGGGACTGAATGAATTGGTCGGTGGAGATGGGGTGATCGAGAATCTCGGACAGCTGGTCACAACGAGCCTGCTCGGTCTTACCACCACCGTTGGTCAAAAGGATGTAGGGGAACTTGATACCTGCATAAAAAGGTTTGTTAGACTATCAATTCTGAATTTTGATACTTTTTTTTTTGCTGAAATGGACTTACCGAGTTCGTTGTCACCGTTCAGCATCTTGAGGACGTCGCGGCCCTCTTGGATGTAGTTGTTACCGTGAACCAGGACACCATCAATATCGAAGGCAAAAGCCATGTTCTTCACAGCAGCCACCTTCTCTGGGGAAAGATCTTGCACTTGCGAAGCCATGATATCGCGGCCAACAACACTTGGGCGAGAAGCACGCGACAAGCGGGAGCTGCGGGACATCCGCGGGGACCGCGGGATGGGGAGAGAAGTTCCAAAGGAATTGCGAGAGCCACGACGATCCCGCATGGAGGGACCTAGGCTCAGATGGTGCATCATGGCGGAAGTACCACTCATTGAGCTGCGAGTGGCAGGAATCTCAATAGTCTCGCCATCCTGAGTAGGAATGGCAATGCTTGCCTGGTCTAGTGGGGAGCGAGCGGCCGGCGCATCGCTGGGGGCGGCGGACTCAACGCCCAAATCAGCATCAGAGAAACGAGGCATGGTGGGCAAGGTGTGTGTTTTCGAGGTGTGAAAAATGTCAAAGGAAGAATGAAAGAATTGGGGTATATATTGGGTATATGTAAAAAAATAAAAAAAAAATAAAAAGTGTGGAAGCTTTCAATTAGACCCCTCAAAACTGGGTCACGGAGTAGAGTACCGAAGAAGTGGAATAGTGGGATAATGACGAACTGGGACCAGCGTTTACTTATACAATTTCATAAACGATGACGCGCTGATCGGTTCCCTTAACCAGTAGTCCCGAGTTGTATGAGCTTTGAGTGTAAAGACCCATATTTTCCTTCATCTCTGTACGGTCAACGCCCAACCAAACGCCCGAATGTCTCAACATAGACTAGTTAAGCCCAAAAAGAATAAATAATTGGAGCCGATAAAATGACGTGGCATTGAGGATCAGTTTGAGATCGTTAAACGGAATGAACCTAATGAATTAGTTCTGTCTTTTTTTTCCCTTTTTTTTATGCAAGACAGATATCCAAATTCCTATGTTGACGTCACTAGAAACCTTGACTGTGAACAATGTTTCAAGTTTGCAACATGTGGGATGTTAGATTAAGCTTGCTGCTCTCCCAGGAGCTTCGGGGAAGTTGCCTTGAGTAAGGACCCTTGAACGCTATAGTTGCTGTTTTAACTATTTCAGCATATACCCTTCAGTAGCTTCATCTTTCACCATAAGATTCATTTGAAGTTCATTGCAGTTCCTGAATTGAACCCCTCCATGACGTAGTGGCATTTGCCAATAATCGACCATGCATTGGACTTTTTTTTCCCTCTCTCCTTTCCAACCCCTCCGGGTTTACCCATTACGGGCTAACCGGAAAGGAGACATATTGTGGATACGGGTGGATTCCGATCCACTGTGAATGGGGTGGCGTCGGAGATGTAACCTGCGGGTTGCCGCAGGAGAAATGTGCATTCGAAACAAAAAGGTGCATTGCAAGGGATTCGAATACGGAGTACAGAGATTTTTTTGTTTCGGGGATCTCGGCGATTTGGGTGGCGTTAAGTGTGAAAAGGGTCAAAGCGATGCCGAAGTTGAAGACGGAGAAAGTCACGGGACTCGGAATGTTGGAGAGTGACTTAGTCAGCGGGTTCTTATCTAGTGATTCTGATTGGGTTGATTAGGGTAACTGTTCCCGTCTTCAGTGACCATTCACGATGACATAATGCTGCCGATGATGCTGAACACCGAAACGAATAAGAACCTTGGAACGAATGAAAACGAATGAAATAAAATATAATTTTATTTCTAATTTATTTTGATTTTAATTCTGTTTTAGGTGAAGATTGAAATTCAAGATTCAATCGGAATATCTCGGATCTCTTTACGGTATTATGTTCTTCCCCTTTAAACCCTTTGATAGATTCATTAATATCATTGGCCACTAACTACCATTGATCGTGGGAAATCGGAACGTTCATTCCATATAGGGCTCGCGGTGACTGATTATAGAATAATTGAGACTGGAGAGTCTGGTAGATGCCCCTTGTTCTAATCAAATGAAATCAATGAATTTCCACCAAAGCCCCAAACCAAGCCACATCTGAGGTCCCTGGCTCTCATACTTTGTACCTGATTCACTGCCACGTTTCTCATGGCCCCTCGCAGTCCCATACATATTACACAGCAAATATACCCCACCAACTCCTCTTCGACCAAGTTTTGATCGTATTTATCTATTAACTGCCTAAATTCTTTTCAGCTCGGAAGAAGAATGGCCAGATGTGATCATCGTATTTCGTAGTAATAAAAAATCATTAAATGCCGCAATTTCCACTATCCGACGACTAAAATTTCGGATTCTTCAGGAGGAGCGTGCGGGTTTTTGACGCCGTAAGATGAGAAAATGATAAAGTTTGCGTCACCGCTGGATCTTTGGTTCTTAAAGTTCTCCTCTATTGGACGCCTCAGCCGTGTTGTCTATGCAAAGGATACTTAGCGCTATATAGATCGCCGTGCTTTCTCCGTTTGAACCGTTATGCACGGCCCGGGTTGGATATCAAGATTGTAATCCACTTCCAAGGTTGCGACGGAGTTCTCTCCTCCGTTAAAAAGAGGTGACGGATGCGCTAGGGTGCATTTTCAAGACTGGCAAAGAAATTTTGACTAATTGAAATGCAAACATTCTATGGATCAGATGTTGGAATGGAATTCTCCCGAGGTGTTAATTGAATCACTAGGCAGCAGGTGGATGCTTAGATACATGTGAAGTGGACTGTGTGCACATGTGTATTCTGGACGGAGTGAACAATTTTTGGAACACCGAGATACTATAGATAATTGGTCGATATCCCGTCCAACGGATCGGGGTTCAAGCGTCGGGTTTGATGCAGCCACACCCGTCACGGTGCCGGGAGTCTTGAATCTAAACCTGTATCCGAATCTATCTAGATACCCTTCTGATCTGAATTAAAGAATACCACTTGGACAGTGATATCATCTCGGGCATATCGAGAGAAAGGAGAGCCAAAGGCAAGTCGACCAGAGACTAACTCGTGATGATTCCCTCCCAGGGAGTTACGAGTAAGATGCACGGCTGCATTCTCATCTTGAACAGTCGTTCTCCCATCCTCAAATCTCTCCTTGGTTCCTTGTTTAAAGTCCCCGAAATCCAGTGGTTTGTAGCTTGGTGCGGACTTGTTGTTCCCGTTCTCCACTGCCGATCCTAACCACTTGCCCACTAGCCCAACAGCCTGTTCACTAGACAAATGATCCCACAACCCATCACTGGCCATGACCAAAAAGGATGGCCTACTCAGATCGATTTTCGTACTAGTCACCACTGGTCCAGCGGTTAGATATGGTGGTGTCCGAACATCATACCTTGGTGTCAGGGGTGCTGGTCCATAGAATCGCTCGCGCATCTCCTTTTGGAAATCCAAAGACCATTTCCACCGACTATCACCAAATGCACGAGAGACCGCAAGTCCGAGTAATCGTCCATCCTTGATCATAGTCTGTTCACCAGGGTGCTCTTTCTGGAGTCGTGCAATCTCCTCCTGGTTATAGCCAGTTTGATCAACAGACAAAGGAATCGCTTCCCAGGTGCCGTCTGATCTCTGCTGGCCCAGCACTGCCCTTGAATCACCAGTGCAGGCTACATGGAGGGTACTCGTGACGGAATCGTAGATTGAAAACAAAGCACATGAACCAGCAAACGCAGGTTCCAACTTCCTGACTCTTTCCGCAAGTGGCATAGTCTTGTCTCGGGACGCATCCTCAGCTGTTTTGAAAATAGAGGCGTCTAGATTCAAGAACCCGTTGACCAGTGCTTGCTGAATCATGTCTTGCGGCACAGCCGACCCGTTATGAGACGAACCGACTTGGCTGAGACTATCTCGTACATGAGGCAGCAGCTGATGTTTCAGAAGCTCTGATGTTTGCCAACCGGCATGTCCATCGAAAACAGCCCAGGCCATCCACTGCTTACCGTCGTCCCACGGAGATGCAAATTGTCCGTGGAAGAAATGATCCTCACAGGGACTGTTGGATGCTACCTGCGTCCCATCATACCGTGTGACACCAGTCACATCTTTAACTGCATGTGAGTAGGCATTCTGTGAAATAATCTCAGTCACTTGAGTTTTGGAAAGGCCCTGTTCCGAGATCAACTGCTCCTTGGAGTGAGTGTCTAGCCGTGGCACATCTGACACATCTTCCCGTGTGGATGTTGCCCACCAGAAACCTGGAACACTAATGACGCCTCCCAGCATGGCATTTCTTGCCCAGTTTGATGATGCTGTTTTGGTTGTATAGAAACATCGTGTCGATGTGGTCACGCGACCCAGGCGCGGGCGAGCCCGGGCCAAGAGTGATGAGGAGAACATGAAACTGGAACCTTCGAATTGAGGAAGCGGACAAAATGCAGACACTTGCCACCGTAATTTAGATGATCGGCCGTTTCTTTACTGTTTTTCTTTTTTTGCCTTGAAATTCTGAAATGGGGCAAACAAGAGAAACAGGGGGTGAAGTTGATCAAAACAATCCCGGGGTGTCACATGACTCTTGGTCTAGAATCTAGACTAGAATCTAGGTTGGTCCCAACGGTTAAAGTGAGAGAATAGTGTGAGGTGTGAGATGTGAGGTGTAATCTCATATGCAATTGCATGCAATATGGTTACACTGATATCGATATGTACATGACATCAATATTGATTTTCAAGTTTTGGGGAACCATGGATGGAATACCAAGTGCATACCCCAGCATCTTGGTGCCCCACTTGGTCCGTTCAGCCTGAAGAACATCGGGCATCGATCTTCACCGATCTTCACTGTGTATTTTCAAGTGAGACGCGGTCACGGTATTCCAATTGACTTTCGTCAGCAGTAACGTGGGAAACATGATGGATATTGAATTTCGAATTGAGTAGTAAAACTTGAAGCTTTCATCCGAACGAACCTCTTGAGTCCAGAGCTGGAATATCGCCTGGGCACTATATATAATGCACTAGTATGTAATAATGAACTACTATGTAGTAGGACTCGGACTCCAGAGAGCTTGTAAACTTCAAGTTCAAGCCTTGAGTTGAATTTTAAGTTAAAAATTGAAAAGTTCATTTCAGCGTGACTGGCAACTATGCTAAATACTCACAGGAACACACAGGCAAATTTCCCAAGGATGAGTGATGCTCACAAAGTATAGCTGAAATCAGGACGCTGGTCACCAAGCGCCTCGATTTCACTTTGGCTTAGACCTTCGATCCGCTGGTCTCGCTCGCCACGTCGTCGCTTATCATTCTCTCGGCGAAGCAAGAAATACTGCAAAATAGATCCACCGAATAAAAAAACCACGAGGTATCCCAGCACAGTACCATGACCGGGATAAAAGCGAGGGGCGTCTTTGTCGCGGTAGATATTCGATGAGATGATACCATTGAGGTTACCCCATCCAATGATAAAACCCAATGAAGCACCACGTTTGTAGACACCTATTTATCAATTAGCTATCCGAGAAATCGAAGAAGCACCCAGTGTATGGTTTGTTGGATAGGCTTTTACGTACCTTCAATATTGTTACTTGCCCATGAGATTGTGTTGGCAATCGCTGGATAAATTCCCATCGCACCAAGGAAGGTTCCGGCATAACGACCTCCTGCAGACTCACATCCCAGAAGCATGGAAAAGCCCACGATTCCGAGAATCGATGTCCCGATGTTACACAACCCTCTCTGGCGCGTTCGATCGGCAATGAAGCCAATGCTGATTGTCAAAATGGCAGCAGCAGCATAAGGAGGGACACTGAGAAGCTGTGCCCGAATTGAGCTGTAACCTGTAACATATCAGGTAAGCATTCATTCATTTTTCGTTGGTCTTTCCAGTTGAATTAATACCCTGGATAGAAGTTAGCATTAAGCTCACAAATTTTTGAACTAAAACAGCTCATTGTAGGGAATAACCCACTAGTTCTTTAATGATTGTGGGGATAAAAAGGGAGAATGCATAGAGAGAGCCATCCGCGCCCATGTAGATGATAGCGCCAGTCCAGGTTTTCCAATCCTTCACACTGGCCCAGAAGTAGCTCATCTTGAAATCTTCATGCTCCGCACTCGACTGCTGGTCCAATGCCAGACGACGGATGACACGTGCGCGATCTTTGTCTGAGAGGAACTTGGCTTGATCTGGAAAGTCATGCACACACCAGAAGGAAGCAACACCAATAACCACGGTAGCTAGACCCTCGAGAATGAAAATCCATGACCAGCCAGATTTACCGCCAACTCCGTCCATGTTGGCAATGGCTGCTGCTAGCAATCCACCAAAGGATCCAGCCAATGCGGCAGCGGAGAAAAATATGGCCATGCGAACGCCGAATTCAGAGCGTTTGTACCAACATGAGAGGAAGTAGCCCACTCCTGGGAATAGACCGGCTTCACTAAGACCGAGGAACCAGCGAACTGCCAATAGCCCGGCGTAGTTCTTAACGATGCCCATCAGGGTCATACATATTCCCTAAAGATAGAATGGTAGTTAGCAAGACTAATCACATGCAATTCCTATACGAGGAGATGTTTACCCAGCAGATCATGATGATCGGGATGAAAATACTCGGGCGGAGGCGCTTGAGCAGGATATTTGTGACAGGCTCAAAGATGGAGTAGGAGACAAAGAAGATGGTTAGAGTGGCATTGTATTGGTTGGAAGAGATATTCAGCTCTTTGGTCAGACCAACAAGCTTCGCATTTCCAATGTTTGTGCTACACTATGTGAGTCCATGCTTTCCTCAAGGAGAAATGGAGGTAATACAGACCGATCAAGGAATGAGGCCAAGTACAGTAAACTGAGCCAAGGTATGAGACGAAGATCGAGCTTCCATAAAAGGCGGCGATCCTATAAATAACATGTTAGTATGCACTGTGGAAACAATAAATATGTGGGCGTGTTATTTCCACGCACAATCTTGGCTTGTTCCTCCTCACTCAGACCAGCATCTGGGTCTTCCAAGTGCCCGACCTTAACCTCCGTCACTGGATCCTTCTCTGAGTCCGCGCTACCCGGGGCGCTCTCGATAGTCGCCATCATCCAACCCTTAGAACTAAGGTATTGTTCATAAGTTTCAACTGGGGTTGGATGGTTGATCGGGTATGTTCCGGAGGGCTTGGCTCTAGCGCAAGATGTTAGTCAAGGTCGAACAGAGGGAGAAAGTAAGGAGTGATATAAAATGGATATGTTAAAATATCTAAGACGCGAGAAGGGAAGGTAGAGATATGTGAGAGGTAAAGGAGAGAAAATCAAAAGTTACAAAGAGAGGAGTACTTATGAGAGAGACGGGTATAAGACTCACATACTTGTTAGCGCGAGTGTTAAAGTTGAAAAGTGAAAGAGATAAAGCTGTGGGTAAGAGGAAGACAAGATGTGAAGAGTCACAAAGGGAAAGGAACACGAGATGTGTAGAATGGGAAAGTTCAGATGTTCAAATGTTGAAGTTGAAAAATAAAGATAAAAAGTTGCATATGCTGAGAATTGAGCAGGGAAAAGGATCAGGAAGACAAGATGTGTAGGAGTCAAGTTTGAGGACTCAAGGACCTGACATTCCCATGAACGGGCTAACGGAGCGGGGAGAAGAAGACAAGCTTATGAATTGGGGATTATCAGTGCAAGGGACTCAAGGTTTAAAATAACCAATTAAAAGAAGTTATTCAAGTCTAGGGGAAAACTTACAAGAGTGAGTATATTCTAATTTAAGTACAGATCGCTGTTTATTGCTATGAACTCCAATGAATTGGTGATCGACAAGGAATTAAGTTCATCGCGGGGATATACTTGTTTGGGTTGTTGAGGAATACCAGAGTACTTTGTAGGGGAATCTGAATACCAGGGACACGTTCTATAATAAAGATTGACTTCTGGACCTGCATAATTCAAGAATATTGCATATAAGTAGAAAATATCCTGGTATAATCCATGCCCAGGTGTTGATAAGTGTATATCATGATATGAACTTATATACTGCTGAAGTACCCTCGGGTGTAACATTAAGTACGCTAATAAATAGACCTCGGAAGAAGTTAATTATGGTTCTTCTGTATAGATCCATAGATCCGAGTCGGAATTATCGGGGATTGAGGGATTAACATCTATGGATAATGTCTATATGGGCTTTGATAATAGTCATAAACTCGATAATAGGGACTGACAGATTTTATTTCAATTTTTTTTTTCGTTTTTGTTTGATTATTAGCGGATCAGCATACGTCCCTACTATAGTAGAGGTTGACAACAAACAGAGCTTGACGGAGCGTAGGTCGCGTAACGGATCGTAAATCGTAATGGGAGAATAAAGAGAAAACGAACCAAATTCAATCCTTCCTCTCACTTTTCCTCACACATCGCACGGGTCCCTGTAAAATCTCACTTCACTGAAATCAAAGTATGGGTCCTCAGTCAGAACTCCAAATGCCCAATCTGCCATTTTAACGGAGGCGAATTCAAGAATATTCTCAGCTCCGCGGCCAACACAGATGAACTCAATCTTGCGAGTGGTACTTTTGTTGAGCTTTGAGATGGCTTTCTTCATCTTGTTGCCTTCAACACGAATGCATCGGGTGAGTTTTCCGCGTGTAATACGATCCTGCAAAATGTCATTCATTGGGAAGGTAGGGGAACCCAGCACAATCGCATTAAGTCCCACCAGACTAAGAAGGCCGCAGTCTCCACGGGCAAGCGTATTGACAAAAGTTTTCGCGCCCCGCGCAGTCACAAAAGTGACCAGTGCACTCTCACGCCCAAGCAAGGTAGTGGTGTTCATCAGTGTTGCGGAAAAAACCTGGCCGCCTCGAATCTCAGAGAGAACTTGGGCGATGGTGAAGTTGGATGGGATGCCCTTGATAATAACGGTTCGGCGAGCGAGTTCCGTATCGGTGTCTTCGGCTTCATATCGGATGCCATGCTTGAGCAGGAGACTTTCAGTGGGATCGTGACGAGAACTGCCCGAACGCTTGAAAACCTCGAGGACTTCATGAACGCTTGAAAACACTCCGAGAACTGCGCCTCCGGTGTGCCACTTAGTCGAAGGATCCTCTCCAAATGGGAGAACAGTCGGGCTGCGAACGTACTGGATAATGGTTAATACTGACAATGAGAGTTGTTATTATTGTGAACTGAAAAAGGGATTTTCTCACGCGAGTGATGGGATGATCCATGGTGTTGGGTTTGTCCTCTCTGTCAAACAAGTCAGAGGTTCCACTCAGTCCCAAAAAGAAAAAAATCAACCGCGTACACCCGCGTATACTTACTTTGCTGGCAGAAGGGCTGCGTGGGGAATAGGGTCCAACTCTCGGTCAATCAGGGTCTGAATAGAGAGCTTAGCAATAGCAGAGGTATGGGTGGGGAGGTTAACACAAGTCTTTTGGGCTAAGCTCATTTCAGACAGTGAAGGAAGGACCTTTTCACTTCTGCCTTGAACGGCCTCTTCCAAGAGACATACCAGCGACATGACGAAAATAGTGAGAATTGACCCTTGAGAATGTTACAGGACCCAGAAAATTGAGTCCAAGAGTCTGTCGCTGAGGTAGAGATGAAAGAGTGAAGAGAGTTATAAGAGAGGAAGGGTGAGAGCTGTGAAGACTACGCGAGGTTTTTAGCGAAGCTTAAGCGAGCCAATATCAGCGACAGCGACAGTGGTGGCCTTCCATCCGTTTGTTACTTCACTGTCTCGCACAACGAGATGAAAGAAAATCACATGCATATTTGAAAGAAAAAAAGATCAATTGAAAATCAAAAGAACTATACGACTACTTACATCTCAAGAATTTCGAAGCTATTTTTCTAGTATATTGATGCCCTATTCAAACTTGAAATTTATCCGAAAAACTCGCCGCCTGCTAATGCAACCCACGGTACATTCTCCTCCCAGCATCGTTGCATGAGTTGACGCGCATCTTGAATCTGAGTTCAAAAGTTAGTGACACTAATTTATTTTCCCAAAACTTGATAGAGAACAACATTACCTGTTTCATGCCTGATTTCTCTAGCACTAGAAACCTATTGAGGATTTTTGATCGCGACGAGGCATCTCGAGACTCACAGCCAGCAGTGAACAAGGGTAGAAGCGAGCAAACCTCAGTTGAGGCTCCAAGTCTCATTCGATCCAATGCACTCAACAGCTGGCGAAGAGCCTCCTTGACGGGAAACGAGTCTGGCGATGATCCCAACACACGGCGATGGAGATGAATCAGCCCAGCACATCGGAACGCTTCTTCGGCTGCCATCATGTCCTGGGCTTCAATACCATGGTGATGGTTTGGGTCGGCATGAGCACGTTCACTCAATCCTTCCATTTCACCAAGTACAACCTGCGCTTCGAGAACCATATCTGCAGATGGATGCCAACCCGATCGGAAGTTCCCAAGTTCGTCAAACTGCTGGTTATCGCATTCCTGTACAAGTTTTGCCAGGCGAATGAGGAAAAGTCCGGTCTGCGGCGTGAATCCTGTGAAACAATCTACGCTATACTCGTCAAACCCCTCGGGCTTCGAGCAAGCTTCTAGAACAGAATGGTATAATATCAACGGCCGACCAGCGTGACGACATGACAAGCCACCGACTGTATCAAGGTACCCTAGCCAGCGTGCAAAGAAAGCCCCGATCTTGTTCCCGGGTCGAGCGATGCGATCGCTACGTGCCAGGAACAAGTCGCGAGCAAGCTTCAAGTGACTCTGCCAAGTAATCGGAACTTCGAATGTCCCGGGAGAGACGATTTTCAGGGATAACAGAAGAATAGCCGTCGCTAAGTGGCTGTCGGTAATTTCCTCATGGGATGCTTCCAATGCGACACGCAATGTTGGAAATACGTTGCTGACCCAGTGTGCAATCCGATTGGCGGGCTCTGCATGTCCTAAATACCGCGCACGATGACTCGCCGAGTATGCGAGTAATAAATTGAGCAAATTAGGATCGGCAATTGCCACTGTGGGACAGCGTTAGTATAAGGGGCTGGATTCCAGCACTTTGCTTGTTTTCTCTTATGGTTTTGCGGAGTTAACTTACTCGATGGTAAAACTGACATAAACGGGTTGTTATCGCAATCATGTGGTACTAGCATCCGAGAGGTATGATTGATAAAGTGATGAAAGTACATCAAATTGATTGGGTTCTCCAGCAGCGAAGACGGAAGAGGAGACAGATACCTCGGGATATTGATAGGCACTGCTGATGCATAGTATCCGCCATATTCTGCATGTGGACGACCCGTCGGCGTGGGATATGCCTTGGGTGACCCCTCTTCAGATTTTCCACGCGAATTGATCATATCTAGAGCAGAGTTGACATCAATTGCAGCATGGTCATTATTCAGTGTGAGATCTTGATCTGGTCGCCCGGAGTCCAAGCCATAATTATCGGTCACGCTCGTGAGATACGCTCGCCATTTACTTTGAGCGACGGACAACTCCCGTGTAGATTTGCGGTCCTCCAAAAGCTCATTTGAAGAGGTCTCCGTATGATTGAAGGATGACATTCCATCGTAGCCTGGAGATGATGACGCGTCGTTCTGAGCCATAGAGTGATGGGACCCAGGAAGGAACGCTGATGCACTACCCGCATTTGAAAGAGATGAATTATGATCTTGATGCGACGTTCCATTGACGGAATATCCCAGGTTGTGCTCATCCTGTGTCATGGAAGCCGATGGAGGGCTTTCATGTTGATCGGATACGTGATTCATGGTATCCACGGAGTTTCGCAGAAAAGAGACAGGTTGAGATACGGAGTTGGCATGGAATGTAAACGCAGAGAGAGATCGAAGACCCACTCCCTGGTCGGCAGCAGCTGAAAATGTTCCATGAAATGTCGAGCCAAACGGATAATGCGACAACGGGTCTGAGGAAACGGGAGGCGAGAGTGGGGGCTGCTCTGGCCAGGTCGAAAAATGATGATCAATTCGATCTGGAGAGTTAATACCTTCCGATATCGAGGGAGGCCTTGGAGATTCGAAAATGCCAACAGCCGGAGTGCTTGGCGAGATGGAGCCCAGGTCACCAGAATGCATGTTGACAAACCCATCCACTGGCGCACTGGTTGCCGGCATCGGCATGGAATTGGAGCTCACAGCATTTGTCGGGGCGTCTGAGAACGAGATAATAGTACCCCCATAACCGCTGGACTGAGAACAGGGTGAGTCAACAGACGCTCGTTTTGTTCGACCACCCCAGTTCAGGCGAACGCTGTAATCGCACGCCTCGCCCTGCCGTTGACAATTGACACAAGAAGGCTTTTCCTCACCACTTTGTATAACCTAGTCAGCAAGTTTGGTATATTTCACGAGTCGATGCCTGCTTACCATTTGACTTTCCGCGCCTTGCATGGCCTACAATCTCAATAACCAGTTAGTCATCTGAGTAGGCCCGCAGTGAATTTTTTAGTGGAAGATAATACACACCAACAACCCTTTCGGCTTCTTCGTTTTGGCTCCGGCGCACCAGGCCTCCGAGGACGCGGCATTTCACTTCAGATCAAGGACTAGATCAATGCCTGAGCCCCAAGGGCAACAAACAGGCAAATACTAGAATTGACGGATGGATGTAAGAAACGGCCATTCAGCAAGAACCCAAGTCCAAGAAGATCTGTGGAGGGTTGTTCACAGAACACTCCAGACGCAATTGGATCGCTTTCTGCGTCTAGAACTGTGTCCCCAAGTGGCGACGAAACGATAGTCGACCAAGCACCCACACCTAGTAGACAAGCCCATCGAGGTATGGGAGGGAGATGTGCTCAAGAAAAATGTCAAAATCCAGCGACGGTTGTAGCAATGGGAATTTTGGCAGTAGTGACTTGCAGCTGCAGAACCAAGATTGATAAGACTATTGGCGATAGTGATGATCGCAGAACTTGGCAGAACCTGGGAAGACCTGGGGTAAGGGTCCACTTCAAGAGTGTAACTTCTTACCCAAATATTCACCAAGAGGTGGTATCCTTTTCTTGTATATCTCGCACGCAATCAGAATTAAAAAAAAGGCACGCTTGAGGAATGACAGTGCTCGAGACCCGAGAAAGTGTGGGGAAAGCCCACGATAAGGCTGACTCAGCCGGAGGTCGGATTATTTTCTGATCCGACACGGGATGCCGGGGGATACCGGTCACATGGAGTCATCGTCATAGGGCGTCCGCGGACTCCGATTTGTCCTGAATTCAACATAGTTTCCTTGGTTAACCTGGTTCTCCCGAAAGTTCATTCATCTGTGGAGGTTGGAACGCGGCAAGTGACTTGTGTCAATAGCCTCTGCCCCTGAATCTCGGATTTCGATTCTCGTCCGATATGGCTGAGCCTCTCATTCGGCGGCATCCGCTGCAGAAGCTCACAAGTCCGTCAAGGGGGATCTCCGCTCTGGTTCACGTATGTTCCGTATAGTCTGGTTATGGATTCAGTGTTCGAAGAAAATTATGGCTGATGAATGCAGTTGACGGGTCTTGCAAGCTTCCTGTGGTCTTTCAAGTTGTAAGTTCTCCAAGTGACTGTGACTCTCATTGGGAGCCTCGCATTGTACTCGACCGCTAACAAGTGAAAATAGCATGCATGAAAACCCTAATATGGCGTATGTCTTCAATGAGAACAATATTCACTATGTCTGGCAGTGAGAAACAGATACTAATGAGCGCAGAAATGAGGCTTATGGCTGGCATTTTCAGTATCTGACTGTCATTGGTTTAACATTGTCCACATTAACTTTCCTTGCTGCGCTCCTCGCGGATATTACTTTATCACGCCGTCTCTTTTTGATCAAGAATTTGCTGTCAGTATGCAGCGCCCCAATGGAGGTTCTGATTAGCGTTCTATACTGGGGACTTCGAGTGGTGGGTGGTTTCAGGAAATTTGATCTATTTGATATAGTACTGACAAAGAGCTCTAGATTGACGAGCGCTTGGTCCTACCGGATTGGGCTGTGATTCCACTTCATGCTGGTTCGTTACAAAGCAGCCCTCTGATATCACCCTACTGTACTGACAAGACACAGATATCAGTTTCCACGCGATTCCATCTATTGTGATGTTGATAGACTTGCTCTTTTTATCTCCTCCATGGACCATCACAATTTTCCCATCACTAGGATTATCTGGGTCCATTGCCTTTGGCTACTGGTTCTGGGTCGAGCGATGCTTCCAATACAATGGCTGGTACCCATACCCCATCTTCGAGCAGTTGCCAACTCCCGGTCGCATTGCACTCTTTTCAATGAGTGCTGTCGTGATGGCTCTGAGCACGGCCACACTCAAGTGGCTGTATGGCCGAATCAACGGATTCGGTGTTCCCATTCCAGCACAATCTCGCCCTGGTGATATCAAGCGAAAGGATGGTCTTTGAACTGTGAAGAGTCTGCTCTGGTAAATTGATGAGAAAACTAGGCCTTGCATTTACATAGTCCGGTATCTCGATCTTGACATACTGAGAAGCCATTTAGCTTGATTTTCGCACACTTGCAGCTCTTTTTTTTTCGGTCATACTTCCAGTATTTACAACTTTACAGTGAAAGGTCGTTTTACATATTGGCGCAAACTTGAAACAACGAAACGAAAATATGGGATAGAACAACAAGAAATATCACGGTAGCTTATCATGATTCATGAAAGAGCAATATGACCAGAATAATTTTGCAATCTAAGGCTATTGATCCATATCATTTGAAGAAGCTTGATCCTCCAATAAATGTCAATGTTCAAAATGATATTGATCATATACCGATTCGGCAACTATTCGGGTAGTGGTTTCCTAGCACTCCTGATCTTTCGCTGGATACTTCTCGGGCTCAGCAGTGAGACGTGGGTGGCCTGTCCATGTTCTTCCATGACTGAAATTGCAGTAGCCATGAGCAACGCCTGCCATCTGCAGTCCATAGCACAGTTATTCACAGCGCCCAGGATGACTTTCCTCTTAGCTATGGTACGATGCTCCTTCTCGAATGTTTTCGCCTTGTAGGCATAGCCCTCCACACGAGTAGTATCATCATTATAGCCGAAATCTTCCAAGTTTTCAAATGTTAGAGTAAGGTATAATAGTAATTCTGCACCCATATCAAGATATTGAAATACCGAGGATGAAACAGTTGAAATAAACTTTGAAATCCGACCTTTTAATCCGAATCAATGCAGGATTTGCGAACTCCATTGATGTGCACATGCAATTACACGGCGGGTTCGGGTTCGGGTTCGTATTCGGTGTAGAGCAAGGTTCCTCGCCTCTGGGGTATCCCTGGTCCATGGATGTCAAATCATGATGCTGTAGTTATCTGATCTAAATAAGAAGTAGTCTCCACAACAATGTTAATCTGCATACATTCATTGTTGCCTTGGGATATTCGATAATAGCTCCTCATAATGAATATTGGAGACTGATCTACAACGTAATGCATCCACTCATACCGGGAAAACTTGACTGTTTGATGTTTAACTTCCATCCAGAAGGACACTAGGCCAGTTAATGAGCCGTGATCGGCATACAGTTCCTGGAAATAGCCCTTGAGAGGGGGTGAAACCAGCTCTCTGACAAGGAACTAGGCATCGTAATAATGAGAGATATTCCGTATTGCGAACGGTTGAAGGGGTTAAATAGCAGGCGATGTCTCTCGTTCCTGGCTAGTATGCGCTTTTTGAGCTCCATTCCTTTGAACCAAAGTCACAGAAAACATGAAGTTGTCCCATATCGGTGTAGTGCTGTCCTGTTTGGCTTTTGGCTGTGATGCTTCGAGCGCGTCTGCCAGTGCTAGTGCAGTCTCAATCGGGGCCTTTATCAGTACACCCACAGGTACCCTGAAGGTGACAACGGCAGAGAGATGTGCATGCAAAGGACTTGCTCAGATATTCAAGAACGAAGTGATCTTCCCAGGGAAAGCCAACTACACCGAGCAGACAGTGGATGGTTATTGGGATATACGGGCTGATCTATCCCCGGCATGTGTTTTTGTTCCCGAGACGGCAGACGCAGTTGCCGGTGCAATGAAGATATTCTTGCGATGCCCAATTCGCAGTGCGTGGCGGAGGACATATGAATGTGAGTTTTTATATCCATCTTCCTCAATCCGGATGAGGTTAGCTAATATTCTCGTGCAGTATCCCGGATCGAACAACATCGACGGTGGCGTCCTTGTGGCGTTGAGTAGCTTGAATTCTTATGCCGTCCATAAAGACACAATTGATGTAGGCCCCGGTCTCAATTGGTATGATGTCTATGAGGCATTGACTCCTTACGGACGTGCCGCGATTGGCGGTCGTATGAAAACAATCGGCGTTCCAGGACTGACCTTGATTGGGGGTTTTCATTATTTCAACAACAAATATGGATATGCTATGGACAATGTCGTCAGTTATGATATTGTTCTTGGCAATGGAACTCAGGTCACTGCCACTAAGACCTCTCATCCTGATCTTTTCTGGGCTCTGAAAGGCGGCGCCAACAACTTCGGTGTTGTTACCAAGTTTACTTTAAAAACCTACGATGTTCCAAAAGTTTCCACGACCATTCAAGTCTATAACGAAACCTACTTCCCTCAGTTCATCGACGCTATGTGCGAGTCTGCCAAGGTAGATGAGACAAATCCCATTGCGGCTGGAATGATTGCAACGATCAGTTATAATGCTACTACAAAAGCGGCATCTGCCTCACTTCTTGGAGTTCAGGAAGGGGCTAGTCTGCCTCCCTCTCAATTCGCCAATTTTACCAAGATTCCAGCGACAGAACGGATCAACAATGTGACCACAATGAACCTGTGGTCTGCAGAGCTTGACTCACCAAAGCAAATGTTCCGGTATTTCTTCTCCCCTTATTATCTTTCTTGGTATCTGTAACTGACAATGAGTGAAGTGTCATGATCTCTCACAAGACAATGAAACCCGACTCTGATACGATCTTTTCCATCTACGAAGCTTGGAAGGCGGCTGTTAATGAGATTGCCGACGTTGAGGGACTGTATCCAACCATGGTACTTAACGAGATTACTCCATCATCTCTTCGAGTAGCAAAGACCAACGGTGTTGGTAATGTCTGGGGTCTCGACCCCGAGCCCCTGATGAGTGAGTTGTACTTTCAATTTGAATATATCAATATTCCAAGATCGTAGCTAACATAAACTTTTAGTCTGGCAGTTTAGTACTGGGTGGGCCTTGGCTCAAGATGACCTTCGTGTGGATGCTTGGTCTCGTCAGCTTACGGAACATCTTCACTCCATCAATAAAGAGAAGGGTCTGGCGTCTGAATTTGTCTATATGGGCGATGCTGGAGAGTGGCAGGATCCTTTCCTTGGGTTTCCACAGGAGAACGTCGAACGCATGAGGGAGATTCGTGCTGCTTACGACCCGGATGGAGTCTTCTCTCGCCTGAGTTGGGGTGGATTCAAACTGGGGCTCTGAAAGATAGTATTTTAGATGTTAAAACAGGCAAGAGCATAAATTTGTGCCTTGGAATATTTTTTTGTTGGTCTAGGGTGTTCTGATGGATATCTATAACCTTGGAAAGCGGTATTAAAGGCGGTGAATATCAACTGGGCAATTTGGTTTTGTCCCTCATGGCCTTAATAAACCGCCGTAGCTCATCACTGTTTAGCATCAATCTCTTGTTTCTTAATTCCCGCAAATTACTCTCCTTGCCAATACTCTCAGCATGTTTGCTCCAGTATTTAGCCGCACGGCTGCCCCTACAATCAAATCCGCCACAGCCCTCCCTTCACAAATCGGGTTCCGACAATTTGGTTCACTCCATTCTACTGTCTTCCGTCCATCGCCGACTGCCATCGAAAGTCATGTCCAACCTAACTCCTTGATCTCCCACCGGGGTTTGCGCATGCAGTCAACTTCCTCTACTCCAAAGGATGATGTGAAACTGGACTGGAACTCTTTCTTCAAGCTTCGTGCTTCCCGTCGCCGCTACTCCTTGGCCTCCTCTGTCATGAGCTCTCTGGTGACCACTACTGTTGGTGTGCAGGTTCTGTCATCGCAGGACCTGGAATCTCTGGGTGCTCAAGTTATGGGCCTGGACCCCTTTGTGGTTTTGGGAATGGCCACAGCTGCTTGTGGTGCGGTTGGATGGCTTGTCGGTCCAATTGTTGGAAATGGCCTCTGGGGTCTGGTTTACCGTCGTTTCACACCCTCTGTTGCAATTGTAAGTCAGCCATACTTTTCTATATCACTTTTACGCAATTAAATGGGAAAATCGCTAATCCTCCTGTTTTTCAGAAAGAGAAGGAATTCTTCGATCGCATTCGCCGATTCCGTGTTGACCCTTCAACCAACTCCATCGCGAACCCCGTTCCCGACTACTACGGCGAGAAGATCGGAAGCGTGCAAGGATATCGCCAGTGGCTTAAGGACCAGCGGGCCTATAACCGGAAGCGCCGCAACTTCATTGCTTAATTTTCATACCTAAAACCTGTACTTCACCTTGTTTTGTCAATACTCGCCTTTGGTCAAGCCTAGCCATTTTCTTTTCTTGATAGGGATATGGATCGGTGTTCTGTGTTTTTATCTTCTTACCTCATTAGCGGTCTATGCGATCTGCGGTGTTACATGTGATTCAAAATGACCTTTTATAAAACCAATACCTACCATTATTATATGAAACTGATCAAAATCTTCAATCTTGCGCTCAAGGTGTTCCGGGGAGTTTTGGACGAGACTCTGTTATAGAATTGGATATGTTTTCTCTACCTTCACCCATGGTACAATGATAAGATCCATGAAATACTTGGAAGCATTGCGCTTAATAGCTAGACGATCATTACAGCTTTGATGCTGACTTGGCCTTGGGGCTCCGGCCAGTGTCCACCTCAGTCCACCAAGGCACATGTGCAGGTACATCATCATCCAAATTCGCGCGAAAGTTTGGCTTACGCTTCTCGAAGAAAGCCGTGACTCCTTCCTTCTGATCTCTGTATTACAGTCAGTCTCATATTCCACTCCCTCGTTCTCAATATGACAGAGATGGCAGGGGAGTAAGGCACTTACTTTGATCTGAACATGTGATAGATATTTTTCGATTCTATCAAATGCGCCAACTCAGGCGAACCCGCATCATGCCACATCATAGCCCGATTGAGGTATGATGCAATCGGGCTGACATTCTCAGCAATTTCCGAAGCCAATTCCAGGGCTCGAGGTAGAACTTGAGAGGACTCGGGCATAATCTCATTAAACAGATCCCCGAAATGTTTTGCAGTAGGTGGGAACACGCCTCCTGTGCTAACCAGGTAACTAGCGTTCGAGTGACCGATTAGACGAGTCAGGAAGAAGGATGAGCATGCTTCCATTGTGATTCCTCGACGTGCAAAGACAAATCCATATTTGCCCTTCGCGTAGCCAATTCTAATGATATAGCAAGTCAGACTTGTTGGGCCGAAGTTGACTGATTCCACTTACCGAATAATTGCGGGAAGAGTCATCGTCATGCCCACACCAACTGCTGACCCTTGCATAGCCGCGATAGTTGGCTTACGGCAATGATGAATGGCCAGTGACACACGTCCACCTCTGGTACTTTTCTTAGCACTTGAGCGAATCAACCCTCTTTAGAAGTGACGAGGAAGAACATACCCATCGCGGTGATCAGCTGGTCTCTCATTTGCCAGGTGTCGAGTAAATCCTATATCAAGATCTGCTCCAGCACAGAATGTTTTGCCAGCGCCTGTCAAGATGATAACCTTGACACGTTCATCCACATCAAATAAGGGGAACAGCTTTTCGATATCTTCAACCATGTTACCAGTGAAGGCATTATGATTAGCGGGACGATTGAGTGTGACCACTACTACGGGTGTCACACTTGGTGAGCCCGCTGGATGATGCTTAACAATAACATGCCCTGATGTTGGCAATGTCTCATATGATGCTGGAAGGTCTAAGGGGCTTGGGTCGAAAATCATGGTGGACACAGAGTTGAAGATATGCAGACGATGAGAGTGAGATGAAGAGAATCGGTGAGAAAGAGTACTTATCTGCTTTATCAACAGTTATATAATCTGAAGATTTATGCAGACTCTCTTTGATTACTATTCTCGTATAAAATAGTGACCTCGGCTCGGTGTCCACGGCTGTTGACATTGCGGGGAAGCCTGTGTGGGGGCTATTCCTCGGATTCGCACTAGCGGTGAAAAGTACTAGTAGTATTTTGAAACATGGACTTTTAGTGCCTAGCTGAAAACCCATATACCAGGGCATCATTTATATTATGGTTAGTTGAGAATTTACGCCTTTGTCTGAATGTACTATCCTAGATATCGCCCTTTCGAGCATCTGAACATTTCACGGACAGAGAACATAATTGGAAACTCTACAAAATTGACTAAAATACTACTTCGGATGAATAAACACTTCAAATTTCATATTGGAAGATTTGAAAGGCTCAGGTTTTCTAATTGAATGAAGTTTATTCCCTTTACTCCGCAGAAGCTTAAGAATGACTCGGACCGATCAATGTTACTACTAGATAGTACACACAAGGTGAGAGAAATGGTAGAAAAATAGCTCCATCGATGGGGTACTCTACATTAGGACCCAGAGCGGTATTTGAGATGGATTTTCTTTCAATGTGTTGGCTTTCTACAGCTCGTATGTGGAACTTGAAGTCCCAATTTCAATCCTGAACCTTGGAATAGGTAGTACATAATATCGTATTAGTAGTCTGGTGATTTGATGGCCGCTTTCACAACTGATAACTCGCAGCTTAACAAAAATATGGGTGTCTGCTATACGTATCGAGGGAATGTTGGTGGACTTGAAAATATGCTCTAAAATTATTCAAATGTTAGATCCAGAAATCTTGTCTTTTCCCAGGACAGCATTCGGTGCTCTGATATTGGGTTTTGACAAGTGATACTGTTGACGAGATGAAACACACTGCAAAGTTCACGTTGTGCCCTAAGACACGTCTCATGGTGATATTAGGCAGTTGGAAGTAAGTGAGTGATCGAGTAGTACAATGCTTTCTCTTTGAATCCCTCAAGCTTGGAGTCGTCGTCAGTGCTGCACAAGTGTTAAAGGATAGAGGACTTTATAGCGAATTGAACCACCGTTTTTCGTTTTGAATGTTGGGATATCCCTTCCTTTTTGGCTATAAAGAAGGACATTTTTAGCAGGGAACCAGTAGGCATATCTCTAGAATTGTAGTATATCAGAATGGAAATATCAGATCAATCCCGATCCGGGTGCATGACCTCATCGGATGATGCTTGGCGTTGACAAAGATTTCCACACTGTGAGGCTGCGACTATCCAGGGTGGAAACACACAACCCTGTGATGACTCGGAACTCTTTATTTGATCTCAATTTAACAAAGAATTCCCTCTTCTTTCTCATCTTGGGTCAATCTTTGAACCAGATCAGCATACCTGGTCACGAGGCGGAACCGAATCTGCCCGTGTCTCCCCCACTTTCTGGTCGAGCTTGAGATCCCTCCTCCTCGATCGCTTAGATCACATCAACATGAGTGGCCGAAATATCTCATATGGCCGTGGTGGCGCCGGTGAGTAGACTGTCAAACTCCTCCATGACATTGAATAGCGCCTAACATTCCATTGTGCGCAGGCAATATCTCCCGCCAACAGACCGCGCCCACGCCCAAAGACCTTGTCACCCCGACAATCAAGCAGGAAGTCTATACCACTGGTCGCGGAGGATCAGGAAATATGGTCCAAAATGATCCGGAACGACCGGAGATCGCTCGGGAGAGTCAAGATGTTGAGTCTCCTCCACTGCGGGCGCAGCAGATTCCCCACCATACAGGACGAGGTACGCAAATATGGAGCAGCCCCGAAATCATTTCAAGAACACAATAAATAACCAATCTGATCTCGATAGGAGGTGTCGCCAATGCCTATATCCCTACCGCAGAAGAGGAAGAGCGAGCGCGATTGCAGGAGGCTGAACTCATGCGTGTGCGTACTCAGGACAAGGACCGCATCAAAGAAATCGAACACGAACGACAAGAACTGCGCCATCAATCCCCTGCCAGTTAATCGTCAATCAACGATGCCATAGACTCGATAGACTGTCCGAGGGCATGGAGTGGAGTTCCCTAGCGTTAGCGGTATCGTTTGTTCCCCTGGAGTAACGAACGGGGAGGGCATTCGCTATTTTTCAATCATTTCAGTCCGCTTCCAGAGACAATTTGGAAGAGACAAAACTGCCAGAAGTACTGCAGGCAGTACGGAGAACGACTTTAATACGTTATAATGCGGGGTTGTGGTAGGGTTTCTTCCTTATCTCTCGGTCATTATTTTCTTTTTTTTTGTGCTTTTCATTATTTTTCTTCTTTGTGATTTGGTCATATTTTCACCCTTATCTTTTCACCCCCTTTATCTTGTACAATGGGACCATGAATTACCAGATCTGCGAAAAGGGGCTGGCGCATGGTGTCTGGATTCTATTTTATTTTATTTTTATTTTCTTCAAGAGAATTTTGATTATGTTAGTCCAATACGCTCTTAACAGTGCCAATTCGGTGGAAAAGATAACCGCTATGAATAGAATTTCTATAATGACACGCTCTCATTATCTCGTTATTTATGCAGTACAACTGGCGTACCTATGGTTTTTTTCAAGTTAATAACCTTGGAATAGGTATGCATGCACAGAAACAGAAGATTGGTCGCTTTTGTCATGTTGATAGCAAAATCACCCGGTCGCAATGCATGTCGAATCCTCCATCCTTCGGTCAATCTTCTTACCTCCCCCTCACATAGCTGATATGCGGCATGAATCACGCAAATAAAAAAAATTCTCTCATCTAAGAGCTTCACAGTGCACATATAGCTTCGTATTTGTATCTGCTCATGCAGGAAGAAAAACCCCCATGGCATCAGCAGGCCAGCTGAGCGACTCATGCCATTCACAATTCAATGTCTCCACGATTTTGTTGAAAATGCGGATACCCCAATCCCCCATCCACCAGGAGTCTCGTAGGTGATGCAATACAACCGCATAATGAGCGAGTATGACCAATGCGAAAGGCTTGCGCGCAGCGACAAGTACCGAAAATCGGTCAGGAATACGAAAACACCAGCAAAATGCAAAGTCTTTGGGTTCACCTCCATTCATCAATTGTTCCAATGAATTACCCAGATGCTCAATGGCCTGGGTATATGTATGTTTCTCATGATTGGGGTCTCGCATGGCCTCAGTCTCATTCTGTCGACTTAGACATAAGATCACCAGTCGAGACATATCAGGCATTGTTGGCCTCGCCTGCTCAGGTCGAACCAATGAATGAAGTTCGCCAGATCCCACACGTTCAACATTTGGCACCATGGCACTGACAAACCATCGTGTCAGTTGGAATACTTCCAGGAACTCATCCAGGACATCGGGCTGTTCTTCATCTGTATCTTCGATGTCGTCATCTATCAGGCAGTATGCAAAAGAAAATACCGTCAAGGCGCAGCAAAGTGCAAAATGGGCATTGCATTGGGAATCCGTAAGATCTTTTGTTGTGTCAAGTTGGATCCCCACCAAAGCTTGACTCTGATGCTCTCGTGCTGAAACAAGATATCGCCATTTCCGATCTGGACGAGTGGTACTCCCAGCCACCTGCAGTGCGGATAAGGCTAGAAGACCATGTCGCAATGGTGTAAATCGCAATGATAGTTGCGGAATGACAGTCTGCCACAGAGCTTCTGCTGCACGATCTCGAGCCATGGATCGATATGTTGTGGTGCACCAGTGCATCATAAGCTCCAGATCCTGTAAACCCAACGTCTCCTCCGAGGCCATATCAACTGGTAGACCACTATTGGTCTTATCTGTCTCTGTCGAGATGTGAGTCCAATGTAGCTTCGGATCGGTCATCATCGGTGGAGACGTGATAGATTTGGCTGCGAATGAGATACTTGAAGCCGGCGAGATTGAACGAGCCTTTGTATCCCGTCGAGTCAGACAAGGTCGCAAAAATTGTTGGCCTGGCACCTTGTTTTGATTGAGGCACAGAGCAAAGCTCGGCTCGGAGGACTACAAGTGGTAATAGTCAGAAATTCAATGTTTGCTAGTAAACGAGGGTGGGGTCATGATGCATGGAGCTATGGGCGCCACGGAGGTCCAAGGGAGTCATGAGAAAGCATGGATACCGGCTTCATACTGGTAAGCTTTCGGAAAAGAGTTAGAATAAATACCTGGGGTTCAAACTCGATACTCGCTCGTCGGCCTGGGTTCATGTTCTTTGAACAATCAGGCATTCTCCAGTTTGACATGAAACTCCATATGACTTTTCTTTTCGATTTGTAAGGAGGATCTTTTAAATATCTATATTTGATGGAAAATTCAACACATAAACAAGATCAAAACAGAATAAGAAGGATCTCGCCCCGAGCAAATCCTATGCATGCTGGGGCGAGGGTAGGATTGACAAACTACGCCAGCTGAGTACTAGAATGATATGATTTCATGCTACATTGTGAAAGTGGAAAGTGGACACTTGAAGAATCATTGTGAAAGGAAAGAATGGAGCGAAAATCAAATCAAAAAAGGAATGAGATATCCCAAACTGGAAAATGCAGCTCTATTCGAGAAGTGACATGATCGGGTCACTAGTACTCCACTGAGTCCACTCTGTTAATATTGCCAGCTCAGTCTCAGCTCAATCTGCAATTGGTGACAACATTTGAAGGCTTGTGTCATAAATAAGTGATAAATCACCAATCAAATGCCTGTTCATAGGATCTCAGTTCTGATCAACATACACTATTGCAGACCCACGACCAAACCATTGGCAATGACTTCCTGCTGCTTGTTAGTGATTTTAGATAGTGCAGCACCGTCCACCAATTTTGATCTCCACCAAGAACTTCCGGGGGCCAGAAAAAAAGAAAAGAAAAAGAAAAGACAAAAAATGAAGATAAATTGCGGCTTCTCCACTTCGCGACCCATTAACACCATTCTATAGGTCGAGTCTATCCGCATTAAGTGTATCGCTGAGCCATGCGTTTTCCAAATTAGGGTAAACGTAACATGGTCCATGCATGTTAGTCACAATTGATAGGTTACAGCTTTTGAATATGATCCACAAGGGCCTTCCGTTCATCCTGGGTTGCATGAATTAGACTGGGCTCCTGATCTACACATTCTCTCTACGGATAATGAGGATAATTTGTGCATAATGTGGATCATCTCTATGCCGTGACAACCGATTCACGCCTTATATGATGGCTTGATTACGCGTCTTTCTGCAATGTGATATCCTCTTGCTAGCCAGCCTCGTACAGTACTTTCTGCGTCTAAGCGCTGAACTTCAAGATTGGATGAATCTACGTGATGTTGGATTGTTGTCTGAGAGAGTCAGCAATATTTTGCGATTTCATTTTTATTTTTATTTATTTTTCATTTTTTATTTTTCTCTCTCTTCTCTCATACATCCATGAACATTGAGGGACGAGAAGGCTACAGGATGAATGAATCTGAATGATTCCAATCTGCTTCTGGAACAAGTCTAAATATTTCTTTTTCCACGTTGCATATATTAGAGCTTGGTCTTTATTGAGGCTGCGTCACTGACGGGCGCCACGTTCTGGGGCCTCACATCCGATGTACCCTGCTTTTTCCCAATCCAGCTAGACACGATCCTTAGAGGAGTTCGGGTGAAAAAAGGGGGGCCTTATCCATTTTACCACTATCGCCAGATATTTCCCTCCCTCTTGCTCCATATATGAAGTTCAATTAATGCTGACTGAGCGGAACGGCTTTCTCGATTTTCCATCCATTTATTTAACTCGAATGCACACTTACCTAAACAGGAAATCAGGCCCGCGATCTTGGTGGCCGAATGTACCGATGCAATTTGCAATCTGTTCCAGATGCAAGGTGTATTGGATGTTCTATAGTGACGAGAAACACTTTTTCTTATTCAGAATTATTGGAACACATATTTTCCGACTCATTCGGCTTGATTACTACATGATCTCGGGAAGTGGCCTCAAACTCCCACTGGCAGGTGCCGTGGTCCCTCAGCCCAGCCCTGCACTGCAGGGATACTAATGTACTGCGCTACTCATTTATAATGAGCTCACATGGGCGGGCTGGAGCCCCCGGGGCTCTTCCATCGGCCCCCGACTCTCTGCCGTGACCCGTGCGTCCATGCATCTATGCGCGCATATGCTATATTGTCACGGTTTGACCTAGAGCTCTTACCAAGTTTGCTCATACGCACGTGCCCTTTAACGCACTGACTCTCAAGTGCTAGTGCTGGACTGGCGTCGCTGTGGCGTGACTTGGCTTTTTATCATTCCCAGCTGACCGCTGATTGACGAGACCAGTCTACCCATGCAACCAGCCCAAAATGTCCGGTGACTTTTAATGCCGGGGGAATCTGTGCAAATTAAGCGTTGAACCGCGAGCGAGCAAAGCATGACACTGATTTGACACTAACATATGGATGTACTCGGTATGTCTAGGTGCATTTCCCACGAGGTCTCATCTACTCCACTTCCAAGGTTCATCATCAGCCTATTACCTCTCAAGGGAAAACATCAAACTATGGAAGGAGACACTGGCACTCTCAAATATACGAGAACGATAAATTATGAAGCTCAGCATATACCACCAGCACACACGTTTAAGGTGACCGAGAGCTCCCAGATAGCATGACGGAGAGATGTTGCGTGTACTCCTGTGCTACTTTGGTTGAAACCCCGAGTTCTGTATGATGGACTGGGCTAATTTATGTGTATTCTTGTTCACACCGCGTGACTGGTTATGTTTACAACTGTAATAGCATCATTTGGATTTAATTTTATCCAAGCAATCATTTTGAGTCTCAGATCATGGTCTTCGAGAGTCTCTGGAAGAGGTTGAACAGCCCTGGTCATTATGGGCTGCCAGTGAGTAAGGATATTTTGAGGTTTACTTTGGGTTCGGTGATTAATTCGAAGCCACTGAGCTGGATTCATGGATCAAGATCTGAAACCGAAACCAAAGATCCGGCATGAGTTGAATACCCAGATAATATCATCGGACCACTGTAGGTCCGAGATCCGAGGTAGTCTGTAGTCCTTAGCTCTACACGCATGACTTCCTTCCTCACTACATACTGCCACACAGTAGCACATCTTCCATCATCATCCTTTTTTACTCTGGCAGATATCCTATCGGATGAGCCGACTCAGTCTCTCACCGCCGATGGCAAGCACTTCGTATGGATATTCAGTTATTATCTGATCCAAGAGAAGCGAGCTTTGACCAAATCGGCAAACTGGCGTGATTATGGGGAACCTCAACTATTGAGCCATTGCCTAAGTGGATGGAGATTGATGTCAATGATGCATTGGAATTCCTGGGTTCCAGTTTCGACAACCCAGCAGTGCGCTCGAATGCTGTGGCGAGGTTGCGCATGGCAGATGATAGGAGCTTCTTCTCTCTATCCCTTGCAACTGATACAGGCGTTGAAATACGAGGAAATTTCCTTTGATCAGGCTGATGGCGCAGCCCGGGACCTTTCCCTAGCCAGTTTCCTCATTGCGCGTGCTGCAAACAACTTCAAGCTTGGTCACAAGAGGGTGCTCCGACTGAGAGTAAACCTGCAATATCAACCTTACACATCTCTTGCTATATTCCAGGGCTAAAAGCCCTGAAGCAAGATCAATATAGTGTGTCGTCGAGACGGGTACTCATACCATTCCAGCTGGAGTAAGAATGCCAGCGCGTCACGGTCGCAAGAATTCTAGCGACTTCGCGTGTGTATAGCGATAGCGGCATTTTGTCGAAAATAGAATAAATGGCTTGTCAATTCAATCCGAGGTCGCCCGGTATAAGTTAAAGACGTCTTTAATGTCTTGGCCTGCTTGGTTCATCCTTCGCGACGGGTCGCAAGAGTACCGGAAATCTCAAGGCAACTGAAAAACTTGAACCTTGGAAGGCGACCTTTCACGTCAGAATCAGATTTGAGGATCAAAAAGGGAAATGAAGCTGTATCTATGTGGGTGGACAGGTGGGTAATAATTCGATGCATTAAATAGGTGGATCTAAGCAGCCCCACTAGTGGTTACTACTTACTAGTAGCCTGAGAGATACATTATCTGGGGTAATTTGACGCTATTTTTAGTCTCAAAAAATCTAGAACAACACATGGTCCAAAGCTGAATCAGGAAAAGAAAAATCAAAAAGAATCATGAATAATGAATAATGAGTCATGAATAAAAAAAAACCTGTGTAACCTTGGAAACTTGAAGACATTGACACTAAGAACCTTGATTTTGCCCGAGACTCCACGCGTCAAGTATGTCAAGTATATAGACCTGGTCCTACCTACAACCCTCAACAGATCTCGAATTGATGAAAAAATGAATATCAAAAGATGAGGACATCATTTAATCAATGTTGAACATACGAGTTACCCTGCCTTGAATTTCAACTTCTCTTGATGATATCAGTTGTCGTGGAGGATGACTTGTGTGGCTGAAGGCTCCACTCAAAATAGATTAAAAATGATGAAGCGCCCGATCGATCATGATCTCATCCGGCCGAGGGGGGGTTTTGGGTCATTGGTGCTCGGTTCTCCCCCCATTACCTAGGTAATGTGGCGGTTAACAAGGTGACCCTGGTCATAGCAATATATGGTGTCCAGGTGTGTACTGCACATGTGCTCTGCCAAGTTTATTCTCATGGTAAAGAACAACTTGAAGGTACTACCCCGGAAATTCGAGTATTTCCAAAACGCATCATCCAAGTTGGGTCAGACTGGAGAAAATAATGACATTCAAGTTGTTCGAGAATGACTACTAATTTTCTCTTAAGAAAAAGAGACTCAACCGTAGTAGTTGCTTGTGTTCTTGAGTTAACCTTGGAATGTTTGTACTAGTAATAGACTGATCACTGTCAGATTTTAGCCGTGTTGCACTGTCCAACAACCACTGGCACATGTGCATCGTCCCTATCTGATGTAATGATGATCCATGATTATCGCCTCATAGTAAATTTAATGAAATTGTGCTGCAAGTTCGACGTGGAGGCTGACAGGTTGACCAAACAAGTTTCATCTTTCCAAGTCATCAGCCACACAGGTACACGAAATAGTAATTGATAACACCTTATGAGGGGGGCAAATTACACCGCATTGTGGAAAAAGTGTCCGATATTGCATACTGATATCTTATTCGTCCAGGCTTGTTTTATTCAAATGAGGTGGCCAACTTGTTTCCATGGCTCAACGCCTAGGTGACCAGTCATAATAAGTGCCTGTTTAATATGGAAAAGTTCCCCTTGGTATATCCAGTATCTTGTGTATTAGAATTTGGGAATGAGCTGCGAAGTTCGACTTATATGAAGTTGCAGGGATATTGGAAGATATTGAGACAAAAGAGCATGGGGGTGGAATGGATACATACAACAATCTCTATCATGTATGTCGTACACCTTCAAGTTTGAATCAGTATACAAAAAGGCAGTAATCCTTTAGATAATTCTCTACAAAACTATAACTCTTAGAACTTTCATGCAACTTTACTTATTCCTCCGCGTCATGTCATACAATACTCCACATCCTTCAATATCTGTCACACGAGATCCACAAGCTCATTCGTCCATCATCGGGGCTGGACACAAGGATCGTCCATCTGTCGACACGTTTTGATCAAACGCCGAGCTGCCAGACCCACCATGATGATGCGGGAAGGGTTAACTGATGGGTACATTGTGGCTCTAGAATCCACTCCATATTACGATTTTGCCCTGTTGCACCCTGCAGAAGCTTTGGGATCGATCTACCTTTTGGATAGCAGGGATTGGACGAGGACATGAGATGAAAGATGATATCAATACCCATGACGTAGTAGGGTTTCTATCTCAATTCAGGTTCATACTTCAGTTCCCGGATACATCGTAGGAGGTATATAGCCAGCCTAGTTCACGATCAACCTGAATGATATTAGAATTCCAATATATTTCACTCAAACACTCACCAGGCCATTCCAAAATTCTTTGAAATTTCCTGTTCCTACTCCAATTTCTTAATATCTTTTGCATTAGTCCGAAACCTTAGCTATTTGGTCTAAGCTATTGTACTCCTATCTTTTTGTCTCAATCTACAATCTCAACGCTACGAACTTCAGAACACGTCACTACGAAGCATCGCAGTCTCTAGTTCAAGTCTGAGACCCTTTTGATCGAGATCTATCCAAGTTCAATACTACAACACTAGTTAGTTACTCTCAACCAACCTTACTGCTATCAACTCAGAGGTTCCAATCGCAACATCAAGATGTCATCCCCTGCAGTGAGCAAAGCACCCCCCAAACTCGGTTCAAAGAACGGAACCCCTATCAAATCAAGAAAAGGCTCCGGCTCCAGTGCCGCCTCGAAACCCAGTGTCACTAACAGCCCCAAGGCTGTGAAGAAGACACCCACCCGCAAGCTCGCTACCAAGGAGCCTAAGCCGATTCAAGATGATATCTACGAGCAATCTATCCCCGAAACTCCTTCCCCAAATCAAAGAAAAAGTCTCTCTCCTCCGAACAACGTCGTCCTATCTCCCCTCGCGATGATGCTGTTTCTCAAGCTTCTGGTTCCGCTACTCCCTTGAGAGCTGCCTCTGGTCTTACCGGTAAGGTCAAGGGCCTTGCTGGAAAGGCCAAGGATACTGTTCAGAATGGTGCCAAGTCGATTTCTCAGGCTATCCCAATTGATTTGTCTTCCTTGACCGGTCTCCGTGTCGCAGATGGTGGAAAGATCTTTGGTAAAAATGGGAATCCCTTGGGTGAAGTTGTCGAAGGTGATCCTGAGGACCTCGTTGGCCAGACTGTGGGCGATGAGGGTGAGATCATCGATGAGGAAGGTGACTTGATCGGCCGTGTCGATGTGCTGCATGATGCAGTTGATGGAGTTCAAAACATCCCAGACGAAGCTCAGTCGAAGCTCGAGGATCTTGAGGATGTGGTTACCGATCTTGCTCAGCTTGAAGGTCTGCCAGTCTCGGATGGAGGTGTTATCAAGAACTCCGCAGGTCAGATTGTTGGCAAGATCGTTGAAGGTGATCCGGAGGACTTGATTGGATACACCCTCAATGATGCGGGTGAAATTGTCGATGACGAAGGTGATGCCATCGGTCGCGCTGAGTTGATCCCTGTGGAGGAGCAAAAGGCTGCCATTGAAGACGCTGTTGGCGATGCGACCGAACAAGTCGATGGCGCCAAGGAGGATGTTGATGACGAATTCGAAGACGCCCAAGATGGTCTACCTCTTGATGAAGCCAACGACGTTCTAGACGATGTCGAGGATGTTGCAGACAACGTGGCTGATGAGGCCGTACCGGAAGAAGTTGACCAAGTCAAGTCAACCGCTGAAGATAACATCCACCATGTCGACCAAGCCAAATCAACCATCGAAGAGAATGTTCCCGATCTCGATGAAGTCGAGGAGACCGCTGAAGACGCTGTTGACGGAGCTGATGTCAATGCTGAAGAGGTCCTGGACGACGCCAACGAAAAATTGAACGTTGAAGACATCGCTGAAGATATTGAAGAGGCCGCCGAGGATGCAGTCGACCAGGTCTCCCAGCATATTCCAACCCTTGATACTCTTGAAGGCCTAAAGTGCAACAAGCGCGGATACGTCATCGATCAAGCCACTGGCAAGCCTGTTGGTGAAGTTATCGAGGGCGATCCCAAAAAGCTGTCACGGGTTGGTGCCACTCTTGATGCGAAGGGTCAATTCTGGGACAACCGAGGCAATATCATCGGTAAGGTGAAGGCCCTTCCAGTCGAAGATGACAAAGACGAGGAGGGTCCCTTTGCTGGCCTGGAAGGTCTCGTTGTTGGCCAAGACGGCTGGATCGAAGACGAGAACCAGACACGCGTCGGAAAGCTCATCGAAGGCGACGCAAAGAAGCTTCTTGGTCGTGGCGTTGACGAGGACGGTGAAGTCCTTGACCGTCATGGCTCCGTCATTGGACGGGCAGAGCGATACGAAGAACCCGAACCTGAGCCTGAGGAGGAGGAACCTGTCGATGACCTTTCTGTTCTCGATGGATTGAGATGCAACAAGGCCGGATATGTCATCGGACCTGAGGGATTCCCCATTGCCCGCGTTGTGGAGGGTAATCCCAAGGAACTTGCCGGCAAGAAGATTGAGGATGGCGAAATCTATGACGGCAAGAAGGTTGTCGGCCGCGTCGAACTCATCCCTCAAGAGGAACTTGAGAACAAGCCTGAAGGGCCATTTGCTGGCTTGGAGAGCCTGGTTGTCACAAAGGATGGCTTTGTGGAGGATGAAGAAGGTTCTATTGTTGGAAAGCTTGTTGAAGGCGACGCAAAGAGACTGCGTGGTCGTGCTGTTGACGAGGATGGCGAGATCACTGACAAGTACGGCAATGTCAAGGGTCGTGCTGAGCCTTATGAGCCTCCTGAGGAGGAAGCCCCCGCTGAGGAGGATTTGTCAATCCTCGAGGGCAAGGTTGTTAACAAATCCGGCAATGTCGTTGATCCTGCTACCGGCGCTATCTTTGGACGAATCACCGAAGGTGACAAGCGTCTCGCTGGTCGTAAGGTCGATGGCAAAGGTCAAATCTGGGGCGATGATGGCAAAGTCATTGGTCGTGCCGAGCTCATCCCTGGCGGGCAACAACACAAGGCAGAAGGTCCATTCTTCGGCTTTGACAGTGCTGAAGTCGGCAAGGATGGTGTCGTCACTGATGCTGGTCGAATCATTGGACGTCTGATTGAGGGCGATGCCAAGCGCCTGCTTGGCCGTAAGGTGGATGAGGATGGTGATGTCGTGGACAAGAACGGCAACACCATCGGCAAGGCCGAACGGTGGGAGCCTGAGGAAAAGGCCCGTGATATCAGCCCAATGTCTGGTCGCAAGATCAACAAGGCTGGTGAAGTCCGCGATGCTGATGGAGAACTCATTGGCAAGCTGACTTCTGGAAACCTGGCCACTCTGGTTGGCAAGACCATTGACGATAACGGCTATGTTGTTGATAATGAGGGCAACAAGATCGGTGAATGTACTCTGCTTGAGCACATTCCTGAGGAGGAGCCTGAGGAGGAGCCTGAGGAGGAGCCCGAGGTGGAAGAAGAAGGCCCATCTCCAGAGGAGCTAGAAGCCCGAGCTAAAGCTGAACATGATCGTCAGCTGGCGGAGAAGATGATTTCCATTCTTCGACAGACCTTGGATCAAATTAAGCCGATCTGCGATCAGATCACCGATGTATGTTGCCCACCAAGCCTCTGAATGGAGACTCCAGGATAAATGTTAACATTGTTCTTCACTATAGAAAATCGAGAAAGCCGATCGCACCCCGAAGGACGAACTTGACGAAGAGAAGCTTGTGAAGGATGTCAAGCCCCTTCTCGAGAAAGGAGGCCAGATCCTTCAAGAGTGCAATGGTGCAGTCCGTGCTCTCGATCCCGATGGTCGTATCGCAGCAACAGCCAAGGCTCGCGCTTCCTCGCGTGATGCTACTCCGGAAGAGAATCAACTGGCTGACCTGCTGAAGACCTTGACTGAGACTGTTGTCACAACGATTGATAAAGGAAAGAGACTCATTGCAGACATGCCTCATGCCAAGAAGAAGCTCAACCCTCTTTGGGGCTTACTCTCCGAGCCACTGTTCCAGATCATTGCCGCTGTTGGATTACTGTTGAATGGTGTCTTGACTCTGGTTGGCCGTCTTTTGGATGGTCTTGGCTTGGGTGGTCTTCTGAATGGTATCCTGGGAGGATTGGGATTGGATAAATTGATCAGCGGACTGGGACTGGGTTCGTTGACAGATGCGCTCGGCCTGGGTGGAAAGTAATGCGGTTTGTGAAGGTAATCTTTGATTCATGCTCTGAGTCCCTATTTTTGTGGCTTTCAAATGCTTGTTGGTTTCTTACAATTCATGCCAGTGGCTTTTAACAACTTTCTGCTTGATTTCTTTTTATTTGTTTCATGTGTTCAGGTTGAATGCCTGCCTGTTTCAAAATGTCGGATATTTGATGTTTCCAGTTCTTCAAGCTTTATTCTTCATCATGATGCTCTGTTTGTTAGTACATATATGATTGTGATTCTGATATTCCGACTCGAGCTGTTCGATGTTCCACATGATGGTTGCGCAAGTTCCTCAATGTTTGGTTCAAAATGATGTATCTATACCTAATTTCCAGTGGTTTTCAAGCGAGATGTCTTTCAATTTCATACAGACTATGAGTTATTGACCTTCCTCAATCCCAAATTGCCAGGACTCGGATATACCTACCTAGGACCGTGACGTGTTAGATATACCACATGCACATGTGCGTTCAAACATAAACCGTGGACATTGATTCAAACACCCCAGGTGCCCAGGTAGGCATTTTCTTTATACTCATGGTATCCTTCCCCTCCATCTTCACAAGTACATACTATACTAGGTAGGGCCACTCAGGCTGTTAAGATAGTGAGAAGCCACAGGTCTCTCCAAGGTTATAACTCAGATATAAGAAGTCAAACATCGCCCTTGCAATGTTTCAAATCTTGAGACCAGATATTCTAATTGATACATCAAGTGAGGCTTATATATGATCTACTCATCCGATTTGCAGCACAAGGCTCGATAAGCTGATAAGGAGGTATCTTATCGGCTTATCGACGGAACTTTCACGCGGAAAACGTCGGTTAATTGAGGCCCGCACCCAATGTTCCGTGTCTTCCCCTCCAAAACATCCACACTCACCAGGCACTTTACGGCCTTTTCTATTGCTAATATCAGTCGTCTGATTTATCCATTTGACTCAAAGCGGCACGGCTGATCATGGATGCAAGGCCGTCCCGCCCAGACCGGCCGTATCAGCGCACATACAAGGCCTGCATTCCTTGTCGGCAACGCAAGGCTAAGTGCGATTTAGGTACCGGCCCAGATGGGTTACCGATCGGCCCACCCTGTGCTCGATGTCGCAGAGAAATGAGGGATTGCGTATTCCCTGAGAAGCGGGCCTGGGAGAGGTCCCGCAAGCGTGGTTCGTTGATCCTAGAACCCATAACACAGCTTTTAGCTCTCGCTCACCAGTTATGCAGGTCGATCAATAGACGCCGAAGATCAAATATCTCCAGGAACAGAGCAGATACTTCCTGAAGCGATCTCAGATGCATCCAGAAAAAGATTTGCACATTCAGATCAGTCACCCTCGCAGTATCCGGGTTCAAGTCCCTTTCAACCTGGCTGGCCTCCCAGTAATACACGTTCTGCATCCCTTCAACACAACCAGAGTCCTCGTATCGGTATCAGCCCAAGGACTACAGCGGACATCCTAAGCCATGGAAATCATGCATCGCCATATGCTAGCAAAGATCATCGGCACCTGTCCAATTCAAGTTTGACGAACTCCATGATGCGAACAGTCGTTGCGAGTGGAAATGATGCCTTGAATATTCTATTCGAGGCAGCCACAGCGCAAAACCAAGAGGATAATGCGCTGCATGAACCCAGCCCATCAGGTGGCGATAATTCGAAGAATGGATATTCGAGTATGAAGGAAAGACATACATCACGCAACTATGAAAGTCCAATACCTTTCGAGCCTGTTCCGCGTACCGCACATCCAGTAGACCTAGCTGAAACAAGGCAAAGTACTCTGGACATATGGGAAGCATGTCGCTTTGTCAGAATGGGATGGTTCACAGCTCGAGAGGCAGTGACCTTCATTGACCTGTAAGTCTATATGGTTATGCCTATCTTTCTGTCTGGCTCTGAAACAAACCCAAGCTCGTTTACTGACAAATAAACTTGCAGCTTCTTCAAAAACATGTCATGTTTATCTCCCATTCTCACTGACTTTTATTCCGATCATCAAAACCATTACTCTCTTATCACCCGCGAGCCAGTTCTTTGCTGTACAATCCTCATGATCTCTTCTCGCTATCATATTTTGCCAGGAGCTGGTGGCGAGTCGCGGAATTTTTTCATTCACCACCGACTCTGGCAACATTGTCAGCAGTTGACGATGCGACTAATCTTTGGACAAGAAAAGTCAACCAAGTCCAAGGTTAGAAGTCTCGGTACCGTTGAGGCATTGTTGTTGATGGCAGAGTGGCACCCCCGGTCATTGCACTTTCCACCCGAGACTGATGGCTGGGATGATGATTTGATTTCTACGCCACAGAAAGTCTCAGGTTCTAAAGATTCCAGTGACCGATCTGCGAATAGATGGTTAGAGGATATGATTGAACCATCAAGAAGGTCTGACCAGATGTCGTGGATGCTATTGGGCTGTGCGCTCTCTCTTGCACACGAATTAGGCATTTTTGAGACAGAGGAAAACGAGTCTACAGACGATGATGTACAATGGAGAGAGCAAATGGCTCTGAGGCGCCAGCGAGTCCAACGATTGCTATATGTCTATATCAACCAGCTGGCCTGGCGCATTGGGTGCATGTCACCCATTCCTCAATCGCTCAATCATGCCGTTTTAGGCGGACGTAAGCCTCGAGGCTTAAGTCAACCTGGAAGTACCTGGCTAGTTTTTATGGACTCCTGGATCGAACTGACAAAGTTGGCACAATCGGTAACGGATATGTTCTTTCCATCAGCTAAATTTGCACGCCAACAACTACACAGTGGTCGTTATGTTGGACTGCTCGACCATTTCCGACCTTTACTCAATCAGTGGAAAGACAAATATTTGCAGCCGCAGATGCTGGACAATTTCTTCTATAATGATCTTTTTATCGAATATCACTTTGTCCGTGTGTACACACATTCGGTTGGTATGCAAGCTGTTGTCGAGCGTGCCATCGCAGATGCTGACCCAAACTTCGATGATATGCGCCCGATGACTATTGATCCAACTGATTATGAGTACATTCAAGAGGTCATTGACGGCTGTTGTCAAATACTGCGCAAAGTTGTCCACCTTGCCGAGACAGGGGCATTGCGATTCTCACCAGTTCGCATTGTCCTGCGCATCACAAGTGCCTCGATCTTTCTAATGAAGGCTCTCAGTCTAGGAACTAGAGAAGCAACATTGAGAGAGTCTCTCGAAGTGCTTGAGAAAAGCATCAGTGCTCTCAAATCCAATGCACTGGATGATGTTCATCTCAGCACTCGCTACGCCACGCTTTTGGATATGCATGTCGCTCGTTTGCGCCATCATCTGTTGGCATCCTCTCGAGCAATCAAAACCAGTAGAGGTCCTCCTCGTCGGTCATCCATGGGCCCTCCTGGTTGGCCTGATGCAGGCGACCGCACCAATGAAATCAATACTCCGGTATCACAAGACCTACCATCCGACCTAGGCTTCATGCCATCCATAAATGACATGTCAGATGACTGGCTCTCTTTGCCTTTTGATCCCTCAATGGCACCATTCGGAATGAGTAATAGTGCCCAATTCCCCATGTGTGAAGGGGGTGCTTTAGATTTCATCTGGAATCTTCCAACTTGAATCTTACTTTTGTGGGTCAAGCCCGCTTACTTTATTTTATGCATTAATACATACGACGTTAACGAGATACCCCTTTGTGTTATACTTTGCTTGTCTGGGAATCACATAATATGTACATTGACACAGTACTATAATATGACTATTTTCGAGCCATTCAATGTTCAATTGTTGATCTTCAATGTTTCAAGTTTCTTGGGCACCTTTACCCATTTTAGGAGAGCGGGCCCGTGATTTTGTATAGTGGGTAGATTAGCCACGAGTCTTTCTCTTCAGGGCTCCACCTTTGGCTCTGTGCTGTGATTCCAGATCATTTATATCCTTGCCCCTAGTTTGGGCTCCACATGTATATCATCATGCGATAACCCCTCCAGGGCTGCCCAGGTGACTATTGGAGGCCATATAAGTTGAACTCGGAAAGGGGGCCGGAGTTATACTATTTACCCGGAGATGAGGTTGGTCTAAGAACTTAACCCACGACTCTAGATGTCGGAAGATCTCATCCTAAGAACACCGGAGTCATTCAGTTACGGACTCGGGTGTATCCATGGATTGATGGCACAAGGCTGCATAATCCGTGGATGTCTAACATCCGAAGACATAAAAATGGACACATAATAGGTAGCATAAATGAAGAAGTGCACTATGAATCGCATAATAAAATATGTTCTATGTATTAATTGGACAAAATTTGGGGGCTGATTCAGAGCTCCACTTTTGATAACTTTTAAGCACGTTAATTGGATATTATATGATCATTTTAGCAGCGCTGAATCATTTCTGTCTTATGTGGAGCTCTCTTATACGGCAAAACGAAGCCCCCCCAACCTTGGAAGGTCGCTAAGCACGTATAGAAATTGATTTTTTGGGCCCATTGTGTAGGTGGATCAATACTAGTAGACTCATATATAGCCTGTAAATATCCCTATTGATAATTTAGTTTTTTCTTATCCATCTAGTGATTTCGTCCCTTCTTTTTTCTTATATTGATTTTCACTAGTCTACTAGTACAAGCCCTTACTAGTAAACCTTCCCTCTACACTCGACGCCAGGGTATTACGACGTTTACACTAACTTCCTACTTGATATTTCCTATCGATATAATCAATAGTTCCAATTTCAACAAAGATGGGAGAAGAAGAACCCAATACAAGCTCGGCGAATTCCACTTTGGAGGAATTATCCTTCGAGAAGCAATCTAGTCTTGAAAAACAGCCTAGCAACTTGGATGAGCCTACCAAACAACCTACGAATCAACCACTATACCCAGAAACCGATCTCAGCCAGGGGATAATTGGCTGGGAGGGTCAAGATGATCCTGAAAACCCTCAAAATTTCCCTGACAGCAAAAAATGGATCTTACTGGGCTTGATCAGTGCTTTCACTTTAGTTTCACCACTTGCCTCTAGCATGTTCTCACCAGCTGTTGTTTACATGGGTGAACAATTTGGTGAGACTAATGAAATCATTCTGGCGCTCAGTGTTAGCATCTACCTTATTGGATACACAGTAAGTTGATGTCACCATGTCCTGGGAGATTTATCTTTTGCAGTATATTTGGAGAAACTATTTATCTAACAAGCTCGTCTCTATTAGTTCGGTCCTCTCTTTCTCGCCCCTCTCAGTGAAATTTATGGTCGTCGGGTCGTCTTAAGTGTCGCCAACTGGTTCTTCGTGGTTTGGCAGATTGGATGCGCCCTCTCGAAGAACATTGAAACTCTTATCGTCTGTCGTCTATTCGCTGGTATCGGAGGATCCGCATGTATCACCCTCGGTGCTGGTGTCGTTGCCGATCTCTTCCACGAGAGACTCGTGGAAAAGCGACTTCGATTTGGAGTATGGGTCCTTTGATTGGCCCCGTGGTCGGTCCAATTGCTGGCGGCTTCCTCGGTGAGGAGGTGAGCTGGCAATGGATTTTCTGGCTTCTGCTCATCGTTGGTGGTGCTATGCAGCTCGGCATTGAGGTATTCAACAAAGAGACATACGCTCCTGTTATCATTAAATGGAAGGTGGCCAAGATGGCAAAGGAGCTTGGTCGTACCGACTTGGAAAGTGTCTATGATGTTGGAAAGGAGAAACTATCGCCTGGCCAGGTTCTAAAGCGCAGCCTCTTGCGGCCGGCATTGTTACTTGTTAAGTCGCCTATTGTTGCTTTCCTTTGCATATACATGGTAAGACCAGTGGATCATGAATTATTGATATGGTAAAGTTGCTAATATTGGGATTAGTCTTTTGTTTACGGACTTTTGTACCTCTTTTTCACAACCATCTCCGATGTGTTCACCAGCACTTACGGATTCAGTGTTGGATTATCAGGACTTGCGTACCTGGGAATCGGACTGGGCTTTGCATGTGGTCTCTTCATCATGGCTATCACGAACGATAAGATCGTTAGCAAGATGACCGCTAATAATGGTGGCAAGTTTGAGCCTGAGATGCGTATGCCGACTATGATCATCTTTGCCTGCATCATCCCCATCAGTTTCTTCTGGTATGGCTGGACTGCTGATAAGCATGTGTTCTGGATTGTTCCAATCATTGGCATGTTCCCCTTCGGCGTTGGCATGATGGGTGTCTTCATTCCCATTCAGACATATGTCATTGATTGTTATCCCGCTTACGCCGCATCTGCCAATGCCGCTCTGACAGCGACTCGATCGCTTGTTGGTGCTCTGCTTCCCCTAGCTGGTACACCCATGTTCGACTCTCTTGGTTTGGGCTGGGGAAACTCGCTTCTTGGCTTCATTGCTCTCGTTTTCGTCCCAGTCCCTATCATCTTTGTCAAATATGGAAAGACGATTCGGGAGAAGTGGCCTATCAACCTGTAAGCCAGAGGCTGGAGTGAAATTGGAGGATCCGAGGCGCCGGGGCAATCATACGCCGTTGGCGAGTTAATTCAAAGGCAACTTCGAAGGTTGGAGTTGTTTCAAAATAGATTTAGATAGTATATAGATCATCTTTGCATGGGCGGCGAACGGTTGGCGGAGAACTTCCATATTTCAAGGTTCTTCATATAATTGTTAATAGAACTGCATCCGCATGTGTACATGTTCACGAGTTGTCAATGAAATTCATTTCAAGTTCAGGTTTTTGCTTCAATATGCCTTATCCATCGTGGACTCTGCAAGTCGAAGCTTGACGTTGAAGCCGGCGCTGCTGGGCACTCTCAACTGACGCATAATTTGGATGCTTATGGATGGCCTCACAGGTCAAAGGTAGGTAAAAGAACATACGCGGTAATATGGGCATAGATCTCATTTTGAATCACATTGTGAAAATGATCGAATCAACATCTACATCCGTCATCAAATCAGGAAATCGACTTATGAACTCTGTGGTAATACCCCACCCCTCTTCTCTCATAAACGTGTCGTAGAAAGCGGGTTTGATCCGTAGCTGGTTGTCATCTGTACGCTCCAGAAGCTTCACGCCCCAGGGCCATCTGATTTTTATACAGCAAGCAAACATTCCAAAAAAGGCCTCCCGATTCAAATCGTATATATGCCACTGCCGAATCATGTTTGACCGTACTTTGGGCCAGGGAATACCAGACAATGCAATTGGGTGTGGTATGGTCAGTTGATCTTCAGTGAGTCTCAAGAAAGAAGGGAGTCTCTCATAATTTGCTGGACTGGGTGCCACAATCCAACGCGAGAAATGATACACTATCCAGCCAATAGCCAGTCTCTCTGGGTCACGGATTGGACGACGCTCTAACGCAAGGTGGATCATGTTTGCCAGTATGTTCGTCTGGCTACCGTAGAGAATATCCAGCGGGGAAGATGGCGTGTCAGGACAGGCGTTGATCTTATCCGGGTAGGCGAACCAGGGACAAGACACTGTTTTCATATCCGAAAAATCATCCGAGTAAAGCGGAAGTTTATTCCAAGGAGATGTCTCAACCGAGCAAATATTGGAAGACGAGACATTTTTGATTATCGTCAGAGGTACAGAATCTTCTGGAACTGGCATTGGCTTTGGATTGCTGGACTTTCCGGAATCCATGCCTTGAGCCAGCCACGGATTCGGGACATTGGTCTCTTGGACTTTGTCATCCCAAGATGAAACCAAGCCCTTCAAAGCGGCTTGACGCGCTATTAAAGTTTCATTCTGTTTGCGAAGTCCTGCAATTATTTCAAGAAGGCGTTTAACACCTTTTTCATCGTGATGCTCCTCACAGTGAGCTACCTGTTGCTCAAGGCTGGCCGTATAGCGTAACTTCTTGTCGCGAAGATTTTGTTGGGCTCGGCGATCTCGTTGACGTTTTCTCTCCGTGGGGGACAAATCCACCATGATCGGCCCGATAAGGACAAGGGAGGAAGTACAAGGCGTGCATACAATAGATCATCAATTATCAAGACTCTTAGAAGAGCAGAGGATTCAAATGGATGTTGAAGTTGGTTCTCATTATTAATCATGATGGTCTCGGGATAATGAGTTAATCCGATCCAATTGAAGGGGTTCGATCCTCAAGATCCTCAACCTTTGAAGACACTTCTGAGTACATAAAGTTGTCCAAAATGACACTTAAATCACAACTTACATGATTTGACCTTCGGATACAATCTTGGACTTCAAATGTTCAATATCGCGTTTTCCCGGAATAAAAAGTGTCAAAATACAGGACTCACTTTATCATGGCCACTCAGCAAAGTTGATCACGGTCCAACTTGGACACAATCCCTACCACAATTCAACCATGAACTGACCTTTGATAACTATTAATGGCACTACTGGATCTAACCGAGCCAAGTTAACCCAATTTCTCCACCTTTCCCGGTATCATCATGCATTTAATCCGCACACGTGAGCGGCTCTTATCCGAATTCCTCCAGGATTCATGTCTGGTAAACCAATCAGCACTCGGTGCGACCATCTAAAATGGTAACTTTATCCAACAACCCGAGACCCGGCTCGGATTCTCACATCTGGACCGTGTACCCAGTGCCTGTATCGCAATCCAGCCTGCTGTCCACCAGCTGAGGCGGGGCGTCTGTGACCATTTGCCAATCCTATCGCATTGAATCATTATAGCATGCCTGCGGGGGAGGGGCACAAGAAGCTCTCCGCAAGAGGGGCAAGCTTTGGCTGAGGTGTCATCAATTAAGTATTGAAATAAAGCAAAGTCCCTGCTACTCCGCTGTTTTCGAGTACCAAACTTAATATTTTAATTCACGATGAACCCCACACAGCGTGTTGTCATAATCGGTGCCGGGATCGTTGGCACCAATGTTGCTGACGAGTTGGTATCACGGGGATGGACTGACATTACCGTTGTCGAACAGGGCCCTCTACATATGCCGGGTGGCTCGACTTCTCATGCACCGGGCCTTGTGTTCCAGACGAGTCCTTCCAAGACTATGACCAAGTTAGCAAGCTACACAATCCAGAAACTGCTCTCAATTGAAAAAGACGGTCAAAGTTGCTTCAATCAGGTTGGCGGCCTCGAGATAGCCACGACGCCGGCTCGAGTGGAGGAACTGAAGCGCAGACATGGCTTTGCTTCGTCATGGGGCATTGTGTCACGACTTCTTAATACTCAGGAATGTCTCGAGTTATATCCACATCTCGATCGAAATGTCGTACTAGGCGGATTCTATATTCCCAGTGACGGACTTGCCTTGGCTGCTCGCGCAACGCAGCTACTCATTGAACGAACCAGCAAAGCCGGAGTCCGCTATATCGGTGAGACACCTGTTACGGCAATCGAACAGACAGACTCGCGAGTGACAGGCGTAACTACCCCTGATGGAACGATTCCAGCCGATATCGTCATTTCTTGTGCTGGATTCTGGGGTGTAGAGCTGGGCGCGATGGTGGGCGTGTCTATTCCTTTGCTTCCACTGGCACATCAATATGCTAAGACTGCGGCTGTACCAAAACTTGCTGGTCGTGAAGTCAATAAACGGATAAATGGAATGAATGCAACATTGCCTATACTACGACACCAAGACCAGGATCTCTACTACCGTGAGCATGGCGAGCAATATGGAATCGGATACTATGGCCATCGCCCGATGCCTGTTGTCGCAGAGTCACTAGGTCTCACCCCCAAGCATGTCGATGAAAAGCACATGCCATCCCGTCTTGACTTTACGAAGGAGGACTTTGAACCGGCTTGGAAGGAGTCCCAGAAGCTTTTGCCTGCCCTCCGCGACACCGAAATTGCAGATGGCTTCAATGGAATCTTCTCGTTCACTCCAGATGGCGGACCCATCGTTGGACAAGCCCCAAATCTAGATGGTTTCTGGGTAGCTGAAGCGGTTTGGGTAACCCACTCTGCTGGTGTTGCTCGAGCTTTGGCTGAGGTTCTGACCACGGGTCGATCCCAGATCGATCTAAGCGAGTGCGAATTATCTCGATTCGAGGACGTACAACTTACTCGCGCTTACATCAACGAAACCTCCGCACAAAACTTTGTTGAGATCTATGACATTCTTCATCCCTCACAGCCTAAAGAATCTCCCCGCAATCTTCGTGTCAGCCCATTCCACTCTCGCCAAAAAGACCAAGGAGCTTTCTTCCTCGAACTTGCAGGCTGGGAGCGCCCATTCTGGTACGAGGAAAACCGGAAGTTGCTGAACTCTCTTCCATCAGAGTGGAAAGCCATTGAGAGAGATCCCTGGTCGTCCAGGTTTCATTCCCCCATTGTTGCATTTGAGGCCTGGAAGACCCGCAATGCTGTGGCCATGTACGATATGACGTCTTTTCATCGGTTTGAAGTCTCAGGTCCGGGTGCACTTGATCTGCTCCAACGTCTGACTACCGCTGATGTCAATACCAAGTCGGGCGTCATCGGCTATGGTCTTCTTCTCAACAACCACGGGGGTATCCGTAGTGATCTCTTTATTGCTCGGCTTGACAAAGACCTTTTCCAAGTTGGTGCCAACACAGCAACTGATTTTGCTTATATCTCCCGAGAAGCTCGCGGACAGGAACAATGGGTCCAAGTGCGAGATATCACTGGTAGCACCTGCTGCATCGGTCTCTGGGGTCCTCGCTCACGAGATGTGATAACCACTATCAGCCCGGATGATTTCTCCAACAAATCGTTTCCATATCTCGACGTCAGAAATATTACCGTCAACGGCATTCCAGTTACAGCTCTGCGCAAGTCATATGTTGGTGAGCTAGGCTGGGAGCTTCAAACAAGCGCCGAATACGGTGGACGGCTTTGGGATAGCATATGGAGCGCAGGCAAGAATCATGGTATCATTGCAGCCGGTCGAGGTGCATTCAACGCCTTGCGTCTGGAAAAGGGCTACCGTACCTACGGTGTGGATATGAACTCAGAGCACAATCCATATGAGGCAGGTGTCGCGAATGCTGTCCGTGCGAGCAAATGGGAGGATTACGTTGGCAAAGCGGCACTTGAACTCCTTGTGAAGCAGAAACCTACCCGTCTGCTACGTTGTCTCACTATTAATGATGGTCGTTCGATGGTTCTTGGTAAAGAGCCGGTATTTTATAACGAAAAAGCAGTCGGATATGTGACAACTGCTGCGTTTGGTTACACGGTTCGCAAACCAGTGGCTTATGCTTGGCTTCCTTCCACTGTCTCTCTGGGGCAGGTTGTTGAGATCGAATACTTTGGTCGTCGAATTCAAGCTACGGTCGCCAATGATCCACTCTATGATCCTGATTCAAGACGCCTGCTTGATGATAAGCCATTCATCGATCAAACATTGCAGAAGCAGCCGAAACCCCGCTTATAGAGTCGTGTGGTGTGAGATTTCAATATAGCATAATGATCTTTCCTCTTATTTCATGGTCTTCCATTGGTTCGTTGCTTACATATGCATGATAAACATCCCTATTAATATTTATAACTCCCTATTTATTCAACTTCAAATAAGCATAAAAAGTAGTAGAGAGTCAGAGCACTTGAGCATATCACCGACGCGATAGACTTGAGGCCTCATATTTCAGGCACTAAGCTCATCACCGCAACACAACGGGTGAACTCTTGCCTTTTCACCTTTACATCACCTGGGCAGTCTTTCACTGGACTTCTCTAAATCGAAACACTGCAGATTAATCCAGGTTCATAACAAACGACAAATCAAGGAAGAAATCCAGACATCTTATCAAAATCACAGCGATGGAGAACGCACGCGCCCTCTACCAGAATGACGTCGACTTCGAAGCCCTCGCGTTACAATCATCGGAGTTCGCCAAGCAGTAAGTGTGGAGAAAAGACTCAATCAAGAGCTAGAAAACTGAGGGAGTCAATGCTGATAGCAAACCAGCCTTAAATCGAACAAGCAGCTAGACTTCAATGATCCAGTCGCTGTGAGGTAGAAGAAAACCATGCAGCGTCTGTGTGCTACAGAGGCTAACTCGAGTTCAGACAGCTTACCATCAGTTTACTGCAACGTGACTTTGGCCTCAAAGTCAAACTACCAGAAGATCGACTTTGCCCTCCAGTGAGTACAGCTGTCATTTTTCCTTTCTAGTCAACATCACGGACTGACACGACCACAGGTACCCAATAGGTATGTTGCCAAAAGCGGAAAATCTCAGCCGGATGCCTGCTGACATTTCAGGTTAAATTACATTCTCTGGATTCAAGACTTGCTTGATTTATCGACTGGAAGTATTCGAAGAAGCTTCGACCCGAACAGAAAGGTATCAGGTCTAGACATGTATGCCATCTCGATAGCCCCTGCCATGACACATGCTAACAAGATCCATAGTGGCACCGGATGCTGTAGCATCTATCCTCTGCTAGGCTGCAAGACTCGAGACCAGTGGAAATTCTTTGCAACGGGTATGATATCCCCATTGGAGGCGGGCACATGTCACTAATTCACGCTAGATATCGACGAGAGCAATATCCAAACTGCGCAAGCTAATGTAGAATTGAACGGCCTGGAGTCGCGGATCAGTATTCTTCAGACCAGCCCTAGTGGCCCATTCTTCCCATTAAGCAGACTTGGAGCCGAAAGGTCAGTATCAATTCCCAAGTATAGAGAATCCTATGCTCACGCCGTGGCAGTCTTGATTTCACAATGTGCAACCCGCCATTTTACTCCTCCCACGAAGAGATGACCGCAACTGCTGAACTTAAATCGCATGCTCCCCACTCAGTAGGACTCCCTTGACATATCTCTAATTCGTAAACGTACTAAGCTTCTACAGACGTGCACTGGGGCTGATGTGGAGATGATCACGCCCGGTGGGGAAGCTGCTTTTGTGATACGGATGATTGATGAAAGTCTTCAACTACGTGCTAAGATACAGTGGTATACGTCTATGCTTGGCAAGTTGAGTAGTGTCACGACTCTCGTTGAAGCGCTCATGGAGCGAGACAACCATAACTATGCCGTGACCGAGTTTGTTCAAGGCAATAAGACGAAACGCTGGGCCATTGCTTGGTCTTGGGGGGACATGCGACCTTCTATGGTATGTTCACCTTTCATATACCATTTTCATACACCTCAACCGAATCTAATCCCAAGTTTGAAAGACCTCCGCGCGAGGAATTCCAGGTTTCCCAAAACATTTACTTCCATTCCCCGCTGATTACACACTCACTCTTTCATCCACAACCTATGATGCTGTGATGACTGCAATGAATGCTGATTTGGGATCGCTCCCGTGGTATTGGAATTGGGATCAATCACTAAGTGCTGGTGTCGGTTTTGCTTCTGGGAATGTCTGGTCTCGCCAGGCACGTCGCAAATTGAAGATTGCAGGGGAGCAAGGTTCGATGGCCAGCTTAACCAACATCCCCCCCGAGGTTGAGCTAGGAGTGCGAGTTCAATTAAAACTCACACATGTGCAAGGATCCTCAGGGAATACCGTGGAGGTCTTGATTAGCTGGATCAGAGGAACAGACAGTGTGTTATTTGAGAGTTTCTGTGGGATGTTGAAGAGAAAATTGGAGAGCAAGTAAATGGGGCTTCAGCTTGTGGATAGCCATCCTAATCAAACCCTTTATTACCAAGATCATCACGATTTACGTATTCTTTCTACTCTCTTTTCCTGGAAGTTCAGTTGTCGCCTCATACGGTGTGGGTCTTTCGGCATTTACTTTTGGATGCCGAGCAACCTCGGAATGACGCGCAGTTAAAACCGGCATCGGCACCTCTTCCCCTCTCCTTCACTTTCAACTCCCATACACAACATGTCGAAACTCTCCAGCAGCCTCAAGGCATTGATCAACTCTCCGGCTGCCCGGCCACACACGGTGCCAGCGCCCGCTAATATTGTTTCTGTATATTCCAAGATCCAGCAGACTGCCCAAGCGCAGCAGGTTTCACCCCCATCATGGATCGCCCTGTCGGTTAGTCCATGCCTTGATACAGAGAAAAAGAGAATTAGATATTAATCAAAATCTGTTTCAGACTGCAGCTACAATGACAATGAACTCACCTGAATCCCTTGCCGCTCTCTACCAATTAGCCTCCACTTCCCTCGATAAAGTCCAAGCTGCCGAGCTTATGCGCGAGGTTGGGTTGAAATGCATCAGTTTCAACGGAATTCCCCGATCGATCAACTGCCTGAATGCGTTTAAGGCTAGTCTACCAGAGAATGTCACCAATCAACTATCAACCACCCCGACCCGCCTCCCAACCCCAGCAAATATCACTGAGATCAGCGAACGGGGTCAAGCGCTATGGGACTCTATCTATCGACCCTTTGATAAGAAGCTATACAACAAGCTAGGGGACTCGCATCCAGATCTGCCTGTTCATATTCTACACAGCAATTATGGTGCCTTACTTTCTGGCACCGCTGTGGTCGGTCGCGTCTTGACCTCTATCGCCGCCGTTGCTTGTCTGCGTGCTCAAACTGGTGTCGGACCTCAGGTTGTGTCGCATATATTTGGTCTTCGAAAGGCTTTGGAAGATGGCAGTTGGGCCAGTGATGTTGAGAGTGAGCAAGGTATGCGCTGGTTGGCCAGTGATGAGGGTAATACTTGGATGTTGAACAGTGTGGATGCTATCGTGGAGGCCATTGGAGGGGGGAATGGCTCGAATTTTGCGCCTGGCAAAGCTAAGCTCTAAGCTTTCAGTTCTGTACAAATAGACCTGTCGACGTTGTGTACATCAATACATCTTGTGAATACGCCAATTTTACCGTGGGCATAATATCGTGCTCACTTTCAATACAAGTTCAATATTGGACCGGAAATGTGCAAGCTTGGAATTGATATTTACACGCTTCAAGTTACTACGAGATGATTTTACATCACAGACTATGAGAAGGGAAACAAGAACATCGTGAACACTAGCAGTACCCACCTGCAGCTGATGTTTTTGGTGGATCTCGGGATTTCGAATGGATCTTTGGAAATCCACCGCGAGTGCTGGTGAGGATCTAGACTCGGAACTGCCCTTTTTTAAGCAATATTGAAATCTCCAACCAGCTTCAACCTTTAGAGTGTGGTTACTTTGAACGATATGGGTACTCCATTCTCGTCCTGATCCCGATATGCTTGGAATGGCTTGACCAATACCGAAAGCCATGGGTATCTGCATGTAAGACCTGCATACGGGATTTCTCCGAATCCAATGCCGAAATACTGACCATTTACCTAATAGGACCCGTCACATATGGTGATTAGCGAATTAAACACACATTCACTGCACTAAATAAGTTCCAAACTTGCATTCAAGTTGAATTTAGGCTGGAGTCTCCCGTCTTTAGATTCTCCGCAGAATCAACGGGATCGGCCGTGGGTCGGGAGAGATAAGTAAAATTTTCGCCGAATATCGTACTTCGTAATGGAGTACAGACCGAATGGACCCGAGCCGAGAATGAGAAAAAAGTGGAACAACCTTGAAATCATCCTGTTGAGGCCCAACCAGGTTAGAATGATTATAGAGTGAAGGACTCGCACAGAAACATTTAAGTTCTCGTGAATATTCAAATTTGAAGTTGAAGCAACTTCAACATGGAACACGCTAGATCCACCAATGATTCCAATGTGGAAGCATGGCCTGAAAAACATCAAGATGACAAGGCCGTCGTGAACACAGCTACTGAAAAGGGATCGCAAGATGAATACCGTCCTACTAAAAGTCAAAGCAATATCACTTTGTTCAGTTGTGTATGTTTAACCATTCAACTTCCAAGTTTCCAGTTCGAATTAAAATACTAATCCTGTACAGTATATGGCCAATTTCAGTGATGGACTTCAAAACAATATCTCGAACCCTACAAATGTCATATTCAAGGGACTGCTTGGCTCTGAGGCATTCTCATCCGCGATGAAAACTCGCATCAGCAATTCTTTAATCGTCGGAGCCATTCTGGGAGTTCTGGTATTCGGATACACCTCTGATATGTACTCTAGAAAAAGTGGTCTTTTGGTCACTGCATCCTTCGTGGTGATTGGTACTCTGATGGCGACAGTCGCTCTCTCAGTTCATTCTTCTCAGAACATGTTATGGTATTTTGTCATTGCGCGTGGAATTTCTGGATTCGGAGTAGGAGGAGAGTATCCTCCAAGTGGAGCAGCTGGAATTGAAGAGTCTGAGGCTGTGAGTAATTATTGAAAGACGCTGGGATAGAGCCCCAGAACATTGGCTGACATCTGAATCTTTTAGTTGATGAGCAAATATCGTGGTCCGATGTTCGTCTCTTTCACTACTCTCATGGCTACCCTTGCAGGCCCAATTCTACAAATCATTTACTTGATTTGTCTTATTGCCAGTGATAATAACCTGACAATCACTTTTCATGCCATATACTCCATCGCGACAATCCTCCCATTGGGTATCGTGGCGCTTCGCTTCTTTATGACGGACTCGACATTATTCCACCAATCCAATCTGAAGAACAAGCGTCGCTCACCTCGACTCTATCTCTTGCTTGTTCGTCGTTATTGGTGGCCAATGCTCACAACCTCGCTGGCTTACTTCCTTTACGACTTCATCAACTTCCCTAATAGCATCATGTCGGGTTCTATCATCTCATCCCTTGTCAAGGATAGCAACATTCGTCACACAGCTATCTGGCAAGTCATCTTGTCTGTTCTACCAGTTCCCGGTGTTCTCATTGGTGCTTGGTTGACGAACTCAATTGGTCGACGAAAGACTGGTATGGTTGGATTCGCAGGCTGTGCTATTCTCGGATTCGTAATCGGAGGAACCTACTCCAAACTCTCCAAGAACATCGCTGCCTTTGTTGTTCTCTATGGATTGTTGCAGGCGTTCGGACACCTGGGTCCAGGCGCTACCATTGGATTGATTTCTTCTGAAAGTTTCCCCACCGCAGTCCGGGGTATGGGATTCGCTGTAGCAACTGCTTTTGGAAGAACGGGTGCCGCGGTCGGAACCCAGTGTTTCACGCCATTGGAAGATGCTTATGGAAATAGTTCGACGTTCTATCTCGCTGGTGCGGTTGCCATTGTTGGTATTCTCGCATACTGTCTGTTACCTGAGAGTAGCAAGCTTGATTTGGCTGAGGAGGATAGACTTTTGGAGGAGTATCTCGCTGAGAATGGATACAAAATCGAGGAATAGAGCTTCCCCTTGATACTATGTAAACTGCCAGTGGTGCAGTGGGGAATGATTCGGAATGACAGCCTCGGCATTTGAGATGTACCCCTGCCGAGCTTAATTAGTATATCTTAATTCTATTGATGAGCCCAAGATTGAGACGAAGTGGAACTTGAATTTGAACGCAACAGAATACATAGACCTTCTTTTCATCTTCAAATATGCTTACAATAATAGATCGGGTAAAATGGATGAGTTAAAATGTGATAAAACAGTGCCCAGGTGTAATTATGCCCTGTAACTGCACTCCGTATCTCTCCGGTATCAGTATTATCGTATCCAATTTTGGAAATAGGCTTATCTGATCTTACGTACTCCCGTCGCGAGAGCTTCAACTTCAACTTCAACTTCTTCCAAGAACAACTACCACATCATGCAAATCAAATCAACTAGTTCCTTGGCTCGCGGCCAACCGGGTATTCTCCACCATATTGTATGTGATACCTGCTTCAATTCCTTCAATTTAACTCCCTGACACAATCCATTCCATGCAGACATCGAGCTTGGTCGCATTCGAGCATACCCGCGGCTCCCCCTCTAAACCTCACACACTCCTCTTTGTTGGCGGATTAGGCGACGGTCTCGGTACTGTGGATTATCTCCAGGATATTGCACAAGCTCTTGAAGGAACCCAATGGACACTGTTCAACTTGGTTCTGAGTTGCTCTTACGGGGGCTGGGGCATGGGCCGATTAGGTCAGGACATTGATGAGATTACACATTGTGTCAATTATATTCGAGAGTACAAGGAACCTCATTATGGACCTGGAAAGGTTGTCATAATGGGCTCTTCAACCGGCAGCCAAGATGTAATGCACTACATCAGTTGCCCAAATCCGCGACCGGCGCACCCGGTCCTCGATCGTGATTGGGATCCCATCACCCGTCCTCCTGTTGACGGTACAATTATGCAATCGCCAGTCTCCGATCGTGAAGGGATTCTCCTTGTTGTTAAACAAGGCACCGACCGAAATACACCAGCCGAGATGCGTGATATATACGAAAAAGCGGTGCAGAATGCTCGAGACAACACTTACGATGACGAGAACTCCGTAGATACCCTGGTACCACTCTCAGTCACCGGTCGCATTGGATATCCTACTTCCGCGCCCGTGAGCAGTCGCCGGTTCTTAAGCTTGACGAGTCCCGACAGCCCGGAAAATCCCGAAGAAGATGATCTGTTCAGCTCGGATTTAAGTGATGAGCGACTAGCCCAGACCTTTGGCATGATCGGAGCAAGAGGTTTGCTTAAGGAGAAACTCTTGGTGTTATATTCCGGTCGCGACCAATCGGTCCCACCATCGGTGAACAAAGGCGCCCTTCTCAAGCGATGGGAGGCAGCGGTCAATGTGGACGGGAAAAAGTTTTGGGATTCGCGCAGTCTGGTCATCCCTAATGCGTCGCATCAATTAAGTGACCCGGATCAAGCTATACCAAGACAGATCTTGGTTCAGAGAGTCACGGCATACTTGGAAGATATTCGCAAGGCATGATCTAGTGTCTTCACTATTGTCAAAAATCTATATTACGTACATAGCTGCCAGCATGAGGCTATCTCGATATGCTGACGAGAAAAGTCCACCGCATCTTGCATATATTCGTCATTACATTTGAAGCATGTCCATTTATTATCTCTCTTCCAAGCTTTCTGCAACCCATTATGATCTTTGGGCACCCAAGTTTAGTTATGGAAATATTCAGAATTGAAATATCAAATCTTCCAATTTGTTCAATTTGTCTCATTGAATGTTTATTCGCATATGTCGTTCGCACTCCAGGTCATCAATCTCACACTCCGAATCATCATCACCATATCACCATGCCAAGACTTCCTTTTGAACCCCGCAGCTCAAACCTGCACAGAATGCCTCGTCCTTATCACTCACTTGGGAGTTACCTGGAACCTTCTGTTTTGCCGGCCATACCTCATGTCCCTCGCATTTCTCTCGTTCGAAATGTTCGACTACGACTTCTCGGGCGGTAGTCTGGAAGAAGAGGGGGGGCCTTCTCGAATTTAGGATGCAGTTGCCCACTGATGAAAACGTTACGGTCGAGGTTTCTCTGTGCTTTGTCGCAAAGAACCTTGTCTTCTCTCATGACCCGCTCATACATATCGCTGATCAGATGGAATTCTTCATCAGAGGAGTTCTTGTTCTTATATATCTCGTAGGCCATCTTGGAGCTTCTCGCGCTGTTGGGGAGGAACTTTTGGATCATGATGAAATGGGGTCTGTTGGAGATTGAAACATTAGATACTTTTCAAGTCAAGAACGATGATATTAGGGGGGGGACATACGAGACAACCATAGCAGTCATTGGAAAGTAGTAGGTACTGGCTGTGTAAAGACCCTTTGCGATTTGTTCTGGCGTAGAGACACAATGATGCTGGATGTGTCCATCCTTGAGGTCACTGTCGAAAGAGTCGAGGTTCAGAAACTCAGGAATATCAGGGTGTGTTGTCGGGCAATGATAGCATTCGTTGAAGTTATCGGCGAGGATTTTCCAGTTGTAATGACCATCAAGTTCGTAGGTATGGTCAAGATCATAATCATCGAAATTATAGGCCTTGTATCGCTCTTGCTTATCAACGTCTCGGAAGTGCTCTTCCCATGGAACTTCTGGTACCTCATTGGCATCCAGATTTACCCAGATAAACCCGTTGACATCGACCTTCACATGGATCTTGAACAGCCCATTCTGATCTTTGTCGAATTGGTTCAAGTCCTTGTAGCCGGGGGCCTTTGCAAGCTTGCCATTCAGTCCATACGACCAGCCATGGTACCGACAAGAAAGGATCTTTGCATTTCCAGAGCATTCCTCCTTCTCAACTACTGGGTATGCACGATGTCTGCATACATTATGGAATGCGTTGATCTCTCCCTGTCGGTCGCGAGTGATGATGAAGTTGAATCCTGCGATGTCATAGCGTAGCCAGTCCCCGGTTTCCTTCACTCGAGAGCTATGCGTCATAAGAAGCCACCTGCGTGAAAAGATGGCGCGGCGCTCGAGTTCATACATCTCTGGAGATGTATACCATGATGCAGGCAATGCACGAACTGGTGTATCCTTGAGTTGCTCATCGGACGAGGGGGGGTTTGCTGCCGAAGCCAAAATAGTGTAACATGGAGGATGTCATGATAGAGGTTCAAGCTAAATTGTACCAGCAACTTAGTTGAAAGATAGTAGATTTAAGATTGAAATGGAGATATCTAGGATTGTTGAGGGTTTCAAGTTCTGATGGAGTAGACTGATAACCTTGAAAGGAATATTGACACAATGAATAGATCAATCAAAGTAATATCTCCTCGATCTTATATTATTCTTTATAGCTCTCTTCATGCTACCAACCTTTGTTGACTTATCCGATCAGGTGAACCGCCTCTTTTCCAATCTAGTAATATAATCCCCCGATAAGCGGGTCGGCTTACCGAGATCAGCGGCCAAACCCATTGTACATCTTTCAAATGTTATAGACCCAATGGAATATTGAACACATATACTTCTGGTGTCTGAGTGATTCTCTAGTCCTTGATAGAGTTGTGTGTACTCCCAGGATAATTAAGACCGTGGTACTCTTACTACTCTGAGCTCTCACATACATGGCTCTATATCTCGATTCCTCCTCTCATTAGAGCCTTCAAGACTTCAAGTTGAACCTCGCTCATTCCAAAGCTAGCAAGAATTTGAATAAATCCCTATCAAATACAATTTCTAATGGTTTATCTAGTCTTGCATTTTTAGTTAGTTTGGTTGGAAATTCTTTGAAGTCACATGTACCAGAATGTACCGTATACCCCCGAGATTGCCAGAAAAGGAGGCGAAACACGGAAATCAAGATGCCTAATTGCAGACCCAACGGATAAATTTAAATGCCCAGTCGAGGGATCTCAGAGTTATTCATGCTACGCAGAGCCTGATAAGGAATACGGTGGTATAAACTAGAATCTGGGGACCGGCGGAATTCACGGCTTTGGATTCCTGAAACGGTTGATTTCCCACTCACTTTGAGCGGCGGAATTCGATTGTGGTGGGTCTACCGGTAGATTAGGCATTGATATCCACTAGTACCGTGGTTCCTTCATCTGGGGTTCTTCGACAGAAATGAAGACATGCCCAGGTGCCGACTCGGGATTTTAGGTCAGTGGGAGTCTGTTCCGTTGATATACCAGCTGTACAACTTGAAGGAGCGAGATGTATGTGTAACTTAAGTAAAGTAAAACAAGAAGAAGTCTCGCTACATCTTAGTAAACTCCCCTCCAATTTGGTCAAGCATAGCTCCAATATCCTTACTGTATGTGTCACCATCTCGAGTGATAATCTCACGAACCCAAGGTCCACGAGGGTTGAAAGAAGCCTTGAATGGCAAAGCCCTCATAACCATGCCATATGTGCATGCAATGGGATCAACTACAGTAGGTTCGCCTGTCTCAGACAAGCCCGCCTTGATATCAAATGCCCACACAAGTCGGGCGATGACGATCCAGATCACATTGCGAGCAAAATGGCGCCCTGGACATGTCCGTCTTCCATAGCCAAATGCTGCAGCAGGGAAAGGTTGCAGTGTTTTCCCATCTTTGCCCATCCAGCGATCTGGGATAAATTCATCTGGGCTTGGGCCGAATACAGCTTCTTCTCGGGAGATTGTCCAAATGTTGGGTATAACCACTGATCCCTTGGGAATAGTGTATCCATTGTAGCTGACTTCTTCTCTGTTCATATGAGGAACACCTTCGGGTCCAGCCGGTCGCCAGCGGAATAGTTCCTCGACAATAGCGGTGATGTACGGCAGGTTGGGCTTGTCATCTGGAACTGGAAGTCGGTCGCGCCCAACATGCACATCGAGTTCTTCGCGTGCTTTGGCAATAAAGCCGTTGTCTTGTGTAATACAAGCCACTATAAACCAGATCAGGCTATCTGAAGTACCGTCTAGTGCAGCGTCGATCATAACGCCCAGTTCAAATGCTAGCTCGTCCAAGGGCATTGTGAGATTATCTTTTTCGACAGTCTTCTTGAGATGCTTTGAAATGTTCCATGAGTTTGACTCGATGCCACGCTGGAAGTTCTTGTCGCGCAGACTGCGTTTAGTCGCGAAGTGATTTTCGGCCTTTGCTTTCCATGGAGCTAAAAAGCTAGGGAGGTTGTTGAGTACTGGGAACTGATCCACGATATGTGCGCCAACCTGAATAAAGTCCGAAAACTCCTCATTCAGTTTAACGACGGTCTGAAGTATGGGGTCGTTGAAGTCTTTGATACGAAATCCATATAGTAATGTATGGATGATACTAGCAGTGGAGCGTTGAAAGTTCCCTTGAACATCAATACCACTGCCGCCCGCATTCTCCAGGAGATCGAGTAGCAATTGTTGAGATTCTAGAGCCTGGAACGGGAGATACGCTGCTGCCGGTGTTGCATTTAATACAGAGACCTGTAACCTCTGATGCTCCTTGAACTGTTCTGTATAGTTCATCATGAGGATATTAAGACCCTTCATAGCTAATTCAGCTAACTGTAGTCAGGGTTAGCCCTCGCATATCCAGAATGATGGAGTTTGAAAACTTACGAAAAGACGAGGTCGATCTGAAAAGTTGGGTCCATGCATGGCTAGAAGTTCGTGGGCCACTTTAGAGGTCGACAAAATAATAACAGGCTGACCAAGCATATTGACATGCACGATCGGGCCATACTCCTCGCTCCATTCGCGGTACGTCTGCCAGCCATGCGACTTGGGAGCTTGGTGTACATTGCCAATAATCGGCAGTGGCTTGGGTCCGGGTGGGAGAGGCAAAGACGAGGTGGACTTGCGCCGTTTAAGAAAGTAAAAGCCTATCAGTAGGCCGAGAATGAGATATGTTGCTGGATGCATCTTGGAAGCACTGAATGTGAACGAAGCACTTGAGAGCAACGCACCAGGTTTCAGTTTTTGGATCTGGGCAGAAGTGGAATAAAGTAATGATTGAAGGCCGAGGAGAAATATCAAGATGAATGGCCTCAACTTTTGAATCTTTTGGCCCCCAAGACACGGACCCACGAAGGCGACGACACATCATAGTTGATCCTAGTCAGTGGAGAAAACTTGTGTCCACGGCCCCGAGGGCGGCTCGCTGGTTCGATTGTTGAAAATTGGTCAGATATGATTGGGCTTATATTAGGAGTAGTATTGGGTAAGACCCCGTCTGTTACGCGATCTCTGATTCATAATTCACAAAAAGCAAATTGAAGCTTTTATACTCATAGCTATGTCATTAAGTTTTAACTTGCAGGATGGCAGCCCTAGAGGTGGATTATCATACTTTTATCCCATAAAAAGTCTTTGATCTCAAGTCTTCGATACTAAAAGTCCTAGTACCCGAGTAGCAAAAGAGGTTTATTAGATACCGGTAGCTATAAATCGGACTTAGAATAGACAAAGAAAAAAAGAAAATGTCAGCGAAAAAAAGCATTTCAACCTCCTCGGATCATCCAGGTGACAGCTAGAACCCACCCAGTGACGAAGACAGCTGTAAGAATGCCAGCACCAGCTCGATCGCCAGTGTTGACCGTGTTGAGCTGCGGTACATCATCGTCAGAGCTGTTTGTGCCAGCGCTCGGATTGCCTTTAGAAGTACCACCGGTATCAGAAGTAAATGGCGCCTGGTCCTTGGATTGAACCATATTCGCATTAAGTACCCCCAGTACCGCCATTTGCTGCTCCAATCCATCAGTCCCGTCCCAACTCTGCGCGTACCATTTGATACCGCAACGGGTGCCACTACTCAGTCCAGTGCAGGTCTGGACTGCGGCTTGTGCTGAAGTCTTCAGCTTCGGCATGACGAGATCATATGTGTCAGGCACAATTGTTGTCATGAATGCAAGCCACGAGGAAAAGTATGCCTTGAACGTGATCTGATTTCGATCGCATTTCCCAATCGGCTCACAGGTAATATCACTGAGAATTTTACCATCCGCGTCATCGAAGGTCTTGCCTGTTGGATAGAACTGATCCGAGGTTTTGATCAAGCCGGTGATTCCTTCCATCCATTTTTGGTCCCCTTTGGTCTATATAGTAAGGAGTCAGCCCATATTCAAGTTAGTAAAATACTATATATCAATTCAAGTAAGGCGTCATACGTAGTTGTACATGTAGGCAGCACCACTGATGTAAGTTGCATAGTTGTACGTCCATTGAAAATCGCCATGGTCTGTGCATTGGCTTTCTGGACTGGTACTGTCAGCAATCACCCAGGTCTTTCGGAGAAGTGGAGTGGTTGCACTCCAATCCCAAATCCGCTCTGCCCAGGTCGCATACGTGTCGTTGTTAGTATAAAGAGCAAGGCGTGCCGAGAGCTGGAAGAGTCCTCCATTGGAAATCGCATTTTTGGTCTGGTAGCCTGCCTGATAGGGCCAGATCTGCCAGCGCATACCCCCATGACAGCTACTTGTATCCCAACGGGGAACTTGTGTGTTGAAGACACCTTGAGCCAAGGAAAGCCAAGAAGGTTGACCGGTACGCTCCGGGTAGTTGAGTTCTGCGGCTGTTATAGCGGCCAAACCCCAAAAGACCTGGTCATCGTTACCGAGATATTGGCTGTAATTGGATGGGAAGAAGTTGTCGTCGCCTTTCTGCCAGTACATGCCATCTTGGACCACATTATTGAACTGAGTATCGCCAGTCAAGAACCAATATTGGATGAGAATCATGAACATCGATCCACCCTCCCACCATGTGTCATCCAGCTTTCCTGGAATATTGTTGGAGGCTCGGTCATTGTAGTAAGTAATCATATCCGAAGCGACGGTCTTGGCGGCTGATTTTAGGGAACCTGAAATGCACCGCTGTTAGTCCATGTGTATGAATGATCGACACCATGTGAGGGAGAAGGTGCGGCTCCGGGATGATGATCACTGACTTAGATCATCGATATTGACGGTGATCGCGAGAGTACCCTGGGCTGCCAGAGTGCAACTCAGCAAAGTGACAACCCATGAAGAGAATATCATATTGAACGAGTGAAAGGGAGAGAAAGGAATATGATGATCTTTGAGAAGTGGGGGAGGAGAAAGATGAAGCAGGGGAAAGTGCCTAGAGTTGTGGGGTGACAGGTCCCAGGAGTCCAAGAGTGAGAGTCCCCTGGGTGGGACCCGAGGTTCAAATGTTAAAATAAGACGAATAAAGTTATGTTTCTAGAATAGGGGAGAGTATCGGTATTCTCTAAAAATCAAATAAGATTGTAAATTGGGCCCTTGTGCCAGTAAAGACACTTTTGAAGGTATGTATGGACCATAATCTAGTATAGACAACGGGGAGTCAAGAGGTTGAAACTTTGAGCCTGAGGGTTGTACATAGCAGAATGTATTAGTAGTACGAAGTATGGTGTACACCTGGGCAGACTTGAAGACCGGAGTAGACATTAATACATGATATGATTTCCAGTCATGAAATTCAGTTTGAGAGATCCAAGATTCAAATAGTCACGATCTGGATTTGTCTAAAAATAACTTGAACCCAAAGAAAGCCACATTGGACCCTGTCATGGGATGGCGGAACCTGAACACTAGGCCATTGACAATAGTCTATTGCCAATTCCTTGGCATGAAGGACATCATGGGATACATCCATATGATATCAAGGTCAATCCGGAACATTTGAGCTTTGAGCATAAGCTGCTAAAATGGAAAATGATCTATGCAAGTTGAAAAGGAGATCTCAAAAGGATTAAGCAGTGATCAACAGGGTCCAAAACTGACCAAATGGGGTTTAGTAGGATAATGACTAATACACCCCGCACTATCCAAGATTGGTTAGTCTTGTAGCCTAATAATCAGGGCAACAAGGCAACAAGGCATTAAGGCACCCTTTGAAAAGCACCTTGATCTGACATGACCAGAAGTATAAACTTAGATAATAAATTTAAACCATAATCCCACTAGAACACAGGAATGGTGCTTTTTTCTATTGAAGAATTTTGGAAAGGTACAAAAGTGTCATCACCCATCGCATCGTTCATGTTTACATCCGGTTCCGTTGACGAGGCGCGGCACGGATAATGTTGTCCACACGCAGGAGAAGCTAAAAAGGGGAAGAAAGAATGTGAGTAAAGAACCTTATCAGAATGAGTGGGGGCTTCTATATTAGAAGATGCACATACCTCAGCAGCCTCAGAGGCAGATGACACTACCGCCTTCTTCAACTTGTATGCCTCCACTACACCAAGCTCGCGCATATCCGCAATGCCTCCACCGGGGGTCAGCAGATCCAGACCAGAGCTGGTCATGCCATTGTTGATAGCTTGTCGCAGACGAGTGACCAGATCACTGGAATCCAGACCAGCATTGTCGGCCAGAATGGTGGGCAACTGCTTGAGAGCATGGGCAAACGCGTCCACGGCCAGTTGCTTCTTGCCGGTGGTGTTCTGTGCAGCTTGCTCAACAGCCTTGGACATCACCATCTCGGCGCAACCACCACCAAGGGTGACACGGGGGTCCTTGACGGTCTGGGACAACACAGCCAGGGCATCGTGGAGAGAACGCTCAGCTTCATCCAGAAGCTGCTCGGTAGCACCACGCAGAACAATAGTACAGGCCTTGCCAGCAGCCACACCAGAGAACTTGATCAGGGTATCTTCACCAATGATGACCTCCTCAATCAGATCACAAGAACCCAGCTTCACCTGGTCGGGGTGGTCGAAGGTTGACGCAATCTCACCTCCAGTGACGAGAGCCAGACGCTCAATACCGTCAAAGTCGGCGTGCTCAATGGACATAATACCAGCCTCCGTGAACAGCTGCTCGGGCCAGTTGTAGATGAGCTGTCGGTTAACGAAGCAGTTAATTCCGTGAGACTTGATCCGCTCCACCTTAGCCCGCATCTTCTCGCGCTCAGCCTTCTCCAGGTCGGCCAGCTTGCCGGTCGACTCGACCTTGACACGAGCGCCGAAAATCTTGACCTTGTCTGTATCCATGGCGGTGTTGGCAACCAGGATCTTCGCATTCTCCAAACGCTTAGGCTGGTTGACACCAATCTTCTTGTCCAGGATGAAACCCTCATCCAAGTAGGAATCGTTCAACTTGCCGCCGGCCTTCTTGATGATCTGGATGTGGCTAAGGTCCGTGGAACCCTTGAGACGTAGAACGGCCTCACAGGCCAATCGGGCAAAGTGGTCACGGTCCTGCGACAGAACCTTCGAGCTCAGAGTAGTACGGGCGATATCGTGAAGGTCCTTGCGGAAAGCCTCGGGGTCCGTGCTTCGGTCGATGGCAATGTTCTCAAGAGCGGACAGCGCAGCCCGGCTGGCTATCCGATATCCCTCGATGATGGTCTGGGGGTGAATCTTGGCGTTGACCAACTTCTCTGCCTCACGCAGCAACTCGGCGGACAGCACGGTGACAGATGTTGTTCCATCGCCTACTTCGTCATCCTGAACCTTGGAAATGTTGACCAACACCTTGGCCGCAGCGTTATCGAGAGCAATGGATTTTAAGATCGTAGCACCGTCATTCGTCACGAGGATTTCTCCGGTTGACCTGTTGTCCCAGTGTGTCATGTCAGCAAATGTATATATCTCTCTCCCTCGCCCATAGATATCTCAAGAAGTAGGTCGTTGGCGGTTTTGGGACTGGGTTGTTGCCCCACGTACGCAGACTGTAGAATCTTATCCATTCCCTTGGGACCCAAAGTGCTCTTGACAAGATCACCAACTGCAATGGCACCAACAAATGCCGACAGACGGGCGTTCTCGCCCTTCTCCTCGATCACATTGTCGCCAAAGATCTGTGTGGGATTGCCGAATGACGCCTGGAGACTGTGTTAGCAGTTTGAGGGGAATAGATGAGGACCACGGCCATTTCTCGACCATAAACCCAATAATTAGGGCCTCTGGAATCAGACACATACCATATTGATCAGTGTAGAGTAAAAAGTTGACTCAAACCGATTCAGACGACTAAAAAGAGAAGAGAGAAAGCAATGGATTTCGTCAACAGTGGGGGGGAAATGGAAAGGAGAAAAGTTGGGTGGCCCGAGCTTCTGCTTTCTCCCACCGCCCGCTTTCTCCGACTACTTTGCTCCTTGATCGTCTTCTTCTTTAACTGACCACTATATTCTACTCGAATTCTGGTTGTTGTTTCAAGATGGCGGGTTCCGAAGGTACGACTGTGCCTCCCACCAAGCGTCCACACTCTGCTGTTGATGGTGAAGACAATGGTCCGTATGCAGCTCCTCCGAGCTTCCGCAAATTCCACCTAACGGTCACTAACTGCGCAAGTACAGATGATGACAATTCCTCCTCCGACGATGATTTCGGTCCAGCGCTCCCTTCGGAGGCTGCGCCGAAGAAAAAGCGCAGAAAGCTTCCTTTCGAGAAGGTCTATGTGAAGGCGCTGCCTGCTTCCCCACGTTATTCCAAATCCCTCATGCACAAGGAGCAATTATCCTTCGTGACGGTGACCCCAGTAACCGACTTCGTCATTACTAGCTCTGTTGATGGATTTGTGAAGTTCTGGAAAAAGATGGCGGAGGGAATCGAGTTCGTTAAGGAATTTCGTGCGCATCCGAGCGAGATCACCAGTACGAGTGTTAGTGCGGACGGGCGCAGCTTTGCGACAGCGGGAGTAGACAAGACGGTGAAGATATTCGATGTGATTACCTTCGGTGGGTTACTCATTCCATTGCAAGCTAGACGCATGTCTCATGCAGTTAAATTATTTACCGAGGTACTAATACGGAGCCAGATTTATTGTCCATGTACACACTGGATTTCGTACCCCGGTGTGTTTGCTGGGTTCATCGCCGAGGAGCGTCATTACCACTACTCGCCGTCACAGATCAATCCAGCAACACCATTCAAATCTTCGATGGACGAGGCGAGAATCCTCAGGCCCTGCATACCGTGCGGTCGATTCATCGGAGTCCCGTGGTCTCCATTGCCTTCAATGATGCCTATGACTGCGTGGTTTCCGCCGATGAGTCCGGCATGATAGAGTACTGGAGAGCGGGTGATGGATCTTTCGAAAAGCCTGACAATGTGTTTGAGCTCAAATCATCCACCAACCTCTTCGCATTCAAAAAGGCCAAGTCATTTGCCACGGCCATCACCATTTCCCCCTCTGGGGAGCACTTTGCGACCGTCTCTTTCCCGGATCGCCAAATCCGGGTCTTTGAGTTTGCCACAGGAAAGCTGTACCGCACCTATGACGAGTCAATAGCCACTTTGATGGAGATGCAACAAGCAGGAACTGCCCCATACCAGTTGGATGAGGTGGAATTTGGGCGACGGTTGGGAGTCGAGCGAGAATTAGAGAATGAGTCGATGCGCAACCAGGTCAATGTTTCCTTTGACGAGTCTGGCCATTTTCTGCTTTACGGATCTCTGTATGGCATCAAGTGCATCAATACCTACACGAACCGTGTTGTACGCGTGTATGGTCGGGATGAACCGTTCCGATCCCTGAATATTGCTCTTTACCAGGGCCAGCCTCAACGTAAAGGCGTCGTGACGGTTTCTATGGCTGCAAGCAGTAACCCATTGCTTCAGGAAGCCGAGGAGCGAGATGCGATCCTGGTCAGCACGGGATTCGCCAAGGTGCGCTTCTACATGTTTACCAACGACATCGATATCTCGAAATCCTCGCGAGATGTGCAGAACGAGAAGCCCACCCAAGCTACAGGCGGTGCTGAGGCCAGTGTCACCAAGGCCAATGAAAGTGGTACTGCAGCTGTTCTACACACGACTATGGGTGATATCCACCTCCGACTTTTCCCATCGGCGGCACCTCGCACCGTGGAGAACTTTGTCACCCACGCTCGACAAGGATACTACAACAACACGATCTTTCACCGTGTGATTCCCAAGTTTATGATTCAAGGTGGCGACCCACAGGGCGACGGCACAGGAGGTGAATCCATCTGGGGTGGGGAATTCGCAGACGAGTTTTCCAGCCTGCGTCACGATAAAGCATACACACTCTCTATGGCTAATGCTGGACCCAACACCAACGGCAGTCAATTCTTCATCACAACCGAGAAGACGCCGTGGTTGGACAATAAGCACACGGTATTTGGTCGGGCTGTCCAGGGACTGGATGTTATCCACAAGATTGAGAAGACCTCGACTTTCAAAGAAAAGCCGACCGTGGATATCAAGATTGTGAGTATCAGTGTGTCATAAGGGAGGAGTGAACCCGTACCTAGGTACCCGTACATATATGTATATCAATAGTATGAAATAATGAGCACTGATAGTCCAAACTTGAACTTGGATTCAACTGGACCCTCTATGTACTCCGTATTCTGGATGTCATAACAAAATCTGGTTATTTATCCAACTTGAAAACTTGAACTCAAGTACTAGTGAAACTTCAAAGAAAAAAAAGAGAGAAAAAAAGAGATACCCACCATGATGCAAGTCCTGGGAAGTTGATAACGAGTAATGACACAAATGAAATGCTTCCCCTTAAAACACCGGATAAATGCAAGTAAGTCGCAGAAATGGCAAAAAAAAAAAGAGAGGGAATGTGTGAAAAACACGACAAAGAATGAAAGCAAGATGCCCCCTCCAGAGAAAAAGAAAGACAAAATCAACAGAGCAATATCATAATTTTATGATTGAGAGACTTGACTTGTCTCCGGTTGATGCTCAACTTCAGCGACCGTATTTGGTTTTTGTAATCGTTTGCTAGTCGGTACAGGTACACTGGAGATATTCGAATGGGAACTATTTCTCGTTGAGGCTGGGATACTGCGTGATTGTTGACTTGGAACAGTAGAGACAGGTAGAACACCGGATTGCGATTGCGATTGCGAAAGAGAGGCGGATTGTATTTGTGGTGGTAGTGTTTTATTAACGAGAGGATTTCCGTAGACTCGACCAGGACCAAGCAGTCGACCTTTCTTCAGGTCATGGCGACGTCGTAACCAAACTCCAACAGCGGCGATTAAACCGAACCCGATCACTAAAACAATGACCATGATCACCCATCGATAATGAGCCTGCCACCTGTGAGTGCCGAATGGTTAGTCTCTCTCTTCATGTTCTGTTGAGGGGGGTTTTGAAACTGACCAGCTTTGTTTACCGTCAGCCATTCTGGTATCTCCGAGATGTTGCAAGTTACAAACTGAGAACTGCAAGCTCGGATTAAACCAGATCAAAATCCGAATATAGGATTTATCCGGGGAAACTTGAAATCCGAGATTGTCGGGTCGACTGCAGGTGAGGGAAAAAGAGGGTAAAAGTGGTCAGTGGTCGGATCCCGCGGATGTCTCAAGTGCTTACTAGCTAAAAGTCTTGGAACGTGTTAAGTCCTTTGAACTTCTTGGAATATGTGGAGTTCCGAAATAATTTTCAAGTCATGAAATACTCCGTACTAAAAATGGACTTTGAATTCCTGCAAGGGATCATCAGATCACTGCTAACATGTACCATGTACCATGTATACATTATTCCATAAACACGCGGGGTCCACTTGGATCGACATGGTTCCTATTCGAGGGAGCTTAACATGGTGTCGATCATCCAGAGATTCGGAGATGAGTATGGAGTATGATCTAGATTGTTCCTATTTTATCCTGTCAAGACAATCAGCTTTGTACTTCAAATGTTGACTTCTAACCTATGTTCCTTCAATTCATGAATTTTGGTTCAGGAACACAAAGTGGAGTCTGAAATGTGGCCAAAAACCGGCTTTTTTCTGTCGCCCCCTATTCTATGACTATGGGTATGCACTGGATCATCATAGATCGGCGATCTACGTTTTTGAGGCACATGGCACTTGAACTTAGATGATATATCACTTTTCCAAGCTTAACTATTGATTCTATTCTTGTAATAATATCCTTCACCTTATGATAAAAAATGATATGTATTAGGTACATCAACCACTGGAATGACTAACCTGACAAATCTACCTAGCAGCTACATCTTTCAACTCAGGCTTGAAGGTAGTAATACAAAAGACCACAGTGCCAGTTCTCTGGGAGACTGGTATTTCCAGTTCCATTATACAAGGCCAACTCAGGGTAAGAGCAGATCGGGCGCTGGATCTCAACTCCATCATCGGGGTTATCATTCCACCATTTTGTCGGGATCAGATAATCAGGTGCGGTACCATTCTCAACCCAATCCATGATTGCCAACACAATATCGTGCTTACTATCATTGAAACCGGGGACACCCCAGACAGTGCCGGTCAAAGAGTCAGACTGGTCATCACCATTGAGGTACCACGGAGCATTTTGATCAGAGGGAGTAGAGGTACAATGTTCCATGCCGGGAATAGGGAAGAAGCGGTAGAAGTCCGAGATGGGAACACCCTTGGGCTTCAGTGCCTGCGCGACATGGTTGAAGAAGTAGAAGGATGCACCCGTGGCGATGCTAGGATCCGAGTATCCGTGGTAGTGAATCAACTTGCCGCCGTGCTTGTAGAAAGGCTCGATGTCAAAGTTGTCTGCGGTGGCATTACCAGGATTCAGTCTATCAGAGAGCGCGATGAGCTCCTGGCTGTTCCAGTCCTCCCAGGTCCAGTCTCCACCGATTTGAAGCATGTACTGGATGTATGTAACAAAGTCTGAATCCAGGCTAGGTGCCCCGACTTCTGTACCAAGTGTGTATCCAGGGAAGATGAAGGTATCGTTCGCGTCAACCCAAGGATTGAAGAGTTTGTTGACGGTGTGCATCTGCGCAGAGGTGAAACAGGTGTCATTGCTTGAGGTCGAGTTACAAGTGAGCTGGGTGAGGTCGAAAACACATCCAAATGGATTCTGAAGAATGCCATCCGTCACGCCGTCCTGCGGATCACATTGTTTAAGGATCTCAGTAGCAACAGCTGACATTTGATCATCGGTTACATGGTAATCAGCGTCCTCGGGTAGATTCCACACAGCTGTGAGGACGTTCCAAAGTTGCTGGTGAGTGGTCCACCACGCAGGGGCACCGGCAATGACACCATCGAAGTCCTCCGGGTATTCCTCAACCTCCTTCAGACCCTGCTTACCACCAGCAGAACATCCACGGTAGTATGAGTAAGAGATTTTCTGGTCGTAGTAACCTTCAGTCACAGCCTTTCCGTTGACAACAGCATTGTGGAGAGCCACATGACCCCAGTTCTGAAGAGCCTGCTCGTTGTGGTAGCCAAAACTGCCATTGTTGCCTTCATGTCCAAGGTCAGAAGATACAACCGCAAATCCATACCAGGAGGCGCTGATAATGGAGTCCCATCCAACCGATCCAGAGAATTCACCGTTTCCTTCTGTCAGGAAACGACCATTCCACTCGTCGGGTAAGACAAAGCCAACACTGTGCTGAGTGTTGTTGGGAAGAGTGATGTTCGCCTGGGCAATACACGCAGCAACGGGGAGTTCATAGGCACTGATACCCATGGGATCAGAGGTCAAACCATAGTTCAAGCTGATCGGAGGAGTAAAGTTGTAGTGCGCAGGATAATCTTTGGCAAAGTAGACGGTTGCGTTTTTGGGCAGAAACTGGGAGATGCTGGCTACTGAGCAGTTTTTGACAGCTTGGACACCTGCAGCCAGTCCGATAAGAGGGAAGATGAATGAGTTCTTCATCTTGTACAGCCCGGAAGATCTTGTCAATCAACACGAGGGAGGGAAGTATAGAGAAGAAAAGCTTGAATTCTGAAGATCAGCAGCAGCTGATCTGCGACCTCTATAGCTTTCTCTCCTGTAGTCCATCACTCCTCGGAATTCATCCTCCTACCGTGGTCTGAGTTGGATGGTATCTGGAAGGCCATGGTCGAGGTCTGAAACGTACTAAAGAGTCCCATTTGATACTCTAGACGCGCGTACTCTGGATAAACTTGGATTATCAGTCAATTGAGTAGGCAGTTTGTGTTCGAACGCGGAGAATCTTACCGGATGAAGGGGGTGATCAACCGTTGGAGTCAGGCATTTCAAGTTGAAGATCCATCTTAATTCTTCCATGGTTCGGTGTTACTATGGAGTAGTGATGTCGTACTGTGCATGTTCCCCAGTCCTATTTCCTGTAGAATTATAGAACACTTTGAACACAGTCCAGTATTTGAAGAATGATGAAACCAATCAGTTTTTGAAACCACTTCATAGAGTCAACCTTGAATGTCTATTTCCCAAGTGAACTCATGCAGTGTCAAATTAGTGCCCGGGTAGAGACCCATTTATCATGAGAATGCGGCGACTAGACTTAATAAGGGAATTGATAATCAGGGCCCACTGAGCTCTAGACCAGGCTTGCATCATCAATCCTCACTTCTACCTCACTTCTACCCACTTTAATATACTCGGCGAATTCAGAGTTTCGATGGAAGATTCTTCGGAATTTTTCGAGTTCTTCCCAAGTCAAGGTTCGTGGATCAGATAGATGAAAATTGGCACGATCATAGTACGGGCTACCCATATCCCTTCAAATCATTCCGAGTCATGAAGTCGGACATTCCAAGGTTTAAATGTTGCTCATTTGACACATACATGCACTGGCATGCATGCATGCGCCCATGAATCGTTCAAGTATATAGCATTTGAATAAGTTGAACTTGAATTCCAAGTTCTATTGTAGCCGCACGAGAACTTCAAATATTCCAAGTACCTCAGGCTGAGCTTCGAAATGTTTCAAGTTGACATCCACTGTCATCACTAGGATTTGGATGCTATGTATGATGACCGATATGAGTACCAGGTAGTAGGTGGTGGTAGTAGTACTAGTAGGCATAGTTAACCTTGCGTGTCACGGTGGAAAGGGTTGTCGAAGTCGTTTAGCTAGTAGGTGCATTTCCTTTGATTTCAAGTTCGTTTTGAATTTGTCTAATTGATTTTCAATGTACATATAATCATTGGGCCTTACCTTCTGCAACTAGTGTTAAAATAAATTATCATTTGAACTTTTGGAGGATGCTAGTGGGTACATAATACCGTAGGGCCACGTAAGTTAAAGCTTTAAGGTTGAGACTAGATCCCCCAAGCTCCTAAGGGATCCACACCAGAGAACTCCCTGGATCTCTGAAGCTTCTCTACTCGTTTGACAAGAGTTCCAACCGAAATTGGGCCTACAAGCGTGCAAATCGAAATTCCCCATATGACGACAAGATAGATGTCAGAGATTCCCTCATTAGATTCGCTTGAGAATATGCCTTGGCTTTCTGCGAGGGAGGCGATGAGATATCCAACTTCTCCCCGAGCCACCATCGCCAGCCCAAGTAAAGCTGCCGGGTAGAGGGATTTAGGACGAGGAGGGGATGAAATGGCGTTCGGATGACCGGAAGGGGTTTGAGGGTCGCTTCCAGATGCTGAGGGGTTCTGGCGGTCCGAGGACGAGTCATTTTGAGGTTCACTTTGCTTATTTGCGTCTGGGCGTTGCTTTCGCTCAGAATGTGTTGTGGCAACTGGGGATTGGACCGTAGAATGATCGGTGGTTCCCAACGGCTTTTGTTGGACTTGACCACCGCATAGAGAAGTAGTACATCGAAAGAGAATAGAGGGGGAGTGTGTCTTGATTGACGAGATGAGATTGGATATCGGACTCAGGTTTAAGCGCACAAGCCATAATCCAGTGAGCATTTTTCCAATTATCATGAGGATAGCGTAGATGAGTCCCCGCCATACAACTCTGCCCTGGAACATTTCTGTTATTGGAATCGCAAATCCAATAGAGGCCTATGTAAGTTCTGCGTTAGTATTGAACATAAAGAGGAGGGAGGACGAAGCATACGAAGAAGAATGGAATGAGGATTCGGCCAACAGGTTCCTTGTAATACTTTTCGTATACTTTTCTCCCTGTGGTAGTATTATCAATAGCACTAGGATCCGTAGACTCCCGGGTCCTATCCGCTTTGTGCATATCAGCATTATGCGACCGAGTTTGCGATGTGGTCTCTGTTAGTACGCCGGAGCTTGGTTGACGATTACTAGATATCTCTGTATGGGTGGAACTCATATGTCTGACAGACAGTTCGTCAAACCAAGAGATTAACACTCCCGCAAGATACGCAGCAAAGAGGCTTGAGGTCCCAGCGAAAGTGCCGGCAGCAACCATTCCAACGAGAACGGCCGTTTGAAATAGGAAGGCAAATCGAATAGTACCCATGAAATTCGGAAAATGCTCCCTTAGAGCGAAGACTCTCTTCAAAATTGGCTCTAAGCAGAAATTGCATAGAATAAACAGCCCCACAGCAAAACCAACAGAGACGAGTAAGGGCCTTATCACAGTGACTGCAGTAAAAGACGAGGCATCACCACCGAGATTTGAGATTATTTGCACCATGATGAGACCAACGACGTCATCTAACATCGCGGCACTTGTCGTAACAGTGCCGAGGCGAGTATCAATCAGCTTTGTGGTTGATAAAATAGTGAATGTGGTTCCGAGACTGGTAGCGCTCAAAGCTGCACCGGCAGCAAAGGCTTGAAGGGGAGTTGCGGAAATCAGCTTCATAAGGCTGAAAGATAAGCCTATTGGAGCTCCAATTCCTGTCAAGGCCACACTGAGTGAAACCAGAAGGTTTGCTTTCATGGATTTGATAGATGTTGATAGTCCCCCTTTGGATAAGTCAGCACTGTACCCTTTTTTTTATTGAAGTAGTGGAATTACCTTCATATACTAGCATGATTAAGCCGATATAGCCTAGTTGTTGGATAACAGTCTCTGTGTCCCGACTGAGCCATTTTGCTCCAGGCGTACCCCAGAGAATACCAACAAACAATTGACCGACCAAGCCGCAGTATAGAAGCTTATCCAGACAGACATTGATGATATTTAAAATCAACAGAAATCCTGTCTGGTTAAGGAGAGTTGTGATCGTGGGTTCCTCGTACCCGAAAGCTGCATCTAATATATCCGCAGCCATGGCTCTAGCCTATCTTTTGACTCGGTGGGGAGCCGCCGAACCTTTTCTTTTGGGGAGATCGATAAACTCAGGCATTTGAGATCATCGATGTAGTTTCACTGATATTTCCCGGACACTTAAAACATTTGCGTAAAAAATTTCAAAGTTAGAGGTTGGACCCTTGTCCGAGCTCCGGACTATTCAGGTGTCCAGCCTTGCGCGGGTGCTGCCGGCTAAGGTTCTCCAGGGCGACCTCGCCCGGGCGGCGGGACGCGACGTTACGCTGACTAAGCGGCAGAATGACCGCGGGCGCGGTCACCGTCCGCGGGTGGCGCAGATCTCATGCATCATGACGCGGTCTAGCAGAATTCTCAACGTCCATGAGTCGCCACTTCGCAGTGATGTAGATTATATCACGATACAGATCAATGTGCGCATTTCCAGCATGCATAAGTCAATGCTCCTCCAGACTGCCTATGTATAACTTGGATTCAACTGAACTTGAACTATCAGAATAGTAGTGATTTCAGCAGGGTGGAACAATAAACCGTTGTCCGCGCGGCTGCTATTACTAGTAGGACACCAATCAAATGTTCTAGAGTGCTTTCGAAGGATCAACATGGGTTCAACATTGATCTAGGAATTGAATTGAATGATCGTCATCTCAGGCTATACAAGGGTTAGCGGAGTACTACTACGTACCCCCACTATACGGCAATTGTCACGTCCGAGTTAACGATTCCTAGTAATATTTACTACTAGTACCTACTTAGTCTCTAATTATGATGGTCTGAATATTGGAACCTTGGAACTGCGTGTACTCCTTTACTCCGGATCCTACCTAGTAGGTACTAGTCGGCATCCCGATTTAGTACTATGTAGTAACCCCTGAAGCCCTGGAGCCCTTGAGCTCCAGTTTGTGTAACATAACGTATACCGGAGCACATGTATGGGAGTACGGAGTTGCTATTTACATCATTATGTATTTAGACAAAACCAAAATGGACGGAGCATTTGAGCAGGCTGCATTAATCTAGAAGCATGGAGCCTGAGTCACAGATAGTGGACATGAAGCTCAGGGGCTCCCGGAGTTAAGAGGTATGATAATGCGGACTTACTGCGTAGATGCACGGAGTACCCGCGGGATGCCTTATAGAACGCCACAGAAAAAAGAGAGAAAAAAGCAAAGTTTCAGAGCAACGTGTTGCGGAGATTTATCACCATAAAACCATAAAAGATAAAAGAAATTCCCTGAAAATACCTCCGGTGGACTTAATATTAACCCAATCAATGATACTCTAGACACCACAGACCCCACGAGTCAGAACGGGATTCGCAAATAGCCGCGCCGCTTAACTCCGACTGGGAATATTCGGTACTTCGGTGCTCCGCTCCTCCGTAGTGGCCAATTTGAGTGGCTCAGAGGCCTGGGGAAGAAACTTATCATAGATTATGGATCACTATGGAGTAATATAAGAGGGTCGGGTGGACTGATTCCGTGGTAAATAATGAATAAGTCGGTCAATTTGTTCCGTCCCCGACCCCGATGGCAAGTAGAGAGGAAATTTTGAACAGGGATGCAGGCCGGTTAAGTCCATTAGATTTATAATATAGGATGCGTGTCCGCTCTCTTCAACCATTAAGGAGTGTAACAAATTCAATTTTCAAGCTTTACCTACCTGTGGAATCCCCGAGCACTTGAAGTTCAGCCGGCTACTAGTATTATAGTCTACTAGTAGGCAAACCCGTGGACGGACTCGGAATTCATACTCTCTATCTAAGATGGAGAACTTGAAAGACGATGATTCCAACGATTCATCGGTGGAGTTCGAGCCTATTACTCATCGAACACAAACCATAGAAGATGAAAGAGAAATTCAACAGTTGACCCGAATCGCCTCGAGTAAACTTGGCCACACCATCTCGGCCCCAGCAGCTAAAGATGATCCACGACTGGATCCAACAAATCCAGAATTTGATCACTATCGATGGGCTCAATCAATCTTGGGCCAGATGCACGAGGAAGGAATAGAGGTTCCTCGACAAGGAGTGGTCTTCAAAGATCTATCTATCAGTGGTTCTGGCTCCGCACTTCAATATCAAGAAACTTTGACATCAGCTTTGACTGTTCCTTTCCGTGCAGCTACACGAGCCTTGTCAGGACAGTCTTCTCCACCTCGTCGGATTCTCCAGAGCTTCGATGGTCTCCTACAGAGTGGTGAGCTTCTACTTGTGTTGGGACGCCCCGGCAGTGGCTGTACCACATTTCTGAAGACCATCACCGGCCATTTGGGAGGATTGACCATGGACCCAAAGAGCACGATACACTATGAAGGAATTTCCTTTGAAGATATGATCAAATTCCATCGTGGCCAGGTAACCTACAACAAAGAGGTATGTATTTTCTCAATCTGAATAAAAAGAAATGCTGAAAGCAGTAACTGACAGAGTTTAAATAGGTCGATCTCCATTTTCCCCACCTTACAGTCGGCCAGACACTTTCCTTTGCGGCCCATGCTCGAGCCCCGCATAAAAGACTAGATGAAGTGAGCCGATCTGAGTACTGCGAAACCCTTGTTCAGGTCGTCATGTCTGTTTTTGGTCTCTCTCATACCTACAACACCAAGGTAGGAAGCGAATTCGTGCGTGGCGTGAGTGGTGGAGAAAGAAAGCGAGTCAGTATCGCCGAGATGTTCCTAAGTCGCTGTCGTCTCGGTGCCTGGGACAACAGTACTCGTGGGTTGGATGCAGCTTCTGCGTTGAAGTTCATTAGAGCCCAGCGCCTTGCAGCTGATATGGGGAACTCCTGTCACGCTATCGCCGCTTACCAGGCTTCTCAATCCATGTACGATCTGTTCGATAAAATTGTGGTTCTTTATGAGGGACACCAGATCTACTATGGACCTCGGGAGCATGCTGTTGCTTTCTTCGAAACCCAAGGATGGGTTCGACCAGAGCGTCAGGTTTCAGGCGACTTTTTGACTGCTATCACCAACCCTAACGAGCGGACCGCACGCGATGGAATGGAGGGCAAGGTGCCACGTACTGCAAAGGAATTCTCTGAATACTGGAAACAAAGCCCAGAGTACCAAGCCTTGCGCGAGCAAATCATCACCTACGAGAAACAAAATTCCCCAAATGGCGAAGCTGCCAAGCATTTACAGATGAGCCACAAGGAACAGCAGGCAAAGCATACTCGCACTCGCAGCCCTTACCTTCTCTCTATTCCCATGCAAATTCGTCTCTGTACTCAACGAGCATACCAACGAATGCTCAACGATCTTCCAACCGCACTATCTCCTCTGGTCGTTCAGCTAGTCCTGTCACTTATCATCGGCTCGGTCTTCTACAATACCCCGGATACTTCAGCCTACTTCTTTCAAAAGGGCGGAGTGTGTTACTTTGCTGTCCTTATGAATGCCCTTCTCACAATCAACGAAATTCTTCAACTCTACAGCCAACGCCCGATAGTGGAAAAACAGGCTGGTTACGCATTTGTTCACCCCTTTACCGAAGCTCTGGCTAGCATTATCATTGACCTCCCCATCAAAATCGTTCGAATCTCCGTTTTCACTATTGTGCTATACTTTATGGCAAATCTGCGCCGGGAGCCTGGGCCCTTCTTCATCTTCTATCTGTTCCTCATCGTTGTTGTCTTGACCATGTCAGGAATGTTTCGCAGTTTGGGAGCTCTTACCAAGTCTGTCGGACAAGCAATGGCGATGGCCGGTGTTTTGGTTCTTTGCATTGTCGTCTACACTGGGTTCACATTGCCACAGCCTTACATGCACCCCTGGTTTTCCTGGATTCGATGGATTAACCCGGTCTACTACACATTTGAAGCCTTGATCGCCAATGAGTTCCACAACAAGAAGTATGAATGTTCATCGCTTATTCCATCATATGGTATCGGCACAAACTACATATGCTCAGCTGTGGGCTCCATAGCTGGCCAAAACTATGTGGACGGCGATCGGTTCATCAATGACAACTATGAGTACTATTACTCTCATTTGTGGAGGAATTTTGGCATTCTGATTGCCTTCTTGATTTTCTTCAACGGTGTTTACCTGGTAGCAACAGAGTACATCTCTCGTGACTCATCCAAGGCTGAGGCCCTAGTGTTTAGACCAGGACATGCGCCGCAATACCTTCAAGAGAGTCAAGACTCTGAAACTGGAGAAGCCGATCTCACTAAGCTCGAAATCCAAGCGACAAATGACACCATTCGCCTACCTGAACAGACTGACGTTTTCTCGTGGAAGTCACTGAACTACGACATCCCTGTCAAGGAGGGCACTCGGCGACTGCTTGACGACGTGAACGGATGGGTAAAGCCCGGAACTTTGACTGCGCTCATGGGTGTCTCTGGTGCTGGAAAGACCACGCTCCTAGATGTTCTTGCCCAGCGAGTCTCGATTGGAGTCGTCACTGGAGATGTTTTTGTTAATGGAAAATTGCCAGCGGCCAACTTCCCCCGACGAACCGGTTACGTTCAACAACAAGACCTTCATATGAACACTACCACCGTGCGAGAAGCTCTTCGTTTCAGTGCAATTCTTCGACAACCGAGAACAGTCTCCAAGCAAGAAAAGTATGATTACGTGGAACAGGTCATCAAGGTACTGGGTATGGAGGATTTCGCCGAGGCCGTTGTGGGATCTCTAGGAGAAGGACTCAACGTTGAACAGCGCAAACTGCTCAGTATTGGAGTCGAACTTGCTGCAAAGCCAACTCTTCTAATCTTCCTCGATGAACCCACCAGTGGTTTGGATTCACAAAGTTCGTGGACGATCTGTCAATTCTTGCGACGTCTCGCAGACCATGGCCAAGCTGTTCTTGCAACCATTCATCAGCCTAGCGCCACGCTATTCCAAACCTTTGACCATCTTCTTTTCTTGGCCAAGGGAGGCCGAACAGTCTACTTTGGTGAAGTTGGAGATCAATCCACTACCCTTCTGAACTACTTTGAGCAGAACGGAGCCCGACCATGTGAGACCCTCGAGAATCCCGCCGAGTATATTCTTGACATGGTTGCCGGAGATGGCTGCCCCGATGTTGACTGGGTTAAGGCCTGGAAGGAAAGCCCGGAGTGTGTGGCAGTGTTAGATGAGGTCAACCGTCTTCATTCCGCGAAAAGTTCGACAGATGAAGGTTCCATCCACTCTCAAAATGATAGCGATGACGACAATGCCGAATTTGCCATGCCCATATCGACACAACTCTGGGTTGTCCTAGGACGCTGCTTCCAAGGTTACTTCCGCCGACCTGACTACATCTATTCGAAGTTCATTCTTGGTATTGTCTCTGGTCTGTTCATCGGTTTCAGTTTCTATGCTGCGGATAACTCCGAGCAGGGTTTCCAGAATGCCCTGTTCAGTATCTTCTTGCTTTGCACGATTTTCAACACCTTGGCCAATGCGATCATGCCCAATGTGGTGGCACAGCGATCGCTCTATGAGGTTCGTGAGCGACCGTCCAGAACATACTCATGGAAGGTGTTCATCCTTTCCCAAATCCTCGTAGAGGTGCCCTGGCAATTCTGTCTCGGAGTTTGCTCCTGGGCTTCGTTCTACTGGGCAGTCTTCGGCACAGGGCAATCTTCTCAATCCACCGTCATTGTGCTCCTCTTTATCTGTCAATTTTTCATGTACGCAGCGAGTATGGCCCAGTTTGTGGTCTGTGCTATTCCCGAGCCTACCCTTGCTGCTATGATCGCAACTCTCATGTTTGGTCTGTCTTTCCTCTTTAATGGAGTGATGCAACCACCCAGTGATTTGCCGCGCTTCTGGATCTTCATGTACCGCGTGTCTCCATTTACCTACTACATCGGTGGAATCAGCGGTGCCGCTTTACATGGTCGTGAGGTGATCTGTAGCAGCGATGAGCTCAACGTCTTTGATCCTCCAGCCAACCAAACCTGTTATCAGTACATGTCCAAGTATCTTGACACTGCTGGTGGAGCAATCTACAACCCCAACGCTACTTCGAACTGTGAATACTGCAGTATGACATCTGCAGATGATTACCTTGCTGGCAGAGAGATCTACTATGATGATCGCTGGCGGGATTATGGCATCTTCTGGTGCTATTTCGTTTTCAATATCTTTGGTGCGATCGTCTTGTACTATTTGTTCCGAGTGAGAACCTCCAAAGCCAAAGTTGCCCGGGGTTAAGTCGAGTTCCAAGATTCCATGGAACTCATGACTGCCCAGGTGGGCACATGTGATTTTTTTTTCTCTTCAAAAATTCTTCTTCTCTTTTCTGAGGCACTGTCTTTTCCGAGACACTGGCGTTTGAAGTATACCATAGACTCTACTCATTCATGTTCATAATTATCCTGCCATACATAGCAAATATGGGCTTTTTTAATTCTAAATTTATTTTCTCTCGATTCAACTTCCCAACTGTGATACAAGTCAAATTATCCGAGAGCTGCATGTACATATAGCCATGTGCTACGTGCATGTATAGATCACCAGGTGACTCGTGTTCGTATTCAACCACATGGAAAAGCTTGGCACAGTCTAGCCATGCGGGGTTTGGTGAACTGGGGTACAATTTCAACTTCAATCAACTTCATTGGTTCCGAAGGTACATTTGTCCCGGGTCTTACGTTGTCACCTGTCAGCTCCCGTTCAAACGTGGTATAGCTCTAATTTCTGAACTTCCTCTCTTCACCTTCTTTTTCCCCCTCATATTGTGCAACTTGAGCTACTAAGCTACTCCTGGGCTACGATTAGCTGTTCTAGCTACCCATCATGGCTCGAGCTGCCGCCCAGGGTATCCTCCAAGGAGGGAATCCCGCTAAATATGATTCCTCGAACCCTATCGTGATGTTCATTATCCAGGTATCCCTACTGACTCCTTTTTTTCTCTCTTATTCTTCGGCGTTAAAAGAAATCTCCATAGATACTAACATGGCTCGATTTAGGCGGGTATCATCATCATCCTTTGCCGACTCGTCCACTGGCCTCTTTCCAAAATTCGTCAACCCACTGTAATCGCTGAGATTATCGTTGGAATTCTTTTGGGCCCAAGTTGCTTTGGACGAATCCCAAAGTAAGTGTCAATGTGTGCAAAAGTACTTGTGCTCTTTCTACCGTGGGGTCCGAAAACCCGATAACTAAACCCGATCATTTCCTAGATTTACCGAGACTATATTCCCATCAGAAAGTACTCCCGCGCTAAGTGTTGTGGCTAACCTGGGTTTAATTTTATTTTTATTCTTGGTTGGCTTGGAAACAGACTTGCGCTTCCTTATGAGAAATTGGCGCGTGGCATTCAGTGTTTCAGCTCTGGGAATGGTTCTGCCCTTTGGGTTGGGTTGTGCCATTTCCTATGGACTATATAATCAGTTTCAAGATGATCCGGACACTGTTCCGACGTCCTTTGGCACTTTTCTTCTGTTTATTGGTATCGCGATGGCGATCACAGCTTTCCCTGTGCTGTGTCGTATTTTGACCGAGCTGAAACTTCTCGGAACTGATGTTGGTGTCATTGTGCTTTCAGCTGGTGTCGGAAATGATGTGGTGGGATGGATTCTGCTCGCCCTCTGTGTCGCCCTGGTGAATGCTGATAGTGGTATCACTGCGCTATACGTCTTGCTCGTGGCTGCCGGATATGTGCTGTTTCTAATCTTTGTGTTTCGACCTCTGTTCATTCGTTTCCTTAAGTATACTGGCGCTTTGCAGAAAGGTCCAAGTCAGGCCGTTGTGATGACTACCTTGGTTTGTACCCTCGCCTCAGCTTTCTTCACACAGGTCATTGGTATTCATGCCATTTTTGGAGGCTTTGTTCTTGGCTTGATGTGTCCACATGAGGGAGGCTTTGCCATTAAGCTGACGGAGAAAATCGAAGATTTGGTCGCGACCATCTTCCTGCCTCTTTATTTCGCTCTATCTGGACTGAGCACCAATCTGGGACTCCTGGACTCTGGCATCGTCTGGGGTTATGTTGTGGGTATTATTGCCATTGCCTTTATCGCTAAAGTCACTGGAGGCGCTATTGCTTCCCGGTACTGCGGTATGTTGTGGCGCGAAAGTTTTTCAATTGGAGTTTTGATGAGTTGCAAGGGATTGGTAGAGCTGATTGTTCTGGTAAGTTCTAAATCTTCAATTGTCAATCTTCGTCTTGGGGAAAATGGATCACTGATCGGAAATTCCAGAATATTGGTCTCCAAGCCAAGATTCTCAGCACGCGTACATTCACCATGTTTGTTGTCATGGCTCTTGTCACAACATTTATGACTACTCCATTGACCATGTCGCTCTATCCCAGCTGGTATCAGATCAAGGTGGCTCGCTGGCGACGTGGAGAGATTGATTGGAATGAGAATCCGCTCCCACAGGGAGATCGTTCGGATAGTGTTACGGCTGTCAAGGATCAGCTCAAGACTGTGCCTGTGCGGAAACTGCTGGTCTATCTCCGCCTGGATGGCCTGTCTGGACTCTGTACTTTGGCCGCTCTCCTGAGTCCCAACCGAAATGCGACCCTGTCATCTCCTCAGGTGCACCCTTCAAAGATCCCGAAGCCAACTGAGCAGACTTTGGAAGATCTTGCTGCTCAACAGGTTGAAGATGAAAATCTCACTCTTCGTGTCAAAGGAATGCGACTTGTGGAATTGACAGATCGTGACTCTAGTGTTATGAAGGTCTCAGCGGGTGAATACGCGTTCTCAGATCCTGTGATCAACACATTCCACGCTTTTGGCGAATGGCATGATCTGTCGCTTATGGCCGGTGTCTCTGTAGTACCCGAACATTCCTACGCAGACAGTATTGTCAGCACGGCTGTTCAGGACACTTCCGACTTACTTCTACTTCCATGGAGTGAGACCGGAGCACTGGCAGACCGACAGAATGGAGTTGAGCTCGATACAAGCGGCCGATTCGCAAACGGTGAATACGCCGGCTTTGTATCTGAGATCTTGAACCGAGTCTCGGGTAATGTGGGTATCTTGATTGATCATACCGTGGATGATTCAAGCAAACGGCCGGCTTTGCAGCGGTCACCAAGCGATTTCGGTACCCAGGACACTACTTGGACTCGGCCCTCGCCAACAGGTAGTCGCTCCCACCACCTTGTACTCCCCTTCTTCGGTGGCGAGGATGACCGATTTGCTCTTCGTTTCGTCATACAATTGCTTCAAAGCGATCATGTCACCGCAACTATCATTCAGATCGGTTCTTCACGATCCAGCTCGCCTAAAGGCACTGGGTCATCGAGTGATACATCGGACGTAGTCTTCCTCGAAACATTACGTGATTCTATCCCCGCGGAACTTCAAGACCGAGTTGTCTTCCAATCATCACCGGCGCAGGACACCATTAGTGATCCCGCGCAGGTTGCCCTTGCTGCTGTACGGGCGGAACTGATTCACGCTACCAATAAGCCTGGCAGCATTGTGGTAGTTGGTCGCCGCAATGACCCTACTGAATCAATCGTTGAATTAGATCAGGATCAGGTTATCGATACTCGTACTCGCCAGGCACTGGGCGCAGTGGGCTCTGTGATGGTGCAGCCTGAGAATAAGGTGAATGGAAGCATATTGGTTCTTCAGGCTGGTACTAATGTATCTTCGGATAACACTCGTTAATATTTGCTAGTAGTATTTGCTCATGTGTGTAGCTCTGAGATTCCAAACATTGACACATGTGCACTGAGATGTATGTATGTAAATAATGAATCTATCCGATTAAATTGCTAGTGTAGATTGATTAAGTCTATGTATTATCAACTTGGATTTGAACACTATACTTTTTTGAAAGGCACAACTACGACCTTGTACCGTGACGCTGTAGTATTGACATGCGAAATGTAGAGTGAAGGGAAGGATTGAGATAAATGAGAGCATGATGGAAGGAGGTCCGAGGAATATTTACATATAACATTTGAAAAGAAATAGCGCCAGTGATGAATGGCGTTTCAGTTCCCTGTAGATGTATAGGTAGAGGGATGCGATCTCTGCATGAACCAGGGAACGCTGTACTGTTGATGAATGTTTCGGCGAGAGTCGGTATTCGACGGCGATATCTGAGAGGAAGGGAACGATATGATATCCTGAGAGCTGGAGGGCAGCTCATCTTGGTATGATCCTCGAGCGATAGCGACGAGTTTTCCAAGGATTGCGTATTCTAGTTTCAGTTTAATCCCGTAGGTCACAGGCTTGAACATGACCTGCACAGCATAATAGCCGATATATTCGATGGCGACGACGGCCACATCAAGGACAAGAATGACGATGTTTATCGCTAAAAGTTGAAGCAGAATGCCATGTGGTCGGCCTTGTGGACGAAGACGTAGCAATTTCCCCGTCTCCCAGACATAGAGACCGGAGATGATCAATTCCTGGACACAAAACCCGACGAGCTGAATTCGTTCCATGATGTTGTATCCATTTGCGAAGGCACTGGTCGGTTCTGCCACAGTTCCGTAGAGTAACACTGTTGTCGGGATCTGGAGGCAGATCGCATTGATGATGATCATGCCTAGAACTCCCCAGAGGATTTTCGAATTCTGCAGCACTAAGTGTAGACGAGACCAGAGGACCATCGATTGGCCTGTGATCATTGGAATCCAACCCAAGATAATCAAGGTCACGCAAACGTAGGATGAGACGCCGGTTGGGAAGAAGAGGAGAACGTAGCCGAGACAATGGGGGATAATAGCCGCGGACGAAATAAGCAAACTCCAGAAGTAGCATCCACGACGCCGCTTAAATGATGCAAAGCACAGAATAATGACTTCAATGGCATTGTGCCAGGCAATTGCAGCAAAGGCCGCAAAGACATTTGTAAGGACATTGTTTCCTTCGGAGTACTTGCGTACTAGGGCGTCCGCGACATCGGAAGCGCTATCAACCGGCATATCATGAGCGAAGGGTGCGCATGGCTCATGGAATTGGGAAAGACTGGAAACAAGAAGTCTCTTTTTCCCTTGAAGTTCTCCTCCAGCACTCTAAGGGGGTAAAGGGTGCCAAAAAAGAATACCCTTGCGCGGGAGAGGGGAAAGGGTTTTAGTTCACAGATCTGTCGATCTCTCATAAGGTTCCTGCTGGTCGGAGATCTGGACCCTAACACTATTGATGATGTTGCGGTCAGACCATTTTGTATGTGATCGTGCGGGTCTCCCTGCGCTCTATGCTTCTCCGCTACTCCGGGAGGCGAGTGAACAAGAACGAGGGGAAGCGGACGAAGAGTATTGCGGAGTCCCGCACGCAGAATTTGAAATGCTTGACAGCTCAGGGGGTATTGGTTCCATGGATATAGAGACGTTGTCTCCATGGAATCCCCAGCCTATGAGAAACTCGACTTGCGGGGAAGACGATCCAAAATCCACTTTGGATTTCCAAAAATTGCACTCGGTGATGTTTCATGCACTGAGAGGGAAACCCCCCATTGTACCCAGGTGGATCTTCGGGATCGACGAGACAATCTGCTCCAAAGGTGGACATCATTGGATGTAAGGGGTTCAACATTTGAAGTTGGGACGGGAAGAATGTGGATGGTGACTTCCAAATGTTCTGCATTTACTAGTAGTAGAGAACAGTCAAAGTCGAGTTCTCAATGCCTGCTGCACACTACCAGTACACCGAAGTGTGTACTAGGAACTTGTTACAAAATACTATTAGTGCTTTGTAACGTTAAAGTTATATGCAAATTCAAGTTAGAACTTGAAGGTTCAAATCAACGTTTGAATACGAGCACTGGCACTTGAGGGACTTCATCTCGATCCTGATGCACATGTGGGATTAACATTTGAAAGGTTCGATGTTTCATAAAAGTCACAATTATGGATCTGCAGTTCAGACTAATGCACATTGCGTATCAAAATTTGAAGCTGAAAAAAGCTTCACTACAAGAGTATGTGTTGATTGGTGCTTCATATCCTCGGGGCTATAACCCGGATTCCCCGGCTATAATAAGGACCAATTCGTGCCAGTGTCTCCTATTTAGATCTCAAACTTGAACTCAAGTTCTTGAATGCGGGGTTTGAGGTAATTTTAATTATGTTAAAGTTATCATCAAGGTTACATATGGATGTGGCGCGTACTAGTACTCCATACATACTGAAAAGGGGCCAACATTGAACTGGCGTTGCTTCAAGTTAAGATTTGAAGATATACTCATAGTGGCGGGTTCAAGTTGATGATAACATGGTCAGTGACTCGGAAACATGGATTTCAAATATTCAACTTGAAGTTTATCAATTGACTCGTGATACCTTTCCTAGTAATATGAGCACTTTCATACTAGTAGTCCAACTTGAAGTAGGACTCTTGAGTAGTCAACTGGTGGTTTGAGAGGTCACGGGATTGGCGGTGGTCTCAGGTGCCAAATATATATTCCATTTCAACTTGAAGTTCTACTTCAACGTCAACTTACCACTTGTCACGGTGGAAGAATTTGAAGACTCCATATAAACAATCCAGTCGCCTATATCCCGTTCAATCTCATCCAAACCCCCAAAACCTGAACTTGATCCTGCAAGGACTTTCAACCAAAGCAGCCATGGAAATAGGCCATGGCCAGAACTGGAACACCCGTACGATCCCAGATCGGGTGACGTCAGGAACCTCGATCTACCCTCGATCCATGACATCCTTGGACTCGGACACATTCCCAGAGCTCAAAAGCCTGGCACGCGTCCCTTTCACAACAAAAACATCGAGGGTAATGCGATTGCGACCGGAACATTTGCTTCAATCCTCGTCTGTATTCCCTTGCCGTCCCTTTATTCCCACCCGATTCTTTATTCACAGAGTCTCAATGGCACCAAAGCGAAAAGCACCTAAACAGGAGAGCTCAGAGCCGGAGGCAGATCACGATGCCGGAGCAGCCCAACACTCACGAAAGAAAGAGCGCCGGCTCGATCTCAATTCGCCGCATCCCAATGCCCAGCAAACCGAAGATTTCGGTATTGTCCTATGCGAATTCTACCCTCCCGAAATGAGCAACGAGCGTTGTCAGGCATACAACGATGGGACCCTCGAACGACCCATTCAAAGTTTGGAGAAAGCATGCCAAGAGACAACCGATCGAGTGCGCGACGTGTCTGCAGGTCAAGCGGTTGTCCACTGGTTCAAGAGTGACTTGCGTCTTCAGGATAATCGGGCCCTCCATATGGCCTACGAAATTGCCAAGGAGAACCAGGTACCTCTGATTTGCCTGTATATCTTGTCGCCAGAAGACTTGACCGCTCATATTGCAAGCCCTGCCCGCGTCGATTTAACGCTGCGCACTTTGCGACAGCTTCAGCGCGACCTCGCCGAATTGGACATACCCCTTTACATGGAGACCCAAGAGAAACGCAAGGATATACCGGGTCGCATTGTGGAGTTAATGCAACAGTGGGGTGCTAACCACCTCTGTGCCAATATCGAGTACGAAGTGGATGAGCTGCGTCGCGACGCGAAACTTGTTCGCCTGTGTGCTGAGAAAAATATCGACTTTGCACCCTCTCATGACACTTGTGTCATACCGCCCGGTGCCTTGAGTACTCAGCAGGGTAGACAGTACGCCGTTTACACCCCTTGGTATCGCTCTTGGCTTGCCTTTCTCAAGGAAAACCCCGATTACTTGGAGCTATCGGAGAAACCTGGCCCGAACCCTGGGGATGCTCGACAAACACTATCGGAGCTCTTTGATTGTCAACTGCCGGCTACTCCTGAAAACAAGAAGCTCACTGACCAAGAAAAGAAGCGGTTTGAGGAGCTATATCCTGCTGGTGAGCATGAAGCGCTCCGTCGTCTCGATACTTTCTTGGAAAAGAAAGCTCGCGAATACAATGACAAGCGAAGTATCGTGTCCGGCGAGCACACCTCGGCTCTCAGCCCTTATTTTGCATCTGGGGCACTCAGTGCTCGAACTGCGGTAGTGACAGCCAAGCGTGCGAACAAGAATCATCTCGATCGATATGACGACGGATTCATTACCTGGATCAGCGAGGTTGCGTGGCGTGACTTTTACAAACATGTACTGGCACATTGGCCCTTCATTTGGTGAGAGCGCCCGTCCTCTTTAGCTTAGTGATGCGTTGAAGCTAACGAAGAGTAATCCTAGTATGAACAAGTGTTTCAAACCGGAGAGCACTAATATCGAATGGGAGTACGATGCTGATCAATTTCAAGCGTGGTGTGAGGGTAAGACCGGGTTTCCCATAGTGGATGCTGCGATGCGCCAGATGCGGCACTCTGCATGGATGCACAACCGAACCAGAATGGTGGTTTCGTCTTTTCTGTCTAAGGATCTCTTGATTGACTGGCGAAGAGGAGAGCGATATTTCATGGAGAATCTGATCGATGGAGATTTTGCGTCGAATCATGGAGGTTGGGGATTTGGTTCTAGCACTGGAGTTGATCCACAGCCATATTTCCGAATCTTCAACCCCTTGCGACAGAGCGAGCGATTTGACCCTGACGGCGACTACATTCGGAAATGGATCCCTGAGCTACGAGATGTACAGGGCAAAGCGATCCATGAACCCTATGAACGCGGTGCCGGACCCATTGCTGAGAAGAATGGTTACCCTCGACCGATGGTAGACCATTCAGCCAGTCGTGAGCGTGCATTGGCAAAATACAAAAGTGCCTTCCAGAAGTAAGCGGTCCGACCGTCCAGATGTCCAGATGTCAGAACGGATTGATGTAATCGTAATGTTTTTAATATATTCAATAACATCAAAATTACCCTCGGTTGGAGTTGCCAATGTGTAGCTCAAGGCTATTCCTAGTACTAGTATTTGCATGAAGTTACGGTGTGCAGTCTTTGTATAATCAACTTGAATTCCAGAATAATAACTTCAAGCTCTACGTTAAATAGTTCTTATATATAGACTATATCGTATCATCTGAATATAATAAATACTATGCAAGGATAACAATCAATAGCAATGATAGATGAACATGCACCCCAAATACCCCAGTAATCATATCTCCTCTCCGATTGGTGGTCTCATCTAAGACATTCTCTCTCCACAATTTCCCCGCAGCCAAATTGTTAAAATGAGTGAGAGAGAGAGACTTGTTACTTTCGTGTACTTTCATACCTTCTCTTTAATGACTTATAATTATTCCCATGGAATCCCAACCAGGGGATTTACAGTCAGGTCCCGTTGACCTTCCAAATGGAAAGCGACGATGGCGTCGAAATCGCGTGGCTTGCGATTCGTGCCATACTCGCCGAGTCCGATGCGACCGGGCGTTCCCCTGTTCACGATGCCTACGCAGTGATACGCACTGTGAGTTCACTCGCGAAAGAAGGAAACGAGGACGAATCGCGCGTGTCAAAGGAGGAACTATTCCAACTACAGAGACTTCTACCTCAAACTATACTAGAAGGGAATCCAGTGGAGATCCGAAACTTCCTCCACGGTCGGTCTCACCACCGCGACCGAGTTCTTCTGATTCAGCCTCTCACCAACCCTCGCCCGCGACTAATGACTTGAGTCTTTCTGCGCCCAGTGTCGGGGATGGCCCTCGTGCCTCCAGATCGGCTGCCGATGGAAATAATCCGACGGAGGAATGGCTGTCGGCGGCGCAATTATCGCCAGATTCATATGAAATGCTTGGAGGGATAAACGGAATGAATGGAGGAGATGGCCCTTTACCTCGATTGATGGATATATGGAATCCAGTGGACCTGACGGGCCACCACCCTCCACGACCTCCGCAAGTTCAATCCATGCCAGCGCCAAATCTACCTGGTCCACCTCATACTCCTGCGCCACGATCCACGCTGAAGTACCCTGTGTTGGAACCGATCATGCCATTCTTGGAGTCTAATCTTCCCCGTCGTTTGGTATGCGACCTGCTGGAGCTTTATTTCACAAGCGCTTTCTCGACTCACATGCATCCAGTGTGCCACCATATTCATTGTTATGTCTTGCGAAAGGCTTCATTTTTGAGTCCCGATCATCCTCGACCGAGTAGCCCGGCCTTGCTGGCGAGTATGCTTTGGGTTGCTGCTGTCGATGACCGAGCTTTCTCCTTGTCTATTTCCCCGCTGCAACGCCGCAAGATATGCCAATTTCTTTGCGCATTGACCATGCGACTGCTTCGACCGCTGATTCATGTCTCATTCAAGGACCAAGAACAGTCAGAGAATTCCCATGGATCTCAGGATTTTGCTTCAGCTTCCACCCACCGTCCGTTTGAAGGAGCGGGCGATGACAAGGGACTGATCGGTCCAGCTGGCTCGCTCGATGACGTGATAACATACATTCATGTCGCCTCCATTATTTCTTCTAGTGAGCAAAAGGCTGCTAGTATGAGATGGTACGTACTATTTCTATTCACTTCTCACAATCTCTCAATTATTGGGGTTTGAGTTATCTAATATGACTGTAGGTGGCATGCGGCTTTTACACTGGCCCGAGAGCTGAAGCTCAATCAAGAGATTGAAATCGCCTCCAATGTAGAAGGGCAGAGCGCTGGATCAAGCCCTTCGTTTGACTATCCTCTGGCAGGCTGGGCAAGCTCCCCAGGTGGCCCCGTCTTTGATTATTCAAACCCTTCACGCCCTAGCTTGAATTGTGTCTGCGAGGAGAAGAATACTAATCCTCATAACAACTTCATCGTTACTGAAGAGTACCGCGAAGAACGACGACGCACCTGGTGGCTTCTATACATCATGGACCGTCACCTGGCACTGTGCTACAATCGACCACTTGCCCTGCTTGATGCTGAAAGTGAAGATTTACTATTGCCATTAGATGAGGGCGCATGGCAAAGTGGGAATATCCACACCAACAGCCCGCGCTCTGATGGACCGCAATGTATCCGATCCGGTGATCGTAACAAACGTCGGGTTTTTCCAAACTTTATCTGTCACGACCATTCCATTCTTGGATTTTTCCTCCCCCTGATGACCATTACTGGTGAGCTGATTGATCTAAATCAAGCGCGCAATCACCCCACGCTTGGCTTACGCCTACAAGGAAAAGAAGCATGGGAGGTCCATGTTGCGGAGGTCTTGCGACAACTCGAGATTTACAAAGCGAGCCTCACGACATTCGCCGCAGCAACGGCCGCTGACCCCGACTCCTCTCTCTCCACTGCATGTGGGTTTGGCTCCAAAGCCGACCCGCCCGTGGATGCACAACTATCACAAGCTTACTCGTGGCATACGCAAACCGTGATCGCCTATGCATCCTACCTTGTTCATGTTCTCCACATTTTACTCGTCGGGAAGTGGGACCCTGTGTCCCTGATCGAGGATAAGGATTTCTGGACATCCTCTCCAGCATTTGCATCTACGATCTCGCACGCTCTGGAAGCTGCAGATTCGGTGCAGCAGATCTTAAGGTTCGACGCGGATATCAGTTTTATGCCGTATTTCTTTGGCATTCAGTTGCTTCAGGGCAGTTTTCTATTACTTCTTATCGTCGAAAGGTTACAGAAGGAGGCTGGCGAAGGAATTCTCAACGCATGCGAAACAATGATTCGGGCCACTGAATCATGTGTCGTCACTCTCAACACGGAATATCAACGGAGTTTTCGACAGGTCATGCGCAGTGCGGTTGCACAGGCTCGTGGTCGACCTGTCAACCCCAGTGAGATCCGACATCGCCGCAAGGCTGTTTTGGCTCTGTACAGATGGACTCGTAAAGGGACCGGACTGGCATTGTGAGGTTTTTTTTTCAGGGCTACCGCTTTCTGCGTATGGCTTGTTTTGGGGTATCTAGGTGTTTGGGAGGTACATTTTCAACCTTTTGAGTATGGCGTATTGGCATTGTACCTAGTACTATCCTGCAATATGGGAATCCCTGGAGTTTGATCTATTCAAAATAATGTGATGTATTCCAAGGAATATAATCATCTGAACATTGTCAAAATACGGTGTATAGAGTACATTGCATGAGCTCGGAATATCCGATAATGGTTAGGATCTAATCAATTTCACTCTTGTCCACGCTTGCGTATACACATGTGCATGAACTGTTATCATTCTTATTGAAAAGCACGTCATTAAGACGAGGCTCCACCTGGAAAGAGCTTCAAGTTTGAGATCCACTTGATATTCTCCATCACATATCAATCTTATCATTCATCCACGTCCACTACCGACACAGAGGTTACAATTATCCTTGGTGCAACTTGACACAGGGTCTGTACTTCTTTCCCAATTTTGATAATGATTTCTATATAAAATTTGAATAATATAATAATCATAGGATGATAGGAATATGATGGTGGATACTCTCCGCCATTGTGAGCAAAGATGGCATCATCACCATCTCCACATGGGGGGGATCCACCTCGTGCTTTGCCGTTATGGAGTCTCCGCATAAGAGTCCAGATTAATTCGAAATCATCGTCACTGATAACGGTACTTACTCGGCTATCGTGATGGATTTTATTTTATTCTATTTTTAATTTCATTTTGGTTTTCTTTCTTCTCATTTTCCCCCCATTGATGTGGTCTTCATACCCTATACCAAGATGAAGCTATTCACTACAATTGCCAGTCTTGTCGCGGCAGCCGAGGGCGCTGCTCTTGGACATGGCATCGATGTGCAAAATGTACTTCAGTCAGTGCTCAGCATAGCAGAATCGCATCAATCAACAAAACCACCAAATTTCCTCTTTGTGATCACTGATGACCAGGATCTTCAACTGGACTCAATCTCATACACACCGCACATCTTGAAGCATATGCGGGATAAGGGAACCTTTTTCCAAAATCATTTCGTCACGACTGCGCTTTGTTGTCCATCTCGAGTTAGCCTATGGACTGGCCGTCAAGCACATAATACTAATGTTACAGATGTCAGTCCACCACACGGTAAGTGGCCCCTGCGACCGAAAGCCAAAAAAAATACGACTAATCAAGCAAAAGGCGGATATCCCAAATTCGTGGACCGTGGATTCAATGATAACTTCCTGCCGGTCTGGTTGCAAGAAGCCGGCTACGATACATACTATACAGGGAAAATGTTCAACTCTCATACAGTCGATAACTACCATAGCCCTCACATTAATGGGTTCAACGGCTCCGATTTCCTCCTCGATCCCTTTACCTACTCCTACCTAAACTCTACCTATCAACGAAATCATGACCCGCCAGTGAGCTACGAAGGGCAACATACAATTGAAGTTATAACGAAAAAGGCACTGGGATTCTTAGAGGACGCGCTGGAAGGGGATCGACCTTTCTTTGTCACAGTGGCACCTATTGCACCCCACTCAAATGTCGATCCAATGGTGCTCAACCATGACAAGAGTGATCACACGGGGATTTCAATGTCAGCGCCCATTCCATTGGAGAGGCATAAGCATCTATTCCAGGATGTGAAAGTGCCTCGTACCGAAAACTTCAACCCGAATGAGGTCAGTAACGAGTCAATTCGACTTGGGTGTCAAGAATACATATTAACAAAATGGATAGCCCAGTGGTGTCAGTTGGATACAGGGATTAGAACAGCAGAACCAAACCGTCGTCGACTATGGTGATTTCTTCTATCGCTCCCGTTTACAAGCTCTTCAGGGCGTGGATGAACTTGTCGATTCTCTTGTTACACGTTTGGAAGAGAGTGATAAGCTGGACAACACATATATTATCTACACATCCGATAATGGATTCCACATCGGACAGCACCGTCTGCCACCAGGAAAGACCTGTGGCTTCGAGGAGGATATTCGAGTCCCGCTCTTTGTTCGTGGCCCAGGCGTGCCTGAGGGGCATGTGCAAGATGCCGTGACAACCCACATCGATCTTGCGCCGACCATCTTCCAACTTGCGGGCATCCCTCACCGTTCTGATTTTGACGGTACTGCGATCCCAGTGACGCCCAATTTTGCTGGACCACGACATGAACATGTCACCGTGGAATTCTGGGGTTCTTCGGTATTTGAAGGAGATTACGGTCATGTTGGTAAGACTAACCCACCTGGGCAGCCAGTCTCCCACTAAACATGGAAATTGAGGCTAACTTAAGGGATTACTAGGCATTGGTGGCTCTACTTTCATGCCAAACAACACCTACAAATCCGTTCGTCTGTTGGGTCCGGGTTACAACCTCTACTATTCCGTCTGGTGTACTAATGAGCATGAGCTCTACGATCTTTCTGTAAGTTTTCCAAAAATCCCTAACTATTTAGCTCGGGCTAATAGATTCAACAAGACGGATCCGTATCAATTGCACAATCTCTACCCAAGTAGTCTTCGCAACGATGGGATCGAGCCTCAACTTTTGGGACGTGGCATCTCGCACACTATCCGACGACTTGATGCCCTTTTGCTCGTTCTTAAATCCTGCAAGGGATTTACTTGCATCGAGCCTTGGGAGAGCGTTCAGCCGGGACAGTCCATTAGTACCTTACGTGAAGCCTTGGACGAACGGTACGATCTGGCGTATAGCCAGCAGCCTGAAGTCTCATTCAACTGGTGTGACACTGGCTATGTCATAGCAGCTGAGGGTGCACAGGAACCGTTAACCACGAGGTATGGTGCTCCCTGGCACATCTGGGTGTAACATTCTTAAGATCTTAATTTCAAGTTCAACTTATATACCCCATATGACAAGATCAGTTTAGTAGATAGCATTGGAAGTGGAATAGATTCTACAATTCGCTATTTAGAAATTATTTGAAGTAGTAATTAAAATTGAGACCGATAATTCTAATGGAATTCACGCGAGAAAACCACAGGTAAGAGAGATGAGGAACGTGAAGGAAGCCCTTTCATACTACTTCATACTACCATGCATAATCCGCACAACCGAACCATCAGGATCAATCATACCATGTGCACTGAGCCTGAAATTAAAAAAAGACTACAGAATAAAATAATTAAAATCTGCCGGTATATGCCCTCGGCAGAGATAATGACCACACAGAAATTCCCTATAGCCCAAACTGACAGTGGGTCCGTTGTTCCGCAGCTCGTCAAGGGCGCCATGATTGCGCCATACCTCCACGTCTTGTCGCGACAGTCAACGGGGCCACAGTGACAGGCTTTGACAAGATCTAGAAGCCAATTACTTTGGAATGAGGGAGCTACGCAATCCCCGATAAGCGATCGGAAAAAAAAGTGTTTGTTATAAAGGGAGCTGCCCATCCAGGTGAAAAGAGAAATCATGAAGTGATCCAGACCTTTCATACCCTTCAATTCCTCCCCTTTTCACTGAGATACATTTTTAAGACTTTTGTTTGGAGTCTTGTGCACTTCATCATGACAAGGTTATCCCTGGACCAGATGTCTGATCAGGATACCATTCCTGAAAAGATAGCAGTCAATGAAAAGATCATTGATTCTCCTCCCAGCGAGGTAGAACATGGTATCATCAAAGACTGGGACAATGAAGAAGCCAGTATCCGACGCAAGTATGTTATACTCAGCTTGTTGATCTCAACAATGATGAAGATTGGGAACAATGACCACTAACAGTCGAATGAATAGAATCGATTTCATCCTAATTCCAACCCTTGCACTCGCTTTCTTCGCCCTGCAGCTCGACCGAGGCAATATCAGCGCCGTACTCACATCAACCATCACCAAGGATCTCGGTATCACCACTGATCAAGTCAATGTCGGTACCCAGCTGCTGTCGGCTGGTATCGTGCTCGCAGAAATCCCTTCAAATATAATCCTGCAACGCATTGGACCGCGTGTCTGGCTTTCAGGACAATTGTTCGCATGGGGTCTGGTGGCTACCTTCCAGGCCTTTGTGCAGTCCTACCCCGCATACTTGGTGACTCGCATCCTGCTCGGTCTCTGTGAAGGCGGTTTCATTCCTGGTACTTAACATCTCCTTCATATCATTAGCCCCGTATTTCCATCATACTAACAATATTTGTCTTCCTCATAGGTGCTCTGTATTACCTTTCGACTTGGTATAAGAAAGAGGAGACCAGCATGCGCACAAGTTTCTTCTTCTATGGTCAGATGTTTGCTTCCGCTACGTCAAGCTTGATCTCTGCTGGAGTGCTTAAGTTGGATGGAACTTGCGGAATGGCGGGTTGGAGATGGATCTTCCTCAGTGAGTCAGACTAGCTCTGTCAGAATCAAGTCCAAAGGCTAATCTCAACCCCAGTCGAGGGTCTGATCACCTTGTTCATTGGAATTGTGTTCACACTCCTAGTACCGCCCAAAGCGGGCGATGGCCGACCACTTATTTCCATGGGCCGCTGGAGTTATTTCACCGAGCGCGAATCTCAAATCATTGTCAACCGAGTTTTGTTGGATGATCCACGCAAGGCTCGTGGTCAGATTCAGATCTCTCGATCGGATATCTGGAAGACTGTCAAGCAGCCCCGTATTTGGCAGCATGTCATGCTGACTCTCGTCTCCATGTCCGGCTTCCAGGGCTTGACTCAATACAGCCCGTCTATGATCAAGTCGATTGGGTTCAGTGCTGTTAAAGCCAACGCCTTAGCCTCTGTCGGTGTTTATTGTGGTATTGTGTGGTTGACTATTCTGGCCTTCTGCTCGTAAGTCCATCGAAAATCTAGGTTGAAAACTTGTTCAGTAACTAATCACTGGGAAATAGGGATCGAACTGGTCACCGTGGTCCATTCGTCATGCTCGCACTCACCTGGAATTTGATTTCCTATGTTTGCCTGCGGACTGATTCATACGACTCTCCCAAATGGCACCGATATGGAGTGATCACCATCGCCAACGTCTCTTATTGCAGCATGCAGTATGTATTTCTCACTCCGAATTGGTTGGAAGCGGAACTGACTTTTCATCTCAGTATTCTTAATGTCGGATGGCTGTCCTTATATTGCAAAACTCCTCAGGAACGAAGTGTTTCCATGGCGTAAGTTCACCATGCCCCCTTTGATCTGTATAAAATGCTAATATGTTATCAGGCTGGTTGTTATGGCTGCGAACTGTGCTGGTATTTCAGGTTCCCAGATCTTCCGTACTGCAGACGCTCCCAAATATGTGAAGGGTTTAACGGCAATTTGTGCTCTGGCTGGAGTGGCATGGGCGCAAGGAGCATTCCTCTCGGTGCAGTACTACTTTCAGCGCAGAAAGGCCGCTAGCACAGATGACAAGGAGTCTCAACCGAGCAGTCTGAGCAACTTATGATACACTTAGAGTATATTGTTTCAAGTTCTGAGAGAGGGATTTAATGATTAATGATAATTTCAAATTCTTTTTACCGATCGCCATGGGTACTCGCACTCTTTTCTCCGTATGCCTTAAATTAAACTAACCGTGTAGATGAAGATTTCAGCCTTAAAGTATGTTCTATTCAAGCCTTCACTTCAATCGAGGTAAAATAGCCGTGAAAAGTCTGAGCCCTCCAGGGCTGCCCAGGTGGATGTGAATTCTTCCGGTCATCCTCGGTTGAAATCTACTAGCATTTATAGTGTACTTTCAAGTGCTACATAACATTTGAATCTCCAGGTTCTCGGGAACTTGAATTCCTGTACCTTGCGTGAAGAAAACCTGGTCTCCATGTGGTCTGCTGCAAGATCATTCAACATTATAAGCCAAATCCGGGGAATCTTCCTGCACAAGTGCATAAATCAAGTCAATTTTCTCTTACTCCTGCGGGGCTACTCGGTTAATAGAGAATGTAGACCTGGTTACCGAGCATAGTGGAATTGACCGATTGGTCCATCATAAGACTCGGTCCGATCCGCCTAATATAATGTAATATAATCTGGGGAAAAGAACTCGGTTAATATACATCACATGTGCATGTGGTGCAACGTTATCAAAGCGTGCCTTACATGAATTGACCCGTTAGGTTGAGCTTCCTAGCTCGCTTGCAGAGCTTCCTCGCTTTTTCTCCGCAATTTGTTTTTAATTGAAATATGCCCCGGATTTGCGGGGAAACAGTTTTTTTTTTCTTTTTTTTGATCGTTTGTTTTTTTTTTATCTTATTCTGGTGTACATTGTTCATGTGCATTTTACTCAAGTGTTCACAGTGCCGACCTCACGAGGAAAACAAGCTCTAAAGGTCATTTCTTCACCTTTATTCCGAGAAGCTTGAGCTTAGACTTCTTGATCGATCTTGAGAGAATCAAAAAGCACGACTGTGCTCTCCTTCAAAATGAGCAACAATCAAGAATGCGCTAGTGCCGTTCAATGGCCACAGGTCCATTTTCAAGACCAAGAGACCCAATACGATCTTCTCAATGAGATGGTTGATGTGCAGATGCTGCAGCAATCCTTTGTTTGCGACCCACTCGGGTTTTCAAATGACCCAGACGCATGGGCGTTCGAGAATCAAATGAATTTCGGTAGCCCACTAGGACTACCCAAGGATTATGATCAGCAATGGCAGCTCTGGAATCAGGCAAACCTTGTTAATCCAGAAGGCGACGAGGGATTATTCATGACAAGGTAAATTGATTTGAATCTCGTTAGAATCTGCTAAGACTATGACTGACGAGAACCTTCCTTGCAGATTCTTGAACAACAACGGCGACATACAAACTATGCAACATCCAGACGAAGCACAGAAACAACAAGGCTTCTCGCGTTTGGCAGCAGAGAGAGCTCTCTTCATGACTCCTCTGACCCAAGCGACATCTACCTCTACCTTTCCAGGTTCCCCATTATCCGACCTCTCCAGTACAACGGAATTCAGCCACATCACATATAACCAGTGGGAGGTTGACCGAGACCGTGACGAATTCCGCTCCCCTATCTCAGATTCTATGTCTGATGTTCACTCTGGGACACAGAATCGCAGTGGACCTAGTTGGTCGACTACCTGCCATCCCCTCACAACCGACAATGACTACCCTGCAGTTCTGGAGATGCCCGACGGATCCACTCGCAGGAACAGCAACTGGCTTCCGGTAGATCCAAATGCTGGCTTCACAATTGGATCATGCTCATATTCAGATGGTCGGAATCCAAAAGAGTGCTTCGCCCCAGAGGACATTCATGATATTCAGGACGCTTTCATCTCTCATGGCTCTGCTCAATGGATGTATGATGGATGAATTCCTGGCGCTTCAAAAGCTATTCGACACAATTAAAACAAATACGGTCACTTCATTCTAAAGGCGGAAATGATCCTTGATTTATTCAAATGGCCTCGATCAGGAACATCTTGATTGAGATGCCCATATTCTCAACAAGGCTTCCAACATGCCACACGCACACAAATGGCTATCTCAATCCGTGGTCGCCATTTGACAAAAGTCAAACTATCAATGATTTGACAATTCATTATCCATCATACCCGTCATTGGGTTCCAAGTTATGGCTTATTTTTGTTAAAACAAAACCTTGCCCCGGAGAAATTGCAAGGGTGGCAAGGCTATACAGCTAAGATGAGGAGAGCTACACCAGAAGCCTGCATGGTCTGCTCACAGTCGCCCCAGTCAAGTCAGCTGGAGATTCATCATATGTCATCATAGTCAGAGCTTGAATCCTTAAAAGCAAAATTCGGACGGTCGGGAAGCGCGGTATCTCACATGTGCAGACTCAGTTGAGGAGTTGAGTAGACCTAGCTTCCCGAACATTAAGTGGGATTTTACACGTCAAGTGCAATGCCCAAGCACTTGAGGGCTTTTGGGGCTCAGATATGAAACCTTGCGGCGTTAACTTTGGATATGTGAAATAAATTATTAAAATATCACTAGAAATATGCTCTCGCGAGCGGGTTTCAACTTCTTCGTTCTGATCAGTAGGATCTAAATTTGAATAAATAGATGGAGATGGGTATTTCCAAATTTGCATTGTTATTTACATTATATATGATGAGGTTCTCGAATCATTCACCCCATTTCAATGTTGGTGAAGACTGTCGAAGTAAGTATAGTACACTGTGTAGTCAAGAAAGAGAGTCCATCTCACTCATGCTCGTACACATCTCGCGATTTGTGAATTTCAAATGCCAAATTGCATGCCGTTTGATAAAATGAATGGAACTGCTCTTCCGCGGGATCTTCAAGTTCAACCTGGGAATCCGAGGGTTTGATGTCGGCTTGGGGAAGTTCCAAATCTAGCTGAACCTCATTGATCTGCGACGCAAGGAAGGGACCATTGTCGTAGAAGCGGTATCTGAATCTTCTGCCTTCGAAATCGTAGTATCGTACAGCAGTACCTCGCACACCCCTGAAAGGTAAGAACATATATTCGGCTAATGACTGATCTTCGCTAGCTGGAAGAGGAGACCCTGTAGAGACCAAGGATGAAAGAATGTTTCGCGGTAGGTCAACCTGACAGAACGGAGGAAGAGATGAAGAATGCGTGGGTGTGGACCAATCATGCTCAGAGGATGATTTAGCTGTGAATGCGTCACGTATAGGTCGTAAAACGCTACTTAGAAGGCCTTCGTATTCGCTTGATTCAGCAATGGCATCGGCGGACAACTCCAAGGAACGAGTGTGGGTGAAGCGGAGATCGAGGCCATTTTCGGGAAGCAAATAGTCAAGATTATTTGTGTCTAGGATGATCTTGATTTTTTGAAGCTCGATTTCGCCAGGCTTGGATAGAATTTGCACATCTATCTCGGGAAGACGGGCAGCAAACTTAGGCGAAGGAACCAGTCGGATAAAATGGGTTTCCATATCATCGTTTTCGCGCTCTGTTTCTGGGAGAGTGTCCAGGAAAGGCTTCATCCGAGGGATGTTATTGACAAATGTCCGGGGAAGGGAAAGCCTTCCAAGTTGTGATGCCGTAACAGCCGTCTCATTCAACATGGGTTTCTGGCCGAAAAGACATTGTCCAACTGTGGCTGTCATTGATTCACGGATGCTGAAGCTATTCTCATGATCCTTGAGTATCCTTGTGCGAGGCTGACTGCGAAGAAGTTTGAGTAATTCATCAGACAGTCGTGTTTGATGAGCAAGAAAAAATGGAGTGCGGTAGAGAGCCGGGACCGCAGTCTGAACAGCGGGCATGGCCCATCGAAACCATGATCCTTGCTTGTCAAACCAGGATCCACTGGTTCCTGGAATATAGCTGTAAATATGCGCAGGCTCCGAACCAGGCAGGTATGTGGAGAATAGCCGATTCGTGGGGCTAGGATGATGTACCGCCAATCCTAACGTTCTTCGGGCATGGTCGGCGCCAGTCTTATTCTCAACGAGATAAAGTACCTTGGCGGTACGTTTAGACCGTCCCTGGTCTATCATCACGTTGTATTCTTGGCACACCCAGTCAATGAAAGTTGGAGTCAAACGTGAACTATAGGCGGCGAGATCTATGCCCGTGTCATCCTCGCGAATTCTTGTTGTAGCATCTTGGATGATATCGCGAACTGAACCACACGCAGCTTTCAATCCCGTGATTCTCACCAATCCAAGGGCATGAGTGATGTCGATGCTAGACTGGTGGAGGGTTGCTAATTGGTCAAATGAGAAGTGATCCGCATTCAATAGCAGAGTAATAATCGGTCGAGAGAGGTAAAGATCCAAATGGCCCACTTCATCCACGAGAGAAAGTTCCCAGTGCTCTCGAATGATCCGTTCTGCGAGCATAGGCTTTCCCGTCAGGCTCGGTGTTGTACCCTGCCATGGGGTGCTAGTCCCTAACGGCATATAACCCTCCGGTCGCTGGTGGTCCGCATGCACTTCTGGTATAGATTCGTCGTTTTTGAGGGTAGCGAGGTAGGAGGAGAGCTGCTCAGTTGTGAATGATGATGATAAGGTGGTTTGAAGGTCTTCCCAGTCTTCGACAGTCAATTTTTGACTGGGCTGGTAGGTTTCACGTATTTCTTCCAGTCTCTTGCGAACAGTTTCAGGCCCGGTTACAGATGCCTCGTCCTCCAAATCCCCCAGGATGGAAGATATGGTCATTGGCGCATCTTTTCTAGCTGCAAGCTGGTCCTTGCGACGTAGCTGTTGCAAGGTCTTGTTGCGCCGCGGAGGCAGAACAACTATTTCACCGGGCTGTCCCAACGAGTCCACTCCAATCTCTAGCTTCAAAGCCACAGCCTGTGACTTTAACCGGCGGCGATGGGAGGTTTTATTGTTGAAAGGTTCATGACGTGTCGGTTGGTCGTTGGAAGACGAGCTTTGGAAACGAAGGCGAGTGAAGCAAGACTGACTCGGAATGGGCGATCGGTGGAGATTCGGAAAGGATGCCCAGATCCTTCGTGCATTGGGGTTATATGATCGCATTATGTTCCACGGCGCAGTGCTTGTCACTTCTGCTGTGAACTCGTCAACTTATCTTGAGAATTTCCCAGCAACACTAAGCCAAAATGGGGGTTTATCGATAAGGAATAAGATAAGATAAGAATTTATTTATCTTATCTCTTATCGTTCTTCTCTGTATACTGACACTGGAGATCATGATGGTTAGTTCACTAATACATAGAGAACGCTCTGATATCTACGTAGTAGTTTTGAATGTCCTTTTTGATAGGTGGTTCAATTTTTATATGGTACCACGGTCCACAGGTACACTATGGGCAGTACTATCCAGTGCACGACTCGGCCACTAGTCGCATTGTAGTATACCCGCTACTACTATACACCACTGGCAGGGCACTGGCGTTAGGGCAGAGTTCAAAGGTTCAAGTTTGGAGCTAATAGTAGTAGCAATAGTAACTTTGAGAGATCTAGATCACTGGAGCATCGGACTTGCATTTTGAACAATTTCAGTTTACTGTATCTCCCTACCATGGCGGGATCTCTTCTCCCACGCAATGCCACCCCCACGCGCAAGGTGGGATACTTCATGTTTCGGATCGTAGATACACCACATACCCCTCAGCATCCTGAGCCGTGTACATGTGTGTCTTTGACTTCACCGCTTCAAATCCCACAACCGAACCTTGCAGCATATAATTGAGACGTGATCGGCTACCTCCGTCTCTACTTGAATCCATCCAGTGTCAAGTACTCTCTTCACTACAACATTTCACACTTCTTTCAAAAGGTTACTTCCTCTCTCATACAACATGACGACCAAGGCCGCCATTCTTACCGAGAAGGCTCCTAAGCCACTACCGGGCATTTATTCACAGGCTATCATTGCCAATGGAGTCGTCTACTGCTCCGGCGCAGTCCCGATGGACGCGACTACCGGTAAATTAATTGAAGGTGATGTCAAGGCTCATACTGTGAGTTCATTAATTTTTCCATGATATTCAGGCTGTTTATGATTGAAGAGCCTTGCAATGCTGACTATACATCTTGCCATAATTCAGCATCAATGCATCAAGAATTTGACCCACGTCTTGGAAGAGGCGGGTACTGATATCACTAAGGTTGTGAAGGTTAATGTGTTTTTGTCCAACATGGATGATTTTGCGGAAATGAACTCTGTCTATATGCAATATTGGGGCGATGTAAAGCCATGCAGAACGTGAGTCGATCATCTTGAGCAGCGGATCTGGGAAATCACATTGGAAATCAATCTAACATACATCAGGTGTGTTGCGGTTAAGACGTTGCCACTTAACACGGATGTGGAAATCGAATGTATCGCTGTGCTTTGAAATATTCATGTCTCAAACGCCATGTACATATATCAAAAGAAGTACACATGTGCATAGAATAATGACATGGATGGATTCAATGAGAGAATTGCGAATAAAATTAAAAACATCCCGTATCAGACCGGTCGCCAATTTTGGAAGAGTCTGAAGAAGATTAAATTTCAACCTTGGAAATGTTCCTTGTGTAGTAATATTTTACCTTGAACGTAGCATGACTCTATCTTATCTAGATTGATGAAGCCTCAGACTCCCAACCTTGACTTAATCATGATTCAACTTGAACTGGATCATGATACCCTTTCCTTCCACGCGAGAGTTAAACCATTGCTTTATCTTAATATTTTCATCGCCGAAGATTCTTGCTCCACGGAGTAAGTCTTGCTCTACAACTTTGCAAACCCCCATAGTAACTTCTAACGTGCCCAAACTTTGTGCAATGCAGCTTCTAGTCCCCTTGCCAAAGGCAAAGAAGTGGTCTAGCATGTTTTGTGTGGGCAATAGCCATCTCTCAGGCGAGAAACGCAGGGGATCTGGGAAGACAGCCTCATCTTGATGGAGCTGAAAAGCTGAAATTCCAACATTTGTTCCAGCAGGGAAGTAATAGTCGCGGTAGCTCCAGCCCATCGCAGGAACTGTTCTCGGGAGCCGAATGGGATTGGTCCAAGATAATCGGAGTCCCTCCTTTACTGTTGCACGAAGATAGGGACATTTTGTAGGATCGTCTCCTTTTGAAACTGCATTTTGGACCTCTTCATGGAGTTTATCATATCTGTTCACACCGGTCAAGTCTCATTCGCTTTTATGGTCATGGTTTGAACTTACATCTCTGGGTATTTGGTCAGATACCAAATGATTGATGCGGTATTCATAGCAGTTGAGTCTGTTCCAGCAAAGCAGATATCTTTAACCTCAATTCGAGACTGTGCCGACGTCTGCTTCTCTAACAGACGGCTTTGGTAACTTCCGCTTTTAGGAACTGCGGTCCTGATGAGGTTGCTTGTGAAGCGATCGATCATCCCAAAGGCTTTTACTGACCCCTCACTTGACATTATATTTCCATGGATTGCCATGAAAAAATTGCTGATCTTCCCAGGAACCATATTAAAGAGTGCACCGACACCTACAAAGGCATCAACGAAAGGAGATGCTGACAGGCTCTTCAAGTTCTCTCCGAGCGCACCATACCGATTTTGGAATAGATACGCAGTCACAGAATCAATCGCCATACAACGAGACAGATTGAGGACATCGACTGGTTTTCCAGTGCGCAATTCATTTCGGATCTTCACTGCAAAGTCGTTGCTAACCTGCGACAGCAATGGCTCAGACTGGCGAAGTGAGGCCCTGGAAAAAAGAGGCGCGACAGATTTGGCTCTTGTCGCTCTTTCAGCAAGGGTCAGAGTGGAGAAAATCGTATTGTGTCCATCAATGTCAAATTTGGAGTATGCCGAAGATTTGGGGAATCCACCGCGGGTAATATAAATCGGTTCAATTGCGTCTGCGTTGGAGATGTCAACCTCATTTGGGCCAACCCGTAATACTGAGCCATATTTGCGATGCAGATTGAACACAACAGTACACTCATCACCAATATATGTGTGATAGGCAAGCCAAAGGGAGGTAAATGCCGCAATTTTTGGGCCCGGTACTTTCGAAAGTGGGTGGATGTAAAGTCTGTAGATCCATTTGACGGCAAGGCCCCCCCATCACAACAACAAGTCCCAGCCACACCAGTACGGTGAAATCCATATTTGCTAAGAAAGACATGGGTGGTTATTTTTGAGGGTTTGATCTGAGCCTCGATTGATATATGGAGATTAAGTAGACCCTTCTCTCCTAAAAGTAAATAATAAAGTGGAACTTCCACACGTGCAGTTTTAACTAGCAGGAATCCAAACTTGAACTGCGAACATCCAAATGCCGAGTGCGGGGTGATCAAATCAATATCAGGCATCACTATGTAGCCTGAGTCTAGGTCGGTCAATCCGAAAATTGATTATTTATTCATAGTCAGACAACGGTATCCCCGACATTTGAATGAGTTCTCATTCGTCCTGGACATGGATCAACAGTCTTATCTCCTGCCCCACCGAACGCGTCTCTATCTGCAGCATGGTGATAAGTTGATAACCCGAGGCACCTGGAGCAGGTGTCATTTCTACCCCCAAAAATCGTGATAACGAGGTCTATTTCAGATAAGGCGACCCTACTCTGGTTAAGAAACTTATATTTTATTCTCACACCCCCGCATCCATGTCGCTCAACCCGTCAGATTTTCATCGGCTCCTAGAAAGCGGATATGGCAGGCAAGGAGACAGTATTCGATACGTCCACTGACGAGGATGTCGCTCTTGAGCATCTCGGATATCAGCAAGGTCACAAAGCGAACATCAATCTGATCATAAATCTTGCAGCTAATCTTTATTGTAGAATTCAAACGGACTTTCAGCTTGTTTGACATGGTAGGATTTAGCTTCAGTATTGTGACATGGTAAGAGCTCATTCAAGTTGATTCTGTGGAACCTTTCCAATTGCTGATTCTGTTTGGTGAACCCAGTTGGACTGCATTGAGCGGTGTATTCATCATTGGTGTTGAGGCTGGCGGACCACCAGTCATGATATTCGGTTGGGTGGGAGTTTGTGCTATTACGATACTGATTGCCCTTGCTATGGCTGAGATGTGTGCCCGATGGCCGGTGGCTGGAGGTCAGTACTCATGGGTGGCCCTGCTTGCACCACCACGAGTATCCCGACAATTATCTTACATTACTGGATGGTTCATGATCATAGGTTTGTCTTCGCTACTTTATTTTTTACAAGGATCATTTATAACATGTCTCTTAGGTATTCTGGCTATGGGTTCAGTGAACAATTCTGTGGCGTCCAACTACATCTTAGGGCAGGCAAATCTAGTCTTCCCCAGCTACACCATACAAAGATGGCATACTGTTTTAGTTGCCTGGGCCGTAGCGCTTTTTGCTTTGGCTGTCAATGTCTTTGTACCGCATGCGCTACATCGACTTTCTCGCCTTATACTAGTATGGAATATTGGGTCGTTTGTGATTATCATTATCACACTTCTGGCGACCAATGACCATAAACAAGATGCAGAATTCGTTTTCAAGGACTTTCGCAATATGACTGGCCTGGGAGCTGCAATGGCGACAATTGTTGGCATTCTACAGAGTTTCTTCGGCATGTGTTGCTATGATGCACCTTGTCATATGACAGAAGAAATGACGCATCCCAGTCGAGACGCTCCAAAGTCAATCATCCTAGCAGTCGTTATGGGCAGTGTGACAGGCTTCTTTTTCATTCTTACCTTATGTTTCTGTATGGGCGATATTGAAAGCACGGCCAACTCGACGACAGGAGTGCCTGTTCTCGAGATTTTCTACCATTCAACTCAGAACAAAGCTGCCACTTGCATACTGGCAAGTATGATGACAATCATCATTTTGGTTGCATCTGTGAGTCTCATTGCTGAAGGATCACGATCGGTATATGCTTTTGCCCGAGATCAAGGACTCCCATTCTCAAGAATCTGGGCCACAGTCGAGCCGAGACAGAAGATTCCTCTTTACGCCATTTTCCTGACCCTTATCGTTCAATTAGCTTTGAATGCCATATATTTTGGAACAGAGACGGGATTTGAAACAGTAATCTCTATCGCCACAACTGGGTTTTGTAAGTTGAGCCATCTTGTGGATATACCCAAGGGAGATAGAAGCAACGTTGAGGATACATTGCTAACCATGGCTATTACCAGATGTATCCTACGGTCTTGTTCTTTTGTCACGGATTCTAGGCTATGTTTTTAGCCATCATACGTCCACTTTTACAGGACCATACGCTCTTCCGGTTTCCGTCTCAATTGCATTCAATGCGATTGGACTGGTATTCCTATTATTTGCTTCAATTACCTTTAATTTCCCTTCTGAAGCCCCGATAACCTCAAGCTCAATGAACTATACCTGTGCAGCGATAGGTCTTGTCGTTCTCCTCAGCTTTATCACCTGGTTTACAAGCGCAAGAAATCATTTCGCCGGACCCTCAGATGTAAGGAGTTTGGTGGTTGAAGTTTCGGGCGGAGATACTTTACCATTAGAGCAGTCTGGCTTTGCCAAGGTACTTGTACTGGATGATAAGCCAAGTGAAGATACATTATAAATCTATCTTCAAACTCGAAATCTGATTAATTATTATCTCAAGTTCTTCAAGGTTCTCAGTTCACCTTTATAGTCGTAACATGATAGCATGGGAATCAGCCCGTCTGTTGAGACCAGATGTGGAACACCTGATCCTCCGTGAGATATCACGTTCCTCCTCACTCCTATACACCACACAGGAGCACATTACATCCCCCATTCAGATTCTGCCTCGTCGTCGAAACATTGAGATCTTCCTCATTCTCCAATCTGACACTCCACATATCAGATACAGAGCAGGGAGCAGGTCCTCTTGGTGGCTGGAACTTGGGCCCTCTGAGCCCCACAGAGGATGATGTCAAGTTTCCCACACACGAGTCATGACCCACCGAGACCAGAAAAACCGTGGAATTGCTGGATGAATTTGGAAATCTGTGTATGTTTGAAGAAGCAAGATGTATAGAGTAGATGAGAACTCATTACTCATATGGCATTCCTTCCTCTGATTCTCTGCAAATTGACCCTTCAAGGTGGGAGCGGTCAAAGGTGGAGACGAACCTCGGGAAAAAACCTGCAGTGGGCGCACGCTGACAATTCTGAGGAACCCCATTGCCCCCCCTAGAAGTTGCACTACAGCCCGTAGGGGGCCCATTTAGTTGCAGATTGGGATCCAGATAGCTTGTTTGACTACCAATTCAGGTTCGATCGGCGCTCGCCAATCTGCGCTATTACATCGCGATCGCGCTGATCTTACCAACCAAACTGGACTGGTGGTGAACGATGGGGAATTCCTTGGCCACCAACCCCCTTTGAAGTCAAATGATTGGATTAAATATTATCTATGATCGAGGACCTCCACCTCAGCTGAAGATTGGTGGAAGCTGAAGGTTTTTTGTACTATGGTCATCATCATCCCCCCGCTCTATCGGAATGAAAAGCTCTTTTATTTTGATTTTTTAGTTTATTTTTCTCCTTTCTTCTCGTGTCCTTTGATCTTCTCCATTTCAAAGGCTATTTTCACTTTTCTATTTACTCCAGAGAACCCAGAAAGACTTCGACATTGGAAGTTGAAGTGCTGCAGACCATTTGACATTTTACTCCTGCGATATGCCGTCTGAGATTCCTGGCCCGCCTGGTGTGCCCTTGTTGGGTAACATCTTTGATGTCAATCCTAACGAAACCTGGAACTCTCTGAACAAATTGGCAGCCGAATATGGTATGTGAGATGCTACAGTATAGTTTGTGGTAGTAGTATAAGGCCTCGCTAACTTGTTTTTCCTTCATAGGACCGATTTTCAAGATCAGGCCATTGGGCCAGCAGATCGTCTTCATCTGCAGCGTGGCTCTCCTCGAGGAAATTTGCGACCAAACTCGATTCCGCAAAGCCGTGGAAGGCCCGGTGAAAGAGATTCGATACTCGGTCCATAAAAGTCTGTTTACAGCAGACGACGACGATGAGCGCTGGGGCGTCGCTCACCAAATTATGAAGCCTTATCTTACTCAAGAAGCGACCGACAGTTTGTACAGCGATATGATGGAGGTTGTTCCCGATCTGACCAAGAAGTGGAGTTCGGGTGTCAAGCAGCGCGTCAAGGCGAGTGATGACCTTGATCTGATTCTGCTGGCATCGTGTATGCAGTGTTTCTTCAACCAACGTGTGCATGTCCTGGGCGAGAACGATGAGACTCGGAAAAAGGCCTGGAACATGGTCCAGGCTTGGGAGGGGGCTACAATGGAAGCGATGAAGCGCCCGACCCGACCTAAGTTCCTGAATATGCTGTACCAGGGTCGTTTCTCGTCTCTTACTAAGACCATGCGTACCTATGCCGCCGATATTGTGAACAGCCGCAAGAATAACCCCGAACAGGCACGCGAGGATATGCTTAATGCACTGCTGAATGGAGTGGATCCTCAGACTAAGCAAAAGCTTAGGGACGCCGAGGTTCTGGACGAGATCGTCACGATCTTTATTGGTGCAGCGACCGCTGCCAATCTGTTATCTTATGCAGTTTACTACCTCAGCACCAACCCCGAAGAATTGAAGAAGGGTCAAGCTGAAATCGACTCTGTTGTTGGCGACGGTCCCCTGGATCTTGCTCACTTGAAGCAGCTCAACTACGTCGAGGCCATCCTTCGCGAAACCATTCGTCTCTCTGCCACTGCACCAGGCTTCAACATTGAGCCCATCCCCTCCCATGACAAATCCCCTGTTCTCCTCGGCGGGGGTGAATACCAGATCCCTGCTGGCCAGGCCATGATTGCTATCTTGAATGCAGTCAACCGTGACCCGAAGGTATTCGAATACCCAGAAGAGTTCAAGCCCGAACAAGTACTTGGAGAGAAGTGGGACAAGTTGCCCGCGGGTGCTAAGAAGGGTTTCGGCAACGGCAAGCGTGAGTGTATCGGTAAACTTTGGGCCTGGCAATGGGCCTTCTTTACCTTGGCTAGCATCCTGAAGGATGTGACCTTTGAGCTGGAGGATCCCAATTACCAGCTTCATGCCAACGGTGCCTTCAGCATCAAACCCCTTAACATGTACGTCCTCATGAGTGGACGTCAGAAGTAGGTCATGAAAGGGTGAACCTGGCGAAATGATTCCCAAATTGAAAAACTGTTTGCTCTTTCGGACCTCAAACGTTGATATCCTGGATTTCTTTTCTCTTTTTCGGCGCTTAGCGAGGATACGAACCTGTTAGTGATGAAAATTGGTATAGTTCAAATGTTTATTTATGATGCAAAGATTCTCTTATACTCGAATTTGTTTCTTTATTTATAAAAACCAACCTAATGATCTCGATATTCGTATTAGGACAATTGTGTCTGATTTCGAAGTTATGACAGTCAACTGGTAAAGCACTTCCGTCCCTAACGGATGAAGTCATAAAGAGTCAAAGAGGGTTGGGAATGTGGTCTAGTCCTCGGCACAACTCCGATCAAACGATACTACTACTACTAATAATAATACTCTTAATACTACTACATAGTAGTATTCAGCTTTATTGACACATGCGGGGAGTACCACTCTTTAACGTGGGAGCACCTCCACCCCCACGAATGAAAAGGGATTCTGGTCTCCATCGAGGGGTTAAAGTGGGATATGGTGAACACTGTATGTATTGACTTTATCGCATATTTATCGTTATACCCCTTACTTCCCAACATCAGTGTTTCATTCTCTACTTTTCTCACTTCATTTTTCCCATTTTCTTGATCTGATTCTGTTTATGGAATCCTCGCCAAATCAACTAAACATTGACTGATTTCCTCTGGGCTTACCTTATCCTCTCCCTCTGTCATCATGATCTCCCCCAAAGTCGGCGACCACATCGATAGCCTCGATACACCCTCGATGATCGTGGACCTGGATCTCTGTGAAGCCAATATCAAGAAACTGATGGATAGGCTTTTACCAACCGGGCTGAACATCCGACCACATCTCAAGACAACCAAAAGTGCTATTCTCGCAACCAAGCTAGCCAAGGCCGGAGCCAAGGGAGGCTGTGTAGCGAAAGTGAGCGAAGCCGAAGTCATTGCCGCTGCCGGGTTTGACGACCTGCTCATTACATGCGAAATTATCGGACCTGCCAAAGTGAAGAGACTGGTTGAGCTGTATCGCAAGTACCGAAGTATTCGAATCGTGGTCGATAGTGAAGTCGGCGCATCTGCTATCAATCAGGCTTTGATTGACTCAGGTATCAAGGAACCGATCACCGTTCTCATCGATTTGGATGTTGGTCTTCACCGTACGGGTGTGAAGCCCGGAGAGCCAGCTATGGCACTCGCCCATCACATTGCAGGATTGAAACAGTTGACTTTGATTGGTGTACAAGGATACGAAGGCCATTTACAGCATTTGCATGACAAGGAAGACAGGAGAGCTCAGTGCTTAGAGTCTATGAGAATTCTCACTGCCACCGCCGATTCGTTCCGAGCTGCAGGCTTCAAAATCGACGTCGTCACTACTGGTGGTACGGGCACAGCAGAGTTCTGTGCCACCGTACCCGGAGTAACAGAGCTGCAGCCAGGATCTTTCATTTTCATGGACACTGATTACAGAAATGCTGTGGGCACGTTCTATTCCAACAGTCTTACTCTCCTGTCAACTGTCATCAGCAAACAAGGCCCTCGGATTGTTACAATTGACACTGGTTTGAAGTCACTGACGACCGATAGTGGTCTGGCTGAGTGCAAGGATTCCAGATACTCTTATGGTGTTTTGGGTGATGAGCATGGTTCATTGAGCTGGGAGACCGGTACGCCCGATTTGGCTATTGGCGATCGCGTGGAAATGATCCCTAGCCATATTGATCCGACTGTTAACCTCCATGACTTCTATTATGCTCACCGTCAAGGTGTCATTGAGGAAATTTGGCCTGTTGACTCCAGGGGAAAAGTCCAATGATCGGAAGAGAACCTCAGTCCAAAGCACTTGAGCATGAGCCAATCGATTACAATTTAATCCCTTATATATGGCCTGCACAAATTGTTATTTTTTAGTACTTGTCATGTAGAATCTCTCTGCTCTTTTTCTACATTCCGTTCATGGCCTATTATGCCAGATTATCGTTTGAGAAATTTGTTGAGAAACAGGAGGGGAAAAAAAGGATAGATACTAGAATTGAACTTGCTCTTTGACTTTCAAGTCTCCTCTTGTTCTTATTGAGAGCTATGGTCTGCCATTTTTAGGCACATTTCAGTACTAAAGTTGGTTTCAAGTGCAAAATAAAGGCTGGTGTATTGAACTAAACTTGAAGAATAAGAAAGCATTATGGCCCCGGGGAAAATCGTATTCTGTGCAGTAGATCCTGAATAGTTTCTCAATGTCATTTACCGCTCGAGCGAAGCTAAAGGTTCGAGGTTCCGACAAATTTTGCTTTTGTGCCAATATTGTTAGCTGATCTGTTCTCAATAAGGAAAGAGTGTGAAGCCTTACAGATTTCCCATTCGCCTGTCTCAAAGGATTGCAAATAGACGCTCACAGATGGCTTATTATTCCTGTAGGAAAAAGATACCAATGTATGTATCTTATTCAGGTGTCTGTGATTTGCCCATGGGCTGTGGATCATTAGCATTCCTGTCACCTATGACCAATGAATTCCACTTACTACCATGATCGTAGGTCATTTTCATAAGACTGTGCAATCTTTGACCATCCTTGTCGCTCAAAGAAAGTGGTCAATCCTTTGGTTAGCTTCGCATCTCGCCTTCCAAAAGTTTGAAAGTAAACCTGAGGCTCGGGAATGGGATCATTCGGATGAAGCGTAAAATCAGCCATCAGGGGTAGCTGCTCATTCACCGGATCATCACGGGACAAATATCCAGCTGGGTATGAGCAAAATTTCGACGGAAGGTTGATAAGGCTCCAGAGCTTTCGTAGTGCATCAAGACCTTCCAGCGTCGATGAATCGTTCCGCCGACCTCCCAAGGTCCATAGGTCCTCCAATGTTGTCAATGTAACCATCTGCTCCATGAGATAGATTTTGATGCGAGACTCAGATGGATCTACCAGATCACAAGATAAAAGGCGAGGCATGACTGTACTATTGGGAGCACGAGACTTGAGGTATTCATCGAGAACTTTCAACGGCATTGCAAAGCTGGGATAAGAGAGTGACAAGTCATGTGCAGCATCGAAGATCAAGTCATGAATCGACTTGTTCGTAACAAGAGATTTCAAGGCAGGGTACATGAATGTCTTGACTACAAAATAGTTGTCCCTGAGCTCCATAGCAAGCTTATTCTGGGTCTTGATTTGGTCGCCGACAATATTGGTTTCCAGAAGGGAGACTGATTCCTCAGAGGAGAGTGTGAGAGCCTTCTTGAAATGAGTGAACCACTCAAGGTTTATATCTGGTTGGAATTCTTGCAAGCGATGTAGCGCGTCCCAGATAGCATGCGTGTTGTATGGATCATCGGCGGTTCCTGTCATTGAGGAGATCGGCTCGTATGTGTAGCTGACGGCATTACTGGAGCAATTGAGACATAACTCAAATGGGTTTCCATATCTTGTGAGAATACTCATCCAGCGGGGATGGTTGTTGATAGGATAAGCGCCCAGCATGGGGATGATGGCTTGCTTGTAAATTTCCAGGTGATGGCGCTGGCTGTCTAAGTCGTAGTTTGCGGATTGCAGCATATGAGCGAACATAGGAGCGGTGCTATGCCACCATAACTTGTGATTATCATCGGGGAAGCTCCATAAAGCGCTGAGGCTTTGGTAGAGCTCGACATGGGATGCGTTGGCCATTTTTGGTCTCTCTACCATACGGTGAGGTGTTAGCAAATATTCCAGGAGGTTATCAATGGATATCAATACTGAGACATACTGGGATCAGTGGGTTGGTGCTAGAGGGGTCAGAGTTAATGAGGGGGTTGTTAAGTGGAAACTCACATTCAAGAAGAGCAGGAGGGGCTAAGATTCTTTTATTGCAAAGATACTCGCACAGAGTCGCACTAACCATACTACCTAATGAAGGACTACCTAATGAAGAAGAGTCAATCTAGCTCCAGGGCTTCTTCCCGTGTTTCCATCTTCGGCATTGATCCACTCCCTTTTGGTCCATATTTGCTTCCACAATTGCTATCATTTGAGAATAGTCCACTGTTATTTTGGGACAAAAGTACCATTTGATCCCAAGCGTCTGGTTTGAACAGATTACAATGGCACTAATCGGGCCCCAGATGTGACATGGTCGATTCCTACGCAGTAGACCCGCCTTAATCCACCGATTGAAACAGCGGAGTACTCTTTGAATTGTGTACTAGATCGTTTTCGGTTCCTCGAGATAATAAAGGTCTGTACGCATAATCTTGGGGCTGTGGCTAAAGTTTCACTGCCGCTACACTCAGGTATCCTTGCATTAAGTTCATGTAAGGCACTGGCTGCACATGCTATTATCAGTTATCTCAAGTCTGGATAGGAGCTTAGTGTAGCGCTGAATGGAGTCTTGTCCCGAATATACGATGAATGAATAACAATTCGGATGTTTGAATTGATTGATACTACATGTATTAAAATTCAAGACTGTTACTAGTAGTAACGCTTCTATTATTATTAGTGTCGCATTCTGCCTCAAAAATGGGTGAAATGTATGGAGTATGTAGGGAGCCTTGAAGCACTCAACTGGGCAGGCTTGAGTATGCCCATATGTATGCAGCGTGACGGATGTGATAGGGAGATGCAGCCTGAGATACTCCACACATACACAATACTACCTGCATAGATCTGATTTGAGATAGACGGATGACTGCCTGTGCCCAAAACTTAAAGATCTGGATTCCGCCCTAAATTCTACTATGAATCCTTCAAAATGTTAGAATTCCAAGTTTCCAATACTCAGAGCGGGAACCAAGTCATACGATCAGTAGCACAGCTTGAAGTGCGCTTGCGAAAGATGGCCCATGGTCCACTTCCTGTGGATCTAAAGTCCTTCATTGCTCCATAATATTTCGTAGCATGACTAGCACGCAAAGAGAAGAAGTGGATTGTTACCCCGGGCCTGACTGCAAGCATGTACTCTAGAGTGGAGCTTGATTTCAATCAAGGCAGTGGCCTATTTTACCCATCAAAATACATCAATGGATATGACATTTGGATGTACTTTCATATGCCCGTGCTACGGAGTACCCGCACGAGTACAGGCATCTGGAGTAGTTAGCGTAGAGAGGTCTCCTTGGGAGTCAGCCGAGGTATCACATTCATTAGTCCACTAATTTTGAGTCAAGTCCAAAATTCTGTGAACTTTATGCAAGATGACGATGGCTAGTTCAAATTTTGGGCCGCGTTGGGCTGTGGAGTCGCGGCAATTCAATAGCGTCTGAAGATCTGTAGATCGCGACACCGCCAGCTTGAACACTTGGGTGCGCATTGACTGTGAAGTCCTCCGCACATGAATTCAATATCTCTTCAAAATGTTCACTGTTCCTTGGCCTCAGAAGCATTTCAAGTGTTAAGAGTAAATATTTGTTTCAAGTTCGTAGTTGGTCCTCAAGTTGACGTTAAAAACTTGGAATCAATCATGTTTATGGGCATGCGTTGTAGAGTTGTATTGAATCCAAGTTCAAGTCGACAACATACATCATCTTCAGGTTATCGCGATATTCCGAGTCGCAGTTGGCAGCCAAGCCTGGATCCGATTGCAAAAATCCTCTCGAGTCCTACTCCAAAGCCGATGTCGGGCTTGAACATTTGAATTCGGGTCGAGTGCTTCAAGTTGAACATTGGAAGTTGTAGGTCGACTGCTTCAAGTTGAACATTGGAAGTTGTAAATGCAGATGCAGAAGTACCCTGCGAGCCTGCATGGTACATACATCCTCCAGGGCTCAAGTGCCAATGCAAAATTGAATGGGGCACCTGGGGTATGTGTACTCAGCTTGGTAGCTAGGTACTCCATCCATAGATAGGTAGGGAAAGGTGACATTGATAGCTTTAAGTTGGATGCTTTAAGAACCGCTCAACCTTGGAAGTGCTGGTAGTGGGATACTATTGATGGCGTACCTAGTACTCCGGACATATGTAGCATCTCACTTCAAAGTGTCAAGGCTACTACCTAGATAGTATAACATCTAGAGAGATGCTTTAATTGCGGTGTCAAAAAAACCTGTGATCATCATACCTAGGTACCCGAGACAGATTGCGTGACCTTGAAGCTCCTTATTATGGCTGAAATCATCGCAAACATTGACTTCCAAGGTTCCAAAAAAAAAAGAATCCGCTGTAGTAAAATGGAGTAACGCGGTTCAAGTTGGAAGGCTCCCGCACCGGTTGAGAAGCTTCTGCATATGCAACCTTGGAAGTCAGTCGTCTCAGACTTTAAATTTTCGTGAGTTGAAATGAATTTCAAGGATATCGCCAAGCTGCGTCAATTACCTAGGTCAACTGGTAGAGCATCCATGGATGATAAAATTCTTGAAACCATAGCCTGAGGTGGCCATGCTATGTATTGACAACTTGAACATTGAAAGAAGCCATTCAAATGTTGTTGAATGCGACATGTACTATGTAGTAATATCCACCAAGTTTCGACGCTCATCCAACATTTGAAGCTTGCCTCCGGGGCTTGTCAAAATATATATTTTCCTCTCATATTCATCTTGACTAGTGGACCATGAGCCCTGGAGAGTAGGTAAAGAGTAGTCATTCTGCCAGTTGAACCGCGTCATTCGTGACAAATATGCGTGCAAGAGTGGAAAATCATTGTATAGAGCTGAACAAATCATTATTCAACACTTAGTTACTAGAGGTTTATCTAGGATATGGGAAGCTTTCTTCGCCAGTTACGTAACGATTAGCCCGGATGGTCTAGTGGGTATGTCATGTGTTCTCACCAAAAAACACTCGAATCACTTCTAACAAATTGATAGTATGATTCGCGCTTTGGGCATATACTAGAAATAGTAGTGTTATACGAATGTGCGAGGTCCTCGGTTCAATCCCGGGTTCGGGCCTTCTTTTTTTTTTTTTTTTTTGTTCCTTCTGCCTTTACACCTCGGGCACCTCCAGGGGTGGCAATATTCTACTTAGTCATTTCGTCACACCGCCGATGGTCCTGTTCATGTCCTTCATGTCTCTACACTGGTCAGCTAAGTAGTCATCACCAGAGCTTCCAAGGTGGTCAAATTTTTCTTGGTCCCTCAAAGCATGCATTTTTATTTTATCCAGCATCGGCACCCATAAGAAGAGCAGAAAACCATCTATCAAATCCAATAGAGGATTTGGATACGATATATCACACTTGAATTGGATTAATCTGGATTCCATCTAGATTAGTACATGCACATGTGTATCAACTTCAAGCCCGGGGCTGGCCACTAAGGTTCAATTTTTGGTTCACCGACTTGAATCTGTCAAACAATCTGGATCCTGTTGTGTCCGTGTGACACTCAGTTCATGTTTGGTCAGTTGGTTGACTCATCTTCGATTATATACAGGAATTTTAAAGAGCCAATTCTCAGATTGTAACACGTCAATGTACTTATTGAGAGCATTTATATGCGTTGAATTGCGCATATTAGTCTTGCGCCCCATATGTTAATGGCCGCTTACCTTGGAGAGTATCTTAAGTCGTGACGCTACAGTGTAATTTTCTATTCCTTTATATGACCAGGTGTGTGCTAAAGATTTTTCAGAATGTTAGCGAGGGATTGATATTATCTAAAAACTGACTCTGGTGAGCTTCTCTCTTACTACATAGCCTTTTGGAACTCATATTTCGATTCTTTGGGAGAGTTCAAGGTGTACCTCCTACCATCCTCCAATACTTCAATTGAAAATGACCTCAAGTCCGTTACATATCGGTGTTCTTCTCGTGGACATTGTCCAGCTTCTTGATTTGGCCGCTATCGACCTGCTCTTTATGACCTGCCCGGAATATCTTAGGGAACTTGGCGTCCCAAAGCCTCTCGTGGAGCTAGGACGACCATGTAAAGTCTCCTACATTGCACTGGGTGGTCCAACGACGAGCCGAGATTTGACATCTCATACCTCAATTCCTATCACCAATTCCCTTACTGATATGGACGTTGCACCCGGAAAATTGGACTTGATTTATCTTCCTGGTCCACCACCTAAGCATATGCCACCTCCAAAGGAATATCTTGATTTCCTCCGCCGGCATGATGCAGTTCAGACGACAATCCTCTGTGTATGCACAGGCGCATTGGTTGTTGCATATGCAGGTCTCACCAAGAACAGAATCTCTACCGCACCACGTTTTCTGATACCACAGTTAAGGAAGACATTTCCGGAGGCGAAGGCCTGGGATGATACAGTTCGCATTACTAGGGATGGGAATTTATGGATGTGTGGTATGAGAATCCGAGTCTTCAACTGCCAGTGGTTGCTACTAGTACTTATACATTAGAGCCTTGTCTTCATACTAATATCCTTCTATATTAGGTGGAATCACGAATGGCAATGATCTTGTGATTGAATATCTACGAGAAAAATATCCAGCACCACTTGTAAACACCATTCTTACTGCCGCCGAAATATCCCCTCGTCCTTTGAAATACATGAATGGACCAACAAGGGACTTTTTATGGATGTTCTGGCAAGTGGTGTGGGCATTTTTGTACTCTGTCATTCGCCCAAGTAAGGCATACTTCAAAGGTTGAAACTTGAAATTTGAGATCACTCCACCGTGACATGTGCAGCACTTGAGGGCTACAACTTCCAAGGTTGAGGTATCCAAACCTTAGCAATTGAATGAATCAAGGTTCTGTTTCAAATGTTTCAATCTTTCAAGTTCAATGTTCAACAAGTTGAGCTCGGGAACTTGAAAATATCATGCCCAGTTGAAGCATTTTGAATTTGAGTAGAAAACTTTCAAGTTGAAGAACTTAAAACCCAGGCTAGTAACTAATTCCAGTAACTACACATACGGTCATAGGACCATATTATAAAAATTACACTTGTTTCTCATCGTAACCCAATCATTACGGGTATGGTGCTAAACAAGAACTCATTCCAAGGCTGATGAGAGTAAACTGATGCCTGGAAATTACGGTGTTCATTTCCAAGGTTGTTTTCTCCATATGAGCGGCCCCACATACAGTATCAATCATTCTTCTACACCTGGGCAGCTTGATGAACTTCAACCGGCAATCTTTCTCCCTTTCAACTTCACAATCACACCCCCAGGCCATCAAAACACTTTTTCTGCATCAATATGGCGACCCCAGAAGCGTTGATTTCGAAATTCCAAGTTGCCAGGTTATTAAAGCAAGGTAAGTGTGGCTCCCGCTCAGTAAGCTCAGTGAGCTCAGCAAGCAACTGATCATGGCCTTGAAAATAACACTTGGCCGTCCAAAGATCAAAATGGTCGCCGCATTGCCTTGCTTGGAAATATCGATGGAGAGCAAGGCATTCTGACGGCCGAACGCGCGCCCTTCGCAACCGAATCCGTCGAAGTTATCCAGGCCTTCCATACAGCTCTGCGCCAGATCACCAATCTTGGCGATAACGACATCTATCGCTGGTACCTTGCATCCTCAAACAATGATAGCGATTCTATTCACCCGAGCCTGCGACACGATCTAAAACTCAACCTCATTTGGCCATGCACTGAGCAACATATCAAGAAATACTCCGACCAGCAAGTTCGAATGGTAACGGAGACGCCGGAGATTTATAAGAATCAAGTGCGCCCATACATGCAAGCCAAGCGTGAAGAGGGCCGCTTGAATTGGGTCTTGAACATCCTTGAGGGACGAACAGAACAGGAAGATGTGATAATGCGGGATGCAGGGCACGGCCCAGAGGATGCGTTCTTGATGCTGCCGGATCTCAACTGGGATCGGAAGACCATGGGCTCCCTGCATTTGCTGGCATTAGTGCACCGACGAGATATCTGGAGTCTGCGTGATCTACGGAAAGAACATATTCATTGGCTGAAATACCTGCGACAGCGAGTATTAGAGGCCACAGTGTCAATGTACCCCGAGTTAGATCAGGATCAGTTGAAACTCTATGTCCACTGTGAGTATTTCCTCCCCTTATGTGATGGCTACAACTCCTAACTATTTTATCTCTTAGATCAACCCACTTACTACCATTTCCATATTCACGTCGTTAATGTTATGCTGGAGGCAGGTGCTACACAGGCTACCGGGAAAGCCTTTGGCTTGGAAAACATAATTTCGCAGCTGGAGACCATGGCTGGTGGAGATGACGCGAGTATGGCCGATGTGAGCTTAACTTACTACTTGGGTGAGGCGAGTGAGCTATGGGAAAATATCTTTGCGCCACTTAAGAATGCCTCATCATAGTCAGGATTCTCATCAGAACGGTCAACCGCCATCAGATGATCAAACAGGATCCAAAAGGTGCAATTTACCAAAGAAAGAGTTTTAATTGACGTGCGCATTCTGCAGCCCGGTAACCATCGATGGACGATTTCATTGGACTGGCCTCGGTGTAAAATGGGCTTATGATGAGTGCCGTATAGCTGCATCTGTCATCAACTCAATTCCGGCTAAGTATATGCTGTCTTTCATGAGTGATTACTCCTGGTGGTGCATTGTAACTCGACATGATACCACAACAGCTCAAGTGGGTCTGTCGTACGGGATTGGCCGGTCAAGTGCAAGTGAAATGATTGTTTGGGATTCACAGCCCTAAACATTTCGCACTTCCAGAAAATGTCCGCTTCTTACGTTGGCTCTATCATCGCGAGGAACTGGAATGCTACTTGCCATGTACGAGGGAATAACACAGCATATGTATTGCTTCATCTCTTTGACGTCTGTACATTAGCACCGTAACTTGACCTCGGGAGTACCTATACAGGATGTTATGCAGACACCTAGACTCATACGTGCAAAAATGTATACTAATAGAGACCTCGGGAGTGGTCAGACCTTTGACTGAGTATGTACACTTGTGAATATCATGATGTAATCTAGCACATGATATCTGCTTCAAGCTTTTCGACATTGGAAAACTTGTGAAGTGAAGGCTATCGATGTTAATGCGGTCAGTAGTAGTAACTTGAACTTGAATCTCCTGTATCAGCACGCGCAACAAATGCCGGGTACATATTATGTACTCAACATTTGGAGGTCTAACAGTGATGCTTCTGACTCGGACAGCAATTCAATGATATCGAAAAAGTTTCACGGAAGGATATGGAAATTTTGGGATTTATTTCTTTATCATTTGGGTATGATTCTATTCTTCTCCACCCGCAGCGTCGAGCTGAAATGGCTTACTGACCTCGTGCATGACCTTCGACCAAGTCTTTGACCAAACCACAAATTTATCATCGCTCGTTTGGACCTCAGCCTTATCTGAGATCCATAGTGATACAGCCACATTCATGGCTTCCGAAGCACTGTACTGAATTTTGTTCAGGAAATCCACCGATGAGTCAACATCATCTTCGTACAATGTTCCGGCTGCCTCGTCTACTTGACCAGGAATGCTCTGCAGGTGCTTCGTTAACTTTTCCAGACGTGCAATGGCGGAAGAAGTCAAGTGAGACTCCTGGGAGCTGTTGAGGCGGTTCTTGACAATGGCAGTGTAGACCTGGATGACGGGCTTCAGGAAGCGGAGGGTGGCCTTCTTGTGTTCCTGCAGGGCCGCAAAATCCTTGTCATTTTCGGAATCTTCATCAGACTTGCTGTTCTCTCCCTCGGAATCCGAGTTGTCTCCCATAATGTCATCGAAGAAATCATCGTCTGCGTCCTCTGGGTCCCAGCTTTCAAGTTCCTCCACGGCATCCCGTACCAGATCTCTCCATTGTTCGACCCGGCGGGCGATAAATCCAATCACCCCATTCGTTGCCATATTAACGACCGCGTCGCATGCGTCCCACACGCGACCAGTCGCGAGGGTAACGGTATTCTTTTCAGCTTTGGATAATTCATTCTCCTTTGCCTTGGGGCTCCCCTTCTTTGCCTGGTCTTTCTTATCGGCAACATTCTTCACGAGGGTAACCAATTGAGAAAATTCAGTCAAAGTAGTCTTCGTCAACAACAAACTCTCGGAATGGAAGGCGTTTGTGTACTCGGCGGGGTTCACGAGGAGGGTGGCTGTCAACAAAGAAGGGAGAACAGATTCATTGCAGGCGCGAAGCACGGTAACCAAAGCGGAGTGTGTGAAAGGAGTGGTAATGGCCAGGAGTGAGAGTTTGGTGACTTGGGCCTTGAGGGTGCTGCATGAGGCTGAAAGGAGGGGCAGGGCCTTTACATCGTTTGGTGATTGTGTAGACTGCGTGGGCTGCGTCGATTGGGCAAGAGTGTCTTGGAATTGGGCGATGAGCGCAGTAGATGTCGACAAGACTGTCGCAAGTTGTGGCGACGACATGATGTCGGGGAGTGAAGAAAGAATCTTGTCTTGGTGATCTTGTGTTGGTGATCTTTGGAGGGGTCAAGAATTATCATCAAGTTATTTTCAATAATTTCTGCCGCTTATTCAGCATCTCCCCCTCCGCTCCTGAGGTCAGATCTCACCAGGAACTGGCACTGTGTTATTATCATTACTCTTATGCATTATGACACCTGGCAATATTAGGTAGTTTTATACTTACAGCAATATGCATCATAAATTCTGTAGTAAATTTCAATCAAACCTTGAAAATAATTATGTTACTATTTATCTCATTACCTATACACAAATCGTTGTATGACAACTTGTCCCTTAGAACTCGAATGGAATCAATGCATGACGTCGAGATCAGCCCACCGCCCGGCAGATCCCATTGACGTTTCGAGATCTTCAACTTCACATCTACCATTTCTTCCAACATTGTGAGAATATTGACACCATGGCTGACTCAATCAACCCTCCTCTCTCATATGAGGCGTCCGCTACCACTACTCACCCCCATGAAGCCACCTCTTTGCCTGCCGAAGTCATTTCGTGCCTGAAGAACTCCCGCTTCGTATGTGCTCGATCCTATGATCACACCTCCTATTGCTTCCCTTATTCCATAAGCTAGAGTAATTTCTGATCTCAAATTAGCTGCACTTGGCAACATGCGACAATCTGACCCCCCATATCTCGCTCATGTCCTATACATACCTTCCTTCGACCCCCTTCGATCCCTACCCAACAATTATTATGACCACCAACCTGGCATCTCGAAAGACCAACCATCTTCTCTCCAATCCACGGGTGTCTTTACTGGTCCACGATTGGGTTTCTCATCGTCCGCCCACTCGCACAGTGAATCCCAGCGGTGGGCGTGACGGCTCTCCCCCGCCAGCGGCAACTCGCTCATCTCTGGCCAGTTTGCTCTTGAACTTAAACACCAGCGCTCTCTCCAGTATCTCGACCACCATCACTGGGGAGGCACGATTCCTTGAACCAGGCTCCGAGGAAGAAGCTTGGTGCAAGGAACGTCATCTAGAAAACAACACCTTTGAGGAGGAGGAGATCAATCTCTTTGGCCAGCAGCAGCAGCAGCTCCAAGGCCAGACTCAGCGTCGCCCCAGCATTTCCATTGATAACGATGTTCGTGTGGTGACTGTGCAAGTCCGTGAGGGTCGTATTGCCGATTGGAAGGGTGGTGTCCGAGACTGGGTATTGCTTCCCCCAACAGAAGCTTCAGAAGGGTTGGTGAATGGAGTCACTTTATAGTTGCAATGTCGATATCTAGATTGGCTTATCTCTACTCCCTGCCTTCGCACTTCAATTACTCGATAAGAACCAAATAAATATAAAGTGGCATTTTCCAAAGTGTAGTCTCCCAACTAACACAAAGATTAGCCTAACTCCACTTTAATTATCCTGCCCATGTGGTATTGAATACTTGGAAGGTTCTTCAAAAAGACAGCAGAAAAAATTTGCAGCACATATGGTTTAACTCAAATCCATTAACTTCAATGTTTGCTATTTCCACAGATTTACGGCCAACATGGATGATTTATCACTTGCAAGTAGTGGCCCCTCGGTCCGCGTAGTGGGGCACTGGCACCAGCGCAGAAGCGCGCTAATAACTCGAACCTAGGTGAGAGCACGGCGAACTAGGACAGTGCTATAATGAATAATATATATGATGAGTAGATTACTCTTAAGGAATTGATAGAAAAAGCACATACATAAGGTCAATTCCCTATGTAATATAACACGACAACGGAACAAATGATAATAAGCCATAGTGCAAGCTCAACTTGAAGTTGACGTCGACAAGACCGATAAGCGGACCGCGGGGAAGTGATAAGTAGATAAGCCTCCAACTTATATAACCGCCCACTCCCCTCTTCACACTTACAACATATTTGAAATATCTTGTTTGAATTCAAATCGAAAACTTATTCAGAATGTCCAATCAAATCAACACCATCAATCCTGCCACCCATGAGGTGATCTACAGCCACCAAGGCACCTCTCTGGCCGAAGCAACGAAAATCGCAGCCGCCTCTAAGGAAGCTTTCGAATCATACCGATCCTTGACCCTCGATTCCAAGAAGCAGATTATTATTCGAGCCTTAGACATTATTTCCGCTCGAATTGATGAGCTGGCCAAGGAAATCACCCTGCAAATGGGACGACCCATCCGGTACTGCGCTGGCGAAATCAAGACCGCACGCCTTCGCGCCGAGCACCTGATCGATATCGCCGAAGAGAGCTTGAATGACCTGCCGGGTAAACCAGAGGAAAACTTTAAGAGGATGGTGAAGCGTGTCCCAGTTGGACCCATCTTGATTGCGGGAGCTTGGAACGTAAGCAGGCCTGATCGAGGGGCACGGCCCGACCAGAGCAGGTTCTAGACCGCTAACTCCCTTATAGTACCCATACCTCACTACTGTGAATGCCTTGGTCCCAGCACTACTGGCTGGCAACAGTGTTATTTTACGTCCTTCACCCCAGGTTCCCTTATTCGGTGACCGCCTTTTGGAGATCTTCACCGAGGCAGGTCTGCCTCCAAACGTTTTGCAGGTTGTGCATATTGGAAGTCTGGATGTCCTGGACGAAGTTGCTCAACTTCCTGAAATTCAATCTATTTCATTCACAGGCTCTACACTTGGTGGACTCAGACTACGAAAAGCTACCGCACATCAGATCAAGTCTGTAAATCTGGAACTCGGTGGCAAGGATCCGGCATACGTACGCCCCGATGTTGACGTGAAGGATGTAGCTGAGAATCTCGTTGATGGTGCCGTATTCAACTCCGGACAGAGCTGCTGCTCCGTTGAACGTGTATATGTTCATGAGAAGATTTACGACCAATTTGTGCAAGCTGTACAAGAGGAACTTAAGTCGTGCGTTCTACATCCATCTTCCTTTTTGCCACGTTTCTTTCTCTTTTTTAACTCTGCACGGGCTATTGCTAATCATTATTCTATAGATACAAGCTTGGTGATCCACTCGATGAGACTACAACTACTGGGCCGGTCATTTCAGCTGCCGCAAAGAAGAATATTCAGTCACATATCGATGACGCCTTAGCTAAGGGTGCCATTGATATCACTCCTGAAAACGCCACCTTTGCTTCAGCTAAAAACACTGAAACGGGCAACTGGCTTGCTCCAGTCGTTCTGGCTAACGTGGACCATTCTATGGTGACTATGAAGGAAGAGACTTTTGGGCCTGTGATGCCAATCATGAAGGTGTCCAGTGATGATGAGGCTGTCTCATTGATGAATGATAGTACCTACGGGCTGACTGCTAGTGTGTGGACAAAGGATATCGCCTCAGGTGAGAGTTTGATTGATAAGATCGAAGCTGGCACCGTCTTTATCAATCGCTGTGACTATCCAGCTCCGGTAAGCCTCCCCTCCGTCTTCAATTTTTATACACCGCTAATCTCTCCTCAAGGATCTCGCGTGGACCGGTTGGAAGGCATCGGGACTTGGATGCACACTTGGACCCAGAGCCTACGAAGGATTCACAAAGCTGAAGAGCTACCACATCAAAGGTGTATCGGCTTAAAACTTCGGTCTTTGCCTGACATTTGGCCGGTGAACTTGGCCGTGCTCGTGATAGCCTGAGATGCTCGTTTCTGGAAAATACATAAATTTAGGGCTCGCAATGCCAAACATACATTTCAAGTTCTCTCAAGCTCATAAAGCTCAAGTGATGCGCATCAACTTGGAGTAACAACTTATTGAAAATTAAATTTTAATTCATCTCTATACAGAGTCTCTGCCCGCTTTCTCAGTCCATACGCCCCGGAAGTAGGCCCACATTGCGATCTGGGACGGCGCTACTACTCGAGTATATTTACTTTTAAAAATATCCATAAAAGACAGTCTATTTTCTATGTATCTAAATGTATTAGCTACTATAAGCACTTAGGACCACCGCACGTGCCCAGGTGCCAGCACTTGAGTGTGTCAACTGGTGCTGTTTGAGTTCAAGGCCTGATATAATCATAGTAGAAAAGTTCCAAGGTTACGTCGGTATTTATTAGGTGCACATGCCAGTGCATGTGTGGCGAACATTTGAAGATTTGAAAGACGCAGAGAATACTTGATAGCATGGAAAGTTCCAAGGCTGGATTATAGCATTATCACCACCTGTGACCTGCCAGTGCCCAGGTGGACCTTATTAGGTACCAAATAAAAACAATAAGCTTTCGGCTGCCCTGAAAGCTGAGGGCCTTGAAGATCTCTATTTATTCAAATATTGGTATTGAACATGATATGTTTCAACATTTGAAAACTTGCGAGAAGGTACATAGTACGCATATCTAATAAAACCGTTCCATTTCCATTGCTACTGCTCCGTAGTAGTAATTGGTATCTTCGGTTAAAGCCCAAATGTATTATCCAAGTCATCTGACCTATCCCTCATGTGTGTTAGCTCCGATCCTGCTGTCATTTCCCCTCTCTCCCTCTCTTGAAATAGCTCATTGATACCAGTGATAGGTAAAAGTCAAGAGAATACTCTCAACATCATCCTGGATAATTTGCTTTCATTGAACAATATCTGTCCGAAAATTGATACACCACTATAAAATGGCACGCGCAGGGATTCGCCGAACTCATACAGGATGCATAACCTGCAAGTTAGTATCCCATCTCTACACATGGTCTAATAGGCTATTCTAAAAGATACCAGAACCAGAAGAGTGAAATGCGACGAGACCCATCCATCCTGTCAGCGATGCCTCGCATCGGGCTGGCAATGCGGCGGATACCAAGCATGGGTCCCAAAAGCCCTACGACGCATACAACCTTCTACCATCCCAGGAGCGGGGGCTTGTGACATGAGGGCATTGGATTTCTTTCGCCGAATGGTAGGGCCATCGTTGCCTGGCCCGCTACATAATTCGTTTTGGACCAAACTTATACCTCAAATGACACATACGGAAAACGCTGTTCGGCATGCAACTATAGCTATAAGCTATCTCTATGAAGAGATTCACCATTCCACTCTCTCCATGATTGATAACCCCAGGGAAAAGCTTGTGCTGCCTCATTATGATATGGCTATCCAACAGGCCATAATTTTGTCGCAACAGGGAAATCTAGACCTCATCCATATATGCACCATCCTTTTTTCGGATATCGAGCTTCTACAGGGCAATCCGAGAGGCGCACTGCTTCATTCCAGACATGGTGCGGGAATTTTCAAGTCAAGTCAGGATAACCTCGGAATCGGTAGCCTCGGAATTGCTCGTTCGTATCAATTGTTTGATGAACACCTCTCTGGTCACCATGCTACAACTGAAGACATTTCGAGTGAGCCGAGGCTTCTCCTACCCAGCGGAGGCTTCAGTAGCCTGGAACAAGCCCATCAATCTTTTGCAAGTCTTGTAGCCAAGTCCTGGCCATTACTAGCTGCATTTGCTTTAGGCAAAAGTACTTCTGAACACCTGTCGCAGCATAATTCTACCACGAGTCCTTCCATGATGCACAGAGCCGAGCGAGCAGTGCATTTGGACTTGGATTTGTGGGCAAACTCACTTTTGTCATCGAAAGATCTCCTTGGACTACAAGATACTGGCTATAAACTCCAAAGCCTCAAGATCAATTGGCTGACTGTGAGGATTCGGATGACATCGAGCCTTTGGGACACTGCCGCCAATACATCTGATGGAGAAGGCTTCCAGGAGCTCATGAGACATTATCAAAGTCTGTGGGGTAAGAATGTCGAGGCAATGCGTTATGTGGTAGTTTCGCAGAGCAGTTATAGTATGTAAGAGATTTATATCTGGAACGGAGCATTTCAAGGTTTTATCCTAACATTTGAAGTCCCCCTCCAGGGCTCTAATAATGGAGTAAAACTACAAGGAAATTGAACCTAAATGACCTCAGGAGCTTTTAAAAACACCTGGGTGATACACAAATTTTCGTTTAAGTTACGCCATTGCAGTGAAATAAATTGCCTAGCGATTGATTTATGTGAACTATCGTCAATCGCTCCAGTGAGGTATAAAACTCAACATGAATGTTCACTCCCACTGGCAGTGGTTATACATCGCCTTCAAATGTTCAATCAAATAGTATACCGAAATGAGGGTTCACCTTCAATGACTCGCTTACCCTGATCGGCCTGTCGATTGCAAAACCGGAACCACACGCTCAGAGCGCACACTATGAGAATAATCAAGACGTTGCATCTGCAGAGGATAAATTCAGCACGTTATCAACATAGGAAGACATGCAACTTGGAGCCTCGGGAAACTTACGCTAGAGCCGCATACATTCCTGGCCGATACCCAGGCGCATCCTTGTCGCGAAACACCAAACTGCTCACAATTCCGCCCAACCCACCAAAACCTACCAGAGTAGCACTGGAGAACGCGCGCATCCACTGTCCTCGCACATTGTTTGCTTGGTACGCCATACATGATGGGATGTTCGCGTTTGCTCCTGCTACTGTCAGAAAGACTCCAGCATAACGGGTGGCATTCCCCTTGGCGAAACCCATCATTGGAAGTCCGATGATGGCCAAGAGTGCGTTAGCAATCAGCACCGGTCCACGGATGTGGTACTTGTCACCGATCCATGCACCCGTGTACATGACGATGCCCGCAAACACGTAAGGGGGTGCGACCAAACATTGCGACTGGCCGATGTCGAAGCCCATGCCGGAGCGGAGGATGATCGGAAGGAAGTAAGCGATGGCATAGGTGACGGTGGTGAGACAACTGCAAGTGCTCATTAGAAGAGAATACGACTTGATTCGAAGAACGAGAATATACTGACAAAAAGATCATAGCAAAGGCCCAAATCTTCAAATCAAGCGCTGGTTTCAGGAACTTCTTAAGCGAAAATGCCTCCGGGTGGCCATCCTTTCGGTCATCGTCAATCCGACGGACGATAAAGGCACACTCGGCCTCGTTCAGGAACCGCCATGATTTGGATGCACGGTCGGGAAAGTCTACAAGGAAGATGTAGCAAAGAATGCCAATCACTCCGCTGATCTAGAGTCCATGACATATTGTGAGTGATCGCCTGAGACGTGAAGTGTGAATTGTACACTTACCACACCTTCCAAAATGAAGATCCATCGCCAGCCTGATAAGCCATGTTTGCCGTTCAATTGCATTAATCCAAATGCTAGAATACCTGAGAGCGCAGATGCAACACATCCGATCAGGTAAAAAATGGAGAATCGCTTCTGGACATCATCTATTCACTTGGGTCAGCCCAGATCTTGATCGTGGTACAGTATCACACGTACATCGAGTATACCAGCAAGACAGCAAGTATACGCATCCTGGGAAGTATCCTGACTCCAACACACCAAGGAGAACTCGCAGTCCAACCAATTGCCCAAAGTTCTTCGCGAAACCAGTTCCCTGTGAATAGGGGAGTTCAAGTTAGCAAAATATACTATCTTTTAAGCACAGCACCCATTCGCTCAATGTTCGAATTTTGAGATATCACAGCCAGCAGACGGAACTTGATCACCATACAATCATGATCGCAGCCCAACTCATTATGATTGTCGAAAGGAAAATGGTTGGACCGATTTTTCGAATTAAAATAGTCATCGGCGGTTGGAATATGACATACGGCACGAAGAACATCAATACTGCGATAGACTAGCCACAGGTTCATTAGTATGACGCTCACTGGCATCAGTCTAGAAGACGACATGGAGGTAAAATGGAGCTCGAACATAGCGGTTGTCACGCTCCAAATCCAATTCCGTCGTCAAACTGTCAACCGAGCGATTCAAGTTAGCCTCAGTGCGTGAACTTCAAGGGAAACGCTTGAAGGCAAAATTTGAATGTATCGCCTTACCCAGCAATGGCCGCCATGCTCAAATTCGTCCGATCCATCAGAGAAATACAGTAAGCCAGCCCGGTCATTGTCACCAGACGAAAGTCGATGCGACGAATGATCTTCGCTTGTTCTTCGAGTGACATTTCCTCTCCCTGGCTAAGAGTTTTATCCATTACGTCCTCAACACGCTCCACGCCAGGTGGTTTCTCATCGCTGGGAGTGATTGAGGCCATTTTCCCCCCAAAATGAGACAAATGATAGTATCAAGTTGGAGATAAGGTTGCAACAAACTTGTCTTATCCAGAACCTTGGAATAATAACCGCACGCGGATGCTCTGGTCTCAACTTGACGTTATAGACCTCCGATTCCCAGCTCCACAGGAAAGTATCCCAGCTTTAAATACATATACTACCCCGCTGTATACAAAAGAGCGTCGATCGGATGCTAGATATGATCCACAGTTCTGGACAATACGATTCTGAAACAGCACGAACTCTCTCGCTTATTTGAACCTAGTCTCTAGGAATGCCCAGGTATGCCTAGATATGCCCAGTATTGTTAGCCTGATCTAGATCATAATAGCCGGACTGAATAGGCGAAGTGCCTCGGTTCATTGGCAAAAGCCAGCATTTCAAAAGACCCAGGCATCATAATTCTTCGACAAGGAAGGAGGGGAAATAGAGAGGCGTGAAAAAGTGGAACTTTAGATTCAAGACTTCAAGTACAAAAATCCGGGGAAATCCGGGGATGAATTAGACATCTGGATAGGGAAAATAGGTTCGAGACACTGATTATGGGGAAAATGCGGGGGTGGCCCTTGGCAGCTTGGCGAGATATCCAATTACGATTGCTATCTTGGCCGTATTCTTTGCTCCAGGGTTTTTGATAATGCTCATTGCGTCAGAGAATTTGGGGATTCGTCCCATCCCCGCTCTACCTGTTCCTCTTGACGTGATATTGACATCGCTTTCATCACTTCTTACCACTCCACACACAGTTGCACTTCTTATCATCCATGAGATCCTTTAACAATTTCTTATGATCTTTGCTAGTCGTCAGATCGTAATTGGGACTCAGAGTAACTTGGAACCCATCTTGGTATGTAATGGCGGAAGAATTGGCGGAAATAAGGAATAGATCCACATAAAATGATGAAGTTTGCTTCAATAGAGCTAGAGGTCCTCTCAAATTTATATCCAGTAATAATGTCAGTTGACCTTTACAGTCTTGATGTAAAGTTGTATGTGGAAGAAAGGAGGGTTTAGTGAGATGGAAAGAGCTTACACAAAGGTACAAACCAATGCAAGTTTGTATGAGATGTCAGTCGCAGTAATAAGTGGCCATAATGTTGCTAGGCGTATCACACTCGTAATGGTGGTTCTTAAATGAAGAAGATTCATCAGTAAAGGAGTCAATCAACCGCAAAAAGAGGGGTATTGCATAGCAAGAGGGGGGTCATTACAAGCAGCCAATACCAAACATACAAATCGCTCCTATCTTTTCGACAAATCGCATTTGAAGTTTCCGGACAACTTGAATTGGGATAAATAACAGCACTAGATCACTGGCGGCATTTGTGGCAGCTGTTGTGAGGTATAAGGCCGGACGGTTGATGCACGACCCCCCCAACAAAGCTGGGAGTCCAGTTTTTGGCGAGCGGGTCGCATGCGAAGATCAATGCCACTAATAATGCTATGCTGTATCCCACAATCACTAACCCGACTAAGTAGAGAGTGTATACCCAGCCTTTTATCAAGTTTAGGAGCTTGTAGTATAGCATAAGCAAGGCAAGTTTCGCAAATGCAAGACAAGGGATATAAATGATCGAGGCTGCTAGAACCGTCTAACTCTAGCAACCATTATGGATCAAATCAGTTACCAGCCTCAAGTAAAATTGACCTTATCAAGATTCATTTGAATGTTTGAAGAATTGTGAGAAGTTATGACTTCACCTTTTGCAACTTGCCGATAGTAGGGGTCGACAATTCTGTAATATGAACACCGATCCCAGCCTTATTAAACCCATCTGAAAGATGTAAATTAGCTGGATTCTTCCCAAAGATTGTTCAAGATGTTCATGCTGACAAAGTATAATCGCCTGAGCCGCAATCGAAAATATCTATTGGTCGTATTAAACTTGGGTGTTAGATGAAGTAAATGTTTAATATTTATTCCTCTTGATGTATCAAAGGGCTACTTACCAAAGCAAAAATGAGAAAGACTAGCAGATCAAATGACATTCCCAGGTTAGTTATTACCCGTGGACCGAGTTGGTTGGAATGCTGAAAAATCTGAGATCTTACCATCATCCCACCAAAAGCTCCTCATGATGTGTATTTTGGTATGAAGACGCATCAGGAGACAACTGGTACTTACAGCAACTCCAATTGCTACCAATAATGTATTTGTCATTCTCAACCATGGCGCTGGCGTTGGCTCTGCGGACATCAACGAAGTTGGAGAGGATGCAGCCATAGCGCGGCAGCCCGGGGAATTAATCACGATTATAAGATGCAACGCGGCTGGCGAAGGTCTTGCATAACTGCAAATGCAGCTATTAAATGAACTGCAGAATTAGAAAATGAAAGTGAAAGTTGTCGTAGTGAGTCGTATCTACTGAAGGCCCAGGTCGAGGAAGTAGCGGTTTATTCGCCACCATGAGGGTCGGGATCTGTCAGTGTTCCAAAGTTATGGATGACTCTACGACTCTGTTCCAAAAACAGTTCCAAGGCTACACCATCATCTGGGCAATCATCAACATCGGATAAACACTGGCCAGGTATACTGTCAACTGGTCTCCAGGACTTTCACCAGAAATTTCCCCTCAGTCTTACTATTCCTGTTTCACCTGTCCATTCGACCCTGATTTGATTTCCGCTCGGCCATTTTCAACTTCCATGATATTGCCATTTTGTCGAAATCGAAAGTTGTTATTTTTGAGGCTCTCTATCTAAGTCTTGACTGTACCTCTTAGAATTTAGCTGCGGCTTTTATGGACGAGTGTTGATGTATTGAGATCGACCGAGACCCTGCGCTATCTAGACTTGTCAAGCGCCATATCTCTTCATGGATCGTTCCAGATGCTGTAGCTGCTGAGCATCGCAACTTAAAACACTTGAATTCTTGAATACGGAGGACATCATTGAGAACCCTCCGCCTGTGCAAGGATTATTTTGATGGTAGCTACTAGGTAGAACCTCGGAAAGAGAGTTTTATGCATGTGTCAACTGGTGGTCCTGACATATCAGATGGGATGAATCCATTTCTGTGGAGTGAACATCTGAAAATACATGAAAATGTGTTCAATTTTCCGTCCAGTATCGACGGCCCAGTACCAACCTTGGAACGATCCATGTTCTAAGGTTGTTAAACTAAACATTCGAGTCTGAATAATTGAGGGAGAAATTGATCCGAGACTAACCTTGGAAGACCGAGTACGTGCGGTCTTTCTATATGTCTCCACGCATGAGCTCCACATCATCCAATTTAGCACGTCCCTGAGAAGTGATTTGACTTGGGTGGAAAATCAGGAAGATGAGCATGACTATAAGCATCAGCGAAGTATCAAATGCGTACGCAAAATACTCGTGGCTTTGCAGAAAGCCAGTGGATCCTTGAATATACTCAATGACGCGATATAGACAACGGATCATAATCATAGCGCTTGCTGAATAAAGTACAAACATGTACTGCTGCCACTTCACTGGAGTAGACATTGCTGCTGAGGTGGGATTGCTCTCCATGCGCTTATGAAAGACGACAGAGACAACGACAAAGAACCCAAAAAAGATAATTTGGACGATCAAACCAACGACAATAACATCTTCACCGAGTTTCAGTTTACTGGATGTTTTAGCACCAGACATAATTGCACCTCCTATATATGGAAGTTAGGAAATGAATATTATGGGGGAAATATAACTTCTGACCTCCGCTCTGAATAAAAAATGACAACACGTCGCCCAGCACAAACATCTTTGTCAATTTAGTTGAGCGAATCAGAGATCTAGAATTACCATCCACTAAACATATGATTCGGCCAAGAATCATATAAATCGATGCGGCAAAGAGAGAGGGGGCCAGTAAAATAAAAAGGCTCTGTAAGGCATAGGGCATAGTGGCGTAATTCGGGGCTTCGTGGGCGTTGACTGCTCGTGCTCCATATCCAATTGTTTCGAATAAGCCACCAATTATAAATGTAATGAAGAATTTTGTCTTATGCTTCCAAACGAAGAATATGTGGCCGGACGTAAAAGTAATAAAAAGAAGCATGCAAATAACTGCGGCCGCAAGTGAGGGGGTATAGTTGTAGAGGACATAATCGGACATGATGATTGATGAAGACGGGGCTGTAAAAATGCGATAACGGAGAGATGATGAACGAGTGGCTCTGAAAATTCGACAAAAGACAGTATGAAGCACTTGGGATAAATGTACGCGTTTTGATTTATACTAAGGGCTCGGGAGGTATTTATACATAGCACCAATCAATCAAAAAAATGATCTGAGGTTGAAGCCTATAACCAGAAAAGACGGTTGCCTTGAGTAGGTAATATAAGAGGCCAATTATGTATAGAGCTCAGAGATTTTATTGATTTACTTTGAATATTTTACGTATATAGTGTAAAAGGGAGAACATTTGGACCAATTGAAAATTTAACCCGAATACGAACCCGAGCCCGAATATAACTGTCCAATGTCCCAACGCTCTATACAGGGAACGCACTTCTAATAGTGAACGATAACTTCGATAAATTTCTTGTATGGACTTTGTAAGTTAAAAGAAATTAAGCTAAATAATTTAATCTCCCAGTCGAATGAGAGAGTATAGTACCGCTGGTCAAAATACGGTGTGCGTGGCACAGTTCATTCTCACGCTTCTCACTCGGATACATAGGATAGCATCAATTACTAGTGATTTGATTGTACTCCCTTTTCACAAGTTTAACGCCAGGATGAATTAGTGGTTCCAAGGCTCATACCAGTGGAAAACCCTTGAAAACTTCAACATAATATTTAGGCATCCACATTCAAGTTTCAAATGTTTCTTCTGTCCTAAAATTATCTAATTCATCTTCTAATTTCACATTGGCACGAACTAGTACTCGCTATTTTTGTTTTAAAAAGAAGAGTGAGAGGGAGAACTTGAAGCTCACTCCACTTTGTTTGTTTAATTTCGTAAAATTGGTCTTCTGCTTCAGTATTTAAGGATAGTTTAGACCCGCTTATAACTAGCAGATAGCCTGAGTTTTCCAACAATCACCCAATAAATCACAATGGTCAGCAATACTGTTCTCATTATCATTGTGCTTGTGTGTTCTCTCTCGTCCGTCTCCCTTGCGGCGGGAATCTTCGGTGTCGTCAATCCCGATGTCCACATGTTATTTTCACCAAGTATACAGCAAAAACGATATATGCGAGAAGTCAGGCATAGACATTTTGATCTTCTTCTAAAAGAAACAAGATCTATTAGAGCAAGGGATCTTGCAAGGGATCTTTCAAGGTGCATACTCCGTATAATGAAAACCTGGCAAAATTCCACGATCTCACTCTGACATTGATTGAATACTATGTCAGACAAACAGAGGACATTGAAGACCAGCCAGATGGCGATAGCATGTCTGAGCTTTGAACGCCCGGCGTCCAACCATTCTATTTCAAGTTTGAAGTGACAGGGTGAACTTAGAAGGAGACTGATAATGATGGATTGCAACAACAAAATGAAACAAGAGCACTGGGCACCTAATAGGAGATTTCGGTCCCAAAATCGCAAGGCTCGAGGCCGTACTGGTTGAAAAGTTCTGTCAAATGGACTCCAGGGCTGTGCAATATTTTCAGGTTAACTCAATGATGGGAGTGTTTAAATGTCACTTGTCCTGCTCTGCCATTTTGATACCAATTGGATTCCTGATTGATACTGCAGTCTTATCTCGAGCCAAGTCAATTAATGTGGCCAATTAATGTGGCCAAGAGGTAGCGATCATCCGAGCAAATTTGCTTGTTTTTGTAAATCTTCTCTGTGTGGTGGCTTCGTTTTGGCGGCCCCGAACGGCCCCATTTTCAAATTTCGGTCCCTGAATGAGATATCTTAGGGCCTCTCAGCATCTCAGGGTCTGAGTGGGGCAACGCGAGGCAACATCTTTACATAAAATGATTCTGTAATTTGCATCATAGAAGATCTGAACCTGCTGTTATTTTGTGGTATGAGACAATGATCGAATAATTAATATGACAATAAATCAAGTTGTTGCAAAAATTTGATATGATCAATCAATTGCGGTCGGTCGTACGGCAGCTAATTGTTGATCCAAAATGAGCTCTTGGCCATAGCTAACAAGTAGAAGTAGCTGCACGATATAGCTCGTTGCGACCGCATGTGCATGCTGCGCCTTTGTATGATCATAGGTCTGATCACCTCGAGATCGAAACGAAAGGTGCATCCAACTCTGCGAACAGAGAAGTCCAGTCGAAGGAAGCACTAGGGTCCACACTGTTATCAAATTGTTGCCAAAGATCATCAAATGTCGGAAGAGTCGGATCCCATGGGCCATTTTCGTTACACTCAATCGGGATATTTATTGACGTTGTAGAATCCGTGATCGACTCAGAGGGTGGGTGCTCGCCGTCATTTTCGGCTCGGACCACTGTCTTGCCACTAACGCCTGGAATGGGGGCTTTGTGTCGCCAAAGGACTGCGTAAAATGACTCTAAGATCTTCTCGGCAAATGGAGACTGGCCCTTGGCTTCTTCCAGTACGCTGAATGCATTGTAAATCTCCGCCCGTCGTTGTTGGTCATCTTCGGGCCGAATGCTTTTGTTAAGGCAGACATCCATCAGTAAGACGATGATTGCCATACACACGCAATGTAGTACTCCCGAGAATCTTAATCTTGCGATCACAAAAGGGATACGCTCCGTTGCTAGCAGTCTCTCCATCCGTATAACCATCCGCGCAGCTTGTAAACATGCCTCTCTTGAGAAATCGTCCTCGGATTCTACGGCTGCTCGAGACAAGTAGGGTAGATGGAGCCTACATCTTTGAGCATGAAGCAAAGAGTTGATTACATAGCGCTGGATGATGATTCCAGGTGGGGTCTGTGGGTTATCCGAAGCAACTTTCTCTGAGCTATTATCAAGAGAAAAGAACGAAGGCATTTCGTTGATGATTTTGCAGATCTGCGCGTCGACGTCCCGTATATGTTGATAATTGGAGGTTTCATAGCACGATTCTGCGAAGGGAATTCTATCAGTTACCTCCCGGCAAAGTTCTGCTAATTGAATTCGTTGAAGAGAATATGACATCGATGTTGGTCGGTCCATCGGCTTGTTCACATAAGTGGCTCCGTCCACAAGATCTTCATCATTTGCATTGAGAGGCTTCTTGGTAGCCATGTGCTTTGGGTTGATGGAATATGTCCCTTTTTGTGGGCCTGCGTATTGGGAGAATTGCCAATCTGTCGCGACTAAATACCACCATACCCTCCGACCTATTTCCGCTTGAATCGAGCCTGGGTGGGAGCCATCAATTGTGCCATGTCGGGGATGATCGATACGATGTAAACTTAATCGACGTGCGACGGCTATGGCATTTGAGAATACATACCACGCTTGCGATGCGACACCAACCAGGTTGGTGACCATAAAGCCAACAATTATCATTGCCTGTACATCCTCGAGTGAGTCCAATGCCTTGCGACGAGAGTACTCAAGCACGTCAAGAGAAATCTTCAACCACAGAGCTGCTTGTTCATTTGCCTCCGCGACCGAGGAAAATAATGGCGAGTTCATATCCAGTTCAGTCCAGAAAAAAGTAGTGCTCGCTAGAATTGCAAGGAGCAATGCAACATGTCCCAACTTTATTGAACCCGGATCACCTGTAGATAAGCCCCGGTATAGATCATCCACACTTGATTTCACTGATGGTATGTGCACCACATGGTGAATATATGTGATGTCCGTCAGATATTTGTTGACAATTTCTTTAGCCTCATCATGAAAGGGCAACCAAACACATCTAGTTGCAACAGCCGAATTGTGCCTCTTTTCGAAGACGGAAGCAGCATGGGCAGCCTTCTTAATTGAGCATGTTTTGAACTCTATATCATAAGCGACAAGTGAGTCCTGTGTACAGAGTAGTTAGTACTTCCAAACCTTCAACTGTATTATCTCCTCTGGGTGGATAGAGCATACCGTCGGGATAGAGTATGTAACCTCTCCTTCCAGCCAATCCACATCGATATCTGAATCTTGAGGTCCTTTCACAGATGCTGAAGGGGGATTGCCTTTTTGCCAAGGCCGAAGAGGTTGTTCTTGTGATGTTTGTTCATCCACAATGTTTGGTGGTTTCCTTTTCTCAGCCACGATCTCCTCCAGCCGGCGTAAGCGTTCCAAGACATCTTGCCTGAAGGTATCAGGTGGGGCTTCAGGTGAACCCTCGATGCTTCCAGCAGAAGAAGGGGCTGGACCACCAAGCTGGCACGCAAGACCGCGACTAGTGCAATTGGGACAAGGGAACTGCCGACTGCACCTCAACTTCCGCGATCGACAAAACAGACAAGAGACCGGGCGTGACCGGGTTGATCGGGACAAATTCTTTTCAACCCGACCCATAATCAATGTGACTGAATAGCCTACCGAAACTTTGTAATAATCACCGACAGAGAGAGATGAAGTGAGAGTAAAGGGGTGTGGGCCAATCAGTGAGCGGTGACCTTCCGCGGAATTCCCGCGGGCTCGGATTTAGGATCGAATCTATACAGTAGATCAGTCGATTATAAGAATCAGGAATTGTCACACTGATTTTGGATATACTCATCATCAGAATCCGAAATTCAATTTCTTTGGAGAGATTGCGGGTGAAATACCATCCCTTCATCTCTTCTCCCACTCAAAATGGATGCCCTTATTGCTCAAATCCAAACTTTGGCCCATGCCACCGATGATGCGGGTCGACTGAACATCCAAAGAGCTCTTCAAAATGTGCAAATGGAGATTCAATCCCCGCAGGATGTTTTGATGCAATTTGGAAACGCTGTAGGCGCTCCTGAGAGATAGCCTCAATGACCCACTTCTGACTACTATAGAATCTACTTATCGCAATGCTTCGTCTGGCAGTCGATATTGGTATATTTCGGCAACTTACCAAATCCCATAGTCCTTTGACTGTACAGCAACTGGCTGAGGCTAATGATGCATCGGTATCTTTTATGCGTGAGTGATCTTCATAGCCCTTGGCACATACTACTCGACGTAAAGTCTAACCTTTTCCTTACCAGAACGAGTTCTTCGCTATCTCGCCTCCAACAACATGATAACCGAGGTTTCTATGAATGAATATCGGGCAAACACCATCACCTACATTCTCGCCGATCCTCGAGGAGAGGGAATGGCGTATCATGGGTAAATCGAGTCCACTTTCCGATTCTTCGGTCTTATGTGTTAATCTTCTGATAGATTTGATGTGTTTGGTCCTATTGTTCAAGTCATGCCCGAATTCTTCAAGAACAATCAGTATCGAGACATTACGAGCAATACCGATACGCCATTCCAGAAAGCCTTCAATACTAATCTCAGCTGCTTTGACTGGCTTGTTCAGCATCCCAAGCATTTTGGGTCTCTGCAAAAGGTCATGACTGCCCTTGAAGGTGCAGAGTGGACAGTTGGATTTGATCTCATTGAGACAGAAGCCAGAAAGATCCAATCAAGCCCACAGCCATCGGAAAGACCATTTTTTGTCGATGTTGGTGGTGGCCATGGTCATCAATGTGTTCAACTGGGCAAAAAATATCCCCACCTCCTCGGACGTCTCGTACTGCAGGATCTGCCCGAAGCAATAGACAGACTGCCTCCGATCGAGGGTGTGAAGGCTGAAGCCTACGACTTCTTTCAAAAAGAAACAATCACAGGTACCTATTTCCCCGCATAATATTTCCAAAATCTTATGCACAGCTCACATGTGCTTATGTTGTTGCAGATGCCAAGTTCTACTATCTGCGTAGAATCATGCACGATTGGCCCGACAAGGAAGCTGCAGTCATTCTCGGCAACATAAGCAGCGTCATGTCATCCGACTCACGTATCTTGATTGACGAGGTCGTTTTGCCTGATACTGGGGCACACTGGCAAGCAACTATGGCTGATCTGTCGATGATGATTGCTTTTGGGGGAAAGGAGCGATCAACCCAACAATGGTATTCCCTTGTCGACCTCGTTGGTCTGCGAGTTGAACAAATCCATACTTATGTGGCCTCCACTTATACGTCAATTCTTGTTCTTGCGCGGAAGTAGGTCTCAATTGAACCGAATACTCCGGCGAACTAGTGTTATCTAGAGATCCACCTAGGCACAGTTGCCCGCATAGGCACTTCATCCGAGTCATTAGTAATTGAAACCTCTCACCTGCAAAGATGCATGTTCACATGTTGGTGCTTCTTTCATTCCAGCTGCCCCGCCTTTAGCCTCAAAAATCTCGTTTTACACTTTCTTCGTATTCCAAAAATCCCCACAAAATCAGAAAAAATTCTTTGAATGGCTAGCGACGGAGTTGTGGTAGATTTTTGTGGATACCATTAGTCGAGATTTGTCGATCAATATGCTTAAAAGACAAAGTGCTACGAGAAATTATGGAACGAGAAAAAGCTAGATGCTTTCTTTCATCATAATCTTTACTGAATTAAGTATGGCCTAATGCTATTAAATGGGGCTGTGCAAATCATTCCAAATCACCATGTCGTAGGGCTTGGCCCCCTGATTCTTATCATTCGTAGCTTGGAGGTGGGGGAATACCCTTCCGAGCCTCTAAGTACTTCATAGCGTCGCAATACTTAATTTCCAGGCAGGATTCCATATCACCTCAGTACTTTTGGACGATGTCGGCTGAGAGTGAAAGTAGCAAGGCTACACAGCCTGACACTAGTACGCGTCGCTCAGGTAGAAAGCGAGTTCGGACAGGATGTATTACATGCAAGTACGGGACAATCCCTATGACGTTGACAGGATGAGGCTCACAGCTAGCTAGAATTCGCAAAATTAAGTGTGACGAGACTCGCCCCCATTGCAACAGATGTCTATCTACTGGACGAAAGTGTGATGGATATACGGTACCTGAATCAACAAATACTACTAGTAACGATCGCAACCCTACATCATCCTCAAGGACCTCAACAGCGGTAGTATTCAACCGAGCCCTACGCCATGTTCGATTATCGTCGATACCTGGAGTCAATGAAAAAGCCCTTACAAGTCTCAATATCGTCTTCCAAGCAACATCTTCAGAGGTTTCCTTCCCATCGACTCGGAGTTTTTGGGTACATCATGGTACCCCAGGAGCCATTCAAGATCCTGTTCCCCGACATGCTCTGATTGCTATCGCCGGATGCTTCCAACAACGTGTGCATAAGCAACAAGACCTACCATTCAATGATGCCGTCATTGATCAAAACTACAATATTGCTATAAGAGGAATTCGACAGCTCATCCTAGTCGAGGAACGCCCACTGAGTCAATATGAGATCGACTGCATCTTAACGGCGTGCATGTGTTTTACAGCCCTCGATTTTGTCCGAGGCAACTTTATGGCGGTGTTACAACATATGAAACATGGGATTACAATCATCAACACATGCTGTCCTTATTCTGATCTGGCGGGTTACTTTCGCTACATAAGCGTTGCCCCACTGTCCAATACACAGGCACGGCGGTTCATCCCCCTCCTCACGAATCTGGGGTGTCCCTATGGTGCGTGTAACGGACAGTGCTTCCCAGGAGGAAAATGTTCGTTCGCAAGTGTGCCATTCACGACTTTAGGCCGAGCGCAAGATGCATTGTTATTCGTTGAATACTACTTCTTCAGAGCGAGGCGCCTTGTCGATGATCATTTTGCAGCTTCTCCAGAATCACCTGGGTGGCCATCATACATCCTTCAAGAGCAGCGCAAAGCCCAAACATACCTCAGAGAATGGCGAGTCTTGTTTTCAAATCTCAAAGCCAATCCCGGATCCATTCCTGAGCACAAAGCCCTTGCTCTGATTCTTGAAGTACGTTGGCTTATCTGCAAAATTAATCTGAGTACGCTCCTCGAAGACGAGGCAGAGAGTGATCCAAAGGGTGATTTGATGCATCTTGTCGAATTCGAGCGCATTGTCAGACTTGGAGCTCAGGTCCAATCAAGACTTTCCTCGATGGAATTTCGAATGGAATCTAAATTGGGTGCACATATGGATATGGTAATTCTGAGATGTCGGTACTTGCCGATTCGTCTGAAAGCTTTGGCTTTGGTGCGAGATGAGCCCTCTGGCTCGGATGTATTGCTCAGTCCGCCTGCGATGTACGAAAGGATGAAGAGTATTGTTGAGTTTGACCATGGTCATACCATTAAAGAGTTGGAAACGATGGAGAATCCTCCCATGCATCCGATTCGAAAACGCCAATTCAAGATCGGATGAAGTGATTTTTTATGAACCAATTCAAATCTAACATTTTGACTCAATTCCGAGTTAACATTTCCATGGGTGATGAGTATTGTGGGCATTCTGAGTTGATCTTCGAACCAAGAACCACCACTCTTGTCCTTGCGGACTCATCGCCGAGATGGAGCTCAGCTTGCATCTTCTCGAGGTCGATCAGGTCCTAATAGCTCAGGCAACTGGGATCTGCGGATAGCAGGGTTGCCCCTTACACTTCCTGATCCTTGAAGAGCAAGTTCCCAAGATCAACCAAGATGTGATCGGGAATGGTCTAGCGCCTCCAATGAATGAAGCTAGCATCGAGATCCGCGTGAAACTATTCGAACACGCGAGAATAACGTGGGATAACAGACTTCCCGGAAGGACTTACTTTCGCCTCATACACAATGGAATACCTTCGTCACCTTGTCGCACCAACCAGATGATTGTGTATAATGGCAACTCGACCTTAGACGACAAAGATAGATGTAACTATTCTTCCTCGCCAGTACTCTAGTTAAGTGGGAGCCTAGGAATCATGCTTGCATCATCTGATGGGGATTTTATTGCCATCAAGACCTGAGAGTGAAAGACTTTATATTGAACAAAATTCCTTAGAAATCCAGGACAGGATGTAGGAAGTAGAAAATGCACAGAATCCCAATGCAGTAGCGTCAAACAATTATTGTACATGATGATATAATACCAGTTTACAGCTTTCCGCCAGTAAGCTGCTCACCGAGCTTCTTGACTCGGCCCTGGAGGACGTCCCAACGGGCAACCTCGCTCTTCCGAGACTCATTGACGATACTCTGCACGGTCGGAGGTGTACCCAGGTTCCAGATGTTGTCACCAGGCTGGCAGTCGTTACGCCAGGCCGTGTTCTCACCGTCGGGGAACACACGGTCGATCTCAGCAGAAAGCTGCTCTTCTGTGGTAATAAAAGTACGGGCACTCATGTAGAGCGAGTGCAGATCATCCTGTCGCTCAGCACTTTTTTGTGCCTCCTGAGCCTCAACACGGGCCTTGGAAATGGCCAGGCGTTCTTCCCGGTTGGGGTCGGCCAAGACATGCTTCTGACTCTGCATCGCCTGTACAATTGAGGACCGCGTCAAGCGTTCATCTTCTGGCTCTGATTGTCGGAGAACACTCTCTCGTCGCTTCTGGTTTTCGCGACTTCGGTGAGACATAACTGCCTCCGCCGATGTCTTCCGCTTGTATAGACCCTCGAGACCTTCCCGGAGGTTCTCTCTCCGCAATTCCGCCATCTTAATCTTGAAGGCCTGCTTCTCGGGATCACTGCTCTTCACGTTGACCTTGCGCTCGGTCTTGGGGGCGGGTGTGACGGCATCGAGGTACATCTTTCCGGGCTTGTCTGTTCGGCGGCTCGGGAAGAGCTCGCGAGGGACTGGGAGAGTACCCTTAACTCTGGGCTTGCTCGCATTGGTTGGTTGAAGGACTTGAGGGATATCAACGAAATGAGGAGATTCGGGTCCGACGCGAAGATTCGGGGAGGTTGTGAAACTGCGGACCTGCACTCTGGCAGTCCGGCTGTAGCGAATGGCAGACATGCTGCACCAATCAACCCTCTTTTACGCGCAAAAAAGGGGAGAGGAATTGACAGAAGATGGGAATGAAAGAAGATATTAGGAAACAATAGAATCGGTCAAAAGGACCGTAACAATTGCGCGGAGAGGAGGTCAGGGAGACGAAGAGTCGGGAGAAACATGAAGCGATTTTGCCCGTGGTCCGTGCCCCGGATAGTCTTGGCGCCAAAAAAAAATAGTTCTTACCGCCTTTATTTTTTCTTCTTCCCTTTCTTCGCTCTCTGCCATTCCTAATTGTTTTGGTCTTGCCTTCGAAAAAATTTTCCGAAGGTCAACCCAACCTTTTTTACACCTTTATTACAGGTTATCCCATCTATCATGGGTACCGGAAAGAAGGAGGCCGCTCGTAAGGAGCGGCAGGGCAAGGTTGACGATGGCATGGGCAATGTCAAAACCAAAGGTGAAAACTTCTACCGGTATGTCTCCTGAAAACTCAGTCGAGTTTAGTCGAAGATACATGGGAATATGGAAGACTAATGTCTATCGTCTAGCGATGCGAAGAAGATTAAGACCCTGAACATGTTCAAGGATGGCAAAGCTCGACGCAACGCCCATGGTGAAATTACCGTAGCTGCCTCCTACCAGTCTCGTGAGACTCCAACTGCTCGCATTGAACCCAACCGTAAATGGTTCGGAAACACTCGTGTCATCTCACAGGAGGCTCTCACTTCCTTCCGTGAGGCTGTCGCTGAGCAAACTAAGGATCCTTACCAGGTTCTGCTCAAGACAAACAAGCTTCCTATGAGTTTGATTCGGGACAAGAGCGATACCGTTAATGGAATCAAGCAACATCAAGCCAAGATGGCGATTGAGAACAATCCTTTCGGTGATACCTTTGGACCTAAGGCTCAGCGCAAGCGTGTCAAGCTCGGAGTTACCTCGTTGGAGGATCTGGCCGGCGAAACTGTCAAGAATATGGATACATATATCGAGAAGCTGGACCAAGGCACCCACGATGACGGTTCACCCATTGTCCTTGGCGATAATGCCAACCCCGATGACGCTATTCTCACAACTGCCCGTGAAGCTGTCTTCTCCAAGGGTCAGAGTAAGCGTATCTGGAACGAACTCTACAAGGTCATTGACTCTTCTGACGTGGTTATTCACGTCTTGGATGCTCGTGATCCCATTGGTACTCGCTGCCGGAGCGTTGAAAAATACATCCGCGAGGAGGCACCTCACAAGCATCTTGTCTTCGTGCTGAACAAGACTGATCTCGTCCCAACCGGTGTAGCTGTAAGTTTTTCATTTCTTCACTTGTTATCCCCATCAAACATCTTGCTTGCCTTTTTATTTTATATGATTCTTTTTTCTTTTCTTTGTTTTTCTGCCATGCGTTTCGTTGGCCTTCGTGCCGTTCCATCGCTAAGTCAAGGCTTCTCCTACGATTTCATGTCGTGCTATTCTCAGTGGGAGTATGTCTGTTACAGCTTTGGTAGATTAAGACTGTCCCGCACCGAATTTCTTTCTGAAGCTAGGTTGACTTGCTTTCGTCTTGAAAGCATGTCGTAAGGGACAGATGTGTCTTGTTTTTGAGTTGAGTTCTGCTTCTGCCTTTTCTGGTGGCTTCATAGCAGAACTCTTAGTAACATTCCACACATTCTTTTTTTTTCATCATATTTGTTGATTCTGGTGATCTTTTGCTAACATGGCATCTTTCACTAGGCTGCTTGGGTTCGTCACCTGTCTAAGGATTACCCTGCCCTGGCTTTCCATGCTTCCATCAACAACTCTTTTGGAAAGGGTTCTCTGATTACGCTGCTGCGCCAATTCTCTATTCTGCACTCTGACCGCAAGCAAATCTCTGTTGGTTTCATCGGTTACCCCAACACCGGCAAGTCTTCCATCATCAACACTCTTCGAAAGAAGAAGGTCTGCACAGTTGCTCCTATTCCTGGCGAGACCAAGGTGTGGCAGTACATCACTTTGATGAAGAGAATCTACCTGATTGATTGTCCTGGTGTTGTCCCTCCTAACCAGAACGACACTGAGACTGACATTCTTCTGCGTGGTGTCTGCCGTGTGGAGAACGTTGAGAACCCCAAACAGTACATTCCAGCTGTGATGAGCCGGGTCCAACCCCGTCACCTGGAGCGTACCTACGGTATTAAGGAGCCCACTGATGCCATTGACTTCCTCAGCCGTCTCGCTCGTAAGGGCGGTCGTCTCCTCAAGGGTGGCGAGCCTGACTTGGATGGTGTGGCCAAGATGGTTATCAACGATTTCCTTCGTGGAAAGATTCCTTGGTTCACCCCACCTCCCAAGCCAGAGGGCGCTGCTGGTGAAGATGAGAAGATCCAAGGACGTGACGGCCGCCTTGGAGAGATGGGTCGCAAGCGTAAGCTTGATGAGACCAACGCCGAAACCGCTGACGCTAGCGAGTCATCAGACTCCAAGCCGGATGAGGAATCTGAAGGCCTTGATGCTGATGAGGACGACGATGATGATGACTCCATTGCCAACTTGGAGATCAGCGATGTGGAGAGTGGTGAAGAAGATTGAGTCATTCACATTTCAACACGTGAATCTTCCAACCCTGAATCATCTCAACATTACGAGATGACTTGCGCGGCTCTTAAGAGCACAGAGCTTTACGCTCACCTATCCCCACCTCCGCCGTCTAGCGCTGGGTCGACTCTACAGAGTCGGTTGCCAACCACTTGAGAGATGAACTTTCACTTTTAAGCAGCGGCATTTCCAGAGACACCTTCCTGGCCTTTCCAGTAGACTCTGATCCCGGGTACGCTCACACGGTGTACAAGTCAGCTACAGGACGTCTTGGGTCAAACCTCGGGTTCCAAGTGAGACACCTGGGATTTTAGATACCCCAATTCTTAAATGAATTGAATGAAAATTACTTGTTCCATCTTACATTATGTTCAAATCTCTACTGTAGACATTTCTAGTAGCTGCTCACGGTTAAGTATCAGTACCTGCTCTCTTTGTCACAATAGATTGATCTCAAGCGTCAACTGTGGTTCTTTGTGGGGTCTCACCGCCTCAAAGTGTCGGTCTCCACCTTCGTCACCTCACCAGCCCAAGCTCATGATCTTTAGTTGACTCGACATGTCTCTGCAGCCATGCCAGAAGATATGTCTATGATCCCTTACAACGGGGGAAATCTCGATGTTGTACTGTATGTATTTCACATCAATGAGTGCCTTTGTTGACTAACCAGTACTCCGTTCATAGCCGACATAACGACTCGGTCGTCGTTTATGACCATGATTCGCAGCAGTTAGTTCTCCGCAGTGCAGCCGATACACATGGGAGTGATGTCGAGCTTGCAAACTGCCCATTATGCCACCGTCCCATGAGCGAGAGCAGTCGGGAGCGACATGGAAGCTCTGATGATTCGGAGCGGGAATTTATCAACCCAAATTACTTTCGCATGCTTGACAACAGCCTCCCGAGCTCTGTCAGCTCCTCAGCCCCTCCATCCCCTCGTCGACGTCTAGTTCAACCCGCCCTTCCTGACGGCAATGGTACAATTGGTCATGGTGAAGCCAGTGCACCGACAAGCGCCCCTCGCCCCACTACATCCCAAGGAATCTCATCTGCGGCGTTCAGTCAGGATTATTTCAAAAAGTTCTTTGTGGAAGAAAGGCTTCTTGGAAAAGGAGGGAAAGGTGTTGTCCTGCTCGTCAAACATGTGCTGGATGGTGTTTCCCTTGGAAAATATGCTTGCAAACGTGTCCCCGTTGGAGATGATCACGAATGGCTAGAGAAGGTGCTGGGTGAGGTACAGCTATTGCAGCATCTATCTCACCAGAATCTTGTATCTTACCGCCATGTCTGGCTGGAAGATGCGAAGATTAACGTTTTTGGACCCAGCGTACCATGTGCCTTCATTCTGCAACAATACTGCAATGCGGGTGATCTGCACAATTACATTTGCGGGTCTGTGCAAACCTCAACCACCGCCCAGCAGCTCAAGGCACGTCTTCGACGAAAATCAAAGGGAGAGCCAGATTTGGATCCAGTTGGACCTCGGGCTTTACAGCTGGATGAAATCTATTCTTTCTTCAGAGATATCACATCGGGTTTACGTCATCTGCACACCAATGGATATATCCATCGTGACTTGAAACCACAGAACTGTCTTCTCCATGAAACTCCAGATGGTATTCGAGTTTTGGTGAGTGACTTTGGTGAGGTCCAATCACAAGATTCTATGCGAAAGTCGACCGGTGCGACAGGGACTTTATCGTATTGTGCTCCCGAAGTTCTTCGTCGTGAATATCCAGATGGTCCATTCGGAAATTTCACATTCAAGTCCGACATATTTTCCTTGGGAATGATCCTCTATTTCTTATGCTTTGCGGAACTTCCATATGCAAGCGCCGATATCATCAACGAGGAGAAAGAGGACTTGGATCAACTCCGTGAGGAGATCACCAGCTGGACTGGGTTTGACCAAGCTCGAAGAAAGCGACCCGACCTCCCAGAGAGGCTGTACTCCTTCTTGGAAAGGCTACTTGCGGTAGATCCTAATCGCAGACCTACGGCAGAGGAAGTTTTGAATGGGATTCAACCCGGTGCGACTATCAACGAATTCCGCTTTAAAAGAGCCAGCTCTTCTAGCCCTGAACATCCTTCTGGCGCGAGGATTCGCCCTGTTGATAGTCCCCATTCATCTTCAGATAGACGAGCTCTCTCGCCAGTCAAGAAGATATCTCACAGCAATATCGCATTCCGACGTGACTCGATGTTTGACTCCAGTGGATCTGGAGGTAGCCCAGCCTCTGGACCAGAAATCATAGATGGACGTCCGTCTTTCAGCCCTGATCGCAATATCATTGTACATCCCAGATATTCTCCATCACCACCCGTCTCTCCAACCAGACCCTTACACGATGATGAATCTATCCATGACCAACCACAAAGACTCTCACGGCAGCAACAACTTCTTCCTCCTCCCCCCAAGCCGTTTCCTTTCGCTGGACTACATATCATCGTCTATCTCCTCGCCAAGCGTACAATTCTCGCTTTTTCTCGTTAAGGTTGCCTCCATTTTTCACCCATGCTCACCTCTATCTGTCAAGCCATGGATCCTCTACCCTCTTCTTCTTCTTGCTGCCATAACTCTCGGTACCCATGATCTTCGAGTACAGGGTATCGCCATCACAGTACATATGCTAGTCGTTGGACTCGGTGTGCGTACGAACATGCTTTGCGCTTGGCATGGAGACCCAACGCTTTTTTGATACCTCTTCTCTTTTTTCAACATATCGCATACGAAACACTAACGATCGTCCATGATTATGCATTCCATGATATCTTCTAACTTCCCAATTGAAATAGTGCATTCTTACTTTCTGTGTCAATAGCAATCAGCGGACATGCTTTCTTCGTGTCAATACCAAAACCACTTCCAAGGTTGATATGAATGAGGAAAGCAACAAACTTTGGGAGGTTTCCCAGTGTGATTTTCTTGGAGTGTGAAAAGGACTTTTCCTGGAAAAATGAATGAATTTGAGAAATTCCTACAATTGGTTTGATGAAAAAGTACATGTAGTTCTAGTACTAAAATGTAGAATTAAATCAAAGACCATGATGTCGGGGGGTTCAATATATCCATATCTCCACTTTAATGAATCAGATAACCATAGTGTTCGCCGTCCCGGGCCAACTGGATTGGGAGTCAATCTTCGTAAGTACTCTGTGCCCAATGAATACTAGGTATTCAAGGGACGAGCACAATACAGAGAATCATCTGTGTTCAGGTGAATCAGTATGGAAATCTGATGGTGATATAGCCAGAGATGCCCTCGTTATTTCATCTTGGAACTCTTCAGAATGGGGCACACCATAGAACGGTATGTCCATATTTGTCATGGAAATTTCCATGGCAATGAGTTCCTCTTTTAAAGAAAATGATCATGTGAGTAAAGTAAAAGTTATGAGATCGTAACTCCAAAATGATGGGAAGAAAATGTCTATGTTTTGTATTTGGGTATAAGTATGGATCGACAATCGTTAGAACTTGTAATGACAAGCTACTTCATACGAGCCGCCATAAATTTGCTGACCCTTTTCGGTGGTTCCTCAGTCTCGATAGGAATCATTTCTTCCTCTTCTTCATTCACAAAGCCACCATTCTGCTGGATCATGCGGTTGCGCATCTTGTAGAATTCGGAGGCAATTTCGCGGCGATGCATGGCCTCATCCAGCTTGTCTGGCTCTGGTGCTCGGGCTGATCCAGGAGCAATGTTACGCTCAAAAAGTTTATCTGCCAGGGTCTTTCCCTTTGGTGGCTGAGGGGCTGAGGGATCTTCAGAAATATCCATAATCGGAGCGGAAAATGGCTTGGGCCCTTGAGACTTCGCAGGGAAGAGAGGTAGGGATGTTGGGTTGGTAATACCATTAGCCTGCGTTGAAGTTTCGCGGGGCTCTGCGGCATTGGAGATTTTTGACAAGGATTCAATGGAAGATGTGGGTTTTGTCTCGGTGTCTGTAGTTGCTGATCGGGCACTCTTGAATCGAGATGCCTTCTTAGCAGGAGCTGGTGCGCTTGGCTTAGCATCTTGCACTCGGTCTGTACGTTCAACAATGGCATCTGCCAATGGAGAAGGTTCAGACACAGATGGAAGAGTCTTTCGCTCAGTTGCAGGGGTTTTCTCAATTTGCGGTGCCTTTGGGGCAGGTGCAATATCGAGTTCGTCGGCGAACGCCACCCGCTTCTTAGGCTTCTTTGTCTTGGCAGACTCCTCAACAGCGTCTTCCTTTTCAGGTTTGTCGGTGGAGGCTGACTCTTCAATTTCTTGTTGAACTTCAAGCGGGAAGGTTTCTGTATCCTTGCCCATATTCCACATTCCGCGAGCATTGAGTTTCGCTTCTAGCTCGCGCATTTGCTGGTGATAATCATCACCCAACTCTGTGCGAGTACGACCAAACTGATCCTCTTCTTCATCCTCCTCATCTGTAGCCCAGGTGTAATCCTCATCATAAGAGACATCACTGGCATCCTCGTCAAGCTCTAACTCAGCAACAATCGCGCCGACCTCGTCAATGCCGTATTGAATCATTTCTCTGCGCAACTGTGCGTCTTCCTCGGATTCATCAACGTTGCTGAGGGATGCTTGTTGACGGTCCTCCTCGGTCACAATAGAGACTGGCTTTGAGAGATCCAATGCCTCTTCTTGAGAACCATTGGTTTCCGGCACAGGCGCTGGTTCCTGGACAGTCTCGTTGGTTTGAGACTCCACCGCGCCAGCATCGACCACATCAGCACTCGTCTGGGACGCAGCAGGTGCAGCCTTGCTCGAACCCTCGCCTGCACTAGATTTGTCCGGGATATTCTCCACGCCAACCTTCTTCAAGACTTCCAGAAGCTGCGGTGCGTGTTCACCAGGGGTATTGACCGAGCTGGAAACAACCTCTCCCTCCTCATCCAGCTCCTCCATGATCTCCCTCATGGCAAACTCCGTAGTCTCTTCGGATGGCATGTTTTCGCCCGCATCCAACGAGTATAGCTCTTGCTCTGCGGCACGCAGTCTCTTTTCCATTGTCGCCACATTTTGCTTCACATAGTCGATTCGTCGACCGAGGAGATCAACGATCTGTCCACGAGAGCGCGCCCCGATGATGGTCTGCATTTCCTCCTCGGTCACCACGGAACCACCAAGTTCGTTTCCCACGGCAAGAAAGTCTTCGGTCGTGGCGGAATTCGGGAGTTCTTTGATTTCGTCGCGGAGGCCATCGTACTCTGCCTCCCAGGTGCGCCAGTGGTAGAGGGATTTTTGGAGTTCGAGGATATTGCCTTCCAGCGCAAGGCGGCGCTCCTCGAGGGCGTCGAGATTGTGAGCGGGTACACCCATGGTTTTAGAGATTAGAAGATCCGCTATTATTCAAAATAGTGAGATCTCGCTCATAAAAGGATTGGAAAAAGAAAAGTCCAACGGTCGAGGTGCAAAAAAAAGAGAGGGAGAAAAAAAGAGTAAAGAGTGAATGCCGCCGGAGGTGGTCCGTGCATGGTGGGTCTTATATCATTGTTAAGCCGATCTTCCACCTTCTCATCCTCAATCACCTAGGTGTTTCTCTCTCAATATGGCTTCCAAGGATGATATCGACCGTCGAGATGAGGACGGTAAGCTTCAAGCTCAGATCTTATATGCACAGGACTAATATTCAACTCCTTCAGAGGTCTGTCCCGTCTGCAAATCCTCTCGATATCTCAACCCGAACATGCGGTTCCTCATCAATCCAGAATGTTACCACAAGATGTGCGAGTCCTGCGTGGAGCGAATATTCTCCTCCGGTCCCTCGAACTGCCCAGTAGCTGGCTGTCGGAAGACGCTGCGCAAGCAACGATTCCGGGCACAGACATTCGAGGACATCGGGGTAGAGAGGGAAGTGGATATCCGGCGACGAGTGATGCACATGTACGATACCTACGCCTCTCACAAAGAAGACACTCTGTCAAGGTACAATTGCAACTAACAATATTCTAGTCTAAACCGCCGTGAAGAAGAATTCGACTCTAAACGTGCTTACGATGACTTCCTCGAACAACGCGAAGATATGATCGCCAACCTAGTCTCCCGCATTGATGTCTCCAGAACAGAAGCCCAACTCCAGAAGTACGCATCCGAGAACATGCAGTCCATCCGCACAAACCAAGCACTGGAGGAACAAGAGGCATCCTCCTTCCAAGCCCGCATGACGCAAGAACAAGAAGAAGCGCGCCTCCGTCGCCAACTAGCCCGCGAACAACTCGAAAACGAGCGCCGCGAGATACAAGCAAGCCGCGAGGATATGCTAAACAGATTAGCTTCGGGATCAAGTGCTGATGCCGCGGCTATCGCTCGTGAGGGTCACAAGGTGATGTTGAAGAAGTCGTCAGCGAGACGAAGTGAGGAGGATCGAATCCGACAGAAGCAGGCTGCCCTGCGGAGCGAGATGAAGCGTGGATCTGGTGCTGGTGAAGTGGGAGGTCCGTCTGACTCGGGTCTTATTAAGGGTCTGCGGAGGATTAAGACGCCTGAGCCGGAGAAGCCTTATGATCCGTTTATGGGGTACGTTCCGGAGAAGAGGGATTACTATACCTTACAGCCGTTCTATCCGTCTACATATCTCGATCGGATCAGGAATGATACGCGCATGGCGGCTGGTGGCTATGATCTGCGGGAGTACTACTCACGTACCATGTTAGAGGCTTTTGCAGGGTTGGGATGCTTTGTTGGGGAAGAGGTTTCGCGGCGAGATGCTGGAGTTGATGTGAAGCCTGCTGCGACAGCTGGTGCTGCAATGGCAGCAGGTGGCAATTAGGTGGAAGTGCATTGCCTTTTTTGTTTGATAAGAGCTTGATTTATGGGGCATAAGGCATAGCGACGGCGTTTTTAATATGAGCTTATATTGCTATCAATCAGTCTAGTACTACGTTGAGTAAGCTATCAAAATTGCGAAATGAATTTCATTCATTGCATAACAAAAGAACCATAATGTAAAGACGATAGTGGTCAGTAAAGACCAGTATGATTACAACAACCTGGATAACGCTAAAACACTCTTCAATGCTAAGTCACAAGGCACAATCTGCCCTTAAGAACGTCCAGTCAACTCTGCAGTGCTCTCAATGCCCTCCCAGGGCAATTCATCCTCGTCGTCAGACTCGGCCAGATGTGACGACTTATTTGTCGTTCCAGTCACGTCTGGAATAGTGGCATCAAGGCCAATAGACTCCAATGTCATCTCCATCTCTTGTTCTGTCATCTCTCGGCGGCCTTTCTGGCCCTCGAGAACATCATAGAGCGCATAGATCTGGTCAGATTTCATATCAATGTCTCTCAAAACAGTCTCAATTTTCTCCAACAATGCCTTGCGCTGTCGCTTGCCAAGCGATGCATCCAGCTTGTTGTATGCGCTTTGGTAGGTAGCAAGCTGCATCTTCAAATGAGCCAACTCATCCTCGAGGGTCTTGAGCACAGTAGCGAGCGCTACAGCAGGAGGCTGAGAAGGACGCATAGTCGGTTCCTCGGTGTAGGGCGCTGGCTTGGGCATGCGCTCCGAAACTGGAACAGGCTTGGGAACTTTAACGGGTTCGTGGTTGCAGGTGTCGTTGGGGAGCACGTTCTTGCAAATCATGCAGTTCTTGCCTTCGTGTTGGGCAAGGTTGTCCAAGGCTCGTTGGTCAGCCTCTGGGAGGCGAGTCGGGTTACTGGCAGCCAGCTCTACACGGCTCAGGGTAATATCAGGGAGAATCAAAGCGGATGTCATGTCTTCGATGTTCTTGCGCTTCTTGCGCTGAGAGGCGACTGAAGCCACTGAATGATCGGAATGGCGTCTAGGACGCTCGACAATAGGAACCACCAAGCTGTTTTCACCCTCAGTTGTTGCTACTGATCGAGAGGTGATATCACCGGTGGCCGATGCAGGTCGAGGGATCTGGATCTTGGGCTCACGCAGAGACGATTTGCGCGGAAGTGGTGTCTTGAGAATACCCTGGCGGGTAGTGTTGATGGCATCGGTGGTGGTAGTGGCGGTAGTAGTTGGTTCCTTTGTAGCACTAGAACGGCGCTGTTTGCGTGATAATCTTTCCTCTTCCAGTGTCTTGCGAAGACGTGCAATCTCATTTTCCTAAAAATCCAAATGTTAGCGAGGGCTAATATGTAGCATCGTGTAGGGGTACTCACATCAATAATGCTCAGCAGGGTAAGCTCATCCACCTGGGAGGAACTCTTGCTCTGCTCAGTCGCCTCCACTGGCTCGCTCACATCTTCGACAACAACCCGCTTGACTCGCTGCTTGCTAGTGTTGGGCTGCTTTCGAACACTCCTTGACTCCTTTGATGACTTGGACGAACGCTTCGTGGCAGGCATCTCGATCGAGAATAGTGCTTCTTCTGCCCGTTCCTTCTCCAGTCGCAAAATCTCCTTGTCCACCTGGGTTGAGATCTTGGTCCGAGATTCATCCTGGCGTCTGGGCTTGGTAGCGGAGCGGGCACTCTTCGAGGTTACGTCCCTGGTACTGCGGCTCATGTCGGCACTGCGCTCTGTGTATATCTGACTGTCATCGAGATCCGACCCAGTGAGGCTAGTCTCAGATTCGACAGTCTCCTTTTCACGAGTCTTTCTGTTGGAGCATTGGCTCAGCTGGGATTTCAGGTCTGCGTTTTCCCGTCTCAACTCCTCATTCTCGACCTTGAGTTCGCGTGATTCGAGATAAGCCACGCCCAACTGAGAAATGGCGGATTCTCTTTCCTGGTTCAGACGTCGCACAGCGGCTTCCTGGACCTGAGCCTTCCGGTCGGCGATGTCGAGCTGGTTTTGAAGAGCAATGCTCTCTGCTTGAAGTTCTGGGCCAAATCGTTAGTCGAGTCACTTAGGATCAATTAAAAAGGTAGACACATACTTTGCACCTCGGCGGCGGCTCGCTTAGACATCTTCCTGCTCTCACCCTCATCCATAGCATATTTGTCGTGGCTTCGAGATTTACTTGCCTTAAGGACAGCATTCTCTTCACGGTAATTTTCGAGTCTCTTCTCCGCATCTGACTTATACATCTCGAGCTCGGACACCTTGTCCTGTAGAAGTCGGAGAGAGACAAACAAAGCTTTTTCATCCTCGGGGATTGGAACAGCATCGAGAGGCAGGTGCTCACGGGTCATAGACACCTCCATCGCGTCATGAGGGGGAGATACAAATCGAGTAGAACGCTTGTGGGAGAAGACAGGAGTTCCATCCTCGTATACGCCAGAAATCAATTCAGAGATGTTGGGGAGGTCGGGAAGAAGGAAGGAGTTGCGAGTCATGGTATCACCCATCTCATGAGTGTGTGTATTATTTGCGGCTGGGCGGCGTGGAGATGCTGTTGAATTGGCCTTGCGAATTTCTTTCGCGTAGGCTTCTCTAGAGACGCGCTCAATTGCATCCGCAATCTCTTGGGAGTTGTTGGGGTGGGCAAAACGCGTGGATCGGGACTTGGCCTCGTATGGCGCGGGGCGTTCATCACCCAAAAATGAGCCTTCGTAGTTCTCTCGCACTTTTTCGTGCATATCTGAGAGAGTACGGCGTTGCTCGCGCTGGTTCTTGGAGCTTTGTGAGGTCATCATCATATGTTCCTTCTGTGCCTGGTTGGCCCGTCGCAATTGGGCGTCCTTTCGCAGATTCTCGCTGGCAGCGCGTTTTGTGGTCGAGCGGGCTGGAGCACTCTTCTGGGGGGTGGGGTATTCCACGCGCACAGCTGGGGACGAGGATCGCACGCTGTTTTGGAAGCTCATGATGGAGCTTCGGGAGTCGTCCAGGCGACGCGCGGACTTGCCTGCGGCGCGACCTAGTTCCATTGAGGGTTCACTGTTATTGTCGGACATTAGATCTGCCTCAAGCTCTTCTTCGGAGCTATGTAACTGAGAAAATTCGGGGAAGGCACGGTCGAGGGTGGAAGTATTGATAGCGAAATCGGGTTCGTCGTCGTCGTGCATATCATGCATATTAGGAAGTCGAGGACTGCCAATTTCTCGAGTGGAGGCCAGTGCTTCGTGTTCAGGGTCGAAGTCAGACATTGTTAGACTGGCATCGGAAAAAGGCATTTTCACACAGCCGTACCAAGTGGTTCATGTGGAGGAAAGTGGAGGTAGTAGTAAATTGTAAGTGTTGATGGGTTTGTTTTGGGACCGGGAATGTTTTGGTCGCGCGTCTCCGCCCACGGATAATTGGGTGGCTGGGAGACTACTAGGTACTGCACTGATCACTGCATTGATATTGACCCTTTCAATTCATCAAATTTTTTTTTATTCTAAAATGCATATTGTGAGATATGATTCTATTGAAACTAGATTGATTTTCTGTATACTTTAATTCTATACATAAGGACCACTGGCTATTCGGCTTATTTCCACGGTTCAAATGTTTGCCTACCATCATAAGGTGTCACACATAGAAAATGGCCAGATAATATAGGTGAAATCTTGACTTTAGACCAAGGGACTCGGAATAGTAGTCGATATGGATGTAAAATGTGCAAATATGTCAGCCCTGGAGGGATCAGTACTTTTTCTTGAGATTCGTTAGTATTAGCGAAGATTCAACTTGAAGCACTGGATATATCTATCTATTCCTGATATATCTATGCAAGGAATATTTGTTACTAGCATCCATGAGCATACTACACGTAGTAAGTTCAATTAAACGTGAATCTTTGCATCAAAGCTAAGCTTGAAGATCATTCTATTATTCATCTCATACCTAAGTACGCCTTAAACTTTCCAAGGTTCAGATGTCAAGTTCGAAGGTTGAAGTGTTTAACATTGCCCAGGTGCCTATGGCAATCACCTCCAGGTGAGCTTCGCTCAACGCCATGGCAATAACAACCCGAAATAAAACTTGGTAAAATGTTTGTTTTTGGTGATCTTGAACTCTCAGGATTCTGAATAAGTATCACTTGCTTAAATATGGAAGCTGAAATATTGACCTGCCTCAACTGGTCAGATCCGGGATTAGAGAACGGCCTGGAGCCCGAGGTTAAATCATGATGGATTACTGGTATTGCCATACACTCCAACCTTGGAAGGAACTTTGAAGCATTCCAAGACTTTGGTCCCAAAATCAAGCTCGTATATCAATCGACCATGAAGATGGAAATAGTGGGTTTCAATCTGAAGGAATCATCCCTCCAGGACTCAGCTTCGGCGTTGCCGAATATTGCCACCACAAACTGGCCAAAGGAATGAAAGCCTTTTTTTGGAGCGTATATCGCGGGCTTTTGATTAGTAGGACAATATTTAGAGATAGATCTCAAAGAGAGTGAATAAATGAGATGAATAAAAATAAGACTCATATTGTAAATGTTCCAAGGTTTAGGTCGCATATGTCATATCATGATGTCCCGTATGCCGATTCAAAGGTAAGCTTGAATCAAGCCCTGAGCACAGACAATACCGTGACTGTATCCTTTGATTCTATCATCTGATGTCCACTATGACCTGCGCATGGCACCGCTAACCTCAAGATGGCCCCCGGGGCCTCCATTTTAATGCACAGAGCTCGGAGCTACAAGTGCGCATAGACTATGCGCGTCCGCGAGATCTCCGAGAGCTTACTATCCACCATCCTTAAAAGCAGCCTGAATGCTGCGAGTTTGTTTACTGGTCAGTATTTTAGGACTCGCTTGATCATCCCCATATGGATGCCCAGGTGAATGTACACCTCACCGACGACATCACCATGCATCTGCGAACCACCGAACCACCGAATAACCGATACAAACATATGCAATAACTTGTCATCCACGCTTCCAATTCCATCCTTCAGCCCCATCCGACCTATTCCGCGCACGAAGAGCCCTCAACGGAAGGAATCGATCGGCGCGATCATCTATGCAGTAGTCTGGGGTCGAAAACATGAACGGAGTGGTGATCCTGAACATGTGGAGTGTTCCTAACCATCTGGGATTCATCTGTTCAGAGTGATACGAGGATTTTCATTGATCTTCTCAGTTACAACCTTGGAAGGCTACCGACAACTTATAACTGGGATTGACTGTCAGCATTACTGCGAGATCATCATAAGCTGCAGAGACTGGGACTGATCGCTACCGCGATGTTCTCTGACTGAGGCTCCTGAACATCGCATGTAAGATCAAATTTGAATAAGCCGCACATCAAGTGACGCAGCTGATCATACTCGGGACTGCTCCCCGGGTCCCCGCTACTAATTCCATAGATATTAATCTTCAAAAAGACGTCAGTGGAAGTGCGAAGTGCCGTAGTAGGAGGAACAAAGAGGTGACGGAGGGCGGGTCCCCGAGTCCCCGATGCCTCGTAACAAAACTCCAAATATTTGAGAGCTTTCGGGTATAATGTATAAGGAAAGGGATGTGGGTGATGTGATATATCAAAGCTATGCGGGTGAGCTCGTCTTTGAGTGGTTGATGATAGCAATGGGTAGGCCGTACAGGAGCACACAGGAGCACATAGCTCCAAGAATGGTCGAATTGACGATGAAGACCCTGTGCGACCCGGGAGGCCTATTCTCCCCCCGTATATGGGGCCGCAAGACCGCGAAAAAGCGATGATCAAAATCCAGTTGGATTATAGTCCAATAGACGTTAGGCGCCGATCACAAAGAAGTTGCTGCAAGGAGCCGTGAGCCGTCAGGGTGGAGATCAGAGTAGCCAACATGTAGAGAAGAGAAGGGACAGAAGTTGACAACCAGGAAGATCGCGCTGTTAGTATTTTGCTGCTTAACATGACTGGCGCTGTTGGTTACTCCACTGGCTTAGACTTGGCGCACGGGGCAGAAGTTAGCAAGTTTGATGTAAATGATTGGAGTAGTGATATTCGTAAGCGAGGAAGTGCGAGATACGAAGAATTAGGTATCTACATTATAATATTATTATACAATTATACTTTGTTATGGAGTACTACTATACTATCGAGAGGCAAATAAGACCGCATAAAATGTAAATGATCATCTCAACACCTTGATCTCGTCATTCCACGCCCCACAATGCTCGTGTCCCGAAATCTTTAAATAGAAACAGAGACTGAACACTGAATACTATGAATGTACTGTGAATACCGGAACATCCAGGCTCCTAAATTTATTAGAGAGTCTAGATTAAATGAAATGGTTTAATTCAGATGATAATATTTAAGGAGAACTAAGATCCATAATCTAAGTATTACTGCGCCCCCCAAAATGTTTAGGAAAAGGTCGGGATTTTCCCAGTTGAAGATTAATTTAGAACGGGCAATGATCCAGGCCGATCTCCACCTCCGGTGGCGTCGATAGTTCTAAATCCATCGTGGGAGAGAAGGAAAAAAAAATAATAATCTGATTTTACTGAAAAGGAAAAGGAAAAAAAAAAACTCTGCACCTGAAGATCGAGTCCAAATAACTCTAACATAAAATAAACTTAAGTGGGAACATAAAGTAGGATTTAATATAGAAATGTTGTTTTCCCCTTATCATTAGTGTTGGTTAAACTGGGTCTTCTCCCCGGTCACATTGCAGAAGCGCCTATTAACCCCGCCTAGAAGAATTTCCCTGGGAGAAAAAAAAAACTACTAAAATGTCACTCTATCCTTCCGACTTGAGATCCTCATGTTCTTCAAGTTCATCCACAATGTCCTGTCTATCTACCCCCGGTGACCGTCCTATTGCGCGACCTAAACCAAAACTCACACTACAAACATCCTCTCTCCCACGAACATTTGGCACTTCAACAACAGGCCTCTCTCGTCCCTTTACAACTGCTCCAGGTACATCACCGACTGTACGAAACACTTTTAAAAATGCATACGATGTACCATCACCGACTTCGGCAACAGTCTCTCCCTCAAAAGGTCCCAGTCACCGATTTCCGACTGATAAGGCCATCTCTCCCTACGTGTACCATCCCATAAACAATAATAACTTCAACCATCGCAGCGCATACCAACTACCGTTGGGTGTGCGGAGCATTTTGCGCAATTCTCCACTCGACACTGCCTCACGGCGACGCTCTGGCTCCATCTCCGCAGGTGCCGGTGGGCCCGGAGGCGCAGGGACTCGCCGCGTCTTCTTCCCAGCAAAGAAACAAGTGAGCTACCGACAACCACTAGAAGATATTATCCACACGGAACGCTACACGGCACAACATCTGGACCTAGTCCATGAAGCGGAGGAACAAAAGGAAAAGGAACCAGAACAAAGGACCCAGTGTGAGGCTGTGTCTGAGACAGGTCTGGGGCCAGAACAGCAGGTACCCGCCGAGTCCACTGATGACTCGGACTCGAGCCTGTCTAGTACATCGGACGAGGCCAGTGCAGAAGAAAATAAACCCAAATCAACATTGTCAAAACTGGAACGCAAGAAAAGGCGGACTATGCGGACGGAGCGACAAGTGCGCGCTGTGGCGTTGTTGGATGGACTGGATTCGGATCACTATACTGCTTCCTCGACGCCTCAAACCCCGCGACAGGGGCGAATTAAGCGCCGTCGAGAGTGGAAGTGGACTTTGGGACCGATTCAATCTCAATCTAGTCTTGAAAATACGAGTCCTTGGAGTCTTTCCTCAGTCTCGACTAGCCCGGAGACTCTTTCCATTTCTTCGGCTTCTACAGTGGATGATCTGAAACCTGAATCTGATCTTCCTATCTGTCAGGAACAGGAACAATAACCCATTTGGGGGCCAACACTCATGATCCTGCTATGACTTCTTATCCTTCCTCTGATGCATAATGGTGATGTATACACCCAACGATTCATGTTTTCTTCATCTAGAGGCGCTGGATGGCATTTGTTTTTTTTTCTTTGTTGGTTATAAGCGATACACCATTATTTTGGGAGGGGCATTTTTGGTTCTATTAGGAACTTCATTGGATTTCATTTCTAGAATCCACTTAATTTATTCCAATTGTACATAGTTGTGTTACGATGAAGCTCCAATGAATTCCGTCATCACATTAGCCAGCGCCAATGTGTCTTGGCAGAAGTGACGCATCATGCATAATGACGGCGCCACAATAAACACTCAAGTTCAGAACATCCAATCGCTTAACAGTATGTCCTAGAAAGATCTCCCAGTACCTTGTGCGTGCAGAGACTAAGTCGTCACTTACATTAGTGATGCAATAATTTCCTAAATAGGGTCCCTTGAGTTATGTACCACAGTAGTACGGAGTATGCCTAGCCTCGAGAGTACAAAATGCCACCTGCACATGCGGGCAATGTTACACTCTTAGATAGCCGATCGCAAAAAGAAGTGGATTCATAATGTCGTCATTTGTATACTATGAACAACCTTGAAAATAAGCTTGAAATAAATAGCCGAATCCTTTTGAGTATACACTGCCATATGGCATACTCCAAGATGCCCAGGAGATATGAACTGCCCAGTGAGGCACCCGGGCACAGCCCCCACTTGAATATGACACCACCACCCGGGCATCGTGAGCCTCAAGTCTCCGTCTCAACATCTGGCTCACGGCCCGTAAGCCCACCAACACCAATCTTCTTCTTCATCTTGCGTAGCGCAAACTTAGCCTCATCCTTTGCGAAAAGAGCATTCCGCGCCGGACGCCACTGCATCATTCCACGCTGCTGTCGCTGCTCACTCCTCCGATTGGCCTTATTTGACTGATCGAGACTCCCCTTAGACGAGGACGCTGTCGCCCCGCTCTCACTAACAGTAGAAGGACCCTTAGAAAGAACCTGAGAACTATCCTCATCATCCATCGAGTCCTCACTCATATTCTCATCTTCTTCCAGGGTATTCCGATGCACAGAAGGTTGCCCCTTCAACGGCGGCGGTGTAATAGGATCATGTTTCGGCTCATCTTGACCCGGTTCAGCAACCTTTCTCCCCATGGAATCCGTATATGCTCGTGGATCATGCCCAAACGCACCACTCCAATCATGGCCTTCACGATCAAGCCAGCGTCGACGCTCCGCCGGCTCAGCATGTTTCAGCACATCGCGCGAGTCGATTAGACTCTGTTCATGCTTCTCCTGAACTTCTTCAGGAACTTCAACGGAGACGCTGCGTGAGCGTACACCTTGAGAAACACACGCTTCCCATGTTTCGAACGTCTCGCGAGAATCGTTATCAATGACGAATTGTTCATGCGACTCGTCGATTCCTGGTGAGAATTTACACCGGAACTGTAGTCTACCCACTGTTTTCAGATCCTCTAATCCTGGTACTTCTTTCGCGCGCCAGTTCTCCTCTGTAATATAGTTCTGCGTAAGACGAGCACCACTCTTCGTTGACCAGATCGGGATATCGATATCCGTATCTTCGTTATCAACTAGATGCTGTAACCAGAGAATAGCGTACGCGGCCGAGCCACGCTTACCCTGAGTATGGAATTCAAAGACAATGGGGGATCTGTATCGGTGCTTTACTGGCATGCGGAGAGAGTCACGGAAAGTCTCATCAGATGTCTCGTAGACCACGTCGCTACCATCTAGATTTCCGCTAGGTCGTGGGATCTTGCCTGTACTACCGCCAGTGCGCATCTTGATCTTGGCGATACGTCCGAAATCCTTTGCAACGATCTTCTCGCCGGCGAACTCGAAGGTCCCCACGTCCCAGCCTAGCATTTTTGGTGGGAGCTTCGTCTCGACGTGTCGGAAGAGTAGTGAGATACGGATACGACCGAAGCCAATACCGCCGTCTAGTGGGTACCAGCGTGTTACTTGGGAGCTGGTTTGGAAGATGTCGGAGAGTTTGATTGGGACGACACCGAGAATTGGGTCGTGTTCTCTGTAGCGAGAGTCCCGGACGGTGATGGTGACAATGGAGGAGCGCCAGTCGCGGACGAAGCGCTCCGTTCCGGCATTGAAGATTGGTTTGGAGCTCACGGCCTTGGGGCGGGTGCGGTAGATCTGTACTCAATGTTAGAATTGTTGCTATTGGCGGCTGTGTAGTGATATCAACGTACTAGTTGATCGTTTAGCATGATCTTGCAGTAGCTTGTGGGTAAATCACCACCCTGTTCCTCTGTATTCTCGCCAAAAGGCTTTGCGGACTCATACTCCTTGCCCTTGCGATTTCCATCACTGCCCTTGATATTTGCAAGCTGCAGATTGACGATTTGATGCACGACAACATGAACAATACCGCTGGGCCAGATGGGATCGGGAGGTGTATGCACAACAGCATCCTCCTCTTCATTATTAATAATACCCTTATCATCCTCGAATGTAGGATCTCCTTTAAGATTCTCAGGAAGATCCTTCTTCTTACCATCAGTCCGCAGCTCAGGTCTCAGCTTTGGTTTACCGAAGTATCCGACTTCCCAATGCAATTGACCAGGCATCTCACTGCCCTCGTCAAGGCCTTGCAATTTAGATACTTGTGGGAACATACGGCCTGGATGCTGAAGCATTTCACGAATCGGCAGTTCGACCTTGCCGACAATATCATCGGCTGTATTCCGGTCTGAGTCCCAGAGCTCAATACTCAAGTTCTCATCAGCCTTGATCAGCTCAGGCGTGACAAGTAGCGCGGCGGTTTCCTCCCAGATGGGATTCAGGTCATCTGTAATTACTCGAGTGCAATACATCGGCTTGCCATACTTCGAGAATGAAAGATTAATGTATGGATCACTGCCACCTCCTTCACTACCACGACGATCCTGCTTGCTTAGACCAACAGCTCGGTGAATACGAATCCACATCACACCCAATGCAAGTGTATCTTTGTGAATATCGTCACCCTTAAGCATCATGCTCAGATCCATAGTCATGGACTTGGGCGCCGCAAACATGGCACATGCGGCACCGATAGCGGAATTGACGAAGTTGGAGATCAGTGGCAGGTTGAGAATGTTGACACCTCGGCGAAGCATCGGCACACAGCTAGCCTTGACATGCGGGATACCGACCAAGCTAAAGGTAAGGTCCTTCGCAAATGGAGGTTCCGGCATCATCTGAAGACGTATTCTCACTGTACCAACTAACTCGGTGAGTTCAACAAAGACGGGGAACGGAACACCGAATAGACCGCGGATACCCAAGTAAAACACCAGATGCATGTGCATGTTGCGCGCCTTGGATGAAGCAGTTCCAGCGCTCGGTTTGGCGTGATAAGCGAACGATGCCTCCAGATTGTAGTAGCTACCTCCTTCTTCCGTGGCAGCAGCTTCCTGGGGATCCTTATTCTTCAAATTCTCCTCGTGGATATTGTCTTTGAGATTTTGGACATGGCCATCTGGGAGAGCACGCATACTGAGTATACGAAATGGATTATTACCCTGGTCGATTTCTGCGATACGGACATTCTCAACCACGCTTGGAGCGGAGGCTTGCATGATGTCCTCGATTGTGTCGGCCATTGGTGTGAGCATTTCAGGGTTCATCAAACCCCAGACTACACCCAAAAATGAATTCATCCACTCGACAGACTCAGGAAGTAGGTTTGCGGTGGCCTGAATAGTGTAAGTATTAATATAAGCTTTGGATATGTTGAAATGAGAATACATACCGTCTGACCTCGAACTTGCTCACTGCTCCATTCCATTTCCCGGCCACTTCGAATAACCTCTTGTACCCATAACCATATTCCACAAGCGATACACAGAGCCAGTGGAATTAGACCCCAGAGCGAACCACCGAAGAATCGACCAAGTATAATAATCGCAAGTGGAATACCGATGCATAGCGCTGTAGCACGAGATTCTAGTTGTTTGAACATGGGTTCGAAGGTGATTGTGGGCGTCGGATGGAAGAGTACATTGGTCTTCTCGCCACGAATGGGGACGTCAGACGTAGTTCCTTCGGCGATGGGATCGGGAGGTGCGGTAATATCTTGTGCTTCTTTGTACTCGGGCAAGTCTTGGTCGTGGCTAGTTTGTACATCCTAGTCTGGAGTTAGCTTTTGGTCCAAAGATTTCTTACAGATCAGACTCACGGTAGGTTGTCCAAGATTAGCATTGGGGACCGTCAACTGTAATACTCGTTAGTGGGGTTGAAGGCATCATGCCATCCTATTGAAGTACCAACCATTGGGTTCTTAACAGCTTCCATGGAAGTCTCGTCTTGATCCTCCACTCCAATCTCTTTACCAGTAGTCGGATCGGTCACTGTGCGTGTTTTGGCCTTGGATACCTCGCGGGCTTTATGAGTATAGACATCTCCCTGGTCCCCAGCATGCTGTTTCCCACGTGTATCCTCCCATTGCCGCCGTCGAGCCTGCTCGAGCTTGAGTCGGTTCTCTTCATCAATTCTACGATCACGCTCTTTCTTCTCGTGATCGAGATTCTCAATGAACTTTTGCACAGTTGGGACGGGATTCGCACCACTCCAGTGCTCCCCAACACGGTGTCGCTGAGGCGAAGCGGTCGTTTCGACCTCGCGCGTAGTTTCGGCCATCGCGATCTCTTTGAGACCTGTTCTTGCGCACCGAGCTAGGTCAATACCTAGCTCTAGTCGGAAAAGCAGTTAGATGGGGGCTGTATAGGTATAGACTAGTAACTGAATTGTCGACAACAGCCCCTACGTTGATGATGATTTGATTAAGCAGTTGATCTCAAGGAAAAGTAGCTATAAGCTCCTCTCATATAGGTATTAAAACACATTTACCAAGAGTGATAACTCCGCTGTTAAGTTGGGCGGATGGAGCAGCCGAGAGCTTCCCCAGGACTACGTCATCGGTGGACACAACCCGGAAATCTGCTATGACGATGTCAAACGCGGTGTCATCTGTGGTTCCAGTACTTTATCTGTGACTTCTAGGCAATAACGATTAGTCTTTCAATCAATTCTTTCTCCACTTTAGTAGTAGAGTTGAAATGGTATCTCAGGCTCCGTCCTGGACCAGCGGGATTCCGGTCTTGGCATTTAGTTCATACTTGAGATCTAGTCAGTTCTTCATTCTCATTTATTTATTAATGAAGATTCTGTTTTTATTTTGATAAATTTATCTTGAATAAATGAAAATTATGATTGAGTCTAGCTGACAATTTCAGTCTTTCCATCATTATCATTTACGATCGATCGTCAACATCACCAAGGGATAGACCCGTACATGATGTCACCAACGCAGCTGTAAATCAATGCCAACACTTTTCTTATTTCAATCTTGCTTGGCCATGAAAAAAATTGATCTGTCCCTGGACCCAATGAACTTTGCCAAGCTCCACGTATTTCTGCGGTTGCAGGTTGTGTGCTAATTGTCGAATTCAAAATTCGAATGAATGTAGGTATCTCAGCTCAGAGATCGACAGCATTAGTTATGAGATCAAGGTTGATCCTGGGGTAGATCGCGTTCACTGACAAGGGATAGCGAGAGCTAGCTGGTTGGTTGCTATGAAATTGCTATTTTTGTTCATGCTGATCGATGATGGTAACCTTGGAAGAAGGCATCTTCCTCCAGGGCTGTCGGTAGTCTCATAGATCGCGGAGGCGAATTTATAATGGGTTGTGAGTTGAGATGCACGACAAGATGGGGACTCAGAGTTTAAAGTGCGTTCTCATTAAATCGCTCCGACCCCTACGGACTCGAGTACTAATGAAAGATTTCTGTGGTATACTTTTGAGCTGAAGTTCAATGTGGCCATCTCAGCTTCTGCTAAGTACCATATTGAAAGCTATTCGATTAATCATGCCATAAAAATATATGATAGTAGTGCATTGAACTATCAATATGCCGATTGCCCTTTCGATTGGAGAAATGGAATCAATTTATTGTAGAGCGCTATACCATTGTGATCATCATGGTTGACAGTATAGAAAAGCTATAGTACCGTCAAAGGTCAACTGGTCAGCGGATCTTATCGCACTAGACCACGACTCATCAAGTAACCTCCGATCCACATCACGGACCTGTCTCTCCACGCCCAGAGAACCACCTTGGATAATTTCAACGTTCTCATCGCATCAAAATGTCAACAGCGGAGGATTCACCGGCACAGAGAGCCGCTCGCATTCGTCGTGAGCGTCGCGAGGCCAAAATCAGGGAAGGAGGCTCCGCACGTCTGGACAAGATCACCAGTCTCAGCGGTCGCACCCCGCAGTCACGTATGACATTCAAAGAGACCTAGCAATATCGAACATGCAAAAGCTAGATTGCTAACTTGAAAGCTTCTTGATAGTCCACGAAGAGACCTCCCCCTCTCCTCAACCCACCCTACGCCCCGAACCCGCCATCTCTCAATCTCCTCCCCCATCCTTGCAAGACCAGCAATCGATAGAAGCCCTTCAAGCTCAGCAGGATGCCTTCCGCGCGCTACTCCGACAAGCCGCTCCTGAAATGGCACAAAATGAAGATGCCAACGAAGTAGAGGACCCCACACTCAAATTGCTTAACTCCCTCCTTGGTGCCATGCCCGGCGACCCCAACGCGCCTCCATCAATGCCCGGCGCACCAGGCCCAGCAGGTGGATTCCCCGGCCAGGATGCAGGCGCGGGTGCTGGACTCGGAGTTGCGGCTATCGCATCTGCTCTCGGTCTGCCGCCCTTCATTGCCAACCTGATCGGTGGAGCTCTCCAGACACCGCAGGAAGACCCGAAGAGTGTACGAGTATGGAAGACCCTGCACATCCTCTTTGCCTTTGCTGTGGCTTTCTATCTTCTCTTTATCATTGGAACATCTGTTGCAGTCTTCGGTAGCTTGCCTCCGAAGCCTGCGACTATGCAGAATCCATTTGTTATCTTTGTTACGGGCGAGCTGCTTCTATCTGGAGGACGGGTATTGATTGGGGGACAAAAGGGAATCCGCACGGTATTCAAAATTGTTAAGGATGTTATTCGTGATGGCAGTTTGATTCTTTTTGCATTGGGATTGGGAGCCTGGTACACTCGTGAATGGCAGGTTGCTGGTTCTGCGTCTTCTTAATTGTATTAGTATGATTAGCATGGCATAAAACATTTGAAGGTTCTTATACGCGACATTTGACAACAAGCAACATTTTCTTTGCTAAGATAATCAGTTTGGAATCAGTTGGATATCCTCTGCGTCTAGCATCTTTTAGGCCTTAACATTTGCCCAGGTGAGTAGTATTCGCGCGACTAATCGGGATGCACATATGTGCCCTGCGGTACACGCATCAATTCAAGTTGATATAACGGTCGAACCAGGGGAAGAAAAACCTTCAACTACTTGTAGACTCTCGCCCGGGCGGAGCAGTAGGTATTTAGGTAATATCCCAACTCGGAATCGGAAGTCTATATACTGGTCATCTTGACATCTGGACATCAAATTGTTGGACTTGAAACCTGGAACATTCAAAAATATTTTCGCGCAAATCAAACATCATACTTCACATTTTCACGACCTGGCCAACTACTACAACGTCACGGTGACTTGGATCGATATTCAGAGAATCATGTCATTCTTTAAAGCCATTTCAACTCACATAGCTGCAGTGCGCTCCAGGCGAGGGTCCTCATCAAATTTGATCGACGGTACACTACCGTCCAGTGTCATCGCGTCGAGCACGAGGCTCGAGGATGGATCACCTACAGTGATTCATAAAGATGAAGTCAAAACTTTGACTGATGGTACACTATCGCCCAGCGTCATCGCGTCGAGCAAGTCGCTCGAGGATGTATCACCTACAGTGATTCATAAAAAAGAAGTCAAAATTTTGATCGATCTCCCTTACGAGTTATTGGATCTGATTTTCAGGTTTCTTCCTCGAGTCTGGCAAGGCTGTTTAGCACTTACTTGCAAAAGGCTCTATGGACAATTTAAGCCCATATTTAAAGAACCCATGTTTCAGCATCCCTACTCCAAACATGGCCTTAATCCTTCAGTGGATATCGAAACCCGAGGACGATTCCTCAGAAAGCTCCAATCTCCATATCCCTTTGTTACCCCAAGTCTACTTGTTGGGTATACTGCGTTTCATGTTTGAAGCTACATAGGCCCACGGAAATTGTTTTCCGAGATCTCTCTGATACTCGACTTGAAAGAGATGATCTGTGCTGCAAGTGGAGAGGTATTATTGTACTTTGCCCTTGCCTCAGACTATCACCCAAGAGGTTGATAAATATTGGGAACAAGCTCACAGAAGCAGGCTTTGACGAGGATGGATTTGAAAGACTCATTCCAAAGTGGCATAAGTGCAACCTCGTCAATTCACATGGGAAACTTGTATATGAAGCAGAAATTTCCGCTTCTCTCACCTACCGGGAATTGATTATCTTTCATTTCACTTATTTGATCTTTACGGATCAGATAGAGGTTGGGTCACCGAAAATTATGGTTTGCCCCCATACAAGTGTCTTGGATTTAATTCAAGCTCTGAGCAATCGGCGAATCCCAAGATCCAAATTTTGCCAGAAGTGCAGTTATTCCCATGTGGTATCACGCTTAAAGGCCCCGTCACAATATAAAGTGGAGTTTAAGAGAAATTTTGCTTGGCCGAGGATGCAACATTTTAAATACTACCATGACTACTTTAGGGATGCTGATTATGACTGGAATCGGTATGATCTTGCCTAGGTGAATTACAAACTACTTCTAACATTGAAAGCTAATCATCATCCAGATCAAATAAACCTTATCAATGAATCGCTTGACCTAGCCTTGCAAGATATAAAGATCGGGTGCCCTACTCAATGACACCTCAAGCTAAATGCACTACCAAGTAACTTCTGGCATTGTGTTAGTAGTGAGATGGATTTGCTGTCATTTAGGAAGAAAGAAGGAGTGCACATGTTCAGAACTGCATGTGCGAAGTCGCGTTTTTAATATAGCTTTTAATCTGACGGAATGACTAGAATTCTCGCTTTTAGAAAATTTAGGCTTATATCTCTCTAAAAAATTATTCATCCCAATCTGAGTCATTAATCTGTAATTCCAAGCTTACCTGGCCATCCGTCGAATCTGCGTCATCCTGCCAGTACCAACTCACTTCCCACCACTACTATCTCCAGGACTATCTAGGTACTTCATACCACCCTCACGCAATCAATTAAAACCTAAATTTTAAATTGAATGTGTATCAGGAAATTCATTATCGAAAATTAAACTCAAACATCTTGATTTCCGTTCCTTCATGAACGTGACGTGACAGTGGGCCAAACTACCCATGAACATCAATCTTGCCACGTCCCAATAGTAGACACCAGCCCACCTTCCATCCTGAGTTGATCCGGATCGAGATATACGCGCATCCCAATACTAGATCCACGTATCTCAAACACGCGGAGAATCAGATACACTTCGGACCAGCCGCCTCTGCGATTCTTATTGCCCATCTAGATTCGGTTAGGGGTGCATAGTTTCATGGGTCTTTCGTTCACTTACTCGCTCGAATTGATTCTTGCTCAGGTAGAATGGCGTGCCAACTGGTCCCGTCGTCGTCTTGATGTTCATGAAATATTTCGGACGCATGGTTTTCCATTCGCCGGCTTCCATATACCCACGTTCGATCAGCAAGGCCGTAAAGATACCCTCTGTGTCATTATAAACGATTTCCGCTGTTTCTGTTTCGTGCCACAGAGCCATTCTAGCATAGTCTGGATGAATAGTCACATATTGACGAATTATGCTTCGCCAATTTAAATCACTCCAGTCTGGTAACGAAAGACCCTTTAGAAGCTCGAATACCTGTTGTGAAATTAGATACTGAATATCGGAGGGAGTCATGCTCAACGAGGTGGCCAGGAAATGACACCTACATAGAGTTCTCCCGCAGCTCCAATTTTCTTGTCTCTTTCAAACTGAGGTTGATTATTAGAAAAAAAGGAAACTCTTCTAAGGCCGTCCCACCCGTGGTGTTGGCCGAGCTCTTCCTCCCTTGGCAATGCTTGATTCAACTGGGCCATGCTAAAAGCTCCACGAGAAGGGAAAACCATTCGTCGGGCGGCTAGAAGTACATGATCAAGTAGGCACCTATATTGAAAGTTGTATGACAAAGGAACATTCAAAAATGGAGCCGGTATTGGAGGATTTTCCCTGGGAACAGGCTCTTTGAACTTCGTCAAAATTCGCGTGGCAAAAGATTGAGCCAGAAATCGTACATTCTGGGTGGTGGAAGTTTCAATGTACGCAGGCTGCCCAAAAAGTTCATTGCGGTCTGCATCGGATTGCGCCGAGTCCTCCGAGGACAAGTCATCTTCCTCGGGCAAATCACCATGAGATCGATTATCCTCGTTAGCTATATCGATTTCGGCTATACCCTCACGATCCAAAACCGAATCTATCGCGAAAGGATGAATGCTGAACATCATAATGACTATTTTCAACATATCAGGTCCGAACGGTTCAAGAATCTGCGTCTTGGGATCCCTCATAAGCCAATCAACAATATTCTTTGGCAGGATATCACAGAAGCAAATTTCTTGGGCCTTTCTGTCGCGCGGGATATAGATGATAAGTCCGAGAGGGGTTTCAGAAATATGAAGTTTTGCAATTGTTTCTTCCACATCCGCTGCCCTGCCATCTTGAACAATACGCAGGATAGAGACAATGCTATCACTGACTTCAAAAGTCACCATTTGAAGGAGATTGTAAAGCTCTAGCCTGTTGGCTTGATATCTGGGGCTGTTGAAACTACATGCAATACTGTATTGTCACATGATTATAAGCCGCTTTTCATTTTGTGTAAAACCTTGGGCAAACCTACCGAAGAAGGGCATGAGCTTTTCGAGTCAAGTCACGCATAGGCGATGGATTGAAAGGTGTCGTTTTGCCAGAAATTGATGTCAGTGGCTTGAGGGAAGCAGAGAGGTAGCGATGTGAAAGATTGGTCCAATCGAAGAAAGGTTTCAGACTACGAACCTCTTCTTGGGTGAATTCAAGAATTTTGATCTTTCCTCGGAATCGGGATGCCAAATATTCACGATCCCCAATCGCAAATTCCGTATCTGTTGAACAGAGAGCATTTGAACCATCAGGGAAGACAACAGGAAATATGGGTTTTCTCAAAAGAGGCTTCGGGTCAACATAAGTATCGTCCATAAGGAGAAGTGCGTTGAGACACCACAATTTTGATATTATCTCCTCCCTTGTTGCTTCGGAGCAAATAGCCAGAAGATCATCGTATGCCATTTGAAGAGTGAGCGTCTGGACCCCAAGAGTATGGAGGAAAAACTCTTCCAGTTCATTGTAATGGTCATTCAAAGCAACCTTTCCGCGGATCTCTGTGGTGCTCGACCATAAACACTCAGAGGACTTGTACCAGCCAGTCTGGGAATCGGTTTTTACAAAGATCAGAGAATTCTCATGGAACTCCCGCCTTATAATAGAAAGTCAGTTCAAATGTCTTGGATATTAATCGATATTGGACTCATTGTGTTACCTGAGTTCCTTAACGGAAAGAACGGAATTCATCCCGTGAATGCATTTATACAAATCAAAGATTGAGCTTGGTGTGAAGGAAGTGAAGTAAGGGTCGTTTTGATGATCTCTGTGGTAGGCCAATTCAACTATCAAGTCATGCCAAGATGGAGAGTTGATGTTGAGAACCTGGGAAAAGAGATTCATGATAGAGGAGAGCTTTTTTTCATCAGCAGAAGAGCGCCGATATCTTGTCTCAAGCGGATATTTGCTGATTAGGTTCTCTGGCCCTTTCAATAAGCAAAGCTCAGTACTAATCCACCTGGGGCAGGTGGCCACGGTGACACTAGCTCTAGCGAATCTTGGAGCATATATGTAGTCATCACTTTTGAAAAATGAACTGCTCTTTGTATTTAGCACAAGTACTGGCACTTGAGTATATAAGAATCCAGATGATTCCTAGGTTTTGGTTGATATATCAACTCACCTGATGCGTTCCCTCAACTGCATCTTATCCCTTGACCCACTGTATTTTGTAAAAATGGCACTATATAGGTCAAAAACTCGTTGGACGTGTTTATTCATCAAGAAATTGGAATTTGAAATCTTCAACCACTTCAAGATGTCAAGTAAAAACTCAATGTCATCGTCCTTTTTCACACCAAGCTCAGAGTGGAGAAAAAACCAATTGGTTTTGATTTGCTCCTCGCTTGACATTCCTTTCAAATGCAAGAATGGAAAAGCATCGTTTTTTCCCAAAAATACCCTGCTTTGCTCAACAAGATTCGGCAATGGAAGGTATGCTTCGTCGAGACGGCATTGCCTTGGAAGCTTAACGATACAATTCGAGAGTCGGCTCACATCTGTTTTTTGAAGGAGCAGCTTGAGTGACTCAGAGCAAATTATCTGCGCTCCTTCAAATTTCCAGGCTTGTTTGAGATATCCGAGTAATTTCTGTGGCTGGTGCTTGGCCAGGTAATACCAGGTAGGTGAGAGACTATGGCCATCCCGAGCGATAAGACTCAGTCTTTCGCTGACGCCAAAGGTCTCTTTAAACCACTCAATCCAGGAAGGGTGATCAGGGCTCGGTTTTTCTGGAGTTTCTTCGAGGTATTTTGGATGAACAAAGGGTAACTTCATACCAGGCAAGGCATCTGTGGCTCCCAAGAGCAACTTTGGTCCATAAGGATCATTTGATGGAGCATAACACTCCAATCCATCTCGCCTTGGGCATATGAGACGAAGTTCATCAGAGAAGATATGTATGTTCCTGAGCATATTTCCTTTTCCAAAGGCTGTTGTTGGAAATCGGTGTGCTTGATATAAGAATACCAAGTGCTTTTTTGATTCACCTATTGTTGAATGCTCATCGAGAAATGATGAACAGTTTCTTTTCAAGATTGATTCTCGAACTGTGTCGACTGCTGGCTCCTGGATACCGAGGATTGAGAAAAACGCTTTGCGATCTGGATTGGAAGTGGCAACTGGATCCAGAATGCGAAAATCAAGACCTGGAGGTATGACTATGCCATTTGAATGTGGAAAGCTAACAGACCCTGAAGAGAAAGAAACCCAATGTCCATTCCTCAAGGGGAGCAGAGTGAGAGATGACAGTTCAGAACGTATCGATTCGCTTTCTTTTGCAAACTGAGACAAAAGCTTTGCCATGCGACTTTGGAAGTCTTCGCTAAGATTATTCCATTTCACTCGCGAAAACGGACTCTCCAGATCCTTTTTAAGGATACGCATCACAAGTCCAGCCCTGTTGATCTTCAGGCCATAGTGTTGAAGGGAGCTTATAGCTTCCTTTGAGTAGTGGTCGCAGATGAACGGGTCAATTTCATAGTGATTAAGCAGGACGTTTCCATGGTCATCTTTGAAGGATTGAGCTGGAATTACTACTTGGGCTATCTTTGCAAGCTTGTTGAATTGAGTGTGAATAATTCTGTGCTGAGAAATACTTGCAAGAATCTTCAGGTGCAGTTCGCTCCAGAATGTTTCGGTGGCATCTTCTGGGGAAGGAAGATACATTGGCCACGTATGTAAAAAGTCTTTGTTTGATGTGAAATACAGGACAGCCTGACAGAATGCGGCAGCAATATGATCCAGGAGCTTAATGTTTCGTCTGGATGTCGAAGATATCTTCTGCCGACTTGCACTCGTGTCGAAGTCGGATTGGATGAGAAACTGTGATAAATGAGGAACTGTTCGATAATCAAGTTGGGGTCATTATTTACCTTGAAGGATGTCTTCTGTATGGGCAAAAATGCAAAAACAGACTGAGGTGCAAACAATGGTTGATTATCCTGTCCCATCGGGAATGCGAGAACAGTTTCCGCCTCGATAGTTGCAGGAAGCTCTCGATTGTCGCTTTTTGGGAGACGAGAGCCTATATAGCGAGTTACATAGTACTTGCTAATATTGATATTTTCTTCGCCATGTTCATCAGTTGATTCAGTCGTAAGAGAAACTATCCCTGTGGTATTCCCTTTGAGATAAAACATCTTAGATCTTTGGAGTTCTTCATCTTGATCGTAGAATGACACCCGTATTTCCTTAAGTTTCCTCAAAAAAAGAAGACATGTCGGTTCCAAATCGTTCAACTGCTTGAAGATTGTTTGGTGAAGATGATCGATATCTTCTGGGTCGCCCTTCTGGTGAAGATGTAGGGTAATGCGAGTCAATGAGTTAGGTAATTCATCGCTGACATCCTGCCACACAGGAAGAATCATTCCAATGCCAAGATCGCCCCGATCGTGTTTGAAGTAGAAACTATAATTTCCTGATTGTATTTCGACTTTCCAAGCCGCAATGAACACAGATTTGAAGCCAATGCCTTTGGCTCCAATATAGCCGTGGGATGCCGCCTTGGTGCTCTCTCCAACCGAGCAAATCGCTGAAAGATTTGCCTTGGTGAATCCATCTTCATTGCACTCGATGATGATCTTATCTGGAAAAACTTTGAAGGAGATAAAGGGCTGTTCATCCCTCGAAACCGCCAGCTTGAACTGATTATCGTCGGCATTTTGAAGCAGCTCAAAAATAAAACGAGCGTTGCTGCTGTAGACGTTCTTGGCAAGTCTAATATATGATAAAGAAAGTAAGAATTTGAGCGTTCCAGTGATAATTCACAGGGCCTCCGTGCGTAAAAGGCTGATGTTTCTCACGTTGTGATAGAGTGTGCTATTTTCTTGTCTTTCGCCCACATCCCAACCTCCACTTCGCGTCGAAACGCTGCACGGATTTGACCAATTTCGTTTAGGTCACTAGGATTGATGAAACCATAGTCTTTCGCAATCGCTATCACATCCTGCTTTGCTGCATCTTTGGTAGCCATGATATCTTATTGCCAGTGGGTGCATATATCGTATGAGATGAAGATACCAGAAACCAAGTTGCGAATCTCCGAAAGAGAAAGCTTTACTGGAGCGAAAAGGAGATTTGATGAACTTTTTAGCCCCAATTATAATTATTCCTACTAACAATGCATACTATAATAGTATCAGTGGGGTCACGGTCCTTGATATTAAAACCTGGGTCACAAATAATAGCCCCACTGAATACTATTTTGGGCCCCATTTTGAAGCCTTGGCCAATTATTCAACGAACCATTTCTGGGATTCTGGACTGAAAACGAGATTAAGTGCTGAGAGATCTGTTGACTGGTCTAACATACTAGTATACATGAACGAGCTCCGATGCAGAGAAATGTTAAAACGCCACATGTGCACATGTGCATCCTTCTTCGAATATTTGAATCTTGCGCTTTCAAATATCTTGAGGTGTTATGTACACGTGTGCATGCAAGACAATACACCACGCTAGTGTTGCGATTGTTATGCTGCATGCATTAGCCTTACACTACTGGCACTGGCGTTATTTAGCGCTCGAGGGAAAGTGGTTGAGCTCCCCAGACCAGAAAGACACCGGAGCTACTAGTAACTATTTGGCCCATGTAAACTAATTCCTGGGTGATTTTGAAGGCTGTTTCTTTCTTCAAACTCGCCGACAGGCCTGAGACGGTGGAGGGATATGATATCTCTTTCACATTATTGATCAATTCTACCGTCCAATGAAGTAAATCTAAACACCCCACTTTAGAAACAACCGGGCCGTCTCCTTAGCAAGGAACCAAGCCAATTAAACCAATGCTCACTGAGTTGTGTGGATTGGGCTACTGAGCAGTGAGAGCCCAGTCCCACATTCTCTAGCTTTCTCGTAGCTATCTGAAGGCTGATCTATTCCTAGCACTATGCTAGTGGTAATCACTTAGAAGTTCAATAATTAGTCTATTGGGCTCACACATGTACTAGTATGGTACTACTTAGTATATTTCGCCCGGACTCTGTTCCCATAATTGATCCTATCTCCTAAGCTCCGTCCGGAGGTCTAGACCGTTCATTAGTTTCGTCCCTAGGTACCCAGGCGAGAGTCGGAACCAGGTCCACTGAGTCATGTACATCGAACCCCCGATGCCTTTAAAGAATCTTCTGATTCTTCCGTAAACTGGTCTATAGAAAACCTAATACTGTTCAAAGTTCACTAATTAGTTACAAAAATCCTCAATCAAGCTAACGAAGGTTCTTTCCATTCGCTGCAGACTCGCGACGCTGACCCATTCCTCTTTACCATGCAAGCCGTCACCAGAGGGGCCAAATACAATTGCCGGAATCCCTGCTTCTGCCAGCAACGCTGCATCGCACCAGAATGGCGCGCACTCAAGAGCAGGCGCTTTTCCAAAAGTAGTGGTAGCGCATAAAACTGCCTTTTTTACTAGAGGATGGTCTCTTGGCAGTTTGAATGGTGGTCGTGACATGGCAATGCGAGGCTGGTCATATTTGAAGCGAGGATTTTCCTCTGCCACATTCCCGAGGAGGGCACGAATATCTTCCAGTATCGATGCCTCACTCTGAGCTGGGATAGTACGGAATTCAATGGTAATTGTACATTTTGCAGGATAAGAAGAAGGCTCCTCACCTCCTCGAATGAGACCGCAATGCAATGACGCTTGGCCAAGGAGACCATCCACTGGTAACTTTGATTGGTGCTGTTCCAGGGCACGAAGGAACCATCCGGCATGCATAATGGCATCTTCTCCTGCTGCAGGGTTGGAGCCATGAGCAGCAACTCCCAGGATGTCAATTTCAACCCATACAAAGCCCTTGTGTGCAGTGACAATAGCCTCCATGGTAGGTTCTGGGACAACTGCAGCATCAGCCCTCCAGCCGGCAGCTAGAAGGTCCTGTGTGCCTTGAGAAGCGTCCTCCTCATCAGAAACAGCAGCCACGATAATGTCGCCTCGAGGTACCCGATCAGGGTCTCCAGCTTTGATAGTTGCTATCGCTGCGAGTGATGCTGCCAAGCCACCTTTCATGTCCAAGCATCCTCGTCCGAAGACAGCTTGCTGTTCATTTTTCCAGGCTATGGTTCCTGAGAGGGCATCTATACCATGCTCGTAGCTTGAAAGGCTGACAGTGTCGATATGTCCATTGAACATAAGTGACTTGCCTCCGCCAGTTCCGTGAAGAACACCCACGACAGAGGGCCGACCAGCAACAGACTCGATGCGATGATACTCTATATCACGATGAGCGAACCATGCTGTCACGTAATCAGCGATCTCGCTTTCGCCTGCTCCGTCGCTAACAGACAATGTAGGGTTGGATGAATTGATTTGTGTGAGCACTTGAGTCAGGCCCACAGCGTCCTCCACAGATACATCTCTAGGGATTTGATATTCTCGCGCCCCTTCTGTACTCAGAAGAACGATCACCGAATCAGCATTCAACAAAGGAGTCTCTCTAGCAAGACGTCTCAGTGCAGCTAAAGACCCTCCACCACATGGACCAGCAGGAACCGAGTTCGAAGTCAGATACCGGACTGCACAATGGCTCTCATACGATGACACCGTGACACAAGCATCAACAAGGCGCTGCAAGTCTGGCCAAGCCGTGCTTGATACGGTTCCACAGTTCATGCCATCCATAATGGTCAAATATGTTTGCACAGGAACAGGTTTCCCAGCACGAAGGCTAGAATATAGACAGGGTGCAGAATCAGGCTCTACGGCCACAACGGCCACGTTTCTTGATTTGCAATGAATAGTCACCGCATGCGCAAGACTTCCAACACCGACAGGGGTCACCATCATGGTAGCGGGTAGACCGAGTTGGGAGAGTTGCTCTTCAGTTTCGTTCATCATGGTGGAATACCCCTCCACGATCCAGGCGGGCACATCTTCGTACCCTTCAAAGGCAGTATCCTGAATCAAGAGTATATTTTCCTTGTGCGCTTGATCTGCTGCTCTTTTGACTGCATCATCGTATGTCCCTTGGACAACAGTCACCCGAGCACCCTCGGATAAAATGCGACTGCTTGTAGTATCATCCATAGATTGAGGTACAAAGATCTCAGCGGCAACGCCTAGCAGCTTCGCCATATACGCAACTGCGCGTCCATGGTTTCCTTCAGATGCAGTGACCAGAATAAGTGACTTTATCTCAGGTCTAGCGGCAAGGTCTTCCAAAGTGATCTGCTCTGGCGATAATCCAAGATGTTGCGTAACAGCTCGGAAACATCCCCATGAAGCGCCGAGGACTTTGAATGAGGGGAGACCAAAGCGGTTACTCTCATCTTTCACGAAGACCGATTTGACTCCGAGCTCAGCTGCAAGCTCTGGTAAAGGTACAAGCGGAGTTGGTGCATACTTGGGGAGCGATTTGTGAAATTCGGCCGCGTGGGGAGACACCACAGAGTCACAGCGCTCGCCCGCGGCAGCGGGGTTCAAGTAGATTGGACGTCTGGAGGACATTGAAGGATTTTTCTGTATTCTGAGATTCAGAGATGCTTTGTTGAATGCGGCTTGTCATTCAATTTATGAGTAATAAATGCCGACTTAGTCACTCGGCAATTTAAATGTTTGATTCGTGGCCTTCTGTGGACATAGTGACATAGAACGCCTTCTGATAACAGCGCCCTCTGACAACATCTAATGCCGAGTAGGTGGAGCTCGCGAAAATTCAACACAGTATTTTAGCGGAGCTAAGAGATACGCGATTCCATGGCCTTTGAGTCATTTTCTAATATCGTCTTTTTGTCATTAATTTTCATCCTTTGTGGAATACTCGATAGGAGTAATAGCTACTTGGAAGATGCTGACTTCGACCTTGGTCCGGTTGCGGAAAAGTGAGCTTTTGTCGTATATCTTCATCGATGCGATATGAGATGAAATGACTATGCTTCAAATTAAAGCGTCTGTTACCTTTCAGACTAAATTAGTACTGAGAGTTTTAGGTTGAAACTTTAAGGAGAAACATGCACATTGATCAATCGTCTCCATCGCGCCACTATAAGGTCTAAGCTCCAAAGATCCTTAACTAATAGCGCAATCTATTCAATCGCCAAATTCAATCCATTACGTCAAATAATATTATCTACATATATTGGATTTCACTTAGAATCTCGATAAGGGAATGACAGGCTATTGCGAGGTCAAAGTCAAGATCTAAGGACTAATCATGAGTCTCGGATACGTCGACAATAGAGTCTCTATTATGATTGAATTGGAAATTAGCTCCTTATGTTAAGTAATTTGTAGATCAAATAGGAACCTGCCGAAATTCTTCATCTTGAATATGAGATTATGGATGATAATCTAATGTAAAGCGTGGATATCGGCGTCCACCGAAATCAACACGGCAGTCACCACGCATCATGTTACATAGAACGCTGATCTGAAATGACGCCCAGGGAGATCCCCAGATCTTTCAAATGTTATAAAGGGATTGAAACTTGAAGCTATATAAATGATCATTTCCCCGCCTTTTCGTCTCAATATCAATCCGATCTGATCTCAAAATCAACACTGAGACAAAACTCCCATCTGCTGCGGTGAAACCACCAGTACAATACACAAAATGTTCGGCAAAGAAGATGGCAAAAGCCTCAAGGCCAAAGTCCGGTCCATTTTGGCTACAAATGATGATTTCAAATCCAAAGACTATGAAACCGAATCCATGAGAACAGTGTAGTAAGGTGTTCTCAATGATAATAACGTCATGTCCTCTAACTCTTGCCAGTGTTCAATCTTCTAGAGGAAGATCAGAGAGTGCACCAACTCCTTATAACGGTATTCCTGCACTTTGAATCAACCAGTTGACCATTTCAATGATTATTGACAGTTCCCAGGAGATCAGTGTTTTGGTAGTTGTTGTCGGGGAAGAGGGATTCTTCGGTAAACTGCTCGGAGTTGGATATCTTCCCTTGGAAATGGTTGGAATGGTTCAACTCAGGCTATCGTTTACCTGCTGAACCCTTATTATGATTTTGCAGCTGGGTTTGTATGTGACCAAATAGTTATACCTACTTATATGTTATCAAGGCTGGATTGGATGTCAAGTTTGTGCAATGTACCTAAATCGTGGAAGATCGCCATCAACTTGAAACAGCAGACAATCAGCTTGAAGTATTATGCATCCATGCACATATGAACGACTCGGACGAGTTGAATTTTAAGGTCAATGGAGATTTGGTCTCTTCAAAGAAAAAAGCACTTCATTCCTCCAATATTGAATGCCCCTGCCGTGGTCGCTCGGGAAACAATTTTACTGCCGGTGCCTGCAGATGTCGCGGGAGGGCGCCGCCCCGCCAGGGCGCCGTCTCTTCTATCCCGGCACTCAATTGCATCGGCAAAATCACGCATTTGATTTGATAAGACTCCAATTGGGGGATGCTTGAGTGGATAAGCTCCAATACTCCACCATATCCACTTGTTCAAAGAAGGCGTCGAAAAAGGATTCGCCGCATCTTCAAGTTAGCAAGCCTCATCGAACAGGGTCATAGTAGGCGGACTATATAGTAGTCAGTTTCTGCTTCGAGTCCTCAAGCTAGTATCGCTCAAGTTCAAGTTCCGGACTCCCTGTTATTTGAATTCAAACCCAGGGGTAACTTCAAGTTGCATCCACCACGAGATGTATACCAGAACTTACCTGACACACGCCTTGCGCTTTGCACCGACACGGACATTCACCACAGCATCCCGACTATCAAGCTCAGGACTGAAGATTAATGCTGATCGGCTTATGGAAACATTGCATGAGACATGCAACTGGGGTAAGGCTCATATATATGGCGAGTATGGACATTCCTCTCACACACACTCTCCTCTATCCATCAATTGAAGTAACATTCGAATGCTCGTGAGGTTCTAACACATGAATAGCGACACAACCAAAACGGGAATGGCCCGCTTGACTTTGAGCGATGACGATGCTCGGGTGCGTGGATGGTTTGCTGCTGAAGTTCAAAAGTTAGGATGTTCTCTCTCCATTGATCAGATGGGAAATATGTTTGCTTGCCAATCAGGAAAGCTCAATTCAACTGCCCCTATGACCGCTATGGGCAGTCACCTGGATACTCAACCTCGAGGTGGTCGATATGATGGGATTCTGGGCGTCATGGCTGCTTTGGAAGTCTTACGGACGATGAAAGAGAACAACTTTAGAACGAACTTTGATGTTGGAGTGGTGAACTGGACAAAGTAAGTTCAATAATCATAACCCGGCTCCCTGCCAGCTCCAAATTCTAATATCATTGGAATTCTCAGTGAAGAGGGAGCTCGGTTCCCGAAATCTATGTGCTCTTCAGGTGTTTGGGCAGGTGCAATTCTGATTGAAAAAGCCTGGGACTTGAGGGATATCCATGACCCAAACGTGACTCTTCGGTCTGAACTTGAGAGACACGGGTATCTGGGGGACATTCCCTGTGACGCAGTCAATGGGTTCCGTTTAGGTGCTCACTTCGAATTACATATTGAACAGGGCCCCATCCTGCCAGCGAACGGGCGATCGATTGGAATTGTTCAGGGTGCTCAGGGTTACCGATGGTCAACCATCAATATTCAAGGCAAAGATGCCCATACTGGAACAACACCTTTCAGTTCCCGCCATGATCCACTGCTTGCAGCATCCAGGATGATTGCTGTCTCTAATGATATTGCCAAGCGCCATGATGCACTTGCTTCAACAGGCATCATTAAGATTCCCTCGAATGCGTCCACCAACACCATTGCATCGGATGTGACTTTCACTTTGGACATTCGACACCCACAGGATGATGTCGTTCATGCTGTACAAGATGAATGCCTTCAAGCCTTTGCCAGGATCGCGGCTCAGGATGGCAAGGGTGTCACTTTCGATTGGACTTTGGACACCGACTCACCTGCTGTCAAGTTCGACTCGGGATGTATCGCGTCTATCAAAGCAGCTGCGGATAATCTTGTCGGACCTGAGGGTTCAATGCTCATGACTAGTGGCGCTGGTCATGATAGTGTTTACACCAATCAGCATTGTCCTACGGCGATGATTTTCGTGCCTTGTAAGGATGGAGTCAGTCACCATCCAACAGAATATTGTTCTCCAGAAGACTGGTGAGTATTGAGAATATCTACAGCAATGGTTCCATCATGATACTAATTCATCATGCTTCTAGCGCTCTCGGAACACAGGCTCTACTTGAAACCGTCGTCCATTACGACCAGACAAAGGCTAGTCAAGATGCGAGAGCATAGCTTGATACAAAAAATCAAATGAAAGTTATTCAATAGATCAGATTAATCTGAAAATCTCCGGTGTGACGTGGCCCTCCAATTCATCTGAATACCTCAAATCTTGATCCTATCACAAATATTCTTTGATAAACAGTGGCGATTCAGCAATATTTTGTTGACTGCCCCAACACCGTCTAGAGCGCAATCGTCATCAATATCACCGACCTGCATATAGATGGCGCCAACTCATCCACAAGTACTCCATATCTGCATGACCACGCCAGTTAAGCAAATCTCGCATTAGCCCGAGGTGGGTAAACCACTATGGGAGCGGGCTGACGCGGAAGTCAATGTTTCCCCAACATATCAAGGATATATGGATAATTTAGAGGAGACGACGGAGCCAGTTGATCATAACTACAGCGTAGACTCCATCCTGCTTTAATAGATCTTGCATATGGTCAAACAAGATAAAGGTCAAGTTTTCCATTGTAAGGAGATAACACGGTGTTTTCTCGGCGATCCACACCCTGGACTGCCCCACGGTAAAGCATTTCCCGCGTCCACTATTGGATCCTGGGCTTCCAGAGCTCTCCGGTGAGTTGAGATTACGAATTGTATTTTATTCTGGGTGAATCTTTTAACGCCCAGGTCGGTTTTGGTCCAACCTTGGAAGGTTGGAAGAGCCTAGGAGAGCTCGTTGGGACGCGAAGTGGGATGAGTGGGCCTCAGGGGTGTTTTCAAGTATTTTTTTCTTATTTTTATTTTTAATCAAATTGTTTTATTTTAACGATGAACCTTAAGTATTTCAGACTGCAGATATGCATCTCGTATTCCCACTGATCTTCTGTTTCACATGGACTAAGAGTGATTTTTCTAGACTCTTCAAGGCAACACAACATCATGAGGGCGATTCTCGGTGTTACAGTACTACGCAGTCGACACCGTAAAAGATCCTCACTTCAATAGACGCTATTGTACTCCGTAATCAGGCTCCAGAGCCCCATTGTTAATGCAACCGATGATCTCGGCAGACAAACAATACCATAAGTACCTGGTACATATAAGCCGCTACTATCAATGCTGGGTTACTCAGGCACACGCCCCTTTCGTCCCACCTTTGTTTTATTCCAACCCCACAAACTGCGAATCTCCCACTCAAGACGGAGTACTCCGTACCGGTAGACGGAGTTATCACCACCTAGTTCACTCGGTATTATTGTTTTCTATCGTTTTCCCCCACCAGGAGACATTACGGACCTTTTACCACACTTGTTGAGGTGCTCCCGTAATTCTCCACTATTGTGCTTAAGTGTATACTAGCTAGTCGCTAGGCTGGATATAAAAAGGGAGATGATGGACATCAGGTGTGACTTAAAGCCTATGGTTAAATCCTTTGCCCAATCCACATCCGAGACTACTACTCCCGAGGTAGTAGTATGCATATAAGTTAAGACACGAGTACAATACATGTGGAATTAACTTCTAGGTATTTATCATTTGGACTTATCAACGACTGACTCAGCATTCCTAGATTTCCATGAGGAACGAGTGAGATTCAAGAACCAGTTCATTTCGGAGTTGAGATCATGGTTCATAAAGCTGACCTTTAAGACAAGAGAACTTGAAAAAGAACATTCGAGACTACCAATGACATCGCAGTGGCAAGATCATCACCATTTGATAGATCCGGGTTCACGGGTTCCCGGATTCTATTTCAACACATCGAGCATTACCCAAAGACGAACACTCAAGTGCTTACACCGAGCTTCGATTCCCCGCCTTTTATCCCGTTATCCCGTGGACAACACATCCCACCTTGAGTGAGAAAACCCCACGCCACACAGAACCTAGACTATGGTCGATCGCTTCGGTCTAATGGTAGACGGGAAACATCTGAAAAGAGAAAGGAGGCCAATTATTGAGCTTTGCCCGGAGGAACGGAAGAGCCATGGACCCCGCATGACCGTCACCGAACCCAAAACTGGAGTTCTAGCACGTCTTGGCTCAGAATTACGGGGAAGAACATAACGTTCTACGAGAGAAAATACATATACTGTTTGATTCCGGATTCATCTTCCATGGATGCGAACGTAGATCTCAGATGTGCAGGCATCAGATCTCTACTAATAGAATTCAGTTTATGGTTGAGCACTGCTGCACTCAGTCGCGAGTCCGCATTCCTTAGCTACCGGGAAACGCACGGCCCATGCCGCATGAGGCAGCTGGGCGCGCTACACTCCGGTTATTTATGAGCCTTGGTGGCTCAGGGTGGTAATTGATAATACAGATTGGAAATTCCAAGGTTGTATCTTGTTTCATCTTTCAATGGATGTTTTGAGTGTTTATCAACGAGGGAACTATATTAACTTATTGTGCTAGCGGACAATTGACCCCATGATCACGATTAAACAGAATCAACCATTGGAACAGTACTAATAGTACTAGCTCATTGATGGAAAAATCTCATTATTTTCTTCCGATTGATATTTATTTCCAATAATATAGTAAGCGCATTGATGCAGTTGTAAGCCCTGGAGCCTTCCAAGGTATACTGTAGTCCCACTGGCAGGTGCCCGTAGTTCTATGTAGTTTAAACAGCCATGGCAAATACTCGGAACTCGGATTAAGGTGGATTCATCCAGGATCTTCAATATTAACGAACTCCATGATTTAATTTACTATGCATAAGAGTCAGGTTAAGTCATGTTAAGAAACATCTCTGGAGGTCTAGGATATCGTAATTTTGGTAATTAACGATACTGGGGAGTTCGTACTGAATCCCCACTGAGTCCTGACAGGTCCAGTACTCCGTCCGTATTAATGGGAATATGGAATCTCCACCTGCCCGGTTCAATTGTGTGGGCAACGGTCTGAATGGACCGACTACTAAACCCTCGCGGATCCCCCGTGGGTTTAACTTCTCATCTCTTCCTGTAACCCCTCTATGTACGTGAATTAGCTCAACTTTTCCCCTGACTTCATGGGATTTCGCCCACTAACTCTTATCACCAGAGGTTTGCGTCGTTTCTCTTTTCGTCCTTCTTTGCGCCTTGGAGCTACAATCATGTCCACTGCCCCTAAACCTTCAGTGGTAAGTACTGGAATCCTTCCGTTGTTGGTCTTTGATTTCATTATTATCATTGTTCCCCTCGGATGTGTTACACTTTCCGCCCGTGCGCGTTTGAGATATTCCGTCGCTAATACATAACCCCGCGATATAGGTCCTCGAGGCCCACGAGGTCGACACCTTCCACGTTCCTCAGGCATTCCACGATAAACACCCCACCGGCACACACTTGAAGGATCTCGACGAATACAAGAAGCTCTATGAGGAGTCAATTCGCAGCCCCGATACCTTCTGGGCTCGTATGGCCCGTGAGCTCCTCACATTCGATAAAGATTTCCAGACCACACACCACGGCTCTTTCGAGAACGGTGACAATGCCTGGTTTGTGGAGGGCACCCTGAACGCCTCCTTCAACTGTGTCGATCGTCATGCGCTGAAGAACCCCGATAAGGTGGCCATCATTTACGAGGCCGATGAGCCCAACGAGGGCCGCACCATCACATACGGAGAGCTCATGCGTGAGGTTTCTCGGGTTGCCTGGACTCTGAAGATGCGCGGTGTCAAGAAGGGTGACACTGTTGCGATTTACCTTCCCATGATCCCGGAAGCAGTCATTGCTTTCTTGGCCTGCTCGCGTATCGGTGCTGTACACTCTGTAGTTTTTGCCGGTTTCTCCTCCGACTCCCTGCGGGACCGTGTCATTGACGGCCAGTCCAAGGTCGTTATTACCACTGATGAGGGCAAGCGTGGTGGCAAGGTTATTGGCACTAAGCGAATCGTCGATGAGGCGCTCAAGCAGTGCCCCGATGTGACCACTTGCCTGGTCTACAAGCGCACTGGCGCGGAGGTTCCCTGGACTTCCGGCCGTGATATTTGGTGGCACGAGGAGGTTGAGAAGTACCCCAACTACCTTGCCCCAGAGCCTGTGAGCTCCGAAGATCCTCTTTTCCTCCTATACACCTCCGGCTCAACTGGTAAGCCCAAGGGTGTCATGCACACAACTGCTGGCTACCTGCTCGGCGCAGCTATGACCGGAAAGTATGTATTTGATATTCATGACGACGATCGCTACTTCTGTGGTGGTGATGTTGGTTGGATTACTGGCCACACTTACGTCGTATATGCTCCTCTCCTCCTGGGATGTGCCACTGTTGTTTTCGAATCTACCCCTGCCTACCCTAACTTCTCCCGTTACTGGGATGTCATTGACAAGTACGATGTCACCCAATTCTATGTCGCTCCTACTGCACTGCGCTTGTTGAAGCGTGCTGGTGATGAGCACATCCACCACAAGATGAAGTCCCTGCGTATTCTGGGCTCTGTTGGTGAGCCTATCGCTGCTGAGGTCTGGAAGTGGTACTTCGAGGCTGTTGGAAAGGAGGAGGCCCACATTTGTGATGTTTGTATTTTCTCCGTGATATCACCTATGACTATTACTAATTTTTGTTTTGCAGACTTACTGGCAAACCGAGACAGGCTCTAACGTGATTACCCCTCTGGGTGGTATCACCCCCACTAAGCCTGGTAGTGCTTCTTTGCCATTCTTCGGTATTGAGCCTGCTATTATCGACCCTGTCTCTGGCGAGGAAATTACAGGTAACGATGTCGAGGGTGTTTTGGCATTCAAGCAGCCCTGGCCCAGCATGGCCCGTACCGTCTGGGGTGCTCACAAGCGTTACATGGACACATACTTGAACGTTTACAAGGGCTACTACGTAAGTGATAAACTGCACTCGCTTTGCACTTCATATTCTGATTGTTTTTCTAGTTCACTGGAGATGGCGCTGGTCGTGATCATGATGGATACTACTGGATTCGTGGCCGTGTCGACGATGTTGTCAACGTTTCCGGTCACCGACTCTCCACTGCCGAGATTGAAGCAGCTCTTATCGAGCACTGTAAGTTTATCTGCTCATGAGTTGCAAAAGAACAAAGAACTAACTTCTAACAGCTATGGTTGCCGAGGCCGCTGTGGTCGGCATTGCCGATGAGTTGACAGGTCAAGCTGTCAATGCCTTTGTTGCCCTGAAGGAGGGTAATGAGACTACCGATCAAGTGCGCAAGGATCTGGTTATGCAGGTCCGCAAGTCAATTGGTCCATTTGCCGCTCCAAAAGCCATTTTTATTGTTGAGGATCTGCCTAAGACCCGCAGCGGCAAGATTATGCGTCGTATTCTGCGCAAGATTCTCAGTGGCGAAGAAGATAGTTTGGGTGACACATCAACGGTATGAATCTTCTCTTTTTACTGATCTTTCTGTTTCGGTGATGCTAATTGACATGATAGCTTTCTGACCCCTCCGTTGTGGACACTATAATTGCAACCGTCCACGCTGCTCGTCAGAAGTAAAGCAGTTGATGATTTTATGATGATACGTATCAAAAGAGTATGTTTGTTACACTTTTTCGTTAATTTTTCTATTAGTACTGATCATGTGCTAACATTCTAGTACTAGGCTTGATAGCAGAGGCTCCGGTGGGAGTTGGAAATTTCCTTTTGTTCCCCTCGCAATCTGGTTATGAATTTCCTCCTTGGTGTATTTGAGATTCCCTATCAGTATAGCCAGCAGTATCCTGAATATCGTTTTTGGCCCTGGTTTAATGTCCTGGTATCGCAAGTCAATATTGAGAGCTTCCAAGTTGTTCCAAGTAATTAGAAGTATGTAATGATGAGCAAGGTCTCACTTTAAACATATATGCCAATGTATAATTCCACCGACCACGTTTTATTTTCGTTTCAATTCTCAGGTTTCTGTGTCACATTGGTAAGAATTCTTTTTAGCCACAGAAACTTGTGTACCTCGTTTATGCACAACCTCGGAACTCCTGCAAGAATCTGTCAAGTCACAAACTGCTTCCGAATTAGGCAGCAAACACGTGACGGATCACTGTCTACCGCGCTGACATAATCCTCTCCTGCCTTCAGCACACTTGACTTTATTTCTGTCGCGTCCCTCCCTCTCCTCTTCCTTGCACGCGCATCTCTCGTCATTCCATCTATCGTTCACCGCGATAGTGTTTCTTTTGGCAGCACGAGCCCACCTTATGCACTCATAGTGTCCTCAGCTCCCGACCGACAACATGTCTTTCGGCTTTGGAAGCGGAGGAGGAGGGTTCGGGCAGAACAACCAACCTTCAACATTCGGCTCTACTGGATTCGGCAACAATAATAACACTGGAGGTAGGTCTCAGATTTTGTGTCCTTGCGATTTCCTTTCCCCCAAGCTCCTTGGAGCTTCTCCCCTCTGCGTACCGCTTGTTTCTCGCGCCCTTCGATTCTGCTTTTGAACAACAACCGGCGCTCCTGATATCAACCCGCCATGGCCATGACACGCGCAAGGAACTAGCCTCCTTCTTCCTGCAATATATTACTGTGCGGTGCCACGCTGGACCTCGGTGCGGTTAATTTCGATGCTCCGCGATGCTGCGACAAAACCAGGGGTGCAAATCCCAGCTTGAAAAACCAGTCCCTCTGACCGCGATCCCCCCTGCAATCTAGGCTTTGGATCTACCGGCACTTCTGCCTTTGGATCTGGAAATACTGGATCAACTGGCGGGGGCATGTTTGGTGGTAATACGACCAGCAGCTTTGGCTCCGGCGGTGGAGGTACGTGCTCACGACGACAGCGCTTTGTGAATTCATTCATGCGGTTTTTTGGGAGCGCCTTTCCATTGTGCTCTATCAATTGGTTCATGCTCTTTCCTGGGATCTTTATCAACAATTGCGCGTGGGAAATACACTGAATGCTTTTTTCATTGCCTTGCCGGGATAACAACGGGCACTAGCGTCGATCGGCAAGCCTTTGGATTCGCGGGAAATCTGAGTGGCCCACAACATTCAGTCAACCTGCACCTGTCATAATTTTCCATCTAGCTTGCTTTTTTACTTTTCACTTTGCTTCCGACTGGGTTTACTGATAACTGTTCTCATTCCACAGGGTTCGGCACGAACAACAACACCGCCAATCAATCTGGTTCTCTCTTCGGTCAGCAAAACCGCACTGGAGGGTTTGGGACAACCAACACAACAACTGGAACCGGCGGTATGTTTGGAAATACGGCCTCTACAGGAACCGGAGCATTTGGTTCTGGCGGTGGATTTGGGGCTGCAAACACAGGTGGCTTTGGTACCAATGCCAATACAAACACCGCGGCTGGTGGAAGCCTTTTTGGCAAAACCCCCACGACAGGTTTTGGTGCCTCTAACACCTCTACTGGTGGATTTGGCACTGGTGGCACTGGTTTCGGTTCAACAAACACTACCACGCCTGCCACTGGCTTCGGAGCCTCTGGAACCGCTTTTCAGGGTGGCCCGCCTGCCTGTGAAGGAACAGGCAGCACTCCATTCAGCGCATTCACCGAAAAGGACGGAACCTCCAACACCAACAACCATTACCAGAGCATCAGCTTCATGCAGCCATACAGCAAATTTTCGTTTGAGGAGCTGAGGCTTGCGGATTATCAACAAGGTCGTCGGTTTGGCAACGGAAGTGGTCAAGGTGCTGGTGCTTTCGGTTCTACTGCTTTTGGTAACAGTACTGGTGGTGGTTTTGGAACTCAGCAAAACACTGGGTTTGGCGCTGCTGCTACTCCCTTCGGCGGCGCTGCTGCTACCACTGCACCCAGCGCATTTGGACAAACACAGACCACCGGTGGATTTGGCTCCACAGGTTCAAACCCTTTGTTTGGCGGACCTAAGCCTGCAACCACAATGTTCGGAGGCGCAGGAACTACTAGTGCAGCTCAGCCGTCTGCCTTTGGCGGCGCAGGTGCAACTACCGGTGGCTTTGGAGGTAACACGGGAACCAACGCCTTTGGAAACTCGGGTGCCGGATCTCTCTTCGGAACAAACAATCAACAAAACAAAACAGGTTTTGGTACAGCTGCTACCACCAACACCACTGGTGGCTTTGGCGGATTCGGTAATCAACAAACAACCAGTGCCCCCAGCGCTTTCGGAAGCACGCCAGCGACAGCCTCGCCCTTCGGAGCTCAGCAGCAACCTGCAACAAACACCTTGGGTGGCTTCGGTGCCCAAAACCAGACCCAGAACAAGCCAGGAATTTTTGGCGGTGGCGGCACAGGTGGTGCTTTTGGCGCAGCCAACACTCAGCAACAGCCAGGCGGAACAATGTTCGGCAACAACACTGGTGCCGCAGCAACGGGCACCTCGATGTTCGGTCAACCTGCTGCTCAGCAACAGCAACCAGCTACCGGTGGAATTTTTGGCGGCGCAGCTCCATCCGCCAACACCGGCGGAGGCTTATTTGGCAACCCTCAGAATCAGCAGCAGCAGAAGCCTGCTGGTAGTCTTTTCGGTCCTTCTACCACTGGGGCCACCGGTAGTGCGTTCGGTGGAGGATTTGGTGCCAGCCAGCCTCAGCAGAACGCTGGCGGTAGCTTGTTTGGTAACCCACAAAACCAGCAGCAACAGAAGCCAGCTGGTTCACTTTTCGGACCTAGTAGCACCACTGGTGGCGGTCTCTTCAATCAAAGCGCTCCTGGCCAGAATGCTGGTGGTAGCCTTTTCGGAACCCCAGGTCAACAGCAACAGCCAGCTGGCGCCAGCATGTTCGGTACTTCACAGCCTGCGCAGCAGCAACCCCAGCAGCCCGTTCCTGGAAGTTTGACCTCATCTCTCCTTGAAGGCAACCCGTATGGTAGCCAATCTATCTTCTCCGGTCTCCCCACGCCAAATGCGCCATCCCCTGGTCCTCTTGCTACGCCACTCGCCTCTACCATGAAACAGAAGCAGCGAACCCCCCCTGCCTATGTACAATATGACCCCTGGTGCTGCCAACCGCCTTGTGACTCCCCCCAGGAAAAGCCAGGGCTACGGATTTTCTTACTCGACCTATGGCACTCCTTCCAGTGCAAGCAGCACTCCAGGTTTTGGCAGCAGCCTGTTAGCATCTGGTCCTAGCACCGGCAGTCTTCGCGCAAGCATTGGTGGCGGTGGAAGCATGGGCCGTAGTTTCAGCAAGAGTTACTCTACGAGTAACCTTCGCAACTCCTTCAACCCAGAGTCCGACAGTGTTCTGTCCCCTGGTGCTTTGCAAATTGGCAGTGGACGCGGCACAGGCAGCGGCTTGAAACGCCTTACTATTGATCGCAGTCTGCGCAATGATCTTTTTGCTCGCCCATCCAGCTCTTCCCCTGCTCCCATCACCAATGGCGAGGATGCATCTCAATCGGCTGACAAGCTGAAGAAGAAGGTCAGCTTTGACTCTAGCTCTCCCACTGGTTCCGGTGGAGAGCTTGTCCTTGCGGTCTCGACAAGCCCCGATCCTACACCTCAGGAGCTCGGATTCCTCCGTTCCACTCGTAGAAGTGGCAGCCTCAACGGTATTGATAGCTCTGATCGCCCAGAGATGGAATCGATGAACCTTGCTGTTGTCCCTGAGAACAGCGAGCCTGCACCTTCCCCCGAGGTCACTTCCAAGCGTCCTATAACCGTTCCGCAAACTGATCCTAAGCCCGGCGACTACTTCATGAAGCCTCCCCTTGCTGAGCTGACCAAGATGAACCGTGAACAGTTGAAGCGAGTCGTGGACTTCACTGTCGGTCGCCAGAACTGTGGACAGGTCACTTTCAACGGTCCTGTTGATCTCAACACCGTTGACATCAACGACATTTTCGGATCCATCGTTGACATCGGTCTTCGAAAGATCACCGTGTACCCCGACGAGTTGCGCAAGCCCGCCATGGGTAAGGGTCTTAACGTGCCTTCCACCCTTCGCATTGAAAACTCCTGGCCGCGTGGCCGCGACAAGAAGAAGCCATCTCCCATCACCAGTGGTCCTCTTTTCGACAAGCACATTGACCGTCTTCAGAAGGTTACGGATACCACATTCGTCGACTATGAGATCGATACCGGTACTTGGGTTTTCGAGGTGCCCCACTTCACCACTTATGGACTTGATTATGATGAGGATGAGGAAGGTGAGAGCCTTGACCAAAGCACTATTAGTGCAGGCCCTGACAATCAAACTCCTAAGGCCCATCGCGACCACCCTGTGAGCTTTGAGCAGTCTGCGACCTTTTCTATTGACGAATCGTTCGTTGGTTCAATGGCTGGTATGGAGGATGACACCTTCGATTTCAAGAAGCACAAACTTGTCCCGGGCTCATTCGGAGCTCAGGCTCTGGCTATCGACGATGAAGAGATGCTTTCCGAAGGCGAGACCGAGTCTTTTTTAGAGGAAGGCTCCGCGGGTTCAACTATTGAGCAGGACGATGACGACGTCACCGAAAGCCAACACTCTGGCGACTCGATAATTGGATCTGATGAGAATGAGGAAATGGACATGGCGGGTTCTTTCCCCAATCTTCATCGCACCGTGGAGCAGGACGATGACCAGACCAGCGTTCTGGACACCACCCAGCCTTTTTTCAAGCCCTTTGGCACTCCCCCTAAGCCTCGTCTGAATCTCAGTGGCGACTGGACTGAGCAGCTGCAGCGAACAATCAGCCCCCGGAAGCAGAATCGTGACGCTTTGCGAGAAATTCAAGCCAACGCTTTCTCTGACCGACACCTCATCAAGGATGATATCCAAAGTGAGAAAATTGAATCTCCGAAGAAAGGCTTTACCAACAGTCTTGATCTGATGCGCTCGTTGTTCGAGCAACCCCCGAAGCAGAACGCCGCTTCTCAGCTCAATGCTTCAAAATCCCAGCCCAAGGGCTTTGAGGTTCGCTCCCCTCTTCTGGCTTCTGCGTAATTTTATTTTCCCATTGCCCATTTTGCCCATTTTGCCCATTTTTCCCTGCATAAATCCCTTTCACCATTCCCTTTTGATTCTTCTTTCTTTGTTCAGATTTCCATTCACTACTCCCAATGATGTACCTAGTCACCTCCACCTCACTTTCCACAGATAGTTTAACTGAATTCGAGACCATACGAGCTAAACTTCTCTCTTTTCATCTGTACAGTGGCCATACAACAAACAACCGAAAACATTCGCGGATGATACAAACCCAATGGATCAGAAGGATTACGATTTCCATGAGTCTTTCAAGCCTCGCTGGGGTCCCATGGACACAATTATTTGCGCCAAGAATGATATGACCGCACCTATCCCTGGCGCAACTAATCGCTGGCGCGAGCGTTTCTCTGTTTTCAGTGAGGGAAGAGATGTCGCGATCTTGGATGCCAACCAACCCCTTGAGGTGTGTTCCAGATCTTATTAATCCTTCATACCGGCCATCCTTGCTAATTCAGAATCTAGTCTCAGGAGATGCTTGAAGTTCAAAGACAGCAGTCTACAATTCAGCGCATCGATGGCATTCCCTTAGTTCGCATGGCCAAAATTAACCTTCGCCAATTCGCATTTTCCCACGGACCGGAGGAAGAGCGGCTGACCTGGCAGCTTGCCAATGTCTTGTTCGACGATGATATCGAGGATGATATTTCGGCGGGTGTACCTGCACAGCTGCGATCCAAATTTGCTCATCGCATCAAGAAAGATCGGTTAACACGTCTTTGGGAAGGCATTATTCGTGACCGTCACACTCAAGCGCTGGATCTTGTCCGCTCCCCAGAAGAACGTGCTTTCCTCCTTCTCTGCTCTCATCGTATCGACGAGGCTTGCAAAACCTTGATGGACAGTGGTAACCTGCACTTGGCTACACTGGTTGCGCAGATTGGCCGAGACGCTACCTCACGAGCCGATATGGCGAAACAACTTGAGACTTGGCGCAACGAGTCCACATTGGGGGAGATTGTGGAGCCCCTTCGCGCTATCTACGAGCTACTTGCTGGCAATTGTATGCGTAGCGAAGGTAACCTGATTGCTGAGGTGGAAAACCGTGCTTCAAATTTCATTCTCTCTGAGCACTTTGAACTGGATTGGTTACAGGCCTTTGGTCTTCGCCTCTGGTATGGTACCTCTGAGGATGAGCCAATCGAGGCCGCTGTCACCAAATTCCTTGACGATCTATCTACCGGATTCGAGCCTGCTTTCCCTCACCCCGCGCACATTTCCGATACTCATGTGTCTGCGCAGCCTGGTTCCGACACTGTTGGTCGTGAGTCTCCGCTTTGGGTTCTTCTCAAGGCCCATTCGGCACTTTCTGGACAAGCAAAGATTTCACCCATCGAGCTTCCGGCAGCTCTTCTCCCTGAGTCCTTGTCTGGTGACGTATTGAGCAACCGGTTTTCTTTCCAGATGCACCATGTTCTCGCCTCGGTCGTGGGAGAGAACAAGGCGATCAAGATCAACCAAGATCAGGCCGATCGACTTGTCTGGGACTATGCATCTGAGATCATTGCTCGTGGGGAACTGACCCCAGCTCTTTTCGTTCTTCTCCACCTCTCGCAATCCGAAGATCGCAAGCGTGCCGTCCAAGAAACCCTCGCCCGATTCGGCCCCCAACTACCTGACCCTGCTTCTGAAGTAGGATGGCTCCAACTTACCGGTGATTTGCAGCTTCCTGATGCTTGGATCTGGGTTGCCAAGGCTCTCGATGCCCGTGACCGTGGTGATGCCATCCGTGAAGTTGACTGCTTGATTCGCGGCAAACACTGGAATGATGCTCACCAAACCTTCTGCCGTATCGTCGGTCCTACTACCATCATCTCGCGAGACTATCCAACTCTCGACAAGCTCGTTACCGGTTTCGGTGACAGCCCTGAACGAAAGATGCGCGGCTGGGCCAGCGGTGGTGGTGTTTATGAAGATTTCTTGCGCTTGGCCACTGCACCCCGTGGCAGACGCGACCCTACTCGTCTGAGTCGCCTGGTGAATGCCCTCGTAGCCATGGGCGATCGTGTCCGTACTGGCTCTGGCATTGATGGCCTGGAAGAGCTTGTTGCTTTCAAGGAGATGAGCCGTACATTAGCTGGCTGGATTACTCACGAAGACGTTCAGGTAAGCTTCCTTCTATGGAACGCAAGTTCCACTTTATCTTTTCTACAGTTATACTAATTGATCTCATTTAGTCCATCGATTCTGCTGCTGCCCTTCGTCTACCCTTGAATGGTGATGCACGCATTCAACAAACTGTTGAGATGAGCCGACGGTACTATGGTACCATTATGGCTGGCGGGTTCTAAGATTTTGAAAAGATCAAAAGCACATCTGTTGCTCATTTGAACGTCCTTGAATTCCTTTCCTACTCATTTTATTTCAGCATGCTTCATGTTTCCCCAATAATTCCTTTTGTACCATCCCCGACGTGAACATGTACTTTACTTGACCAATCTATCAATTGCTAGTCAACACTAAGAGACTTTTGCTAGTGCTATTTCCACTTCGTAAAGGCTCCAGGGCTTATCATTGTGAGCTGAAGGCTGTAGCATCTCCAGGGCTGCAGTACACCCACCCGCGAGTCCTCGTACATAGTAAAGTCACTCCGCGTCCGAGTCATTAATGAATCCCGGGCCAGCAGCATTACTTCAAGTTCAATACATAGGTAGAGACCAATAAATCCAACTTAAGATTCCCCAGTCAGTTCATGGTGGCAGATTGAAAGTCACAATTATATTTACCTAGATCTACGCTCCACTTGAATTAAAATATAAGGAATAGCACTTGGAATAAGACATAAAATGCATCAATTGCTACCGACTGTACATAGAAGGGGAAAACCTAGACGCGACAGGAAGGGGATAGAACAGGTAAAGGAAATCGGGAAAGTATGAAAACAACCTCCCTCGCTGGGCGGACGTAGACATTACCAGCCAAAGAGAGGGAGATCTAAGAGAGATCTAGTTTGTATAGATGAAACAACTGATCTGTTCCTGCATCGTTTTTTTTAGAGGCAAAAATGGCGTAGGGAGAACAGAGGTGTTGGACGGAGAGAGGTAAGAGGACGGTGAGAAAAAGAGAGCTTTTTTTGCGTTTACATGCCGGGGGAGATCAGCTTGCCCTCAGCACGGCTCTCGGGCTTCCAGCCACCAGCGAAAGGAGCAGCACCGAGCTCCTTCTCGTACTCACGGATACGTGCCTCAAGCTCGGGACGGAAGTGACGGATCAGACCCTGGATAGGCCAGGCGAAGGCCTCACCCAGAGCACAGATAGTGTGACCCTCAACCTGCTTGGTGAGCTCCTGGAGCATGTCGATCTCACGCTCACGGGCGTTACCGGTCTCCAGACGCTGCATCATCTGCATGGTCCACTTGCTACCCTCACGGCAAGGAGTGCACTGACCGCAAGACTCGTGCTTGTAGAAGGTAGACAGACGGGAGATGGCACGGACGATATCGGTGGACTTGTCCATGACAATGACGGCGGCGGTACCCAGACCAGTTTGTGAGTCCTTAAGGGCATCGAAGTCCATCAGCTGGTTGTCAGCAACAGACTTGGGGATGACGGGAGTCGACGAGCCACCGGGGATAACGGCGAGCAGATTGTCCCAGCCACCACGAACACCTCCACAGTGCTTCTCAATCAAATCGCGCAGGGAGATGGACATCTCCTCCTCGACAGTGACGGGGTTGTTGACGTGACCGGAGATACAGAACAGCTTGGTACCGGCGTTGCGCTCACGACCGAAAGATGAGAACCAGCTGGCACCACGGCGGACAATGGTAGGGACGACGGCGACAGTCTCGACGTTGGTGACGGTACTGGGGCAACCGAACAGACCGACAGCAGCGGGGAAAGGAGGCTTAAGACGGGGCTTGCCGGCCTTACCCTCAATGGACTCGATCAATGAGGTCTCCTCACCACAGACGTAGGCACCCATTCCACGGTGAATGTAGACATCGAAATCGTAACCGGTACCGCAGGCGTTCTTGCCGATGAGACCGGCCTCGTAGGCCTCGTTGATAGCGCGCTGGAGGACGGTGGCTTCGTGGTAGAACTCACCACGGATGTAAATGTAGGCAGCGTTGGCGTTCATCGCACGACCCACAACCAAGCAACCCTCGATCAGCTTCTGGGGGTCCTTTCGCATGATCTCACGGTCCTTGCAAGTACCGGGCTCACCCTCATCGGCGTTGATGACCAGGTAGCGGGGACGGGGGTCCTTCTCCCAGTCCTTGAAGTTCATGAATGACTAAATTGAAGAAGCGAGCAACGGTTAGACACATATCAATGCCGAGGGTCATCCAATGCTTCAATTGCGGTCCAACTTACGTATTTCAGACCGGAGGGGAAACCAGCACCACCACGGCCACGCAGACCGGAGGCCTTGATCTCGGAAATGAGCTATTGATCCCAATGGTTAGCACACAATCTTTGGTCCCATCCATCCGCCCAATCCGGGCTATCTCTCCAATCTCCAAGGTTAAGATCCACCTACCCAGTCATCGCCCTTCTGAACGATATCCTTTGTGCGGTGCCAGTCACCATACTTCATTGCTGACTTCAGGTCTGCGCCATGGTGATCGTAGAGGTTGGTGAAGATGCGGTCCTGGTCCCGCAGTCCGCCATAATGTCTAACTGGAGGAGCCTCTTGCACGGTCGCGAAGGAGCGGGCGGCCGCCCCCTGGGCGCGGAGGGAGCGGGAAGAGAGGTATGAGAGGGAGGAAGTGGAGGGAGCCGCCGCTCTGGATATCATGATGGCGGATTGGCAGCTATGCTTTGCAAAGGGTCAAGCGGTCATGAACAGAAAGGGAAGGGGGAGCTTGCGTTAATTGGCAATTCCTGCGTGCTGAACGATCCGCCTTTACGTGTGATGTGATTGGCTAGAGGTCATGTGATCCTTATGCTGAGTCAGTACTTTCCTATTTGGGATACCTGACGTTCTTTACTATATAAAATTATAAATTGTATATGACTTCAAGCTTCTTTTAATTTCATTTCCATTTCTCATCTATCTCTTTTGTTTGTGTTGATTTACTCCTCTTGTGGCACATACAGAACTGCCTGTTTGGCCATTGTTGGATCATCTGTCCCCAGAACCTGGAGCGGCTCAAATGGTATTAAGACCCGCTCAGCATCACCAACTGTGCATGCCCACTGGAGCCAATCTGAGACCAACCAACTGCTATCTTGTTCAAACCAGGTAATCCCATCTTGCACTGCCAGCTCAATGAATGCCTCTCGGTCCTTCGAGAGAACTCTTAGCAATTGCTGGGCAGGGGAATCGGCATCATCGCTAATCATGGTGGACAATGGGTATTCAGCAATCAAGAAGTCTACCCATCGAGTCAACCGAGAGGAAAGCATGGGCCTCATTTTATCTGACAGAGTTGTTGTAGCTAAGAAATTGATTGCAAGCGCAAACATAACCTGCGGGTCTGTGGCCCAAGGCCCATTTGCAAGACGAGTCATGAAGAAATTCTGACTTGGGCCCTGCAGATCTTCTGGCAGGAGACTGAAAAGTTCTCCGAGTCGGAATAGTTCGCCATTCTTAGGGACCAGTGATTGGCGTTCAAGAATAAGAACGCGTACTTGAGACATAATCTCATCGGACAAGCATCCAGCTGGGATTTTAGACAAGTGCTCATGCAAAAGGATCTTGATATCTTCCACTTCTTCGCCTCGCTGATGCTCTCTTGCCCGAGCAAGTGTCCAGGATGCAATAATTAATGCTGTCTTATCCATTGTAATTTGACCGTTGCGGTAGACTTGCGCAAAAATTTGCTTGAGGTTTGCGGGTTCAGCTGGTAGGTCTTGTCCACTGGCTTGCAGCTGAAGAATGTGTGCAATAAGCTCAAGAGAAGTTTGAGACAGAGCGGCCAGTGCGCTGCGACCATTGCCATAGGTCTTTCGGATTGAAATCCCCGATTCTTCAATCTCCACCGATTTCCGTTCTCGCTCATTTGCTTCCATGATGGTTAGAGCGTTGAACAAGGCTGGCGATATAATTCCTTGCTCCATGGATCTTTCTGACGCCAGTAGTGGATATGACACATTGAAAATGTAGTACTGGTCGTCAGCCTTTGCTAGATGAGGAAACTCTTGGATCTGGCGAGCCTTGGCTTGACCAAGTGGACTGTCTGACGGAACACCTAGTTTCACAATGCGGTAGTCGGTTGGATTGTTTTCAATGCAGAATCCGTAATTCATGAGCACTAACACAAATTAGCTGTTGTTCCTACCACCTCGGTCATCTGGAAGTATTTCAAGGAGAGCACATACATTGTTCATTATTCCGAGGGCCATAATTGTTTGAAATCTCTTGACCAGGAGAAACATTTTCTAAAACAATCATGCCGACATCTTGCTCACCCGCCCTCCACTCGACCTTGGCCAGTGGTCGGTGATTAGGTAGGTCAATAAGCGGCAAGAGGACTGAAAGTCCTTCCTCAGGGAGGTCGGAGGGTTCCACGGCACTGGATAGTACCTTAGCCGAGAAAGCACGGGAAGTGAGAATTGTCCATGCCCAGAGATATAAGTCCCTAAAAAAAAATTAGCAAATTACTGGATCAAGACCTTGGTTCTCAAGGCTACTCTTCAATAGAATGATTTAACAAGTTGCGTAAACTCACCAGGTAAATGCTCCTACGCCTTCAAATCCAGCCGCATCCAACTTCTCAATCATAGAATCATATTTCTGATCCCAATCCTGAAACCTCTGCACCGATGCATCCGGAATTCCAGTCCCTTGCAGCCAATCCACATCCTCCTCTCCAAAGAAAAGAGGCGTGATCAGCTGGCCAGGCTGGGGTATTGTCCTTAAATACGGATACCAGAAACTCTGCTCTCCACGCAGGAACTGTGCCATCAAAAAGAAAGCCATGGTCTCCTTGATGCCGGCAGCATCAATAAATGCACGCGGAAACTGCACGCCGTGAGATGAGAAGCTTCCCCTGGATGAGGTATAGTCTATCGCGTTGAAATAAGACATTGTCACGCCTAGTGGAGCATTGATCACTCTGGTCTCTGATGAAATGGCTGTAGGCCAGTCGGCTTTCACCTGAACGTGGACACCCCGTTGGGTATCATGTGCTATGCAGCAAGCATCATTTAGGTACCCTCCATTTTTGCAAACCCATTCAAGGAGGGCATGATGCGCTTCCAATGAGTGATTTGTTTTGTCCCTGGGAAGGATTTAGTCAATGCTTGCTACTGTGGGGTGGGTATATAGGGCCGCAAAACGATTTGGTATGACTGTGACATACTCTTGTGGTGAGGCCATGGCATCCAGCTTTGTGGGAGTCCTCGAGCCTAGTTGGGAATTAAAGTGTGCTTGAGTCCCAATTTAGGATTATATTCCAGTGGGGTTGACTGGAATTAGTGATATCGAATGATGAAATTTGGCAGCGATCGCGGGTCCACTTTTTCCTTTACACGCCGGAATTGCAGTTCAAGTTGCTATATAGCGAGGGAGTCACGTGAAAGGCATACATTGGAAGAGTAACAGACAGTTTCCTCTCACAATAAATATTGTTTATTAGATATTATTTTTAAACTGTTCACATATCATTGGAAGAGTCCTCTTTACCACAACCTGTAGTTTTTCAAGTTGTCAAAATGCAGTCAGCGCACCAGGTACCCCACCCCCAAGTACTAAACTCCATGATAGTATACTAATCCAAGAACTTGAATACAGAATGTTCTCAACTTACTCAACACATGATGCCGGAGTGAACGACCGAAACTAAAAAACCATCGAGATTTTTTTGTCCATCAGAAATCACTCACCACCTGAGCAGTGATCCCAGACACTGCAAGAGTGTGTAAGCAGCACTGCCCCAAGTCTATGTGCCCCGCCTTCCTCATCATCCCCCAACCTTGGAATTCTATTAGCATTTCGTACAAAGAGCCCAGGATCTGGGACAGAAAACAAACATAATGGATATCCCTCGATACGACTTTACGGCCTTGAATGAGCCAGATGAGATTCGTGTGCTTAAACTCAGACCAACTCGAACTCGCCTCGAAGTACACATTTATCATGTTTCAGTGTCAGAATGCAAATTCGAGGCACTCTCATACGTGTGGGGAAAGCCAGATCAGGCAAACTATGCTGTTGTCTGTGATGAATCGGACACGGAAATCGGATGGATCCCATTAACGATGAACCTGGGAAATGCGATGAGCGACCTCCGAGATGCCGAAGAGTTGGAGAGCAAGATTTTCTGGATCGATCAGATCTGCATCAATCAGGCAGATGAGACAGAGAAGGGTTATCAGGTTGCCATGATGAGGCAGATATACACGCAATCAAAGCGGGTGATTTCCTATCTTGGGCCTGCTGGTCCAGAGGCAAAAGAGATACGAGGAATTAAATTATTGAAGGAAATATACGGAAGCATCCCAGATCAAGCTTGGGGTCAGATGCAGGAAGCTGGAAGTTTAGAGCAGATCCAGGAGCTGATACTTGATGGAAGCATACAGCTCAGGCAGCTTTCGCCAGATTTGCAGTTCGAGGCTGGAAAATTATATGACGATGATGAATTATCCAAACGATACGCTGAGCAAGGCTGGGAGTGGATTTTTGGTGTTGCATACAGCGAACTGACTCAGAGACTGTGGATTGTACAAGAGCAACTGCTAAATAAGGAGATCATTATGCTTCGGGGTCCTCGACTGATAGATTGGGATACCATTCTTACCATACCTATTCTCTTTGCAGTTGGGCATTTACCTCAACAGTACCATGATATAGGTCGAAGAAACATCATGATGGGTGAAACCTCGCTTACTTGGGATAAAGTGGAGGGAATTCTGTATGGAATATGGTGGGACAGACACGCTCGGCAAGAACACGGAGATGAGTATTCATGGTCTTCACTCTTTCACAATCTGCAGTGGTATCAACCTCTGCTTTGTGCAGATGCCCGAGATCGAGTCTACGCCATCCTCGCTATCTCGCGTGACGCAAATGTGCTAGATCTTATACCCGACTATTCGCCTCTGAATACTGTAGATTTACTATCCAAGCAGCTATCGATTCGAGTACTGGAGAAAGCTATCAATCTCGAGTTACTCATCTACGCCATTTCCTGGCGCTCACTAAATTCCACACTCCCGTCCTGGTGTCTGACACTTGATCAACCTGTGAGTCTCAACACTCCTGAGCCTCTTCCCTTTGAGGTGTACACGCCACATCCGAGACCCTACAGATATTTTCCGGCACACTTCCATACAGATAACTCTTTACTTGCAGTCAAAGGAAGAATTCTGGACTACGTGTCTACTCCAGGCTCAGACATCACCTGCTCCTTGACTGAGGATCCGAGTGTCCCACTACAGTTAAAGTTCCTCTGCAGCGTTGAATATCTGATACGTGACGCTTTTTCGATCGAGGATATCGTCTGTCTGCTCCGCACAATCACGGCAAAAGGCCCATGGTCTGCCCCTTCTAACCTTCAGGCAGGCTCAGATGAAATCATAGTCTTCCACTTCTGGGCCTATCTTCGGCATAGGCTGCGTACGCTATCAGACTCTTCCAATGGAAATCATCCAGCTGTGTTGCAGTTAATCAACTGTTGCCATCAGATATTGAGAAACACCGGGAAATTACTCTCAGATGCTGACAAATATGCATTGCAAGGGCTTGAAGATGTGACTGAAATTGAAAGCGTTGCATACGACCGAATTTCGAGATACGTCCTGGAACAAGGCAGAATTATTGGACGTACTGCCACAGGGCGTTTATTTAATGCTATGGATAATGTGTGCCACGGTGACAGTATTGTAGCCATGCAAGGCGCTGATCGGCTTTTTGTAATCCGTCGATCTGCAAGTGGAAGTGCCTACAAACTTATGGGAGATATTTTTGTTGATGGGCTCATGAACGAGGAAGCATACAGAGACCGGGATCCCGATAAGATTGATTATGAGATTGTACTCGATTAGCCCCCAAGTATTTCAAGTTCATCTAGATATTCAGCCTTCACATCACTTTGCCTCTGTTTCCGGATCATAATCACTCCGCGGCATCAAGTACCAGATACTCCCTTCGAGTTCTTACTAGAAATAGGTAGTATTAGATTAACGGAAGAGATAAAAAGGACTCGGAAAAGCTTACTTTCACTGGCACCTTACATACTTAGTAGGTCCCCATCATGACATCACCCTACCCTAAACATTTGAACTTGAATAACAACAGTCGGTATATATCACTATCATACTCGGCATTCACAATTTTGGCCTGTACCCGAACTTTTCTTCCATCATTTTCCAAGGTTGTCGGATCGAGCATTTATTCAACCAAGGAATCTTTTGCGATGCGTTTCCAGAGTAGTAGAAACAATGAAAACATAATTCACAGTTTATTGCATTCTACATACTCCCGAGGTCCGTAGGATATCCGTTAATGCCGTGACTGCGATGGCAGCTAAACCCGATAGTACATCTCATCCCGATCGTCGTTAAAAAGTCTCCCATACTCCAGCATAAGCCTCCACCAAACGAGTTTCATATCCTCACTGCGAAGCACACGACGCGACCACTCATAACTGTTCTGAGCAACCTTCTGCCCCAGTGCCTCTCCTTCGGGCTCCTGAGTCAAGTAACGAACAATCTCAGGGAAATCCCTCAAATCCATACTGAGTGGTACGTAATGCACCCATGGAATCAACCAGTCATCATGCCACTCCTGGTAGAGAGTCTGTTTCAAAACGGCTGATTTAGACATAAGGAGACGATAGAAGCGTCCGCTGAGACCATTTCCATCAATGTCGAGATTATACCGGGCCTCATAGCCTGCACTAATCTCATCTCGCTCACCAGTTTGAATTTGCAATTCCTCGTTCTGCTCAGCACATGCGTCTTCTTCGCACTGGATAGCGGCTGAGATTCGGACCCGCGTGTTGTTGGATATCGATGCAATAGTTGAATTGATAGACACCCATTCTGAGCTAAGTCCCCCAAATTTTTGGACTCGGTTGAGCAGGTTGATAGGCCGGTTTTTATCGAGTGTCATTAGTGCTAAGCGTTGACGTTGTAGAGATCTCCAGTTCTCGTGCGTGGAGCGACCGCCGGTATTTGATCCGGTCCAGTACACAATGTTCTTTTTTTCTTCCCATTCTGTGTCCTCCTTTTCTTTGTACTCTTCCATTCGCATTTTCTCCACGTAGAACGGACTTGGGTATAACAAGTCGTTGAAGCAGGTTGCTTTCGCCTGAGAGAAAACTGGAACGAGTGCGTGGGTCAATGTCATTGAGTCTGGGTGACGAAGACCAGCATGGATATTATGAAGTTCAGGAAACTGGCAAACATCCTTGCTGAGTGTCACATTGGAAAGGAAGCCCATTTCTGTTAGATATGGGGATTTCCTGGCCTCTAGAGAGAAGTCTCGCGCCATAGTGTCAGGGGCACAGGATACGGATAAAGCATCCCATGTATTCTGCTTTCCAATACTCAGGAAATCGACATGTTGTGCGAGATCGGGATTTTTCCCAGGAGAAGGTGTGTCTTTCCGGCGATTTCTTGCAGTTTTCATGGCATGAGAGAGCATATCATGGGGTACCACGACCTTAGGCTCATCCATCGTATTCATCGCAAGGGTCATGTTAGGTAAGGTTTCAAGAACATTGGGCTTGAACCAAGTCCCAAATACCGATGACATCCAGTTACCGATATTAGTGAACGAACCTTCAGAAACCGTCAATCGATACATGCCTTGTCCCTGACTTGCTTCGATGACGTTCTCAACTCGAGCTCGGATATCAGAAGGTGCCACGCCCCACAATGGCTCCATAGTTGCCATCATGGAATCAAACTCGTCAACTAACAAAAATCCTTGTTCCTGGGCTACTTGGAACCAGGTATCAAAGTGTGGAGGAGGCTTTCGTCCATATCTTCGTTCGTACTCTGCGCAACAGGCTTCCAATGTTTGGGACTGCGTGTTGATCATTGTATTGTATTTGCGATTGGCTTTTTCAGCAAGCTGTTGGATTGGATGTACTGATGAGCCCAGACCCATTGGTGTAATTCTCCCAACCGCTGATTGGAATGAGCCTGTGTGCAATAAGGCTGAGTTACCGGTCAAGATGGATAAGAATGGGATAATGGCGAGGGCGAAGATCTTCCGTCGTGTTGTTGATGGAGGAAGACTGGTCACTCCCAACGCTAATGAAGTGATCGAGATTAGAGGCATAATGAGAGATTTGTGGACTGTTCCTGGCAAAAAACTCTGGATTGCGGAGGTAGAATAGGAATCAATCGTGGTGGCTACGAATGTATGACCACCCAATACCTGTCGATAATGAGATTTTACTCTGTTAGCTTGGCATCCTAGGACAGTCACTGACTCAAGAGAGGATCAATACGAACCAAATAAGTAGTACCTGTTAGTCCGACCGATGTGCAGAGAGCCTGCAGTATCATGGGCCATGCTAACATGGGAGATGGAGGAATGACCAGCAAAGCTCCAACGAGAATGACGGATACTCGGAGGACAATTGCCTCGAGCATCTTAGGATGCGATAGCTGTTGGCTATGTTCCTTGTACATATCAAGTAAAACAAAACTGGACGATCTTGCCGAGAGAAAAAGGACGAGTACCAAGACGGAAGACCCATTTGAAATATCTAGAAAAAGGAACAGGGACGACAGGGCGAGTAAACCGAGAGTTGGTAATTGGAAAGAATATGGGAATTGAAAGATTGATCGCGATGACCGGGTCGAGAATCCCGTCTTTGGTAGAATAGCTAGCTTTGAATCTCGATATGATAGCGCAAGGGAGGTGCAGACTACTGTCAGTGGCTAGATGGGATTAGCTGACATGTCAGCAAGAGTCACAATGGTAGAAGTGTGGGGTATAAATTGTAGTTAGAGCATACCATAGCTAATGATGTACCATAATACACCATCAAGAGACGCGCAAGCGCGATGCAAAATGAAGTACTCCATGCCATCCAAGTGAAGTTGGACTCAACTTTCTGTGACAGCAGTCCGTCCTCCAGATCTGCGGCCGGTGATTTCCATGCGGCGCGTCGCAAGATGAGTCCAAGATACAGCACTATCCAACAAAGCAACTCAACCCGAATATCGAAGCTGGATTGAAATTCTTTTCTAAGGTATTCTGTAGCGATCGCAGTGATAGCGGTGACGAGGTAGGTAGTGCCGGACTCCATGGTTCCGTACTTCCGCTGATAGTTGATCAAGTCATGTCAAATGATGAACAACTTATCAGTCCATCTATCCGATCTCCTGTGTCTGATCTCCTCGCGGTACCAGATTATCAGACCGGCTTTCTTTGCTTCCGATGCTCTTTGTCTCTGTTGCGGAGAAGTGCCCCAAGACATTCAAACCAAATCAACCTATGGCCTGCAGCTGGGAAATTTGAAATAGATTCAGAACCCAGCGGGGGGTTCAGCAATTGGCCCAGGGGTCAATCAAAAGTGAATGAGCGTCATCGCTATAGCACGCACGAGTAAAAAACCACACTGCATCTGCACTATCTATGGAGCGCGGTGCAATTGGCGGTACCAGCAGCATTAGCGCCTCCACTAGATTCGCGCCCAAATTGTCTCGTGCTCGTTGGGGGATCGGACCTGAGCCTGTGAGTGGCGTAAAATGAAACCGAGCTATAATAGCCTGGCGCGAATGCGCGTGGTAAACCCAATAAAGAGGGCTATCACATTATGTGGGTCATGATTATACGGACTCATTACAGAGAACTCCGTCTTTATACCGGGATCGTCGGTCCAAGCGGGAGCAACCCTGTTCATTTGAAATACACTGATAGGGCAGATGCCATGTGGACTCCACCGAACATGTAACTAGTTGGGGCGAAAACACAGACCACAAAGAGGCCCAGCGCTCAGATGGCATCAGCATCCTTATTCTTCACTATTATTATTATTTCTATTATTATTATTATTATCATTATCATCATAACAATACATATGAACTATACCGATTAACAGGAACGGGATAATAACAAGGTTTACTTGAAGTTAACCCTAATTTCTACCCTTCGGATACAAAATGAACGGAGGCATCATGAATCATGATAGACCGCTTATATACCCTCCATACGCGCCTGGGTCTTATGTTTTGGGCACCCACTTTGAGCGAAGTCTCAGTATACGTGTACCTGATATCAACATCGACATAAAACCGAACTGTTTCTTAAAATTGTCGGAATCATGCATGAAAGCCGCCAGGGATCGTCGACCCATGTCTCTGGAGTAGTTCATCAACTCCAATGATAGTTCCCAGTGAACGTCATTGCGTGGACAATTGTGTGTGGAAGAGATTGAACTGGATAAAAAAAAGAATTCAAATCCTTCATGGGACTAGGTTGTTATGTCGGCGCTTGAATCCCTGCGCTTCTAATTATTACTAGTGTAGGGCGGGACAAATCATGGAATTGGAGGCCCATACCACTTACCCAAATTGGGGGTTTGAGAAGCATATTGCCAGGAAATATCACATCTCAGACCCTCTCAGAACCCCTCTCTGTTTTCCTTTAATCTCCTCTGAACCCACAGCGCCTCCTGGTTTCTGAATTTGACTTACTGGCTATGAGGCTCGGTTGTAGATTAAGGCCTCGGGGTAAGGTAGATTCTCCTTTATGCGTTCGTTGATCTCCCAAGATTAAATAATACTTCTACCGCTTGCCGCCCGTCAGATCCTCGGTATTTTGGAAGAAGTCGATTGTTTTTAATTACAATCTTGTCCAGGTGCTTTGATTACCAGTAATCATCGCAATTCCTCTCGTTACGGTCGGTTTCTTATGTCCCTTTCTATTTCCTGGGCAGGTATGTTTACATTTCACCATTTAAACCCTCTTGGTTCCTTTTCACATCATGATCGTGTTACAGCCTGAGCCAAATACTATCATGATCGTGTTACAGCCTGAGCCAAATACTATCATACTCTATTCACATATAATCATAGCTAACTCTCTATATTACGTGCATAGAAATGAGATCCTTGTTCTTTAATACGATTCTCTGCCTTTTGGGTCTGCCAGTGTTCGCCAACCATGCTTCTGCCTCCATTGCTCCTTGGGAGATGACCTGGTCTGACTCAACATACGGTTATGATGGACCATGGCATGCGGTTATCATCAAGATGGGTGGCAATGATACGCAACTAGCCATGTACCCGGGCGGATCATGGGTATCTTATGTTCTCCTAGATACACTTTGCGACAATACGACAAAAATCGCATCTTACTGCTATGGTGATCTCGCTGGTCTTTACAATCCAGACAGCTCGGACAACTGGGATGGCAGTTCTATCTCTCTAGCCCCTGACCGCAACTGGGAATCGTTGCAATGGGGGTATACGGATGCAGTGGGCTTTGAGGCCTATGCCTATCGCGCACTCGATTCCATAGATGTTGATGGAACAGGCACATCGGCTTCGAACTTGATTGCCGTTGAGCAAGGATACCTGTCTTACCCGGGTGGTATCTACCCTCTGGAAGTGGGCATTCTTGCGCTCGGAACGCCAGACATCAACATGACATTCACTAGGACCGATGAAGTTCCCATCAACGGTACCTACGTCACAAGTTGGCTTTACGAACACGATGTTACTCCATCCTATTCGTACGGAATGCATATTGGCACTCCTAAGTTTGAAATCCCGGGATCTCTGTATCTTGGAGGCTACGACAAAAACCGAGTGCTTGGAGATGTATCAATCCAACCTGTCAACAGTGGCGAGTTGCCCATCGAATTGCTTGACATCAACATCGGCGTTCTAGATGGTGGCTCAGTCTGGGATTCCTCCAACATCACTGGCTTGATGGCAAAGTCAAACACATCCCTATCATCGGGAGAGAATGTTGCAATCGACGCGACAAACCCATACATCTACCTGCCCCAGAGCACATGTGATGCCATCACCTCATACCTACCTGTCACCTACAACGCCAATCTCGGTCTCTACATATGGGACACAGACAATGAGAATTACACTAAAATCATCACATCTCCCAGCTACTTAGGTTTTCGGTTCGTCAAGGACGATGTGAATACGGAGGAAATTGTCATCAAAGTTCCTTTCGCTCTACTCAACCTAACCCTTTCCGCTCCTCTTGTGGAAGTTGACACTGCATATTTCCCTCTCATGCCCACCAGTGGTACCTCAGTACTGGGCAGAGCTTTTCTACAGTCAACCTTCTATGGTGTCCATTGGTCGGAACAATACTGGTTCCTCTCGCAGGCCCCTGGGCCAGATTATAACTTCATCAAGGATGTCATCAGCATAGAGCCAACTACGACTTCCATTACAGGGACTTCAAGTAATTGGGAAGATACCTGGGCATCTTACTGGACGGCCCTTCCATCCAGTGTTGCCAGCAATAACTCTCAGACAAATGCCACCAACACTGCTTCAGCGACCGCGTCAAGCTCTAGCACGGGTCTCTCCACGGATGCTAAGATAGGCATCGGTGCCGGCTGTGGATTTGCTGCTCTCGTGATCATTATCTTAGCAGCTTGGTTTTGCATTCGTCGTCGTCAAAAAGCCAAAAAGGTTCACTCTCTACCCCCTCGGTATTCTTCTGAGCCTCCTCTCATCTACCAAGGTCCACCCTTGGAGATGGGAGCCACAGGTAGACGGGATACCCGGCATGAGTTGGGTTATGAACCTTCAGTTGAGGCCTACTATGGCAAACAGAGCTCGGCACGAACAAGCGCAGCTACCGATCCGCGGAGCTCAACCAGGAAATCCGATGGCATGATGGCTAGTTCCACCACTCATTTCTACGAGCTTAGTTAATGACTTTTTACGTGTGCCATATGTACGACTTGTCATGCACGATCTATATCTATTCTTCGAGCAACCAGACATATCTTTGGCAGATAGTTTTGTTTTGTTTTTGTTTTTACAAAGAAGTGTGAGGGATTAGAATAATTTAATCAGAAGGAAGAACTCTTACATACATCAATCTCCTACACAGCCGTCAATTAAGGCCACCTACCAGGATTCTCTACAAGTTTTTCAGACATCTTTTCAAATGTTTGAAACCTGCATGTGCACATGTGGTAACTTGAAATTCTTACATCAAAGTTCTCACTAATGTTTGAGATCACTACCTAGCTACGTCCCTCATTTTAGTACTAGTCAACGGACACAGAGTGTGGATTACAAATACCGAAGATATTTCCAGCCCATCGAATTCTCTTTGAGGCGAGAAAAGAGAATTATCATATCAAGAAACAACATTAAGATCTACCATGGCGCCAAGGTGATCCTTCCAGTACGGGAGAGTGTACGGAGTAACTGGGTCTCAGCTCTCCATTTTGACGATCCTTCCCTTATCCGGGAAACGCCGTGGCGTTGATGATCCCGAGTTAGTGACAATCTGGGTTCTTGATTTAGATTATGCGGCAACAAAGGCTAAGGTTCCCTGGATGTATCCTCCGTAAGCATACCTAGGGTATATAGTATTATAATCCTCAACTAGTATTGCGTTAAGGTCTGCTTATTGTTACAATATCGTGGGGCACCGCACATAATGGATTTAGGGGGTCATGACCCTGAGCCACGATGGGTCTCCCCTAGTAGTGGGGGCCCCTGAGGCCAGAATGGTGTAGCGCCGTGATATGTATGGTGCTCTTTTTAGCGCCTCGGAGAATCCAGCAAGAGTGCGAGCCAGGCAAGTCTTATAAATGCAAAGTACCGACACTTTTCCTAAGTCTTCCATTCCTCTAAAAAAAAAAATTGAGCTCGAATGCGGTATCGTGATGATATCCTTCTTCGAATCTCTCTTCCGTGCACGGAGTCGGAAAATAACTGCCATTTTTCTTTCTCTTCTATTTTTCATTTACAATTCAGCTCGTACCTCTTCTCAGCCAAATTTTGATGGGGTCGTAATAGTCGAACCCTGGAAGGATCCAGGCATATCAACTTCCACACCCTCACCCTCACCCTCAGCCAAGTTAGCCTCAACATCACAATCATGTCCACCCACAATAGCGGATAATGACTTCTCCCCTCTCACGATTCGCTGTCGCATTCAATCTGCGCAGGCACAGGCTCAATCTAGTCTAAAGTCCCAGTCTTCTACACCCAAAGAAGCAGTGACTGAGTATATCCGTCGCTATCAGAGAAATCCTCCGAAAGGATTCGAAAAATGGGTCCAATTTGCGCTAGATCATGGATCTAAGATAATCGATGACTTCGATCAAATTGATCGAGACCTACTGCCCTACCGTACACCTGAAGCCCAGCAAGTTTTCCGTGAACTGAGCGCGAAAAAAGTCGATAGTCCTCGCACGCGGCGTGTCACTGTTGAAAATGGAACAATGACTGCATCCATATGGTATATGTACGATGATGAATGGAGGAGACTACTCGAGCCATTTGTCGATGCATTACCAGATGGTACTTTCTTCATGAGCACGATCGATGAACCCAGAGTACTTACCAGCGGGCAATCACATCCGGATACCGTTCGATTCCATGATCGCCCTGGACAGTCTATAGAGGATCTGATCACTGAATCATGCGCTCAGATCCCACGCAATCTTACTGGCCGTCTTGGTGTCGCCAAAGATGTTTGCCAAGCTACTCATCCAGGAGAACTACATGCTCTCATCTCATCGCCAAGCAGCTTTTCCTATACTTATTCACTTGCTCCTCTCCTGAGCTTCGGGCGCATGTCCGCCTTTCGAGATATCTTGATTCCGTGTCCATGTTATCTTGCCCATGCGTTTCCGGATATACAAGATCCCGTTCCGTTCTTAGAAAAGAAGCCTGGTGTCTATTGGCGCGGCTCTTCGACGGGTGGGAAGGCGACGCGCTTCAACTGGCAATTCGGGCACCGGGAAAGATTCGTGTCTTTTATCCAGTCACTTCAGAATACAGCCAAGACGCTCGATGCAGGACAGTTCTTCGGGGCAAATATTGATGCTTTGGATAGAAAGCAGATCAAGCTTTTCAAAGATGTTTTCGATGTGCATATGGGCGCGTATATCCAGTGCGATGACGAAGCCTGTAAAGATATGGAGCGCACACTGGGTCCAGTGGATATTGAGCCTGAGGATACGGCCACCCACTATCGGTACCTCTTTGATCTTGATGGAAACAGTATGAGTACTCGATTCTATCGTCTCCTGGCTCAGAATGCTGTGGTACTAAAGCAAACTTGGTTTCACGAATGGCACGATGATCGCCTGGTCCCGTGGGCTCACTATATTCCAGTGACTATGACCATGGAAGAGCTCCCTGCGGTCATCAGTTTTCTCATCAATGATCCCGCTGGTGAGTCTTTATCTGCTGAGATTGCTGAGGCTGGGTCCTCTTGGTCACGAGAAGTTCTCCGGGAGATCGATATGTCGATCTACGTTTACCGACTGTTACTTGAAATGGCAGACTTATACGGTCAAGAGGACTCCGACCTAGTTGAACAATTCGACTCCGAATAATTGGAAGTTGAGACAGGGTTTGAAAGGATAAGTCGGGTCTTATCCCGGGTCAGCGCGCTGGTTCACGCTGCTTTTCAGTCTTTTCATGGTGGACAATTTCTTTCAATGTTTATATAGAATAATCGGTGATATCTGCATATACACTGTAATTTACCTACTACTAAATGAAACTCTTTTTGTACACTTTCACACGTCGCCTTCTTCAAAGTTTATCCCAACTCCTTATTCAGTAGAATCGAAAGTTCTGAAATATCCATTGGTCACAAGTCCTCTTCACATAGGAGCTGAGCGAGACTAAGAGACAGTCAACTTGGGATTGAGCCCTTCTGGTAACTTGAAGATAGTTATAAATCTCGGGATAAATGATCATGATACTAATCAATTATGTATCCCATAGGCGCGAACCACATGACCTCAGGCCCCCGCCAATAAGTCACCAGGTGGGCAACCTCAGAACATCGTGAAATGAAGTTGAAGTATCAAGTTTAGTTCTATCTAGTATAGCCTGAGTCAAGCGTGAGCTTATCCCACTTGGAATCATATCGAACACTCCGAGTCTCTACTTCAACCACCAAGTCGCTTCAAAAATGTTCTGAATCCTCTCATCAAGATGGAAACAATAACACAACCATATAAATTAATCAACGGAAACCCCCTCCTCGCTGACTTGCACTGGCAAAACGACTCTCCAACCATAAATGGCAACGGTCATCCAATTGGTATCCACCCTATAACCCAGCTTGGTCATCCCAGATATTCATTCTCACAGTAATGGAGCTAAGGTTGAACAGCACTAATCCTCCACGGAGGCGGCCTCGTCATCGGCGCAAAGGAAATCATCCCATACGCTCAAATGACATACCTAACCAGAGCCGGTTTTCTCGTCGTGATACCGAACTACCGTCTCTGTCCACAGGTATCAGCCTTCGAAGGTCCGATCACTGATTCAAAGGATTGTCTCCTTTGGGCAATTCAGAATGCAGATTCCCTGCTAGCCCAGACTGACGCAGCTGATGCGTATCGGGTAGACTCGGAGAAGGTGGCTGTGATGGGACATTCTGCTGGTGGTGGACTTGCTTTGACTATGGTATATCTACTCTACTTCTCCCATTATTAAATTGTGCTGAGCTGATCGTTTATTACAGCCTAATCAATCCGATCTCCCAGTTCAGATTTCGGCTGTGCTGGATTTCTATGGTGCGAAATACCTGGATCATCCTAGTTACCATGAGCCTCATCCCTGGTATACTAATATAGTTGTATCTTGGGATGAGGGGTATGCGAATCATGTTTTTGAGGGTCCTCAGGTTTCTTTTGCGGATCCGTACCTTGGAACTGAAACTCCTCCGCCGAGGGATGCGTGGCTTACGAGTCACTTGAAGAATGGGACTTGGTTGAATGGGGTTGTTCAGGATGGAAATCTTGCACGCGTTGATGGTACAACTGGTTTTTCGAAGACTTATCCACCGACTATGTTTGTTCATGGGATTTCTGATACCTTTACCAGCTGTGCCTTAAGCGAAAGGGCACATAAGCAGTTACAGGAATTGGGTGTAACTACGGAGATACTGCTTGTTCCTGGGAAGGACCATATGCTTGATTTGACATTGAAAGAAGGGGATCAAGAATTCTTGGACTTTGTGGTTCCAGGGCTAGAGTTCTTGGTTCGACATGTAGGACTTCCAGTTTGAGGTTCATTGTGTAGGTCTACTATCATTAGCAGTATGCAGATCTGTTTGAATTTTTATATCCCATAGTAAATTGTTGATAAATAAAGCTCAAATAAGGAAATGATGAGTATACAGGCCCAAATGAAGTACCCGGAAAGGAACGAATGATAAACAGTATTAGAGAATGAACAGAAAAGACCAGACAAATCCCAAGATGCACCAACCGAGCACCATGTACATTTAACCACATCTCATCGATCCATCTATATCCATGTCATTAGGTTAGTATCTGCAGGCATTGCATATCCATAACGGCTTGTTCCTGTGACAAAGTAACAAAAGAAAACAATCTATTTTCGCAAAGAGAGGAAAGGGAAAAAAAGACGGTACATGACCACATCTTATCTCATGAGAATAAACATGGCACAGCATCTCATTTAGTCAATCAAATTTGGCATATAGATCAACCGTAACGCGAACTCAAACTGGCAAATGCATCTGGGCTATGACGCCCGCTTTGGAACCCATTTATATCAACACTTGGTTGACTCATATGAGTCCTAGGCAGAGAGGGATTGACGGAAGTGAAGGGACTGGGGTTATAAGCGGCGGTGTTCATACCAAGGCCCATTCCCGTTGACTGTGCAGGGGGAGGAGCAGGAGCTGTAGCACCATGTCCACCCATTCCGATACCTAGCCCAGAGGATGAATAGGGATTCATACCTGCTTGGGCAGCTAGACCTGAACCAGCCCCGGTATTAGGGGTGGATTCACCCCATGGGTTTCGGGATGGAGCAGGTTGGTTACCATTAATCTGCTGGGGCTGGGGCGTTTGAACACTAAAGACCCCTTGAGATTGTGGAGTGGAATTGTAAGAGTTGGTGAGAGGGGGAACAGGGCTGGCGCCAACACCCTGCTGGACCCGGTACTGCTCTGGAATAGGAGGGATTGCGTTGGTGTGAGAAGGAGCAAGGTTGTATAGAGAGAGGATGCTATTTTTATCCATTCGACCGGTGACTTGGGGTACCAATTGCTGCGGTTGCTGAGGCTGGAATTGGTTCTGATAGCCGCCTGCACTCTGAGGGGTTGGTTGTCCCATAGATTGCTGGTAGGGGTTATAAGAGCCTTGAGCGACCGGTTGGGTCATCTGTGGTTGCTGTTGCTGTTGCTGTTGTTGGGGTTGGAAAGTAGGTGTCGGGCCGAATGGAGATGTGCCGAATGGTGAAGTAGATGACATTACCGGCATGGTATTTGCGTGTTGAAGTGGACGAGGCACCATTGTTGACACTGGTTGAGCTTGCTGTGGCAGAGCTTGGGTCTGTGGCACACTGCTGAAGAATGGGTTGTTTTGCGGAGCACCTGGGTTAGGATAAGTCTGACTAGCGATGCCGCCCTGCGGCTGGGGTGCTGTCTGAAAGAAAGGATTATAGTTGTTGTCCAGAGCCTGAGGCGAGGAAACGTATCCGACTTGAGAGAATGTCGATGTGACCGGTGGTGTATAAGGTTGCTGGTATGTAGACTGCTGCATCAAAGAACTTGCTTGGCTTGGGTAACCGCCAGTAGAGTGGGGGAACAGAGGCTGAGAAACCTGGAGGTTCTGGAAAGAAGCTTCCAAAGGTTGAACACCCTGCTGCTGCTGCTGCTGGCCCATTTGGTCGAAGGGGTTGTATGAAAGTGATTGGGCAGGCTGTGCAGGTTGCGATATTTGAGGAACCGGATTCGAAACAGCCCTATCAAAGGGATTGTTCGATGTGTCTGGCCTAGAAACAGCCGCAGGCACAGCCGATGATACAGATCTTGCTGGCGCTGCGTTGCTTGCCATTGCGGCTTTCCTAGCCCGTATCAAAGACGGATCCCCCTCGCCCAGTCTCGCCAATGTATCAATCGCTCGGTCCAAATCCTCGTCAAGGCCCTTCAAAACCATCTCATTACGTCGATTGTTGGTAAAGCCCAATTCCTGCAGCGCTGCCATCTTTGCCTCGAGTGATGCAGTGGTCACATCAGCAACGGGCGCACCCAGCCCGGTGGTCTGACTCGAGAAAGGCGGGGACCATGGCCGTTGATCCGAGGACGGGGGTCTCTTTGTACCGAATCGACGGAGGTTTGAGGTAGACGAAGATGATCGAAGGCCAATTCCAAAGAACTTGCCCGACTTTGGTGGCAGGGGAGGCGGCGAGCCTTCGGGTGACCCGCGCGACCTGGGCGATCTGTCCGGTGAGGAACCACGTCGTGAATCATGGCGTGACTTGGTGTAGCTTGAGTCTTCCCGGCTAGGAGGCTTTGGCTTTCCATCCTCCAGCGATCGATATTGGTACTTCTGACGAATAAATCGTTCCATGCATGAATCGGCCTCGTCAATGTCTGTCGGAACTGGCGGCTTGACATTCTTGGGGTTATAGATCTTGTTCATCAGGAGGTTTCCATGGGATTTCATATTCTAATGGAAGATTCACGTCAGTTTTCGGAAATTGGTATTATTCAGTCTTGTAAATGACTACTCACGTCAACCTGTTCTGAAGACCAAGTGTCCATGGACAATGACTTGATCTTGGAAATGTGTGTGCCCAACTTGCGGTGGATTGCAGCGCACCGCATGCAAAGGAAGATACCCATCTGTTGAGGAACAAATCAGCCATTGAATATACGGGGATGGAGGTGGTGGTTTCGTTTCGATTCAGGGGAAGGACATACGTTCCAACTTGCCCATCCTATTCACAATATCCCGTTAGTCTGGCGTGTTGATACTGTTTTTGCGGGAGGAATACTAACCTGGGGTCAAGGCATCGCAATCGGCACATCGATCATTACCAGGGACGGTCCGGATCAAATCGGCCAGAGCCTTCTCATTGCGCAGCTGCTGACGCTTGCTGATGCCATTCGGCATGATGAAACAATGAAATGAGTGGACAGCGTACACACAGTACGTGAGAGATGAATAGGGGAAAGAGGAAAAAGTTCCAGGGCGGAGAAAGGGAAGATCGAATCATCGAGGGGCATTGCAACCCCAGACAAGCTCCTTAGTAAACTCACACGCGGCCACTTTCTTGGTTCTATTCATAGCTCCACTAGTTAATTCGTCACAGAGAGTGCTTCTAGAACGGTTTTAGAATGGGATTGCTATTGATGGGGTTGGGCATTAAGCCATTGGACTCGGGCACATAAAGTCCTAAAAGAGGGCTTGTCTCCGGGTAATTTGCTCTGTAAGATTTACTTGGATTGCTCTTGGTTGAAGATAAGAACGGATTCTATCGGTAAAAATTGGATCAAAATGATATTGGTCATATTGGTCATATTGGTAATATGGGACTAAAGGTCATAGGATGTCCAAGCACCAGGTGGCTTTCTCACCCACTGCACTTTAGCCAGCCGAAGCCAACGAGTGCCGTTGAGGAGCCTTAAGATACTAAGAGATTCTTCTAGTACGCCAATATGACCTGCCATCCTATGACCTAAAATTAGGAGGAAATTGGAGGTTGATTATGCGTTCGTAAAAAGTGTAAAGAAAGAAAGAGGAAGAATTGGGATCAATTTTCCCGTTGAAATAGTACAAATGTACACGTGACCTTCTCTATAATGGATATATGTCACGTGTGTCGTGTTCTCACGTGATCCTGGAATTGAATATTTCTTTTTCTTTTGCAACTTCATCTTCTTCTCTTCTACACACTCCTCTGTGTTGAACACTGAATTACTCCCAGTTCTTCGGTCCTGTAATGTGAGGACCGCAAGTTACTGTCAAGAGTTTATCAGTATTTATTAGTATTATAACCCCACATAACCCGCGAGGTGCCTTTTATTGGCATCGACGTCTCTTGGGTGATTTTATATCGTTCGTTCGTGGCATATCAAAACCAAACAGCTTTTAGCAGGGCTGCGTCTACTCCACCCTGGTGCTCGTCCCCAATCGAGCAGCAGGACTTTTCTACGACGAACATTCCAGTCAATTTCAATGCAAATTTTCTTCCAAGATTTTCGTATTCCATCTGTATCCAGTACCTAGTATGGGCGCCCATCAGCCTTCTGTATCGACTTGAAGTTGAATTCCATCTGGCACGCTTGGATGATATCAACTTGAGAACTAGACGATATAATCCTCTTTTCTTTGCTTAGGTTTTCCATTGTCCGTGTCGCCTCCCGGGCTGTCTATTCTCTGCTATTTTGTTCTGCCCTGCTGACTACAGCTGCGGCTATCCAGATTTTTCGAATTCGTCGTCGTCCACCACAACCCCGCATTCGCAATATACAAGAGGCTTAGGGCTATCGCCCATAATGACCCAAGATTTGCCCATCATGAGGGACTATTATCAAATTCTCAATATTCCATTTACGAGTTCCTCCGCCGCCCTTTCGAAGCAGCAAATCAAACTCGCATACCATAAAGCGCTCCTCAAGCACCATCCTGATAAAGCCAGCGCAGTCACATCGGACTCGAGTATCCAAGGCTCTACATATGCTTCCTCCACCTCCACCCAGTCGAGAAATGGCACTGAAACCTACTCCATTGACGAAATTACAACGGCCTATAAGACATTATCAGACCCCGGACAGCGAGCCGAATACGATCGTACCCTTCGTCTGGATCGACTGAAAGTCGCAGAGCGGGAGAAGACGGGCGACGTGTTTCACACCGGATTAGAGATTGTGGACCTAGAGGATTTGGCTTGTGATGAGGGTGATGGAACAACCGATGTGGTTTGCTGGTACCGTGGCTGTCGATGTGGAGATGAGAGGGGTTTCTTGGTGACTGAAGATGATTTAGAAAGGGAGGCGGAGCATGGGGAGATTGTGATCGGATGTCGCGGATGCAGTCTCTGGCTGAAGATTCTTTTTGCTGTTGAGGATGGCTGAAAGATGACGACTGAAATCCGAACTTTCGGTCTTTATCTTGCCCGATGTTATACGAGCTCGTTTGGATAATGCGGCAAGTCGCACTATCTCTGCCCGATCTTTCGTCCGGCGCTCTGAAACATGGGCGCATGCCAGTGGTACAAGGACCCGAAACGCCTAAGAACCGTTTTCAGACCAACTTAGGAAGTTGTGTCTTACTTCTGCACGCTGCAGGTAAGCGGATGGCCTGAATCAGTCGAGTATCGGCGAAGAGTATCGGCGAAGTGTAACATAGTCTCCTCTGGCGATGTCGACGCCTTTGGTCCTGGCTTTGCCCAATCCTGATTCAATCCGTACTCGCATCAAACTATGCGTTTGGGTGTCTTACAATATTGACTTTGTGAACATACATGAACATGGTCTGAAGTTACAGTCGCTATCTCCGATGGAGATAATTGGCAATGACTGTGGCACTTGGGATAACCGTTGCCCGATTCATCTTGCCATTCATGGAACACAACCCTACATGTCGCAATACCTCCACTTGGGTATCTAGTCATAATCACATACTCAAAGAAATCAATATACAACTGAATTGTATCAGCAATTCGCTGCAGATCTGTCATACCATTCTATCGATCTTGTAAACCATTCTGTGTTTTCTCGGCATTTCCATTCCTCGTCTAACATTGCTCTGGGTCCATCTTACTCTCAATTCGCTTAATAACTCTCGCCGGGTTCCCCGCTGCAAAGTAAAACGGAGGGACATCCTAAGTGTTCATCAGCACACCGAACAAATCACAGATACGCCCATGGACTCGAATGATTCAGGAACTTACTCGTGTAACCACCGATCCCGCACCGATTGTGCTCCCTTTCCCAACCCTCACACCGGCGAGAATAATCACATTACCTCCAATCCACACATCATCTTCGATATGGATCTCCTTTCCAGCCTCCGGACCCTTCAGACCCTGTCGAACAGCAGGATCAAGTGGGTGGATAGCGCCATGGAGAGAAACGTTGGGTCCGAACAGGACTCGCTCACCGATGGTGATTAGACAGGTATCCAGGACTAACAGATTGAAGTTAAGGAATGTCCCTGCTCCAACTTTGAAGTTGAGACCGTGGTCAACAGAGAGAGGACCGTCGACGAATGGGTCTGTCTCATCGAATAATTCCTCGTCTTCTTTGGGGTTGGGGTTCACTGGTGGGAGTGGACGAGTGTCTCCGATTATTCTGTCAAGAGTTAGCGTTACTTCGGGCTGGTGCTGAAGGTATATGTCAGTCGTTCAGTTGAAGAGATGCGATGCATCTCCTCCAACATGCTAGATAGAACATTTGAAACCCTGGTACAGTCAAAGTAAATGAAGAATAAAGACAAGCCTTACTTTCTCCATAACTCAACTTTCTGTCGGCGTGTTGCATCTCTAGCTGCGTTGAACTCATCGCATGCTTTTCTGCAGCGTGTTCGGTTGGCCTGGAGGTCTTCATCCCAGGGCTTGTACAGCTCGCCGCGGAGCATCTTTGCCCATTCTTTCGAGGTAGTCATGTCGGGTGACGTTTAGGTAGTTCCGATATTGAGGCTTCGTGAGAGAGGGGTATTCAGAAAGGATAGGAAGATGAAATGAGTTGACAAAAACTAATTCCTTTAAACGCTTGCGTTATAGTTGCGAGTGACTGCGAAGTGTGGCGTTAGGTGGATCCGTGCTTGCATGTCTTCCTTATTAGGCAGGTCACTCAACAGGGGCGATGTTTACTGCCAATTTCCGAGAGATGATTTCTATTTAGGCTGCGATAGTTCTTGATTAAAGCTAATCATCATGCTCGAATCTACAGATGTGACCTCATCTTGCAGCAGAGGGTGGTCGCAAGCTACACCTTCAAGTTGGAAGTGCTTGGTCTTGGCTCCGGTAAGGAACAGTCGAAGCTTCATGCTCTCAAATTCGGTTCGTCTACACCAGGGCATATTGACCTGAGATTTGAAAACAATATATGTAATTATTCCAGCCGATTATGTCGATTCTCTCTTGAACTTGAAGCTCGATTTTAGCACCTGGGCATTGAGGCGTGAGAAGTGAGAGAGACTCTGAGCTTACTAACTACCTAGTAACTCCCATTATATATTCGGCTGAGTTCATAGCTATGATTCAACTTCCAAGGTTGAACTTGAAATCAGCTACATGGGATAAGACTCCCGAATATCATAAAAAAAAACGCTATTCTAAAACAGAAACAAGAATTTCACTGCGATTGATACTGTTACATATATTGTTAACCCTGCATATAGAATCCTGGAAGTTGACGTTCGGCAATGGAAGCTTTGTTGACGCGGAGGATTGATGACATATTGAAGGATTCCGGCAACTTCAAACTTGAACCTCTTCACCACCATCACCCCTTTACAAAATAACATCCCCCTCCATAATGGCGGTCGTCAACATCTCCTCCGTTGAGCAATTCAACAACCTCCTCACCTCCTCTCGCTTTGTCGTCGCCGATTGTAAGTCCAAGTCCCACCGCTCTCCCCGCATGTCAATCCCTTCCAGCCCCGCCTTGCTTAGCACCCCTCAACGATGAGATACTTGAGCGTCTGGACCCATCACTGATGCAAATATTTTCTCGAATATAGTCTACGCCGACTGGTGCGGACCATGCAAAGCCATCGCCCCAGTGTATGACTCTCTGGCTAGCCAGCTGAGCCGTCCAAACCACATCACATTCACCAAGATCAACGGCGATGAGCAGCAGCAACTGGCACAGGCATACAGCGTGCGAGCGTACGTAACCATCCCATACCCCATCTTCTCAATCCGCTCCATAAAGAATCTACCGAATCCCATAATCTACGAGCACCAGCTAACAACGAAACTAGATACCCCACCTTCATCGTCTTCGAAAATGGCCGCAAGAAGCAGACCGTCGCGGGCGCAGACCCTCGCAAACTAAATGAAGTGATCCAAACCCTCGCATCCGAAGCTACAAAGTCCGACGCAAGCGGCACCGGTGAATCCAGCACAGGCGGTAGCTGGATCGGCGCAACACCAGCCAAGGGCTACAGCGACGTGAGCGACCAAGTAGAGATTAAGGGACTGGAACTACTGAACCGCGACAGCGAGCGAGGCGAAGCGCGCGTACTATTCGACAAGAGCAAGCCATCCGGACTCTCTGGGAAGGGCAAGGGAAAAGCCGAGAGCAAGAGTGATTGGGTGGAGAGTGATACGGATGAACAGCTTATGCTGTATATCCCCTTCAACGCGACGCTGAAGGTGCACTCGTTACATATTACTTCTTTTGCGGATGCGAATGCCGACGAGAATGATGATGAGGTTCCTATGCGCCCGAAGACCGTTTCGTTGTATACAAACCGCTCTCATGTGCTTGGTTTTGATGAGGCGGAGGATATCCCTGCTGTGCAGACTGTGGAGATTAAGGCTGAGGATTGGGATGCGAAGACTGGTACTGCGAAGGTGGATTTGCGGTTTGTTAAGTTTCAGAATGTCACCTCTTTGGTGGTCTTCTTTGTGGATGGTGATGGTGATAGTGAGAAGTTGCGTGTGGATCGGGTTCGTATCATTGGTGATGCGGGCGAGAAGAGGGAAATGGGCAAGTTGGAGAAGATTGGTGATGAGCCTGGCGAGTAATGTGCCTATGGAATAGAAGCTGGATATAAACTTGAGGATCAAAGCTCAAGTTACATGTCCATTGACAAAGCTATGGGTAGACCCGGAGTTCAAATGTTCCATGTTCAAGTTTCTAGCTGCCCATATGGGAATTATCAGGGCACACTACTCAGTCCTAGTCCTACTGCCATTATTGCCAAGTCCGAAAAGAAATATCATAATGATACATTGAATATTGTTGAAGTTCAAATATGGATCCATTAATAAATCGCTAATATTCTAAAAAGTATGTCCGATTCCATACTAGGAGGTCTCATCTTTGAGAAATCAGAAAGACCAAAAAAAGTAAGAACCGGTGTGCAATTCCGTTCGTCTGTGGCACAACTGACACCTGGGTAACATCACTGAAAGCCTCCAGAAGGAAACTGTGGATGTCCAGGCAACACGGGTAATATTGATAGTTGCGCCGCCGCACGAAGAAGAAAAAAGAAAAGAGGAAATTTCGAATTGAAAGATGAGAATTTATAGCTGCGAGCCACTGGGTCCCGGATTAATGGTTCTTCCATATCTCCGATTTTTTTTTACTTAACCGATTCAATTACATAATCATCAGAGTTGAACTTTTCTTTTAATTTTCTGTTTTCTTCCTTTTCTTCTTTCTCTATATATTTTGGCTTATGATGAGAACAATGGAAATTTATGATAGGAAGAGACTGACTCCCTTTGGGAGCGTGATCTCAACTGAACCATCCCTGAAGCCTAGTTACAACAAAATGATGTTGTAACTTGAACCCTTAGTTAGACGACTGGAGATCTTCATCTGGCACTTCAGCCTATGATGACCCTGAACCTTGGAAAGCAAATTTGAATGAAAACACCCAAATAAAGCCGCGCTAGAAGCTCTCCTGCAGGACTTAAAATAAGCACCAGATCCCCATGGCTGCAGTGACTAGCAAGCCACCTGGAAACCTAAGCACCTAAACTCAGCTCAGGCTCCCTTTCTCACTCCATCAATCTCGACTCGTCGTATCTCCATCCCGTCCCTTCTTGCCAAGGACATCACAAACCTGGAAATCCAACCTGAACCGCCACAAGCGAAGCGAAGACGAGGACCCTGGACGCACAGATGGAGCCTTCGGCCGAGGATTTTTGCAATTCATTCAAGGTCTTTCTCTGGGCCCCATTTTCAATTTCTCTTTGTTTCCCGCGGAGAGGCAGATATCCCCATTTGCACGAAAGAGGAAGGGAAAAAAAAATCACTTATGGACTCAGACCCACGATACCTTGCGGGCCGAATGTCCACTGATTCCGGCCCGGTCTGACATCGCTGGTATTCCGATACGCTCGAGAGTCGGTATGGATGATATGGATCTCTTGATGGGGATGACCCGTATATACTAGCACTGAGTAGTACTGCGCTAGTTTGTGAGATTGCCGTATACAGGAGGTGCTAACAGGGCTGAAGATTTTCTTGTGAATGTTGGTAGTTGGACTCCACTGTAGCTGGAGCTTGCATAGCTTTGACTTAAGGTGCTGATGTCTGAATCTGGATGGTTATTCAAGTTGCATTCGATGCATGTACAAAGTAAGGACTCCCGACGTCGGAGCACTTGAGTAGATCTGAATATCGTCACGGTGGAGTGACAGGTGCCATCGTCACTGACAGAACTCTGGTTCGTTCGTAATAACCTCGTAGGCAGCATTCATCATGCCATACTGTGGGCACATCTCGTCAAATATATCCACGTGCGCGGCTGAAACACCTGAACCAATTTCTCAAATCCACAGCCTTGAGCGTAGTGACCCATTTTCGGTTCAGACGATTCCATTCCACATAACTTATTTGCTAATAGTTTGTCAGTCCGCGTTTAGCGAGGCAGTTCGCAGTTCAGTGTTTTCCGTGGAGGATACTCGTGGGTATATCGGGTGCTGAGTAGGATACGACCCGCTTCCAAGGTCATTACCCGCCTCGACACGAGAGCCCGCAGTAACTGACCACTGCTTTGACGATTTCAGCACACGCTCAAGGGTATGTCCCCACAGCAGGATACACGTGTAGAAATACATGAATCTTCTTTGGCGCGCCAGTTCTCACAATGGTGGAGTTGTTGTCGTGGTCTTGTACGTGCAATCTTTTTTTTTCTCCCCGTCGGACGGCGGTCAGAACATGCGTATGTACTCCATTTAGGTATCTGACTAGTATGAAGCTATATTGTCGGCAAAGACCATGAGATGCGCTAAAAATTAGTGCAAGCGTAAGACTTGGCTAGTTGACCTTCCAGAAGGATTCGAAGGAAACGGAGTACTCCGTTAACAGGGGCCAAAAATTTCTTCAGCGCTAGTGAGGCGTGAGGCGGTGCTGTTTTTTTAATTGCTGGTCGTATCAAGTGGGTTAAAAAAAATGTTAATTGTTAAAGCACTAGTTCCAGGCGCGAAGGTTTACAGGGCCAAGTTTCAGGTAAATTCTATTAGGATTTCTTAAGTTTAATGTTGCGTTCTAATCTAATCGCCACGCTGAATTCTGGATTTGCGGGCTGGGAAGTGGATTCTATAATTTTTTTTCTTTTCTTTTTTGGGGCACTCCCGAACAGTGGTGGTATGAGATATGGAGTGGTGTGTTTGATACATTCTTGCTCATTAAAATCATCTTATCATTACGTACGAAACGATACTTTGAAAATCCGGAGGATTGTCTGTTTCTTCCGGTTCTCAGATTGTCTGCAGAGTCCACTTCCTTGGTTATGAGCCGTGTCGTGGAACTATCAGATAAGAGAAGGAACCGGGGTCGTCGATCTGGATCGCGCAAAATAGGGAAAAGAGAACGAATATCCAGGAACAACGATGTGGACACGGCTTCGGAAACTTCAGCATTCCTACACTCATCTCTGTGATTCGGTGAGACGGGCTGAGTGTCCTTGGAAGTTCCCACTGTTTCCGGGAGATTCACAGAAATAAATGGGGAAACGGAAGAGGGACTGCTATCCAGTAATGATCTTTTTGTGAAGCACAGGTTAAAAGTGTTCAATACTAGTTAGAGGGAAAATGATCTAGTGACCGAAATCGGATGTGCACCGGGTCAGAATAAGGGCTCAGCTGGAGAAATGGACTCATATGACTTCATAAGAACCATTGATTGCTATATTCGTCCGATAGGGTTTCGGCATGGTAAGCGGAATGGCATCATTTCACTGGGGACTTGCATGTTGTGGGATCCAGTAGTGAACCAGAACCAAAGATTGAGGGTGTGGTAACGGAGTGCTGTAGATTGTGCGGATAGGACGAGACACGGACTTCCGGACGGAGTGTTTGGGTGAAGTGGGGGCGATATGGGAAGAGAGAGATTTGGGAATGGAGACATGGGACTCCGTACCTGAGTCGAACCACCAAACCACCCAGGCGTTCGTTTGAAAGTGCGGGTTGACCCCCAGGTACCACGTTTCGGATTGAGTACACCAATTACGATACTTCCAGGCGCGGAGAACCTCACAAGTTGGGATAAAGGAAAATAAAACCAGAACTGCAGGTTGACCCATCGTGGAGATTCTTGGGAACCAAGAACGTTATCTTGTTGGTTCAGTTGGGTCAGGACCTGCATAGGATCGGGAGCCCTAATGCAGCATTTTAGGTCCAGGAACAGTACAGAGTCACGCTAGTGGATTCCAATTTGCCACAAGTTGAACTTTGTACAACTCCGCATTTTTGTGTTTTTAGCGCATTTGCAATTTTGGGAATTGCACAGAAGTGTATGTGAATTGAATCAATCGGGATCATATTCGATCGCGGCAATATGAATCGAAGAGTACCGGAAAAGCGTTTCTTGCATGAATGATTTGCGGTTCACCGTAATCAGAAAGTGGAACGAGTGGGGGAGGATAACAAGACAACGCAACCAATTTCCGATAAGATCAGCGAAGCTTTTTTCACAACTGAAGAAAAAGAAGAAAAAAAGAGGGAACAAGCAAAGTAAAATCTGTTTGCCCCAAACCTGTGAAGATTGTGGTTGCGGAGATAGACTAGTTGAAATTGGTGGAAAGTTCAAGATGAGAAACTTCCATTGGTTCAAATGAGTTGATGCCGAGACGCTAGGATTACAGTCCCACTAGACTCCAATGTTTAGTTGTGATAGACAGCAGATCCTGCCTGGAAGAATCTTGGTGCTATTTCCACGTTCCTGAACCCGTGAACGCCACATTGGTAGAGAGTACCGGGGAGAAGGTCCAAGTGTAGGTTTTTTTCTCTCATTCTTGCTCGTGCCAGTGGGTGCTATCCTGTCAACGAAGGGAAGTCTGAGCGTATTCGGGAACTCGGATTGCAGATTGGCTCGATTATCCCCGGGAAAAGTACGCGATAGCAGAGTGATCATAGCTTCTGTACCAAATTTCAGCATTTGCCGGCTCGGCAGGGGGATCAAATACTGGAGTGGGATTAGTGTCGGGTGCAACAGAGGAAAGTTTGGAATAGTCTGGAGTAAAAATTACGTGTTCAGGGACTTCGTACTAGCAGTAAGTACTAGCACTTAAGAGGTGCATTGATACCGAGGATTCGGACTCACACGTGCAATTATTAGTATCTTACATCATATTCATGTACAATTAGTACATATAGGAACTTGAATGTACAATTTTCTAATTTATTTGTGATAGTGATGGGATCTTACAGTACAATCGGAATCAGCCGTCAATTATTTGTTTCCCCAGTTATTAGTTCCCATACCATTCATCCAATAAACACTAAATAAGAATACCAAAAGGTGGATTCAAATCCTGGTACCTAGCCACTGGAAGCACTGGAAGTACCTAGTAATGATAGGAAATCCCCGATTGGGTAATTGATCCAGATGTTCTACCCGGTCAGGTTGACCCAGATTGACCCAGATTTGACCGGTGTGTATTCTGTCCCATGGATCGCCGTCCGTGAACTTGGTTTTAGCCGAGAAACGAGGGAAATGGTCTGAAATCGTATTCCCCGCATTTCTTTTTTTTTGGTTCTATCTTACCTAGTTACCTAGGTAGGAACAAAATACGATGCTACAGTACAAATTACGGAACCACGTTTATCAATGTTTAATTTGAGGTTCTATGGTTTCACATGAGATAGACATATGGGGACCGTGGTGTCTTCCCGAGTTTTTACCACTTTCCCACACTACAATTTTACCAACTGCCTGTTGACCCGACTATTGTGGGCATCGTGGCGGGCGCCCTGAGCGTAGCGAATGGGGCTTAGCAACGATAAACCGTTAGAGAGAGTTAACATCGGCAACGATGACAAGATTAGTAGAGGCGTCCAGTCATAGACGAACGAATTTACATGAATCAATTGTCCACGACGTGGCAATGGGGCAGAGAGCCCGGGCCATCCGAGGCAAGACATTGTCTAGCCGGCCTTACCATAAGCTTCTGGTTTGATGCTATTTAACTGGTACAATCTAAGTGCTTATGAGAAAGTGTACCATGGCTTATGACACTCGCGTACATAGTGAGATTGATAGATCTAATAGTTCTCTCACTAAACCAAAAATTTGGCCATGACTTATTTCCTAATTAGGATTGCCATGCAGCTTGTCTTTAAAGTGAACACGTTCGGTTTCACTACAGGTCTGGGCCCTTCAACCCTTGTAAACCTTGAACTTTCAAGCCGAAAATCCTTCCGGCTTATAGCTCTGCGGTAGTACTTTTTAGGGCCTTTCTAGGGCCCCCGGGGATCAACTCGCTTAGTCAAAGTAACAAAGCAAGTGTATGGCGAGAATTCTAAAGCTACACCGCTACCAGAGTCTCGGGGAGAAGGAGCGCGGAGCAATTAGAAATTTAGAAATTATGGCATGAGAGGGTCTCGAATTTTTGGGGGCGTGGGGCGAATAGCCAAGGCTCCGGCGCATGCCTAGCGCCATTCATAGCCTCGAAAACGCGTGTTCCGTTGAAGCCAAGCGATGGTACGGTGAACTTGGTGTTTCAGATTTCAAGCTTACCTGGATAGTAACGCGGAAAGGCCCGAATTAAATCAAAAAAAAGACAACACTATGTCCGAGATTATCGTAGCTTGGAAAATTAGAGCTTGTTGATTTTGGTGGGTTTTTTTTGTGTGTACCTAGGAATTGTAAGTGGCTTGACGTGGCTGGGTCGTATCTTTCATGCTCTCCACATGGAATTCAAAGGAATTCAAAAAAACCAAGTTTCCAAGTACACACACGGGTCGGCTTTCACTTTGGGTCCTTGAGGATCTGCGGAGAAGTAAACACCCTTTGGCATACCCTTTTCCCGGAGAAGGTAGAGAGTTTAGTCGGTACTAGTTTCTTTTCTAAGGTTGTAAGAGTTGGTAATTAGGGGAGAGTTCAGTAAAGGCGAAGCTTCGAATCCATAAAGAAGTTAACTCAAAGTGTGAAGAACTCAATGTTCAATTTCAGTATCAGTACCAGTATTAGTATCAGTAACGTCGAGCTGGTAACCGTTTTGATTCAGACGCTATATCCGCCGCGCTTGGGTGGCTGCATTTGTCTTGGTCGGGAGATAGCATGATTCAGTTACTCCGCAGAAACCAGAACCACTCACTTGCTCTGTACTCTCTGTACTCTGTACTCCGTAATGATACTATGTATTCGGAATCAAGCGGAGTCTGATAATGTATCGCTAAGTATCACCTGATTCGTGCGTGTGATTCTGTTCATGACTTCGTCATCATGGTACTCCATCCACTCCACACTTATATGAATTGGACAGAAATTAGAAATTGGAGCTCCGATAAACCCTGCGGCGACTACTGGCCGTTTTTTTCGTTTGGCCAGGGCCCCCGGCGGATGGCCGGATGGCGTACGCGTGAAAGAAGCGGCGGAGAAACATACGTATCTACTCTGTGATAAACATCTTATTGGTGAGAAAAATAATAAATGAAATTCCATCTGTCATACTACGAGAATTGTACATTCCTGTGAGCGCCACTTGAACCACTTAGATCCACAGCATGTCTTCTTTCTTTTGTCTTTAAGGAAATAATAAAAAGAGAGTTCTGATTCGAGGATTTCACACGGAGTACATCTTCCGAAGAAAAAAAATAAAACATAATACATAATGCATAATAAATGATATGAGCGGAGTAATAAACTATCATTATTGACAATCATACGACCAGTCGAGACTACGAGTCCAGTGGCGTGCTCCGCACCGGCCATCGTGCATGAAGGCAAAGCTCGTCCGACGTATGAGAGATTCGAAACGCCTTCTGATGTGCACTTCCCCGTTGGACCCTTGCAGCAAGGCTGTTTTACACGCCAACTTGAACTTGAACCTCGAGGTCAAACGATCTACAACGGGTGTCATACACGAAGTGCATTCTTGAAACTCGACTGATCAATCTTTTCCTATGCCTTGGACCTGCACGAATCCAATTTAGCTCTGTAAATCCTGTCACTCGGATACAAGCATAAAATGGTCGTCAACGGTTTCTCGCATCTCGCATCTCGCAGTTACAAATCCCGAGAGCCCCATCTTCTCTGTTAGAAAAGAGAATAGCTCTGATTCGTCGGGGAAGAGGCAAAAAATGGACAAATGGTCGCTCTCATTTTGACCATTTTCGTCTCTAATTGTAATAGCGTGACCCATCACTCACTAGCTTCATTTAATTCTGTACATAATTTTCTTGGAATTTTCCATTTTATACATTTCTTTTACGGAGTACGTATGATACTCCGTTTTGCCTCTCAAGACCTCGGAGACATACTCTGTGTTAATAATGAAACATTTGAAATGATAACCATGGAGTAAGTTGACTCGGCAGAGCTCATCATCCACTCCAGTGGACTCACCTTCATACGAGCCACTCATAACTCCCTCGGCTAGTCCAAGGACCTTCCGCGACAAATGCCATTCGAGCTAGCAGCCGCCCGGTACGGGTGCGCTATCTCCAGTTTTTACTCCACCGGAAAATCCAGAGTGCTCGCCAATTCATTTGCCCAATTCATTTTCTCCGTATAGACACCATCACCATTTGGGATCATTCCCCGTTTTTCATTTCTAGCCGTCCTTGGGGTATCCCGTAGCCCGTAGCCCGGAGCTTTCCTTTTAGCTATCTCGTAAATGCAAGTAATATGAGGTCATAGTGTAATTGAGGATAGCCGGTGAGTTTTTGCTTTTTCTAGTACGTTAATCATTAGGGCTTCATTCTCAATAGTTGAGCTCTTTTTTGTTTCTTTGCTTTTTTTCTTTGCATTGAGTGGATATGTGTGGCATTGGCTGCCTTGAGGTCTCGAAAGTCTTTTTACAACTGTCTGTGCGACAACGGCGGGCCAGGCACCTCCGATAGCTATGACCAGGGGACAATAGTAGGAAAGCTAAAATTGGACGAAAATTTGGGCATCTTTATGCGGATCATAAGTGAGAAAGTATTTAATATAAGTTGAATGAATGATTCACATATAGAAAGTCTCATGATCATCTTTTAATTGATATGGAGTAAAACAACATTTTGATTCAATGTTTGTCAATGTTTGAAGGCAATAACCACATTTTAATTGACATAATTGACATGAGACGGAAAAGTTCTCCATTTCCGACGCAAGGTCTATCCTTAGTAGAATTAAAAAAACTCCCTAGTCCTTAGTTCATGGGGAAATTGGGTTCTCGAAGAAGGATTGACAGCCTTCCATGCATGGGAAAAAAAGGTTCTCTCACTCTCCCAAATGCTTGGGAAGGGGGGAAAAAGAGTGCCCGGTCCAACTAACCTAACCTGGACTTTTTCTCCTTGAGTGATTGTGGACCAGAAGGAGCACTAAACAAGGTGGTGGAGTTGGCAGTGTACGGAGTACGGAGAGGTGATCAAGACACCACCTGGACTAGGAAGACCAGGATTGTTACACACGTCTTTTTCCAATTTCCCACTTTCGTGGCACTTGGCTCGATAATAGATTGTGATTGGCAGCGGAAGATGAGCGAATCCCGTCCGCAACGAGCCACTTTTGTCCACTTTATCCGTTCTGGGGATAGTGGTAAGAGGTGGAGACGCGCTATGTTTAGAAGCGGCCAATTGTACGGAGTTGATGTGCGCTCTGGTCCCCCGAAGGAAAAGATGGACGATGATGGAATTCGAGTCTGTTCTGGACTCGAGTTCAAATTTGAGAGGAGATGAAATATTTCACATTACTGTATGATTATGGTGAAATTCAAAAATGATGCAATAATTCCAATGTTTGTTGTTTATTAGGTATAATTGTGGATAACTTGGAAGTTAACTTGAACCAGTAACTGAAGCTGATGTGGGAATAACCCAAACTTCCGATTAAACTTAACCCACGAATCTTAAAGAAGAAGTGATAGGGGGAAAAAGTGAATTATCATGTTTGTGCCACAAGCTTTCAAGTGCGTTACCCAAAGATTGACACCCGACCTTGCTTGCGTGGCGGTCTTGGGCGTGCAGGGTGGCTGTGGTGTGCACGTATGGGACTGGAGTGATGAGAGAGGGCAACTCGATGTATCGGATTCCTCGAAGGACTGATCACAGGCGCTGTTCCCCGGATCTACCAAGGACATTTGAACATTTGAGAGTAAAAGCAGTGCCATCACACTATCTCATGCAATCGGAACACATTACTTGGCGACGTGGCTGAACTTGACCTTACCAATAAGATGTATCACATAACCATATGAAGCCCTGAACACACACACACAAAAAGACCCAAAAAACCATAAATTTACATGATTTAGACAAGGACTGAGCCTAGCTGGGACTCCAGCTGAGAGTTTTATCTCTGTAGCCTGTAGGCGCGATGTCATGGGTGAGTTTGTTTCGGGGGAAGGGATCCAATCATGAGAGAATCTTAGAGTAATCGGAACTCTCTCTCCGGAATTTTCTGCTGATTTGACTGCGAACTTGAACCTCACTGCATCTTTGAGCCTTGCCTCTGCTTCATGCAGCCAATGATGGTACCTAGTGATGGTTCTTTTCTCGGACTGTGCCTCCACAACACTGTTCCTGCAGTAGGCCGCGCAACTGGAAGACATCACAGTGGACAGATTTCCTGTTTTGTATTTTGTTTTTTTGCCTCTTGTAATTTTTCTTTTTAAGTGGTGCCTTTGGTGTGCTTTGACATGTCTTTTGCGACAACCCTTACAGCTGAGAAAAATCAAAAATCCCGCGAACTCCATGTGGCGACTTTCAAATGTTACGAAAGGCAACGAAAATTCCCTCATTGGATTATTCTGTAAGAAAAATAAAATAAAATAAAATAAAAGAAACCAATAAAGGTGATAGAAGACGATCGATATCATATCGATGGTATCTACAGGTATACCATTTGTGAACTAATTGGGGCCGTTTATTACTTTTGGGGGTTATCACGACTTACGCGAGAAACAGTTCTTTTTACGGTGTACGGGATTACTGTTGTACTTTGGCCGAATATCATATGAAACTAGAAAAGAAAAAAGACCAGAGCCAATCCGGACTGTTTTATGATCCGGTCTGTACACTGAGCCTTTGATCGGCAAGTGGTGAGCGATAACTGCTCAAGTTCATGCAGGTAGATGAGAATGATCCCCGAAAGAGGCATGGATAAGCCGGGCTTCTTAGTCTCTTCTTAGTTTCTTGTGTAGGCCCCGCGTAGAAGTTGAGTTTCCACATGTTGATCGTATGGGTCGAATGTACCGGGGGGAATGGGCCTCCGAGGTTGTTTAGATCCGTGTCGATCGTTATGCCTTGTCTTTCCCATGCCCTGACAGTAACATGATGAGGACGGGATAAGCGGGCCACTAAATTCCTTCGGGGCACAGCCATTGGTGTGAGTGGTGTGAGTGGAGAATTCCTTTGCATTTCTCACGCTGATAAGAGGTTCAAACTGATTGCCGCTGTCACCATTCTAGGATCCAATCGCGGTGCACCTCGTGGCCACACACCACGCCATCGATTTTTTTTTTCTTCTTTTATTCCTGCGGTGTGCTTGGGAGGATTATGATCATGATGATTGTATGGAGTCGTGTTATATGCCCGGATGATAGAAAAAAAAAGTTAGTAATTTCTGGCGGCTAACGAGTTATCCAATGTTATCTAAGATACAAGAATAGAGAGAGTAAACCTTGGGAATAACTTGAGTTGCCCATTATCTGTAATCTACTCCGTACTCCAGGTATGGTAAGAATACACAGCCTCCGCATTTCCAGCACGTAACACTCGTGCTGGTGACTCCACTACAACGATGCTTCCTCCCGATACATGCGGGCCAGTGCCCGTACCCTTGGGTACTGAACTCCACTCCGTCTCACTGCCAATCCCGAGACCATTGATACCACCTATTTCCTTACACAACAGTTAAAATAAAATATTTCAAAAATTAAAAATAAATATAATTAAAAAATAATTAAAAATTAAAAATAATTTAAATTCATAAAATCATAAAATCAGTCTCCCCCAAACTAGAGACCCACTTCCTACTCTCTCTCTCCCTCTTCCTAATGTACTAGTGTACCCAGTAGAAAATAGCAGCAGATCACTCATTTAACCCACCACTGCTGCTCCTCTTCTTCCCTTCTTACCCATATGCCCATATCGGCCCTGTCTCTCTTTTTTGATTTTTGAATTTCTTCTTTTCTGAATTTTATCTTTTTTATTTATTATATTCCCTTTCCCACTAGTCCTTTCTGTCTTGACTGTTTTGGGTTTGGAAAGGTTTATAGCAACTTATTTGGACTTCACCTTCCCGTCCTCATCTCACTCTCTCTCCCCGGTTTCCTATCTACAGGATCCTGTCCTTCCTTTTTGACAACTTTACAACCACTACAACTAATTCGACCGTTTTTTGGGTATCATTCTTTTATTCCCAAAGACATCACACTTCGGATTCAACTCGCATCAACTTTACATCTAATACTGGAATTCAACTACACGTTGAATTCTATACTCACAGGTATGTAAAGAGATGGGCACTACTTAGGTAGTATTGGGTACCAACAATTGAACCTTGCAAAATTGGAATGAACTTGGGATCATAGACCAACTTGAATTTGAATCAATACTGCTATACTGAACAATTTACTGACTCTATCCTTCTTTAGTCTACAATGGACTCAACATACACAGTTGCACCATCTCCGGTGCACGGTCAACCTTCGTTCGCATACTACCCTGACTCGACACAGCAACAAGGTCATTACACCAGCCAGCCATCCGACTTGTGGTATGCTCAATCACAGTTTCAGAACCGGGCCGCAGAGCAACAAATCTACCAGGCTCAGCCCGTGATGAACATGCACCAGATGGCTACTACCAATGCTTTCCGTGGGGCCACCATGAACATGACCCCAATTGCTTCGCCTCAACCCTCGCATATGAAGCCGTCTATTATCGTGCAGCAGGGATCCCCGGTCTTGATGCCTTTGGACACCCGTTTCCTAAGTCATGAGATGTACGCTTTCCCATCGACGCCGCCACTGTCTTCTTCGGGTAGCACCATCAGCAGCCCGCCCTCGGCCAATGGTACTCTGCACACTCCGATTCACGACAGCTTCTTTGCCTTTGAAAAAGTAGAGGGTGTTAAGGAAGGTTGTGAGACCGATGTTCACACCGAGCTTCTGGCGAACCATGACTGGTCCCGCGCTGATTCGCCTCCAATGACGCCTGGTAAGTGATCGACAAGAAAAAAAAAACTTGAGATATCAAGTATAAAAAAAAAGTTAGAGGATTGCATATGCATGATGAACGAAAGTGTCAAATGTGTCATATGCAAGGGGGTGTTTCGAATTATGTAGAAAGAGGACCGAAAGACTAATTATGGATATAGTGTTCATCCACCCACCATCTCTTGCCGCCAGCCAAACATCGGATCTCCTCTCCGCCACTTCCTGCCCCTCGCTTTCTCCCTCCCCCTCTCCTGTCCCCTCTGATATCCTCACTCATGCTCATGATCTCCTCGCTCAAGCTCACGGTTTGACTGCGGAGCACCATGGCGCGTCCTTCTGCGACCCACGTCAGCTTACGGTCGAGCCTTCGGTGAATGTGCCTACCCAGGACCTCCCTCCCTTGCCAACCCTCACATGTGAAGAGGAAGAACCTCGCGCTGTCGTGGGAAGTGCGTCTGTGACGCTCCCCGTCAACGAGAACCCTTCTCCCTCTTTCACCGCTTCGACTGTGGACCCTCTGAGCTCCCTGCCTACCTTCGACAGCTTCTCGGATCTTGACTCTGATGATGAGATTAACCGCCTGGTGGAGTTCCACCCAGGCAGCCATGCTCATTACCAGGGTGAAAAGCGCCAGCGCCTGAACCACTACCTTGCCGAGGATGATGGATTCCTCAGCGAGCACAGCCTTGAGGATTCGGATGACAGTGAGGCCTTTGTGCTTCCCACTGCTGCTCCATCTTTCGACTGGACCGAGTCCACTGAGTCTCAGCCTGAGTCCGATGAAGCTGCCGAGGAGCCCAAGATCACCAAGAAGCGTAGCAACCGCAAGTCCACCCGCAAGACTGTCACTGTTGACGAAGAATCTCTCCGAGCCATGTCGGTCTGCCACGACCACGACCATGACCACGATCACGAGCACGAGCACTCTCCCGAGGCTGAGACCTCCGGTACTGAGTCGGATCCTGCGCCCGTGTCGGTTAACCGCCGCGGTCGCAAGCAGTCCTTGACTGATGATCCGTCCAAGACCTTCGTCTGCACTCTCTGCTCTCGTCGCTTCCGTCGTCAGGAGCACCTCAAGCGCCACTACCGCTCATTGCACACGCAAGATAAGCCCTTTGAGTGCCATGAGTGTGGCAAGAAGTTCTCCCGCAGTGATAACCTGGCCCAGCACGCCCGTACTCACGGCACTGGATCCATGGTCATGGGTGTCTTGGATGCTAGTGAAGCATCAATGGCCTTCGATGAGCAACGAGACGCCGGCGCCCTGGGGGCCGTTATGTACGAATCCCAGTCTGCCGACGCCAGCCCTGACCGGCGACAGGTCAAGAAGCGCAAGCGCGACTTGGCTTAAGTCACTGATCTTGGGTTTTTTGACGATTTTGTTATGAGACCAGGAGCTTCCTACTGCATATATAATAACATACATTCGGTCGTGGGTTTTCACAGGAAGCTCATCCGAGTCTTGATTGGGTTTGGCGTCCGCGGGCATTTTTTACACTGGTGTGTCGGAAACATGGTCATCGTCATCGGTGTATGGCAACTTTTTCTTTATTTCTCCCAACTTTGCAACACTTCGGAGTCGGGGATACATTTGCCTCAAGGGTCATTTTCATTTTCTCTCTTCATGAGAGGGTTTATCAACATTCATGGGGCGTTTTCATCGGATTCCATGAACGGAGAGGAAGGCAAAACAAAAAGAAGCAAAATAGAGCGAATGATGGCATCCTGTTTCCCTTCAAATAACAGAAGGGCAGGATCTGGTGTTTCGATTTCCTTTGTCACCCATCTCTTTTGTTTATTTTCTTTTCCCTTTTCTTCCCTTTTTCTCTCTTCCAATTTTTTTTTTCAACCGGACCAACACAAAAAAAGAATGTGTGGCAGTCCGGTTCTACCCTTGAACCATTTCGAATCGTTGCCCTTGCACACTGATTTGGGCACTTTTCTTCTCTTTCTCTGTGACATTTTTTATACTTCTCTTCTTGATTCGTTTCGCTCATCTGTGTTTGTCTTTACTTCGATGTAATATTTTTTGACTTCATTTCTTTCTGTCTTTCTCGTCTTACCCTTTGCTTCATGTGCTGGTCACATTTGTGTATAGTTAATTTGGCCACCCTTTTTGATTCTTGTCATCATCATCCCCATTGTCATTCATACCCCCTTCTTGTATCTGCATTGCCTATTTGTGTTGGTCTTAGGTTATGATTCAGATGTGGATCTTGCATCAATTACACATAATTACTCTACAATATTTGTTTCCAGTAAACTCGAAGTCTCGTCAATAGAAAATCTTGACTCTAATGTATGTACTTGAGTAGTGTTGGGATTGAACCTCACATTGTAGAGCAGTGTAGACCTTATACGGGAGTAGCAGTCAATCATACATGTGTACAGACCAAACCATTGATGCTACAGACTTGGACCTTGTGTATTTGTACATATACCTTCAACCTCGGCTCTATTAAAATCTAGTAAATAACCTTAAGTAAACCCTGGTACTGCCAAGACCCGGACTTATTACCCTGATTATCGATAAGCTAGAGCGGGGAGACCAAAAAAAAGCTCCTACCTACCCCACGACAGGGATTGAGTCTGATTCCAATCCCTCACAAGAATTCAAAATGTCCTCAAATCCGCCAGGCTTGAACGTGATAGCCCTGATATCTGGTGGAAAAGACTCCTTCTACTCTATCCTCCATTGCATTCGCAACGGCCACAAAGTCATCGCATTAGCAAACCTCCACCCCGAACCAAAAACCACCGAAAAGAACATCGAACAAAATGGGAACGAAGAAGAAGATATCGATAGCTTCATGTACCAAACAATCGGTCACAGCGTAATCCCACTCTACGAATCTGCCCTCGAAATCCCACTCTACCGCGCCGCCATAACAGGTGGTGCTGTCGATACTTCGAGAATATACCAACACGATTCTACGGATCAATCTGCACATCAGACCAGTGCCGATGAAACCGAATCCTTAGTTCCTTTACTTGAACGAATCAAAAAAGCTCATCCAGAGGTAAACGCTATATCCGCAGGCGCGATCTTGTCAACCTACCAACGAACCCGAATCGAGAATATCGCTGCACGATTAAATCTAGTTCCACTCGCTTGGTTATGGATGTACCCTTCTCTTCCTGTGCCTGTAGCACGGGACTTGGATCCTCTTGCTGTTTCTGAGGCGGGTTTGCTAGAGGATATGGCGGCTGTTGGGTGCGATGCACGGATAATTAAAGTTGCGTCGGGTGGATTGGATGATGGATTTCTATGGGAGAATCTTTCTGGACTTGGGAATTCGGGACGGGGATTGAGGAGGAGGGTTACGAAGAATATGCGGCGGTTTGTGGGGAATGAGGATATTCGTGGTGCTGTACTTGGTGAAGGGGGTGAATATGAGACTCTTGCGTTGGATGGACCGGGCTTTCTTTGGAAGAAGAGGATTGAGATTGAGAAGAGGGATGTTGGTGTTGCGGAGGGTGGTGTGGCCTTTTTGAGGTTGAAGGAGGCTACCTGCGTTGAGAAGGTGGAAGATGAATACACCCCTGATGATGTGAGGAGACCCGCGCTCTTGGACCCGGTCTTTCGGGGTTTGTTGGGGGATGTTTCTGCTGCTGAGCTGAATGGAGATGCGCATTTGGAGCCTAAGAGGGCTGGGCCTGCGCCTGCTTGGTCGACTTGTCAACCTTCGTTCTGTCGCTCTGGGTCAACGTGGACAATGGCGAATCTGGTTGCCCCCGAGGCTGGTCCTGGTGCTGCGGAACAGATGAATGCGATTGTTCAGAAGGTTCGGGGTGTGCTAGAGTCGTCTGGTGCTGGTTTACGAGGTACAGAGGATATTGTCTTTGCAACTGTCCTGCTGCATTCGATGGCTGATTTTACGCCAATGAATAATGCTTATGTCTCGCTATTCAAGAAGCCGAATCCTCCTGCGCGAGTGACAGTGGCTTGCGGTGATACTCTTCCATCTAATGTCAGAGTTATGGTTTCCTTCGTGGTGGACTTGGGATCACGCAACCAGCGCCAGGGTCTACATGTTCAGTCCCGGTCATACTGGGCACCGGCTAATATTGGGCCTTATTCCCAAGCTATGTCTATTCCTTTGCAGAACGAAAATAGCAAGCTGGTATACATTGCTGGTCAGATTCCTCTCGAGCCAGCTTCTATGGAGGTGGCTACGGAAGGAGACTCATGGATTGAGGGCTACCGTTTACGGGCTGTGCTATCTCTCCAGCATCTGTGGCGAATTGGCGAGGCCATGGAGGTGGATTGGTGGCTCGGGGCCGTGGCGTTCTTGACTGGCGGAAAGGAGATTCAAACCCAAGCCCAAGTTGCCTGGCATCTCTGGAAGAAGATCCATACTCGACCGGAAGATGCTGATGAGGAAGACGATGAAGGTCCACAGCTTGATGCGTGGGATATTAAGTATGGAGGCAGAGCAGCAGAAGTGATCCCCGATGCTGTTTCTGTTAGCTTGCCCAAATTCTCTGTCATTGAAGAAGGAGATGATTGCACAGTTGCTCCTTTCCTTGCTGTTCAAGTTGATGAACTTCCTCGTGGCAGTGATATCGAATGGCAAGGATTGGGCAGTCGATGTGAACAAGTCAAGCTGGAGATTAAACAGGACTCGGTAGCTACTACCGCTGATGCCAAGTACAACTATCTCTGCCTTGAGATTGAGGAGAATGACCAGCAACCCTTTGAAGACCATCTACGATCCATGATGAGCACTCATTTTCAGAGCCAGGATCTCTCCCAGGTGGTGCTATACACCACCCAATCCGTGGCTGAGGGTCTGTGGTCAGGACAGGTGGTCCCATGTCGAACCATCTGGGGCCGTGAAGCACGACCCTTGATTGCTGGCGTGATTATACAGAAGGAGTATGGATCCAGTTGATCTGAAAAAGAGACCAATTGGCCCTGAATGAATCCACGATTGCACGATTGAACATTCCAAGGTTGAATATGAGAAGATTTTAGACATAGAAATATGAAATCATAGTCTTACGCCCCCGAGCATGTGATTTCCCGCATTCAGTAACGTTAACATCCACTCTCTCTCTTACACCCACATCTTGAAGATTCGTTTGTTTTTCTTTTTCCTCTTCTTTTTTGTGTTTATTTTGCGAGGGATAATTGTGAAATCACTCCACTGTTCCCCGCTTTTACGACTCGTCCCATCTTCCATCCCACCCTCATTCATACCCCCAGGGATGACGTACCCATCAACCTAGGAATGGCGCTATGAATTCATCGCTGAGCCAGGAGGATCAGGAAGTGCGCACTCGTAGCAGCACACCTGCCCCAGGCTCCGAATTATTCGCCGAAGATTTGCGACAATTCACTCGTTCGCCGCATCCTTACCACCGGAGCAGACGTCTCGGATCCTGCACCCCCTCCGAACAAGGCGACCGTCTCCGGCCACTTACCGCGTATTCCAAGTCCTCACGAACTCCCAGCGATAGTGGCACAGAAGCGGATGATGAGAGTACTGGTTTACTGAGGGGTCTTCCTGCACCGCCGCTCCGACCGCGAAAAGGTCTACGCTCGGGCGGGAATGGCTCCGCGGATGCCGACGCTTGGTTGCCTACACTACATCCGTGGCCATCTTTCGTCCGACCATCCGGACGCGGATCACGGCGGAACTCGGAGGAGGAACAGGCGGAGGGAGAGGCGCTAGAGGCAAAGCAATTAAGTGCGAAGAGGAGGGTTGAGATTCTGCGACGGCTGTTGGAGACGTTGCTTCTCTTGTCGGTTGGGGCGGTGGTTTTATTGCGGAGGGAATCGCGCTCACTCGCTTGGGAATGGAGAAGAGGTAGAGTATACTTGTGATAACTTGAAGGAAAGCATGAGCCGTGACTAATTGCTTTGTATAGAGCTCATTACTCATGGCCTCGTGGTATGCACACTCTACGCCTCGTATCCTATAATCCTTCGATTCTCGAGACGACGACGATGGATGATATGGCCCTCGAAACGCACATTCTTTCATATCCCAGCTAGCTTTGACCCAGCTCCGCTTTTATACCCCATCCTCATTCCTATCTTTGTTTCGTTGTCGCTCGCGAACCACCATCCGGCCTTGGTGATCCCGAATATCATCCTGAGTCTCTCCTCCCTCCCGGCGCCGGTCATACCTTTACACAACCGGTTCAATGGATTCAGTCTTTCGCACTGGCTGGTGACATTGGTACCGATACTTGTATCAGAACACTTCTCTCTCGACTCTACAATTCCCAAGCCGCTAACGCTCCGCGGGCATGATGCGGAATTATTGATCCTTCTTTTCCCTTTGCATCAAGCGTTGATACCCACTTTAGACTTTTTGTTGACAACCAGCCTGCTTCCTGCGGAACTGCAGCTCTTGACTACAGCGTTGTTGAATTTATACTTGTTTGCGACCTCGCCTCAAGCAGAGATCTTGAAGGCTCTAATATGGCTGGGTGGAATGTGTTTATTGATTTCTTGTCGAGATGTTCTACGTTGGGAGGTTGCGCTGGCTAGAATCCCCAGTTGGAAATTTCGTCGCTCTCTGCGCGAGTCACAATCTCCTCGTCGATTCTTGAATATGATGGATCACAGGCTGTGCCAGAAATTAAGCGGCACAGGCGCTTCGGATGAACCAACATCTGACAGTGATGGTCCGGGCGCAGTACCCGTTCCGCGGAGGACAAGGACAATGCGTGAGAAGGCGCCATCTGCTGAGCCCGCATCTGCAATTGGCAATGTCACTGCAGAAGAAGCGTGGGATAAGTACCACAGCAATGCTGCACAGCAGCACCGCCGACGTCATACTATCTCTACTTTTAATGAGGCGGTGCAGGAGGATGAGCGGGTTCGGACTACGCCTGGTGGTCGACGAAAGAAACTCATGGGGCCCGGTCTTGCGTCATTTCTGTCACTGACCGCAGCTCAAGCGCAGGTCCGCAAGTGGATATATGCAATATATGTGTATCTTGTGTCTGTGCTGATTATTCTTGGACCGATCAGACAGTACGTGGCCGACCGGGCTTTGCAAGGACAAGATCCATTTGGATGGGCATTGGGATACCTATTTGGGAATATATCGGCACTTCGATTCTGGGTACTTATGATGAACTTGGATCATTGGATCCAGTTACCACCGCGACCGGATGCAATCTTTGAAAACGCATCATGTTGGCTCGGTCGGATCGAACACCTCCGCCAAACCACATTCGGCCCAGCAAACACTCGCTTATTACTCTGTGCGTACTGCATGGTTGTGCTGGCGATGGGATTGGCTGTCGTATTCCAGCTCAGTTCGATCGCCGAGGTCGATACTCGACGCAAGGTATTCCACGGGATGATGGTGCTGATGTTTCTGCCTACGGTATTCGTGGATCCGACCTTCTGCGCTTTGGCACTCGGTCTAGTCCTTTCGATCTTCCTTCTACTCGATCTCTTCCGAGCTTCACAGCTACCCCCAATCTCCCGCCCATTAACCTATTTCTTGGCACCTTACGTGGACGGACGCGATCACCGCGGACCAGTGATTATCTCCCACATCTTCCTATTAATCGGATGTTCGATCCCTCTTTGGCTCTCTTTGTCCGACCTACCCCGTATAAATGACATCGGAGCAGGACCTTGGGTTGGTTGGGATGTATCTGCACGCGACACCAGCATGGTGAGCGGAGTGATATGCGTTGGGATGGGTGATGCCGCAGCATCACTAGTTGGGCGTCGCTACGGGCGACTGAAATGGTTTTGGGGTGGGGGGAATCCCTCGAAGGAAGCGTCGCTTTTACTGTAGCGGTCTGTGTTGGATTGTTGGCTGTTCGTGCCTGGCTGATGGTGGGAGGTTGGCCAGTAGCTGGCACCGAATCGGCCGACTCCTTTACCTCCACTGTTCCGTTCTGGCTTTGGACGGCCTGCAAGGCCGCCTTAGCGGCAGGCGGCACGAGCGCCACCGAGGCGATCCTCACTGGTTGCAATGATAACGTCGTGGTCCCCGTCGTACTGTGGCTTTTGGTGCGGGGCTTAAGTGTTTGATGTGAGTTTTTAGCGGATTGGATTTCTTTTTTTTTTTAAAAACCCTTTGTATAGAATTGGGCCATGTTGGATACTGTGTGTATAGTACATAATGATTTGTTTTCAAATGTTGGCTATGGATGGACATATGGGGAAATGCTTTTTCTTTGTATCTACTACGTGCTCTAGGTATCTCTACCTCTTCTTTCATGTACCAGCACCTATCAAGTACCTTGTTCTTATCAGTCGCTGTTATTGCAGTAGTTGCAGAAAAGGTATCCGAGTCCTAGCTTTGACTCTTTGACTCCTCCTTATCCAAGTATCTATCCAAGTTCTACCTATAGTGAATACTGGTTGAACAATTACTCTCAGTTATGAGGAGCTTCAATTTGGATTTATTCATTGAATCCTTTTTAAAGATTTGAATCTTGCGACCGTGACCTGGTAGAATTAGGTATAGATAGTCTCTGATGAAATAGATTAAGCACTCACCGCAATAACCTCAAGGGCTATTTTTGGACAATCTACCCCTGTTGACTCGACATTTTGCTTCCCCACCTTGAAACGGGATTTGTATAACCGATATGAATACTCCCAGATCATGCTACACAATGCATATTGCTGTCCCGGATCGCAAATCAGTAACACAACCTTGGAATACAAACTTGAGGACATAGATATTGGTGCCAGGGACATCATCTTACTTGTACCGGAATATCCTGGAGGATGGGGTTTTAGTAGTCGCACAGCATAACTCCAGTTCTGGGGACGCCGTAAGACCTCAAGTTGGTTGTGACGTGTTTGAGAATTGGATTTGGAGTTCTGTCAATTTTTGCATATCTTTGAATAGTGAGACGGGCTCTGTTTTTGTTGGCTTTGACGGGGAGTTCTGGAGTAGGAGTATGCTTTGTACTCCGTAATAGAAAATCATTCAAAGATAGGATGAATATTTGCTTTTGTCTGACTCTGACTATGATTAATTAGATTGAATAGTTATTTGGAACCTTTTTGATGTTAAGGTTATTATCTTATTTCTTTTGCTTGCCATTATCACACCCAATCTGGATCAAGATACTCCGAAGATCCTAGTTAATCTTAAACTCCAGTTTAGTTTATCTGTTTACCCCATACCAATCAATAGACTATTAGGTACCTACGTACCTAACTACAGTTAGGGATGTACATACTCCTAGTTATTTACCACCTGGGCAACATTATGCAAGCTAGTCCCATCTAGGTAACTTGAAGTCAGCCCCAGGCTGGAGCCTAGGTATCCATGGGTGCCTTGAGTTCCAGATTCGAAATACTATGAGAGGTTTTCAAGCGATTTTGATATGTCAATTTACCTTGAACTGGGCGCAGCTGAAACCATTGACAGCTCATTTTTTGTCTGTTGAAAGAAGAGGTACTACAATACGATTTACGGGTCTTGTACTAGACAGTGTAAAGGAGTACAACATTCAAGTTGAAAGGAGCTCAAAGATATGACAAAGAGATTAAAATCCGGCAAGTCGCCTCTTTGTCAAATGTTCTAGTTGTTAAAATGCCCTATTTGCTAGTATAGCTTAAAGATCGTTGATCATACTTTTGATCAAGTGTACCGATGATGTCAGGCACCGGGACATCTGGAAAGTCTACCTAGTACTAGTACAAGGCATATTTTGAGGAGTTGGATAGTGCACCTTTCGTCTGAAATAGTGATATCTCAATAGCCCTATACACTTTAAAATGACTATTAGCCTCCAATAAACCTCTATTTTTGAACTACAAGAACTATACTACTATACTAAATAGTATACCAGTTGACTCAGGATAAGCTTTGTCTTATCATGCCGATCTCGGTCTTTATCTAATCAAAGCCCTCGATAAGACTGAGTGACTTGGGAGCAAAGTACATGTACTTACATCCTGGCCACCTGCATGAGTTAGTTTCCCCCCCTATTTTTCTTCAGACATCTTTTTCTTCCATTCTTAAACTTATCTAGACTTTCTTTAGTTTTTTTCCCTTCTTCTTCTATCTTCCTCATATATTTATCATCATTCAAGTTGGGAGTCACGATCTTAAGTGACCCACCCCTCCTGACCGCCTACGCCCTATCACACTCATTACCGTTTGGCGGTCACACCCCTCACGGTCCTTGGGTCTAGCTTTCCCGCCTTCAATCATCACATCATCCTTCTCTCTCATTAGACCTTGCATTTCTATTTGGTTCAACCTTTCCCCCTTTATAATCACCCGCAGCTGCTGGAAAGCTGCTATATACTACACACGCCCCCGCTACTTTCTATCTCCTTGGAGTGTTTGTTATCTATCTTATCATATCCACCGTTTAGCCTCCAGATCGTCAAGAGCTAGGTCCCGAACTTCGTCACAGACTAAGGGTTAACTTGAGCCGCGTCAAACCCCATACTTTCACACGGAAATTCACAGGAACTCACCACATTCGTTAACCAAGAGATTCTTGCAGAAATATTCCTGCATATATTCTTTATTTATTGGGAGGATTCACTACTGTTTATCACCTAGCCATCCTGGCTCTCCTGATGAGCCTATATTGGGACTACCAAGTTGCATTTTTTGTAAGGTAGTTGTGGTTGATAGAGGGCGGCTGTTCCGGAACAGGTTTAAGGGCTCAGCGCTTAGTCGTGCGAGATCGTGAAAAATAAGACCAGCCCTGTCGCTGCCTCTTCGCTACCTCCTCACATCATGACTTCCCACCACCCCAGACGATCGCGAGAGTCTTCCCACAACAAGATTCAGATGGCAATCGGCGATTACATACGAGGAGCGGAGATTGGGCGAGGTAGCTTTGCTACTGTGTACCAGGGCCGTCACAAGGTAAGTGGTCTTTGTTGATCTGGACGAGGGAGAGGTATTTGGACATATGATATAGTGGCTAACCGTTTGTTCTCCATCCTCTAGGCCTCTGGTCATTATGTGGCAGTCAAGTCGGTCAACACATCCAAATTAAACCGGAAGTTGAAAGACAACCTTTCGTCAGAAATCAAAATCCTCAAGGGTCTACACCATCCCCATATTGTGGCTCTTATCGACTGCAACGATGCCAACGAATACATTCATTTGGTCATGGAGTACTGTGCTCTGGGGGACTTATCAATGTTCATAAAGGGTCGAAACAGCCTCGACTCGCATGATCAAACCCGCAGTATGATCGCAAAGTACCCAAATCCACTTCACGGTGGGTTGAATGAGGTTGTGACTCGACATTTCTTGAAGCAACTCTCCAGTGCATTGAAATTCCTTCGAGATGGAAACCTCATCCATCGAGACATCAAGCCCCAGAATCTTCTCCTTTGCCCATCACCTTCCTTCTACCAGCGCATCATCTCCACCGGTCCCAGTGCCTCCGGCGGCGCCAACGAAATCATCCCATACACACGTAGTGTTACCTCCTTTGAACCGACTGTAGGGCTAATGTCCTTGCCCATGCTGAAGATTGCGGATTTCGGGTTCGCCAGGTCCTTGCCATCCACTTCGTTGGCAGAGACCTTGTGTGGCTCGCCACTTTACATGGCGCCAGAAATCCTACGATACGAGAAATATGACGCTAAAGCCGATTTGTGGTCTGTTGGAACTGTTCTTTATGAGATGGTCGCAGGACGACCTCCTTTCAAGGCTGCAAACCACGTCGAGCTTCTCCGCAAAATCGAAAAGGGCGAAGATCGCATCCGATTCCCCGAAGGAACCGTGGCATCAGATGATATCAAGAAATTGATTCGAGCGCTCTTGAAGCGGAATCCAGTGGAACGACTAAACTTCCCTGAATTTTTCAATAACAATGTTATCACTGATCCCATTCCTGGTCTGCACTCTGAGGATTTACCTCGACCTCCTCCCCCGACGGAGCCTCTTCCTAATGAACCGGAACCTGTACCCTATCGAGCCGATTCTCGGCCAGCTAAGAGATCCGACCGAGATTCTCCATATCTTGCAGATCTCGAGGAACCTATGTCATACCCCCCCTCGCCGACCAACTTCCCGTCGCCAGGACTCATCAGAATCGCCAACTGGCTCTGCCCCAATGCATCGACTTGGAAGTGCAGACCGACCACCATCACGACTTTCCAGAGAGAAACTCCGAGATGACACAGCGCGACAGAGACCAGGTGCGGTTACTCATATGACAGCTCCAGGACGTCAGGAATTAACGGACCGAAATGCTGCCACAGCTGCGATGGATCGACAGCGAAACCGCAACACCTACTCAGGACCTTTTGCCAGAATTGTGGCCAGTGATCGGTCCCAGAGCGACAGCGTGAGAGCGGCCCAGGATATCGCATTTGAGAGAGATTATGTTGTTATCGAGAAGCGGGCGGTCGAAGTTAATGCATTTGCCGACGAGTTGGCCCATAGCCCACAGCTTCAGGGTGGCTTCGCTCGAGGTCAGACAGGCGCTCCAAGTCGCCGTGCGACAACGCAAGGCCTACCAACCGTGTCATCCAACTCCCCTTCTGGCAACAATTCCAAGGCTCTGCAGGTCGTTTCTACCCGGGCTAGAGCTGATTCAACCCACGCGCGCCAGCACTCTTACGAGCGCCGATATGGTCAGAGCCCGATATCCGCTACATCCGCGATCTCCAAAGCTCTTAACATGGCCAGTGGCCGTTTGTTCGGAGTGGGATTCTCACCTCCAATGGCCCTTACTAAAGGGGGTCGGTCGCCACCACTAGCTTACAACCCTTTCCCAGCTTATCCTGCTGCCCAAGCGAGTTTGATGCTCATGGGAGACAGCCCGAAGTCTGCGAATCTTGATGAAGACTGCCGGACGGTCCAGTGTATCGAGGAGTGTGCGACTCGCAGTGATGTGGTCTACGGATTCGCCGAGGTGAAATACAAGCAACTTATCCCATTGGCACCTTCGGCACAGATTGAGCCCTCGATCAGACCAGCCGGAAATGCGGAAGGCGATGATAGTGGGTTTGGTGATGATGGATTGACCGTTGATGCCGTGGTAACTCTCTCCGAGGAAGCTCTGGTTCTATACGTGAAAGCTATCGCCCTTCTGGTGAAATCAATGGATATCGCAGGAGCGTGGTGGTCACGAAAGAACCGTGAGGAGGCCTATGGCGATCCATCTACCAGAGGCGATGCCAACAGTTCGTTAGCCGGTACTCGCATCAACAATGTTGTGCAGTGGGTTCGAAGCCGATTCAACGAAGTGGTGGAGAAGGCCGAGTTCGTCCGCCTGAAGCTCACTGAAGCGCAGAAGCGATTGCCCCTCGACCACCCCGGCCACCCAGACAATCACTCAGTTGGTTCTGCTACCGCGTCCTATGGATCCAGTGAGATTCCGCTCAGCCGCGGAGTCACCGCTGCGAGACTTATGTATGAGCGGGCCCTGGAGATGAGCCGAGCTGCAGCCATCAACGAATTGACCAGCGAAGACCTTCATGGCTGCGAGATCGCGTATGCCACGGCCATTCGCATGCTGGAGGCAGTTCTCGAGGATGACGGATCCCAGTCTACCTCGCGTTCTGGTACCTCCCAGACCAGTGAGAAGGTTTCCTTGGAGGAGGGTCTGCCAATTGACCGACAGGCGGTCGGAAACCGTAAGTCTCATGATTCTTTTCGCTTTAAACAAGAATCTTAACTGATTTCTAACTTTTCTGTACAGTTCTCACTGGTATGCGAGGCCGTCTGCACTCTCTGCAGAAGAGACTCGCTGTCCTTTCCCGGCGCTCATCAGCGCCAACTGCTGGTGTTAGAATGCCAGCTTCAAACCTGGCCACCGGAGCGACACCACCTCGCTCATGATTTATCAATACCCCCGGTAGTTCCGGTAGTTCGTACGTCGATAACGAAGAAATGAAATTCCGACCATCTAATGCCAACGCGGTGAATTTCTTCCTTTTTTTTTTTCTTTTCGTATTTCTTTTTTTCGTATTTTTTTCTGTGCTTTCTGCGGTATTTCCTTATCATTCCTTTCTACATCACTTAACTAGGCCGGGGGAGAGATTGATTAATTTTGACTCGGTTTTTAATGATCTTTCCCTCACTAACTGTTAACCGTGCCATCGGTTCTTGTTATTTTAATTCCGCCATATATCCCATGTATAGGGAAGAGGAGTTTTATCTTGTTTTGTTGTTTTAGTTCTTGGGACTCTTTTCGGTGTTTGATCTGGATTTTCGGCATACAGAATGACCCTTTCGTCTGCTTTCTTGTTATGGTTCCTGGTTTTCGGAGTTGGTGGATGGAGATATGAGAAGGGGATCGGTGGGGTTATTTGCATGTATGATGCCTACTAGATGAGACAATGGATATTGTATTCAGCTTATTCTAGTACCAAGGTTTCATGTCTTTATATCATTTCATCTGATATCTCTATTAGGGTTTAAGTTAGGCGTCGAAGTAAAAGTAATCTGATAAATAACTGCCTTAGATGGTTTAAAACTAGACCAATTGACTAATATCAGTTAAAAAGGTTATCTTGTTTCATTGCAGAGCCTCACTTCCACCAAGACAGATGTCTCGATGTCAGTTTTAATGTTTGTCTATAAGGCCTTTCATGTCGGCGTCTCTTATCTCTCACTTCTACGTGAGAACCAGCTCTTCTCCTTCCCATAGTGTGGGACATTTAAAGCACTATGCCATTATTCTACTCGCTTCATTTGGTGGATCCTAGAAATACCTTCTCAGGAGGCTATCTTCAGGTTCAGGTAGCTTCAAATTAAATGCTAACGTTTCAAGTGAGGCATATCGAAACAATTTATACATAGATCATTAAAATGCTCAGAGTTCAAGACCACCCAAAGTCAACCTTGGAAACTTTTACCAAGTCCATTTTAGTGTGTATGCATACCTTCGAATCAAGCACTGGTCTAGTAGTCCAGTCTCTTTCCAAAATATCAAAACAACTTGAACATGGATTCAACCTTTGGATCATCCCAGGCCCTGCTCTCTCTCTAATTTTTCAACTTCTAGTCTCATCTACCTCAAGTTACACGAGGCTATAGTCTTGTGACTCTTCCAATGTTCACTTTTGCCACTATCTTCCATATAAGGCTCTTCGTCGACCGTGTTAATCCCCGATTGGGCGGATACTATATGGCTGCACATGTGTCAGGAGTCGGTGTAGATGCGGATGACTTGTCTCGTAGTTTTACGAGATTGCCTACATCAATTGCCGAGTCATGCTCATTCAAGTTCCAATTACGCTTTTTAATCAGTCACGGTTGCCTTGCTATCTTCTAGCGGTCTGGAGTCTGGAGTGGATCAACCGCGTCAATGGATCGGGTGCAGCCTTTTCCAGATGTTTTTGGTTCTTCGACGGACTCCGACGGGGCTTTTACTAGTAGTGGATTACTAGTAGTCAGATGATATGATCAATTGTTGAAACTTTGGTTCATAGTCACATTTGAATGAAAGGATTGATCTTAGACTAGTACGAGTATGTACAAGTACTGTGGAGGATCAATTGGTGGTTTAAGCGACTGCCGACTCGGGGGATACATAAGTAGATAACAGTGCCAGTGGCATCAATTACCATTAGAAGCTGGTGCAGGTATAAATGAATGTCTTTTATTCCAAGGATGTTCCAAGATTTCTGAAATATCTGCTGATTCTATCGAAATACTGCCATTATTGGCGATATGCATGTCCCAATACTCTATGGATGCTCATTCAGAAGTCATGAGCCCCTCAAACTGACTGGATATTGTCTTGCAAGAAAGAGTAAGACTTCAGAAGAAGATCATACTCCTCAGTCATCTGTCGTAAAATAAATCGACATTCGCTGAGAGCGACTTGCGTGAGGTGAAGAAGAAAAGAAGAAAAAAGAGAAAAAAAAAGAAAAAGTAGGGATATAATTATATTTACCGCCTACTACTTTAATTCATTCTGCCATACGCATTTCCCTTAATTGATGAGAAGTCGAATCTTTCTTCCCCTACTGCATTGTTCTCTTACTATTGTACTGTATAATATTTATTTTATTTTTTATTTTTTTGTATTATTATTGGGGTTTGATTTAACCCCCCCACTTTCTTTCATCTGATTTTATTTGCCTCTTAATTGAGGGGTTCTGTGACCAATGCGACGTTTCTCCACGCGTGCGCTGCTTCATTCAAAAGCAAAGCCACCGCTTCTATCCGCCAGATCCCCCCTCCCCCTCTCTATCTCCGCTTCTCGTTTTACTCCGACTCCAAGACCCAATCGTTTACGTTCCTCTCCCCTCGCTCAAACCTCCAAGAGATACTGTTCCTACCGCAGAATGTGTCACGCTCGTCGCGACGAGGTCTCTGGCTCGACCAATGTCCAGGGCCGTGAGGTCCTGCCGACTAATGTCAAGCCGGTGCATTACGATTTGACCCTCGAACCCAATTTCGAGAAGTTTACCTATGATGGAACAGTCTTGATTGAGTATGGTCGAACCTACATAACTAGCTAGACCTTGAAACAATGCTAACATCAACCCCCACTATAGCTTGAACGTCAACGAAGACACCGACTTCATCTCCCTCAACTCCAACGAGATCACAATCCACAGCGCAGCCGTTCTGTCCAAGGGCACAGTCGTCGAGTCGAACCCTCAGATTTCCATGAAGAAGGATGATCAAACCGCTACCATTAAGTTCAACCAGGCCCTCGCGGCCGGCTCCGATGCCCAGCTGAAGCTCACCTTCACTGGTATCTTGAATGACAACATGGCCGGTTTCTACCGATCCTCATACAAGGAGAATGGCGAAACCAAATACATCGCCTCGACTCAGATGGAGCCTACCGATGCTCGCCGTGCCTTCCCTTGCTTCGACGAGCCCGCGCTCAAGGCCAAGTTCACTGTGACCCTGGTGGCTGACAAGAGCATGACCTGCTTGAGCAACATGGATGTCGCTTCCGAGAGTGACGTCGAGGGTGGTAAGAAGGCAGTCAAGTTCAACACCTCGCCCGTGATGTCCACATACTTGGTCGCCTTCATTGTCGGTCACCTCAACTACGTTGAGACCAACGCCTTCCGAGTCCCAGTCCGTGTTTACGCAACCCCCGATCAGGATATCGAGCACGGTCGTTTCTCTCTTGAGCTCGCTGCGAAGACCCTCGCCTTTTACGAGAAGGCCTTCGATAATGACTTCCCGCTGCCCAAGATGGACATGGTGGCAGTGCCCGACTTCAGCGCGGGAGCCATGGAGAACTGGGGTCTGATCACCTACCGTATTGTAGATGTACTGCTGGATGAGAAGACTGCCGGTGCTTCGCGCAAGGAGCGTATCGCCGAGACTGTTCAGCACGAATTGGCTCACCAGTGGTTTGGTAACTTGGTTACTATGGACTTCTGGGATGGTCTGTGGTTGAATGAGGGTTTCGCTACCTGGATGTCCTGGTACTCGTGTAACGTGTTCTACCCTGAATGGAAGGTCTGGCAGACCTACGTCATCGACAACCTCCAGAGTGCTCTATCCCTCGACTCTCTGCGCAGCAGTCACCCCATTGAGGTGCCTGTCAAGCGTGCCGATGAGATTAACCAGATTTTCGATGCTATCTCCTACTCCAAGGGATCCTCCGTGCTGCGCATGATTTCCAAGTACCTGGGAGAAGATGTCTTCCTCCAGGGTGTTCGCGACTACATCCGCAAGCACGCTTACGGTAACACTGAGACTGGTGATCTGTGGGCTGCCCTGGCTAACGCTAGCGGCAAGCCCGTCCAGTCCGTCATGGATATCTGGACCAAGAACGTCGGTTTCCCTGTCATCAGCGTGACTGAGAACCCCGAGTCCTCGTCCATCAGCTTGAAGCAGAACCGTTTCCTGCGTACTGGTGACGTCCGTCCCGAGGAGGATAAGGTCCTCTACCCCTGCATGCTGGGACTTCGCAGCAAGGACTCTGTTGACGAGAACACCATGTTGACTGAGCGCGAGGGAGAGTTCAAGGTTCCTGACCTTGACTTCTTCAAGCTCAACGCCGATCACTCCGCCATCTACCGTACCTCTTACTCCCCCGAGCGTCTCCGTAAGCTGGGTCAGGCTGCTCGTGAGGGTCTCCTCACCGTTGAGGACCGCGCTGGTATGATTGCCGACTCTGGTGCTTTGGCTGCTTCTGGTTTCCAGAAGACCTCTGGTATGCTCTCTCTTCTCCAGGGTCTCGACACCGAGTCCGAGTTTGTCGTCTGGACCGAGATGCTTTCCCGTATCGCTACCCTGCGCAGCGCATGGCTCTTCGAGGATGACAAGACCAAGGCTGCTCTCAAGGCTTTCCAGCGTTCCCTGGTTTCCAACAAGGCTCACGAGCTTGGCTGGGAGTTCTCTGAAAATGACGACCACATCCTGCAGCAGTTCAAGGCTTTGATGTTCGGTTCCGCTGGTATGGCCGATGATGCTGTTGTTATCAAGGCTGCTCAGGACATGTTCGCCCGCTTTGCTGCTGGTGACGTCTCCGCCATCCACCCCAACATCCGCGGCAGTGTTTTCACTATCGTTCTGAAGCACGGTGGTCTTAAGGAGTACGAGGTTGTCCTGGACCGTTTCCGTCACGCCCCAACTTCCGATGAGAAGACCACTGCTCTGCGCTGCCTTGGTGCCGCTGAGGACCCTGCTCTTATCCAGCGCACCCTGGGCCTTGCCATGTGTGATGAGGTTAAGAACCAGGATATCTACATGCCTCTGAGCGGCCTGCGCAACTCCGCGGTCGGTATCCAGACTCGCTGGACCTGGCTCCAGGAGAACTGGGACCTTATCTACCAGCGTCTTCCCCCATCTCTCGGTATGCTGGGCACTGTTGTGCAGTTGACCACTGCTTCCTTCTGCACTCAGGCCCAACTTGACGAGGTCAAGGCCTTCTTTGACGCCAAGGACACTAAGGTGAGTCTCAATCCATTATCCAATGCATTTCCTTAATTACACATGACTAATATTTCATTTGTTATAGGGCTACGACCGTGCCGTTGAGCAGAGTCTGGACGCTATCCGCGCCAAGGTTAGCTGGGTCGAGCGTGACAACAAGGACGTAGAGTCCTGGCTCGACCAGAATAAGTACCTCCAGAGCAAGCTGTAAATACGCTTCGTTTGGAATCAGCGCAGGTCGTGAGGAATTTCGGGATTTGCTTCTTGTCTAAGTTTATCAAGCTTGGTTTCAATGGCACACGGGATGTGTTCAATGCTTACTGAGCTTACTACTCTACTCTCAACATAGATCTTCTATTAAGTTAGAAGCAATAAAAAGATTTATTGAAACATCATCTTGTAGCTCAGCATCACAGGTGCTTCTCGTATACATGATTCATTTCATCAAGAAATAGCGGTGAATTGTACCAGACTTCGGATGACGTCTCTTTACGAGTCTGGTGGAGACAGGGCAAGATGTGGACACTGGCATTAGTTCTCTGCATATAATTTAAATTAAACTAAATAGTTCAAGTTATTGCATTGCATATGGCGTATACAGATGTAAACGAGGTGCAGTGTTTACCTAGTAGGGTGACCATATCTAATATCTGACATGTTCAAGTTGATAACGCATAACAAGGCACATCCTTGCATCTTATACATCAGCGTGTACTCTCACTGTGGATCTAATCCAAAACAGGCACTTCGGTGCGACCCTCGCCTAGATGAACCAATTACAAGAATGAAGATAGAAGAGCACAGGGCAAAGAAAGTCAAGATGGTAAACAGTGCGAAGAGCTTCAATGTTCAAATAGCCTTGTGTGGGTGTTACTCCATTCCGGTGTTGAAAAATCAGCTTGGCTGATTTTGCTTTGTAAACTACCAGAATTCCTCTCAGCATCCTCACTCACCCAGAAAATTTGATTTATTCCACTCAGATGCCTACGACAAGAACTTTGATATTATCAGACTCATGATATCTGGTGCTTGAATCGACGATGGCTTCTAGTCATTTAGAGGCTAGTGGCGGAAGTCACACCCGGATCGCTGTGAGCGCTTGCGATGAATTTTGAGCACAAGAACCGAGGTATACTTTGCACTACCGTTATGAAAGTCGGATGCTTCAACATTGGGACCAAGTTCTCGTTGGATTCAGGAAACAAGCGAGAATGAAACTCATGTTGGTCGGTCGCCAACTGACGAGGAAGCTGCATGTCATGACAGATGGTGCACCAGATGCAACTTCGGAACTCCCATTCAGTTGTCGATTACCAATGATTTTGGTGACTTCCCCAGACTATGAGCTCTACAGCATATCGAGCGACGAAACTCGAGGATATGACACAGTCTACGAAGTGCCACCAATCTGATCATCCTCAGGCTGATGGGTTCAAGTTCGGGGAATATGCGGCCGAGAGCTACTCCACAGCAGAGGAATAGTACGAGTACGACTCGGACTCGGACTGCCAGTGAGATTTTTGAACGCCTCTTGAGCTTTCACACAGACTGATCGATATCGATATCTTGATGGATAGACTTGAAAATCGCCATTTTCTAATGGTCATGGACAATCGAGATCGCCCGGCTTGATCCTGCGACCGGCAAGTCACACAGCCTCAGGGCGCCCGACATCATGCACGATGAGTCGAATGAATTCTATTCCATGTCGATAATCTCCATGGAATAAATATAGAACCTTTTGATTCTATTTCGATAATGAGCTCGAACCGAAGATCAACGCATCAAGGTTACATTCAAAATGGTTCTTTTTCTCTTGCCAGACACCTTCCGAACAAACCAATGAAATCAACATTATGCCTCATCTCCACCAGACCAAAAAGAGGAAGACCAAAAGGAACAAAAAGACCAAAAACCTGTCTTATCAAATCAAACTGGCTTCCCCGCTCGCTCCCGATGTGATTGGTGTGTGATCCGATTATCATTTCCACTTCAACAACTAGCTCGAACTTCTAGGCACAAATTTACCAGTCTGGAATCACGATATTGGGGCCGTTTTGCCATGCACTGAATTGTTCGACCTTTAAGCATCTTCTTCCCCCCTCCTATAGCTGAATGCTATACCATTGAGGATGGATTCTGCGGGTGCTCCCGAGAGTCACGCAAATATGCGGTCGATCCGCCCCCACTCTAAAATGAGAACGGGGTGCGTGGAGTGCAAACGGAGGAGAATCAAGGTATGTTCATTATCTGAGGAGGGGGTAAATCTACTGTGTATGCTAATGATCAACCTGATTTCAGTGTGACGAGGGAAAACCTACATGCGTCCGATGTAAATATCGTCCTGAAAAATGCAAATACGAATTTAAGCTCTCGTGGACGGGCGGGAGGCCATTCAAGAATCGACCACATACCAACTCGCTCAATGGAAATTCGCAGAGTCCGACAGAGACGGAGACCTTGAATTCATCGCCCACTTCTATATCGGAGGAAACTGATCCTAATCGGAAGTTTTCCACTGTTTCTACTGCCTCGACTGTGTCCACAGCCTCTAGAGGGTCGGCTAGCTCTACAAGTTCTGTGAGCTCTGGAGAATCGATACTTGAAACACCAAGAGGCTCTACCGATACTTTTTTGGAATTCTCCAATACAACACATCACCATTACCTCCCAAGTCATGTCAATGCTGCGTCAGAAGCAATGGACCCTGGAGATCTTTCATTGATTTCAAGGATACCACTATCTTGCCCAGAAAAATTCAACCCACATCAACAACTTGAACCACTTCAGAGACATCCCTTCGAAACAAGTGACCTAGAACATGACCATGATAGACGACCCTTTTATCAGAAGAACACAAATCATTTCGCCCAACAAATCCATTACGCACTCACCACCAATCCTTCACAACTCACATCTTCGTCAGAAAGCCGTTTCTTTCTCCACCACTATATCAATGTGACCGCAGACGTTATATTCCCCCTCTCCTTAACCGGGAATCCCTTACGCGAAGACCTACTCCGATCAGCGATGTCAAATCCACACCTTCTCAACGCATTCCTCGCCTGTGCTTGTTCACATTATGCCCGCCGACACGAAGCCATGCCGATCCAATTATCTAACAGCATCGCCAAATTCACCAACAGAGCACTCAATGGCCTGCGACTCGCGATGACCGATCCAAATCAAGCAGGGAAACTGGAAACAATCAGCACGGCTCTCGCATTATGTACATCGGACGTTATCTCAGGCGATCTCAGTACCTGGCGAATTCATCTAACAGGAGCGAACAAGTTGATTCTATCAGCTTTCCAAAACGATAAAAAGCCCTCATCCTCCGAAACGGATGGCAGGAACCCGTTGGAAACTTTCGTCATTAAATGGTATGCGCTGTTGGATATTTTCGCTGGTGTCTCTGGGTTACGCAAAAGCTCCAATCCTGATGGGCGCTATTGGTCTTCCAGCGAAGATGAGTCTTATATCGATGAATGGACGGGGTACTCATTAGATCTTATTCCGATCATATCTCGCATTGGACGTATGGCGCAGACTCAACGGAACAAAAACAGGATAATGACCCTGAATGAGGATCCTGATGAACCCCTCGATCCTGAATTCCACGATATGGAAGAAATCGACCAGATGGAGAGTTTGATCTACTCGCTCTATGATCGCACGGCTCATCCGGCACTAGTACATAGTCCGGATCCGGAGACGAGGAAACGAGCAGATGAGATGCAGTGCATTCATCGTGCGTTCGTGTATACTGCTCTGCTCCATTTGTATCGTCGGGTACAGGAGTTGCCTAAATATCATGACAAGGCGGTTTATGCAATATGTATGACTATCCAGATGATTCAGATGATCCCTCGGGAATCTTCATCTAATATCTTGACTCTCTGGCCTGTATTTACGGTCGGATGTGAGACGGATGATCCAACACAGAGAAGCATTATCGAGTCAAGGATCTCAAAAATGGAGTCCTTTGGTATGGGAAATGTTGAGACGGCTCGACAGGCTATGTACGCGTACTGGGAATCTGGAGCTACAGAGAGATGGGATATTTTTCTCGAGAGTTACGGGCAAGATATCGTTCTCTTTTGAGATGAATAAATAACATAAATGAGTATGAATGAAATGATGAAATTCTCCTATAACAATTATGCGTCCTGTCTCTCGTTTTGTTGAATAATAAAGTCCGACTCGTTCCCTGAATCTCCAATCCTTTCAAGTACCTTGCATGTTTCAGAAGATAGTTTTGGTCCTTTGTAGATTCTCCTCCCACCGATAAACCACCATACAACCACAAGAATAGCCATCCCATATGATACCAATGAAGTGTAATTCATCGTTGAAGCAGTGACAGGAGGCCGGTCATACGGTAAGCAAAAGAACACATTCGAGACGAAAATGTAGATCAGTGCAATTGCATTGACTGCATATCCCAGAAATCCATCTCCAAGGTAAAACCATCCCGGCGTAGCTCGTTTACGTCCAGTGAAGAAATGAACACCGATAGCAATACCATATGAAGTACTCGACATAACGGCGTAGGAAGCAACAAGTGCATTGAAAGCAACGGTGGATGCCACGTACAGAGCTCCTAGGGCGGTACTTATCGTCGCTAGAAGAATGTTAGACTCCAGGGTTTAGTGAATTGGATTCTGTTGTGCTTACTGATAAGAATATTGGCTCTTGCAGGCATCACACTGTACTCATCAACTTTTGAGAAAAAATCGGAAAATGGAAGAGCGCCGTCTCGCGCAAATGCCCAAACACATCGCACGGTGGCGATTTGTGCGCCGATACATCCTGGAATCGCGGCGAGGAATATCACGACACCGCAGGCGAATGCGGATCTTGTATCTTGGAATGCTATTTGCATGATGCTTGAAACTGGGAAATTGGCTTCGGATGCTGTGAGAATGGTTTCTAGGGAACCTGCTGCGTAGAACAGGGCGATGAGGAAACAGAAACCGCTGGATTAGGTTGCTGTTAGCAAGAGGAGTGTGATGTCTATTGTGATATGGTGACTTACAGCGCGAATGACCCAAACCATTGAATCATAATTGTCTTAGGAATATTCTTCGATGGATTCGGTACCTCCTCGGCCATATGTGTTGAACTATCGATTGTGCCGATAGAGAATGCCGGTGCAACGAGACCGAGAATGAAACTCATACCATTTGGCCAGCCAGTTGAATTGGTGTATTCTGTCCAAACAAATGAACTAGTAGAATGGGATTTTGGAAGAACAGCGAGACAAATAATGAGTGTAAACCAGGCGCCCACGTTCACGAATACTAAATCTGAATTAGCTGTCTCTTCTACTAGACGTAGAACATGGAATAGCGAGCTGGAGTAACATACATCCGACCCTGGTATAATAGGGTAATATCCTATTCCCAAATTGAATAAAAGCCGCAAAGGACCAATTCAGCACAACGAATACAACAAACACATGCCACGGTTTACTGACATACTCCGGATGCCATAACTGATATAATCCCGTCACCTCGAGACCGGCGACAGAATATAATGAAGCAAGACCGAGCGTCCATCCGAGCATATTGAAATATCCTGTTAGAAACCCTACAGGACGCGAGTACTTGGGTCCTGCTAATGCAGCCGACCAGTGATATACACCAGCAGCAGTAGGCATGGCGGAGGTTAATTCAGCCATGGATAACGCGATGAATAGGAAGAAGAAATTATCCACGATCCTAAACTTCCAGTTAGTTCATCATGATCATGATTTCGTAAGGATATCTCACCATGCGTATAGTAAACCTGCAGCACCACCATTATAGATTGAAGTAATGATAGATCCGATAATCGCGGTCTGTGCCAGTTCATTAGTCGCGTTTACGTGTTTAACTCGTATGATGCATCGCATACCCATGCAGATGCAGTAATGACTGCATTAGCGGCCATAGAAAAAGGTGTAAACTGTCGGTGGAGTTCCTCTTTATGACCAAGTGCCGCGAGCACGGTCGCATCATCCGTGGGGCCTACCGCTATGTTAGCCATGTTTTGGTTCAAGATTGGTGGATCTTCCGGGGATCCAGGGGTGATCAGGGACTAACCTTGCCGCCGTGACATTTCTGGGCCTGAACTATGGATATTTTAATGATGAGTATTGTAATATTAGAGACAATTTAGAGGCTCTGTGATACACTTGGATGTGTCCAGAGAATGTCGTTCAGGTTGTTAATCCCGGAGAGAATCTGGGCTCTCGTTAGCGCCTTTTGAGGACTCAATCAGGAGAGATTAGAATATTAGAATACTAGTGGGGTACTAGTAAGTATAGAGAGAGTGTGTGATAATCACAAGTAAAGTAATAGGTTATATTGACTAATATAGCTATATCCTTACTGACAGACTAATCTCTGATCTTTCTCCTCTTGGCGGGAAGCAGGGATTATCTGTCTGTGTGTATTCCAAGGTTACCTAGGTATATCCACAGGACCACAGGTGCTAACGTGACTCCCGGCCGTCCCGATCACCCATCGAAAATCGCGTCTTCCCATCCATCTACACACTTCAATCACCTACCATGCCACCAATTCGCTCTGAATCTCGGCAGAAATTGGCCAATCAAGTGGGCAAGACTTTGTTAGCTCTTGACGATATTTAAAATGGTCGTATTACATCTTTTCGCGCTGCAGCAAAGCTATATGAGACACCCTACACTACACTCCACGCGCGTGCGCATGGCCTGTCTTCACGCGTTGATAAACGCCCATCTGGCCATAAATTAACTCAAATCGAAGAGGATTCACTTACTAAGTGGATTATCTCTATAGATACCCGTCGAGCAGCACCTAGGCCATCTACTGTACGAGATATGGCCAATATTCTACAAGCTACATGTAGTAGCCACCCCCCACCTACAGTTAGCAAGAATTAGCCATCAACCTTTATAAATCGACGCAAAGAGATTCGGATATGTTTCTCTAGGCGATATAACTACCAACATGCTTTGAATAAAGACCCTAAATCAATTTAAGCATGGTTTATAATTATATAACAAGTTATCAATGAGAACAGGATCTAACCTAAAGATATCTACAACTTTGATAAGACAGGCTTTGTAATAGGTCTTATTTCAACACAGATAGTTATTATACGATAAGAATACTATAGTTGGTGTACTATTTTACAGCCTGGAAATTGTGAATAGGTAAATGTAATTAAAGCTATCTATACAGATGGCTATTCATTACCACCATGTGTGATTTTCAAAGGCAAGGTTGCTATCGCTAGTTGGTTTGATAACCTACCAAAAGACTGGCGATTTGAGGTCTCACCTAATGGTTGGACTACCGATGAGATTGGCCTACGTTGGCTAGAAAAGCTATTCATCCCATCAACAAATTCACGTGTTCGTGGTCGTTTTCGGTTATTAATTCTTGATAGCCATAGAAGCCATCTTACACCCCAATTTGACCGAATCTGCACTGAAAATAATATTATACCGCTCTGTATACCTGCACATTCCTCACATATATTATAGCCACTAGATGTTGGTTCTTTTACAGTGTTAAAACATACATATGGTCATTTTATAAGCGACCTTGTACGTAAAGGCTATAACCATATCGACAAGCTTGATTTCTTAGCTGATTTCTAACATACCCGGTTAGAAGCTTTTCAACCAACTACTATTCAAAATAGCTTTCTAGCTACTGGATTAGTACCAATTGATGCTGAAAAGGTGCTTTCTAAGCTCAATATTTCTCTACGAACACCTACACCACCAAGCAGCAGACTAAGCAGCAGATCTAGTCAATTTACACCCAAAACACCTAGAACTATTACCCAGCTTCAGAAGCAAGCTTCAATGCTTAAAGATCTTCTGAAACAGCGATCAAACAGCCCTCCAAGCCCGTCCAAATTGATGCTAGATCAAATCATTAAAGGACACTATATATCGCTACATAACACTGCGCTACTAGCGTAAGAAAACGCCAATTTACGCGCAGAAAACGAGAAGAAACGACAAAAACAGAGCCAATCACTTAGACAGATACCCTGTAAAGATGGTCTAACAGTTGAAGAGGGCTTACAGCTAGTCCAACAGCTAGATTCATTGGATAGAGCTGCTGGGGTCAAGCCAGACACACAGGCTGAGCCGCTAATTCAGCCGAATCAGCGGGCCCCCAAGGCTCCGCCTAAATGTAGTGGATGTCGAGAGATTGGCCATCTGATCAATGTATGTGGAAATCGTATTTATAACTAAAAATATTGGTGTTGGGTTGAAATATTTTAAATTTAAAAACTTCTAGTGGGATGGGTGATTGGGACGGCCGGGAGTCACGTTACCTATTGACCAGCTTCAAAGACTACTCGAGGAATGGGGGCCAGGAAAGGTTACGAATGCATCTCTCAGATGAGGAAATTCATCCACTAGAGCACTTCGAACAGACATCGAAGATCATCGGTAGATGCTGATGATCCTCCTCGTGAGATTGTAGACAGTGGAATGGACACGTCCAAATTCCCAGGGGCTTCTGAATGTCCATTCATTGATGTTGACATTTCAGGGACTTACTTCGACGTAAAGTCCAAATGTTGTTTCAAATAACAGCGAGAGAGCTGGAATAAATATAGACTCGTATTAATTGACACACACTCACACCTGGGCAGAGACATAGAAAGAAAGAGATGAGACATTAGAGGCAAAGGCAGCGACTTCTAATATCAAGCATTCAACATTTGAACGACGCACAGATGGTGTTTGAACAGCACACATGTGCAAAAAGAACACTGCCTCCTTATAATAGTGCCGATCCGTAATCAACCTTTCTACTAGTAATATGTAAACAGCAACTGGCAGAGGAGGTTAAAATTTGGAAACGCGCTTCCAAGGTTTGGGGTGGGTGTCCAGGAGGCTGAGTCCCACATATATGTATGGTTAGTGGTAAAATATGTCTCAAATGTTGATGCCAGTGTGTATTCAGGCATCCTTCAGCTCGCATTGACGACGGACAGCTGGAGTGGTCAGACCGACGTCGTGGGGCCTGGGTAGGTGATGAATTAAGCACAGGAACATGGATCTAGGCCTTCCAAGGGTCGAACTACAGTATTACCTAGGTACTCCCTCAAAGTCAAATTACTAGGCTCAGCTTAATATATCGATAATTACTGGACGTGCATTCGTGTATCAAAATACTATCTATTACATCTGCAGGTGCCCAGGTGCCCACATGCAGCCACATACTGCACATACGGAGTACTACCCAGGTCGTAAGTACTCCGTACACCTGAGGAAGAAGAACACTTGGCATACATATCAGGCGCGGCTTTCCCATTTAGGGAGAAGCGGGGTAAGGTACCCAGGCGAGGCTGAAATCAAGACCTGAGGTTGAACTCCCCCAGGTGCCACTTTTTCTCCTAAGGGGTCAAAGAAACCTCAATTGAAATTCAAAAGTCATTGCATTCCTATGCCTCTTCGTGCAGACCCATGCTTCATTAAGAGCGGTTCTATAAGTTTTGCTAAGAGAATCACTTACAAGGATCACAACATGTAGGGAAAAAAGAATCCTTATTGTTGGTGAGTTCCTCCTATCTCCCGGAACTTCGATGATCGATGATCACTTTGCAGTACTGATACCTTTTTTGAAGGTGCCAACAGAGGGATTGGCTTGAATCTCACTAAGGCTTTTGTCAAACGCTCATGGGATGTGACTGGCTCGATTCGCCCTCAGAGCCGGGTAGATCCATCTGTCAAAGATGTATGTATCTAAATTTCCCGCGCGAACATTGAACTCAAAACTCACTGCTTTTCTTTTGGGGAAGCTCGAGGAAACCGGAGCGAAAATTTTGGAAATGGACTTTCTGGATGAGTCCACTATCGAGCATGCGGCCAGGGAGTATGGTGATCAGCCCCTCGATGTTCTCGTCAACGTTGGCGGTAGGCAGAGCCCAGTTGAACATACCTCTCTATATCCTTTTTTTGACTTCAATTTATAGGACTACCACCGAACCCCAAAGCCTGGCAAGAGAATACCCCCTCGCTTCTCTCAGAAAGGTTCTCCGTCTGGTAAGTTAGACTCTAATATTTACCTTGCTTATTTGGGCTGACTACTTCCGCTTCCTACTTTCTAGGGCCCTTTCATGGTAATAAAGCACTTCCTACCGACAAGGCTGACAGAGTATGACTCGGTGGATGATATGGATACCTGCATCTCGGGGATTACTGAGCAAATTGAAAAGCTCACGAAAGTAAACAATGGCCAATTCATCAAATGGTCAGGCAAAATACTACGGTTCTAAGCAAGTATGCATTTGCGAGCAGGCCATCTACATCAACTTGATTTCCTTCCCGGTACTAATACTAGAGAACTAACAATCCCTGGCACGAACTTGAATTTAAAGCGATTATCAAGATTTCCAAGTCATATAATAGTCTTCACACATACATATGATGTCATTTTCAATGTTCCATACACATGGTAGACACATACCGAGGCTACCTTTCTCTGCCAAGCATAAAAGCATACGAAACGAAAGTGATTTCCGTGAATTCCGATAACTTTCGAATAAACTTTCAATCAAGTTAGAACCACAACCCTGTACGCGTTTGCAGTCATAGTATCTTGCCCACTTCCATAAGGATCTAGCCCTCCAAAGAAACATAGTATCCAGTAACACTATTAGTAACAAGTCACTTACCAAACCCTTACTGTACAGAAGATGACAATAAAAAGGGGACAAGGAATCAGAGAAAGATATCTTCGACGAAAACTAACTACCTTATTCATCTAGCCTGAATTCTTTGTTGTTCCAGAGAGGGTCCCTCTTCCTTTTCTATAACCCTAGAACCTCTAATCTATTAGATCTTACCATCTTTCCTACTTCTAAGTTAATCGGTCGCTAACTGTCCAGTCCCAAGTCCTTTTGCAAGTGGGTCCGTAACACCCTTAATATTTCTCTTTTGTATGAGAGTGTTTGGTCTTTATGCATGTGTTAAATCTAATCTTTAACCCTGTATGTTATTAGGATATAGCCATTTTGCTATCTTCTCTGGTGATGTTTCTCTTTAGCTTTATTATTTTTGCTTATGAAATATAGCTTTTGGGTCGTTCTGGGTGATAGTATGACTACTTAATAGATCAATTAATGTTAAGTGGTGCTGAATGTTAAAGGCTTTAAATGCTGTGCAAGGAGCCCTAGAGCAATATTGAATGAAATTTTGTGTAGAAACTAGAATGTGGAGAGACCTTATCATCTTAAATATCTTAATAATCCAGCCTTAAGCTTATGAAGTTTACTTAATATGGGCATAGTATAGGCTATAGAGTATACTAGTCCTAAATTATCATATGTTTTATTTTGCGAGTACCTAGTATCGACTTGAAGTGTCGAATCAGATGCTGCACAGGTGCATAGGTGGTGGATGTTTAATGGTATGAATCGTTCAAAGGTACTATTCACAGGAATGCAGCGATAGTGCCACTACGCATTCAAAACTTAGCCTTCTGATAATAGATATCAATACACTCAAGTGCTATGAAAATGATACTATTACTCGACATTCACTTGTGAGCAGCATTCTTGGCTGGTAGGTTATAATTGATATACGCTGGCCAGGTGGAAGGTGAAAAATTGACGCATTCATTCAAATGCAAGGTGGCATCCATAATATAGTATTGTACATAAGTTGCCAGGTCTCTAGATATCAAATAGTCACTAGGCCCAGCCTCCCTTCCCACCAAATCCTGAGCTATCTTCGATCTTCTTTCCAGGGCCACGATTGGGCTTTGACTGCGCAGCCTCATGCTTGCGGAGTTCCTCAGGCACACGCGAGATTGGCGACTTGATGAGCATCTGTTTGAGATCATACCTGCGGTTTTTATTAGCATCGAAACCAAGTGAATACATAGGGAAAGATAAAAGAAGACATACATAACATCGGCATCCTCGCTGCCAAGGAAAGTGATAGCCACACCACTCTTGCCCGCACGACCAGTACGACCAATACGATGGGTATAACTTTCAATAGAAGTGGCCATGTTGAAGTTGATAACGAGTGAGACGTCGGGAACATCAATACCACGTCCAGCCAGATCTGTCGCAACCAGAACATCGGTAGAACCATTGCGAACGGACGCGAGAGCGGCTTCACGTTGATCCTGCGTTTTAGAACCGTGTAAAGTAACCGATGAGAAGCCCATCTGTTTGATTTCTCGAGCAATGGCATCACAGTTTCGCTTGATGTTGACGAACACAATGATCGGAGGACGGAAATCGCCGGAGGAAAGAATTTCTCCCAGACGCTTCTTCCGCTTGTCTTCGCCAGGAACCATCTCCACGCGCTGCTCAACTGTGTCAACAGCCTCACCAATAGCACCAATAGTGATGATGGCTGGTCGTCGCAGGTACTTCCGGGCAATGCGCTCAACAGCTGCAGGCATGGTGGCTGTGTACATCATTGTCTGGCGGTATCGGTCACGGCCTCCAAGGTGTTGGCTCATAGCTCGTGGGTTCTCGGCCTCTTCAGTGTCGGGCTTTTCATTTGTAACGGGAAGAGCGTCAAGAATTTTATTGACAGGTTCTTCGAAACCAAGATCGATCATGCGATCGGCTTCATCCATAATCACGTAGCAACACTGACTGAGAACCAACATTCGTCGCTCGATACAGTCGACTAGACGACCAGGAGTGGCAATGATAATCTCCGCACCATCGCGCAAACTATATGCCTGCTCCTCGAGAGAGTGACCACCGACAATACTGACAACGTTGAAGCCGAGAGGCTGGGTAAACTTCTTGGCTTCGATCTCAATTTGTTGCGCCAACTCACGAGTGGGTGCTAGAACAATGGCATAAGGACCGTCGTTCTTGCGCCATTCAAATTCATCCAGTCGAGGTAGCTCTGAAATGTAGACCAGAAGGGGCAGTAAAAATGCAGCAGTCTTACCGGAACCTGTCACGGCAACACCGATAAGATCACGCGACTGCAAAGCAATGGGAATAGCAGCGCGTTGAATAGCTGTAGGATCTTTATAACCGACACGATCAATAAGCTCCAGCAATCGCTTGGGAAGCTGGCTCTCCTCCCAAGAACGCATGGGGTTGGGTACACTGCCACCCTTAGTAGCGATATTGAAATCCTCCTTGAAAATACGCCAGTCACGCTCACGCATATGTTCGAGTCGCTTCTCGCTCCAGTGTTTATCCAGCTGATTCCGAGAGCTCTCCTCACGGCGACGGCGTTCCATCTCCATAATTTCCTTTGCACGTAGACTACCCGATTCTTGATCCTGGGTTTCCAGGGCCATGGCGTACTTGCGCGCCACATCATCCGCAACGTCTTCTCCGAATCCAGCCAAACGACCCCTTCCGAAGAAGTTTGCTTCGTGGCGATGTTGATATAGCGGATTATAATCACCGCTGGTGTCTTCTTCAGTGTTCCATTCGAAATTAAACTTGCGGTCTGTAGTACGCTTGCGCTTCTTCTTGGCGGAGAAGCTGGACGTCTGTTCTGTTCCCATATATCGTTGCTTGATCAATGCTGCTTGAGTTTCGGCTTCATCTTGCTCTGAAAGTCGCTTCTCTGCTTTGGCGTTTTTGCCTCCCTTTGATGGAGGTGGAGGTGGAGCCGTGTCTTGGTTTCTGTCTTGGTTTCTGTCTTGGTTTCGAGACCTCATTGATGCTGGCCCTGTGGGGGTATCTCCCCGCATTGCGCGCGGTCCAGTTGGGACCCGGCCATTCGAGTCTCTATTATCATAGTTTGGTTCGGTAGGAATTGATGTTGATGGAGTAGGAAGATTCTTGCGATCTGCGCCATTTGCCTGTGCCTTAGCTTGTCGTTCAGCTTCAACTTCCTTCGCACGCTTCTCCAACGCCAGTTTTTCTCGTTGCGCTTTTGACAGGAACTTCGGCTATAAAGTTCAGAGAAAATATTAACAAGCGATTTTTGAGAGACCTCAGAGGTACAAGGGTTGAATGTAAGAGGAATACCTTTGCGGCTGCTGCATCAGCTTCCTTCTTCTTCCGAATCAAATCCTCTACACTTAGTGGAGCTGCCGCTGGACGCTTTGCACCCCATCCTTGCTTCTTCTTTTTTGTTTCCACGGGCGGCGCAGGTGGTTGGTCTTCTGGTGGAGGTGGAGGGACCGTAGCATCTGGCGGCGGAGGCGGAGCACCTAAATCCTCGGGGGGTGGAGGAGGAGGAGTTGGAGGGCGTTCAATAGGGTCTGAGGGAGGAGCCGGGGGAGCTGGAGGAGCTCCATTAGAGCCAAACATTTCGATATCATCCATCGTTAATTCAAGATGAGAATAACGATATAGTGAGGATTTCAAAGTGAAGATGATTATCGCGGTTATCAATTGATCGCATATCGAATTTATACGGTAGGCGATATTGACCAAGTACGCAGCTACTCGAGTTACCCAAAACTCACCAGGTTAAGAGTCAAGACTAAATGCTTTAACGCTGTGTAGTACATTGGTTAAAAACTCAATATTCTCAGTATCTACATTACAATGGTCACTCTAACCAGTCTAATTTGAATCAGATGAATTAAAACAAGTGCAACTAGAGTACGGACTCGAAGTACACGGAAACTGTCTGAGCATCGACCGTCGCTCAGTTCAAACCACCACCCCATAGATAGGAAAAGTGGCATAAGAGTCAGATAGAGTCAGTCTCAAACAATCAACTCCAGTTTGGCACATCCAGGGTTCGCTAACAAGCCTGGGGGAAATAAAGATAATAACAACATGATGCTACATAGAAGGAAAGTCACCCACCCCGTTAGATATCAATAATGACCTTCGAAAACAAACAAACTGAGGGGGAAAGCCTCAAAACTCCAGCAGCGTTCGTAAATAAGCATGTGAAAAAATGGATGTCTTGCATGAACTACGTCGCATTTAGGCAACGGCGGTACCGTTCGCAGGCTCTGTTTGATGGTAGTCCTGGGGCTGCAGATGTCCTGCAGCTATCTGGTCAGAGGAAAACTGGGGCAAGGTAGGGGAGGCATGAGTTTGGGCATCGGAAGTAGATTCCACGGCAACAGAGCCACCAGTTCGAGGAGCAGCAACGGAAGGTGGACCATGAATCTCTCGATCCAGAGTCATATACTCCTTGGCAGTATCTTTAGTACCGCGTTCTAGGAGGTATGTCATGTAAATTTGCACCAAATCCTTGACTGTCTCCGGGAAAAGTGTGCTCTTGGATCGCAAATCAGACACTACTTTCTTGATACGCTCATATTGAACGGCCTCGGTCTCAGCGCTAGTGGGTTGCTCAATCTCGAACATGAGATAACTGTTCCAGAAGGGGCGACTATCAAGGTAATACTGCTGGTTGCCTTGGAAAACCTTGCGAGCGTCATCAGGAGCACCCTTAATCTTCCACAGAAGGCGAGCCCATTCAGCAACAAGGGCAGCCTTGGTTGCCATTTCTACCTGAGGGGAGTCCAGCTGAGTCGTGTAGATCTCAATAGCTGCATCTAAACCACCGTGTCGGCGAGACATATTAGCCAAAGAGATGATGGTTTCAACGTGACTTGGCAAGTAGAATAGGATAGAATGGTGGATATCCTTAGCAATGTCAGTGCGGCCGGACATCTCTTCAAAGTAGGCATACTGCAATCGAATAGCTGGGTTGGCAATTGGCACGTAAAGACAGCTAGCTCGCTGGTAGATGATGCGAGCCTCCTCTTCCTTGCCTGACTGGGCGGTCATCCAGCGGGCATAGCGGAGCCAAAATTCATCGTAATGAGCACATGTCACGAGGCAGCGCTCGTACAGGAATTGGATGCGGGAATACGTGCCTTCGGCTTCTTCGAAATCCAAGTACTTCTTCCAGTTTGTCAGCTGGCCCTCATCCAACTCAGTCACATGGAAGTATGGACGTTTGATTTCTGACTCGTAGGTCCAGCGCTTGGTGGTTTCAGTCTGGGTCTTGGAGAACACCTCCAAATGGTAGTTGTCAACACGCAGTCGCAGATCACGATCAATCTCAGCCTCAGCCTTTGCTCCTGGGGGAACATCAGATGATGCAGCCTCTAACTCGGCACGGAACTGGGATAAAATATCGGCAGATGCCAACTCAGACAAGGGCTGGTTCTGGGCAAGCTGTCGGTAGCGCTCAAAGTATCGTGCATACTGGTGCATAGGAATGTGGATAATGCGACTCAGGATACCGAAGATCTTGTCTTGCGCTTCCACACGTTCCTCAAACTCGATATATTTGTCCCAGAATGGATGAGCTAGGAAGTCAAGGCCTACGCTGTTCGCACCACGTTCGAAAAGACTGGCAGGGGTTAAGGTCAGTAAGCATAATAATCCAAAAGGGGGAATGGGAAAGAGATAGGAGATTAAAGGGGGAAGGGGGTGAAGAAAGGTACGGCAAACGTCATGGTCGACTCTCTCACTGAGGTGACAAGACCCAAGGAAAATCAACGAGTAATGGGGTAGGCATCAAGTGTTTCGTGAACGCGGGCCCCTTGGTTTTGGTGTCCAGGCAAAGTGTCAAAGAAAAAAAACCCATTCTTGTGGTCAAGAGAAGGGAAGCAGCCTGGATGAGCCAAGGGTGAGAAGTATACACCACTTTTTGAAGTCTAGGTGATCATGCAACGGTGTCTCACCCATCATCATTGAAGTGCTCATCCCACGCCTATCCATGCTTCAAATCACATCAGGGCCCAAGATTTCTCGAGCTGCATCGATAAAGGTTACGGGGAATAGGGAAGGAAATCGGCTTGTTATATTTACTTACTCTCGAATGATGTCTGAATCGTGAGAAGTCTCAGCCTTGAAACCACAGTAGTTGGTCCATAGGTCGACTGATGATGAAATGCTAGCAACACCTCTTTCATAGACCTAAGAGATATAGTTATCAGCATTGCGACGATACAGAGCGCGACAAAACATGCCCTGCAAAGGCGAAACATGAACAAAGCATAAACGACGTAATGGGTATCACATACCATTTCTGCGGCTTCCGTTCCTGTGATGGAGAACTCCATGTCGGCATACTTCTTCCAGTATCCGAAAAGAAGCGGGAACTTAGCGAGGAATCGATCGTAGGCATGACGGGCGGTAGTGATAGCCTGGGGGTTGGAGTTGCGGTTGAGGCCGCCTTCGAGGGCCTCCGCTGTGCGCACGAGCTTCTCCCAGGTTTCAAAGTTGTCAGGGTCATCGCTCTAAGAGGAATGTTAGAAAGATACGAATCGCGCAAAGATACGATCTGTAAGCAAGATGCTGTGGGTGTATGCTTACCAGCTCAGCCTCGAGCTTTCGCAGCTCCGCATTCTCTTCATCAGAGCCGCCAAAGTGATAGTCCGCCATATTGTATATTGACACGTGCGCGCAAAAGTCTAGAGCTCAACGCATGTAAAATAGTGTAACAACTATCAATAATGCGTTCGTGTTGATAACAATGAGGTGGATGGTAAGAAGAATATTCTGGAGGCTGAAGAGGCTGAAGCCAGGATAATCGCGAAAATGTCAAACGGGAAAAGACAAGACGGATGTTGCACGGCCTGAGGCCAAGATAATGCTGGGCGGTGGAGTTGAGAAACATGATAAAATTGGAAGGCGGTGAGATATGAAGCCGGGGAGTCTGCTCAACTTTTAAATCACTGTGAGTCCGAGATCACTCACTTTTGGTCAATCTGGTCATTCCAATTCAATAATTGCCCATCATGCCAGCAATCCCGGCAAATGTGGCAGAGCTGCCCCTTCGCCTACGAAATTTCTTCGCTCGCTATCCTCCTCAGATCTACTCTTCACTCGCAGCGCCCCGTTCAGCTCCGCCAGCAGGTCAAGCTTCTACTGAGCAACCTCTTCCATCACCTTACACCCCCGATCGCGATGCCAAGGGTGCTCAAAAACAAGATCGTGAGGCCTACTCTGCTGCTCGCTCTCTCCTCTGGGACTCTCCCAAGGCTCCGAACCCATTCCTGCCCAAAAAGATTTACAGCACCGGTAAATGGATGGGACCCCGATATGGACTACGACAGCAGGCCGACCTTGTGAAGTTGGCTGCCAAATACAATGTTGAGACGCTCTTGCCACCTGGTCCTAAGTCTACAGAATACAAGGCTGTTAAGCTGGCTGAGCGGGGTTTGCGTATTAAGGGTACTGGTATTGGCCAGAAGGTCAAGGGTCACAAGTGGGAGCGTACTATGGAGGCACGTCTGGAGGATCGTCGCAAGGCTATGATCGAGATGCCGGAGATGATTCGTTTGTGGAAGCAGGTAAGTTATTCCTCAATTGTCATTGTCATTGTCATATGGAAGCTGACGCATTTCTCCAGAGAGGTCATGGTCGTGGCTGGCGCCAGTGGCCCAAGCGGTAAACAAAAGACCTGGACTGGTCATGTTTTTGATCGTTTCTCGTTTAATTGCAAGTCGACTCCTCTGTACCCGCTTCTTTTGATGTCCACTTGCTTCCGGGTTCTGGGACTTCTTGGCAGCGGTCTGTATGAACATTGCAGGGGTTTAGGATGGGAGTTATTTTTTTGGCGCCATTTGGCGCCCTTTTCACCATTTTGTATTATATCATGCATGGGACTAGTACTCGAACTTACCCTGGCAGCTTTACCAACATTATTTCAATTCTATGTGCATAAGCAAGTTTGAGAACACCCATACAGTCCACACAAGCCATGGGCGCCATGAGAATGGCAATTTCCTTTCCCCGTGCATCTGAAAACGCCACACCGCTGTTCGTATTCAAAGACGTCGCTTGGTTCGAACCCTATTAATAAAGTCAATTCATGAGCATCATACAGAGTAGTTCATGACCTGCATGAGACAGGCCAATGAAGGTCAATATTGATTCGACTAATCTGCAGGAAACGGCCCCAACGGTTGAAGGCGCTGATGCCCAGATCCTAGCGCATGTGTAATAAAATAATACGGCTTAATACGCGCCCAAGTGCTTTAGCGCTAATGTCATATGCGTGATAAGATTTTGATCACTGCTGGTATAGAGTAGAGTTTCCAGATGTCTAGGATATATATCACAATATCCATTGTCATGACCCCAATACTACGTGGCTGGGTGCTAAGACCCGCCATATACCACATTGTGATAATTTTAGCCGACTTGATCAGTCTATCAGCGGTCTATCAGCCTCCAGGGCTGTCATGAGTGGGTAAGCTGACATTTTGACGAGTGCCGAGCCGCCCCCAAACTATCACAAACCATCAGGTTGATTCAAGCGAGGGATATGCAGGCCATTTGATTATTCCCTCTCGACCGAGGCTCACATTATAGCTAGGGTATGATGTAATATAGGTATAGCTTCGCATTCTAGACTATATCCCTCCGATGCATGAACTCGTAAGCTTTGAATGTTGGAACTCTGGAATGGAGCCAACTCATCTTAGCCCCATTCGGTGATATCTGACCCTGATAGCCACTCCCCACCCACCATGACCCCTCTCAGACCATAACCCCTCTCAGCCTGACAAGATACAACTTTGAAGTGAGCATGGAGATGCCCTGGTCGAGTGATGTTTCGAAAATTGGATTTTAGATTCCAAGCATTTTCCAAGTTATGGTCCAGCATTACATGACTCCATCTACCAACTGCAGACTATGTGAAAAATTCTTGGTTCCTTGATTCGCTGCATATATGCAAGTGAGTTCACCAGTCTAGCATGGCTAACACTAGCGTATCTTGGTTCTATAAGAACAATGGATTGTCCTGAAAAGTCCCACATCCAAACCCCGATCGTTCGCTTGGACTTGCACCAGTGATCCACATCGGAGAAGTCAACGCCCCGTCGGAAACCGCCGAGTCATTACTAAAGGTACGAAGTACCCTGTTCACCTGGGGCAGCTTATCCGTGTTGCCCTTCTCGCCGTTTGATCTTTGTTCTTTGATGGTTGCACAGATATATTGTTTTAGGTCTATTTTTGAGATTGCTTTGTCAAGTCTTATTTGATGCTTGCTTCAATCCGGAACTAACTGAACGCCTTTTATTAGGCCTTCAAATTCAAGTTGGTATATATAGTTCGCAACATGAAAGAGATGATCTTCAATAAGTGGGGATCCCGCCGGGCATGCATCATACCTGCGGGTGAGTTATATGCAGTCACCCGCCCGCCATATTAGTCTTTCCTGCACTACGCGGGGACTTCTTAACTCTTTTATAACGACTCATGACGCTAATCTTCTCTATCAGCAAAGATGAATGGGACCCACAATACAGAGCAGCCCCAGATGGCATATGCTTCAGGCTACTCCGCGGACATTGACACGATTCGGGAGCAGGAATACCCACCGTTGAATGGTAAGTTACCAAACTTCTACTCCTTGAATACTTGCACTATCCAAAATACTTATCTTTTTTTCAATTTAGAAACCGTCTACTTAGACCATGCGGGTACAACGTTATACGCAAAGTCCATGATCGAGGCTTTCTCGCGGGACATGACATCGAATCTTTTTGGAAATCCCCACTCCATGTCTTTGTCCTCACAGCTCTCCACCCAGCGTACAGATGACATTCGACTCCGAGTTTTACGATTCTTCAATGCAGACCCAGAAGAATTTGACCTGGTCTTTGTTGCCAATGCAACTGCTGCTATCAAACTTGTTGCAGACTCAATTCGAGACTCAGATCACCGAGGTTTCTGGTATGGGTACCATGTTGATGCTCACACCAGCTTAGTTGGGGTTCGAGAAGTCGCAGATTTGGGCCACCAATGCTTTCAAAGCGATGTGAAAGTTGATGAATGGATTGCCGAGCTAGCCAAAAACCAAACAAAGGCGCCTCACCTTTTTGCCTACCCAGCACAGTCCAATATGAATGGCCGTCGTCTGCCTCTGAAATGGAGCGAGCAGATTCGATCAGCAGCTGATGAATCTGGAGGCAACGTGTTTACATTGCTTGATGCAGCTTCCCTAGTATCCACAGCCCCGCTAGATCTAAGCTCTGCAAAACCGGATTTTACGGCCCTGAGTTTCTACAAGATCTTTGGATTTCCTGATTTGGGCGCCTTGATTATTCGCAAAAGTGCTAGTCGTGTTTTTGAAGGACGAAAATATTTTGGCGGTGGAACTGTGGACATGGTCGTGGCGGCAGGGGCACAATGGCATGCTAAGAAAGAAGTCTCCCTTCATGAACGTCTTGAAGATGGCACCCTTCCCTTTCATAATATTATTGCCTTGGATGCCGCCATAAACACCCATGAACGTTTATATGGTTCGATGAAAAATATCTCCTCACATACAGCATTCCTAGCCAAACGTCTCTACGACCGCCTTTCTGTGTTATCTCACTGGAATGAGACCCACGTCTGTCAAATTTACCAGTCTACCTCGGCCACATATGATTGTCCACGGACGCAAGGCCCTATTGTGGCATTTAATTTACGAAACAGCAAGGGCGAGTGGATCCCCAAAACTGAAGTTGAGAAATTGGCAACGGTGCAGAATATTCAAATACGAACTGGATCGGTTTGCAATCCGGGAGGCACGGCTTCGTCTCTTGGGTGGACGGGAACAGAACTACGTCGACACTATTCAACAGGCCTACGATGTGGTGATGACCATGATATTCTAGGTGGTCGACCAACTGGTATTCTGCGAGTCAGCATCGGTGCTATGACCAGCATGAAAGATATCGACTCGTTCATTGATTTCATTGCAGAATTCTATGTGGAAAACATCCCTCCCATTGTCTCTGTTGATTCAACTCCAGAGAGTGACTCTGTTGGTCGCCATCTTTATATTGAGAGTCTTTCAGTTTTCCCCATTAAGAGCTGTGGAGCTTTCAGGATCCCGGAGGATAAACGATGGGAAGTTAAGAGGGAAGGCTTAGCATGGGATAGAGAGTGGTGTCTCATTCATCAAGGAACCGGCGCAGCCTTGAATCAGAAAAGATATCCCAGCATGGCACTGATACGACCGTTCATTGATCTCGAGCGTGGAGTTCTCCGCATCTCATGTGGCGTCATGAGCGACTCAGTGAGCCTCGAGATATCTCTTGGGTGGGAGGAAACGACATTCATTTCCACATCACTGTGTCCAAATACTACGAAGCGCACCATGGTGTGTGGCGACCAACTTTCCCTGCATGCATATGCATCACCAGTGGTTTCAGCATTTTTCTCCGACTTCCTTGGTGTTCCCTGTACACTTGCTCGATTTCCTGCACAGACTGTTAACCGATTCTCCCGACCCCCTCGCCTATCCAATAAATGGAAGAGCAAATTTCGCAAATTGATTATGCCGGGTTCTTTCCCGCTTGATCTTCCCCCGCCAGCTCGAGAACAAGGTCGAAACCCTCTCCTTCTTTCGAATGAAATGCCTATTCTAGTTGTTTCGCGCTCGTCTGTCAACCACTTGAATGAACTTATCAAAGCAAAGGGTACGCAAGGCTCACGTGCTAGCAAGGCTGTTGCTGCCGACGTGTTCCGTGGTAACATCGTTGTTGCTGAGCGACTTGTCCAACTAGGCGATGCGGAACAGCCTTATATCGAGGATCATTGGTCTTCTCTGCGCATTGGTCCGGATCAGCTCCGTGTAGATGTGTTGCATCCATGTCAGCGATGCCAGATGGTCTGTATAGATCAAGTTACTGGTCGGAGGCGAGAAGAGCCTTTCTCAACCCTTGCAAAGACCAGAAATATGGATGGGAAGGTGAACTTCGGCAGATATGCAGCCCTTTCCAGGGAGGATGCAGACGCTCTTGAAACGGATTCTCCAGATCGCCGGACGGTCATGGTGGGAGATGTGGTCGTGCCAAGCTTCCTCGAGGAGTAGAAAGAGCCACTGCCAGTGGCAGTTACAAACAAATTGATAAAGAGGCGTTCAGGTACTGGGTCAACATTTTTGTTGAGGCCTGAGGATATAGAATTCAATGTTGCATATTCCAAATTGTGATGCATCTTCCGAACTGTACATAGCTTCAAATCTTCTCAATAATACTTCTGGCCATATTTTTAACTTTAAGTTCTCATTAATTGACATTCTCACACCCCAGAATAAATTTGGACCTCGAACCACCACTTGTTTGATCACAATTTTAATTCGTATCTCAGTATTTACAAATACTAGTAGATCTCAATCACTGCCCAGCCACAGCTTGGCCAGCCGCAACCTGGTTCATGCGTGTGAATGGTGCAGCAAATCCATAAGTTTTGTAACCAGCCGAATAATCCTTTCCTTCAACACGCTCTACATTAAAATTAGTATCAAATTAAATAAAGACGTTCACGCAGATCAACTTACCATGCTCTGGAGGGAAATTTTCCATCCGATGCTTGTAATATCTCTCTCTCAGATCCAATCCATCACTCTTGGAATGGAAAGTTGCATAAAGACTAGCACGACTCTTATCCGTTTTGTTTGCAGCCGAGCGATGCGCAAGATGAGAACCAAAAATGAGCATATCACCAGGCTCCATTGGTAGGGTAACCCACTCGTGCTCATCCTCCCATGACTGCTTGATACGATTGGTTTCATCGAACTCAACCTCCATCTTGTGGGATCCAGGTACCACCTCCAAGCAGCCGTTAGCAATTGTGGCTGCGTCAATGGCAACATTGGCAGTTACGTGCTCGATGCGACCGATGTGATCATATGCGGGCGCGTCAAGGTGGGCTTGGAAGCCGTTGCCAAAGGGTTGCTTATAGTTGATTTTGTCTTTGAAGAGAAGCATGTCCTGCCGAAGTGTCAGTGATTGAAGACTTTGAATTATTCTTTCAAGAATGGATTTTTTACATCACCAGAAACAGCCTTGAGAATTTCACCTAGCTTCTCGCCGCAGACAAGGTCTTTATATTCAGGGTGGAAGTCGATGAAGCGCTCAGTACGCATGAGTTGGCGCTCGCCGTTCATGTTGATCTCGTCATAGGGCATCCACTTTCCCTTGACACGGGGCCAGGTTTTAATCTCCTCCGTCCATTGCTTCATAGCTGTTGGGTCAACGAGTTGATGCTCATTGACGCGTAGGAAGAGATATCCATTCTGGTGATACGAGGCCACCTGTTCTGGAGTGAGCTGCATTGTGGTGCGGTTGGAAGTTTTTGGACTGGGAGGGTATCAAATGAATAAGATTTGATGCTGAAGGCCGCCAGTGAGAGTGATGAGGTGGATCAACCGGACAATGGGTGATGCATTAAATACATATGACGATGCTAAGAACATGAAGAACTCCCACGGAGCCGTCAAATGCCGAAGCCGTGAGGACACATTTCAATCTGACCATTCAGAACTTATTCCGCAAGCCTTATCCCTGGTCCCTTTTTTCTCCATCTGAGAACATGGATCCATTGTACTAAGATCTCACCAATATCTCATAGGCGTTCGTCCCGATGCCGGATACTCGCACGGACCGTCGGCCTTCGTCCCGACAAGTAAGCTGCACAACAATAGCGGGGATACCTGGATATCAAACTGACAGGTGGATCAATCAGATCTTCTTTATTTGCACGTGTGATGGAAAGAATGGTACACAGCGGACTTCGTGCCTATACTTCCCATGATTTGATATTAGAATGTCTTGAGTCTATTCACAGATGAACCACAACTACTGTTGATCAGCAAATTCTCGCACCGGGAAACAATATCGCAAAATGAATCTGAAAATGGCAGATCTTCAGCTACCAACTACTCTCGAGTCTGTTGAAGAGCATACTCGAGCTACGATTAAGACACTCTTCGCCTTTCTTCATGCTCAAGGCCAGGGTGACTACCTTGGAGAGCGAGTGACGCAACTTGAACATTCGTTGCAATGTGCAGAGTTCGCAGTCAACTCGGAAGAGTATAGGAATGATCCAGAGGTCATTCTTGCTGCTTTGCTGCATGATGTTGGGCGCTTTATTCCAGCCGCGGAGAAGATGGAAAAGATGATTGCCCCAGATGGCAAGTATATTGGTCGGATGAGCCATGAGATCATAGGCGAGTCTTATCTGCGCCAGATAGGATTCAGCGAGAGAATCTGTCAATTGGTCGGAGCTCATGTCATGGCTAAGCGGTATCTTGTCTCTACGGATGAAAAATATCATGATGGGTTGAGTGAGACTAGCAAACGCACTCTGCGTTTTCAGGTATGTTTAATCCCAGACTACTGGTATGAACGAGATATTTCCAAGGTTATATTAACTCGTTCTAGGGAGGTGCCTTCACTGAGAAGGAGATCTCAGAGTCTCAGAAAGATCCATGGCTACAGGCAAAGCTTGCAGTCAGACGATGGGATGACCTGGCCAAAAACCCAGACTGTGTAGTGTCTCCGCTTGAAGTCTATGAAGAGATTGCTTATCAATGTCTACTGGGTAAGTGCAGAGCCTCCTATCTTAGATATGATCCATGCTAACTAAACCCAAAGAATCACGGTCAAAGTTCACTCTCCATTCAAAGGAGTATCAAATCCCAACTCAACCAACTGTGGTCATTTGCATCGATGGATTCGACCCAGAGTACTTGGAATCGGGACTCAAGGGAGGTCTCTTGCCTGCAATGAGAAAGATGGTTGATAATGGCTTTCATGCAACCGCTAAAAGCTGTATGCCATCTTTTACGAATCCCAACAATGTGTCCATTATCACGGGCGCACCGCCATCCATCCACGGCATCGCAGGGAATTTCTACCTTGATCGAGAATCTGGCGAGACGAAAATGATCGTCGATGATTCCTTGCTTCGAGGCTCCACTCTGCTTGAGCAAATGTTCCAGAGAGGAGTACGAGTCGGCGCTATCACCGCAAAGGACAAGCTTCGCAAAATCCTCGGACATGGTTTGAATGGAGCAATTTGCTTCTCAGCTGAAAAAGCAGCCAGTTGCACACTGGAGAAGAATGGAATTGAGAATGTTGAGTCGTGGTTGGGTCAGCCGGCTCCAAGTCAATACTCCGGCGAGCTGTCGTTGTTTGTTTTGGATGCTGGAGTGAAGCTTCTACAAGAAAAAAGGTGTGACTTTTTATACTTGACGCTCTCGGATTTCATCCAGCACAAACATGCTCCCGAAAGTAAGGAGGCCGATGAATTTATGCATGCCATCGATGAAAGACTGCAGAAATTAGTCTCTTTGGCTCCTGTTGTTGGAGTGACTGGTGATCATGGTATGAGCCAGAAGTCAAATGAACAGGGTGAGCCGAATGTACTGTTCCTTGAAGAAACCCTGAACAGTACATTCGGCCAAGAGGCTACTCGAGTCATTTGTCCTATAACGGACCCGTTCGTACGACATCATGGAGCTCTTGGATCCTTCGTCCGAGTCTACTTGAAGGACATCACAAACCTCGATGCCATGTTGGCATTTTGCCAGTCTCTTCCTGAGATTGAAGAGGCACTCAGCCGGGAAGATGCGGCCAATAAATACGACATGCCTTTTGACCGGGAGGCCGACATCGTCGCTATTTCCAAGTCCCATGTTGTACTGGGTAGCAAAGAATCGGATCATGATCTCTCCAAAGTCAGGGACCACCCGCTGCGATCGCATGGAGGACTCAGCGAGCAGCATATTCCGGTGCTTACGTCCAAGCCAGTAAAGAATCAGGCGACTGCTTTGCAAAAGAGCTGGAGAAACTATGATATTTTTGATCTTGTTCTCAACTGGGTGTCGTGATATGTATTCAAGTTTGTCTAACTCGGTGCTCAAGAGCGCGCTGGAGGACCCATGGAAGTATTATAATGTAGCCACCACTCATCTAAATCAGGAAAATTAGTTTGAAAATCAAAGCTTGCCATATTCTCCATCCATGCCATATCAAATTGAGGTTGTTCCATCGCAGGTGAAGCGTGGTATATCATCTCTTGAGAATTCGTAGGAGGAACTTGACACCTGCTCAATAATCGCTCCAGCCCTTCTGCAATAACAACAAGTAAATGTTGCCGGTGCATGGTCTTAGTAATATCGCGCAGAGCCGCTACAGTTTGAGTAACCAAAGAAAGTATTTTGGCTGTGTCGATGCGAATAACAGTTGCATACTTTGTCGCAACTTTGAGCAGGAAGATGACTGCGAAGGCAAGCATCGTGTCAAAGTACAGTGGCAGACCGTTCATAAATGATCGGAATTCCGCATCTGAGACAATCACACGGAGAATGGACATGGCTGAGAGTACACCCGCGTTGGCGATCTCTTCCAGTTCAGGCGAGAAACAATGCGTCGCGTTTTCGACTGCGGGTACACCGCGAAATGCATGAGAGCAGAGATAGAGCTTGGCGAAGTGGAAATGAAATCCCACACCCTTTTGTGGATAGTTTCCCACGTTGCGATTTTCCCGGAAGCTCTCGTTCCAATCTGCCAACCAAGTATCCAGAGCGATCGCGTATCGACGTAGCTGGGGCATTGTTTCGGATGGAATCGCCGTGTCTACATCGACCCCGAAAGTGTCGAAAACCTGGCCCAGCACAGACCATTCTTGTACTTGGCTGATGAGCCGGGCATCATCTTCTGTTGCATGCTCTGTTTCTAATAGTCGGCTCGCAGATTTAATGATGAAACCTTCTCGCGACATTGGGGGTCGGCCGTATGCGATTGAGAAGTGGTGGTCACAGACATAGACAAGGTAATAGAGTCGAGCCTGAAGATAGCCCTCTCGGTCACCTTTCAGGGCCTTATATATCCCACTATGGAGATTTATATCCGATGCAACTCGTACAGCTGATTTTGTTAGATCATGATTTTGTGTATAAATTGATTTCAGTGACATACCATTTCCAATCAAGGCCCAGGATAACTCGTGCAGCCAAAAAGCGCCCACACATAGACCTCTGATATCATCTTCATTTGGGGTTCTAGAGAACATCTGTGTCGCAACCAAGCCCTTATATTCATTGTAACAGACGTCGAAAAGATGACCCCATGACTGTGAGTGAAGAGCTCCCACTGTACAGACTGCTGCTGTTAATAAGGGTGATGCCACTCGGACTGAGTCCAGACTGATGTGGTCACCCAATATTCGATATAGAAAATGGTCTAATCGTAGATGATACTCTTCAAATAAGGCAAGTGCTTGGCGTAGTGTGATTAATCCTGTGGATATCAGATCTGGTCGACGCGAGGGTAAGCCATTTGGCAATGTTCTCCTCGCACCGTCTGAGACACATGATGCTGGAATGGAGGCTGGGCCTCCCCGTGGATCCATCACAACCTCCCAAGTTCGAGGAAGCTCGCGATCATCCTTCGGTGGGGGTTGAGTCTGCACTTGAGCCTGAAACTGAGTCTGCACTTGAGATTCCGGACTAAGAGTCGCAGGTTCTGCGTGGGCCAGGTTTACAGGAGGACTCAAGTCCATCTGGTCATCGGGATGTGACTGTAATTCTGGAATATCCACCTTATTCGCAATTTGCGAGATGGCCTTTTCAAGTCGCCGGATCTTGTGAACCATGGCATCTTTCCATCTGGAAATGGTCAACACTTGGCCAATTTTCAGATTAATAGAGATACTCACGTCACATCTTCTTCAAGTAGGGTCTGCAAACTTCTGTTCACTGTACAAGGCAGTCCTCTTTTCTTGCATCGGGAACATGGCGCCTGGCCTTCTCTCATATGACATTTGACCTGTGCTTTGATTAGAACAGTCACGCATTATCGCCAACTGGAGAACGCCACACTTTTTGTTTTCGACATGCCACGCATGCAGTGATTTTGCGAGTGATATCAGGTGGTTTACGATCACCAAATGATTCACGCAAGGCGCTCACAGCCGGTGGCGAGGGCAGCGACATGTCCATTTTGCAGACTGCAAACTTCCGGATGGTTCCTGGAACCTGTATGGACCTGGACCCGCTTGCGATAAGGGGACTCAGGCAGTGAAACCACTTTGATATGCGATCTCTCACTCAACCAACCAGAAGACATACAATGGACATGACCCGTTGTCTAGAACACCGGGGTAAGGAACACAAAATCAAAGAATATCAAAGGACTTCGCACCGAAATCCAGTTATATAAGCTTATATGGACGGTAACTTGACCGGCTGCACGTGGGGGCGGGCAAAGCCGGTGACTGGCAGCATCTATGACTCCACATTTGCCTTCCGATCGGCTCGCTTACTCTATGTGCGTTGCCGCACCCCCGTGGTAGATCTCTTTGTGCTCATTGAATATCAAATGTGTTGATCTTGGTATTCCTAAACTGTCGAACATCTACCTTTACCACGGCGATTGAAGCGGTGGTTTACGTGTGCTCCGAGAATTGATAGCTGGAATTGTTGCTGCGGTAGTGACCTCGGAACAATGAGAGTATAAAACTGTGTAACAAATCGCCACTATCGAGAACCAGGATGCAGGAAACCATTGTCACCGAGTTACATTCTGTGTCCTTATTGATTATTTTTGACATTCTTTAACAATTTTTGAGTTTCTGAGTCTATTTCACATCACAATGCACTCCGAGTCAAATCCTAAGGCGCTGGGTGCCCAGGTGCGGTTCATGATAACCGCTGGTGTTGGCTTCTTTGCAGATGGCTATCTCAATTTAACTATTGGACTGGGTATGTACTACATCTACACCTTTCCCCAATAAATACTGATCAATGCTACCCAGTGGTGCCTATATTGGGGTACCTTTATTTCCCAGATGGCAAAGTCTCCACGGTCGACAGTGATGTGATCAAAGGAGGTCTTAGCCTGGGTATGGTCGCCGGCCAACTACTTTTTGGAATACTGAGTGATGCATGGGGACGAAAAAAGGTCTATGGCAAAGAGCTGCTCCTCACTATCTTTGGAACACTATTAGTGATCCTACTCCCTTGGAAGGGGATGAGTACTCGGTCTATAACAGCCTGGGTGACAGTCTTCCGTGTTGTGACTGGCATTGGAATTGGTGCTGGTAGGTGAATTTCCCCCTCCATTCAACTTCAATACTAACATTCGTAAGATTACCCTCTTTCCTCGTCATTCACTGCCGAGAACACCGATGTCTCCACCAGAGCCGTGCGAATTTTAGCTGTGTTCTCCAATATTGGACTTGGAAATATGGCTGCAAGTATAGTTTTCTTGGTCTTGCTCAAAGCATTTGAAAGTTCAGTTGCAGAAAACATCAATCACCTTGAATGGGTCTGGCGACTCTTGCTTGGAATTGGCATTATCCCAGCAATTTTTACACTATATGCTCGTTTGACTATTTCTGAAACACAGCTCTACAACAAACGTGAGACTTGACTTCAACCAGAAGATTTTAATACAAAGCTGACTGAAACAGATGTATCTAACAATAAACGTGGTCTAAAAGACCAGTGGAAAGACTTCCGAGAGTACTTCGGTGACTGGAAACACGCGAGGACACTTTTTGCAACATCCGCCTCTTGGTTTCTTTTGTAAGTTTGTAGATTCGAATTTTCAGTTGATGATGCTAACTATCCCAGTGACATCGCATATTATGGAATCAACCTCAACCAAAGTGTAGTGCTTTCTAGAATCGGGTATGCCAAAGGCAACACTCCGTGGGAAACCTTATACAAGACTGCGATTGGCAACATCATTATCCAAGCTGCGGTAAGCTCCCCATCAAGCAATGTGTTGGGTATGTATTCAGTTTCTCAAAATCGTTTACAGGGCTATCTTCCTGGATTTTACGTCGGCATTTTCCTCCCAGACCGTATCGGCCGCGTTCGCCAACAACTATTCACATGTGGTATGGTGTGTATTCTTTATGCTATCTGGGCTGGAATCAGTTCGCCTGGAGTTCACACATCTACGGGAGGTCTTATGGCCATTTTTGCCATCTCGCAATTCCTCCTCACGTCTGGGCCAAACTCAACGACTTTTCTCATTCCTGCAGAGGTATTCCCAACACGGGTCCGAAGTACTGCTCACGGTATCTCTGCAGCGGCTGGTAAATGTGGTGCTATCATTGCTGCATTTGCATTTGGAAGTGTTGAGGATGCTATCGGCTTGTACGGCATCCTGGGTCTCTTCTCTGGGGTTATGCTGTTGAATACGCTTGTCACTCTCCTGATCCCGGAGCCGAGCTTGACCATAGAAGGACTCGGAATTGACCCAGGGAGTCCGCTTGTAGATCAAGGTGCGGAACAGGCCAATAAGGCTTCTGTTCTTCCGAGCTCGAAAGTTACTGAGGTGACCATTGATTGAAACCACTGATTCTGGATGTGTCCGTAACCTCTAGACATGTTTGATGAATCAATCGTTTGAGGGAAAATATGTACAGCATGCTTGAAATATCATATCTTGATTGGTTATTTTTGTTTGCTTGGTCGGCTAAGGGCTACTTGCATTAATGTCCAGATAATGGGTTTGTCGATTTATCACATTTAACGTGACTCTAGACCTTGGAGAGCCTGAGGTTCAAGTTTGGGCCGTTTGGCACACCAGCCTTCCAAGGTTAGAAGATCCACAGGTAGGACCAGGACAATTGACAACTTGAATCTCTGAATCTCGAACCTTTCAAAGGATATAAATACCCGGGCTGGATTTTCTCGCCCCAAGGTGGAAAAATAAAATGCATTTCAAAGTAGACTGGCACACTGTAAAACCCCACCTCACCATCTGGTTACCTGCAGGACCCCAAGGAGGAAACGATCGCCACAAACAGACGACTCATAAATACCCCAAATCATGTCCAAACAAAAGAAAACTTTATTGAATTCAAGGGAGTGGGATTATTTGGCAACCATGCGATTTCCACCTGAAATTATGATCATGATCGTTGAAGAAGCGGTAGGGAGTATGTCGATTCAAGATTTACTGAGAGCCAGACTTGTGAACTGTGAGAACGACCCTCCCAGTTGCGGAATTTCCACTAATTCCATGACAGCTTTCTTCGCTATAGAAATCAAAAGATCCCTTATTGCACACCCTCGGTTGGAATTTGATGGATTCGGCTTTTGTCAAAAAGAACCCTGCAGGAATTGTTTTTGTTATCCATATCCGAAATGGCACCGTTTCCCATCTAAGATGAAACGAGAGTACCTGCATCATATGGCTCGACAGTATACGGAGAGCCCTTCTTCATTCTCCGGGGTGATCCAAAGTCTGCTTCGTTGCCAATCTGTGGAGCGTACCCGCGAAGAAGCAACAGACTTAATCGACAAGATCATTGATGCATGGTTCTTGGGCCCTCGGCATGGACAGGTCCTTGTCGCGAGCTTAAGCCATACCCTCTTGGAACTAAATGGACTCTACAGAATTATACATTTCAATCGATCGATGGTCTTGGAGCAAAAGATGCCCTTGAAACCGCTCTTGCGATGAGTGCAATTTTCAGAAACGATCCTATTGAGTTGCAAAAAGTCATTGAGGTTCATTTGGGACAGCCTCCATGGTCTGGAGACCTTGAAATGGACCTTCTGAGTGCAAATTTCATGTATGGATTCGTCACTACTTTGGATGTGGCAGCAAAGCACGGAACTGCTGATATCACGGTGCTTATTGCAAATCGTGATAATTTCAAGTTCGCTCGAAAGTATTGGTTTAAAGGCCGCTTCGTCAATTTGATGGCGAATAAAGAAAATTGGGCTGGACTGAAAGCCTGGATTGAATTCTTCAAAGTGTCCGAAGACAATCTGATCGTTTTTCCTGGGTGTACACATGAGACTCTCACTATGCGCTTAAGACCTGCCATCTACCATTGCTTACAGATTGGCAATTTTGACATGATGGACTTTATTGTGGAGGAATGTGAAAGCGAGACGGATGAAGTCAAGGAAGATCTTCACTTCGATATTCTGATGCAGGCTATCCGCTCTGGGGAAGTTGATGCGGTAGAATACGCACTCGAAACGAAGAGACTCGATATGCGCGAACAATTGAGGAGGTACAATTACTTCACGCCGCTTTTTCAGGCGTTATTTGAATGTCAGGAGGCCACAAAAGTCGCCATCATGGGTCTTCTTCTTGAATATGGAGCCGATCCTCTTCAGCCCCATCACAACACCAAAAGAATCCCCCTGGAGTATGCTCTCAGGCAAGGAAATTTCTTGATTGATAGCGTCCAGCTTCTTTGGAATCATGAGATGAAGCTTTTCGGGACTCCATCTCTACTATTATCCTCACCTGCGCGCAAGTCATACTGGCTTCGAATTGCGTTTGCGAACCGATATATGCCTTTCGTTGATGTTTTGCTGCGACACGGGACGTCGTCCGTTTTGTGGAGGGGTATAAAATATACCATTCAGGAAATTGACAGCACGATAGGTGCCCCTAAAAAGAGATGTGGTCGGTTCTCGGTACGCTATGACGATGCAGGTAGTAAGTATCTGCAAGGAAACTGATGGTCGGGTTATCATTGAGAAAGATGAATGGGCATCGGATGAGGATCAAGGCGATGGGCACAATGACAACGAGGATGATCCAATAGATCACGTTTAAACAGAAGCCAAAGAAGACAGTGAGCAAGATAAACAAAATGATGGGGAGCAACAGCATCGTGATGGTCAATCCAAGGCTCGGCACTGCCTATGGCATTATCATAAATTTTTCTATGTAAACCATCAAGTAGCTGCAGTCAGCGCTTAAGGGTGCGGACTTCCAAGGTTGAAGGGAAAGAGTTTCAGGTTGGGTTGAGTTCCATGTTCATTTTACCCTACAATTTACGATCAAGCTCTCAATCAAATTTCATAATATTCTGGTATCGTGTTCACATGGAACATGCATAGCATGCAGTCATAACTTAGTAGTTGAACTGGCTCTCGTCGACCTCCTCGATGTGCTCACGAGCGCGGTGCTTGGCCTTCTCGCGGTCAATGAAGTCCAGACCCTTGGTCTCAACCTCACGGTCGATGAAAGCACCGGCTAAACCGGCCATGATCTCCTTGGCCTCAGCGTGGCTTGCGGGCTGGCCTATTTTTCACATAGCGTTAGCTACTTGATTTGACACCCATAGCTCGAATATAGAAGAATTGTATACGTACCGTTCTCGGCGCAGTGGTTCTCGTAGGCCTTGGCAGCCTCGTAGCTGGCAGCACCGGCAATCAGCTCGTGAGACCAGCTAGCCTCGTGCTCGCGGGGCTCGGAGCTGTTGTACTGGTTGGCGTAATCAGCCTGCTGAGAGTCGTCTATTTAAGGTGAGCCAAGGTCTTGGTGATAGCTTGGAGTAGGGATAGGGAGACTTACCACTGAACCAACCCATGATGAATTATTGAGAGTGTAGAGGTTATTTGGGAGAAGGAGAGTTAGAGGGAGATGATGGAAGAGAAAGAGTCAAGCAGGGAGATGAGGGGTTCATATAGGAGGGGCATTCAGCGTAGCGTACAAACGGGCCAATCACCCCAGGGACTAAGGGGTGCCACATCACTGTTTCACTATCGTCATGCTCAAAGTTGATGATTGGTGAGTGGATTGTTTTGCCTCTACAATTTCATTTCTCCTAAGCGCCTGGATTGGAGTCTCCCGAAACGTGTCCGATCATTTCCCTGTACAGCTCCTAGAAGCTGCGCCATCTCTCTTCCACGTCATTTTATGACAGCAGGGATACTGTGGCTGTGACGACCGAAACCTGAACGCGGGATTTTCTGTTCCAAGTGGGTGGGGCGAGAAGCTACTAGTCAGGGTCCCATAGAGGGGCACTTAGCCACAAGGGTCGCGCTAATATGATTTCTACACCGTCTCTTGCAAGCTTGATCGAAAGGAAAATGTCATTCAAGCTTGAAGAAAAGAATTCCAAAATGATAGTAGTTGAATGGTTATTCTGCATCTCCGAGGAAAGTGCGTGGGTAGCTATAGGTGGGAGAGTACTTAAAGTGCAGGGGTATAAACAAGTTGTCTTGTCGCGCAGGATGATGTCGATCGCAGGGATTAGGTGACTGGATATCAGTAAGAGTTTGAATTCACGCAGGAATTGAGCTCGAATATTCTTTCTCGGTTCAAAATGCAGTTTCAAGTTGTATCTGCACTCAGTAGGGAGTAGGCAACCGGAGCTTCCGACCGATTCAACTTGCCAAGATAGACAAGCTTTGCCTTCCCCACCTCTTATCATGCCAGGTGGCTTCAGCGATATCGGCTACCAGCATAACCTGACAACAATCCAAAGTTCTTTTCCCCAATTCCCAGCCCGGGAATGCTTCAACAAGTCGGCAGGAATTGCTGATCTTGGAATAACCAGCTCTCATCGCGGGGTCAGATTCGTGACGCTGACGTGCCAGGTCTAGCACGCACTATTGGTTTAGGAGCTCAAATGTGGCGTGTTTATGACTCGCGATTGGAGTAGCCCCAGAGTAGTGGGGCGAAGTCAGAGGCATTGACTTTCCTGATAGGCAGTGCATGTTGGTCGATCGGACTGACACGTTACAAGATTAGATTGCCTGCGCGTCAGGTTTTGATTGGATCCGACCCTTAAAGGATCTCGGGGTACTCCGTACGTACATGACCACATGCACTTTCAAGCATAGAATTTATGCACTGAATTGATCAGAAAATGTGAGATCGTATTGGAGGAACATGAGGGGCAAAAACATTCGTTTGGGCGAGGAAACTCATAAACAAAGTGAATGGATATACCCGATGGGACACTAACCTCTTCAGTACCCCAATAACCATTGACACATCACATTTAGCACGAAAAATAAACATCTGGAGGCATTAGTCAAATTGTGGAGTCTTTACATAGAAATTTCGTCGAATCTCATGGCGAGAAGCATGAAGCTCTCCACAAAAATTTGGCTCGAACAAAGCGTCTATTGAGACCCATTTGCGGTAATCCAGGCTCTATTCAGAACCCAATTCAGCGATGCCGAATATATGACAGCAACAGCACAAAGGTGTCGAAGCGATGGCAAGTGACATTTCTTTCATATATGAGAAGTCATAACTCTTCATCTCTATTCAAATGCATTCTGATCGCCTAAAATTGGACTCATCTTTGTTTTTAATCCTCGATGTGCATGCAATATTATGAACTATTGAGCAAGTGACATGCGGCTACCAGGGAGCCATGTGAGCATAAACGCATCATGAAACACTGACATGGCCGGAAGAAAAAGGATTAAAGAGGGTATATAAGCCTACGTCTTGCAATCTACCTCCGAAAGACCGTGAGCTGTCTCCGAGTCAATCAATAATGAAAATCTTGACGATTTTTACTCTTGGGGGCCTCGTCGAAGCCACGGCCACAGCCTCATACATTCCCGGCGGTGCTCTCATTGGGAAATACTTCTCTCTTGATAAACGTTCGGCACCGGTGGAAGACAGTGATGGACTTTGCTACAACTACACCATTGCGCAATCGGATACATGTGCAAGCATTGCCAGCGCGTATGATATCACAACAACGGAGCTCGAGGATTACAACACAAACGTTTGGGACTGGTATGGCTGCGACTATCTGTACCAGGGTGCCTTCATCTGTCTAAGCTCTGGCTTGCCTCCTATGCCAGTGGCTCTGCCTCATGCTACTTGTGGCCCTCAGGTTCCCGGTACAACACGACCGGCCGACATGTCAAAGTCATATCTTGCTTCCTTGAATCCTTGTGACAATGAATGTGTGAGTAATGGACACTGAAAGAAAGCCTTGAGTTCTATTGACTGACTTGTTTATAGTGTGCATCCTGGGGTGAGTGTGGCACGACCTCTCACTTCTGTGACAGTGAAGATTGTATCTATGGTTGCGACAATGAATCGTCATCTACGTCAACGACAGCAAAACCTACATCCACATCGAGCACCACCACATCAACTAAGACTAGCACAACCAGCACGAGTACGACCAGTATAACCAAGACAAGTACGAGCACCACGAAAACAAGCACCACATCCAAAGAGTCAACCACCAGCACAACCTCTACAAAAGAAAAAGAGACCACAACAACTACAACTACAGCTACAGGCCCTACTGGTACCTGGGAAGTCACGATCTATGAAGACTCAGGTTGCTCTGCTGGCGATGGAGGCTATTTTGTAGCGGGAGGATTCAACTACGACTATAACAATCAATGCATCCGTCTCAGCGGAGGAGATCTGACCACTTCTAGTGCTGGTCCAGGACCTTATTGCCAGTGGTATGAAGATGGTGGAATGATGGGGCCTCTGAGCTGCTCAGAGTCTACCTTGACTGAGGCAAAGTCCTGGATTATTCAATCTGGAAACTGCAACACCTATACTGACGATGCCTGTTCCGATTACAGTGGCGAGATTGTTAATCCGCAGGCGGGCTGCCAGGTCGATAAGGAGAGTGATTGGTCTCCTACTTCAAATACTATTGGCTCTTTGTTATGTGCGTACCTCTAAGATGAGCAGTAAAGCATGGGACACGTTCTTTTCATGTTCAAAGATTGAAGTCGGGTATCCATATGGACACTCGCAGCTGATACTCGGAGATGGGATTCATATTACTTTCTTTCAACGTAAATTAAATTGACTGCACTATCCCTCATTTATGTGCAGAATGCCAATTATGAGGATCCAGAATGAAATATTTTAACTTGGTCGATCAATCCGATAAAGCATAGACGCAGGATGTAAATAGGCCTCATATTCCACTTCCTTCTCTCCGGGAACATCATAGTGATAATGACCACCTTTTGTATTGCCATTCGGGTCAAAACAATGCGTATGTTCCATTCGTAAACCCAGATTCTCCGGATCAGCACTGTGCATCACAGTCAAACACACGACCGGCGCATCGAAGATATGATAAGTAAGCCACTCCTTCTCAAGCTGTGTTCTATCCCGAAAAGGTGTTTCCGGGAAATCAGGCATGACATGGAAATTAGCAGCACCAGATTTCAAGAGAAATACTCCACCAAGGCTAACAGGGTTGGACTCTCCATAGAAATCCCGAATCCCAAACCGAATAGCATCGGTGAAATTCAATTCCCCTTTCCTTCCCTTAGCCACGACTTTCAATACAGGTCCAGTCTCACCAGAAGACCCATAAAGATTCATCATAAGTGCACAATTTGTACTTGATGCCTGCTGACAAGAGGATTCCCCACCAGCACCGATTTCAATAACGCGGGTATTATTTACAATCTTCAATGAATGCGGAGAATCAAAATCCGGTATCTCATGCTCCGAGTCAGATTTCCAGGCGATACTAGGCGCTAGTTCGGCATTATGGCCGAGATCTTGAAATGGAGCTGCGCCCGCTCCGAGGAGAGATCCGCCTACTGGAGACATCTCCATTTCCTTAGCCAGGGATATTAGGGAGTATTTGGCGTTGAGGTTTGGGCTGGGGAATAGATTCGGTTGACCGCCTATATCGGCGATGCAGGGATTCCCTGATAACCCAGGTGCGGCGAGGTGGAAGGGCGCGGAGCGGAGATCGGGACATTGTACGACCCGGACTGTGATACTCTTGAAGTTGGATTCGAGGGATTTTTGGATCACTGTTGCGAGTTCACCTAGTGGCGGGGATTCTCGGGGGTGAATCGTAGTGCTCATTGTGTTTTCTTGGGAGTTGTCGCTTTTATTTTGTTATTGATGAGGTGATGTGGAGAGAATTTTGGAGGTGCGGGGAAGAGGAGATGATAGTATGCGTCATAGTTTATTTACTAGTACAGCACTTGAGTATGAGAATAGCGTGGAGTGCAATTAATGGCAAATGGCAAATACTAATATTGATGGTATTTTCTTTCTTGAAATTTTCGGTAGCTGTAGTGTTTTTGCCTGATGTGTACTAGGTAGTATCTACTTTCCAGGTTGTCCCAGTATTGGACAACAAGCATTCCTCCTGGTGCAGCCAACTGGTCTTTGATCAGAGATCAGAACCTTGGAAGAAATGTTCTACTAATCTAGCCCTACGGAAATCTAGTCAATATTATATCCATGCCATGCAGTCAGCTTTGACTCAGAATTGGCAACCTTTGAGGCTTGCATGACAAATACCTGCTCTGCTTCGGTGTATGGAATGGTTCCATACCGCTAGTTGCGCTTCGCGCCTTAAAGTACTTGAGGCGTATTGAGCCGACCAAAATCTTCGAATCATGAAAGGCATTAGGCCGCTTTGCAGGTGTTGTAACACAATTGATATCGAATGAACTGTGATCTACCTACTAGTGTGTAGTACATAGTAGGATGAACTAGATTCACCAGTTGACTTAAAGCGGAATTAGGCGGTGTGGACATCTTGAACATCTTCACTCGAACGTCCGATAACTTGAACCGATACATATATTGATATATTAATTATTATATCATTCTAGTCAAGTTCTCATATATGAGAGGTCCAATTCTTGAAAGTACAGGTCACACTAGATTCGTATCTCGTACCTGAATGGTGCTGAGATCTGATCAACATGCAAGGCGTCAGCCACTTACAGAGCCTCGATTGTCAGGAGGCCCATGACATCAGAAAACAAATCCCACAATTATCCAAGACCAATGACCGGCTCGGTAAATGAAGCTGATCAGGAATAGTGAAACTGTGTGTATGTAAGAAAAATTGGCGAAAAAAGAGTGAGCGCTCGTGTAATCCTGCGCTTAGGGAACAGTAGAAGTGGAGGGATGGAAGGGCTCGCGACAACCTGCACTTAGGAGACAATCACTTGCACTTAACGGAATAGCGGATCTCTATACGCCACAGTCCATTCCACAGAGGAAAAAAGTACATATTGAGCCTGGTTGGCATTTCAATTTCAATTTTATTTCTATTTCTTCTTTAAATATTTTCTACTCTCCCTTCGATCTATTTGGATCTGAATCTTGATCTTCTACTTATACATAGTACCTAGTAACTTGTACTATCTTACTTATCGTGGATCGACCTTCCTCTTTCCACCTTCCCCGCGATCCACTTTGACCCATTTACTCTTTCAATTCAACTTAATTCCACCATGACAGCCACCAAGGAAATTCCATCGCATTATCATGCTGCTTCTACTGATGAAGCTATTCACGCTGAGAAGAATTATGCTGCTCACAACTACCACCCACTCCCTGTGGTGTTTGCCCGTGCTCTGGGCACTTCCGTGTGGGACCCCGAGGGTCGCCACTATCTTGACTTCCTTTCTGCTTACTCCGCTGTGAATCAAGGTCACTGTCACCCTAAACTTGTCGCTGCACTGGTTGAACAGGCATCGAGGGTTACACTGAGCTCTCGTGCATTCTACAATGATGTCTTCCCACGCTTTGCCCAATTTGTGACCGAGTTCTTTGGCTTTGACATGGTTCTCCCCATGAACACTGGTGCTGAAGCTGTCGAGACTGCCATCAAGATTGCTCGTAAGTGGGGATACAAGGTCAAGGGAATCCCAGAGAATCAGGCTGTTGTACTGAGTGCTGAAAACAATTTCCACGGTCGCACAGTAAGATCAAACCTCCCCTTTCACATTCCAACCCCTCCCTTGGTGATATATGACGTAGGTAGAAATGGCACTGACCATGTTTTTTTTTTGTACCTTGCATTAGTTCGCTGCTATCTCATTGTCATCTGATCCGGAATCCCGCGAGCACTACGGTCCTTACCTCCCTGGCATTGGTTGCACGATCCCTGGTACCGAAAAGCCCATCACCTATAATGACAAGGCTGCTCTGCGTGAGGCATTCGAAAAGGCTGGCTCTAACTTAGCTGCCTTCCTGGTTGAACCCATTCAGGGTGAAGCTGGTATTGTTGTTCCTGATGAGGATTACTTGCAGGAGGCCCGAGCCCTGTGCGATAAGCACAATGTCCTCTTGATCTGTGATGAGATTCAGACTGGTATTGCTCGTACTGGTAAGCTGCTCTGCCACGAGTGGAGCGGAATCAAGCCCGACTTGGTTTTGCTGGGTAAGGCTATCTCTGGTGGCATGTACCCTGTGTCTTGTGTGTTGGGTAGGAAGGACGTCATGCTCACGATCGAACCTGGTACCCACGGTTCTACCTATGGTGGTAACCCCCCTGGGATGTGCCGTCGCCATCCGTGCTTTGGAGGTCGTGCGTGATGAGAACATGGTGGAGCGGGCTGAGAAGCTTGGTCATGTTTTCCGTAAGGGTCTGGAGGACCTTAAGAGTCCTCTTATTCAGACCGTGCGCGGAAAGGGTCTCCTCAATGCCATTGTGATCGACGAGTCCAAGACCAACGGTCACTCTGCTTGGGACTTGTGTATGTTGATGAAGGAGAAGGGCTTGCTGGTATGTATTGTTTCGACAGTTCCAGAAGGCACTCACTAACGTAAAATGTCTAGGCCAAGCCGACCCACCAGAACATCATTCGTCTGGCCCCGCCTCTGGTCATCACCGAGGAGGAGATTGATCAGGCATTGAAGATCATTCATCAAGCGGTAACTGAGTTGCCCACGCTCAAGGGTGCCGCTGAGAACCATGTTATCCCCCCCACCTGAGAAGAAGGTGAAGATCGGTGTTGAGAACTAGAACTGTCATTGTGATTCCTTTTTTTTTCAGTGCGGGGCCACCAACTGGTGAGATTCTAGACCATGATCTTGATCACGGTGCGCACATAAAATCGATAGATTGTTAAGAAGGCTATATTTATGTGGCTTTCTACGATGTCATGGAATAGAAACTGATGACCCCTATATAGTATTAGCAAAATAGCGATTCTTTTCTCCATACTACGGAGTACACAGTACTATTAGTATCCACTTTCACTTGTTCCAATCGCAAACATCTCCAAAAGGGGTAATTGGTAATAGCCGGTCACATTTAGGCGAGACCCAGTTAATCGATAATCCGGGTTATTCGGGGTTTCTTCTCTTACTCTAGCGTTGCTAATAGATAATGAATTATCGGGAAACGGAGTGTTTGATCCCCGATCTCCGTCTAAGTTCTAGATGAACAACTGAGAATAACTGAGAATGCATTAAATGGATACGAATGCGAGACACTATATCCACTTTTATGTATGATTATTAATCTCATTTGATTCTCATTTTCTCCACTTCACGGAATATTTGCATATCAAGGAAGAGTGATTGGTGAACACTGCATCTGCATGCTGTCAGTGTTCAAGTGGTCTCAAATAAAGATACCACAATAGGCAAAGAGTGCTATGTTCTATGTACGATAATGAGAATCCCAGTGATAGTAAAATGCCAAAGTGACATATTCTGGAATCCGTGGTCCGTGGACATTGAAATTCCACATAATCTATGACTCCTCTCGGACCTCTCAACCACCCGGAACCTTTCATCTCTTACATCCGGTCATGTCTATTCTCCGGACTTCAATCCGACAAATTGAAATTAAGATAAAAGCTCGGGTTCAAATTGATCTTCTGACTCACCGCTGAATCTATAAATCTGAAATGTTCTCCTTCTTATTCCAAGGTTATTATTATTATCATCTACTACATTCCCGCTATCATTACTTATAGCCCCACAAGTATTTTTTTCTTCTACGCTAATCACTTAAACCCGGAATGCTTGATGGAGCCCCGTTAACCCCGGCTTGAATTGAAATACCCTGACCCGCCCGTCCTATGTTTTTTTTTCTTCAAGTTTCACCAAGCTTCAAATTTATCCCCGGTTTCGCCAATATGTCGGCACCTGAGTCCACTGTAGTGGCACAGGACAAGACACATCCAACCGAGGCTTCGGCTTCTGCTTCTAGTTCGGGATCAACTGGGGAACATAAAGCGCCGGATTTGGAAGTGCAGAGTGTTGACTCCGCGCAAAAGAAAAGATGGTATAAACGACTTAATCCGTTGCGCTGGCAAGCGCCGCCGCCTGTTCCTGAAGAAAGAACTATATCAAGAGAGCATGATGCTGGGTTCTTTAGTACGGTCTACTTCCAATGGATGTCACCGTTGATGAGAGTATGTCTACGTCACACCTATAGAGCTTAATAAATACAGGCTTCCATGTTTGATTTGAGCTTAGCTAACTATTTCAGGTGGGATACCTTCGTCCTCTCGAACTACAAGATATCTGGACTGTCAACCCAAATCGCTCGGTAGACGTCTTATCGGCGCGATTCAATGATGCATTGGAACGTCGCACAACAGCCGGTAGTAAGCGGCCCTTGATAACGGCTCTATACGATACTTTCCGGTTTGAATTCCTGCTCGGTGGAATTTGTCAATTGTTCGGTTCTCTCTTACTGGTCTTCGCGCCATATCTCACTCGATATCTAATCGCTTTTGCCACTGATGCCTGGGATGCGAAGGAGGATGGTGGCCCAAGCCCGAGTATCGGTCGTGGAATGGGCTTCGTCGTCGGTATTAGTTGTATGCAGGCATTGCAGAGTCTGTGTACGAATCAGTTCTTGTATCGAGGACAGATGGTTGGTGGACAGATTCGTGCAGTTCTAATCTCGGTGGTTTTTAAGAAAGCGATGAAATTATCTTCCAGAGCTAAGGCTGGTGGAAAAGCGACCGAGGAGGAAGTTGCGGCGTTGGTAGCTGCGAAGGATGCGGCATTGAAAAAGGATCCGAATGAGAAGCCTCAGGAAAAGTCGAAGAAGGACTCGAAAAAGGACAAAAATGGAGTCGCCGGTGATGGTCGTGGATGGAGTAATGGTCGCATTGTCGCATTGATGAGTATTGATATCGACCGCATCAATCTCGCGGCTGGCATGTTCCATATGCTTTGGACCGCACCCATTTCAATCATCGTCACACTGGTTCTTCTTCTCGTCAATATCGGTGTCAGCTGTCTTTCTGGATATGCGCTGCTGATGCTGAGTATGCCGTTTATGATTTTCGCCATGCGATCTTTGGTCATGCGCCGAAGAGCTATCAATAAAATCACCGACGAGCGGGTATCGCTTACACAGGAAATCTTGCAGGCCGTGCGCTTCGTCAAGTACTTTGGTTGGGAGAGCAGCTTCTTGGATCGGTTGAAGAAGATTCGCGCCCGGGAAATTCGTGCCATTCAGACCGTTATGGCGATTCGAAATGCTATTCTCTGTATTTCCATCTCGATTCCTGTCTTTGCTTCAATGCTGGCTTTCGTCACTTATGCCCTCACCAGCCATGATTTGCACCCTGCTAATATCTTCTCCTCACTTGCCCTTTTCAACTCTCTGCGTATGCCTCTGAACATGGTGCCCCTGGTCCTTGGTCAGGTCGGTGATGCTATTACCGCTCTCGCGCGTATCCAGGAATTCCTGCTCGCCGAGGAACAGGCAGATGACATTGAACGAATTGAGGAGATGAAAAACGCAATTGAAGTTGAGAATGCCTCGTTTACCTGGGAGCGTTTGCCATCCACGCAGACTGCTTCCAAGAATCCCAGCAAGGCGGACAAGAAAGCTGCTAAGCTCATCGAAGCTTCCCAGGTGAATGAAAAGGAGAAGGCTGAGGCTGAACAACCCACAGAGCCATTCAAATTATCACACATCAATCTGGAGGTCGGTCGCAATGAACTCTTGGCTGTCATTGGAACTGTTGGTTGCGGTAAAAGTTCTCTTCTCTCTGCATTGGCGGGCGATATGCGTGTCACTGATGGTAAGGTCCGAATGAGTACCACGCGTGCATTCTGTCCTCAATATGCCTGGATTCAGAATACCTCTGTTCGAAAGAACATTCTTTTTCGGCAAGGAATACAACGAGGCCTGGTATAATGAGGTCGTCGATGCTTGTGCCTTGACTCCTGATTTGGAAATTCTTCCCAACGGCGATGCCACCGAGATCGGTGAGCGTGGTATCACTGTTTCCGGTGGACAAAAGCAACGATTGAACATTGCTCGTGCTATCTACTTCAATGCGGAGCTTGTACTCATGGATGACCCTCTCTCTGCCGTTGACGCCCACGTTGGTCGTCACATCATGGATAAAGCTATCTGTGGTCTTCTCAAGGACCGATGCAGAATCTTAGCTACCCACCAACTCCACGTTCTCAGCCGCTGTGACCGTATTGTGGTTATGGATGAAGGACGCATCCACGCGGTCGACACCTTTGACAACCTTATGCGCGATAACGAGCTATTCCAACGTCTCATGTCAACATCCGGACAGGAGAACTCTGAAGAGGAGTCTGAAAACTCCGAGGAAGACGACATCGACGAAGTGGATGAGAAGAAGGAATCTAGCAAGGAAGTCGCTCAACCTGGAAAGCCCACTAACATGCTCATGCAAGATGAGGAAAAGGCCACATCTTCTGTTGGCTGGAGCGTATGGAAAGCCTATATCCGTGCATCCGGTAGTTACTGGAATGCCATCGGAATCCTCTTCTTCCTTGCGCTCGCCAACGTCGCCAACGTCTGGACTAGTCTGTGGCTCTCATACTGGACTTCGAATAAATACCCTCAGCTCAACACGGCGAAGTACATTGGTATCTATGCCTCGCTGGGTGCTAGTGTCGTGGTCATTATGTTCATGTTCTCAACTTACATGACGACTTGTGGTACTAATTCCAGTCGAACGATGCTTCAAAATGCCATGACGCGTGTGCTTCGGGCGCCAATGTCTTTCTTCGATACTACACCCTTGGGTCGCATTACCAATCGCTTCTCGAAGGATATTGGTGTTATGGATAACGAACTCGGTGATGCGATGCGAATTTACGCGATTACGATGACTTTGATTGTTTCTATTATGATCTTGATTGTCGTCTACTTCTACTATGTAAGTCCACTCTTATCTATACTAGTGACTGTTCTGCATTTAATAACTATCACAGTTCGTCATCGCACTCGTTCCACTTCTTATCCTCTTCCTTACGGCCTCGAACTACTACCGCGCATCCGCCCGCCAAATGAAACGTCACGAGGCTGTTTTGCGATCAATGGTGTACGCCCGTTTCGGCGAGGCTATTACTGGTGTCGCATCTATCCGTGCCTATGGCGTTGAAAAGGACTTCGAACGCACGATCGAAGAGTCCATTGATATGATGAACGGCGCATACTTCCTCACCTTCTCCAACCAGCGCTGGTTGAGTGTTCGTCTCGACGCGGTCGCAACATGTCTTGTCTTCGTGATCGGTGTTCTGGTCGTCACCTCTCGCTTCGATGTATCTCCTAGTATTTCCGGTCTCATCCTCTCGTATATCCTCGCCATTGCCCAGATGTTACAATTCACAGTTCGTCAACTCGCCGAGGTGGAAAACGACATGAATGCCACAGAACGTGTTCACTACTACGGCACTGAGCTCGAACAAGAAGCTCCCTTGCAACTAGGTCAAGTACCTACCAGTTGGCCTGAAAAGGGTCGCATCGAGTTCCAAGACGCGCAGATGCGGTACAGAGCAGAGTTACCGCTTGTGCTTAAGGGTCTTAGCATGGATGTGCAGGGCGGCGAGCGCATCGGTATTGTCGGTCGCACGGGCGCTGGAAAATCCAGTATCATGTCTGCGCTATTCCGTCTGACCGAGCTTTCCAGTGGAACTATCCAGATCGATGGTGTGGATATTTCAAAGATTGGTCTCTTCGATCTTCGATCTCGATTAGCCATTATCCCACAAGATCCTGCGTTGTTCAAGGGTACTATCCGAACGAACTTGGATCCATTCAACGAACACTCTGATCTGGAACTCTGGTCTGCTCTTCGCAAGGCATACCTAATCAACGATGACACCACCGCTTCTCCCGTTAGCCCAGATTCAGATACTCTTGAACCTGAACCTACAGCAGAGACACACAGACAAACCAAGCGTCTAACCCTTGAGTCCCAGGTGGACGAAGAAGGTCTAAATTTCTCCCTGGGCCAACGTCAACTAATGGCGCTCGCACGCGCTTTAGTCCGTGACGCACGGATCATTGTCTGCGACGAAGCGACTTCGTCTGTGGACTTTGAAACGGATCAGAAGATCCAGCGCACCATGGCGCAGGGATTCCAGGGTAGAACTTTACTCTGTATTGCGCATCGATTGAGGACGATCATTCATTATGATCGCATCTGTGTAATGGATCAGGGTCAGATTGCGGAGATGGATTCGCCGCTTGCGCTTTTTGATCAGGATGGCATTTTCAGGGCGATGTGTGAGCGCAGTGGGATTTCGAGACAGGATATCCTGGATGAAAATATCTAAAGTCTATTTGACCATTGGCTTGGAAGAAGTTTTAGTTAATTGGAGTTGGGGATGTTCTTTCTTATACATACTCAAGTTGACATGCATATACGAGATGATGTTAATGCAACATAATCATATCTATACATTTATCCAAATCCAATTTAATCCAAGTTCATCTATAAACTAATTCTTATCCAATTCACAAACAATCTCCATCCCCAAATTCCTCAACATCCCTTCAACCCCAGCCTCCTTCCACCCTTCCAAATCCCTTTCATCAATAAAAACTTCCTCTTCCTCCTCAGACAATGTCCCCACCGGAACTCCCGTAAACTTAACAGGTAACCCAACACTAGTCGGAACAACTCTCATACGAAGTCCAGTCAAAATCCCCCGTAAATGATCTGCAGCCTTAACTCCACCGCGGGAACCATACGTCACTATCCCCGCGGGTTTCCCTTTCCACTCGTGGAAAAGGTAATCGAGTGCATTTTTTAGACTCGCGGGTACACTCCAGTTGTATTGTGGTGTCACGAAGATGAAGGCATCGTATTCCTGGATTACTGTGGACCAGGCTCGCGTGTGTGGCTTTTTGTAGTGGGGTGCTGGGTTGGATGCGGGGAGGGTGGCGGGTATTATGGGTTCGTCGTAGAGAGGGAGGTTTTGAGATTTTAGGTCGATTATCGATAGTGTTATGTGTCGTGGATCTGTATCGGGTATATCTGTCTCTGGAATTGGAATTGGGTCTGTGTTTGTGTTCGAGGATATGTGTGGTATGATCTTCCGGGTTGGGATTTCGGGGTCTTTGTTCAGAGTTTCGTAGATGTAGCGGGTTATTGTAGGGTTTAGTCGTGGAGAGCGAGTGCTGCTTGTGACTATGGCGATCTTTTTTGGTGGCATTTTCAGGGATTGAGGCGGTTGCAGTGAGTTGATCTGAGGTTAGAGTGTTGGTGTCATGGATGTTCTTATACTTGGATTTGCTCCGCGGATCTCCGCGGGGATGGAGTTATGGTGGGTCTAAGGGTCTCATTATATGGAGATATCGGAATTAGAGGTCATTATGAATACTATTCAAGATATTATTCGATCTATATTTTAGATGTAAAAATGAAAGATAATATAAGATAAATGATCTATTAATCCAATCGACTTAACGCGGAATATCAGACTTAAGATCCGGTGTGGCGCTAGTAAATCCTTCCCCACTTGGTTCAACACCAGTTCATGTTGGGATTGCATCTTCTCTCCAAAAATACCCCCTTCACAAATTTTTCCTCTCTTCATGTCCACTCCACTCACATCAGAGGGTCCAAGACCAAAAGGTCGACCATGTAAAGCACCTGGCAGTCCCAATAGCGTAAGAAGTCCCCATTTCCGGACCCCAGTTATGCGATCTGACGGAGTTACATAGGCACGGCGAAAGCAAGTTCGCGAGGCTCAACGGGCTTATAGATCGCGTCAACAAGATTTATTAACAGCTATGAAAGAGCGGAATTCCTATTTGGAAAATTCACTGTCCAGAATTCTACAAATCTCTGATTGTCTTCAACTGGTTGCAAAGGCAGATTTATCCGTGCCAAGATCTCAGCTCTCAGAGGCAGTTAAGCTTGTTCAAAGAGAACTGAATCAGGAAATCCGATGCGCTCAAGACTATGATTCTCTATACGAAGATGATAAAGAGTCCGATGTGGAAGAGCGTGTGAAGCGAGTGCTTAGTTCACTCCCTGCAAGTCCACCTACAGAGCCGTCGCAGCCCGCTCAGACTAGTACCATATATTCAGCCCCATTGGTTCTGACACAGGCTCCTTGGAGTTCAAGTTCGAATTTCTGGTCATCATTCTTTCAGACTTCACATCCAATTATCCCAAGTGTCGATTCAGCTCCAGCCCATGATGATCCTCGACCTACAAACTTGAATCAGGTCACAGAATTTTCAACTCGATCCATCCCTTACGCAACAACGCACTTCACCCAGCGTCTATACCGCGTCTGTGCACAAAGTGGCTATCGCTTCCTGGTCAATTCCAACGTCTCAGACCAATCCATGTGGCCGGAGTTTGGACTCATGCTACAAAAGTTGCCTCGTTCTGAAGTGACATCCTACTTCCAGCGCATCTTGATGACAGAGCCTTGTAATCCTGTTGAGGATTCCCGGTTCCCGTTTATCATCTATGGAGGGGCGGGTACGAATTTCCTAGCACATAAAAGGGATGCTTCATCACAGTACCCGGGTTTAGAGCCTTTTGAGAAAACGAATGGCATTATTGAGGTTGACTCCGATGAGAAGTGGTTTGATGTCCTTGATGTGGAGCGATATTTGATTCATCAAGGGTTCCAATTGAGTAATCCCCAGAAGGACTTCTCAGGACAGCACGAACACTACCCATTCGCTCCATCTGATCCACTGAATTCTGGATTGTCTATGGGGATAGGCCAGACCAATCTCCAGCCACCACTGAAAAAAATCGATGAAGATTTTATCATTGAAGGTATGTTATCAATAATCGTATTAAGCTTGAAAACTGGTCTAATTCTCCATAGCCCTCGGTCGCTTGTGCATTTGTATAGGATGTGCCGCTGCGTTTCGTCGACATGATGTGGAGAAATTGATTCTGCGATACACCTGGTGATAGTCAATATTCTATCGATACAGGAGTAAGAGATGGACGAAAGAATTCCTGGAGAGTACTCAATGCTCCATACGCCATGATTATCAACAGCCTGTCGCAAGAATATCGTCTCATCATATGTGCTTAGAAAGCCGTATTTGCAGCCCAGATCCTGCATATACATGATGGGTTGGGTTAATATCTCTCGTAAGAGATTCTCATTCGCGAGCCTTACTTGAAGATGATGCTCCTCAACCCAAGGTACCTTCAGCTCCCCAACAACTTTCAGTTTGTGGTTGCTATCCTTCACGATCACGTCAGGCGTACAACCGTAGGCGGGATACACTTGAAATCAGCAAAATGCAGATCAATAGCTTCTTGCGCTGGGGATTTGATCTGAAGATGGTATCAAGTATGTCCCCAAAGAACTTTTGAAAACGGCCTTGTAAACCATGCTCATCTCCAACCTCCATATTACCATATGTGTATGGATTCCGGGCTTGGAGCAAGCACAAAGTTTTTGACAGCCAGGAATGATTTTCGTACATTTCTGGACGGCACTGAGGAACCCTGTTCATGGCTGCACATGGAGATCTCCCGTGAAGTAAAGCCGGTGTAGGGCACTCGAGTGTGTATGGTGGTCGGATATTCGCAAAGCTGGAATCGCGGACTCAACAGCTCTTTTGGGGTTTATGAAGGTTGCCCAGGTGGCATTTTATGAGGTGTAACCTCAGGTTGTTGATAGTATGTATGTACCATCAGGGAAAAGCAACCTTAGAACCTTGGAACCTTGGAAGTTACCTAGGTCTATGGGTAGTAACATTTGAATAAATCACCATCATGATCATCATCATACTGCTAACGTTATATAAATCACTGCTTTACTCATACTATATTAATTTTATTAAAAATAGGATATCTATAAGATCTTACTATACTAATCATCATAATACAAAACTTCAATATCATACCAGGGTAAAGTGAGAAATATCTAAAGTGAGAGATATCTGAAGTGAGAGATGTCTGAAATGAGAGATAGCTAAATTCAGAGATACTATCACTTGTAAAAGTGACCACGTTTGCGACTCATCGCTTCCTCCCGCCAGAACCAAACAGCTGCGACCGTAGCACCAGGTCCAACAATTACATACGCTGCAATCAACCCAAGGAAACAAACTCGCATATCAAAAGAGGGTAGCCCGGATCGATGGAGATCCCATAAACTGGCCAGGCACCAGATAAAGCAGGACGCTGTCACAAGGAGAAGGTCATTCTGGAAGAAAACAAATACCCCCTCCGACAGGGTTTTGACTGGCGCGAAGGAGTCTGTCGGGATGAGAAGACGGGTCAATGATATTTCGCTGGATAAAGCAGCCGCAAACATCAAGCCTGTGTGTGCGCAGGCTGAAATAGTTCCTGTGACTTGGTACAACGTGCGTAAATGTGGGAGGTCACTCTCTGTATCCACAGGGGAATCCTCCTTTTGTGTCGCACTTGGGAATATCATTTTGCTCGCCATGGGTAGTACTGTCGTTAAGATGGAAACGACCAACGGCGCTGGTTGCCAAAGGGCAATCACGGCATGTAAAGTATCTGAATCACCCCATGTGAGAAATAGAAGAATTGTTGGAACAAGGTATCCCATTATCAGAGCTGGTAGTATGAATTGCGCAGCTGGGACTGTTCGTCCGGTTTCAATTAAGAATGCCTTGTTGCGCGACACGAAAAGACTGCTTGCAAAGTAGAGTGGTGCGATGCAGCCAATTCCACGAAGCTGGTAGAGAATACCCCAAAATCCAGCACTAGATATTCAATTAGAGAGGGGGTTCGTTTCATACTTATCATGTCGATGTCGATCTTACCTGGAGATAAGTGTCCACTGATTGCGCTGTCGATATCCCTCAACAGTGAATATGGCCATCAGCGGTAGCACTGTCAGCAGGAAGTACAGCAGCTGGAGGGGCTGCTCTGGATTCGTGTTGTTGGAAATCGCTGGTATGAAAATCGTCACCAACGTCCTGAGGATCTTATCAATAGATGGAATTCCCGTATAGGATTGTCGCAACTCCATATCGATTGCCGAGTCATTGATCAAGCCATTTTGGAGTGCCTTTGCAACAAGATCCCATGTACCATTCACCTTCCCAGCAACGAACAACATCTTGTATGCAATACAAGCCATGGCTATGAATGCAGTATAAAGCATGTATCCAATCTTACCACGCGAAGACGGAGTTCTGAGTATCTCATCATAGTAAGGGATTTGTCGAGGCTTGTTTGGTATTGGAAGCATGTTCAGCGATGTGGCCGGCGCATATGTCGGAACCCACGCATTGAGGATAGTTTTCTCTGGGATGATTGGGAAAACAAATTTAGCGATGAGCTTTAGCAGTGGGGACTCCATACATTCGAGACGCTGTCGCTTGTGTGCACCATCAAGGAGAATCTGCATTCGTTCCGCGCGCTGAGATTGTGTCTTTTCAAGAATTGATGTGATATTCTCAGTTGAGAGTCCTTGTAATGGACACAACTTCATCGCTGCGACAATGTTGTTTGTCAGAGCTGCGGCGGTCTCAATTGCTGAGTTACCACCTTGTCCAGTCAACGGCTCAATCTAATGCAATGGTCAATCATTTGTCAACTTTGGAACAATACATGAGATAAAAACTAACCTTATGAGCCGCATCACCGATCGTGATGGTTCTCTTGTAATACCACTTTTTGTAAACATACTCCGGCAGAGTTGTGTACACTGAGTTGATCTTGTTTTCGTATAGATCCGAGAACCGTACTGTTGGGGTGATCATATCATCCCAGTGCTGCTTCGCAAGGGCAAGCTCTTCTTCCTTCGTGAATCGTGGAATGTCAGATCCGTATACCTTCTTACCAATGTTGTTCACTAAAAACCAGTAGGTCTTATCGCCAGGGCCACTGGGAATCAGGTAAGAAAAGTGCTCGTTGAAAACAGATGTCATGGTTCCTTTCTCAATTGGCACCCCTTCTGAGATACCGAAAATGCATGACCAAGTGACCGGCAATGCTGGATTCAATTAGCTGAGTTTCAGACTAGGGTCATTGTTATCAACTACCTTCTTTCTCAGATGGGTCGAACCATGTTGGGTCTGACTTCTTTGCCTCTTCCCACATCTTCTCTCGAACGGTTGAATGGATCCCATCGCCTCCCACGAGGATTGACCCTGTGAATGTTTTGCCAGCCTTTGTGGTGACTGAAACATGCGAAGGGTGATTTTCAATAGCAGCCACCCGCTCAGATGTGAGGACTTTGTCCTTTTGCTCGATATTGTCGTACAAAATTTGAATTAAAGTACAGCGATCAAGGAAGACAACTGGGTATCCGTGTCTGTTCAAGTTAGCAATGCATCGATTCCCCTGCGACAGAATAGTCACAAACCTTTCTTCCATACGCTGTCCAAACTTTTTGAAGGACCAAAAAGGTTCACCCTTTGAGTTCCTAAACTCGACCTTTTTAACCGGATACTCTGCTGCAGCAATGACTTGATCACTACATCCCAATTGGTCTAGAATTCGTAGACCATTAGGCACAATACCAATACTTGCTCCTACCTGAGGAGCAATGTCAGGATACCCTTCCAGAACGACAAAATCAATACCATTCCTCTCTAGCATCAAAGCTAGAGAGAGTCCGGCAACACTGCCACCGACGATGATAACTTTGGGGTCCTTCAGTGTCATTTGATCGATGATTCAATTGATCTATATTAGATCATCGTTCAAGATGGGGGAACAAGGCCTCTAATATACACTTTTGTCCAAGACGTCTTGGCCCAAACCCTCTATACACTGATTTGTATTCAAGCCTCTGCCAATGGGTTATGTGCTGTGAAAGTTCCCCCGAGTCCTCCATCCCCTGATCATTAATCAGACCAATCATATTTCCATATGACACGGTTTCGGGGATTCCTCTCATGCTTGCATGATTTTATTGGATAATAGGGGATATTAGATGGTTTCATTGGTTATACGGGTCAGAATGCTCATCCACTAGATCCACTTTACCTTTACTCCACTCTTCTCATCAACTTGAAGGCCCACGCCAGATTATATCTTACTGCTACATTGGGAAAAGACTGCGAACAGAAACGAAACCACTCCAGCGCTGATAATATTCGTGAATCTGTCTGATATTCTCCATATAATGGAGCTACATGCTTTTGCACTGAGTCCCAATTTCAGCCAGCCCCTTGACTCGGAGCAACATTAATCTCACTCTTGAGAGATGCCGAGGTCCAACAAAATGAAAATCCAATCATCCAATTAGTACTCAGTGAGCTTGGCAGCAGCTGGGGGATATCTATCTCCAGCAACAGTGAAATTATCCAAAATGAGTTGAATAGCTTGGAGATCACCCTCCGAAAAATGCACATCCTTGACATTCTCCTTCACCCTTTCCTCCGATCTCGCACCCGCGACAGGGACGAATAGCGGCATATTGGGCCGACTACTCTGCGTTTTGATCCAAGAAAGCGCCAATTGAGCAGACGTGCACCCTTTAGCATCAGCCATCTCCTTCAACCTCGCCACAAGCTGGAAATTGATATCAATATTCTCAGGCTGAAAGCGCGGGAAGTGTTTGTGGTAAGAACCCGCAGGCATATCATCAACACTCTTAATGTGTCCCGTTAGCATACCCGCACCCAAAGGTGTATGAGCTACCATCGTGATTCCAAGCTCAGCACATGTCTCCGCGACACCATTTTGAAATACGTCTCTCGACCAGAGACTAATCTCCGCTTCGACCATATCAATCTTCGTCACCTTGGCCGCACGTCGGATCGTATCAGCGCTAACTTCGCTCAACTGAATACCACCGATCTTCCCTTCATGAACTAACTCTGCCAATGCATCAACTGTTTCTTCGATAGGTACGTTCTTATCAACGCGTCCACAACCGAAAATATCAATCTTCTTCTTTCCATCGAGAATTGTATTCGCGCGATCGACGAAGTTGCGCATTGCAGTTGGGGAACAATCCATGGTAAAGGTTCGCATATCCACTATGCCACTCTTGATTGTCAGCACAACTTTCTCTGCGTCTTCGGGATACGCGGTGAAGTAGCGGTTCATCAGATGCAGAGAGTTGTTGTCTGGGGTACCGTAGAAATCGGCTCCGTTCCAGACATTGGCACCTGCTTCAAGAGCGGCTTTGAGGATTTTGAAGGCTTGCTCATCGGGGGTAGGACCGGCTACCCAGGTCAGGCCTATTCAAGAATCATGCCTTGGTTAGTGTCTGCTTTATAGAGAGATGATAGTGGAACTCACGCATGAGGCCCAGCCCGTTCTGGGTAATGAGTTTTCCGGCAAGCAATGGCATTTTCGTATGAATGCTGTTGAAAAGAACTTATGATATTGTTTAAAGGAATGAGAAGACCTTGCAATGAATGGGATTATCTTTTATTTGTAGCTGAAGTGGAGCTTTCTGAAAAGACATACAAGTCTTGACTTAACCAGCTTAGGTCCGTTAACTCCGGCATCTCGGCTCATGCTTCCCTAGTCCCCACAATCCCCTGAAGAATAAACCCCGAATCATACCCTCGCAGAAAAAAACACTTTTCAATTAGATATGAAGATTCGAAATAGCCTCTTAGAGAGCAATTGCTATCAAAGCAACTGCTAATCCACCTAAGAAAAACTCCTTCGGTACATTAATCGGAACTGTATCCCCAGAAGCGGAAGTCGAGGTGCCCATATCCGAGGAATTTGTTGCAGTAGTAGTGGTTATAGCTGTGACGGTCGCATTCGAAGAAGAGGTATTAGCGCTAGCAGTGATTGTCACAGCTAAAAGGGTAATCTGGTCGGAGTTGAGGGCTGTGGTTTCGCTGGTAACGGCGGTTGAGCCATTGGTTGGCGTTACTTCTGTGCACACTGCTGTTGTCGTGCCTCCTGTGGAACAGATCACACGACCATACACATTGCTGATAATGTTGTTAGTGGTGGGACCTCAGATTGTCTCGTAGGTAAGGCTTAGACGTACGCATCGTATGGTGTTTGAAGTTCCCATTGCACTGTTGTTGGGCCTTCGGTATATAACAAGCCAGAGGAGACCCCGCAGTCTGTGGAATTGGTGCCTGGGGGACAGTTTATGCTGTAGGTTGCTATTTCGGATCTCTGTGAAATGGCGTTAGTATGGATGTAACAGTGAGTTTCAATACGTACCGACTCAATGACTGAGCCGACCAAGGACTGTTGATCTGCGCCGTAGATGAAAAGAGAGACCACTGAGTTGTTTTCTGAGGCTGCCTGTGTGAGGCCAAGGATGGCCATGGCAAGTAGATATCTAACAAACATCTTTACACTCAAGGGACCTGGGACTGGGAGATAGTTTCGGACTTGTGTAGCTGTGGTGTGTCCAGGTAGTCGATAATCCGTCGGCACCATGCCTTATATGAAATGTTGGGAATATCCAAATGTGGCCGGAAGAAAAGACCGACATGACCTCTGATTTTGAGATGGATTTTCCATTCTCGAGATACAGCGGCAGGTAATAATTTTGGAAATTAGCTGATGCTAGTTGACGTCAAGTATAGGTCAAGCACGGCCCGGGTAGTTTGAACATGTACTGGAAGAACCCAACTAGAAAGGAATACATCTCCGCCGGTCAATCGGAATAGATATCCACATGTGCATCCGGGGCTATTTCCTGGTGAATACCGTTTTCTGGTCAACAATATGGTTCTTTTTGGAATTTCAGCTAGACAAGAAATCCTCAGCACAGAGAATAACCCTACTATTGAAGAAGAGAAAGAAATAATAAGAAGACTCAAAGTCGTAATGTATTCCGAAAGAGAACAAGTCTTGAAGGCGGCGAAAGGAAAGAGAGAAGAAGGGAAGTTTTTCTAGGTGTGGAGGGATGAATCAAAATTTGAGTCATCTTCAGTGAACAGGAAGCAAACAAATGGAAGGGAACATCTCGAAGGCCGAAGGACTTCATCTGAAGTCTTCAGAATGCAAGGTGCAGGACACCAACTTGAATTGGATAGACTGGACAGGTTACATATATCTCTTGGAAGATATCGTTCGCGACTTGGATGCAAGAGATCTGAATTCGGACATCCGGGTCCAGTCGGTCTTCGGGCAGGATCAGTGCCTCATGGTCTGTCAAGCAGTTGAAGGTCGAGGATTTACCGGTAACTGGTGTCTTGGTCAAAGATTGAACAGTTGGTTCTTTGGACTTGGACAGATGTGATCTCGGTGATCACATTTTCTCAGTGGGACATTATTTTTCCAGTTTTTGTTTTTCATCTTTTTTCGGCGGGTCTCCTTGGTTCTCCTTTGACGCTTGTTTCATATGTTTAATCTTGTACAATGCCCCTCTTGATCCTCATCACTTCTTCCATGTCTTGGTAGATGTGGGTGGTGGCTTGTCTTTACGGGACTTTGTGGGAGTAGGAGTCGCTTTTCCTTTGGGTGTTGTGGCTGAAGCAACAGATTGCTTCTCTTAGATATTTTTTTTCCTTTTTGCGCTTTGACTTGGATCCATTTCAGCTTCATCTTCCTCTGATCTACGAGGACGAGGGGCATCGTCAGCGGATTCTTCGTGGTCAACGTCAATGCAGTCGAAGTCCTCTGAGTCTAGCGTCTCACTCATGTCCTCGGTTTCTGTCGTAAGGTTAGTTATAGTTTTTTTTAATATTTGAGTAGAGTGTTCAATATATTGACCTTGTGTGGGAATACTAGAGGAACAAACGTATCCAAGTAGTAGTGTTGATATGGAAGATCATGCCGGTGGAGAAAACACCTCTTGTCTGGAATCTCCGCGCAGATATACTCATCGATCGTGGCCAGGATCCAAAATGGAGATAGTTTGCCTGGTGAAACATCAAGCATACGCGTCAATGTCCGCTTATGATACTCGATTGTCAAAAAGCGACCATTGCACTTACCAAAGGTCTCCTTCTCCCAGACTTCTCGGAATAGCTGCTGCTTCTTCTTCTGTTAGACCCCCGGGAGATAATGTCTGCCCGATCCACAACCTTCTGATTGTGCTCAATCTCATTTTTCACTTCCTGACATACCGAGTTGGCTATCATTGTGATAAACAGTGCCGCTGGACCATGGACACATGCTATGGCGAAGGCTTTATGGGGATCCTCCACATGAAACGTGGACATCCAGTGAAGGAAGCCGGCAGGATAAACTTCTCCCAAAATCCAAAAGATTATGTTGCTCCACCTGCGTTTGCTGTATCGATGGCCGTTCTAGGGTTGGAGTACGAGTCGTTCCGGATCTCGTGCTGGTGAAATAGAGCCATTGTAGCCGCGCCTCCACGATACTGGAATACTGGTCCACCAGGAGCTTTTTAGGCTATGAACTCGGACAGGAACATCCTTGAGATTTCTGCACCCCGGTTAGTATCCCATTCTGTGACAGGAGGCTTAAAGTGTCTGGGTTCCAGGCGGAAACGGCTTAGTATACCACCGTGTTATAGATGTGGGCCGAGTTTAGTCCATCTAGCATATTTCGTGGAAGGATGCTATGCTGGGGACAGGTAGCTGGTCTTGCCACGGTGTGCTCTCTAGCTGAGAGTAGATTCTGTTTGAGATGATGCCAATTGGCAGGTAATCGTAGGTAATTCCGGACACCAAGGCGTAAGCTGCGGGATTAACAGAGGGCGTACGAAGCGCCGCCAACTCCCGGAAGCGTAGCACTTGACAGTCCTTGGTATTCGCGGTGGGCAAATGACCTATCCGGATTTTAAGTCGTCACGCAACTGGGTATGGGTTGGGCCCCATCTGAGCGTCGAGCTCCGGGTGAGCCAGGTCACATCAATCCATCCGGAAGGTGCTCAACGAGGTCGAAATCTGAGCTATTGATGTTATCCGGATACATTAGCTCCATGGTGCAGAGTATTGAGCTGTCAAGATCGCTTGAAGAGGTAACAGGGGGAAAATACCTTGCTGAACTCCTTTTATGCCGACCGGCTTTTCCTAGCTCTTTTCAAAAAGACCACGGATGATCTGAAGCCTGAGGTTGGCAATGGAACCCGGATGGTGATCACGAAGAGTGACTGCAAAGCTAAAGAAGTTCAACATCAAGGCAGTTGAGAAGAGTAAGAGAAGAGAATGATTTTTGAAGACTTGGAGTAACTTCAAATATCAAGAAATATAACGACAAATAGTCAGAGTAGTCCCTCAACATTGAACATTTGAAATATTGCTGTATCTTATTAAAATCATGCCAGGGTGAATTCTCATCTTATATAGTGCCACAGCCTTAGAAGTGATCTGATATTATTTATACCTAATCAACTTGATCTTCGTTTCCAGAGGTCCCCATCTTCCTCGCTGGCCTCTTCTTCATCCTCATCCTCTTCCTCTTCCTCCTGGATCTCGGAGTTGTCTCAGAGTCAGCATTCCCAGAATTAGAATATTCATCATTCAGATCATGCGATATAGTCTCCCGAGCTGAATATTTTGATAAGAGTATTGGGCTTCCATCTTGGTAGCTATCCATAGTAAGGGCTCCTAGTAATAGATTTCACCTTTAACGAGCACTTGAAGCAAACATATTATATCTCTTTACTATCTCACTCTCACCTCACCTTTCAAGCAAATTTTATTAGTGTTCTCAGCTTTGTACCTCTCACTTCCAAAGTTCAATTACAATATTGTTGGAAAATATCTTGGTGCTTCAAGGCCTTTACAGTATCTACCTTGATTATCTCGACTCGAGACTTCTTTGCCTCTACAGCACAAATGGGCTCTGTATCGCATCCTATCGACTGGGCTTTTGAACTATCCAGGCATGAAGCCATGTTATTTGAATATTTTGGGCAACCACACTTTTCGCAGTGAGAATTTGTGAGCTCAGTAGGAACAGCATGAGTCAGATCGAATTGGAGGTAATAGCTAGGTCTGATTTCATCAATCTAAGAGTACGATCTAAGGCCACCCATAATTCTACATCTGTGGATAAGCTGACAGAGAATTCTAGGTGTCTGGATGAAATTAACAGAAACATGTCGACCTACTCCTACTGCGCCCGTCAACTACAACCCCCTCACCAAAGTCATCCAAGAACAGATTATCTGGACATCACTACCGGAGAGCCATACATTCATCCATGTGCTCCAAGGCCCTACACATATCTGGTGCAGCTTCAAGTTCATATGTCCCAAATCAACCACCTTTCGTCATGAGTAAAGGACTAGCCCATCACTAGTCACCATCTACACGAGTCATGGTGGACTTCGGATAAGCATGACGAGTACTGCAAGAAAAGCCGAGGAACCCAGGCAAGAAAGCCGACATATGAGCATAAAAAATGAACCAAACGCAATCCTAAATGCCGAGACCCAAATCTCGCAGCTTGCAGTAGAATTCGTATAGTTTTGGCGAAGCAGCCACTCCCGTTGCAGATGGAGACACAGATGGAGACACAGTTGCCAGGCATTCACAGAGACAATGTGGAACCTGAGACGCCATTTAATATGTTCGAGGAGCTAAGAGAGTTTTGATCCGCCTTTACCCGAAAGAAGTATATTTACTCGAAGTTTATACTAGTAAGCCTACGCATGGCTACGCGGATACCCCTGTGGATGCTGTATTGAACTAGTTCAAATGTTGATGTATCCGATCCCCGTTCTTCCAGGCCCTCTGTGGCGCCGGACAGACAATCCAATTATGGTATGTGGGTATTTTGTTCCTGGACGATGTGAATCGTTTTTTTCACTTTGTAGATTCTTAGCACTACCGGAATCCTTTCACCGAGTGAGTTCATTCCGGCCCGGTGGTTGGTGTACCTTGGCGATAAGCTGAATTCTCCAGCATCTTAGGTTTGGAGACCCACGTGCATTGAGAGGGATCTTGCTATGGTGGGAATACGATTAATCCCTGCGCGCTTACTGTGGATGGGAAGAATCTTGGGAACTGGTTACGCAGTGGTGTGATAATTATGAGAAAATTATAGAACGTGGTTCTGTACCTGACTTCGCCCTGGGTAAAAGTTATCGGCACTTGAGTGGCAAACAAGAATCATGAGACTTGACCGGGATGCCTAGGGGTCTAATTTAGAGAGCAAATTGACTATGACTACTTCCGTAGAAAGTCCGAAACTCCCAGACTAAAGTACTCGTGGACCTCGTTATGTTCTCAAGGTGGTCTGTGTGATCAGGATCCATTTTATTCTTTAGTTCATCCGTAGACCCCTCTTCCTTTCCCCTCTCTTTTGCCCTAGAATGGGGAACGGGGTGTGCCTTGCGAGCCTCCTTGCATACGAAGCTATGACCAACCCTGGAACCTGTCGATCGGAAATTCAGTTTTGTTCCAGAGGGATTCGAGAATTTCGAGAATTTCGAGAGAATGAATTTCCGGATCAATTCCGGTTAAACATTTTCAAGATGTGATTTTGATCCATGGAAATACACGAACCCAAATATGAAATCCCTGAAGAGTCACGATAATGGTACTAAGGGGTGATTTCATCATTCATTATTCTAATGAAGTAATATGATATTTCCTGGGCATAGAATATCTAATACTAGTATGATAGGATCTTGGTGGATTCTGATCTCGTTTCGTATTCCTCTTCTCTCTCTCTCTACTCCGTAACTCCATATTAATGTCATCTTCGAGTCTAGACACTCTTTGAGACTTGCTCAAAGCGGTTGAATCGGAGTCTGAATGCCACATGGAAGCTATGAGTGGATCCATGCGGGACGATCTCTGAGCCAGCCATTTCAGCACGTTCGTCTATTTGGGGTCCACAGGATGTTTCCCTCTTTCAGCGCTTATCACGCATTCATATAATTGTTTGTTCAAGATGTCACTGTTCCTGCCCATCATGGATTCTACTTCATCGTCAGATTGCCTCGAAATTGTTGGGTTCTAAAAAAGGGTTCGCAATGAGCCATTTCGTCCCTGATCAGGAGTGGGCTAGTACTTCTTCGCGCCGGCAAAGCACGGTCTCAACCTCCACAGTGTCGTCCGCATCCACAAGTATCCTGTTCCAGAGCCCCGCGACCTCCCCCGGCTCTAGGAAGCAGTCATGGCAGCTCTATGATGATGTCGTTCGGCTGGAGCTGAATCCTCATATGACCGTGTTCGTTGATAACTTCATGGATTCTGGCTTCTGCTGAATTATGAACTAATGGGTTTTGCAGCTCTTTTGTTAAAAGTGGGCAGTTATTTAAGTTGCCTTATACGTATATCGATGTCTGCAAGGACTCGATGGGAGCGTTGAAATGTCTCGAGCTTGGGGGAGGGCTCGGTCAACAGGCTCCATTTGTTCATGCTTGTGAGTTGATTACACTTTTCTGATCTTCAATGCATTCACTAATGGTTTATTTCTTTTTCTACAGTTCATAATACGAAGCTCCCTGTTCCGCATCTCGAACATCCCAAGGATTCCGCAGATTATCCACTCCGAGTATCGTTCCTGGAGCATCAGACCGTCCAAACCGCATCAGTGATTTTTATGACGCAACTATCATATCGATTTGAGAACTGGGAAGGTATGCAGAGACTCTAATTTGAGCTGGTCTTGGGGGTAATCCCGGGTGCTAATGAGAGAGCAGACTGCGTCCAGTTCCAGGAACTCCTCCTTTGCTCCAAGATGATGTTCATCGGAGGTATGGCCGAAGCCAAATCCAAAGGTCGAGGCGAAGAATGCATCAGTCAAAATCTACGAATTCTTCGTGGGCATAATGGCCGAAGGGTTATGCTCTTCTTTGCGAATTCACAACGGAAAGAGCTCAAACGATACGTGTCTATTCCATGTATGTGCCTCGGTCTCATTTTTTTGACATTTCAACACTCGGAACTACGGCTAATACCTAGGTATGAACAGTAAACTGCATCGCCAGTTTTAAACCTCCCAAAAAAGTTGGACGGCCAGTTGTTGTGGATCTGAATCCAAATTTTGAGATTCTCGCTCAGATGCGAAATCTTACGATCCACTTTTTAGATGATAATGGTCAGTACCTCTTCTCTAACTTCCGTGTCTGAGCGATCGCTTATTAGGTCTTTACTATTTAGATTGCCAGCGTTTTTGCCAGCTGCTCTCGACGGACCTTACGATTGGATGATGGATTTCTTTTTTCCCCTCTTTTTTTTTGTTCTTTTTTTCTTTCTTTTTTTTCCTTTTTTCTCTTTTCTTTTTCTTTTTTTTCCCTTTATTAATTAACTGTATAAATGCATGGCGGGGGGTTCTTTGGCGTACGTACTTTTAGTACCGTGTGATACTGTGATACCATTTGGAAGAATTTTATTTGCTTGAAATTGATTGTACTTTTAACCAGTCAAATTGCCTACGGAGAAAGTGATTTCCACCAAAGTTAAATAAACGAGTAAATTATTATATTATTATTATATTATTATTATAATTATTATAATCAAAAATGATTGTAATCTCATGGTAATGGAATTGTTCCAACGTGGCGATGAAAGTGGACATAGTGTGGGGCTCCCGCATAAACAGTTGAACAACTCAGTTAACAAGAGTCCCGCACGTGGAGTGATTCTCCCGTTGAATTGGATCTATTTAATGTGGAGTCTTGTTTTCTTAGTGTATTTTAACTACAAAAGACTGGCAAACACTACCAAAGACTACCAAAGTCTGGCAATTAGATCGCGCTTTTTTATAACAATGTCCGATTGGCCCCGCTATGGTCTGAGAGGTCTGAGACCTAAAGGTCCCGAGGTCTCTTAAGATCTTTATATCATTAATCTGCGGCTCCCATTACATTCACTCTTCGTGTCTGTCAGAGCTATCATATATCATGGTGGGCAAATTTCATGCCCGTCTATATAAGACGGACCGTGCGCGGGACTTTGATCATGAACAGGTATGATCAGACATTTGAAAGAATGCTGCATAATATGAGGGGCTTGACTAATACCGGATATCCCGCAGGATCGATATGTTCGGATGCAACAAATTTATGAGACGATAGACCGGCAAGGGTATCAATGGATCGTGGTATTGGTTGCTGGTCTGGGCTTCTTCTTGGATGGTTATACAGTAAGTTGAATATGGGATGCGATCGCGCAAATGAAATACCAGCTAACAAACTGTCAAGCTCTTTGCGACGAATATGGCTCTGCCTATGATTTCCTACGTCTACTGGAAAGACGATACCTCCTCGATCCGACTTACATGTATTAACATGGCTACACTCGCTGGAACCCTCGTCGGAATGATTCTCTTCGGTTTCCTAGCGGATAAAAACGGGCGCAAGAAAATGTATGGTGTGGAACTGGTACTGTTGATTACATCGACCCTCGGTGTGGTCATGTCTTCGGAAGGCAAGGATGGCAGTATGAACGTCTTCGCCTGGTTGATCTGGTGGAGAGTATGCGTCGGAATCGGTGTTGGTGCCGATTATCCGCTGAGTGCAGTTATCACATCAGAGTCAGTCCAAGAATACAGGAACAGATTATACGTGTCCAGTGGCTAACTGACTCGCAGATTTGCTCCAACAAAGCACCGTGCTCGCATGATGGCCAGTGTCTTCTTTATGCAGCCACTAGGTCAAATTGCTGGAAACGTGGTCTCGCTCATCGTTATCGCCGTCGGTCGAAACAATAACACAGATGCAGCCGAAATGGCTCGAAATGTCGATAGTATGTGGCGCTGGGTTCTTGGTATTGGTGTCGTCCCCGGTGCGATCGCGACCTTGTTTCGATTCGCTATTCCGGAAAGTCCGAGATACTTGGTTGAGATCGACGATGACCCAGTCACTGCTGAGTTTGATGCGACCACCCTCTTTAGTGAGCCGATGGTCAGTCCTGGATTTGATGCACGGGGCTTTGGAACAGTGACTTCCATTACTGGTACTGGTAGTGCGATCCAACTCCCGCCGATCTCCTCTCTGGCAAGTTCATCCATCCATGAGGACGAAGAGTACAACCCGTTGCCACCCGCGACCCTCAACTCCCACTGGCGACTTGCGAAATCTGATATCATCCGATACTTTTGGACAGAGGGTAACTGGCGCAGCCTAGTGGGTACCTCCGTGGCATGGTTACTCATGGATTTCGGTTTCTATGGAATCAGTCTGGCAAGTCCACAGTTCCTTGCAAAGACATGGGGCCAGCTTCATATCACCCAGTCGGAGCCATACTGGATGACTGACTCCCGAGCTGGAGCCAACGTTTATGAGATGTTCTTCCAGACATCCGTTCGCGCTCTGGTCATTTTGAATATTGGCAGCTTTGTCGGTGGTCTTTTGCTCATTATCTTCGCCCACCGCATTGAACGAGTCGCTCTGCAGAAGTACACTTTCCTCGGCCTATCCCTTCTTTTCATCGCTTTGGGCAGTCTATTTGTTTGCTTGGTAAATAGCCCAGCTGCCTCAGTGGCGCTATACATTGTTGGTCAAATTTTGTTCAACTTTGGTTAGTCCTCAACCCTCGCAGTCCATCTAATTAGCAATCAACTTACATATCACAGGCCCCAACGCAACTACATACATGATTCCCGCCGAAATCTTTCCCACTCGTTACAGAGCTACCTGCTACGGTCTCAGCGCTGGCGCTGGCAAGCTAGGTTCCATCCTCGTTCAAATCTTTTCAACCTACTATCGATTCGGCGGAGGTCTCGGAGACACCTCCACTCGCCACCACGGCATCGTTCTTTTTGTTTTCAGCGGATGCATGATTCTAGGTGCATTCGTCACACATATCTATATTCCCCCTCTTCTGGAGAAGAAGGGCCGAAATATTCTCTGGGGCGGCAAGCCATATACTCTTGAGACTATGGCTATGGGTCGCCAGGGGCGCAAGAGTCGCGAACCAGGTCTCAGGAAAAGACCAACTCGACAGCGCTCCATGTCGTACGCTAAGTAGAGTTTGCTTCTGATTTTCATTCTTCAATGTTCATATTTCCTTGGTGTATATTTTGGTGTTTGGGTATATGGGTATATGGGTACGGCTCTGATTTTGGATTTAAAATGGCTCGCATAAATGGATAGATACCCTGCCAATATTGGATTAAATCAATATCTTTAATATTAAATCCGAACGAGTGTTTACTGTGAAGGATGATTCCAGGGTTGTTTTACGTGCTTTTTGAATTCCCCGTGATTTGCCGCAATTTGCCGCAATTCCGCGACATTGACGCTAACCAAGCCAAGCTTGAAGGATGGCCACAAAGACCACAACCTCAACTGCTAGTGCTCCTCATGATTACACGCACTCTTACATTGAGGAAAAAGAATGGATAACCACGAGGATTCGGTTTGTCAGTCAAATCCGCGCAAACGCCGAAGACCGGCACTCTCATGCGAGCAATGCCGCCGCCGCAAGGTGCGCTGCGACCGGGAAATGCCATGTGGACCCTGCACCAAGATCCACCCATCCCTGAAATGTCTTTATGTTAAAGAAGGCAAAGCAGCACTGGATGCTAGAATTGAATCTGCTCCAGATGAGGATGAGGAGAATTCGATTCTAGGCCCGGAGACATCACAGCCTTCTAGTCAGAGCGTGGACAGCCGTCGGATAGCACAGCTTGAACGCAGCGTCCGGGCGCTGCAGGGGCGCGTACATGAATTAGAGGGTCTGCAAGGACCCGGTCGGCAGGAACCTGGATCGAAGAATGTAGTTGATGGTCATGATGGTACTCGATCCAGTCAATCGGAACAACCCCAGACGTTTATCCCACCTCTGGCTCCTCGGATCAAGAGTGATTGTGGGAATATGAAAGTATTCGGCACGACGCATTGGGCTATTGTATTTCAACAGGTGAGTTTGTCATTTTAATCTTTGGTCTTGCTATCTGATTAACCAAATCTAGTTCCGTCTGCTGCGTCAAGTCAAGAATACGGCCAGTTGGTCTGATGCTGAACACAATGAGATCAGCATGTCTCTAGCGGAGAGCCGAAAATTAAGACATCATATCAAGAATCGACAAGCACCAAGACTGGTTGATCCAGCACCGGGCTTGTTGAATGACCTACCTTCCAGAAGAACTTGCGATGAGCTGGTACAGCATTATTTCTGTACCCTCGAGCTTATATACCGAGTAGTTCATATCCCAAGCTTCTATCGCGAGTATGAGAACTTCTGGGATGAGCCTCAATCTGCGTCAAGAAGTTTTGTTTTCAAATTGCTGTTGATCCTAGCAATCGGCTCTGTCTTCCACTGCAAGCCTGGCCCATTGAACGAACTCGGTCTCCCTGTTCAGCGATGGGCATATGCAGCGCAATGGTGGTTATCTGGTCCATTTCAAAAAGAGATCGGCAACTTGGAAGGATTGCAGGTATACTGTCTACTTCTCATCTGCAGACAGGCATATGCGATGGGTAAGGAGACTAATTGGATGTCGGCTGGGAAACTTTTACGGATGGCGATTAACCAAGGATTGCATCGCGATCCTAGCCACTTCGCAACTATTTCTATCTTCGATGGCGAGATGCGAAGGCGTATCTGGGCGACAATCATCGAGCTCAATATCCAGTTCTCGATTGATTCGGCTATGCCGCCACTTATTAGTGAGGGGGACTTTGATACTCGACCCCCAGCCAATGTGGATGATGAGGAACTCGATCAGTCAATTACCATCTTGCCGCCTCTTCAGCTTCCGGATATTTTTACAGTTTCATCATTGCAAATCCTGCTTCTGAAATCTTTCCCTACTCGACTGAAGATTGCAAAAGTTATCAACGAGTGCAATGGCGCGCAAGTTTACGAAAGGGCATTACAGCTTGGCAATGGATTGACGACGGCCTGCAAGGAGATGGCAGGGCTAATGCATACCTACATTTCCCGAACAAGAAAGTCCAGATTCAAACCGACACCTTTTCACCACCGCATCATGGATACCGTATTACGGCGATTCCTCCTAAATCTCCACCGACCATTCACAATTCAAGCCTCAAAGGATCCCCGTTTCTATCTCTCCCGAAAAATCAGTCTTGATTCTGCCCTTATCATGGCTTCTTATGGAGATATTCCCATCGTCCCTGGTACAGAACTTCAGCCTTACCAATATTTCCAAAGACTCGCACTCTCCGGCGCAGGATCATTCAAAGCACATCTCTCACTAGATGTCATAATAGTGATATCCCTCGAATTAATCACCCAAATTGAAGAAGACTACTCGGCACAGCCATCAGGCTCTTCACCAATAACACCAACCGCAGTGGACCAAATCTCACAAGCAGCTCGTGTCCCACTGGTTCAGGCACTGGATCGCATAAAAGGTCATCTATACGAGAGTCTGGCAGCGGGTATTCCCAGCACGAAGAGATACTGCTTATTAGCTGGTGTACTGGCGCAGATTGAAAGTGTTCCGTTGCAGGAACAGGCTGAGTGGGCTCATATCCGTGAGGCGTTTATGACTAGTATGAATGTTTGTCAGTCGCTTTTGCAGAATTATATCCATGAGAATGCATCTGCGGACGGGGAGAAGATTCTTGGGCAATCGATGGATCAAATGTGGACGCCTGAGAGTGGGCTTGGCTCTAGTTTGAGCTCGGATCTTATGGTTAGTACCCTTATTTAAATACTTGCGAGGTATGAAGCACTCACTGACTTTTCTAGTTTCCTGACTTGGGTTTTGAGGGATTGAATTTCTGGGATCTGCCTCCTTTTGTTGATACGAGTGCATTTGAGCCACCTTTATGATCTTAGGGATCATTCAGATACCCAGATACAAATACCAAAAATCCCATGTTCAAATATTCATAGATAATCCGACCGTCTTCTATAAACGTAGTTATTCGCATCCTTCGTTTTCGCCTTGGATTTCAGGCGCCACGGCTGTAGCATTCTCCACATCCCCGCACCCCGACTCCAATTACACCGTGACTTTCTTTCATCTAAGGCTTTTCCTAGCGATCAATTATTTTAATAGGAAAAGATTCATTGTATGAATCCATCTTCTAGAGCTCTCACTGTGATAAATCTAGTTTGAACAACTTGAACCCAGATGACAACGCGTCGGCGATACACATCCAATCCATGCGAATGGTGCAGGAGTAAGTTTTTCTTACTCGAGATATAGTACTTGACTGACATCCCATTCATCTCAGATCGACATAGAAAATATATGTTTTCAGATTGGAACGAGCTCAGTTGCAGCTGAAACTGAATTGATCCATTAGGTGATGGCAAAAGGCCATGTTCTCACTGCGTAAAATCGAATACACAGTGTGAGCCATCAAGTACATCTTTCAAATTCAAGAATGCTCGCAAGAAAGATGAAAAGTTTGATTTTTCTCCAAATCAAGAGTGGGTGGATTATAAGGAAACAGGTTTGTTTGGTTCTCCTCTCGATCACCAAACTTGGCTGACCCGGAGTGTGCAGGACAACTACTCTACGTGCATACGACTCAAGATTCTAGTGTCGATGATGACACTCCTGTCCTAGATGATACTGTAATTACATCAAGGGAAACCGAGACTTTCCAACCTCATGAGCGTTCTATAAACGACTACGCTGGTCTGGGACGGGGTGACCAAGGGAGCGTTTCGAATGATTCTGGTGACAGCACAGCCACGGAGATGCGATCAGCGGGGTTTGATACTGGTGATTTCAGTCTTCTTATGCCGCAAAATGAGCCAAGTTTCCTTTCCACGACATTAACCCCAAGGTCAAACCTTCTGCTGTCACATTGCGAATTTCCTCAACAAGGAAATAACTATCCAGTTCGACCCTTGAAGGGCGTTCCAGATGGTTATACCGATTCCGCATATACCAGTTTGGAAGAGGCTTGTTTGATACGACACTTCACCGAGAATCTCGCTTCATGGGTAACTATATTCAGAATTCTTGTCAGCTCGTTATTAATTGTTCTCTCAGTTTGATACGTGTGATCGCGATCGTCACTTTGAATTGAGTGTCCCACAGAGGGCAATGTTCTGCCCAGTGTTACGGTATGCGCTATTGACTGCCTCTGCGGGTCATCTAACGAGACTTGCGGCCTGTCACGGTGAGACTAATGTGGTGACGTTTGAGAATATCAAGCTGCCCGGGCTCACTGCAGACACTGCTGTACGTTATCATGATATCTGTATCTCATATTTTATCGAGCTATCCAAAGATCCACAAGAGCAATATAATGAAGATGTTCTCACGGCAGCAACTGTCTTACGGTTCTATGAACAGATTGACGGTATGTGATCATTTGTTAATATGGGAGCATAGGATCTAACCAGTGTTAAATTAGCCCCTTCAATCGGGATAGACTCAGAGGCCTATCTCAACACTATCTAGTTCATTGTCAGCACACAGCAAAACGATTCGTTTTATGCCTACAATACCATTCAAGGGCCACTAAGAGATCATGATCTACATTGCATACCATCTGTCTCTCTTCGCCATTCTGCATGTCTGATTGCTCTGAGACAAGAGATATGGAGCGCATTTTTGAATCAACGTACTTTCCGGCTTCCTGTGTGTCCAAATAATGACTATACACAATTTGATGCAACAAATTATTTTACCTGGACAAATAGGATCCTGGTTTGGTGTGCAGATCTCCTCAAGTTCTGTTTTGGAGACAGCAAAGCTATGACTCTTGAGGAGCGAAGTGAACGATGGTTGACACTGAAACAGTTTGATCACAATTGGGTGGCAAACAAACCTCTTGAGTTCAAACCACTCTACTTTGAAGAAGCCAATCTCTCCTCTGGGAGGCCCTTTCCTGTGATTTGGTACCAGAATGCCTGTCAAGCTTTTGGTGCGCAACACATTGAACTCTCTCGGATCTTGTTAGCAGTTTCGAATCCAAAATTATTCCGCCTGGGATTAAGCGCGCGATCTGCCAACTTAGCCTTGGAAGAAGAGCTGAGATGCATTATTCGCAGGCTAATCGGTCTAGCCTTATCAAATCCCAAATGCCCAGTCATGTCTGTGGACGCTGCGGTCGGCATCTCTCTTTGTGGAGAGTATCTCTCACATCCGACAGAGCAGAAAGCGACACTGAAATTCTAGGCTGATCTCTAGTTCAATCACGCATGGCCTACAACTGCAACATCGCTTGCTTTGAAAGAAGCTTGGCAAATTCTTTCATTATCATAAATCGTGTATATCTATGTCTAAATAAATGTATCACTTTATTGCGCTTCGACTTTTCGAATCCGAATTCCACCTGTCCATCCTATCCATCCTTTTTCTGCGGGACCACGAATCAAACAGATAATAAAAGCAACAACGACAAATACCACACTTACTGACCCACTCATAATCCAGCCCTTTTCTCCGTAGACTCTATTTCCCACCGCCGTCCCCGTCAACTGCCCACAGAAAACACCAATCATATATGCAGTATTAACCCGACTTCGTGCTTTAGGCGCGACACTATAAATTGCCGTGCGGTTTGCAATCTGCGTCATCTGTAGACCAAAATCCTGCAACGCGGCCTGAAGAATCGGTCCTGCGACCGAAAATGTCCCGGTATAAGTTCCAATACAGATTCCAGCAAGCATGATAGTCAGACTGATCAGGATGGAGACCTGAGTTGCAAATTTATCAATGACATATCGAGAGTAGAAAGGACCCAGGAACATTGGAGTCAAGCCAGCCAATGAAAATAATCCAATAGTCACTGTCGAACAGTTATACGGATTCCCAGACAAGAGGAATGTGAGGGTTGTCCAAAAACTGGTGAATGTAGCAGAGAGACAAAAGCCCATGAAAGTGGCGTAGACTAGTACTGGGGACGAGATGAAAATTCTCACGATGGAAGTTAGGACTTTCACGTAAGTGATATCTGTGTTGGTCCTTTGGTAGTCTGGCATAAATGCCCACAGCAGGCTGAAAATTGCGAATTGCATCCCAAGGGCTAGCCAGTATACATTTCTCCACGATGAATATGAAGCGATTATTCCGGCGAGAAGGCGCGCAAATAGTAAACCGAGGACTAGGCCTGAGCTCACGATTGATAGTGCCGTTGCGCGACGAGCTGGTGGTGCGAGGTCCCCAACTAGGGGTAACATTATTTGCTAAGTCTAGTTAGCAATGATTGCAAGCGCTCACTTGAATAACTGATTGACGTACCGGAGTAACAGTGGTCACTGAAGACAAGAAGTTTATCGCAAGGAAAACATTAAATGAATCTGTAATGCACAGGCCAATCCATAGTGCAGCAGTGATAAATGTCAATAGCAGAACAAATGGTCTTCGCCGGATTAGATCTCCGAGTGGACAGAGAAGAATAAGTCCCACTGCATAACCAGCCTGGCTACACGTTGGAACTAGCGATGCCCGTTCATGAGATACATTGAAGTACCCGGCTAGAGTATCTTCAAGTGGTTGGGCATAGTAGAGATTGGCAACCTAGAAGTTATCAGTATTTGCATACATAGTCTTCACAAAGTGAAATTTTTCGGGGATTTATCTCCAATAACATTTGAACATACCGTAAACGTTCCGGCAAAAGCAAATAAAATATTCAATGGCATTCCAAATGTAGGTGGATTGTCTTTATCCCATCGACACCATGGCGGAGCCCAAAGCAATGTATTAATAAGGACTTTCCAAGGACTTCGTGATGTTGACGACTTTGTCGAATTTGTAATACTTTCATCGGTCTTCTCTCCGACATCCTCGGCTTTTTCAGAGCGATGAGAATAGCATTGAGGACCGGTTTCTTCATCGGGCACAGTAACGATATCAGAATTTGATACCTCCCTCTCTGAGCTAGCAGCACCCATTTTTGAATCAAAAGCCACAGATAAAGTGATGTCAAACGAGCGGGGAACTTTTTCTCCATTTTCTCCATTATCTCTATTCAACTCGTGTCGGGTCGGGGTATTAGTGGGTCACTGCATGGGTCTGATATGGCCGAAAACGGCTAATCTCTCAACCGATGACATCTCATACGGGGATTCAAATTGCATGGGGTTAGAATTGGAGAATACAACCAGTCAACCTCTTTTATTAATGATAGAAATAATTTACCTGGTTTTCAGGGCGAGTATTGATCCTTGGTTAGGTGGAGGGTGTTGACCTTGGGGTCTGGATCTCGTACCCGGCTAATGAATCGGGTTAAGGGCGGAATTATTGCTGTTTTAGTCTCCCCGCGTCAAGTAAGAATTTCCGCTTATACTCACAAAGTTAGACATTGAGATTTAACACTGTGCTTGAGTATAATCATGATGATTGTGATCTACAAGGTGGAAATTTTACCTGAAGTGAGTTTCTCACAATGTAAGGTCCAGTGGTTTAAGTAGGGAACAAGAAGACATTTTGTTAAGAAAACATCCAAATCCAAATCTTTTACCTGATTTATTCTCATCTCTTTATCAATATGCTACCAGTCGCTGTAGTCACCATTGCTGCAATCTATCTCATTATTTCATGGCTCATCTGGCCTGTCATACAATATTTCCGTGATCCCAAAGGTCTTCCGAAGTATCCCACATTCCACTATCTTTCTGGAATCACAGATATTCCCTACTGCATCCTTAGTGTATCTGGTCTCCGATCCAGAGACCTGACAGAAGCACATAAAAAATCACCGATCTTACGTATCGGTCCAAACAATCTCTCCTTTGGAGGTTCCGATGCAGTGAAGGATATCTATGGTCATTCCACTCCATGTGTCAAAGACCTCAAGTATACAATCACAGCAGGTTCTCATCCGAGCTTATTTGATGTGTCTAATAAACCAAACCACGCCGCGAAGAGGAAGAGGCTGTCAGCTGCCTTTGCTATTAAGAATCTGGAACGATGGGAGTTCAAAGTTGCCCGTGCAACTGAGGGTCTCATAGTTGCATTTGACCAACGATGTACAACGCCTCTGAAGCCTGGTCTACTCCCAGAATCGCAAGACCTGACTGTTGATTTCAATAAATGGATCAACCTCTTCACCATTGAGGCAATAAATAACATCGCTCTCTCCTCTACCCTTGGACTCTTGGAACAAGGTGACGATTTGGTGACAGCGCAGAGAAAAGACGGCACTACTTATACAGCGCACTATCGTAAATCCCAGAACCAAAGTGCCTTCGCTACATTCCACTTTGTCTGGCACTACAAAAATCTTGAGCTCTTTGCATGGCTCTCCAAGTTTCTTCCATTCTGGAAGAAAGTATGGAAGGATGCTGAGCCGTGGTCGGATGTCATACATCATCAGGCAGTCACTCGTCTCAACAAGTACAACGCAGGTGAGAAGTTGGACGATTTCTTCTCTGCGCTCATGGATGATAAGAATGGCGTCCCTCATAATTCCCAATGGGGCGAAATCAATGGAGAGATTGCTGCTATTATTGATGCTGGCGCAGATACCACAGCCATTGCTCTAACTCAGATTCTGGAGCTTTCGATCCGTCACCCAGATCATTTGGCTACTCTAAGAGAGGAGTTAGATAGCGTCCTTGCACCAGATAATATCGTCGCGCCATATGACACTGTTAAGAACTTGTCATTTCTCCGTGCCTGTCTTGATGAAGCGCTACGCATCATCCCTCCCACCTCGGCGGGTCTTCCTCGCCGGACTCTCCCAGAAGGCGCCATGATTTTGGGTCAGTGGCTCCCCGGGAACACAAGTGTCTCTATGACAATCTATACAGCACACCATAATGCGAGTATTTTTCCTAATCCGGAGGAATTCCAACCTCAGAGGTGGTTAAATCTTGAGGATAGGAAGAGAATGGAGCCGTACTTTATTCCATTTTCCACTGGAGCGAGAGGGTGTATTGGGCGGAACATCTCATATTTGGAACAGACTGTTGTGTTGGCTTCTATTGTTCATCCTTACGAGTTTGCACTTCCTGCTCCTGAGTGGGAGTTACAACGATTCGAGGCGTTTAATCTGCTTGTTGGTGAAATGCCTATCAAGATATGGAGAAGGGAAATTCCTGTTTGAGATTATTCGCTTACTTACAAATTGGATCAATAAATCTTGTGTTGGGGGAGTAATCCAACTTTATTCCATTCTATAGAGTCAGTCTCAAGTAGCTAAACTGAAGGAATGTAATTATTCTACAGAAAATAAGACGATACCAAGTATGATAGCCTCTGTTGAAAATTAAAATGACTTCCTGTACTCAAAACGACCATCTGATTTCCGTGACCAAGTATCCTTTAGTGATCATCATACAATATCTCCAGCATGATCTCTTGATTAACACAAATAGCCAAGACAAGGTGCGGCCCGATACTCAATAGCCGTGTGTGAGCAGGAGCGCGGTCAATTGCCAACTATTCAGAGTCAGTGCAGGAGAGAGGAATGGTGTTTCTGTAGCCAGTCAGAATCAACATTTTGTGAGCATACAGTGCCCAGCCACCAAATTCCCGTCGATCATTACGAGATGTGGCGCTGAAGGTCCCACTTTTGGTCTGTTTTTGGCAATTTTTCCGCATTCCTCACGGGGAATATCTCTGGATCTGGGGAACACACCTAGTAAGCTTCTTGCGAGGGGATTATCATGATAGTAAACTTCTTATGAGGGGAATATTATCATATTTGGATGCTATAAAAGGGATCTAGGAACTACCCCAGATTCCCCAGTTTTCACTATTCCCCACATTTCATTTCATTTATCTCTCAGTTCTAATAATGGCAGACCAAGCTAAAGACGCGACACCGATTGCCGACAAGCTTTCTTCTTTTGCTCATGATGAGCATGTTGATGATGATGCACCAAAATTTGAGGCTCTTGATATCAGCTATGATAATAATGGTATCAAGGGTATCCTGAACTCCCCTTTTGTCTTCGGCGCAGCCCTGTTAGCTTCATTCGGGGGCTTCTCTTTTGGATATGGTATGATGAATCCCATATATTTGCTTCTGTGCTCTCTCTTACTAATTAAAATAGACCAGGGAGTTATTTCCTTGATCTTGGTTATGCCACAATTTACCGATCAATTCCCTGAAGTAGCTTCAAGTTCACCACATTCAGGGTTCAACAAAGGCCTTTTAACTGGAATATTAGAGCTGGGAGCCTTCATTGGCTGTATAGCCTTCCCTTGCTTGGCAGACAGGATATCCAGAAAATGGGCTATCAGTATCGCTACAGGATTCTTTTGTGTTGGCGCCATTATGCAAACCGCATCTCAGACATACGACACCCTTGTTGCTGGTCGCTTTATTGTGGGATTGGGGTTGGTACACTGGCGATGGGTGCTCCGTTATACATTTCAGAAATCGCACCTCCTAACTTGAGAGGTTCCTTGATGGTTCTCGAATCAGTTAGTATTGTCATTGGTGCCATTGTGGCTTATTGGATTACCTATGGTACAAGGTAATCTTGACCGTACCATATTCCTCTCAGCTTATGCTAATATAGACTCATATTAAAGGGCTATAAATGGCGATTGGGCCTTCCGATTACCCTTCCTCCTTCAAATGATACCAGCTCTTACTGTTGGCTGCGGCATTCACTTCTTCCCATTCTCACCCCGTTGGTTAGCCCTCCGCGATCGAAATGAAGAGAGTCTCGAGAGTCTAGCTCGGCTGCGACGACTTCCTGCAACTGATGAAACCGTCCAGGTAGAGTGGAAGGGTATTATAGCTGAGGATCGATTCCAGAAAGAGATCCTTATACAGGAGCACCCAGATACCGGACCTATAATGATGGAAGTGAAGCAATGGCTTGATCTGTTCCGTTCAAAATATCTAAAGCGAACAATTGTCGCTACTGCAATCCCATTCTTCCAGCAGGTAAGTTTTTTTTTTTAAAAAAAAAAAAAAACTTTAGGCCTGTTGAAACTTGGCTAATTTGAATCAGTTCTCTGGAATAAATGCCTTCGTTTACTACGCCCCTACATTCTTCTCCAGTCTAGGTCAGACCTATAATAAATCACTCATCCTATCGGGAATGATTAATATTTGCCAATTGATTGGCAATATTCCAATCCTCCTATACTTTGACCAGATCGGTAGACGGAGAATTGCCATCTTCGGCGCCTTCTTGATGGCTATCCCTCATCTAATTATGGCCGGAATTTATCGCAAATTTAGCTCAAGCTGGCAGACTCATCAAGGCGTTGGGTGGTTTGGTGTTGCTTTGATCTGTAAGTACCAACCAATACCATTTGAAGGAAAATCGCTAACTGAGTACAGATGTCTATGTCCTTGCATACGCACTCTCATATGGACCCCTAGGATGGGTTCTACCAGCCGAAGTCTTCCCAAGCTCGAAGAGAGCTAAAGGTGTTGGTCTCGCGGTAGCTGTGAACTGGCTTGCTAATTTCATTATCGGGGTAGTGGTTCCGCAGATGCTTGAATCAATTGGATGGGGTACATTTCTATTCTTCGGACTTTTCTGTGTCGCTGCTGGAATTTTCTCGTTTCTGTTTGTGCCGGAGACTGCGAATCGGTCTTTAGAGCAGATCGCGGCTATTTTTGGGGATGATCTTAATGCAGAGGAAGATGGACTTCGTCTGAGGATTCAGATGGAGGTTTGGGCGGAGACTAACACTCAGCATCAAGTTTGAGAAGATTCGTAGCTTGTTGAATGATAAATGAGATGATTGCCGGGATATTGTATTTACCGGCCTAACGCCCGCGCTATGTACATGAATCAAATTTTGAGTATAAAACAGGTAATATGCAATATGAAAACATAAATGAGTGTTTAGGGTATCCATTCCGTTGCTGGACGTTTCAGGGGGTGTCCGGCAGAGTTGAAGACATAGTCATCCAGATTCATGTCATCTGGATCGCTGAACATGAGGTAGAAGTATTTCAGAGTTTCGGACATCCATAGACTGTCCATGGCGTCGATATGAATTGGATCAAGATCTGGAGATGTGACATCGGCCAGAGCGGCGTTTCCATTGATGATTTCCGTGGTATTTTGAATTGATTCAAACATTCCCCATGCAGTATCGAGGAGATCTTCGCGAGCACTGACCCGGTAAAGAGTGAACATACTTTCGATAATCTCCGGTCGCAGATTGTAGCGAGTATCAGGGACAGACACGAATCCCTTCGGCAAGTGATGGTCACGGATATATGCGTCAATATCCAGATTAGGATCTGGCTCGGGTCCTGTGATCACTCGCTTTTGGACCTCCTCTTTCCAGACTAATTCATCCCAAGGACAGGTAGTTTGGGATGCACATGGCACTGTATCATATACCTCCGGCATTATACCCAGTGGCATAGAATGAGCCGCCCAGATACAGCCATCTACAAGCTTTGTGGCAATCTTGCGATGAGTCGGGATATTGAAAACTGCTCCGCCCAGCGCAAAAAGCCCACCTGAGAAACACCCGCGATAACGAACCTGGCCTTCCAGTAACGTTCGCGACTTCCCATTCTGGGTCTGCAGCACATGAACAGATCCAGGAAGCAGAATATCTTTCTGATCTGGAGTCATGGGGCGAAAGAGATTGTGTCCGGCAGCAGTAAGCGTAGCACGCTCGTACATTTTGCGATACATGGGGAGCCGGCCTCCAAGTAACAAATAGGCTTTGGATAGTGTTTTATACAGAGAGTCCGCTTCAGCGCCCAGCGTGAAGAGATCTCCATCGAACATTTCAGTTCGCGCATTCAGCACAGAAGGCCACAGGCCGACAAGCCGAGTCACGTCCTGTAGCAGATTGAATTTTTCCATGACTAACTGAGCAGCGTCGAAATATTTCGGGTCGCCAGTCAATTGGGACAATTTGGTAAATTCAAGAATATAAGATCCAAGCTCAGAAGGAGATGTCATCTCCTCCGCAATCTGCTCTTCCTGTCGCGCGGCTCTATGCAGATCCCAGTGAGTGATCGGCATGCGATTCGGGGTGTCGAACGCCGCATAAAGCATGTCGCCCACTTCAATGGCCTTGAGCAGTAATCGACGGTCGGAACTTAGATCATATGCGCCTAGAAGACCACCCAGGATTCGGATATTGACTTCGTGGGTGTTAATCTCCGGCGAATGCGTTTCTTCGAAGTTGATCTTCATAACGGTCGCAACCGCTTTCGTGAACTCGTCGCGCATCCCCATGATCCATAATGTGTCGAGATTGTCCACAATTGTTAACCCCCATCCGCCCAGACCATTGATAGGTAAACCACTGATGGGCGCAAGCAGATCAGTCTCCCAAGCTAGCGACTTGTATGAATCCCAGCAGTTTTTGAATGCTTCCTTAACCGCCGCCTGTCTGCTCTTTTGGAAGAAGGTTGTAATTTGAGAAAAGCTCGATCCACCCGCTTGGATCTTCGGTATTTCTCGTAGCGATTGTAGAGGTGGGAGGAAATTGGGCGACACAGGGAATCGTAGGGGCAAATTCTTCCATATTGACTCGTGAGGCGGGTCATCTGGCGCTTGCTCGCTGGGTAGGACGGGTTCTGGGGGAGGTTCGGGAAAGTCGGGATTTGCGAAACCGGGTATAAAAGTGTCATCTTCGTTGGTAGCAGTGTCTGGCGATTCTGATTGAGTGGTCGCTTCATATGATGATGATCGATTGTATTGATAGAGAAAGAATATCATAGATAGCACCAGGAAGTAACCCAGCCATTGGCGTCTAGTTCGACTCATGTCGAATACGAACTGAATCTTAATTTCATGTACTGACGATCTGGTGTTTTTGGTTCAGCATCTTCAGTAAGGAGTTGCTCAATGCGTGGTGGAACACATAGGAGACGATCGTAGGATGATCGGATGATCACAGGGGAGGATAAAGCGAGTTGGTTCTCCCCGCGACCTGCAGCTCGGGCGGAAATCTATGCATTATTAGTTAATGCAAGCTAACGTTTCCGTCGTAATCGCTGCCAAGAATAGTCCATGGATTCCCAGACAGTCCAATGGAGCAGTCTATCCGTACTTATTAGGCATGGCGAGTGGCTCCTCGAAACGCGTCGTTCCAATTCTCTCTCCAATACGAGCGGCGCGCTGACGACGACTTCTTGGTATTGCTCCGGCGGAGCCGCTATCAACACTAGACAGAGTGACTAGAGCAAGTTGGGCCCATCAATATGCCTCGGTTTAGAATTAAGCATTTGCAAATGTAGAACTCCTTGAGTCCCTGAAGTGGCTTGCGGGAGGATCCAGTTTCGCCATAGGAAGAACGTATTGCGTAGGGATAAGCTTAATTCAGCCCTGGCCCCATTTGTCAGGTGGTCAGGTGCTCTACAGTACGAAGTACACAACAAGATCAATGGCATTCTAAAGTTCATTATAGGAGCCTATCCGTACTTAGGGGCATTGAGTGTAGCTTACTTGTTATGCATTGTGAGCAAATAATAAAATCTCAATAGTAATAATAAAAACCAATAGCCAGGTATGGTTTCTGTTTAGGGTCAAGTCCGCTGTAGGTTTAATTAAGGGGTTACCGATGAGATAATAATAGCAACGGAGAGTCTAGGCTGTGCAGAGTTGGGAATTTGACTGAACGACCAATTGGAACAATCAATAATAATGAGCAAAAATAAAATAGTCGATGTTAAAAAGACAAAAAAGAAATGTGCATCATCCGTGAATCGAACACGGGCCTCGTCGATGGCAACGACGAATTCTACCACTAGACCAATGATGCTATTTCATGTAATGGGACTAAAACTTTGACATCATGAACAAAAACATAATATTTATCGCCTTTTCATCTCTAATATTCAAAATACATTATGAATGATCGCATATTAGCCCACAGCTCAACTTTCTCACTTCTAAAATTCAAGTCTTCTTAATATTCAAGTTACTATATCAGGCTTCTAAAAAGTGATTTAATAGACTTTATTGAAGCGTTTGGATTTTGAAGTCAAATACATATATGGCTGCTATATATCTTTGCATAGAATCGGATGAAATATCTTTCAATTTGAGCTAACTTGAATGGATGTGAATTGATGTCCACGGGTGAAGATTAAGTAAGATCAAAGCAAATAATAATAAGCACAGCGATAGAGATAACTCGAATCAACAAAAATAGCACTTGAGTAAAAGAAACCCGATCACCACCGAACACTAGCTTCAAAAATAGTAGGCTGCATTGGAGACGAATCCTCAGGTTTCCAAAAACCAACGAGTCTCAACCCAGCTTGATTAAGAAGGGCCTCATACTCGTTCATGGTCCGCTCTGCTGCTGCAAAGGAAACCATCATACTCATATCTCCAATAGCAGCCATCAATGGCACATTGACCTCCTGCATAGCCTTCTCCTCGATTAAAAGTAAAGACTCTGGTCCCATTGCATCACGCAACCTCGTCAAAATCTCCACAACTTGCTTATCTGGCCAATCGTGAAGAACATTGCGGAGGTAGTATGCTTTCGCATTCTTAACAGGCTGTTCATCGAAGAAATTATGTCCCTGACTTTCAATACCAGTGGGTATAATCTCAGTTTCAATGACGTGTGGTAGGTCCTGGAGAATGAGTCTTCCTGGTAAAGTTGGGAATCTTTCGCGAAAGGCTTGGAGGTCTTTGCCTTGACAACCACCAACATCCACAAGAAGGACTTCGGAGGGGTCTTGTATTCTTAGCTTCTCTTCCACGGGAAAGAATTCGAGCCAGCTTTTCTCCACGCGACGGTAAGATGATGCCATCACTGTGTTGAAGGCTTCCTGGTAATATGGCTTCGAAGAAAGATAATCAAAATAGCGTGACTTGGTACCAGTGGCGAGATTAAAGGGGGTCTCATCAATTTCACCAGGGTTAACCCATCCCCTTTGCTCGAAGTATTCGGGGAGTCGAGAAATAAAGGTAAAGAAGTGAGTGCTGGTTTTTCAGTATACGTACACCTGGGCATCTTGAAGAGATGGTATCGACTTACAAGTGAATCACAGCAGCAGGTAGAGGCGATGCAGAAACATAAGCCACGGCAAATGGTGTAGAGCTGAAAGTATCTGGAGTGTGCTGTTTCAGAATATCCATCGCTGCTAGAAACTTCATGATTCGGCCTGTTCATATCAGCACTAGTTTTGAGAAGTGAGTTTAAAGCTTGGAACTTACTAACTAGTTTTGGGTCTGCCTTAACATCCACTGCAAGCTGCTCCATACTGACCAAACCATCTTTATTTTCAGTAGACCGAATGGCGATTGCATCGAAGAGTTTGAGGTCGATGCCGAGACGGAGTGCCATTGCTTGGTGGCCCTGAATTCGTTAGCCTCGACATGCTCAGTTGGAGCGAGGTGGGATAGCTTACAGTAAAAAGGAGCTTCAAAGTTTTCTCTAAAGGTGTTTCACATAGCTTTCTTAGCTTATCGCATGCTTGGGAAAGTTGGTTCCGTTGTTGTTCATTTACGGCCCCAATATCACCGGAAGTAGTGAGGGAGTTGATGGAGGCGATGAGTTGAGAGATATCCATATTCAGATTTTTAGACATAATGATTGTTATAGTAAATAAAATGAGATATGATTCCTAGATTCTTTGAATGTGTTTATGATTTTATAGTATACTGATATTGATACTTCAGTCGGGGAATTCCATAACATTTGAATAACCCGAGTCCGATCTCCGAGTCCGACCAAAGGATTTAAGCACCACAGGCATGATCTCGGATTAAAGTCTATATTGATCGTCACAGAGACATAATAAATTTTATTCTAAGGTTACATATTGATTTTTTTTTTTTGATATCATCAGGGAGCATATAAGCTGATACCTATTATTGGATATTATGGGGACTTCCAAGCTTGAAGCTCCACATAGCTCTCGGGCTAGGTCTTATCCCATAAGCATACCAGTTCTTCAAGTTATTCCTATACTCCGTACTCCGTACTCAAATCTACAATGATAATAAACTTGACTCAAATGACCTGCATAAACCTTCACGTTTTAGGGAATGATTCCCAAAATCTAGATTAATGGACGGATCTTAGTTCCATTCTATGTTAGGATCAATAACCCCGGGTTCCAAGGCTAAACTTTATCCCCGCTTTAATTTGAACAACTTGTCAACTACCAGCTCAACTTGATGAACCCTTACTCTAATTTAGCAGAGATTCCAACACTTCAGTATCTGAAGATTACGAACACGGCACGAACGCCTCTTTAAACCATATTTAATTGCCAAGACCTTGGCAACTCAACTGCAGTAAGCAGTTGAACTTCTTGTCACACTGAAAGACGTTCGGATTTCTTGCCGTGCGGGGTTTCATCTCACCTTCTTGCATAAACCCATAAATAGGACACCTCTCGTCCCAATCCTTCATTCTTTCATCCTAATCGAATCCAGAAGAAGACAAAATGGCTATCGCCAACGTCCAGATTCAACCTTCCGTTCTATCTAAAGACAGGGTTGAGCTAGGTTCAACTGATATCCCTCTCGGTATCCTGCCAAAAACTAGTACATTGACCCCAGAAGACCCAGATGGCATTGTGTCCACCCTCATCACAAAGCTCAATGAGGGAATCGCGAAAAAAAGACAATGCCGCTGTAGCTGCTCTTTTCATCGAAAACAGCTACTGGCGAGACCACCTCTGTCTGTCCTGGGCATTCCGCACTCTGAAAGGTTCTAAGGCTCTTTCCAATTTCGCTGCTGAGAGTTCATCGTCCGTCCAGTTTGAAATTGATCGTTCCTCGCCTCTAAAAGCACCACATGCTGGACCCATTGATGCCTTCGGCGAGGTTAATGGACTCGAGTCCTTCGTTAAAGTGACCACTTCATTCGGTAATGGCACTGGTGTCGTTCGAATTGCTCAGCAGGGTGAAGAATGGAAGCTATTCACCATTTTTACCACCCTTCTCGAGATCACCAATCACGAAGAAGTAACTAAGGATCGCAGACCAGCCGGTGTGCAGCATGGTGCGTATCAAGGTCGCAAAAACTGGCAAGATCGACGCAACGAGGATGTCAACTTTGAAGGAAAGGATCCGGCAGTTCTTATCGTTGGTATGTATATCATCCCTACCGAATTGAAAAGGATGTGCAAAGCTAACGAGTCTCTGTGGTATAGGAGCCGGACAGGGTGGTCTCACAGCTGCAGCACGTCTCAAGATGCTTAACGTGGACACCTTGCTCATTGATCAAGAAGACCGAATTGGAGATAGCTGGCGTAATCGCTACCACCAGCTTGTTTTGCATGACCCCGTCTGGTACGACCACTTACCTTACCTACCCTTCCCACCGAACTGGCCCATCTTCACGCCAAAGGATAAACTCGCGGATTTCTTCGAGTCATACGTCAAGATACTGGAGCTGGATGTGTGGGTGCGCACCGAGCTGAAGTCCCCATCCTGGGATGAGAGCACTAAGAAATGGACCATTGTGGTTGAGCGCACGAAGGCAGATGGCTCAGTCGAGACAAGAAATTTGCATCCTCGTCACGTTATCCAGGCGACCGGACACTCGGGCAAGAAAAATTTGCCTGATTTCAAGGGCATGGAGAATTTCCAGGGTGACCGGATCTGTCATAGCTCCGAGTTCACGGGCGCGAAAGACGGTTCCAAGGGGAAGAAGGCTATTGTTGTTGGATCCTGTAATTCCGGCCACGACATCGCGCAGGATTTCTACGAAAAGGGATACGATGTGACGATGGTCCAGCGTAGCTCTACATGCGTTGTTTCCTCAAACTCTATTACTGAGATCGCGTTGAAGGCCCTATACTCCGAAGCTGCACCCCAGACCGAGGATGCTGATACGTATCTGATAAGTGTTGCGCCGGAGTTATTCAAGCGCCAGCAGACTAAAGTGGACAATTTGATTCGCCAGAATGATGCTCAGACCTTGGAGGGACTGGAAAAGGCTGGCTTTGCGGTGGATCGTGGTCCTATGGATGCAGGACTTGTGATTAAGTATTTCCAGCGCGGTGGGGGCTACTACATTGATGTTGGAGGAAGTCAGTTAATTATTGATGGGAAGGTGAAAGTCAAGCACGGACAGGAGATTAGTGAGATTCTGAGCAATGGGATCCAATTCGCTGATGGCTCGGAACTTGTCGCTGATGAGATCATTTTCGCCACTGGGTATCAGAATATGAGGACTCAGGCGAGGACCATCTTCGGTGATGATGTTGCCGATCGTGTTAATGATGTCTGGGGCTTGAACCAGGAGGGTGAGTTCAGAACCATCTGGCAGCGAAGCGGACATCCTGGGTTCTGGTTTATGGGTGGAAACCTTGCACTGTGCAGATACTACTCCCGTCTTCTCGCATTGCAGATTAAGGCATTGGAAGAGGGAATTGCGCAGTACTAGAGCACTTGAGGTTGATTATGTATCACTATGGAGTCAGGTATACTACTAGCTACTCCTCGATACTATTAGCTACGAATATGAATATTTTGAATCAATACAGGTCCAATCTTCAGTCATAATTCATTAAGTCGTTAAATCGTATAAATCATGGATTCAATCCATGCCACCCTTCTTGCTGCGCAACCCAAGTCCCCAATGTCAAAACCTGGGTATACAACCACTTCTCCAGTGCATAACCAGACTCCTGAGCCCCAACAGGTCCCGTCAACTCCATACAAATCTGTAAACTCTCCAAAATAGAACCCTTCCGTACAAGAATCTCCATCCACCCAGGAGACATAGTCGCAATACGACTCTTCCTCCTAGCAGTGCGATCAATCAAAAACATGATGAATTCCTCCTCCCCTTCTTTCTCTGTATCCCTTTTCTCACACTGAATCGTCATTCTCCCCGAATCATCCTTTAACATAAACCGATAACAGGGTTCCTTATTTGCTCGAATTGTACCCGCACTAGCAGTCCAGCTGCATTGTGAATCCCGGAAATAGATATGTGAAGATCCTTCCTCGGATCCTGATCCACAATTTGAAGGTGGGGTGTGACACATTGCCGCGACGATATCCTTATGCTGCGCATCATCGTCGGAATCAGATCGAGTTGAATCTTTCCGTACTGCGTTCGGGTTTAAGATATAGGGCTCATTGGTACTAGCGTAGATATCGCCAGAACGGAGCTTCGGCCTTTGCGGAAAGTCCCGGGTCAATTTTGATTTTCGGAATGGAGGTTGCCAGATTTCTAGAACTGGAACTGGTCGGTGGTTTGGGGCTAATTGTTGGATTTGAAGAAGGAGTTTTGGTGCGATGCGGAGTGAAGACTTTGGTGGTGGACGGGCAATTTGAAATGTTGCTTGAATTTTGGAGTGAGAGTGAGAGGATGGACTATGATATTATTAGTATGATTCAATAGAATATAACATTGGATATTCATAATATTCTAGAATATCATATAGTGGGGTCGATTTACCGCTCATCACTTGCAGTGTCGCTCTCGTAAGTTACCGACATTGTAGATCAGTTGATCAGTCCAGCTGATAATGTTCAACTGATTTTTGTTTATCACATATAACTTTTGAAAGTAAAATTTCGTGGATGTGAATTTGGGGGAAGTGACCAAAATATAAGAATTGAAGGATCAGGAGAAGTGGCCCTCTTTTTTTTTGGGCCCTACACCGACATGAGGCAAGTTTGTACTAAATAAATACATTTGAGCTCCATAACAGTCTTGGCTTTTCACCTGGGCGGTTCTAGCCCGCGTACTCGTATTTCAATGTGTTATGAACCCGTGTGGGGGCAGAGCGCATACGTATAAATTCCCCTATCAATCTCGCACTCGTAGAATGTACTCTAAAACAGAGATAGTTTCATTCAGCCTTAAAAAACCCGAGATCTATGTACATCAATATCTTCGCGAATGATACCCAATCGAGACATTACTGCGAATGGTTGACACGGTTAAGTCTTTGCGTCATCTCGCACCACGGTAATTTGGGGGCAAAACCATATCCCCAACTAGCAATGTGATGGGCACTTACATTTTCGTGGGCTGAACTCCGTATATAGTAAGTTGATCGGCGTTTTCCTCTGACAGGGGGTTCAAGTTCGCCCGACCCCGTGGCCACTTTCACGTCTGAGCTCATGAGTCTTCTAAGGTGGATCTTTAATCGGATGTGGCAGCCAGATCCACCAATAAGGAGAATAGCCCCCGGGGCTATGTGAAAGTGCGAACATTTGAACTTGATCTCGGGCTTGATCTCGGGCTTGATCCTGATTGTAGGGCTGTTCACCGTGCGCGATGTGCATGAGTAGAGCAAAGCCATCATGGTTCTCCAAATTCTCGGAAAATAAGTCTGATATAGTTGGAAATGCACTCCAGGATTACAAGTCGCACTCCTGAAACATTCGAACATGTTTGTTTACGCTTCTTTATCCTCGGTAGGACCCATAATCTCGGGACTCCAGCCGTGTTCCAGTCCAAGAATGCGACCGGTGATCAATCCCTTCAGTGTCAGAATCTGATTCCCGATCCACATGATGAGCATAATAAGCAGAAGGGCCGTAGAAAACACCGCAAAAGCCGATGAATCCATGATTTTCCCGAACTCCACTGCTGCGTTTGTGAAAACGCCCTGCGAAAAGGTGAGTCAGCGCGTTTAAGGCCTCCCCTTGGCGATAATCAAGACCTTGAAGAGGGTCTTGTGGAGATGTGGGACTTACCCAGGGGAAAACCAGCGACCAAGCTGCGAGACTAAATTTTGGTTTTTGACCCCAGGCAATTAACGTGTGACAAATGCTTAGAATCGCGAAACACCACCAGAATACACCATACCCCCAGGTTAATAGCCCCATGAGCTGGCTCACGAACCCGATCGCGTCCGCTGCTTTCGCTGTTAAGAACGTACCGCGATGATACGCTCCGAAACTACCTTGCACCGCTTCACCCAATACCTGCAGAGCGAAGGATCCCTGGCCTAATGGTCCACATATAATCATATCTTGGTATACTTTCTCTGCGGCGGAGTGGATCTGGTTGAAATGTTGGAACATGATCAGGACGTTAAAACCCGACGTGACGGCTAGTCCGGAGCCCACTTCGATGTATCCGACGATGATAACCGGGACTTTTAATCGCGCACTGACGTGACATTGTCGACATATGACTCCGCCGCCGGCTGCGGCAGTTAACACGGCGACGAAAGGGAGGAGTACGGCTGGAGGGAGTTTCTGGACTCCGGGCGCTTGGAGTTTGAGTTGGATGTATGGAATACCGATGGAGACGATAGCTGCAAGGGCGGTATCTACCCAGAAAAGGATGTAGATGGCAAGTCCGGCGCGGTCACCATATTCTATACTTGCGTATTGCAGGATAGAGGTAAATGCGATGGGGATACAGGAGAGACATGATGTTTCCATCAGGTTGGTGCGTAGCTCATGGCGTACGTATTTTGGGTAGAGACATACCCGGAGGAAGTAGAATAATAGACATAATCCAAAGAGAACGATGTCATATATCCAGATCACCTTGGCTATAGTCTTCAGGCCGTTGAATTGGTAGTCCAGTCGGTTGAGGACGAGACATACAATGCCTGTTCCTTGCGGGACGAGGAGCCATTGAGAGGTGAAATTCCAAAGCGCAAGGGAGATGGGTTTAGTCGGGGGTTGGAAGGATGACGACGACATCACAATTGGAGCTCTGATGTTAAGATCCAATAGTTTGTGGAGAAGATTCGTATTGCAGAAGATTCGTATTGCTAGTTTGAGCTTATTGAACTTTGTTGAGATGGGTCGTCTTTTTGACGTCATTTAATGATATTGGTCCGAATTGACCTCATTGAAGCATCGGAATAATGTCGATCGCTTGTTTCAAGTTGGTCTTCGTATTTCATTATAGAAGTGTTGGTCGTAGATATAATTGCTTTTTCCTGCTAGGTTGACGTCCTAGAAGCTCGGATGCCCGATGTCGTGAAGCAGTGTTAGATGGGATGAATGCCCAAGATTGGAAATATCTAGCATATAGATCAATCAATCAAATCATATTGAACATTGAACTTGGAGATCTGAATTGTCTTTCGAATTGAGATCCAAGCTGGAGCAGTCTGCGTATATGCAACAAGTTACAAAAGTCACAGTGTAGAACCTATGAAGGTAAAAAGCCTTAAAACACACGCTTGAAGAAACATAAAAAACACCGAACATAAAGATCGCATTCCGAGCCAAGTAAACCCAAGCCCAGATACCATCCTGATGGCCTGGAAAGACCGTGATTTGGGCCCTGCCAAACCATATAACCGACGCCGAGGATAGACCCGTCCATCCCAAAAATCATGATCGCATTTTCAATTTTCAACTTATCCCATATTCGTGGAAGGAGTGGAGGCTTCGTGCGGTTGTGGGTAGTAGTTCCCATAGTTCGACGCTTCTTCGGAGGTGTCTGCGATCATATGGTATTAGCACTGGAGTGGGGACTCGGAACACATTTATCCACCGAGTTTCAATTTTCGGGTACATACATCGTGACTCCATATCTTTGGCAGCACTCAAAGATTCCCTCTTTAGATGACCAAAATTCATCATGCGTACTGCGCGCATATATTTGCTTTGTTCGTGGGTTTGGTTCATGCTTCGGGCCTCTTCTTCAAGTGGGGTGCGGTGTCGGAAGAGGGCTGCACCGAGTGCTGTCACAGCAAGACATCCGACCAGGACGATCACAATGATAGCGGAATCGGAGAGAGTCATGGTGAGATTTTTATGTTTTGATAGTTGAATAGATAGGTGAGTTCAAGTTTGTAGGGTCGAGTCGTCTTAGCGATCGTTGGGTATGTATGTATGTGCGGAGTAATGAAGTCAAGCGTTAGGTCGTCAGTACATGATGGGATGGAATATGGGGAAGAACCAGGTGGTCCTGGAGACACAAAAATGAAGAAAGGGAAAAGAGAAAAACTAGTAAAGAAAGGCAGGGATATGCGACATAAAAAGGGCCCCTACGGCTTACGCCAGCCAGATGGCTCATATTCGCAATTTGATCAGTTGTCTTGTGCTTCATGCATTGTCTCCATCACGGAACCCACTGGGATTGGCGGATCCATTTTCTGGTCAGACAGGTACAATCGCTTTGATTTGACCGATTTCTGTTATTCCGCCACTGCGGATCACCACGGATATGATCAGATTGAATTTACATTGACTATACTACGGAGTAGTGTATGAAGACTTGAAGACTTGACTTGGATTATAGAGTAAACTTTGTAACAAGTGGTTATATCCAACATCAATTGAATTGAATATTAATGAATGTGAGTGCGCACAATCGGAACCGACTGATCCAGTCCGCTAGTCAAAGCTTGTCACCATCAGGATCTCCGATTGGCGAAGAACGAGAGTCACAACTGGGTTGCCTACAGTGGGGCAATTGAGTGGTTGAAACGGCGTGTGTCGTACGCTTGGGCTCCCGTCGATCATAGCAGATAGGAAAGAAACAGGAATATCGAGAAAGAGATAATGAAAAGAAACAAGAAAACAGAAATGCAGAAAAAAGGTAGAATAAAAAAAACCAATCATCATCACAAAAACGAAAAAATAGAAAGAAAAACGAGGCGAAAAGAAAGAAAACGTAAAAAGAAAAAAAAAACATCAGTTGATCAAACCCTGGAATTCATCGAAATGAACCAAGGAAATCAAAAAAACACATGGAAGATTCAAAAGCACACATAATCGACGGGAGCCCAGTAAATCCATCAATCCTTCAATCCTTCATCCTCCATGTCTCAAGCTCTCAAGCTTTTTCGTGTATCACCAAAGCAACGGGTCCTTCGTGGACTGTAGGATGACATAGACGTGTGTGGCTGATCTGCATTGGCCCCAAAAGCCGAGTTAACATTTGGGCACCTAGCAACATCCACACTGAACGGGAACAATTCTTACTCTTGCTTGGACTCGGGTCCTCTCCACATCTCTGTGCCAAAAATAAAGAGCCTTAATAAGGCTAGACTCGAAGTTGTCAAAACTCGAGCCTCGTCGGGAGTACCGGAATCGGGTAATAAAAATAAAAATAGGCGAGAAACTCGAAGCTTTTGAAACGGATTTCGGCTCGTGAACTCCGTGTCCGCGTGTCACTTTGGTACATTTTCAAGTTGTTGCCGATGTTGGACTTTGCCGCGTATTCGTATACTTACACATATTGGTTGGTCCGCATATCGATGGATGCCAATATTATTAGCCCTATACAATTCAATGTTAATATTATAAAGGGTGGTGACGTACTATTCAACATTCAAGTTTTGAGAATATCAGATTATGCTCATTATACTCCGTGGAGATTATCTGCTGTACACGACTTTCAAGTGCTATCAAATTGTGAGTAGATGATATGCTATCAATAACAGGTTGCAAATTACCGATATCAATTGTTCCTCCAACCTCCAATCCTTCATGTAAATACTTCCACGTTAGCATGCCGCGGTCGGCGCAATTCTGTAACAGTTTTAAAACACAGTCTTAGTATTCTGGACCTTTGCGATCGTTGGGATTGGTGTGGCTTACCTTCAATCAAATCGGTCGGATCTGATGCAAAGCGAGTGTATAGGTCGACAGAGGGCGGAAGTATGATCAGTGGAGGTATAAGGTCGGGCACTTTGAGGTTCAAAGGACACTATATCGAGATTAGATTTAGCAAAACAGAAAGGTTGACATCATTTGAATGATTTACCATTGATCACACAATCAGTCCAATTGACTCGACTATTCATCTTGGTCTCGGTAGATAACGTATGACCGCGGAGAATAAACTGCAACACAAGAAGAATGGAGGAGGACATGGTGGCTAGCCTCAAAGGACACAGCCATTCGAGTTCGAGGGCTCTTGGATGCGGAGGTAGCCATTGGAGGTATTGAGAAAGATGATTCAATTGTTCTGAGTGCTTGATGCTGAATGCTCGATGCTCGATGCTCTGAATTGATTCATAACAGCGGGAAAAGACGACTTATTTATGTCTTTCGCAGACCACGATGATCAGGATTTTCCCTCATCCATCCCCGGAAACCGTGGTTGTGACCAACATCCAAGTTGACTTGGGATTCGTAGATTCTACCCATGAGGAGACCGCGCGCCTGGAAATCATCTTCTGGACCAAAGAGCATCTGTAGAATTTGACTTTTCAAATGTTGGCTTGCAATGCACCACATGGAGTGGAGTCGTGTTGGCGCTGAATGTCGATCCTGAGAGGATGTATAGGACGACACGATAGACACAGTTCGGAGACAGGTCTAGTCGGGAACTATCACTTTTTGAAATGTGATTTTATCTTGCATGAAAGCAATTTGGAGTAAGGTGCCATGTGCGCGTTGTGCCATCACCGGCATTAGTGTATATCGGGTGGTGTGGGACGGGCACTGAGGGTTAGTCTCTAAGCGCCGACGTATTTGGAGGGGTAGATAAAGCACAACGGCCGAATGACGGACAAAAAATCAATATATGTGGAGTATCTGTGCGATGAGAATTGTTTCGATACTTCCCTGGCGTCTGTATTTCCTGGCAACTTGAAGAAGTGACATGTCTTGAACTAAATCTGGGAGGTTGCTGGTATCGCGACTTCTGATGAACAACGCAAGATATTTACCACGGAGTTTCAATAACATCGAAAAGTGCAAATGTTACTTCCATAAAGTTTTTTCCATCTTTTCAGCGAATCTAAGCTAGAAACGCATGGTTCTCGGACAATGCATGAAAGGACGAGAAGCTATGCTTTGTGTTGCATCAGTGGGGGCTAAAAGGCCCTGGTATAGCGACAAAGAGTACAGTTGTATCTCGGGCTCTCGGATTCTGAGATGTACCGAGCTGCAATAAGGTCTGTGGCTTGAATCTCACTGAATTATTGGGGTTTTTTTTGTTTTGTTTTGTCTCTTGACTAAGATAAATTCGTGATAGGTATTTATGATAATGTACTCTGTACGTGGACGCGAGACCTGGTGACTGAATAACAATTATAGCAGGAGTAACCAGACTGAGAAGTTCAGAATTGAAAATAAATGGAAACAGCTGGACTTGACCGGGAGATTGAAATCGAGTGTGCATTGAAGTGAGAGGCGAGATGCTGCGAATAGCCTCACTTGATACATCCGTCACCACACCACCATCCTTAATGTCTCCCTCATCATGGGTCATTCCTTATTTCCAAAAGGAGAGCAACAGAAAAACTAAATTTAAAGGTAATAGAAACTGTTTTTAAAAAAAAGAAATCATTGCCCCCACCTGAAGCTGGATCCAGGCCAGACCATCCTGATCAATACCTGTCCTCGTGAAGGGTCTAAACCCTTTACACAGTTCACAAGACAAGTATTTCGTTTACCGCATAGTATGCGCAGGTAACATTCAATAAAAAATCAAATTCCAATTTAGTAAACTATATGCAAAAATCAAAACTTGAAGCTGATATTAGTTAACGCTATCCTCAAATCCCTGCTAGTATACTTTGATCAATTTCCCATTCTCTCAAGTGCTTACGCTTGCATCAAAAACAAATGCTGTTCGTTAATCATAATCAAGACTTGGTCTTAGGCTTGCGAATCATGCAATACAGCTGAAGCAGCTCAGTCAGTCACCAAAAAAAATCCGATATCACGAGAAACATACCTTGCAAATATCCTCGCCATCAACACATCTGATCTCCCGGGTAAGTTCGAACCCCATCTTCTCATAAATCGCGACATTGGGAAATCCCTTGGAGCTCTCAAGGTAGCAAGGGATTCCTTCTTCGTCAGCTTTTTGCATGACGATATCCATAAGTCGCTTCCCAACTCCCATGCCGCGGACCTGCGAGCTAACACCTAGCATATTGCAGAAATAGTATCCGCGTGGGTCAACCCACAGGTCGTCCTTAGCCTCTTGCTGTTCTTCCTTCCAGATCCAGTATCGGCGTACGTTCAATCCACCACGACCCGCAAATCGGATGTTGTACATGAGTTGTCGGAAGGAGAGGAGCCAGCTATTCGCCCAGACGGACCAAGTTTGTCGGATTGGGGGCTGTTCCGGTGAAGACCACCAACATATACCCACGACCGAACCTGGTGGGAGCTTGATTTCGCGATCGGGTTTGTAGTCGCCTGTTGCGCGACTTACTTTCGCGATGAAGATCGGGTATCCGCAGCTGAGGCCGAACTTGAAATGGGCGCTGAGTGAGGCTGCATTCCGTTGGACGTTGAACTAATCAAGATTTGTTTAGTTTTGGCTTTTTGGGTTTTCTAGTTTGTTTGTTTTCTTTCTTTCTTTCTCTGGGAGTCGAATCTCGCATGGTGACACAACACCGGGTATACTGGATGTCGCTTTGGGTCTCGTACCTTGGATGGATCGTCGAATGCCCAGCGGAAATAAGGATCATCGGAAAAGGCTCTCTGAAGGCAATCTACAGCACCGGGTATATCGGCCTCGGCCAGTGGGAGAATCTCGATTGACATGGTCTCTGCCTTGCCACTACGGTCTCGCAAATCAGAGTATAATCTAATTCACAGTACGGGTTTAGATATCCGCGTACTGGATATACTATCTCTGCGAATTGGTTGGGAGAGCGATATGGTATAAACGTGAGAGTGAAGTAGTAGAGGATAGAAAGAGAGAACCGCCATCTAAGTTGAATTGGAGAGGTGTAATCACCAAAGGATGTGGGTTTGAAAATAGTAAAGCAAACTGAAGGGTCTATCTGAGATGCCAAATGGCCCAGTAGGATAAGGGGGAAGTGTAGTTGGTTAATTCGTCAAAGTATGAAAAGAAGTGTTTGTTCTGAATATTGATGAGAGAACATTTGGGCACTCATATAGCTTTCCCCATAGCACTCCACTCTGTCTATCTCACTTACTCCTTATCTTTACATCGCGCAGTTGGCGCTTCACTAGCCCCTTTGGGCAGCTGCATCCGGCATAGGGGGCATTACACCGCATACTTCCTGCAGCCTTGTCCCAGTCATAATCTCAAGTATGAAGCAGTAGGTTCCAGACTCAGTTAGTCGACATTTACCTACATGGATCTTCACATCGATCGATCCTATAGATCAATAGCATACAAACATGGCATTCTTGCGCCCAAAATGCAGGGACTGGTTACATTGAGGGGGGGTTTCGTATAGGCCGATGTGGGGAACCTAAATGCAATTGGGCAGGTTGTCGCGGACAAGGATTAGTATTGGCTGCTGAGAAGGCATACAGTGGGTCGTCTCATCGGGCTTATCATTACGATTTAAGATCTTGTTTGATAACATGGATGATTTCAAGGTCCACTATAGTTCAAAGATGGGATCTGGAAGGAGTTGATTCTTAGTTTATGGCGTATAGCTTATTTTAATGAGCTTTCTACAAATAAGAGGAGTTTGAAGAGTATGATTTCTACAAGAACTGGAATAATCTCAATCGTTCACCGTGTTCCGGTGAGAACCGCCCCTTGCCGTTACGCTCAGGCCCACTTCCGTGCCTCGCAGACCAACCGCGTGACCAAAGACATCATTTGGCTGACACTTCATCATATAGGATAAACGTGTTAATTAGATTGGATTACGAGCCCCGCTAATCAATTTGCGGGGAAGCTTCAATTGTGAAGAAATAAAATTTGGTGATAAAGGCGTCGTCAGCATTCAAGGGCTCCAGAGCTCAGTATTGTCAAGTTTTGGCAGCTGGGAAGACTCGGATTCAACATTTATCCTTGGGCAGCATTATCTGGAATTGTGCTAGAGATGCTCCGCGCCCAGCCATCCCAAGGTTCCAGCTTACACTGCATGACTCGAAAGGAAAGTGATGTGTAGAATCTCACCCAATTGCGTCAAGCCGAGTGCCGGAGAGCAGCCTGCATGATTCCAACTTCATCACACCTAACACGTTTTACTGATGATGGTATGTTTCCAACAATGCACGCCACAATTTGCCTTATCGTAGAAACCTCTGGAAGATAGGGATTCGGGAATCGACGACTATGAGACTCTTGGAAGATAGCACAAGTCAGTCTCGGACTCTCCGGTATTATGAATAGGTTCGTTGGATCATTCGAATTTACGAAAGCAATGACTGAAAGTTTCGGGTACCAACATTTTATCCATAGCAGCGACAGCCTTCCCGAAAGTTTCTTTAGAAGATATCTTGTCTGGGGTAGATAGTGATCACACTAAGTGGAGTTCGCCTTATCCAGAAGATCTACAATATTGAATTCTAGGCTATCGCCTTGGCACTCAACCTGGCTATCTCTGAGCGAATGATTCCCTTAAGCCTTTTAACATACTGTAAGGGTGAACTCTTCAGGATTTGGGCCTCGCCGCTTGTTGTTTGGGCTGATGGTGCTCCCTGAATCCTTGGGGAGCTTTCTGTTGGGATCGATAATGACCAAATTCTTCAACCTTTGGAACTTGAAGGATCGACTATACTTCTCCCTTTCTCAACAGAATATCAAAATTCGGCGGAAGGAATATCTTCGTCCTTTAATTCGTCAAATTCTCTCACCGGGGATCATGCAGGCCGGTGAATATCACTCTAGATGACTTATCCTTGGGTCCTGCACATGGGTTGTGACGTGCCTCACCTGACACGTATATTAAGGCCTCTTTGTGGACAAAATATAGGGGAGAAAGGCTAGAAATATCAATCTTGCATTTCTTGGTCATGAGACAAATTCACTCACAACTTGAACTTGTGAGCGATAGATAGCATTGGGGGGAACTTGAAGAAATGGCGCGTAGATGAGGTAAAGAGGGGACCAAAAAAAGGCAATGGATTTGATATTCTATGTTATTGTTGTTCAATAGAAAAACCCAAATTCTCTCATCTGAATCATTTCTTTATCTAGATGAGACCGATGAGAATGATACCACCCTTGAGACCAATCTATGGATCTCACTGTCTCAGATGCCAACGCTTATAATATGGCATGGATTCAATCATATACAACAAAAATCTGAGTTAATAGAAGTTTCATTTATCATGTGAGCGTAGTAAGAACTTGTAATTCGGGGATCAATCGTGCTAATGGATTTCAAGGGTTGAATTTGAGCATCATTCCAAGCATTCAAATAATCTTGGTTCTCAAATCTAGCCGCGATCAGTACGCTATCAAGATCTCAACCACAGGTCCAGCCATGGCCACCGCTGCGATACTGCAAAAACATGGCATTAAGGTGCTTGGAACATCGCTCTTCAGTCTTGCACAGGCTACTGCCGCCAGCCAAGCGAGATGCTTGTTCATCAGTCCATATCCGAATGAAGTTGCCGCTTACTCGGACGATTATCTTCTTCACGAGAGTTCTGACCCGGCCCTGGACGTGAGCTCTTGCCGATTTCCATATTTATGCAGATTTCCATGTTAACGTGAATTCTCCAGCTTCGATGCATTTTTAGATGGTGAGTGGAGGGCTCGGGTTACCCTCCAGGCGGAGATTGATAAACTGTGAGGGCAGAGATTGGAGAGTGAACAGAGAGATGAGCTGCGCCTTTTTGAATTATAACTTGAACTACCTACTATGTTTCAAGAACCAAGTCTTGGGAGTGAAAAGATCAGAATTTTCGACACATATGATGCCATGACATGGTCTTGGAACCAACGTATGGATCTTCATCGTGGGGGCATTTCATGAAAGTCCATCCAAGGATTGAGTCGAATGTACATCATGATACCTATGAATAGGCGTAAAAAAAACAATGCTTCCATTGGGTCAAATCCCTGCCCAGGTATGCGGGAAGGTAAAATGAAAAACAAAAAAGATGGACTCGCGGGGAATCGAACCCCGGACCACTCCCATGCTAAGGGAGTATTATACCACTAAACCACAAGCCCAGTAGATATCAAACGACTCGATTTTAGACATCATGATCCCCAAGGAATAGTACCCGAGGAGCAGAGGTTGCAAGCGAATATCTTGAAGAGCGACAAATCAAAATTGAGATAAAAGACTTGCTTCTGGAAGAAGTAAAGTCTGGAAAGTATAAAGAAACCTTAAAATGTGTCCACGGTATAACAGTCATCAACTTGATCTCGAGTCTACCACATGCAGTGCTAGTACTAGCTCCCTGTCATGCTGGTACATATGTACGAAGATGATCTACGTCAAGTTAGGCCAGATATATTTTAATTAGTATGGGCCCGAAAATTCAAAATTTCTACGAATTATATGCAATTGATCGCAAACTGATCAAACCACAGAATGAAATAGTTATTCAAATGTTGAAAGCCGTACTGGCGATCACTATGTACGTGTCGTGGAAACTTGTACATCATGATGTGATGCTTCTACTATGTAAGGTGACGGTTTCAGCATAGAGAAGAGAAGCCAACTGGTTTCAAGTGCGGCCGAATATCGAACCTTGGAAGAACTATATAACATGGATTGGCCCCTGAAAGAGGTCTCCGAACTCGTATCAGTACGTGATTCCCCAAGTTTCAAGTCATTGGGACTACTGCCCAGGTGACAGTGGACCTGGGCAGTTGCTTACAACAATGTACTTTCAGCTATTTATACGCGAGTATTCATGTCTACTAGATCTTGTTGGGGCTCCGCTTGATGAAATGGCCAGGGCAGTACTAGTAGTAAGCTTTAGACCTGTATGCTATTGATCGAGGGTGGATACCCCATGATGAGACATGCTCCGATCCGCGGATATAAAGCTCAATGACTGCCAGTCGCATCCATTGTGTCATCGATGTTCACGAGTCGTGGTAGTGGGTGGCGCACCGTGCATGAACCTGACAAGCACAAGCCTGAGCCAGGAGTTCTCAGTAAAAGATAGCAGGATTATAGGCGCTTCCGCCAGTGGCCCTTCAATGGTCAATTAAATAGACCGAAATGATGGAAAGAAATGTTTACTGGTATGATATCCTCAAGTGCCTCAACCTTTTGAATGAAGGGGCGGAAATGAAGCGCCTTCGGTCAACTGGTAATTTGTACCGGCAGCATACCTCCGACGTTATATCCGTGCATGCGAAAGCGCATGATTGATCAAACGACTTGTCAAGGGATGAAAAAGCATCGAGAATATCGCCGGATGTTTCTCACACATGATACACTGAGTAATTGGGTCCTCAGATTACACCATGCCTTGAAGCATTTGCGGACAGAGAAGGGATATGAAGGGATACCAAGTTCTTGGCTAGTCGGTCGATCGCGCTGGGGAGCGGTGCTGCTGAAATCGTGGTAAATTGCTAGGATCTCGAGATGGTCATGAGGGTCATATTCCAGTATTCATTCTTAGGAATTGGTCTTCTTCGTGAGCTGTTTGAGACGGTCCGGCCAGATATAGTGTGGAAGATTAGTCTATAGTGGTCAATGATGGTACCCGGAAACTTCCAGGTTAGAGCCCGGGGAGGAGATAGAATTCCCGCTTTTCTTCAGGATCAGAGCCGACAATTTGATCGGGCAGCACGATAGAATCATTGCTTGTAGAAACATCAACCATGATCCCATGTTGCCTCGGTCACGGAGAATCGGATGTTGGGATTGCGTGATTTTCGATTTGGGCGACCATCTGGTGAGAGCGCCTAGAGAGTCAGACCGAGAGAAGATCTCCCGAGGTCCATGGAAACCAGGAACTCGGAGTTCAAAAAAAAATTCGGCGTCTTTGTTTGGCCTTGTCAAGTGATTGATGATGCTCGGCGTTGAGCTCGGCGTTGATTCTGTTGAACCATTTGATTTACCCGAGCTTTACCGGATAAAGCCTAGGACCCTTCTACCACGCGTTATGTAGTACTCTTCAGTTTTGAATTCCATAGCTCACGAAGGAACGAAACTTGGAAACGTGGCAAATGAGACGTGAGAAAGGGGTAAAATATCCCTATTTGCCCATTGGCAATCATGTGTGCTTTCAAGTTTTCGGATGGGGGGGTTTCATGCACCACAGAGTGGCTCGAGCTCAGTATCATCAAATCTAATGAAGTCAGGCGACGACACGCCTCAGTGGATCTATTGAGACACTTCTATGTATACTTGATCACTTGATATAGGGCATCGTCACTCAATAATGAGACTTCCTTAGTATTATTGATTCTAGACCTGAGTATTCTTACTATCCAAGGGATATTTGATACCTGTTTGAGATTGACGCAATTTCCACTTTAGTCTAGAACAGACAATAGAAGGATGAAGCGTGGTAATTCTTCATTGATCTGTTCAATCAAATATCTCAATTAGACCACGTAGCTATCCCAATGCTATACATGGTTTAGTATGTAGTCATAGGTCATAAGCGGTGTAGAGTGCCTAGATGCGGAGAATGTTTCGTCTCCGCACGAGGGAATTTCCAGTTGGATAATAATGCCTCAACAGCTCTTGGCCCTTACTCAATTCTCTGCATTCCATTCAATATAGTAACCTATTGAGTAAAAGAAACGTAAAAGATTTCCACGGTCAAGTGACCGGTTTGCGCGATATTACCTAACATTTCGGTTTGCGTCGGGGATGTACTTACCCGATCCAGGTTTGCCTTCCGTTTATGAACCAAACTCGAGTCTAGAACCACAAACTGTTACGTGATGGTACCCAAATCATAGGGTGATGCTAAGGACGATGGCGTCTTTTTACCCCATATTTGCAACGTATTTTTAGAGAAGTGGTTCAAATAGCGTCATAATGATCTACCTCCCCCACAAAATCTTAATATATAAGAGGCCTTCCCCGGATTTGCAGAAGAAACCATCAATTCAAGATTTCAAGACTTCAAGCTTCTAAGTCAATTAAAGACTGAATCCTATCTTCTCTCGGGTACCTGATCTTCAAGTTGTTCAGAACTTTATCTCAGGTAAGTTACAACCTGAATCTTTCATGTTGCCACACCGTTACTAACGGAACATCTCTTAGTTTATCACATACCTCAATTGTTCATCATGACAACTCGACAACTCGAAAGCCCAAGCCCCTCTCAAGGCTGGAAGTGTCCTGATTGCGGACTTCCCGGCGTTCGCCTCTCCACAAACCCAGATGGTTCCAGTGCTGCCCCCAGTCGCGCATACTACAAGTGCGTTCCATGCAATCGCGCTCTGGGCCTTTGCCCCTGCACCACACCCGGTGCCCGAACTACGTCAACGTGCCCCTGTGGCGACTCCGATGCAGAGTCACCGGGTCTGGAGGAAGCCCCCAAGGGTGTTTCTCTCGTTCAACCCTCCAGGAAGGGATCGCTCAACCCGCACAACCCTGACCCGGGCTTCGACCAGGACTGGGAGGCAAATTGCAGCCCAGGCTACATGGTGTCCCGATTCCCAGCTACAGGCATGGAGCTGCTTCCCTGGGGTTGAGCACCAAACATTTTTGTGTTTCCTAGCGAGTTTTGTTTGAACCATCAAGTCCATGTCTGATTGTTGCCGACAGCAACACAGGTTTTTCGATGAAAAGTTAGCCTATATAAGCCAATAATAAGAACCTAGCATGGCCTTGACCATCACATATGCAACATCAACTATTTTTCAATACTTTGTCGAATGTAGTCATCAATATCAAATTACAACCTTTATCGCCCCTAACAAAAACTTTATCTGATCTCCCTATAGTTATTAGTAACACAATCAAGTTTGCATTAATCCTCCAATAATTTCAATCGCGCAGATCATTTTAATTTATCAAGATGAGTTTAAAACTGCCATATGTCGTTTTATCCAGATATAGTAGAATCCGCGACGGTGACGACTTATCAAGTAATTCTCTCACCTGAGTGGCTGCATGTACACTAAACCCCACATTTGCGCCCCCAAGTTAGGCCTACGAACATGCATGTATTTGATTTAGTCCACAGGATGGCTGAAAATCGTCGTCGTCATATCTTGTGGTGTGGTTCAGTTTATAAAAGCCATCTCTTGCCAAGTCCTTTAGCTTATATTTTAATCCATAACAAGAGAAAATCGAGTACACCATGGAAGTTGTCCAAACAAAAGAAGTCCCCGACAAAGCTATCCTTCTCAAACACCGTGGAGATGGGCTCGGATTCCGAGATCTCTTCACCGGTGACCCGGAAGATCCCATGAACAACTACTACGTGGTATATGCGACCCAAAAAGGCTTCTACTCGCCTGTTCACAAGCACAACTTCGATCAATTTCGATTTCCCATCAAAGGCTCCATCAGTATTCTACCCGACCTGGATGTTGAGGAAGGAGAACTGTGCTACCATCCCGAAGGCGTGAAATACGGTCCCCAAAACGACGGCCCAGAAGAGCGAGCTGTGCTTGTTCTGCAATTCGGAGGAGCGAGCAAGCAGGGATACCTGAATCATTCCCAGCTCAAGGGGGCTGAAGAGTCGCTCCGCGAGAAAGGCGGGCGATTCGAGCAGGGGAAGTACTTTGGTCCAAATGCGAATCCCTCGATTCCTATTGATGGATTTAGAGCCATCTGGGAGGAATATACGGGACAGACGATGATATTCCCCGAGGGAAGATATGGTTCAGTTGTCAATATGAAACCCGCGGCCTATACCTATGTCCAGGATAAGAGTAACGCGACGATTTCGAGGAAGAAGCTTGGAGTCTTCTCTGAGCGAGAGACACGCGCAGAGGTGGTGAAGGTTGTAGCTGGAGGAAGCTGGGATATTCCTTCTGAGGATGCAACCAGGGTTTACTGGGTGATTTCTGGATCAGGATCAGTAGATGGTCAAGAGTTGAAGGCTGAATCTGCTGGACGATTGAAGCCGGGTTCTTCTGCAACGGTTATCTGTGAGGGGGCCGATCTGGAAATTCTTTGCTTTGCTCTCCCAACTTTGTATGCATAAATGTTTCCAATCATTTCAACGCTATTTTATGATACATTGACTCTGAAATGCTAATGAAATAAGTATATGACCCCTTACATATAGTTATAGAGTGAAGATCTAGTATAAAATGTGAAATGTTGAGTTGTTTGTTCTGTTTGTTGACGATGACGTCTTATCTCACACCTCTTATCTCTTATCGCCTATCTCTTATCTGCCACATGGCCCGAGGTCTCGGTCTTCTCTTTCTCTCACCTCTCCTGTCCAGCGTCTATCGTCCAGCGTTCGGTTTCAGCGTCGTGATAAGCACCATTTAATTTATTGTTCTAATAATAATCACAACTTCTCTCTAATTAACGACACGAATCAGAACCACTTCGGACTATCCAGGAGCAACCATGGCGCTGTATCAACAAACCGTGGGTTTCCTTTCCGACTCCTGGACCAACCAGCAAACACAGATACCCTTGATAGCAGTGACCGGAGTATCATTCACACTCGGCTTATTACTTCAATCACTTTTGACTCGCAAGACTGAGGGTCCTCGTGGGGTCATCCTCCCTTCACCCCGCACCGCGATTCTGCCTGGCCTGTCGGAGGAGGAGAACGGCAAACTCCCTCTACCCAACGATGTTCTTCCTGGCGCACGCGATGTGAATACGCCATACGGCTCGATGCGAGTATATGAATGGGGCCGTGAGGATGGACCAAAGGTACTGCTGGTGCATGGTATTACCACGCCTTGTATCTCGCTCGGTGGACTGGCCCATGCGTTGGTTGATCGTGGTTGCCGGGTGCTTCTCTTCGACCTGTATGTTCCCTCTTATATTGGATTCCCTTTAATATATTGCTGGACTATTGATACTAATATTGCGTGGCCAGCTTTGGTCGAGGATTTTCTGATGCTCCCGCCGACCTCCCTCAAGACGATCGACTTTTCACCACTCAGATCATGCTTGCTTTGACATCATCGCCTATTTCATGGACTGGGGCCGAGTCTGGGAAATTCTCATTGGTCGGTTACTCCCTCGGTGGTGGAATCGCTACTGCATTTGCCTCGTACTTCCCAGAACTCTTGTCGTCCTTGGTGCTCCTGGCCCCAGCCGGCATGCTGCGCGACTCCCAAATTACCTTCTCAGCCAATCTCCTGTACTCGCAAAACATTATCCCGGAGAGAATACTTCGATACCTTGTTCACAAGCGTCTAAGAGCTGGCCCCTTAGTCTCTCCTAAGCCAAAAGGGAAGAACGAAAAGCTCAGTGCTTCGGATGCACTTATTGAGGAAGTCCCTACCGAAGTTGGCGCAGACGCTCAGGTCCTCTCACGAGAATACCCACATCTTAATGTTCCATCTTCTATTGTGTGGCAAGTTGATAACCACATGGGCTTCGTTCATGCATTCATGTCCAGCATGCGCAATGGCCCGATCCTTCGTAGGCGTCAATGGAGTAACTGGACTCGTCTTGGAGCTTACCTGAGTGACCAGAACAGCGTCTCTTCAGACAGGGAAAAGGAAAAGGTGAAGGGTTTACCATGTGACAAGGTTCATATACTCTGTGGTAACAGTGATGCAATCATCATGAAGGATGACCTTGTCACGGATGCCACTGCAGCCTTTGGCGGGAATGCAATCTTCAAGTTTTACGATGCTGGCCACGAGTTCCCCAGCACCAAATACGAGGAGGTTGCATCCTATATCATGAAGATTCTTTAAAGGGTGACTGTGATGGTGATGATTCAAGATAAATAGATTCTTCAGGGCGCAAATATTTTCACTGGTATTCGCTATCTCACTGGGATAGACGTATTGTTACATACATAGACATAGGAAACTCTTTTTTACATAGGATTTAGACCACCTGGGTACACTTTTCCTTATCCGTCTTCTTCTTCTCCCATTTCAAATGGGCTGCTAGCTCCTGTTCTTCAAGATATCATCCATCGCTTTCACTTGGCTTGATAATCCGGCGAGATGTGAGTTTCGGTCTTCAGCTCGCGCGCCAGCGTAGTAAGGTCCTTCTGAAAGAGGCGCCCGAGCAAATCGGTCGGCGCTATTGCGACTAGCCAGTGGTACTTGACTGACGTTACTTTGGCTGAGAGTAGTGTTTGAGTTTCCGTTGCGACTGGAAAGAAGATGTTAGTATAAATCATCTATACATCAAGGTCTTTTTGTATAGTACTTACGAGGTGGATTCTGGCATTATGATGATAGACGATTGAAGATCGAGATTGACGATTGACTTGATTTTGAATGATTGTTCTTTGAGAATTCGAGAAAAGTCGTCGAAAGTATGGATTTTGTGTGAAGATTCTTTGTTGTTGTAGAAAGTCTTTGAGCCTTGAGTTTGGTTTTGTAGCTTGAGATGATGTTTAACCACGTTTGATGATGATAACATTCCAAGAGCAGGAAGCTTAACCTTTATATTCTGCAGACAGCTGTGAGGCTATGCTCGCACTCAAGGCATGCCTGACACAACACGCGAGGTCTTGGGGAACTTGGACCACGGCCCACATGGAACTCGAGACAAGAAAGAAAATTCGAAAATAAAAAAAAAAATCAAAAAATTAAAAAAAACGCCCCCCAAAAATAAAAATAAAGAATAAAGAAAAGGATAAAAAACGACTAAGCAGTGAAAAGAATGAAGAAAGGATCATCATCTCGCATCAAAAAGCCCACGACACCAGTCTCCACAGGCCATGCCCCCTGTGACACCATTCCGCCGTCAGTCGAGGCGCCCAGGTTGTCCGCATGAACGATAGGCCCCAGTCTGGAATTCCAATCAAGCGGACGCTTAACCAAAAGCAATATAGTGGGAAGTGCATACCCGCCTATCCATGCGAAACAGGCGACAAGGCGAATACGATTGGTCCGGTCTGTGCATAAGACTGGGGCTACGAGGCAGGTACCAGATGCAGGAAGATCACCCAAGACTGGCGACGACGACTTATTCAAGGGTTATAGACATTATACGAAGTCAGCATGATATTAAGAGGATGTTATTGCTATGGAATAATGGGATAATATGGAAATTAATGAATCGCACATGGTCTACCACATGTTTCCGCGGGATTAATCGACCTGATCTCGGGTATATTCGCGGGAATGGAAGGGGTGAAAAGTGTTTACGCGCTCCTATGCACGTTCTACGGTAAGATCTTCAGTGAGTGATCGATCAAGGGTCTTCAAGGGCTATTGGAAATGTCATTTCTCCTGAGTCTAGATGGTCTATAATGGAGTTAAGAAGGACAATTGAATATCGTAATTCCGCTGGGCGGCAAATGCGCTTTTTGCAGTGGGCTCGTTCTCGCGTGGGACCCTTTTCTCTTGTTAGTATGTACTCCGTACTATTAAGAATTTTACGATAAGTGATATTTTTATTCTTTTTTATCCTTTTTTTATTTCAAGGTATTGATTTATTTAATTCCCTCTATTATTGAAACATGTAGTGGAACCAACGTGGTCGATCACATGGGGATGATGGAAGAATATCACAGGAAGTACCGCAAAATGCATGTATGGAAAATGTGGCTTAATATGTTTAATCTCAATCTCGACGAATCGTAAGTTAGTAAAATGAAGACCTCGATCTGTGACATTCTCCCGGCCACGCGCGGAGTTATGCTCATAGAGATTGCGGGTGATCCGTAATCCCTTGCAAGAGAATACGTGGAATACGTGGAGCTGTACATAGGTACATAGGTAGGTAGGTACCTAGGTACACTTCTCGGAGTAATTAAAGCCGCAGTTCCATACCAGCCACGTCTTATTTTACTCAATGACAAGGAGAACAAGTGATTTCAGCTCATTCTGCAAAATTCAATCTAATGCTACTGGAATGCTATGACCTTTCCGCATTAGGAATAAGAAGATCGACTTTGAACACGCGAACATCCTGTTTCAGGGTGAATTAAGGGTCCATCTAGTCCATCTCCGAGAACAAAAAAAAGGGGGGAAATAGAAAAGTGCACGTGGATTTTGGATCCTGTACTCCGTGCATGTATGTACTTTGTGCATGTAATCCGTTCGTAAAAAGTAGTAGGTCTGGTATGATGAGTCCAATCTTCGATTTCGGGGACCCCGAAAGGGGAAAATATCAGCAAGATCGAGAAAGAAAGGCGCCACTAACGTTGCGGCTAGGGCTCGTACTTGCATTATCATAGGTAGCTCAAAACTCTTTCGGGCCACACCTTTTTTTTTACGAGATGTAAAGAAAGAAACGAAGTGGAGGTAGCCGAGTGGCTGAGCATTTCAAACGATTGTCATAGGTCTAGGACCCGAGACACAACTCCTATGTCAAAATTTTGGGGCACACTTTCTCTGTATGACACAGGTGCAAGACAGGAAAGGGGAAAAAAATCAGAATTGAGCCCATTCCTTGTAAGGCTAGTCGATCACGATTAGGGAGATCAAATGGATGATCTGATCCTAGTGTGTATGCCCAAACTATGGAAAGCCTAGATTGGGCATGCATGATCATGCCTGTGATGTCCCGGGGAAGTCAAGCCACAGAAGCCATATGGGAAACGTTGTTTCAGATAATTAGGTTCCTTTTCCACGCGCTTTTTTCCTTTTTCATTAAGGGGAGCGAACATTCCATCCTCTAGCAATGTTTGACGACGTTGCGGGTCCACTATGCAAGGCACATTTGGTCCAAGCTCCACCAACCTTATCTCTTCATAGAACAATTTGGATGATCCGCTCATTTACCGTTCGTATGGGAAAGGATAGGGCTTACAGGCCCCCCCATAAAAAGCCCCTAAAAACCAGTCGGTAATCCATACGATCAAGATGAAAATGATCAGCTGAATTGAATTGATCACTGGGATTGAACTATGATTCTTGGCAAACGCTTTGTATTACACCGAGCCGAATTACTGGGTTACGCCACAGTGCCCCGTTAGCCCTAAAGCCTGCGCTATTTTCAACCGAAAGAAAAGAAAAAGAAGATAATGGGTCTCAATGTACTCCGTAGATCTAACGAGTATCCCCCTGTTCTTCGCAGAACATCGATTTTTTCTTGACGTATCACACCGTACGGAAGAATTAAATTGGATACTTCCAAGGGATAGTTGGGTCAATAATAGTTCGCAGGGCGTCGATCAATATAGTAGTGATCGCCCATCCCTTGGGGAAAACGTTTGCCCAACGCCTCATCAGTCTGAAACGAGATTCTCGTTTTAGCATGTATAAAATCGGTATAGATTCCGAAGAGCCGCTGCAACCTGTTGCCGTCGCAACCTTTTAAAAGCTTGTTGGCTTATCTTATCCTTGTGTATACGAATTCGAAAGTCTAGACATCATTATGCAAGCTCGGCGTGGCCTACGCATCAGACCCATGTCATGTTATTCTTGGACTTTGTGCACCTCAAATGTTGCAAGTTCAAGTTTCAGAACCTGCTCTGCTCCGAAAATAGAATAAAGCGCGAGTTAGTTAGAGGGATAACTTATCCCTGTTGCACTGCTTGATACCTGAATCGGTCAAGTTAAGCGACTCCTTGCAAAAAAACTTGGAATGGCACTAAAACTCCTCTTTTCGAATTAAATTGCTCCGTACAAGAGAGGAGGGGAAAAAAGCAAACAACGTGGATCGTAATATCGTTGGTGTTCGGGCAATCCGATCATCCCCCCTCTTGTAGATCCGGATATCACCTCCAGAAACCAGATTGGGATACGAATCAAGGAATGTCACGCAGCAGCCACTAACCCCAAGACCTCGTAAGTTGAGCCACTAATCTCGTGTTGAATGAATATTTGCTTTTTCGGTGAGAAAATCCACGTTTCCTTCCATTGTCGCGTGGGACCCGTCAAAATCAGGCGCGCAGGCAGCGAGACTAGCCTAATGCAGCTACTTCGTAGTGGACGGAAATATGCAAAAATATGAAGCTTTAACATCTTGATAGGCTGACTCGGGTATATCTTGTATTTTGGGAGATTGATTGACATTATCGTGTTTAATCAAACATGCCTCATTTCTTGAGCTTGCCTAGATCATGATGTGCTACTTGGAGATGCCGGAATTGGAATAAACAAGGCAACCTAGATACTTTAGAGGCTGTGTTCACGAGGCCTCGGAAAGAATCTCGAGTCTTCCGGTCTGATTGTTGAATGACTTCATTTCCGGCTAAAAGTGAAAGTTTCGGGGCCAAAACAAGTGTGGGACTTAATAGCTTCCTTAATTAAGTTAGGAACTGACTCATGAAGATTCAGCTTCCGCGGAGAAATGTCTTCAAGATCTACATAATTCTGTAGCCGAAATAACCTGTTGCCCCATTGCTTATAGAGCCCCATATATTCACCGTACTGTTTTCACCTGGGTGATTCGGTGTAGAATGCCAGTGCCGAGATATCCCGATTATAGACTGGGTTGCATTAGTAAAGTGAATTCATTAAACGTGTTTTGCCAGAACCTTGAGATTAGCTTCGTCACCGATATTTCTATCTGATATAAACCGCGCTTTTCTCGGATACTAGAATTATCAGAAACCCAAACCAAGTTCACGGGTACGCCCATGAATTCCTGGACATTTGATGTGTCAATTATGACAGTTCCCCCACCTCTCCAGCTCGTATCAAGTCCATAAGTAGTATAGGTTCATGGGTCTCAGAGAGATTTCCATGGCTGCCTTGAGCACATGACATTCATGGATGGAGAAAGGAATTGATAAACTCGAGTTAGTAGGGTCACCTGGTATACCCCTCGAGAGTAGGAGCAAACATTTGAATGTTTGGGCTCGTAAATTCAATGTTACTAGCTGCTCATTCTAAATTCCAAGGCTCACTGGTGCATACAGAGAGAATGTAAAGACTCAGGCTTGATGCATTCAAGTTGCTATGTCCCGAGTCTCGCCACTACCTATATGTCCAACCAAAATTTGAAGCAAGAGTAATCCATTAGCTTGCAGCGTATATCAATATCCATGAAAAGAATTTCCTCTCGAAGTTACCTCAACCTTGGAAGTTCAACTTGAAGCCGTAGGATGCTTATTAGGTGACCAAGATCATTGATAACATAATATCCACTACTAGTACAAGTTTCTCGGGGCAAAGGTCTTGCCTGACAATCGCTTAGACTACCTATGGTAACTTGGAGATGTATACACATGTGTATCCTGCCACCCAAAGTTGTCCGATAACTTGAATATAGCAACTAGTGCTTGCCTTAAAACATTTGAATGTTCACAGTGCTCCCATAACCGCATGCAGATGTCTGGTTCAAAGCTCTGAGCAGCTGGAGCCTTCCAAGGTTGGAAGCACTTGAGATTTGTGAAAACTTGAAGCACGTTTATAGGTTATCACTGGCATCTCTCGATGTCCTCTTTCCGTCTCTCAGTCGATATTATTCCCGATAAACCTAACTATAACTTTGAAAGGACCACAGCATGCAAGCTAGAGGTGGGGGGTAAGAAGTTCAAAAGCAGTGGGTATTCACTATGTAGTCAACTTTCCTGGTGGTATCTCCCAGGTTCACTCTGTTGGTGTGGAATACCTAGGCTACCGAAAGTACTACGTAGATGAAAGGGCGGTTAGATCGCATGTTAATTTGACTTTTCTTCATTTGCCATTTTGATGGAACTGAAATGAGCTCACTTTTTAATGTTGAACCACATTCAGGTACTTAGTTTCAAGTTGTGCACCAAACCGTGACTCCGCAGAGACCCCCAGCATACCACGCACACCTGACAGTTAATGACAATCTCATATTCCGGCGCAAAAACCGATCCCACACTTTAATCTTGTCTTCGATTTTAATTATTACGATATTTAATATGAATTAAGATGATTGTATGAACAGTGCGGCAACTCTTGTCATCGCCAATGTCCATGACGTAGCCACATGGACGATCGACATTGCGACCAAAACCTGAATACTCAGCGAAGATATTATCTTTTATCCAACATTCATCTCAAGTACCCCAGATCTATACCCCAGAATCCCTTTCTCAGCATCAGCTATACCGGTTTCATCTGTGGGGTTTCACAAACTTAACGCTGTCCGATGCGGTGTGCAGGTCCTTGCATAGAGCACACCAGTCATGAGGGTACGGTATGCCTGGGATAAATCCGTCGCAACATTTCTTCGAGCGCTTGTTCGACCAAGACTTCACATACACCCCAAACCCAACGAAACTATTTTCGTTCCATCACGAGACTCCGAGCGTACTATCAAGACGAATGTCTATGGCATAGCCAATGGCAAACCGAGTCCGGTGTTGATAAACTTCTGCGGTAGTGGATTTGTGCTTCCCACCTTTGGGAATGATGACGAATATTGTCGATTCGTCGCGGAGAAAACCGACTACACGGTAATCGATGTGCAGTATCGACTTGCGCCCGAGAATCCGTTCCCAGCAGCGTTTCAGGACGCCGAGGATGTTGTGAGATGGGTACAGTCGCAGCCGGAGCGCTTTGATACATCATGCATATCGCTTTCTGGGTTCAGCGCAGGGGCTAATATCGCCCTCGCTGTTTCATCTTCATCTGAGTTCTTTGGTGGCAAGGAAGGGAAGAGCATCTTCAATACTGTTGTGTCTATTTATGGACCAACGGATTTGGCTTTGGAGACGCCACATAAGCCCTTGATTGATGATTCTAACTGGATTATGAGGATTATCTTCCCAAAGTTTTCTCATACTTGTCATAAATTATTAAATCCAGATAAAGTGGATCCGCGTGATACTCGCCTCTCGCCTGGATTCTCTGATCCGCGAAGTTTTCCAGATAATGCGCTGTTTATCACTGCATCTCAATGTGCATTTGCCACCGAGGCGGAGTGTCTCTCTGAGAAGATTGGTAGTATCGATGGGAAGGTTTCACTCTGTCGCAGGATGGAGGGCTGTGCTCATGGATGGGATAAAGAGGCTATCCGTGGTACTTCCCAGTGTAAAGCGAAAGAAGAGGCATATGCATTGGCTGTGGGTACACTGCAACGTGGGGAAACTGATGTGGCCAAAGCAAGAGAAGCACATGTTTGAGCTGAAACCAACGATTTGTCAGCTCATTTCCACGTTCAAGTGTCCATAGTATTCGACTTTTTTAATGTATCTAATACCTAATCGACTGTTCTTACTATTGCAAAGTATAAGAATCATAAACTTACTCTCCGAGGCTGTTTGTGTGGCAATGTGTGGTCACAGTGCACGTATGCGATCGGGCCAAAGGGCGCTGAGCGAATCGCCTGCTCGGGCCGAAAATCCTATCACCACCTAGGACATTGAGAAAGACTGCTCATATCTCCTAGTCTCGCTAATTATGATGGTTTTACGGAGTACTTAAGATGTACAACGAAATGGAGATGAGAAATACGGTCTTCTCGCTGCTCTGATGGACAGGAACCGATGCGCTATATACAAAGACCGAAATTATTCAATGAAAACCCATCGCTGCAAACTTACCCCCTCAGCCAGTACCTAGCATGAAGTAAAGGACCTCCAGTGAAAACTCGCTAAATGCAGATCCATCATGCAGGCAAGTGCTCCAACTCCAGATCCGATCGTTGTCTTATTCTGAAGCGCTGCTTCATGCTCTGAATATTGATCTGTGGGAGCCTCTGAATCAATCTCCGTACCATTGGGCTATTGCGATGAAGGAGGCAATAGTAGATCAGGAATGTAAATGCTGTAAGAACAGCGGAGACGATGAAAAATATCCAGAGCATGGATGTCCCGACGATGGTTGAATTGGTTTGATCCATCGCGAAGAAGTTCATGCCAAAGAAAGTCTACTACAAGTTAGCAAGAGTCATTTTTGGGTGAGATAGCCACTCTAACATAGGAGATAGAGCGCACAAGAGATACTGGGATATGATAGACTTACAGCGATGAAAGAGGGCGGAAGGTATAAGAGGGATAACCTAGTGATAAACACGGCCGACTCGTTCAACTGGAGCATATTTTTGTTTTGCTCGGAAGCAACAACTTGATCTCGAAGGAGAAGAGTATCAGCGAGAAGTCGAGCAATTGACTGGATACGTTGCTGGATGTGTTTCGCTGTTCGGGAATATGCGACACATTGTCGATGCTGGTTACGCAAATCCTGCAACACATACGAAGTGGATGATAGTGACGGGGTCGTTCTCAGGAGTGTACAGAGTTCATCAAGAACATCGATCGCACCCGCCAGGATAGTTGGTAACTGGAGGAAATGGCTCTCCAGTTTGGTGAGTGTATTCAGATTGTGGTACTTCAGGCTCAGTGGCTCGTCGATGAATGCTGCGAATGCCGAATCTGAGAGTGGGAGGAATTCACGCTCTAGATCCATGATTCGGCTCCGGCAAGCTGGGTAATAGGTCGAGAATAATATGGAGTGTAGCCAGAAGGGATTCTCTCGAATCTCCGAGTAAGGGTTGAATAGCCATTGCTCTATTTTGGTAAAGGCCTTGGATCGTGGATTTGGGTTGATGAGTATGTAGGTGCTTTGACCTGTAGCAAAGTCATACTTATGGTACAAGCCAGTCTGTCGGATGTCCCATCTTTGGGCCTTTGGCTTGTACTCCGGGTATCTTATTGTGTACGAGATTTCTGTTTATTCATTAGCCCCCCCCATTCATTCATTTAGTCAACCTTGGAATTTGAGGGGATCATTACCAATAACAGATCCTGTGCGAGTTTCTGTATATGGCACACAGAACCCTCCTTCCAGGTCCAAGCCCTCGCCAAGACGATCAAAGAAACACAAGGGAAGTTGCCAGAAGAAAGAGTTAATCTTGTGCTCAGAGGTGATAGCATTAAGCATTGGCTTGGTGACTTGAAGTGGCTGGTAAGAGTTCGTCTGACAGATGGAGCTGATTCATGTTAGCTTCAGTACCAAGTGACAGTATACTCCCGTAGAGACAAACATTAAGCGACAAGAGTAATTCTGCCTCCTGCTATTTTCAAAGTATGCGGTAAGGTTTTCTAGCGTAAAACAACTGATTCCTTCATAGAAAGGTCTTCCATTCGGGGCGTCCTCTTGAACATCGAACACCTGAACGGGTTCAATTACTTCATCGACACAACAATCTTCAATGCAAGCCATAGTGAAGAAAGAAATCGAGCTCGATTTAGAAAAAAATCCGAAAGTGAAAGTTCTGAGAATTTGGATATTATATCAAAAACCATAAATCAAAGAGTAACATCTCAAAGTTGCAAGAAATTGTAAGGCAGACTCTTGGGTTTTCGCCCTTCAGGGGCTTTTCATCTCTCTGCGCCTTGTTCCTCCCCCCCAGCCCCTCTCTCTCTCTCTTCCCCCCACCACCACATGCATGTTGTATCGGACCTATCACACTCCCCCTCTTTTACTCAATCCTCGCTCTTTCTCTCTCTGACCGATCTAAATGAAAGGATATTAGCGCTCCAAAATCATTTACATTTAGGTAAATTCCCAACCATACGCCAATTCAGCCTGAGTTAAACGTGGTCAGTCAAAAGTCTATGTGCTTCTGGAACACAGGATCGGCCTTACTGCTCTAACTTTTCGTGGAGCGATGAATGTAAATTGATCATTCTGCATCTATTGACGCCGGGATTTTAGTGTGAGACCGAAGTACACGATAGATCTACGCATCATCTACCTTTATTTTGAAATCCTGCACATCCGGAAACAACTCCTTCAGTTTTGATACCAGTTTGGCCCTTTTCAGATACCGAGTTGAGGTATTCTGTCGTGTCTGTTCTTCTTCCGAGTCTGTCATATTGATTTGGTTTGATTTGATCTGATCTGATCTGAATAAAAAAAATATCACTACTTCATTTCCAACTCATTTATTGCGGGGAGTGATAAATCTCGCCCAATAATGTATTCTGCGGCTGAAGCAAACATGGGGCCACGTCACGAGTGCAGATGATAGTACAATTGGCACAGGCCTCGAGTCCTCGAGAGGGGAAATACGTGTTATACGTGTTATCGGTGGCGGTTATCACCTATCAGAATGCACTCATATCCCCGGCTAATGCAAGAATGGTCACAATCAAGGCATGGTGGCTGACTATCACTGCGCCGTCAAAAAAAAGAAAAGAAAAATAAATAAATCAGTGCGGAGTAACCGAGATGTGATGACCAAAGTACATGTACCTGGGTGATGAGAAATGTGGGCGATTCGCGGAGTAAAATCTGCGGGCGAAATGGGGCTATGCTAATGTCAAAGTTGGATGAGTTTCAGATTTTACTGATTTGAGGTTCACAGTGCTAGTATAAGGCAGATTTTCTATTGTTAAAGTCACTTTCAATTATACCTTTCAAGGTTGCCCACAAGGCTGAATACACGAGCTGATTGTACCTTTGTCGACAACACTACCCGATAGATCCGGAATACGAGTAGTATGCACATGTGTACTCCGTACGGGGTAAGATAGCACCTACAAGGGACCCTGGAAGCCTCTATATTAAAAATGGATTGGATGTATCCTATCACTTCGGATACTTATTTCATATTCGTAGAATCTTTATGCGCCATTTACTAGTACTTGAGCACATATTTGCATATGTGGAGGAGTGCGTGTCCACATGCAGCTGCTCACAAACGTCCCCGAGGGAGATATCATGTTACTGATGATAGTAGACAACACTAGACTTTTCTTTTTTTTCGTATTATCTGTCGGTTAGATTGTCTATAAAATTTCCAAGTAGCTATCGGCGTCTTAAAATACAATAATTTACATCTTCACGTTGAATCTATTACTCGTCCGGATTCTCTCTCCGTATTTCCAGAAGAGGATCGGAATCGGAATCATCGCAACAGCAAGAAACCCCAGAAGAGTATTTCCCCATCCAAGACCAAGAGCATCGTACATTGGAGTTCCTGCCAAAGGTAATAAGCTCCCCATGAGCGACCGGAGAACAGTGTTCGCAGCCAACGCTGAGGCTGAGTGGATTCCGAAAGCATCGATCAGGTAGGTTGATACAGGGATCTACATCGTTAGCTTTTTTCTCATAGATGAATAAAGTACGATCGGAACTTACAAAACCTCCAATCAATCCAACACCAACTAAACCTGTTCCCACAATAGGAGCCATCCATTGTACTTTGTAGTAAGTCGTCCACCCATACAAGAAAAGACCCGAAGGAACAATCATCATCGCGACTATCATGGGTGGAAGTCGATATTCCGGCTTGATGACACCGTTATTGGCCGCGGTCAGTTTCTTCAAAATAGCATCTGACGATGCGCCGACCGCGATAAGACCTATCATCATGCCAACTCCAATGCCCAAATAGGCTAATCCTGATACACCCTGTGAGAAGCCGTATATGTCGGTGAAGACACTTGTAATTGTAGTGAACAGAAGATACAAGATACCGTAAATAAAGGCAACGTAGGTCGATAGACAGATGACAATCGGAGAGCCGAATAGCATCTTAAAGGGTCGGAAGATGGCTCTTTTGAACAGTTCTGCAGGCGTCTGATCAAGCTGCAGAGCCGACTTCAAGTGAGGATTGTTGGTCTCTTTGCGTATTCTTTTTGCTTTTTGAGAAAGGAGGGCAATTGGATACGTTTCTCGGAGAAAGAGAAACATAACAACAGCCAAGCAGCCTGCCTACTTTATATGTTAGTACGTGAGATCATGTAGTAAATTTGCAGAGCGAATCACGTACGGCAATTGCAATAAGCCGAAACACCCATCTCCATCCTGCGCTCTCCGCGAGAAAGCCACCAGCAACAGGTCCAATGACCGGGCCGAGAAGAGGTCCCATGGACCAAATAGCAATCGCTGCGCCTCGCTCTTCTACTTTGAACATATCTCCAAAGGTGCCACCTCCAATAGTGATGGGCGTGGAGCCTGCGACGCCGCTGAAAAAGCGAAAAACAATTAACTGCGGCATACTTGAGCAAACAGCGCAGGCGATCGTGAAGATGACGAAAAGAAGATTCGATACATGGTACACTGGAACCCGGCCGTATACTTCTGACATGGGTGCAACTATAAGTGGACCAACAGCATATCCGAGGACGTATACAGAGACAACGAAGGATCCAATGATTGTACTTGTCGAGTGAAACTCGATCATGACGTCCTCCACACCCGGTGCAAACATGGAAGAAGCTAGAGGTCTATTCGTTCGCCATGCGTTAGAAATCAATCAAAGAATGAAGCGCGAGAAAAGAGCTTGCTCAGGGGGAGTTGGCACACTTACGTGATGAATGTCATTGCAGCGAGAAGACCCCCATTCGTCCACTTCTTCTTGGCTGACCAGTTCAATGGGTTCTCAGGGTCGTCTGGCCCATCCCAGTCAACTATGTCGCTTCTGTCTTCTGTCGGTTCTTGTTTCTCGTCACGAGCGGCGATGTAATTTCCATTTCCCTCCACGTCCAGGCTTACCTCCCTGCTCAAAGGGGGCTGATCAGACGTGGCCGACATGATTGATGGATGACAAGGGAGAAATCAGTTCAGGGGGAGGAATGAGTCTTTTCAATCAACGACAGCTTGGATTTCTTGATTAACCACGGGAACTGACGCGCCCGATGGACTCAAAAAATAGCCTTATTCGAAGTGTATAGTTACTCGATGCCAGAGATAACGGACCCTATTGGATAGAGTTGTGGAAAGTGGATACTCGAGTATTCTGTGGAAGTACGAGAATCTCGGGCTATGTTTTGATTTGTCAAACCTGTCCACATGATCCGCTTTGCTTCATCTCCCGCGTAACGTTGCAAGGGATGCTCAATCTTAGCACTTCATGCTATTTCAGTCAGTCGCGGGGACAGGATCAACTGGGATTTATGGAAGGTCCGAGACTGTGGGCCGTGCGACCGGGATTCAATTTGCTCAAGTTGGTTATATTCAATTATATGCAGATCCAGCTGCCATGTTCTGTCGGTCACTCAACACCGCATCCAGGGGCCATTTGAGCAAAGGCATCCATGCATCGTCAAGCGTATATTTCATCGACTCAAGCATCGATTGAGGCCAGCCTTGAGTGAACCATCGAGCGCTCATTTGGTGGAGCAGCACACAGTGATAAGCAAAGACCAACAGCGCTTCGGGTCTTCTCTCGCCGAGCAAAGCCAGATAGTCGGGGTGAACCCTCATGGGCCAGAGAAAGGAAAGAGCGACATCTTGTGACAAGCTGACTTCGATCAAAACCTCCCGAAGGGTTTGGATCGACGCGTTACATATCTCCACTATATGATAATCCGAAGATTTTTCCCGAATCGCTTCTGACAGTCTGTGCAGGTGAAATAATGCGTGGTTCTTGGATGTGTCGTCGTTGTCGGAGGGGGATGGGTGATCTCGAAGTGTCATAATTGGGGCCAATGGGCCCTCCCTCAAAGTGGCAAGAAGCTCTGCGTGTTGGACAATGGAAGGTAGACCTTTTGTGAGAATGATCCACTCTGATATTTGAAGATCAAGCCAGAGACCAACATCCACAGAAGAGCCTGGTTGAGCTGCCTTGTGGAAGATCTCGGATGGACGCGACAACGAAACGATGAATAAAAGGAAGGCACATCCAAATAACGCATGGCAACTATCTGAATTCAGGTGCGAGAGGCTGCAGCGGAATCCTTTAAGAGCATTATCATAATGACAGTGGGCGGCTATAAGATACTTATCAGCGCTATCTCCCACATTGTGATCAGTCAAAGGCTTCTCATTCCGATGCTGGTACACAATGTGAAAGGCCGATAGAGAGAGGACGCAATGGAGAAGGTAATCATTCTTCAGTGCGAGCTGAACAAATTCCAAGGAGAAAAATCGCTGGATTTCAGGATAGTCCGAGAGTGAAGCTGCTGTCATTGATGTGAAATTATGTAAAAGTTCCATATCCAGTACCGCATTTGTTGAAAAGGTTGAATCCACAGCTTCGGGTGGTGCAAAGGAACAAGTATATCGACTTTTAACGCATTGCGCGCAGGAGACTGACCCGTTCTCGTCACATTTGATTTTGCGTTTTTTGCACTGAAGACATCCCTTGCGGCTTTTGAGATGCTTCCGTCGCGTCACCGCAGGACGGATTACACGACCTGAGTCTGCCATGCGGCAACTGTGAGAGGGTCGATGTCATAATCGCCGCGAGTGGCCGATCACAACCATCAATCGGAGTCGGGAAAAAGGTTATTCCGCCCTTGGCTGCTTGACACCTTAGGTGTCAAATGTGGCCTGAATGCCCAAGTTCTATGATTTATTTTTCATCATCACTGCTATCGAGGAAATCAAAACACGAGAATGACTTGGGTCTTAGAATATCTTGATTTATCAGATCACTCATTGAGCACAGTTCAGATGAAAGTTCAAAATCGGACCGGAAGGTAAGTACAGCACATCATGAACGCTTCTATCAATACCTTGCATGGTATCAACACATATGGCCCGTATGCCCTCATGCCCAAGTCTTCCAAGGTTCTGATCAATTACCTTATTGGGAGGGCTGTGCAGATTGACGAACGTGGCTCACAGGAGTCATGAGCAGAATATCGGTCATCAAGTCAGTTGAGAACGACTCTCAGGGACTTCTTAGTATGGAATCCATGGAAGATCGTTGCGCGACCCCATGTAAGTTGCGATAAACCAGCCCTGTATCTGTTGACATAGTGTATAGCCGTCATCCACTGGCAGGCTGTGTGCACTAAATTTAGAGATCCTCTCAAGGTTCGTTGGTAGTTAAATGCAAGACTCCACTCCTGCGCGCAATTCAAATAAAGATTTGACCGGTCGCAATTAACGGGAATTACCGTTGATAGCTGGAGTAGGAACTGACAATCAACATCGTAAATCGCTTAAAGTTGTCAGTTTGATGTTGTTGATTTCCGCTCATTTGCGCCTCCAAGGGTCGCATACTCCACACTTTTGCCCCTGTTCGTTGAATAGTCCACTTACTAGCCCCACGAGCGCTATCAGAACACAAGAGTGACAAATAAATAGTATGGAAAGAAGTGCGGAGAGTTCGAATCTTCATCAGTATCTTTCATATTTTGGTCTATTATAATCAGAGTGCACTTGCCTATATCTCAAGTTCTTCACATCGCGAAGAGTGTTGCCCACATACTTTGGTAAGTACCACATGCGCTCATTTCCAAGGTTATAATTATACCATGGTGTATCAAAATATTGAGCTTAATTCTAATCTGAGATTCATATAGACCACTCTAAGTCTTACCCATACATATCAAAAAAGTTTCCCAGCTGCTATCTGAGCATCCTCTTCTACACTCGCACCTTTTATTACCTACAAGATGTGCTTACTCTCGGCTTTTGGGTTCCTATTTGCAAAGGGCGGCAAGGGACAGCAAGCCTAGCTCCGGTCAGAGCCCTGCCAATGGATATCGCAATCCAGCAATGAGTGGAACCCCAGGACAACACCCCATGGGGCCTCGCCCCACCGGCCCTCCGCCAGCAGGTCCTCCTCCCGGCCAGGCTCCTCCTTATCGTTGAGACACTCGGAGATTCAGGATGAAGGTTTGCATGGGAAGCAATTGATTTTAACGTTCTGTCGCTCAATTTGTCCGATTTTATACATATGATTTTGTGTGTTTGGGTTTTTGAGCATTGTTGGGGGTTTGTCCTGTTATTATGATACACACTATACGCATACAATGGTTTCTAGATTAATCTGATATTATGTTGAAGTATCCTACACACTGTCACTGAGTAGAAATCAGAATAGATACTTCTCATCAACGACCTTGGAATGCTCTAATGTTTCGAATTTCGATGTCGCAATTCACCACGAGTGAAACATCAGAATGCTTGGCTCTTGGCTTTCATTCTACTTTATATTCTCGTATTTTCTCGCCACATGGTGGAAATATGACTTAATAACGTGGAAGCCTTGCGCAATTCAGCGGCTCTTGGATCTGGAATTGGCTTTTGTCTTAATCTTAAAATGGGTTGGTTGTCAATTGACTTCCAGCCTCAGGGGCTTGGCCCGGGAACCCAGCCACAGAACACAACAACGATTAGCTACATACGAGCTCTGATGGTCCCTTAATCCCACTTGGCAAGACTTTAAGTGGATTTTCATGAAAGACCTCTCATAAGATACGAGCAAATCAAGCTAGCGTTATCTTGGAACGACCACTCCTGATGTTCCTGATGCTAATTTGTGATTTATCGCGCCATGGTACGGAGATGCTAAAATCAGCGCTAGCCAGCCTCCTGTTAAATGACGAAACAAAAGCTGGGTGCCTAACGCTGCACCGCTGTTAAATATTGCTTTTTAACAGCTATATAAGCCTTTGCTAAGCCCCTCAGGTCGGGCGGAGCCTAGTCTTAATAGGTAATTGCGACTGAAAATCTCGTTCAATGGGACAATCACCATGGGGCCGGAATCTTTGAATCTTCGGCCTTAAACAGGATTCATTCCCCTGGACCAGCTCTCATTTTTTAAGGGAGAAAAAAAAATCACTCTATCGCTTTCACAGTACAAAATACAGAGCAACTATGCGATCGTCAATATCCATCAACTCGGCCGCTCAGGCTTATATGCTTTGCCTTGGTTTATTTTCACCTTTTATCTCAGCGTTATCAACCAATGTCGATCGAATTCCAAATCTAGCGAGCCCGATCAACAATGATATCACCCTTCGACATCGAAGTACCGATAATAGTACATTCCTCCTCAGACTCATGTCACTGGGCGCGTCTATAACGAATGGATACCTCTCAACCGATGGAAATGGTTATCGAGATTGGATTCGGCAAGAACTTCGTTATGAAGGGTGGGATGTAGAGATGATTGGAAGCTTGAGAAATGGGACTATGGTTGATAATGTGAGTTTTCCCCAAAATTGAAGCTAGAAACTAGCCATTGGAAGCTAACGGGATTTTCAAATCGAAGTTTAATGAGGGTCACTTTGGCTTCAGGGTAGATCAATTACCAGCACAAGCTGAGAAGAGCATTCCAGATCAACCCAATCTAATCCTTATCAAGTCAGTCACCCCTGCTTTTACAATAATCAATATCAAAAGACTAATGGATAATCTACAGTGCTGGCACAGATGACGCCTTACAGGATCATAAGATAAGCACGACGGGAGACCGAATGAACTCCTTGCTTGACCTTCTATTTAAGGAAATCCCCGGAACCACCATTATTTTGTCAACTCTTCTCCCAAATAAAGATGTTCCGGATTTGGTTCAGGATATCAGTGAACAGTATCGAGAGCTTGCAGCAAAGCGTCGCGATAATGGCGACCGAGTCGTCCTGGCAGAAATGAGCTATTTCATTACCACGAATGAGTTGGCAGATGCAACCCACCCAGACGATGAAGGATATAAGAAGATGGCGTCTGTTTGGTGGGCAGCGATCAAAGAAGCTTTGAAGGAGGATATGATTCAAAAGTTCAACTACACGATATCGAATTTGCAAGAAAAGAAGTTGGATAACAAGACCACGAATCCGGATCTGCCTTCTTACACGGCTCCTGCGCAACCTACTCAAACAACTTTTATCAGCAGTGCATCGATGAAGCTTCAACAGCCACTGCTACTCGTTCTGGCTTTGCAATTTCTCATTGGTATGTCGGACTATCCCTTTTCATTTACCTGAGATCGATGATTCTAATTGAAAGCAGTTTACTCAGGCTTTTTGTGATGGTCGCGTGTGAATAAACGAATAAAATTTAGATGATCCATAGATGGACGTGTTTTATAGATATTGATACCCATGCATTCAAATTTGATTTTCATTCTTACAGCTTCCAAGGTTTATACCTTTTTCATCCTTTTGAGTCTCAAGTCTCTCTCTACAAGTCAAACATGATATGATGGCTGAATTGCAGTCGCATGTTGATCGCATCTCCATTATACGAAAAGAGAATCTTCTCAAAAGGTAGTGGAGTGAAAGTGCTCATGTGTGTACTAAAAGAGTTGAAACGTTCTTAGGTTTTGATGTTGTCAATCAGCCCTTCAGTTAAGACCTGCAAATACAGGGCCTGGCTAGCCCCGGCGCCAAACAGTGTCAAACGGCGCGCATGGAGGACGTAGCCTTGGACAACCTCTCCTCTTCCCCCGATTCCGAGTCATCCTTCGTTCAACCAAGCCTTACGCCTTTCAAGTCTCTCAAATGTTTCTTGACCGAACGAAGTCAGCCACTGCGGTGGATCTCCAGGAATGGCAGCAATCCGGAAAATTGACTGCCGTTGATGTAATCGAAGCATACCTCCAGATCGATACACATAATGTGAAAGGAATGGGGCTAACCTTGGAAGTGTGGTTATCAATACCGCGCCACGTTTGCTGGCATTGGAACGCGCAAAATATATGGAAGCAGGAGGCCTCTTGACGGGATTCCAGCCCCTGGTAAAAGTGAGTCCCCGTGGACGATGCTTACTTACCAGGTGAACTACGTGGCCTACAGCCCTGGCAGAACCTGTTTAACATCGCAAGCATACCCTGCAGGCAAGGCAATAAGATAAAGTCGGCTGTCACCGTTAGCAAGAATAATATCAACTTGATAAAAGCTTAGTGCTAGCTCTGGTTTATCAAGAGTGCCAGCATAGCCACTCTAGCTTCGGATCAAATCCTGGATCTGGCTCAGCCCTTAATAAATCTTCGAGGCATTTTGAATCAGCTATGAACATTCTGACTGCGTAGCATTTTAAGGATTCTTTAGATGAGTTGGTTCAAATGTTTATTGAGAATATAAACACAATTTGGATTTTGCTATTGCCACTGGCAGTGATAAAAGCATGAAAACTTGAACATTGCGCATGCGTGGTATCACCTAAACCCCGCTCTTTAGGCATCTGTCCAGGTGGTGGATCAACCAGTTGACATTTGAAACCGATGTGAACATTTGAAGCGGAGTCCTGGGCAGTGTCAATTTTAGTATTATCAAGACCAGTTGGCGCGAGTTGGATGAATCCGAGTCCGAGTCCAGATGTCTACGGTGGTCTACTATTGATGTACTACTAGTAAGAGGACATGGAAGGAATTTGATGAAGATGGAAAGATCTTGAATTCGAAATCGAATCATTGCTCGCATATATATGCATGCATTCGTTCAGCCTGACACATCAATGTCAGGCTCCGTCATAACAAAAACGCGTCAATCTATGTACGCTCTATGTATCTATACACAAGTTTATAAAATAAGGAAAATGCAACATTAAAAAAAAATCCAGTCAATCAATGACTTAGACACGAGTACCCTCGGAGTCCTCCTGGTGCTCCTGGTGGACAGCCTGGTCCTTGATCTCGAAGCGGAACTGCTCCTCCTCCTCGGCAAGGATAGCCTTGAGCTGCTTGTTGGCGCGCCAGACAGGCTTGCACTGGAAGAGACGGTCGACCTTCTCCAGGGGAATACCGCTGGTCTCGGGGATGAGGAAGAAGGCGAAGAAGAAGGCGAGGAAGGACAAGGAGGCGAAGAACATGTACACTCCGTAGCCCATGGTGGCGAACATCTGCTCGGTGAATCGGGAGACGAGGAAGTTGAAGAGCCAGTTGCTTGCGGTGGTGCAGGCCTGAGCCAGAGAACGGAAGTTGGGGTCGAAGAACTCGGAGTTGATAACCCAAGGGGTACCGTTCCAGGTAGGAGTGTAGACAGCGGTCCACAGGTAGAAGAAGAAGATAGCGGCAATACCACTTCCGTTCAGGCTGGTGATGTCGTGCTTGGTGGGCTCAACAATGTAGACGTAGGCACCAATAACCCACATACAGATGGAACCAGTGATGGCACCAACAAGCAGAAGGTTGCGACGACCGAACTGATCAACGAGGAAGAGCAACCAGATGACGGTCATAACAGCCTTGACGATACCGAAGATACCAGTCATGATATCGACAGTGTTGGTCTGGACACCGAGAGACTCGAAGATGGTGGGAGAGTAGTAGTTGATGGCGTTGATACCAGAGCCGTTCTGCCAGAAGAAGAGCATACATCCCAGGAACAGACGGTAGCAGAGAAGAGGGCGGGCGCGGAGAGCCTTGAATGGCTGCCAGAAACCAAGACCAACGGTGGCCTTCATGGCCTCGTGGGCAGTGTCAATAGCGGCAACCTCCTCGGTGATGTAGATGTCGCTAGGGGTCAATTGACGGATCCAGCAGAGGTTGTTCATAGCCTGGGCACGCTGGTCGTGGAGAAAGAGCCAACGGGGGGGATTCCCGAATCCAGAGAGAACCAAGCATAAGCATGCCGGAGGGAATCAACTGAATAGCGAAAGGAATGACCCATTGCTTGTGGCCCTCAGGGACGTGGAGTTCAACACCGTACTAAAAGAAAAGCCAATGTTAGTTCAAGTCTTGAATCAAGGGATAGTAAAAGATTTTTTCAATAGGTGGGAGATTTCCTGGGAGGCGACTCACGTTAATCCAGAAACCCAGCATACCACCAATTTGCCATCCAAGTTCGTAAAGACCAACAAGACGACCACGAATAGCAGGAGGAGCCAACTCAGCAAGGTAAATGGGGACAATGTTGGAGGCAACACCTGTACCCAGACCGGATAAGACACGACCAGCGTACAACATACCCAAACCAGTACTGCTTGTAGCACCACACTGGAGCGCAGCTCCCACAATGAAGATAGCAGAAGAGATAGTCAAGCACCATTTACGACCAATCCAGTGGCTCAGGGCGTATGTAAGAAGAGCACCGAAGAAAGCACCAGCGATGAAAAGTGAGACAATGTTCTCACTGACCAAGTCCTTCTGAGCTTTAGAGTCACTGTAGGTACCGAATTCCTTCTCGAACGAGGTAAGATCGATAGTAGTACCAATGAAGGCACTAGTATAACCAATCATGTTGGAACCGCATGATGCGATGAGGGCGAGAACATAGACACGCCAGTTGTAGACGCAAGGCGGCGTCGGCCTGTCCTCAACGAGATGTAAGATACCACCCATGGCTGTTGACGAATTTTTTTTTCTATGGGTGGAAAGGGGAGATGGTCGAAATTTTTTCGTGAGAGGGATGGGAAGAAAAAGAAGAAGGAAACAGGGACGGGAGGCGACCTAAGTAATGTCTCGTTCCCCAGTGGGTTGTGGGTGTGGAAATCTTCTCGTGAGCGATCCCCACAACTAGTACGCGTAGGAAAACCCCGTTCCTCTGGGGCAATATGGGGTTTCCAAAGTGAGGCTACGAAACCATGGAGCCCTGAGAGGCGTGCATGAGCTTGTGGGTGGACACTTTACCCGGGGATAGCGTTTTCCCCGGGAAGCGAAACATTCAGCCGGGGCCAACGAATGGTCATTGGTATATATCTGACACGGAATCCAACTTCCATGGTTGAAATTGCGTTTCATAAGGAATCTTGGTTGCCAATCATACTTGGAATTGTTTATGATACTTCTTTTACGGGGTTTTTTGGTGATTGGGAGACTACAATTCCTCAATCTCTCAAGTGCTACAAAGGTATGGTAGATATCAAAACTTTTTTGAGAAAAACTTAGAAGCAGAACGAACATCCGCCTTGAATTTACCCGTTTGTTCATGATTGTCAATGTGGAGGGGCATTTTGAGGGGACTTCCACCGGTGAACGTTCTTGTTCGCCACAATGTGCGTAATAATGCATGAAGGGGACTTCCTTTGTCCCCGGATCAAGCGGAATAAAATTGTGGAGAGGAAGAGAAGGTTTTTTGGGGAGAATTGTGGAAGAGTGAATAGGGGGAGAAGAATGAAGCTAAGGGCACATCAAAGTCCCGCTTCGAGATTGTAGAAACCCCGGGGATCCAATCAACCCTGAGTCAGATGGGGGGAAGAGAGTTGGGGTGCATGAAAACTCGTTCATGATGACCCACAGGGGAGAACCCTTAACCACGGAGAACTCGGATAGTGACCGAAGAATAGATGAGAGTGGAACTCACTGGAGGTGAAATGGACGAAAATGATAGAGATGACTAAGATAATCTAGCTGACTAAGATGAGATCTTCGCATAAAGAAAAGATTGTGCATGGTCACGTGAGCATAAACCACCCACTACGGAAGATGATTCTACCCTCTCATTGGTCTCTCCAGACAATCTCCAGTATCTTCTCCAGTATGAATTCATAACAGACATCATTAAATGGTTCCGCCCGAGATCGGCTTAAATTTTGCTCCATCCCCCTCGTCATATCCCGTTGAACCGCTCCGTAACGGAGGGCGAAATAGGACTTGCCACTCTGGGCATTACTGGGCACTTACTGGGCACTTACTGGGCACTTACTGGGCACTTACTGGGCATCACCGCGTACCTCTGGGCAAAACCTTAGAACCCGTTTAACAAAAGTATGGGAAAATATAGAACCCGGGGAGGAGCTTTCCAGAAGTTCAGCCACCAATTTCAATGGTCTACTTTAGATCCCTTGGTTTTTTCCCACTCGGCTTAGTTGAAGTGTTGGGTTAGGGCCACCGCAGTAAAACACCAAGTGGGACCCGGTGCTGCCGAGCTCGTCTATGGTCATCACCGGTGAAGGATCTTGGCTAGACAAAACACTCCAAATCTGGGTAGACGGTCAGACGAACTGCAGACTTTTTTCGTTGGCTGAGATGACACAAATTTTTCCATGGTCCTTTTAATGAACCCGGTGAAGAAACTCATCCATACTAAAGTAAGCTTACTTCTCGGGCCGCTTAATTGGAAGCTCTACTAGTTAACGCCGGGTCAAAATGCCGGTCTTGGCAGATCAAAATGTGTTAAATGAGATCCATCTGTCCCTGTGTATGGAGCAAATTGCCGAAATGGAGTCGAGATTAGACTAATAACGACATGTAATATTTGGATGATAGCTACAGCCTCGGGAGTACGGCGTACATCTACTACTTCTAAGGTTAGCACTGCTTTCCACTATGTATGTGCTAGTGACTAGCGCCTTGTAAGTACCCATCGCTCAACCACTGTGACCCTCGGCTCGACATTCGCACGTTTTGGTCAACTGGTAATCTAGCTTGAATCCAGCTTGGAAAGATAGCCGAGGTCAGCAATCAATTTTTGATCCACTTATGCGCTCGCGCTCCTTCGCGCTGGCACTTCCAAGATTGATGACATATTGACGGCTTGGGGCCAAGTGAACTGGTCTCAACAATTTTCCGGCAGAAGATAAGACCGAATAGATCAATAATGACACGGTAGGACTAGTATAATGTTGAGATTGGTAGTACTTTGTAGCAACTTGAACTTGAATTCAACTGCCACTGGCAGTGCCCAGGTGTGCATACCATATAGTAATCACCTGGGAATACATAGTATAGATATACATATACTCCAGGGCTATATTTATGGACGTATCCGAGCTTGCTGGGCATGATTGATCTCAAGTAATCCGATCATGATGTTCAACTTGAAGTTCATTCAAGTTACTACTAGTACTACTACCTATCACAGCATACATCAATTGAGACTAGTATATTTTAAACTTCAAGTTGAATGTTTTCAGGCTCAGTATTTCCAACCTTGGATGGCCCTACATACACTGGCATATGTGCACCTGGCATGCATGAGCAACATATGCATTCACCGAAGCCCGAGGTCTTACGGTCCAACGGGCTGAATATTAAAGTGCTACTGATATCAGTAAAGCCGCCGGCAGTATGTTTTATCTCCAAGGCTGTGTACACGTGCACTGGCATACTATGTATCACGACATATGTAGCCAGTTGTATGTATGGAGTAGATATTGCCCAATGGCATAGCCGTTCAGTTGGAGATAGTTCAGCCGGTGGCAGGTGGAAAAGACTAGCAGATTTTCACCCCACGATGACCCAGATGTCCCCACGCGGTGTTGAAGGCCAATCAGAGGACGATTTCAACCTTGGAAGTTTGCCTGTCAGGGCAGACTCCATACCTGGGATATCTGGATTTGTTGACACATCACATCTCCTTGTTAGGTAACTGATTTCTACTCCGTACAATGATCGGCTACGAACCGAGTCGGACTTTGTTTGCTCCGTACGGACTCGGGATACACAGATGGAGATATGCTAACTTAAAGGGGTTAAGGTGCTCCGGCACGGCCTCGGCCACGCGGCATCTTCTACGGCCGAGGCCAACAAGGTCGAGAGCTATCTGGTGGGTTTCTCTATATTTGGATATGGGTCAGATAAGGGGCCTCCTTTCTTATGAATGAGTCCAGGGAAGAGCTCAAAGAGCTGGTAAAGGAGAACGTCTGAGATCACATGCCGCAATGGCAGGAATCATTTTCACCATTGGAATGGGGGCCGGACTGTAAAGGGGCATCCTGTTTCTTTGAATCTCATTGTCACTGACAGTGAGATATAGGACGCCGTGTTCAAGCATGGACCTGAGAGGATCGAGTGGTCAAATTCACTGGTAGAATGCAGAATGCAGGACGTAGGTCTTGTTATATCTATGACAGCAGCTTGTCCACGGCAAATAGCCTTGAACGAACTGTCTGTCACCAATATATTCAGCAACCCAGTTGTTCGATGGACGATAGATTTCATCAACAGAGTCTTGTCGTAATTTCAAGATGGACATCTGTGGAGTCTGATCGACAAGCTCGAATCAAGATCAACTCTTTTATGATCCCGGGTGAATCCTGGTCTTGGAGTTATGAGCGACAAGCTGCCCTCGTAGCTGCCCTCATCCCTAGGTCCCCAAGGTGATTGATATAAGCCCATAGCGCATAAATGGGTCTCTCAGGGTATTCAAAATGATAAATCCTAGCAAGATTCACTGAAAGTATCGCGTAGGACAAGAGGAGGATGCGATCGAGAGGCTGGTTCTGGCTGTTGCCACGGTCGGGGATCTTGCGGTCTCGGAGAATCTGTTCGCATGGAAAATCACTGATCCGATCGAGTGAATTGTATTTTATTTGTATATGGGATAAGAGGAATATATGTGGACATTATAATTATGGGTTTGTGTTATGAGAACATCACCGTTGTTGACATCAGACGTTGCAATGTATCCCCACGATCACGTGTCGCCGACCGTGTCAACCAGATTAACCCGCAGCAATTAACAACATTCATCGATATCTGGGATGAATTATGCTTGATGAACTGAAATTATTAATGGGATGATGAGTCTTTGCAGAATATGAATTCTTCACTAGAAGCATACTTGCAGTTAACAACTAAGCATCCTTTGTTTGGGTGATCTACTAGTACTTCACCTGGGCAGGCAGTGTGTGGCGCAATATATCATCAGCACTCCAGCCTCCTGGACAGGACCCGGACTCACCACTTGAAGTTTTGGTCCGACTCAACTGCCCTTTTCAGATAATGAATATTAGCTGACATCGTGCGAACATAGAACCGTGGTTGATTCTCCCATCATGGACAACAACCCCTCTCCTATTGCCATTCAAAGAAGGATATGGGACGGGCGCATCTCACTAGAGATCACCCTGGCACCTTCAGAAAGTCGAACTTACGACAAGACTGATCCATACCTCGTAAGACTCGGACCCAGCAGTTCCTCTAAACAAACATTCATTAATTCTTCCTGAGCAGATTTCATTTCACCGAGTCTCTTATTTGCCCACATTACTCCCAAGACTCCGTGCATTCTTCTCAACGTCCTTGATCGAGCCTAGCTCTCAACACCATGATGGCTGGTTCTCCTTTGAAGGTGTGCCTCTAAAATGGCACTACCCTGTTGGTCTACTCTTTGATCTTTATGCTGGAGCAGAGCCTGCTACAAGAAGTAGCACTCCAAGTCCCGACTCACCAGAAGACGAATCACCACTCCCATGGCGTCTAACTGTCCATTTCAGTGATTGGCCCGTGGAAGATCTCGTCCGTCTTGATGCAAAAGGGATTTTTCTGAACGATGCATACATAAACAGCGTCAAAGAGGCTGACTTTTTGCGCAATGGAACCGCAAAGGGGATCATGACTCTATCCAAGGAAGACTCATCGGGCTTATGGAAGGCTGTTGAGAATGGTACGCGCCCACAATGCAGAAATCCAGTTCCTTAACTCTAATTGTTCAATAGTGGACCTACCATCTTTCCAGCGTATCTCAAGCATTCTTCTTCCTCCGCCATCACAGCCATTTCGCAATGTACCAATCCGTGTGTTTCTGCCACTACCGCCAGATGGGGATTCACCATCATTAAAAGTGGTCCAATCGCCCTTTCCTCCTTCTATTCAGACTTCGAGTATGCAGGCTAGTCAGATGATTAGTTCTCGGTTAAGTCCGGCCACGCAACCGCAGACGATAGGGAATGTCTTGCATACGTTGCTTCCGAATCTATTTCCCAGTCGGCGAACTCCGGTTCTTGCTCAGCCTGTGCTGCATGGGGCGGTGCTTCCCATGTCTGCGCCAATTGAAGAGATCGTGAGAAGCTCTGCTTATGGAGATGGTTGGGCGTATGTGGTTGTGCGGATGATGGGATGAGTTGGGAAGAGGCCGTGAGTAATGACAGATAACGACCTTCAAGCCTTGGAATTACAAGACATGAGCGAACTCTTCAAGCTGCGACTATTACAGTAGTACTATGTTCAATTAATTGTAGAAAAGGAGCTTACTTTACTGAATGGAATGAGTGGAAGTTTAAGTCCGATAAATGCAATAACTCAAATTATCTGCTTGAAGAGTTGCCTCAAGGCCTATAACGCTAAATCCTATCAAAACGGGGTATCAGGTGGTTGCTGGCCAGGTCATAATTCTGCTTGATCATCCGGCCAACAAAAGAAATCTGTATAATAAGATGCGCCATGTAATGGTGTGAGGAGCCAAGCCAATGAGACAAGAAAGAGAAAAGAACAATGTAGTAACGAGCGAATGAAAGCGGAGAAAAATCATAAAAGCCAAATGGACATGGGAAGTCAATGATATGCGTACATGAAAAAAAGGAACGATGGTAGCAGGGGAAATGCAATTTGTCAATCTTAAATCATGTTTCCATTAATGAGAACCTCATCGTTGTTCTCCTTACCCTTCTTCAGGGCCCGCGCGAGCATAAGCTCACGCATCCAGTCAATGCGCTCTTCGCGTGACTTGACGGCAAAATGGTGTGTCTTGATGCCATCCTTGTGACCGAAGAGAGCCTTCTTCTCATTCTCCTTGGAAGCTGGGATAAGTGAGAAGGAAAAGGCAGTGTCATCCTTGCCTGAGTTCTTGCCCATGCGTAGAATGTTCTTCTTGAATCCAGCGCTGAGCTTGGAGCTAGTCGTCAGCGACGAGCAAGCAACGGAGTAGTCATCAACATCGATGTTGTCCAGAGCAAGAGACAGGCGGTGCGCTTCGACTTCATCCTTGTGCATGGCCAAATTGGTGCCGCGCAGCGTGAAGTGGGCGTTCTGCCAGTCGTGACGAAGAAGGTGTGGCTTGTTGCGCTTCTTCATGTAGCCAGCGTGGCTGACATCTGGGTCTGTAGCTAGGGATGACTTGGGGTTCACGTACCCGTTTTGCAACATTCGGGGACTGCGGTGCAGATCGTCTGGGGTTTCAATGGGACCCAAGGCCTTGCCTTCTTGAACGCTGTTTAGGGTTGACGTAGCACGGGGACGAGTGGTCTGAGTGCGTGCGATAGGCTCACGGTAGGGTGGGTACGAGGGCCCGTTGTTTAATGCATTGGGACGGTACTGCATGTCTGGGGGAACAGACTGCGAGGCATCACGGCAAATTGGTCCGCTGGGGAAAGCGGTGATGGGTACATCCATCTCTGAGAATGGAGTGCCCTGGCGGCAAGCTTCAATCTCGCTTGCCTTTGAGAAAGGGCCGTATTGTTGGATCGCTGTGGGTGATCCAAAGCCCCCGGCAGTGGGAGGGTTAGTAGTCACGGCAGTTGTCATGTCTTCCGTATTGGGACTTGACGGGATGGTCAAGTTCGGAAGGTTGCGTAGCTTTGCAGCCATATTGCTTGAGAACTCCTCAGGTGGTGAGTAGATGCCATAGTGGTCAAGCGGTGGCAGGTTAGACGTATCCAGTGTAGGTTGAGCTCCATCAACGTGCTGGTAGTTGAGGAAGTTACGGATTGTTTCGCGAGGATCCAATTTCTGGATCTCGCTGAGAGCAGCCTCAGAAAGCCCGGGTCCTGATCCAGGACCAAACACAGCAGACGAGGCAACCACCGAGGGCTGAGCATCGGAGTAAGGCCGGAGCATGTTCCTGGCAGTTTCTGGGTTTCCAGGACTGCCAGCAATTATAGCTCCATCTTGCATGAAGGCATCGGGAAATTCAGCCTTGAGCTTCTCAAGTTTGCGCTGACGGCGCTGAAACTTGGAGCAATTTTCGCCCTTTGAGCAGCTGTGGGGCTTGGGAAGGAGTTGTTCAATGCCCACAATAGAGACAGCGTCGGCTGCTTGTTGGTTGCCAGGATGTCCTTGGAAGTGGTGAGAAAGAATCTCACCCTTGGGAGATACGGACATAGCATAAGAGCATCGCTTAGCGGCCGAGGGACCGTGAGACTCTGAAGCAAGAGACATTGAACGACGTGATTCCGAAGTCTGAGACAACGAGGCCCCTGATAGTGAGGGCTCGGGATGGATCATACCACCTCTGTGCATTGTGGCCTTCAAATGGTTAATTGAAGCCATAACCTGGTGTCGAATGCCAAAAGAGTGGATGTTCAACTCCTTCAGATCATCAATCTGCAGACTGAGAAGAACAGTTCCGTTGATATCGTTTATAACGAACTTCTCGATTACAAGGTCGTTGTAACCAGCGACATGCAACCAATGTGCGACCTGGCTGGGTTTCCACATCATGATCTCCTCTTCATCCACCTGGGATACATCAGGGTGAACCGTTGTGAAAGCCTTAGGGGTCTTTGGAGAGAAGGGGAAGCGGTGGGGAGTATTCGGAGAGAAAGGAAACTGATTGGGCGTGTCAACGGAGCGAGTAAATTCGCTTTGTAACGGAGATCGCTCAAAATAGAGGTCAATCTCAGCCGTTGATGGCTCATAGATCGATGATCCTCGAGAATCTCGGAATAGATGTGGGCCATTTGGTCCCCGAACCAGCGAAGCCTTCTCAAGGTTTAGAGGAGGGGGCCTCTTTGCTTCATTAGGGGTTGGGACATCTGGCGATGATGCGGTGGTGGTACTTTCATGAGCAAGCTAGGTGAAATTGGTATTAGAAGTGATTTATGGCGGATAAGGACATCAAAGGCTCCCTTACCGATATCATGCTTTGCCTCAGAGACTCTTCATCAGAATCACTGGCTTCAAAATCGGTGTCATCATCAAAATCTGTTCCCGCAAAGGATACTCGACGCTGGACGACAGTCTTTGTGGGGTAGAATCGCTCATGATTCTTCATGCTGATGGACGCAGGCGCAGCCTTTCGTCGAGCTCGCAGAGAGGAATCCTTTAGAGAGAAAGAGGTAAGTATCTTTATTATTACAGGAAGCCAGAACCATTCAGACTAACCATAACGTCGACTGCACAACTCGGTGGTCTTCAAGACTTCACGGAGAATGGCTAGTCTCAGGCTGCCTCAAGCAGACCAAAATACAATATGCTGAGAAACTAGAAAAGGACAGAAGCTATTTCAAGATGGACTTCCGTCAACAGTAGACCACCTTGAAAATAATAAAAAAGATGTATTCAAAAAGAAAGGACCCGGATCAACCGAAGTGGGATATCTTGATCACGGGAAAGAGAAGAGATTAGAGAGCCAAGGACTCTTTTTTGAGCCCACATGGGCAATTGTGGTATATGTACGCTGCTATCACTGGCACAGTGGGGACAATGGGGAGAGAAGCCACTAAACATGATGCGTTGGAAGAGCGGTAACCGAAACCAGGAGCGTCGTCCTTCCGAACGATTTGACGGAACAAAATGTCCGTGCCATGCATAGTAAGTGAAACTCAGCGGCAGCGGACTAAAAAAGAAGTGATAAAATAGAAACGAGGCGTATGGTTGGTAGACGAATATAGGAACAGCTGTGATGTGATGACGAGTGACTAGCCTGCAGTAGCTCAAATTATGAGCCAGTTCAACTGCATATTGATTACCCAATAAGAGTGACCTGCAGTCAGGGAATCACGGCATAAAGGCTGGTTCTGGCTGCTGACAGGTCCAGTGGAACACGGCTGGGGAGGACCCGAGCGACAGTTGAAGTTTGTCTAACAGTGAATTCACAGTGGGAAAAGGTGAAGCGGGGGATGTGACTGGCTTGCAGTTAGCGCCCACTTGTGCATCGGGGGTGATCGGCTGGACCCACCTAGGGTCTTGAAGGAATGTGACGACCAGACATCAACCGTTAATTAGCGCTGTTGTCAATCCTGTTGCCCAGTCGGCGAAACACTTTCTGTCTGGACTTTTATTTAGTTGCTAGCCCAACCTGATCCTCGAGTCATGTCCCTCGTTTTCGTGGTCCACGTTGTGGGGTTGGTGGTGGTGTTTTTTTTTTGATACAGGATCCCAACACCGACTTTTAAAATCCTGGTCATTTCCCTGCCTCCAATGATAATTTTTTTGAACGCGCTGGAGGCTGGGTATATTCGCGGCATATACCGACATGGGTTCTTATTATGGGGCCCGGCGGCTTCTTGCGTCCACTATTGAACCAACACGATGCGATGCAAAGAGGAGTACGCATATCTTCTCCTCGGTTGCGCCCGGCGGTCTAATCTTTTTTTTTCTTACCCAGGAAATGTTGCCGAGATATCATCAAATAGATGATCTATCAACAGGATCAGAAGGATTTCCAAGGTCATAGCTCCCTAAGAACTTGCAGTTCGCAGTTCGCATTTCGCATTTAGTACACTCCGACTCCGGCGTAACCTGGACTCTGGCTTATATTTTGATTCGACTATTCCAATTTACTTGGCCGAGAAAATTATTAGTTCCGCCACTGATGAGTTTTCTCTACAGCGATAGGCTGATTGGTAGTTCAATAAAATGAGCCACGATGTAAGAGGCGGGGTTTGGGGACCCGATCATCTATGTACTAGTACCTATGTATATGCAGCATTCATCACCAAAACTCAAGTTCATCACCAACGTGAATTTTCGAATAGTTGTATCTCTTACATAGTATTAGTTATTGCATTTCCCTCCTCTCGAGCCAGAATTCCACATTTAAGTTCTCTGTGCCTTGCAATTTGAAGATTGGAATCGCTCTGGTCCGCGCAGCTGGGATCATATGTACTCATCTGGCACATTCAAGTTTGTGGACCATAGTCCCGATCAAAAGAATCACCATAGGCACGGCTCGGGAAATTGCATGTATCTATTGGATCTAGGTGGTAGATTAGTCGACTTGACGGATCACGTTGATGCCCTTTCCAAGGTTCCTAAGGAAACAATAGTACTGCGGGGATGACTTAACCCTTGACGTGCTACTGAAAACGCATGGCAAACAAGTCCATAGAACCACAAAAAGAAAACCCGATAGTCTGAGTCCATTCGAATGTTGAATTCTTCAGAAGAAGCCTTAAAACGGCAACCCACATGTGCTTGTGTGACGACAGGCTTGCTTTCTCGGTGCGACAATCTGGATATCAACTAGCACTCATATTCAATGTTTGCTTATGATAAAAACCAGCTATTTCATCATCAGGGGTCTTAGCATCATGATCCGTACCTGGCTTTGAACGACATTAATCATGCACCTCTCACGACCTTGCATACAACGGTTGGTGTTGGTTGACAGTTTGAGTCTATAAGCAAACGAGCCGGAAAATATCAATCATCGAAGTCACTAGAACTTGACATTGTATACATCATGCATGTAAACTTTGATATAGTTTAATAGGCGCGAAATGACTCGCTCTGCGATCTTCTAATCTGGAGATCGCGGACAAGCGAGATCTACACCACGCGGACTCTGGAATTCATCCAACAGTTCATGAAAAAGCCTCATGGCTTGCATGTGCTCTCTTTTGTTTTCCGGACGCCACAAGGTGATATCAAAATGGCTGCTGAGTCAATTGGACCTAACAACCTCCATAATCCATAATTTTCGGCCCTTGATTTGACCGAGACCGGCGAGTTTAGAACGAGGAACTTGAGCATGCACCTCGGGGAAAACTCATGAGATAACCTTGCTCCTCCCCGAATATCCACAACAGGGGATCGAACGAAGATCGGCTGTTCGGCTTCAGGGGAATCAAGACAGGTACGAACCTTGGAAGTACGAAGTATACGTCAGTATAGTAGTGCCAAGTTACTATTGCCTTAATCACACACGGCATACGGGAGTACAGAAAAGAGGTAGCACGTCTACCACCTGAGCATATTCGAGTAAATCCCGGTTAATGCATGCTATTTTGGGAGATTGATGCTAGTTTGCCCAAGTCTATTAATAGTAAATTAATCTCCGGGGGAAAGTTAAGAAACGTTGGAATGAGTCTTTATTCAGTTTCCGATAAATCTGTAGTCCCCAAAAGGTGGGATGAATGACTGGATGAGAAGTAAAATTAGCCAAAATTAGCCAAAATTAGCAATCTTATTTACAACTTCAGCGGTAAAGTGTTGCTAATTAAGGGAGAATCTGCAGACTAAAAGTTAGGGAATGCACTAAGGTAATCTTATCACAATCACATCCCCCACTTGTGCACGGAGCATCATAGTGGGCCTGCAGGTCCTGTTTTTTACACCAGTCAGATTTCAATAAACCATTACTCGGGCTATAGACAAATGTTCAGTCTCTTTTTTCTTAACCAATGATTACTTCAGGAACTCAAAGCTTGGCATGATCCCCTCACCCGTCACACCACCGTGCATACTTCAGCCAGTCATAGTGTGAAGATGTGTCCCCCCACCGTTCTGAAGTGATTGCTCTCGTAGCGAAAACCTATTCATTGTTGCATACCGAAAAAAAACAGCAATTAGAATATGCGGTCATTGAATTTGCGGTATTTTTCTCAATTTAGTAACATTAGGGAGCATTGGGCTGAACAGGATCATGTTGGGTTCGGTGGTTGATCACACCCCCGCCAGCTGCATTTTTCCAATCATTATCCGGGAGGTTTTTTGGGGCTTGATCCCGAGTTTTTGGGTTCATTTGAACAAGATTTTAGATCCGGCGCTTCAATGTACGATGATGTTATAGTTGATATGAGAAGGGGGGTAAAAAAACCAACATGAAATCTACTATAGAGTACTGTTGGTTGCGGAGTCGTAGTATCACGACAAGCACTAAGAAAAGGCTGGAGAACGGACCAGGACTCTAAGCGTAAACCAGACCCAATCAAAAAATTAGTGACATGGGTCATCTGCAGCTATCCCTGTTCACAAGCACACCAGGCAGTCCTGACTGGGTTATCTCCATCCAGTCCCTCGAGGAGCTCGGGATCGATGTGCATGGCGCCAATGCGCCGCCATACGACTTCATGGCACTAAAAAAAGATGGTTAATTGACCCAAAATTAGTTTCCAACATCCTTCTTGCAGGATTAACCAGCCTTTTTTGTCTTCTGATTCGTCCTTCCTCATGTCGGATTACCATCTCAGGAAGATTTCGTGGTGATCCCAACTCCACAATCAGCGACATACCTCCTCAATTATCCCGATCCTGCAGTAAGTCCACTAGTGTGGATGAAGTGGATTCCAAAATAGAAACTGTGGTGCGTCCGCCAGAGCTATCGTGAGTTTTAAAGCTTCTGTGATCCCTCGCCAATCTAGAATTTCCATCCTCATTCAGTTGCACGGCCAACCATCTCTTTTCTTTCCTTCAATATTCTTTCGGATATCAAGTCTGCTGGCCCAGACTTTCCATAATAAAGCTGTGATCTATCCATTTTGGTTATTCATTCAAGTCATTTTATCTTTTCGCCATTCATTGTGATCCTCAGGTGTCAATCTACTGTCAAAATGCCTACCACCAAGAGAACTCCAGCCACTGCGCGAATCGCTGAGACTCCTAAGGCTGGTCCCTCATCGCAACTATATCAGACTCCTACGCCCCCGTCTTCTGAAACTGGAGAAAAAACAAATGGAAAGACACACAAGCGTTCGCGATCTGGTATGTTCCAATAATTCATGATTCTTTTTAAATTTTGATTTCTTTTCGTCTTTTATTTTTTTTCTTTTTAGTCGCTAACAATTTCAAGGCTGCTTTACATGTCGCTTGCGCCGAAAGAAGTGCGATGAAGCCCACCCTGCCTGCGGTGCCTGCATTAATCTAAATGTCAAGTGTGAATATAAGCGTCCAATGTGGTGGGGAAATGCAGAGTCAAGGAGAGTCCAGAAGGAGCGCATTAAGAACAGAATCAAGCAGACCAAGACAATTGAGCGCGGTGGACAGCGTGCCGATCAACTTCGCATGCGCCATGAATCGATGTCTTCACCATCCGATTCTCTTGATTACGACTTCGGTCGACCTGTCTTTGCCGAACCAAACGATATGTTCTCTTCGCATATTCCTACCCCAGGCTTGGGTACTGGTCCCTATGGTCCTTATGCTCCTCCATATGAGATTGATGTTAAAACTGAGCGCCAACTTTTTATCAATGATGTCCCTACGCGTGTCGACTCCTCGACTTCGACTTTTAGTGCTTTTATTCCTCCTCAGTTGAGTGCACCATTGCCGACATTTGGAGGTGAAGAATGGTTTGGAGATGAGTTTCTACCACCAAATAGTCACAACAACTCATTCAGCTCGGGAACAGTGGGATCAGCTCAATCATCGAGTTTTGATCGATCTTCCACATGGAACATTCCAGTTAGCGACCAGGACCGTCCTCTTCTGGATCACTTCATCCATAATGTACTGCGCCAAATCTTTCCTGTTCTGGAAGCCCATCAGCGAGGTTACATTCGGGCTCAGGCTATTCTGCGTACCCTGGAGACTAATAAGACTTACCTGCACTGCTGCTTGAGTGTTGCTGCTATCCATCTCAAGACTACTGAAGGATTAGTTGGAGATCAAATCGACCATGACATCATGCGCCACCGTTTCGAAGCCATCTCTCAGCTGTGCAAAGCATTGGGAGACGATGCCAATCACCAGGAGATTCTCGATGCTACTCTTGCAATGATTTTCTTCCATTGCTCCGTCGGTCCATCAGATGACTATCTTCCAGATATCCCATGGTTCGACCACTTCCAAGCTGCTTCCAACCTAGTCAACAGACTTGAGCTTCCATCTAAGCCAATGGAATCGGTAAATGGATTCATGGTTCCTTCTTACAGCATGTCTTTGACTTCCTGGATCGATATCCTCGGATCGACAATGAGAGGCAAGACCCCTCAGTTCTCCCACACATACCGATCAAAGCATCTGAGTGGAACCTCATCTGGTCTGAAGGAGCTCATGGGTTGCGATGACAGAATCATGTACCTAATTTCCGAGATCGCCTGCCTTGATGCCCTGAAGACCGAAGGCCGTCTCGATGACATGGCAACTTGCTCGCATATTCAGGCTCTCGCAAGTCAACTCGAGTACACTGAACCTGCCGATTCAACATTGGAGAACCCATTCTCAGCATCCACCGGTGCAATCATGCCCGAGGCTTTGACCAAGACAATGACACACATCTTCCGCGTGGCCGCCCGCATTTATCTGTGCAGTCTCGTTCCCGGTTTCGACCGCAATCAACCCACCAACGAAAACCTGATCTCATCAGTTACCAATGCTCTCCACTATATCCCTGCGGGACCACATGGATTCGACCGCTCTCTTGTCTGGCCATTGCTAATGACCGGTGTGTACGCTGCACCAGGAAGTAAATTCAGAGAAGTGCTCGCAGACCGAGCCGCAGCATTGAATGACTACGCCGACCTCGGAAGCTTCGGTCGCATGTACCGCCTTCTGCAGGAAGTCTGGCGACTCAGTGACGATCCTGATAACCACACAAGCTTTTATAATGAAGAATTCAACTCCTCACTCACAAGCCCGATCTCGAAGCTATCTGATTCCTCCAAGACCGGCGCTGGCGCCATTCTTGGCGGGAGGGAAATCAAGCGACAACAGGTTCACTGGAGAGATGTGATGCGGCGAAACAGTTGGCACTATCTGATCATGTAGATGGTGTCTTCTTCACTCTTCAACTTTTCTTCTTCTTCTGTACTTCGTGAGACATTCCTCATGCTGGCTTTATATTACCTTGATGGTAAATGATACCCCACTTTGCGAGTAGCTATTGTTGCATAAAACAAGCTCAGGGCTTCCTTTCCTTCTATTTTCAGTGATTTGATTTTTATTGATTTTATTTTATGTTTGATGCCCTTTTTTCTTTTCTGAATGCGGGTCGGGCTGGTCTTTGGTCGGCGTTCCTCTCGAAGGATGTTTCATATGTGCCACTGGCGTCTAGGGAGTTTGTTCCCTGCAACGCACTGGTTGGTCGCTTAGTATATACTGTTGTATACCTGAAATGCACTGGATTTGGATCAAAATACTTTTCAATATTGTAGTTCATTTATAGAAAATAAGGCGTTCAATCCATGGCTTAATGGAATGGACTATTCTAACTTAAACTTGAAGTTCTTGGTGTTCAAAATGTCGAACTTATGAGTCAAACTTGAAGGTTTCAATACTAAACTTCAAACTTATGTAGAACCGTGAGTCAATTATTTTTAGTCCAAATATCTCTAGATATCTTTGGTCTGATGGCACCATTGAGACTCGATTTGGAAGTGTAAATCGCTATTTCAATTTTGCCAGTGCATCTTGGAATCCTCCAAGTTACATGCCATCTTTCAACATTTCCATTTATTTGAATCACCTTTGAGGTCAGACTTGAGGTTTCTCGAGTCGCTCAAGTTGAACTTGTTATATACTAGTACTGAGATAGGTCTACAAACTTCAATTTTCAATCATCAACTTCATATGTGCAAGTTCAAATGATCACCTGTTCCATACAGTGCGGATGTCTTTCATCCCAAGTTTGTTTATTCCCATTCCCAATCTCCAAGTATCCACATTGATATTTCAAAATGGACACACCAACATACTAGTGAAACAGTTCTATGTTCGAGATTCACTCTTGGACAAACTTTACATTCTACCTAGATAGATAGATACTAGCTAGAGGAGCAGAGAGCTGCTTTACCATCTCGACACAAGTGCATTGCCCAGACTAATTCAAAACACCAACTCATCATGAAAATAAACAACGGCGCTAAGTGATGTTAAGACCTTCGTCTATCTTGAAGTAATCGATAGGTCCCTGAAACCTAAATAGTTCCTAGTCTTAACTTTGATGCTATTTTTGCGTCCAGCGTGGAGAACCTGGGAACAGTTAATGATGCAGGTACCAATAAAACTCCGAGAGGGCGATCAAATGGCCTCAAAGGGTTCTTCAGACATGATGTTTAGTTTCAAAGCTTGAGGATTCTCCACAAGGTTTTAGCTAGTGGTCGAAGCGTCCCGTCTCAGTCATTCCAGGGGTATAGGGGGGTCCTTTGATACACATTCGCTCCATCCAGAGCCAGTGGTTTCTTCAGCGGCCCAGTCGTTGGAGCTAAGGTAGGATATGTCCCTGTATCAGATCTTGCATCTGCATGAAATATTCCGCTCTATTAATATCTCCTGTCCCTGAAGAATGGTGGAGGCGCGAAGAGTGCTCAGGGTTCACTGGGTTGAGACGAATGATTGGAGAAAGACCTCTATGATGGAGGCGGGAGGGCGCTACCAGGTCGATATCCTAGCTCAGAATACAATTGAATTGAGTTATGCCAATGTTTGAATCTATTGTCCACAGTGCCAAGCGCTACCCCTGGGGGTTTCAGAGATAGGCACCCCAGGAGCGAGGCGCCCTCGGAGTGGAAAACTGAGCGCGCGTCAAGATCTTGACGAACCAAAAGGGCATCCGGAGAAGCAGTGGCTTGCGAAATAGACTGTTGCCCAGGGCAACTTTGTTTGGGGCCTTTCGAGGTCTTTGCTTCAGATGGCGCGCGACTATGCACCATATGTTGATGTTGGCGCTGTGGGCCGCCACCACTTTTTTAGGGCGGGTACTATGGGGGAGAAAATTAAGAGACTCGAATTATAAAGATAGGGAACTCTGCTCGCATTCCTCTATTAAAGCATTCATCTTCTTTTCATATTCCTTCTTCACTTGAACTTCTTGAGTTACTCTGAGAGTCACTCCTTGACCCTGGTTGGCCAAGTCTTGTTCTTTTTTTATTCTTCAACTATCTTTGTCTTAGACAATTCGACCCCAAGCTTCTAATTGCGAATATCTCAAGCTTCTATTTTCATTTAGAACAAATCCTGAGTTCTAATTTTGACACTTGCTCAAGCTACTCTTGGTTAGTCACTCAATCCCACTGCCACGCTGTTGCCGCCGTGGTCTTCTCTCGAAGGATTTTCGTGGTTTAGGGGCTATGTTATGGGTCCCAAAGCCCCAGCTATGACCCGAATCTGGAACTCCGAAAAATTACAAGTAATTAACATGAAATATTACAGACTCGTTTCTATACGGTAACAAACGGTATTGACCAGGGTTCTTTTCCCATCTACGTCTTGGGTATAGATAAAAACAACTCTCCCCTTCTTTTTTGTCGCTGGTCAGCAATTAAGATTTGTCCAACCCCGACTTTCTTTCTCGATCCACGATCGTTTGAGATTTATTCTCTTCTTCTTCTTCTTATTTATCTTCAACTTTGGTCTTCACCTTGAGTGTTTGACTTTCCCTCTTCATATTTAATTTCCACGCGGACACTGTCGTCATCGGGTACAACTTGTGATCACCAACTTTCACCCCTCTTCTTCTTCGACTTTTGTACGCCTTGGTTCATATCGACTTTCAAAAAAGTGATCTGCTATTTTTTTTTTGCAAATATGCCAAACGTCAGACCTATCCTGCCGCCCCTTAAGACGCCAAAAAGCGCGACATTCCCGTCGGAGCTTCACGATGACTCCCCCTCTACCAGTATCTCCTCTTCTATGAAGCAGGAAGACTCAGCTTCCGGCACACCTTTGACACCACACTCTTCGATCCCTCTTCCAAAGGCTTATACGGAATTTCTTGAGGCTATGACTCCTGTCTTTAGTCCTGCGAGCGCGGGCGCCAACTTTCCAAAGTTCCCTCTTGAGAAGACATCCGCTTCCCCAACATCTCAACCCGGCAGTGCTTTGAGTGGTTCCTTCGCATTCAGTCCCTTAACAACACGATCACCAACCATCTCACTTCCACCACCTACTCCGGGCTCTGCTGTGTACTCAAGAAAGGGCTTTCCTCTACCACGCCGTCTTCGCATTCCTCAGTCACTCAAGTATTCTCCAACCTCGGATTCACCACGGAGCGCAAATAGCCTCCGATCGCCTTATTCAACTACTGATTGGAAACTTCGCTATATTGAACCCCCACGGAGCTCTGGGGGAAAGCCCGTGAGCGTGAAGCAAATCGTCACACGAACAGTGACTTACAAACGTACTCAACTGGATGCCCCTCCTAAGGGAAAACGTCGCAAGTGTCGTGATTCGAAGGATGGAAAGGAGATCAAGGATGTACATGAGAGGAAAGAGTTCAAGGAGTTCAAGGAATTCAAAGATTTCAAGGAATTTAAGATGAAGAAGGAGGCTACAGAAGTCTAGCTTGCTTTTCCCCATCTATTACGTGTGACGATACCTGCTTAATGCATTTGGCTAGTCGGGGGCTTTTAGCGGGATGGCATCGGTGTTCGGGGATTTTATGGCGTTTCTCATTCAAACCTCATAGTACGCAATTTTTGGTCAAATTTCACTGGATGAATCTTTTCCATACGGTCTCAAGTTTCTGTTACGGTTACTTTTGTTTCTTTTCCTTTTCCAGGTGATCTTTGGAGTTTGATTTACTGTCGTAATTTACAGCATGGAACCATGAGTCTTCCCGAGGTCAGATCCATAGTTCCTTGGAATACAAACATAAGATTTGAATATTCTTCGTGCATCTCAACCCTAGCGTTAGTTGGACATCTCTACATAGCGCATTCCCTGATGCCCGAAGGGTCTGTTCACCGACTAATCGAACCTTGGAACTCCGTAGCAAATGAGAGACAGAGAGCCTCAAGACTGACGTGGTGGGTAATCTGTATCCAGCTCTAGATGCGTCCACTGGCGTCCGCCACCAAGAAACTAGCCTACCAAAGGACAGCACGCGCATCCTAGCTAATCTGCCTTGCCAGCGCATTTTTTCTATCGAAGAGGCTCATGCGTCTCGGAGTTTTGTGCATAACATCCACTAGTAAGGGCAAATCGGAATCATTGCGCTTCGCCAGGGTACGCGGCATCCACGAAAACCAACACTGAGTGAGAAAGCGGACAGGTCAGAATACTACCGGAAATGAGCCTCCGCTTGGGCCACGCGAAAGGCATGGATGTAAATCCTGGTGTTTCCGTACTTATTACATTAAAAATAAGCCTCGCCCCCAAATCTACCTAGGTAAGCTCCGCACAAGAACAGGAAAACAAACACTCTCTACGCGCTTTGAACGGTCAGTTTTGTACGCGTTGTCCCAACCTCTTGGGCCTTAATGCCGCTAGCATTCTTTGCTCGCAGATTTCCCACGTGTCGACCCGGAGGCTCTTTAAGTAGCTCATGATTAACATGGGGCTCTTATTGATGCTTTACTAAGTGCCGGTTAACCCTGACCTATACATTAAGATCTATCCTTCACGCGATCTATATGACCATGTATATTGTTTGTTTAAGAGGGCTATTATTGCAAAATGATACCAGAGTTTATGTAAATTTGGAATAAAAGTAAATCGATCTGAGCTGGACACACTTTGGACCCAACATTAATCCTTCGCCTGATTCTCGAATGTACCCAAGACTTCCAACTCGAAGGATGAGGATGATCAAGTATGCGGCAGGACTTAGTACCAAGCAGTGCATAGTAGCTATCGCTGGTAGGTCAGAATCTAATCGCTAACAGCGGTACTCCATATCTGTTCTTTGTCTAGATGCTGTCCATGCGCTATGGGCGAATGGATGCGCAGGAAGAGATGTTATTCGTTGATGATTCAAGGTTATCCATGGATGGCGCCAGCGCAAAGCAGAATCGACGCCAACATCCTCCACAATACTCCGTAAACATGCCAATACTAGGCAGACATAATTGATTGGCAACGATCGAACTCCTTCTATGATCGTTTTTGAACTAGATCAATCTAATTACACTGGAAGCAACCTTGGAAGTTAACTATGGAAATCCCAAAAATGCGTACAAATTCCAGGACCTCGGGATAGTATATGCCAGGTGCGTATTGTGGATCACAGTCAAGACCCGCGTATTGTAAATTTACACCCGGTTATCAATTACATACGGTATTACCAGGCGTACCATTGCGGCCATGTGTTTCCTGCTCCATCACACCTTGGGCAATCACATCTCCCCATGACCCATAGCTTGGGACATGACCCAACTGGTAATTACGAGATTTAAGCCTCTATACGTACTTTGGGAGAGTGTCACACCCCTTTTCCCACGCCTTATGCATGGGAGGAAGCTATTGCCACTACTTTTTTCCCCGGTCCAGCCAATCATGCCGCTGACAGGCAAGATGGTTTCCACTAATGCTGCCAAGGGGATGCATGGAGGAACATCTTGTGTGCAGAGGCCGAGAAGTCACATAGAAGGCCAGGATTATTATTGGTGGATACGAAGCATGGCCCGTTTCAGGTTATCGCTGAAGAAACTTGACCGGGGACACCGACCTCCTTAACTCCATCACTCTGTTTCAAGGCATCCCGAGCGTATGGCACATAAATGGAGTACTAGTAGTTTCATATTGTAAATATTTCTGATTGGTACTTTCATTCAATAGAAGAAACTTGAACTTGAATTCCACGTCGTTTCTTGATCATCGCAGCGAGAGGCCGTTCTTCAAGAAACATTCTGTCCCACCTGAGCACTAGCATACGAGAGCACTGACATTGAGTATTGAGTTCCAAGGCCTTGAAAGCAAAATTACACCACGTCCTTCACCGTCTTTAGGCAACAAAACAATAATGAAGCTCGCAAATAAAGTTCATCCTGTTCAAGAGTCCTCTGTGTTTTTCGTTCTCCGACCAAGTGCACTGTTTATATTGGCTCCTCTCTCTAGTTACCATCACAAGAGACCCAGACAAAAATAACATCCTGCTGACATCCCTGAACATATGAGCCAATGAGATAACAGGGGAACTGGAGTGGGATTGTAGTAAATGCAACTAAGCGCCGGCGCTATTCCATTCTAGAATGGTGGGGAAAGATTTACTCTTTGTCCCCCGCTTTTATATGGATCAAAGGCCCCCACTTTGGAATTTAAATGTTGTTTATTGGTCTGATCATGATCTTCTTATGCACCTGTAGGGAGTCCAAGGGTGACGTGGTACGGGATTCATGTTGGCGCTTACCTATTTTTGTCTTCTGAGTTGATATTGAGCTAGATTGAGATCATTTGACCAATTATCATCCCTGGTTTGATGAGCTCGAGCCTGGCCACGAGCTGGCGCCGAGGTAATCACGGTGTGACTGGGTAACCTATGCAATTTGGACTCCTTTTATCATGACAAAGCTGGTAATTTGCGCGATAGGTGGCCAAATCGATTAAATTGAGCGTTTTTTAATACAGCCACAGCTCCACTGTACTACTTGAGATGTCATTGGTTAGAGCGAGGGGTGGATTTTGAATCCAGTTATCAGTAAAAGCAGCCCTGGTGCCGGAGAAAACCTTGGAATGATGTCAGGCTCGCTGTAATTGACAAATTGAGAGAATATCATCGCCATGTGCGTCCTATACCTCGCCACCAATAACAGCAAGGGAGTGAATGAGGGGTATGTAGCCTTGCATGTGTCTGTATGCAATGTGATATCTTTTGGGGACTTATTTTTGGATGTGCTTAACCGAATGATGGAAACCCCTCAAACAACCTTGGCATTCTGTGAGTTCTTGCATTTGCGCCTTACTCAATGCGTTTAGAGCGAGGATATTTTTGGAACTAGTGTGCATCAGATAGGCTCGGATATTCAATATCAATGTCATATCAATTGCCTAGTAGTTCACAGATGTAAATAGAAATTGGAAAGCGGCCAGCTTTGAGCATTGCTTTCATGACTTTCATTTTCCAATGTTTCTCTCTCAATCATTGCGTTCAGCTCCGCAGCTGGGCAAAGCAGTCTATGGACTTGAGGTGATCTACAAGATATCTATAGCCAAGGCGAGATTACGAAGATACCAACCCCTTCAAAGCTGAATTTGAAGCTAATCAAACTAACCGCAGAAGATACTGCCATTCTCAACTCTGAATGGCCCATTCTAAACGAGGCCCAGGTCCACTTGCATACTCTGCGGCCTGCGTCCCACAAACATGGGGATATTACGCCATGCGGATGGTCCATTCCAAGCTGCTGAAGCTTCCTCCCCACCACTTATTACCTACTGATCATCCCCTTTACTAGATATTCACCTCATCATTTCCAAGAATAGATCTATTTGACGCCGTGACCTATTTTTGTCTTCTATATCTCTTCATTGTCAATGTTGATTCTCCTTCCCGAGGTCGTTGTGGAGTCTATTGCATCTATTTCTGACTTCAATACTATGCATTGAGCTGGATCATCACAAGCTTTGACCAGTCAAAGTGCATGATTTGCTCGTTAACAGCCTGCTCTTGAACTAAGCTGCCGCTTTCCAAGAGACTACTCGAATCCCACACCAATTACACCATGTCGTTTTGTTTTACAACCCCAATATCGCTCCATATCACACTCTCAACGTTAAATTTAGAAAAGAATCCCCTCGTCACCCGAGCTCTATCCTGCATATCTCCCGCCTTGGTGAATTTCCCCTGCATTTCCATCTCCACTTGCCTTTTCATGGCGCTCATGGACCAACCAAGCACGGATAGCTTGCACTGGCGTCACGGTTGCTATCTAGCTCGTCTGCTGATCGACCTCAGTTCAATATCTTGTTGCAGATTGTATGATACTGTATCATACTTGACGTCGTTTCCAGACTGAACATACATGTATTGTATGTCTGGATAGTTGGTCTCCAAGATTATCAAGCGTGTTCACAAATTGTGATCAGCAGGCATCTTGAGAGGGGGTATTTACTATCACAGTCTCCGCAACTAAAAATATCTCTGTGAGATGAAATGAATTCTATCTTTAGCTCCTTGGAGCAGAGTATTCAAGCTGAAGCGCTTTGTTAGAACTTGAAGACCAGCCTGACGGCATTGTCCATTCTATTTTGGGAACTACGTCGACTCGAAGTCACTGCAGTTGACTATTGAGAGCTCAATATTGAAGTTACAGATGGATTATTCTTATAGCAGATTCTCAGCAGTATCTGTATGTTTTTCCTTGAATGGTAAGTCTTTCACTAGGCTCCAGGGCTATTCTTATCACTGATGTTATCAGGTGAGTGTTAGGGCATTTACCCATTATAGATTCATTTATTCAAGAAAACTTGGTTTATCAATGTAGAACAAAAGAAAACTTCCATTGTAGAAATTTAGATAGAATTATATCTATAGAACGAGAAGACAGGATACTCGAGGTCATCCAAGGTCAAAGGTTAGCAATATGAAAGCGGTTTAGCTGCAGGAAAAGTGACCCGCTAAGACGCAGTTCTAAAATTAGATTAAACCAATAACACAGATTCGCTCCCACTTTAGCATCGTGCCAGGTGGGCGACAAAATACCTGAGACTACTTAGAACAAACACGGCAAAGCCCCTTGACCCTCTTTTCCCGTGATCGGCGAATTCCCAAACCCCGCGCAGTCCACCCTCAGCGTCTACAGCTTTTCCCCCCTCTGCTTCACCGCGCCACGCTGTTCCTGCCGAAGCACCGCCCCCAGTCCTCCAGCCCGGATCTCGATTACCCAAGGTTCTAGAAAAGACTTGTGCGCTTGATCTTATCAGTTCCGCCATGGCCCAGGCTCTATCCACCTTCACGCCGGATAGCGAATTCGCTGATCTGGAGACGCCCCGCGGCCCCAGAACCGGAAGCCTTTCCATAACCGCCTTGGCTCGGTTTGAGTTCGAGGCTGGAAAAGGCAATGAGGGTACGAAGATCCTGATGGTTGAGTGGGAGGATGATGATATTACCCGATCCTCTGCTGAGGGCTCCTGGCATGTTTCATGGTCTGGTAAGACAACTGTCTTGCCAGCGGATGAACGTCCCAATGATAGTACCCGGCGCTTCTACTTCTTGTTGCCGCCGAACGTCACCATCCCACCGGTTATCACGTTATCCTACGAACCCCCAATTGATAAGGATGTCGAGGCTACACTCTCCACAAAGGCCCACGATAAATTGCAATTGAACCCCTTGCCGGCGATTTTCCCGCCCGAGCTGGGCGCTACGGGCCGTGCAGCTGGTAAGAAGGGTGTTCTGCATACCATCTGGGCGAAGAAACGGCTGCGTGTTCTGGAAGCTGAGATCCGTAATGAGGCGGAGAACAATGCAGAGGGAGTTGCTCTGCATATGGCCGTTCAGGAGAAAGAATGGATCGAGGACAACTTTGGTGTAAGTGCACATGGCGTGGAGATTGCTAGTAGCCACGACTCGTCGGTGTATCCCACTGGCCCTGCAACCCCGGTGTCTCCCGTTAGTGGCAACAAGCTCAGTGATAAGCTCAAGGGTCTGAAACTTCAGACCAGTGAAAGGGACCTTTCTGTGAAGAATGGTAAGTTTATCATTCGTCCAATATCATATTGTACCAAATATGAGCTCATATAACTAACAAGCACCACCAGGCGGCCCGGCATCTCTTCTATCACCTCAATCTCCGGATGTTGCTGTATCTTCATTCAGCTCGTTCAAAAACTCCGTCAACAGAACAATGCACTCCATGCTAACTCCAGTCACCAACCCTACCCCGACTCCAAACACCAGCACCAACCCCGCTGGTGCGGAGCCGCTGACCCTCAGAACTGTGGCCCATTTCCCGCCAGAGGCTCTGCAAGATATCCAGAGCAGTGAGCCAAACGGATTTGCCTCTCTGGATACAATGGGTTCCCTTGTTCGGACCACGAGCGATGAATCGAGCGACGATCTCTTTGCCAAGGCATTGAGTCCTCGTTCGCCTGATCTCCCTCGGAGCCCATTCTCATTCGCTTAGCCTCATACAATGTCATTGTATATGAGAGAGAAACTATACATCCGACGACGTCATTTCTTTCACGATTTGCCTTATGATTCCCCTTCTGCGATGTGACGACATATTCCATCATTTTACGCTACTTACAGTCTACACTCGACATTGCATCATACATCCACATCCACATTTATGCTCATACTCATGCTCATACTCATTCCTTGCAAATTCATATCATTTCTTGTACAGAAGTACAACGTACCATTATGGTGAACCATCTGGATCCCTGTGTACATAGACGAAATCGGGACCAACTTGAACGTCCGAATTGAATACCTCTGTTTATCATTGCTCAAATGCTTTTATTGTATTCAATTATCCTGATCGATCGCCACTCGTAGAATCAAGGAAAAGTAGGATCAAGAAGCAAACTCCTCCACATGTGCATTCAGCAAGTCCATAAGCATAATGCAAGACGCTTCCAGGTTCAGGTTCAAGTTCAAGTTTAGAGCATAATACAAGTCACGAAGAAGAGAATCAGCTATCGATGACAATCACATCCCAGATCCTTGCAATTCAACCATAAATATAATCCATAAATAAGTCATCGATGAACCAAGAAAATAAAAAAATCTCCACGGATCTCAATGAACTTAGCGAAAAATCAACAATCGAAAAAAACTTCCATCCACCTAATTCTTCTTCTTCGATCCATTCTTCCCCTTCACAGGAGCAACCTCCTCACTCTCAACCTCACCACTCTTCTTCCCCTTAGCAAAACGCTCCGCCTCCTGGTCATCCTTGCGCTCAGCATACCACTGACCAGCCTGCAAAACCAAGATACCAACCAAAACAAGCGCAAGAATGGTATTACTAGCAGAGAGAACCTTAAGCGAGTCCTCGCGACCAAGAATCTGATCTCTTTCCTCGGGGGTATTCGCAAGAGCATTTCCGTATTGACCGGCCGACGCAAGACGAAGACCCTTAACGATGTTCGCGATGTAAACGGTTACACCACACATGTAGAGAACGAGCGAAGCGCCATCGAAGAGCATGTTTGATTCGGAGGGTTTGTAGAGCTTTGTGATTAGGCCGGCGAGACCGAGGAAGATCACGATGTGCAAGATGCGGGGGATTAGAGGTGGGCTGGCGTGGAGGAATTTGAGATGCGCTTCTAGGTAGTCATAGTGCGATTCTGGGGTTGGGATTGTGGACCAGAGGATTGGATAATCGTAAGGAAATAGAGAGAAGATTATGCCCAGGAAGAAACATGTTGCTGGTTCAATGTTAGTTCGAGTTTTGGTTCAGTTATTTGAGGTGGTAGTGAGGTTGATGGAGATGGTTCTGCGATGGGGATAGTAACTGGATAGGATGAACTCACGGCAGACAATTAGAAAGGTCGCAAAGGACCCGCTCTTCAAAGCCATGATGAAGGTGATGGATGTCCAGGTGGTGATGAGAGAAGCAGAAACAGGGGGAAAATCGAGGTTTAGTCGGGAAAGGGAAAGCGGATGCCAAGGGAAACGGAGATTAGAGATAAGCCTGACTTCAAATATCAACAGTTGGCTAATGAGTTCCTGATAGGCGTATTCTACTAGGATTGAGGCTTACATTAAAATATTTACTAACAGTTTTTAGTGATAGGTGGCCTTTAAACACTCCTTATTTAATACAAAGGATTTGATGGTTATGGTACAATTGTTAACGCCAATATCCCCAGCGCCGGGGGGTTTTCATAACCAAGAAATATGCGAATAGTGGTATCGTCCAGAAAATATCCCAGCCCCAAAATGCAAAAGATAGAGAAAAATAAAAGGAAATATACAGGAAATGAAAAGGGGGGAAATGGGTAGAAGCATCGCTAGAACAATAATGATAATTCATGAAATATGTCATCATCGCTGGTACCGAGGTAAAGACTCATCTGCATGAGCCATACCACCCACCAATTGATCATCTTCATCAAAGACTGGAGCACTAGGTCCCTCGCCATTGACCTCCTCCAGAGGAGGTGCACTAGGTGTACTGGCCTGTTGCATCAATCGTTGGCGTTCAAGCTCTTGCTTATCCTCACTAGGAGTTGAAGAAGGCTCTCCAGCTTCAGGGGCAGTCCCGTTTATAACAATGGTCTGCAGGGATTCTGCAGATTGAACATGATGGGGCCCTGCATCTGCAGTTGACGAGGACAGATGCTGGTAGTCTTGCAGGTGATGATCCTCTGGGAGAACAGGCGCAGTTGGTACATCTGGCTCAGTTGAAGGCCCTGCGTCATTTTCCTCGGGTGGCTGACTGGGTAAGAGTGCTGCCTCGTGACGTCGAAGTCGAGTCTTCTCATCAACAGGCTCTTCCTCTTCAGGGTGCGCGGCCATGGGGAATTGCTGTGAATAATCTTCAGGGTAATCCGCCAGGGCTTCCTCAGGAAATTCGTAGTCTTCTTGACTGTACTCATTAGGACTTGAGTCGGCCCATTCTTCTCCATCACCATTCTGAGCTGCAGGATTCAGAGTCGTCAAGGGGGGAGGATGGGATGCGGTGGATTCGCCGGCAGTAGACGGGGTACCTTCAACAGCAGTCTGGCCACGTTTGGAGTCCCGGGTGCCTACAACAATTTCAAAGCCTACCGAAACGACGCCTTTCTCTCTGCGAATCTGGTCCGTATCAAGAATATTCCCAGCCCAGTTAGCTGTGATGGCGCTGCCTTTGGCATCGGCCGGATTCAAGATTTGACCACTAGGCGAAAATGTACTCCCGCCTGAGACCATATTAAATCGAGGAATGAAACGATCGGGCGAAGTGATTTTGCCACGCAGGTCGACGACAATCTCCACATAATAGCGGAAATTGATCATGGCTCCAGGTACGCGGGTGATGGTGGGGAATGCATCCTCAGGAACTCGAATAGACGTTTTGACAATGGCAGTCATGTTGGTCGGATCCACGATCAACGGCGCAAATGATTGTGACAAATCCTTGCGAAATGTGCTGCTGGTGCGAGTGGTGCCAAGAGTCAATCCTCCAAGGCCAGTGCGAGAGCGTGGGTAGCAATCCTCGTAGATCGGTTTCTTTCCATTAGTCTGGCTTCCAATGGGGATGGTTGGATGGAGATCGATGCGGCCCTGCCGATATAGAGTGATAATGATGCCGTGCGCGCTGCGCACTTGTTTACAATGATTGATGGTAACTTTAATGGGTAGCGTGTCACCGGGTAATACGCCGGCGCGCAAAACCTCCGCCTTGGCTGTGATTGTTTTATCCGAGATGGAAGGTGTCGCACTGCGTCCTTCGCTGTTTCGGCCTCCTCCGGTACTCGTAGAGCTAGGGTCGCTTGCGATCTGGAAACTCTGGCTGCTATTGCTGGGTCGACTTGAGGAGCTGACATTACTCGGAGAAGGACTCAGCGAAGGTCTATGTTCCGTGGATGCAGCTGTGCCGTTGACAGGAGTATCTATTGAAGAGGTATCCGCTGCTGCGGTGGCATCCGATGCGGGTGATTTGTTCTTTGCTTTGGATCTTGAGCGCTTGGAGATCGGTTCCAATGTGACGATGCGGGCTTTGGGAGCAGGAAATGGAGCAATGTCGATGTTTTCAAGGAGATTGACGCGCCTTCGGCAAGTAAGTGTAGGGTTCATGGTAGTTGGTCGGGTAAGTGTAGACGTGAGCGCATATGAAACAGTGCCTCGTTCGAACTAGATCAAACACGTAATTAGTATAACCGGACCTCCAATGACCCCCGAAAGTAAACAGTGATGACTACTCACATTGATGCTACTCGGCAGAGCATACGGCGGAAGTGTCATCTCAAAGCGAAACTTGTAGATACCCTCCTTGAGCCGGCCATCGCCGCAGAGAACAATCTCGTCCTCAAACAATGTCGCCAGTCCATTGCCCATATACTCTGCACCACGCCGGCCTCGCCCGGGGCCAATGAACCCGATATCCGAGTTGGTTTCCCCTGCCGGCATCGCATTTTTAAAGACTTTGACATAGCCGTGAAGACAAATAACAATATGTGTAATGCGAACCGGCCGCACAACGGTCACGAGAACTGTTCCCTTGATGGTATCTCCGGGGAAATAGGAGCGCCATGGATCATCGGGATCGATATAGAAGTCTGTAATGCTGCGATTTCGTTGACCGAGGGGGAGCGAAACTTGGAGAGAAACGAGTTGCGATTCCGACTGACCGGCGGAGTGGAGGTCTTGGGAGTAGGAGGGTTGGAGGACATGACACACAGCCGCGACTTGCTGCATCCATACAAGATGGCGGATGGAATTGCAAAGGGTCGGCGGGAGACCCGACGGGCCACGGGGGGGTTATATTAACGAGAACGAATCGTTCGAGGGAGAGTCGAGTCACCCTAGGCGGTTTAATAGGATGAATAGAGTGGGAAAGAAGGTTCGGAGGAGCCGGACAAGTTGGGACGAGTCGAAGTAGGAAGAGAGACAAGCCTCTGGGGTTAGGCCAAACTGATGTGAAGCGACACGTCCAGCGGTAAAGCGTCCAGGGCGCAGTCTATAGGCAACGGTCCAATTCCAAACGCCACGGTATGTATCCGGGTGTCCACACACCCAAGCAAGATCCCCGGGGTCCAGGAGGAGAGGAATGGGGAAGTTATGATAGAGAACCACCGGACCACATTGTTTCTCGTCTCACGCCGAGGATACTCTTGGATATCGGGGGAGTATTCCCACCCCAGAAACTCACAAAATCTGCGAGACTTAGGGGATTGGGTAGTCGGATGGAATCAAGCCCCAAAAATTGGTGACTTATAATTTCGGTAGTTGGCAGGAGGGAAAGGGAGAGGAGGGGGGGATATGGGGCCCGGAGATGTGGCTCACTTTCGAGAGCGGGAGAGGGGGCCAAAAGGGAAGCGCGCCGGTGGGAATGTGAATAATGTGGCGCAGAATCTAGGCGCTTTTCAAGTCGATAGTAGGAAGTTTCAAAAAATTGGGTAGAATGTTTCAAGAGGAGTTAGAGGTTAAAGGGGGGAAGTCTGAGTAGAAGGATTCCAAGGTCAAGTTGATAAGGGCGGAGAAGACCCAGTGATTTCAGTGTCAAGTCAAGCTTCGCGGGTTTTTGGTCTATTATACGTTAAATTTGATAGATCTAGTTTAAATTTGTATGAGAATAGATGGATATATTTGGATAAAGTAATTTATTATTTATTTTCATATATTTTATTCTATAATAATTGTCAGATTTAACTAACATTTGAGTCATTATTTGATCGTACTACTAAGTACTACAGTTAAGGCCAAGCTTTCTTCATACTCGAGGATTTTCGGCTTCAAAGAACAATGAACTATCATGCTTATGAGGATATTATGAGAATATTCATAATAATTATAATTAAATAAAATTAATGAGCAGGATTCTAGAGACTTACTGCTCCATAATTATTAAAAAAAAAGAAAATAAAATAAAATCACTCCAACTCTCGTAGACCACCGTCCACGTACTCGTCTCCATAACACTCGTGCAGTACCGCAGAGACAATTTCCTGATCTCCGCCGGCCAATTCACGCAAGTGTTGTTCCAGCACATAGAGATTGTCCGTCCACTGCAACGATTGCTGCCTGAACCCCGCTAACTCCCTCCGAAGTTGCAATACACTTTTCTGACGCACCGAAGTACCCCCTGTCTCTGCCACCCGAAGCCGATGCACCTCCGCCTCTAGATCGGCTCGAACCTCCATTAGATTCTGACGAATCTCACTCACAGAGCCACTGGAGAAATGGGGAACCCCAGTCTCCATCTCAATTGGAGCAGGATTGGTAGAATCAGGATTAGTCGTAGAATTAGTGGAATCGCTAGTGGTTGTAGCGGTGGAGGGATTAGGAAGAGCCACAAATCCGAACTGGGCAGCCTGGTCCTCGTCTTGCTTCCGTTTTGTAGACTCAGCGGCCAGGGCCGCGCCCATCTCGGTGTAGGATTTTCGAGCCTTCTCCACTTCCGTAAGCACCCGGGCCAACTGCCGTTCCCGTTCAACTCTCTCATCACTTCCGAAGCTCCAGTACCAGTTCCCGCTGCCGATCTTTTCCACTCGGATTTGGTTCTCGTCGGTCAATGCCTGCAGGTACTCTTTGACTTGGATACTATTGATCGAGGCCACACTGGGGAGGGTCTTTTCAAGGTCCTTGAGCGTGTGACAGGTTCCCGTGGCTTGAAGATGCGTCACAATTAGCGCTTGTTTGTCTGATTTGGAGAGTCTTGGTGCCTATACGGAGTTATCCCTCCATAATAGTGGAGGATGACGCGTCAGTATCTCTTTGGACCGTAGTGATTTTATTGTACCGTGTCCTCACGTCCTACACCGAATCCGAGCATGGGCCACGTACCATGATGTCTTTGGATGGGGCACCAATGGCCCACCGAGGCGTGGCTGATTGAGGTTTTCTGTGGTTCGGGATGGAAGAAGCTTAGCTGGAGGTAAGCCTTGCCTCATTAGGATAAATTGGGGTGGTTAAGCATTGATGGGTGGAGGAGTGGAGGAAAGCCAAGTTTGGGTGGCTTGAAAATGAGAACGAGTACCTTTGTATGGAGTGCATACGATGAGTCTTACTTGGGTAATGTAGCACACTCTACCAAGTACATAATTTCAATTTATTTTCTTCCAAGTTTTATATTTTACTTGTTTCAACTTTTGCTCTTTTCCAATAGGTACAGAGTGTGAGATTCCAAGGTTTACTCATATAATAGTGTGTTCCACACACTTCCCGTTTAAAGAGGACTGTGTGGAGACGGAGTATTACTTTGGCACCCACTTGCTCTATAGAATCAGTGGGGTCTATTAGGACGATGATTCACACGGAGTACATCCATTGCTCCGTACAAGAGTCTTGAGAACTTATACACATTCTATTTAAGTATCAAATTGATTTGGAACCTCACAGCAGATCTTACGCATTGATCTGGTAGGTACTCTGTACTCCGTACCCTGTTAAACAATGTACATCCCGTAGAAGATCATCTCCAAGCGGAAAAGAAATGTACCACATGCTGTCGGGATGTAAACAGAGCCGCGGCCATCCGTCTGACGTGAAGTTTCTTTCGGGCAGGGCTTCACAGGAGCCACGAGGAGATATTTCGGGGTTTCGAATCCAATCAAACTCGTCCAGGATCCATATTACTCCGTAGAAATTGGATTACGTCCCGACGCGACCATGCGGAACTCTTCTGAGAACCAGCAGAAATCAAGGCGTCGTCAACATCCCAGCCACCCTAAGGCGGTTAGTTTCTATCAGAGCCAGTTGTTTCTGGCGCCCCAGCCGAGATACCCCGATCACCCCGGACTCTCATGCAAGATTGGCCTAATGCAAGGAAGGGATGATGGTGGTGGGTCCAATCTGATACGACAGAGTCACATCGTAGAGACTAACGTGGTACCACATCCACAAGAGTATGAAGAGCTTTGTGCTCGGGCAAGAGGTAAGCCGGTAGAAGGGAAGAAGTAATCAGACCATTCACTTTTTCTTCTGCTTCTTCTTTGGAGACTCTTCTTGTGCCTCTTTCTGCTTTCGAATAGCTGCGTATTCCGCGTTGGTCAATCGGTTCCGCTTGAACTTCTTCCGTGCGCCTTGCATGTGGTGGAATAAGCTGACGGGACCCTCAATGGTGTTGGCTCTGGATCTCTTATTCGATGAAGTTTGAGTGCCGGCTGAAGTATCACTTGTCACGCCCTCATCTTTATCTTTATCTTTATCTTCATCTTCACTGGTCCATGGTTCCTCCGTGAGAGCCAAGTCTCCAGTTTCGCCAAGCTGCTCTTTGGCCAACTCCTCCATTAGGATCCCGACAGCAAGTAAAGCTGACTCGTCCATGCTGTGGAAATTGTGTTTTCCATTTTTGCGCAACTGTGTATAAAAGTCCGACGAGTAGGAATGAATGGCAGTTAAAAGCTCTGAGGGCGGAAGTGGGCGGTCGGCTGGTAGTTTTTCATGGGCAAAGTAGGACTCATGTTCCTTGTTCTTCTTCGCTGCCTTTGATGACTTCGATCTGGCTGGTCGGTACAGGATTTCCTCAGGGCGAAGGTCGCGAGCCCCTGAGGACTGTGTATCACGGTACTTCGAGGCATAAGGATTCGATGGGTTGAATCCATTGACATTGACGCGCCCTAAAATTGCAAGATTAGTGTCAATGTTGTATTTCCGCCAACATAGCCTGTTAAAATAGACATACCGGCAACTGAATCGTAAAGAGTAACTGCGCGTCTGGTCTTGGAGGGTTTGGTTCCGGGAGACTGGGGCAGGTCAAAACGCACGCGAGGTCCTGCAGATTTTGATCTTTCATTATGACTCTGTGAGGGACCTTGCAACAAGGAGTCCTCAATACCAGTATCTGAAGACATCGCGATAGATTTGTCAGTCGCAAAGTGATCACCAGCGGGGATGAGTTGATCTCCCCGAAAATAATGCGCCGGGACGATGTTAATCCGATGAGGTCACCGGCTTATCGCCTTTGTATGCTCCTACATTCTCTACTCTACACCTTAACTTACCTGAATCCCAGCACTGATGAATGAATGAATGAATGAATGAATTCCTATCTGTTTAACAGAGCCCTTGGCTCTGTGGACCCCAATTCATTTCGGGTAGCCCAGACTACACGGCTGGTCCACAGCCTCGAGCCTGCGCCCGGAATTCGATTCTCCGCAAGACCGCGATCGCAAGGCCATACGAACGAGAAGGAGCTTGAGTCACCTGAAAATGAGATATTTGCACACAAGTCAGGAGTTAAATGCCTAGCAATTGACAAAAAGGACGGTCAAGTGTATGTGCAAGCTTTCAACCTCAACTCACTTAGATGTGCATAGAGTCAGGACTAACTAACCCGGATACATAGTCTGGTCTCTGCAGGTGCCGACCCTTCCATTCATATTTGGAACCTCGAAAGCAGAGGTTCAGAACTCAATCATATCCACCGACCCTCCGCATCGATCGGCAAATTATCGCATCCCGATGCGCACACCCATGCCATCACTTCCTTATCCGTCTACCCCTTCGACTACAAGCCCAGCTCTATTTTCTCAACATCCTACGATGGCACATTGAAGCTCTCTGCAATACAACCATCGGGCATTACCCCTACAGAAACCTTTAAACTTAACTGCACTCCCTATGCACACTCCTTTTCTTCTCAGCCCGACTCAAAGCGATTAGTTGCAGTCGCTACCTCCGAGCAATACGTCCGCTTAGTAGACCCGCGAGCAGGTCTATCGATTCATCAGTTACCTGGACATACTGGCGCAGTCCTCTCGGTAGATTGGGCACCACACAACCCACACCTCCTCGCATCGTCTTCCGTTGACAACAAGGCACTAATATTCGATGTACGACGCGGCGGATTCAACGCAGCCATCGCAAGTCTAGACATGGACGACCCCACCGGTCTAGTACTTCCAGATCCCACGGTCCCAGTGTCAGCATTATCCCAGATCCGACCTGCATATTCGCGAAATGCACGTGCACATAGTGGCCCGGTAACAGGTATTCGATGGACATCCAATGGCAGACAACTTGTTACAGCGGGTCAGGATGCCCGAATTAGAGTATGGGATGCAGCTTCAGGTGCAAATACACTGGCCCATTTCGGTCCTCGAGTCCGGAACGGCACGACCTCGAATTTGGGTGAACGTGCTCCGCTGTTAATTCCTGGGGAATTCACGGCAGCAGGACACGAGACTCTTTTATGGCCCAATTTCGGCGAACTAAGTGAGCGCGGCGAGATCTTCATGTTTGAGCTTCGCGAGGGCACATTTATCAAGATGTTGAAAGTTCCAGGTGTGCTGAAAGCTAGGCCTGGTCCGATTCAGCCTAGTGCGCTTCGTGCTACTCGGATAAATGACATGGTGTTGCGCGGGTGTGGAGGGTCTGGAGAGGGTATAGAACTTTTCACAGCTCATGGTGATGGGGTTATTCGCAGCTGGGTTTCCAGTGAAGCTGATGCAGAACCCACAGAGGCTGAAGAGGAGGTTCTTTCTGCTCGGAAGAGAAAGCGAGATGTACTAGATGACATCTACAAAACCTTTTTTGAGGCTGGAGAATCTGGGGCTCATAATTAATACTTAACGCGAATAATGGAATGTATTTTACGATATTAAAACAACTTGAATGAAGTTAAATCATAATCATTTCTCATGTGTAATCGTACAAACTTTCAGCCTCCATGGCCGATATCCCCACAAAACAGAACCTGCTTGCCATAGCACCCCCTTTTCAATAGATTCCTCGTGTTCGCACATCCGTGTCCTAATAAGAAGACTCAAGTCCGAAGAACTAAGGATAATACGTTAGCAAATGGCCATTCAATATCTCTGTTACGAATGAGATGCAAGACAATCTTACCTGCTGCACACCAACTTTGCCATCCTTATCACCAAGCTCGTTCTCCCCAACAAACTGATCGAATTCACCCCGAGTCATATGCTTTCTTGAGCCCTTCGATGCATTCGAAATGGAACCGTGATTGGATTCTTCCCCATGCAAATAGTCCCCGTTGCCAGTTATAGCCTCACCCGTCTCGCCGTGATGATTCGTTGAACTTGGCATATCACTTGGATTATCGACCACCGCGGCGGAGGGTTGTGATGTGCCGCTTAATGTGAAGTAATCTGGTTCAGGTTTGGATTCGATGCCTGGATTTGATCCGGGATTTTTGTTTTTGCCATTGGGGTTCTGTGTAGTTGGAGCCATTTCTATGGGAGAGCCTTCTGTATAGGAGTCTTGTTGTTGGCGGACCATTTTGGATGAAGGTAGAAGAAAGAGAGAGTTCTGATAGATAGATTTAAGATGAATGTGGTTGTAATTGATCCTAGATTCCTCGAATCGTAGTGTTGAGAAGATGGCAAATGTCTGGAAATCACTGGCGACAACGAGGTCCCTTTATAGACATCGATTGCGAATTAGAGCTGATGTCACGGACAAGATGTTCTCCGTATGCCGAGTATAGATGATGAATCGATGATATCACAGGGCGGCCCATGCGTATGAACAGAACTTCTGGAAACTCAGCCGCCTGTCAGGGCGACGCGTGAGTGTCTAAAAGGGAAATAAGAACGATCGAGGGCAATTGTTATTTTGGCCATGATTGGCGGAAAGTTGTTAAACAGCGATGGTGAACAGGTTGGATGTGGGTATGACGAAAGTTGGGACTGCATGCGTTATCTTAGTGGTCGATCATTGCGGGGAGCAGCAACTTGATCAGGTTGCGCAGAGGCCGATATGTGGGTCCGACCGGTTTTGATACATGGATTGCTATACCTGAAAGAGTAGCCAAGGATGTTTATAAGGTTTTGGCTTTGTTGTTATCTTGATGGGTTGTGAGTTGAAAATTTAATGGGAGAGAATTTGATACTTGGAGGCAATTGGAAGTTTGAAATGGAATGAACATTAATGATGAATTGAAACTTAGTTATACCAGATGAAGACACATAATAAAGTATGAGAAGAAGATGAAACGATCGACAGTTCAGTGGCACGCCTACAGAACGAAAGCAAGGACACCGACAACGGCGGCAGCAGCGGAGACAAGACCACCAGAGACACGAGTAGCAGCACCAGTGAAGAAGGGGCTGTGTGAAGAAGGATAGGCAGAGGCAGAGGCCTTGGCGCTGTTCTCAGGAGAGACGCCACTTGGCATGTTGAGGCCCATGCTGGCGGCGGGAGTGGCCATTGAGCCCATGTAGCTGGAACTAGCGACAGGAACTTGGACAGGAATCATGGAGTACATGGCGACAGGAGAGCTCATGGGGGCCTGGGACTTGTAGTTGTAGCTTTCATAAGGAGCGTAGGAATGAGCAGCGGGAGCAGGAGCAGAAGCAAACTGCGAGCCGTGCACAGGAGAGGACATGATCTTCGGGTCAACCTCAATGTGGTTGATGGGAATGGCACTGGTCTCAACAGCCTGAGAAACAACAGGGGCCTGCTGGTAGACTGTCTTGGTGGCCGCAACCTGCTTGTACTGGGTCTTGGTCACAGTACGTACGACCTCATGAGCGGCGTCACACTGAGCAGACTGCTCGTGCTCATCACGGTCGGTTGGGGGAGCAGGTCCGGAGGCATCAAAAGTGGCGACCTGGTTAACAGGAACGGGAGAACCGGCAGCATGCTGCTGATCCTCGTAGGTCATCCAGGGCATTTGGGGAACCTCCTGGACCTCTTGGACATGGGCTACAGGGACCTCCCACTCGGGTCGGTGAACAGTGGTGGTATCAAGCTTGATAGCGTGGTTGTCCTGGTGGTTCTCATTGACGTTGGTGTCAACGCCAACGTCGGTAGGGTCGTTGAAATCACCATCAGAGTCGTCACCAGATGGACCACCCAGGGCGGTGCCACCGGCGACCGGAAGGAAGTCATCATCGCTGCCCTCCTCACGACTAGGTGCGTAAGCACGACGGAAAGGAGCACCGGCCTCGGGCTCAAACGGTCCGGGACCGCCGCCGATGGGGAAAGGAGGAGGGGCGTAGACATCCTTGTGCTTCAAGTCAATAGAGTGGTCATCCTCGTAGGACTCGTTGACAGCAGTATCAGTGTCAATGGTGATGGGCATGTTGAACTCCTGACCACCGTCGTTACCAGAAGGGCCGCCCAAAGCAGTTCCACCAGCCTGAGGGTAGAAATCGCGCTTGAAGGGGACACCGAAAGGAGGTGCGTAGATGTCTTTGTGCTTGATATCGATTGAGTGATCATCCTTGCTGGCCTCGTTGACGTTGGTGTGAATGTGGGCACTCTTTCCGAAGTTGAGGTCGCCGCCATCATCATCGCCAGAGGGTCCACCAAGAGCAGTGCCTCCAGGAACGAAAGGCCCAGGAGGACCGTGGAAGCTGCCGCCACCAGGACCGCCAAGGGCAGTACCACCGGGAGCGAAGCGCTTAGCGAATGCACCAGCAGGAATGTGGAAGTGATCAGCATCCTTGGCCTCGCGGAAACCACCAGGAGGACCACCAGGACCACCGAAGTGAGGGTGAGGAGGGGGCAGAATGATAGGAGCAGGGTGGATATCCTTGTTCTTCACTGAGATAGAGTGATCATCCTTGTTGTAGTCATTGACATCGGTCTTGAAGTTGCCAGTGATGGGCATGTTAAAGACCTGTCCCTCGTCATTGCCAGAGGGACCACCCTCAGCGGTGCCACCAGCGGGCCAGCCACGCTTGGGGAATGGACCGGCGCCAGGGCCGAGAGCAGGACCGAAGCCATGCGCAAAGGGACCAGCTCCGGGACCCAGGGCAGGGCCATAGGGAATGGGTGGAGGTGGAGCGTGAATCTCCTTGTTGTGGATCTTGATGGAGTGGTCATCCTTGTTGAACTCATTGACATTGCTCTTCGTATTAACCTCAGCGCTGTAGGGCCATGCGGTGCTGCCATCGCCATCATTGCCGGATGGTCCGCCCAGAGCGGTGCCACCCACCTGAGGCCCAAAGCCGGCAGTCCGGCGCTGGTGGAAGTTGTTCTGGCTCATACCATTACCGGTCTGGTCGTACAGGTTAGATCACTTCTTCCAATTGCTTCAAGTTGTGAATTCTCAACTTACTGAGCTCTCCACGGCCTGGACCTGGAGAGCGGCCACTAGCAGGGCCAGGGGAATACCGCCAACGAAACCCTTCATTGTGATAGTAAGATAGGATATTATTGTAGGAAATGTATAAGGTCAGACTGCAGATTAGGTATAAAAGAGCGACTGCGATCAAAAGTTACTGGAGCGGAAAAGAATGACACGATCAATCAGCGATACTCCTAGACTCAAGCTCAAAGGAATCTCCAGACGGCTGAGGCGCTCAATAGCTCTTTAGTAGTCGCGTTCCATCAATGATCACCAGGCATCGACTGCATGGTTGGAATGTATAGCCTTGGCCAGTGAGTGCGTCTCCAGGGTCAACACTGAGGACCAAACCCAATGAGAATGCTGGAGAGAATGGACAACCAACATTTTCTCAGCCATTCGAGGTAAACAAGACTTAGATCGTAGCTTTGGAAGGTGGTGCTGCCACATTCTCCATGTTCTTGAGAGGGATGGATCACCAGGGGATTGGTATTCACAGGGCAGATGCCAGCCAACGAGCGGCCCTTACGCTCCCTGAAGGGACCATTATGGACCCTGTTGGTTCCAAACAACACATCTCACCTTCTCAGGGTTCAGCAACATGACGGCATGGATTGACTGCTATCCAATCCCAGATCGAAGGGGCTGAGGTATGGCGCAGAATCCGTATATCCGTGCTCTCACAGCTCCGAGGATTCTAATCTGAAACAGCATGTGGGCAAGAAACATTGAACATCGCGTTCCACATGATGTCAAGAAGTGACCTTTAATATAAGGTTCTTTACTCCGTACTCTTGACCTGGAGTCCAGGGCTTTTCCGTTGTCAACATGAAGGCTTCATACTGCATAACACGCATGGCGGTATAGTGACTCTGTCATGGTAGCAATCCAAGCCAGCCGGTTCACGTGACCCATAGGAACAAAATTCCTCCTGTCACTGAACAGGTTTCAGGCAGAAATGCATCTTGTCTGAAGAAACCTGATATGTCTACGTGACAGCTTAGCTGCTTAGTTTCTACGTTGATTCTGACTAAAAAAGCTATGAATCAATGGCATGTGTCCCGTCTTCGACATTCCAATCTCATCGCCCTCAATAAAGAAGACCCAACGAGAAACGAACTTCCTATCGAGGATCATCAATCTCCAGAGCCGATGGATTCTCCGAAGAGAACCCAAGGCAACACATCGTCGTGAAAATTGTCAAAAAAGACAGGACGACGGTCGTGGCAGGCTCCGTTACTTTTTGATGAAGAAAGAAGAAAGTAAAGCTGGGAAATTTTTTCGCTCTTTTGTAGGTGCTCCGGGGTCACGTGCTCGGGCCGTTATTTCTCCCGGTAGACACCAAATGTGGATACCTTCATCCACACATAGAACATGTTAGATTCGTTTAGAAATAGTGTGGAGTACGGGAGAAGAGATGAACAGAATACACAAGAATCAGGTTTGATTATCAGTGCCCTGTAACCACTGTGGTATTCGAAAAATGTACAAATTGAGATTGTGGTGACACATGGTGACACATCCAAGTGACGCCCCCTTGGATGCAAGTCAGAATGATATCAACCACCATAGGGCTAACAAGAAACTCAATATTCCTCCATAACAAAGAAAAGAGTGACCAAGTGCTTCCAACTCAAGGCGCGGGTATAAGGATCGGCTGATCATCAAGTTGATCTAGTAATGTGGTAAGGATCTGTCTGCGATCGTTAGCCCCTTTCTTCCTGGAAACAGTCGAATTCCAAAAGACTCACCAATTATCCTCCAATGGCGGTCTTCTCTGCACTGGCTCTCCACGCGGCACCTCCAACCGCAGCAGTGATCCCCAAGGCAATAGCAATCATACTCCCCACTGTCACAATAGCGATAATCGCTTTCAGGATCATGCGCTGTCGACCACTCAATGAACTCATGCATGATCTTGGTGGGTTCTCGACTTCCCATAACTTCGATCGCCTAGGACTCTCATTGCGAAATGTGTATGGTCCCGCGTTCTCAAGATCTCGTAGTTGGCTGTGATTCCGGTTCGCCGTCTTAGTCTCGAACGTCAGGTGCTCACAGGAGAGCGTGGGCGTACTGTGAGGGTAGAAAGGCGAGTATGGCTTGGCGCCGACCGATGGATCAAAATCCTGAGAACGATTGTGTTCAAGTATTGGGGTAGACTGTATCGATGTAGGCGGAGATTGAATCCTTGGTGTGGATAAGCTCTTTTCATCACTGCTCTTGATGGACGCAGCCACCTGGGCCCCAATCACTCCAAGTCCATGCAGACTCATGTCGCTGCCCTCAACTCCTCGTGTAGATCGTATACTGGTAAGGCGGCAGACTCAGGTGGTTCGCCCAGATCAAAAGATCTGTAATAGCGACCTTGGATTTGAGCACCTTCACTGAATGGTTATAGTCGTGTGCTGGAGGAATCGTTTAATGAAAGACTCGGGGGGAATATGAACTCGGTTGGGACAGCCTTTGTACATAAACAATAGTCTCAAGCTGGAATGTGCTTATGCCCAAGCGGAGTTTTCACTCAGTGACGAAAACAGACAAATGATAATATTGATTTCTGAAATGGGCACGGTGATAAGTTGGAAGGTACGCGTAGTAGTGACTTCCTTATATCTTTTCATAACTCCTGATATTTCACCCCATTGCACCAATATTTAGAATAGTAGGAACTCAAGAAACAAGTTTCCTTTTAACCAAATTGATCTGATACTCATCGTGGCAACCTCGGCTGCCATAGCTCCAAGTCTTTGGACTAGGTTTTGGCAGACTTGTTTTCATCTCTATCCCTAGATCCAAGTGATCCCGCCACCATGGAGAGCATTCCATCTCCTGGATTAGTATGGATCATCTATCCCTGTATAGAACAAGGCACTTTATTGGTAGATGAACATCCAGAATGCCTGAAAATAGTCAAAGCTGTCGGTCACTTTCTCTCCTTCCAGAAAAGTACCTGCATTCGGGATCCGTCAATCCATGCGGGGGTTCGTAGGTGTGTCTATCCCGATGAGCTCGCGTGAGTACAAGATATGGTCACGGTGGCAAAGATTTTCTTCTCGGGCTCCTCGTTGACTTCAAATTCTTTAACAAGAATTTTTCATAGACATCAGGATTTACCATCACCACTCACTCAAAACTACCAATCCAAAATTGATGCTTGGCCTGTGGACCTTGGAAAGGAGCCCTAGAGGCACATTTGCAGTGATTTGAAGACCAAGATTTGAAGAATACTCTAAAATTCAACCTGAGAGTTTATAAGAGCTATATACTACTAGTAGTAGGAATAGTACGTAGGATATATAGTACTGTCAACTCGCACTACCTATTAAGTGCTGGAGGCCACAGTTAACTTCAAATGTTCAAATGTTATGGCCGCATCATCTACCTACTACCTAGGTAGTACTCCAGGGCTGGCATTCATGCATCTGTATCTAAGTTATCAGCTACTAGCATCATGTTGACCCGGACTAGACATTCAAAAATGTTGAAAGACTCTGACCGTGACCCTAGGCCTCCACTGACAGGGTTCGGAACCTCCCAATTTCGCAGCACTTGAGACATTTAAAACTTGAGCTTTTCAAGTTACTACATGTATGTACCTAGCAGTACTATATAGTATGTAGTAGCACTTAAGCTGTACCGTGACATACATAGATGCCTACTAGTACTAGCACTTGGGGTACTAGGCATCGGGAGCCGTGGACATAGTATATAGAACCAACGTTCAAGTTGGAAGGAAATCTTAGAACATTGAAAATTCCAACATTTTTGAAACCTGAGCCCTCATGCTGGAGGTTCAACCCGTGGACTTGTGCACATGGATGTGCTCCAGGGTTGTCCACCTGGGCACCTGGGCATGGCCACTGGCATACCTGTGGACTATGTATACATATTTTACATGGATACTACATACCATGCCTGTGTAGGTACATACCTACATCCATCATGATAGGTCAACTGCCAGTGGTATAGGTACCTAGATATTGATCATGTCACGGTCACGGTGTACTCAAGCTAGTATCCACTGGCATCATGATGTAGATAGGCTAGGTATGTAGTACTATGTACTAATACCTATGTACCTAGGTAGTACTAGTAGTATATATATTTCAAGTTGGGCATCTATGCGAGTGTGGACAAAAACTGAAGCTGAGAAACATTGAATTTGAGATTCAAGTTAAAGTATCAAGATTGCTGATAATAAAATTCGAACTTGAAATATATTGCCTAAAGCTTTGGATATTCAAGTTGGTTGAAGAATAGGTAGGTATAAAGCAACCTTGGAAGAAATAGATGTGCACATTCAAATGTTTGAACATTCAATCTTCAAATGTTTACATAAAACCATCATGTGTGTATAAATGGTTAGCGTTTACTGTTGATTGATCGGCTTCCAAGTTCTACATAGCCAATCAGTTAAGACTTGCTCCGACTCGGAACTATGGCACCTGATGCTATGTACTAGTAGGTAGCATCTTCCATTGTGTTCTATGTAGGTAGCCTCTGCGTTCAAGTTCTTTTGCTTGTTTATAGGTACCATTTTGGTCAGAAATCTTTATTGTTTCAACTTCACTACATACTATAGTATATACTAGTAGGTTTGAATTGAATTGATGATGGCCTCTACTCGGAAGAGCTACTAGTACTGTCATCACTAGGTTTTGTATAAATGAGGGAATTTCAGCTATCTCGTGCCAGAAATGACGTCCATCAGGCCAGTGCTGGCTGGAGAAGATATATTGAGACTAGTAACTTGCATTTGAATGGGTCGAGGTGATACCCATGCCAGTGGATGGTATCTGCCAGTGGAAACCTTGGAAGATCATGATTTGAATCCGACCCCTCTCAAAACATATAGAGTAACTTGAAAGTATGTACCCTCAGCTTCTATTAGGCGTTAATTGTCTTCAACTCAGGGGTGATTCTCGGCCAAGACTCATAAGAGCCAAAGGTCAGATGGTAACATCGACATGAGGCGAAGGTCTGATGTTCCATGTCCACTGCGAGCATCAACCCATGTAGAAAGCACCAGAAGAACTCCCGTTTCTCCATCGGCATCATTTCTCCAATAAGCTGGTCCGCGTCGGGATTTTCAACCACCCAGCGGGCTCTGGCGAGCGAATCAATGCCAGGTGCAGTGATTTGCGCAATTTTATCGCTACCATCATAGCAAGGGAGCACCCTCTCCTGACTAAGAACTGAAATTCCATTGATATCGCACGCAGGAATGACCTTTTTCTTAGTAAGTTGAATTGCTGCATGGTATGGTGTACACCGGTCGTGATCTATAAAAATCGGATCCTCTTTCACAACCATACAGGTTGATATCGCACCACCATCCATTGGATGATGCTTGCAGCAGTTGTCGAGTTAGTCGGATTTTCATCGTCAGCCATTTTCTTGAATCGTCTCTTGATATTGACTAGGTAATCGTTCAAAGTTGGAAATTGGGTCTACGGGAATTTGTGCGCTACCGTTTGAACCATTTCGATGACGGCACGTCGGCACCTATGTAGTGACTGTGTCGTGCTCAGCAGCTTGTTGCGTTCGGACTACAGCTCCGGAGAGAATGACTGCACTTTGCGAGTGTTGGTAGTGAGAGAGTAGAGGGAGTGTGGCGTGAGAACAATGACAAGGTGAAAAGTTCCTTAAATAAGTTGCGCTGCGGAGCTACAAGTGAATACCCAATCTCACATAGGGGGTAGTTTCTGCCTTTCGAAAGGTAGAGGGATGTATTGGCCTACCAGTTATCAGATATTAGACTGTAATATAGTCTATGAGGTGGTTGTTACTGATATTTTTAGTTCGTGTCAGAACAGTTTCATAAATACAAGGCTACCGTCCATGTCTCTTGTCTTCGTATCCTGATCCCTAAAGCTCTTGATGTCTCTCAAATTGCTCACCTTCCAAGTTTCCTACCCATTTCACTTCCCACAGCATTTGAGCACTTGGGGGTGCTACGATCTCGTTTTCTTGTACCCTCAACCATGGAAGTATTAAAATTTGACAGGAATAAAATTTATCAAGAGTGAGACCACAACACTTTTGGGCCAGTATTTAACAAACTACCCGAGAATTAGAACTTATAACGTCTTGATACTGTTTCAGGAACTCACTTCCAATAACCCCATTTACAGGGATATCAATAGATGTCGTGTACGAAGCAGCGTCACTCAGCAAGTAAACATAGGCGCCACCCAGCTCCTGAACTTCAGCCAGTCTAGAAAACCCACCGTAATACTTGAGTTGTTGTTCCCAATCAGGCTGCTGCGGAACCCAATATGTCATTGCGGTATTGACCAGGCCAGGAGAGACACTGTTGACACGAATGTCATGTGGAGCCCACTCCATCGCCAGCGTATGCGTCATATTACGAATTCCGGCCTTTGACGCGCCGTAGGGGGTTGACGGGACGCGCTGCCAAGAGTTAGCCAACACATTAAATAGCCCCTTCAAACGAGGCTGTGTATCATTTACTCAAAGAAACAATAATAGGGAGGATTAAGGCCAGGATGGGAATAAGTCATCAGACAGACCTTGTTGGGGCGGTAGGAGGCCATTGAAGCAGTGAAGACGATCGCCCCCTTGATACCAAGTTTAATGAATGCCCGAGCGGCACATCTCGCCGTGTAGAATGCTCCGAACAGCTGATCCATTCTTCCAGTTAGAGAGGGTCATAGTCATATAGACAAGGATCAGATGACTCACGTTAACAGAGAAAAGCGCTTCGATCTCTTCCGTTGTAAAGTCCAAGGCTGACTTATGGTTCGTTCGTCCTGCATTCACAACCATTCCATGCAGGGCCCCACCCTCCTCAACTATTTTGTCAACTGCAGCTGAGATGCTCGCTTCTTGAGTTACATCGGCTTGGATTGCAAACACCTGTTTTGGGAAGCGGGTAGATAGTTCTTGGAACTCGTCGCCTGGTTCATTGATGTCGATTGAGTACACGCGTGCGGCGCCGTTCACTAGACAGCATTCTGCGATGCCGAGGCCGATTCCTCGGTTGGCGCCGGTGACTGGAAAAATAAAAATAAATTAATCATTGGGTGAATTTGTATGTGTGAGGTTGCTTACTGGCAATCACCTTGGACTCAAGCGCGATCTTGGTCTGAGGCTCTGAAGGAGCTGACTGCGCGGGAATGGAGGACATGGCAAAAGTAGTGTCAGTAATGGATAATAAACAAAGCTCTGAGATATATGATGACTTCAAGTCTCGAATACTCCAGTGCTACTGCAGGACTTCAAGTTGCAACTCAGAAATTTATACAATGAGACTGGCATGTAGTTTATAAATCTTCTCTTGAGGTATAATGCGGGGTCAATGTGGTCCTCGCGTCGAGTCCAGTCAAGACATGCAGTGTAGGAGATGATATCCGATCATTCAGAAATATAACCAAGTTCTCTGTGAACCAAATGCTGATTGGGGCTAATATTATTGTGCCTCGAGTCGAGCCCATCTGCCCCGCACGGAGATCATCCGATGACGATGACGGGATTGAATGTGGAGAGAGCCTGGGTACTGTCGTACAGGATTACTGTAGTAGGAATTCATCTAAAAATTGAGACAAACGTTGTAGAGCGATGCTACTAGTATTATGCGATGAATCATAGTGCTTCTATTTATGAGAGTTCATCTTCAGAATCTATATATCGTATTCAAAGGTGGTTGCCTCGGGTATCAAGCTCATTGTCTCATTCAGTTCATGTCAAAATCACAATTATCATTATCATAATCACCCCAAAATTCCTTCAAATCCTCTACTCGCCATACAGTAGCCCACCCAGTCTCCCGCTCTATCCGAATCAATGTTTCAACAATAGCCCCATGCTCTGAGTAGTGGGACATCACCTTCCCAGCTATCCAGAGAGGCTGAAGGGCATTGGTCCAACATCCACTAAAGTAGAAATTAAAATTAGCTCAATTAAAATCAACGTTGCTGGGGTTGGAATGCACTGACTGGTGTGCGTTGGATGCGGATATAGCACAGATTTGCCGCGCGTGCCAGAGAACAGATTTCTAGATACTGGTTAATAATCTGAAGATGATTGCAGAGATATAACATACAGGTTTCTTAGCCAATGACAAAGTCTTTGGTTTTTGCTGAAGTAGTAGCAGGGCACACACGTGGTAGAGTTGATTTCCCGAAACTAGAATATGTTAGTCAAGTCAAAGAAAAAGCTGGGACCGTCACATACTAGCATCTCCATTCCCATAAAGTACAGTTGGAAATGGTTTATTTCTTCCTGCATAGTCCGGCACGGCAACAGCAGCTGTAAAAATGGGCTTCATCTGGCTCGGTCGCTTCTCGTACCACAGGTCGGCATGGCTGAATACTTCTCTCCAACGATGCAAGTACGAGTTTCCGTCTGCATCTGGGACAGATTCGCACGAAGTACAGGGATGTGGAGTTTTTGATCCCCGGCCAAAAAGAACACCGAGTGTCTCTGCACACAGATAGACGGTATAGTTGGCGTATGTGTCGAAATTATTCTTTGCAGAGGCGAAAAATAACTCAGAGGCTTCAACACAGCTCATATCACGAGGTCTCCAGTTATGAATTGGAATAATGGTTTCCTCCTCTGAGATAAGACCACCGCAGAGATCTGTACGTATCAGCCCGTATTCTTGCCTTTCATGGAATTACTTACCCATACGTGCAAAGCACCAGAATAAAGCCTGCTCTTCCTTCCCAGAGAAACCATTAATGCCAGCTGCCTGGATGAGATATGCACAGCCATCAAGATGTCGGCGCCATTCTTTAGGATTACCTAAAACCAGTTAGTAACATGATATAGGATCTAGTGGTGGATACATACAGCTCAGCATTTCCAAAACGCAGAGAATAACACAAGATGCAATGGCAGGTGTGGTTTTGCTCTCCAGCTCGGGTAAGAGAAGGTGAATAGCTTCTTGATATAGAGACAGACTCTCGGACTGGGAATTCTTATTCTGTAGTCTCTCCAGTTGCCGTGCAGACAACGCCAGGATAGAGTACCGTAGGTGAGGTGCTGTCTTCGACATTTGGGGAAACGTGGAAGCAAAGTGACGATTGTTGTCAAACATATCAAGCTGGAACTATTAGCTGCTATTGATAATTGATAACTTCGTTCTATGTACTTACCCATGAGCAAATCTCTCCTAGATAATTCTGCCATAACGCATGCTCTCGTTCAGGAGATAAGTCGATGAACCGACCTGGTCTTGAACGTCGGGGCTCTCTCCCCGACCTGCTGAGAATATCCGAATCGCTGAACGAGGTTGGTGTATGAATGGGAGAAGTCGATCCACGTGAGCTGCAGGGAGCAGGAACGTCAGGTCTTGCAGTCCAGAGCTGTCGGTTTCGCAGAGTAGTATGAAGAGCCTCATATGTCGAGCCAGGCAGGAAAACATCATTGGTAAGATCCACAGGGTCTGAGAATATGCTTTGATCAAAAATGCCAGTAGGTGACTGATGCGAATGATAAGAGTCTCTCACGGAAGCCTGGAAGTGGGAGCTTCCAGTGAGATTGCGGAGTGCAGCGAGGTCATCGATGGCATAGCCCGGACTTGAGTTCAGATAGGCATGAGATGAGGCATCATCGGGCAAAGAAGGGTGCTCAAATTCGCAATGGATGTTGTTTGGGTATTGCGGCTGACTATTTATATCAAGTGGACTGACATGTCCGTGATCATCTTGGCCGTTCTCGTGGCAAGGAGACCTGGAACTAGCATGATATGACAAATATGAAGGGGCATCGCCAGAAAGTGGCGGCGACAATTCCTGAGCTTCTTCGGTATGGAGCCTCAGGATCTGAGCCTCAGCATTATCCATCAAGCTTGAATGCCTCTCTGCAGTGAGGTTGATCGGGTCATTATTCGGCCTAGATGGAGGTAACCCACAGAGTTCTGGCCTATCAAGCTCCACCTGGGTCTCAATCTGGGGTTTAGGAGATTCTTTCGCACGGGGTGCATTTGTCAAAGCATTCAAGATCTTGAATTTACTTTGACGTTTCGCCTTGCTGCCAGTGCTCTGGTTCATGGAAGGATGGTCTGATCCCAGTACCTTGATGTTCGCATCGCGGAAGGAGCCCAGAACACGCCACTGACAGTCCTCACTACGGCGCTTGCAACCTGTGCAAGTAGGCTTTAATTGATCGCACTTTCGTCGCCTGCGACTGCAATTGAGACAACCCGTTCTTGTGCGCCTCTTGCGCTCTGTCATTTTAGGTCCATGGGCCATCTCCGGGTCGAAAGATTCACAAATTCCCTTCTCGTTATTGCTACCGATCGGAAAATCAAGGATGATGTTGGCCATTTCTTCAGAAAAGCGACCCTCTCTGGAGAATCGTGAATTCCGGGGTTGTTGATAGTTGCAGAATGACAGAGAGTAGAAGTGAATAATATTACTCGATTAGGGGCGTTTAAGCGCTCGTCTGGGCCGTACCCCCACGCGGGGTTTACCATTGATTGGTTCCCCGACTCATGCCGATGTGGGGAATGAATCCGAATGAGATCTTCGCGGGGATTGCCCGATAGAGGGTGACTGGGGATTCGGTAAAATGGTTGCAGAGACACGGCACAAGGGGTTATGTCTTCCAAGCTTGCCAAGGAATTCAAAGCATCGTGTATGACGGAGGGGAAGACTAAGTACGGGTCTAAAGATCGAGAAACTTGGTATAACCTGGAACTTGAACAAACTAGTTTGAATATCTTCTCGGTTGTCCCCAGATGCCGTAGGTGGCGGGTATATTCTAAATCAAAATATAGACAAATTACTCCACATGTTCAACATTTGAGGCTTCCACCTCCTTTCCTTGAGTAATCCGGGCATCTACATCACCAGCCATTCCCATGGACGGGTGCCAATAGAGCTTCACTTTTTCCCCGGTAAACAGCTTGTCAATCTGCTCCAGAGTGAGGTTGCGAGTCTCAGGGTAGAAGTAGTAAATGAGAGGCAAGAAGCAGAAGTTGAAGACTATAGAGATATTAGAACGGCGAGTTTTCTGGAAACTGGAAGATGAGCACATACCGGCAAAATAGATATAGGTACGGTATCCAATGTTAGAAATGCTGACAGGTGTAATCTCAACGATCAAAAATGTGCAAATCCCTGTAGTATACGTCAGTTGATTGATTTTATTCAAGAATAAGTGATTCATACAGTTTGTAGCCGTTGCAAGAGCAGCTGATTGTGTTCGGATTGCCAGGGGAGAGTATTCGGCCGGGACTAGAGATATCGGTGTCAGCAGTAGTCCTATAACTCAAATTCTTCCATATTTCAAATGGACTTACGCAACCAGGGAATAACTAAGAAGCCAACTCCGAAAAAGAAGTTGAACATGAATAGCATGACTGTCGCAACAATACCCGCGGCATGACCGCCATTCCAGACGGTACCTGCGAGGATAGCCATACAACAACCTTGTCCGACAACGGCGAACATCATCAGCTTACGCCGACCAAGTCTATATACAATTAGTCTAAGCTCAAAAGCACCACCTTGAGTCATATTACCGGTCAATGACCCAGATAGGGACCAATGAAGAAAAGAAGTAAGCAATTCCATTAAATCCAGACAATAGCAGGGCGGTATTGTGGCTCATTCCCACAGAGTCTTCGAAGATTTCAGTTGCATACTAACTCATAGTTAGTAAAAAAGTCCCATAGTTTTGTTCCTCCAGTAGTCTGACTTACGTAGGTGATCAAGTTGATTCCCGAAATCTGCTGCATCATCTGTCCACCCATACCAAGCAGAGTCCGGTACAAGAATTTCTGGTCTCCATTTTGGAAGATGAGCTTGAAAGAACCCTCGGCTGATGCCTCCCTTTCTTCTCGAATAGCCTGGGAGATTTCCTGGACGTCTATACCAACAACAGCATCATGTTCGTCGATCTCATTGGCGTTATCTTGTAACCGCCAGATGATGTGACGGGCCTCATCCTCGTTTCCATGTTCGATGAGCTATCACTGAGTTAGTATGGACGACAGAGTGGATCTTTAAATTAAGATTCTTATCCAACGAGGAGATTCAGGAAGAACTAGAATGCCGAGGAATGTAACGATGGCAAAGAGGATTTGGAGCGCGATCGGAAAACGGAATTGGGCTTCGCTTTCAACAAAGGAAAATCCATAATCTGATAGTTATAAAGTCAGTATCATACACCAATAACTTACATCTCGAATAGGAATTACCAATCCAGTAAGCTGTCATCACTCCAAAAATATTGATTCCCAATTCAATAGCAAGCTGTGAACCCGTCAGTGCCCTGAATATTCCAAGTCAGTCATTATTGGCTTACCCCCTTGCCACGACTAGCGGCTTTGCTGAGCTCTGAATGCCACACAGCTGGATTGTACTGTTTGGTATAGGAAGATTCCATATTTGGAGACAGGACTCACGGATAGCACTCGTGTTCAGACCGTTACCAACTCCAGCGATGATTCGTCCAACAATCAACTGCGGAATACCGTAGGCACTGCATTGAATGGCAGCACCAATTTTAAGGATGAGACTACCAGCCATGATGCACTTCCGTCGACCAAGCCTTTCACCGAAAAGTAATGACATGATGGCACCCAAAAAGCATCCCTGTTGATGTTAGTCTCATTTGAATCTGTGGAAATGTAGATGACATACAATCTCATAAATAGCAACACTATCAGTTGATCAAGGGTTAGCGGAAGTAAAGAAAAAAATTGAATCATCGGAGTACCTACACTGTTCCTTGTAAAGATGAGCTTCCATGTCCCGTTGATGTGGTATCAATTTCAGGAAATCTTGCAGTGAAAGCATCTCCACTCAACAAACCAGACATCACACCCTGATCATAACCGAATCTGGCAGAAGTTGTTAACTGAGCTCTCACTCAGGCTGACACAAGACCATTCAGTTTGACATACAATAAGAAGCCACTGCCAGCAGTAGCCGTGATGGCCCATTGTAACTGCCATCCTGTGAGAAACGACATGGCTGAGTTGGTATAAACAATAACTTGATCCACTCCTAAGTCACTAGGCCAACGATCCTGAAGATAATAGACTTAGTTCACAAACTCATATCTAGACAGTGGGGCTTTTCATCCCTTTATAGAGTTGATGTTTATCGGAACAGTCTAAACTCCGCAAATCGGTGGCGCCACAAGCCATGTCGTAAGAGCTGGGGAAGTCTCCATGCCCCAGATACGATGCCGCGTCTTCTGTGCTAATTGCGGGAAACGTCCGTGATGCGGGGACACAAGATAATCTCAAGTTCAATATCCCGCATTACGGGGGTGGCTGGGACCAATCGAGATCTATAACTCGTGCTTAAGTGTCTCAGTTCGATCTAATTACCATGAACCATCCATGGGTGGTGCTCAGGAACGTAATTAGCTCTACTATCTTCTTCTAAGGAATACATTCAAGTCATCAATTGTTACGGCAACATTTTTTTGAATAAAGTTCCATCATCTAGATCAAGGAAAAGATTGACAGTTGTACCTGGACTGAAGAGTGATATGTGGGTCGTACCGAGTACTTTGAAGCCGAGACCACTCGGTATTCACCGGCTAAACTATTAAAAGCCTCAAAATGCCAAGTGAAGAGGCGCTTCCACTTAACAGATTTGGAAATCACCCGATTAGTCAATTCTAGGCGTGACCACCTCAATACACTGGACTCCCCAGACGTCATTCTTCAATCTTATTCCCCAGTCTTTTACCCCAATTCCCCGCGGTTTCTAGTACGTTGTAACCCACTTGCCTCAATGAGTAGCTTTTTGCACTCAAAGCTCCTTATCGGACCACTTATTACCCACTTTGATCGGACCGATGCAAGCACATATTGGCATGACTTGTCGGGCTTGCAAAGAACGCGAAATTGAGCATGAGTGGAATTATTCTCTGCCAATGGGTTTCACTGTGGTTCCGTGCTCAACACTTCCGTATACAGTAGTTAAATGCAATCTACCGTTCAGCTGCAAGCTGACTGAGTGATTGAACACATAAATTTTACATATATGAAGCGTATCTCCTCACTATCTATTCCTGATAAAAAGATTCTACAAATTTCCTCTCCAAAACTCCTCCACGACAAACAAAATCCTCAAAAATGGCACCCGCTATCACCCTTGACCACACCCTTCCACCTGTGGTTCCCGAATCAAATCAAACACCCGCGACCGCACCAACAAATACCCTATTCTCTTTGGCTGGTCGCACAGTCGTGATAACCGGCGGTGGCCGCGGTCTCAGGAATGACCCTGACAACCGCCGTCCTCGAGGCAGGTGGCGACGTCGCCTGTCTAGATCTGCTTGACGAACCAAGTGCAGAGGAATGGATTGCCGTACAGAAACTCGCTACATCGAAGGGCCTCCAGGCGACGTACACGAGATGCGATATTACCGATGAGGAAGCCACAAAGGGTCTATTAGAGAATATCGCAGAGGAAAGCAAGGCGCGCAATATGCCGTTGCGCGGTCTTATTACCTGTGCTGGAATTCAGCAGATGGTTCCTGCGCTTGATTATCCTGTCGATGGGTATCGGAAGATGCTGGATGTGAAGTTAGTCTATTTTCTCTGACCTGGAAGGATAATTATAAGTGCTAACCTCTCATAGTGTTCTTGGAACGTTTATCCCTGCTAAGCATTTCTCGCGGATTTTGGTTGAGCAGAAGACTCCTGGAAGCATTGTTATGATTGCGTCCATGTCGGGTCAGATCGCTAACCGAGTAAGTCACCCCGATTTTATTAAATTAAATGTGGAGCTAACGGGGATTGTATTACCAGGGCTTGACTTGCACCGCTTATAACTCTTCCAAGGCTGCCGTCCATCAGATGTGTCGATCCGTCGCTCAAGAATGGGGCCAGTACAACATCCGTGTTAACACACTTTCTGCGGGAGTAAGTGATGGCATTGAAATGATCCTTGTAGAGGAATCAGCTAACTTGAATAGTACATTCGCACTGCTATGACAGATGCCTTGCTTAAGGAGAAGCCCGAGGTCGAGGAGACCTGGATGTGTGGTGCTTTGCTGGGTCGTCTGGGTGCTCCTGAAGATTTCAAGGGTCCTACTATCTACATGCTTACCGATGCTAGTGCCTGGATGACGGGTGCTGATCTTCGAGTGGATGGTGGTCACTGTGCTTCAGCTTAATAGATGTCTTCTTGCATGATAAATAGATGTGGCATGTTTAGGCGTTATAGATAGAGCTGGATTCAATATAAAACTTTGTCGAAATTGAAAAGAACTGGAATCATGGGAATAAGATTTGATGATAGATTTTGAAATGACCCTTGGAGATTTTGGCGTGACTTGTTCATTAGAATTGGGTCGTCCGGGGGTAGTTCATTGACATTCCCAGCATCACGTCCACACTATTAGTCTGTACCAGTGTTAGTGTAAGGTCAGGCATAGGGAGAAGGATTGACTTACCAAGTCCAGTAACTCGGGGGCAATGGTGAATGATGACATCGGAGAATCCATGTTATTGGCTTGAAGCTGTGGAAAATTCATAGCTTGATCTATGAACATTGCCCCTTCCAGCTCCGGCCATGCAGATGGATTTGAGCCCGAGAAGAAATCTATAAGAATCACATTAGCTGGTCTGTCCCAGATATCTGACGCATAGAGCTCATACCCATTGTTGAATCATAGAAAGGCCCCTTATTCGACGGTTGAGTTACGCTACTAGCTGCTTGCTTTGGGGTCTCGTTCTGCTGTTTTTCAAGCTTTTTGAAAATGACATCGATTGCTTGTATCGTCCGTGGAATGTCGTGATGTAGATCCTTTTGATCGGACCAGATTTTGTGGGATTGTTGAAGGGCCTGGATTAGCCGATGCGTTACGTTTCCGGGTAGTGCTATCTGCTTTTTCTTGGCTGTGGAGTCGCTCGAAAGCTCATAATTCAGCTCCAGACAGATCAAGGTTGTTGCTAGCATGATAACTCCTCGCATGATCGGTGATTTGACCTTCCATCTTTCATTATATAGGCGTCCACTAGGCTGTGATTCCTGGTACATCATATGTTGGTACTGAAGAATTTTCAGCGATGCTTCAAGACAACTATCGCGAGAGTAAGCATATCGGTGGTCGGTTCTCGCGGGCGCCAAGTAGCGATAATGTAAAAGGCACCTTGCCTTTGAGTACAAGGAAACAAGCTGAATTCGATGGAGAAGTGTTTCTGAGGTATCCATGAGAGACTTCTGGAGAGGTCGCTCATGAAGATGTTGCGGAGTGGATGAGTATGTTTCGTGTAGCATTTTGTCCAGCCGCATAACTTCTGAATAGCTCGGTCGGCGGATGGACGTGACGAAGTCTGATATGATCCCGAGCATTGAAGTGAGCTTATTCTTTGCAACGAGCCACTGACAAGGAGTCTGGAATGATTCAGGACGGGAAGGTGGTAGTTCTGATAGATCTTCATCAAAATCTGCGTCCAAAAGATTATGAGGAGGAGCTGTGTCAGATTGAAATTCTCGTAGTATGCGAGGGAGTCCAGCGGACAGAGATAACATCACATCGAGATCTTTAATAATTGCCCAGACTCTTCTTCTCATTTCGCCATGGAAAGGTGAGATGTGAGGAAAATGAGAGGCGTCGCGATGATAGCCCATGCGCTGGGCCATACGCACGAGAACTCCCAGAATGACCAAACTGCTCATCTCGCCATCCCCGGATTGATGAAATTGGGTGTTCAGAGTACCGCAGATAGTCTCAATTGTATCTGGTGGACAATCCTGGTATCTCCCAAGCACTAAACATTGTTTGATTTTTAGGTCGAATTTTTCAATCAACCTTCTCTGGTCTTCTAGAAAACACTCGTCGTTTCCTTGAAAGATCAAAGCCAGAGATAGAATGCCGTATAGCTTTCCAACCCACATGATATGTGTCTCCTGTGGGGTTTCCCAGAATCTTTCATACTGTTGTTGTCAAAGTCAGTCTCCATTTCTAATTTCCGGAGCAGAGAATATCATACCTGTCTCAAAAACGATGGCCCATGAATTACTATATTAGAACATCAGATGGGTTCAAAAAGAGATAAATTATGCAGGTAGACACACAAGGAAGTGAAGAATGTTTGAAATAGTTGGAAAGAAGCCTGTCACACCCTTCTCGTGAAGGAAGATCTCTCAATATTTCACTATGAGTTGCTGGGTCACAGCTAGGGAACAGTATCTCCGGGGAAGAAGATGCCGGAGCTGAAAGCTCTGAAGATCTCCCTGCTTCATCATGCACCGAGCTTTTGAGCTCTGCAATCTAAAGGACAGAAATAGTTAGGGATATTCAGTCCATGAGTCGTGAGTGACCTACCCCATCTAGAATTGCTGTCCAATGGGTATCCTGTACATATTTAGTCTTACTATCCCGCAATGAGATATGACCGAAAGAATCTGATGGATCAGCTGCACCGTCCGAGTTGGTTGGCTGTGGCTCTTTGACCCTGACATCACCAGTTAAGCCCGAGTTGTCAAACTGGCCAGCCTGCCTTCGGGCATTTGGATCATCCACAAAGGAAGAGATCAATTTCTCCAGTTGACTGATTCGTTCTGTGAGGCCAGGATGAGATGGCGGCCGTGTCTCCTTTGTGATATGCCTAGTCTCAGCTGGGCTCGTGGGAGAGTATGTACAAGAGAGCGAGAGGCCCCGGTGACGACAAGATCCACATGGGTGGCCTCGGTCACATCGTAATCTATGGTATGATTAGTTCGTTGCAATGTGCTATTTGTTTGGTTTTACAGCGGCAGATGGTCTTACTTTCTTCTCCTGCACAGATTGCAGGATAACTGTGGCTTGTCTCGCCGTCGGCTTGGAGGGGGAAGGGTCTTTCTTGTCTCCGCCATTAAATTCACCGGAAGAATCGTGAGACCAGGATTCCAATATTCAAATGTTAAATTGATGATTGTTGTCTGCTAAGAGCTATGGAAGTTGAGAGGTTGATGCGTGCGACCGTAACCTCCGACCCTCCGATCCTCCGCTCCGAACTCCGCTTCGCCACAAGGGTCAACTGACTCTCATTGGTGATATTGTGGCTCAGTATATTCCATAAAAGACAATGTTTTGGTCTTTTTAATTCACAAATTACTAGGCACTCGACTACTTAGGAGGTAGGTTCTCCCTTGAGCAGTCCTCCACCTGGAGCCCTGGAGGTGCCTGGAAAATATGACTAATCACATGGATTTTTCGGGAGTTGACGGTCAACTGGACAACAACAACATGTTTCGCTGCTGCTTGCAGATATCGTTTAATGCTCAGACTTGGGCCCTCCAGCTTTCGTCGACTTCGAAGTATCAAGCTCTGCTATGTGCACAGAAATGAAAATCCAACAGATCCATTTCCAAGGGCCAGGCTGTAAGGTCGAAGCTTTCGGTGACCTACGCGCCAAGCGAACCCCACAAGGCGACACAGCGATCATTTCTTGGTAGCAGATCAATTCAAGGCTTGGGTTGCTTAGGTTGCTTGGGTTGCTGGGTTCGCAGACAAAGAGCGCTTTGTCGCAACGGACCACAACAGCATCATGACATGGATGACTGTGCCCAACTCAGAAGCCTTGGAGTCATGTTACATACGTGTCTTACCGTAATCACACTATTGGAAAAAATTTCCCCCATCTCAATGCTCGGAAGTGCAGGCAGATACATTTAAAGTATCCATCAAGGTGACCTGTGCTCCCACGAGGCAATTTTCTTTACCAAATACTTAATGGGCCCATTTCAAGGCTCTTTTCACCGCTGTCATTTTACCCGGACCTTCGGTGAAGAATCTGCACCCGGTTGACGGGGTGTGCATTTGAATCTGAGCTGGTAAAGGATCTAGACCGACGAGGCTAGGTAAGGTTGTAGGATAAGGCTAGGGAGTAGGGCTTAGGGAATATGACCTCGGAACGATGTGGTAAACAAGCACTACACGTACTGCGCAATTCCGAGCTGAATTGCTTCAGCCGAGAAATGTGGCTCCAGTGGATTCAGCCAAGTCTAGAAGAATCATTGCACAGCCCTACCCGAAGCTATCGCTAATCTCCCAAGGGTTTGTGCAGGACGCCACATGACGTGTCTGGGAACCAGATCGGAACCTTGGAAACCGGAAATTTCGGCAAATGTTGACAAGTTTCTAAGAAAAGCATTGGTTTGATTAAGGCGGGACAAGAAAGACAGGAATCTTGTTTTTTTTTAACCCATATGATAGAATACTAGTCACTACGCCATTGTGGACCGTGGAGACCTCGGAATATTGCACATGGAAGATGATATAAGTCAGCGGAACTAGCCACAATTTTTTCACTACTTTCTTCAAAGAGTTCTTTCAGCCAGCCTCCTGCTTATCTTACAATCTCGCACTTTACCACTTTTAATCACTTGTACGCTTTATCCACATCCAATGGTTCAAGGACATGCGTGGGGCCTCGGGTGACCCTTCCCCAGGGATTCCGCACGGACCTTGCAATCAAGATTTCCCCTTAAAAGGGGGATTTCTCCATTTTCCTTGGCTGCCAAGATCATATCTCTAACTATACCTTCAGAATATCTCCAATTCACCATGTTTGACGCCATCAAGAGCTGGTTCTCCGGTCCTCAGACTGAGGAGAACAAGTGGGATGCTACCACTGTTCAGATGCAGCAGCCTAACAGCCCCGCTGCTATGAACGAGACCGTTACCCAGCAGCCTGTATGTTTAAAAATGATCCGGCTTGCGATAAGAGTACTAATATGAACCAGACTGCTGAGACTATGGATGTCCACGTCCGTGGTGGTGGTGAGGGTGAGGATGTTTGCTGCGGAGTGTAAGTACCTTATCAAAGAACCCTGGAAGACTCAGTTGAATTTCACCTTACTGATTTTTTTTCCTTCAGCTGTGCCGGTCTTTGCTGCTTCGAGTGCTGCGAGTGCTGCTGCTAAACGCCCCTTACGAAGTCCTATTCCCCGTTGAATGAGAGAGATTTGTGATTCCGCCGGCGGGTTTTGTTTTCATGTAACCTTGGAAATCGCTTATGCGATAGCGACATATCAATGCAACATATGATACCTTGAATCTTGCTATCGAGTAGCCTGTTTTCCTCCGTAAACAGTGTAACCGACCCCTGGGAGAATAATACTGCGCCATTGCGATTGGGCTCCACTGCCCAGTCAGGGTGCTACCCTCTGCTACCTACCCTTGCGAAATCAGAATCATGCCAGTGATTGATATACTCCCAGATGCCCCCACCTGGGCACTGCGCCGCACTTTAAATTCCCTTACTATTGGGTGCCTCGTGGTGCTCATTCACGTGGCATATGGGGAAATTGTGAAGTCAGGGGTAATAAATGGTCTCAGGGGTAATTAAGCTTAAGCAGCGTCGTCGATCCTCGTACAAGGGTGCTGTGAAAATCACGTCAGAATCCTCTGTGCCACAAAATATCAGCCACAAATATTCTACCCTGGATCTAGAGCGTTGTAGCTTTATATAAATGTGGCAAAGTTGGAACTGCTTACCATAGGTACCCACTGGTGGCTCAGATCTAAAGATGGGACCAGTGCCCAGGTGGAGCATCTGTTTTCGATCGAGTATCTATTTCAACCTTGGAAGAGATCGAAATACACAACTTTAAGTTGAGACTAATAGAACAAAGGAGCTAAAAGCTTTTGTAGTATAGACAGGTAGTCATTTGAAACAATTTATCGATAATGGGAGCTATATACGTGCTATCAAATAATTAAGACCTAGCACTCATGAAATCACTTCTTAATCATTCATGAATCATTCCGCACTCTTCTCATCACTGGGCGAGCTGGTTCCAGTATTCCGATTAACTCGTCTCAGGCGTCCCGCAGTATCATATCGTGCATCCCAGCTTTCAATCTCTGAGTTAGGAATCTTGACCAGAACGTGTGCTACCGCGCCATTATCCTCTTCCAGAATGGTCTGACGAAGCTGATAATCACCCCACTTGGGAATAAGCCAGACCCAGACATAGTAGTACACGATGCAGGCACCGATGCTATTAAATTATTAGCATATAAATCGCAAGGAAAAAAGACAGAGCTGCAGAGATATCAGGCGAGGCAGGAGACGAAAGACTTACATAGAGAGACCAGTAACAATGTAGATGGCATACCAGAATGATACATCACCACCATCTGCACCGGTGGTTGGTGGGTACCACGGCATAACAAGCATGTAGCTGGTAGTTAGAATGGAAAATCCTACGGCCACATTCCAGCAGCGGTATTCACCCCTTCCCCAGCCAAGACGTGCGCGGCGACGACGGGTTATGATTAATCCAATGGTCAAGATGAAACTGAACAGGTTCGAGGGATAGATACTCAGATCAACCACTAGAGCGGTCCATATTAGCACTAACACACTACTGTAGTAGACATAAAGGATTATTGGGCTTACCAAAATCGAATGCATCACCCGCTGGAGGAGCGATAATCATGATCACTGTTAATCCCCATTTCACGAGGTATGGCCCAATGGGCGTTCCGAATGGCTTCGTAGAGGTCCAGAACTTGGTCCAAGGAAGAACACCTTGTCTGATCACTCAGTTAATAAATAATACTTCAGTTTGTTGGATTTGGGCATGCCTACCTTCCGCATTCACGCAGTACTCGAGATTGACCGATAAGAACAGCGACCAAGTTACCAAAGGCACTCAGACAGATCAAAAAGTTCAATGCTTTTGCTGCACCACCCTGACCAAAGACCTTCTCAAAGAAAAGCGCAGCGACAATCTGCTCTGAGTTTTCAATCTCTTCTACTGTGGCGCATGAGAAATAGGCAATGTTGGCGAGAATGTAGAGAGCAGCTGTGATAGTGAGAGAGAGGAGCGCTCCACCGGAGAGTTTTGATGGGATTCTATCGTTTTGAAAGTCCAGTCAATATGAGATTGCGCATCTTAGTTTTGATTCTCTTACCTTCACTTCATTGACCACGTTGAACGCGTTGGTGTAGCCGGCGTACGAAAACACAATATCAATCAGTGCATTTGTTGCTCCGTACACTGTTGCATTGGATGATGTCCCAGAAAACGAATTCTTGAAGTTTGCTCTTGGGTTCTCGACAGATGTGTGGCCTCCAAGGACAACGAGGCCGGTAATACCAATGCTGTGAGATCCCAAATTATCAGTCAGGAGAACATTTTTGAGATTGATGGCAGGATCACTCACAATATCAAAGTCATAAGCTTGACGACGCCGATCGCATTGGAGAGCAAAAGAGAGGCTCGGTTATGAAATATGACAACTAAACCAATCAATCAGTCACAATCCACAGAACTTGAAGCGTTACTAGTAGTTATAACACAAACCTAAAACGGCAACTGTATATGCTGCCACTGCAACACCTTTTTCTTGCCACTCAGTTGGTGTCGTTCCAGCAAGATCAAAAAGGTATTCCGCCAAAACTGAGATCAGTTAGTTGTTTCCATTCTGCCAATTTCTCGATGCTCATGTTACCCACCAATAGCATTGCTACTGCTAAAAGAGAAAAGCACTGTCTGAACGGCGAAGATAGTGGGGAAGAGGTACAGAGGACGAGGGAAGGACTGCTCGAGGTAGACAACTTCCGATCCCGAGCGAGAGGGGAAGTACGAGGCGAACTCAAGATATACAGACAGTGTGCTGAACGCAATAAGATAGCCGATAAACCAATATAGCAGACTGAGACCAACCGAGCCGGTTCCAGAGAGAATCGTTGATGCTAAAGACTATCAGACAAGAATTCTAGAACGAGGGTGGCAGAACTCACGAGTTGAAAAGACTCCGGTGCCGATCATCATGCTAAGATTCAAGAAGACAATAGTAACCCATCCGACTGAATACCCAAGAGGACTATGCTGCTCGACTGGAGCGCCACTAGCCTCTTGAATTGTCAATCTGTTGGAATTTTCTCCACCCTCAACCGTGAAATGTAGACTACCTTCTTCAATCTCACTTCCAGAGGGATCAAAGATCACGGTCTCCTCAACCTTCTCATTAGATTTGAACAACCCCATCTTATCGTTGGAGTAGAATAAAAATCCAAAACTTGGACCAGGAAAACCCCTGCTGGATCCAGACAAAACGTTATTTTTTTTGCTCGGAATCCCGGGAGCTGCAATTGAGATCAAAGTTATATGCAGACCGGGGTTCCAACTGCCATGCATCTCATATGTTCCTCATAGGTAGGGTTAATAACGACATTCAGGAATAATGCACTAAGCGCAGGTTTCCTCATTGGTGGTGTTGATAACGACATTGAAGAATAATACACTAATGTTCTTGCGCCACAAGGGGCCAATGATACTTAGCTCATTGCATCAGCTCACGAGTCGTAAGCTTTAATGCCGAAGGGGTTCTTCACAACTACTTACTACATTTTTCTAATTTATTGTGACACTGGCATTAGACTACCACTTACTTATGTTGTACCGGTGGACTTGATGTAGCATAAGAACCATATCAACCGTGGAACTGGCCCTGGTGGACGCTGTTAAATTACTAAGCGATGCTAAAAAAAAGTACCATATGAACCTTGGAAGAATTCCCAGGGGCCATTTGAGCTAAATACACATTTTATGAATCTTATTTTTGCTGGGTCAATCGCCACGCAATCAATATTCGCAACAATTATCTACGTACAGTGAGAGAAACATGATACCTCGATCAACGATGTGCTCCATCTCGGGAATGGGGTGAACGCGCCGACCCGAACCAATAGAAAATACCATATCAACCCGAAAAATTCCCGAGTGGATCCGGCGGTTGGACCATCTTAGGATATGACGAGCAGAATCCGCAGTATGATTCAACATTGAGGGGTTATGTCCTCTTAGATCCACTAGATGTCGGGAGTTAAAAGTACTTTTGACATGTTTGTGGAGTACGAAATATGCCGTATGAGAAACCTCGGTCGACTTCCACTGGCAATCCTAAAAATATCCAGTGTACTCCAGGGCTATTACTGGGTATATAATATATTCATCGGAAGGTTCCGAGAATTCAGGTTTTTCACTGGCTTGTTCGGACCAATTCAAGGCTTCAGCATTACGGATGGAAAAATTATTCCGAAATGAAAAGCTTCAAGTTTGTCTTCAGCTAATTACTAGTGCTAGTGGTGATATGCTATCTGCACACTGGCAGCTCAGCCAGCTAATCCCCCACTTTCGACATCTGTTCAGGTAGGAACTTCTTGAATTTACCTGCTACAAATCAACACTCAGGCGAGTGGAAGGCAAAAGGTTATCTCCAGAACACAGTATACAATTGGCGACCAGAAAGCTCAAGGCTTGGAAATAATCCGACGTGTCAGCGAAGTTTCACCACTGTCCTGTTTAGGAGAATAGTGCTACATTGGCAGCCAAGTTTGGCGGTTGCGAAAAATCTTATGAATCAATTTTTTTGTTACTAATCCCAATTGAGCGAAAGCTACCTCCCTAGGTAGAGGCTTCAAGATAATGAGAGTTGCCTTGCTAGTATCGTATATCTGCTACTACCGACGTGGACCCCAAGAAACTGTGAACTATCAATCCCATCATGATGTGCATTGCGAGAAGAGATAAAGATTCATGATATTATAACTTGGCGTGTGTTAGAACCTTGGAAGGTTCCAAGGTTAAAGTTGGAAGCATAGAATCTATCGATTCAGAGCAAAAATTTGTAACTACCACAGTTTCCAGACCTATTGATGCAAATTTGAACCCTCCGCCTGACGGGAAAAGATTTAAGCATTATCATCAAGGTATGATGATTAGGGTATTCCAAGGTTGTGTGCAAGAGCACTTCGTTCTAACATCATGATGCTCTTCATACAAGATTTGCATCATCGGCTTCGAATGTTGGCTCAATATTGTCGACATCTGTCACATCCGCAACTCTCTCTTCAATAAATACATGCTGAACCTGAGAGGGCCCAACCGCATCTCGTAAAGGCATCTCGAATGGACTTCTTGGACTCTGATTCTCGTAAGATTTCCATAGTCCCAAGCTCAGATTACCCAAAGCAACTGCCAGATTCATACCCCGAGATGATATGACCTGAAAGATCTCTTGGCACCAAAAGAATTTTGCTTCTCGACGTAGAGCCGCGAATGGCTTGGTAACATGGTTCATGCTAGCCACAACAATATGAGCACCCCATGCGCCCATACCCTCTTGCAGGCAGTATGGAATAGCCCGGCAAATTTCGTCCGCATAGTGCTCCGCCATAATAAACTGCTCGCTGGATGGAAGAAAATAACCCGATAATTTCTCACTGCGAGACTCGAGAATCATGATCGAGGTGGTCATCTCGTGGATCAAAATTTCAATGAGAAGAAGTGACGTCCAGTACAGCACATAGAGGCGTGCTGTATCAAGGTTTGCGAATCGAAAAGGTAATCCAAATAGATCACACTTAAGAGAAAAATCGGCCACCATTGGGTCATCGGGGAGATAACCAGATGGTGGATCTCCAAGTGAATCCCTTTTTTGCATATACCAAGTGAGAACCTTCTGTTTATGAGCGAAGCAAACGGACAGCACTACTTGAAAATGTTGGCTTAGCTCGCTCTCCAAGCTGTGAGTTCTAATTTGATCTATCTCGTTGACAATCGAGGATGTTTCAATATAGACCTTGAATATTTCGTCTAGTGGACTTGCGGGAGCATAATTCCGCTCCAAAAGGTATCCGGATTTTGTCCTTGGCCTTTTCAGCGCAGTTGCTGTGTATATCTATGATGCAATGTCGTTAGTATGAATGAAAATCCAAGAAGATCATATAATGGACCACCTACAGATGCAAGTTTATGATTTTCGCAAATTGCCCTTTTGATTGGGCTCTCGGTTATCCTTTCATGACATCGGCCGAGAAGATTATCGGTAGCTTCCATATGTGAAATCCAGACCGCGAGGGTGTTATTGGAGCAGTATATTGTCTGGTAATCAAATAAATTAGCCTCGGATAAATCTCGACAAGGTGATATACCCGGATGCCTATACCTCAAGGACTTGAAAGACAACAGTAGTGTACAAGACATCATCAGTCACCAAACCTCGACGCAGCATGTTTGCGAGAATTCGAATCGCCTGGTTGTACAGTGTGACGCCATGGCGTAAGACCGAGTCATTATTAGTTATCTTACCCAGATAAATGCAAGACACCGCTGCCAGTGCCTTTTCAAGCATGATAGACTTTTTAGATAGTCCCAGAAACTCCATGAGTATAAAGTGCCATGAATCAACAGCAAGACCTCCTTCCAAGTTGATTGGGAAGTAGTTCATTATATATGTTGAGCAAACTTGCACACGTCTCTCAGGGCCAGATGGCATCTGTAGCGGCAATCTGCCATGTGCGGGCAATCTGGCTTGACGCGTACATGTCACAGATTGGTCTAGGGTAGCAGATTTTGCTTTCGGTTTCTCATAATCCGATCGAGAGAAAGTCTTGTGAATGAAGATTACATCTTCATATCCTGGACATGCAATGCCTCGCTTGATACATCGGGCACATTCCGGCTTTTGTAGATCACACTGTATCACGGTGTTGTGTCAGGGGGCTGGTTCTTAAGCGCTGATAGTGACACTCACTCTAATTTTGCGTTTTTTACAGATAGCACAAGCGGCCGATGTCCATGGTTTACCACCAATTCTTCCATCCAGATTAATATGATGTAACTGTCGGCATCGTTTGCGGAGAATATGATTTAGTGAGTGAGAATCAGCCTGATGGATCGATAGAGGTCCCCGCGTTGATCCCTTCCGACTTAAGCCCCCACTGTAACACACGTCATCGAAGCGGTTCGATTTTCTCAACACTGCACAATTGGTTTGTTAATTAGTAAGAGGAAAAAGATACATCTAGTGAAATTGTATCCAGAAATTTAATATGAAAATTTGTATAAGACGACATAGCTCCAGTATTCACGAAAATGCACCAGGGGCCTTAATTGGACCCTTGCGCACGGGCACAATCCTGCCCAGATGTAGTATTCTTTAGTACGATCTGGACGAACATCGAGGATGAGATCAAGAACTCAAATAACCGAGATGGAGTCTTCAGGCTATCTGTGATTGTACATACATGCACATTGGCACATTGCATTTTGTGGAGCTACGTCGTGGTGACGTGAATTGATTGGCCACCTACTCGGTTTCCTACAGATTAATGGCCAACTGAATTCCACATCCTCTTCCAAATCCGACTAATGGATCGACAATACTGGCGAGTTATTGCACCTGGCCGAAAAGAGGTAACAGGGTGTATCGGTGAGCTGGTTGAGGCTTTACTATCAAGTGGCGCTGCCAATCTTGTACCCCTGCTAGCCCGCCCGTTGAATGCCCATAGGTCCGTTAAATTGATCGCTCTCGATAGTGTTCCGTGAAACTGATTGATCTTTAGGTTCGAAAATGTCGAAGTAATCCCAGGAGAGAATGTTGAAGACGAAAAGGAGAGAGGCTGTACCCGGCGAACACAAACAAGAAGCCTATCGCAAAGCCATCTAACTGAAACGAACCGAATCGAACAACACCATGCAATCTTGAAAGTCAATCCTGGCATTGATAATAACCTTAAATCCTTCCCATGTCTTCCCTCGGAGATTCACCATGCCATCTTCAACAACATTGACGATGTCCAAGATGTTTTGTGCCTAAGTCTCACGAGTCGATACTTCTGGGCTGTCGGGCTAAGCCACATCGAAGATCATATCGTCTCCTCTTTAGCTCCATGGGCAGGCGAGCGCATCATATGTGTGAGTGAACGTAGTGATCCACGCGATTTCCCACCCGGTCTTCTCAGCCCAGCCGAACAAGAAGACTTGATTGAGTTGAACCACGTCCATGATCTTAACAACTTCTCAATAAAACATAAATGGAAGAAAACTGGGGGTCCATCATTATCACAGAGGCTTCAAGAATGGTTCAAGGAATATGAAGCAAAGCACCCGATGTCGAATGCCGACCGTATCGAAATCAGCACAGGGCTGAAGCCGGAGATTCTGGAGTTTTATCCCCGTAATCAGCCGTGGGTTCTGCGAAATCTGACAACAAAGGAATATGTTCGTGGTGAGGCTCTTGCTCTGAAGGACTTGTTCATACACGGTCCTCATATTGACGTGATTGGATTCTCGGAGGTTTTGCTATCTCGCATTTCGTGGTCAAGTCAGCCTGTGGAAGTTGGTCATGGGAAAAACATGGCCCATGGGAAGTGGGCGGGTCATCGATTCGAAATTACTCCTCTGGCAACGCTCAAGAAAGAGAGTGATAGCGCTCAGTGGGTTGATGTTAGTGATGAGCTATTTCGAGAGTTAGACGTTATCGTGACAAGTCAGAGAGGAGACGATTGGCGTGATCATCTTTCTCGGCGGAACCAGGAGGTTCCTGCTCCTGTAGCATTGGGATATTCATAAAATGTACAATGGGTGTCAAGAATCCTTAAAACTGGTATTTATTCATTTCATTTACATCGGCATTTCAAGTACAAACGGAATGGCTGTACCAGCCACAAGGTTCAACACAACAGAAACATAAATCGGATTTCGTATAGACAAAATGGGAAAGTTTTACATCTCATTGCTGCTTTCGAGATTCCTTTCCTTTCGGTGACCATGGAAAATGCCAAACTGGAGGTATAAAAAAGCTGTTGCTGTCATCCGCAACTCCAGCAAACGCTACATACCATGCCAAAAATGCCGCTAGAAGTGCGAAAAGACCCCCAGCCTTTAGAACCTTTTCGTTGGGCTCTTGCTGCGCATTGCGTTGTAGGTATCCGACTCCAAGAAGGAGGAAAGCGATATCGACGGAGAGGAAAAGGGAGAAGAAAACCACGGTTGATTTTACGGTGCATAGAAGCATGAGGAATGTGAAAATAAACCAGCCCTGGGATTCAATAGTTAGAAATCGGCGATACGACCGAGGGCATAATTTGAGAGGTTCTTACCATTAGAAACAGCCCAAGAGAGTCATAGAACATTCCCAAACCCCCATCCGGATCAGCCTCAATCAGGGATTTCTGAATATTGAATCCACCAGGAGTGAAAGTAATTCCCAGTGAGATCCAGAACCCACCATACGATGACAACGCAGTTGCTCCAAACGTGTTTCCGACCGCCATTTCCCTGTAAGTAGTTAGGTGCCAGTCGTCTCTAATTCCACCTGGTAAACTCACCACATCCCCGAAAGGAGCTGAATCAAACCACCATACGCAAATGCCGGCCCAACAACCATATTCGGCTCAGTAATTCCTCGAGTCTGCATATTGATGCACCCCAGAACGAACGTGGTGAGTGCAAAACCACAAAGACCCAATGGGGCAGGATTGGCAAACTTCCGTTCGGCAACTGGGCGATACAGGCCAGGTTGGAACTCACCACCAAATGGTGAGAGACGAGTTTCTGCTGTGTTCACATGGGCGAGGGGACCATACTCGAGGTATGAATGATTCTTTGACGCGTTATTTGAAGTGCTGGAACTTGTATCACCAGCTTCCAACTTGCGAGGATCGGTCTGCAGTTCTGAATTGGACATTTTCACAAATATTGCGCGGATCGCCCTGCATGAGTTCTAAAAGAGAACAACATCCATGTTCAGGGGGTCGCCATTATTTTATAATATTGGTCCGATTCCATTTGCGAGCAAGCTTCTGGAGGATCGGCAATGGAGATTCATCACGCTCCCGATAGCTGAATATGAAGTGGACAAGATCGTCATAATTAGTGAAGATCGGACTAGAGATGCATGAAACAGGTCAAATCTCCGCAATTTTATCCAAAAGATGCATGAAAATATAAAGTTGTGTCTCTAATACTAGCCTATTTGAGACTTGGAGCTCATATCGTGGCAAGAATCCAATATCGGTTCGGACCAAGGAAGGATTTAAATATTTCCCCACGTTAATCCTCTAATTGTCGATCTTCCAGCTATTAGCGCAGGGTTGATCCCCACATATAAACCCTCGTTGTGTCCTGGACGAATCATGAATCCATTGTGAGGAGTTCCGTTGACGAGATCTCCTCAAAAATAAGTACATGAAGTTAGAGTATCAAGATAGTGAGTATCACTGCAGAATATTACTCCACCAGAATTTCTTTTGTCGGCTCAGTGATTCAAATTTGAGATGACAATTTGCTATTGCTTTCGAGTACAGTCAACCCCCAATTCAACTGCAATATCTCTGACCTTGGAACTCTTCATCCATTTTGGAAGTTGGAAAGTCTGCTCAAGTTTCACAGTTAAAGCTCTATCTTCCATTACAAAGAAAAAGAAATGCTTCTCGTTCACTATGACCTCGGGAAGCGTGAATCTTTGGATATTAGGCATTATCCAATTATGTCTGAAAGATTTCAAAGTCGAAAAACTCTGAGTCACTATGACTTGAGTGCCAGAAGAAAGACCCATGCTCCCTGACTATGAATCATGAGCAAAATAATCATTTACTGTCTTTTATGGAGTCGAAGGTAGGTTACAGGAGCAAATCAACTCATGAAAGCCAGTATTACTCTATATCTGGGCAACCTAATCCAGGAAAGAGGTCAGATTCATCCCATTCATTACCCAAGTCACCAGCATTCAGTGTATTTGGAAAATTCTCGTTATTCATCATAGACTAAGTCCTATGTTGATGTTTCGAATTTTCGAGTCATCCGCCCCATCGCTACTCCCGAGGTCGCTGGTCGGGAATCTTTTGTTTGATGAGTGTGAGGATTTGGGCAGTCACTATGAGACCTTTGCAAATGGGTCTCCCGCAGCAAAATCTTTGTTCCGCATCCAGTCCCGCAAAATCCCAGGAAATCCCAAGAAATCCCGCGTGTAATGGGACGAAATTTTGCGGGACGAAGCGGGATTCCCTGGGACGGGATCCCGACCCATTTGCGAAGGTAGAGCACTAATAGAAGGAAAAGGAGGCATTAACACACTCGGGGGATAGTTTGGTTCTCTCAATTTTTTGAAAGTGACTACACATGTGCTTCAAACTGTTCAGTCTTACGTACATAAAAAAGAAATTAAAAAAAAACAGTACTGCTACATGATACTCGTATACGGAGTACAAAAGAAGAGAGAGGATAGAGAGGCATCGGACTTAATGCCCTAACTCCGAGGGACTTCAAACAAACAGTGCAAACTTGAACATCAATTCCAATCACCAAGAGAAAGACAAAAAAAATAATTAAGAGCCTGGACACAGGAACAGAAAAGCCAAAATGGTAAACTCACCACCCGAAACTTGACTACACTATCAACTGACAGAGTCTCTAGCTCCGACTAAACCCCGGCGCCCTCGCTGTCGCCCTCTTTACCACCACCGCCGCGGTCGCGTACGCGCGCACAGGAACAATCCAACAACCCCTCGAAGCCCTCCCTACGAACACAGCATTGGTCCTCGCACTCTTCTCATTCCTCGGTGGCGCTTTCGAATCCATTATTACCAAGACTCCTGTCGCACTTATACTGGGCCATATATTCGGCGCCGTGTATGCGCTAAGCTATGCGCGCTTGAGTGCAGGCCAGCCTTCCGGTGCGGAAATTGGATTATATGGATCCTTCGCTTTAGCTGTGATTGCGTTGGCGGATACGGGCTTGGATCTGGCCCCCAGGGAACTGGGATACGTTGGGGCTTATGGAGTTACAGTCTTTGGTAATGCCCACGGGGGTGTCGGCTTGGCTGGGACTTTGCTCTTTGCGCTTCTCCTGTTGGGCTTTCGGGGCGAGATTAAGCAGATAAGGAATCGAGTGAATGAGCGGTTGGCGGAGTTAGAGAGACGATAGACTAATAATGGTGAATGGATGTTATACATTTCTTGGCTTGGCAGTGCACAAGGCATGTTCTAGATACAAAGAGAAACTGGGTATCTCCCATCGGGAGGGAAATTTTAATATCCAACTCGCCTTGAAAACTCCCAGTCTCTTGCAAGTTCCAATTGTGCAAGGTGAATTTTCTGATCTTCCGGATCTTCGAAGTGTCTCTGAGCTGTAATTGATGCACTACCAGCACTCTCCGGCTTGACGAAGTATGGCGAATCCACCTCACACTGGGTATATGTCGCAGGTAGTTTCCCTTCGTATAGGAACTCGCGTACATGCTTCATAAGACAGACAGACCCCACTGCAACGGAGCAGTGGCCGTAGCCTTTGACCTCGACGATCTGGGAGTCCACGAATGCTTCGTTGGCAGAGCGGGCTGATACCAGTGGGCACACGGGGTCATAGGTAGTCGAAAGGATCAACAACGGATGAGCCGTCTCGACTCCTTTGCGTGGTACATATGAATGTGTCTTTGGTACACTCCAATGTTGCTTCATGTAGTATCCCTTTAGAAATTCATTACCGAAGAGACTTTGGTTGAGCCAGGGCGTGATCTCCTCAAGCAGTGCCTGTCTACCCTGAGGCCAATGATCAGCACCAGTTCTGCCATCATTAAATGTGACAAACTCGTTTGCTTGGTGCTCCCAGTCCCCCAAGGTCTCAGTAGCATACGCCAGGAAAGCATGGGTGGCATTGCCTTGAATGAGTTTGTATAGGTTCTCAGCTAGAGAAAACCATGTTCGAGGCTTATACAGAGCCGGGAAGATGCCGTTGAACATAACCTGGCTATAGTCTAATAAACCATAGGCAGTGTTATTGATATAAACACTGAGAGGTTGGTCGTGGAGTTTTTCCAGGTAAGAGAATACTACCTGACGTAGCTCATCTGTGGATGTCGCGAGTGAAGACAGAGTGCAGTTTGTCTCACCCGCCTTCATGCATTCGTCGAAAAATCCATCAAGGACAGAATCGGCGTCAACCATGGTGTCTGTCTTAAAGGATCTCCCATACCAATCAAACTGGTTGACCACTCCATCGATGATGACACGCTTCGATCTTTCAGGGAACATAGCTGCGTACGTTTGCCCAAGAAGAGTGCCATAGCTGAAGCCCCAGTAGTACATATCTCTTTGACCAAGCGCATCGAGAATACTATTCATATCGGCTGCTGTCTGTGGAGTGTTGATATATTTCCCATATTCTCCCATTGTATCAGAGCAAGCTTTGGCGAAATTCTGGCTCCATGCGTAGACTTCGGGGCTATCTGAGGCATCATTGGCTCGAACACGCGACAGTTCCTTTCTGGTCTCGGGGTCAGGATAGCAAAAGGCCGTGGGTGTTGAGCTATTGACGCCGCGGGGGTCGAACGAGACTAGGTGGAAGCCGTCGCCCACAAGTGCTTTGATCTGCTCGCCTCGGCGGTACACAAACTCGAAGCCGCTTCCTCCAGGTCCACCGGGGTTAAGAAGGAGGTTCAGACTGCCCTCTTTTCCAGGAATACGAACGAGTGGTATGGTAAAGGTCTTGTCTCCTGAATTCTCCGGGTCGAATTGATCCATCGGTACTTCGATACTGGCACACTGGCGTGGGTGACCATCGACCTCTCCACATGGTTGCCACAGGGAATTCTCAGTAGGAGCTTTACCAGAGTGGCATTGTGATCGCGATTTGGTGAATATGCGATTGAGGTTGAAATAGGGGGAAAACAAGAACCCGATGAGTGCTACTGCTGATAAGAGAATCCATCGTGTCCGGGGTAAAGTTCGGGACTGTTGCTTCCACGCAACTTGGGCTAAGGGAAGCTTCTCGTCCATCATGCAATTTTTAATCCAAATTGTTCAATTGAGGAAGCTCACAAGTCAACGGATGCAAGGAGCTTTTGGATCAGGAGAGGAAGCGGGGTAATTGCAGGATTCAACACGAGTTAGCGTCTTACGGACTCCGAGTCTTGTCCCTTGTAATCCTTGCAATTTTATTCAAATGTGAGTGGTTCTTTGAAAGATCCGACCTCTCTCACGATAATGATGCTTAATTCTCATGGCGAGCTTATAATTTTCTATTTTGCGCAAATTCCATGCGGGTTGTCATATCATTGTGAATTTGCCTCCTAGTTTTATGAAGCCACAAGATTTGAGCTCTTCACTGAGTCCTGACTCACACTGAGCCTGAAGTCATTCAACGCTCGTAGTTTATTACCAACTTGAACCTTTTCTCCCTCCGAAAGATCAACAAACTTGAAATCCAAATTCGCCTCTCGGTCGAGTTTGAGAAGTGCCCAAAGACCTAAAAATGCCAGTATCTGAGAGAATGGTTTGTCAGTACTTAAAATGTTCGAGCTTGGGAGTCTAATCGTTTTTCTCACAGTCAAATAGGATGATAAGAATGATAGTGAATGGAAGCCGTTCCAAATAGCTGCGCCATTTGCAAATATAAGGCAAAAAAGACATCCTGCGAATGCCGCGTACGCAAGGTATGGCTGCCAGTGACTTTTGTACGGGTACTCGAAAGGTTTATCCTCATTCCAGCGCTGAACTAAGGGTATATCCTCCTCTTCAATGTGATCTCGATGACGGTAAATACTAGATAGGGACAGATAAGGTCAGCATTTAGTCTCTTTCTTAATCAACTTGAAGGACAACCCTACCAATGATAAAACCTGATGAAAGCCAGGCATTCGCATGCCCAAACAATCAAAGTACTCACGGAAGCCATCGTACTCATCACCTCCACGAACTACAGACATGTTAGCTCCCATGCTAAATATTCAGGGGTGGAGTTTCTCGCCTGATTGACACTATCAGTGGAGTTAATATCTCCAGTCAATTGCAAGAACGGTATCCAGCCAAATGCGATCGCTGAAAAGAGAAGTGCACGAAGAGGGACTTTATTCCCATTTGTCCTCCCAAACCAAGTAAAAACCTTCAAATGGAATCGCCTTCGACTTTCTCCCGCAGCAAGTCGACTAGCCAGGCCAAAGAGAGCGCGCGAGGCAATATATAAATTTGTACTTGCAGCGGTGAGACAGGTAAAGACGAGAAAGAAGTTGAAAATATCTGGCAAATGCGGTATTTCAGACGCCTGAGCAATGAGAACAACTGGCGCTTCGCTTCTTGAAGAGTTGCAATCAGGCTGATGGTCATTTGAGAGCCAAGTGGGTGTTGTTAGGCCACACTCGGTGCGCGGGATATCCAGAGTAGCAAGTAGCCCACATACTGTGTAGCCAATCGTGACAATGACGGGAATATAGATGGCGGAGAACTTGATTGTATTGTCCATGATATGCAACCGGGTTTGCGAAGGGTTCTTTGGCTTGCACCTATCATTATCGTCACCTTGAGGATGGTGGGGATATTTCGCTTCGAGAGCAGATGCCGCGATGACCTCGACCCCAGTGTATGCAAAACTTGATATTGATATGCACATTCTGAAAGGTTAGTTTTATGAGCCATGGTGATTATTTATATGACTTACAAAAGTGCAATGAACCAATTGTTCGCTGCTTTGTGATCATAATCGAGGGGGTGTTGCCAATCTATTTCTGGTAAGACTTGTATATCAAAAGACGAGTCGTAGTTCGGGGCTGCTCACATCTTGTACCAATGGCTTCGCCTTCAGGCATACCAACTAGTAAAATTCAGTCAAATTAAATGGTATTTGGAGGACTTTGAATTTCGATCTTACCGCCACGGTTGATTGCAATCAAAACCACAATGATAATTAGCAAGAAAAGCATTTTGATGCTCCCAGTCACTACCTCGAGAAAGCCGTAGATCTGATGATTGGATTAGAAATAGTTTCACTCGGCCAAGATCGGAGTACAGTACTCACCTCAATCTTCAGCATGTTCATGAGTACTAGCAAAACAGGAATGCAAAAATAAACCACGCCACCTAAAATGCCCTTGCTATCACTAATTCCAGGCCAGAAACCAAGCTCGGTGGCTGCAGAAGGGAGTAATGTAGCGTAACACATCGCATATTGGAACCTAAGGTCTTGTTAGTTTCTGTACACTGCTGCTTTCGAATATCTACGTACCAGTAAGCAACACCAACGGCGACGCCCAGTTCCGGGTCCACGAACTCGCTGACATACATTGGCAGCGCACCCGGTACAGGCCAGATACAAAGTAACTCACTGATGCACTGCATGACTGCCCATGAGAGTATCCCCACGAGAAGAAAAGCAAGTACAACTGCTAGAGGCCCTCCAACCTCCAGAATCTGACCTCCTCGCAAATAGAGTCCACTTCCAAACACTGCATTGATTGTAATCATCTTGTTTTCGAGTTAGGTAAGAAACTTGTATTGATGATCTTGCTATTGACTAGGTCTAACTCACAAATAAATGAATACCCCTCAGTTTTCGGTTCACTGTTGTCCATGCCGGCGGAGCGTCATATATCCTTATTGGTGTGGTTTCCCGAATTTCGTGGATGGACTCAGAGTCAGTAAACACATTTTCGGTAGTTGTAGTGCCAGAATCTGAAGAGATTGACGATGGTCCCGAAGAACTGGGAGGCGGAACAAAAGTAGTGGGATGTTGAATAGTGTTGTCAAGCTGATAATGTTCCTCGTATTCAGTCCTGTTGTCACTTTCAACATCACGTTGGCTGCCAGAGAAACCAGGTCTCCATGTCTCTGGCAGCCAATCTGGCCACCAGTCAAGATTTTCATTCATAGTTGATTCAGACAAAGAAGATCACGATTAGTCTGGTATTCTATGTCATATTATCAGTAAACGTGGACCTCGGGGTCCACCAGTTCGGGGTCAAAGTCCTTATCATCAGCCGCAATGTACTGCGCCCAGTCCGCCCAGACCGGGAAAAGAAGGCACCGCCACTTGCGAGTATGCGGACAATTGATTTACTTTTTTTTTTATCTCGCTTTGGCCCCTTTTGCGCCGGTTATGCATCATTTTTCGGAATAGTGTCAAATATACACCCCCAATTATTATTGCGACCTTGGAAGTGTGTCCTATTAGGCTTAGTTTGGAAGCTTCTATACGACGAAGGTAAGGCATGACTTTCCGGTCTGAACAACAACTACCGAGTAATCTGTACGGAGTGCATCCAGTCATGGACGTGCACTTGGCATCGGTACTGTGTCCGTGTATTCTTCTGGATGGGAATCTCTAACCGAGTAACCTATCTAGGATACGAGGTGTCCGTTCGTAATAGACTGGGGTGTCAATTTAACAGAGTCTCATTTTTGAGGCTATTAGCGGGCTGCGTCGGCTGTTCCTTCTACAGAGTAGAGTCTTCTAGGTAGAGACAAGTCACATCAGCGGGGTCTATGATGAGGATTGGCTCGAACACCTTCCAGATGTTCTTATCTTGCATATTCTGTGCGTGTTTGCGCTCGGGTAATGCGCCACATCACGCGCAGTATGCCCCTGAGCAGGGGGCTGTTTCAACCGACTGGTCTGACGCATATTTGGCTGTTGCATTAGGTGTGTGGTAAAGTACGCAGCTTATCAGCACGCACACCTGGCATGCCAAACCAATGGAAAGATTTTCCAGCCTGAGGCTATGTGGCCTAATCCACAGGCAAAATTTAGGAAGAATTTCAAATGTTCTACTCGTACATGGAGAGCAGATAAAAATAAAATTGGGAAACTCTAGTAGGATAGTACTTCTGCCTGGAATTTGGTCAATTTATATTGAGAGCTCAATCAAGCTTTCACTTCAGGCTATTCCGAGTCTTTGCACTCAGGATCCAACCATGGCTTGACGTTGATCCTGTACATTGCACGATAACCTGAAGGGTCTACCGTCAGCGAGGCAATGAGAACGATTGACTCGTCATTTGTCTCGCAAAGTCGCTCTTTGAATGCATATTCCGACAGGAGACCAGGGAGGGAGGTAAGCTCCTCCACATGAAGGACGCCCTTGCCTCGCGATCTGTGAGTTTCCTTCTGAGACCACTTCAACTCTAGCAGGAGTATCTTGTGGCTTGCCTGTGGTCTTCCAACCGCGAGTATTTTGCCATATTTTTGACTGACCATTATTCGAAGAACGCGGTAGTCCTTTATATCATGCTGGAAGGATGTCATTTTGTTTTGTAGTGAGAGACTTTGGATGTGTAACTTCTTCTCCCGTGTGACCACTATACAGGTATTCAGATCCGGATAGAAGGGAGAGAACGTGGTAAAAAGACCAACATTGCTGGTGTGGTCCACGTCCTAAATGACTTTAGTTGAATTCTGTTCTGGAAAATGGTTCCACGTACCTTTGACTCGATTATCAATGAATTTGACATGTTTGTTCTCAAAGATAAATGAAAAAGAGTGATTCCGTAGCTGTGAGCGTTGAGGGAAGAATCAGGCCTCACGACCCAGTACAAATCATCATTGCTCTGAAATGCCATGTGGGCAATATCTGTTGTGGGTCTATCGAGGCTCTTGAGCTTTTTGCAATTCTTAGGTGATGTTCTTCTTGCATAGTACAGGGCTCCGAATGTATCTTTTTCATCGCCTCGCAGAGCAAATGCTATTGTCGCCCCGTCAGGAGAAATCGCCAATCTTGCTATCTCCGGCAAGTCTGTACGGTCATTTAGCTTATAGCTTTCCAAACTGAACAAAGGGGCATTCCCATCTTGCAGACCAAAGAGATAGTACTGTATTACAGGGCTATTAGGTGCTGCTTCATATCTTTAAGGGTGATGAGCTAACCTGAAAGCCTCCTGATGTTGAGGCTACCAGATAATCCTCCATCAAAGCAATGCTTTTCAACATTCGGCTCTCTAGCTGGTTCTTTAGCACCCAGGTGTCAACTGGCCTGATCTTGGGGTCTTTTGATCCCAGAGATGACTCGGAAGTATAGATCAAGATATTGTTATCAGTCCAAAAAGCTACCACAGAGCCATCTGGGGATATTTCACATCCTTTGAACGGATCTGTCACTTCGAGAAACTGCTTTTCAACCTCTGCACTGAGATGAGGCTCATCCTTCCGACTGAGTAATCGATTGAGCCCGGTATTTTCCAAAACGAAATCCAAGGGCGACAGCCGCTCTCCGGGCTCTCCAGGATCCGCTATTACCTCGTTGTATAGTTTGCATGTTTCCTTCAAGTTATCCTCTATTGTCTGGGCATAGCACCGATTCTTCTGGTCCTGAAAAATTTCGTCTTCCAAGAATCGAAGTGTAGACTGAACTGCACTGCCTTCAAGACGGCTTCGAGCCATGGCCTTATTAATCAGTTCAGTATGCCACTCTTTGATGGCAGGATGATGCACTTTGGCAGAGCTCATGTGTTTGTCGTGGACAAAAAATCGATCATAGCCATTTGACTTTCTGTGATTCGATCTGCGGCCCGAGTACACCTCCAAACCATGGCTGCCTTCTTCCAGGAAGGTAAAGACGACACTAATTACACAGCCAAACGACCAAACATCACTTCTCGTCGTCATAGTTGGGAAGCTAGCCATAGACTCTGGTGGGAGGTACGTCCCTTCCCATCGATGATTCATGGTTGGAGGTGCTGCTGACATATTTTGAGGTTCAGCCTTGGCCCGCTGCGCAAACCAATTGCGAAATCCCCTGACCCTCACTTCATTCTGTCCACGCTGTCGAACTTTTATACGAGACATTCCAAAATCACTGATTTTCCAGATGTAGTCTCTGCTAGTAGAGTTTCCGTTCTGATAGACCAAAATATTTGCAGGCTTCAAATCCATGTGATAGCACACGAGTTCATCCCCGTCTTTCGTTTTCATCTGGGTATGAAGGAATCCCAGTCCACCGGCTAAACCTCGAGCATTTTGTATGACTGCCAGTCTCTCCAGTGGTGTATTAGCTTTGTCTTTGTGGTGCTCAGTCATGTAGTCCTCAAGGTCGCAGATGGCGAGGGGCATGAGGAGACTATACGTTGAAGAGCCAACAATGATGCTCCCAAGGCTTTTCACAATATTCTCATGTTTTGCAAGTGACAGAATGATTTTGATAATTTCATGGTTCTCCTGGGCCTCCAGTGACTCTGAATCATTGATGATAAAGTCCCGTCGAGCAAGCTCTACTGGCTCTTTGTTTGAACTCTTCAGGTTAGGATCATAGAAATGACCCTTAGCGATTTTCACAGCATAAACTGTTGCGAATGAACCGTTGCCTCGAAGCTTCTCTTCGATAAAAGGGAGTCTTTGTTGTTCCAGACTTTGAATTGGGACTTCAATTCCTTTTACTATCATCACAGGACAGAAAATGGCTTGCTTGGAAAGGAACTGGTCTGGTGTGATTTCTTCCTCGAAGAGCTCTGTCAAAAACAGTCTATTTGTTGGAAGTGAGCAACTTTCGGCTTCAAGAGATCCAGTAACTAAAAGCTTGTTCGTGAAATTATGCGCCGGCTCAATCTCAAATGTTGAGAAAACCAAAATAGCCAGGAATTTTTGGAGTTTCTTGTCCTCTACCCTGCTGGCAAGGATTTCTGCATTTAGGGCGAGTGATAGATTGCTGGAATCCGGTGAATGGAGACATTCGAAGAAGCGAATCAAATTTCTGCGATCCAGTATTGACTCAGCGGTACCTTCAATGGCAAACCGATACGTATCATCTTGGCTGCGCTGGAATTCGTTAATGAAGTGTGCATATAACTCCTTGCATAGCAGAGCATACGGAGTAGACGACATGCCGACAGTTGAGTGAGAGAAGTATGATGAGGGTCTCTCTGGAGTCTCAGCAGGTGATGAAATGGGCTCGAAACCTTGAAATACGAGAAGCAGCCTATTTATCGGATGTTCCGCCTCAGACTAGACATTGTACATGCGGCTGAGGGAGTGATCGATCATCGTACTTCTTATCGCCACGCACACCTGTTCATCTCTCATCGGGCGCGCCTCCGCCCGGGCGAAATCAGTTGAAATTACAATATGCATGATTCGTAATTCATTTCACTTGATAACGTAGTTCCCGGTCGAACCGGACACCCGGTCGAGTCGGACACCCCAAAACACATACTAAATGCGATAAATTACTACTTCATATCTCAACAACAATATGCTCTTTTTACTTAAATATTTGGATATAGGCTTTTCCTAGCATGCAAAGTAAATTTTATTAGTTTAAAACAATTTAGATGATTGTTTCGATGCTTTACCATAAAATACAGCGTAATTTTGACATGGGGGAGATAAATATATATATCTTTATTAATACATCCAATGATCCCTTCAACTTCGCCAATGGGCTGTGTATACTCTTTAGATTCTATTATATAAAGTATAATATCATTAATTGATATGGTTGTTGAGATATGAAGTAGTAATTTATCGCATTTAGTATGTGTTTTGGGGTGTCCTGTTTGACCGGGAACTACGTTATTGATTGGTCTTACAAATATACACTGGGTACTGACTGATTGCAGCAAGAATCACCCGGGTGCATCACTATGCTTTCGTTCTCCGGAAAGCTCGCGAAATTTGCTTCCATGGCCGACGGCTTTTCTCCTCACCAGCTTTGGATTCGGTTACTTTGGGGCTTCCTGAGTTTAATGGTTTTTTGTTGACCTCATCTGGCGATGCCGAACCTCTCCACTCTTTCGAGACAGCATGTTTCTCCTGGAGCATGCTAATAAGTCGTGTGCGGTACTGCGCAATCTGTTGACAGTGCAAAGAGGCTGCAGGCTGGGTCTTGTGGTGGGTGAAATCAGCCACCTCGCCGGATGGGAGAAGCTCAATGATCCGTAGCGCTGATCTCCGGAATTGGACTGGTTTTTCAACACCACGGTAACTTTTTGATCTCCAAATGATGCTCGCGTTGGGATCTGCTGCAGACATGATCATGACAACAACCAGATTGAGCAATGTTCGTGAATAGCCTCTTTCATCATTGAAAGTTTCCAAAAATTCTCCATCGTACAATAATTGGCTGTGCAGAGAATCTAAAAGCGATTCCCAGGCACTGTTTTCATTTGGACCCTTTGCTCGACAGTTTGGACTTACTCCGTAGTCTAGCAGCAGAGAAATAATTTTCGCGTATCTCATCACTCGCAAGGATTCCGACGCTGCGTACACAGAGGAAGAAGTGTCGGGACCAGGGCATGCAAGAATGAAGCTGGTGACAGCAAGATGGAGAAGTCCTTCAAGCTGTACTTCATCATAGTCACCGAAGTCTAGCTTATCTTGTAGATAAAACGATAGGCCCCATGTCACTGACAAGGGTAGGAACGAATTGGGACGGTCACAGACTGTTAAGGCTTCGCCGAAGGGAGAAGCAGCAGTGTAGAACTTTTGTTCCCCTGAATCGCTTCCTGGGCTCCATACTTTCGCGAACTGATAAGACACTGTGCGATTGAGCTCATCCAACAGCTCTGTTGTTAGACCGGTTTCGCGATCTATCATGGAGCAGTGGTAGAGGCAATTTTGCATACACTGCGAAGGTAGAGAGTCACGGTCCACCATCCACTGCTGGGGGAGGGATTTTGCCAGCAAAAGACATGAAGAAGCCAGCGAGAGCTGAGGATCAAAGTCTGACTTTGATGTTGCTAGATTCAGCCAATCCTTTGATTCTATCTGCTCAGTGAGAAACTCGAAGACAGTACGATGCAGGAACGCAACAGTAGGCCGCCGGATAGACATGAGTCTGCCTCCGGAGTACTTTCGATCTCTGATCTCCAGGAGCCCGCAACAACGACTCCGAATACGGCCATCCATCTCTTCAGTCCTCCTGGTCTCCTCTGAAGAGGATATCTCTCGAATAGGTGTGGTCTTTGCATCTACAGGCTTCTGATCTGCAAACGACAACTGTAGAGTCGTGATTTCTTCACCGTTTACCACTCCCACGCTGTTCAAAATTAACTGGAATATTTGCGAAGCTTGCTGTGCGTAGAGCGGCCCAATATTTCGCAGCATGTGTGAGTATAAGTCCATCAAGTCTTCTGGGAGCTCATCCACCCGCCGCTGCAGATCCTCATATCTATCCATGCTCTGGACGCCGAGAATGATAGATTTTACGACAAGGATGATCCATAGGAACACACCAGACGCGCGGTCCACGATTTCCAAAATCAATGCATCGGCGCGATCTCCGACTCGGCGCTCGAGTTGATCCTTTACTTTGTCTTGAACAAAGACCATAATATCATCGTGTGTGAGGTCTTGCAATCGCAGACTTGGAAACTCGGAGAAGGCCGCAACACAGGGAGTTATAGGGCGACTGGATACGAGGATCTTAATATGCGGTGAGTGGGATGCAAATGCTATCAACTCGAGAAGCTCCGAATAATCACCCTCGCATTCATCCACACCATCAATGAAGAAACAGAAACGTAGGTTCTCACTGCAGCCTCGAATAAGATTCTGAAATGCTTTTGTAAGTTCACTGAAACTTGGCTCTTCAAGCTTGACAGGTGGCTCATGGATTCTGAACACCGCCTCGTTCGGCTTGCTTATGGGTTGAATTCCTGCCGCCTCTCTGCACAACTCGGGAACCACTTGCGGAATCAGATGAGGATGTCTTCTGAGAGCATCATAGAGAAGGGATCGTATGAGACCAGCAGGAGATTTTTGTAGCGACTTTCCCAAATTACTGAGGAAAAATGATGAGATGACTAGCTCATTCTTACCGGCCCAACCCGAAAGAGATTTCGCCGTCTTTGGATGGTTGTAAATGAACTTCATGAGAGTTGACTTGCCAGACCCTGCTTTTCCATTTACCCAGTAACAGCCATGTCCTTGTTCGAGCCATTGAGAAAAGTTACTCCACGGCTTGTTCTCCACGTCCGGGTCGTGGTAGATCCACTCATACGTGTTCCGGTGAGCATTGTTCACAGTATCATACCGGTGATCAATCTGTCTGAAGTGAAGGCAGTCGAGAATCTTCGATTGAACCACCTGAAAGTTTTGTACATGAAAGTCCACATGCTCGAAAATTGGCCTTTGGAGAGTCATTATGGTTTCTTGCGTGTGGAGGTCAGGGGTCACATTAGTTTGATTCCCAGTAATGACCTTCGAACTTCCATCTCGGAGTTTGAGGATTGCTGATATGATCTCTTCGTGTCGGACTTTGGCTTTTTGTTCATTCTGAGAGATTGAGTGAGACAGCTCGGCTGTATTGTTGCCTATGGTTGATTGCAACAGCTTGCGATTGATGGCTACGATATCGACCACATCCCCGTGCGCTTGCTCCAGTCGATCAAAACGTTGCTCTTGTCTCTCTCCTTGGGCAATTGTTCTGGTATTTATAACAGCCAGAACACGCACGGCAATCTGGTCTTGGAAGGATTTGATGCGTTTCCGCATTTCCTTGATCTTGTCGTGGTTCCATCGGCTCCGAATTGCTTGCAGGAAGCTTTCCCAGTATCCCATGCCAGGTTTCGAGGCCAAGGACTCGAGACAAGTGATTAACTCAGTCGCCACATTACTGCAATCTACAGCTAGTTTCTCCAATGCCTTTTGCGACAGGTCAGCCAACTTCCTGGCTGTATATTGAATATCAGACATACCTTCTCTGCATCGGTTAGAGGGTCCGCTATCAAACCCTTGGGCTGTGATTGATATACCAGCATTTGATTCACATGGACTAGATCATGTGTAAGTCCCTTCAATTCCTCGAGTGTTATCACTTGCCCCTCCCCATAAATCTGGCGGGTCTCGTCCAGTACTTTCATGCCAAAGTCAACCAGCTGGACCACTGCAGAGGCAGTACTGAGAGCCGTGAGTGGGTCCATCATTCTGGTAAGAGTGAGATTATCACTATGCAACTGATTCTCGGGTCAGGATCTCCGATGGTTCCAAGGTTTTTGAATGTCCTTCACGAAAACCGCCCCCAAGCGGGGGAAAGGCTGTGCGGCTAGCCGCCCGCCATGGTATCTAAATATAGGGTAAATAGTGGCTTGGGTGTTATCTTCGTATGCATTCAACGGTCATGGCACATAAATTATGAAGTATTATTCAGAATCCTGTTATCAATAGTATGTTTTGATGGCCGGTGATCAGCATATGCAAAAATGGGAAAAGAAAAAAGAAGAAGAGGAAGGAAAACTGGGTCTCGGTGAATCATGAGTACAACTTGAATTTTTAGTGGTTTCCCCAATTGATTGAGACTGACTCTTGTCAGGAAGACAAAAATAGTCGAATGTTGTAGTCATGGAGTAGTCACCAACCATGTGAATGGTGACCCCAGTGTAAGTCAATATTGAAACAACGACGTTGGCAGTAAGGTGGCATATAACAATGGACAAGCCACATTTATTGCACATGTGTAAATTATTGCCAGTGATGGAAGAGTTCAATAGGGCGTTTGGGTCTTTGATATAGCATCACACCGGTTAAAGGAACCCAATAGCAGCGAACAAGGGTCTTCTTTCCCTATACAGATATCCTTCCCAATGGCTATAATCGCGACCTATGTAGTCTAGAAAAGATCTCACGGAGGTTATTGAGGGTCCAAAAATTTGAATGAGTCATTAGATAGATAAAAGCCGATTTTGATGATTGTGATATGTTTCATTGAAGTCGAAATTATCTAACCTCCAGGGCTGCCTGTGTTGATTCCTGAGGGATTAGGCTTTAAATTATGCCTCAGGTGTCTAGATGCACGGGGAAGGTGCTGATGTCATCAATCAAGGTGGCTGCCGGGCGCGACGGAAGATCCTCGGCCCGCAAAAAAAAACGAGCTTCAAGCTTCAAGCTTTTGATCACTCTACGACCTCTGCCCAGCTCAATTCACTCAAAATCTCCCATTGGTTGAGGTACTCAGATCTCAGACCTATCACATTTTTAAGATGTTCGACACGGTCTGCTCGCTCCCGCTGTCCTCGGACTTGTTCACTCAGGCTATTCACCCCAACGAACCTGTGGTCTCCGTTGGTCTCGCCTCAGGACACGTTCAAACCTTCCGATTGCCGACTGAAGATACCGAAAGCCAAGATGACTCCGCGTCCAGCTCTTCCGCCAATGGAAAGGGCCACATTGATACCATGTGGCGTACGAGACGGCACAAGGGCAGCTGTCGGAGCTTAGGATTCGGCGTTGATGGACAGATGCTGTATTCCGCTGGCACGGACGGGCTCGTCAAGATCGCCAAGTCTGAGACTGGACAGGTCGAAAACAAGATTGCCATCCCACTTGACAAGAAGGGGTGAGATTTGCATCCCGCTTAAGTTCTTGAATCACCATGCTAACTCATCCGATTAGTGTTATTGATGCGCCAACTATTATCCACGCCCTCTCCCCCCAGACTCTTCTGCTCGCGACAGACTCGAGCGCTCTCCACCTCTACGACCTCCGTATCTCCTACTCCAAGATTTCGGCGAAACCCGAACAGTCGCATCACCCTCACGACGACTACATCTCTTCCTTGACTCCTCTTCCTGCCTCCGATACAAGTACTTCCGGCTTCAGCAAGCAATGGGTGTCAACCGGTGGAACCACTTTGGCGATTACAGATCTTCGCCGAGGCGTTCTTGTGCGTAGTGAAGACCAAGAGGAAGAATTAATCAGCTCCGCATACATCGGTGGCCTTCCAAGCAGTGGAACCAGCCGTGGCGAGAAGGTTCTTGTGGGTGGATCTAACGGTGTTGTGACACTATGGGAGAAGGGAGCTTGGGATGATCAAGATGAGCGAATCTACGTGGAGCGAAGCAGTGATGGCGGCGAATCCATTGAAACGCTAGCTGTTGCTCCAGACGAGCTGGGCTATGGTAAGCTCGTGGCGGCTGGTTTGGCGAACGGAATGGTGAAGCTGGTGCGCATTGGGCAAAACAAGGTTATCTCTGAGGTTCAGCACGATGAGACTGAGGGTGTTGTTGGACTCGGATTTGATGTCGAGGGCCGAATGGTCTCTGGTGGTGGACAGATTGTCAAGGTCTGGCATGAGGCTGCTGCTACTGGAGGTGCTGGGGATGATATGGGTGAAAAGCACATGCTTGATAGTGATGACAGTGACGATTCTGATGATAGTGATCGTGAGGCCAAGCCCAGTGCGCGGGATCGCAAGAAGCAAAAGAAGGCGAAGGGCAAGGACCGTGGACAACATGTTATGGCCTTTCACGATATGGACTGATGCTGCATTATCTGATACCCACCTGCAGAATACGACCAATTGACATAATTACTCCCCAAAAAATCCATAGCGTCGGTGTTATCAATGCCAGTAATTTCCAGTTTTCTCTAATTCCGAATATCCAGGTCCCTTTACTACCCAGTAATAGGTATAGGGTGAATTCATGGCCGAGAATGAGAAAAAGGAAAATGTATATCCGAAAACGCTTATTCATGCTGAACTAATCGGGGAATCTGTGTGGTTTCTTCTTCAAAATTTGCAGTTTTTACCACAATTACAGGACTCAAGAGATCAATGAGTAGTAGATGCCAATATAAAAATCAGAATTCTACATTTGACAAGACCAAATTTAACTAGAAAAATGTAATGTATAAAGATATCGGAACAAAGCTCAACCTGAACTGCCGATAGACCCCACGGCCCCACGGGAATGCATGACGTTCATCGGATACGGTGGGATGTGGGGTGGATTGATGGTTTATAAGACTGCATTGGTTCGCCCATTGAAGTCCAAATAGACAAAAAAAGAAATCAAAATGGACTCATTCGAATACAACCCCAACCCTGGCCGTGTCGTGTTCGGCAGCGGAACCCTACAAAAGCTGCCCGAGGAGGTCGCCCGGCTGCAGGTCACTTCTCCACTAGTGCTTTCTACACCCCAACAAGTGAGCCAAGCTGAGAGCGTCAAGGATGTGCTCCAAGGTAAAGTGGCCGGAATCTTCAGTGAGGCGACTATGCACACTCCAACCCATATCACCGACAAGGCGCTCGAGTATGCAAAGGCACAGGGTGCTGATGCAGTGATTTCCATTGGAGGTGGATCGACAATCGGATTAGGAAAGGCGATCAGCATTCGTACAGGGCTGCCTCATATTTGCATTCCGACGACTTATGCTGGTAGCGAGATGACTCCTATCCTGGGAGAGACCGCTGATGGACTGAAGAAGACGCGTTCGGATCCGAAGATCTTGCCTGGAACAGTGATCTACGATGTGGACTTGACCATGACTCTCCCGGCGGCTATGAGTGCCACTAGTGGAGTCAATGCAATTGCTCATGCAGGTAAGTGGTGCTCTTTTTTACTAGTGTTTCGATTCGGACTGAGCTTGTTGAGTATTTGGAAACATGACACTAATGAATTCTGCAATGCAATAGTCGAAGCACTCTATGCGCGCAACACCAACCCTATCATCACCATGATGGCCATTGAAGGCACTCGGGCCCTTGCATCCGCTCTCCCAGAAATCGTCGAGAACCCATCTTCTCAATCTGCCCGATCCAAGGCTCTTTATGGCGCCTGGCTCTGTGGTACCTGCCTGGGCAGCGTGGGTATGTCTATTCACCATAAGCTGTGCCACACACTTGGAGGTAGCTTCAATCTCCCTCATGCCGAGACTCACACTGCCGTCCTGCCTCACGCGATCTCATACAATGCCCCCAATATTCCCGAGGCTATGAAGGCTCTCGCAGATGCCCTCCCAGACAGCAATGGGGATGCGATCCATGGTCTGAACGTCCTGTTGACCAAGTTGAAGGTCAAGCGGGGTCTTAAGGACTTTGGTATGAAGGAGGAGGATGTGGACAAGGCCGCTGACATTGCTGTCTCGAACCCATACTGGAACCCTCGAGCTATTGAACGTGCTCCGATCCGTGAGTTGATCCGCCGTGTCTGGGCGGGAGAGCAAGCCAGTGCAAACCTATAGATCTGGACTTAATGAATAAATGTACCGAGATATATTAACTCGGAAACAAAATTCCTGAAACTATCATCGTAAATCTATAGACTTCATTTTTGGTTTATTTTTCTTCTACTTTATTTATTTTCACTCGTATGTACTAATTGCAGACCAATGGGCTGATCAGTAATGGTTATCAGCGGGGAGAAGTGGGGGATCGCAGTTTTTGCTCCAAATTTTTTTTACTAGTAGATCATCCCACTTGAACCCTCGATTACCCCTCCAAACCACCATTACATTTTTAATGGGATCAGAAATGGAGGCCGCTCCTGTACTGTCCACTCCAGACGATCGTATTCTCGAGGCTACAGAGCCCGTCCCAACCCAGACCTCCAAATCCTTGTCCGATGATGAACTCTCTATCACCTACGACATTGAACGCACCTTGAAGGAAATCCGTCAAGCTCGGTACAAGCGCATCGCTCTTCAATTCCCCGATGATATGCTCCCAGATGCCCCGCGGGTATTCCAACTACTCAGTCGCGGCCTAAATTCAGCGGAAGTTGTCGGTAACAATGGAACAAATGGAGACGAGACGAATGGAGGGGCAGATGCGGAGGTGACTCAGTCAGTGTCTCAGCTGTCTATTGATGAGAATGGGCAGAGATGGTCCCCGCGACTATATATTTTGGCCGACACCTCCTACGGAACTTGTTGTGTGGATGAAGTGGCTGCGGAGCATGTGGACGCCGATGTCGTAGTGCACTATGGCCGGTCTTGTCTGTCGCCAACTGCGAGATTACCAGTTATCTATGTGTTCACCCACATGCCCCTGTCCATAGACCCCGTGGTTGAGTCCTTTAAGACAACCTATCCTGACCCCGCTGCCAACGTTATCATTGCAGCCGATGTCACCTACTCTGGTCATGTCTCGGATGTGTATCAGCGCCTCGCAGCTGATGGCTATACCAATTTGTTTGCCACAGAAGTGGTTCATGACCCTTCATCTGCCATTCCCAATCGCACGGTGCCTGCATCTGTCAAAGAAGCACCAGAGACGCTGTCCGAATGGCAATTATTCCATATCTCCGACCCGCCAACTACTCTTCTGTTGACCCTTGCTTCTCGGGTTGCTGCAATTCATATCTACCCCACCAATGGCCCCAGAAGCGACAAGGTCAAATCGTTACCAGCATCAAGTTCTGCTGCCTTGCGACGACGCTACGCTCTTACTACCCGTCTCACAACCGTCCCAGTTTGGGGAATCCTGATTAACACCCTCAGTGTAAAGAACTACCTGGGCATCGTCGACCATGTGAAAGAAAAGATTGCTGCAGCGGGCAAGAAGAGCTACATGTTTGTGGTGGGCAAACTAAACGCGGCGAAAGTAGCCAATTTCAGCGAGATTGGTGGCTGGGTCGTAATCGGCTGCTGGGAAAGTTCATTGGTAGACAGCAAGGATTTCTGGAAGCCGGTGATCACGCCGTTTGAATTAGAATTAGCGCTGCAGGGAGATGCCGAGCGTGTATGGACGGGATCATGGCAAAGCAACTTCCAAGCCCTCCTTGACCAGCCGACTGGGGAGTTGGACGAGGATGCCACATCAAACGGTGCAACCATAGATGACCAGGAAGATGACATGTCGGAACCCGAATCTGCACCGCCCGAATTCGATCTGCGTACTGGGCGCTACGTCTCGCATTCGCGGCCGATGCGGGATCCCGCACCCCGGGCTTCCGCCGTCGATGAATCCTCTGGACCTTCTGCTGCGAGGGCTTTGGCTAGAAGAACTAAGGGTGATCTAGCGATGATCGGCGGGGCTGTATCGCCAGGGGCTGAATATTTACGATCACAGCGAACCTGGACAGGGTTGGGAAGTGACTTTGACATCCGTTATGATGAGGAGGAGGATCAATCGGATAGTACGCTTGTCAAGGAAGGGCGCAAGGGAATCGCCAGGGGCTACACTGTTGGCGAATTAGGCGAGCGACACTAGTGGGGAATTGAGTATATGGAATTGGACAGGAAATCAGTCAATCATTTCCACTAGTTGAAAACAAGTCTACAATATACAGCATGAGAGGTCATTTCAATGTTGAATGTGGTCATTTAAGTTGTGTTGCTTGCATGCCCAGATGTTTATAGCATAGAGACTATACCTTCAATCTGAACCTTGAGTAATTGCTTCACCAACCTGATTATACTAGTAGAACATATTAGGCAGATGCACAGTAGGGAGTATACAATAGATAAAAACCAATAACTTGAACCTTCAAGTTTCTGACTCCAAGTTAAGTAACTATATTCAATATTTGGTAGTACTGTGATTATGTCCTGGTACCTAAATGTACCCTATTGATAACATCACATGACACTACGGGCGCATCCGGACGTTACGAATATCTTGAATCAACTTCTCTTATTGTCACATCGTTCTTCCATTAGACGTCCGCTTCTCTACGTTTAGGTATACCTTTGCTTTCGAGTTGTGCTGGTGTTCTTGTTTCCCCTTCCCCTCCCCTCGTTATCCCTTCGGATTCCCCGAACCGCCCTTGCGATCCCGCCTTATCGATTATGCTCCACGTTTGAATGGCCTTGCATGGTGGCTTCTATTGAGATGTAATTCTCTCCTTCGAGTCTATCTGCTGTCGTCTTATCATGTGCTGCGTCTTCACGCTGCCATCTCGCGATTTCGCGTCTCTAGACTTCTTGACCTAGGACGCCGAAGATTAATACACAGCTGCTTGAGCTTCCCGATCCCGCCAAACAACCCACCATGGACCATCAGAGCGCTTGGGCAGAGGATGCCAGTGAAATCCAGAAAGCGCCACATCAAATGGTAGAAAATGCCCTACAAAACTCACTCCTTCCGATTGAACGTCCTCTTTCGCTCTTTGAGAGGGTGATCACCACCAATGCTCCCATCCTCGAATCTCTACTTCTCCAGATCCCGACCGATACCATCCTGAAGCTCTATCATACCTCTCATTACCTTCGAACGTTCTTTCGTTCATATCCGACCGCATGGAAGTCTCTTTCATTTCGCTTGCTTTACCCATCGGGTACTATCCCTTCGACTCGGATAATAATTCCGGGCATGTCAGATGAACCCCAACGCCAATCGCGCCCATATGCCCTGGACCAGTTATTGATGAATGTGGTGATTCCATTCAGCGGTTGCCTTAAGAGCTTGGAGTTGGACAACACAGCTGTATCTGGACAGATCCTGATTTCAACAGTACTGCATGCGCGAAGGGAAACTCTAGAGCATCTGTCAGTCCGCGGCTGCAAGAATGTCTCTCTGAAGTACCATATCATCCCTTATTTGACAATGTTCGGCCTTCAATACGACGTAGACATGGAGAGGAATATCGGTACCTCTCCAGCAACGAAGCGGCTCGCTCTGAAGAGTTTATATGCATATCGTTGTCGCCATCATCGCCGTCGACCTTATCTCACGGCCTCGCTCTTGCGGAAGGATTCGGATTCTGAGCCGACTCATGAACTTGTCACTCTTTGCCATAAGTTGGGGATCTGGACTGACACTGCGTGGTGCACAACGCCTGCTGGCAGGTGTTTTCGCAGACGTGGATATGTCTCCATGCGTGTCCCGCAAGGCTCCCCAGAAGTCTGGGTGGTATTTGATCGACTTTGGAGATGCAAGAACTGGATTGGTCCCGTCAATTCTTCTGACCAGCACTATCCCACTCGGGATGGTAAACTTTGGGAGAATTGTGATACCGGATGCTATGGCGAGGCAGTAGGTACTGGAGAGGGACCCGACGTAGGCGAGGGCAAGATGACCCCCGCACATCTTCGCCACAGTCATGTCCAGTTCGTCCGAGATGTGAAATGTGATAATTGTTTGGATGACATCTCAGAACGTTGTGAGCAATGCAGTATCTTGATGCACTGCGTGGGATGTCGAAAGACCCTCTGTGCTAGTTGCGCTTACGAGCGGCCCTACTTACACCGTGGAAATTCTGCTACATCTACCGGCGACCACTCTAGTAGTACTTCTGACGCTATATGGTGGGCTCCCGGAGCTACGCTTTCCCCTAGTTCGATGCACGATCCCGTGTCAAGCCCCATGGACCACCAACACCACAACCTGTTCAATGCAGCAACGCCGTCGTCGAGTCCTGCTCTCAGGTTTCATTGGTGCTGTACAGAACCCATCTTCTCCGGCGGTGGAGGAATCAGTATCGGTACTCCCAGTCGAGATGTAGACCAGGTCCGTGCCGTACCTTTGCCTCGCGGCCGGGGATGGGAAGACCTCGAGTACACCGTCAGCGAGTGGAGCAAGACGTTTCCAAAGTACGCATACGGCGACCCTAGCAAACCGGATTACTCGCTAGAGACAGGTCATCTGGCAATGATGAAGTGGCTCCTCGGACCCCCCCAATCGGCAAGTCTCACCATGTCCGCGCAACCTATGCCAGGATTGCTACGACTCGCCACAGTGGAAAGTGCATTGCAAAAGTTGCTCCAAGCCGCTCTGCATTGAGCATGACCTCCGCGGTCTCCGTTTGCGTATCTGCGGCTACCGAGACCTTGCATTCGAGAAGATGACCATCCAAAATCGATCGGCAGTCAATCCTCCATCCCCCGGTGGTACATCAATGGGTCACCACCTTACGGGTTATGACCTTCCCTTTCGAACTCAACGGCTCGTCGACTCCACTAATAACAGTTTCATCGAGGACCCACAAGACGGCATCGATGACAACGCTTCGGATCCCATCATCATTGAACCGTCTCTGTTCCCTCGCGGTCATAACCGGTCTTTCTCTGCCCCACCTTCCAACCATTCAGGATCGTCCTCACCGTCTTCTTCGTACTTTGAGTCGTCATTTGACACGCATCGGTGGCAAGGATGCCAATCTTTCTTTTGCCCCCAATACCGAGCCATCGGTGATCAGCGCCAACGGTGCCCAAGTCATCTCCGAGAGTGCAAGGCCTGTGCGGTCTATGTCTGCCAGGATTGCGTGCAAACCAATCCTCCATGCAAGTGCTCCTACTGCGAAGAAAACTATCTGTGCCCAAACTGCATGAAAGTCCGTGCTCGTGATGGCACCTGCCGGCGCCGCGAGGAGGAAAAAGCACGCAGAGAGCGCAAATGGAAAAAGGATATGCAGGTTCTCGAGGGAATTTTGGAGCTCAAGGTTGCCAACGAAGTAGCTGAGTTTGCTGGTCAATTCTTCGGCTTGATTGAGCATGGTTCGGATGATCAAATTGATCCTTCTGATCTCATCGAATTTCCTGATGCTGAGGAACTTTCCCTGTATCAATCTCAGGACCAGATTATCGACTTGCCTACAGATATGGGATCCGCTCTATTCACTGGTACTAATTATATTGGACCACTATACGAATTTGAGTAGCTCCCTCAATGTCTTTCACGTCTATCAGCGGGTTTTACGGAATAGTCTTGATGTCGATCAGACTAAAATTTCTTGTTTTTACCCTTTTTTATTTTTTTCCCTTTCTTTTATCTGCCTTTGATCTCGGCTTTTTAGCGGATTACCCATTACCACTACCACATACCCCGGCGCCAGCGAGGACCCACTGACATTTTCTTTTCTTTTTTTGAATTCCCTTATCCTTGATCCTTTGTTCTTTGTTTTTTTTGTTTTTTTTCTATTGAATTTTGTTTTATTCGCCGCCTATCTTCTCCCTGATTTCCCATTCCGGAACAGCTTTCCGGCATGTCTTATGCATCGAGGCAGCGAGTGAATACCACGGTGGATCAACCAGGCGTTGCAACATGGCGGGGCGCATTAACGGGCATCTTTTTCTCCCTATTCCTACATTCTCTTTGTTTCAACCCCTCCTTTTCAACCAGGCTAGGACTGCAGATGGATGCCCTGAGCGTCCTCTCTGGTTTTTTGGCTTACGGATTCGCAGGAACGCAACCCAGTCTGGCAACGTGGCTGGCCTAGGATGCAGGCACCGAGTCAGTGTCCTTTGTTCACCCGTTGTCTATGCGCTTGCTTCGCTTTTATTTTCCATCTCGCTTTCTTGGCTGGGGTTGGTTCACCCTTGTCATTGTGTGATTCTAGAGTGGGCATGGGATAAGCATTTGTTGACTGGGCTTTACTGAGTCTACTCTTCATGGTTTCTGGGCATGTGTTCTACTTCACATATATTGATATCATTATCAGATACTCCTGACAGTGCATGTTATGGAAAATCGAATCTTCCTATTTCTTAATGGTCTATACATTCCCTTTCTGGATACTACTCCGAAATTCGGACATAGATAGTATCAACACCACCTGGCATGATAGACACCAGACCCAATTGGTCTTCATCAATCCGTACTCCGCATATACTAGTATAATGTAGCTCAAGTCCCCGCCAAGCTATAGTTCATTTGACTTCAAGTTTCCCTGCAGCGGTGAGGTGCTCAGACCCGCCCAATCTACAGTTATCAACTGATTGGTAGATATTCACCTCCTGCGTACCCCTTTTCCGGCTCATATATTCTCATTTCCGGTTCGACGTATACATGCACATGTGCTCAAGCCACTGGAGTCCTACGGAATACCAACTACGCCACCTGATACCATTGACAATCTCGCAACCCCACTATAACCCCACTAACCAAATAGAGAAGCCATTCACGGCGTCCGAAGCACTAAGTCCGTACTTCTGCCAGCACGATGGATATCGCTTTCCGGGCGATCGGTACTTTTGTTCTTCGATTAGGGAGATTTGTCAAGCTCCTGACGAATGATCCCTATAGATCGGTGCATCGCTTGCAAAGCTTACTGTCCTTCGTCCTCCGTCCTTTACGCGGATGTACCCCGTCGGTGCCGGTGGACCGGATAAGTGCGATGAGTCTTGTGATGCCTTGGATCGTCGAGGTGGTGCATTCGGGTTTCTGTTGACGTGGCGGATGAAGGTACCTTGGAAGGACAGCTGTGCTCCGGCTTGTTACAGATCTGATTTTATCCAATGTTGAGGCTCTCGGTGGAGGTCTCGTATACTGTAGCTATCTGCAGTGTACTTTTTCATTGACCGTCTTTTCTACACGTCTACTTTCTGCACCATCCATTGTTTGTCTATTTTCGTTCCAAGTAATTAGTTGATTTCTTTGTACGAAATAGACCAGTTCTATCTCCATAAGAGTACATGCTTCATCCTATTGGACTATAGCCATTTGATCTACAAGCGGACTTGCCAACGTACACCTGAGAGTACATGTAACCTGCCTTGAATTCGTCATGCTCGGTGTCATCAGTGACAAAAGTACCATTTTTTGTACGTTTGCACACCGGGTTGTCCGCTCAATCCGATCGAATCAGGTCACTCCTCTCAACACTAAGCTGCGCTCTGAGACGGCCCCTTGGCTTTTTTGGGCTTGAAATTGACCATCCTCCCGGCGGTTAGGTCCGCTGGAGATTCCGTGATTCTTCTGATCCTTCGTTGAGGCTTCCTTTTTCAAGTTGTTTGCCTTTTTTTTTATTTTTTTATTTTTCTTATTTTTTTACTTTCTTTATTTTTTTTTATTTTTTATATTTTCTTTTCTCTTATTTATCCGTGGGGCCATGATTCTATGTGGAGACTCGTTTATACCTCGCGGTCTGCGATACGATTGTACCTTGTTTCTTGTTTCTTGATGCCCAGTTGCCCCGGTGCCCAGCTGCATTGTTTTTTTTTGGTACTTTTTATAGAGCTGAATATCATGATGTCCTCTGTAGGCTACAGTGATGATGTATGATTCATTTGGATAAACCCGGGTGAATTACGCCACTGCGTTATGACTCACTAGAAATATTTACTATGATGATTGATTATTTTAGATTTTCTTTTTTTCTTTCCTTTTTCCTTGACAGCAGTGCCTGACTAGTGTGATAGTGATGTGGTCACCGCGGGGTAAAACAATCACGTTAGAAGACGGTCAGTGCCCCTCCATACTACAGAGTGCATGACGATGACCTCAAAAACAAGAGGTCAAGGGTGAAACCGCTCCGCAAAACCTTAATGCCATTCAATTCTTACCGACATCTATCCGAGTGTCAAGTATTAGTGCAAGTATTGAGTATATCGAGACGCAAGCGCACGAGCACGAGGGGCCAGTCACCGCTGCGCAAGACAGCCACGCTGCAGCTACAGAAACTGGCGACAATCGGAGGAGAAGGTGACTGTGCTGTCATTCCCAACAGAAAGTTAAGATCGGCTGTCAAAAAATGGAAAAATGGAAAAAGCAAAGAAAGAATCTTGAGGCACCAAGCGCGTCGGTTCGAGATTGAGGGGGCCGGGGAGGGAGAAGGTGTCATCTGATAGCTAGGATTATCCTGGCTTATATGGAGAGGAATTAGTGGCTCATGGGAAATAGATACGTAGGTCCGTGCCTCGGATAACCAGTGATTGAGCTTGGAAGTTCATCCAATGACGCTGGTGCTTAGGCACTGAGGCATGTACATACGTGGGATGTACTGACGATGCGGTCAAGAGTAACAACGACCATGCGTGTAAACACGTGGGGTTACTGAAGGAGATAGAGGGGGATCAAAATGAGGGGTGATTACAGAAGGCGTTTTTTAGAAAGGGGAGAACTATATCGAATTTCTTAAAATCTATAATTGAAATTTCAGTTTTAAGATGCAACGGCCCTAAGGTACCTGAGGCCTAAGGTACATCCCCCTTATCGGCGGTGAATCCCTCTATGTTTAGCCAATAAGAGACATATCCGATCTTATTTGATGAGTTTCATGTACACGTTCTTATTGGAGACTAAAATGTTAGCCGAGTTGATATGTACCAGGGATAACCTCCTAGGAAATAGTAATTTCAAGTTAGAGCATTTGAGCCAAGAGAGAGATCGGATCGGGCGCTGATCACTGGGATTAACCCAGTCCGATTCCCCGTACAGCCTGCATCTAGTATTAGTGTGTATAATTTTCCTTTTTTTTTCTTTTCTTTTTTGTGCATTTGCCCCCGGTTTTCTTTTCGTCTATCATTTATAGGGGCTCCATACTTTTTATTTTTTTCTTAGATCGTATACATCTCTTTGGACTCCACTACTTCAAGGCTCCAGATATCAGATCGGCTGGCGCGGAAGCACCGATAAAACCCCCCCGATTGGTACGGACAGGCTCGGGCGGTTCTCAGGAAGCTATCCTATAGGCGCCCTGTTGGGGCGTCGTGGCCCTAATCACCCGGAATGGGCCCGCAAAAGTGGTGGACCATTAGTTATTGACGGGGAACCATATAAGTGTGCCTCACTCCGTATGGGTACATCCCATAGCTTGAATCACGCACAGTCACTAGTCTCGCATTGGCGTACTCTGACATCACCATCAGATGTATACGTTCAAGGCAGCTCTCAGCTCTCCAAGTTTCCAAGGATGTATCGAGTTCAACTTGGAGGAGTGGAGACCAATCCATACATATCCTCCTTTTTTTTGTTTGCTTTCTACATTTCTTTGTCCATGTAATAGATTTGATTTTATTATATGTAGTAGAGTTATAATATTTCCCTGGTATTAATCCTTTTGGATTTTAGCCATTTATGGCAAGTCCTTTGAGTTTTTTTCTATTTGCTTTTTTCCCAATGCGCAAGAAGGGGCTCAGCTTTGACCCTAGGCCGTTTCTCGATCAGCCTCTTGCAATTGTCCCTGAGTATTTTTCCACCCCTAGTTTATCCAATCAAGCTAATTGTTTCATGATAATAACTTGCATCGGGGGTTTACCCGGTGTTTTTTTCCTAGGCTACACGGGCCGTCGTACCGAGGACGAATCCAAATCCAGGGACAGAGAACAGAGAGAGTCGGTGAACGAGTCCAACACTCCCTACCGAACAGGGACTAGCTACATAACCCTACATAACCTCTATGGAGTGTTGTCATCCTAATCTCATGTAAGCCATGGAAAAATCATAAATTGATTTAATTTTTAATTAAAATAAAAATGGAATTAAAAAAAAAATAATAAAAAATAATAAATTCAATCAAGTTACGCTGCGGCTGTGGCTCGTGACCGGTCTCAGCACAAACATTCTGTGGATTTTGCTTTTTGGATTTATTGATTTTCCGATAATTTTGATAATTTTGATAATTCTGAAAATTCTGAAGGGGGAAAATTCCTCTATATTCCGCTTTAGATTTTATCTAATTTATTTATTTAAAATTAATTTTGGGGGGATCGAATTTGAAGATGGATTCTTGATATGTATATAAAGGGGCCCGCCTTGCGATGGGATCAATACTCTGAATCACACAATTTTGACATCGCATCTTGAACACTCCAAAGTTCACCCCTCAATACTTCAGATCAAAACTTCTTATAAGACGACCTTGTCTCTCTGTGAATATCTTTTCACGCAACTTGAACTTCGAACTTCCAAGTCTCCAATTTCATACCCCGCTTCGTCGTCATGGATCAGAATCAGGTCAACTCTCAAGACAACCAGCCAAAGCCCAACCCTCAGCCTCTCAAATTGGACAGCATCGAGTCATACCAAAGGCACTGGGCTCAGTTGATGGACGATACAAACAGACAGCTTCAGCGCATTCAAGGTATGATCATGATCATAATCATTCCCCTTTGACATATGATACGCCATATGCAGGGAGGGGAAGCATTATTGAGATCTGACATTTTTTCTTTCTTTCCCATAGATGCAGAGCAAGCGAGATTAGACAAATTGTACGCATCGCAAAACAAAAACTCCGAATCCGAGTCCTCCAACCGATGATTCACAACTATAACGCACGGACGGTCGCTACATTTGGAGTTCATTGGTGTTCTTGGATCAACATCCACTACTCTTCGTTATATTTTCTTGTCAATACGTTATGGCTGTGTCTTGTTTACCTGAGGAATCAGTACAAGACACGCGGGAAGTCCCATGTCCAGGTTCAGGCTACATTCGTTCTGTGAAGCTTCCTTCAAGCTAAGAGGAGGATTAAGGTACATGGGACGAGTTTTCAATTTCCGCCACTAGATTGGGGCGAAGTCTTTCTTTTCTTTTTTTCTTTTCTTTTTTCCATTGTCTCTCAAGGCTTTGTCATTGGAAATAATTCCCATCGAATGGGCACCTTGGAGAGCGGAAATCTGGCAAGGCTTGCATATCCGAGGGACTATCCCTGGTCGATCGTTGTCCCTAGCCAGGATTTAAATCGAGATTTGTTTTTTCCTCTTCTTATACATACGCAATCTATGCGGTCAAGTATATCCGCTTTTCTTAACTTGAAACTTGAAAGACATTCCATACTCTATTCTATGCGCTTGAGTAATCGTGAAGTCCTTTACATTCTTTCATCTACCGGCATGGCATTTTGCATTGTCGTACCCGAGAACGAAGTCGGTCAACAGCACATGCATGTATAAGATCATCCTATACTTGCATCCTCATTCGCGGTCCGTCCTGTCGGTGCCAGTGCCCAACCCTTTCAGCCTTCGAATGTTCAGCTTGACTTGCGAAAGTACTGGGGCGGTGTAGGGTACCAATCTAGGTGGAATGAGGCGACCCGTGAGTACATACACTGGCATATGTGGAGGTTTGAGTCCGTACTTGGGCATGTAGAAGCCGTCGCTGCCTAGTGCGTAGTTTCGACGGATCGACTAGTAGAGTATACTTGCTTCGTACTCGGTAATCGAGTCAGAGAAATAAGCAAAAACTAGGAAAATTAACGCGTCTTGACTTCGCGTCGTATTCCATGTCGATCAGATCCTCCCTTTTCCTTTTTCCCCCCTGCAGGCCATTTCCTCTTGACAGCATTCCGCACCGTTTGTCGATCAGTCAAATTCGGGAGATTGGCTTCCGTTGCCTCCTTTGAGAAGGCGTTATGGGCGCCGCTCTAGGATCTGTCATAACTTGACCTGCCCTTTCCATGTTGATTTTTAAGCAAGGGGGTGAAAGGAGGAAGTGGGGAATTAATATACGGGACGCGTATAGCGCGGCTATGTATGATCGTTGACCGACATCAGGGAGGATCAAGATGTCAGATTTTTAAAGTGTGATTTTTTCTAACAAGTTTCTATTTGTAATAGATCTACAATCTAGAATCCTGCTCATGTATGAAGTACTCCATATTATAGTACGTGGACCTCGGAGTGTACTGTGTACATTATAGTAGAGTTGACCAATCATATTGCGGAACCTCGGGTATCTTCTCCCCCACCAAGTTCCAACCTCATCTCTTCTCTTCCACAACAAAATGTCATCCGCCGATCCTGAACAGACTCCATCCCCGGCCGAATTGGCTGCTCGAGATGTGGAGGAGAAAGAGCGCAAGGCTCGGGAGATTGCCGAGCAGGCTCAGCTCCCCTACAAATGGACCCAGGACATCAAAGAGCTCGACGTGACGGCGTCGATCCCTACCAATATCAAGGGCCGCGACATGGAGGTTCTCTTAACCAAGACTAAGATCCGCGTGGCAATTAAGGGACAAGAACCTATTATTGAGGTACGTGGTTGAGTCTAGTCCAGTCTATGCCCCCACTACGCAGTACCCAGCATCCAAGGATGTTCTAGGAACTTGTTGACCGCTTCTAAGACTACTTCTGGTTCATTATAGGGCGAATTCCCCCATCCTATTCTTGTCGACGAATCATCATGGACCCTAGAAACCACCGCGAATCCTCCCGGCAAGGAAATTAATGTGCATCTGGATAAGGCGAACAAGATGACGTGGTGGCCCCATGTTGTGAAGGGTGCGCCCAAGATCGATGTGACTAAGATCCAGCCCGAAAACTCTAGCCTGAGTGATCTAGACGGAGAGACCCGCATGATGGTCGAGAAAATGATGTACGATCAACGCCAAAAGGAAATGGGCGGTATGACTAGCGACGAACAGAAGAAGATGGATCTTCTGAAGAAGTTCCAGGCGGATCACCCTGGTAAGTAACCTTTTTTTTTGCTTGTGCTCCTGAATAGATCCTGCGGATTCCTTTTCCGTATGACCTATCAACTAACGCTAGCACAGAAATGGATTTCTCTAATGCTCAAATCGGTTGAACGGGATGAAAACTGTTATTGTACAAGTCGTACACTTTAGATAAAGAGCTTGAGTCATGATCATGAGTTACTTGCATTCCGCATGTTGAAGGTGTTGATGATTATGAAAATAAACTACTTAGTTTCTTTGATTTAACTGGTGTTGCTGTGTTCGTTTACACTCGAAGCACTAGTCTGGATCTATTCCCCTAATTGCTATTTTGAGAATAATAGACACTCACCCGTTAAATTAAATCTTCTTCACTAATCTTGCAGCCCTCGGCATTAGGAGAATTTCAAGCTCAGTGATATTCAGACACTGCAGTTGACTCGTCTTAAAACCGGGACAGACATTAACCTATTCACCACTAAATCAAATAGTGTCAATCTTCACTCTGTACTAGTCCTCTGTTCCAGTTACCCGGTTACTCTACCGAGACAACTCCACTCTGACCGGGGAATAGTACCCGACATGAACACCCGACGACCCAACGGGGGGAATCGTACACACCGTAACACAAGATCGAGTTTCCGAACTCCCGACCGATCTAACAATGCCCACATAGCAGTTCTAGAACAATCCAGCTCCACCGCGGGAAGTGAAACCAGATTCCCGCCACCGTAAATGTGATACATCTATCCGGGATCAATCCCAATGCATCTAGCCCGGTACAGATGCAGGGGCAGCGGATCGTCTTCCGGGTACCGCGGCACAACCCCGAACTCATGCAAGGATCTGAAGGATTCTTATTATTCGGATATTGTTAAGAGTTTCCGCGTCGGATGTTGATCTGTAAGGAGATGACCAAAATTAAATACTCATCATGATTAAATGCTGCATAGCGTGCCACTTGGTTCCACTCGCTTGAATGCATGGTAGATCGAATCTGGAACAACGAGTGTTTGGTGGAATGGATGGTCCTCCTGTTTGGGATTGTTGCATAATGCCTTGAAGCTTCTATAGTTTGACATGGATCCTTCGATAATTATGACGCTTGAGTCTATACGGTATATTTTGCTCTAATGATCAGTACCTGGCGAATCTTATTTCCTAGTCTATTTTATAGTTAAGATTAATGAACCTTTTTAGGTCGAGATCGAGAAATTAGGGTACATAAGGAACTACTAGTATTAGGTAGGTACGGAGACCCGTGGACAGGTCCACTAGATCTCAGTAGACATCCATGTAGTGCCCAAGTGGATATCCATACTAATTATCTTGAACACTGTCCTTGGCATCCGAGTCTGTATGTATGTTTCCCTTAGTGCTCTGGTTTATTGCTCTACTGAATCGATCAATGATAAAAAGAATCCAAATTCTGGCCCAAGGCGCTCTTCATACTGCCAGTGGCTAGTAGGCATATATGAAGTCCTCATTCTGGAGATCAGTGGTATCCGCAAACTCATTGTCCACAGCTGTCGTATTAGAAGCCTGTTGCTCATTTATGTCTTCAACCTCCACAGCCTTACTGTGTTGAATCTCATCCTTTGCCAACATTGACTTATCAACTATGACCGCGGACTTGCCTAGAAGTTTTCTCTTCTTTGCATGCTTTTTGTTGAGAATTATTAAATAGAAATCAGTCAATCTGGCGAATTTGTTAGTGAATGGATTTCGAACTTGGTTGTACGGCATCTTACATTGCAAAAATACCCACAAGGATGAACATAATTAAGCAAGCAATAAGACCTGGCCGGTACGCCGGGGCTTGAGAGGTTTGAAAAAGCTGCGGTCCGATCACCTATTGACATATGAGTAAACATGTCGCGCAGTTGCTTGAAATAAAGCAGGTCATGCTGGACTAATATTTCCAGTACACATCTCAACTAGCACAATGGCGGACGTGAACTTTCTCTTCGTATCACCCGCTGTGTTTTGTGCTTCCCACGCATAAATGATAGGTGTGATGGCAGCAAGTGTTGATACCTATAATTTATTAGTTCTTAACCGGTAGTATTGCATTATATGTAGCTGAGAAAAATACCATGTAATATCCAAACAGCAAGACTCCCTTGTTGCTTCGTGGTATGACAAGCATCAAAATCGTCCCAATGGTGGAGAGAGCAGCGAAAAGGGCTATGATCATTCCCTTCATCTTGAATCGAGTAGCAAGCCAACCACCTCCAACAATGGCAATTATTTGAATCGCTCCCAGGGGAAGATTGAACAAAATAGATTCGAAGTTCGTATACCCGAATGATTCAATAATCAGGTTCCCGAAACTGCTAATTCCACCGCTTGGGATGCTGCAGAATTCGGTCAGTGAGCTCCATACTTCACAGGATAGCTTGGTCTGAGAACTTACGATATTGACAGCACCAAGAAAGACCAACACCAAGTTTTCATATCATATAGAGTCTCCCACACATGATCCCACCGCCATTCTCTAGAGACAATTCCCATTTGGTTCGCACGAAGACGCTCAACGGAGATGTACTTTTCACGGTCGCTCAGGAACTTCGCTTCCATAGGGGAGTCGGGCATGACTATAAGAACGAGAAAAGAATAGCTGACTGTCAATAGGCCACAAAACAGAAATATAATTTGATAAGAGAAGAGTGTGCTGCTATGAATATGGCCTAGACCATACGTAAAGAGGCTTCCTACCTTTAAGATAATTAAATTAGCATATGGAAACACGAGTAAAAACAGAGTATTACTCACAATGAAGGTTAGACCATTCATCCCATTCCACATCACTGCTCTGAGTGTTTGTTCTCGTCGACGTCACCACATTTGGGTCACTGCGATGCAGGAAGGAGCTGTATAGAGCATTAGCTATGGTTTCAAGGAGTCAAATTTCTGTATATACCGACCTATCATTGACTCAAAAGCACCAAGAGCAAATCTCATGCCCAGTAGGCTCTTAAAATTGGTGCAAGCAGACATGATTGTCAAAGTGCTGCCCCAGAAACATAGCTGTGGAAATGACCTCTCCCGTTGGGGCTTTCACAAGCAAGACTGCCGCCAAAGGCTGAAACACCAGCTGAGAAAGATATAATATGGAGCTCAACCATGAGTATTCTGAATCAACCAGATGGGCGTCCTCTGAGAGACCAAAAATTAGGTGTAAGATAAGGAGGACTTATCAAGCTGCTGAAAGAAGTATGCGCCCAACAAGAGTGGCAGAACGCGTAGATCAATACGGCGTAGCACACGCTCCTCCTCTTCCACTGTGAAGCTGCGATTGTCGGCACCGTTTTCCACGCTCGCTAGGAATCGTGCGACCTGTTGACCACGTGTGTGAGGTGACTCTCTTGAGTTATGAACAGGAGAAATTGGATCATCTTCCTCATGCTGTATAGCTGACATTTTACTGCGAAGATATCGATTCGTCTATAATTTCCGAACGAAATTCAGTAATATTGCTGGAGCTGCACACAGGGCTGTAACAAGTCTGACCAGCAATTTTGCGAGGAAATACTTTACAAAGGGCAAGGGATGATAACTTCTCTCAATATCCCTACCTACTCCTCTCCAATTTGATCAACCTAGCTATCGGCAATCTTGCTGCCCCCACGAATATACCTTTCCCGCATTCGTGAGGCCCCAGATCATCGGTCTACTCCAGGTTCCACCAATTGTGACAGTGCTCGCAGGGACTTAGAAATTGTTCTATAACTTGATTCGCGACATGAATCAGCTGTTCTGCGTCTTGGCACTACTTGGACTCCCAAGAAGCTCGTGGAGTTTTATTTCTTGGTCTTATGACATCCTAATTCCCCGAAGTTTAGCCTATTTTCGATGATCAAAAGCTTTCACCTTTCGAATTCAACTCATGAGCGGCGATCTCAGATGAAGAAAGACAATACATCCATATAGATCTTTGATCAAAATTAACCTGGCTTGTGGTCCTACGCATCACAGTAATTGACCTTTGCCACTGAATGACTAGAAAGGATATTCACAATCGTGCCCATTTTTAGTAGTCATGGTGATATTTATTTGTCGATTTGTTACCTCAAGTTCCCCCAAGTTCCCGAGACTTGCAGAGGGTGGTGTCTAGCACATGAAAGAGTGGTATTTAGCCTATTTCCTCTTCCTCGGGCAATAGTAGTACTCTAGTAGTTAGGTGGAGGCTACTCCTGAGTCCTGACACCTGAGAACCCAGCCCCGCATAATTGCCAAGAGATGCGACGGAGTATGTGCAAGGGCCTCGGCTATCTCTAAGGGTATTATCTTGTTCTATTCAACAACCCAAGAGCGACGGATCAATTGATATAATTCTACAGACTGGAACATGCAAAAAGAGTCCGGCAACTGATTGGAATTTCCATTGTTCTCTGCTATCTCAGAATCCATAGAAATTTTGCATTGATGTGTCACTCATCGTGGTATTTTGGGGGTGAGATCGGAACTTCTTCATATCTTGGGGGACTTCCTTGACTCAACAATTCCGCCATGTTACCCTCAGCCTTATCAACAATTTGAAGAGGAAACGATGCATTGTTAGCAATTCGTAGCGGCTTACGGTCCACTAATGAATGATCACACGTGTCAAAAGTATCCTCGGTCGTAGATATATCCAGTCTGAGTCGATGTTCAGTGGTCAAAATTATCCTTTGCTGAGTCGTAGAGAGATGAGAAGGCTGAAATGATGCAGATGACTCAGACGAGTCTGTCCGACTGAATGAAGCCTCATAGCAGCTGATATCGACTTCAGGTATAAAGACTTGACTTTCGGGGAATTCTATCTCAAGAGCAATCTCCACGGATGAGTCCTCACAATCTGCAGATTGATCTGTGGATTTTGCAGCCGGTAAAGTTTTCCAGTACCCTTTCTGGAAACCCTTGCATATCTCTCGAACACATATCTTGTCCTCGATCTGCGAGCACTCTGAACGACTCTCACTTTCACATTCTGGCTCATAGACGAGCTTGATCACTTCTTCGATACGCCACTGGATGCCCCTGATAGCCACACACTTATATTCCGTGGAGCGACCTGCAGGCGTTGCTGGTGGTCGAACGAACACTTCTGCCGTGGCGGGAAGTTTGGAGTTCGTGATCGCAGCGATATTCTGGGTAAGGATGATTTTTGTAACGAAATTCGAGTTCCGATACGTCCGAGTTCGTTGAACTAGATCTTGCTCCGGGATGAGGTGCTGAAGAAGTGTAATCTCTTCACTTGCACTCAGATTTTCTCCTCTTGTGGTTCTTGCAGAAGCAACAACGAAGTACGTTATGTCTCCCAGGCTAGTCGTCAATGTTGATGGAAGATCGGCTGGAATCGGTATGTGAAAGGGAATTTTGTAGGTTCTACCCTCCTGTAGGGAGTAGCCGACTTGGGGTTCGAGGTAGAGATGAGGTACATGTAGCGTGACCTCTTCAATGATCGAGCAGTTTCGTGTAGTAGTGTCATGTGAGGTAATCTTCGGATTTGTTGTGAACCATCGATTGATGCGCCCAAGAAGATGCTCACCACTAGTTGCACAATTTTGGTCAGACGCGGTCACGTCGCGAATGAGGGATATTTTCAGATATTCAAGATCGACGAATTCTGCGTGTGAGTTCTTGTTACTCTGAATCATGAGAAGCGCCGAGCCGCTGATAGGTGACGAATGGGTGTCTCCAAGCTCATTGAAGAAAATCTCATGTTTCCGAGGAATCTCCAATCTTAGATTGCCAGTGTTTGCTTCCATGCCTGTTGCTGTCGAGGTATACAAATGCTCAATGCTCAGGTGGTAATAAGGAATAATTTTGACAGTAGTATTCGAGTTTGAATTATGACATGATTCAGGTTCAAATGTTCAAATTGTTGCAATTTGAACTCTCAGGTGCTTCAAGTTCGACTCACTAAGTGCTGGATCACACCTACCAGGAAATGGCATATATATACCCGATTTCAAGCTCCAGACATCATTCGAGTCCTTGCCAAAAATATAAATCACGCAAACATCGATTTGCATCAAGCGGTCCTTTTGCTCACAAAGCCCTCCGAGAACATACATGCCCGCGCGTATCGCGCTATGCCTGACGGGGCAGCCAAGGTGGTCAAATTGAGTTCAACTGATACTTAGGTGCTTGACAGCTTTCATGTGATTGGTCGGTTAATCACGATTCGGTATCCATATATGGATCTATATTTTCGTCATTTTAACCAATAAGAAAATATTCCTTCAAGCCCCGCGTCTTGGCTTCCTCAAAGGGACTAGCGTATCTATCTTTTAGTGTCTTTGTAATCATCCACGAGGGCGAGGCTATGATCAAGAGTCAATACTTTGACATCAGATTTTCGATATGAATTTGTCACTTTGCTGAGATGAGAACCTGCTTGATCCCACGAAGCTCCGGTATTATCGGATCCATGGGAGAAATAAAGGAGGAGAATTCTCCCACCTCGTGTTGGACTTGTCGCCGTCGCCGTGTGCGATGTGATCGACAACTCCCTCATTGCCATAAATGTTTCATATCCGGGAAGACATGCCAAGGATACAGCAAAGAAAGGCCATTAAAATGGATTAATGGCGTAGCAAGCAGGGGAAAGTTGATGGGGAAAGCTTTGCCAATTAATGACGGAGCAACTCCGCCTATCCCAAGGCTGCTTCTAGACCCTATTATACAAGATCTGCCACCAAAAATGCGCCATTACATCATATACTGTGGGTCCGATTTTGAAATTTACTGTAAAAGAGTATTGCTGATGAAGACTCCAGTTGACCAGTTTTGCTCTGTGGAGAGCGTACTTTATGATTCCCCTGCAGGTAATCCCTTTAGGGAGTTTATGCGCCTCATGCCTTCGAGTCCAGGACTCTTACATACTATTTCATCGATTGCAGCACTACATCAAGCATACCGAGAAGTCACTTATACCTCAGTTGAAACACATAGACTTTCTTTTATAGAAAGGGATACTATGGCTGTAAATTTACATCTGATGACGTCATCTGAACACCTCCCTCCAGCCACCATCCATGATTCTTTGACGCATAAACAGCTTGCGTTGCAAAATATACGGAAAGAGCTGCTTTTCCTGGAATACAGAAACCTTGATGGCATAATCGCCTCAATATTGCTATTAGTGTGGCAAGATTTGATGGATTCCGGAACAAATTCATGGAAATGCCATCTCGATGCACTGAAGGGAATCGTTCCTGCAGGGTTTGCCCCAATAAGACCATATACGAAAACGCAAGATTCCAATTCTTCTATAATGTACAATAATTTTGAAACGACATACGCAGCGTGAGTGTACACCTCAATCATCAATAGTCTGCCCGATTCTTGAACTAACGAAAGCAGGTTCCAAATTCTCGGCAAAACATTTGTGAAATCTAAAGAGCTCTACCATCCACTATTCTCTACGATGCCACTAACCAAAATCATGGACCTTTCAGATGGGCAGTCATGGGCTGGCTGCCCTGCGCAGCTACTGTCCATTATCTCGCTTTTGAATAGCGTTTCAATAAACCCCTCAGTATCTTCCGACTTCATGGCTGCCATATTCCTGGCATTACAGGACTTCTCCCCAATGAAATGGGCAATTTCAAATGAGAATACGAGTCTAATGAAACCGAGGTATCATCTTGCAAGCGCATACAAAGGAGCCGTTGCCATTTACATGGCGCAAGTCATGCACGGATATAGCGAAAGTCATGCAATTCAATTACCGCATACTGATCATCTCGATTCTTTGATCCTGCATCTACTCTCTATTGATGCCGAGAATGATCATTTCAAAAGCTTGGTCTGGCCATCATTTGTCATCGGTGCTGAGGCAAGAGAGGAATCGCAACGGAGATCGATTACTCAGATATTTGAAAGTCTTTGGATGACCTGGCGATGTGAGAACGTTAGAAATGCGTTGAAAGTTCTTCCGTACCTGTGGGAGCTCCATGATCAAAGAAAATCTTCTGATCACTGGCAATGGATTGATGAGCTTTATGGATGGGGCATGAATTGGATTTTTATATAGACCATACATATAATAAATTCATTCATCTCATATAGACATATCAACAAAATTCGTATCCCTTGAGCAACACCTGCTAAGTAGAACCAATATAATAACCCGCAGCTTAGTCAAAACTCTAAGATGCCACATTTTCAATGCGTTCAGCGTGCGCAATCTTCTCAGGATCCTCCGCAAAGGCTAGGAGCTCAGATTGGAATGGTGTCTCATTAGCAATCTTGACTGTATCAAAGAACGAGGTCGAGTTGACGAAAATCTCATCAATCTCTTCCAAAGTTCGACCCTTCGTCTCAGGACAGAAGAAGTAGAAAAAGAGAAGGGCCATAGCACTAATGCATGCATAAATAATATAGTACTTGTATCCGATGGTCGCAAAACCAGTATCAGATGCCTCGGCGACAACAAAGTTGAAGATCCAGTTGGATGCAGCAGACATGGCAGTAACCTTTGCACGAGTGCGTAAAGGTGCAATCTCAGCCGCATACATAAAGGGAACAAGGAACAAGCCGATGGGGAAGCAGAATAGTGCAAGGAAGTAGAATGCGATCGATGCACCTGCTGCACCCTTGTTACTCAGATCACTAGATAGACCGGCAAGACAGGTTTGTGCGATTGTCATGCCGATGGCGGCTGTGATGAGAAGAGGACGACGACCGAAGCGATCGATCAGGAGGACGGCAAGACCAGCAGCGAAGAATTGCCAGATCTGCAGACATCCTGAAACGATTCGGGCAATAGTACCAGAGTATCCAAGATAGCTCTCGAGAATTGTGTCCGAGTAGAATGTAATAATATTGACACCGGTCATCTGGGCGAAGATGTTCACAGCGATCGCAATAATAGTGCGCTGGAGATGACGGTTTTTAGTGCGCGCCCATGGAGAGGACGAAGCGGAGGATTCATCTTGCTCGCCCTCAGCAAGGGACTGACGGATAATTTCCAGTTCCTGGGCAACTTGCTCGGAATCGACGGAGACATCTTCCAATCGTGCCAGAACCTCTGCTGCTTCCTCGACACGGCCCACCTTGGCAAGCCAACGCGGTGATTCAGGAAGGAAGAGGATGCATGAGATGACGAAAAGGGCAAAGATGGACTGGAATGCGATCGGGAAACGCCAGCTAGCTGAGTTGCTACCCGCATAGTACAGACCGAAATCCATCCATGTAGCGAGAGCTACACCGCCGATGGCGAACCAGCCTTGTAGCAAGACCATTCGTCCACGGCCTTCGGCGGGCGAGGATTCCGAAACGTACATCGGGATAGTTGCGGTGAAACCACCCACACCGAGACCTGGAATGGCGTTAGTATTTCAACTTTGATTTTTGTGACTCGGGAGAATGAGGCTGTACCAGTAATAACTCTACCCGCGATAAGCTGGCCGAGTGTGAAGGGCGTTGCTTGAATGATGACTCCAATAATAGCGATACATCCTGCTACGAAGATTGTCTTCCTGCGACCGAGTCTATCTCCAACGAAACCACAAGCGAATGCACCGAGCGCACAACCGACTTCATAGATGGCGACGGTTGTACCTAGAATTTAGTTTTAGCGTGTATACTTTTTGGTTTTCTTTGTTTCAACCTAAAGTACAAAGGAAAAGTAGATCTCACCTTGGATTATAGAATTATGCGATTTCTGTGCACCACTTGTATACAGAGTATCAGTTTCTGGAAACTGATGAATAAAAGAAGCCAGAGTCAAGAGACCATTAGCCACGGCTTGATCATAACCCTGGAGAATAAAACCGACGGCACCGATCAAGCCAATGACGCGGCCAAGCTTCTTTCCACGTAGCTTGGCGAGTGCCATGCTGCTTGGCAATCAGATAAGCTTCTATAGATCGACGGGTGTGGCAGAGAATGTGAAGTAAAAAGCAAGGAGATGACAAAAAAGGTCTTTGAGAATAGATTTTGAGCCAGAAAGTTGGGATAAAGGAACCTTTATCACTGCATGGACAGACCATGTCATATTTAGTCCTCGCATCGAGGAATTGCGGGGGCCCCGGACTGGGGAACCTCGGAAGTTGCCCGACAGTATAGCTTGTCATCCATGTGGACCAGCAAAAAGAAATGACCGTGTCTCACGCTAGGCGATATGATCCAATCAGTGATGCTAGAATAGGAATTAGCTGACTCCAGTCCCCAGATTTCAAAATTTTCGCAACAAAGAAATCCCCAAATTCTCCGTTCTTTGCCCCTCGACTGAACCCCACGTTCCTTGTTGCGTAACCTTGCCGCATCAAAGAAAATACCACCCTGTTCACTGGTTCAGCGATAAGCCTGAGACTCTAATATTGTTCTCCTTGTAATGAAACGGGCACCCCCGGATCGGGTTAGATCCAAAACCCGGTATCGGTGTGTCGGTGCACAACGCTTTGGCCTCAAAAAGCCGATCGGCATATGCCAGTATATGTCGGTTACTATTCTCACCGGCATCGTAGCTTGGTTTCCCGTAATGATGAAAAAGTCGGTCCATCCCACCTCGGGATCCACCACGGGAGAATGTCCAGGTGACCCTTTTCAGTGAGATGTCGTACGTTTTCCTTAGCATAGCGTCCAAGCCGGTGCGAGATAGCGTACATTGCTCCACTGAGATGAGCACCGAATGCCCAATTAGGATCTCGGCGAGCCTCTATGGAATTGTTGCGGTCCGGGATTTAGCCGGCATGTTGAAGCAAGAGAACCCCGGGGACCCCGTCTCCAGTTGTGGGGGGCTCTGTGAAAGTTTGAGAGGGGTCGTGGGGTCCAAATGTGCGCGGGGGTTGTGCGAACGTAACAAGAGTCCACAACTTGCTTGGCGTTGAGGTACGTAGCTGGGAATGTCGTAAGATATTATTGTCAACGGGGCTGCGATACGTTAGTCCTTGGCTGAATGAGCATCAGCAGTATTGAATTTGAGCAGATTCTGCAATATCTGGAGAAGTAGCAACTATAGACATGATGGAACAGTGAGTGAGTAATTTTAGAGAAGAAAGATCTTCTTTTCATTAAAAAACTTAGCTGCATACATCTTCGTCATTCCTGTGCAAATCATTAAATACTCGATGTTTAGTTCGATAGACTAGTCCTGGGCACAAATGGGATCCAACAAGATGGAATGCCGGAGCACTTTCCAAACGTCTGCTAATAGATCATCCTATTCGATCACGCGCAAAAAATTCCTATCAAGGTACTAGTATAAATCCTGAGCGGGTCTCGCTTACGACTAGTGCTAGTATAGGGCGATGATGTGGATAATCTTACTTGATCTATCATATGGTCCCATGCGGCATGTAGTCTTATGGCTTGGCCGGTCAAGAGAAAGTTGTTCTGAGGATAAATTTCAGGTTCAATTCACAATATCCGTCAACAATTGAAGCTCATCTGGTATCCTGATAGTTCTGTTGAGAAGACGACTGATAAATCACTCGATTAAATAATTACCGTCCCCAATCAATGCGCGTACTCTCGCTTGCCCGAGGTGCAACAAGATCCTCCCATAGCCTCTCTCGCCAGCTGAGCTCGGCTCAACGAATGCGGCGCAGAAGGGATCTCGCGATCAAGCAGGTCAGGCTGAGGTACTGTATTCGTATCGGGGTTCTGTAATTGGTCCTCGGCGTTCAACTCACGCTTAGCAATACCGGAGGTATAAATCAAGTTCAGCCAATTGCCCAATCGATAACCTCCCTTAGCAATCTGCAATTCAATAGTGCCAATCACAGAATTGTAATAATCCGGATAGAGATCTCCTGTCTGCAATGCTGCACTGCCATTCGGCATGACCACAGTACAAACAAATGCATTCGCATCCGAGGCCCATCGCGTGGCAGTTGTCACAGGATCACTGGTTGTATCACCGTCAATCCAGCTCGCGGCCACGGATTGGTAAATGCCTGAGGTAATATCCCCAACCAAGGTATCAGCCCAGGACTGCGCATCAGAAAGCGAGTAACCTCCAATCAACTGCTCAGGCATATATGTATCCCAGTCCGAATGCAGGTTATCACTGTAGCCATTAAATGTTACCGCAATATCATTTCCACCGACCTCGTAAGCCTCATCATGTAGCGGCTGTGTCAGGTCACCGATGATGTGTACAAGGAACTTCAGTGCCTCTTCTGTGTGATCGGCGGTTAGTCGCCCATCACTGACGCGCTGCGTGTAGTTTAATATCGCAGAGATGGAACAACCGGAGTCTCCACAGTCACGATCATAATCCACATCGCAGGTGGTTGGTGGGTCATCTTCTGCGTCGATGAAGTGGAAGGGTGCGGACCATTTCCCAGCGGTGGTGGCGCGGTACTGATCTGCCCAGGAGGCGATATTCGCGAGGTATGAGCTCGTCGTATCATTGAGGACTCCTTGGGCCCTGAGCTCGTTAGCCCTTGTATTAAGCCAGACATAGGGGCCTTGAGGTTGGTATTTGCTTTTTATGCGTACTGGTACTTACCATGCGGCGGTGTCAGAAGTGAGGTAATTCTGTGCGACATACGCGACAGTTGCATGACCAAGTGAGCCCCACGCGGCCACTCCCTTGGTCAAAGCTAGAGAGAACAAAACAATATTGAAGACCGGCGCCATCTGTGTAGTATACCTGAGATCCGAATATGCCAGATTGTCTGTTTGGTCAAGTAGAAGAGGATGAGTTGGGTTCAAGCCCAAGAGAGGTGGTCTTCGCGAGATTTTTATATTGTAACGCAGACCCAGTGCTTTTGAGTCTTGTCCCTTTCCTGTCATTACTATCAGCGTCACCTGCGGTTGTCACATTCAGACTCGCCCGCGATAACTTAATGCTGCAGATTGTACGAAAAATCATTGGACAAACGAATGCCACAGCAATCAATTTTGTTTCAAGAGAGCAGCGAGTGCTAAAGGAAGAGCATTTGGTTGGTCGATGGAATTTGGCGATAGTGCTGACTTAAGGATCGGCGCTGCAGGGTACCGGAATCCACCGGTCTTCAGGGTCCAAGGGGTTCATACTTTATACGAGATCCTGAGCGTGGCCACACTGGTTCAAATTCAACCACCGAAAATGGGATCATATCTTGGATGTAATTCAAGTTGCAGAGGACTGGTATTGTTGTCCATGATCAAGCGAGAGATATATATGTTTCTAGGGAGTCCTGCTTCATTGAAACTCGAGTTGTCCAGACCCTGTCGCCCAGGAATGCGGAGCGGGAGACTGGAACGGGATGAGTTCTTGGCAGTGAGATGTTGCCATCCGCCGGAATCCCGCCGGGTCATGTCACGGTTGAAGTGAATGAAAGAATAGCAGTATTGATGCGCCCAAGATACATAAGGCGCAAGATATGGAGGTGGATATTGAGCAGTTGCAGGGTAGGGAGACATGGTTAACTTGATAGCCTGTCAAAGTTTTCGGAGCAGTACTGACATCATTCATAGCAAGGCTCAACCTGTCAGGATTATTCAACTCCCTATAATACTTCATCGACTCTTGATATTCAACTTGACTTCCAAGTTCATGTTCAGACTGGATCATTGACGTATGAATCATGATTATCTCATGGAGGGTTCCCGCCTCATGCATCTGTATGCATTCCAACAAACGGGCTGGCTGTCAAGTGCTCCAAATCGAAGCTCTCAACTCCAATATCATCTCCACGTCAATGATATCTTGCTGTGAATTTTGAGACTATATGGATGTATACCCCATATGGATCCATTCGCTGTGTCCATATTGGGTCTAGCGCGCATTGGGGTCAGGGTCCACGTGACCCACGTGACTCCACACGTGGATCCAAATTGATTCCTCAGGCCAAAGTATCCGGGTCATCATGGTGTGATACAAAGTTGTATGTATCCTCAAGTTTGCTATTCCGCTGCTCAGATGATACGGAACTTTGACCCAACTCGTATAGATCCTTGGAATCGGAGATAATTCTTCGGCGTCTCGCATCATTTGATTACAAATGTCAGCTAGCTCTTAGAGCTTCAACAAGTCGGCTAAGCGGCATCTCCCGCTCGGGGACTTCGGTCCTTCGGGGGTATGTATGCACTAACAGCGGAGTTAACCCCATAAAGTGCCATGGATCCGAATAAAAAAACAAATCAAGACGGTGAAGCTGATGCAATCATGTCATGGGGCCAATGGCGGAAAAAAGGACTTGTCATCAACGAACGCGCATAGCACCTGCAGTTCGACTCCTTTATTATCTCCGAAGGCCACCCACACGCACGAACGGCAATTTTCTGTCTCTTAATCACAGATAGCTCTTCCTTCCATGTTATCCTAATGGCATCACTCGTACGAGTCCTCTCACACGCGGTCAACAAACCATACCGAACAAAGCAATTAGACCATAGCGTTCCTTACATTAACGAAAATGGCTACATCGATTTCAGCCCAGATGATATTGAGAATCCGCGCAATTGGTCGATGCGCCGTCGGGCAGGGATCACCATCAGTGCTGTTATGATGGTCATGAATGCGACCTTTGCGTCCAGTGCCCCGAGTGGCTGCTTCACCTCCATTTCTGAACACTTCCAGATCTCAACTGAGGTAGCGGGTCTAACAATAACAGTCTTCCTACTGGGCTACTGCGCAGGTCCGCTCTTCTTCGCTCCGTTGAGTGAATTCTACGGTCGCAGATGGATCTTCTATATCAGTTTCTTGCTCTACCTCATATTCAACTTTCTCTGTGCTTTCGCACCTAATCTCGGTGCTCTGCTGGTGGGCCGTTTTTTAACTGGTACTTTTGTCTCAGCACCCCTGAGTAATTGTCCAGGTGTCCTTGCCGATCTGTGGAACCCGTTACAACGCGCTAATGCCATGGCCGGTTTCTCGGCTATGGTTTGGATTGGTCCTGCATTGGGTCCTGTCGTCGCAGGTTTTCTGGAGTTAAAAGAGGATTGGCGGTGGAGCTTCTATGTGCTTCTTTGGCTGGGAGCTGGAACAGCAGTCGTAATGTTTACCATTCCGGAGACTTATGCCCCTATCGTTCTACATAACAAGGCAAAGCGGATTCGCAAGGCTCAGATTCCCGGGTATGAGAATGTCAAGGCTCAAGTGGAGGATAGTGATCGGTCACTGTTTGCGATCTATAAGATTGCGTTGACGCGTCCATGGATCATCTTGCTTGATCCTATCTCATTCCTCTGTGCCATTTACATGTCTGTTGTATATACCCTGCTTTACATGCTCTTCACCATTTACCCCATAGTCTTCCAGGAGAAGCGTGGTTGGAACTCGGGTGTTGGCGAGCTACCCCTACTTGGAACGATTGTTGGTGCTCTGATAGGTGCCAGCATTGTACTGGTCGATACACGCATGCGACAGAAGAAGATCGAGCGAGGAGAGAGAAGAATGGAAGATGCTACTCCAGAAGACCGTTTGCCACTGGCGATGATCGGTGGTGTTGGCTTTTCCATCTGTATGTTCTGGTTTGCGTGGTCGGCAAATTACAAGTAAGTTCACATCTCGCCTTTCAATAGGAGCGAGTTCGAATGCTAATCATCGCAAAAGCTCTGTGCCTTGGATCGTTCCCACTATTGCTGGATGTTGTCTTACAAGTTGCATGCTGCTTCTCTTCGTCGCATACTTGAACTACCTGGTCGATGTTTATCTAATGTTCGCTGCCTCCGCAATCGCTGCCAATACAATCGTTCGATCCGCCTGTGGTGCCGCGGCGCCCCTTTTCACGAACCAGATGTTCACAGCGATGGGAGTTGGCGGTGGAGGTAGTTTGATTGGAGGTGTGGCTGGGCTACTGGCTCTCGTTCCCTTCTTGTTCTATCGCTATGGCAAGCAGATCCGAACGAAGAGTAAGTTCGCACCAACACCGCCCCAGGCCCCCAAGAGAGATGTGGAGAGCGCTCCGGAAGAAAAGCAAGAGCCCAGTCGGGTCCTTCATCCTGAGTCTAGTAATGATACGATCACGGAAAGTGGAGATGTTGAGTAATGGACACAACGAAAATGATCTGTGTAATGGGAAGAATGCACTATTCATCAGCATATATTAGACATTGCGGGAGGACCAAATAAGGTATCATATAATATAATTCAAACACAGTCATTGACAGTATCCATCTTTGTATCTCACATCCTAGTAATATCCTTGCCTTGGGCTTGAGGATGTTGTTCTTTACCCCAGTTTTGGGTTGCTGCAAATTCTCCAGTTGACGCAAGTTGCAAGGGTTGGTCAAGGACCCACCGCGCCGATCGCTCGGGTATTGAGTATCACTGAATGCCGTAGATCTGTGGCGCAGCCACATCGATCATTCTTCACAGGAACTGCAGGTGTTAGACAACAACGTGACCAGTCAACTCCAGCCAGCATAAATAACAGTGCTCAAGTTAAACCGTAAATAATGGTTGTCTCGTAGCACGTCATATTGCAGTCTATGTTGCCGATGTCGGAACATGGAACTTTTAATGAAGGTTCTACAGCCACCTAAGGCGATAGGCAGATTTGATTACGAAAAAAAAGTGAAAAGACCCGTTTAAAAAAAAGGGTTATTGTATTAACCCAAGACTCCAAGTCTTCATCTCATGGGCACTAATATCATGCATACTAAACTCATGGGTCATAAGGATAAGGGAATCTATTGGCGGGGTCCCCAGGAGCCAGCACCGCCACTACCGCCGAAGCCACCCCCACCAGAAGGACGGGCGTTGGCAATGTTGACGCGAACGCGGCGGCCATCGAGCCTAAAGAAGGAAAATGCATTAGAAAGATGATAGTGATGATATAGTGGATAAAATATGGACTCACTCTTGCTCGTTCATGGCAGCGACGGCAGCATCAGCCTGCTCCTGGCTGGAGAAGGTAACGAAGCCGAATCCACGGCTGCGGCCGGTCTCACGGTCACGCATGACGATCTGAATTTCATTTGAATTAGTTTTTTTGATGTGATTTGGAACATGTGAGGGAAATTTGAGATGATCGGTGATCGTGGAGGGTTGAGGGATCGAGGTACTCACGGAGTCGATGATCTCGCCGAACTCAGAGAACACACCGCGGAGGCTCTCGTCGGTGGTGTTCCAGGAAAGGTTTCTGAAATTATTAGCATCAACGATAGAATGAGTAAGGTGATGGGACTTACCCAACGTAAAGTTTGGCGGCCATTTTGTCAGTCTCGGAATCACGAATGGTCGAGGGTGGTGTTCCTCCTGAAATCTGGCGCTGGGAATTTTATATTATGGCGCTAGGCAGAATACCGGATTCACCGCCTAATAAGAGGGGCGTCTTATAACTGGCACGCGAGAAGCTTGCGTTTCAAGTACACCGACTGGTAATATTTGGAGTTTATTTAGTAATATAGTTGTAATTTATAATATTCTCTTTCATGAATTGACTATTTTCATACTATTTGGTGGATTTGTAGTGGTTTATAGTGGTTTATCCTGAAACTCAGAAGAATGGCGTAGGTACACCGCCCTTTTCTGCCATTACATATTTTTATTGCACATGTGGCAAAAGATGCTCCTAACTCAAGTACTGATGAGTTTCTTCTACACACTTCTAATGGTTTACAATTAACAGTAACACCAACACGAATACCTTTGGAATCCTCAGACCAAATTCAAATTATTATCAAAATTAAATTTTCATCGCTTCTATGCTAGGGCTGACACTCGTGTGCCCTACCCGGGGTCCTAATCAGGGGGCGGTGAATCTAGAGGCAAAATAACCCCGCGCCACGTGTATTCTTGGTAGATAGACCAGTTGACTATCCATGGATCATTCCAGGGCTGCCAGGTGGGAAATTGAGAGTTGGCTTTTGTGTCAAGATGACGACATCTAGACTTCAATTCTCATTCTGGACCAGATGACCCTCCGATAGACATCAAATGCAATTGAAACACTCGTTCGTACACTTCATCGCAATAAGCCGTCTCGGGCTATCAACTGCAGAGTACATATCCTCAATCGTTTGCCCGAAGGGCACAGAATGAGTTAGACAGAACACCGATCCTCGCCAAAGATGCAATATCTACTCCAACCACCTGAGTAGAACTCGGAGAATTTTGATAGTGCGAGAGACATATTCCCAGCAAATGAAGGGCCGACTGTTATCTGATATCCCCAGGTGTCTTCAGTCTGTGGGTCTGCGGATATGTGCATTTCGGGTCCGGGGCTGATCACCACAGCTCCACACATCCCCTGTCATGTTGAGTGGGCCTTGGGTTTGAATTAACCATTTCCATGTGGGTGTCGGGGTGAATCTTGGAATGGATCTTGGTATGGAGGTAAATGGATGGTGAGGGTTTGAGGAGGCTTCCTCTAAGGGACGAAGAAGCGTAGAAGTGAGGCTTATCATGCACGGGAGAAGGTATGTAAGTGAGACCTGAAGAGTGGTGTATATCTGCACGGTGCAGGGTCACTGATGGTCCAATAGGGAGGAGAAAACTGAGAATGGTGGTACATGTTTCCGCGCCGCTATCTAGTGCTCGCTCAGCCCATGATGAGCGCGCGCAATGCCAAGCCATTCCCGGTCTTCCTCAGTGGTGCTCAGTCCGAATCCCTGCCTCAAGGGAACGGAATTCAAGGCCCTGATGTAGTCGCGGTCCAGGATGGCGCGGTCCAGAATTTGTAGATATTCTGGAGGCAGACCGCGCCAATCCCACCCGCGGACAGTTGACCTCGCCGCCGCAACTCGTCTCTCGTACCCTTCAATTTGACGCACGGGAGGAAGGATACAGCCATCCGCCTCCCGTACGTCGTGCGCCGGCTCTCCGTGCAGAAGGAAGACGAAAATGAACCGAACGAGATCTGTCTCGGCTTGGTATCGGAGGTGCCGATCACCTACTCGATGGGCGAGAACAAAATCGATCAGCGCGGCGACATACTGAGGCAACGACGGCGTCCGAACACTGTACTCCGGGGCAAAGGTTGATGGCACGCGCTCAGTCTGGTAAAGCCGAATCCCAACTGATGAGATTGGCAGTAGTATCACAACAGTCCAATCATCGATAAAGTGGGCCAGGCCGCTGCTGCTCTGCCTGCTCCAATACCCACGTCCCATTTGGAACCGGTGATCTCTGATTTGGGCCTGTGGCCAGCCATTTCTCTGCAAGATTAACGTGGCTCGGAATACCTCCTCGTCGTGGAGATACCAGTTGACCACCTGTTGATTTATGTTAGATCATCTGAGAAGCCACATCATTATGGAGTTTTGACTTACATTTAGGACCTGTGGCCATCCGTATCTGTAGGTGACCTGGTCTCCAAACTCGACAAGCGTGACTTGGGCCTCAACGAGCACCCTCAACACGTTGCGCAGCTCAATTGAGTGCAATTGTGGGCCTGGTGGGCCGCCGAATCGTCCTTCAAGTTCACGAGGTGCGATGAAAAGGGCGGTTTCTTCGGTGATCTCATCAAGGACACCCTCATTGGACAGAGAAACTCCCAAATCACGATTCATGTTGCGGAGGAAGACTTCCAACGGTAATTCGTCTCTCGGTGGTTGCATCGGCATTTTGGATGGTTTTGAACGTGCAGAGTGTTTTTGTGATGAATCTGTCTCGAGGATTGTCTTGAGCTGGTGTAGTTCGAAGAGTGGAAGAAAAAAGTCAACGAGAGTGGTGGGGTTTTGTGGAAACTGGAGCGATTGAAGTGAAGGATCCTGATCGTTGACTAAATGGTCCACGAGATCATTGACTAGACCGACGACATCATCATCGTTGACTAGACCGACAACATCTCGGCGAAGAGATGCCCAGCCGAAATTGTGGCACAGTTACCAGCCACGTTTAATAGGGCGCTATTCTCAGACTAAGACCGTAGTCTTGTGCCCTATGATCCTAATAGTAGCTCTCCCTCACGCACCCTCACGGTTCCATAACAAATCCATGCACCTTTTCTCCTACTCTTCCTGTTACTGTGTCTGATATCCCAAGATACAGTCAATAGCTTATCCTTTGATACCACGGCTATTGGTTCTGATATAACTATTCTTAGGGATCACATACTGAAGCAAGCCAATATCTAAATACCTAGACGCCTCGAGTCTTGATTTGAAAAGGCAATTCTGCTCCGTCTCTAATTAGTAAAGATGTGGGACGATGAACAGCAGCAACGGTCAGGAACTACTACAGCCTATTGAATGGAGAGTTGTTGTCAATTCACCGATTTGATGAACGTTCAATCCCCGTCATTCTTTATTAGATTGAATATTTGTGATTTCTTTGTGGACATGGTATGGAAGTTCAAATAAGTTCAATTTTGATAACAATGAAGCTCAATATTGAGTAAAACGGCGTGAAACACCATATCTCTGCACCATTCCTAACGCAATCTGGCACAAACACACAAACAATGTCATCGCTCAGGAATCACACTTGACAGAAACACTAGCGAGAAGAACGCTCGATCCAATAGAGTCCCAAGTCTGTGTTCCATCGAACCTATGATTGAATTCAACTGGTCCTGAAACCCTCACATCGCAATAGAAGTTCGAGGGCGCATGCGATTGATCAACGACTTGAACAGACGATGTCTTTCGTGTTAGACCTCCTTCCAGGATAGCCCTCTCAACATTGTCGATTGGGATTTTCACGTTGATTGGAGTTGGTTGGCCACTGAGATCATTTGAGAACTGGAGGACAACATATTGAGTCGGGTCACGAGGAACGACTGGTGAGGCTAGTGCAGAGATAGCCAGAATCGGAAGAGGAAGAAGGAGCTTCATCTTGGTTGAGATAGTAGACTTGAAGTGAGTTGAGTATTGCTTCAGTTTGGATTGAATTTGAAGGAGTTTGGGCTATGCGGATGGTTGCAGGAGTTAAGATAGACCTCGGGAGTTGAAGGTGATATTTATACTCGTGATGAACTTCCAAAAATGGAAGCCGCAATCCTCGAGCGCTGAGATTGTTGATTGGTGCCAACAAGAATCTTTGGATTGTAATACAGGCTAGGATTGGAGGAATCTCTAATTGGAAGGTATATTGGTCGCAAGTCTATTTTGAAGGAGTTTATCACATGTGCAAGTCACAGCCCCTATTATGGAAAGGAAGACGTGTCCCAAAATTATCGTCTCATGAGTACCGCTAAGGGGAACATTTGAAGGCTTCACAGGGATTTCAGGCATTGTAGAAAAATCTTAAATTATACATCATTGGGCTGACTGGAGGTGAATATCCAAGACTTCAAATTGCAATAGTATGGAGCTTTAGAGGTTATGGTGATGGTATTTATTCCTCCCACTGAGTGTTGACGATTGACTACACACATGATATCATCATTCCATTCTTCATTCTGTTACTTATTAATGCCAATCGATCAGCCAAGTCAGAACGTCATAATAACAGATCCAATTCACGTCCAATAGCTTCCCACATAATACCATGTCAATTGTAACATCTTATCCCAGGCTGTATTACTGCTGGTGACACACCCGTCTACAATTGCGGTAATCGGTTCTGCAATGGAGGATGTGATTGTTGAGTTCGTCGTTAATGTTAGTGACAGGCTCAGCCATGCAGTTGTTCCAAACAACCATGCAGTTATCAACACACTGGAAGTGAGCAGGGACTTCATGGCTCCGACACTTCAGGTGACAATTGGAGAAGTTTGTTGAACAGCTTTCCACATTCGCACAGGGCTGCTTGCAGCAGTCTCGAACATCGCCCATACAGCTCTCAATGCAATTGCCGTAACTCGATGAGATATCTCTTAGGTGGAAGTCGGGCATCAAGGACAGGCATTGCGCAGTGTCGCCGCAGTTCTGGTTTTGCTTGTTTGCGGATGTGATGCCAATCAAGGCGAGGAGGATGCTGATTAAATATGAACTCTTCATTTTGTGGATTGGTTTGGAACTTGCTTTGGAGGATTTCTCAGCACGATCAGGTATGAGGTTATTTTCAAGATAAATGACGAATCCTGGGCATATGGAAGGTTTTTATAAGATCAACTTGACTTCCGTGAGATACTATGGTTAGGATGGTACGATTACCGTTGAGACATTGATCCAGTTTCCCTGCGGATCCTTGAGGTATCGTTACATGGTAGTCCTAGTACCCGTTTCACACGCATTTCTTCAGAGGCTGAATAAATTCTAAGGCCTTCAAAATTGGGTCCCTCGGGACAAGTCGACAAAGCGCTGAGAATTAATCATGCTTGGCTCTACCTAGGTATAAATTTATCAAATACTTATCTTATATCAATCAATTCTATCTGCTGCGCTGCGAACTTTTTCAAGTTATCTCAACCCTTGCGCGATGGCGGTATCTCAATTTGCACTCCTGGAAGAGACTGAGGTGACTCATCTGAAAGTAGTCATAAAGGCTATGAACAGTTACCCAGGTGAATGTATCAATTTTGTGAACCCGAACAAGGGTTGACTGTCCGGAAGATGTGTATCAATTGGAAAAGCCTCCCAAAACAACAAAAAATACCAATGGAATACAGATACAATGAGTAGTTCCAAGATTTTAAGACAAAGCTGAAATTTGAGATAAGAGAAAGTTCAAAAATGAACTTCAGGGGGTCATCTTTTGATCAAAAGAATAAATCTTTTACAACCAAAATGAAACCCAATTCCTCTATTAGGAAAGATTCTAGATGAGAGGAGAAAATGAATGAGGTTCGCATTTGACATTGATCAATACTTGAAACTTGGAAAGCATCTTTGCGCAACAACTTGTTTATATTCCAACTGGTCGTACGTTCCACACGTGCCTCCCCGGATCTGAAGTATCTTGATCTTTGTGAACCCGCAGGATCTAGTGGTGAGTTCAAGTCAGCCTGCACATGGGGCAGTCAGACTTTACGATTATTTTTGCCCACATGATGTACTTGTGTGAAATTGATATGGAATTTCACCTGGGCAGGGATCAGGGATCATCTCAATTTTGGAACATCTTTGGTGTTTCAATAATTATTTCGATATTGGGAAATCAAGGTATACCCTGCACTACAATAACTTTACATACCAGATACTTCTGGGAAGTTTCCAAGGTTGATTGCTTCTAGGCATTGGAAGCGATAAGCTGAATTGAAGTCACAGCCATACATAATTTGCATTCGGTGAGTCTATATGTGATTCTAACACAAAATCCAAGATGATGAAATCCACATGTGTATCACAAAAGGTACATTAATGTGTATGGCATGAAGTAGTATCACAATTCCAATCAAGCCGAGCCGCCCGAAGCAATTTAACTTGAACCAATAGCTATCGATTCCCACAACCCAGCAAGAGTCTTACTCGTGACGGCGTCGTGCAAGACGACGATGCATGTCACTAGTGTAGGCCCGCTTTTTGCTAGACGCAGAAATGGACAAGGTCTCGGAAATTCCAGCAGTGCACTCAGTTCCATCAGCCATGCTCTGGGACGAATCCCATTCGCCGTTCACGCAGCGCTGGAATGCAGTGCCGTCATTGCAGTACCAATAGTCCTCTTCAGTGCAAGATCCACTCAGGACACCAGAAGTAATAGCGGAGGAGCTGGATGCGGTGCTTGTGGTAGCTGCGACAGTAGTAGTAGAGGAGGGAGTCTCGTCAGATGAAGAGGAATCGCTGTTGCCTGATTCGCCTGAGCATGAGTTACCACTGCTGCTGCCGGTGCTGCTTGTGCCACTGTTCGAAGATGAACTGGCCGTTGCAGTGGGCTGGACAGCAGAGCTTTGGGCTGAAGTAGCCGGAGTCTCGCTTGAGGTATCAGATGAAGATGTCTGGGTCGCCTCAACTGCAGTAGTAGTGGTGGAGGAAACAGCAGCGGCAGCGGTGGCAGTACTGCCAGTAGTGTATAGAGTGGGACCGGGGATAGTATAGGTGCTGATAGTCTGCCAGATATCAATGTAGATACCAGGGTCTGTATCCTTGTAGAAACTAGTGGCAGGTTCAGCGCTAGGAGTGGCCGTTCCGTCACCAGTCACATTCAGGTTGATGCACTGGGGGTAGTTCTGTGCTCCGTTTAGATCCTCGGCGCCGTGAAGAGCGATAATCTCATGGCGGAGTACATAGTTGCCAGCCTCGATATCGGTCGGGATCGTGATGGTGCGGGAGTAGTCGTCGGCGATCAGGTCATCAGAAGCCCAGGAACCAGGGATCACAGTATCATTGATCATGCCACCTGCATCAATCTTGAAAAACTCCAGTGCAGTCTTGTCCACGTCGGCGCAGGAACCGTTGCAGTTGGCAAGGTAAGTGATGACTGGGCCATGGTGATCGGACGGCCAGGTATTCCAGGTCAGCTTGACTGTACCACCAAGAGTCACAGGCGCAGCCAATGCACCTGGTGCAGAGCCTTTGTGACAAATGATGTTCACACTATCATAGTCTGTAGGAGCAACGTAGCCATCGTCAGTGGCGTTGGTGGACCAAGCAATGAGCTCTGGTGGGTCACTCTCAAAGTAGTAGGTATCGACGAGATAACCACCATAGGTTGTACCGTCAACCTCAATGCTGCTCACGTAGCCGTGGCCTGCGACCAGCGCAGCCGAGCCCATGAGCAAAATCGCAGATTTCAATAAAGACATTGCGGTTGGAAAAAAGGGAGAGACAAAGAATGTAAATGGTCTCGATCAACGAGGCCTTGAAGAAAAAGTACAGAGAAGGAAAGAAGGGAAGAAAGGAAGGATCAGATGAAATTTAGCATCTGGATGAAAGCAAAGTAGTTATGGGAATGAGGCGCTATTTAACCCTCACGATTCGAACTTGAAGTCCATACTACAGATACAACTGCCGGGCCGTCGGATATAGGAAGCACCTCATTCCATGATGATCGAAGCTATCCCCAACAACGCGAACCTTGGAGGAGACCATTGTTTCAAGGAAGGAATATGAAATGACTCAGGATAGTTCCCACATCCCCATCTTTGATGAGAAATTGATTCGTAGAGATTCGCAGTGCGTCTCCTTGCAGGACTCGGATATACATGGCTGGGGACTTTGTTTCATCTTTAGAATTGCATACGAGGCGCTGATTTTGGAGACTAAAAGAGCACCTTTAATTTGAGGAATGATGCATAGTGAATCTTTATCACAGCCAGGATCTAGAGGAAAGGATTTTATCGAAGTGTGATTGAGATTATATGATTTGTATCTCACAATTTTCGATCTACGATGACCCGGCATATAGCTTTTTGCTTGTCATAACCTAAAAATTTGAATGATCGATTTATTCAGAGCCAAAAATCTTGCAAGGGTTCAATTAGTGCCAAGACTAAGATATTAAGCTAGTTTCCACTTCATAATTAGTTCGTCTCAATTGCCGATGTCTTGCTGGGTTGAAACGCGCTAACAGCTAAGCGAGAGCACGGATCAGACCTCGGACTCACGCGATCCCCATTAAGCTCGATTTACACTCCGATTCCAAGATTTATTCACCTTCCATCGATCGATGCAATTTATTTGAGGTGTGCAAGTTAACCTGACCCCGCAGTGGGTAGATATGAAACCCGGCGTCAATGCACTTGCACCTGTCACTGTTGAAAGGCTAAAGCTATATCCGCTACGGATGACATCCATCATGATCCATGCAATACTGCATACTCAAATTTTCACTCCATTGATCGAACTGTCCAGATCTTCCTTCACTTTGGATAATGAAATAAGTAATTGGAAGAATCCTCACAAAAATATCCATTTCAAGCTCATGTATCGAGCCTGAAATATGAGCTTATGCATTCAAATGTTCGTCAGACTCGCCACAAATTGGGTAAACACCACATCCAGTCGCTTCCCTTCCTCGTCAGCAACTTGACCATGAGTCTTGGCACTACCAATAGGATGGTAAGGGAATGGACTGGCAGGGGTCAGAAACACATCTTTCATTTCGGAGATCTTTGATGAACTTACCCGTATTCGGGTACAAAGATAATTCTGGTGTTTGGATCCTCCTCAATTCGACGTTGAAGAACTTGCGTCCACAATCTCTCAAAGCATAATCTCTCTTGTTCAAACACGGGGTTCATGGGCTCGGGGCACTGAGATGCCTGTGTGGTACCGATTCTCGAGTGGATGTGATAGACCTGATTATGGTTAGCCTTCTCTCCGCCTAGAATCGCGGATTGTCAAACCCACATGCGGGACGATAGCTTCCATCATTGCGCGATCCTCTTCGCCAATGTCAATAATTCTCTCCAGTCCAACCATCCAGTGAGAGAAATCAGCTGTGATGCGCAATATGTGCCACAGATTTCGGTCAGCATGTATACCGCTTCAAGAAATGAAATGGTTTCCTTACTGGGGAACGGCTTTTAGGATGCGCAAAGTGTTGTATGGAGTAAAAAGTGACCGATTCCGATGTATTTCGTGGTAAACTCGACCCGACAGACCCAGCCCCTTATCAATCTCAAGTGCACCGCGATAGAACTTGATCGATTCCTCAACATCCCACGCATCTCTGAAATTGTATCAGTTTTGAAGTCAAGGAATATAACCTTGGAAGTGTCTTAGATGGTACTGACTGGCCTGATTGGAAGTTGAAAGAGACTGGTCTCAGTGGCTCCGCGAGTTGGAGGACATCTCGGTAGTTTTGTAGGTGGTCGCTCGCTGTTAGACCTACAGGGCGAGGGCCTGCATAATCCACCCAGGAAGAGTGCCCCCTGGTATGCATTAGCATTCATCACGCTTGAATCTTCGGTTCTTCGGATCACTGACAGGATACTTATGTCAAAGTTCAAATCATCGCAGATCTTCCGTAGTCGCGGGAAATCATTATTCGGTTCCAGCCCATGGATGTTGACTTCCACGCCGTCTGTTGTCGTCAACAAGCCGAAATAATTCGCCCAGTGCACGAAGGAATGAACAAAATAATCAAAAAGAGTGATCAATTGAGCTTACTGTAGCCAATTTCCTTCAATTCCGGGAACCATTTTGCCCAATTATCCAAGTTCGTCCCCGGCTCAATGCCCCAGACAGTGCGAAACCGATCAATTCTCATGTTGTATCTCGAATCAAACAAAGGTCATTATTTCATGGAAAATGAATACAAAGAATCAGGTAAACCTGCCAAATATTTGTCTTTTGCAAGCTTCCTCACTTTGCCCCGCATATAGAGCAAGACAAATACATCCGAATCAGGAAATATTCCCCGCTGAATTTCGGCGAAAACTTCTCCACTCTCTGTGTATGATTGGTTCATCGACACCACTTTGATCGATGTGGTTCTGTAACCCATTCTGGCGTTATTCAATGCATGCGCGACATGATCCACATGCGGAGAGAATTTCCCTCTCTATGCTGGAGCTATCATAAATAAGGGATGTCAGTCACGGTGCATGCGGGGAAAGATTGCTGATCAGCCTTCTCCAATCTTGGTATTGAGATCTGGACTTCTTGATGATTTCGAAAGTTACCCCGCCGGATTGTCCTTATAGTGATCAAACATTGAAAAGTTGAGCCAGTTCTCCATCCAGAACATGGACCCCGGGAGGCTAGTTTGATGGCCGTTCCTGGCTTCTTCTAGGGGTTTCAAGTTTTCAAAAATGTTCATCGTACACATGTGCAAACTTGAAGCCTTAGGTGCTACTAGTATTCAGTCCCCGCCAATGTGCTGTTTCTTTACGATAATTATAATAACTTAATAAAAATAATGAAGCTATAACTTGAACTCTCAGACCTGAAACCTTGGTTGGTATGTATATTCAAGTTTGATTGTCCTCATTCCAAAATTCATTTGGACCATCCGGACCCCTATTTTCTAAAATCCCCCGTTAGGGTGAATTATCACCTTGGTATATCCATCCTCTCGCTTGTCGAACTTCTCATACGCGACCTCGGCATCAGCAAGAGCAATCTCATGTGAAATCACAAAGCTGGGCTTAGCTTTGCCAGCAATGATCATATCTCGCAAGTACCGGTTATAAGCCTTCACATTGCACTGACCAGTCCCCAGCGACAGACCCTAGAGTGAAAGTTTGAATTAAAACGTTGAATCTCTCTCGTAAAGAATTCAACTGAGAAATAAAGCTGCTCACCTTTTCAAATAATTTTCCAAAGCTTAGACTGATCATCCCGTTGGCAGAGGCAGCATCTGACGCGCCAGGGTCACTAGCAAGAATCCCTTGTTAATTCAAAAAATCAGACATCCTTCAAGTGAGCATCGACGACATACCTCGGTACATATAGTCCAGGGATACCCATTCCTCCACAAGCCCGAGTCACACGAATCATATTTTCAAGAACGATGTTTGGCTTCTCGGAGGATCCATTAGAATCAACTGCCTGGTATCCAACAGCATCCACCGATCGGTCCACAGTATCACCGTTGTGGGCAATGATCTGGTCCACGGCGTCCCTTTTGTGAAATCGATCGGAATGCAGCCGATCTTCTTTGCCGCCTCAAGTCGCTCGGGAACCCGATCCACGACGTAGATGTTTGATGCGCCACGAAGAGCGGCGGAATAAGCAGCCATCAAGCCGACTGGGCCTGCGCCAAAGACGGCGATGCTCTCACCTGCTTGGAAGCCGGATATTTCGACACCGTGCCAACCTGTTATTCGTGTGAGGAGGAGAATTCCTTTTTGTGAGATCTACGCGATTCGGACGTACCAGTGGGGAAGATATCTGTGGTATATAGTGTCAGCAACTTTGAAGCGCATTATATGTCACAGTGACTTACCAGCCAGGAGAATGAAGTCAGCTTCGTGCTCTTTACCAGGGGGTAATGTCAGAGCATTGAAGTCGGCATAAGGCACTCGGATATACTGTGCTTGGCCTGAGAGGTTGTTAGCGAAATCTAATTGATCAAAATTGGGTTATCTACCTCCTCGGTATGGTCCCATGGCGACATAGCCTAGGCGATGTTAATAGATGAGGCGATCAAAGCTTCCAAGGCCCTATGTGGACTCACCATAAGCACCACCTGCAAAGCCCGGGTTGACACCAGTACAGAAGGCTGTCCTGCCTTCTTCACAATTGCGACAACGGCCATCTGCAACATTGAATGGCATGACCACCCGATCACCCTTCTTCAATAATGTGACACCTTCACCAATCTCCTCGACTATTCCCATATTTTCGTGGCCTGCTTGGTCAATATTGGGGCATTTTTATTTTCTTTTCGCGTGATTCATACCGAAAGTAATGCCAGACTCTGCGGCAGTCCTTCCTTCATACATGCTGTTTCAATGTAAGTTTCTATTGCTTTCGAGGGTCCACGGTTTGCGCATGACTTACTGAAGATCCGAGCCACAGATCGCGGCCTTGTCGATAGTTAGCCTGATGCAAAGTGGAGAGACAAACAACACTGGATCGTTATACTCACTGTGGTGACTTTAACAATAATGTCATCTGGATGTTCCAGCTTCGGCATGTCCACATCCTCCATCCGGACCTTGTATGGTCCAAGATAGTTTAATGCTTTCATAGTAGTCGCCATTGTGATTTATAGTATGTTTATTCAGGTCGTAGAAATGAAATCAATTGAATCAATTGAACTGAGTAAAGCGGGGGATCCACCTCATTTGTACTCAAGTTATTTATATTTACACTTCCAAGAGCAACGCGCCACATAGTTGGAGTCACTGGCAGTCGCGTCTCATTTGACCCAGGTATGTACGGCATGCATCTACAGCTTTCCAGCTCGGAAACCCGGGTTCCCCATATTCAAGTTGCACTGAGAGTAACGGCTATTCAATTTGGGACAGGATTTTGAATTCTGCCCCTCATCATCACTGCAACTCTCATGAGGGGGAACTGTGACTTTCCCCACAGTGGATAAGATCGACGCGGGCAAAATTCCCTCCTTAAGAACACGTTCGCCGCACTTACCAAATTTGACTTGCGGAAAATAAATTTCCAAGGGGTCAAGAGACGTGAATAGGGAGATGCACATATGTAGATGCAATATGAGGTCAAATAACGCTTCCCCGCCTCAGAAATACTGATCACTGGGTGACCTGGATGCGATCGTTGAAATGCATCGCGAGTCCTGGATCTGTTCACATACACGGGTTTCTCATCCAGATGTCTCGATCTGAAACTCTCATTATGACATCGGGACTGAATCGTATGATAAAAGATCCAGAAATCGCACGGTATTCCTCGATATGGTCTGTTTGATTGTTGGAAACTCTGTGATATTTCTCATTATGAAAATTCGTTCCCATATCTATGATGTCCCTGTCATGAATACCAACTAACACACAACGTTACGGTCGGGAATCTGAACTGGAGCAGAGTCACTGATATGCAAATATCGAGTGCTTAGAATATGACATTGCTACAGCAACTTGAAGCAGTGAGACCGCAGCCAAATATAGATGCAGATCTGAACCATGATACATATGCCCTGGAGACTGTGTGGCCTCAATATGATTATTTGCTTGGATATTAGCCCGGCATGTTTCTAGATTTTATTCTAGCGGACAACAGTAGAATTAGAGCAAATGAAGGGGAGCAGTTAAGGGATGCCCCAGGTGAAGAAGAGAAGATGGGAAGATGGGAAGATGGGAAGAAAAGTGATATTGAAAATTAGTCCTTCATACTCCTACACGTAAAGTTTAAAACTCCGAGTCCGAGTCCCCATGTACATAGTTGTTATCAGCTCTCAAGTGCTGGAGTACGGAATCCTGGAGATACATACTGCATGTCTGCAGCCTCGCCGCTCAAGTGTTTTTTTTTTTCAATAAAATTTCAACATATCCGAAATTGAGCAGCTCGGATGAATATTTAGCCTCCACAGTTGACGGACTCTGATCTGACTACGGTATTTCTATCGTCTAGGGAGCAAACATCAGACTCAGAGTTAAGGTTCTCATCCCGTCAGCTATGTAGGAATATCTGAATGACATCCCAGCGCCTAGGTGGTTGATGGGGAACTGTGTACATACTAAGTTCGGGGAAGTGCAAATCTTCACCTATTTAGGAAGGTTGATGGGGACCTCGGGAATGTATTAATCTCATGACCAGAAAACAATTTCATCTTATTTCTAGATCTCTGGAGTTGCACCACTGCCAGCATATTATTGATTCAAGGATTTACTAAGAATCGCATATTGGCGTTCCTTTTTTCTTCTATATAGGCCAAGCATTCTCATGGATAAATAATATGCCGCCATGAAGATTCTAAGGCTGAATCTCGGGCTACAATCGGAGGATATTCCATTCAACCAATCCCCTTCATCTTTTTTTGCGTTTATGGTGTTATGCACAAGCGGGCGGTGGAGAAACTGTTGAGACTAATGGCAGTCTGTGGGTACCTAGTCAATTTGTGACTCCTGTTGGGACGTTCTAGAAAAATTCGATGCAGCATTCTGCATAGGTTCAAGTTACCCGGAGACTTCCAGATGCCGCGAATACATCTCGAAGCCTGATAGAAGACATTCTTTGTTATCTCCGAACTACAGGGTAATAAGTACATGTAACATAAATCTCACACAAGGCTGGGGTGAAAAGGCATCTGTCAAATTCACCTTCCTATATAGGTTCAAGTGTCAAACCAGAACATCTGGAGGTGGAGTTTGACGATAAGTAAGCGACACCCGAGCCAATTAAAGGAACGAAACAAGATTATATTGATTTTTCTCGATGGAACATTGGCCTATCTCCGAGCCTTTCGCTTATGCCGGTTCTCCACCTTCAAGCCGTCCGATCCACCAGCTTCGAAATTCCCGGATGTGACATGAAAACCACGAGGCTTATCAGCAGGTGTAATAAGCCAAAAGATCAGCTACGCAGAGAATATCATTGTTTGCATACAGATCGTCACTTCGGAGAGATCGCGGAGATAGGGAAGCACAACCAGTGACACGAAAAGAACTTATCATACGCGTCTACACCCTATCGAACCACGTTTTTTGGTGATCTTACCCACAATAAGCCATGAGGCGCCCAATGCTTGGTGTCGGGTGGCACGGATAGAGCGAACCGAGGAATGCTTAGCTTCTCCGCATATTATTGCCACCCTCCCCTCAGGGAAAAAAATTTTTGATTATTTTTTTCTTGAACTGGGATTTGGGATTTGGGAAAAGAGTCACACCTGAGACTCTAGTGTATTTAACATGGAGAAAAAAATTCAGGAAAAGGTTGACGTGCCTCCAGAGTACAATGTCGCCGAGAGCATCGGACCTGCCGTGATTAAACCTCAGGCTCGTGAAGCGTATGACTCCGGTGTTAGCTTCGAGGAATACCGCTACTATGCGCAGCGAACAAGAGAACAACAGGAACTGCTAGATCCTCCGGTGGTGAGCTACCGACAGTATTTCGGCAAGAAAGGCGAAAGCGAGGCATCGTCGCAGGATGTCACGACGACCCTCACTGAGGAGGATTTCACGAATCGCTCGAAGAGAATGGAGATCACCGATGAGGAGTGGACAAATGCCAGTCGCGCGTTTCGATCTGCCTCTTGGGGTGCCTGTAAGTGGAAAAAGAGAATTCCTAATAAGTAAACGGATGTTGACTGGACATTTATAAATAGGCTTCTTTTTGATCACTACGGATATTCTGGGACCCTATGGAGCTGGCTATGCGATGGGTACTCTTGGATGGGGACCTGGTATCGCCTTCTATACGGTTTTCGGTTTGGTTGTCGGATACTCTGGATACCTCATCTGGCGCGTCTATCTCGGTGTCGACAGTTATGAGTTCCCAGTGAAGAACTACGGTGATCTTGGTTTCCGCACGCTTGGTCAATTTGGTCGGCATTTGACGAACGTGATGCAAGCCATCGGTTTGGTCCTTATCACCGGTCAAGTCACCCTCCAGTATGGTGAAAACATCTCCCAGGTTTCCAAGTTCAAGCTGTGCTATGCTGTTTGCCCTATTCTGTTTGTCGTTGCAGGATTTTTCATCACTCAGATCCGAACTTTGAAGGCCTACGGTTGGATCGCGAACTTTGCTGTTTGGTTGAACATCTTTGTCATTTTCATGACTATGGGTGTCATGGCCAATTCGCCTCCCAACTACGAGATCGCTACCCTTGGTTCCGCGGGCAGTGCCACTAACATTGCTACAATTACAAAGGGTGCAGATGGTGTCTGGCCGGCTATCATCCATTACAGCAACATTCCCCCAGGAGATGGAACTCTGGGTGCTGTTAACGGCATGCTTTCCGGTGTCCTGGCCTACGCTGGTGCCCAGCTGTTCGTTGAGTTCATGGCTGAGATGAGACGTCCTCAGGACTTTATTAAGGCTATGTGGGGTGCTCAGTTCTTCATCTACTCCGTCTACCTGACCTACGGTTGTGTTGTCTACTACCTTCAAGGACAGTATTCTTTCAACCCCAGCTACATGGGTGTCAGTATCTACGGTTGGCAAACTCTGGGTAACATGGTTACCCTTGTTGCTGCGCTCATTTCGGCTGGTCTGTACGGAAATATCGGTATCAAGGTTGTCTACAACAATATTCTTGTCGATATTCTCAAGGTTCCACCTATGGAGTCCCGCCGTGGAAAGCTCATCTACGCTCTGCTGGTTCCCATCTGGTGGATCATCGCTTATATCATCGCTGCTGCCATTCCCGACTTTGATGGTTTCGTGAGTGTGATGTCTGCTTCCATGCTGCTCAACCTGAGCTACACTCTGCCTCCGCTCTTCGCCCTTGGATACGACATTCAGAAGAATACTATCGACGAGGCAGCGGGTGATGGATTTGATCCTACAACTGGCCAGATTTCACGAAGCTCATGGGGCATGAAGCGATTGGTTCGCGGTTTCTTTGCTGGAGGCAAATTCCAAGTTGCGATCAACATTTGGCATGTTATTTACTTCCTTGCCTCCTTGGCAATGTGTGGTTTGGGCATGTGGGCTGCTATTGTTGGTCAGTATATCCAATCTAATCCCTTTTCTCTACTAAAGCTAACTCCGATTTCAGGCCTGATCGATGCATTCGAGGGTACAGAGTTGAACTCGTTCTCTTGTGTCTCTCCTCTCAACTTGAACGCATCTTAAACGCGTGAGGAATTAATTTCCCGATCTTTTTTTCCGGCGTTGACATAGAGTCGGATGGGAAGCTTGGAATCATAATTTGAGACTCGCGCTCACTGTTTTTGTACTGAACTATATCATTTGTATGAGAAATATCTGTATATCACACTTATTGGATTGGATCAAATCATGATTAAGGAGTTGAATGAAGACGATGTTCAAATATTAATTAGTCGTCAAAACTAAACTTGAATCCCGCCGTGTTTCTTTACCTTCCTCTGTCAGGCTCAGTTTCTCACCCCCTCCTTCCCTCTCTGTGACGTTTGGTTTCTCTCCTCTCTCCTCCCTTCTCCTCTCTCCTCCCTTCTCCTCTCCGCACCCCGTCCTCTCCGAGGTTCGGTTTCTTTCCCCTCGCCTCCAGTCTCCTTTCTTGTACCGTCCTCTCCGAGGTTCGGTTTATTTTCCCCTCGCCTTTCTCAGGTCACGTCTCAAATACAAAAAAAATACTTATTGGCGAGCAACTTCGCTCTCTGCAGGTACCACAAACCACCGGTCGCATCCATAGCAGGTGGACGCTGTTGATTTTTCGTATTCTTCTTCCCATTACTTTTCGCTCTTCCCCAGATGCAATTTTGGTGGACCTACTATTTCAATGCGACAATTCTCTTGTTGGCGCCCTCTGTGACGAATAGGTATGTATTTTGTGGTTCGCTGAGACCTGAAGTCATGTGCCGAATCCCATCTTCCACATTTGACGATTCCTCTGCTGATAGTTTGCTTTTCTGCTTTAGATGTGGTGGCCAGAGCCATTTTGCGACCGAGCTGGTTATCCTTCGGTCGCTATCTCGCTGTACGGCCACTTCGATGTCCCAAATTGTGGCGCCTGTCCTTCTGTTGGGGACCGATATAACTGGAACGCCTGGCTTTCTGTGTATCGTCATGATGCGGAGAATTTGCATGAAGTGATCGAGGCAGGTCATCCGATTGGTGAGCTACTCCATATATGATCTAAGACACTTAAGAATCCGCTGATCCTGACCACAGTGTAGATCTACAGCTTTGCTTTCTTCACTAAAAGGATCCTGAGTCCTGGAAGTGCTTATCTGATCGGATAGCACCGACCCAGAGAATGGCCAACAAATATGTCCTTGATCATGTTTACGTCTAGGATAACTTCTCCTTTTGAAACATCACATCATTCAAGACCCTGCAGTTGAAAACGCCATAAGGGCCCGCAGAGAATACAGTTTTCTCAAAAACATGAAGTGCAGTCATTTTGCTGGGAACTAGAGGCTTGAGGATGTTCATTCATGGCAATTCAAATTTGACTACCTGGCTCCTATCGATCCCATCCCCTGCTCCGTACGGAAAAGGAGTCACAATACAAAAAACGAGTCACAGAAGGAGGAATGATCTCTATCTAACATGAGAATCAATCGTCAGAGTCCGACTAAGTCCATGTACATCATCATGTATATGATGCATACTTCGACAACAGTCGCCCAAATTCAGCTAAGATCACAATCCCTGTCAATTCCGCGGAGGCCTCTTCACCCAAACCTCTTTTTCAATCTTTCCTGGAGTGCCGACCTCAAGAGAAGACGAATCCCGAAGCTCAATATCCCACAGATTCAGCGTGTGAGGTCCACCATCCCCCTTCCCCGTGAAAAGGTCAAAGCGCCATCCATGCCGAAAGCACCGAATACCAGCCGTGCCGAGATCTTCAATATCAAAGACATTGCCTTCCTTCAATGGAAAAGAGGAATGCGGGCATTGCTGGAAATTGTCAGCCCAAATCGCCTGGAGCACAGTCTCTAACGCACATTGTCAATGGCATGAATGAATCCCTTGTACTTGAAAACTAGGACTTGATCATTCAGATTGGATAGTCGATTCATTCGTGTATTTCCAACGTCTTGTCTGGGTATACTGAGTGTTTTGCATCCTGGGAGGACATGACATTTCTCGTTATCATGACTGATATCGGGAAATGAGGAGACAAGACCAACAAATGTCCACTGGGATTGTTCTTCTGACATTTTCAAGGATTTCTTTCCCATAAACTAAGAGCAATCATGCAATGATCAAGTTTAATGTACATACATGATCGGGTATTGATTTTCGTCGGCTAATGTTTTCAGTAGCCGGCTGAATCAGCCATCAATATCAAAGGCCAGCACTTGTTCTTCTTCCTCAAATCCCACTTTTCTCTTATCTTTAATGGATCTTGTGCATTTCAAAAGCTTCACATACATCCAGATGAAGGCTTACTGTGAAATATTGGATTCAAATCTGAACGCCATCGAGGCATTTCAGGCTGGTTTACGATTCGTTCGAGCTTGGAAAGACTCGGAGCATGCTAAAATCATTGAAATTGCATACCTTGCCTATGAACTAATCGGCGTATCTGTATACTGTAGGTAATAATTTAGTGAAGGATGCTCTGATACTATCTCCGTTTATGTAACTGGGATGAACTACCTAGTTACTAAATACAGGAAACATTGAAAGATCGCGATTATTTCTCTCCCGCCTTGTCAGCTACTTGAGAACGCTTTTCCTTCTGATCACATTTGACACAACAAGTTCCTACTCTGTGATAGTCACTTGTGTGTGTTGCACAGAACTCTATATGCCGATTCTTCACACATCTGTTGCGATCCAATGCATGAGTTGGTCGACCGACGGGACTAGATCAGATAGAATCTTAGACCTTGAAATTGAACAGGAGGCAGCTTGCAAAGGATGACGACTTCCAAGGTTGTACTCACCAATGATGTGCCTGCAGCATTCCGCAGACTGTTTGACTCGGTGGTGACTGACTTGATACTAGATTTGTTTTTGTCGACCCAAAGATGGCAGAAGTATCTTTGCGGTCGGATTTGACCTTCAAATGTTTGTTTACGAAGAGTCGGCAAGTTTAGATGGAAGAAAGAATATCATAGATCTGGGTGAATATTGGAGGTTATATACCCTGATAGAGTCCGAACAATTCATATAATGGATTTCGCTTTCCGTTCAAGGCCGCGGGCTTCTTTGTGATATTGAATCTACTAGTAGGAATGCGTACGAGTTCTGAGATTGTAGGAGGTCGATGCCCTTTGAGAAAGTCTCAATTCTCAGCTTGAAGCTTTCATCAATATTAACAATTTGAAAGGAACTAGTACCGATGGTCTCAAAATATCATTCCATTTGTACTAAAGCCCCACCCGACCTTAATCAAAACGCCCCATTGCAATGATCCTGGCGTCACCAACGCCACCGTACCTTTCAAGATCCATGTCCAGGTGTTCAATGTCTCGGAAGCCATACTTCACATATAGGTCATGACCATCAGCAGAAGCGGTCAGGAAGAAATCATTCAATCCTTTCTCCTTTGCTTCTGAAATGCCCTGCTTAAGCATGGTAGATGCGATACCTTGGCAGCGATATTCAGGGAGCGTGGCAAGAACCTGCAAAACTACATTGGTCTCGGCCACGTTGTCACAAATGAGACATAATACGAATTTTCAGGCGGATAGACTCACACGCATGCGTTTTTCCAGACATATGCTTCTTTCTTGCAGAGGAAATCTCTGCAATTATTCCATTACAAGCAGCCGCATTGGCAGTTTCCGGCCACTCCCTATCTGTCCAGTCTTTGATGGGCTGAACCTCCGTGTAAAAGCCCCATTGAGCCCAGGCAACTATCTTGTCTTGTCCATTGTCGTCCTGGACAACAGCTTTGTAGTTTTTCATGGCTGGGTCGGTGCGTAGCATTTCGTTGAGACCTCTTGCCCGATCTTTGTTGCATTCTCCACTCTTTGGGTGGCCAAACATCAAATATGTGATGTTTGATTCCCGTGCGACTTTGGCTGCTGCAAGATTTGAGACAGCCTCCACTTCCGCTAAAGCGTAGAAGTCATCTGCCGTCGCAGGAAGAATTTGGAATCGTATCGAGCGGGGATTTGCTTCACCCATCTTGGTATCAAAGTACAACAATTGAGATGCTAGAAAAGTGTTTATCTTGGTGGTCATCATGGGGGGGATGACTGGTATTTATAGTGTGCTCCAATCTAAGCCTAATCTGGATGCCGACTAGGGGGCGTTTAAAGAGAACCTAGCGTCCAATAAGTGAGTCACTGTCAGATGAGGTGAGAATTGAGGTTACATCGCAGTATGAACCTGAATAAAATACCAAAAAAAGATCGAAATGATAGCAATCAAGTTGCAGAACTAAGACCAGTAAAGTTAAGCACCTGATTAGTTAGGCAACAATCTTGGCTGCACATCAATAAGGCAACAAGGCAGAACATTTGAAAGACTACAGTAATTGTAGCAATGACGCTAATCCAAATTTGGCTTGTTGTTTGCCTAATAATGCAAGGGTACTTTTTCAGGACTCCAGAGCAGCCTAAATTCTAAACTCGTTTGTTAAATATCGCAAAGTGGCATCATCAAATCTCAACTGAATTCCTATTCTCAGACTATTAGTGTGATACGATCAAGGTCATCATGCCCCGGCTGTCGATCCTCTGCTTCGGCAACTCTCTTACCGCAGGCTACTTCCACTTTGGCCTTGAATTTCACCCTTACGATGGGAAATTCAAGGAAGTTCTCACAGAAAAGTTTCCAGACCTTAAAGTATTTACTACGGTCGAAGGACTCCCAGGAGATCTAGTTGTTTTCCCCGGATCATTCTTGGGGCGAATGAAAGACAAGTGCAGCAAAGTGAAGTATGACTGGGTGATATGTTTGGGCGGTACCAAGTTCGTCTCTTCCCCATATTTTCCTTGTTTCCATTGGCTTGCTACTGATTTAGGGTGTCCCACTTTTTGATAGTGACTTGGGCTACCGGCGCGACGTCGATGAGATATACACTGGTCTCCAGGAAGCTTGGAATATTGCTCTAGAGTCCGGGGCCAAAGTACTTGCTTTGACTATACCCGAATGCCAGACACGGTCGGAGAAGCTGGATAGCACACGATCTGAGTTGAACGCGGCCATAATGGCTCACCAACAGAAAGGCTTGTGAGTTTCCAATATATACTTGCGCTGCTAAGTCGACTTCAGCTAATCGTTCTCAGCTATGCCTTTGATCTATGTCGCGCAATTCCAAATCATGATGCATCGGTGGAGTTTAGAGAACAGATGTTCGATGATGGCTTACACCTTACAGAAGAGGGATACGATTTGATGGGGACTGTGATTGCCGAGCATTTCGCACCTTTATATGCGGCAAAAGACCCGGCGGATGATTCGGTATAGTTACGCTGACCGAGAAGCCGAGGAAACAACGACACATAGATTGGTCTCATATCAAGAGTTGCTCGGGCATTTTGAATGAATCACGATTGATTTATCTAATTTGTCTTTACTATCATCTCTTAATCCCGTCATATAATGCTCAAACTGCCGATTGATTGATACTTTGACAGTTTACCTTTTATCAGCGCGCAAAGACATATGATTGGCCCGTAGTACTGCATGAGACGAAATGCAACCCCGCCAACTTGAGAGGAGTTGAGATATAAAAACCCTCAAGTTCAGTAGATTTTCTCACTCTGAATCTCTCATTCTCTCAATCACTCCTCGAAAAATTATTTTCTTTTCACTCTGAGCTCCAACTATGACTATTTCTACGTGGCAGGAGAAAGCTTCCGCTAAGCGGACTGAAGCCGACGCCAAGATCCCTTCCGAATGGAGATTGTCTGCAGATATTCTGGAGAAAGTCCATGATGAACGTGGATCTGTTCTTGATATCCCAGCGAGCTGTGGTCTCCTAAGTGAAGCAGAGATCCTCATCACTGAGATTGCCGATGCCACCGCGCTTCGAGACAAGTTGGCCTCTCGTCAACTTAGCGCTATTGATGTCGCAACTGCATTCTGCAAACGCGCTGCCATTGCGCAGCAGATCACATCTTGCCTCACCGAGACCATGTTTCCGCAAGCTCTTGCCAGAGCGAAGGAGCTTGATGACTACTTCCAGACGCATGGTAAACCATTCGGCCCACTTCATGGTGTTCCCATCAGTCTAAAAGACTCATTCAACGTGAAAGGCGTCCAATCTTCACTCGGATTCGTTTCCTTTTTGGATAACCCACCCGCTACAGAGAATTCCGTTTTGGTGGATATTCTTCTCAAGGCAGGAGCTGTGCTCTATGTCAAGACCAACATTCCTCAGACCATGATGACCGCTGACTCCGAGAACAACGTGTTCGGTCGTGTTTTGAATCCCCACAGTGGTAGTCTGACTGCTGGAGGAAGCAGTGGTGGTGAAGGCGCATTGGTGGCACTTCGAGGGTCTATTTTGGGGATTGGGACTGACATTGCGGGGTCGATTCGTATCCCGTCTCTGTGTTGCGGGACTGTAGGGTTCAAACCGAGCGCCGGTCGTGTGCCATATGCTGGTCAAACTAGTCCCTCCCGACCTGGCTCTCCCGGATTTCCAGCAGTCGCTGGGCCCCTTTGCCAATCTGTCCGTGATGCTGAGATGCTTCTTCGTATTGTTTTCGACGAGCCGAGCGATGATATGGATGATATGACCCTAGGATTCCCTTGGATGGAGCCTACTAAATCGGACAGGCTCACAATCGGTGTCTTACCAGAGGATGCCCGAGTTCCACTTCATCCAAACATGCAGCGTACACTGAAAACTGCTGTCCAAAAGCTGGAAGATGCGGGACATAAGATCGTCGATCTGTCTGATCAAGTTTCCTTCTTGGCATCGGCAGCTCAGGTTGCATTCCGTTTCTTCCTCCTGGATCCGGACCAAACGGCTATTCAGCATATCAGCAGAAGTGGTGAGCCATTTATTGAGTCTCTCAATGTGACATACAAGCTTGATCAGCCAAAGGGCCCAGAGCCAACTCTTCGGGAAATATTTGAACTGAATCAAGCCAAGCTGGAAATTATGGCCCAAATGCGCCGATTGTATCTTAATAACAAGCTCGATGCTATCATCGGGCCTGGATACCAGGGCACTGCAGTTCCCCATGACACTTATGGTCTTCCAGTTTACACTGTCATCGCTAATTTAGTTGACGTGAGAATCATTCTGGGGATAATATCTAATTTGCAAGGTTAATTCGATTTCTAGAGCCCTGCGTGCATTATCCCTTTCGGCAGGTCGAATGAGGCTGCGGATGCCGCGTTCATTCGCGATGTCGAATATGAACCTCCCTGTGAGTTGTTCATATTTTAGTTCTGATCATTATATTTTCTGACAAATCTAGATCTTCCCAAGGAAGTTGAAAATATGCCCTGTCACGTCCAGCTGGTCGGACGGCGACAAAAAGACGAATCTCTCTTGCATCATGCAAAGATCGTAGAAGCTATATTAGCGGAGTGATTGGTTCGCGAGAAAATGCCTGTCATATCCTGGCTCTGTTGTCGAGATTTTCCAAGCACGGATTTGATTTTAGCTCTCTTCAAGTAACAGATGCTTTTAACCCCTACAGCACTCGAATCTATTAAATCACCGAAAGTGAAATGCCTTTTTGCAGTAGTAAATTTATCGCTGCTAAATGAGTGCATGCATCTAGAAATTACCCATGTATTTTGTGTCTGGGATATCCTGAACTATTACGGCTCAGATTTCGGAAACCCGCGTGGATTAAACCTGGTAGACTTAAAATCTCTAAAATAAAATAAATGAGCTTATCAGCCGTCTTTGGTACTACTACAACATTCAATGATGAAATATCCGGTGAACAAATGCCCATCTTGGTATCAAAAGGGGCCGCTTCCCGTCTTGGTGTCGGCGCTATTGACAGTGAAGCTACAACGTCGTCATCGCAGATCCCAATAAATTCAAGTTAGATTATTCACTGTGACTCGCACCTTTGGAACTCGAAATCTGTATGATTATTGCTAATTCCTATTGATCAATATCGATATTCTTTTCAAATTTGAAATTTGTCTTATCAGAATAAAAACCGCCAAAAGACTTCAACAATCATGAAACTCCATCACGTCCTTCTCTTGGGTCTTGCAACATTTGTGAAACTGATTACTGCTGAATATCGACTGCAAGATGACTATGGCAACGATGACTCATTCTTCGACAAGTTTGACTTCTTCACGGTTGGTGCAATAATCCGCGATAAACAAATTATGCTAACTGAGTAATCAGGAACCCGATCCAACCAGGGGCTTTGTGCAATACGTGAACAAGTGGGACGCAAGAAATACCGGTCTTATCAGCGCGTCCGGTGGCTCGATTTACCTGAGTGTCGACAGCCGAAATGTCGCAGATAATGCTGGTCGTCACAGTGTGCGGCTGACGAGCTACAAAGAATATAACCATGCACTGGTTATTCTCGACTTGGCTCATATGCCGGGTAGTATTTGCGGTACCTGGCCTGCTTTGTAAGTCTATTCTTCATCTCTCGGTGGTAGAATTCCGAGAAACGTTCGTGAATAGAGTGTCGTACTGACTGACTGACGATATTAGTTGGATGGTTGGTACCGTGCCACCAACTGCCGGCGAAATTGATATCATCGAGGGCGTGAACGAAGGCCCGAACAACGAAATAACTTTACACACAGACCATGATGGCTGTTCGGTAGATGAAGGGGGCTTCAGTGGAAATATCGACAGAAGGAATTGCTATATCTATTCCACCGGGCCGGGCGGCAGTGGTGGATGCGGTATTGTTGACCCCGACGCTGCGTCTTATGGCGATGCGTTCAACGGCCGTGGCGGTGGTGTATTTGCTACTGAGTGGACTGGAAACGCTATCAAAGTCTGGAGATTTTCAAACTCCAGTGTTCCTTGGGATATTGTCACTGGAAACCCCAATCCCGCAGGATGGGGAACCCCTGTCGCGAGTTTCTCCGGACCCTGCAACATTGATTCGCAATTTCAGAATCTTCATATCGTTCGTCTTACTTCAGAGTCCCCATAGACTTTTGATCCTTTTCTAATCTGCCTTCTCTAGGTTTTTGATGTCACTTTCTGTGGTAGCTGGGCAGGATCATCCTGGTCTAGTAGCAGAGTGTGTGCTCCTAAGGCGGCAACATGCGTGGAATATGTTCAGAATAACCCAGGGGCATTTGCGGAATCATACTGGAGAGTGCGATCACTGAAGGTATATCAAAATATCTGAGAACTGATTAGTCGTGGATTCCATGCCCCCAATCCATGTTTGACTGTTTGCTGTACGTTTATTTGGCTTGGAATTTTATCAGCAAGAAATATTAAGTTGATTTAGTTGCTCCGAGGCAATCACCCAGATTTCTTTTTTGCACCCCACGGACCAATTTGATAATATGATATAGTAATGAATTTGATATGTTGAATTTATGGAAATTCCTTGTGACTCCGAGTCTGAGTCCGACTTTGACTTCAAGTTGGTGAGATAGGTAGCTGCATCTGGATGTTCAAACAGTATATCAATTGACATCTAGATAATGCCCAGGTGCTAATCAAGGCTTTTATAGGTGGGCAGCTGCAGAGAATTTGTATTTGAAATATCTGCTTCGGCGGGGTCTGCTGTGCAAGTTCTGATGATGAAGGCTTAGCTTACCCATTACTCACTTGGTATCATCGATGTGGACCACCTGGGCACACGCATGGACCTGAGCCATTGCATGTGCGAGTTTTGAAGCTAGTAACTTCAATGCAAGAGGCGCAAGTTCAATATCTCAACATGGAAGTGTATTTCGACATCTATAAACTACCTTTCTCAAAAGTGTGACCGGCAGTAGAAGTAGTATGACCCGAGAGCTTGAAGCAATAAGAGGTGACTGTGTTGGAATTTTCTTTCGGGATACTTGCGTGAGCACTGATACGCATCGATTTAACCCATACCTGCCCATAGTAATTTGGGGTACATTATACCACTCGCCTCGCCAATTGCCTCTTTTAGAAACTCGGAAATTACGGGACATGGGTAGAGTTGGCAAACTTCGGGATGGGAATTCACTTGTTTTGATCGCCTTTTCGTTACATGGTCTTACCATCTCTGGAATTATTCCAGGCCCTGTCAAACTCTCTCCAACCGCCAGGAGGGGCGTCCCACATGGCGAGCTCACGAACTACTGTCTCGTAGCATCCATCGCTGGGCAGATTTCCCTGGCAGACATTTCCTCCAACAGCAATGTTGATGAGAATTCTGAACTCGCTCATCCTCCTCGTACCAGGCGGCTTCTCCGCCCTCATGATAGGCATACCATCAATCAACCAGACCAAGCGCCCTTTGCCAGTTGTTTCGTCCTCGTCCCAGATAAAATCGTACTTAACACCCACCGGTGAGCTGATATTGGGGATGGGGGTTTCAAGAACGCGATGCTTGTTCCAATCCTGGCCATTGAAGTGACCCCAATGCAGACATGTGTGGTTGACAGCATCGCCATTCCAAGCTTCCATTATGTCGACTTCACCATCTTCGGGCCACTTGAAGGGATCTTTAGGCAGCAGCCAAAAGGCTGGCCAGATACCTCGGGCCACGGGCGCTGTAATTCTGGCCGACAGACATCCTCGTGGCCGGCTGAGAGTCTGATGACTCGATAGTCTCGCACTGGTAAACTTCTGGGCATGGTTGGGTTGCCCGTGGTTAATCAGAGCGCGCACGATCACTGCATCGCCTTGGGCTGAATGGAATGAATTTTGAGGACTGTCGATATAATTCTGCGACTCATTGTTGCCCCAACCATGTTGACCTTGTTCGTGGTAGAAATTCAAAGACACCGGTGCTTGAGGGTGTAGATTGGGTTGCCAGTAGATCTGAGGCTGCTGTTCCTGATAGGCTGGTGATGGTTTGGTGGAGGTTGGAATAGGCGGTGGGGGAGGCCTGTTGTACGACGGCGCCGGCTGAGGGGAGCGATTGTTTATTTGATCCCACGCCTTGTCTGCCTTGTCAATGATTCCCTGAAGTGCCTGTCGGAATGGCATGTTGAGTTCGACCTCTGTATGGAGGTTAGGCCTTCACATCTGTGCGCCAAAGGAAGTGCCCAGGCAGGGCCGCAGGGGACAACAGTAAGCAAACATTACGTCATATTGCAGGTGGAGATGAATCCTGAAAGGGTCCAGATCTTCAACTCCTGATACTCCTTCACACTCTTTCATCGTCGAATTTCAGAAAATATTGTTTCTTATCCTTCAAGTTGGGCTGAACAGATCTGTATCATTCTACAGATCCTTCAAATTTTATCGTCTCCATGGACCACTGGCGCGACAATCACCATATCAACTTGAAATATGTACCTTCATCACTCGCCGTTGATTGATAGAGCAAAATAGTAATCCGCGTGGGGATTGTTTCTATCTTCCAAACACCTCCCACGGTATTCATCACTGAATCTTGCAGGATTTACTGACTTGAATTTTACTAGCAACATCTACGCGCTTTCAGTTGCTTATGGTGATATTAGTTCTAGTTGGTTAGTTAGTTACAAGGCACCTGACACCTGATTTGTCAGGCAACAATATTATGCAAACTTAACAAACACAACTTTTTGTCGTTGATACCAAATTTTGATGATCTTCAACTTCGAGTACAATGTCTATGCGGTGTACTACACTTTAACTACACGCTTTATCTTCGATATAATTAACATCAATTGACAATCACCAACGCGTTCATTTGCCCTCCCACTCGCACTATTTCCAATTATGGCAGAGACAACAGAACTCTCCAACGCAGAGCGCTTCAAAGCCACTCATCTCGCTGCACGCCATGGCAACTACCACCAATATTACACCAAATTCCGAGCGCCCACCGTCCCGGACGAGCGCCTTTCCATTCTTCCATCAGACATCCTCCGTGACGCGCGAGTTATAGACCTAGGCTGCAACGCGGGCAAACTGACCCATGAGGTGATGGCTCACTGCGGTGCAGCCGCCTCAGTTGGTGTTGATATCGACCCGTGGCTGGTCGAACAGGCAAAGGTGGCATACCCGGATGGGCCTTGTACATTTGAGTACTTTGACTTTATGGATACGTCCGCATACAAGGGTACTGCGCTGGGCAAATTCGATGTTGTTCTACTGCTCTCTGTGACTAAGTGGATACATCTCAACAACGGGGACGCTGCGTTGTTGAATGTATTCGCGCATATAGAAAGCATACTGAACGAGGGAGGTTATCTCGTCGTAGAGCCGCAGCCTATGAGCAATTATGCTAGAGCTTCAAAGAGGAATAAAGAGTTAAGAGAGATGTATAAGACCATCAAGATCAGACCACCGTTTGAGTCTGAATTGCAAGCGCTGGGATTTGAGAGGATAATGCAAGTTGAGAGAGACGAGGAGGGGTTTGCTAGGCCCGTACATGTTTGGAAAAAGAAAGCATCATCATAATACATGTGTATGATTCAAATATTCAAGTTCAAGTTTCTATACTACCTAGGTACTTTTCAAAATTCTCACTCTGTATAGGATACCCTGGAGTGGTACTACTAGTAGTACTTCAATTTAAAGGGCAGGGTTAAAGTTCCGAGGTCGGCCCCTACTAATAAATGGGACTCGGAGTCGATACTACACACTGCCACTGCACCAACCGCGTGGATACATATGTCATGGTGGGATTGGCTCAAAAATTAAAGTTGAACTTCAAGTTTTGGGAAATCATCATGATCGGACTTTGAACCACTGTAAACTCCTTCTGGTTCCATCAAAACACCACGCGAACTCGAACTTGAATCACCGGAACTCTTCAGGACTACTGGCAGCCTGTCAGTGAGAGCTTGAACTGAATACCTGGTATGCAACTTGAATCCATCGATACACAACCGTGGACCCACTGGGATTTGGGTCATTCAACATTTGAAGGCTCAGAACATCATTCTATTACCAGGTCGCATACTATTCAACAGCAGCCTCAGCTTCGAGATAATATAACTAGCCGAGACCTGGGCATTCAATGGTCTAAGATTCCTTCTGGCTAAACTCAGAGTTTCTCTCAACTATCGCGGTGACAAAATGGCACTTGTACAGAACAGAGACCAACTCTGCACCTTGTGCCAACAGATGCCCCCAGTGAAAGAAATTTTGGATGCTGAGTTCCCTTGGCACAACCTTGAAGAACTCATATCGTCAGGATCGAATGGTTGTTATTTTTGTCGATATCTCTACGAGGTCGGGGTAATAGCTTGGCTCTCTTCAGAGCCTCTATCCAATACATTTCGAACTGCATCGATCATTTTTCGTTACAATGGCGGACACTTGCCCGGTAGTGGCCTAAATGGATAACGCTCTATCCAAGGCAGCGATGATCTCTTATCGGAGCTTGCAAGAGAGCCTGCTAGCCCTACAGCGAGCGTCAGTGATTTCCATGCAGGAACAAAATGGATATGGTTTCAGACCTTTGCAACCCCTGGTACTTCCCTGAATTCTAGTCTTCTGATATCAATTTTTCTGGTTCAACCCCCTGATTTAATCGATCCGCAGATGAAGAGATCTCAAGTCATATCCAAACCAGAGCGATAGATCGTGACCCTGCTTGCATTATGGCATTGGCAAAAATCAGGAATTGGATGACCTCCTGTTCTCAGGAGCATGCTTCATGCAACTCTTTGAAGAACCCAATTTTGCCAAGATTCGTCGTTCAACTACGAAGCTCCCCTAGTGATCAAGGCAATGATAATTTGAATCCAATCTTGCGGATCACAGAGAGTGAATTATCAGAAAAGGCACCCTACATTGCTTTCAGCTACCCTTGGGGAGTCAGAAAACAACCAGTTCAGCTTATGAAAAATAACATCAACGAGATGAAACACTTCATTAACTACAAGTCCCTCCCAAGAGCAATCAAAGACATCATACGACTCTCTCAAAAGTTCGAAATAAATTACATTTGGATCGACGTCCTCTGTATTGTGCAAGACGATCCAAAAGTTAAGAAAGAGCAGATACACCGGATGAAAAATATCTTCGAGAACTCGAGTCTCACGGTTCAGGCCTTGAACATCAAATCTGTGCACGAGAGTTTCCTCTTACCACGAAACCATCACGTCCATGAGCCACTCAAGCTCAAGTATAATGAGAACAATCATATATATTTGCGTGACTTTAAACCTCAGACTGCTCCGACAGATTCAACGGGAAACCGAGCGTGGATGTATGAAGAAGCTGTACTTCCTTCGAGACTACTGGTTTACTACAGAGATCAGTTTACCTTCCGATGCGGAGGGCAAACGCAGTACGAGGATGGGTGTCAACACGAGTCGTTTTCTTTATCAAATCCGAGCGATTCACGTCCACTCATAATTTCAAAATCCCCAGCGCCGCCAGATGGAAGACTGGACTACCTAGCCGATTGGTACAAAAATATTTTGGCTAGTTACATGCCTAGACTCCTTACCGATCCGCACGATAGACTTCCCGCCATTGGTGGAGTCGCGCAAAAGGTCAAGCCATACATAGGAGGACGCTATATTGCTGGGATTTGGGAGTCGGATCTTTCATGGGGCCTGCTCTGGGAATCTGACAATGGAAAAGCCAAAAGCGTTAGCCGAAAGATGGAGCGGCCTATTGAGAGGCGAGCCCCTTCATGGTCATGGGCTTCTGTTGATGGCAGTGTAAGATATGAATTTTTCAAACGAGAGAAGCACATGACAGGGATGGAAGAAATCTCACGTTCGATTTCCATGGATAGCATTCAGGTCGATGATGATGGAGATATTCTCAATTACAAAATTTTGAGTGTCTCAGCCCGAATCTTTTATGCATACTTTCAGATTATCGAGAACTCACGTCGCCGTTTCCTCGTCGCGAGGCGGACATTTGATTCGGCGAAGAATGAACGGAGTGATTTCCCGACTCAAGAAGAACTCAATAGTTCGTATGCCCGTGCTAAACTTGATATTACGGATGAAGAGTGTCAGCACATATGGGTATGGGGGCTACTTTTAAGTCACTCTGTCGGTTTGGTTGTTGAGCCCGTTGGATGGAGAGAAGGGAAAAGAGTTTTCAAAAGACTGGGAGTGTTCAATGTGATTGAGAAGTTCTGGCATTCAGGTTTGAACGAGCCTCGACAAGGAGCTTTTCTTGTCTAAGTTGAATCTATACATCGTGTCCAGAGCTGATAATATCTCAATATATCTTTTTTGTGTCTACATTCTGTCTTCAAGAGTGACTTGAGGAGCGCATCTTCAAGCGCATTCTCTCTCTGTTACTTGATAACCTCGTCAACTTTCAACTATGGACCAGACATCTCCAGTGCTTATACTTTTGCCTGGAAATGATAGACTCCCGTATTCTTGCTATGAATACCGCCTGCTAGATAAAAAACACATAAAATCAAATCATCTTGGAGTACGTATCCACTACAGTATACTCTGTCAGCAGCGGCCACATAGCCGGTTCCTCGATCTTCCAAATTATTGATGTATCTTTCATTCGGTGACAACATAGGAAACTTGGAAGAAATCGTGTTTTATAAGTACCAATCAAATGACTCTGAGCTAAGTTCAATCAATAGAATCCTACATCGGCACGACCTTGGAACATTGTAGTATAGACAGACGAGAAAGGAAAAAGAGTTCTAATTCTATGTAGCACTGGGACATATGAAACTTTGGAATCCATCCCAATGTTCGCAATAGTAAACAAAATTTGGAGGAAGGTGAGAGTGAAGAAACTGAATTCAGTAGTTGGATTGCTTGCATGATTCCCACCACAGTGGGCATTGCTCTCCAGATCTCCTTCATATATAGTATAAAGCTCAGATTAGGGATTGGATTCCTAATCAACATCATCATACCTTTCGGTATGGGGTGGTATTCTTCCGGGCCCCTCGATCGGGTGAGGGGTCCACTTCCCTGTTGTAGTATCGAAATTCCATCCTGCCCCGTACCTTGGACGGTGCCATTCAGGTTCAGTGATTCGAGAAGCAAGAACCACTCGCAGCATGCTGCTTTCCATCAAAGCAGATTTGGTTGTAGCGGCATAAATATGGGGTGGGAACTCTGGGGCGCTGGCCACATAAAACATGGATCGTAACCAGGGGCCACATAACCTGTGCGACACGGGGGGAGCGGGGGGTGGAGGGTCATCATAAACGACGCAGGCTACAGATGTCCAGGTGTCTAGCATGTACTGAGGGTCCCCATTATCGTTCCTGCCTACCATGTTAACCTGCACAGCGATAGTTTTGAAGACTATTTGACTACCATCTGCTTGACCAACAACGAGATAGCCCATAAGACGATGAAGAGGTGCGAGGGAAATTGCGGCGTCATTTCCCATTGATGCCGTTTGATCTATGTTAGTAATGGCCATTATATCAGCACCAGTATCATCCTCGAATTTGAGACTGAGTTGGGGAAATGGGACTCCCAAATAGTCAGTGTTAGCTGCAATCTCATTACTCAAAGACTGGTCAAGGCGAATGACAAGATCAAGCTAGTAATTGAATATTGGACTTATTAGCGAATATTACCAATTGAGCTGTCTTCTCCCTTACTCCCCCCCGGAATGTGCTTTCATTCTATCAAAAACAAAGAACTTGAAGGGGAAGGGGAGGGGAGCATGCATACCTCTATCATTCCATTACTACCAGGTACAATTGTTGTACTGTTATATCTCATAGCATGCTGACGTTGAGAAGGACCAAGATGCAAGATCTTAAATTTGTTACGGATTAGTTCAAATTTGCTCCGCACTTGTTTTTCTTTCTACCTAAGAGGTAACCGGTACATTGGATTCACGACCCCACCCCGGGGTTGGAGATGACTCACTCCTTCTACCCAAAATCCTCCATTGCCTCGATTCTCTTGAGTATTAAGTCTTCTAAAGTCAGACCAAGCAAATGGCGAAGGTCCACCTATCATTTCCCCTTGAGCCCAGTACGTAGTAAGACCATCCCACTCCAGTTGGCGGCTTTGATACGCCGCAATTATTGCTATGACATTTGGAACCTTTCCAGCTGGGTCTTCTATTTTCTCCAAATGTCCTGGATTGTTCGTAGAGCAGCCAACCGTTGAAACACACCCCAATCCTTGTTGCTCTCCTGCGTGATTTTCTCTCTATCAAGTCGCAAGGTTAATTCTCAATCTCAGCGATAACTCAACCGTGTGGTCTCAACGGGTGGGCTGCAAACTTACTCCTTGGCTGCCTTGAGTGCTTTCAATCATACAAGCTGCTGCTCAAATGTTGACTTTGCATATCCTGCCTTAATTCGCTCCTCGCACCTCTTGATCCGTCCATCATAATCATCCGAAGCAAAGTCAGTGTCGTCCGTGATCACGATTGTTTCTCCAAACTTTGGGGCTTTCACTGAGAAGGAGAAAATCTTTTCTGCATTCACCGGGTTTTCACTTGGCTCCGGTGTTGTGTCAATCGACATAGGGTCTGATCCGGGTATTTCGTCTCTCGCTTTTCGCTTCCGAGAATGCCGCTTCTTTGGCTCGCGTGTCTTTCGAGATCGATTTTTGCCTGTCATTCTGGCGGCTGTGCTGTGCTATCTTTGACCCTTGAGAAGGTATGGTGCAATTCCAGATAATTCTGTCTCGTTTCCACCGGTTCGTTAAATGAATATGTTTTACGGAGGCTCATATGCTGCTTCAAATCTCTTTGGGGAGGTCTTATTGAGCTTCACGGTGCGCTCAAAGGCAGTAGAAAATTCCAAGGTTGGAGTCTTTGTTCATTCAGCTTTAAGTACTAAACTTAGACTTTTGGAATGCCTGTTTGCTCAAAATGGTTTGTTATCTAAGCGCGGATTATAGGTTAGAGCCGTGAGACCATCTGCCATTTGGATGAATGAAGTCTTTCTTTGAACTGTCTGTGGTTATCTTGATCCATGGTGATGGCGCAACAAATATAGCATCATAAGGAGCATCATTTTGGAAGAACCGTCTGCTATTAAAAACAGCAAACATTCGGATATCATTATTTGACCCAAAGCTGGAATTTCGAGCGATGATGAGGTTGGCAGAGTCTACTACCAGTGCTGGACTCAGTAACAAGGTGTTGAGAACCCTTATGTAGTAACGTGTCAAAAGCCCCTAATGCATCTTCTCAATAAACCTCGCTGCCCAGATATTCAAATACAAACACGAACTGAGCTTGAAATACATCGCGTCAAAGCTCGAAAAGACCTTCAAATTTGTTATCGAAACACGCTTCGAGTTCAAAGCCACTTAAAAAGTCAGTTTGTGAGTGACGGTACTTAAATTTCTACAAACATCATATGTGCAGAGCCGAATATTCATATCACTCATAAGAAAAAAGATTTTCTTTTACTCAACAAAGCCCTTACAGTGGGACCTCGGAATCTGTCTTTTCTGTTTGAAAATGTCGCAAAGCCTTGAACCTAAAGTTTCCCCGCGCTATTCTCCGCGCTATTCTTCGTGGATAGGTAAAGAGTTCTTTCAATTTTAACTTTCACATTGGTTCACTCCGGAAAAGACAACATTCACGGAGTATATTTTGACCTGTTGTTCCATGAAAGGAGAATGTGGCGAGTTGAGCTCTGTAATCCTGTCATATAAAGCGAAAAATCATAAAGCCATGAAATGGAAAATGATGCACATGTGCTCGAGGGGAATCAATATCATAACCATACCAGTACGTCGATGATTCAAATCTTGAGAGTTGTTTTTGATCAACTATTCAGGTATAGTGGACAAGGCAAACCGTGATTTAAGACAAAAATGATGCTTATAAATTGCACTTGGATCGACCGTAGAAGTGGCCGACATTTCGCCTATGGAAAACATTAAGCGATACTAGTATTAGTAAAAATTCAGTTTGCGAAGCAAACAGAACCTCAGAAATTTTGAATAAAGAGTAGTTGACGCCGCAATTGCAATTCTCCTCACGATCTTGGACGCAATGAAGTGCCCAATCCCAGCCCTACCATCCTGCAAAGCTATAATTGAGTCAGGGCACTGCATGTAATTTGAACGACCAACCATATAATTCTGAATTCGAGACTTACATCAAAATCACCAGCTAAGGCCTTTAACTTTCCATCTGGAATGAGTAGGACTGGTTGACAGGTTGCTTTTGGATTACCAATAGTACTATGACATATCCCATGGCTTTGGTCAAATATTGGACGTATAGCCTGAATTCTCCCATCCCCAGCAAAGACCTGGAACCCAGTCAGCTGCTGACTGCGAAGCTCAATCTTGATCTGCTTTTGAAGGATCTGATAGCCAAAATGGATGCTCGGCGTACCACCAGTGTAAACAAGCTTGAACCCGCTGATAAATGTATGTTCATCTTCAGCAAGAACAGAGACATCGATTTCCACAAGCTCGCCATAGCGATATCGATTTGACATCTTGATAGGTTAAGCACTTGCAGACACTGCTTGCAGGTGTCATCACTAAGTGGGGGTGATATATGTTCATTGTAGTATGTCCGACTCTCACATCTATCGCATTCCAAGGTTGAATTTCTCCACTGGCTCTGTGCCACAATAGTTCATGAAATCGCCAACCGTTCTCAGGCCAAGGAGTAAAAGGAGCTCCTACCATCATATAACTATCTTTAATCCACTCGTATGAAGCCACTGTAGCCTTCTATAGCGTAGTTTCTTGGGTAGGCGCTTCAGTCTGCTTGTGCAGCGGTACATTAATCTCCAATCTTTCCAGCCTTCTTCAAGAAGATAATTGAGATATCCTCGTTCCCGATGAATGAAAAATCGTGTCATCCAAAATTCTTGATTTTCAAATATGGGGATCATGGCTTTTGACGCAAGTCTCAGATGAAGATATTCTGGTGTTGGAAGAAAATAGGCAATTTCGAAGCGAATTTCGACCGGAATGCAACAGAAGCAGTCATTCATTTGTCCTCTAGGTTTTTCGAATTCCGCGTTGACTGCCTTTGGAAACTTCCTTGCCTCAGCCCGAAACGCGATGTATCGAAAACATCTTGGACTTGGAGTACCTGTCACTGGGTCTATATAATCTGTAGTTCCCATCAATTCCAACTTGAAGGTTATTTGAGATTGCTCGTGGTCGCAAACCTTAGTAGCTCGCAGGAATGAGGGAACGACTTACAGGCTTGATATCTTGGCCAGGGGGGGTCTTTAACAACAATGGTCAATTTACCAATAGGGATAAATTCTTCTTCGAAGTTTTTTACCAAAAGTCTCCAGCAGCCTTCATGAAACACGCATGGCTTCAATACGCCACTCTTCCAAACTCTAAACCATTCAGGTTTTTGCTCATCTTCACCTCCTCCCATCAGTTCTCGAGCTGGCATTTAGTTGATCTTTATAGCTTCGTTACCTCACAACTTAAAAGTTACCAACAGGCAGAACTTACGACCTCGTACCTCTTTCCGGTCCATGGGAGTCCCGCATGACGCACATGGAAGATCGCGCCCAGCATAAGAATACTCACGTTTCTTCCTCATGATTAAGATCAAGTACTTTTCTCTGCTGCACGTTGGATTTGGTGGGGTCGATACAGGGTATAAGTGTAGAGATAGTCAAAAATCTTTGGCAGTGAGACTCTTATAATGGACTGGCCATGATTGCATCACTGACATTAGATAATAGGTAACATCAAATCCATGTCTCTACAAAACCTTGGAACCCTCTCCAGGCTTTGGAAATTTTGGAGTCCCATGCACTTAGAACACAAAAATCCATGGATCCTTCCAAAGTTGGGTTTAGAAAGAGACAAATGTTATTATATCCAACAATATACCAGCTAGCCTTCTCTTCTAGGTGACCCCGGGCTCGATTTTCACGATATGGATTTCAAAAGCGCGAGAAAAATACCAGTAGGACCGTTTTATCCTTTTTGGCGTTGATATTTTACCGGAACTTCCTGAAACGAACCATTGTGGGCTGTTTATCCCAAAACCACCAGATACCTTGCTCCTCCCACCGAGGCAAATCGACACCAGGTGGGATCGACAGATCATACCTCCACAGCAATCGCGCAAGGATAATCCTCAGTTCCAACCAAGCCAAATTCTGGCCGGGACAATTGTGTGCACCCAGGGAGAACGGATTGAAAGCGATTTTACTATCGTCTTTGAATTTCGAGCTCGACGCCTCATCGGATAACCAGCGCTCTGGAGCAAATTCTGTTGGATGGCTGAAGTTGCGTGACGCGCGATAGGTCGCGAATGGGGGAACCGAGACCACCATTCCTCCAGGGACAAATTGCCCAGCGATAGTTGCTCCACCAGCGGGTATATTGCGACGCATGCCATCTGGGATTGTAGGGCAAAGTCGCATGCCCTCATTCAATACTCCATCCAAATATGGGAGGGATTTCAAAGCGGATCCAGTGATGTCTTGCTCTGAGGATGGAAATGTAGTCCGCAGTTTTTCAACAAGCGTATTTAGTTTGTCTGGGCTGCGGAGTAGATGATTGATCACTCCAGTCAGGACTGTTGTAACGGATTCGCTCCCTGCAGCCACAATCAACATGGAGTTAACTTCCATCTCCTCTTGGGTCATGGACTCAGATGCCATCATTGTCCCAACTAAATCGGGACGACTTGCGCCGCCTGCAACTCGCTCCCGCACGTTTTGCTCTGTTAGTTTCCACATGTCCATTACAGCTTGTAAAGCTGAGGGTGGTGTTGAGGCCATGAGGAAAGAGTATACAAGTGGGTAGAACTTGAGGGCGCCCACGACGATTGCTGCCTTAAACTGGCCCACCGTTTGAACCCATGGGTGGTAGGTCAGACCGTCTAAGCAGCCAAAGGAAGATCCCCAAGTTAGATCTCCGATCACGTCAAAGGCAAGATAGTTGATCCATTCAACGACATCCACTGCAGATGATTGGTCATTCTGGAGACGATCGTCTATTTGGTAAACAACTTATCAACGTAAGACTGGATGAAGGGCTCCTGTTCCATGGCATATTTTTCAGAAAATCCAGGCGCAAGTATTTTTCGAAGTCGAGCGTGTTCTGGTTCTGAGCATGCAATCAAGTTGGCAGCTGTCTTACCAGGCGGTTGATCCTTGAATTGGTCTGGGCGGACGAACTCCCGACCTTTGCTGTAAATATCCCGCCAAGCCTCAGGGACGATGAAAGATAACTCATCAGGAGCGACGCGAATAATATCACCATATTTTTCATGAAAACTCTTGATTTGATGCGGTAGATTCCCGCGCACCATCGAGAGCAGAAAGGGAAATCGAAATGCGCGCCATAGTAGCGGGCCCGGGTACTTCGATAATGGATGAAGCCAAAGATTGTTGATGATTTGGAAAACAAGGTACTTGGCACTATCAGCACTCGTGGAATCAGATTCAGGTCAGATATCTCATTACCAGAGTGGGCAGTAGAATAATGATAGTGGTGATCCCCATGATAGTTGGCATGAACTGAGCTCGGACTGTGGAGAAATGGTCACCAGCCCCGGGGGTCGAAGGGGAGGCTGACAGACGCGATGTGATATTCGAGCTGTGTTGATTGAGAGTTCGAGGAACACAAACGATCAAACAAAGGATTTACTCAGTGTCAACTTTATTGTCATAAGAGGGTGAACTTGTTAAGGATTCTGGTACAATTTCCAACAATTCTCTGATTGTGCACCTTTACCGCCACGCATGAGAAGAATGTATCCACGCAACTACTATGCGCGCATTAACTCATCTCCATTCAGTGCTACTCAATTATCGCAACCACCGCTAATGCAGCCAATGTTTCAAAGCTCGGTTTTATAATGAAGATGATTCGCCCATATTCCTTTGCCTGCCCATTAGTGGCCATCGATAAATACGCCACTATAGTTAAGGTCCACCAAATTGCAGCCAGCCTGTCAGCAAGGCTCCCCTTGGCCCCCAACTATGATCAACAAGTGATCAACCAACATGTACGTGTCGTTCTCCACTGGCAAGTAACAGAAGCAAGATGCGGATCAGAGAGGATGAATCTCCGATGCTTGGGCTCGGATAAATCCAGGTGATCCACCGTTTACCAGACGGACCTCGTCCCTTGTATATTTTTAAGCGATGCATTGCATGCTTTCACTATGTACTATGTAACTGGTTCTAAGTACATGGAGTGAAGATTTACATATTTTAGAGCAGAACTTCGGCACTGTGAAACCAATGTTAGGAAGATTAATATTACTGGAATTGTGCAAAATACAGTAGAAATTTTCAACAAACAGCTCCAGGGCTCACTCACCCCTTGTGGGCCCTGTGGGCTTTGATCACGTCTAAGGGCGACCTGAGTGGGACCGTGGGCCGGAGCGAGCGAGGGGAGAGTCCCCGGGGCCACTCCCGCGGGCGCCATGAAGCCAAGCTCATATGGGCACCAAGCTCACCAAGCCCTTGATGTGTACTAGGAGGAAGGAAGATTCCATGATGTTTGAATTTTAGTTGAGTCTTGACTCGCATAAAAACCACTAGGAATATCAAAAAATCAAGTGAGAATGAGCTATATCCTTAAGATGAGTTTACAACTTGAATACAGAAAACTCATGTGCTTGAATGGCCCCCAAAATGATGAGGTTGAACACAGCCCCTGTCGATACCCTCCATCTAGCCTTATGCCGAGGTGGCTGCTTAGTGCTAGTAGATTCATCTCCCAAGGCTTTGGTTCAGATTTTAAATGAATTTCCCTCGAACATCCGAGTCCAGGAACATTTAAAAGAATCTGTTCTTTGCCCACTCCCTCATTCAAAAACTTAGCGTTAAGTTTAAAGCTATCGTAATCATGGCCCTCTCTCAAATCAAGCTTTACTGGAGAAGTGAGAGATTTTTCACACTCTATATTGAGGGGAATTAACTGATAGCAGCTTCTAGACCAGGTCCCTAACCCCTCTAAGGTTCTTATCGTGCTCGAGGAACTCAATCTTCCCTATGAGAGCGTATGGGTTGAGCTCGATGGGCTTAAGCAGAAACCATTCACAGACGTGAACCCCAATGGACCCGAGTTCCAGGCATGTTGAATTTCCACCCGCTTCTGCCTTGGGTCCTTGTCTAACGGCTTCCAGCCATGATTGACCCCAACACGGGGCTAACTCTCTGGGAGTCCGGAGCCATTGTGCAGGTAATCCTCCGCATGATTTAAACCTTCGATAAAGGCTTGACAGTAGATTGACAGTTATACAGTATCTCATTGACACCTATGATAAGGAGCATAAAATCTCTTACGATTCTTCCCCTGAGAAGTATCAACTAGTCCAGTGGTCCTACTTCCAAGCCTCGGGCCAGGGCCCTTATTTTGGACAGTCTGCCTGGTATGTCACACTTTGTATCTCACACAAGCTTCCTTGGAGGAGGATGTGCTGACATGAAATGAAAATAAAGGTTCAACCTGTTCCATGAAAAGGTCTATGGCGAATCTCCTGAGTCGGCTAAAGTACGCTACGGAACGGAACTCAAGCGCGTCGCGAGTGTCCTGAACGCAGTTTTGAGCAAGAAGGAGTGGCTGGTCGGAGACAAGTGCACCTACGCAGACTTGGCCTTTGTGATGTGGAACATGCAGATTCCATTCTTCATGGCGAGTCGTACCGGTGAGCATGCCTGGAAGCCGGAGGAAGTTCCACATTTCATTCGGTGGCAGAATGCCATGATGGCGCGGCCGTCTGTCCAAAAGGTTATGGGTATGCTGAATGAGACTGAGGTGAAGAGTTTGTAGATCGACAACATAATTTCATTGGTCTCCAGGCCGGGGATCAGGTTGCTGTGCAAGTTTCACGTTGTGTTAGGAAATTCAAGTCGTGACGGAGAGCTCAGACTCAGAGACTCAGATAGTAGATGCATCCCTCGGCATAGTATCTGCATCATGATATTGCAATTCCTTTTAAAAATACTTAATTCTTGACTTCCTTCCTAGCGGCCCACGCTCCACTCCTGGTTGCGACTGGTGCTTAGTTGGCGATCGTGAAGGTATGACTTCATATCGCATGAGTTGAAACTCTCCATGCAGACATTTGAATTTTGACATGGAATTCAATATATTGCGAACGTGCCAGTAATTAATGCTTACATCTCCTGGTAGATATGATCCCCCAGCTATACATCGACAGAAGTAGTTTTGTTCATGCCCTCCAGCCGCTGCCGCTGATCCCGACTAGCAGACTGTCCAGGCCCAAAAAAGGCATTAGTCATGCTATTGACTCTGATAAAAGGTGTCTTAGTGGACAACTTGAATCCGCGTTATTTGCCAGACCTGGCGTTGCGTGTGGAAAGGGATAAAGGAATGTAGACCCTGACTCGCGAACAAGTGGCCTAGGATGGCCAGGCAAGTGGACTCCAGCCTGTTCAGTCAGTGCGTCACTGTGCGTGTCATATTAAGTGGGCGGGTAAATTCTTCACTAGCATTAGAAAATTGGAACCGTCAACTGGTGGAAGGGATATCGGGATCTTTCTGGGGATCTCTCTGAATCCTGATATCAATTGGCCCCCACCCTGACTTTGGCCCCATATTACCCCGTCAATGAAGTCGAAACCAAACATATGCACGTTCCAATCAAGAAATCCCATTTTGAATTTTGGAGGATCCGGGTTATCCACTCTAATCATCTGGAACCGAGAGTTGGCTAAACAAAACGCAGCATACATATGGTTCTGGTTGGATGATATAGCTTTTAAGGTTGTAGGCCTACGCCATCTTGTCAGCCCCCGAGGCTGTCGCTACCATGTGCATGTGCATTATCTGGCACCTATGCATGGTACGTCAATTAATAGTAATCCTAACTATTATTAGTTCATTTATATAACCGCGACTCTTCCTTTTCTCATTTCCGTCCTATAGGTCGTACAGGAACACCATGTTACCCCTGGTTCACGTGCTGTGCACAATAGGTGCCATCTGGGCAACCTGGTGCCTGACTACCTTGATTACCAATTTATCTCATGCACGAGCGACCGGTCTGAAATATGTGATCTTGCCATGTTCACTATTGGGTGCCCCTTGGCTCTTGAGCCAATCCCTGTTCCTCCCGCTTCTAAGGGCTCTTCCCCACTCATGGACCGTAAACTGGCTTCCATTACTCATCTTCAATGATGGCTGGCATAATGGGTATGAGTCTTTTAAACATATTGGTACAGATACCTTTCTTGCCATCTCCCCTGGGGGAATTATTCTATACACTTGTGATGCAGATGTCTCGTCTCAACTTTTCCGTGATAGTAGGTTCGGGAAACCGGCGCATCTGATGCAGATCTTGAATATTTTTGGGCCGACTATCACTGGAACGGATGGAGCCGAATCTCGGTTATACCGTCGTATCACAGCGCCTTTCTTCAACGAGGAAACCTTACGACAAGTCTTCGAGCATTCTGTGCAGGGCGGGCAGGAGTTACGGCTAGTATTGAGCCAGGACACGGCGCATCGCCGGCTACGCACACTCACAGCGCGACTTTCGCTTCATCTACTCAATCGCGTTTGCAATGAGAACCAAACATCTGAGGATCTGGTACGAGCATTGCGGTTCGAAGACCAACTTCAAGGCACACACCGCATGAGTTATATTGATGCTGTGCACACACTGCTGGACCACTATGCGACTGTCTTTCTCTTCCCACCCAAGCTCCTCAGTAAGTCAATTTTCAATTCTCAAATATATCATAACTATTTCTCACACGAAAATTAGAGCTTTCGCCCTTCCGTTCCCATCAGCAAGCAGCAATGGCATACATTGAAATGGATGGATATATGCGAGAGCTTGTAGACAGGAACGAGTCAGAGCTCCGCCAAAAGCCATCTAGTCTGTCAACAAAAAACAGGAGTCTTCTAGGTATATCCATCTCACTCCTTCCAGTCCGCTGGACCACATCCATTTCTAAATCTAATTGATGTCTCAATCCTTAGACCGTCTCGTCCAAGCAGGACTTCCCTCTTCAACTGAAGAGAATCGACCCCTTCTCAACAAACAGCAAGTGCTTGGAAATATCTGGCTATTCATGTTTGCTGGTCATGAGGCCAATGCCAACACCCTAACATTCCTCATCCTCCTTCTGGCTTGCCACCCGACCATTCAACGCGCTATGCAAACAGACATCGATTCTATCCTTGGTGACACCCCCCAGGAACGATGGACATACGACCTTCACTACAAGCCCTTGATGAATAGTCTTGTTGGTGGTGTCATCAACGAAACCCTTCGTCTATTCACTGTCCTTCCTGTACTGCCAAAATATGTGCCCCCATCAGGGCCCCCCAGTTCCCATTATCATCCAAGGCCAAACCCACCCCTTACCACCTGGAACAGTCGCATTTGTAAACACCAGTGCCACCCATCGCCATCCGGAATACTGGCCGCATAGGAAAGAGGCGCATTCTGAATCTATGACTAGTTTATTGCAAGATCCTAGAAAGCGACCTTTCATAATGTCGGACTTTGATCCCGAACGGTGGACCAGGTTCAATGTACGGGACCAGAACACCGATTCTCCCAACGAGGATTCTTTCCTGAACCCCCTTCCTGGTACCTTTGTCCCATTTTCAGAGGGAAGTCGTGGATGTCTGGGCTATCGGTTTGCGCTCGTGGAGGTGTGCGCCGTGGTGGTCAGTGTGTTCAAGAGGTCTTCAGTTAGACTCATCACTCAGAATGAAGAAACTGGAGAATCAACCCCTGATGAGGTAGCGGATTTGTGGAAAGCAGCAAGGGAACGCGCTGAATTCGCTCTTTCTGAGGGTGTGAAGTTTGATATGAGTTTGCGAATTACTCAAAATGTCCCGATCAAGTTCGAGACACGGGCTTGAGATGGATTGTATTTCGTTCAACCCGGGAATAGGAGGAAACAATACTAGTACCCCTTCCTATGACCACTTCTCAAGTTAACAGTTTTGCAAGCTCCGCTTCATATTGTTTTTACCTCATTCAAATTGAATATTCTAGTTATTTTGCCGAAGCTGCGACGTGCATAAGCTCACTTGTCAATCCATGAACACTCAGCCGCCGCGATATGTAAAGCGTGCTTTATTTTCCAAAATTCTGCAGATTAGAATTTTGATCTCAAGTTCCAATGGTAGTTCTCTTTTCTTTTTATGCCGGACTATATTGCTCTTCTACCAACAAAAGCAGCCCATTTCGCATCCGCGCGAGCCCCGTTCTGGAAGCAGCTGACTGAATCATGTTAGAGCTACTGGTGAGCCGTCTCAAAGTATATGAGCCATGTTCCCCAGCCAGGCAAAGAGACTATCAACAGGAGAAAATGGAGAACCTACTATGCAACATCCAGTAGAATGCCCTGCATTGGCTTGATGGCTGACTGCGTCAGAACAATGACAGAAGACAATTCTGTACATAGCAAGGGGTCTTGATTTGGAAAGGGCCATCCGGTTCTATTAGCATGCGATACAGTATGTGGTCGATGAGGCATGTCGAGGTTTCACAACATGATGCTTCTGGCTCTATTGCGTATCTAACAGATAGTTCATAATGAGAGTTCAGCCTCTTCTATGGGTCTATGGTGAATCATCCTCATAGATCCACTCCGCTAATGCGTGGAACCTCAGTACGTCACGGGTTCTGAACACGGCTTTGATCATGCAGGAATGGCTGGTCGGAAACAAGTGCACCTATGCAGACTTGGCCTTTGTGATGTGAAACATACAGATTCTCTCATTCATCGCGAACTGTACAGCCCGGGAGCAAAAATGCCTGGTAGCCAAAGGAAGTGCCTCCTTTCACTCGGTGGTCACTCGGTGGCAGAATACCATGATGGCGTGGCCGCCTGTCCAACAGGTTATGGGTGAGCTGAATCAAACTAAGGTTAAGAGTTCAGAAAATCATAATTTCAATGCAAATTTTGCCTTTTAGGGGATGAAAAAGTAGATGGAGATGGAAATTGAAATTGAAATCTCCCTGGGTTAGGTACCATCCATCATCTACCCTCAATAGCTAACAGATAATGTCATGATCAACTATCCCAATTCTTCTCTCCTCAATGGAATATCCCTCCCAATATCGGATGACCACTTCTTTCTTCGCACGTTGGGTTTCAGTAGCTACCTCCGAGGTTGTGGTCTGGTAGGAGTTAAGCGAGTAAGATGATCAAATTGGGACGAAGATGACCGCCTAGTCCTTGAGAGATAGCTCTCACTTCCACCGCAATCTCTCTTCCTCTTCCCGATCACTCTCCATCATTCCGCCCTTCCTAGGTCAGAAGCTCACAGGGCAGTGTTGATCTTTACCATCAAAAAGAGCTCAAACAAGGTATTTTAGTCTGGATATTGGTCTCTTTATTCAAAAATCCACTAACTCACTCTGGAACCTCAATAGATTTGACTTGTGTCATCTGGAACGGCTCTTACCACAATCATGGCTCTATCGGAAAAACCCACGGTCTTACTTCTCTCTCTGGCATTATTTTGCCACAGCCCGGAGATTTGGCAGGAAATTGACCCAAGTTACAGACCACCCATCGATGGTCTCCTGAACATGGCACATGTAATACATGCGACGACAATCTCCGATGCACTTATTGAGATTGATCATGGGAGATTCAAGGCTATCATCATCACAGATGCCACCATCACAAACACAAGTGGTGAAATGGAGGGAGTTCTGGTCAAGGTCAAGGCCTACGTTGAAAATGGCGGGCTTGTCATCGTCGGTCTCCATTTCCCGAATTATGCAAGCAACCTGGAGATGAACAGATTCTTCGCAGCATTCAATCTCCCATGGGCTGCAGGTCTCTACCATCGCACCACGGTTCAGTTTGTGCCCTCTAGCACCCTACCCACTAGCGTTAACGCGCTTTCGTTCCCTGGACCATATGAAGTGAAGGCTCTCAGAATTCAAAATGCCAGAGCCGATGAGAAATTATTCGTTCCAAACATTGGTTATGCATCTCCGGATTTCCAATTACCCCCAGAGCGTCTTGAAGAGGTCCAACCTGCTGTTGCGTGTGCGAGAGTCGGAGGGGGTTATCTGGTGTACTGTGAGGACATGCAATATGAGCATGAGACGATCCAAACTATTTTGGCGCTTTGTGGATCCTAGTCCTGCGCTCAACAATGGCATTGGATCTCTGATATGATTCTTCAACACTACCGGATGATGGGCCATGCCCCATACGGGACAGGTCACGCCAGGCCGCACCCGACTCGGCGAGGAGAAAGTAATCGGGATGGGAAAACACATTTTACACGATTTCATGACTCAATTTCGTTGGAGGCGTAAGCTTTCCCTATTTGTCACAAGTATTGATACAGGGTCGCGTGAATTTCTGCTTAATCATACGTTACCAGTCAAGTCACACTTTTAGCAACATCCATATTCTAACCTGTTCCCTAAAATTTCGATGCCATTAATAACTGGGCCTATATTAGGCAATACTGAAGAATACATATATTCACGACAACCAGTCTGGGTGAGATTGTCGATTTTGATTCATTCAAACTCAATGCGAGCTTTGACTTTGAGCCTTGTATCAGTACAAAGAGGATAGCTGTTTATTCCCACAAAGATCTTCTGCTGCACCATCCTCACAATATTCTTTATAGGCCAGGTGAATTTTATATTGTTTGGACAGAATATATGAATGCAAAGCCTCTTAGATTAAGCAGGAGTCTACAAACTCCAGAAGATGCATGATGGGCACTGCAGGAATTTCAGGACACTAACTGAGATACACCAAATTTCACTTGCAGGATCTTACCTGCTCCCTTCCCAAACTTATTGTTAAGCTCACACAATCCCTGGTTGCTTGCTAATATGAGGTACTTTGACAATTTCCTATTCCTTTCTTTTGATTGATGGAAAAAGCTTAATGATACTATATTTAGCTCCCAAATCAACGATTTATACCTCTGGCTATATATCTATATACTGAATGAGATGCAATTTCCTTTGGTCACCTTTTGGTCAGTCCTGATCAACCTCTTTGTCCTCAACTTGAAGCGCGCCGTAATTGAGAAAGCCAAAGATCAATCCCACGCCCAACTTCAGGTAGAAAATATCCTAATCGCAAGGTCCATCGCCCAGGGGATAGTGCACCACTACGTTGAAATTGACGACTACTACTATTATATAGATGTTGGAATACATTGTGCTCTTGCTCCTCTCCGGAGAATTGTGGTTTTCACGAATACAGATCTCACTAGAGAGGAGTGAATCTTGGAAGATAGGAATTGATAATCACCAAGCCTAGCACGCGTGAAGCCAGGATAGTGAAGTATCTCTTATTTTTCAAGCTCCGTTAGCTAAGGGTTATTTCCTCCGGTACATCCAGCTCCTACTAAAGCTTGATGCTTGATCATGGCCACCATCCCTCATATCCAAAATGTGTCTATTCAACATTTACTTCTACGCTTGTTCTTCCTCCCCTCTTCACCATACTCATAACCAAAAGGCCCATCCTACTAGGTAGCTTCTGATCCCTTCTTAAGTTGCTTTACTTTGTCTCATCTAATGAATCATTTTTAACTCTTGTAAGATATCATGTAGTCTCCACCCGTCGATCAAGATGACATTGATCACATTCAAATGGAACTTTGCCTCTTCACTGGTTGAAAAAAATCAGGCTAGTTATAACATTATCTGGTCTGTTATAAATTAATTTTGTCCTCCACGCGTCTACTTCTTCCTCTTGTCCCTCTCTCCAGTCCACTCCCAAATATTCAAAATCAAGGATTTTCTATGGTCTCACCTACCCAGTTCCCTCTTACTCTTAACCTTGCCTTTGAGCTTAGACTGGCCTCACTTCTGGTTAAAATGAAGTATTTTCACCCTCACTTTTCTTTCACCATTTACACTTGAGCTGACATAATCATATTTTCTAAAGCAGTGAAATCGACCAATTACCCCTCTGGTCAGGGATCGACGTGGAGGCCGAACTGCGTTTTCTTGTGCTGCTCATATTCTCAATCTTGGCCAATGCAGATGCCCTTCACTCCAAGCTCAAGAAAATCAAGAAGGTCAAAAAGAAATTTCGCATCAACCTCAAGGCAGGTAATATCCTGATTGCCATGTCTATCGGGGAGATACTGCACTACTATGATGAGGTTGAAGATTATCACGTGGTTATTGATAACAGCCTGAAACGAGCCTCTTCTACTTTGCAGCAAATCAAGGAAATGGAAGATCTGAAGGATCTCACGCAAAGATTTGAAGGGTGGAGGTTTATGGATTAGGGAAAGGACGAAGGATCAGCAAGCCCAGCACACGAAATGCGGTAAAATGGACATATCTCTTCCAAGGTTGTTCAAACAACCTCTACTGGATTTTCTTTTTCTTAATACATTTGGCCCTTATTAAAAATTCAACCTTGATCATAGCTACCACGGCTCATGAGAAATGATTTAGTATGGGTCCAATCATACAAGATCATTCAGTGGCGCCAAATGGCACGCGGTGCGAGTTGGGCAACAGAATCAAGAATAGGATTAAACAGTTTCGTGGAGAACGGTGCAATTGATATTTCTGGTTCGGAGCTCCGAGGAAGCGGCAGACTGCTTATGCTACTGAAGGAATTGCTCATCGCCAAAGACGACCTGACCTTCGCACCCGCCTCACCACAGCCATAAACAAGCAAACAGAGATTCTACGACAGGTTCCCGCCATCGTATGAAGATTAAGCGACGCACTGCAGCTACTGAACGGTTCTAATCAATAGCATCAATCGTGATACAAGGGGTACAGCGAAGAGTTGATGATAAACTTAGATTGCTCAATGAGCTACTCGCCAACCCCCCCTGGTATTCAACTTGGATTATTATGCTGCAATGGATCGGCTCTTAATCCATCTTTCAGCCAACCTGGGGATAATGCCTTGTTTCTAAGATTCGCAGATCTCGATCTTGCGCGGGAATAACTCGTTTTGCTGGTTTATGAGAGATCCACAGTAACTCTGGTGGGATTGATCACTGGGCTTTTGTGATGTTTTTGGATGGCGTCGATGGCGTCGATGGCGTCCAGGATTATGCCTCTTAGCCGCAGTGGCAGCCGAGACAATGTCTTCCAGCTGGGTTCGCTCTTCCGTGTGGAATAACCGCTATTTCCTATTTCAAAATTCCGATAAACACGAAATTATGTCAATCCCAATATTTTGAAAGAAATCAACAATATACCGTAGCATCCCAGCAACCCCAATGTAGCCTAGCAATTAAAGTATCTTCAAAAATATGAGGGAGCTTTGCTAAGGACGTGTAAAATTTCCAGCATGAAGTCTTGCTCAAGGAGTTCTTTTGTGATGAATGGGTTCGTGGTCTCGCTACACTATTTTTCGCTACATGATGTCTTGTGATCGATCTTCAATAACATAGACCTAGCTTCTGACAAAGATTTAAGGACAGTGACTCGCGAATATAATAGCTGTCAACCCTACAAACAAAGCCAAAGCCACTAGATTCAATTTCTCAATCTTATCCCAGTGCCTGGCGAACCAATCTGCTAACTCCAATCTCCAAGTATGATGCCCGCTATCTTTGAGTGCTGATCGGAGGCCAGGAAGTCCGTCGAGACTATGAATATTCATTTCCCGCTGATACCTTTGCATATCTTCCTGTTGTCTAAAATTCTTGACGGAAAAATTATTCAGCGTCTGACGATCCTTCAGAAACGGCGTGGATTTATTGGATTCGGGATCGATTGATAGGGCCAAGAGAGGAACACCAAAACCGCAGGAGGTTTGAACCTGGATGTGTTGAATGTTGTCAGGAATTTTTCGATGCATGTAACAAAAGAATGAATAACCTTGAAGACATCGAGCTTTATAATAGCACGCGCACCCACAACGTTGCGTTTCTTCATATGTTCTAAACATGTGAGGAACTCAGGTTGGTCCCACTCTAGCACAGTACCTGTGCAGAAGAGCCGCAAGATGCGAGGCGATACATCGAAGGAACAGAACATCAGAGTTAGGCGACCATTTTCTCGCACATGAGAGATAGTCTCACATCCAGATCCTGTTGAATCAATGTACGCTATTTGGTTTGGGTTCAGGATCGCAAGCGAGGAATCAGGTAGCCCTTTCGGGATAGATTGACATGTCGCCCTCGTAGAGGCGCTGAGGCTACGAAGAAAATCCTTTGCCCGAGAGCCCAGTCGCGTAGATCGTCTGGGATGGAGTCGTAGAATTTGACCATGTTTTCGAATTATCGGATTTGGTTTAATTAAGTGTGTGCAGACTCGAAGACCGTTGGGGTTTCTAGATTCTCATGAAGTTAGCGGAAGGCTCTCTGTAACACCGTGGGGGAACAGTTCAAACAGCACAAAAGGATATTAGGTGACACGGTGCCACCGGGAGCTCTTCCAAGCTGCAATATTATGGAATGTGAAAAAGTCTGATTCCCGCTGTCACTTTGGGCATTCCGTATACACCCAATCTCCATCTGTTGGCCCTCTTGCATAGATTTCGGGTCTTTCAAACGATTACTGTATTTCATGACTCACAGCTTCCAAGGTTTGGAGATGTTCTTGCAAGTGTGAACGATTGAAATTGTTCCCGGCTATGTACTGGTGTTCGGCGGCCTTAATCAACTGGTGGGTCAATGCCCTGCAAGGGATCAAACAACAGTGAGGCCCACAAGGATTTCACCTTGGGTTTTCTGACTTTAACAAGGCATGCTGCTTCACTCCTCAATTAGGTTAAGCTGTACAGACAGAGGGGGCAAAATTTCAAGGATATTAAAGTGACCAAAAACTGCAATACTGGGTTCCAATTTTCCTATCGCCGAAGTGATGATATGCCTCACTGATGATCTCTGCACTGAAGTTGTTTGGCTAAATTTCAAACTGTAACGGGTTGATAACTCATAATCACACACATTGATCTATGATGGATCATCCTTGGCGCATGCACCGGGTGTACAGATGAGTTACAGCCATCTGACGATTGATTGGCTATTTTGGCTTTCGTGGCTTTCTTTGCCCTCTTCGTATGCCAGGAGATAGATGCCTGCCATTATATATCCGGAAAAGTGAGCCTCTGGCCTCCAAAAACTGCTTCTCGAGACTAGCTAGTGGTTATGAGACTTCTTTTCGTGTCGGGACCGTCTGCTCAAGGGCTTGATTAGACTATTTTGACTCAAAGTCCACCCAGGCAAGTTACAGGAGACTTTCGTTCAGTCTCAGACACCAAAGAATACGTCTTGTGGAGCTGGAGACTGTTCGAATTTGAGTTGGGCGCTATATCAGGCTGACAAAAGGAAAATAGGCAACCCTGATGTGAGATGAACCCACGGGTTTCGAAAGTCACAATGGGAGACCTTATCTGATATATATGCAGGGATGAGCGACACAACGAAGGCAGATACCAGTAAAAAAGTAAATTTCACTCCAGCAAACTATGCGAATGGCAGATCAGTCGCCCGTTACATTATGGTTCCTGCGGCAGTGGCTGTTATCATGCTTGTCGGATATAATTTGCCTAGAGCTTTGTCTACCATCCTTCTCATATTCTTGAGTCTCTTAATTCGCTTCATTCACCAGTACCGCAAAGCTCGCGCCCAGTTCCCGGGTCCTCCAGTCAAAAGCTTCTGGGTTGGCAATCTTGACCAAACTATGACCGACGACGTACACGAAAAGGTGCCACCACCCCCTTACAAATTATCTCGAATCGTGTTGTAGGCCTAACTATCTCACTCAGTGGATCCAGTGGAATCGTGAATATGGTCATATTTTTCAAACTGTTCGTCTGCGAGTCATTGAGCTTCAAGTTCCTCAATCTGGGACTCCGAGTCGGAGTTGAGGTACTAGTATGTGCTAATGTGATGTGGGTCTAGTGGAATGGCCTGTTCTCTCGAATGATATATATCGGCAATCCCCAAATTATTACGAGAATAGCCACCCTTAACTGGCCAAAGTCCTCTATGCAATACAAGGGCTTTAGGCCTCTGAGTGGCAATGCCTTGTTTCTACAGCTTGATCATGACCGGTGGCGTAGACAGAGAAAAAGTCTTGCACAGGCATTTCAGCCATAATTCATTTCAGGACAGTATGCTTCATTTTCGAACCATCTTATGATAAACATAATTCTTCGATTTTTGAATGATTGTCAAAAGACTGAACTCATGAGAACAGGATTATATTCGGTTCATTGATTGTGCAGCTGGGGATAAAGTAGTTGTGGACTTGGCTTCTTTGCACGTCTTGCTCTCCTTGGATTTTATTGGCGATGTCGCTTATGGCACAGTGTTCCATGCCATTCGACAAGGATCAGAATGTCGTATCTCACAGCTTCTCGAAACTATCCTCCCAGAGTTGATGAAATGTGGACTCTTCCCACTGCGCAAAAGATTTCCGATCCTCTCGAAAACTCGACAGATACACGAGGGAATTTCAGAGCCGAGAGTGATGGCGGCAAAGGCAGTAGAGAACGCCCGCCAGGCAGATAATAACATTGGAAGATTTGAGAATAACACGCCCAAAATTCTCGAGATTCTGGCCAAGTATGCTTCTCACAGTTTGATGGCGATAACATGCTAACATGCTATCACGCTCACTAAATCTACAGGCAGCGAGAACCCGATGGCAGTTATACATTAGCTCGAAGGAGCTCTGCGACAAATATGGTGTGGCAATATCATCTTTTTAGATTTCAATCGTAACGGTTTATAACTTCGAGATCGGTGGCTTTCCTCGTTGCGGGCGGAGACCCGACAGCACATACAATGTCTTTCTTCGTTTACGAAGTCGTATGATTCAACCGGGAATTGGCTTCGAGATTTGGCCATTGAATTGCTAACAAACGCAGCTCCGTCAACCGGATATCCTCGCTAAACTCAGAGCTGAGCTCGATACTAACATCCCTTCGGATGTCACCGTTCCGCCCCTCGAGCAGGTCGATCTTCCATACTTGAATATGATCCTGAAGGAAACGCTGAAATACAGCTCGACGGGCTTCGGGACTTTTCGGACATGCTCATTTGACACTGAGATGGAGGGAGTTGTGCTACCTGCCAATACTACTGCTGCCTTGTGCAATCCTGCTGGTGCGTGACTCGAAATTCCATATGCGGATACTCTACACCTTCATAAGTGTTCTGATGGAACATTAGTGCATCGAGATCCAACCCTCTGGGACGACCCGGATACATTCGATCCTGAGCGATGGCGACCGGGTCAGTCAAGAATTAAGGGCTCTTACTTCCCATTCTCATATGGTCCAAGAAATTGTTTAGGTGTGTTCGATTGAAAAAATTATACTACTCAATCATCTACTGATTGCTCTTTTCTAGGCCAGGGGCTATCCACGCTTGTAATGACATTGACTCTCGCCACACTTTTCCGACAATTTGATCTTACTTTGGAGTCAGGATTTGAGATGGAATACCTTCCTAGCTTCACATTGAGGCCAAAGAACGGATTACCTGTGAGGGCTGTCCGTCGCAGGTCTTGATGCACAATGATGTTGAATGTGACGCTCAAGCACGGACGTGGAATATATCTCCCCGAACAGTCCTTTGGAATTCCAAATTGAAGGATTCAAGTTACTTACTAGTCCAATCCTTTCCAACAAAGGAGATGGACCATGACGTTTGGGTGGCCAATAAGCATCACAATATCAATAGCACTAGTTATAGCGCAATGAGACTAGCCTCATTTCTCAAGTGCTTATCTTACATGATCATGGGGTCAAATGTTCGGAGATACGTCGGTATACCCCGCGTAGCCTTTAACAAGTTTCAAATACACACGCATCATTCCTTGGGTGTGCAACGTGTTTCCTGTGATAGCTACCGCTAGACCACCGAGATATTCCAAGATATACAGCTCCCGATTGGTACAGCATCCGCAACCTCCAGGGCTGTCGGGGCTATTAAAATCAAATAATCAACACCCGAAGCGAAAAGATAAGCCGGCCCGACACGGAACACCAATAGACAATTCACAGGATGGACGGTATTCTGTTCTCAACATCTCGGGACCTAAATCGAAATGAACCAGACAGGGAAAGCACATGGTCCTCTCTCCAGTTAGCAGCGGCGGAAGGCAATCTGCAAGAAGTAAATCGGCTGTTAGCAGAACCCACAGTGGACCCCGACGACTCTCCAAAGGGGTATTATGGTCAAACAGCGCTCCAAGCTGCTGCCAATAGAGGATATATCAGTGTTGTTGAAGCCCTTCTGGACGCAGGTGCAGACCCGAATGCCCCCGGAGGAAACAATGGTGGCAAAACAGCAATAGTCCTGGCGTCTGAAGCAGGCCATTTGGACATCGCCCAATATCTAGTTTCTGCGGGCGCAGATATCAACCGTCCAGCGTACAGATACGCAGGCCGGACTGCTCTGCAGGCCGCTGCCGAGGGAGGTCAAATTGAGGTTCTGCGATGGCTTCTTGCAGAAGGGGCGGAGATTAATGCACCACCGGCCAAGACAACCGGTCGCACTGCGCTCCAAGCCGGAGCTTCAATGGGTCACGCTGATATCGTGGAAATTCTTTTACAGAATGGAGCCCACGTTGAAGCTCTACCTGTAAGATATAAAGGCCTGACAGCACTTCAAGGTGCAGCGTTGGGAGGTCACCGCCGTGTTGTCTGTCTGCTCTTGGATGCGGGAGCTGATGTGAATGCCAAAGGCGCATATTATAACGGGTACACGGCACTCTCAGCGGCGGCGGAAAGTGGTCACGATGAGATTGTTCGGATATTGCTCGATGCCGGTGCAGATGTCTCCTTGCCGTCGGGCAATAGAGCGTGGACTGCGGCGCAGATTGCGAATTCTCGTGGTCAAATAGATATCACGCAGCTTCTGACGCGGAGTGAACAGAAGCTGAATACTTTTGCAAGTTCGAGTTTGGAATATGGTAGTAGATCCAATGAGCGCTCTGTATATACGGTATAGATTAGAACTCAGGATCCAACTACTGTCTTTGTTCGTTCATGCACATGTGTTTATTGATGGATTCAAGTTTTGAAATGACAATCCCAGCGTGGTCGAAACCACTCCCTGGAGTTTAGATGTTGATGTAGTCAATGGATTTTTTACTATTATTGTTCGTATCAAGAATAAGACCGATCATGTTGTGGTGGTCTGACTTCTAGTGATGTAACCGAGCAATGCGCAAAACGCGACCGGGAAGAATCCAGGGATGGCTGGTCTCCGATCATGCAAGTCTGTTCATCTTCCTGCTGATTATCACGTCCATCAATCTCCTCAACCTCCTCCCTATCAAGGACTATCTCCCCCCCACATAACTGGCTTCAATGCCGCATCGACATCTTCCGCCGGAGGATGACATGAGGCACTAATTGCCGCGCTGCAATGACCTACGACGGGGGCGTGTGATTTGAATGTCTTTCTGCACAAAACAATACACACAATATAACATCCGGACAGAAGAAGAAAAAAGATGAATATCGCCAGAGGTGAGTAACAAACACCACGCGTCGATGTTAACTTGTCCTCTTGTCCATGCACATCGTACCCAACTATATTGACGAAGAACAAGCTCTGCGACACCATCCAATGAGCCAGAGTGAACAAAGTCAACTTGGGCACGCTATATCTAAATGGCAGACTGAGATAATATGTCGATCGCTGCTCACCATGCGGATTTGAAACACGCAAGTGCTTGCGATGCAGTGCATAAGCATCCCACTCCGCAGCAACGAGCATGCATGTCAACATACTGTTGATGAGATAGTATTGAATAGATAGGACGAGCTGCGGGACGTTTGCAAGCAAAATCAATGCTATCATGTTGTGTGATAAGTTTATGGTAATCAGGGTATTGGTGTTGGCTGAGCCGAACCCCATTGACCAGATTCCTGACAGGGCTGCCTTCACGGAATCAAATCCAGTTGCTGCCGTTGCAATTGAGAAAAAGAGCACAATGAAAAGGCCCATGTCGCAAAGGAGAAGACTGAGTAGATACTGAGTAAGCCACCGTCGGATGTTAGATCGAATGAAAGGGTGGTAGTCTTACAAGGTATAGGTAAGTCCCATTCGCATTCGACTTGCCGCTCGGTGCCAGCGTAACTTCTTCGGAGAAAGCAAAGTCAGATGCCCAATTCCATTTCCAGATGCCTCGGCCGTGCCAGGCTTGGTCAACAGTATGTCAGAAGCATCCTGGGTATCCTTTGACCGACCCGGGAAACATGAAACAAGCCCAGCCAGCCGTGAGCGGACGTAAGCCAGCGACCAGGCTTCCGTATCTGGGCGGGACATCATACATCTTCCTTTGGTCGTTGGATCAGGTTCGCTTAAAAACGAAGCAATAGAATCTCCAATTGTCAGGAGTGGTTCCTCGCGCTTATGCCACGTCGCAAGGACCATGCATGCCAGCTTGATGATACTGCAACTCAGCACAATCAGTGCGATCGGTGGACTGAAAGAGAGTTGACATTTTTCAGTCGCTTCTTTAAACATGCAACTTTTCGGAAGCATCTCCAGGAGGAAATATGGGGCATGTGTATACCCTGCAAACCGGTATGTAAGGTTGCCTGCCCAAGAGCTATCGGCCCAATTTGTTGAATTATCCAGAAAGGTCTGCAACGCTGCGCTGGTCGGGTTATGTTGATTCATATAGGTACGAAGCGTGATAATATCTTGCTTCACCGTAGGCGAGGTTGTTTGGAAGTACGCATTGATTCCAATACCTGGTTGCCCACGACCAAAGGTGAAAATCGATCCATTTGATGTAGTAAAATTCCATTCCCGGTAGCTCCAAAAGTCCCCGCGTACACGCCAGACACCCTCATTGATCTCTTGGAGAATTGCAGCTTGCGATGCGGTATAATCATAATTCTCTCCGTCGTCGGAATCCTTCACATTTCCGGAATCGCCTTCCAGACTACTTGCATTTGAGAAGTGTTTCCGATCGGCAGCGAGCAGTAAGGTGCCATACTTAGTGTTGAAACTGGTATCATATTTCCTAACACATTCAGCCAAAGTTGCATTGATGAATGTCGAGTTGAATATTTCCTTTTGAATGTCACCTGCATGCGCTCCAATTACATTGTAGAAGGAGCTTGCCTCGACTTCGTTGTACACAAGAGGTTCATCACGGCCAAGGTCTTCTGGGATCAGCACTGTGCCGAAATCCGATGTTGATATTGTGCGGAAAATGATGGAATTGTACAGCATATGAATCGGCAGGGAGGTAAAAAGTAAACACAGCCAGAGAGTTCGACGCTTCCAGTCCATGGCTCCAAAATTTCTGATGCTTAAAGTACCGATATCAAGCCACTTGTGTTTATTGTGGGCGCGGTCCACGGCCGTTCGAGATGGTGCTCCAATAACTTGCATCATGGAGCTGCTAGCTCCCAGTATCAGGGTACTTGAGAAGTTGATGAGAAGATGTAAGGCGGTTGTCCAGTTATCGGTCGTGGAACAACTGCCTTTATACAGCTCCAATATCTCGAATTGCCCATTATTAGCTTCTTCTGAATATGCAATTGAGAATGCCACGATCATGAAAATAAGATGCATAACCAGAACCCCGCCGGCGATCTGAGGAGATAATGCGACTTTATACTTCTTTCTGCGTTTTCGCCTCACTCGTGTTGACGTTGATCGTGTTGAGAGCAGTTGAGGGAATTTCCACCCTTTTTTCATCCATAGCTTGGAAGACGCGTTGCTCAGACTGGAATATGAAGTTTGACTCCATGGTGAGAAACTCGAGGACAGCGCAGATCCTGATGATGAGTCTATCGCAGTTTTGCTATGTCTGGCACCCATTCTTCAACTCAATGCAATTCCTCTTGAGTACGGAGTACTGAGCAAAAAGGGTGGCGGTCGCTTATCCGGATTCCGTGGATCATCTCAATGTTTATCGGTGAATTCCATGTCAAAGTTGACTTCGACACCTTCAAATTTTGATTATCTCCTAGCATCTGTGGGGTAGAGAAGTCTTATTCTGAACGCTAGCAGAGTTTTGAATTCAAAAATGTCCAGGGTATATACCTCACCCTTGGAATTTCTAAATTTTTAGCTTGTTTTCTTTTCTGAATTTGCGCTTGGCCGAATGGGATTACGTATGCTGCTAGTCTGAATGGGTCCATTAAATTATCTAGTGTCATTATAGCGCGTAGGTAACCATCATTCCATCATTAGCACAAACATTTCGACATTCCTCTGCCTTTGCTTGAATCTGGCAGGAATTTGCTATCGATTCATTTGCTATCAAATATGTCTTTTGTGTGTTGTCTTCCGATCTGTATATTATGAGACTTGTAACATGCTTGTAAAGTCAAGATTCAACTCCGAAGTTCGTGAATTGAAAAAAGGAAAGTGGATCTACCCGATACGACCAAGGGAGTTCATCCAACTCAGGCAGCCACCTCAACTTAATTCCTGGGAACTGACAAACATTCTTCGTAAACTTTGACAATTGAAGAACCGATGGAAGTCAATTGAGCATGCCCATACCCCGACGAAGTGAAATCAGAGGGAAAAGATATGACAACCATATGTTGTGATGAATTGAAGAATCTTGCTCAGGAAATTGACAAAATTGAGTAAAAAATTTCTTTATTCGATGCAATATTGCCATGTTTCTAAGCCAGCAGATTTGGAGGCTCTTGTTCGACCTGGATATTTGTCCACAGAGGCACTGTGGCAAAGCGGAATGTGAGTACTGTACTCCGTACGGAGTACATATACAGGAACTGAACGTCAATTGATGAGACGTGGACGCTAGTTCAGCCACTGGCAGAGTTCAAATTTACTATGTAGTAGACGCCACCGGTTCGATACAGATGATCGACATTGCATACATATGGCCAATAGTTAGACTAATTGTTCAATCCAGAAAATGGTTCCACTCTCACCGAAAAGACTTATTACTGAAACAAGCCTGGTCACAGAGGCTTGGGAAATTGCAGTTCGTCAAATGGATCAATAGCGTTGACATCTGCCCCGTTCTCGATCAAACGCTTTACTACTGCGCTGTGGCTATTATTAGAGGCCTTTAAAAATGGTGTATATCCAAACCTATCAATAGTATTGACCTTGGCGCCACTGTCAATCAGAGACCTTACTAATGCCTCATCAACTTTCTCAGAAGCGTGGGAAATTGGTGTGCTTCTGGACCAGTCAATAGCATTAACATCGGCCCCGCGTTCGATGAGAAGCCGCACTACTGCGTCATATCCTTTTTCAGAAGCGTGAAGAATGGGCGTGATTTTCCATAAATTCATAGCATTGACATCTGCCCCTTTGTCAATAAGAAGCCTTACTATGTGTTTGTGGCCAGTCCAGGAAGCGACTGATAGTGGAGACACTCCAAATAGATTTTCAGCATTGATATTGGCTCCATTTTCGATCAGAAACGCTGCAACTTCCTCGCGGCCATTCTCTAGAGCTTGAAAAAGGGCTGTACCTCCATGATCACCATTTATCATGGCTCTATTGTCGATCAGAAGCCTTACCAGGGCCAAATAGCCATTACGTGAAGCTCCTGCAAGTGGTGTCATTCCAGATTCCAAATTGTGGTCGAGATTGGCTCCATTTTCAATAAGAAGCCTTGCAACTGACTCATGGCAGTTTTCCAAAGCTTGTGAAAGCGCTGTGAACCCCCTCCTATCTTTCTGACTCACATCTAATCCCGCCTCTAGCAACAGCTTTAAAATACCCAATCTGCCATTTCGCGCAGCCCAAGTTAATGGTGTTTCACCCTTGCAAGCTCCAAAGTCCTTTCTGTGCTGCAAACTGTCTGTGATCTCAATGCATCCGTAATACTGGGAGGTGCATTCAAAATTGCAGCAACGGTGTTTTTGTTGCAGCTGGCAAGGGCGGCGAAGAGCGGGTACTCATATTTTTCGTTAAGAACAGGTGAATGGACCTGAGGATCTTGTTTCATCCTTGTATGTATAAGCTTAGAACATCATTTATCCGCAAGGATGTACAAAAGACTTCCATTGCTGTATTCCCGATTCTTGAATTTATGGAAAAGATTGTTCATCTTTATCCGACGTGAAAGCGGAAAATGAGACAGAAAGTCTTGCTGAGGACGGATTTCAGCGGCGGCATCAGAATGGTCGAGAATATGCCGACTAGCATACACTAGGAAAGGGTATTTATTTGAGGCATCCGCCCTCTGCTTGGATCTGGATTCCGATTTGGACTCAGAAATGAGGTTGCAGGAAAATTGCAGCACCCAAGGGCGATTTAGGTAGAAGTGGCAACACTGCTTGAGATCCTCATGGGCTGCGCTCTGCCACCCTGACTCTAATTCAAGCCATACTCGATATAGACCGTTATCCTTGACCAGAAAGTCACGGACGGATTCATGAATGAATTGAACGGTGGGTGTCTCGGACTTGGTGATTTCAGCCAGGCCTTTTGAGGAACCAATCACAAAAACTTTCAGTCCCTCACTCTCAGTCTCGGAAGATGGGATGACTGGAATCTGATTATCAACCAAATTGCGTAGTGACAGTCCGAACCAAACAGCAATGTGAAATTCAACAGGTCGCAAAGGCCACCGAGCAAACAGAATCCATTGAATGCAGAGGAGGGGTTGCTCCATATTATCTGCATCTCGTGTCAGGATGTCCTTAAAAAGTTCACCCAAGTCACTCGGTATCTCAGCAATTCTCTTCCTGAAGGCTAGGCCGCCTCGCTGATACTCTTTGTTCATAATGTCGACAACAAGGACGACCCACATGAAGACACAAGCAGCTTTGCTGAGAAGAGTAAGATGTAACTCTTCAATTAGGGCAGGGTCCGAAATTCGAAGACGACTCTTGATGTAGGTCTCCAAGTCTTTTGAATGGCGCGATTGAACCTCCAATATCAGCCGTTTTCCGTATCGGGGGACTATATATGGATAATGACGACTGGAGAAACAAATCCGGAACGGAATCTCCTGCTCTGTGGATTCTTCTGTGAGGTCTTCAAAATATTTGACCATATCTCTGACTTACTGTTCGTCACATTCATCTAAGGCGTCAACAAAGCATGTGAACCCGTGTGGGCCGAGCGCGCAAACCGAGTCCCAAAAGAGATCTTTGAGAGTAATCAAAGAAGGGCAGTCATTTTGACATGGAGGAACGACCTCGGGATCATCTAGCACAATTTGGAGGTCAGGGTATCCCTCAAGGAGTTGAAGTAACAAGGATCGATAAATCCCAACGGTCGATCGTTCCAAATACTCTCCCCGAGCATTGAAGAAGAATGAAGCAGTAACAACACGGCCCTCTGATTTGAGAGTGCTTCGCTTCATTTCCAAGTATGCGAACTTCATGATAGTAGACTTCCCTGCGCCGGGCTTACCACTTATCCAAATAAAGCCATTGTTTCCCTTTAACCATGCGGGGTCCAGCCACATTTTGTAATCGGGGTGAGAGAGAAACCATTGACATGTTTTCGCATGGTGTTTCTTGATGGTCAATCGGCGGAAATCAATCTGATTGAATCGGAGTGCGTCCAGCAATTGTTTCCGACGTTCTTGCAGCGCTGATTGATCTAAATATTCCGGTAAGTGCATGATCACTTTCCTTCAGCAAACTTGCGGCTTTACTTACCAGCGTCTGGATTTGAGATAGCAATTACCTGCTCCCTGGTCAAACGGAGCTCCTCAATGAACTCTCTCGCATACCCGGCTGCATTTAAGGCGGCACATCTTTGCCATTCCTTGGTCTTGTGGGAGTCCGAATAGTCACAGATGCCCCGGATTGGGAGGCAAGGAAAATATTCCATGGGACCTGCTGCCTCCATTTCGAAACAAATTACATCCAGCTCTTCGGCAAGCTTGTCTCGAGTCATAGCGTGCTTTATGACCTGATTTCCAGAAGCAACAGTACCATAGTGAATCTTCAATGTGTGCTCGGGTGTCCTGTCGGGCCGTTTGACTAACTTTGACTGGTCGCATTCATCACAACTCGATCCTTTGGATGCATGTTCATAATTCATAACGAAGAGGCGGTCTGGAGCATTGGGGCGGCAACAGTTAAAATCGTTTCCTAGTTGTTGCTACATGATAGATGGGACTCGAGTCGGGTTACGATCATGCTTCGATCGGAGGCTAGTCAGGGTTGTTTCAATCAAGTGGTCATATGTCCTCGGAATCGCCGTTCGCTCGGACTTGCCATGTCCTACAGTTTTCCCAAGATCGTATTGCATCACTCTCGTTCCAACAACGATGTCACCCAGCCGAATGTCCGCTTTGCCAGGCACGCCACCGCCGACGCCGACCATTAAATTCACGCGAATTCGGGGAAAAGACCGCTTCATGTTCGCTGCATCCAGAGATGCATTACATGTTCCACAGCGATCGTGAGGTAGACAGGTAATGACAATATCACGTCCCTTGATACTGTCCAGGGTGTAGTGGTTGGGATCATCTTGTGGAATGTTGGGAAGAGGTTCGTGAACCTCATCCAGCATGTCTCGAGCGGCTGCCAATTCCTCGTGTATTGCACAAAACCAAGCGACAGTATAATTCCCGATATGCCGACTGGTTAACCTAGCTTGGTTCGAAGCCTTTTGGCGCTTCGATGTGGCATCCTCTGCACAATCCCAGAATCTCTTCATGATGCCTGGAATCGATAGAGTGAGGGCCTTTCATTGGCGTATGAGTACCGGTGGCCGCATGACTGTGTAGCAGGAGGTAAAACTCAAGTTGCTCAATCAGGAGCGAGCTTCGTGGATACAATCAATGGACATTAACGGAAAATGAGGGTGTGAGATCAGAGAGAGGTGGGAGAATCAGACAGCCAAAAGCCCCCGCTTGATCGCCTCATTTCGCCTCTAACGTGTGGCAGTGCGCCATAAGCAAAAAGAAAAAATGACATGCGGTCATATGGATTACGCACAATGTCTTGCTAACAGGACTCTGCGAGATAACGTGACTCGTCGAGCGGGCTTTGCAGGACAACGCGCAGCGCGAATGGGGCCGTGTGCGATTATGCACGGTTACGTGGTCAACAATGATCCCGAGGTCGGGTTTTGGTCGCATCTCCAACGCTAACCGAAACCACTGGTGGCTTCAAGTTTAACCTTCGCAGCCTTGCAAAATTGGGGGCAGACATCCGATGTATATGAATGAAGGGCCATCGTGAGAAGCATAATAGTAGAGGGCTCACTTCAGCTTTTTGTCACACGATATTTGAGCGGCGATTATCAGTCTCGTGCATATAGTCAAGTGCAGCTAAAGATACTCCGTAGTCTATACGTGTTGTGATTAAGACGTACCACCTGTTGACGCACCAATATCTGAACCTTCCGTGGCCTGGAGCCCTGCTCAGGTGGAGGGGATTTGAACCTTGAAATCATTATGTAATGCAGATGAGCGCCCGGGCGTCGGGTGCCTCGGCCTCAGCACCTGGCATGGATCCTCCTGATGAACATAGAATACACAACACTTCAATGCTGCAGGAAGAACTTGACGGAATGCTCAATTAACTGACTGGTACAACATAGACAAGCTTCGGGGTATTCTCTTGCTCAAAACGTTAGATGTGATATTTTTAACCTATATTCAGGTTTTGCTCCTCACATGAATGCAGAGTCAGAGATGGCCGGAAGACGAGGAAGGATGAAGCACTTGAGTAGTACTAGAGATAGGACCTCAAGTGCCAGTGCTTGAAGTGGGTAGAACATTTGAATACGGCCAAGTCGTTGCTTCCAAGGTTATACTGGCAGTGCTCCACACATGCAGTATATCTAGCACCGGGGCACCTCAGGCCTGCCCAGGTGGACAATACATAGGTATTTGACACCAAGAGCTATTCCTATGAGCACAGTGGGAAAAACACGACAACTTTATGTATGTAAGTTCCAAGGTTGAACTTCAACTCGACCTACTCCGTCCACTAGAGGCGACCTACCTCAAATTCCAGTACTTCTGGCATTCAAATGTTCTGGAATTGAAACTCGAAATAATCAATTACTCGTAAAAGCGCGAACGTTGCGGTTGAATATCAGGCATACCCGAACTCCTCGTTTCTGTAATACAAAATTTTGAATCCCGGTTCTTCCACAGGCATGATATAGGAGGTATCCTCGAATTATCTCGAGGGAAAGAATTTGTACACCTACAAGACTCTTTTTGAACCATGTTTCTTTCGACCTTGGTATAGGAGACCAATTGCGCCGGCTCTTTCAAAATGTTGACAACATACATCAACATGAAGCTGCTAATAATTTGTGTTGGCGTCGTGGGATCAAAGAGTTCAAAACTGCAAGCCCCGAAGCTCGGAATTTCGCTCCTATGCGAAATCCAACGTGATGATCGATTCCTATTTCGTATACCTTACACCCTGCCTATCCATGTGCGACATAATTGAACCTGATATTTGGCACCTGATAGAACCCGCGGTGTCAGAAGAGTAAATTGACTACAAAGATATCTTTGAAACTGGCAAACTCGTTAATGTAGTAAGCAACCAGCCCCACAGGCACATGAATAGTCTCTCTGATGACCTACAAGAAAAAGCTATGTTGAAATTTGCAACATACAAAAAGGCTTATGAGGAGTAGTTCAAGAGAGACCGGTACAATCCGTGACCCGACAGTTGAGCGTTCAAATTTGATCTATCAACCCGAGCCTTTATCAGGCCTAACATCAACTCGTAATGGTATCAGTTGACAGTTGCGAGCCGACGACTCAGGAATCGACTGTCTACTTTAACGGCAACTTCAATCAGAGCTAACAGATTATGATTTTAAATTCAGTCTAAATGGATAGGCCTTCTTGAAAGTAGATTTTTATTGGCTCGGGAGAATTTGATTCTATCAGCTTTTCATTAAATAAAAGAACCCCACGTCTGAATAGATGCAAATAGGCCTTAGTCTTATTAAATGAGCATTTTGACTCAGTGTTTCACCCAGATTTAAAAACTGATAGTTGGGTTTGGTTATGACATCGCTTGTGGATTAAGTTCGTCAACAATAAGAGTAGCTTAGTACGTTAAAATTACCTCCACGGATGTAGAGACTAATGATTAGAACATTTATTCCTGCAGCTTGAAAATGTAGAAAGCCTCACGCTCCGCACTAATAGTATCGGCCAATTCCAACCCCGCATTCTTCGCCGTATCAACCAACTCATTTTCCTTCCACAATCTTCCCTTGAACTGAACCAAATTCTTCTCCACAACTTGTTCGGTACCCTCAGGGAGGGTCCTGATGACTAAAACCTCGCGGGTATCATGTTGAACATGGCCTATGGTCTTAGTCTCCAGTTGCGTAGTCTGATAGACAATATCGGGGAAAGTCCGGCTAGCAAGGCGCGGTGGGTTTTTCCAGGGAGCAATTGCTGCATCCTTGAGATCTTTAGGTGCAAGGTGGTGTGAGATGGAGATTATCACTCGACCTGTTCCTGCCATGAGAACCTTGGCCACTTGGTTCAAGAACTGGGTCGGTTGCTCGGGCTCATGGAGATGACTGATGCTCCCAACAGCCCACATGAGCATGCTGACCTTTTTGGTGCATCCATTCAGTGATGGCACGCTAACAAGGTCCAGAGCCGTGCCCTGTTCCCAGGCGACATGGCCGACGTGCGCCATTTGGCTACTTTTAGCCGCCCGGTCAAGCATATCTTGCGACGGTTCAAGGCCGATAAACTCGGCGGAAGAAAGATCATACCCTTCCTCGCCTGCACTTGCCGCTAGGCCGTGAAGGATCCGTCCGGTTCCAGTTCCGACGTCGAGGACAACGAAGGGCTGTTCAGGTGCAGATGATTGGATTTTCTGGAGCTGCTCCCAGTACACCGGGACGTCTTTGAGTTCTTCGGTCAGATATTTCTCACAGAAAATATCATAGTGTTCTGCCAGATACGGCGAATCATAGAAGGTTGAATCGCGTTCCTTGGGTTCATTGATTGAAGACATGATGAAGATTCCAGGTACGGTTATCCCCTCAAAGTAATTGATGGGGCAGGGAATCGAAAAATGAAAGAGCTGTAGAGTGATCAATCAACAGGATACACGGGGATTTTATTGGCACTACTGGTGGTAAGAAGCGGCAAGAAGCCTGCGACGATCAGTTGCAGAATTTGGTCAGTGGCTTGCGTTGTCCCCACTTTCCTCTTCGTCGCCTGCATACTCGGGGAGTTCTTTCTGTTTGAATCACTCCTTACAAGTATCCATGTGCGTGTGTACGTGGGTCATGCCAAGTATGCAGGCCGGGCGGGGTCATGATGTCGGTAATCACGTCAACCCTCTTATGATGGGGTGAATACGGAGTACAGGACTCGGATGAAGAAAAAGTGTGAGGTCAACTGTACTTCCTGAAAATTTGAGGAGGGAGGAGGAAAAGAGAGACAGAGGCCAAGCTATCCAGAAACTGGCGGTAGTATGAGACCAGAGGCTACTTTGCCTCTCGTAGTGGTCCAAAGTCTGTCTTCCGTAAATAGCACACGCCTTGGCGGCCTTTCTTGCCACTGGCGCACACAGTTCGTTCCCGCAGTAAGTAGGTTTGGAGGCGTTCCCTGAGGGGAACAATTCCCGTGTATGGCTGCGCTAGGATAGATCTAGCCCCACATCATCGGCGTTCCCAAGTCGATAGTTCATGTGCAAGAGGTACAATACAATGCCCAGGTAAAGTATCTTTCACTTTGTATTTCCCAAATTCGACCGTCGTTTTTTGAAGTGTTTGCATGTTGACTTAGCTTGCCAGGTCGCTTGTTAGTTTAGGTACGTTCATCCCTCATCCCGCCGCGGCGAGAAGAACAACACGAGGCAAGATTTTACAGTACTAAAATAAGGACAGCCTTTTTAGAATACAGAAAGGAACCTTGAAAGCAGCCATGTTCGCGTATAAAGCCCTGTCCGCCTATCTCACCTTCCCCAACGAAGATCAGAAGCAATGGTGGGAGGATACAGCACCGTTATATGCAGGATTCCTTAACGTGGCTCAGTATGATGTTGAGGCTCAACTCATACACTTGATGTTCCATTTTCGATACGTTCTCCCATCACTTGGGCCCTTCCCGAAGAATGAAGAGAAGCGTACCAACACGGTGATGCCGGGCGGTCGACTGTTCGAGATCAGTCAGAATTTCCAGAAGGGTCAGTCGACTATTCGATTCGATTACGAACCTGTGAGATCTGGGCCAGGCTTGGTGCAAGAAGAGAATCGATTGAACTCGAGCGCCCTGGCGGATGCTTTATTCGACCTCAAGTGTAACGGGCTCTGTCCAAACACTATTTTATACGACCGTTTTGAGAGGGAATTTTTTTTGACCCCCAATGATTTTGCTCTGGTCGAAAGCAAGAATGTGTCACAAACCGCTACGACCCAATATGTCGTCGCATGGGATCTTCACAGGTCTAACCGAAAAATGAAGATGTATTGGTTCCCAGCAGTCAAAGCATCGGCAGCCAGCCAATCGAAAGGGTCATTTGTACTTGATGCGATCCGCAAAGTGGACTTGGAGGGTTGTTATACAAATTCACTCCTCGTAGTGGAGCAGTGGCTGTCAGCTACAGGACTGGATGATGATCTCTGGATCCTTTCGTGGGACTGCGAGAAGCCCGGATCTTCTCGAGTGAAATTATACGTCTCCGCAAAGGACATTACGCTGGAGGCTTTGGAGGATGTCTGGACGTTAGGTGGCAGAGTGACGACTCCTGCTACGCTGGATGGATTGGCACTTCTTCAAGAACTCTGGCAGGCACTCAGGCCCATGGAGCAAGATACGGGAATTCGGATGACCATCAGCTATGAGCTGGTCCCAGGCAGCGACGCTCCACAACCAAAGGCGTATCTACCTTTGTCCGATAGGAATGATATGGAATTGGCCAAGAAATTGTCTTGCTTCTTCAAACGACTTGGATGGATGGAGCTAGCTCAGTCGTACACAGAGAGCCTATCTTCGAATTAGTGAGTTGATTTCCAAATCTAATCTGAACTGACGACAGAATTAACATCTCGGCAGCCATATGTTGGATTTGGCTGAGACCAAGTATGTCCAGGACTGTATCTCGTTTGCTTTTACACCAGAGAAAGGAGCGTATATGTCAATGTATTACTGCTCATCACTATCCCATCCCCTTCTCAACTAAGGATTCTATGAAATTTTTATGGGTTGTCTATCCAGGAGAGAACTTGAACATTTGAAGACTTATGCCAGGTGTTAGAAACAAATCTGCTAAATTTTTGCTTTCACTACATACGTCCTCCATACAGCTTCAACTGAAATAAATTTCATTAGACGGCGTCTTGATGAATCTTTGGTCGGGCCGCGCTGGAATGGGCCCCACTAGGCCAATAGCTTAGCTTCGTTTCCCAGCGCGAAATTCGGGCCGCAAGTGCAAATTTGATAAATGTACGGCTGGGCACTCTAGGTAGCAACAGAATGACTCGGGATCTACAATGAGAACGACGAATAGAGATAATGTGGGTGCGCACTCTCTTCTATAGCGGTTAACTTAGCTTTTATGGGTGAAACTTTGATATTATTTTGATAAGTCGAAAACAATGCCACCGAGGTATTCCGTAAATTTTGACCCCAAACTTCATGGAGAACCTCAGCTCCGGCAGGTTATGGTAAATCATTTCCCACCTGGGCACTTAACACATTGCCAAGATCTGATGTGGGGATTAGAGATTAGGCTTGCAGTTCGTGTAGCATGTTCGTGGCAATAGTTGACCCACTTTAGCTCCCGATCGATTGATCGTTCGTCCAGAATGCTCCACATTGGGGCGGGACGAGCTCGACAGGACGGGGCGGCCGAGCAGTGTTTTCTCTTCAGCTGCACATGTGGGCTGGGAAATTACGTACAGGAGTTGTATGCTGACCTGTGAGAGTACATATCCAGATTCACTACGGAGTATGTACAACTGGCATTTGAAAGTGGAGTCCTGTAATCTGCGGATCAGATCGAACGATCGAACTGAATTGGACGGGAAGAAATTCAAATTGATAAGCTGCGTTCGAACCTAGAGAGCGTTCAGCTCCTCATTGGCACTGAATAGTCCGAGTGTCGCCCTCCTCATAGCCATAGATAGTGGTAAATACAGATAAAATCTCCAGCGCCTCAAAAATCTCATGCTGTATTTACAACGTTAGAACTTGAAGCAACCTCCGAGTCCCAATTTACAGATTAGATGTAAAATAAACATGTCCATACTATATAACCTTTCAAAGTTCCAACTCAAAGGTTTGAATACAAGCTGCTAGTCCATACAATGAGTAGCTCTAGAGACCAAAATAACATTGGAACACTCCAGGACTCGAGAATACGGTAAACAACTCCCCCTTACTGTAAACCTTGAAACCCACTTTTCCCCCTCTCCTTGAGATCGATTTTACCCACAAATATTCCTGTCGGTTCGCCATACTCTGCCAGTGATTCTTAGGTTATCACCAGTGGATGGTTTATTGACTTACTCCAACCATGCATGATACTGCAAATATGTCGGTTAAAATTGGCATCGGAGTTGCAGCTCTGGTGCTTTTGAGTAGCATTCCATCGTGGCTTACCATTCTTCGACGTCGAGATACTGTGAAATCAGCGGTCCAGCCCGGATACCGAGATGAAGATGGTGAAGCCGAAGATGAATCTCCAACGGCTGCTGCTCACAGGTGGCAGTGTGCCGCAATTCTTGGGTTCTCCTTCATTGGCTTGGGCACGGCCCTGGGGGACGCCATGTTAGCCTTAATACGGAGAGAGTCTGGTTTGATTCCGCTTTGGCTCTATGTTGGAGACTGGGTAAGCTTTAAACCCAATGTTGGTATAATTTTAAATCAAATGCTGACTTGGATAAAATGACATAGATTGTGTCATGCATTCAAGCGGTTGCATTATTTGTTGAGTCTTCCCCTGTTCGGCGATTCACCTTGAGCAATTATGCGTTTGGAACGAGCGCTATTCTTGTTGCGCTTCTCGTGACGCCTTCCGAACCACGATTGTCTTGGTCTCGGCAATTTGATGCCATCGCGATCGTCCGTTTGACAACACTTGTTGCGACTATTGCTCGAGGATTCTGCTGCATGCTGCTTCCTCGTCGCTCTAATGTATACTGGAATGGCAAACTGGTTGATCGGGAGCATACCGTGAGTCTGCTTAACCGGTTGACCTTCCACTACATCACTCCGACCGTGGAACTTGCGGCTCAGAAGCAGGGCTGCATGAAGATCGATTGTCTACCCGAGCTCCCCTTTAGCTCACGTTCAGAATCTTTATTCAATAATATCAGTAAGGCACTGCGAGATCGCCCGCTATGGCGAACAATAGTGGCTGTTCATCAATCAGCATTTCTCCTCCAGGCAGCCATGACCCTGATGTCTTCTGTACTTAGCTTTGGTCCTCAAATAACCTTGTACGGAATTCTCAAATGCCTTGAGGACGGATCCACCCGTAGCGTGGGTTTTCTGGTGGTAACAATGGGTGTTACCATATGCCTTTCATCTACCGTGACAGCGTGGTTGTGGTGGATAAGCTATTCCAAACTGAATATTCCCATTTATTCACAGTTATTGGCATTGATTTATGCCAAAACGATTCGGCGTATGGATTTCAAAGTGGCCTCTAGTGATGAGTGTGGTTCCGAAGAGCAGGGCGAGCAAGACACGATAAATTTAGCCACGGTTGACACCATGCGAATCTCCGAGTTCGCAACACAAAACCATATGATCCTCAATTCTCTTTCCAATCTTTTGGTCGCCGCAATTCTCCTCATTGGCCTGCTTGGGTGGCGGAGCGTGCTTGCTGGATTTACGGCGACGTTTCTCGTATTGCCATTGAGTACCTATTTCTCAAATCGTTATATCGAGATCCAACAGATTTTGATGCAAGCCAAGGATAGGCGAGCTGCAGTCGTCACGGAAGTAGTACAGAATATCCGTCAGATCAAATTCTCGGCCATTGAAAAGGAATGGTATCATCGAGTCATTGGAGTTCGGCAGGGAGAGCTCAAGGCTTTGATCCGAAATATCACATGTATGACTGGTGTCGTGGCAGTCTGGACTCTGAGCCCTCTACTGCTCTCAGCAGTCTCATTGTCCGTTTATTCCCTGACTCAAGGCCCATTGACCGCCTCTGTCGCTTTTACAGCTCTCTCCATTTTTGGACCCCTTGAAGATTCTCTAATGGGGATCCCCTATCTTGTATCTCGTGCAGTCGAGGCTAATACTAGCTGTGAGCGAATTGTAAATTATCTGCAGGAATCTGAGATAAAACCATCCAGAGGGGCAGGAGATGAAATCATCTTTGAAAATGCAGACATTACTTGGCCGGCTCAGGTGGACAAAGATGAAAAGGAACGGTTTCATCTGACTCGTCTAAGCCTTCACTTCCCTTCGAAGGCACTGAGCGTTATTTGCGGCAAAACTGGATCTGGAAAGGGCTTGCTCCTGTCCGCCATTCTGAGTGAATGTGATATTCTGTCCGGAGCTGTACATGTTCCATTCTTTGATGGAGAGCGATACGACAATCGAGCCACCAGGGAAAACTGGATCATTGATTCCGCCGTCGCATATGTGGCCCAGAACCCGTGGACTGAAAATGCGACGATCAAAGACAACATTATCTTCGGTCTCCCATTTGACCAAGCAAGGTATCAGGAGGTTCTACATGCTTCTGCGCTTGAAACGGACCTTCAGACCCTCCCTCATGGGGACCTGACAAACATCGGCGCTAATGGGGTCAACATTAGTGGTGGTCAACGATGGCGAGTTTCCTTTGCTCGCGCACTGTATTCTAGAGCAGGGGTGTTGGTGTTTGATGACATTTTCAGTGCTCTAGACGCTGATACTGGTCGCCATGTGTATGAATACGGATTGACTGGTTCATTAAGTGAAAATCGCACACGAGTTTTAGCAACGCATCATTTCGGGTTGTGCTCGCCCAGTATTGACTACTGTGTCCTTCTGGAAAACGGTACAACATCATTTGCCGGGACCATGGACCAGTTAATGAAAACTGATCGTGTAGCTGCTGATCTTCTCGGGTGGTCGTCCGGATCCTCAGATAATAACAGTCAGGACGGATCTATAAGGAAACGCGAAAAGCGCTCGCCTTGGACGGCTGGTACAGGTGTTGCCATAACTCAAAGCTCGAATTCTACCATTCCACCACAGTTTAACCCGGATGAAAAAAGAGAAAAAGGCGCAGTGGCATTTTCAGTATACAGGGTCTTCCTGGCTAGCGGGGGAAACCAACATCTTTGGGCTCTGGCATTGCTGACCTCGTGCATTTCGACATTTCTTCTCTTCAGTCGGGTGAGTCTCCCAAACTCGTTGATATTTGCCATTTGCTAACCCCCTTCAAGTCGTGGTGGGTTACTGTCTGGACTAGTTTGTCTAAAGAGCAACCCTGGATTCACATCATCCATTCTACACGGAGCCTCGCCATGAACCTGGTGGGCAACCAATTCCAGATCCCTCAAATCCAACCAACTGGTATAGAAGATGGTCTCTATCTCTACATTGGACTCTATGTCGCTATCTCACTCACCGCGTCGGCTCTTGAAGTCGCACAATTTTTCTTCCTCAATTATGCAGCTATGAAATCCTCGAAAGTCTTGTTTCAGAACATTTTATCAGCCGTTCTGGCAGCACCTCTACGTTGGCTGGATACCACCCCTTCAGGTCGGATCATCAATCGTTTCACTGCCGATATCTACCAGCTAGACTGCGTCCTCGGCCCACAGTTGGCCACGTTCATGAAATTCGTGTTCCAGCTCCTGGGCATCCTCATTGCTGGTGTTTTGGTATCGCCTGTCATCTTGATCCCAGCTACAGTTCTCCTTGGAGCATCTTGGAAAGTATCATCGACCTACCTTGCTGCCGCACGGGAAATGAAGCGACTGGAAAGTGTTTCTCGAAGCCCAATCATCGAGCACTTCAATTCTACTCTTCTTGGGCTAGGAACAATCCGTGCTTATGGTAAAGCGCAAAATTATCAGGAATCTGTGCAAAAGTGCATAGATACTCATTCAAACGCTTCACGGCACCTGTGGCTGTTTAACTGGTGGGCTCAGATCAGAATTGGAGCACTAGGTGCAATTTTCGCCGTGATAGTCACGGTGGTGATCGCAAAAATCCGCATATCCGCCTCTCTAGCAGGCTTTGTCATCAGCTTCATTCTACAATACAACATCGCCGTGTCAACGTCTCTTCGACTATACTCCAGTGTGGAAATGGCCATGAATGGCGCTGAGAGAGTCATTGAATATACCAAAATCGAAACGGAAACCCAGGATGGTATTGATCCTCCGGCGGCGTGGCCAATTCAAGGAAAAGTTGAGGTCCATGACCTGGTCGTTGGATACGCTCCAGAGCTACCACCTGTGTTGAATGGGTTGACCTTTCACATTGAAAACAATCAACGTGTGGGAGTGGTTGGTCGGACTGGAGCAGGCAAATCATCTCTCACACTGGCGTTGTTCCGATTCCTGGAGTATCGAAAAGGAAAGGTCGTCATTGATGGGCTGGACATAAGCAATATAAAATTGAGTGCTCTTCGAAGTCGACTGGCGATTGTTCCCCAGCATCCGGTCCTGTTTTCGGGGACTATACGGTCCAACCTCGATCCATTTGACAAATATTCAGATACCGAACTGAATGCCGCGTTAGAAAGAGTACAACTGATTCATCCAGAAGATTCAAATAAAGAAGAAAATTCTCAATTTTCACTATCAACCCCCGTCTCTCAAGGCGGATTGAGTTTCTCTCAAGGCCAAAGACAACTCCTCTGTCTCGCTCGATCAATTCTTCAACAGCCTAAAATTATGATTCTCGATGAGGCTACCTCCGCCGTGGACAAGGAGACTGACAACCTCATTCAGCAAGCGATCCGGACCGAGTTTGGCCGCAATTCCAGTTCGCTGTTAGTTATCGCGCATCGTCTCAGCACAGTCGCTGACTTTGATCGCATTCTGGTTATGGATCAAGGGCAGATGGTGGAGTTCGGCACGCCGCAGGAACTGCTCAGTATTCAAAATGGTGTTTTCAAGGATCTTGTGGAACAATGCGGTGAAAAGGCTTATGTGGAACAGATTATATACGGGAAGAATTAGTAGATAGTATGTCCACATAAATAACTTGCGGGGATTCCCGGGCCACCCAACTATCTCCATAAATATCTCATCTATAATGATTTGAAACGATTGAGAAAGACTCGAATCATGATTGCATGCTCGGTTTTTTATTTCTAGTAGGGAAGATCTGGTTGGCAGCATTCCAAGGAACTACTTGACCGACTGGTCAATGAATACAACGATGTCATGATCTATTTTCGGCACCTATGAGGGCAAAGGATCCGCCAGTGGTTGGGAATTTGAAATTTGGATGTGTCTTTATAATATCCGTGGGAAGCAAAACCTCACTTGGATATTTTCTCGACTAGTTCAAACGGTGCGCAAACTCCAAGGCAACGTTTCATAAACGTATTCATCAGCTCAAGTCCGCACAGATAGCTAGAATTTGCCGATCCGAATCTATAAGACACTAGTAAGCAAATGAAAAAAAAATAAAATCATTGACAATGAGAACGTACCCTTCGCGCAAAACGCCTCGGAAGTCGGCGCCTTGATTGCCATATTCTGCATCAACCTTGTGTGGTCCCGTCGGTCGGGTCACATCGTACTTCTCAACAACGACACCGTTGAACTCGATAAATGTTTTTGTCATCATGAACAGCCATTTGTGGGCTAACCGTTGTGCATCCTCCCGGTAGCCATAGTTGAGCAATCCATTCCATGCCACAATTTGATGAGGCGCCCACCCAAATGGATAATCCCATTGACGATTCGGTCTCTCCAGGCTAATCTTACCGCGCGAACTTTCCGTGCAGGAGACAATACCTCCGTAGGCTTCAAACTTTGGGAGAGCTTTCTCAACTACGAGAGTGGCCTGTAGAGGGCTAGCTGCATGTGCCCACAGTGGCCATAGAGTTGTGGCACTTTCGTATGGCATCTGTTGATGGGTCTTGACATTATAGTCAAAGGTAGAGACCCTTCTCCTCGTTCCACAAGTAGGTATCCATCTGAGCTCTGCGAAATTTGGCGCGACAATCCCAGGCTGCAGAGTGCTCGATGTACTCCTCTTCCGCGAATCGGGGAGACACAGTGAGTGCATCATCGAAGTACTCCCGAATGATGAAAGCAATATCTGTTTCATACTTGTAAAGCAGTGAGTTCAGGTCGACGATCACAAGGTCCGCACAGACTTTCTCAAATCGTTAAGAGGTGTCATGCCCGGACTCCCGTAGAGAGCGATCGTGAAGAAAGTGTTCATCCAATGCGGGCTCGGAAATTTCGCCGTGATTATACCCATGAATGAACTCATTCATGCGAAGCTTGTGCTTTTTAGCATATGGGCTGAGCAAGTGAACAAAGTGTGACTTCTCGGTCTCAGGGGGAACGCCGACGCCGGTCGCCTGGTAGTGTGATAATCTTGTGACCGGGTCCAATCGAGGGCTCGCAGTCCACACAGTTTTGTATTCCTTGATAGCAGCCCATGTTGCAAGCCGAAGTAACTCAAGAGATCCCAGCTCATGCTGGGTCTTTTTGAATGTACTCAACGCCATATCTGTGAGAAAGGTTGGCTGTGAGCGACCGAGGAAATATGTTCGATTGGCATTGAACACCACCTTCTCGTAGTGTTCAATACAGAAGTAGAAATTTCGAATGATACCACGAGCAAGATCTTCGCGATCACTTCGAAGCAGACAAGGACGATGAAATAGCTATCCCACCCATAGAGTTCATTGAAGCGGGCTCCAGGGACAACAAACGGGACTCCGCGAAGCTCCTCTCGTTGCGTTTCTGGGTCAAAATAGCTGTCCACTTCCAAAGCTAATATTCCAGGGACATCATTAAGATCTCGCGCGTACTCCGGTGTAATACTCTCGGGAAGAAGAATGACATCAAGCTCCAAGGCATCGGGATTCTCGTCGGCGAACTTCTTGTAATATTCATATTGATTCAATGCCCCTCTTGGGACATACAGGCGACCTCGAGGATTTTCAGTCCAATCTTTGGGGTCCTTTGCTACCCTTGCAACGTTGGATATATCAATGCGGCGGGTAAGGCTGTCCCAGAATGAGGTGCGGATTAATCGAGAAAGTCGAGTGACGGGGTTTTCATTGAGTTCCCGATCGGTAAGTCGGGCCATAGCACCCTGAGTTTGAGTTTTTCCAGGAACTGCCAGTAAATTCGAGGAGTTTTGAAGCAGACTGTAGTAGAATTGAAAGCGGGTAAGTTCCTCTAACTTCATAGTGACGAAATCCGTCGGACCCAACAGATCCAAGGGCCAGATTCTAGATATGGTCAGCGAATGTTCATTTTCAGTCTCCTACTTCACTCACTTTGACCCTTTGTCATCAACTGTAATTTTGTAATCATTGTCTGTATCCTATTGGGAAAGTAACCTTTGGAGGGTCTCCTGAATCGGAATCAGAAACTCGGTTGGCGGAAGTCCACTGTAATCTACATATTTTTTTATTATGATTAAAATATACCTAATATCAATAGGGGAGCACAAACCTTCACTTCCTCTTCGGCGAGGGCTTGCTGTTCCTGCAAGTGTGGAACGCCCCCCATGAAACTGTACTGTTAGTGTTGGCTCGGATCGCCGGGCGGGCAGTAGCTCTCACACTATTCAACGAATGTCTTCTGCTTCCAGGCTCACTTCTTTCCTTCGGGAGATCCCCTAAGACTGTCAGAAGTTCCGATTGTTCCATTGCAGGTGAGTAGAAGATTCTCTCAGGGGTCCGTGGGTAATAAGTTCGACCTTGATGAAGCACTATAGGTATGGATAAGTCAAAGGGTATTTACAGGGATTTAAAGCCAGATCTTGTTTGCCACCTTTGCTTTTCAGACAGATTTATCTTGAATCTCGATAGGATTCTCGTTAATCGCGTGACTATGAGTTTCTCATTCAGTCGATGAGAGACTCCTCCAGTACTCCGTACTCCAAAGGTATTATGATTCATAACAAAATATTGCTCCCCCTTAACAACCTTGGTAGGCTGAGCTCTATCAGGAATGATCCACATCTTCAACTTCCAAGGTTGGCTCCAGGAACTGTATTTGACCCTCCTGGTATGGTTTTACGCCGAAGATACACCGGAAACCAGACCTGTTTGGAATTTCTTTCATTGGGAATCTCCAGAGCTTCCAAGGTTGTAAGCCATCCGAAATATCACTATGCCCAGGTCCACGGGTGTCACTCTATACCTAGGTCTACTAAGGCCAAATGCGTGGGCATTCAAATACAGCCAATACATCCATGATATCCGGACGTGGACAGCATGCAAATTTCGGTAATTCATGGAAAAGCAGGTTGAAATGAGAAGATAAATAAATATAAGAATGAAGATCAAAGGATAAGTTTGAATTTCATAAAATGAGATTTGGATCTGATGCAATACTTCAAGCATCCACTAACTAAGATAACAATGCCTCCTTCCGGTGCAACTTCACGAATTCGTCCACAGCAGCTACGTATTGATCAACATCACTGTCAGTAAGGGCCAGATGTAAAGGAGTATAGCCTCGAGCAGCAAGATAAATATTTTGCTGCAGCATATGGTGATAGAATAATCCTTGCCAAGAAGCACGATTAACTCCAGAAAATCGAACATTCAGCATGCTACCCTCGCCGGCGATAAACATCTTAGGCAATAGTTCTTCGGTCGCGGACGTTCCATCTTGACAAAGAACCAAGGTCGGACCATTGAGACTATCGATTTCCAAAATGTTGCGAGACGCACCGGCTGGATGCTTATGATATAATCCATTGCGAATTAAGATCTCTTGTAAATTGATCTTCATATCACGACCACGCGCATTGAGAGCCGAGACTGCAGCAGCCCCCTGGTGAAGAAGATTAGTTTCACTGGCTCAACCGGTGTGGATACGATGCTGGCTACTTTGGCTGCTGGCACTTTGAAAAAGGTTAGCCTTGAGCTGGGCGAAAACGCTCCTCTTATCGTATTTGACGACGCCGATCTGGATGTCACTATTGAGGGTGTGATCGCATCTAAGTTTCGCTGCTCAGGTCAAACCTGTGTCTGGTAAGTCTGGCATCCTGGTATTGGAAAATTCCTCTGAGGGGAATTGGAAAAGATAGTCAGATTTCAAATGCTGCACTACGATGCGATTGAAAAGGTTGCCCGCTCTCTTGGCCCTGAAGGTTTCAAGCAGGCAGCTTTGCGTGAGACTCAATCGGTTGCTGTGGCGTTTAGTGAAAAGAAGCTTGCTGATATGAAGAGAATGTTGGCGAACTTTGAGGCTGCGTTTGCACATTGGATTGGTCGTTGGAAGATCGTCGACGCTGAAGAAGCACAAAAGGTATGAAAATCACTTAGCTCTCCTCTTTATATTTTTTTCATTCAGCGCCTCATATCCACATCTTCGGCTCGATTAGAAGTACAATATCAAAAATGCGACCGGTGCTATGATTGGCGTTGCTGGAGCTATCTGGCCATATCGATTGATGACCGCTGTCTTTGCAACCCTCCGAGAAAGATATCCCGGTCGCCTGTCCCTCGAATCTAATACTCCTGTGACCTCTGTCTCGAAGACTTCAAGTCCAGAATACCCCTATTCAGTCCATACCCCGCGTGGTCTCGTCAACGCCAAGCACGTTGTCTACTGCACCGAAGCTCATACTGCCCGTATCCTCCTCAAATTCACGGGTCTTATCGTACCTCGTCGTGGGCAAGTGATGGTTCAGCGGCCTGGTGCTGATTTTGAAGATTTATCTGGAAAGCGCTCGTGGAGTTTCTACTTAGATGAGGGACTATTCTATCTCCACCAGAACGCCACCACTGGAGATATTATTCTCGGCGGAGGAGAACTAGGAGGCTTTGACGGCGCACATAATATTTATGGCGAGCGCTCCGATGCTAAGGAATCTTTGGCTGCTAAGACCCATCTTTCGGGTGCTTTAAGAGTGCTTTTTGAACAGTGGGGTGAGATTGCTCCAAATGAGAAATCCATCAAGGCATCTTGGTCTGGAATTATGGCCAACTCGTTGGACCATGTGCCTTTTGTAGGCCAGCTTCCACAGGAAGCAATCGATCGTCGTCGCATTGGTTCACCAGAGAGCGGCGCGGAATGGATCTGCGCTGGGTTCAGTGGCTTTGGAATGACGAATGCTTGGATGAGTGGTGTTGCTTTGGCTAGACAACTGGCTGGAAAGGGTGTCCCTGAATGGCTCCCGGAGCAGTACAGAATCTCTTCGCAGAGAATCCGTCAGTTGCAAATGCAGCTTGCGCAGATTGGAGGCTCGGAAAATCACCTTCGCGCACTTTACTCGAAATTTTGAGTTCAACATGGATTCGATTATGTCGAGGTAGTTTAAATGCATATAGCATGCATTAGTTTCGTTTGACTTTATTATTATTCAATATATTGAAATTGGAACCGAATGAATAGAGGACTACTCTTCTTGACAAAGAAAACTTGAGAAACAACGCCTTGTAATAGAAATAGCTAGCCTGATATATCGGGGATGAAAATCCCTTCACTGGATATCGCTCGACAGAAATAATTCATCATAGCTACGTGAAAACTTGAAAAGAATCTCTAAAGAACAAACTTAGAAGCTCATCATAGCTGCCTTCAGATTTGCCCATGCTCTGACGGACACTGGAGCTCGAGGCCCGATCGCCTCGAACGAATGTGTCACGCCGGGATACAAGTGCAATTCACAGTCAATGTTGCACTTCGCAATGCGACTGGCATATTTGATACACTCATCCCGAAAGAGATCGAGTCCGCCCACTTCCATATATGTTGAAGGAAGACCAGCGACATCTAGCACTCTTGCAGGGGCAGCGTAGTGGTCTGTGTTTGGCCCTCCCACTTTATCCAAGTTTCCCAGATAAGCTCCCCAAGCATCTCGATTATCATCATGATTCCAAATTGCTAGTCGCTCCAGCTCCTGATTTGGGTAGATAGTGCTGTCATCAAGCATTGGATAAACAAGGATCTGTTTGGCTAACGGTGGTTGTAATGCCCGGTCTCGGGCCATCACAGCGGTCGCTGCGGCGAGATTTCCTCCTGCACTTTCCCCCATGACTGCGATGCGAGCTGGGTCAACATTCAACTCTGTGGCGTTGGCATGTATCCAATTTAAGGTGGTCCAACATTCCAGACTTGGGATCGGGTGAGGAAACTCGGGCGCAAGACGATAATCGACACTGAAAATTTGGACCTCACATTCCGCGGCTTGATGCTTGAGTCTTTTCAGAAGGTATGGAACTGAACCATAAATAAAACCTCCACTGTGGGTATGGATTATAGCAGGAAAAGGTGAAGTCGATTCTCCTCCTCGTGTGGGACATAGTTGGTACACGGAGACCGGTTCGCTGTGTCCAGGGAAAGGTATCTTTAAAGCAGTCACCGTGACATTCGGATCATCTGGTAAATGACCATATCGCTTTTCTTGGGTGTCGATCCACTCGAGACGACGAGCATTGAGATCTTTCGTGTCTGGTTCATTTGAGTCATTGTTAGGCAAAAGTGCTTTCGCGTCTTCCAAAAACTCAAGATCGAAAGCAAGAGGGGACATTTTGTCTTCGAATTCGAGCGATCTTGTGGTAATATTGATTTAGGTGAATTTTAACTTCGTTATGATCTTTTGGAAGACGAGTCTTGCACTTGGTGACTTGCTGGTGGGTTGATTGAATATCCGAACAGTTTCTCTTCAAGTCAACATGCGCTTTCTATTTCTCAAATCATCGCAACGCACATGATAAAATCCTGAAAGTCAGTTGTCACTAATACCGACCCATTTACATGCATTTCTAATATCATTCGCGATTTCAAAGAAAATAGAAGGTGGTCCACATGTGCATGAGAGGAATTTACAAGGTTTCGGCCGTGGATCTATATCCATTTCTTTCCGTTCCTGGCCTAATCGCGGGACAATTTGCAACTCCCGGACATCTGGAAGTTACATGTTTCCGTTCGCCCAAGCATTTGAATATTGGGATGGCATGTGAGGGATTCGGAGTTACATATGTCCCCCAGAGCTATTCTTTCAAAAATTTTCAAACGTTATGAGACCAGTAAGTTGCCACACATGTGCATGCAGTGGACGCGATGGGAATACTAGTTCCAGGCAACCAGTTAACTCAAGTGCTGATAGCACCGTGACTGTGATGGTGCCAGTTGATTTTAAGCAGTCAATTAGTCGGATTACTTCAAGCTCTATATGGAAAAAAGCACTATCAGTGCCAGTATTCGAATCAAGCCAAAATCTCTTCAAATGCTTCAATCGAAGCATACTGAAGCCACCGAGGGTTACCCACCGAGGGTTACCGATAAACACCATACATAGACATAGAGAAATAGAAAATTATCTAAACGGTGTACAATGAATTGGTTTATTACTATCAAACGGGATTCTCATCTATCCACCTCTATATTTATTCGCTTCTGTTCTTGAAATCCGGGTCCATCGTGCTCTCTATTTTTCGAATCACTCTAGCAGGGTTTCCGGCGACAAAGTGGAACGGAGGTACGTCCTGGTTGATAGCAGTTAGTAAGAAAGGAAGCTCAAGTTCTTGCATAGGAGGTATTAACCTTGGTCACAACGCTACACGCGCCAACTGTACTCCCACGTCCTACCGTGACACCGCCCAAGATCGAAACACCAGCTCCAATCCAAACATCATCCTCAATGTGGATCTCCTTCCCTGCCTCGGGTCCCTTGAGTCCGCGTCGCTCTGCCGGATCCATGGGATGAACAGCCCCATAAAGAGATACATTGGGTCCGAAGAGAACATTCTCGCCAACGGTAATGAGACATGTGTCAAGGACCAGAATATTGAAGTTCAAGAAACTGCCTTTTCCAACCTTGAAATTCAAGCCGTGGTCAATGGAGATTGGGCCGTCAACATAGGGATCCGTCTCGTCGAAAAGTGCCTCATCCTCCTTCGGGTCAAAGAGCTGTGGGGGAAGAGGTCGAGTGTCACCAACAACGCTGATTGTCTCAATGTCAGTTTCGATCGACAGAAATCCTCCCTCAAATTTGAATTGCGGTAGACACAAATAATGGTAACCGGGTAACTATCTTCGATGATGAACTCACCTTCTCCAAAGCCTGACTTTCTCTCGACGCGACGCATAGCTTGCAGCGTTAAACTCCTCGCAAGCCTTCTTGCATCGGACTCGATTCTCTTGGAGGATTTCGCAACCCGCATGATACCACTCTCCGCAGAGCATCTTGTTCCATTCTGGCGAGGATGTCATTTTGTTGTATGAAGAGAGCAAGGTTTCCTGCTCGATAAAAATGTTGGAGGGGCAAGAGAATCTAAGAAAACAGTTAAAGGCAGGATATGACGCATTAAATCAAGATAGAGCGGGGGCCATTGAGATGCGTGACCCCACACTAGATACGAGTGTATATCTTTGCACTAGTTAGCTGAACACTCAGGAACATGCCCAGATGTCCGCGCGTATGGGTAATTCCATGGTGTTTGTATCGGTGTATTTTAAAATTGTCATTGATCGACGAAATCTGTAAGGCATCTCCGAGGTTTCCCCATTTGTCAGTTAGCAGCCGCGCTCCCCACTATGTTGCTGAATCCCGACGCCAAGTGGTATTTTAAGATAAATTACTCCGTACTGTCGAAACCAAACTTATGAGGCAGTCCATGCCTGGCGGTTGGTACATTGATGATCTGGAACTCTTCACAAGTTTGACCGCTTGATTGAGTGCCTGAGGAATTGGAATATATGAATCCGAGTCTCCGGACGTACATGAACATTGCTACTACTCCGTATAGGTTCCTTAGGAATCTTACCCCCGGCGTGCGCGTGAGCTATCAGCGTCGGGGAGCATTCTACATAATGCTTTATCTCCAGCAGTGACTCGACTGGTTCATGAGCTAGCGCCAATCTATAACGCGGTCTGTGTGTTAAGATCCACCTACCCCGTTCAGCCTTTTCTCGAGAGGCTGGAAAGGGACGGACCCCTGGACTAGCTCTGGGCCTGGTTTAAGATTGATAGACACATTTAATCTTTATACCCCGCATTTTATCATCTGTCCTGTGACCTTCTCCCCAGTTATCGTTCGAAACTCAACTCCAGGGCTGAGTCAAAAGAAATCCGGATTGTACTTTTGCTGGCAACTGCGATATTTCTGACACATGTCATCTCTCGGTCGGATCTATTCCGGCCATAGGATAGTATCTATCTGTCCAATCGAGCCTTATGAATGGGCAGAGTCCTCTCTAACACTCTCAGATCTAACTTTTATCCTCATTTCCGGAAGATCACCTCCCACTGGTCGAGTCCACAGGTGACGTATAATATGCGCCTCCGGTCTCTTCTATAATAGGTACCAAGTATCACGAAACTCGATAGCTTATGAGGCCCCGCCCGGCATCCATCTGACTTGGACCGAATGAGGGGAACAAGGCTCCAACTAAGCGCCAGATAGGTATATTCCCAGATTCGGAGCGATATTCCATCTGCCTTATCAAATTTCTGCTGGAAAAAAAATAGAGGAACGAACTTATATATTGGACTTGGTTTAATAATCGGTCTCATTCCGGAAAAGAATGTTCCTATAATCTGTTCTCTTGTTCAGCTCACGACGAAAAGCTAGCCAATGTGTGTATATGTCAATGAAGTTCATCTCTGTCCATTTCCAACAACGGATGTCCAGCCCTGGAGGTGGACATCCCTTCTCGTATGCGGCTTTGCTTAGTGTGGGGTACCAAATGACTTCCTCGGTCAACAACTTCGTGCAACACATCTCGATGCCGCATTCGAGGGTCAAACTGCCCTTGGGGTTGATAAACGGCCTAGTCAACCCTCGGACCATGGTTCCGACTACCTCAAGTGTTTGAGATAACGGTCATTTTTGCTATTTGATAAGCCTGCGCTGTGGTGATAGAAAATCGGATAAGAGAGCCGTACAAGCCGAGCCTGCCTGCAAGCGTTTATCCATTGATATCGGGCAGGGCCCCCGTCTATCGTGCAAACCTAGTGATCAGTCTAAGATCACCCCCGCATATGTGGCGATCGTAGCAGTCGAATCCTTTAAAATAAACATGGTACTCCACATTCGCTCAGCTCGTTGTTATTCTTCTGTATAGCGTCTATAACATAGTCTTTCTCTGAGTAAAACGGAATCTCACCCGGTGATAACATTGAACGCATCAGTGATTGCTCTATCATCTTAACACAATTCCCCTCATCGCCATCATGGGCCGAGCATTCAACGTACGCTTTGTGGGAGCGAACTCTTCTCCCACATCTGCAAAAGAGACTGAGTGGAAGCAACCACGCGCTCTGGATCATCCAAACCGGAGGCGTAAAAGCCGTTTTGCATGTCTCAACTGCAAAGAACTACATCTAAAATGCGATGAAACATTTCCTGTCTGCTTCCGCTGTAAACAGCGAGGGGTCAACTGTCGCTCTACATTTCGCTCTAGTCAGTGGCAGATCGAGGTCCTTGGCTTGACAATCGGAAGCGAGCTATCAAATATACCATCCCCCGTCAAGAACCACTTACTACGATACTGGCTTGAAAAAGTCAGCCAAATCATGGTGATCGACCCAGAAGTCAACCCTTTCTCTTTCGAAATTCTCAAATACCTCCGAACCTCCCGGTCGCTTATCTACACGATCCAGAGCCTGAGCCTAGCTCATCAAGGCTTTTTCAGCTCTGCCTCTTGTGAGGGGGTTCTGCAAGAGAGGGCCCATGCGCTGTCCCTCATACAAACCGAACTCCAGCAAGAGGCTCCATCGTACGGATCGCTTCTCGCTGTTATACTTCTGGGACTATGCTCTGCTTGGTTGGACAATCAAAGAGACCTGGAATTTGGGAAGGACCATCTACTGGGCACAAGGGCTATAGTCGATATTTTACTGGCAAAGCCTGGAGCAGAAAAGGACCCCTTTCTGCAACAAACTGTGGCGATTTACCTTGGCTGGGAGCAAGCAGTTGCCTTCTTCCTAAACGCAAACGATCAAATTGTTCCATATAGTGAAGGGTTTTCGCGATGCGTGCAGGAGATGCGAAGTCAATATAACGCGACTATTGGTTACAGTAGCGACATTATGTTACTGCTGGAAAACGTTGGTCGGTACTGTGGGGCTATTATGGACGGTGCACCCCGAGATATCGCCTTAGAGGCTTTTCTCGAACAGGGTCTATTGCAACTCGATTCTGCATCTTCGGACGTACATTCGCATTTAGTTAATAATTCCTTCCGCGGCCATGGCCTCATAATGCTGTATCGGTCTATCCAACATTGTCCATCGTCGATCCTTCTTGAATTGCCGCCTCAATATCCCGATGAGTGAGTTATCAAACAATATGCAAAAGATATCCTCCTTGATATATCTAGTCTACGCACAGACAGCCGCTACCATAGTCTGCTGTCTTTGCCTCTTTTGACTGCTGGCGCTGAGCTGGACTTGGATTCTTCTTGTGAGAGGCAGCAGGTGAGGGAGCGATTTCAAAACCTGTTCTCCTCGACAAGATTACCAGCGAATATTCGTGCGATAAAGATTCTGGAAGAGATATGGGAAATGCATGATAATGGGAATGATGTGTTTTGGCTTTCATATCTGTTAGGAACGTCGCGAGTTCTTATCCTCTGCTGATTCCTGTGGCGGGATCTTGTGGTCGAGATTGATTGATAACAGCAGCCTGCAATGATAAAACCAACTGGTTTTTTCTCAATAACCGCAGATTATATTTTCCAATTTTCCGAATGTCTCTCTCAGTTTATTCACTCGTTCGTTGCTAAGTGACAGTTTCCAAATTGATTCAAACTTTTTTTATTCGACTCTTCAGTCTCCACCCGTGGACCCAGGCATCAATAAGCCCAAGTGTTTAACTTCTATGTTTGATTTATGTTTATACGGATGCATTTCAGGTCGAGGCTTCACCCTTATAATTTAGATGAGTAGAGCGTACTACTAAATGCCCGCCTCACTCAATCCTTCTACAAGTCTTCTCCATGCGAGAACTGAATGAAATAAAATAGAAAGCAAAACCCATCGTTCAAATCTATAAACATGAAATCGAAAAATTTTCTCCTTGCAATGCTATAGCCATGACAAATCTCATCGTCTCAGAATTCGAATCCACCGTGAACAACACTCCCTGTGAAGTGATCTCTCGCCATCTGGTTGATCATTCAATTCCAGGTCGCTATGTCCTATTCGAATATCTTTCTTGTCCAATAACTTAAACAAGAGAGACAGGTCCATCACCCTCATGGGCAAAGAAGCAGGAAACGTTGCAGTAGTCTTCGCTGGAGGAGAAAGTGACAGTGGTGCCCTTTGTGAAGTAGACGCAGTCACCCTCATACAGAGTGAAAGTGTCTTCGCCCTCAACCTCGGCCTTGACCCAACCAGCCTTGACATAGGTGAATTCGTCGCAGGGATAGGTCGTCTTTGCGCTCTCAGTCTCGCGGAAAATACCAGCAGCACGCTTGCCATCAGCAGAGCGGTACATGACGGACTTGGAGCCGTTCCACTCGGGGAAGGGAATCTTGGGGAAGGAGTCGTAGTTGCCATAGGGGACCATGTGGGCGGCGGCGGCGTTAGGGCCTTCAGCGGGGACGGAGGGAGCCATTTTGGTTGATTGGAGATGTGAAGTTGGATGCTTTGTGGGAGGATCGCTGATGATGATCTGAGGAAATGAAATTGAGCTTGCTCGATGGATGTTTTACCTAGGGGATTGATCTGTCTTATATATTTTATGTGACCGGTATTTCTGGCTTGCAAGACCCTTCATCTAATTCAATGAAGCACATGTGTGTCATTATTTTCTTGGAAGTCTTTTAATCTTTCGGATTAACTAGACCTGAATCATTCCAAATTTGGACCAGATCCGGGCATATTTTTTTCTTCGGACAAGGTAGATCGATTGCTTCATCGGAACCTGTCCAAAAGGGGTAAGGGGTACAAGCCTAGGGGTAAGGGCTACAAGCCTGGGGCCTTGGCCGACTGCGGGGTGCAGTGTCAAGATAATTATTCTAGTCCAACTAACATCCCCACTATTAAACTATGATTCAATTAGAGTGATGAGAGATACTGTACTTTAATAACCAGCAAAGTTCGGAATGCAACTCCACCCATATAATTACCATCGACTTAAGTCGACTTCTCAAACCACTCCCGCACTGCATACAATCTGCCCCCACCTCGAGATCAATCCGCAACAGGCAAGATTGCATTAGCAGCAGACCTATCGTACTCCAAATCTGTAGTTTCAGATCTCGGCCATCGGAATTACTCCTATTCTAGCGAGCACACGCCAATGAAGTCCAACTGCAATATGTGTCACTTTAACTTCCCTCGGCTTGTATCAGTGATCCGACATCGCCAACTAATATTTCACTTGGGATCGGGCTCTCGGCTACTTGGATCAAGTCCAACCAATTATTTTGGGTTATATGGATGTGGTCATAGTCTCTCAGGAAAGTCTCCCAAAGGGGTCAGTATAGAACAACACACTCCACTCCATCTCTCCAACGCTGCCAAAATATGACAGTTTTTAGAAAGTTTTGGGCATCAGAGCTGATAAATCCAGATTTCCCTTGATCAAGAGAATGACTTTTAGAATATTTTTTGGAAGAGAAATCCACCTCTACGGATTGTTTCTGTCTTTTAATTCTTCGTATCAAGTCAAGCCAAAACATCAAAAATCAAAAGTCCATGCAAAATGTCCGGTGCTACAGTCACTGTTAACGCTCCTAGTGGCCGACAAGTCAAGGTCAATATTGGTCTTTTCATCAACAATGAATGGACCAGTGCAAAGGACAACGCTACATTCGCTTCTATTAACCCAGCGTGAGTCCCGTTGGCTACATCTTTACCCGCGACGATTGAACAGTACAAAATTGAGATATAGGAATACTGACATCATTTCTCTAGTACTGAGACAGAGATTTGCTCCGTTTCCAAGGCCTCTGCCGAAGATGTCGACCGGGCTGTTGCTGCCACTAAGGAGGCCCTGGATGGTCCTTGGAGCCAGCTGGATGGCACTAGCCGAGGAAAGCTGCTCTTGAAGCTGGCGGATCTTGTTGAAGCTGAACACGAGACTATTGCGTCACTGGAGGCAGTCGATGCCGGAAAGACATTCACAAAGGCAATGAAGGATATTCATGAGGTTTTTGAGGTTTTCAGATACTACGGTGGTTGGGCCGACAAGCACTATGGTCAGACTATCGATGCTGGCAAGCACCGTTTCGCTTACACCATTCGCCAACCCATTGGTGTCACTGGATCTATTACCCCGTGGGTTTTTCTATGATCCCTTTCACATACGATTAAATGCTTATGATTATCTATAGCTGGAACTATCCCTTGATTATGGTCTCCTTGAAGCTCGGTCCCGCCCTCGCCTGCGGTAACACCTGTGTCCTGAAGCCTTCAGAATTCTCGCCCCTCTCTGCACTTTATCTGGGCAACCTCTTTGTTAAAGCCGGTTTCCCTCCTGGTGTTGTCAACATCGTTAACGGCGAGGGTCGTGAAGCCGGAGCCCGTCTTTCGGAGCACCCGGATGTTTCCAAGATCAGTTTCACTGGTAGCACCGCCACCGGAAAGCAGATTATGAAGGCGGCTGCCCCCACAATGAAGCGGGTTGCTTTGGAGACTGGTGGCAAGTCTCCTGTCATTGTTTATGATGATGCCGATATCCCTAACGCCCTCAAGTGGGTTTATTACGGTATTTACGCCAACCAGGGTCAGATCTGTACTTCAACGGCCCGCATTTACATTCACGAGAAGATCTACGACGAGTTCCTCAAGCGCTTCTTGGCTTACACTGAGAAGCACGCTATCGTTGGCGATCAGTTCAAGGAGGAGACATTCATTGGTCCCTTAGTTAGCAAGACTCAGTTCCAGCGGGTCCTTGACTATATCAAGATCGGTCAGCAGGAGGGTGCTACTCTCATCAAGGGTGGTGGTATCTTCCCCGAGCGCCCTGGCGGCAAGGGATTCTTTGTCCAGCCCACTGTCTTCGGCAACGTCACCCATGATATGCGCATTGCCACAGAAGAGATCTTCGGTCCGGTCGGTGCCTTCTTCAAGTTCTCCGATTCCGAGGATATTATCAAGATTGCCAACAACACCCGATACGGTCTCTCTTCTGCTATATTCACTAAGGACATGACTAGAGCTATTAAAGTCTCGGAGAAGCTTGCTTCTGGTATGGTTTGGATCAATTCTAGCAACAACTCAGATTACCCTGTTCCCTTTGGAGGTGTGAAGGAATCTGGTATTGGTCAGGAAGGTGGTGAGGCGGCTCTGGATGAGAACTCGGTCCTGAAGACCATTTATCTTAACCTGGAGTTGACAAATGACGAGTAAATTTTTCTCCATTGAGATTATTGGTCGCAGTTTTCTTCAAGTTTCGTCGATGTCTTGTTTCTCTCTTTAATGTAGAACAAATTGACTTTTTGAATCAAGGTTCAAATTTCTCCGAGGTCATTAGTACACAGAGCTCAAATGTTTCGATGACGATTTCTTCAACCTTGGAACCTGCCTTCAAATTTTGGCTCATGTGGGATTCGTTCCAACTTGAAGGCTGATCACTGGCATTTGAATTCAATCTAAAAGCCTGGAGTAGTAGAATAGCACCACTACTAGTAGGATTGCAATTCATGCTCGCAGCCCTGGAGGTCAATCAATTTCAACCTTGGATTGTTACCTCCAGGGCTCCTACATAATACTAATACTGCACCAACATGGATGCGACTCGAAGTCTGAACTTCAAACAATATATCCAGACTCGGATGTCCGCGTGCCCACTAACTGGCAGCTTTATTCATGAACAAGTTACAGAATGAAATTGAACACAACTAAAAACAGAAATTCAACTTATGTGTAAGATGGGAATCCAAAATCCGCCTCCTCCTTCGTGATAGCTAACCAACCCTTCAGACCAGGGAAATAAAATGTCATGACGGGCTTCCTGCCTGGCACATTTGTTCCAAAAATCCAGCTACTAGGCGCATCTTTAAGAATTGACGTGTTGGCTTCTTCGTCACAATCTCCCTCCATTTCTCTTCCGACTCGGGCAGAGCTTCAATTGTGCCACCCGGAATGCCCCGGCTCTCCGCATGCTTGATAAGCTTCATAATGAAGTTTCCTTCAACTTCAACGACTGTCGCACCGTTTGACATTGGGCCCTGAGGTCCGAAAATCATGAACATGTTGGGAAATCCAGCCATTGTCACTCCAAGGTATGAGCTGGGGCGATGCTTCCAATGATCAGACATCAATTTGCCATCCCGACCTTGGATGGTGATATTGGCAAATGTACCTTCCATCGCGTCAAAACCAGTTGCGAAAATCAGGACATCCAACTCATGCACTTTTCCATCTGATGTACGGATACCATCGGGAAGAATTGAGTCGATCGGAGTCTCGCGGAGGTTGATAATATCCAGTGTCACACAACGGACGTCGATTGTAAAGACCGGTCGGTTTCAAAGCATTGGCCTTCCTTGGATCCTTGACAATTTGATCGATCTTTTCTTTGATGAATTTGCAAGTCTCGCGATTCGTCTCCAGATTTGTCCCAATGTCGTTGAATTTACTGAGGTTGAATCGGAACGCATTCCCTTGTTCCCACAGAAAGTCGAAAACCTTTCTTCGTTCCTCTGGTGGGTACGAGGACATTGGTCGATCAGACTCATTCACACCAAACCCAGCAACGGAATTCCAAACTCCTTTGTATATCTCATCATAACTCTCGTTAATGGTCTTGCGTTCCGCTTCCGACACAGGTCTTTGGCCAGATGGAACGGAATGCTGGGGTGTTCGTTGGAAGGAGATGAGATTCTTGACCTTGGGCGCGATTGCAGTCATCAGTTGAACGCCGGTCGAGCCACTTCCGATGACACCAACATTCAGGCCAGTCAGATCGATACCGTCAGGCCATTCCTGAGCATGAAGCAGACGACCTTTGAAAGAATTGATTCCCTGGATGTTCGGGAAGTGCGCCTGAGACAGACCACCCATGGCTGTGATCAGAAACCTGGCGATGAAAACATCACCCGTGTCGCATGTGATCCTTCAAACTTTGCGCTCTTCATTCCATGTAGCGGTTTCCATCGCAGTATTGAATTGCATATGCTCGCGCAGCTCATGTTTATCGACGACGAAGTTGAGGTATTTCAGAATCTCCGGCTGGGTCACGTAGCGATTGGGCCAAGGGTAGGTTTGGAGAGCTTCTTTGTCCCAGGAATAGTGGTAGAGAAAGCTTTCAGTGTCGCTCATAGCACCGGGGTACCGGTTCCAGTACCACACTCCTCCGGCTGTGGGAGCCCTCTCGACACAGCGAACGTTATATCCATCCCTTTTCAATGCATAGGTTTGGTAGATACCACCAAACCCAGCACCAACCACGAGTGCGTCAATGACTTGGTCGGTTCTGGCGGGCATGGCGCTCGATCGAGATATCGGCAATAATGAGGTGACGTGTAGTGAAGAAGTCGCAAGGTAATAGTAGAAGGAATCTGGATTGAACGTTGAGTTGTAAATGGAGATTCAATGGCTACTAAATATGCACAGCTTCAGGCATTGCCAGATGCCAGTGGGTACATGCAGTCTTCACTATGCCTAATGGATGGATTACATTATATACCGATTGGGTCATTTCCCGACATGCATATCCGTTATGCTATTGATGTAGAGAACAAAATCAATGTCATAACTTGAACTTGAACCCACTACTCCGTACACATAATGCTTCAGATATGAGATTTCAATAATTTTTATTGCCAATGATATGCCTATGACATTCCATTCCGTACCTAAGAACTTATCATTTCCCCTCCTTCCCCTCCCTGAGTAAAGGCCGACGATACGAAGGACCTCACAAGTGGCAATGTGTCCTATCATCTTATCCAGCACGCCGAAACTACTCCTTAAACGCGGAGTTATGGGAGCTAAATTATGCCTCCGATCTAACCACAGATCAGTAGTCCATGGAGGCAAATTTACTCGTGTGCTGATCCTTTTGGGTTATTATAATATTATAATACGAGATAGGCTGAATGGGTCGTAATTACGCCTGGAAAGGAAACTCGGCGTGAACCCCGCAAAATATCAGGGTTCTCGGGATCCATCTTAAATTGGGAACTCTGTAATAGTCATTACAAAGAGGCTTGGGGTCGAACTTGAACTTAGTTAGATCGCTTGTTATCGCTAATCCCGGATGGTTCCAATGGTTTCCACCTGGGCATCTGGGGCATGTCAGATTAAACCGGGGTAGAAAACCTCCTGGTTATGGACACGCGATAACACTTCTTATCAAATCTCCCCTTCAATCAGCAATCATGATAGGGTCATATATAGATGTTTAAATATCCAACGCGGTTAAAGGAAACACTTGATCTCAATTTGAAGCGTTTTGTCTTTCCAAATTAGTTCATTTTGAACAGATCGTACGATGTCAGAGTCACAAATGGGTGAATCCTCACGCGCCGCTGAACTTGGCGCATCTCATTATGGATCAGGGCATCCTGATCGTATGCCCAAACAGTTTACCTTGTGGTCCTTGTTGGCGTTTGCCATCGCTGTCTGTAGTGCATGGATTGCGACATCAAGTCTCTTGTCCACACACTTGACATTCGGTGGCTTTGCAGCAGCCACATGGATTCCGGTTGCCTCTGCATTTTTCTGCATTTTTCCAGCACTAGGTCTAGCAGAGCTGGCATCTGCATACCCTTCGTCTGGTGGACAATACCAGTAAGTAATCCCTCATCTACTCTGGATTTCTGCGGATCTCAATCACCATACCAATCTAACCAAACTCTTAGTTATGCATTCATGGTCGCTAGTCCACGCTATAAAAACCTCGCAGCATTTTCTGTTGCATGGTTTGCTCGAATGGCTTTTCGTTGTCTGCTCCACAACTATCTACCCTGCTCAGCTGACAGCCGAGGTTGCCTTACTATGGCATCCAGAATACGATTGCACAAGGTGGCAGATATATCTGATTTATGTTGCTCTGCTTCTGCTAGGCACTTGTATGATTACATTTTGTCATCGCTGGATGCCAAAGATTGAGACTATATTCTGTTGGAGTTCGTTGCTTGGTTTCGGCACTTTTGTGCTGACTCTGGCAGCTGCAAGCCCCACTAAGCAACCAGCATCCACGGTCTTTGCAGGATGGAAGAATTCATCTGGATGGTCCGATGGGATGAGTTTTCTTTTGGATGTCGGGCAGGGCATGTGGATGTTCGTGAAATCCTCCCCCTGAACATGTTGAATCAGCACTGATTGAATGGTTGTCTACAGTTATGTCTGCCTCGATGCCGCAACCCATCTCTCTGAAGAGATCGATAAGCCGGAAATACACGTACCTCGTTCAATCATGTTAGCTACGGTTTTGGCGTTGGTTTGCAATGTAGCATTCACACTTTCCGCCCTCTTTTCCGTTCAGTCTATAGCCACTGTCATGTCCTCCAGTCTCCCGATTTACGAGGTCCTATGACAAGCAATCCCATCAGAGGGTGCTGTGTTATTTCTTCTGATCTGGCTGGACCTGGTGTTTATTAGCACTGTTCCGGGTGCCCTTTTGACCACTGGAAGATTGACGTGGGCATTCGCCAGAGACGGAGGCCTTCCATACTCTCCCTTTTTCAGTCGCATCAGCAGTCGCTATGAAGTACCAGTGTATGCTACTCTTCTTAGCACTGCTTTTTGCCTTTTCTTTGGCCTTATCTACATTGGTAGCACGGTCGCATTCAATACCTCTATCTCGAGTGCTATCGTGTTCGCGTTCCTTTCATACTCCCTACCGCAAGCATTCCTTCTTCTCGCCGGCCGAGACTCTCTGCCCCAGCGTCATTTTAATCTTGGTAAGGTTTTTGGAACTTTGGTCAACTTCCTCAGTGTCGCATTTGTGGCCTTTTTCTCTATCCTTTTTTGTTTCCCTTTTTCAATTCCAACAAGTGTTACGGCGATGAACTACGTTTCTGTAGTGGCTGTCGCTGCGCTTCTGTTGATTGCTTCGCTATGGTGGGGAGCTGGTAAAAATAGGAGTTTCACGGGCCCTGTTATGGTTGGAGATGTATTACAAGGGATTGAGCCAGGGCCTCATGTGGATGGTACCACAGTTTCTCCCTCGAAGGGCTGGGATCAAGATGACTCGGATTAAGGGGGTACAAACCGGGCTGAACGTCAAGTTGGAACTTGAATGAATTCTTCAAGCCTAAGATGCAACTGGAACGATACGATATGTCTTGAATTTTTATGTCTTAATATCTTTTATGCCGGCGGAAATGAACACTACTAGGATGAAGTATGGATTTATGTACTCGATTATCTAGGTATCAATCAATGAAATGGACAATCAGGGTGTTGATACTACTATCATGATATGTGGAAAAGATTCAGAATAATGAAAAAATTGAAAGTCCTCTTGATTCAACCTGCTTTTGGCTCATCTTCTGTCTTCTTTCGCTTAATACAGCTCAAGTGCTGGTGACTCCAGGGCTTTGAAGAAACCATGCGGAATTCTCTACTGGCTACTGCGTCCGCAGATTTCCTAAATCAATCATCTCAATTTGCAAGACAATCTAGTAACTCTATCTCCTTCCCGGCTTCAGAAAATGGAAAGATCTGTGAGAATCCTTAGACATAGCGTTCTTCACGGTGACACTGACTGGGAATACCAACCCCGACTAACAGGTCCCAAGAGAGAGTGAAAGAGCCATTTGACGAGATGAATAGTCAAACATGATAAGATAGCGTGATATCTCTAAATACATGTCTCACTATCTTCACTCGGAGTGGAGAGACAAGATAACTTCAACCCCGGCCATTCCGAACCATCTTATCAATATGAAGTGACCACAGCATTGACAATCCACCAAAATTCTATTTACACAAACGGCGATAATATGCTTGGAATCCCCCCCGCCTTAGATATTCCCCATGCTTTGACCTCCACAGAATTATGCAGCGTACCTTACTCGGAATTTATCCTGGTGGGGAAAGTGGGTCAGCCAGCACCACTGTCGGAAATTGTCCAAATTTGACTTCACCTATTCAAACATACAGTAATAATTTTCGATATTCATCTTGTTCCCGAACTGAATATGGGCTCATGTAGACTGGGTTTCTATTTAAGCCTATTATTGCTCATGAGCGTTTGAGCTCATCACATTTCCATACCTCATTCATTCTGAAATCGAAGAAGCTTATCTACTTAAGGCGCAAAGGAAATACACAATGAACAAGACTACAGACGGCTATACTTGGACCCAGGGCCAAGGGACGAAGAAGGGAGGACTCAAATGTCGAGGAGTTGTCTATCCTCCTGAGAAAAGGAGCAGTCGCCAGGAGACTTACGATGTAATTGTCGTTGGTGCGGGATATGCTGGACTGCGCGCTGCACGCGATCTGGCCACATATAGTGAGTGAACCATGGAGACTTCTTCTGCGACTTCGCATACTGATCTCTTTTTTTCATTGCAGATCGGAAGGTTTTGCTGCTCGAGGCTCGTGATCGAGTTGGCGGACGTACATATACTGTGGAGGGTGATGATGATGGTATGTGTCTGTGGACTCCAAAAAACATTGGAAGACGCCTTGCTGACGGGATACAGGATTTTTCTACGAGATGGGCGGCACCTATGTCACTTACCACTTTGGATACGTGCTGGGCGAACTACAACGTTACAAGATGGACCGCGATTTAATCGTTTCTCACCAGGAGGGTCACGAGAACAACTATTATACGTTGAATGTCGAAGGTATGTTTCAGCTCCTTGGAGGCCAGTATCATTTTATAGTAATTCTAGGGATGGAAAATGTTGACACGCAGTTTTTTTTATAGGGGCACCGGCAAGGAACGTCACCCACGAAGAAGCTGGCAAGATCACATCCTCCGCCTGGGATATATTCGTCAATGTTGACGGCAATTCGTGCCGTAACATCTGTCCACTCCCACATGCGCAGCTTGATAATGTTGTGGTACCCCGAGAGCAGGTGGAGGCTTTTGACAAGATTTCGTGTAAGGAGCGCATTGATCAAATCAAGCATCTTCTCACGGCAGAGCAGCTGGGAGCTCTCTCAGCAGTCATTATGCTTGTTACGGGCGGCAAATTAGAAAACTCCAGTCTCTGGGAATGCATTCGCACACATGCATTCCTTATCCACGACTCGGCTAATCTGGCTGATCTATGGACGACTTACAAACTTCGGGAGGGCCAGTCAGCCTTTGCCAGACGCATCTTTGACGATGCAATGGACTTCGGCTTAGAATATGCATTCAACACTCCGGTCACGGCTATTGCTGATGAAGTTGATAATACCAATGGACGAGTCAAAGTGACAACAGCAAATGGCGGAACTTTTAGAGCTCACCGTGTCATTTGTACCATCCCACTCAATATTCTCAAGACGGTACAGTTCAGTCCACCTCTCTCACCTACGCGCCAAGAGGCGATCGACCTTGGACACATCAACTTCATGACAAAGATCCATGCGGTAGTGGAGGGCTCAGGCCTAGCTTCGTGGAACGGCATATGCTCACCCGGTCATATTGCACAAGGCTATGGAGATGGTGTCACTGCGCAGGGGAATGCACACATTGTTGGTTTTGGTGGTGATGAGAGAGCGAACTTTACCCCTGAAAGTGAGCCGGAGAAGGTTGTCGCATCCTTCCAAGCTCTCCACCCGGTAACATCAAGAAGACTGTAAGTTTTCCTTTTTACCTTCTTCGTATCGGCTCAACTAACAACAAATTCTTTGAAGGTTTTCCACAATTGGTGCACCGATCCTTGGGCTAACGGTGGCCCAGCTTGGTGGGCACCCGAATATATGTCCAAGTATCAAGATGAACTTCAAAAGCGCCACGGAGCCATCTTCTTTGCATCTGGTGACTGGGCTCATGGATGGCGAGCCTCTATTGATGGGGCGCTTGAACAAGGAGCTCTTTGCGCTATAGAGGCGTTGAGAGAGCTCCGTCTTACCGACGCATCTCCAGGCCGCCGACCAAAGCTTTAAATGTGTTAGCAGGTTAGCATCGGGGGTTTCATTGTCTAGGTCTTGTTAGGATTCGTATATACTACTCTCTATTTACTCGTTTGTACCGGACTTGCCATCACTGGATAGAAATTTCTAGATTTCAAGTAAGCCTTAAGTTAACAGCCTGAGTGCAGACTTGCATGAGCCGAAATCCTCCATCTCCATTAGTACAAGTAATAATTTGAGTATGATTCAAAATTTCTGTTTTACATGTTTTTATGCCAGTGAATACTTCCAAGGTTGGAAGCATGCACTGATTACATATATGATCCGCCTCTTTATCCATGAATCTGTGGCACATTGTCACCATCTTCGTCAATCCGTATCAATGCACATGCATTTTCATATCATATTAATCTATACGAAACAGATTAACAGGACGAAGATCCTCAAAGCAATGGTTGAAACATATGTTCTGCGAAGCGGATTCAGGCTTTGGGATGTATCAGCCACTGGCAGTGCTTCGCGCTAAGTGCCTTTGAAAGACACATGTGGACTGTAAGTAGTAGATCTTAACCACGTCCCAAAGGCAACCAGGAGTAACTACTAGTACACACTAAAACATCCGAAATTTCATATCAGAATTAAAACCTTGGAATACATTCACTTACATAGGTTGGACTAACAGCAAAGATTTGAACAGGATAACCACTCGCGATTGATGCGTTCGGTCGTTACGCCCACAGACATTAGGCTATTTTTGTTTATGCCGGCAAGCAATGGACCACAGGCAGGTTCGTGCAGTATGATTACCAAATCAGCTCCATGTCCAACTACTAGTAGAAGGGTTGTGATGAGTTTATGTTCTCCAATTATAGCCGCACTACTGTTCATTTATTGGCTTTCCCGAAACATGGATATGATTTCATATTATAATGCTGGTTGGGCTCCTGGCAACGATTGGCATCGGTTATTGACAAGAGGTTCATGACTCATTTATATTATAACATTTCAATGCTATACAATGCTCACTCATATTCACCATATCTCGGCATTCTCAACATATTCATTTGACAAGGGCCCGGGTCATCGAGTTGTGTCCAGCTCCACCGGAGACATTGCTTGCTGTGGTGTACCTCCTTCACTTGAGCCAATCTCAGGCGGGTACATTGCATGCAACTCGATCGGAGGTTTTGTCTGGGTAGTCTGTGGGTATGAAGCAGCCAATTCGCTGGTGTGCCGGGTCGCGCCTAGTTCGCTTGGATGTTCCGACCGACCAGTCGGAATATAACCAGTCTTCTGCCGTCTCCGATATAGCCAGAAAGCAAGAGCAATGAGTGAGATAGCACCAGCAGCGACTCCAACTCCAACACCTGCTTTTGCACCTGTCGACAAACCACTGGACGATTTTTGGTTGTTGGTATCGCTCGCTGCCGTTGTTGATGTCGCTGCTGCGGTTTGACTCGTGGTTGTACTCGTTATTAAATCCGAGGTTGAACTTAGAGTTGATGTTGACGAGGCAAAGTCTGTTGACTTCCACCGAATTGAAACACCTTTCGCATTGACGCCAAAAGTCCCAGTTTCTGTCACAGTTGAAGTCCCCGAGACAGTCACAGTATAGCTATAGACGGAACTAGCGTTGGCGTTGGAGGATGTACATGGATTTGTCGTATACCAGGGCCAATCGTCACCGGTTTGAGCATTGTAGAAGCTATGACAAGATCGAAGTCAATCACTGCTTGCGCAAGTATATGAGAGATGCTCGTGATTACCTGGGACAACAAGTAGCTCGTGTCTCGACTCCACTACCGCTGGTGACTTGTGACTCCCCGGCAGCGGTATAGCCTTCTGGACATATTCCCGGAGAAAAGTAGCTCGTGGGTTCATATTGGGATGGGAAGCAAGTGGACCAATCTTGGCCGCCTAGACTCTCCCACCACCATGTGTAACCGGAGCTCTGGGACCATGAAATATCGTATGTATCGGTGGTGCATTCAGTAGGCGGCACAAAGGTGGTGGTAAGAGGGTTCGCGGCAGTGGTGGTCATCCTGGCGATGTCCTCCAAGCTTGAGGATCCAAGTGCCCGGCTCAGGGGCCCGACCAGGCGGTTGATCAATTTGTGAGATGTGTCAGCCCTGAGATCTTGCCAAGACGATATGGACTCATTACCCTTAGCCCCCACCTCGAATCGTGCTTTTGTTTCATTGGTCAGATGTGTATCAGGATTCAGTAGGATCAATGATAAGCACCTTGATCAAAGCTGAAAAAAAAAATCCATGCATCACTGCGAACGGGCTATCAATTTGTAACACTGCGTTTCACCTATCGCAACCTTGGAATGATTGGACGCATGAGAAACGTGTTCCTCTCCATGAGTGTCGATGGGCATAAAATCCATGTAATATGTACCTGCAGTGAAGATGTAGGTGAGCTGGACTTTGGCTCCTCGTTCCGAATCCTTGGGTCCGCTGGGGCCACTTAAGAGGCTGCTCTACCCGCAAGATGGACCCGTTGTCAGTCAGCCTTAGAACCTTGGAATGCTCCGTTGCGACCATCATATGATACAATACCCCCACGTTTTCCACGTGAACCCCCAGCGCAGATTCAAGTTTGAATTTCCACACTTTGGCACTCTCACTCAGAACTGATAGATACTAGTAGCCCTGTACTAGTATTATTGGGAACTTGAAAATACTAATAGCACTTGAGTACTGGCCCGGACTCGGAGACTCCGAGTCGGGCTTTCGACAACACGTTTCAAGTTTGAATATACATATATTGTCAACTTAATACAGTTCAACTTGAAGTTGACTCGGAATGTGGAGAATAGTATTACTCTAGTAGTACTAGTTGTACCCAAGACTCGGACACTCCGCATACACTCAAGTGCTGTCTTATATAATAATTCTACCATATAGCCACTGGCAAAGGGATCATGAGATGTATTGGTCTTGATGATTCTATTCTATTCCGTATAGAGACTCGGAGATCTAGATGATTTAAAGTACAATAGAGTTGTTGGGATCCATGGATGTAAACAAAGGGAGACTACAAAGACCAATGTGGCATGTTTTCAGGGGAAGTATGCAAACAATGCAAACAGTACAAACTCGAACAAAATCTGATCAAACAACTTGAATCTCAACCTTCAAGTTGACAATCTCAGCCGTCAACTGGTGTCGTAATACCACTGGCAAGAATGGCTTGCAAGCGAGGAGAGGCGCCACCACCACATTTACTAGTACACACCAGGGCGATTATACTTTTTAGACTCCAGATCTTGACTTCTTGTTCTAGATATGTAGTCATCAATTGACTCTTCAAACATTTTGAATGTTTCTACTAGTACAACTCATACTCAGCTCGAGTGATTCCAAAGGTCTCACATCTGCTTGAAGTTGACATATCACTCTCCACTCCCCCAGGCAAGAACAGGTTCTGCTTCATCCCCACAATCCAGAAATCTCACCGAGAGAACAGTTCTCCGCATTACTGGTCTAGATTCGGCTGGGTTACGCGGCATTTGTCTTCCACCATTGCCATTACCGACGGCCCTACGGAATCGGATCCTTTTCCGGGTTCACGGCCCGATTTTCGGGACGGCACTCTTCAACTCTACAAGATATACTCCGTACAATGAGGAGTTTATTGATTATCCCATTTCAATTGAACATTTGGAAATGAATATCGACTTTCCATTCCAGAATTCGAAGCCCACTGAACCATTGGACCCTTGCTGTCACAAATAGCTCCCCACCTCCCACCTCTAAAACACTTAGCCGTTCCAACCCCCAGATACCCAGGATATCCTAGTCCTCCACATCGAAGATCCACTGAGATTCCTGGAAATTCCAAGCTCACCATTATCATTGGATCAATTGGATCTCTCAGTGGGAATCCAAGAGTCATGTCTCCATTGCCACAATCCAAACCCACTTCTATGCACTGCCTACAGGCCAATGCATTTACCGGATTTTTTTTTGCGTCTCCACGGCATTACGGAGTACTAATTCTGGAGTGAGGAGAGCCGAAATACTAGTGCCCCAGGACGACCCGTGGGGTAATTCCGGGGAATCCGTCCTGCCCTTCCTCCGAGCCTGAATTGCCGTGACCTGTCCAGCCCAGGCCTTGTCATTGTAATCCAACTCCCAAACCAAGCTGTACTATACACGGCCATGGCTATCCATCTGGAGATGCAGTCCCCTGGGGCGGTAGACCACGAGGTCGAGGAGACATATGCAAAGCAGAATATGGACTTTGTGGAAAGTGCAGGAAATGTGATTCCTGCTGCGGATTTGCCTGCTGAGATAGCACACTTGTCTAAACCACACCGTGATTATCTGATGGAGCGACATGGTACCTTGAATCTCGACCCGATTCCTGCGATGGACCCTGCCGATCCGTACAATTGGCCAGAATGGAAGGTGAGTGTCCTGTCGCTTTCAGAATGACGGTGCCGGATGTAGGAGGAAAACTTGGCTGGATGGCTAATGATCTTCCCTTCCTGCAGAAAATAATGAATTTAATTCTTGTTGCCTTCCACGCTTGTATGGGAACCTTCGCAGCAGCCGGTATCATTCCCGCATACTCAGACATCACTGAAATTTACGGTGTTTCAACCCAGTCCGCCAGCTACCTCACTTCCCTCCAGATCGCCGTTCTGGGTGGTGCACCGCTTTTCTGGAAACCCCTGTCCCACCGTTATGGTCGCCGTCCTATTTTCCTCATTTCCCTCATCTGCAGTCTCGTGTTTAATATTGGTTGTGCGAAGACGAAGACCTATGGTGCAACTGCAGCATGCCGTGCTCTGGCGGCGTTCTTCATTTCGCCTGCCTCGGCGATTGGAAGTGCCGTAGTGATGGAAACGACCTTCAAGAAAGATCGTGCTCGGTATATGGGAATCTGGACTGTGATGATCACACTAGGTGTTCCCCTTGGACCATTTATCTTCGGATTCGTGGCGTATCGGGCTGGTTATGAATGGATTTATTGGGTTCTAGCGATGGTGAGTCTCACCGAAACCATTTGAAAATATTTTTTAGAGGTATCGAATCATGCTTATATTGGAATCTCAGATCAACGGTGGTCAATTTATTCTCTACCTCTTCTTCGGCCCAGAAACTCGCTACGTGGATAGCGGCGAATGGCGAGAAGAATCAACCTTCAAAAGGGAATACCTCTCCGTCCGTCGAATTGATCCCACCCCATTTACCTGGTTCGAATTCGTTAAGCCCTTGACAATGGTCACGCGTCCTTGCATCCTTATCCCAACATGCGCTTACGCGATGATCTTCCTTTTCTGCAACATTATGACAACAGTTGAGATCCCCGGACTCCTCCAAACGAAATTCGACCTCAATACCGAACAGGTTGGCTTGCAGTTCCTGGGCATGATCATCGGATCCATCATCGGCGAACAAATGGGCGGAAACTTATCCGATTACTGGATGCGTATGCGTGCAAAGCGGGGCCAAGAACCTGCTCCGGAGTTTCGACTTTGGCTTAGTTACTTTGGCTTTGCACTTTCATGTGTTGGATTGATCATCTTCTTGATTTGTACTCAGGAAGCACCGTCGGGTCATTGGAGTGTTCCCCCGATTATAGGCACTGGAATCGCTGCTGCGGGTAGTCAACTCGTTACTACTGTTATGGTTACTTATGCGATGGATTGTTATCCTCAAGAGGCGGCGAGCGTTGGTGTGTTCATTACATTCGTGCGACAGATTTGGGGATTCCTTGGTCCATTTTGGTGAGTGCAAAATTTCCTCAAAACTTACATTTGATTTTCTTGTTCTAACGCTTGGGGTAGGTTTCCTTCATTGTTTGATACTGTTGGTATCGCTGCTAGCTCGGGCGTTGTTTGTGGTATGATTGTGGCTGTCAGTATTCTTCCGACCATGGTGCTTCATGGATTCGGCAAGAAATGGAGACGGCAACACGGCGAGGTGGCGTTCTGATGGCTCACTGGCTCTGAAACTTGAGTCAGCGCTAGACTTTTTGAACTACACCTGAGAGCATATTCTCTGCATGCTACTCTGAATCCGGGGGTGGTTATAGCCTTAGAACTTGAAGGAACCACTACAACCTGGTATTTACACACGATAGATATACATGATAGACGGTGATAGAAGGCTCATAGAATAGATTGAGTTGGTTATAGATAGATCATGGAATGATTATAATTTCATTTCAGTCAGTTATCAAGTTTAGCCAGATGGGACTACTTGCAACAGGTACTACTAGCACCTCATTCGCACTGTTATCCCTAAACAGACTCAGCTACGCCCGCGAACTGAGAAAAAGCCTTTTGTCTCAAATAGTGACGCAAATTCGCAAGTCACTTTCGAGGCTTAATCTGTCAAAGTGGTGCCAATCGCATGATTTCCCTTCTACGGACGTCCAGCCTCAGCACATGAGTTGGACGCCTAGTGTAAGTTGAGCAATAAGTCTGAAACTTCAATATATTGCAAGTTCAAGTGTGCGGCGTCTTACTTCCTCACCAAAGTCAATTTGGTCTGTTTTTCAGCTCATCTGACGTTCTTCGAGTTGATAGGTCTATGCACAAATATTCCGAGGGTATGTCATAAAAAGACGCATAAATTTCCGATCGATGTTTACCTGAATGTGGGTATCTAGATATCGAATAGGAGGCGGAGGATGGCTAGGACCACATGGCTCCGATCCATGCGTGGGAACGTGGCAGATTCAATGCACGACCCTCTTGGAGCCACTGACAACTAAAAGTAATCAGATAAGCTCCCGAAGTCAGTCATGGAGCCCTATGACGATTGCATATGGCTTCGGAGTTTGATCTACTCTATACGGATTTCTCCGCTGCAATATGACGTTATTCCTCATCGCACAAACATCATTAAAGAGCAATCGATGCAGCAACATTCAAATGTTATTTCCGTCACCGATCGACATAATATGTATGCTAAGTAGAATATCTGGACAGACCATCAGTGGCCCCGGGGCCAGCTCCTGTATGCAGGAGACTGAGAGGTGCATGTTTACGTGCAAATGTTTCCAACCTTGTAGAACTGAGATGTGGACCTCATAAACCAGACTAAAGCATAATACATATTAGGAAGTACTAAATCTACTATGTATACAGACAATGATGTATGGATGGAGAAAGTTTGAAGGTGAAAAAAGGAAATAGATTTCATAAGTGCTCAGATACAGAGCTGCTAAAACGAATGCCAAACTCCACTGTACAGTAGTATATGCATATTAAATGCGTCCGCCCAAATTTCCGATTCAATAACAAGTAATAGTAGGTATCAATTTATACGCCAGGAGACATCAATCCCCGCTTCTAGTTTTCAGTATCGCTTATTGGAGAGCGATATCCTTCTCCTCCTCCTGCATATGCCTGGTGAGGTAACCAGATGTGACGATGGCGATGGTGGAGATAGCTTCGGGGAGGAACATCAGAACGATGCGTACGGCGATGGTACCCTCGATAGGGCTCAGCTTCTTCTCCTCAGTGACAACGGCAACGAGGGTGTAGATGACACGGACACCGATAAAGATGAATGCGATGAAACCACAACCCAGCATCTATAATATTCGATTAGTGCGCGGTCTTTATCTATCGGATGAAACTATTGCTTACCACATTGGTGTAGCGAATGTTAGGACCGGTGGTCTTTCCGGCACGAGAGATGAAGGTGTAGAAGAGCCAGATTCCTTGAATTCCCCACACAGCAACAGTAACGGCAGATCCAGCCTTCCAAAGATCGACCCAAGTTGCGCCAGTCTTACCAGCGTAGACGTGCAGCGCTCCAGTGATAGACATAGCAATAGCAGCAATCATGGCAACAGATGTGCCGACGATCATGGCCATACCGAGTTTCTTGTGGTAACCGGGGAAGCGGAATGAACGACTGACACAAACATGTTAGTTTTGAATTGTTTCAAAGATTGGAGTAGCAGATATCACTTACGCTTCATGGGTCAAACCATCCAATCCCAGAACCAAAGGTGTAATAGCAACACTCTGGATGATACCAGCAGCCTCACTGGAGCTATCCTTGACACCCATCCCACCACCTACAATTCGAGCCAAACAGAAAATGGTCATGTAATACCATGGTAGTGAGCTGAGATATCTGTGGCAGTAGAAAACATAGATCACAATGGGAAGAAGGACTAAGTATACGGCCAAATCCGCGGGGTAGATGCCGTTCGTCGAGCCCATTTTGTGCTGATGTAAAATATTCAAGTTGGACAATGAAGAACTTGAAGAACAGAATGAAAATTAAAGAAGTTTTTGATTACCTTCTACAAGGATTTATCGAGCTGGGGGCCCCTTATATGTCTGAAGGAATGGCAAATTTGAACTGGCCCCCCACAGTATAAACTGATCTAAGACTATTTGGGCAGCCTTTGCGGGAGTGGAGACCAAGTCCAAAAAAAAAACATTTTCATTTTGAGAAAAAAGAGAAAAATTTAAAAATAAGCATTCAAAAACATGGTAAAGAGTCTATAAAGTTCTTAACACGGATTATAGGTGGAGTGCAATCTATTTTGACTTCATTTTGGTTAAGATTTTCGGTATAAACTACTCTAAGAACAGTTTAGATGAAATTGTTGTTCCTTTGATCCTCCGTACTTCGTACTCCACCAGGGCTGAAGCCAAATCATAGGCAGATCTTAACTCCACTTGGCTAAGTTATGGTTCATTTGGGGGCCGGACCCGTTCTCCATACCCTTTTGAGTCGACTAGGAAACGCCTCTCTGACAAGGGGGTCATCATTCCGAGATACGTTGACTGTGTCAGTTCCATTGGTCCACGTCCCCATAGCCCCCAAATCACACTACGTAAATGGATGAAGCACATGGGCACAGCTTAAAAAGCCACACCAGATCCCCCTTATGGATATTGATCCCGAGCTAATGTACCTTGTCCTTGGTTTACGATTGCGCAGTTCTAACCTGTTTTGGTATCCGCTGCGCTTGACTATCCCTACGTGCACGGAGTATAGACACTCCGCTTCACAATTGTTACCTGATGTTTTATCAAGGCAAGCTCAGTCCAGGCTGTGCGCTGTGCCGCACACGGCGGCTAAAAGTGCGTTGGCCCCCACACCACGCACAATGCCTAACCATGTTCCGTAATAGTTAACCCTCGAGAACTTATTAAAAGTGTGATCGACGTCATCCTTTCTTTTCTTAGTGCTTTAAAGTAAACAAAGAATGTCCACTGTGTTAAGATTTTACGATCAGACCAATGGAGTGATCCTCAAAGCAAAAAAGAAAACAAAAAAAAATTAACTTAAATCTCAAACTTCGATCCAGACGGAGAATTCCATTTTCTCTTGGCCTGTTTCATCACAGGAGCAGGCAATCATTCATATTTTCGGATATTATGTAGTATATTGGCTCTGACCCCTAGGCATCTGCCTATCCTATTGCACATGTGAGCACGGATATCCCCGATGCACTTCAGGCTGCCATTAAGGCAATAGGGCTGTTGTCAGACTACAAGGTCTAATGCAGTAGGCGGTCGCAATGGGACGTATCAACAGGTCTGATTCTCTCATAACACTAATTTTACACGAATAAGCGTCTGCTGCGACTGTAGATCACGTGGCTAATCATGTGATCCATTCTGGTTCGGCCAATCAGAAGCCAGGATTTAATCGTGTTAAAACCGTCCCAATTGGGCCTAGTTTATCATGTTATTTTGGCTGACAGCTGTTGCGCAGGTCAAGGATTCATAATTTACCTAGTTTTTAACGATCGGCAAAGAATACAGCATAGCCTGACCAGTGACCAATAAAATTCTCCAAGATGTGGTCACGACTTAATCTGACTCCACTCTAGCGGCTGTGATATGTAATCCTTAATCTGTACGAAGTACGCACTAATTTACACTATATTATCCACTTTTCTATTTTCTATTTCTTTTCAACCTCGCTTTTTGAGCCCGTTTTGATGGTCGGCAAAATGCACAGTCCATCACTTGTTATGAATCAGAATTTATTGGTCGCTGGTTGAATCATGTCCAGGGAGCCATGGCTACCAGAACTACGTGGCTTTGACTCTCCACACTTATGGAGCTATTCACCATTGTTCGGTGACAAACTGTACGTCTGTTGTTCCTTCCCTTTATTCTTGATTCCTGATGTCTTAACCCTGTTCCTTCAAATTTCCCTGCTTTCAAATGTTAATTTACTCTGTAACTTCTCTAGGGGTTGACCGAAATGTTCTACCGAAGGGTTGGTTTACCCCCGGGGGCCGCCATCGCGGCACTATTATATCACGCCAAAAAAAAAAAACTCCATGGTACCAACATCGCCCCAACAGACAGGTTCTAGGATTCTTTCCTCCGGTTGAATGATCTCGCCAGGAAGATCGACGACATCTGGAACTCACCAAACAGATGATTTCCGTGGAAACACTGCTTCTTGGGTGGAGCAAGCTCTTCGGGTAGATGCCGATCTGCAGTATCGTGGGTGTCGGCGTTAAGACCCGCCTGGAAAAATACAACTACATATTCTGGAGCTCCCTCAATCTAGCTTAGATTCTCATCTCCACCCTTCCAAGATTAAGTGCGAGCGTCATGTTTACCCGAATCTGACCGCTGTTTGGATTTAGAATAATTATCAGCAGCCACGGTTGCGCTTCATGCCAGTGGTATGATTCATCTAATGTTGGTTGGAAAAAAAGTACATACTGGCGTCACAGTGCATCATGCTGCAGTCCGTTACTGTGATAGAGCAATTGGTCAGGGATGTATGCGCTAATGTCCCTCTTATTTTAGCTCGGAGGAACTCGGGGTTGGAGAGATGGCTAGACTGTTGTGCTCTGGTTTTGTCCCCACAGATTAAGCTCTGCTCGCGCTTTGGACTCAATTGGGAAGCGATGAGCTTCATTGCTTAGGATCCATTTTAACATATCTGATTACGCAGGGTCAAAGGATTAGATTGACTCAGTCTCCTTGGTACGATCTTTCTAACTTTGCGGAGAAAGTTACAGAGCCTGGTAGATGGAGGTATTCAAGGGTGAATTCGACATTGATTCAAATGATGTTGCTCGATGTATAAGTATATAATAAAACAAAATGTAAAACACGCGTGCGCGGATTATCAATGTAGCCTCTAAAGCAATATCAAAATCTCAAATTTCCATGTCAAGCAAAAGTTCTAACGCCTTATGTTCATTCATTCCCGCTGTGCTGTAGCCACCGGGGATACAGTTTGGAGATCTGAGGATTTAAAGTCAGTATCGCTGTGATAATTGGATTTCCCCAGAAAAAGGGGTAATCTCACCTTAAGCCATCTGTACACAGTTTGTCATCATTCTAGCAGAACTAGCGAGGCCCATATTGTTGTTGATCGTATCCGCCATTGGGCCCTGGGGTTCCCTGGGAGCCAGGGGGACCGTTAGGAATGGGAGCGCTTCCCTGCTGGTCATAGGGAGCACCACCCTGGCTGGGCATAGGAGGCTTCTCGCCGCGGGCGGCAGCAGCCTCTTGGGCCTTCTTGGCCTTCTTGCGGTTGAGGAAGTAGAGAGTGATACACATTTTGTATGTGGATGTGTGTTTGTATGTGTTGAGGAAGATTGACTTCGGGATGGGCTTGAAAGCGTGGGATTAAAAGGAAGATTGGATTGAAGTCGTGATGAAAATGGTTGAGGAGTTGCTTGGCTAACAGGATTCAGACATCCAAGAGACCTTTATATACCTTCATGGAGGCAGACCAAAAAAGCCCCATTTTAGTGTCACTACGAACTCCATACTAGGAACGGATGTACAGTGCGGGTGCCGACCAATCCTGGCGGCAAATACAACATGATACTCGACCAGGAGTATTTCGCGAATAAAGAGGAAAATCTCAATTAATATGGGGGCCAAAACACTCAGCTGCGTCATACAACTTCCCAACTAGGTAAGCAGCGCAGAACCCTGTAGCCCCACTTAGTGAGTGCTAGGTGGGGGCTTAGTGAGGCTTGTCGGGCCGTAAAGTGGATGATCTTAAGTTGAAATCTCGAATGGTTATTCCCGATTAATGCCCCCCCTGTCAAAATCTCCCATAGCTCGCATCAACTGCCTGAATGCGACATCCCGTGATATCACACCAAAACAAAGAACCCATCACGCTTGGCCCCCAGTCTCCTTCAAATTTCGCATTTATGGAACCGTCCACTTTTTCGACTCCTTTTCTGTTTTCTTTTTCTATCTGGTAAGATTCTTGCTGTTCCTTTCACACGGGCCGTCTTTTCGCCCCCTGTTTGTTAGTCCATTTTTGGCCCGTCTTCAAGTTGAATTGTTCATCGTGGTGATGGAATGATCTGTGTAAATGTCGAGGAGGCACTAAAGAATTAGAGGACTGTCCATGCACTCCGTACACCGGAGCTTCTGCTTTGTTGGGGATGATTCCCCTCGGGGAAGTCATTGCGGACTGGAGAAATCCGAAACAAAGATCAGCTTAAAAATAGAACATGTTTCATGAACTGCAGGATGTCGTGGCGAATGCTTATCCAGAATGCAAACAACGATTCGTTTGATGGAGAAGCTTATCATGGCAAGCTTTCGACGGAATACGGAACGCGATGCCTGAATAATTTGACAGGATCCTTTGTGAGGTCTTTACAGATATGGAGCATGGACGTTGATTTTCGTATTGTTTATTTTATTTTGTGATGAATATGTTATGGCCAGGGACTTAAGGCATTAAGGCAGAAACTCCCCCTGTCTTACCCCAAGACTCGTACTTCGTATTAAACGGCCCCATATAAACCTTCCAGAACGCCCAAATCAAGGTGAGATGAGTCGATTAGTGCAGTCCCCTTTTTTTCAGCATTGCAGGCTTCATAAATCCTCAATAGACCCTTAAGATGCACGCCAAGTGAGGATTAGTGCCATATTGGTGCTCCGAATGAAGGCTTGCATGGGGGAGTACCACACCCTCAAGTGCTGATGTCATAATGTCGCCTGCAGACAGCCCCCAATATTAGATTGCCAATTGCGGAGTTATTATGACATACTCGGTATTCTCTGATATTAACAATCCCGGAATATCGAGTCAAATCGGTCGAGAAGACATGCCTGTATGCACGAATGGGGGCTCTCAGACGCTCAAGACTGCGGTGTTAAAGAAACTCCGATGCAATACAGACGTTAGTGCACATGTGACATGATGTGATATGTACTCCGTGCCAGTACATGCACTAATGATCTCAGGACAGAAAAGGCTTTAGACTCATTTGATCCCTGCTACGCTTGGCTGAAAATCCGAAAGGACCTGTCAGTTGTTCAAATCAAGGCAATGGCCCGACAGTGCTGGAGCTCGCGCTCTTGCCCAAATTCTTTCATGATCGTCGCGATCTGTGTGATGATGTTATCTTTGCTCTAAAAATGCTCATTGAGATGCAGGACGTGACAATAATCCAGAAACCGGTCTAGTTGACGTGTTCAACAAAGATCCACTGCAGTTTGTGCCGATGCCCTCTGCAGGCCACAAGATAGCTTCGATTGACCTTGGGAGACAGTGCGGAGTAGGTTTATGTGTGCTCTGAGGCCTCGCTCACGTGCATGTGGTCGAAAACATCGACATCGACATAAAACGGGGCACCGCTTTTCAGTACAAGGCGCCTTGTATGAAAAGTAGTCAATTTCATTATAATGACTTGTTTTTGAAACGCAGAAGGCTGCAATGAAGATATTGTGACCTGTTCTCCAAATGGAATCGAGAATATCGCCTTTGGCATTCACTGGTGCCGGTTTGCATAGATACCAAGGTTGCCCGGACCTATGAGCATAGCCCTGAGGCAAGTCCCATACCGCCTCTCAGTACAAGAAATTTCATGATCGGAAACTGAAAAAGCACCTCACAATGCTGTAGGAACTTCCTCGGGCAGCTGGTGCGATCTTTCTATCCGATCATGTAATGCCTCGAAATATCCTGGGCTTTGTTCTGATTGAATCCAAGCACCCAACAAATTCTATCCTGAAAACCTTGATACTGAAAATCATGGATGCATTCAGTTCCTTGTGCGGGAATGGACTAGCCCAAGCTCGAGATCCTCAAATTAGCCTTTGGATCTGTCATAGTTGTAGACTCGGGTTTCTTGAGAAATCAGGTGTTGGGCAGCGACTCAGTTTCTTGACCCGCTGTGCATTCCTGCTCTGATGATTACCGAAGGTTCAAGTGACTTGCTGACTATCTCTCTCGTAGATCTGGATGCGGACATGTGTAGTGTGCAAAGCTCCTCATGAAGATTTTGCCTTGGGTGATTGCGGCAGTCCAGCATGACGGTGTACATCCAGATTGCATCTATGTACAATTCTGAGCCATTCACGAATCACCAGTACCATCTGAAGAGAGTATTTTCTCACAGAATATTGAAGATAGTGAATTTCCGATGAGTCAAGTTTGAGCTGTGGAGATGACAACTGGCCCAATAGTATATCGTCGAACTGACATCTCAGGTTCATTCTACGGGATTCAGCAACAGCATGCCAGGTCCAGAACGAAATGTGAGATGAAAATGAGATAAGGATCTGATGGCCACGTTCAAAAGTTCTATATACATATTGTGAACTCCGTACATACATCGGAGTCTCTCTCTACCCCTGCCAAGAACGGACATCCCTTCTCCACGCCGGCATCTCCACCTGCAACCTGCAGAAGCACCAGCTCTTGATGAGTGGCTCAAATATATGAACCTGAGAACTCACCTGTTTAAATCGCAGGATTCCAATCGGAGAAAAGGGAAATTTCTCCCACTGACCAACTGGACGTGTCAGCTGAGAGTCACTCTCAAGAAACAAGGGACATGAATGACTTACCCCCATCGCCCAGCGATCAAGCCACCATGTGCCTGGCGCGACGTTCTGTTCAGCTTGTTTGGTCCTATATGGACTTCCACGGCTGAGCCAATGGAGTCAGCGTGAACTATATGTTGGGGTGACACGTCCCTCTCATTCTCTCATTTCACAAAGAATGAGCTGAATCTGGGCGATGTTCCCACCAACCAACTATCATCGTTAGTTAGGCTCGGAGTGAGTGTGTGGGAACTTACCCCCATCGCCCAACCAAAAAAGCCACCATACGCCTCGCGCGACGTTCGATTCGGTCTGGTCCTAGATGTTTTCCACGGTCGAGCCAATGGAGTCAGCGTGAGCAATATGTATGGGGTGACACGTCCCTCTCATTCCATGAAGAAAGAACTGAATCTGGGCGACGTTTCCCGCCAACCAACTACCGAACAAAGGTGCGTTAAGCTCGCGATGATGGTACCTTGAGTGAGTAAAGACTTACCCCTGTCGCCCGCCTATAGAGCCACCATACGCCTCGTGCGACGTTCGGCTCGGTCCGGTCCGGGGCGATGTTCCCACCAACCAACTATCATCGTCAGCTAAGCTCGGAATGAGTGTGTGGAAACTCACCCCCATCGCCCAACCAAAACGCCACCATACGCCTCGCGCGACGTTCGGTTCGGTTCGGCCTGATCCTAGATGTTTTTCACGGTCAAGCCAATGGAGTCAGCGGGAACTATGGGTAAGGGTCGATACGTCCCTCTCATTTCATGAAGAAAGAGCCGAATCCAGGCGATGTTTCCCACCAACCAACTGGACCTGTTAGCCGGAAGTTGGAAAAGAAACAAGGGGCTTGAGGAACTTACCCCCATCGCCCAGCCAAAAAGCCACCATGCGCCTCGCGCAACGTTCAGTTCGGTTCGATTTGGTCTGGTCCTAGATGTTTTCCACGGTCAAGCCAATGGAGTCAGCGTGAACTATGTGTAGGGGTCGATACGTCCCTCTCATTTCACGAAGAAAGAGCTAATCCGGGGCGATGTTTCCCGCCAACCAACTGCCATGTTATGGTTAGTTAAAGTCAGAATGACTGCCAGGTAAGTAAGAACTCACCCCCATCGCCCAACCAAAAAGCCACCATACACCTCGCGCGACGTTCGATTCGGTTCGTTCGATTCGGTTCGGTCCGGAGCGACGTTTCCCACCAATCAGCCAGCATATCCTTGTTAGTTAAAGTCAGGATGAATGGACAGAGACTTACCCCCGTCGCTCACCCATAGAGCCAACATACGCCTCGCGCGACGATCTGTTCGGTTCGAGTCGACGTTCCCGCCAGCCAACTTGAAAGAGGTCAGTATATGAAGTTTGAAAGATCCTTGAGAATTACCTACCCCCGTCGACCTCCCAGAAAGCCACCATGCGTGCTGCTGCTGCTGCTTCTGTCGATGATCTGTGAAATATCAATGGTAGAATCCGAAGATTCAAAAAAAAAATCAAACAAAACAGAACAAACCCAGGGAAACGGCAAAAGCCTCGCAAACAGCAAAAGCCTCTCAAGAAACAAAACAAAAAGCAAATTTTTGGGGGGGGTTTTGAAATTTTCATAATTCTTTTCAGTGTCTTGCGGTTTTTTGGGGAAAAATAAAAAAAGCAACGCAAGGGAAAACAAACAAAAGGAAAATCAAAAGAGCTTCGACAGCAGGTATGAAACTCCGAAGCTCAGAGCCAACACACCAATAACTCCCCCAATGGTAGGAGTGGGTTGACTGGCGACCTCTCCGAGATTCTTATGACTCGGCTCTGAGTGGTCCTCACACTCTGACTGCCTCTGCTCGTCAACCAACGGTGGATGTTCAGTCGCTTGAACCTGTTTCTTGCGCGGGATACGTTTGAAGACATGGTGTTTGCGGTCAATCCAACGAGAGACGGTGCGAACACTTGATGCTCCGAAATGCACTCGAGACAAGCAACCGCAGCGGACAGAGGATCCCTTCAGGATCCCCTTCAGGGCTGGGGGAGGAGGAGGAGGGGGGGGAGGGAGGCGAATACCGACCTTGGCCTATTGCCTTGAAGTACGCGGCCGCCGAGAGGCTCTGTACAGACAAATCCTTACCAGAGGGTGCAGCACCAGAGAGGGGGAGGGGGGAGGGGGAGGAGAGACACAGACCTTGGCCTATCGCCATAGACGAATCCTTACCAGAGGGTCGAGAGTCACGGAGGCGCTGCATACCGGGGAACCAGAATCCAGGCGGGGGAGAACGAGGCGGAGCTGCAACCACCTTGGTGGCGCAGCGCAAAGCTGGCGTGTACATGGATGGACGAACCATCGTGTACGAGAGAGAGCAAAATGGGGGAGCACAAGATAGAAATGCCAAAAGCTATGAACGATGTTCTCAGCAAAAAGCAAAACGACCAAACGACGTGGGGAGGAAAAGAAGGAAGAAGAGGAAAAAGAGAAGGAGGGAAGATAAACAACACGACCGCGACAGAACCAGGGGAACAGTGGAGCAACCATAGCAACGGCGGTTCCAAATTTGGGACGACAAAAACAGAAACAAAGAATATGAGATGGGGAAGGCGCGCGCGCATTTCAACCTTGGAACTTCCGGTCCACGATGGTTATTGCTGTTTGTAAACACCAAAACATGACACCTGTGGCAGGGACAACCTAAGTCTGTTATTGTCAGGATGACTACGTTTCATGTGATCTCATCATGAACACCTGGGCAATTGACTACAATACTACTAACATTTTGCATATTCACAATCACTTTCAGATGAAAACCAGCTTACCTTGTGGGAATCCAGTCATATCAAAATGAGGTGACCACGAAACAAAGTAATCCACTCAACCCCATTTTAATAGAGCAATCCAACATGACTGTATGCCCATCTTGCGTTAAACCCTAACTTGAACCTCCAGGGGCTTCAATTAAGTTACATAATACCAAGCTTTCTGCATATCAAGATCATTCAAATGCTGTACCAGTGACCACATTTCATTATACTCTATCTACATACTCCTTACCCTCAATCGGGTTACCAAGAGAACTACCATGAACTAGAATACCACTCTATGGGCATGTGGGCCTTGTATTTCAAACAGATCCAAGTATAATCTTACTAACTCCGAGTCCAAATCGTGAGTCTCTCGAGCTTACAATTTCAAGTTAGACATGGAATAATGTGCAGGTTTCTGAGTCACTATTTAAATTGTTTTCGAATGCTCGGGTTGGTAGCTACCTGCACTCAGGCTGCAATGTCCGAATTCGAGTCAAACATTGTGCGTGAGAATATTGGAGTATATATCACCTGTCCACAGACTCATTTTGAAGTTCCAACTTTTGAACTTGAAGGTTTAAAGTTCAAAGGTTTGAATGTTTTTAGTGCCAGTGCTCACTGGGACAACTTGAACCTCGGGTTGGGGTTCGAGTCATGGTTCAAGTTGAGTTAGCTCGAGTCTGGAGAGCTTGAACGGAATCTTATATATCCGTGCACTCAAGTGCTCGCATTAACTCTGAGTCTGAGGTTCAAGTTATTTCCAGCAAGCATATTCCTACTTCAGATTAAAAGGGGAGTTCTCCAAGTTCAAATTTTGATCGTGATGTCGGCTGTTTAAATCAATTGATATTTTCAAGTAACATTTGAACATCTACATCTGCTGCCTATCTAGGTGTGTATACTTCAATGTTCTAAACTGTGATAATGAGATATGTCTGATGACGTCATTGGCATACAAGTGTATCCCATTATGCAGTCAGACTCTTAACTCAGGTAGTACGGAGTAGATATCAAGGATTTTCCGCTTCATCTATTCTACTAATTCTTGTCCTAATTTCACAACTAATTTCACAAAAATCATAGGATTCCATGATTGATCACAATAACAGGAAATCAAACAAGCCACAAGCGGAAGAAGGAAATTGCGGACCGACAAGCCGTGCCGCCAACTGACTACGAATCACCCATCAAAGGTTTTCCTCAACTTGCGATTGCTGTGGCATGTCAATATTCTTGATGCCGTATCTGCACCCTTAAAGCAGCAGCCCAGCATGACAGAGGAGGATCTTCTGTTGAAGCTTCGCACGACGATCAAGTACGTGCACCTGCTGATCCTTCCCGCTTCTGTCTTACCTTAGTCTAACATGTTGCAGGGAACCTCATGCAGCCATCCATCGTTTGAACCTCTCGCGAATCGCCCTCTGTGTGCCTCCGCAGGTTGACAGACCTACCCTTTACGCGCTGGGTATATCGCGCTACGCTGAGATCTTCTACGGATTGGAAGAAGAGTGGGTCGCGTTTATTGGGGACCCGTCTGATTGGATCGATCAAGATTCCGATCATCGTATCCCCTCATGTCTGCAGGACAGAACAGAGCGCGTCAGAGCTTTGCTCCGCCAACTTTACTTGCCGGAACTCCTTCGCACTAGATCTCTCCGGGCTGATCTAGCTTTTCTTGAGTCTATGGATCCCGCAAATATGGAATTCCTTCACGGTCACAATGCTGGAATGGATGTGAGGAAATATCTTCATCAGCTTGTCGCGAAGACGCCGCACCTTCTCGTGGCATGGATTTGGATCCTTTACTCTGCTATTTTATACGGAGGACGAGAGATTCGCGCTCATCTTATCAAAGCGGGCCCACAGTTCTGGGATCTCTCTGCAGCGGAAATTAAAGCGAAGCGGACGCCTTGTCCGCTTTCCTTCTGGCATATCGAGGATGATACCGTCATCAAAACAAAATTCCGGTCGCTGATCACACGTGTTGATTGCTTGCTGACTCGAGAAGAACATCAGGCGATCCTCGATGAGTCGCTACAGATATTCCAAAAGCTTGAGCAGCTAACGTTAAGTTTAGATGAGGAGGCGGAAGGTTTCCCACGGTAACTGATGGGTATCGCATTGAAGTTTCTTTCATGATTCATGACTTGGAATTTTTTGTCACGTTTTGCCGATATGAATCTGGCAATGAAGCATTCTGAATTAATGTACTATAGATTTTTAGATTTTGATGACACAAGCATACAGCGCACAATTTCATCGCATGATCGGACTTCCAAAAGACTTCTGGTCTCATGACAGTCGTTGGTCTAATAATAATACCCCAAGCAGACTTATCGATCGTAGCATTAGATAATATTTTATTACAGTGAAGGTTACATTATTCAAAATCATGCATTTAAAAAATTCTAACGAGCGTCTTCGCATAAAATCATACTGTCATAACTCCTTCCAACGTTATAATAATCGCTCCATACCATTCCACAAATGGATTCGAGGAGTTCCACACCAAGCAGCCAATCTAGCAGCCAAGTTCTCCGTGATCGTTGCTGATGCAGTTGTCTATAGTATTATCGAATTAGTTTCGACGCCTCAATACTGCACCTGGATCATTAACTTACTCAGATCAACATGAGCAGAGACGAAGCGGTGATCATTATCCGCGTTGCAGCACATACACTCCAGCTCGTTGTTACCCCGAATGCTACAGTTGATACAAGATGCTTGGTAGTTTCCACTAAAAGATGTTAGATGTGAAAATATTCAGTTCATGTCTCGCAACTCACTTCTTTCCACACTGCAATAAGTTAGCATTTGTCATGAAACTATTGGGAGTTTTTCATACCTTGAGTGATCCCTTCCCATTCTTGATGCATCGGTTCAAGTCCAGAGTAGAAGCTTGGAGCTCTCCATTTTCATTGACACGTCAATTGGCTCGAAGTGTTGAACCATAAGCTTGAACATTCTCGCAAGTTTCGGCGACTTGGAGGCGCCTGAGACAGCAATAACGAAGAGGGAGAGCATCCTGAAGCTTTTCAGAGAGAGTTGCATGATGCGTTGAGGTTGTTTCTAAGGTTGGATATGGGATGGTTGGCGAGAGATTCTGGAGATGTAGCTGAGACTCGGCGTGTCGTAGAACTGGCTGTATAGATACTGGAATAGATTCCGAAAGGGCATTTTCCACCCTATTTATAAGCTTCTCAAGTTTGGAGAGACCTGCTGATGTCTTAGATAGAAGATTCAGAATCAACTCCGACTTTTCGAGATCCGATTACCCGATAAAATCCATCCAGAGCCTCCTGTGCTCCTTGCTTGGAGTCATTGCCTCGCAGACTGTTGTAAGTCAGTTGAGGTCATAGTGCATTCTACTGGGCTAATATGCAGGTGGTTGATTATGGTTCCAAGGATGGTTGATAGCTGAATTGATCACAGGTTTTCCTCTCAACAGAGACCAGATGGGAGCGGGGAAATTCGAAGCACACAATCTGAGATTCGAGACGCAGAATGCTTAGGTCAATGAAAGAATCCACTGCATTTTCGTTGACCGTGAGCTCCAGTATCCGGAATAGAGCTAGTTGTCGCAGAAATTTTTGATTTTTCGTTCAAATGAAAGCACTACAATCTCCGATCGGCGATATCTCATTTTGCGGCGATCAATCCACGATCGCATTATTAAGGGGTATGCACATCACATGGAGATCCCCGCGAGGGTAGACGGAGAACTGCAAAAATAAGTTCCATCACGACGATTCCCCGAAGATGTTACCTCATCCCTTCAGCAAAGTCAATGGTGCTTAATGTTGACGCTTTGACAGCAAGATCGGCGTCGCTGCGTGGTGAAGCACGACATCTGTCGTCTATCCTTGCTTTAGGATTCCCCGCGCTGACCTGTCTTAGAGAAACCTGGAATGTCTTCGATTGGACATAGCTCTATGAGGCTTTTCCATTTGTATTATCCCTTGATTGAGATTTCGGATGCGTCCTCCGGGAGAGGATACCACTTTCAGTAATTCAGGCCATCATCTGGAGTAACAAAAACAAGAATGATGGAAATTGTTTTTGTTTCACCGCGTCTTTTGGCTTCCAACCAGGAGAAGTCCCCCTTGACAACATACGGTGTATTTTTTGACGAAGAATCCTTCGTCGCAAAGTTATGAGCCTGACTTTCTCTGCAAAAAGCGAGGGCGAACCGCTCAGATAACCTTGATCAGCATATCCGCGACTGAAACATGAAGCATCATACCTGAATGCCTTGTCAATCTTGGAATAATGGTCGGCCTGATGAAGATATTTAACCCAGTCAGCCAGAACTAACTTAATAAGGTTTCTAATTTAGCCGTTGAGCTACGAATAGTGAATCACCAGGGGTTTCACTTTCACCTTGGAAATGGTTGTCTCCTTGCCCAAGGAGGTCAAAATCGAGATCCAAGTTAGAAAGTCAACAATGAATCCAAGTGTTCAACACTTTGAAATCAATGACATGACGCTCTCACCTGTCTCATTACCCAACAGGTTGCTCAAGTTGCTCCATTAGTAACTCAACCTCGGAGTAAGTGCCGTGCCCTACAGAATCCGGGGGAGGGTCTATACCATGTGGGGCGCCTTGCTAGCGTTCGAATCCAGCCTCGCTTCCACATGTGGCTTTGAACGGCAAACCAGTTAAAAGTCTCGGCATCTTACTCAAAACGATTTAGACACTTTTCCTCTCGTATAAATAACGCCATCCGAGTTCAACAACCAATCGCTTCTAAATACCCTGTGACTTAGACCAAATCAGTCAAGTGTCTCTCCTAATTCAGCTTCAAGAACTGGCTAAAGATCAAGGGGTGACCGTATCCTTTCTCTTGGGTCGATTTACGAGCTTGAGATTACTTTAGGCTGAATATGATTCATGATCTGTGGTTTGCTGAGGGTGGAAAGCACTTGATAAAAATTAGAGTGGAAACTGCATCCCCATATATCGGATGAAAAGGCCGCGGGATTAGTCTAAGCTTATTCATTCCCCACTATTCGACACTTGACATCTGACAGGGTCCAGGACCCTTGAAATATGAATTTATCCTATTTTGCCGCGGACTGGAAGCAAAATGGTGTGATGCTTGATTTACCTGCAGGCTTAAATACTCCGAAAATGCCCACTCTTGAGACCATTGCTAAAAAACTGCTTGGCGCAAAGAGTAACTGTTTGGGTATTTGCGAGAACGAGATTTCAATCGAATCTTCCAGATAAGAGCCAAAATGGGAAAAGACACATTTCAGCTCGCTGGCCAGGAATGGCCAAAGGTAACCTGGTGGAGAATGAAAGGCATGCGCTTCGTTTATCTGACATTGTGGGCGGCGATGATCACGTCTGCCACTAATGGTGAGCATTGGCCTTGAGTCGTTAAGGAGTTTGCCATACTGATAGTTGCAAGGTTACGATGGATCCTTGATGAACGGACTGGAGTCCATTGCCTCATGGAACGAATGTGAGTATTCCATTCATTCTCTCTGTCGATGTGAACTAATTGATTGACTGTCTTCTAGCTTATAACTATCCCCAAGGAGCGACTCTTGGTCTTCTTGCAGCTGCGATGTCCATCGGCTCAATGCTCTCCATTCCAGTTGTGCCTTATATTGCAGATGTATGGGGTCGTCGTGCTGGAGTCGTCATTGGCTGCATCATCATGCTGTTCGGTGTCGCGATGGTCTCAATTGGATATCGTGTTGCGCTTTTTGTGGTCGGTCGCGTGGTCTTGGGTTTTGGACTCGGAATCGCACAGGTCAGCCAGACTCCCCTGTCGGTGATGAGATCGGGCACTCACAAATATTGTACAGGAATGTTCGCCTTTGCTGGTCACTGAACTGGTCCATCCTCAACATCGAGCGGTTTACAGCAGTATCTATAACTCACTGTGGTATGTTGGAAGTTTGATTGGTGCATGTGTGGCTCTAGGTTAGTTTCTATCCCGGCAGTCTCCAGACAGCCTCTCACGTCAAACTCGCAGGTACAAATCACATCCAGGGTAGTGCGTGGGCGTGGCGCGTGCCGTGTCTTCTGCAGGGTATCCCATCAGTCTGCCAGCTCGTCTTAATCTGGTAAGATTTCTTCCCCGCTTCTCCTCCAGTTTCGGATAATAAATTGACCCTTAATAGGACTGTCCCTGAGTCGCCGCGATGGCTTATTTCGAAAGGCAGACTGGAAGAAGCCAAGAAGGTGCTTGCTTACGTCCATGCTCAAGGTGACGAGGACGATGCACTGGTGAATGTGGAATTCGATGAGATCCAGCAGACTATTGCGTTGGAGAAGGAGCTTGAGAAGAATAACTGGTCTGAGTTTTGGTCGACTTCTGGAAATCGACACCGCTCAATCATTCTCATTTCCATCGGCTTCTTCTCGCAATGGTCTGGCAATGGAATTGTGTCCTACTTCCTTCCTCAGGTATGACCTCACAATCCAATGTTCTTAATACCCTACCCAAAATAAAAGCTAACGGCTCAGGTCCTGAAAATGATCGGAATTACCAACAGTAACACTCAACTCACGATCAACCTCATCCTCAGCGCTGTCAATGTCGTGTCGGCGACCGGTATCTGTTTCTTCGTCGATTATTTTGGCCGTCGGAAGCTCTTCCTCACTTCGAGCGTTAGTATGCTACTCTGCTACATAGCCACAACAATTGCGCTTGCCCGATTCGAGGAGGACACAACAGGCACAAATAACGCTGCGGCTCACACGGTGATCGCATTCATCTTCCTCTACTACATTGCCTATAACATCGGCTTCAGTGGCATGCTCGTCTCTTACTCCTCAGAGATTTTACCATACCGTCTTCGTGCCAAGGGCCTGACTCTGATGTTCTTCTGTGTTGATCTCAGTCTTTGGTTCAACCAGTACGTGAATCCGATCGCTCTCAAGAATATTCAGTGGAAATACTATCTGGTCTACTGCGTGTTCCTGGTTTTTGAGATTTTCATTGTCTGGAAATTCTATATTGAGACTAAGGGAATTCCATTGGAAGAAATTGTGAAGAAGTTTGATGGTGACCGAGCTGTTCTTGGTGGAGCTGCAGCTTCTGAGAAGATCCAACAGCTTACTGAAGAGGCTCGTGAGGCGGGTGCTTATGATGGGGAGAAGGCAATGAGTACACAGGTTGAACTGAGGACTTAATTCAGAAGTCCTCGGTATCAAATTCTGGATAAGGTCGTGGTCATGTGTGTTTTAACGGCATTAATTTGAATTAGTATTTGAACAATCCTCGTTATTTATTCCAAAACTTCAAATTAAGTTCCCTTGTTCAACATGTAAGAATTTCCATCTTTTCAAATGACTACGTATGGGCTCCAAATGAGTACCCGGTCAGTCTCGTCCATGCGTTCTCCCACTATCTCATTGCATATTCATCCTCAATCATGAAAACTTGAAAGAATGCCCCACGATCCCTCATCGACGAAAGGTCCAGATCTAGAATTGTCTTCCCAGCTGAGCCCAGGCCTTTTGTCTACCCCTCAGTGGGACAACGAAACAGTTTCCACAGTATCCATCTTTACCGAAAGATCCTCCGATGCGGGTCTTGTTCGTTGAAAACATCGTCGCCTGTGGACTGGAGCACTTTGAGGGTATTATAAATGGCTATTCATACAAATCAGCCACGGGGCTATGTCATATATATGGAGTCTTTGCCCCTCTTTGGAGTATAATATATTTTTTTTCTGGGTTTCTACTGCATTGTGCACTGAGTGGGCCTTGTTCAGTGTATGATTCATTCCAACTCAATTGAGCATCAAGACCTGTGGCTTTTTGAACAGCCTGAGGTACTTCCCCGGCTATATACACCGGCAGTTCAAGCTCAATTCTTTGTTGGACATAGGAACACCACATGTGTGTATTTTGTGCGCAAGCGAGGTATGAAAGAAACATAACAGTAAATATGCTACTTCCAATCATCGCTTTGTATACTTGACAGAGAGCCAATAACGTACAACATTTGAATTCTGATCATGGTTCAAGCACTGAAGCTGAGGTGAGGCCGCGTACTACAAAGAAGAGAATTATATATCTTAACCAATCAGAATCTGTAAAATTTCGACAAAATAGTGGATCGTCAGGGGCTACTTTTTATTGGTGCTAGCGTAAGCCATTCTGATTGAGCTACTTTAATTGGTTTATTTCTACCAATATTCTCCACTCTATCTTCAGCACAGACCAATGTATTGCTTTTTTCTCTTTTTTTCTTCTTTGCCCCTGGACCACAGTTGACGTATCCATGGTGAAACAGGTGCCACGAGTCGCAGAAGTCCACGTAAGTGTCTTTTCTTGGATGAGTCGAATCTTGTACGCTTTATGGAGTAAATTTTCTCTCCGCTCATGGATACGTTTTTTGTAATATGAATGAATGGCTCCAGCAAGAACTAGGTCTAGAATTACTGATAGGATTGAACGGTTAAATGGCCGAGTCTAGCATAGTCCAACAATCAAATTTTTCATAGTCCGAAATAACCTACGCTAGCCCTGGATTCACCGGTAAGAATAAGCCGGAGAACAACGGGATCGTTCGTCGTGTCCATTGCCGACATTTACAAGTCCCACCCAAGTCCAGCCCATTGTTAGCCCCTAGGTTTTTCTTTAGAATAAAAACTTTAACTTGCGTGCCCACCGTGCTAAAAAGAACCCCTAGTCTGTTTCATCTAGACCTCCCCCTCCTAACGCATCGTTAGATGTGTGTTGCCATAAAAATGAAGCCGAGAAATGGATATATGCATCCCGAGGTCCGATTCCAAATGTGAAGGTTACTGCAGGATGTACTCCGTAGTTTTTAGTTTGTACTCCGCACCGTGCATCATATCTACCCGAAAAGCCAAATTCTCAGTCCATTTATCTCTTCTTTTCCCACCGTGAAAATAAACCAATAAGCACCGTAGATGTTCCAGAAGGGCCGACTGGATTGACGTGTGGCTACGTGGACCTAAGGCGCAAAATAAGAATCAGCGATTGGCGCTGTGGAGACCATACGGAGCCCAACGGTGGGAACCACGATTGGTTCGCTTGATCTCCGGGGTCAATTGGAGATCTGAGATCGCAGAAAAAATGTCCAATTCGCTCATATGTTCATTCGGTTCCTTCCTTTTTCTCCTAGTGGGTCTTTTTGGTCTTTTTGACTCGCGGTGCCTTGACGTAGACTCAGCCCTGGAACACACTCCTATGGATGACCCATCCAGGAACCAGGCACAAATGTTTGTGACTGGTTACCCAATGCCACATGGACGTTCCGAGAGGCAATGATGGCGTGGCACACCTCTCAAGCACTTCAGTGCGATGGGTATATATACCTAACCTGTGAACCCGCTTGAATCTGTTTTGCACTCATCACACCACATTCTCTTCTCCATACATTCTTTTTTTTTCGCAGAAGGCTAGTACTTCTCGACATTCTTTTACATCATTGTCTTGTCTCCGGCACTTTTTTTACCGAGTCAATCTTTTTACAATCAAAATGTTTTTCTCCAAGTCTTTCATGCTGCTGGCAGCCCTTACCACCGGCGCTCTGGCCCGCCCTGAGGGCATGGCCCGTCGCCAGGCTGATGCTACTCCTACCTCCTCCGCCTCAGGCTCCTCTTGGACTGCCACTCAAGCCAGTGGCAGCTACTCCACCGCCGGCTTCGGTGCCAGCACCTCCAGCTCCGGCTCCGGCGACACCTACGAGGGCAACGTTGGTAGCCCCTACGGCAGCAACATCATCGAGGTCTCCGAGTCCGAAGCTAGCTCTTACGAATATGTTGTGCAATTCACCGGCTCCAACACCGACGACTGGACTGTTGTTATCTGGAACAAGTACAGCTCTGATGGTACCATGGACGGCTGGTACGGCAACGCCTGCAAGAACTTCACTCTCGCCGCTGGTGACACTGTCTATTATGCTTTCGACAGTGACTCCCAGGGTGGCTGGGCTGCTGCTGAGGGCTCCACTATCCCTACCAGCAGCTACGGTGCTTACGCCGCTACCTGGGGTGAATTCGACTTCGGTTCCTCTGTTAACGATGGCTGGTCTGGTTTCGATGTCTCTGCTATCCAGGCTAATGATGCTGGTTACTCCGCTCAGGGCATGCAGATCTGTGATGCTTTGGAAACTTCTCTTTGCTCTTCTATCACTACCGATGAGGGTACTATTGACAACGCTTATACCTCTTCCAACAGTGCTGAGGGTGGTATCGGTGGTAACCTCTCCGCTGGTCCTGTCCGTCTCGCTGTCACCATTGACTATTCCGGTTAAACATTTTACCAAAATCTCTGAAACAACTATTCGTGTCTCATTGATCTTATGACTTTCCTTGACGAATTTCAATTTATGTGTGATGGGCGTCTAGTTGGTTTGGTTTCTTCTTCTCTTCTTGTATACATTTGTTGGACATCTGTATATACGAGAATGAGGCTGGCCCTTTTCTTACCACTTGATGTGTCTCTCTTTTTATCATACCAAATACCAATCTGGATTCCAAAATTTTCAAATTGAATCTCTCAATGTAACTTGTGACGTATATCGTAGAGTATCGCAGCCCAACTCGCAACTGGGGTAGAATGGTGGCAATGACCGCGCGATTGCGGAAGCAGAAGGGGAATTGCTCCTGCCCACCAAGGCAATTCATGCAAGTATTATTGCCAACCTGCACTTCACCAACAATGATACAAAGTGTAGCCTCAAGCTTATAATGGTCATCGTGTAAGAAATCCTCCAGTGTTTCAGGGAGGTAATTGCGTTTTGCGCGCAGCTGCAGCTCTCGCTGGGGTGAGATATGGCTGATTTCCATTAAAGCCTTTTACTTGAAGACATGAGTCTTCTTTGCTGAGCGATAGTTCAAAGAGCTGATTCGTTCGGCTCAAGGGCCAGGTGGAAGTCTTGCGGTTGGGGCGCCGGATTGAATTTCTGCCAAAACAGAGGCTGGGCCAAGGATATGGACGGCGACAGGACCTGCTTGACTATTGTGGCTTTTAATTACTATTCTGGTCTTCAGACACTGGTAAATCAGTAAGATAGAACTTACAGATGCGCCATCTTTAATGAGGATCAGGCCCCGGGGACTGGTGTGATCGAAGCAAGAGATATGGAGAAGATCTGACCTGCTAAGATCAAAGTGAGGGAATAGTGGGGAGATTAGGATTGCTAATACTGGAGTAAGAGATGTGGAGAGACTCAGTTGTGAAATAATAGTCGAGGAGTGAATGGTGGTAGATTTGAAAGATCGTATCCATATAAGATTTGCGATCTAGGAATATTTATAGTAAATTCTATAGTAGTAGTAGGTCAAGTCCTAGCACCGTGCTTCGCGCGGCGCTATATGTAGTCGGAAAATTGGAAAATTATGCACCTGGCTATGAAGCTCTGTTAAATGGTAAAGGGTGGTGGGAAATAATGAAGTGAATGTTGGATGGAAAGTAAGAGAGCTCAATTCAAGTTGAAGATGATTTCCTGAGCTCTGAGTAATGATATGGGATGGTTTTATATATGTTGGAATCATGGTGGTCAAAATGTGTGATATAAAAAAAGCTCAGTAAGACAACTTCAGTTTCTTCATAATTCCCACACTCATCGAATCTCTTGAACACCCGTTTTCTTTCGATATCCTCTGCTCTTGACTTCAATTTAGCCCCTCTTGATCAGGTGTGACGCATATCGTTCAACTGTGTGGACTTCCAAGGTATTATCGAATTCTAGCGTGGTATTTCTTCTTCTAATAGTACTCAACAGGTGAACAATGAATGAACTTTACGAGAAGCTCCTTCAACCCGATTACTTTGACTGGAGTGAGGAATTCAACGACGATAACGATCTACACGACGTAATGAAGATGACTGAATATGCTGGAGATCAAGTCACCCAGAGAACCCCTGGAAAGTCCAACTATCAAGAGGACTCGAGCGACAGATCATACGAAAGGAGCGACACAGGCCACTCCGATAGCCACACCTGCTCTTACCAGACTCAACAGAGTCCTTACTGTGTCCTATGCGTGGAAAGTGCGATTGATGTTGAATTCTCATGTCGTGAATTATCCACGGATCGTGATGATGAGATTCATCATTATAATTTTCATGGTGAGCCAGTGAATGTGCAGAGTACCACATCTGCAGAAGAATCACTGGTCATCATCCTCAGCACGCCGAAGGATGGTTTTAAGCATAAAAAAGGCCTACTTATGCGGTCTCTGCTGAATTGTGCACATGTGTTCTTGGACCCTGTGATACTGTTTCTTGACCAAAATGACCAGGTGCTAAAACTACGCGGTACCGCGTTGGTGGATGCAACTGAAGGGAGGGTGAATAAGTATTACTCTCCCCATGGAACGTGGTTCTCAGCAGAAGTGGTCAAGGAGGAGATAGTGCTAGACTATGGAGATCAGCAGCAATATCGAAATGCTAATCTCGCGGTCGCAAATGGGTTTTAGAACTCTGAAAAAATCAAAGAGCAAAGAATTTTGAATGAGCAAGAGAAATTGCGGGTGAGAGATAAACGTCGCCCTCTTAAGATGTCCTGGAAGCCATCTGCATCCTCATTGAAGGAATCTTGGGAATGATATGAGCAATCGCCCCATCTCGTGTATTGCGTCAATATTTATGACTCCTTCACAATACTCCTTCGTCTCGCAATTCTCGCCATCTATTCAAGTTTATCCTCTGACTGCATCAAAATACCCACCCAGCCTGGAGATGGTAAATATTACTCACTGCCCAATTGAGAATCTGGAATATCTCTTCTTCTCTTCTTTCTCTTCTTGGCCGGCGAGATGTGGTTTATGTGGTCTCGTGTGATCGCAATGTGAGGTCTTCCTGAGCTTCAACTGAAGCCTTCTATCCCCTCAAGAGGCTCAGTAAGACCAATGATAGTTGCAAGATATCACCTCAAAGGGAACCGCAGCCGGCAAGGCCTCGCGATATAAAACCACATTCGAAGCAACACAATGTTTCTCTTCTTCACAGCACTCCGCCGCAATTTCCGTAATCTACCTGCCGTGACGGCAGAGAGTGTCAATAAAACGGGCTGCTGGCAAATATCTGGAAGTCCTGCAGAGCTAAAAAGCTAAGCCGGACAGGCTGGTCTCTCATCTACGTTGCGTACACAGCTCAACGGATGGTCTTTCCAAACATTGCTATAAATCTATGGAAGATATGGAGCAGTGTGGAGTTCTTTGAGAAAAGTAAATAAATTTATCCTACGTATGATTGGCCTCCCTAGCGAGAGTACCCTGGTATGAGGCCTTTGATCACAAATTTGCCGAAGATTGCAATGCCTACCCCGCCTACGTTGATTATGATGGAATAGGGCTACTGGTGGGGGATAAATTTATGATTCCCTAGGCGTAAGGACATCCATGTTCAGATGTCATTGCCCAAAATCTTGAACAGATATCTCGCATGGTATCAATCATGGAAGAGAAAGCCATTGGATACCATAGGACCGTACTAGCACCTGCTAGTCTCCACCAGGGTAGAGCAACAAGACATTCTAAACACAGACTAATTCTGACAGAACCTGCACTGAGCAAAATGACGATACCAATCACTATGAACAGCGTATATGCTCATCCTGTGAATGAACTGCGCGCAAGACCTTTACTTTGGGCCTTTGCGACCTACTTCCAAAGGTGCTCTTTTTTCTTTGTTTCGCTCCATTACCAGAAGCCTCATTCGTGCAATCATTGCTATTATGCTACCCCCTTCACCTTTATTTCTCTCTTCTCTCACAGTACAGCAGATCCATCACGCCAAGAGAGCAGATACGGCCAACACAGTAAAGACAGCATCTCCCACTGGGACCTCTCCCTGGTCTCAAAGAAAGGGGATAGAAAAAAGCAGGAAAACCCTCAGGAACTTATACTATATATTTGATGATGGTTTCATGAATTGACTCAAGACGGAATGGTGGTCATTCTGAATTTCTAAATAAATTCGTATGATCCAGAGCCTTGGAAGCCCTGGGGATATGAGTAGCACTATGGTCAGGAATAATTTAAGGGCCTTCCGTACTCCTTGTTGAAATCTGCCACCTTGGCATTGTATTCTGGTACATTGGGTCAGTTTTCATTCAGAGTCCCAGAGCAGTTCATAACAATGAAGGGACAAAAGGAAAAATATCTCACCTTTCATGTCCATTTCATACGTCGGGAGTAAAACCCGCATATCACCGTAGCCCTGCGCCAAAACAAGGCCGTCTGGAGCCTTTGCCTCTATTTACCCAAGGAAGAAAGCAAGAAAGAAATTATGGGAAATATTCTGAACAAACCTGCTGCAAATTCATGGGTAGCCGTTCTGGTACCATCGGCTGTATATGGCTGTGCGTTGTTGGGCCTTAGAAGCAGTTTTCCCAGTATAGGATATGTGAGCCGTGGGTATGGAGCGATCAAGAGTTGTCGTTTCCAACGACTGTACTCCAGAATATCATGAGGAAGCAGTCCACCATGAGACCAGAACCATCTCATTTGATAAAAATCCATTTCAATTTCAGCTTTTTGAAGAAACGTACAAAGCCAGTTATTCATATTCACGGTTTGTGCCGCTAGCTGGAATCCCGTGTAGAATCCGCTTTTGGGAAAAGCGTCCCCCTTTGTACCCCAAGTTCCATGAATACTTCGGAAACGATCTTGATCAACAATGTGGAGAGTGTGACCCAAAAATACAGTAGTGTCTCTTCGGGAGCATATGATGCGCACTGCGAGAGAAAGCACGAAGTGCTGACAGTTGTTTTTGAACAAGTCATATAACCCCATTCGTGATATCACCCATTCTGCAATCTTGTAGATTTGATCCGGGCTGTAATCTGTTTTTCCCAATTGATATGCCACTAGAGGACCAGTTGGGTTCATGCGACGATACTTATAGTTTGCTGAATCTTCATGAGATAGGTCTTCGTCTTTGAGAATTGTTCGTGCGCCATTCAGTTTTTGACGCTTGGATAGATGGTAAAAGTGGCCATTGCAGTATATAGACCAGTGTTATATGGACTGTAACAGGGCGCGGTGAAGGATACTTGGACGAGTAACAGCGTAGACATCGTGAAGTAGTGTTTTTGAGTCGCCCTGATTGTCCTCTGGTGTGGATTCAAACGAACTGTGCGGTTGTTCACGCGAGGAAATAAGATATGAGAACCTAAGGGGGCTAAGCCGGGGTTGCCGCCTGAATAGTATCTGTTTCTCTTCCATAGGCTTTTCATAGATATAAGCCCTAGGAACTTGAGGGCGAGGGGGTGAAACTTGTGAATCTTGCGCGAGGATTTCGGAATTAGAGATTCCCCCAAACACTTCATGATCCATGAATCCCGCGCTATCCGGCTCATGACTTAAACGATGTGGCCCCACTTTCGGTCTATATATCATTCCAGGGTCAAAAAAGGCCAAATCAAAAGTTTTGTCGCCACATTAATATTCTGGGAGGACCGGGCAAATTCTTAGTTTGTCGCGATTTAAGTTAGGCGTTCAAAGTTATGAGTCTTTCTCAAATGTGGCGTAGTTAAATGAGGCGTCCAATAAAATTAAGCCAAGCAGCATGTTTCTCACTCTCGCTCAGCCTTGCATCAACTCTTGGCTCATACTGGGTAGTATTTCATCTCACAGCCCCTCTATTTTTGAATATTTGGTAAGCTGCAAGCTTGGAACGCGACCAGGTATGTTCGTAAAAGTGGGGTCATGAGGAAGGGGCAGAAATATGATGAGGCTCATGAATCATGAAGGGAATGGTGGAACTGAGGGTGCTGTCAATTTACTCCGCATCTGGTCACAAATTCACAACCCCCCTAAGCCCAATCAGAATCGATGACCCTGGAACCTGGGAAATTAAGCCCTGAAGGGCTGCTTCGTGGGTATATGACACCAAAGGCTGAAGTCTCATACTCCGTACTATACACACTACAGTGCTAGCCTTGGAGTAAAATGGAGGTCACAGTGACTCGGAATGAGAAATTTTCAACAATATATTCCTACAACTGAATGAAAACGGTCATGTACCCTTCATTTGCAGCTTCTCAAGGTCCAGATATTGCCTCCAATCGAACATTCGAGTCTATCACCCACTTGTCATAAAAGATTCAGCACTTGAGTTGATAGTTGACCATCCAGTATTGTCACAACTTTATCATGCCCAGGTCGCATGGCACTGACAATTCCATCAACTTTATGGGCGATCATCACAACTGTGTGAGATGAGAGATCCTCAACTAAAATCCCATGGAGGATAGACTCAGTTGCAGGGTCTAGGGAAGAGCTAGCTTCATCTAAGATAACAATGGGCTTTGTCTGTACTTCCGACCATACTCGCAGCAGCATCCGAGATAGTGCAAAGAGTTGCAATTGGCCAGTTGACAGTGGTAGGAATGATGACATGGGCATGTCAAGTATTCTCGTTATTTCCCAATTTTCATCTGGTCCTTCATGAATTTCATGGAGAGAAACTGAACTAAGCCTCTCCCAAAGTTGTGTCCTTTTCAGAGCCCTGATAATTGTCTCTTGGGAGCTTGTGTGATAAGGATCCAGGTTAAGTCGTAGAGTTGCCGTTGGGATATTGAAGCCATCTTGTGGCACTGCTATAATCCCGCGTCGACGCATGGCACGGGAGGAAATTCCAGCAATATCCAAACCGTCTATTTCAATTCTCCCTTCTCTAGGATTCAGAAGCTTAAGTAAAGAAAGCATGAGTGTGCTCTTTCCGCTACCGGTAAAAGCAGTCAGTAAGTCGAATTCCCTAATGTTGAAGGAATTGCATACCTTCCTGTTCGACCCATGATCATAACCTTTTGCCCAGCAGTAATTCGAAGAGAGATATTCCGTAAGGCAAGATCTGTTGATGAAGAGGAGTAGGATACCGAAATATTTTCTATCAGTGTGTTACCCGACAATGGCCACTGTGGCCCTGGATCCAAGGTCTCCCTGTCCTCGTCTTCAATAGACAAAGAATCTTGCACGCTTTTCAATCGAGATACAGCTCCCAAAGAGGTATCTAAAGATGCCCACGATTGTACAAGCTTCAAAAGCGTCGTGTTTGCCACTATAATGAGATTGAGGGCTAATCCAATGTCTGCCCCGGTCGTAGTGTCTCTAGATCCGATTGCGATTGCAATGAGAGTGATCGCGATCAATGCAATTAAGAAATCCAGAACAACCCTCAACCAACATTGCAAACAAAGAAGGAGGTACGAAGGTTTTTGAGAAATATGCAATGCTTGATCAAGTTTCTGCTGGAACTTTTTCTGCCAGCCAAAAGCTCGAATCGTACTTGCACCGTTCACCTAGGAATATTATCAGACCTGATCATGTTATTGAGCTGAGAGATTCCGGGGTGCATACCGTGTCGAGCAAGGTGGTATAAATGAGTGACTTAGACTCCAGATCGAGGAAGCGAAGTTGTTTGGACGTTCTGAGGTAAATCCGTTGAATTAAATATACGAAGATGAAACATATTGGAACCGTTGCTGTCATCAAAGGCTGGACGCTCAGTATGAGCAATACTTGCGCTAGAAGTTTGAAGATCTCTAGTAGCGATGTTCAGCGCAGGAAATACCTTTCGAAATTTGGAAGATAGCAAATCCGAGACTCGGAGCACTTACGGGTGTTTAGGTTGGCAAATGCCGGAGGAAGCTGTTTTTCAATAAGAGATATATCTTGGCTGAATCTAATTGCCTTGTGTTATTAATCGTTTAAAATGTTGATACTTCAAATGGAGATGCCTCACCTATTCAATGTAACGCCAACTTGTGTTTCTGTAAAATATGCAAGAGGCGTCCTTGTTTGGGTTAGTTGACTGCCAACTATTTTTTGATGAGATGCATGATGTAAGACGGACTAACCGGAGAATTCTATCGAGAAGCTGAGCATGGAGCATCTCTCCAGAGCGTATGGCAATCTTGATTTGAGTCGACCTTGATAATATTAACAATTTAGACTGTTACAATATTGTATAGATGAGCCCTACCACATGGTACCATTTGTTGCTATCCATGCGATACCTGATATTGCAGCGTAGAAACACATGTATAGTCGCAGGTCTTCTGGGGGTGCTTCAATGGCCCATTTGAGTATATAATGAGAAAAAGTCAGGGTAAAGGAGTATGTCGCGGTACAAAATGTCATGAGAAGGGCGTTCAAATGGCCAACCGAATTGAGATAGAATCCTGTTTGAATAAACTGTCAATATGTACTAGTAAAATCCAACTTCCATATTCCCAATAAAGGCATAGTACCGTAGACTGCCGTATCGTCGGGCCTTTGAGGTATACCCTTTGCAGCATCATTCGATCGATGAGTCTGACTAGATCGATTTGATCCATTTGATATTGTGATCCGATCACTACCAGAAGATGTCTCAATCGAGAGGGGAGTCGTTGAAAAGGCCTTTGGATCTTCTTCACCGAATGAAACCTGGGTGTAGGCCATTGAATCTTTTAGTGATACTACCTTCTCCGCAAATCGATAGAGTGTTGCTTCATTTGTTAGATGCGCTGCCATATTTATGGACGAACCGGATTTTCAACTCACTTGAGTTACTTGTCAAAAATAGCGTTGCACCCATCCGCTTGAGTAGCTCTCCTGAGCCAAAAAGACCATTTATTACATGATCTCTTACATTTTTGTCAAGCGCACTGAAAGGGTCATCGAGAACTAGAAATTTATATCGAGAGTATATGGCCCGAGCCAGAGCCTTGATGACTTGGTTAATGGGACGGAGCTAGGAGGCAATTTCGAGAAACCCACAATGCGTTGTTTCTGTCCTCCCGATAGATTGATACCATTATTTTCAATCATGGTTTTGTCACCATCAGGAAGCTTTTTGAAGTCAGGAAACAATCCACATGCATCAATGACCGTATTATACCACTCCGAATTTAGATCAACAGCCTCCCCTGATATTATATCGCAGATGCTGGCGGTCGGAAGCCAAGGTTCTTGCGCACAATATGCAATTTGCTTTGATGACACCTGGATGATGCCAGATGATGGTGTTGCCTCTCCTAGTAGGGCCATTGCCAGAGTTGTTTTTCCACTTCCCACAGCACCGACACAGAGGAGCAGCTCATCTTTCCCCATATCTAAAGAGACATTTTGGAGAATGGCTAGAGTTCCTGAAGCGGACTTGATAGTCACATTATTTACTGAAGCAAATTGGTGTATATGGTGTTCGGCTGTGCATTGACGGCTATCCTCGATTGGTGGCTTCGTTAGATAAGACTGCACTCGGGCAAAATTTGCCATTACAGCAACTGCGCGAGGGGCTAAGGTCATAACCATATTCGCTGGGTGTGTTACCATAGCCAGAAGTGCAAGGGAAGAGAAAACTTCACCAGCCTGAATAGGCTCTTCACCGTGTAACAAAGTTGCATATATTATTAACGTGGCAACAGGGGCGAAGATACCAAGCGCATTTGCTGAGGGATTGTTAGAAGGGGGAATCAAAAGATCTTTTAGCTATACGTACCACTTGCATTATATGCCACCAAAATCCATCTCATCCCCTTCGAAGTGTGTAACTCTTGTTTTCTCAAGTATGAAATCTGGGTCTGAATTGCGTCTTCCATGCCCAGCATTTTAAGACTCTTGATGCCACTCAAGGTCGACGTGATAACTGCAATCCGTTTTTGAGTAGCAAGGTTCCAGTCTTTTTGTTTACCCTCCAGGTTTCTAGCGACATAAACACTCATTCTTGAACAGCCTATTAATCTGAGTTAGTTATCTGGGTCTAAAATTGTGATTGGAATACAAGGTGAATTACCGAATATGATGATCAATGGCAGAAACGCAAGCCACCCCACTCGCGCTGTCAGGATGAAAGTTCCAATAATAACTTCAAACAGCTGAGCCCAAGTCTCGTGGAAAATCTCTCCTGATGATTCGATACTTTCAATATCTATTCCTACCAAGGTCAAAGCCTCGGAACCATCAGAGCTTCTTATGGGAACTTTCAGTGAGTGGTCATGGATAAGACTAATCATGCCTGCTCTGATCATGATTTGTAACTGATTCACTCGATGCTGGTAAATCGCTGCGGAAACCTGGAGATTGTTAAATATTAACGCTTCTTCCATATGATAACTTGATAGGCTCATGTCTCTTACTGCCAATCCCATGTAAATGACTGTGGCATATAATACTAAATAGAACCCATCTCCTGAGGATGAGTTTCTGACAAAATTAATTGCAAGGCTAATGAAGATAGGCTGCAGATACCGGAATACAATAAGCGAGAGTCGGGGCAGGATCGGAGATAGAAAAGCAATCTTCAACGAATGCAGCAACAAAAGTGGCAACTTCCACTTGGTGACAGGCTTAGCTTTGAGATATATCAGTCTGATTCGCTTAAAAGAAGTAAATAGTCTCACATCTCGCTGTCCATGCGCCCAGAAGCTTCTGTCGGAGAGTCTCAGGTCGTAGTTTTGAGTGAATTTCAGGTAGACTGTGAAGTGTCAAAGTATTCAGGTACCCTTGCTTAAGCATTGGTAAAACCCAGAAGAAAAAGACTTGACTTAAAAGCCCAGCTCCCTCTTCCGTGGTTAAGGATTCTCGAGTATTTTGATCAAGGCTCGGCCCTTCGACCAGAGTGTGATAGATCAACCAAGCACCTTCCCAGTATGCTTGAAATTTGATTGAGTGAATATTTTCCCACGATAAATTACTGGGTCCTAACATGAACATGATGGTATCTCTCATTAGTGAAAGCGAAAGATAGACAATCAAAGCTTGTCTCGGCTGAAAGCTTCTGTTTTTTTCAAGCAGTGAATTGGCGAGAATTCCGGACGACGCAATAAGCGATATTATTGTGGCGGAAAATATGATGCCTTCATGAAGTTGCGACAAAGACCATACCCTCCAAGTTGCCGTGAGATGAATGATGAAGAAAGTTACTGGGAAGATCTAGAACGCGTCAGCGGTCGGATACTCAGTGACTACCTCGACGGGGAAACCATACCATATCTCCAGTCGCACGACTTTTGAATGTGCACTTTCCGAATGACCTTCGGATAAAATGAATTCTTCGCCATAGTTGAAGAAGAATGGTCAACGACAGAACGATTGTACAGCAGTGTATCCACCATATGCCGCTCAACGGTTGCAAGGTCGACATTTCTCTTCTCTTTCGTTGGCAGGATTGACTTGTCAGAAGGGAGAGGGGTCTGTAATGAGTAGAACAAGAAAAATAGAATTATAACAGTGCAGAATGGGTTCACGGGTCAAATGTTGTAGATGGAAATCAGGAAGCACCTGGGCAGTGAAAGTAATCTGAGCGTCAATACACTGAGGTACGCCATGCATCTTGTTTTGAGTGCGATCGGCCCTTAGTCCGTATAAAATACGTATTGTAAAATGCCAGTGATTGCGCAGGGGCATAGGTGCCAGGGGTTCACATCAATTTATTTACAACTTGGGCCTGAATTGGTGCCTGAATTTGCCCATTTCTGCCTGAGTTTTGACCGGCAGATTATTTATAATACAGAAATACAATTACTGTATTTCAAATTTACTGCGATAGGCAGATATCCAAATACACCCCAAATATTCTTTTTAAATCACTTTTTAAATCACTTTTTAAATCAGCGTCTAAATATTAAAAAGAAAAATGAAATTGAAGCTATCTGGACTAGATCTGGGAGTTAAAAGCTATTGTCGCTAGCTTCGACGCCTAAAGGCAGTACTGGCAAGAGATTGCTTTTAAATGCCCCTAAGGTCACGGGCACTCTTCTAAGGTTTGGCTTTGTTGTGGGGCTGGTGGACTTACCCTGGGGGCTTGAGTTGATGAGCTGTGTATTTATCTAATACAGATTCGTGTAAAGGCGGTAGCCAGGGCGGTATAAAAACCAGGCATCCAGTAGAAATTTCAGGCACCAATTTGGGCCAAAGTCATAAATAATTTGATGTGAACCCCTGGCACCTATGCCCCTGCGCACAGTGATACCCAAGGATCTTCCACTCCGGAATACTCCGGACTACTCCGTAGTTAGTATCATGAAGATTCCGTCTCTGAGACATGTGGCTTTAGTTAGTCAGATGTTATCGCGGACACCACAGCTGCTCAAGGGACCTGATTTTTAGTAGACTGTAAATAGGTGATTACGCGTTCAAATGATCGTTTATGTTACCCCACTGGGGTAGCTAAGGTAGACTAGTGGAGATAGCCCAGATAGGCGCTCGTCCTCCACCTTACAGGTCCATGCCACATTCTATTTTAAGATTGGTGGAGATTAGACCGTAGTAATTACATGCTAAGTCTCACGTAGGGTTTATTTCCGTTATGAATTGTCTGAATCGTTACACCAGCATTGCAACCTTGGAAGTACTACCTATGTATAGGATGGATTTTTTTAAGTTCCTTATTTGCTTACTTGAAATCAATCTACTTTCCGATCCGACTTTGTGACTCGGAGTTCCATATTCCTGACTTTCCCGGTGATAAAATTGCGTTCGGGTCCAATAAATCCTTGATGGTTGTGTTGAATCGCCGAATCGCCGAATCATTAAAATCGAAATGAGATGCCACCTCACCTATATAACTGACGTGTGTCCGGTATTCTGAGTAACCCTGCCCGGCAGCATCTGTCAATAGGTCTCGATACAATCGGTCAATCGCAATTGTTTCTGAAGCCGTATAGATGACCAAGTCGATGCCAATAACATATCGAGGATAAACGTGGAAATCAGCGAAGAAATCAAATCCAGCTTCATAAGTTCGCTTTTTCGCAGTTAGGTACCAGAAATACAGTTCCCGACCAGAAGGAGGGATAATAGGAGAAAAACAAATATTTCCACTGCCCTCCTGTCGACTGTCTAGCATCGCAAGTGGGGCCAGGGTGGGGATTCCACTGTGAGGAATCTCTTCCTCCTCGACATCCTGTGCGGTGATACATTTGCCCGGTATGCCAGCGAATTCACGATACTCGATCTCCACACCCTCAATCGTAGTAAAGGCTCGTTTTACTGCCGCAATCAGGGATGGGAGAACTTCTGTGGGCGCATAGAGCGAAAAGTATGCCTTCCAAAAACCCCAACCCTGCTTGCATCGTATATCCTCCAAGACCTTGTAAGGAACATTACTCCCTGGTTTCATATAACCTCCAAAAATTTCATGAACTTCAGATTCCCGAGATGTGAGCGCAATCCGGAAGATATTCGCGATGGATGGCGAGTTCAAGATGACCGATCGGCGCATCAGATCGGAAAGAGTTCCCACTAGGGGCACCAGGTCCTCTTCACGCGGGACGCTCACTTCCACTGTGGCGTATGCTTCTGGGGCAGGCGTAATATGGATCCCCAGCTTGGTCACGACGCCTGGATTTATCAGTCAAAAATTTCACTGGTTGATGGGAATTGGTCGAACTCACCAAGGTTAGACTGGAAGAACATCCCATCAATGTTTGGGCCGTAACCACTAGAAGTTTTTGTCAGCATCGGAGAATCTGACGGGCGGAATACATCATACATACCTTTTGTATAGAGGAAAGAGAGAACTATTCTTCATAGCTCCCATCCCAGTCCGCAGGAGATCGCCATTTGGCAGGACAACTTCAAATCCACATTGCCCCTGGGCGTGTTCACCTAGCGGTGTATAGCCAAAACCACGATCGAGGGTATTTACTAAAACAGAACCCCAGCCAATAGCTGGAACAGATGGCCAAAGGTTCAAGCCGCGCTTTTGAATCTCGTTGAATAGATCGAAAAAGGATACACCCAGTTCCACGATTGCGTACGCGTACTCTTCGTTTATCTCCAGAATCTTGTCCATCCGGTGTAGGTCTAGAACCACACCCTATTTGTCACTGGCGCAGATCCGCCATATCTTTGAGAACTATCAGTATGCTGATTCATCTGGGTCAGTGTGAAGCATACCCAAGGATTTTACCACGCGAGACTGTCCATAACGGGACATGAAATCGGGTTTCCAGTTTCAGTATGCCCTGAGCCTCTTCTACAGATCCAGGTCTGATAGCACCTTTTGATTGATGTGTCGTTTCTGGACAAAATGGGTCACCATAGGAAACTTGACCCTGAGTTCCTGAGAGTGCGCCTGTCGAGTAGTCTCTGGATATGTTTTCCTCTCCAATGAGCTTGGCAGCATGCTCGAAAAACTCTTGGTAGTTGTAGAATTCCATATTCAAAGATGACCCCTGTCGATAGATTCCTATTATTTTTTTAACCCTGGAATACCATGCAGGGTACAAGGTATTTAAGATGTGCAAGCTCAGTCCAGGGAACAGGCGGGGATGTCGGCAGCGATATCCGGCCGGAACATCGGGGAATCAAGAACTGCGGTCCACATACGGGACGGCGTTAAATTATTGCGGGAAGGCGCTCATATAACGATGGATAAGGCTTGGATATGAAGGTGATTTTCAGTCGGACTTTAGCTATTGGCGGTCGCACAGAAGAGACAAAATATAGTTTGTGGGGAGATGGCCAGTTAGGTGTGCCCGGCTGTTTAGGCTTTACGCGTTCTAAACACGAAAAGAGATCGAGCTGCTAGAACAAGGGGTGAAAATATTTGCTAATAATTCATCATGATCAGGGATAAGTGAAAAATATAGCCATCAGGTAAAAGAGCTGCGGAGAATAAGAGGATGTATTTAGCATAGAGCACTACATAGATTAGTCGATATTATCCACAAACCTTAGAATATACGGCAGTGAATTAGGTAGCTTTTAGTACGGGCGAGAAATATTTGGAAAGCATTGGGCAGCATTTAGTACCTAGGATTGCTTGACAGCATGTTCAGCTTCTATCATGACTATGTGAACCTGACAAATTTTCAATTGTGGAATCGTTACTGCATGTCACTCTACAGAGATCGCACTAAGCGCTGTACAGGCAATGAACACAATAGACTAATAAAGGTGTTGCATTAATTTAACCCAAGACGGTGGAAACAAACCCCCTCCCCCCAAAAAACAATTCATTGACTAAATGCGATTTTTCTGAAAATTTGCCGGTTCTCAGTTCTCATGAGTACAGGCTTGCGGGTGAATTCCTTGGTTTTCTTGGACACACCAGAGACAAAGACCTGTGTGCCAGGTGATGAGATTTTGAATCAAACGAATGCACCCTCTTTTGTATCTTTCCGGCGAAAATTGACAGTCGTTGTCTATTCTGGGGGTTGGATCCACCATTTCTGCGAGTCTTTTCCCTATGCTAGATATTTTGCCAAGGCCGGTTGGGGTAAGGAAATTGTCTTTTAAATCATTTATGCATAAATGTCCAAAAACTCCCATCCATGTCTCGCCGGAGTGGTCGTAGTCTTCGGCATCTTGGAACTCCTGCAAGAGCACATCGGAAATGCAAAGGTGAAGATGGGCTCGCGCAAACTCCAAATGCGCTACATTAATATGTCAGCTTTGTTGAATAAATTAATGTGGGAATTAGTAGGAAACACGCACACAGTACAGTCAAGTCCAGCCATTGAGAGATCTCTGTGGTCAAGAGCCCAAGATATGGATATGAGTAATTGAGTACCAATTCTTTGGTGAGGGTTTTGAATGCATTTGCGTTTCGGAAAAGGTAAGCCGCGGTGGTAAGCTCCATGAGCGCATGGGGGTCCGAGGTGCTTTGCTCTAACCAAAACTTTGCTGCGTAGAATAGAGCTTCATTGAGAAAATATTTGTCTGAAAGGGCTGCAATCTTGAGTAAGGTATTTGAATCGAGTGTTTCAAGAGGAATGGGAAGTCGGCAATGCAGGGCCAGGCATATGTGACGCATCGCAATCCCATTATCTTCGGGCAGCCCTACCTTTGCCGCACCTCCTTCCTTCCAGTTTGGGCCAAGCATTGCATCAAAGACTCTTGAACTGTTCCGGAGGACGCCAGACAAGACTTGTAGCTTCAGCTTTTCTGGGCCGACGACGAGCACGAGATCTCCATGTTTGCAGATTTCTCTCATTCCTTCAACTCCTGGTTCAGCCATGTTTGGTTAAATGAAAATCCCAAAGATGTTTGGAGATTCTTGGTTTTTTCACTAGAAAACTCAAATTTGTTAGAACAAACGGGTTAGTTGATGAGAAGACGGCGGGAAATCCATACAGTGGTTTGCTCTCGATGCAATTTGTCACCAGATTGTCCACTGGATGAGAAGAAGAGAAAGTCTCGGCTGATGGGAGGGGGTGTGCAGAGGCAAGAAGAATGGGAAGGAAGCAAAAGTGAGAAAATGTAAGTTGAGGTTGAGACGAGAGTTCAGTTTAGCTCAGGATAAATGGCGTGCAAGAGTAATAAGAAAGTAAGAGTTGAATACGAAGGTAAAGAATGATGGGAATGAAGCACAAATTTGAGAAAGATAAGTTGAGGTAGGGGGTAGCAAAGTTAAGCTGTCTTCCAAGGTTCATGTGATGATTCCAGATGTGATGGTTCCGATCAATATGCCGGAATCAGGCATACCATATGATCTGAATCTGGCCTCTCACTTCATTCTCCTAAGTCCTTCTCTAGAGTATATCAATTCCATTCTACATCATTTCAGGGTGGTATCTCCCCTCCCTAAACTTATATTTTGCCCTCCTAAGAATGCAAAGCTCAAACGACAGTCCCTCCTCCTAGCAGTGCCTTCAAGCATTGCTATTGAAACCCCTCAAACATGAACTTCCGGGGGTCTAGGTGTGCTAGGTACTAGGGATATCAAATCAAGAAATGATTTTAGTTGCAAAGCGGTGAGTTTCGTTGACTCAATAGAACCTAGGTTGATACATGCAGGTATTGTTGGAGCATTGGATTTTATAGTCATTACTTGCATAACAACCTTGGAACCTTGGAACCTTATAAGTTTGATATTTGATGATATAATGCTTTTTGACGCTTCCAAGCTTGCCCCATTTGAACAAAGAAAGAAACCTGCATAAAGCCTGCCAGTTACAAAATAGTATCTCTAGGACTTAGCACCAGTGTGGCTGGTAGCCTAGCGAGGGGCAGATGGGGGAGATGCTCAGAAGTTGCTAGAGCTTTTCCTTCTGAACGGCGACACCAAGAGGCAAGAAAAATCAAACCATAGCAAGATAGCGCCGAAGCCTTAATGCAACCCTGGCGGTTGAGTGCCTCGGGTCTACCGCTTGGACCGTTCATCTTCCTCCTTGACTTTTTCGTCGATAAAATCTTGCATTGCGGTACACATGTCGATGGCCTCCATTGCGAGCTTCATTCCATTCTCCTGCTCGTTTTTCAAAGTCATTGTAGCAAGTACCTGTTTCTGAGTACTCTCAGCCACCAGCTGGCGGTCTTCCATGAGCAAGGCGGTATTGATTCCAAATGCAGAATTTTGAGTTTCAGTAATTCCGGCTGCTATCTTCTCCCATTGCGCGGAAGCTGATCTGAACTTGGCGATGACGGCCTGGTTTTGTTCTTGAAGCTTCTTCAAGGTAGACGACTCCCATTCACCCGGTTGTGGGGTTGGCGCCCGATAAAAATCGCATATTATATCATTCCGGTCCCAGTGACAGCAGGCACAGGCGGAAACGTTCGTGGAGTTCGGCATTCTCTCCTATCCTTGACCGTAAATCTTTCTCAATCATTAATACCATCTCGGTGCTCTTGGACCAGAATAAAGGGTAAAGGTTCTTGATGTGACGGTAAGAGAAAGCAGGCATGAGGTTCTTTCGTTGTACCTAGTAATTGTCACAGTGTCAGCGATGCTATGGTTGATTTCCATCGGTGGATGATCTTGGCAGCTTTTGAAAAGTCAACGAGGTAACATGGAGAGGGAGAGGGAGAAAGATATCATGTATGCGTTGGCTATCTCGGCAATATCTATTCACTGGAAAGGTCCACATGCTTACCTTGTGCTCTTCACCTTCAACAAGGAGAATACCATTTCCCAGTGTCTTTCGCATACCATAACTCATAATCTCTGGCTTTTCAAAATCATAAACCTTTGTCACTAGGATCGCTCTGAGAGCATCAGAGCTGATCGGCATAACCCATTCTAGATTCCCGACAAGATAGTAGCGTAGAAGACCCTCATGAGGCAGATCCTTAATCCACTGGTGAACGAACGAATATGTAGTTCTTAGCAAAAACGAGTCTGAATTCCCAGTGCGCCAGTTTCGCGACTAAGAAACATTAGCATCGTGACATGAGACATTTCCCCCACAGCCTTGGAGTTTTGAGAATAATTCTGAAATCTTACAGAGGGTGTCTGTATATGTCTTATTGGTGATAACCATTGTGGGTACAAGGATAACTGGTAAATGACTTTGAACAAGACAAACGACCCACAGAACACGATTCCTGTCAATGAAATTGATTCCAAAATAGCGAGTTCTGGTCTAAGACATATGACAGTCAAGCCAAGAAGTAATATTCTGAAGACGATCATCATGTAGCGATTTAAGATTATATTGACTCTCCATTCAAAAATTCAAAAATTAACTTCAAGCCAACTGAGGATTATATGGATTTATTACTCGGTATTTGGAAGTCTAGTCAGGATATCAGCATTAAAAACTGACAGGAGTCCTGAAGTTTAGTGGGCGCTTCTACATGCCGGCGAAATGCACCTATTGAATCAGCGAATTGACTGTCTTAGACCCACCTGCACCTGGGCACTTTATTTGCAGATATCATTGGAGGAATCTGAGGATCAGCTCATTCTTAGGACTCATGAAAGAAATTATATACAGACTCGGAGTTTAGGCCCACCGGGGCATGAAAGCGGCTTTCATTTCCCCCTGCACTCAGGACCAAAGAGTATTTTCTTCTTGCATTGACGTAAGTGTTTTTCGTATATTCAAGTTGCTTGGAAACATTAGTAGTCACATATTTTTGATCAAACTGTATCCTCTTTAAGCTCCGCAGCTTTCTCAGCGACCGCATAAACAGTCGCCATCATTTTTCCACTGATATGTGTGGGGGAAATGCTTGTATCCACCACACGAACTCCGGCGACACCACGAACGTGCAGCCTATAGTCAACTATATTTCCCATAGCGCAAGTTCGCAGGGTTGGTGCTCCATTAAAAATGTCTTTGTGACCTCCTCCGCTACCCGGCTGAGGTCCAAGAAATCAACAGATGGGTCTGGGCATATCCGACCGTTCAATTTGATCCCGGAAATGAGAAGACCGAGAAACGCGCTCGAAATATTTCATGCCTGCTGCTAAGATGACTACATCATCAGGGTAGGTCATGTATACAGGGTCAATTATAGGGTCGTCGTGTGGGTTTGAAGTTGGGACATGGACGCTTCCTCCCGATGTCGGGACGCCGGATATTGAACCATCGAAACGATTCCAAGGTTGTGATGCCATCCCTAGTGTCTTTTGACTCCAGTAGCAGACTTTGGTATTACGCAGCCTTCTCTAGATTTGCAGTCGCTGGGAATATGGCGAATTGCACACTTCCTGATTGAGGATTCCGAAGCTTGTCGACCTCTGACCTCTGAGGCATTCACGGTCCTGCCCAGGTGGTGCAGTAGACAGATGTGTCAACTGGTCTGTACGAGGACCTCAGGACTTACAACTTGAAGTTAAACCCATTCCAAGGTTTAAGACACATGCTCATTCCGAGTCATAGTAATAATTCATGTTCAAGTTTCAATTCAAAAAATGTTGAGCGGCCCCCCGGGCCCGGCTCGACAAGTTCCAAGGTTCACGTTTCAAGGTTCGAATATTCCAAGGTTGTGACTCCTCCGTATACCTATGTAGGCCAGAAGCTTGGAAGTTATATATCTTGAGTGTTTTTGTCCGGTCTGACTCCGTGTTGGACCTGACGCCAAAATAAAACCACCAAAAAATGTACCACTAACTTGAAACATTTGGATATATGAGTCTCTTCGATTATCTATGGCAGTTGCGATTCCATTCTAACTTTCAGCTTTTCGTTTTACCTGATGATGTCGAAAGAATGAAATCCATCAAGCATCAGGTGCTGTGGTCTAGTGGTATGACGAAGCATTGTGGTATATCATTACTGCTTTAGCCTCGGTTCGATTCCGGGCAGCGCCATTTCTTTTTTTTGTTATATAAAAATACACCCTTCTCCCTTAAGTATTATTCCTTCGGCACAGCCCACAATTCGGGTCGGGCCGAGCCAATGAGACTTCAGCTAACGTATCTCCCAAGCGAGCCGCCACCTGACCGCGTTCGCGTTAGTCGCGTCGCACCCTTCCATCTTCAACCACCCACCATGCCACCAATACGTTCTAAAACCTCTCGAAATTTAGCCGAACAAGAGGGAAGGATTCTAATTGCTATTGAGGCTATAAAGAACCAAGATATCACAGCAGTCGCCACAGCAGCACGTATATTTGATATACCTCGCTCTACGCTACGCGATAGGCTAAATGGCCACCAGAACCGCCTTGAAACTCGCGCAAATAATCATCAATTAAGCGAAAATGAAGAGAATTCGCTTCTTCAATGGGTGATCTCTATGGATATACGTGGAGCTGCCCCCCGCCCGGCTACTGTCCAAGAAATGGCCAATATTCTACTCATAGCATATGGCCAGACCCCCTCTTAAACTGTTGGCAAGAATTGGGTTACAAACTTCGTTAAACGACATTCAGAGCTTACCACATAATGCTCTTGACAATATGATTACGAGCATGTAAAGATAGGGGATCCAAAGATAGTTCAAGAGTGGTTTAATCTGGTTTTTAAGACTATCCAAGAGAATAGTATTCTATCAGAGGATATTTATAACTTTGATGAGATTGGATTTACAATGGGGCTTACAGCAACTGCTTAAGTTGTTACTTACTCTGAACTCTACGGTCGGCGAGCACTTTTACAGCCTAGAAATTGTGAATGGGTAATAGCTATTGAAACTATTAGTGGATCTGGACAAGTCCCTCCACCAGTTATTATTTTTAAAGACAAAGTTTTGATTAAAGGATAGGTTAAGAATTTTCCACTTGATTGGCGATTTAAAACTAGTCTAAATGGATGGACAACCGATAAAATTAGGCTTCAATTGCTTCAAAAGCACTTTATTCTAGTAACTACTGAATATATATACTTGGAAAATATCGACTTTTGATTCTTGATGGTTGTGGGAGTTATTTCACCCCCCCAATTTGACTAGATTTGCAAAGAGAATAATATTATTCCAATTTATATACCAGCTTATTCTTTATATCTTTATCAGCTACTTGATGTTGGATATTTTATACCTCTTAAACGGGCCTATGGTCAGCTTATTGAGAATCAAATACGGCTTGGTTTTAACCATATCGATAAATCTGATTTTCTTGAAGCCTACCCAATCCCTCGTAAAAAGGCTTTTCAAACCCAGACCATTCAAAATAGCTTTACAGCAGCTGGTTTAATCCCATTTAACCCAGACCAAGTGCTTTCTAAGCTAAATATTCTTCTTCGAACACCTATACCCCTAGGGAGCCGCCCTACTAGACGATCAAGCCAATTTTCACCTAAGACACCCTAGAACCTTACCCAGCTTCAACAGCAAGCTAGTTCAATCAAAACTTTTCTAAAACAACGATCGAGGAGCCCATCAAGTACACTAAAACAGCAAATTGATCAAGTTTTAAAAGCCTGTGAAATTCAGATGCATTCAACAGCTTTATTGGAGGTTGAAACACGCAAATTACGTGCCGCCCATGAGAAGCAGAAGCAGAAGCGTAAGCGGTCTACTAGGCAGATATCTAACGAGGGTGGTATGACAGTTCAGGAGGGCCAGGAGGCTATACAGCGTGCTATACAGGTGGTTGAAACACCAGTTGCCCCTCCCGTACTGCGGCCTAGGGTGCCTGTTTTACCACCTCAGCCAGCTAGGAGAAAGCTACCGACGTGTAAAAAGTGTGGAAAAGAAGGACATAGATCAGATCACTGTGATATTTAGATAAATATTTTAATAAATTGGCGTTATGGTGGTAATATCCATGATTAAAACTATAGGATAGGCGGCCAGGTGGCGGCTCGCTTGGGAGATACGTTAGAATAAAGTGAGTAAAGAGCTCTAGAGCCTATTAGATGATTAAAGAAATCCGCCTAGTCACTATAAAACCTCTTACTTCTCTTATCAGGATTTCTCTTCCTCTCTCTTCCCTCCCCACCAATCTATCCTCGCTCACACCCCCCTCCACCAAGTCATCCATCAAACCGCAGCTGCCATATTGATCAGCCTGTAAGTCAAGCCATATAGGTATAATATCCATATTTGTGGAATGAGAACTTGAAGTTGATTTGAATCTTAGCCGAGATGAAAGCAAAAACATACTTGTCCATGACTTTGACCAGTGGAATCGATCTCAGACAACCAGGGCCATGGGAAAGTTACGTGCAAGCGTGTGACTTCTGATCGGCAAAGCGCTTCGACGAGCTACAGACCGATTTTCTAAGGTCCTTGGTCGAAAAGGCCTTACAACGCGACCTCCAAGTTTACAACTATCGGCCGTATGATTTTCCAGGAATACTACAGGTCCTTGGTGAGAATGTCTCAAAGGTGGAAGCAGCCTTGCTCTTCTACACTGGTACCGTACTGGTCGAAGGAGAGAGGTGTCAGTCATTTCGATCAGGGTTTGGGCTATTCCCACTATGTGTGGTCGAGCGTAACAACCCGCACATTTCAGCATGTAGTAGTTGCCACTAAGACCAAAAGGATAATCGGTGTACATTTTTTTGGACCGCGCACAATCCAACAAAATGACCCCGAGCCTACCCTTGCAAAAAATCAGTACAGGAGGAAGTTGGCGAAGCAGTCGCAAAGTTCGAGCAGGCTCCAGGGCTCTTTCAATGATTAATCAGCTTACCACTGCCCAGGTTTTGAGTAAGGCTCAAGCTATTCCGTACTGACTTTTTGACTAACAATGGGATTATGGTACAGATTGACAGATGGCTCCCCTGTAATATGTAATTACAGCAAAAACCATTGGCAACTGGGCTTGCCTTTTAAGTTCCAATGTTCCAAGGTTATGTCTTTTGTATTCAATAGATCAACTCGAACACAGGTCATAGTTTGCATCGTGGAACAGTTATTTATGGTATTATACTCCGCTCCCTCTTGGCAAGGCCAGCAAAAAGTGTATCGGCAGTGGCCCAAGCGCGAGTACATACATGTTGTAGTTAGGCCCGTTACTCGGAAGTTTTCAAGGGATGATCAATCAATCACCTTTGCGTCGTCATAGCAATTCAAGTGGGGAATACATCACTCAAGAATGTCTCTTTTGAATCAATCAATTTGCTGGCCACAAAAAACACCGAACATAGCGATCTATTACTTTATTAAGAATTGCTACGGAGTACGGTCCTATCACTTGGGCTGACTGCATATCATTCCCCAATAAAGTGCCGCCAAGGACAAGACCTATAAAAACCCCTTGGGTGATTTGCGTGCGGATCCAATCATACCGAATACCGCACCGTATCCCTAAAAATTCGAATGTGGAATGCATATCGCGTTGGGGGCAGTGGTGAGATCGCTTGTTAGCCATGAATCTTAATATGTTCGTATATAACGGCTTGCCCCTTTAGCAGCGTCTTTAACGAGGTATTTCCTTGAATGTCAGAGAAAGTCTCAGGTTTGAGAAATGCATCCTATTAAGCTCGGTCTAGCGTTATTACTTGGCTGGATAAAATCAGCTGAGAGATCAATTGTTCAGCATGATGGCTCCTTTCAGCCAGATCATATCCTTCGAGTCACAGCTCAGGATTACACGGAAGCATGTGATACTAGATATTCAGTCCTCGTTAATGGATCATCCCCTGGGCCCGAGCTGCACCTCCGAGAGGGAAAGGTGAATTGGATTCGTGTTTATAATGACATGAAGGACGATAACACCGCAATAGTAGGCAAAAAAACGTTTCTCAATGGATACCTCTCACTGACAGTAATAAAAGCACTGACATGGCCTTACTGCATTTACGGCTCCCTTTTCCGATGGCGCTCCAGCGGCCAGTCAGTGGCCTATTCCCGCCGGCCACTTTTTCGACTACGAAGTCAAACCCGAAATTGGTGCTGCAGGAACCTACTTTTACCATTCACATGTTGGCTTCCAAGCCGTTACTGCAAAGGGTCCACTCATCGTGGATTCAGAAAACGACCCACCTTATTCCTACGATGACGAGCGTACTATAATGCTCTCTGACTTTTTCAACGAGACTGATAAGACAATTATCGACGGTCTCACATCCAGTGACTTCACATGGAGTGGAGAGACAGATACCTTATTGGTGAACGGCAAAGGTCCTCAGGCAACTAATAGCACAGGCTCATGTCAACTAGCTTCGATCTCTATAGATCCGGGCTTGACATACCGTCTAAGATTTATCGGGGCTACTGCTTTATCATTCATTTCACTCGCTATAGAGAGTCACGATGTGTCTATCATTGAGGCAGATGGCCACTATACCAAACCTGTGAATAGCAGCTTTTTACAGATTGGAAGTGGTCAGAGGTACAGTGTGTTATTGAACGCAAAATCAGAGGAAGAGCTGGAAAAGACGGGAAAGCGACATTCCTATATCCAACTTACCACAATCGCGAGGCCCACAACTCTGACAAACCTTGCTGTTTTGCAATACTCTGGTGGAACAGAGGCAGACCTGACGACTGTCCCTTCACCACCGCCCCTTCCCGTGGCCAAAATCGCCCAAGGATGGCTGGATTACGAACTAGAATCTCTACACTTGGACTATGACTTCCCAAAATTGAATGAGGTGACCCGCAGGATCATCGTTGAAGTTCACCAAAACGTCAGTGATCATGTCATATGGCTGCAGAACGGATACGAGTGGGTAAAAAGCTTTCCAAAATCACCGTACTTGGTCGACATCTACACGGGGAAACTAAACACTGAAGAGACCTATCAACGAGCTATCTCCCAAGGCAATGGAATTGACAATATCACTCGGACCTTTCCAGCTCAAATAGGTGAAGTCCTTGAGATTATCTGGCAAAACAAAGGAACTTTCACAAACGGAGGCTTGGATGTTCACCCCTTCCACGCACACGGTAGACACTTCTATGATATCGGTGGAGGGGATGGAAAATACAACGCTACTGCGAATGAAGCGAGACTAGAGTCGTCTCATTTAATTCAGCGCGATACTTCCATGCTTTACCGGTATCAAAATGAAACCGATCCTCTCGCCCCGTCTGGTTGGCGGGCTTGGAGGATCAAAGTAACCGATGCAGGTGTGTGGATATATCATTGTCATTCCCTCCAGCATATGATCATGGGTATGCAAACTGTATTCATTTTCGGGGACCGAAATGAGGTCATAGCCCAATCTGAGCCTGTTGATGTTGGGTATTTGACGTATGGTGGCTCCGCGTATGGAAACTCAACGCATTCTCCTATCGTTCGACACTTCTTTGATTAAAACTAAACTATATGTGACTTAATCCAAACATATAAAGCATTCAAGGATTGCAATCAAAGAATTATAAATGGGCAGACATCGTGAGATGAGATAATTGTTCAAGTCATGAAATTTTTCTCTTACTTCCAAGGTTGCCCAGGTAGTATCGAAAATTCACATTGCTGCTAGGAAGAGATTCGTAGATAATAAATGGAACTATTAAATTTACTGACTCACTGGATTCAACTCTGCGCAGATAGTCGTCACGATGTTGCTCAGGTGACCCTAGACTAGTTATGATTAAGTAAAAAGTTAAAGTAGATAACTAATTTAAGTAGAAGAATATAATTAAGAATATAGCCCTAGCTCTAAGTATCTATTAGCTATTAGTTCTAAGGGCTAAATGTCACAGGCTGAATCCCTGAAAGAGTACAGGCCTTGCCTGTACAAAGCTCAACCATCCACGTGACCCATAACATTTGTCAGAATAAAGGCTTATTCAGCAGCATGTGGCACCCAATGGGGTCCAATTGTACAGATGTGTGTATGTGTGTTCAATTCTGCTAAATCTAAGGGGTAAAAATACAGTGTAGGTTTACGTAATCTCAGGCAGTAAGGCCTCTATCCGACTGTCAGCCAGTTCAGTGTCGTGTCTCCACACGGCAGAACTGAGCCAATCATAATCCCACTGGAACAGAGCACGCTGATTGGTCGAACCAGAATGGTCACATGACCAATCACGTGTCTTGAGTCCGGCAGATGTTTATGTGCGATAGTGATAGGATGAGAGAAAATCAGACTTGTATTACATGCCATCTAGACCGCCTACTACGTACAGAAAGAGTCTGTTACCGACACACCCCCTCAGCTGCAGCCGTCTTCGCTGTAGCTGCTAGGCCACATGCGAGGCTATTCACACTGCAATTTTCGGGTGCAAATTGAAATAAAAACAATAAAACAAATCAAAACACGCCCATTAGGGCTCGCTGATCAAGTGCCTGACGTCCACCAAGTTTAGCAGCCGAATAAAATTCTCATGCTTCTGACGGGGTAGGACTTTGGTTAGACCATCTGCTATCATGTCGGCGGTGGCTACCCACTGCACATGTAGCCTGCCGGCGGCTACCTCCTGCCGTAGCCATAGCCCATGGATGTCTACATGGCGCAGCTTGGTGTCCAATGGGTCCTCCGAGGTTATCAGAGCCACTGTCCGGGTGTTATCGCACTTGATGGAGATGGGGACGCCTGGATCGAAGTCTATACGTGAAAACATGCGTTTCCACCAGGCTAGTGACTTGCCTGCGTCTGATAGCGCCAGCAGCTCGGCTTCAGTGGTCGAGGTAGTGACAGTACGCTGTTTGGAAGCCTTCCAGTCCACAGGGCCACCGAAAATCTTGCAGATATACCCAGCAGAGCTCTTGCGGTCCATATGATCACCAAATGAGGCGTCACTAGACATCTGGACAGCGTCCTCAGCGTCCGCAGAGTATTCAATAGCAAGATATCGCGTCCAATATATATAAATTATGACTCGATCGACCGCTGTGAAGTGTTTCGGGCCTAGATTGACTAAGAATTGAGCTAATTTGGACGCCATTTTAGCGGTGTCGACACGTGTGATAGTCGAAGGATAGTTGATTGAGCCAACTTTCTGCTGATACAGCCTGATTGAATCACGGTCCGCGGTGCCCTTATAGGACTCCAAATCCTCCAATACACCTGGTATAGGCACACGGGGACAGTCAGTGAGGTTAAATTTAGCTGCCATAGCAGCGATATAGCTGTCCTGACAGAGCCAGAGCTTCTTCTGGGTCCGGTCCCGTATAATTCGGATATTTAGAAACCACTCCGCATCGCCGTGATCAGTTAAATTCCAGTGGGATTCAAGTGCGTCTTCTAATGCTCGGGCACATGCTGATGTATGGGGCCAGGAGGCGATCAGAATATCGTCCACATAAAAGAATATGATAATACCTCTGGTCACAAAAACGCATAGGTCTTCAGCAACTTGGTCCAATCCGAGTTTTCGCAAGACTCGTGCCGCCTCTTTTTGCCATAATTTGGGTGAAATTCGGAGTCCGTATAATGCCCGAAGAAGTAACCAACACTTTCCTTGGGACCTAAATCCATCTGGAAGCTCGGTATAAATCTTATTTTCTAGTTTTGAGTTTAGAAAAGTATTCACCGCGTCCCGCTGTCGGAGGTCTAAATCATAGGCAGCCACCAAGGCGAATAATATCCTTGTAGTCCGCGCAGTAAGTGTTGCTGTATGTTTCTCCTCACTGGAGACTATCTGTAGGTCGCTGTATATATAGATATATGCTTTATGCTTTAAAACGAAGCTATTGGTATCAAATTTATAGGTGTATATCTATATCAGGGGTAGCACCTGTACCCCCTTATCCCTTAGGGTGGCTACTGTTCTAGAGGTCTCTTTAGCTATCAAACCATCTAATTCAACCTTTATAGCAGTTATCCAGACATCCTTATATAGATGAGTAAGCACTTCTTTATAGTATCTTAGTGGTAGTAAGAGCCCATCCTGGTGTATAGAGCCTGGCTTAGGGGTCGCTGGGCATGTTGTATAAGCTTCCAAATAAGCAGCAGGCTCCTGTTCAACAGACATATCTTTAATATCGAGCCTCTGGTAGCTTAATTGGGTACTGTATACGCTGTCTGGGTCTCTTTTCTTATATCAGGTCCGGGGTCCCTCAATGATGTTTAGTGTTGAGAAATCACTTATGTTGCGATCTTGGATATATGGCTGCTCCTTACTTAGGAGTTCAGAATGCCTCGCTTTAATAGTCCCCGATTATATCAATTGCGATGAGGGTTAAGGAGGGGTTGTAGTAGCTTCTTGAGGTATTGGAAATGCTCCTAGGATATTTTTGTGAGGTCAAACTAGAGCTGGTGTATAACTAGGCGACTCTTCTGAAATACTTGTAGGCATCGGTGTTGTCTCAGGTGTTAGGACTCTTTTCGACTGTATATATATATCTCCTACCCCCTGATCTAGCGTTGATTCAACGGCTGATTCAACGGTTGATCCTATAGGTGTAGGTAGGTAGATATCTATATTGTTGGCGAGCTGGTCCTTAGGTATATATTCACGTTGTTGCTGACGCTGGTCTAGATGCTGATTTACACACTGATTTAGATGTGTAACTTCTGTAGTGATAGGTTGATTTATGTGCGAAAGCTGAGGCAAAACTGGCCTAGTTGTGTGTGTGACTGAACTTTGTGGAGTTGTGACTGAGCGATAACTAGCCTGCAACTGAGGTGTAACTGAGCTAGTTATGGATGAGTTTTATACAGAGTTTTTATGCCTACTGTCAATGGCGTCCAATATGGCTGTAGGTTTGCTGATAGGCTGTGTTGGCTGGTGTTCAGCTAGGACCTCGCTATTGATAGGCTCACTGTCATCGTAGGCGCCTCGCTGACAGGCTACCTCCCTCACTGTCGCTGGCTCCAGGGCTGCTGCCGGGGTTGCTTCTGGTGTTACAAGCTCGTTTAGACCTTCTAGGACAGCTCCTACATGGTCTTCATGTTCTAGAACTATCGAATAGTTCATCTGTTGTATGGAAATTGGCACATTTCGGGGTATATCAGGCTGGTATCGCCGTGTCTCGTCAAATACAGCGTCCCGAACCATCCGAACCTCGCCATATACACTTTTCTCGCTGCGTGGGAACCATATCTTCCAGATATTTGATGCAACAAAGCCTACCAAATAGCCTATCTCGGCCTGGGCTTGCATCTTATCCAATCGAGGCATATTCCTGATCCTGCAGTACGCCAGCGAGCCGTATAGCTTCACATTAGCTAGGTTCAGACATGGAGCCGTCCCTTTGGCAAAGTCTCGGGCTTCGTCCTATGGAATTAGCCAGCTGCCGTCGTCCAATCTCGTCGGCGTGCGGTTTAACAGATATACCGCTGCAGCTACAGCTTCAGGCCACAGGTTATTGGGTAGGTTACCCTCCTTCAGTAGGCACCTAGTACGCAAGACTATCACCCCCCCCAGACCTCTCAGCAGGGCCATTCATCTCCGGGGTATCTGGTACGGTAAAGTTATATACGAATCCAGCAAAATTTAGCATCAGAAGCATGTTATTATCCATAGATCTCTTGTTATCTGTATGCCATACGCGAATTAGGATCTTTAGCCAGAGAATTACGAACGCGCAGAAAGATCGAATTGCTGTCTGAATATCACACTTATAGACGTAGGACATGGCCCAGTGGAAGCGTATGCCTTCGACATAGAAGTGTGAGATCCATCTATGGCTATTATAGCCAGTTCTCATCTCCATAAGGTCATAGAAGACACGTCCACAGCGGCCATAGTATCTCCCAATTGTCCTACGGGATATTTGCTTCCTCGGGCGTGATAGCTCGTATATCTCGTATAGATCTGTGGTTTTAGGCTTTCCAGGGGTGAGGATTACACCGTCTACAAGCTCTGGGAGCTGTTGAATAGCCCCTTGATAGATATGGCCTAGTCTGCGGTGCCATATCTCCTCTGTTCCCGGTGACTGCAGGGGTCTCTCAGACGTCCTCTCCAGCCGTGTAGGCCTTGTTTTAGGTCATATAGCGTACGTATTAGGTTCATGGACTGGGCACAAGCGCTGATCATATGGAATTGGTACTAGCTGACATAGATACAAGCCATTCACCTTACTGCGGTAGGTGGAGAATATAGGGATATTATCACGGATCATACACTGGTTTTGAATGTTCCAGAAGCCTCCTTTTTCTTCCAGCAGGCCTACAGAGATCAAATTATAGTGAAAATTAGGTGAATACAGGCAATTTTCAAGGGTGATTGCAATTAGGCCTAAAATAGGGTTTATTCCCCAGAATTTCACACATCCACGGCCTATAACAGGCGTTGAACCATCTCCGGTTTTCAGAGCGTCTATATAGGGACAAAAAGTCTCAAATAGGGCTTTATCGTTACAAACATGTACGGTCGAGCCTATGTCCATCAACCATTCCCGTGAAGAATCTGGGAGAATGTTGTGGGTGGCGAACGCAGAGTTGATCAGGTTCAAATCGATTCGGGTATTAAATTGATATCCAGGGGTACCTTGATGAGCATATTGCCTAGTAGCTAGGGCTTGATTTTTATTCTTCGGGGTCTCATCGATGCCTGCCCAGACTTGCTTGAGGTCCACTTTGAGTTTCTCCTCAATCCACTTTGCCTACTTTGGGTCCGTATTTAGTGTTCGCTTTGTTCTTTCCACCCGATTTGGGAAAACACGCCATCTATTTGGTCTCTTTGATGGGTTTAGAAGATAGCATTCTATAGCTATATGGTTGATAGATCTACACGGGTATGTACGTGATTTAATGTTGCCTGTTTGAACAACTTTCTTTGTAGAACCATGCTGGCCCCTTGGGGTAGCTGTCGGTTGACCCTGGAGTAATACCATAGTCGCAAATGCAGTATTACTGGCGCCCTTAGGGATCACTGTCGGTTTTAACTCGCGATATTGGGTGCGGAAGTCAGCTAGTATAGTCTTAATCTTAGCTGTCTTCTATAGCCCACTGACTGCATATTCGGCCATGTTGCGACTCCACCAGGTAGGTAGTATAGCCTGTACAGCTATTAGGAAATCTAATATAGCCCCCCTAGGCCATATCCACACTGGCAGCAATAGCTTCTCGTCGTGTGTTATCCTATTCAACAGTCCAGTTAAGAACATCTACCCCCCCTTATAGGAGGTGTCAATTTCATTCGATTCCATCGGTAATAGATCTCAATTTCTCGCCTACCTATACACCCAAAGCGTTCTTTTAGGTAGATAAGCTTTTCAATGGTTGTACCGAAGCCCATATCGTTCAATTGGTCTACCACAGTGCTGTCGACACAGTCCGAGATGTGTTTTTCCACCGCATTAAGTCCTCTGTTCTGAGGGCTCCATTTCTGGAAGCGAGCGTTATAGAGCTTCTGGCATTTCTCCCAGTTCTCCATTTGCTCCTTGGTAGCGTCGTTTGAAGGGATATCGACGTCGTCCTCCGGTATAGGTAGAATCTTCTTTTTCACGTCTTCAACCGGCAGTGAGGGGTCGACGAGGTGCCAGACCCCATTGCGTTCAGCAACGCCCTTGATCTGTCCAAACCATGTCTTCCACTGCTCTTCATTGTGTAATTTAACGCCTTGCACGGTGGCGGACACCACGGTAGTTTTATCGGACATATCAGATGCTAGTCTCAAAGGTTTTAGCGTCGAAATTGACTGGCCGCATCTGTCTGGAGGTTGACTGGTCGTGCTCGAGTTTTGACTGGTCGGTTCTCGAGTGGTCGGTTTCCAGGATCGCGATCCAAATAATCGATCTTTTAGCAAGATATGAGTGAATCCGGGCTCATAACTGTCAGAATAAAGGCTTATTCAGCAGCATGTGGCACCCAATGGGGTCCAATTGTACAGATGTGTGTATGTGTGTTCAATTCTGCTAAATCTAAGGGGTAAGAATACAGTGTAGGTTTACGTAATCTCAGGCAGTAAGGCCTCTATCCGACAACATTCCTCCTCTTCCTTGACGAATCGTGCCCGAAGTCTACTTCTTCTCCTTAAGCTTCTTTTTGTACACAGTTCGTGGTCCGAGTAGATTGAATCGAGTCCGCTTCTGCCCTTCACAATTATATTTTAAATATTACTATTTATCACTCCTACTTAAAAAGTATAATCAATATCTTTATAGGAAATATTAGTCATTATTAGTATTATTTATTGGTTTAGAGATAGCTACCAAGTTAGGAGTTGGATCTCTTAGACTCTAATTACCCCGCTCTTAGGTGATCCACCTAGATACTGGATAACTAGACCATCACAATCCAATATCTCGCATTGCTGCAGACAAACGGAAAATTCTTCACAAATTCACACCACAATTCAATTGCTCGAGTACGCCATGTTACTTTCCCGGGGCACTAGTAGACAGAAGCGCTTATAATAGACATCAACCTGGGAGTCTGGGACAAACTCAAACTAGTCATATTGGACTTTCTGGAAAAAATTACAGGCCCACCGAATGAGTATTAAACACTTACGAGAAATTTCAAAGACTTTGATAGGCTAAATCGATTAAGGGACAGCGGGTTTCAGAATAGAGTTTGAAGAAAACAAACGAAGGAATTCAGACGTGAAGCTGATTTCGAGCGGCCCTGTAGAGTGTTATAATAACTTTCCTGTACTTTTAAGTTGTACTGTATGGCAGAAAAAAGTGGCAGAATGTTAGATGGGGAATTTAAACAAGGCAAACATGCGGGAATTCTACCTATTTAGGAAATAAATGGACCCTGGGGTGGTGGTAATATCCATAGGGTGGTTGCTCTATCACGCCTCTTGTTTTATTGACTTCAAAGTCTTCTTTCTCTCCCAGCCTATTCTTATATTACTATATCACCGGTGAAAAAATCCGTCATAACACAGTAGAGAAGTCAATATCCATGTTGATCTCCAAGTTCTGGATATGGCTACCTATGGCCCAGTCCCGAATCTCTGGTTTGAAATCTAGAACTGCAACTTGAATGCAACTGATGTCAATTCTGAGGTTGTGATCGCTGCAAATGGCGATGTAACCGAAGATCTCGCAAAAACCACCTGGCTGCGCGGTACTCAGCGCACGGATGAGGGAGGTGTCACTCAGTTTGATACTCTATTTCCTGGTCACTATACCGATTGTGCCACTCACCTGCACATTCCCATCCACCATAATGGCATCGAACTCAAGAATCACATCCTCAGATCTGGTAACTCAGCCTGGGTCGCTCAAGTCGGTCCGGCGTTCTTCGATCAGAGTCTGATTCCTGCGGTCGAAGCTACTTATCCATACACCCGGAACACTCACGTACTGATCAAGAATGCCAACGTCACTATTTTGCGCAGTAGATGCGGGTCAGCCAGAGTCTATACTGATGGGATTTATTGAAAGAACATTGAAACTCAAGCATTTAATTTTCGTACATAGCGACCGTAAAGTAGTATACACTTCACAAAGTGTTGAAACTTGAATTAGCCTGACACAGACACTATATCCATGAATGGCACTTGGGACTTGAAATAACCTTGGAAGTGATCAATACTCAAGCACTTCAATCCTACTTCAATTTCACTTCCCAGTAACTTGGAGTCGTTCAGATTTCCCCTCTTTTTTCGAGCTACATTTAATTGTTGCATCAGATAATTATTTAGAGACATTTGGAAAGTCGAAAATTTGTATTTAAGAACTTGAAGAATTTAATCAACCATTAGATTTAACTAGGTAAAAGGAAGAAATTGCAAGAAGGCTGGGTATCGACGAGTCTCATCTGCTGGCTATGGGCTGTCTTCCGTGGTAGCATTCTACCGGCGTCTTTTCCCCAAATTTTTACCTGTGACTTCACTCAAACCACCCCATCAAGACACTTCCCACACCACCCAGAACAGGCCAAAGGGGCCGGACTAGGAGAGGATTGGTACCGTTCAGCTTATATTGAACGATCCCATCGCCAAGCGCGAGTCCTGCCCATAGCAGCACTGTAACACCTTGGGCTTTTGGTTGACCGGATAACCAGGCGACGATGTTGGCTCCGGCGATAATGAATTCACGCACGCCGATATACTGGCACAGAGCATTGTAAATCTCTTGATCTTCGGGATTTGATGGAGGTTTAGTGCGTAGTGCATGGTTCACGAAGCTTCCGTTGAAGAAGAATATATTGATGCCTAACGCGATCCCCGAGAGCGAGAGGGCGCCAGCGACGTTGGATAGTACTCTGGAATCGGGGGATAAGAGTGCGTTGAGCATGGTATCGCGCGTCTGGGTCGTAGTATTGCTTTTTCTAAAGAAAGCTTGTGTTGTTAGATATTGCTAAATGATTGAATACGCTAAAAAGATACCGAGTATGGATTTGATGAAATTATTGCGTTCGCGACCAAAAGCCTGCTTTTGATCGTGGATGTGGAGTGGAAATGGAGGAGCTTGAAGAGACAATTCCGAGTCGAAGTGAAAAGGGGTAGCTAGATTGATTATAGATTAAACACCAAAATATTTCAACCTTGGAAAGCTTCACCGCTATTGCTGTCAGGGATGTTTGCTTTACTTAGTTAACTGTCCCAAATATGGTCCTAGTAGTTTCCTTGTATAAATTACAGGGTTACATTGGAAATCGTTCAACCCTGATTTGTTTACTTCAAGGCGCCCCGCGTCGTGAGTGTCAGTGGGGGTGGAAGCACGTCATGGCGAGGAAGAAGTGGACCAGGAGTTCGAAAGGTGCAGGTGATATATTAGAATCAGGGGATATCGCTTGGGCTCAAAATGAGCCCCAAGCTTCGGATTGGTCCAAGTCAAGAAAATGGAAGGCTATCTCCACGACACAACATAGATGATCAGACCAAAACTGGCCTCAATTCAGTCAGATCAATTCTATAAGAGCTGGAAGCTGTACAAACATCACCGAAATCCCATTCCGGGTGTCTATTGGGTACTCACTCCCATTTTCACCCGGACCCCAACTTCTGGCCGCGCGTTATAAATTGCATCATTGTCTGTTTTTATTAATATTGTTTTTTTTATTTTATAATCGTTTTGCGCTTTCAAAGCCAGATGGTTCGACGGGTAAACGGCCTTGATCGTCATATGGATCCTTCCGGATGTTAGACCAATCACACTAGGATCTAAAAACTGGACAGTAATCCTGAATGTATGTTTGGAAATAAGCATTCCAACTTGAATTTGAGGGAATTGCCACATGAAAGTTCAACTTGAATGCTTAATTAGTATTTCTAAATTAAATCCAGCCAATAAGGAGAATTCAATAACTGCGCTGAGCCTGCACCTGCATACCGAAACCCCACATATAATAGTCACACGCTCAGCCCGACTGAATACGATTGTATACACACCTCCGGCACAACAACTTGTGCTAGATTATGATATAATCTAGATGTAGAAGAAAGCGATAACAGCACCGAGTACAGCCTTTACTCCATTGAGAGCGATGAACTGAGATGACGCAGCACCAGTGGATTGCGAAGCGGAGGCGGAGGCACCGGTAGATGAAGCGTCGGAGGAGGTTGAAGATGTGGTTTTGGAAGAAGAGGTAGAGGAGGTGGCAGAAGAGGTGGAGGCAGAGGTGGAACCTGCTATTATAAAGAGTGGTATTAGTACAATCTCTTTGTCACATTGTGCGGAGTTGTATCATGCCTGATGAGGACAAAGGACTTGTCGACGACGTAGGCGTCGAAGATGCCAGGGATGTAAGTGTAGAGGTGGCAGATGTAAGTGTGGATGTGACAGATGTAAATGTGGAGGTAAAAGATGTAAGTGTGGAAGAGACGGTTGTAGAACTCGTCGCACTGGATGTCGCAGAAGAAGACGAGGATGTAGTACCGCTATCTGAAGCCCCCGTTTCAACAGTGAACACATCACTTAGGGCGAGCTGGCCAGCAGAATCGATTATCTGAATCTCGTAGTCATCTCTAAGTCATGGCAGAATGACATTAGTGTTGCTCTTTTCTGTTTACCCACTCTATCTTCCACATACCCGTTTGGAATGCTAGGGTCAGGTTGGGTCGTATATTCGCCGGTGGAGGTCTTGACGTTATCTGCAAGCTTTGTTTGGAAGGAGCCATCCTCATTTCGAAGTATGATACTGATGTATGAAGGATCAGTAGAATTGGAAGTGAACTTGATAGTTTTGGCCGTGGAAAAATCCCAAACGGCACCCGATGATGGAGCCGTGATGGTGATGGCAAGAGCCGATGAGAGGAGGCCCAGGGCGGCAATGATGAATACCAGTGAGTAGGTCATTTTAATTGAGTAGGTTAAAATCTTGGAAATATTGAATTACTGGAAAGTTTTCTTGGGGGAACTCGAATGCATCACTTGGATATTTCTTATATCAACTCAAGTTATTATACCCATATACTTGCTCGACAGAGTAAGAAACAGACTGTTGAAAATTTTGACTCGGAATCCGTAGATAGAAACCACTAACTTTCAGCTGAAGCCAAGTGCATTGAGAATACGAGATAGTTCAAGCCTTGCAGAATCGGAATATGACCTCTAACATGAGCCGAATATCTTGTGGATAGACTGAGACAGTCCGAGAGTGATTCCGATGACCACGTAGGATGATACTTGGACAACAAAAAGGCATTACTAGGATTGCCTTGCATCATCAGCCGCCTTGTTGTGTTGGGTACTCGAAGCGAGTAATGCGGCTTATCTTCCCAACCAAGTCTCCAAACACAGAAATGTGCTGTGACCTCTTGTCCTCGCTATCTTGTCAGCGGTGGTGGAGCTGAGAAGTACAGTATATACTCCGAACAGAGCATGTATACCGACAGGGCTCAGAAATCAAGAGTTATAATTAGAATCTTATCTATCCCTGTCCGGGTTGTCGTGGTATTGTATTGTTACTTACAGCGATGACCGAATACCAGTAATTACCTCCGAGTCACCAAAAAGACCCGTGGACTTGAGAGCGAGGTCTATATGCTGTCCTAAAACATTTGAACGTTGGAATGACATTGCCAGTGTGCCCAATTATAAACTTGTAAACTATTAATTTGTTTTTGTTGGAGTTCTGCTCCCAGGTATGAAGTTTCGAGTTACTCAAAATATCCTTTGTCTTCCGCAATAACTTTTACCATTTGAACACTTTGGGATTGAATATCAAAAAAAAAATTGAATGTACTTGTCATCTATCGTAAAATCGTCGCAAGAATATCAAAAGAAAATTAACACACAAAAAAAACCAGAAAATAAAAAAAATCAAACTGATACGAGCCCTACGAGATCCAGCCATGGTCGAATGGGATCTCAGGAGCAATAGCGGTCTAGAAGTATATGGAACCGTACGAGGCGGTCAAAGCAGCTGGGAATATCAATACCCTAATATCCATCAACAAACCAAATAAAGAAATTCCATTCCCAGTCTTTGGTCTTCCCGAGGAGGCTGAAGATTTCTGGGTGTGATTTCCACAAATAATGGTGCTTTGATTCAGGCTTTCAGTAGGATAGAACACCCGAGGCCCTCCATCCGAGCTGAGATCGACACTGAGATCTCCACTTGAATCAACCATAAAGGTTTTGCAAGACAGGACCTCGGTCACATTTTGTCCAGATGAAAATCCTGTGCCGTCGGAGCCAAGCGTAAATTTGGTGGTGGCATTACTTGCTGGCTTGGCTCCCAGGTTGGATACCACGCTCACAACCTGGTTACCAGTAAATCCTTTGCGCATGACCAATATGTTTGTTGTGTTGTAGATCGGAAAAGAGAGATACGATAAATAGTCGGTCCCCGACTTTGGAGCGACCGTATGATTTTTTCCGTCGCCGCTCGCATATGATCGGATGCGATTTAGCGATTGGACTAGCACAGGGAGAGAGGTTGACTTCATTGAGTACTTCGTAAGCCACAGGGCTTCCCGATTGACAGGGTTGTATCCACCCGAAAGATGCTGTTCTTCCCCGTAGTATACTAAATCATTTCTATCAATGTTTTTGACTATCATCTCGGTTCCTAGGGCGACTTACGGATTGGGATTCCGTCGGTGAGCATGCTGATTGTGAGAATGTTGCGAGCCAGCTATTTGAGAGTGACAGCGTCAATATAGGTTGATGAACGAAAATGGATTTAATCCACTGACCGATATATCTGAAGTATACGAGCCAAAGCGAGGGACATCTTGATTCGATGTGAACGTTCCCAAGGGTAATACGTCCTCGCACTGTGTCCTTATGTAGTCTATAGACTGTACAATCGTGTTCAGGTCACCGTTGCTCGTGTTGAAGGCGTCCGACAGGATATAATACCTATAAAGGTGTCAAAAAGTCCAATGTTTATTTTTATGACATACTCACAACGGATAATTCAAAAGTCCGTCTAGACTGGGCTGCAGGGAACAATAGCCGGATGCGTCTTCAGTAGCGCCTTCGCCCATTGTGAAGACATCTGCTGATTTGCTGAAGTTGGAAAAAAAGGCGGGCGCAATATTTAAAACGCTGTCGATTCGCAAGCCATCAACTGAAAAGAGTAAATTTTATCAAATGATTTCGAAAAAAAAACTGGGAAATTGGGAACATACTGGAGTAGTTCGAAACCAACTGCGAAACCCAGGTACCCAGAATCTGCTGAACATCTTCGTCCTCGTTTCGCAGATCCGGAAGCGATATGGTGTTGTCTCCCATCCAGCACTGATGAAAGATTAAATGCTTAGCAATGTCCTCATCATATGCGAAGTCAAACTTACGTCCAGAACACAAGTTTCATTTGTGGGGTCTTCGGAAAGGAGCTCGTATTCGTGGAAATACTTCTGATCATTGAATGGATTGAACGTGCTATAGTCGACGGTGGATGCGTTCCCAGCCCAAGCCATGTCACCCACCACAACATCCAGCATGAGGTACTGTGTTTTCTAGTCAGTCTCATAAGAATTTCAACAGAGATTGCTGCCAGCGACTTACCATGCCACGCGCGTGCAGCGCTGCGGATAACGTCTGGAGGTCATGGGAAGTACCAAAATGAGAATTGATTGCATACAGATCGTTTGGCCAGTATCCGTGGTATGCTACCATTCATGGATTCGAGTCATTAGTTCTCTCTATATCTGTTGATAGTCAAGACTGTCATACCTGAGAGATCCGCCGTGCGAGTTGACTCCTGTTGTTGCGCTGGAGAAATCCAAACTGCATCAAATCCCAGTTCCTGAATATAATCCAGCTTGTATATGATGCCCTGAAAACTACCACCACAATATTCTCCCAGTCCTGCGTTACAAGCAGCGGTAGTTGAGTTATCGGATCGAGCGTAGCGATCGGTAACCAGTTGGTAGATAGACCGACTGAGCCATTGATCTCGGGAAGCCGCATGTACTGTTCCAGCGAAAGCAGCCACCAAAAATTTCCACCACCACATTATGGATTATGATAATTGAGCTTTGTCCTGATTCAAGAGGTGTGTGGACTTGGTAAATTCCATGCAAAGGGCGGGTAAATTGATTCTAAGTTAACAATATAGAAGGAAGTGATGAGAGCCTCCCAGTGGCTCCACCTGGGCAACACAGAGATCCCCCTGCAGGGCTGTCAGAGTGTATCATTACTGTACATGTAATACATATACCATTCATCTGATCTATCTGTATTTTATCGGCCCGGACGGCATGGCTCCGATGAACCTTAAAAAATCTCCACCTCAAACCACCTCAAACCTTCCGTGGACTCATATCATCTTCCGATGGTAGATCCCGGTCCATGACCCGTTTTTTACGCTAACCTGGAATGTTGGGAATCCAAATATGACAGCTGAGATTTGTTCCATTGGGGTCTGGAAAGCATTAGTGGGGCCAGATAAGGACAATTTCGGCCTTTGAACGGATTTAACCGCGAACTATTCGTAAGTCTCGCCAAGCTCCAAGTGCATAAATTGCCGACCCATCGATACTAATACGGCATGCCGCAGCCACAACAGCAGAAGTGGAGTGGCCGCGAAATAACCTGAGACAGGAACCGAGACGCACGAATGAGCCACGCTCTTATCATCATACATATGCATCTCACACTCTTTCTCATAGGTCAATTGCGTATCCGAGGTGACGTGTTCTATCACCTATCAGGCAGCATGGCAGATCTGGCATATTTTACACTTTATGATCGATGATTTATCGCCGGCACCTGGGCAACACTTGCCTCGAAAAGTCCCAATGTCCGAAGTCGTATAGCTTTGCATACGTATACTCCGTACATTTGCAGCAAACACGTATGAAACATTCTCCGCCATATGATCCAGCCATGCACTTCGGACTACAGTCGCAAACAATGACCCACTTCGTATATTTGATCAGCCCTGTAGGCCACGCGAAAATTCTTACAATGATGCATGTCAGATCGATTCCATTTCTATGGGATATGATACTTCCAGGATTGGGTTTGGGAATTGGTCTAGATTTCCCAACAATCCGCTGAAGTATGTGCAAGCCCTAGGGAAGGCTGATTCAAATCCGAACCTTGATATGGATTGAATGACCGAGGAAAAGTATACCTGTTCCAACGCTCATCAGATGTGGCGTATCTCGGCTGGAGATCTATCGCCCAAAATGAGGATCGCCCAACCGCTTAGCGGGAGTACGAAGATCATCCTTTGCTCGGGATTGAGGCTGTACATCGAGAATAGCTTGGGCCTCCATCGGTTCGCCTGATTCTAGGGCTTGCGTCTGTGCTGATTTACGAGGCAGCGATAGGTAGTATTCTCGCGTTCGGAATCCATTGTTGCAATTAGCCTCGGCAGCTCCGAACTATTGGTTTTCTTTTGCTCATACGTGTAATTCTGTTGCAAATCTGTGACCTATGAATTGTTTAGTGTTTCTTGTCTCTATGAGTTGATTCTTTTCTTCCCGTTATGCTCTCTGTAGTCGTTTTCCTTGTTTTCCTTTTACAGCCAAGGCTCGAACAGCGTGTTCTGTGAATGTCATCATAGAGACATTTACTCTGCGGGATGGAGCTGTTCACTTTCCTCGCTCGTTACCTTGCTATCTTTGCATTATCTATACGCATTGCGCAATCTCTGCCTTATCTACCAGAGGAAGCAAGCTGGAATCTAAACCAGAACCAGACAGCAACAAATCCCCTCGACTACTCGGGGAAGTGGGATGGCCACACATACAACCCGTCGCCGGAGAATTGGCGATTCCCATTTTACACTATATTCCTCGATAGATTCGTCAATGGAGATCCAATTAATGACGATGCAAATGGGACACAATGGGAACATATCTTGACCTCCAACGAGTTCCGCCATGGCGGCGACGTTTTAGGGCTAGCTGATTCATTTGACTATCTTCAGGGTATGGGGATCAAGGTACGTCCGCAGGTATTCTGCTCCAAATGCTCTGGGAGAATAGACCATTATTGACCCATATCATATGTAATTTACAGGGCATCTATCTCGCTGGAACACCATATATCAACTTCCCATGGGCTGCCGATGGATACTCCCCGCTTGACCTGACGCTGCTAGACCACCACTTTGGCACGATTGAGAATTGGCGCACAATGATATCTGCGGCGCATGAACGCGGACTATATGTTATTTGTGACAATACATTTGTAACGTATGTGGCCCGTGGACATGCAGGTGCACAACATTTGGTATCATCTGCTGACTTGAGATAGGATGGGCGATCTTATCGGTTTCCAGGGATTCTTGAACGCATCCGCGCCGATCAATGCTCACGAGTACGATTATGTATGGCAATACGAACGTCGATACTGGGACTTTCAGCCTGGAAATGAGGTTGAGGAGAAGTGTCCCTGGGAGTACCCGAGGTTCTGGGATGATGATGGGACTGGTTTGACCACCACAAGCCTTGGCCCTGAATGTCGAAATAGTGAATTTGATCAGGTAGCATTTCCCTTCTTCTTTTTACTGAGCACGGCTGACCAATGCAGTATGGAGAAGTTGCCGCCTTTGGAAACTACACAGAGTGGGAAGGGCAGATAGCCAAATTTGCATTCGTGCAGGATCGTCTACGCGGATGGCGACCGGATGTGCTAGCCAAGGTCAAGCACTTTTCGTGTCTAACAATCCAAATGCTTGATATTGACGGATTCCGCGTTGACAAGGCTCTACAAGCCACCCTCGACTCTCTTGGTGAATGGTCCGAGTACATGCGAGAATGCGCTAAAGAGGTGGGAAAGGACAACTTCTACATTCCTGGAGAGATTGTCGCGGGAAACGCTTTTGGCTCGCTTTATATCGGTCGCGGTCATCAGACGAATCAAACAATCTCCAATCTGACGGAAGCGTTTATGATGACGAATAAGACAGATGAGTCAGATGAGGTACTTTTCTTGAGACCTGCGGAGAGGTCCGCGTTGGATGGAGCAGCGTTTCACTACACGTTATACCGCGCCATGAGCCGGTTTCTTGGGTGGGTTTTTTCCCTTATGCTACTCTCACCTTATGGAAGCTAAGATCACTCCGTTCAGCCTAGATGGTTCATACGCTGCCGAAGGCGACCCTCCAGTCAACTTTGTGGAGACTTGGAATGGTCTTGTGGAGACCAATGATATGGTGAACGTGAACACTGGTATATTTGATCCGCGTCACCTGTTCGGCGTGTCGAACCAGGATGTCTTCAGGTGGCCAGGAATCGAAAACGGGACGAAGAAGCAGAATCTGGGTCTGTACGTCGCTTCGTTGCTCATGCCTGGAATCCCCATCCTCTCCTGGGGCGAGGAACAGGATTTCTACGTTCTTGACAACCAGGCCGACAACTATGTCTTCGGTCGAGGACCCATGTCATCCGCTCAGGCGTGGCAAATGCACGGATGCTACAAGCTTGGGTCATCAAAATACGCTAATTTCCCGCTAGAAAGCTCTCTGACCGGATGTGAAGATGATTCTGTCAGCCTCGATCACCGCGACCCTTCTCACCCAGCGCGAGGCCTTATGAAGATGATGTTCGAGATGCGCGAAAACTATCCTACCCTCAATGATGGCTGGTACTTGGAACAATTGTCCAACCATACTTTCGATATCTACCTTCCAGGGAGTGATGGGACACCGACTGAGACTGGAATGTGGAGTGTCATAAGATCACGATTTGCGGATTTACAGAATTTCGATGGTCAAGGCCAGGGAAACCAGAGCATCTGGCTGGTTTACTCCAATAACAACAAAACAGTCGACTATCAGTTCAACTGCAGCAGTAAGGATGCTTGGATCTCGCCATTTGCCACGGGAACAACGGTTAAAAACCTGTTTCCTCCATTCGAAGAGTTCACTTTGACGAATAGCTCAATAACGCTTGGGTATTACTACTGATCCTCTAAAGATTTATGCCTATTACTGACGATGAGTAGGTTTGAAGGGTCCGAGCTTCCCAATGGCTGTTATCACAATCTCACTATGCCAGCCTGGGGGTTCAAAGCCTATGTTCCGAAAGATAAATTTGTAGGCCCTTCCCCATATATAACGAGCTTCTCTCCAGGACATGATGCTCGCCTTGTGTCTCAGGGAACAACGGGAGAAACGGTTCGAATTGGCTTCGAATTCTCTCAGGATATGAATTGTGAAAATATCACCAATTCTCTGACCATCACGTCCAAAGCGCTTGACGAGAAGGTTCCGCTGCTGAACACAAGCTCGGTGTCTTGTCAATCCATTGAAGAGACTGAGATTGTGAGTTGGCCTGGAGCACTCACTAGTGTTTTTCGTTATGAGGCAGACTTGAGCAATGTTTTCCCAGGGGTCCACCAAGTCACACTTAACAATGTGACTACAGCAGATGGAAATAAATCTACAGGTGTGAGTACATACCTCGCTATACATGTCCCAAGAGTTTCTAATGCTAATTGGATCGGGTAGTCCGTGGACCATTTTCTATTCCGTATCGGAAAGAAAAACAATCCGATGATCTGGCCACAGTTAGCCAACTACAGCAGGACGCTCCTGTTCAATAATCCTTCGTCTGACACTGATCCGCTATCGGTAACGCCACAGGCCCCTGGCGCAGATATGTGGCGATATTCACTGGATTTTGGAGCCACATTCAGTAACTGGATGACATACACGGGCTTCAACACCTCAATTCCTGGCAAAAACTGGACTGGTACTGCGAAGCAGGCCTGGGCAGGAGAACACATTCTTGCCCAGTACTGGAGCAAGTTGACCGGTAGTAGTGCTCATTGGCAACATGGGGATACGGAATGGGCAGATAATCCCCCACGTCGCTTTCCAAACTTCTGGATAGAAGGAGAATTCAACCAATATGGATATGATGCTGGCTATGCCAATCAGATGGCGCTTAGCAACACCACTGGTCAGTGGGAAATTCATTTCATGGGCGAATGGCCCCAACAAGTTGCATTCAATGCCTGGGGGTTAAACGGGGATGGCCTGCCCGATCAAACGCAGGTGTTTGGGGACATTGACGGAGACGGTGTTCTGGACCAGGTTCCACCAGTCACGCTTTTGACCAATGTTTTCAACGTAACTATCCCACCCCCTTCGCCTTATCTTTCCTTCCGGCTGTCAGTGAATGATGGCGACCTTCGAGTCTACGCTACACCTACAGGGTCCAGATGGGTTCAGTTGGCCATCTTTATCCTGCTGGCGGTTGTGCCGATCAGCACTGCTGCCGGTGCGGTGTATGTCTACCAGAAGGCATTCTCTCAGGTAAAATTCAATCAGATTGGTGTGACTGAGAAGAGATCAAGTTTCGCTCCGCTAGTAAGCGTCTTTCAAAGAGTGACACATCGATTTAATGACAGCGAATCCAATTCTGGACCTACGCCAACCATTTTGGGCGCACCCCCATCTGAAAGTGGAGGCGTCATTGGTGCCACGGTAGACAGAAACCGACGGACCGTGCTCATTGCAACCATGGAATACGATATCGAAGATTGGGGCATTAAGATCAAGATCGGTGGGCTTGGTGTGATGGCCCAGTTGATGGGGAAACATTTGACCCAGCATGACCTTATATGGGTGGTCCCTTGTGTTGGAGGGGTTGACTACCCCAAAGACGACCCCCAGGAGCCGATGGTTATCACTGTCCTTGGGAAAAACTACCAAGTGGATGTCCAGTATCACCGGCTGCAAAATATCACGTACGTTCTGTTAGACGCGCCAGTGTTTCGAGCTCAATGCAAATCAGAGCCGTATCCTGCCCGCATGGATGACTTGAATTCAGCTATATTCTATTCCAGTTGGAATCAGTGTATCGCTGAAGCTATCAGGAGGTTCCCGGCAATTGACCTCTATCACATCAATGACTACCATGGTGGTGCTGCCCCTCTGTATCTTCTACCTCGCACAATTCCGTGCTGCCTATCTCTGCATAATGCTGAATTTCAAGGGCTCTGGCCCTTGAAGACTCCAAAGCAGAATAAAGAGGTTTGCAGTGTATATAACCTTGACCATGGAGTGGTGAAGGCTTATGTGCAATTCGGTGAGGTTTTTAATCTTCTTCATGGGGCTGCCAGCTATTTGAGAATCCATCAAAATGGATTCGGCGCTGTTGGTGTCTCCAAGAAATATGGAAAGAGATCGTACGCCCGATACCCCATTTTCTGGGGTCTGAAAAATATTGGGGCGCTGCCAAACCCTGATCCTTCTGACATCGCCGAGTGGTCTCCAAGCATGAATAATAGTCTCGAAGATGTCAGCATTGATACAGAATTTGAGGCCAGTCGTGCAGCACTCAAGAAACAAGCTCAAGAATGGGCAGGATTGAAAGTCGAACCTGAGGCCCAGCTATTTGTGTTTGTCGGTCGCTGGTCTATGCAGAAAGGCGTTGATCTAATCGCAGACATTTTCCCTTCCATTCTTGATTCTCACCCAAAGGTCCAGTTAATGTGCATTGGTCCAGTCATTGATCTCTACGGACGCTTTGCCGCAATGAAATTGAATCGACTAACCGAGCTCTACCCTGGGCGAGTCTTTTCCAGACCAGAGTTCACTGCACTGCCGCCCTTCATTTTCAGCGGAGCTGAATTCGCCTTGATCCCTTCGCGTGATGAACCGTTCGGTCTGGTGGCCGTGGAATTTGGACGAAAGGGGGCTTTGGGTGTGGGATCACGGTAAGACTCACCTGGCAGGGCTGAAAACAAGAAAGTCGAGTACTAATCTAACTTTATTCAGTGTTGGTGGCCTTGGGCAGATGCCGGGATGGTGGTTCACGATGTGAGTTTTCTTTGCAAGCCCTGGAGGAGATATATATAGATTTATATTTGTACTAACACATTCCAGCGAGTCTATGACAACCAAGCATCTTATCCAACAGTTCAAGATGGCCATAAATGACGCTCTGAAATCGTCACAAGAGACACGGCAGGTCATGCGTGCACGATCCGGCAAGCAGCGCTTTCCCGTTGCACAGTGGGTTGAGGATCTGGAAATCCTTCAAACGACCTCAATTGAAAAGCACACCAAGTACTCTGACCGCCAAGATCGCAGCTCATGGCGGATGTCCGGTGGCAGTAACTTTGTTCCAGAAGGCTTTCGCAAAGCTGCGTCAAGCTCAAATACAAGCCGCGACCAGAGCCGATCACGCAGCTCTACCGGCTCTGTTCCAACGAGCAGACCACCTACCGCTGATGTGGGATCTCCTGCGTCTCGACCTCAACAAGGCCTCGACCAGATTTACTCGCCCACGGATCTTTCTGTCGGTCTCAATATATCCGAGAATGGGCCTCATTTCGGAGTCATGCATGAGGGCGGCAGCACCCGTCCATCGTCAGTTGGGACGCCTAGTGTTTCTTTTGGTCAATCCGGCGCCAGCACACCAATTCGCAGCGGAGGCCCAGGAGACGGCCTGGTGGAACGAGGAGATGTCAGGGCATCCCTGATGAGTCTGGTCAGCGTCGATGATATTATCAAGGAGAAACAAGACTACAACCTCCAGAAAGTTGATCCGTTCTTCACAGATGTGAATAATGAGTATGCGGAGAAATTCGAGAGAAAGCTCGCTGACCTGAATGGCAAAAATTCTGAAGATCAGCTCTGCATTGGAGAGTTTCTCGAGAAGAGTGAAAAGGACTGGTTTAATCGATACCACGATGTCAAATTGGGCAAGTCCCCATTGCCGTCTCCTGCTCCCTCTTTCTTTCGCTTCAAGCCTCATGAGAGCAGTCAATCAGAGACTCCGCCAGCTACAGGTTTAAATGCAGACCCAATTGCCGCGCAATTTGCTCTTCCAAATGACTATATTCCCCCTACGGGTCTGAAGCGTTTCATGTTGATGAAGTTGGGTGATTGGCCCGTATACTCCATCTTCCTTGCTGTTGTGAGTTGGATCCCTCTTCAAATTCAATATGAATGATCACAGATATTGATATATTTCTAGGGCCAAATTCTCGCCTTGAACTCGTACCAGATCACACTCCTAAACGGTCAGATTGGCGAGACAGCCGAAAAGCTGTACATCTTGGCATCCATCTATCTGGCCTCTTCGATCATCTGGTGGATGCTGTTTCGTCTGGTCCCCTCAGTCTATGTGTTGTCGACTCCTTTCATGGTACGTCAAGGTTATCCAATTTTAGCTAGGAGAGTATAAGCTGACCATTCACAGATATATGGTCTTGCCTTTCTGTTTGTCGGTCTTAGCGGTCCCATGCGCAACACCACAAGTCAACCTTGGTTACAAAACGTAGGAACTGGGCTGTACTCGTTTGCATCTTCAAGTGGCTCGATTTTCTTCGCACTCAACTTTGGAGATCAAGGTATGCAACGAGCTTTCCTGAACGCATAGTAATTCTCTAATTTTCCTTGTATCTAGGTGGAGCACCTCTGAGGTCTTGGATTTACAGAGCGACAGTCATTCAGGGTACTCAGCAGTTAATGATCAGTTTCCTTTGGTACTGGGGTAGCTGGATGTCATCTCTTAATAACAGCGGGAGCACGCGATACAGCCTTGCCACGACTGATCCAAACGTTCTACTCGGGATTGGAGTTGGTCTTGCCTGTCTTCTGTGGTTTCTGGGAGCCCTGGTCTTCTTTGGACTTCCTGCGTATTATAAACAAGCACCAGGTCAAGTGCCGACATTCTATACAACGCTATTCCGGCGTCGCATCATTGTTGTACGTCTCCTCTACTTGCCCTCAAGCTGACTTTCCCTCTAACTCCGTGTTTTTAGTGGTTTTTCTACATGGTGTTTATCTCGAACTACTGGCTTTCGGCACCTTACGGACGAAACTGGCTCTTTCTCTGGTCCAGCAAACATGCAACCTCGTGGGAAATCATTCTACTCATTCTATTCTTTTTTATCGTTATTTGGGCGGCAGCCCTCTGGGTGTTTCACGTCTTCTCCAAGAGGCACGCCTGGTTTATCCCGATATTTGCCATCGGCCTTGGCGCTCCTCGATGGGCTCAGATCTTATGGGCAACCTCTAACATAGCCACATACGTTCCCTGGGCGGGTAGTCCAGTAACTGGAGCTCTCGTTGGTAGAGGATTATGGCTGTGGCTGGGAGTTTTGGATTCCCTTCAGGGTGTCGGTATGTTTTACCTTGCATCGAACATGGAATCAATATCGAATACAGATTGACTTACGAAAATGCAGGTTTTGGTATGATCCTTCTCCACACAATGACTCGATTCCATATCACCTTCACCCTCTTAGCTGCGCAGGTGGTAGGCTCCATTGCGACCATCCTTGCCCGCGCCACAGCGCCGGATAAGTTGGGTCCTGGTAATGTTTTCCCTGATTTCTCAGCTGGCATCATAGCCGGTTTGGAGAAGGCAGATTTCTGGGTCTGCCTCCTTTTCATGCTATCCATCAACGTCCTCTGTATCTTCTTTTATCGCAAGGAGCAACTTACGAAGCCTTGATTGTTTTGTTACAACATTAACTGGAATTTTCTCGTTCTTTCTGCTTTGCATCATCAGGAAAGGATATTTGTTTGACATTGATTACAAAATTAATGATAATATAATGGGCCATGTGTGCTGAGTGCGATAGAATTTACAAAGATCACTGCATGGTTTTGATTTGTATATAGTGTACAGAAGAACTACTAGAAATTTGAAGTTCTGTATTTGTCCAACTTCATACACCTTTCATGTGCCCATGATGATTCATCTTCGAACCTGAATAGATGCTGGTAGTGGTCTGGTCAGCACCTTAGTTTCCTGAGTGTATGGGTAAGTAGCTTCGACCCCAAAAACCATGCTAAGTTCGGATTGACATGTCTCGAGATGCCTGAATGATGGAGTCATCTCTATACCAGAGGATCCGGAGTAATGGTTGGTTACAAACTTGAAATGCAAACGCAGAAATGACCAACGCAAAATATATCAAGCCCTTCTGGACTCTTTGAATTTGCGGACTTAGTCAAGCTATTCAGTTTTATGCTTCAGGAGTGGCTTTGATTTGTTTTTATCTCTTTCCAGTCTCATCCACGCTTGCCAACTTGAATTATCCAGGTTCACTTACCTGTTTATTTTCTCCTTTTAACAGCTTTCATTGTGGAACCTGGGATGGTATGTTCAATGTTGTTGAAGCTTTGATTTTCTATCTTGTAGTGTGAAGTACATACGACCACAGGGTGTGGAGAACAGGGCTTCCCGTCCGCTCAGCCGTACTTAAGTAATATATTCATCAACCGCTAATCCACCTGGGTAAATACTTTATATGAGGTTAAAGAACACTAAGAACGGAAGATAGAAAAAAAAAAAGAAAAAAAGGCTTGCTCCGCCTGGGACTCGAACCCAGAATCTTGAGGTTTCGCTCCGTCCGGAATTTCCTGAACATTATGGATAAAAGCCACACGCCTTAAGCCAATTAGGCCAACGGAGCTATCGTATCAATTCGTCTAAAACTTGATTCCCTTAACCACCATGAATAAAGCGGCGAGCCGCCCATATACTGTTGTATGTTTTTGTATTTTTTTTTTTTCTCAAAAAACATTCAACCCTTCTAAGGTTCCATGCGGGAGGTCTGGGGGATTTGAACATACCCCTAACACAGTGTAGGTACTATTCAAAATAAAATATATGTTGGAGTTAGTTCAGAACATGTTTTAGCGGGCTAATATATATCTTAGGGTTAAAATATTAGGTAAATCCTTAGAATATTTTTGATGAGAAAACGTTTTGGACCAGAAAACGGTTTGGGGGAAAAAAACCAGTACACCCTCGTACAGGCTAACTTTTAGTCTGGTAACTTTCATCTGTATAGCTTCATACTTTATAGCTTCCTTCCTTATTCAAATACTTTACAGTACAGCTTTTTTCTTTTAATCTACAGGGGAAGTAAACCCAGGACGTACAATCTACAGTTTTCGGGCTACAATTTACAATTTACAAGACTTTACGAGCTACATTTTACAACACTAAAGCTACAGTTTACCAACTATACCATCTACATTATTTTAATAGCTTCACACCCTAGATCATATCTTATACAGACCGTACATTCCACAAGAAGGAATTCCACAGGTAATTCAACACAAGCAATTCAACACAAGTAATTCAACACAAGTAATTCAACACAAGTAATTCAATGCAGGCAATTCAACACAGGCAATTCCACAGGCAATTCAACACAGACAATTCAACACAGACAATTCCACAGACAATTCCCCAGATAATTCCACAGGTAATTCCACAGGTAATTCCACAGGTAATTCCACAGGCCCAGGGTTATTCAACACAGATAACTCCATAGTTTATTTCCTGAATAGAATAATATTTTACTAGTCCAACATATTAAGCTCTCCAACATATCTTCAATTTCTAAAAAAAAACACTTCCATAACATCAACACGGCTCACACCAGAACTTATTTTTTCATCTAAAATATATAGATATAATAAATTTCAGACAAATAATATAGATATAGTATCCATATTGTTCTATTACCAACATAGCGTTTACACCAAGTTAGGGGCATTTTCAAAATCACCAGACCTCCCGCATGGTTGGAATGTTGTTTGATACGTCGGGAAACTCCTCTTGCCGCTCTAATGTTGAGCCCCTTTAGAACCACCCGAACATCCTGAAGGCCCCAGGTGGTTCTATTCTTTGAGCGTTTTGAAGAAACTGACATGGCTGCCCAGGTGGCTACACTAAAACGTCCGGTAAGCCGATTTATAATACTGCCGGATCAGGCATTCCCATATCCCGACAACAATGTATGCTTTACCTCAACTTGCTTTGAGTCTTCCATCAGACTCGAATCACTCGTTACGCTATTGAATAGAACGAATCGTGATATTTCGTACGTAGCGGGCAGGGATTTAAACAAAGATTAAGCAATTCGAACTTGCACGTTAGAAGTTCTTGAAAATCAACAACTGCGTTTATCCTAATTCATTGAAGATTAGCAAGCAGGTCTTTTCACAGTTTCCCAGGCTGATAGCCTCTTATACAGTCACACCAGAGGAAGCTGAAAATAGATGTCATCTATATATAAGTAGTTTCACGAGCGTGGACCTGACGCGAGTTTTATAATGGGTGCTGAACTACACAAGTGCCATCGAAGGCTGCAAACTTGGAAATTAAGAACACGAGGGGCTGGTTCTCCCTGTCTAATCATTTCTTTGTTTGATCATTGCATGCCATTTTAATTCAATTGTTCTATCTATAAACCAAAAACTGCCGACTTCAAGCCTGAATAGTGAACTCGCGTATAACAATACAATCACATGTGCAGGTCTCGTGATACTTGTATGAGATGCACCCCCACGATATGACAAAAGTGCTAGCCTTATATGAACTTCCGTTGCTTTCCCGAGCGTAATTTGCCAAATCGCGCCTCTACGTCCGCCTCCTGTTGCTCTTCTCTGTCTCTCTGATTCCTCTTGCGAATTTCCTGCGCAGTGGGTGGTACAGCTGCTATAGCTGCTTCAAATGGCTTTTCACCAGGAGGCGGCACCGGCCCAAACGCCGGTGGTATAGCTGCTATAGCTGCTGCAAGTGGCTTTCCACCAAGAGGCGGCACCGGTTCAAAAGCTGGTTTAATCCCTGGCAAAGGTATTCCTGCCTTAAGCGCAGGCCCGGCTACTTTGAGCGCACCTGGAGCTAGACCTTCCACCACGACAGCTCCATCTTTCGGCAGCTCATGTGCGGGCGCAGTCGGTCTCACTCCGAATAACAAGTCAATAAGTTTTTTTTGGGGAGTGTCCACCCCTGAAAGTGCTATATAGATGGTAGGGATTGTGCAGGTCCCACGTGGATAGCGGCCCAATAGCCAATATCCTACCATTCTGCCAATATTTGTGCCCATAAGACCTTCATATTCTTCTGTATTAGAGTCATACCTCCATAAACTTTCATTACCCACGCCTCCAGGGGGCCATTTATGCCCGTTATGTGCTGCAAAGAGCATCTTGGAGATAAAATCCCTAGTATGGACATTCTGGATATCGTGGACAAAAACATACTTTAAGCCATCTTCAGGGACCAGGTCTGAATATAGCGCATTTGTGACCTCGCTTATGGGTGGCTCGTCGTGATTACGCGCCATATATTCGATAATAATTACTCCCTTGGTAAGGATTCCGTACCAGGCCTGAACCTGCTTTTTATCATCTGGTATGACTCCACCGGCCCATTGCTTTTTATAAGCTTTCATTCGGGCGTCGCGTTCATTGGCAGGGAAAAGATGTTCTACTGGATCGTACTTATTTGCACTATAAAACTCGATCCATTCTCCATTCGCATCCTTTTCGCCTGGAAGGTCGAGGCCATCGACGTCACTAAAAAGCTGAGCCATTCGGTCCACATGTGTCCAGGCTTTCTTGAATGGGCCCTCTCCAGGTGGGCCTATCACTCCCTCATCCACGTTGACCCTCACCACTTCCTCCTCTTCCTCCGGGGCCGCCGCCGCCGCCCGCGCCGGCGGCGGCTTATAATCCGAATCGTTCGAATCTTCCGAAGTAGTATCATCCCCCTGCTTTCCCTTAGCAACAGGGCCTGCATATAGGTCATCTCTAAATTTAGCTGGCACATCAGCCTTGTCGTCGATACTGTATTGGTCGTTAACGACCACAGTACAAGGTGCGATAGGACATGCTCCATCGGCCGTTTCAAGCCATTCCTTGATTTTCTTTCCCAATTCAGAAACACCGCCGTACTTTCGCGCCATGTTTGCTGAATGTAATGAAAAAGGCTCAAGTAATATAGCACTCAGCTTCGTTGAAGAAGATCAGTTTAATGGTAAATTATTCAGTAAGAAGTGTAAAATACTGTTTAATGCAGAAATTCAACCTGCAAAGACTGCAGACTGTTTCTATTTATCTACCTCGAGGCCCTCTCAAACATTTTTCAATGTTCATATCGCAAAAATAGACGGACTGTAACAGTTCCCTTTCACTACTCGTACCCACATGCCTAGCTTTGACCCTGTAGATGCATCTCTATACTGGCGTGCTATTTAGGGTCCGTGAAATACTGGGTGAGTTGTAGATAAAAACAAAGAGCCCAAAATAGATGATTGGAAGGTAAAAATGTTTCTCATCTTCAAAACTTCTCACGCAACCTTGGAATCTATAGTTGAAGGTGCTTTTTCTTCCAAGCTTTGATAAGTATGAGCCAGTTAGCGGATATCAAAAAAATCAAATAGAGCTAAGGACTAGTCCACGTAGTTAACAAAGAATAACGTGAAACATCTTTGTGATATTCAAAAAAGAAGGTTCTTTGAACCTTTCAATGTTGAAGGCTCCAAAGATAGCCGTTCTATTCTTACAGCTCTTCTTAGAGGAAACCTTAATGGTTCGAGGGGGTGCTTTTGTCAACGACTATTGTGACTACCTAAGTGGCCAAATTTAATGAAGTCAAGGTACTGGAATTCAAGAGGACATGGAGTCAGAAATGAGACAGACTATCCGGGAAGATCATCCAAACGCACAACCATACATACTCAGATGGTGATATATACCGACATATTCAACATTATGAGCAACCAGGTGGTATTGCCATAGTATGCTGTGGTAATTTTGCAATGGTAGGTACCATGTACGATCCATAAAATGAGAGAATTTACATACCTCGCGAAATCATCTCCCCCAGGATATAATTCCCTTTCATTTTTTCTTTCTTTCCTTTCTTTTCAAAAAAGTCTTTGTGAAAAGACCGTGTCCCAAAATCTCACATGCATTCTTCCTTAACATTCTTCCTTAACGAGAGCCAGCCATAATCCAATAAAAATGCGGTCGCTTTCGGTCCTCTTTCTCTGGCCAACCGAAGACAGTCACTTATGATTTTAACCTGACCTGGGTTACTGCCAACCCAGATGGTCTCGCTGAACGCAAATTCATTGGTGTCAACGGCCAATGGCCAATCACAGTCATCAAAGTCAGCAAAGGAGATCATCTGGTGGTGAACATGTACAATGGATCCACCGAAAAAACTACCCGATGGTGACCGTGGCTGACTCGGTTGTACTCGACACCATCCCGTCCAACCTGACCCTGAACCATACCAACTGGCTGGAGTATAACACCAATGCTGGCTATGTCGACGCTACTAGACATTGATGTCTCTTCTGAACTGGAAGCTTTTGATGATATGAGCCTTGTCTCTTACGACCGCAAAACTCTTCTTCCGGAGCCAGACATCCAGGTGAAACTGACTGTGCTCATGAATAACTTCCAAGGTTGATCAACGGTAAGGGCTATGCTCTCTTAAACGAGATCAGTTATACACCCCCCCAAGGTGCCTACCTTATACACTGTTCTCTCAGCAGGCGACTTGGCAAGCAATGCCCCAGTGTATGGCGAATATACACACCCTGTAGTCTTAGACCATAACGCTGTTGTTGAGATTGTTCTGGAGAACCAGGACACTGGCTCGCACCCATCGCATCTACATGGGCATTCATTTCAGCTACTTACCCGCTACCCAAGCTACGGGGCTGCTTTCTACGACTACTCTGCTGATATGACCTTCGCTACCTACAATTCCTCCAACGAAACCATCGCCAGCAGTTTTCCAACATACCCAGCCCGCTGTGATACTCTTGCGCTCCCCCTGGAGGCTACATTGTTATCCGGTTTGTCGCCGATGACCCCGGTGTGTGGCTCTTTCACTGCCATATCGACTGGCACCTGGCGCAGGGGCTGGCTATGACCTTCGTGAAGAACCCGATGGTGCTTCAGCAGCGTCCCTGATTTTGGGAATGCGGCGGCTAATACCGTCGACTACCTTGATCTCTATGGGCAGAATGCTCAGCCTGCCTGGCTACCGGCCAGGTTTACGGCGCGTGGAATCGTCGCCTTAGTCTTTTCTTGTATATCCGCGGTCCCGGGTATGGCATTTATCATCATGTAAGGACTCTCGGATTTGAAGTTCACGGAGACGGACCCCGGCATGGGGGCTTCCGCGGACGTGGCCCTGACAGAAATTGGGGGAAACGAAGGGGCGCCATACCGTGATTGATTGAAAGAATGAATAGATACAGAAGGGCCCAGAAAGTACAACACAATACATCGACCAATTAAATACTTCTGATTCAAATTGGTGTTCATTGATTTCATTTGCAACTGAACGAACGCCATAGAGAATCAATTGGTAATTTCAATTTTTGGTAATTCATAACGGAAACAAAAGATTTGAATATGAGAAGTGCTCACTTTTCTCACTAGTATGGAACAATCATTCAAAGTCGCTACAAATATCTGCATACCCACAAGGTAATATAGGAAAAAAGGAGCTCCGAGGCCGAGTATGTTACCTAGGAAAGGGAGACCAAGGAATATGATCTGAGCAAGAGCATAAAAAAGTAGACAGAGGGTGCTGACTAGCGTATCTCTTTTCACAGGCTCGCTTGTGCCAATGTCACATCTTTCCATCCACTTCAAGTTGTTCTCATTGAATCTCGTTATTATACGGTCCAGAGAATTTGAAAGTGACTGAACCATGGATTGGACTCCAATATCGTCCGGTTGCCCCGTTGCAACCCGGATCTCAAGTGTAGTGATCTGGTTTTGCAATTGTTGCTGCATTATGGGAAAGATTGGTTGAATCATTTTGAACGTGTCAGACTGTGAATTGACACTCAAAATGCTTAGTGTGGTCATGATATCTTCCACGATTATCTGGATATTCATCAAAGCTTGAATTAACTTCAAACTTAACGGACTAGAAGCCCTCTCATGAGAAATATCCTGGTTGATATCAGTTGAATCGGGCAAAGAGGCCATATTCCCTACTTTCTCTGTGGGGTATTGATGAAGGTATGTGGCAGTGTTGTTCAAATCAGTCCATAGTTTAACAAGAGCGGTGCAGTTTGACACTCCGACAGGGGTTCCAGTTACAACAGCGAAAGTGAAAATCGCCGAAAGAACAAAAGTAAGTTTCATGGTGGAATTTGGCAGTGGAAAAGAAAACTTCAGTGCACAGACTCGGAGTTGAGCTTCCAAAGCTGGAATCTTGAAAGCGTGTCAAACAATGTTAAGATTCTAGCAATCCTGGTGCAAGATATAGCAGCGCTTCAAGTTATATAGTAGATACTAGTATGAGGCGAGTGAGGTCCCAGTCTTGTTGATCAGAGGCAATCTGAAATTTATTAGTTCTGTCCCACCATGATACAAATTTACGAACTGATTTTGGCATATTTAGTTCATTTTGAACTATCAATAGTCCGATCTTAGATGGATTGAGAATTAGACTACATATGTGTATGTGCGCACATGAGAGATACTAGTAATTACTGGGACTCAAACAATTGGTGACTCGGAATATCCATATTTAGTCTGGCTCTCTTAATTTACTGGTCACTGCACATGTGGCAATATGGATCACGTTTAACCCTAATGATTCCAAGGTTCCTAAGGATTCCGGGAATTGATTCAAGCCTTTCAAGGTTGGGATTCTTGTATTAGGATTTATTGGTTAAATATGTTTCCGGACTATGTTGCGTCGTACTGCTGTTTCATCACCAGCTGGAGTATTTTAGAGTTTGTACCATCAAGCCAGAAGCGGGTTTCATACCTCTTGCATGTGCTAGAGGGATGTAGGGAGATCATGGAATATGTGTGCTACTACTAAGTGCCATCGTAGTGTGGAGTGAGGAAGAAAGCTCATATATGTTGACAGAGCTAACTTGGAAAGACTATGTACAGACCTCTGATCTCTACAAGAACATCAGATAAATCTGACTGTCAACAAGCGGTCCTTGGCTCCGTCGAGATACATACCCATTGAAAATTCCTAAACAGCATTTCATCTTGATTTCTTCTGTCAGCACCGCTGGTAAAGCTTTTTCAGACCGGGGTCATATTGCATTCCCTGCACCTATCAACATTGGAATTTAGCTCCTCGACTCATTACCTTAGCCCTGGAGGTCGGATTTATGGTTGTCGCTCACAGCATCCATTAATATCGAAATGCTAGTTTGCGCCCGGCCTGAATTATTGTCAATCATACATCTCTATCTATCGGCCATTACTCCTACTACTACCCCATCACGAATAGTAAACTACGAACAAAACATGATACAGAGACGGAAAGAAGTGAAAAATCTCGGCAGCCCTCCTGGGCTTCTGAGCAAGTGTTAACTGCATGCTGAATTGGCATGTAAGGCGGTCGGCATTAAGCAGAAAATGCTGAAGTACGGCAAATCGTTAAGGCCACAGCTTGCATGCCTATTTGGGACTAGTTTTAGCCAGCAGAAAATAAATTACTGGAAATACAATTACGCACTCATATCCACCGGGGCACCAGGGCACCATGTAAGCCCTGGAGGTTGGTATCAAGCTTGACCATCTAAGAGGGTATAAGCTAGGGAAAATAGATCCTATTAAATAGGTGCTATAGCGATTCGGGCTATATGTATGTCTAAGATTATATTATAATGGAGAATAGTACTGTGAAGATAGGTTTGAATTGGTAAGTAAAACCGGTTTAGTACGATACAATTGGTTTGGTCAATATATATCGTTATAGCTAGGTATCGCACTATAGTAATGTAGATATATATTTCTGTTATACATACAAATTTCTATAGGAAATAGCCCCTTATATCCTTCTGCTTTTGTGCTTTTGATCTCCTATCCTGTATCAACCTCTTATGTCTATACAGGCTAGTTATCAATTGCATTTCGCCCAGGTCTTGCTGCTCTTCATATAAACAAAGCGTGTCTAATGCATGAATAGCATCATTTATCGGAACTAGGGGGGGGTTTTAGGTATAGTTTCTGCATCATCATCATTATCACCATTAACCTCTCTGGGAAACTGGCTTAGTACAATATTATCTATAGTCTTAATACCATCTTGAATTACCTTATCCAGAGGATGAAGGAAGTTCTCGATACTTATTAGATCTAGTAATAAAGGCCTTAGCATAGTTAAACCAGCATTGAGTTCATTAATTAGTTACTGGTGTATTTGATAGTCTTTACCTTTATCGATTAATGCTTTATTAAAGTAATTGGTAATAGTTTGAGCGGAAATATTAAATTCCTATGTCTGAATCCCCTATCTTAATGTATAAAGTATATCTATAGATTGTATTGGATCACGGTCTGTATTAAATTCAGATACTATAAACCTTACCCACTGGTATTTCTAGTAGGCTTTCTAGGTTTTAATAATACCCTGATCTAATAGTTAAAACCGGCTTGTTGAATTAGCTAGAAGCTAAATAATTAGGGTGTTTTAAAGTAGTAAATGTCAGCAATTCAGGCTGATTCTCTGCCTGAATTCCTGGGACCAAAAGTGGCTCTTTCGGTCTAAAGATTGTGCTGACTAATTCATCCCGCGATCAACCATTTTGTTGCGGAATGAATGGCTATTGTTTTGATCTGATCCATCAGATCAAAGATCATCTTCTCTCGTCCGAGAAGATTCGCAACCCGAACCCCGTTGTTGAGATCAATGGTTACAAGATGAGATGAAAGACTTGATCATTTCGGATTCCGTGGATCTTTCATCCCATGTTCTGAGACCTTTGGTCTTATGTTTATCTGTTTAGTCTAATGTTCTATAAAACCTGATCTTACCCCTTAGTTAGTTGAGCATCGAATTCAATCTTTTTGGGATCAGTAGTATCTTTGTTTGATTCTTTCCTTCCATTCCATCCTAAGTTTGGATCCAGCTTGGTCGTATGTCATTCCATCTGATCCGTGTTGTCTGATCTTTTGGTCTTATTTTCAGCGTGGGGAAGACAGGACCAAAGGTGATGACGTCACGCAGAGGATGTCAGCTGAACAGGGGCACCAAGCTACAGGGAACCCTTCGGAGGAAAGGGTAAAGATAAGACCAAAAGATCAGACAACACGGATCAGATGGAATGACATATGACCAAGCTGGATCCAAACTTAGGATGGAATGGAAGGAAAGAATCAAACAAAGATACTACTGATCCCAAAAAGATTGAATTCGATGCTAAACTAGCTAAGGGGTAAGATCAGGTTTTATAGAACTTTAGACTAAACAAACATGAGACCAAAGGTCTCAGGATATGGGACGAAAGGGCTACGGAATCCGAAATAATCGAGTCCTTTCATCTCATCTTGCAACCATTGATCCTAACAACGGGGCTCGGGTTGCGGATCTTCTCGGACGAGAGAAGATCATCTTTGATCTGATAGATCAGATCAAAACCATATCATTCATTTCGCAACGGAAATGTTTGATCGCGGGATGAATTAGTCAGCATAACCTTTGGATCAAAAAGGGCCACTTTTCATCCCAGGAATCCAGGCACACAATCTGCCTGAATTGCTGACACTTATCTTTACCCTTTCCTCCTAAGTCCCCTGTAACTTGGTATCCCCTGTTCAGCTGACATCCTCTGCGTGACGTCATCACCTTTGGTCTGTCCCCGACGCGCTGAAAGAATAATATTATTCTCTTTGCAAATCTAGTCAAATTGGGGGGTGAAATAACTCCCACAACCATCAAGAATCAAAAGTCGATATTTTCCAAGTATATATATTCAGTAGTTACTAGAATAAAGTGCTTTTGAAGCAATTGAAGCCTAATTTTATCGGTTGTCCATCCATTTAGACTAGTTTTAAATCGCCAATCAAGTGGAAAATTCTTAACCTATCCTTTAATCAAAACTTTGTCTTTAAAAATAATAACTGGTGGAGGGACTTGTCCAGATCCACTAATAGTTTCAATAGCTATTACCCATTCACAATTTCTAGGCTGTAAAAGTGCTCGCCGACCGTAGAGTTCAGAGTAAGTAACAACTTAAGCAGTTGCTGTAAGCCCCATTGTAAATCCAATCTCATCAAAGTTATAAATATCCTCTGATAGAATACTATTCTCTTGGATAGTCTTAAAAACCAGATTAAACCACTCTTGAACTATCTTTGGATCCCCTATCTTTACATGCTCGTAATCATATTGTCAAGAGCATTATGTGGTAAGCTCTGAATGTCGTTTAACGAAGTTTGTAACCCAATTCTTGCCAACAGTTTAAGAGGGGGGTCTGGCCATATGCTATGAGTAGAATATTGGCCATTTCTTGGACAGTAGCCGGGCGGGGGCAGCTCCACGTATATCCATAGAGATCACCCATTGAAGAAGCGAATTCTCTTCATTTTCGCTTAATTGATGATTATTTGCGCGAGTTTCAAGGCGGTTCTGGTGGCCATTTAGCCTATCGCGTAGCGTAGAGCGAGGTATATCAAATATACGTGCTGCTGTGGCGACTGCTGTGATATCTTGGTTCTTTATAGCCTCAATAGCAATTAGAATCCTTCCCTCTTGTTCGGCTAAATTTCGAGAGGTTTTAGAACGTATTGGTGGCATGGTGGGTGGTTGAAGATGGAAGGGTGCGACGCGACTAACGCGAACGCGGTCAGGTGGCGGCTCGCTTGGGAGATACGTTACCTAATTTTATCTGATCCTAATATATCAACGTGTAAAGAAAAGAAACCTAAAATTTAAGAGTGCTACGGAGAAATGGAAGCTTTTTGAAGAGCAGAGAAGCCTATGGGTGGAGTAGGTATATCCTTCCCCCATCCATATGGTTAGTACCTAGGAAAGGGGGAAAAGAAAACTATATATCTATACATGTATACATATCACTGGAAGCTACTAGTACATGCACATGTGTATCTCATACTTCAGCCATCTCTCACTTCATTTACTACTAGGTAGTATTCAAGTTGTGGGTTACCACATGCACATACGAATCCTGACTGTTGTATGTTTTCTTTTTTTTCTGTCCTTCACTTTCTGAAAATAGGCCTTATAATGATTTCAGTTGAGCAAACCCGCTTTCGCCAATGAAACTTTAAATTAGCGACCTCAAAATATCATATTAGCCAACCTTTCATTAAAGCCATCCACACGAAGGCAGGTATTGACCTTTCTTGGAATAGTGTCCAATTTGAACGTTCAAGTGGAATTTTAGGGGAGATCATATTTCAGTCAATACCATAATTTCGCAAGCCCTTATTGTACATTGATTTTATAGCCACGCTCATGACATCCAAAAACCTCTCAATTTCGATATGCACATCGTCACCGTTCCAGCCGCGTTTCTCAATGGGATGAGAATTAAGAGATGCATGGATACTGAAGTATTCGTGACCCCGAAGAGCAGCAAGATTGCGAAAACCCTTGTGATTCAAGTTATACGGTAGGATTTCCACCATGGCTGAACCAGGTGGTAAGAATATACCGTGAGTAAGACCGGCTCCATGAATGCCGGCAAAGATATCTGTGTTTTGAATAATCTGCAATTGATCTTTGTAAGAGATTGCAGCAAAATCAATGGATTGAATTTTGACTTGTGGAAACATTTTTGAAAGTTGATCGAGATATTCTTCCATATCGACAAGTCTCCGTCCTGAGACCCGGTTGATGAAGGTGAAAATGATTTTATCATTCTGTCGTGGTAGGATTTTCTCTATACCGTAAAGATCAAGAACGAGATTTGCAAAAGTATTCAAATTTGTAGATCCTTCGCAAGGGTTGATTTCCCAGTCACCCTGCCACAGTGTATTGCTTCCACCAGGGAGTGGTACGATGATATTCTCCAGGGTTGTGTTCTCAGAAAGATTTTTCAAACGCACCACTTGCTTTTTAGCGAAAAGTGACCACAAATAAAAATACGGACCATCGGGTTCGTCGTCGAAGATTAACAGTTGGGTGTTGGCTGCATCACGCTCCGCAATATATTGTACGTGAAGATTGTTGGATGGCTGCATCATTTGCAAGACATCCATAGTCAAAGTCATGGAGAATATTTCCATTAGAGAGTGCCAATGATTACCAGCACCTCGCTTGACCAAAATTGAGTAGTTGCCGTCTCTTCTACTGGTTCCTCAGTCTCTGGATCCAAATTGATCCAGCCATCAAACACCAGTCCCGGGCCTGTGTCGTACATATACTTTTGGAATCGCTCTGGATATGGATAATCTGGGGCAAGCTCAGAGTTTGGATGCTGGTGTAGGCCGCATTCAAGGTGAAAGGTTCCATTCACTGGATCGAACCTCGCCCCTTTCCCAAAACAGAAGGAATCCCATCGATTCACAGTATTCGAATGAAAGCAAGTCAGAGCTGTAGATTCATTACAGTACTGTGTTGCCGAATTTTGGAGCTTTTCAAGGTACCTCGTTCCAAATCGCTCCGCACAAAAACGCGATTCCTCAACTGGGGTGGTATATTCAGCCGGAATATGGGAGATAGCATGCTCTTCGATCGGGATGGAGAGATCGGCCTTGCCATCGCTGGAAACCGGGAATGATGAATACCAAAACAGCAAGATGGAAAAAATCGAAGCAAAAGATAAAATTAACAATGAAGTACGCCTATGGCGGAAAATTTGAGAACCCATCCACGGCATCTTCACTCGTCTTTGCAGGAAAGCAAGAGACGGTTAGTCGGACTCTGCCTTCTGATAACACCGATTAAACTCGAGAAATCTTCTCCATTTGCATTCGTTCCTTTGTTTAGCGCTCCGTGGTCAACTCTTTCACCAAAGAGGTTAGCAGGGTAGACTCGAGGGAAACCGAAGAAAAATCATCACGCGGTTAGCGCAAGCCATCTTGCTACCAGGAAGGGTTTTATGGACCAGTAGGGTCGGATTTCAGCCCCAGGTGCATTTTGATCGGCTGTACGGAGTGTTAGCGCCAAAACTACCGAAGACTCCACTCCATATTGGGGGCCAGGATAAATCACTAAGCCATACAATGTACTTCGCACTGCCCACAATATGCGCTAGGAGGAAGAATCTTTTTATCATACTGCAAAAAGTGGGGTCAATGGAGTCGCCTTCGTGTTTTGAAACATAATGAATTCAGGGTCTCTCTAGGACTTCATGATTCATGATCGCCTGATTGCTTTCATCAAGAAAGAGGTGGGAACACAATCACCCTTCAATCTTTCCAAATTGACATGTTCAGAGAACTGTAGCGTAAATCATGATTTAAGCCGCATCACTTCTAAAACATTACCCCACCTGATAACTGTGAATTTAATGCCCAAGCTGAAGGAACATATCGTCGGAGTAGCAGGGGCGTTGAGTTCAGGGGCTTTTCAAGTGGGATTGCAGACTTGGTGCCTTGAAGTTGGATGAGGGTCTAAGTGGGGCAATAATATCGCACTCCTCGCACTCAAATCCTTTCATCAGAGTGGGTTTGCCGCCAAAGCTGAACTGCTGCGGACCTGCGGCTATTTCGTTGATTCCTTCAGAGAGGTGAAAATTCTCTCGGTAATGCTGGAAATGTAACCGAGAAATTATTCCGAGGCTGGTGGTTTCTTTCAAATGCCGTCGAAGGACTTCCATGGTTTCATAAGCTCTAAGTCCTGCATAAGTGCGATTTGCTGGTTCCTTTCATCTAGATCCTTCCGGTTGATACACATCGCATTAATCCAGAAGGTTGTCTTCAGCCTTGGAGGTGACCGTCTCGGAGGTACAAGAGTGCGGCGTGGAGATTCTTCGCGACATGATTTTTTCGAGATGTTGATCTGAAATGGTTGGAGAGGATCGGAGCATATCCAGCCACCAAGCTACTCAAATCTCCACCAACCAACTATGTAGATATCAATATCTCAATGAAAATCGCAAATTACTTAATGAAATTCAAATATTGAATCAAACGCGCACATTGACCACGAGGTTGGTTTTTTTTCCTTCTTCTTTCCTGAAGACAAATTTGCAAGTCAGAACTTTTTGAAAAGTCTCTGGAAAATTGGCGTGTTTTGTTTACATGGAGATCATGCTATAGAATAATTGTCAGCGCGCGTGAGGCCTACCTAGGTAAAGATGTAGTTTGATACAGGTTTGAGAGGAAGGTTCGGACCACTTTCACTGCTATTATTAGCTCTTCATCTCGTTAGAACTTCTTCTCACGCTCTCCCCGATATCTAGTTTTCTATGCTTAATGATCCTACGGTACATCCTCTCAAGCATAATGCTACATCTCTCATATTTAGAGCAGGGTCTCTCGCCCCACATAATCAGTGCGGGGCTGAAATGCGTGACAAACCAAGGGGCCAAAGAAGTTCAAGTTTCTTCAAAATTCCTTAACCTTCTTTCATGTTGAATTTTCAAAAGGGATGTCATGGTTATGGCATCTTCGGTTTCATTTTGGGGACCTAACTACGGATTGCAAATTGAAAACAACTATGGGAGTATCAATGCGCAGTTTCATCTGCCGCCAGGTGAGCCAACTCTCGAAATAGCCATGGAGCAGTGAGATCTAATCCCCTCCTGTGTATTAGATGATTCCGAGGCTCCGAATCCAATCTCTACAGTTCCGTTTGATAGAGACCCCGATTTCATTGAACCAGGTTTATTATCACAAAAAGTGACCGATATTTGCTCCAAGCCTGCAGCGAGACTCGCCCTTGTAGGTCCTGGTGGCATCGGGTGAGCACGAATCTAGCCCATATTTCTTTTGTCAAGGTGCTGATTTCCAAATCCAAAGAAAGTCTCAGATAGCTATTGAACACGCATATCGGACGCCCCACAACTCACCAGACACATGGGTTTTCTGGATTCATGCCAGTAGCTCGGCTCGATTTGAGTTAAGTTATCGCTTACTCGCAGATAGAGTCAAAATTCCCGCTCGCATAGATCCAAATGCAAATATATTCAAACTTGTTCATGATTGGCTTCAGGATTCCAAGCACGGCCCGTGGATCATGATCCTGGACAGCCTCGATAATGATGATTTTCTTCGCCGAGTGCCATCTCCAGGCGTGGCTCTTTCCAATTTCTTACCGCGATGTCAACATGGCTCAGTTATCTTCACGACACGAAGTTATACTGTTGCGGAGATGTATGCGACCGCACAAAATATAATTACTGTAGACCCGGATGAGTCCCATTCAGTGGCTCTCATGAGAAAGAAACTCAGAGTAGAGCAAGACTATGAGGATAGTGATGTCACTAAGCTTGTGAGAGCTCTCGCTTGTATGCCTCTTGCGGTTGTCCAAGCCGCTGCGTACATTACCAAGCTTGTTCCTCGGTTCACCGTGACTCAGTATCTGAAGGGGTTTCAAAAGAGTGATCGGAAGAGAGTTAAACTTCTGGAACACGAAGCCGGAAATCTCCATCGAGACTGGGAGGCAAAGAGCTCTATCCTGGTAACGTGGCAGATGTCGTTTGATCATATCTGAGAAAGCAGAAAGTCAGCTGCAGATCTTCTCGCGCTGATGAGCTTCTTTGACGCTCAAGGGATCCCGGAAATTCTACTCCGGGATGCACCAGATGAAAGCGACGATGACAACTCCATCAATTTAGATCACTGTCTTGATTTTGAAGATGACATTTAGATCCTCCGGGAATACTCATTTATCTCAGTTAGCCAGGATGGGGGAACTGTCCAAATGCACAGTCTGGTGCAGACGGCTGTTCAGAAATGACTTAATGTCCACGATCAAAAAGAATTTTGGAAATCTCAATTTGTTCGGAATCTCCTTCGTGCATTCCCTACTGGCGATCCCATTCTCCATTGGGAAAAATGCCGTGCACTCTACCAGCATGTCCAAAGGGCACTCTCCCAACGCCCAAACTCCGAAGAGAGGCTAAAAGACTGGGCGCTTCTTCTTTATCGAGGAGCGGAGTATGCGCAGACAAGCAAAAATCCCCAGGAAGCTCAAGAACTGATGACCAAGTCAAAGATAGCGTTCAAGAAGATTCTCGGACCTGAACATCCACATACCATTTCCAGTGGTATACTTCAAGCTATGAGCTATTTACTCGAAGGTCGACGTGATGATGCTGAGGAGTCACTTTCCCGACTACTGAGGACCTGTGAAAGTGCTCTTGGGATTTCCCACCATGTTACGTTGCAGGCAAAAGACAACCTTGCTGAGATATATTACTATCAAAGCCGCTTTAAAGACGCAGAGAGTTTGTGGGAGCAGGTACTCCAGATCAGAAAGGCTTCATTGGGAGAACACCATGCTAGTACACTTGTAGTCGAAGTAAATCTTGGTATATCTTACACCAACGCGCAGAATCTAGAAAAGGGTCAGACAAGGTTCCGAAAAGGTTTCGCCTTACTCTCAGAGGTACTCGAGCTCAGGAAAAGGGATCTTCCCGAGGACCACCCAAGCATATTGATCGTGAAAAGCTCGGTTTCGGGTGCTTACATCGAACAGGGCAAATTGAAAGAAGCTGAAGAAATGGAAGTTGCGCTGTTAGAGTCCTACAAGAAAATCTTTGGTGGCGAGCATCAATGCACGCTTTTCAGTGTGGTGAAACTCGGATCCATATACACCTACGTGGACCGATTAGAGGATGCTCTTCCATATGGCATAGAGGCCGTTGAGTATTATCGAAAAACACTGGGAGAAAAAACCCTGTACACGATTGGTTCGATGGGTAATCTCACAATCATGTACGGTCGCCTAGGTCTATTCAAAGAGGCTGAGCTCCTCGCTCAAGCTGTATTCGAGGCCAAGAGGGAGTCTTTGGGGGAAAGAAACACTGAGACAATTGATGCGATGGAGACCCTAGCGATGGTTTATGAGGGTCTGAAGAGAGACAAAGAAGCCTCATCTCTTAGATGGGAGGTTACAAAAGCACGGGCTGATGCCTACCGAGATAAACACCGGAGAGGGTTCAGTGTGAATAATCTTCTTTCTTTGACTGCAAAGCTCCTTGTGTCAGGTATTGATCGATTTGAGTAAGCCGGTCTAATATTTACTTTTAAATTTCATGATTGTGCGATATACTGCGCAAATTCTTTCTTCTTACCTATATTATAAGTTCAACTTGAACAATCCCAGACTCGGAGTTTATAAGCGTGCTTTAAACGATATCCACCTAGTTTTGGACTACGAATCATCATCGATTTGAAATTGCCGAGGAAAATTCTCTGGTTTCGGGCAAGTTCCAACTCACGGTTTGGGACTATAACGCTTCCTGAGTTTTCGCACTTACACTTCTTATTGCTTATTTATGTCTATATCTACATCTTTCAATGAGTGTCTGATACATAGGACCACAGAGTGTGGATAAGAGGGCTTCCCGTCCGCTGCCGTACCTAAGGATATCTCACACATGACCTAGACTCAGGTGGCCTGTTTGAGTTCTCTGCTTTTACTATTGTGGTAACTTGGATTTTATTCTGACTGCCTGTTCTGAATATTATCAACTGTTAGAACTTCTGCCTGGGAGATGGGAACACAGAGGCTCCAAGATTTAAATTGATTATCATATTGACGGCGAGACTGGCTACCTGAGAAAGATGCCACAGTGTTAACATGATCTCCACCTGGGCAGTAATAGAAGAAAGCAAACTGCATTTGAAGCTGTAGCAAAAAGGTACTAGTATCTTAGAAACTTAACCTTATCTGGACTGTAGCCTGAGGTTAGCTGTGAATGGAGCGGGCGACCACTCTGGGCGTTGGCTGCCTAGATTGTAGAAGTACAATTCAGTCGGTCCTCTTTTCGGTTTGTTTACCTCCCAGTTGGGTCTAGTTAAAATTGAATTGACAGATCTGGGATCGGGAGGTAAAGGGTATAAATAGTGACCCTCGCACTTACCCTTCTCATCTCCCCTTCCCACTTCCACTTCCTCTCACCTCCTCTCCTCAAACACATTTTCTCAAGCGCACGGGGCTAAGCGAGAGCCCGTTGGTGTCGCAAGGCAGGCGACGGACTTAAAGCCCCCTAGATGCTCTACGGCTGTCGTCAAGCGTTGTGCTCGCTTCGTGGCATTGCCGAGTCTCGTGCCCCAACAGCAACGAGCTTGGGCCTCTTCGTGGCGCTGTTGACTAGTAGTCTTTACAAGACGAAGCTAACACAAGCTCAAATCAACAACCTTTGTAGGGTATGATAGTTATCTGTTCAATTCTATCTGTTCAATTCTTCGGCTCAATCAGGCCCCCAGGCGAGATCGAAATTGTAATCCATTTTGATAGAACAGAAGTTCGGGAACTATATACATTTTCAGCCGTGGAGGGCTTTCCGTCCGCTCAGTCGTACCTAAGCCACACGCCGGTCAGTTAGTAGTATGGTGCACCGGTGACCACATGCGAATCCTGCCCAGTGTATATCAAAAGAAAAAAAAGATGCATTGTAAAGCAATAATAACCTTGGAAGGAAGGAACCTTGGAAGGTAGTACCTATGAAGTATGAAGCTGCCCGGGCCCTTCCCAAATAGGTAAGGTGAAAGTTACCGGGCCTATATCAGGATCATGATGGTACACCTTTTTTTGGAATATGTTTTGTAGTTTGAACACATTTTCGAATCTAACATATTTTGATGATTAAATATTTTACATTTTTCTCTTACCTATATGCCTATCCTGAGAGATATATTTTAGCCCTAAAATATATTGCTATTGGATTTAGTAGGGTATGTCTTTTCATATAGTAAGAAATATTTTACATCCATGTATGATATCTACGTGTCAACACCATTTTCAAAATCCCCAATCCTCGTACCTACTTACCTAGGTAGTAGATACTCCGTATAAATGTGGCAATAAGGGTGGCAGAAAAAATGCATAAAATACTCCATAGTGGCAGAATTATTCAATTTGTGATGAGATATACAAACACTGCAAACATTCTGAAAGCGGTAAGAGGGGCTAAGATAGAGGGGTCATTGAATAGTAAAACTTTTTTATATTGCCACCATAAAAACTTACTAGATTATCTCATCTACAATAAAGCTCCCCACCTCATTATTGACAGTCTGGCTATACTAGAAATACATGGCAGACGACAGAGACAAGACCTAGCCGAGTTATCTTTTATCAGGATCATAAGAATAGACTTTATTTCTGTAATGAGTCACAAAATTTTAAAGGCGGTATCTCTTTTGGGAGGCGGTCTCAAAGGCGGTACCATACATGATTTTTTTCCACTTTCAATAGCTTCAACATTTTTTGACTTTGGGAACACTGCCAATTTTCCCGATAATCCGCCAAAACTACGATCATAATGACCTCCAAAATTCAGGACGAAGCGCCCCACAACAGCTTCGATGTACGTACCCTCACCATCCCACCAAGAGTGCGAATGTCGAGCCTGGAAACTCCTCCCCGCTCCCCGCAACCTGCGGTCGATTACCCTTGGATAGGGCGTATAGGCATAATCGAATCGTGGACGCAATAAGAATGCATACGCTGACAATTACCGATCTTCTAGACTATTCTCGTTCTCGACTTTGGCGTATGTACAACTCAACAGCCCCATTTCCCTTCTTTCGACCTGGCTCAGATAACGGACCTTCCTTACCGCTACATGACTCATAAGACTTCTCAAATTGCAAATATTGACTTTGGTTGTTAAGTCTCAAACAAGCCACCTTATTCTGCGTCGTCTCCGTGCCCTCGGTGTCTTCGCTGAGCTGCTTCCATGCACCACCAAGATCGCTGATCTGACATGGAAGCCTAAGGGAATTGTTTTTTCTGGAGGTATGCACAATCTGAACGCAAGATGCTTGTGTTGAGGTCTGATTGAATTATTAGGTCCTTCCTCTGTCTACGATGAGGGCTCACCCCGTAAGCTTACCGCTCCCCGAACGCCATGTTTCCTGTACTCATATCTGTAGATGTTGACCCCGCTGTTTTTGACCTTAATGTCCCTATCCTGTAAGTTTTCTTTCAACCCATCTCCTGAAACTTTGAATCTAGACTGACATGTAAATTATAGTGGTATCTGGTATGGATTCATCCAAAATCGGTCCTGGGATGCGACTAATACTATTCTGCAGTTATGGTTGCCAGGAGATCGCATGGCGCATCGACTCAAAGAATGTTGCACGCGGAGTTGCCCGAGGTTTGCCACGCTTTGAAAAACAATATCAACCCTTTTCTGACCATTTCGTCGCAGAGTACGGCCACGCCGATCTCAAGGTCTCCAAGATCAACAGCCATGTCGACCGCCTCTTCGCTGGTTTGGGCGAGGAAGTTCCCGTCTTCATGTCGCACTTTGACAAGCTAGTCACCCTACCTGCTGTGTGTCACCTTGGCCTAGAATTTCCAGGGCACTGTTATTGACTCGAATAGGGCTTTGTTGTCATTGCTGCCACTAAGAACTCAGAGTTCGCTGGTATCGCTCACGAGGAGAAGCCCATCTTCGGTTTGTCTTCGCCCAAGTTGACCTGATTATCGGCAAGGCGAAATGTTAATGCAATTCTTCTAGGTGTCCAATTCCACCCCGAGCTTGAACACGTTTGTCTTTTCTTCCCAAGGCAATTCACCAAAACCCCTTCTAACATTTGATTTAGACACCCTGCGGAACCGATATCCTGCGCAACTTCAGTGTTGATATCTGTGGAGCCCAAGCAAACTGGAAGATGGGCGACTTCTGCCAGCTTGAGATTGCTCGTATTCGCGAGCTTGTTGGTGACCGTGCCCTCGTCCTTGGTGCTGTTAGCGGTGGTGTCGACAGCACTGTTGGAGCTGCCCTCATGCGCGAGGCTATCGGTGACCGCTTTAAGGCTATCCTTATTGACAATGGTTGTATGCGTCTCAACGAGTGCGATCAGGTCAAGGAGACTCTCGGCAAACACCTTGGCATCAACCTCACAGTTGTTCAAGCTGGTGACCTTTTCTTGAGTCGCCTTGCTGGTGTTACTGATCCCGAGAAGAAGCGAAAGATCATTGGATCCTCTTGTACGTACTTGGAATTGTCCGGGATGGATTGATGGCAGGGTACTGACAACATCACAGTCATTGATTTGTTCGAGCAAGAGGCTATTAGAGTATGTTCGACCTGCTCCCACAGACCATCCAGTCAGCTAACGGAGTCCGCCAGATCGAGAAGGAGGCTGAGAACACACCCAACAGCGGCAAGGTCGAATGGTTCTTGCAGGGAACACTTTACCCCGATGTGTAAGTCACTTTTGAGCTCAATGTAGGATCTGAACTAATACCATGTTAGTATCGAGTCTTTGAGCTTCCGTGGTCCCTCCGCCACTATTAAGAGTAAGCAAATTAATGAAATTTCGCGACCAAACCCCTGCACACGAAATCTTGTTCAGCGGAAAAACAGGCAAAACTGACATTAAAAATAGCCCACCACAACGTTGGCGGTCTCCCTGAGGTAAGCTATATCATCACCCTAAGGAAAAAAAATATGTTTACTAATCAGTATGTAGCGTATGATGAACGGCGTAAGTTCCACTGGCATGATGTAATTTTCTTGACTCTACTAACAACATGGCTCTTTTAGCAAGGTCTCCGTGTAAGTACACTTGCTATTCCTGTAATTCCTTTACAAACGCATCAAAGGCTAACAATTTGCCTAGCTTATTGAGCCCCTTAGACTTCTGTTCAAGGACGAAGTGCGGGTATGTTAAATCCTACCCCAGTTGGTGATTTCTACGTTCAAACATTCTAAATTTTCTACAGGCAATCGGTCGTCAGCTCGGCATCCACGAGTCCCTAGTTAACCGCCACCCCTTCCCCGGACCCGGCATTGCCATTCGTATTCTCGGTGATGTTACCCGGGAGCGAGTCGAGATTGCCCGCCGAGCCGACAACATCTTCATCAGCATGATCAAGGAGGCCGGTCTCTACGACCAAGTAAGTTAGATCATACAGGGAAGAATCATGCATGCTAATCCTTCTTTCCCAGATCTCTCAAGCCTTTGCCGGTCTCGATACCAACCGTAGTGTTGGTGTTTTTGGTGACCAGCGCGTTTGGGGCTATATTATCATCCTCCGTGCTGTCCAAACTAAGGACTTCATGAGCGCTGAGGTTTTCAACTTCGACAACGCTTTCCTCGCGGTAAGTCACGTGCTTCTTATGGCTAGGGCTGCTCTTGAAGCAACTTGGGATACACTATGAACTCGACCGATTCTAACCCCTTCCCAAATGGCTATTAATACTTTATTATTTATTTACTAACCTATGCACTATAGGAGGTTTCTCGCAGAATTTGCAATGAGGTCGAAGGTGTGGCCCGTGTCGTCTATGATTTGTAAGTGGAGGTCTTTGCCTCTATTCCCCTTGATCCCTAAGCTAACACAACTTTTCTAGAACCTCCAAGCCCCCTGGCACTATTGAGCTGGAGTAAGCGTTATAATACACAGATTGTAGACAGATTATAGATTACTTTCAAGCACGACCCAGGACCAAAAATAGGAATCAACATTTATGGCGTTCAGACAGTGCTGGCAAAAAGCATAGAGATGAATCAGTTCAACTTCCTTTGTATATTGTTGTAGTGCAGTACGTGCAAAGTGAGAGTTCGGTGATTCACCTCACGCCGAGGGCCCTTACTTCCATGTTTTTCTTTCACTTGATTCAACTTCATCCGGATGTCCATTCCATATGTTGACGGACTACTTTTCACCACCAACATGCAGAAAATATTGAAGGTACCCAGTATCCAAATTTGACTGATTTTCTTCTTGGATTCTGAATAGTCTACTCATACCAAACCATCTATTCACTTGAAGACTTGAGTCCACTGATCTAATTCTCAAACTCTCGAAATTAAGAGCGGCTCATCGCACTACAGAAGCACTAAAATGGAGTGGCAGAAATTACACACCATCTTCCACCACGAGCTTTTGCATCAGGTGTACTCCCTGGCAAGAGACGATCCTCGTATTCTTCAAAATGAGACTATTAAAATGATCAAGAATGAGAAAACCCAGACCTCTACTGATCAGAAATACGCTGTTGATTTTGGCGTTTACCAGCACTGGACTGCAGAGTCTCCAGACTGGATGAGGCTGTTGGCCAACCTGTACTGGCGCATGTATCGACAGGCAACTGTTTGGGCTCTTTTCTGTCATCTTCTCCACCAAGACATGGTTAGCCTAAACTGCTTGACGCCAAGTATGAACCTCTTACAAGTCTCTGCCCATACCGAGAATGTTACCCGCCTGCTCTGCTGCTTCCCGTTTATCCGGATACTTTTCGAACATCCCTTTACCTTAAACATTCCTTGCCAGACTGCATACTTTTACGCTGATATTGACTGGTATGTCATCCATACCTCTTCACTCAAAATATGACTGAAAAAAATTATTAACACGGACTTACCTAGGCTGGCAACTGTCATTTCTCGTCACGGTGCTAAAATCCCAGACCTCATCGCTGAAATTGAAACCTCCAAGATTATCGGCAACATCGACCAGGGCAGATACTTCCAATGCACGAGTTTGTTCTTCCCAAAAATGAAAATACGTAAGCGCGAGCGAGATAGTGAGAATCGTGACAGCGGATGGGACACGGACGACACCAACGAGATCTTCGGCGTTTGGCTTCCTCATGGCCTGAGCAAACAACCAGATCTATGCCAACTGGAATTGCAACACCTCGTCCAGCGCGCGAACGACGTCATGTCTTACTACAATGACACGGTATGGAACTCAACTGCTGTGTTGATGGTCTCGCTTGGTGGTTTGGAGACAACCGGTGCTCCAGCCGTGGAACTCCTCTCTGGCGAATCCTCACTGCCAGAAACAGATGATGGGAGTACGGAGTATGAGGGCTGTGTCTGGGAGTGCTGGGACTAAGGGGAGTTGGGGAAAGTGGTGGAAAGTAGATGATTTAGCCTTGGAGTTCTTCTTTCACAATTTCCCATATCCAGATCTACTGGGGATGAAGAGGTGGGGTTTATCCACGAGGATAGGCTATTTACTACTAATACCCTTTGACACTAGATGTAGGTATTAGCTAGAGGAAGTCAATCAATCAATGTGATACTAGTAATCGTCAATTCTCCTTTTCAGACATATTTATGTATATGTCACCCGCCATGTTTTGCCCTTGATTTAGAAAGTGATGTAGATAAAGTGCAAAAATAAAGCACTGAGTATGTAGTTGAAACATTGGAACATAAGAACTTGAATTTAGCTCTTTTATAAGCGGGAGCTATGGAGAGCCGCTGCTCTTAGCTGCCTGGCCATAATTTGACTTATTTCCTTAATAGCGACTTTATAACTTTAACAGATCAGAATTCACGTGAAGGATGCTGGGATTTTCTTTGTTCCCAAAAGCTCTAATTATCTGGGTACTTAAAAATCATTATCATGTCCATTATTATATCCTTCGACTTAACCTTCGGAGTCACTCTATTCCCATCTCTTTTCCCTCTCTTCCAAGTTCTTCTTTTCTTCTTTGAGAAATACCTCCTCTTCATCATGGCGATCAAGCTGGAGGACACGTCTATTACCGAAACTCTTAATCGGTTCGGCCATGATCACCTCTCTATTAAGGGGTTGGTTCAGAAAATTGTTGGCATCATTTATTCCCAGAAGAGTACGAATTTGCCCTGCGCTGCTTAACCTCTATGAAACCGGATCAAGCAGCTGAGCTCTAACCTCAATGCAATAACTGAGAACAATCCAGATGTTCTTCAAATTGCCAAAGACAAATACAAATACAAAGAGAGGGTAGAGGGCAATTCATCAGGCGTACTACATGGCGTTTCAATTCTGATGAAATATATGTTCTTGACAACCGGTGGACTGAGGTCTATCAGTAAGAGACAATACAATCAGGATCTTTGACGGGTTGTCTCTAATTCTGTCATGAAGAGATAGCCGCTGGTGCTATTTTGATGAAATTCCTAAATATAAAGAAATGGTCATTCAAACAACTTCATAACGAAGGGGCTGCCATCCGTGGAAAGATAGCACTGACTGAATAGGTAAAATATCGAAGTCTTGAAAAGCGCCTAAGGGATGATCTGCAGTTGGTGAACAGTGCTTGGCTGGTCATCATGAGAACCAGGACCCCTCAGAGGTCATCTTCGGAGAGTGCTATCGCTTTATCTCTTAATCTTGCAACAATCGCTCTCGGAACTGAGGTAATTTTTGAACACACGGGACATCGGCAAGGATATTTGCTAACATTAAAATCAGGCTTCCACTGGCAGAATCCTAAGCTTTCCTGCTCAGGTATCTCCTGTGATTAGCATCAAACCAACTATTAGCTTGGTCTCTCCATATGGTGCATACTCCTTCTAGCAAGTTACAGGATATAGTCAGTATCATTTCTCAGAATATTGAAGATGGTGCTAGAACTCTTATTAGATACCATTTCTGGTTTTTCAATTAAAACTGTTTTATCCTACGAAGATATACTGAAGAACATTCAGGAAGGGATAATAATTATAAGACTACCTTGAAAGATTCTCGAGATAAACATAAAGGCGTTCCAGGGCCACATCCAGTGAAAGAGTACATCAGTGCTTGCCACCCGGCGGCTTGAAGTATATGGACTTGAAGATTGCTGTAAGTTTCGAAAGTACCTTAACAGATCTGATTTTGATCATATTTAGATCCATTGTCATTTCTTCCCTCCCGATGGAGTGGTGAACGTTAGCTTGAATGAGGTATTGAAGATACTTGAATCACTAAGTGCTACCATAATTGATGAAATTTAGTTCTCGAGATTTGATTCAAGTTTTACTCTCGCCAACGATGACAAGTGGAAACCCACTTCCCGTGTCGGCCTTCTAGAAAGTGAGTTTTGAACCTCCTTCGCCCCTGAAGATCTAAGAAAAACCATAGATATGAAAATGTTTCTCGATGCCTACAAGCTAAGCCCAAAAAGATCCCCATACCCTTCAGAATTTCATAGAACACTTCAAGTAAGCCCTCAAAGAGGACTATGAAAAAATGTGGTGTCGATGAATGGCTTAAGTGCGAAAAACTAGGCCCAACAGTATAAACCGTCATGCAAAGATATCCAGAACTCATCAGACTGGCGAGAAAGAGTAGGGAAGCAGATTCCAAACCCCTTCATGATACTGAATGCTATTTCATTTTTGTGCTTTCTTCTGTCAAAACAAGTGCGAACGTGGGCGGTTTTCTGACTGTGGGTGTGTTCCCCTGGATTTTACCCAGCTGAAACCCCAAGATTTGGCAGTCAGCATAAGCCCTCAGGCTTAAGCAAAATCAGTCTGAGCATACTATGAGATTTATCCTACATAATTAAGGAGAATTCATAACTAATAGTCTCTATTCTTAGAGTTTTGGGGCTTTGTTCGTGGGCCGTACATGGGATGACTACAAGTTTATTTCTGCTGTTTTTTCTTACTAGCAGGCGGCACATACCCAGCGAAAAGAAAAGCAGACCTATTATCAGCTCGGATATCCAGCTGCCTGAGCAGAGATACGGAGTATAGACTTAGATGATCTTAGAAGTGCATTTGAATTTCTCTTTTCCTAATATTCAAGTTGAAACCACAAACATTTGAATGGTGATGATCGGTGACCAAGCAACGCATTAGATTATCGGTTCTCTGTAATATTGAATTTATTTGGAAATAAAAAAAAGTAAACACGTATAGTCTCTTTTCTAATCTGAGCAATTTCACTGCTCAATACTTGGTACCGGTTCTTCAACGTTATCATCATTATCTGCAGGATCTCCAATAACTTCACCGCGAGCCATTTTTAATTCCCATCCACGAGGAAACGCAAATAAGTGACCTGGGGCTTTTGAAGAGAGCGTAAGGTCGGCGATTTTCCCATCCACCTCTTTCTGAGGGATCGCTTCTATCAAACGCTTGAAAAGGGTCTTATTCTTTGCAACGCATAACAGACCTCGCTTATTTGGGGAAGTTCCCACAAAAAAGCGATGTCTCATCCATGGCCCACTGAGACGCATCCAACTCATGGGGCGATCACCCCCGATGACAGCAACTTGAATTGTGGTCCATGGGGCCAGGTAATTGCCCTTAGTATCCCGCATATTGACCTCAATTCTATGAATTACAATAAATGAATGGCTAAAAATTCCGTTTAAACGTCCACCTCCGACCACTGTGGCGGTCTGGTGGGCTTTGTTCTCAATCCTTTCCAAGTCGTCCTCATAAATGACCATGACTGCGGCGCCAGTGTCATCTAAGAAGTTCAGCTCTATGCTCGTGTCTTCATCATCCCTGCTTTTTTCCTCTTCATCATCGTTGGTTTTGCCCTCTTCCTCCGATTCCCTTTGAATGTCTTCGCTGTCATCATCCTTTGTGGCTCTAGCGGGGATTCGAAGAGTGAAATCAATCTAAAGACAAAGCACTCAGTTGAATTGGATCAAAAAGTCATATTGTTATCTCTTTACCTCATGTAGACTCTGCGGGTCCTTTGCCTCAATATTAAAGGCTCTGTTATTAGGTGCAACGACAGGAAAAGAACATAAGGAACCCGGACCATGAAGCTAATAGAGTCAGAATGCTCCTACCAATATTTCAAGGGATATATGCTATTTATGGATCACCTACCCCTTCCACCCAAAAGTCTTTGGACCCGCCGCCATGTTTTTTGCAATAGAAATCATAATTTTCCCAGGTGAATTCTTTTGGCTGACCACTAACATTTTTACCCTTCGCCCAATATGTCACTAACCCATCTTGCCATGCTAATTCGTCCGATCTATATGCTTTGATAATTGCATTGATATTTGGAAGTAACTTTCGTTTATCGCCATTATTCTCGAGCTGATTCTTCATCCCTTCGAGATCCTTCAGACGATAAATCACGTATAGATCAAGACCTTTGTTCTCTTGAATTTCCTTATCAATTTCAGCCTTAAATCGCTCATATTTCTTGAGAGTCTTCTCCCACCACTGAGGCATGATCCCGTCTTCGATTCGATTCTTGCACCTTTCGATATTAGCGAGAATGTCACTATTATATTGAGAGTTAGTTATCACAGCTCTGCCATGTTCATGGTGAAAGGGACCTCACTCCTCGTGGATATCATTGTCATCTGAATTCCAGCCCTTCGGAATATGCTCATACTCAGTTATGGGTGGGCCTTCGTGACGCCACCTGGTATACGGCTTGATGCCACATCGCTTGAGTGCAGCTCCATCAGCTTCTGGTTCAGAGTTGACGCGCTTTGTTCCCTGCTTTTGTTGTGGCATGTTGGTTTTGCTGGAATAGATCTTCACAGGATGTCAAATCAAACAATATAGATGAAGGTATTTCAAGAAGCAAACGAAATTGTTAGGAAATAAGTTCTAGTGAGAGAAGAAGCCTTTTAGTATCTGACCTGATCCATATAGTGCCCACTTTCCCATTCATTCATTCAGTAATTACGTTATCCACAACTTGAAACCTTGAGACTACTATCAATAAATGAAATCACTAAAAATATTTCTGGGCTCCTTTGTTTTGAACAGAGACACTAGATTGAGAACGACAGGTTTTTTGAGTCCCAAAAAACCTCTCTGATACCCCCTATAGGCCTTGTTCCTATTTATGTCATTGAAAGCATCCAGTTTCATATGTGTCTGCTCTATCATTAGAGAAAACAAGGGGAGCTCTTTCTAGATACAGTTATCCTATGTTAGATTGGGCTATCAATGTCACTCTCGGAAATTCCCATGTTTAATTTAGAAAATTGAAAGGTGAAGACAGTTAGATAAAGATCTAGTTGTGTTTATTATTTGATTGCGATGTAGATGGTTCAAGTTCAAGTTTTGGTGTCCAGGTGTGAGATTCCGAGTCTTCAGTACTTACAGGGGCATTATGATTAGTACAGGCCAATATTAATTAAGCCACACAATCAATCGTTGTTAATTTACTATTTATATCTACAAAATTAAGGGTTAGAACATCATGAGGTCAAAGAGAATTGAAACATGTCAAGAAAATGCGTAGGTAAAATTTACTCCTATGATCCACACCCTCATAAAAATAATCTTGCCCACCTAGGCACTTGAAATATATGCTGAACTTAGTATATCAAGTGCATGCTCCTCAAATCTAATATACTCATACTAAATTGGAGCGAAGATACTTGTAGTAAAATGCTTTGCGGTCTTCTTACCCCAAAAAGACACGTTCTAAGCCCAACAGAATCAAATGTTACAATGATCATATGGCAGGGAATAAAAACAGAAATAGATTGTATTTTCAGGTCATAGCTATTTACTGAACTAGATATATTCAATCATTCTTCAATTTTCTTTCTGATAATAGATTATAAACCGCTATACATAGGTTTCGTTCCAAGTTTGCTGATATTTAGAGGGGCCTGAACATCACTCTCAACGGTCCCCGTCATTTATGATATTCGTAGTGCCAACATCGTCTAATTTCTTAATAAATAACTTGGTATTCAAGGATTATCCATCTCATATTAATTGTCTAAGCTGTACGAGTGACGTAAATGGTGTAACATTTGAATGGCCCGATCTGAACATGTCTCCGATCTCGTGGAAAAGTCTCCGCATCTTGATTCAAAAGAGTCAGCACTCTTCGCAGCATGTGAAAATATTGTGAAGATATTATCCCCGTCTCATTTTGTTCTTAGAGTCCATGAAATAATACTTTCTGATCATGCAGAGCCTCAACACGGTGGCATCTAAGCCATGGCTCATATATGCCTACCCCTGGCAATCTTATCCCCGGCGACTCATCCTTTATCTCCGCAAAAGGGCGATCCCTTCCTCTCTGCTGACCATTGTTTCAGTCTCTGACGTTCAATCTGGTGACAAAGCCCCTGATAATTTCCCACCAAGACCACCTGGAAGCCTTCCTATCCTCATAATACCATATAGCAATGACATAACGCCAAATGAGCCAATATATCAAGCAATCGATCGCAATTATGGAATTTCTCGATGATATGTGCTGGACTGAGCAACATGGACTCCCAGCAGTTGATGAATATCCCAGTCTACCTCTTCAGTCATTGCAGGCGAACTTCAAAGACCCTCTGAAGGATGATATAAACCCTTTGTTACGGGCCAGATATAATGAGCTTTTGAACCAAGCGAACGGTTTAACTGAGTCCTGGTATCCGATTCGTATCTTTGGATCAGGAGCAGGAATCATTCATTTGCCCGGTGCTGCACATGAAATGTTTAAGTGGCTTCAACGCGGCCTTCTGGGAATCGAACGTTGGATGGAGGAGAATGAGTACCGTCCTGAGGAGGTGAGATGGGGCGGCGAAAAGCAGAGAGATGTCACGATTGCTGAAATTGTCTTGTTTCAATTCTATGAATTCACTAAAGATTGCTACGGTGTTGCCTTGACAGAATCAACAGGCGTTATGATCAAAGATGCTTATGGACGTGACGTGCAAGATACATACTTAAGGTTGAAAGTTTTCTACGAGTCTTTCCTCACTCGTCCCAGTACTAAACGAGATGCTGATATGGGAGAGATCCCACCTCAAAATTTGGTTCAGAATATGACAGATTAGTCACCAGGTGTGTTTTTGCGAGATGTATAGTGGTTATATGTATCTTCTTTGAACGGATGATATTTCCATTTCTATTTTGAAACATTCAGTTCTTTCTGGCTTTTAGATTTGTGTATCATCTCATAGATGATTTTGATCTAAATCTCGAATGTCCTCCATAAAATTTCCACGTCGAATTAATCATTGATTAAATCTATATTTAGTAATCCACCTTGACAGCACTGTTTTCTTTTTCTAACTTGTTCCTATTCACATTTCGCTTGGGAAATATACCGTTCTCAAGCGGAGATGGCCCTTTTTCCTCTTTTCAGTATGGCTTCCCTGGTATTTCCCGTTGCAGTGATGCAAGCGAACCTCGAAACTTGTCATCCCTAACTTTTTGGGGCAGATCAAGACTCCAAGCCTCAAAGGGTTCAACAACCTTGCGACTCGGCCGTCTGAGTAATTTTATTCTGATTTTTTGATCATTTCTTTTCGATTCAAAGGAAGCGACCGGTACAAACTTTGTCAAAATTCTGAAAATATCACCAGCAAAACTTATCTCGGATGCAATTCACCGGTCATGATGCATGGATGAGTGGAGAAGGGCAAAATTTATTCATGTACACGGGGTCTTGGGCACCATCCTCCTCAAGCCCGTCGGCTGCATCAGACGCAGTATCTTACATTTTATTGGCCAAATCCATGTCAATCCTGGAGAGGCTCATACTAATCTGATCCACAGCCCATAGGATATGGGTAAGCTGGGTCTTACTCATCTCATCTAGGAGGGGTTGCAGATAATCAGTGGATACTCTCAGCCGAATAGATTCTAATAAAAGATAAGCCTGCATATGTATTTCGCCATGAAGCAATCAATATTCAAAGCATCTTTCCATCCATACAGCCTTTTCTATCTCATCAATCAGTTTTCTTTTTTTCTCCTTCATTGCAATATTTCATAATGCTTGGCAGCGTTGGTCTTGTGGCTCTCTCCATATTAGCCTTAACAGCCACAGCAGCTCCTCTCGATACAAGGACTTTACAGACTCACAATAATGACTGCCTTTTGTCGATCTCCACTTACAAATCCCCTCACACCATTAGCCTCCGAAAGTGCAGCATAAAGGGCCCCAATACTCGCAGTGCCGGTTACCAGTTCAAGGATCGACATAACACGGCCAATGTGACTTCTTTGCTATCGGGTCAGGAGTATGCCACCTCCATCACGTTCGGAAATCAGACTTTTGAGGTCATCCTGGATACTGGATCTAGCGATACTTGGGTGCCCCAGTCTGCTTTCAAGTGTTACGATCTAGAAACTCACAACCGGACATTGCAGGCAAGCTGCGGGTTTGGGCCGGAACTATATATCCCCAGCAGCACTTTTAAGAAATTTCCTGGCGAGTTGTTTGATATCGGCTACGGTGATGGTGAATTTGGCTACGGATACATGGGCAACGAGAGTGTTACGTTCGCTGGTATCAACATGAGATAAGAGGTTGGAGTCATGACTCAGGCTGCCTGGGAGGGTGACAATATTACACCTGGTCTTGTTGGTCTGGCTTATTCTGCTGAGTACGTATCTTCACCATCCATGCTTTATGTGAGCTTTTCTAACAAAAGCCAGGACGACCGCATACCATATTACCATATCAAAACAGCATCGCTATGACTCTATCTTCACAAATATGTATAAGCACGACTTGGTGGATCCATATTTCAGTCTAGCTATCTCTCGCAATGTATATGGTGACTCCGGTTACTTTACACTTGGTGGCCTACCCCCGATCAAATTCAACCATACCTGGACTATTACCGATATTCTAGTCGCTGATATCAAGGGATATCCAAAGACCTGGGACTTTTACACGATTTACATTGACGATGTGACTGCGAATGACAAGAATCACACCAAAGCTGGAGACAAGCGCAGACAGTATATAGTAAAAGAAATATCTCACTAATCCTCAAGGGCTTCATTTAAAAAACTAAATACTTACTCTTCCCTTCAATAGGTTGACTCTGGTACGACTCTGAACTATTACCCAACTTCGGTCGCCAATTCAGTGAACCATTGCATTTGACCCTCCAGCCAAGAAGAATGCCGATGGCACTTACCGTGTTGCCTGTAATGCCACTCCTCCAACCCACGGTGTTACTATCAACGGCAACACATTCACAATCAACCCACTAGACATGATTCTCCCATACGGCCAAGATTATGATGACAAGGAAATATGTTTTACTGATATTACCGACGGTGGTGACGATGTTCATGAGGACATCTTTATTTTGGGTGACACATTCCTTAAGAATGTTGTCGCTGTCTTCGATGTTGGGGCTGTTAAGATGCGGTTTGCGCCGAATGTGGAGTACAACTCGAATCCATGATACTTACTGAGTATATATTTCAAGTTATAGGTGACATCATGATCTAGATTATGTATATATATTAAAGAGGGGAACCGTGAGACAGTGTATTTGAGATACACGGGTCGATCCAGTTAGACTGAAAGAACAACACCAACCAACAAAGACAATATGTCCGGACTACCCGTAGGGGTCAGATCAGAGATGTGTAGGAGTGTGTATTGTCTTCTAGTATCGAACGCCAATTTTGTACGTACAATAACACAACATAACATAACGTAAGGAATGAACAATACCGAAATATCATACCCGTACAGTATGTGTAGTAGGGGACAGGGCACCCCACTACAATATATATATATATATATATACATACTATGTATAAAGGTCAAACATCTAGATGTCTTGAATCATCCATAATGTTTGAATCCTATGGAGATTATTCGTTTACGAGCTCTGGGACTATTACTAAGTGGATTGGGCGACTTGGCTCGTCACTTAGACCTTCTGTTGGATTGGGACCAGCGGTCTACTGATTCCCCCTGTAGATATCACCAAACATCCACCTTGCTCTCTCATAAGCATCTTCCTCCGACACCTTCACGTCACCGTAGATCACATACACGTACAGCATACATAGATTTTGACCAACTAGTGAGCCTATAATCTAATCTATCTTCACCTCCAAGTCATCATCCTCCACCTCTGATATTATCACATCCTGTTCCGTTTATTCCGCTAGCATCTAGATGGCCTCTGATACATTGCTTACTCTCCTCCAAGGAACATTTGCTCTCTTGAAGCTCATCCATACGAATCCACCCCCTCGATTATTTTCAGACACGCCAAGGCATCGCCAAATCCGCTTAAAATTAATTTCTACCGTTTCAATATGGCGCCGGATCGTCGTAGGATCTGAAAAGATCAGGTCGTCCGCAAAAGAGATTATAATCAGCTAGAGAACTTTGGCGATTGGACCGTTGACAGTGTTTATACAATGGAGCCTTTCTCCGTGCCATAGACTCTCCAGACGCCCTTCAGAATTTCTTCTGTCTTACGTCCTGGAGGTTATATCCCAATTTTTGAATATAAACACGAGCTGGCTACAACAAGTGCCGAAAAAACTGGCTCGGTCAATGGACAAAATCAATCAAATCGCCGTCTGCTCACAAATAGCAATTAGGTCTCTCGCAGCTTTGAGTATTTCGGAAATTGTTGAAAATTCTGGGTTTGTAGATATGATAGTGCAGAATATTATAACCTTGACCATGTTCTTTTTTCCTGGCAATTATTTCATTCTTGGTGACCTTTTTTGGCCTGGAGTGCTTTTTCATCAATAGGGTCATGGGAGTCGAGTCCTAACAAAGCCGTCTAAATTAGCGATATCTGGCTTTTTGGCCTCAAAGCCAGGTTTTTCTAAGGAGATAAAGACCTATTGATCTTATTGTCACATGTTATTGTGGCATTTCCCTCCATTTTTTATGCTTTTCTTTCTCTTTCTCTTGATTTATTGATAGAATCATTCCCATCAGCTGGCTTCCTATCTGATGTTCCAATGCTGCTTGGCATAGATCAAACTACAGTTTTCTACTTGATATGAATAGTTTCCCTTAGTATGCTGGTCTTTCCACCTAAACTTTTTACTATAGTAAACTATCTGATCAGGCCCTGGTTGTAATTCTGCTTGTTTAATCTGAAAATTGTTTTACCTATTAAAGTCACTTTTTTTCTTTTTTCAATTTGGAGGTAAAGTAGGTTTTAAAATTTAATGTATCTTTAGTATCTGGCGACTCTTGTTTAATGGATTATTCTGCAAGGTCTTGCAAGCTGGGTGGCAATATGAGCATTGGGTAGTAGATGAAAGCAAAAGATAAACAGTGGCTATACTATGGCCCTTTGAGAGCCCTTTGAAGCTTATCACTCTCCTTTCGTGATTTCCAATTATAAAATAAATTTTCTCTCTTGGTTTCTGCTCTAGTCGTATCTTCATTTTGACGACCTCATACCCTCACATCTCCTCATCTTAAAACAAATATTCAAAGATTCAAAGATTCCTTTCAACGTTTCTGGGAGGCAACACTTATATCCATGGAAGGTCTGTCTACTCCTTTTAATGTGCACTTGATCATATGTTTCAACTTTTTGACCTCCTTTATCATGCTAAATATCTTCTTTTAGCTTCAAAGACCAAAGACTTAATAGTAGTTCCACAGTCCACTCCATATCTATGCCCCTAGATTTCTAGAATTCCCATTCAAATGTATGCTTTTATATAGGCTGACTCCTAAAGTGACATTCCTCAATCAACATCAAGAGCACTTCTACAAACTGAACCACTTCTTGTTTCTGTTTATTTTTTCTTCGACGACACATACCTGAACCTTCGTCATGTGGTTTGAAACTCGTGAGAAACGGGGAAGTACCGCTACTACAGATAGTAGCGCTAAATCCAAAGCCATATGGTCAGATCAGAGCGAGGCATCCAGTGCTCCAACTACTGCCCCGACTAGTTCCGAGAACCCTGTAAAGATCGAAAAGCGTTACTCGAAACAGGCAAAGTCGAAAAAAGGGAAAACACAAGAGCACGGAGTTAAGAGATTCAAAGCCAGAGAAGAAAAGAAAAAGCGTGACAAAGAGATAATTGGACATCCTGGACCAGCTCCAGGTCACCCCTCAATATCCGATTGTGATGTCGATTACGCTGATCTTGAAACTCGAATCGAGAGATGCCGGTACCGAATTGCGCAAGGTGTCTGCGTTCAAATCAATACACTAAAGCTGGCCGCGTTGGAAAAGAGATTCCAGGAACAACAGTATGACCAGTGAATATTGCAAATGACTTGAGAGACACAGGCTGACCAAAGCTAGAAAAGTTATGGCGCTCGCACCGGGACTCAGCTGGCCCACGATTTGTCGCTTAGAAAGCTTGAAGATCATTGAAGAGGAATTGGAACGTCAAGGAGATCCTTGTAAAGAACTTCTGAATGTCAGAGCAATTATGAATGCTTATCAGTCCCAGCGTCTTGAGGTGAACGGCAACGTCACCTTTTGGTGTAATGGTGAACTTCTTGCGGGTCCTCAGCGCTTTAACTGGGATGACTTTTGGAGATTGAATACCGCGGAAAATAGGAAGGGATCGGGATTCTGGCTTGAGTGTGTAAGTGAGCGTGATCATGAGCTATGATGCCTCCAAGGGCTTTCAAGATTTCCATAGAATGAAAGGACTAAAACTCACCCTTCTTGGATTCATTGATAGATATCTCCCGAGAAACCTGGGCCCATTCCTACAATGTCAGTTCATGTTTCTGATGAACGAAATCAAGTTGGCCAAATATTTGTACGTATTGATATGTATAACCCACTAAGGAAGAAAATGAAATCTACGATCTCAGGCCTTGGAAGTTGAAAATATTTCTGATAACTTATAATATTTAGTTAAACCATACTGTTCGACTTAAGACATCCAACAATTTGCATCAGGCCGATTTCAGACCGGAGGTAGATATGAACTTTTTGGATGATACTGGATCAAGCATAATGATGATCTTCAAGGATGATATGCAAAAGATGCTAGGAGTTTCAGATACTGAGATTTGGCCCTGGGATCATATTCTTGGATATGCTATACACAATGTAGCAAACGGCGCTTCCGTTGTCGTATTGCATATAGCGGTAGAGGTTAATATGGTAGAAAGGGAGCCTGGACAAAAGGCATCACCCAAGTTCATGGGAGAACGTTGGACGACAGCCGCTTGTGGAATTCATAATGAATTCTCGTGGGAACGCGGCATTGGCCAGGATATTCGATTAAATGGTCCCTTCTTGCGAACCGCTCTATATACTGGAACTGCGCCTGAAGTCATTGGCAGCAAAGTAAAGATGTATATAGCCAAGTCTAGGGATGGTCTTCTGGGCAAGCATTCGAGCAACGCATCCGGTGGTGACCAAGCTCTCATGCCCAGTGTTGATATACAGTACTCGGTGGATCCTGATTATTCTCGTCCCTATGGATGGTGGAAGGGAATAGATCCTACAAATGGATTAGAGGAGCCATGTCCCTTTTACCCCCCAATTAGTGGACCTCCTGGGAAAATGCCTTGGGAGCTCAAACCCTGAGATTGAAAGCTCCGCTGCGCCGACTTAAGTCGAATGTGGTAACCACGAGCTCAGTCACGTTGAAAGAGTGTTTTGTCATTGAGGATGTCTAATTTTCAACTCAATCGTTAAGAAACATACGATGCCCCATATTTCTATCTTGCATCAAATCGCCCTTGATTTTCCAGATTTGAGGGTTTCTTTCTTTCCAAGTTGATATGTTTGTTACCTTGTGAGTGTTGATAGATCATACTTTAGTTAGTCTATCTGTTTGATTTGGTCTGCATAATAGACCTCGATCGTGTGATGAATGAGATCAAGTACTTCCTGTTTGATGTTTTTAAGTCTTGCGTTCTGTAATTCAAGGGAACTTGGTTCCTATTTCGGTTAGTACTGTTGATCAAAATGTCACGGGCCGAAGCCCTATGTTGGTCACGGAAGCACGTGACCGACCACACATGTTGACACACGAACATACACGGAAAGCTCCTTTCTTCAAGATTAAGTAAACAGCATGCCGGCCTAGTTAGATTGAATCAAGTCTTGCTACAGCCCTTCACACAAAATTGCTATTCATATATATCACTTTTAAATCTAATAGATAGGTCTCTAGATTTCTCTCTAGTAGCTAAGCTTTAGGCTTTGAGATCATAGTATACTGTTAGTAATCGTATTATAATATAACTAACGTGATTCCCGGTCGGACCGCGCACCCATCGCCATTAGATAAATTCAAATTCAAATATTTTAACCCAACACCGATAAATTCAGGTATAAATACGATTTTTACATACATTGGTCTTATGTCCAACCTCTCGACATCCACTACACCTAGGCTGAGCCCTAGGGGCTGGCTGATTCGGCTGAATAGGTAGTTCAACCTGGGTGTGTGATTCGACCACAGGTGCTTCGACAGGCAAGTCCACCTGCGTAAGTAGCTGTAGGCCTTCTTCAACAGTCAAGCCCTCTTCACAGGGTATCTGCCTAGCTGATCGAGTACGCTTCTGTCGTTTCTTCTCATTCGCTGCACGTAAATTGGCATTTTCTTGTGCTAGTAGCGCAGTGTTATGTAGCGATATACAGTGTCCCTTGATGATTTGATCTAGCATCAATTTCGACGGGCTTGAGGGCTGTTTGATCGCTGTTTTAGAAGACCTTTAAGCATTGAAGCTTGCTTTTGAAGCTGAACCACAGTTCGAGGTGTTTTGGGTGTAAATTGACTAGATCTGCTGCTTGGTCGGCTGCCTGGTGGTGTAGGTGTTCGAAGAGAGATATTTAATTTAGAAAGCACCTTTTCGGCATCAATTGGTACTATATCAGTAGCTAAGAAGCTACTCTGAATATTAGTTGGTTGAAAAGCTTCTTGTCGGGCACGCTGGTAATCAGCTAAGAAATCAAGCTTGTCGATATGGTTATAGCCTGTACGTGTAAGGTCGCTTATAAAACGACCATATGTACGTTTCAACACTGCAAAACAACCAACATCTAGTGGCTGTAATAGATGTGATGAATGTGCAGGCATATAGAGTGGGATAATGTTGTTTTCAGTGCAGATTCGGTCAAATTGGGGTGTAAGATGGCTACCATGGCCATCAAGAATCAATAGCCGAAAACGACCACGGACCCGTGAATTTGTTGATGGGATAAATAGCTTTTCTAGCTATTGTAAACCAATCTTATCAGTGGTCCAGCCATTAGCTGAGACCTCAAATCGCCAATCTTTTGGTAGGTTATCGAACCAGCTTGCAACAGCAACCTTTCCCTTGAAAATCACACATAGTGGTAATGAACAGCCATCTGCGCAGATAGCTTCAATTGCAGCTACCCATTCATGGTTTCCAGGCTGTAAAGTAGATCGCCAACCGTAGTATTCTTTTCTTGTTACAACCTTCTGTGTGGAAATAAGGCCCATCGTAAAGCCTGTCTCATCATAGTTGTAGATATCTTCAGGTTGGATCCCATTCTCATCGATGATATGTTGTGCAGCTGTAAACCAGGCTTTGATTGATTTAGGGCCTTCGTTAAGGGCACATTGGTAGTCATATCGCCTAGAGAAGCATGTCCGAATCTCTTCACGTCGATTTATAAAGGTTGATGGCCAATTCTTGCCGACTGTAGGTGGGGGATGGCTACCGCGTGCAGCTAATAGAATATTGGCCATATCTCGTACAGTAGCTGGCCTAGGCGCAGCTCCACGGGTGTCCATAGAGATAATCCATTCAGTAAGCGAATCCTCTTCCAACTGGGTCAATTTATGGCCATTTAGGCGTATATCGACACAAGATTGTACACCCCGCGCGCGATTGCGTAGTGTGGACTCAGGCACGCTAAATAGCCTGGCTGCCGCACGAAGAGACTTGACTTGGTGCTTTTGAATAGCCTGTAGGGCTAATAAGACCCTGCCCTCTTGGCTGGCCTTTTTTCGGCCGAAATATTGCGCTTTGGTGGTGAGATCTTAGGAGGTAAAAGTGCATGTTTCATTAAGTATAGAATAACAGTAGTTTATATACAATCAAACATAATGACATCAGGTGATGTGCGATCATAACAGTAACATGATGTAAGCAAGGAAAGATATATGGTAATCTTGGGGCGAATATCACATCCTCCCCTACCATCTTGGAATTCGCCTCGAATTCCGCAAAACGAATGTAATCGCGGGCGATGGGGCCCGGACGCGACCGTAAGGTTGTCTATGTAGGCGAAAGCCTATGACATTATGTGAACGGACAAAGGTGTAGGACGTCCGTCTTGTTCATGTCTCGAGGAGAAAAAAAAATAATTCTCTCCATCTCCACAAGTTCTGACACACATCGATAGTAATGTCCCAGGCGAAAGCTTCACAGCGGCCGCCATCATCTGTTCTCGTACAGATCAACACATAATCAGTCTCAGGGGAAGAATTTCGGTTGTTTCATCACAACCCATCAAGTTCTCGTCCAGTCAGGGACTCATGTGATCGTCCCGTCCAGGAAGCATGTCTTCTGCTTAGGTCTGGACCTTCAGGTAATTACCAGAACTTCATCAGCCAGGTGTGGTCAGCGAGGGCTGATCACGGTCATGTCAGGGAGACAGCGCTCAGCGACAGTCGCGGCTCCAAGTGACCCTTCATGTTCGGCAAATATGGATCCAGGTCGATACTGTAGGGCAGGTCTCATCGCGTTGTAGCATGTTATATCTATGCCACACAGGATTGTGTTGTAGCATGTTGTATCTATGCCATATAGGTAATATATCTCTTTAGTAGTATGTCTTTCTTTACCTCTTGTGAGTAGTATATCTCACAGCGCAGTAGCATATCTATCCTTGCTTAATTGAGCTTGGTTGCATACCTCGATTTCCAGGCGGTGCTGTAGGGTAGCAACCTTATTATGTTAGAATCGATATAGATATATATTATCATACTCTGTAAGATACGGGAATCCATCATGTCACATAGGACACAGTAAATATGTGAAAATCCATCATATCTTAAATCAGAGATCCTTCTGATTCAAACACTTCCGTATCTTTAGGCCTATAGACAGAGAAAAACTTTTCCGGGGCTGGCTATAAGATAAACATAGCATAACGATCGTAAACACCATTAATCAGCGGTAAACAGGGTAGTAGGAATATTCTAGGGGGTTTATCAGAATCTATGGTCCAGATCTACTATAGACAGGTAAATATCAGAGATTTTGTTTGTAGTTATTTGTTAGTAAACAGAAAAGATAAGACCAGATCAGGGGGGGTGGTATCTATATAGAAGACAACCTTTCCTGATTAGGAAGGTCTAACCCTATTGTTACGGACCCACTACGGAGGGATCTCCCAGGAGCTACTATGACCCAATCAGTTGGCGGTCGGGCCAAGAACGGACGACCAGCCATAACGGACACACGGCCCAAGGGGGCGCAGGGCTACAGTGGTGCCTGAGGCACCAACAGGAAGCCGGATATGGCCTATGGCTTACCATTGCAACATATACTGGCTATACGGGAAGGACGGTGTATGAGAGGCCACTCCCGGCCCCATGACACGTGACCAAGGATCTATTCCAACAATAGGTCCTGTCCGTTCAGCGGAACGGACCTGACCTGATACAGGAACGGACCTGTCCTGACAGAGGACAGGATGATAGGAAGGACTGGATATATAAGGGACGTTCATTACCATCATGTATTTAGTTCTTCGCGATTATTACTCTATTGTTATTGAGACCTACAGTACAGCAATTCAGATACTTTGATCACAGTCGAACCTTTGAAGACCAACCTCAAACTAGCTTGGGAGCTCACTCGTGATTCCATCACTCGTGACTGACTTGCTAGCGGACACCCTAATCAAGCATTGCCGTGCAAGGATCCCTATAGACTCGAGCCCGTGTAAGGCCCAGCGACGGCGACGGTACAGTTGCAGGATAACGGCTTGCGGTAAGTAACACTTTGGAAGTGCATACTCACGTTGCTTGACAGCCGGTTCGTAACACCTATCTGCTCCCTTAGTCTACTAATTCCAGACCCTTTCTTATATGATTATATATCATCATAGATATATTCGATTCTCTTTAATATTATCTTTTTCAGAATCTTTTTACTAACCTTCTAATAGCTTCTAACCCTAATCTTATATATAAGGCGTGGTATATCGCTACCTATCTGATTCTTTCGGATACTAATATAGTTGTAAAGCATCTTATTCTATTCACCAATCCTCTTCTTACCAATTTCATAACTAATCATAAGAAGAAATTATTACTCCCTACTCCTGTCTGTAATATTAACTAGTATAATCTCTTAAAGGTCTACGCTTTATCTAAATAGTTATAAAAGACTACTATTATCTAGTAATAGGGTTTAGTGGTTTTGACTCTATATACTTATTATTATAATAAGTAAGGTCTTTTTTCCTTCTATATTGTTAGTATTTCTTCTCTTACTACTAAATCTCTCTGCTTTAAGGGTTCTTATACTTATTATATAGCTAATAGTAATAGCAGACGCTACTTATTCTAAGAGGCCCTATCCAAAGATATCCTGGTTCTACTATAATTATTTAATCCTTATTATAATCTCCTTTAGGAAGATTCTTTAGTACCCTTTATGGCTACGCTTTTAGAGTATCTGGCTAGTTATAAGAGGTTATAGTCTTCTATATCTATTAAAGATCTTTATATTTCTTCTGCTCCCTCTTCTACTTATTCTGTTCTTAGAAAATTATATTCTGCTATCTATAGTATAAGTCTCTTAGATCCTTTAGGTTTAGATATCTATAGGTGTCAGCAATTCAGGCAGATTGTGTGCCTGGATTCCTGGGATGAAAAGTGGCCCTTTTTGATCCAAAGGTTATGCTGACTAATTCATCCCGCGATCAAACATTTCCGTTGCGAAATGAATGATATGGTTTTGATCTGATCTATCAGATCAAAGATGATCTTCTCTCGTCCGAGAAGATCCGCAACCCGAGCCCCGTTGTTAGGATCAATGGTTGCAAGATGAGATGAAAGGACTCGATTATTTCGGATTCCGTAGCCCTTTCGTCCCATATCCTGAGACCTTTGGTCTCATGTTTGTTTAGTCTAAAGTTCTATAAACCCTGATCTTACCCCTTAGCTAGTTTAGCATCGAATTCAATCGTTTTTGGATCAGTTGTATCTTTGTTTGATTCTTTCCTTCCATTCCATCCTAAGTTCGGATCCAGCTTGGTCGTATGTCATTCCATCTGATCCGTGTTGTCTGATCTTTTGGTCTTATCTTTACCCTTTCCTCCGAAGGGTTCCCTGTAGCTTGGTGCCCCTGTTCAGCTGACATCCTCTGCGTGACGTCATCACCTTTGGTCCTGTCTTCCCCACGCTGAAAGTTATGAGCCCGGTTACGCTACCAAGCTAGAATTAAGACGAAACGTTTTTTTTTTCCGTCTGATATCCCCCGTTTGATCTGAAAGATCATCTTGTTTTATCCTGTTTTACACCATCTTGTTACCCCTTATTTGTTGTTCCTTAATCTTGTCTTTTCATAATGTCTTCCAAACCTGCGACCGTACAGCTTCGAGTTCAGACCATTCTCACTACATCAGACCAATGGATCACGTGGTTATCAAACATTCAGGCAATTGCCAATTTGTCTGATGTCTGGAAATATATTGATCCGGAAGTTGCTTATCCCCCTCAATTGGGACCAAAGCCACAACTTCTTTCCGTACGAGATGTTTACCCGAACTACGACAAACCTTCAGACCAAAAACTTGGGACGAAAAGCGCCAGTGATCAGACGAAATCCTTTCTGTCTGAAGATGCATACCTTGCGGCGAATCCCGAGCAAGCCCGAACCTTCTTTGGCCTGGAAGGTCGAAGCAAACGTACTATCGATGATTGGAAAGAGACCAAACTTGCCCTCGATAATATTTTCATCACAATTCTGAACACCGTTTCATCTGATATCCGGAAGCTCTTTGGATCAGAGTCAAACAGTCATGTGATTATGAGATCACTATATGAGCGTTTTAATCCCGACTCTATCCTCCGAAGTCAGCGGATGGCTGATAGATGGATTGGTCTTCGTACCATCCCAAGATCAAACATCATGAAATGGTTGGACCAATGGGAATCGACCTATGTTGAGGCGAAAACCCTACAAATTGTTGAAATGGGAACTGAAAAGAAAGTTTGTCTTGATTTTCTCCGAACTATTACTGTTTTATCTGATTCTTTTGCTACACATTGGAAGTTTTCTCTGATGAATCTCCCTGATTCATCCGATCAAATCTCTTTTTCTCCGATTATTGAGGATCTACCGAGATCATATCTCATCTTCGACTATTCGTCTGAACAAGTTCTTGTCTAATGCTACATTCAAGGGCGAAGATGACTCATCCCAGACATCGGACGAAAAGGAGAAGAAAAAAGGGACCAAACAGAGGTTTTCTGGTTCCTGCCCATGTGGAGAAGGCAAACATTCATTTGTTAATTGTCCTGTCCTAAATCCTGCCAAGAGACCAGATGGATGGAAGCTATCAGATGAAACTAAGACTAAGTTTGACACAGCGATGGAGAAGAGCTCGACCCTGAGAGCTGCGATGAAAAGAGCCAAAGAACGAATTTCTTCGGACCAAAAGTCAGCTGACCCTGTTGGATCAGCTGAAACATCGGACGAAAAGGGACATATGGTTGGGATGACTCTTTCATCTAAAAAGTCACCACTTGATGAGATGAAAACCCTTGCAGCGAGTCTGCCGATTTCGAACGCCACGAATCATGTGATTAGACCAAATGAGGTCTGGGCGTACGATACTGGATCAACATTGCATATCTGCAATAATATTGATCTTTTCTCCGACATTCAGCCTTATGCAGCTGATGTTTGCGTTGGAGATACGACGACACCGATAGTTGGGATCGGAACTGTTTTGGTCCGACCTACTGAATCTTTGGATGGAAAGCCACTAACCCTTCTGAAAGTGGGTTATTCCCCTGGTTTTCATCTGAACCTGATATCTGCATCGATTGCAGAACGTTCGAAATTGTTCCTGAATGGACGAAAGCGAACCCTTGAGACATCGGATGGAACGCCTGTTTGCCGTTTGAACCGAAGATCCGGTGTCTACCTGATAAGATGGGATGGAACAGCTGATGGTCTACCGTCTGACCTTTCTGCCAGCACACGAGTTGCTGTCAAACAGCTGACATGCCCTATATCCTCTGAAAAGCCCTTTCATCCGATGGAAGGCAAGAAAGACCCCATTGGTCTTAAAATTTCACATCAAAAATCGGAGGGTGCAACGATCCATGCACTTTCATCCTATTCTCGACCTGAAAAACCTACGTCACGTGATGTTTGGCACCAAAGACTTGGCCACATCGGACAAGAGACCCTTGACAAGCTTATCGGATCAACCACTGGAGTCCGGATCGATCAGAACTTGACATCAGATGAAACATGTGAAACATGTAAGTTATCTGATTCTTACCGACAGTTGTCACGTGTTCCGATCGAACGCCATGGCTATCCATTCGAAGCTATACACTGGGACTTAGTGTTTGTCAAACAAGGAATTGATGGGATGAAATATTTGTCACACTGTGTTTGCCCTGTGACGAAATACCAATTTGCGAAGGCAATCAGACGAAAGGTTGCATCACCTGACACTTTACATGAGATGATTGCACACATTGAGTTGCAATATGGGACGAAAATCAGACGAATCCACATCGACAATGATACGACGTTACCTAATTTCATCAAACACATGTCACGTGATGGGAGGGTGGTTGAATCTACCCCAATAGATCAGCCCGAACAGAACCCATATGCAGAACGCTATGGAGGCCTTATCGTCCAATTATCACGCCGTTTCATCCAATGTTCTGGGTTACCAATATCTCTTTGGCCCTATGCTGCCGCCTGCGCAGTATATGTGATGAACAGAACCCCGCGCCGCACTTTGGGATGGAAGACCCCTCATCAAACTTTGTGGGACCGATTGGACCAAAAGCCTGGTCATATGACTGAATTACCGGATTTATCCAATATCCGAGTGTTTGGGTGCAAGTGCTATGTACGGATCATCAATATTCCGCGCCTGGATAAGATGAAAGTACGAGCTCAAATTGGCTATTTGGTTGGATATGTTTCATCCAATATTTGGTTGATCTGGTTACCTCGAGGAAAAGTGATTAAAGCCCGTGATGTGGAATTCGACGAAACCTCTTTCTACAAACATCATGAAAGATGGGATGAAAAGGGTGCGCCCTTGTATGATGATTCGATGAAAGTGGTCGATTACCTGGATATCTCCGAATACACAACATTCCGGGATCAATTGGACCAAAGCGAAACATCAGATGAAAATGTGTTTGACACATTTCCAGAGAACCATGACGTTATGGGAGATCTGGACGAAAATGAGCAAGTATTGGATGAAAACAGTTCATCCGAAGAAGAGACTTGCGACGAAAAAGAAGAAGATCAGATTATTGGAGATCAACCGGATACTCCCCCGCAATCTGATAAAGAAGGATCACCTGACCCTGAGGATCCTTCTTACCCGAACTTACATCAGGCAGATAACAATTCATCTGATCTTAGACCTATGGGACGAATCGAGGTTCAGATCAATAACAATGGGATAAATCAAGATGAATATCCATTGTACGAACCACCTTATCATGACCGAGACTATGATATTGAGATGATTGACCCTGGTGCCCTGAAGAGATCTTTGGATGAAAGCCCTGATGATACACCGGATGAAAAGCGTGCTCGAATAGCAAACTTTTTACATGCCTACAATGTTGCGATGAAAAGCCAGCCAAAGAAAGTCCACGTGACAAGTGTCCCCCCCGCCGCCTGAATTTTGGCATTTGGTCGCAAGTCACCCTCATAAACGTGACTTCGAAGATGCGATGAAAGTTGAATTTGCCAAAATGAATCAGATGGAAGCCTGGGAACCAGTCAAAATTGAGATGATTACAGCCCAATGTTCAGATGAATGTGCTGAATCTGATGGACCAAAACGCTGTGCACGACATCAGATGATACCTTTGCGATGGGTCTTTGACTATAAATTGGATGAAAAAGGCTTTATTATCCGATTTAAAGCCCGATTATGCGTCCGAGGCGACATGCAACGATTGGATGATCAAGACTCAAGCACATCAACCCTTACATCCCGTTCTTTCCGATGTTTGATGGCAATCACTGCTGCGTTTGACCTGGAAACTTTTCAGATGGATGCTGTCAATGCATTCCTAAACAGCAAATTGGACGAAAAGGTTTTTGTCCAATACCCACCGATGTTCGGACGAAAAGGTTACTGTTTACGTCTGAAAAGAGCTGTCTATGGTCTGAGAATTGCAGGGAAGAAGTGGGAAGATGATGTCAAGAAGATGCTTTCCGCACTTGGCTTCATCCCATCTCCAGAGGATCCTGCACTATATTCGGATGAAAAGATGGTTATTCTTGTGTTTGTTGACGACTTTCTTGGCATTTATCCCAAGTCTGCTGCTCCACATGCAGAAAAGATAAGACGAAAGCTTAAAGAGGCTTTTGAGATGAAAGACTGTGGAGAACTCACCCAATTCATCGGAATTCGTGTGACACGTGATCGACCTACCAGACGACTTTGGATCGATCAAACATCTTACATCGAACGAATGGCTGCCCGATATGATATCCCGCAACCAAAACGACCCGCGTCGGCTCCGCTTCCGACAAACTTCAAACTTGATATTCTTCCATCTGATGTTGTTCGGTCTGATATCTCATATATTAGACAATATCAGGGGAAGAATGGATCAACCCTTTTTCCGGGCGTTTGGACGAGACCAGATATTTCTTGGTCTAACCAAGCCCTTGCCCGTGTTCTGACGAAACCAACCGAACGTCACATGACCGCTGTTGACCATTTGATCTCATATCTTGTTGCGACCAAAGATCTTGCAATTTGCTACGACGGACGAACCGATCCATCCCAACTTTTCAAGGTTTTCTCTGATGCCAGCTTTGCCGATAATTCGGACCGAAAGAGCACATCAGGATATCTTTTCACCCTGTACGGTGGCCCGTTTGATTGGTCGGCCCGGAAGCAACGAACGGTCTCAACATCAACTACCGAAGCTGAGCTTTTAGCCCTAGCTGCAGCAGGGAAACAACTTCTTTGGATCAAACGTTTCTTCCGATCAATCACCTTTGATCCGATGGTTCAGATGGAAATCTTTTGCGACAACAAGCCTACAGTTGACTTGATGATCAGATCAAAGTCTGTTTACACAACAAAATTGCGTCATGTTGACATTCATCGGCACTGGTTACGACAAGAAGTTCAGACCAAAGCACTTCGGATCAATTGGATCCCTTCATCTGAAATGCTAGCTGATGGTCTGACGAAACAATTCCTCCCACAGAAACACAGAGATTTCGTCCAAAGGTTGAACATGGAGGTTCCGCCTAGTTCTCTGACATCTATCACGGTGTGAAAGATGGGAGGGTGTGTCAGCAATTCAGGCAGATTGTGTGCCTGGATTCCTGGGATGAAAAGTGGCCCTTTTTGATCCAAAGGTTATGCTGACTAATTCATCCCGCGATCAAACATTTCCGTTGCGAAATGAACGATATGGTTTTGATCTGATCTATCAGATCAAAGATGATCTTCTCTCGTCCGAGAAGATCCGCAACCCGAGCCCCGTTGTTAGGATCAATGGTTGCAAGATGAGATGAAAGGACTCGATTATTTCGGATTCCGTAGCCCTTTCGTCCCATATCCTGAGACCTTTGGTCTCATGTTTGTTTAGTCTAAAGTTCTATAAAACCTGATCTTACCCCTTAGCTAGTTTAGCATCGAATTCAATCGTTTTTGGATCAGTTGTATCTTTGTTTGATTCTTTCCTTCCATTCCATCCTAAGTTCGGATCCAGCTTGGTCGTATGTCATTCCATCTGATCCGTGTTGTCTGATCTTTTGGTCTTATCTTTACCCTTTCCTCCGAAGGGTTCCCTGTAGCTTGGTGCCCCTGTTCAGCTGACATCCTCTGCGTGACGTCATCACCTTTGGTCCTGTCTTCCCCACGCTGAAACTTTAGTATAAGCTTATCCATACTAGCACTATTCCTAATCTAAATAAGAAGTTAACTCCTCCTCTAGCTCCAGAGACAAATCCCTTTAAGGATTTTAACTAATCTCTACTATTTATATCAGCCAATATTTATTCCTTTATACTTCAGTCAGTTTCTTTTATTTTTCCTCTATCTCTTTAAGATCCTCTGAAATAAGATATATCTCCTAACCGGTAGATCTACATATAAAAATAATATAAATATATAAATAAATAGCCTTTAGGTCTAAATATATAAAGTTTCTACTTTCTCTATAATTTAGTAATTATAGCCTATTATATAGATTACTTTCTTATAGATATAGATATTATAACAACCAATAGGCCCTTTATTAATATACACTTATAGTTAGTAGCAACCCTTCTATATATACTATCTTTCTTCTATAGCAATACCATATTCCAAGAAATATCTTCCTCCTTTTACTTATCTAATGTCAGCAATTCAGGCAGATTGTGTGCCTGGATTCCTGGGATGAAAAGTGGCCCTTTTTGATCCAAAGGCTATGCTGACTAATTCATCCCGCGATCAAACATTTCCGTTGCGAAATGAATGATATGGTTTTGATCTGATCTATCAGATCAAAGATGATCTTCTCTCGTCCGAGAAGATCCGCAACCCGAGCCCCGTTGTTAGGATCAATGGTTGCAAGATGAGATGAAAGGACTCGATTATTTCGGATTCCGTAGCCCTTTCGTCCCATATCCTGAGACCTTTGGTCTCATGTTTGTTTAGTCTAAAGTTCTATAAAACCTGATCTTACCCCTTAGCTAGTTTAGCATCGAATTCAATCGTTTTTGGATCAGTTGTATCTTTGTTTGATTCTTTCCTTCCATTCCATCCTAAGTTCGGATCCAGCTTGGTCGTATGTCATTCCATCTGATCCGTGTTGTCTGATCTTTTGGTCTTATCTTTACCCTTTCCTCCGAAGGGTTCCCTGTAGCTTGGTGCCCCTGTTCAGCTGACATCCTCTGCGTGACGTCATCACCTTTGGTCCTGTCTTCCCCACACTGAAAACTATATAGTAAGAAGAAGGGACTAAACCCTATAATAGTATATTTATAGATCTAAGCAGCAAATAACACTTATTAAAGATATAGATCCTATACTTTTATCAGTTTATTTATTAGATACTTTATAAGTATCTTTCCTAATAGGCTATTAAAATTCTCTACTTTTCTATTAGTACAGGGGTAGTAAGAAGTAGTTATATAGTACTAGCTTCTTAATAGGTTAATATAGTATTATACTATACTACCAAGAAGGTTCTTACTATAGTCAGAGATAATTTCTTCTAGTATATTATAATTCATAAATATCTAATTATATATAAATTATCTAAGTATCTCTTTAGTAGTATCTAGCATAGCTTATACTAATATCTATCTAGTAGTATAATTAATAGCTATAATAATCTGTCAGCAATTCAGGCTGATTCTCTGCCTGAATTTCTGGGACCAAAAGTGGCTCTTTTAGTCTAAAGATTGTGCTGACTAATTCATCCTGCGATCAACCATTTTGTTGCGGAATGAATGGCTATTGTTTTGATCTGATCCATCAGATCAAAGATCATCTTCTCTCGTCCGAGAAGATTCGCAACCCGAACCCTGTTGTTAAGACCAATGGTTACAAGATGAGATGAAAGACTTGATTATTTCGGATTCTGTGGATCTTTTATCCTATGTTCTGAGACCTTTGGTCTTATGTTTATCTGTTTAGTCTAATGTTCTATAAAACCTGATCTTACCCCTTAGTTAGTTGGGCATCGAATTCAATCTTTTTGGGATCAGTAGTATCTTTATTTAATTCTTTCCTTCTATTCCATCCTAAGTTTAGATCCAGCTTGGTCATATGTCATTCTATCTGATCCGTGTTATCTGATCTTTTGGTCTTATCTTTACCCTTTCCTCCTAAGTCCCCTATAACTTGGTATTCCCTGTTCAGCTGACATCCTCTGCGTGACGTCATTACCTCTGGTCTGTCCCGGATACGCTGAAATAATCTAATAATTACTATTTAGGGTTTTTAGTAGATAACCGATAAGATCAATCCCCTAATATACAAACAGCCTGATACCTAGGGTAATAAGGTATTACACTATCTCCTATTTAAGGCCTTTCTTCAGGCCTTATAAGACCTAGTAATTCAGATAAGTCTTTATAACTAACTCTAATTCTTTCTTTATATTAGGCTACTATCCTTATAGACAAATAACTCTATTTAGTCCTAGGTAACCTAAATAACCATAGTCTTTATATAGATATCTTACTATATCTCTATATATAATTGGCTTAATATATAGTGCTTTAACACTATCTATATAGATAAACACTAGCTGGTAATACTCTAATATAGTTATATATATTAGGAGATAGATATCTTTAAAATATAAGTTTAGAGCGAACTTCAAGACTACTTTAGTCAGAACCTTATCATCCGGTAGCTCCTGGTAATCTAGATAGGCCTTAGTAGCCGCTAGCTACTATTATTCTAGGACTTTCATAACCATTAGTTTATCAATAGTCTAAGTAATAGTAAAAGTAACATCCTATATCGGTCTAGACTTTAATACATTTATAGGACCGGTTTCTAGAAAATCCGGCCGTTGACTTATTACATCAGGAACTATTATATCCGATCCTTTCTGATACTAAATTTTTAGGTTATACTCTTGAAACTTAGCGACCCAATAAGTAAGATACTTTATGTAGGTTATTATTATCTATGGATACTGTAAACTA